ACCCTAACCCTAACCCTAACCCTAACGACAGCTATGTAAGACGCGAGACCCGCAAGCCGCAAAACGTACTCCATGTTACGGAAGAGACAGTTCTATGAAACAGACAGTGTCAATCACTGCCAGACCCGACGCTGGTTCTCAACCGCGCCATAACGATTCTGAGCTTGACGGCTCGCGGTGATACCCAGCTGTTGGCTTGTAAGCGTACGCATCTCATAAAGTTTTTGTTGCCGACTCCGTGCGCGAAGGATGCGAATCCGCATCCCGAACATTGCTATGCTACAGCAGGGATGTGGATCCATAAGCCAACACAAAGACATAGGGTGCCGACTTCAAGATGAGCTAGGTCGGCTGAAGTTGATCATGAGCAACATTACGTGGATCTGCCCTACATACAGCCGCAGAAATTTAGAGTCACAAAAGTGTCTGCACGTCCAGCTGGGACAGGATAATTGCAAGACATCCATAGCGCATTTCGAAAGTCTCACCGTCTCTCACCAACTTGCGAGACTTCCCAGACTTGATTGCAACAGCACTTTGGGACTCACCATTAGTAAACTAAGATCGAATGTTATGCCTCGAGTGAACAAGTGTATTCGGGATTTAATTATCTCGCACACAACCCGAGAAGGAGGTTGGAGGATCATCAAAGGATGCAAAATGGAGGGCGGCACCTACCAATCTAATCAATTGACAGATGCTCGGTAATAGGGTTTCGTAACCGTGCATGGTTAGGCCAGTCACTTCCGCCCAGTGACTTCTGCATTCTGCCGGTCACGACGTCCATACTGCGAGCATGATAGTGAAGTTTCGTAATGGCGGACCCATACCCGTCACAGGACTGGAGGCTGAAGACACGGTTCCATGCCAATTTAGTCTCGCCCAAATAGAGTACGCGTGCAACAGCTGAAATGCTAGGTCACAGCCCTGGAGGGTCAAGTATTCGCCTCGAGTTCGCAGTCGATGCTGACGAGGGTCAGCGGCGAAGGATTTAACCTTGCATGCACGTTAAGCGAGCTCGCGTCGTATCAGGCGAGCTTGAAGTCGAGAGGGTACAAGTGCAGAGGCTGTTGACTATGGAAGCTCAAATACATGCTGGACGGCATGTATATTCAGCGTTGAAACGGGGCCTGATATACTGGCTTGTGACGCTTGTCCACGAGGTAGTGGAGTAGTGCAGTCCGTAACATTTGTAGAGCGGCGCAGCATCTTCTCCTTCGAACTAGCGTTGCCGATCAGTTTGTTTCGCGATCCGGCCCCTAACTCCCGGGAATCCGCCACGGGAGAGGCAGAGTAATCACTACCATTGCAACCCATGCTCGGAGCGATAACACTCCGCTCGCATTGCATCTCACTCCATGGCGCACGGTGACTGTCCATGGACGAGCTCACAGCTCAGCGATCTGTATCATGATAGATGGCATCGCTAACTGGAGTGACAGATATCCAACATGCCGGTCCTTTCAGCCTGAGTCATGGACTCCTCATACTGCCTTATCGCGTGCTGCAAACGCGTAAGATATAGCCCCACCGGACCTAGGGATTTTACGTTGACGACCTTGAGCAAGACTCACCCAATTTGTGTAGTCTCGAAGATACGAACAAAGTTCATACCTGGCCGACGATCCATAACTAGGTATGGAGGATCGACCACGGCTACGGGCTGCAAACCTTGTCACTGAGCTTCTCTGGGCAGGCCGCAATGGTGTTTTTAGACTAGCCGGTACGATGCAGGCTGACGATCGCAACTGTGCGATTACCAATAGGACCCACTGGTCTGACTACGGAGCTGTCAGCAACCAACCCTCCGTGCCTCATCCTTTTGCCTACGCCGTACTGCTAACGTCCCACATACGTCGAACGGCCGTGTACGCGTGCATATTTGCGTTAGCGCTGATGCAAGCATTGCTATTAGCCATGTGGAGCCTCGAAAGCCGCGAGCGTTCGTGCAATGCTAGGGATTGTCAGGAGAATTGCCATCTTCGGGCCCACTATTCGTCTACTTTGATGGTCAACAGACAACCCCACTGGATACGAGGGATGCCATCCTTCGATGCCGCTAGATGCGAAGAAGATTCGTCCTGATCGTTCAATGTAAGATATGCCGCCGATGCAGTACATACGTTTCCGTGTTTCGCAAGATTGTGTCGTGGCTAACCGGGACATCTCCTCGACAGCAGCTCATCCTTTGGACTTTCTCACGAATCCGTCAAACCAGGGACACATCATGGGAGGAGCATTCGGAGACATCGACTTCACCGGGCTGGAGTTGACATCAGGGCTGGACGGTTTGGGGTTTACGTACAACTCTCGACTCTCACCTATCCCTCAGGACGCACCGCTCTCGGCCATTGATTGGTTCCGCCAGCATGATGGCCGCACTGTTGGCTCTATGGACGCTCCGTACCAATCGTCCGGCTTGCAATCACTTTTCCCTGGTACCGATAGTCCTCGTTTGCCTGTCGACAACACCATGCGACCATTCGGGGAGTCAGAAAGCGCTGGCTATGACCAACAGATGTTACTCGATAGTGGTGCGCCTAGCATTCCCGGTGCCACTCAATTTGCTGCGCAGGCAGAAGCTACTATGCTCACTCCAGTCATAACCGACAAAACCTCGGTCTCATCGCAGTCAACGGTCCGTTCCGCGGCGACCTTAGTAGCACATATACGAAATAACTATCGCATACTAAGACCTAAAGTTAGAAAAAATATAGCATCCTCGAGGAGCGCCTATACTTAGGAAGCTACCTAAGGCTCCTTACGCTACGTTATAACGTATACTAAAAGTAATAATACCTTTAACTTAACTATTATTATAATCCTTACTCTATTTAAGGCTTTATTAGAGTTTCTAATTAGATATTATAATAACTATATAGGTATAGGCGCTCCTCGAGGATACTATACTTTCCCTAACTTTAGGTCTTAGTATGCGATAGTTATTTTGCGCATAATTATATAACGCGCTATACCCCGCATCACTTTAATATCTGCCGAGCCATAGGACAGCTTTAGCACGCGTGGACCCTCCCGAGGAACTAAGATCCACACCTTGCTACCAAATCCACCATGGCTGGAGGCAACGAGACACACGGATGATAAACTGCGCTGTACCATCGGAGATTTTGGCTTGAGATTATCTCGGGTCGTATGGCCGCGCCTCGATTGTTCAAGCTTTTATGGCTGGGGTATAGAATAAGCCCACATCACGGGTCGCAAACTTCTTTCACCTTCTGCTTTCTCTGCAAGGTTTGCCTTCTTTGCTACCTCCAAAACAGCATCGTCATCTACTCACAGCTCCGTCTACTTCTTGCTCGATCCAAAATCATGGCGATTCACGAAATCCAGGGCTTTGAAGTCCCGTTCCTGCCTTCAGGCCGTCAATTCGCGAACACTTGGACCGATTTCGAACCTGACAAGCGTGTCGTCTTACCACGGGGCTGGAAACGAGAAGGTCGCCGTCCACTGCCCGAGGCCATCGTATGGCTTAAAGACGTCGCTGTTGAGTTGAGAGACGGAGTCAAGATTCGTGCAGATATATTTCGCCCTGCATCAAGAGAGAATGAGCGGCTACCCGCAATCATACCCTGGAGTCCGTATGGTAAGACGGGTACGGGTATTTTTTTCAGCCATGATTATCCCTACCTTGTTGCTCCTGCATCGAATACAAGCGGACTCGAGAATTTTGAGGGACCTGCTCCGTCAGAATGGTGCCCTCGTGGCTACGCGGTAGTTCAAGCCGATGTTCGGGGAACATTCAATTCAGAGGGCGATCAGTACTTCTTTGGCACTGGGGTTCGTGTCCTGATGACAAGTCCTATGTGCCAACCGTGTACCGTGGCTAACAAAACAAGCAGGAAGGATAAGACGGGTATGACCTAGTCGAATGGACCGCCAAGCAACCGTGGTGCAATGAGAGCGTGGCCTTGGTAGGCAACTCGTGGCTCGCAGCGGCTCAATAGTACATACTGCGCGAATCAAAGTTCTCTTGCTGTTCTCGAGTCGTTCAATGCTCGTGGGAGACTAACGCACAAAACCAGGTTCATTGCCGCCGAACGCCCACCCCACCTGAAGGCTATTGCTCCGTGGGAAGGAATCGGTGATCTCTATCGTGAAGGCGTTTGTCGCGGAGGCATTGTAGAGCCTTTCTTCTGGAAGATGTTGCTGACAGCAATGCAAGGCAGGTCTCGCCCATCCCTCCTTTCTGTAGTGATTACCGCTAAAACAATAGCTTGTCCAGGTCGAGGCTGCTACGAAGACATCGGAAGCATGACGGACAAATATCCTCACATGAACGAATACTGGAGAGATAAGACGCCAAATCTGCCCAACACTGATGTGCCAATGTATGTAACTATGAGCTATTCGACCGGCCTGCATACGGAGGGCTCATACCGAGGCTGGAAGTACTCCTCATCCAAGGACAAATGGCTCCGTATCCACTCGACACAGGAGTGGCACGACTTATACCAGCCCGAGAACACCGACGACCTCCAAAGATTTCTGGACCACTATCTCCTCGGCAAGGGTAACGGATGGGAGACCACCCCGAAAGTGAGAGTTTCTCTGCTACGCTACGGCGATAGCCCTGACATTTCTCATCGGCCCGAGGACGATTATCCACCTTCTCGCACACAGTACCACACGCTATTCCTCGACTCCGCGAACGCGAAACTCTCGCACAAGAAACCAGGGAGTAGCAGCACAACGTCGTACAAGTCCGGCCCTTGGGAGGAGAAAGGAGTCCACTTCACCTACGCCTTCGACAAGTATACAGAAATCTTAGGGCCGCCCAAAATTAAGCTGTTCATGTCAACGCCAGACCAGAACGACATGGATGTGTTTATCAAGCTCCGCAAAGTCGATGTTGACGGCAACGTTCTCACCTCTCTGAACGTCCCGATGAAACTGCAGCCGCACGGCACAAAGCTAGAGCAGATCGACAATCTTGTCCTGTATAGGCACGAGGGACCAATGGGCCGGCTGCGAGCCTCCAAACGCGCACTAGGCCAGGATCCGATGCTCTCCGAGGCGCAGGTGAAGTCGCAGGCGCCTACGGAGCTATGGCTTGTATGCGACAAGGAAGAGAAAGTTCCACCAGGCACGGTGGTCGAGCTCGATATCCCTATCTGGCCCACTAGTATGGTCTTCAACGCCGGAGAGTCGCTGCGCTTGGAGGTGTGCGGCCATATTAACAATCTGCACGAGTTCCCTGATAGTGGACGTTTGCATAAGAATCTGAACAATGGCGTACATTCTGTCCATTCGGGCGCGGAGTTCCCTTCCCAGATTATGCTACCGCTATTGTTTTGATAGGGGAAGGGGTTTAGTAGGTAGTAGCTTTACGGCAGGGGAGGGGTACAACAGGGAATAAGGAGTTAAAAATAGGGGAACACAGTCATCACCGGACAACAACATAAGCAGCAGCAGTAGCAGCAGCAGCAGACATACAGCAGGTATTAGATACGTTCTAAGTATGATTTGACACTACTACTCTCCTCGGAAGGAAGCATTCTCGAGCTTAATACACCTGTCTCCGTATCGTCCGGTTTGATATAAGGAGTCCGCGTGTACTTCGTGCCTAAGTTGTCTCCAACGACGATCGCAACACACAACGACGTTCAACGTGTCGGTACACTCGCGAACCGGAAGGCGACCTCGCGATGTTGAGCTTCCTCTATAGTATTAGAACGAGAGTGTTGTTAACGAATGCGAGCAATATGATGCAGGATGTGGTCGTTTTTCGCGCAGCTATAGCAGCAATGTCTATTTATCTAAAGCCTTTCGACTTAGTCTTTCATCAGGAAGCTTAGATACCTTCCACTTTGAATGTTAACTTTGACCTTCTTTTCAAGCATGAGGTAAAGACCGACGCGACATATAGCAAGGAATGTATGTTAAAGGTAACGCACGACGATGTCGTCTTCTGAAGCGCAATCTCTTGGCTGAGAGCCGTTGGATGCCGGCTGTTCGCAGCCATACACAATCGTATCGTTCACGGGGGGTCCTCTTCGATCTCTGGCGATAGTGGTGTACCTCTCGCTAACGTTGCCTGGACACCGAATCGCTCAAGAACTGTGGCACACGTTGCTGCTGGCTGAAGGTCATTGCGCTCCCTCCTATGCCACTGTCGAAGGGAGATCATCCGAACCATTCGAGTCGACGCACCGTGCTCGGCCTCGTACGAGACAGTCGACCTCGATTGTTGTTCGTGCATCGAACGATGCTCCGCAGTCAGTCCGCTCGCAATGCGTCACAACCGATTGCATCGAGGTAGTTTACATCCGATGAGGGTTATGAATTTGTCATTGCATCTCAACAATGACAATCGGTCCTATTTCCCAGGGAACCTTCGTAAAGGTGGCGCAAGTACATTGGCATACCTGAAAACGAGGACACGCCAATAAAACAACACCCTGGCCATGGTAAACAACAAAACTAGCACAATGTCTACGTGCGGGTGTTTATCTGCCCTACGACCGCAACGAGCATGCGTCGACGGCGCGACACGCATCAGCAGCCTCCCGGTTGTATGACACGGCGGAGTCATGTGACGGACGGCACTGAGGGTCGGACGATCATCGATATCGAGAAAGTGGACCGCGGGTGGGAAAGGGGAATGAAAACGATTCCTCCTATCTAATCAGCCAATGCGGACGCGGAATTTCCATCTTCCATGCCAGCCGGGATATTCAACAGTCTACAACCAAAGCGAAGCTCTTGCCGGCCAGTTGCATGGCCGCTCAGAAAGGTTTCTCACCGACGATGTTACCCTGGGGCCAATATCGTGCGACGATGAAGGTACTGCCGTTCCTCGATTTCGCCTTCGCAATTCCAACATGCGTAGTATCGGCCCACACGCATTGCGCTGTGAGAGCTGTTAGATGACGATTTGAGCGCAGTACGGTGATCATGCGTGCTTACTGAAGTGCTTGTATCGCAAAGCATTCCCCTCCCCAAATCGTCTACCATCGTACTCATCCTCTTCCTTGAGCCACGCCTGGATAGCATCGTCGTACGAGGCGTTGTCGACGTTGACGTATATGTTCTCTCCTTGTTCAGCATCTCCGGAATGGTGTAGCTTGCGAGACTGTGCCATGCTGTGTTGACAGTTAGCCAAAGTACGTATCTCTCACGAGTGGTACTGTTCTTACTTCTGGGCGTGCTTGGAGGCCTGCTCGGCCAAGTCGTCGTCCCACTGCAGGTCTTCGCACTTACCCTCCCTCGCCTTGTTGTGAGCACTTAGTGCAGTGTCTTCGTCAGACCCTGATACTTCGTTGCTAGAGGCTGGTTCCTTAGACTCCGATGTGCCGTTTTGCTCCACCTCGCTCTCCTGATTCTGCTTCTTGCCTTGCTCAACGTCGTCAGCATCCTCCTTCACCGCTTCGCTAGACTTGCCTTCAAGCTCTTCCGTCTTATCGTCGCCAACTTTCTGCTCACCCTGTCCTGGCCCTTCCTCCGCGGACTTTGTCTCCGCATCATTGGGCTTTTGCTCGTCATCCTTCTGGTCATCATCGGTCGATCTGGAAACCTCGTATGCACCGCCTGCGACCGCTGCGGCTCCAGCTGCACTGCCTGCTACAGCTTCTCCGGTGTTATTGTCACCGTCCTCATGGGCTTCTCCTCCATTCTGAGCTGGTTTGCATGCCTTTTCTGCACTTTCTGCTTGCTGACCATCGTCAGGCTTCTCTTCCTCTCTATCGGGTGCTTCAGTCGACTCGTCCGTGGTTTGATCGCCAGCGGATCCATCTCCTGCAATCTCGCCGGTAGCCTGATCCCCAGAGGCGTGTTCACCTTCCGAAAGTGTCTTCTGGTCGTCTCCTCCACCATTGGGAGCCGTCTCCGGTCCGGCCGTAGACGGTTTTTGTGGCTTGCCATCGTCATCGTTGCCAGCTTCATCCCTGGGCTCGTCATCATCTTGTATTTGCTTGCTGTCGTCATCGTTGCCATCTTCGAGCTTTGGCTCCTCATTGTCTTGTAGGTGCTGTTGCTCCTCAGAATCGTGGTATGTACTCTGACCATCCTCATCTCCTTCAGCGTCAGCTTGCGCGGGCTTGCTCGCGGTAGATACTTGTTCCTGGTTATCCTCTTCCTCCTGGGCTGGCTCGTGGTCATCCATCGACGCCTCCTTGGCATCGCCGATGGGGTCTTGAGAGACTCGGCCTTGGTCAGAAGATCCGGCGTTGGTCTGCACAGTGGAAGACTCTGGCTCTCTAGTGGTCTTCCCAGCATCATCGTCTTCTGCTCTGGTCTCGTCCCCATTACGATTCTGCTCCTTACTATGGGCCTTTTCTCCACCATCCTGCTTATTCGTTTCGGATTGCGGCACAGCATCTGTTTTGTCTTCGACCTGCGGTGCATCACCGGCGTTGTTATCCACATCATGGTCTTGCTCTTCCCTCTGAGGCTCGTCTGCAACGTCGTCCTTCTCATCTCCTGCTTGAGGCTCGCCATCATTGCCCTTCTCCTCGGCTTCAACTTTTGATTCATCACCCGTGTCTTCTCTCTCGTCACCGTCTTGCCCGTCATCCCGAACGTCGTCTCCATCATCGTTCTTCTCGCCCCCAACTTGAGGGTGATCATCTCCGTCCTTCCCCTCGCGTTCGGTTGTAAAGTCACTGTCGTCACCGTTATCGGGACCAGCAATTCCGCCGTCCTCGACGCCTGGGCGTATGGCTTGAGAGCCATCCAAATTCTCGTCTTGCTCATCCTCGAGCTGGTCCGCACGTTCCTGCTGTCCATCGTCTTTTCCGCTTCCACTCGACTTGACAGGACCGCTAGAAGTTCCAGCTTCTTCATCAGGCTCTTTGGCTTCGCTAGCGCCCTCCGCGAACACCTCAGGGCCACCCTTGTTCTCACCAGGTTTGTCCGCATTACGGGCCTCTGTGGGCTTCTCAGAATCATCCTCGTTCTGCATAAATTTCCCGGTCTCACCATCGCCGCTAGCAGGCATGTCGTCGACACCCTCATGAGCATTTGCGTCCCCACCAGCTTCTTCTTCAGCCGACTGCTGGGTAGGAGCTGACTCGGACTGCTCTCCAGGACCATTGCCTTGTTCCTTTGAAGCTTGCTGATCATCACCCTGACCTTCGTCATCCCCGACTTGATCTTGGGTCTTGTTCTTAACATCAGCCGCCGAGCTCTCGCCCGCTACGCCAGCAGTGGGCTTCTCATCGAGCGCTCCCTCGGTGAAATCCGACTGCATCTCATCATTGGACGACTTTTCCTCGCCCTCCTCTGCCGCGGCAGGCTGATTGGCGGCCTCTTCCGTAGGCTTTGGCTCTGTGGAGTTATTCGACTCGGTGGAGTCGTGCGGCGTGTCCTCCTCCTTCTGCGATGGCTCGGCGGAAGATTTCGATGTGTCGTGCTTTTCGCCGTCGGGCTGATCACCGGGCTGTATCGCTGTAGATTCTTCCTCGCCGTTGTCTGCCGGCTTCTCGGTGGAGACATTACCACTAGTCGAAGTCTCGTGCTCAGGCTCCTCGTTGCTGTCTTTGTCGGCTCCGTCACCTGTAGTCACGGCGGCATTGGCCTCTTCTGGCGAAGAGTAGGCTTCTTTCCTGGGTTCCTGGTTTTCCTTCCCGGCTTGTGATCCATCTTCACCATCCTTCATCGGGTCGCTGCAATTCTTTTGCTCCGTTTTGTCTTCTTCTCCCTGCTTGGCTGCGTTATGTTCAGCTGCCGGTTCGACCTGAGCGCCGTCGGGTTCAGTCGACTCTGCAGCGAAGGCTGGTGTGGAATCACCGTCTTGGGTGCCGGCCTGCTGGTGATCAGTAGATGCGACATCGCCATTGGCCATCTCGTCTGGAACAAAAGAGCTGTGCTGCTCAGGCTGGCTTGTCCCTTCGCTCGAGACCTGCTGACTGGGCGTTTCCGGCAGAGGCTTGTCCTCTGGTTCGGTCCCACCATCCGGCTGCTTCTGGCCCTGGTTGGGAACGAGGCCGGGGCGGAAGGGCTGGGAGTCCCCCAAGATCTCCTCCTGCTTCTCACTAGGAATAGCCGATGGGCCTTGCTTGGACGATTCTACGTCACCCTGCTGGGTGGAATGTAAAAACTGGTCCCTGATTGGTGTTTCCTGTGGCTGCGAAGGCGCCACCACGGGAACGGGAGCCGTATCCTCAGTCGGGTGCTCCTGGGCCAGCTTCTGAACGAGGTTTGCTTCCTCCTCCTGGGACAGGTCGTTTGAGGTGGAACCTTGTCGAGCCTCTTCGACCTTGGCCTTGACCTTCCGAAGCAGGGAAGCCATGCTGGAAGGGTGCGAGGGGAAAAGGGGCAAGAAAGCCCGAGCACGTTGCAATGCTGTTGTGCTAGACTGTGCACCTTAGAAAGTGAAAGAGGAAGTATGAGCAAGGCGTGTAAGTAGGAGAGCTAAGAAAGCGAAGAACAATGAGCTCTGTACAGTTCTCCTACCCTCGAGAAGTGGCACAGTACTTATAGACACACGGAACTGTGGCGCTCGTCCTTTCCACTGTCTGAACAGGTGTCAATATGAATCCCGGATACTGTGAGCCCGTCAAGACACGATCATCGTACCAACATCAGAAGGCTGTCGAAGGTTCCAGCGCTGCAATGTGGCCAGATACGGCTATTGTTCTGGGCGATCTCAGGTGGTACAGCTCCGCGACAAGGTGCGGGCACGGCGGGACAGGCAAGCCCGCGGGCCTCAAAGGTGGCCGCACTTGCACACGCTGCCTCTGACCAATTGACGATTGGTAGGGGAGATGAGCGTGGGGGATAGTGTTAGGAAAGGCAAGGAAGTCGATAGCAGAGATCGGAGCAATGTGCTAGCGTGACTGACGATGCACCGCCACATGAAACCGGTTTTTTGAAAATCGCAAGCTCCTGATCGGGATTAGCGCTGGGGTTCCACGCGACGAGCGGCTCGTGCACGGCCACACGGGCCGCCAGCTCGACGAGGTAGAACTAGCTGGAACGTTGTCGTTCGCTTGCAACTACAGTACACAAAAGTCTCCGACGATCGCTGATAAAGATCGCTAATGTGCAGGGATCCCGGAAGAAAGCTCGTGGCTGCTTCTCGCATGTTTTACGAGGGATTGCACGAATCCATGCTCTCTCTCACTACCGGCGGTAAGAGTGCAATCTGGGCGGTGTCCGTCATCACCTCGGACCTGCGTGTCAGGCCGATCCAGATCTCGCCACCTCATCATTTAATGCAACTTTCCCATCTAGATCAATGCCCGTAGCTCTCGACCTGGGCCGCGAGAGCTGTAGAAGGTTTACTAACGAGTCACTCATGTGCCGCTGCTGAACATGCTATCACGTGCATTCCATGAACATGCCTTAGGGTCCAAGCTTCGACGCGCAGATGGATTCGAATTGGCTGGGAGATATTGCAAAGCAATGCGTCCATGTGAGTCGGTAGCAGGAACATCCGCTCCCTTCCCTATCAAAATGACAACAGCCTCCGGGTTCTTCGCCGCTGCGTAGTGCAGAGGCTTTCTTCCGTCGTTGTCCGGTATCAGCGGATTCGCACCGTGTCCAAGTAGCATGCTAATGGCTGACATGTTCTTTCCACACCGCTGAACGCCACGAATTGCCATCGGTAGCAGAGTAAGGCCTTTGTTGTCCTGAGACGAGTACCGTGCATCATTGCTCAACAGCACCGACAGCATGTCAGACATTCACTGCGCCGCAGCAATATGACATGGTGTCTATCCTGCGTTATCGGCATGGTCAATGCCCGCTTTCCTTCCAGCCAAGTATTGAACAATGCGTAGATGACCGGAGTCGACGGCAACGTGCAGTGCAGTCTTTCCAGAGCTCGAGATTGCCTGAGTATTCGCACCTCGCTCGACAAGTGTCTGTACACAGTCGAATTGTCCTGCTTGGGCGGCGATCCAAAGCGCGCATCTACCCCAGCTGTCGCGGTTGTCGATCGCAGCGCCAGCACCCAGCATTCTGGTCAGAATTGCGGCTGGTCCTTTTCACGCGGCTGCTATGAGTGGCATCTCTTGCGAGCACCTCTCAGTGTCGGCCACATCTTCGAACGACTCGCTGTTTGGATTTACAGCCCACCACGAACGGTGCTCGAGCTGTACGATAGCACGCGACTCCAGTAATAGGCCTGCAACAGCTTCGTGACCGCGGTATGCGGCGGGTATCAATGCTTGGCAATCAAAGACCTGATAGCTTTCTTGTTGAACCTGCACAATCTTTGCTTGCTGTGGAGCCGAATATAAGAACTTTAATGTCTAATTAAGGTGCCGCGGCTGAGTCAGGACCCGAGCTGTAGTATTTGCACCATGATCAATGAGCACTCGCGCGAGAGCAAACAACCCTCGCCAGCTGGCACAGTGCAACTTACTTATATTAATTATAGGAGCGGAAGCCTTAGCTTCTATATTCCTATCTACTCGCTTATTATACTAATTATTATAGTAGTATACGTAACACCTACTAATCGAAAAGTCGCGAGACATAGTAGTCTATTAGGGACTATATATCAAGCGGACAGGCATACGTACCTCTGCTGCCTTAGAACAACTACGAGAACATCCTGCGGCACGACTGCTCCTAAAGTGGTTATACGATAAGCGACACATCTCGGAGCACTATCACCTTCCAGCAGACTGTCCTTGATACAATACGCGAGAAGGATCCTGCGGCAACCACATGTCGCGAAGTGTGGGGATGGTAGAATGTCACTGGACAACTTTGGAAGGCTCGAACATCAATATGTTGAGGACTGGTCAGCCACGTGCGTACAGTACCTATTGTTATGCGCTGTGGTTTAAGAGGATCATCGCCAAAGCAATAACGAGAAGGCGCTTTTCCACCCTTGCCTACGTTCAACGTCCTCCCAAAGTCGGTGTTTTCGCTCCAACATAAACACGTTCCCAGATCAGAGACGTGCGATTCGTCCCTAACTTACGGACCGTCATTGTGGGATCATCAGTCTCGCACTTACGGACACGCATCGTAAGTGAGGTAAGCCAGTATATAGCATTGAGGTTCACCTACGGCCGATTGCGTGCGGTACCTTTCTTACAATCTTCACAATGGCTATCTCTTTGTTGCTGGCTTCACTGACCACGCTGGCGGTTGCCGCGTCTCAGGACACTGTCAACGTACCAGAGCTTGTCGGAACGACTTACGGCGATTATCAGCATGCCAACCCCAACGGCGGATGGATCCCTGTGACTGGTGCATACAGCCACGGACAATACAAAAACGTCGCCATGCTGTCCTTTGACGGCCTGCACCAATTTGATCTTATCAACTATGTCGCCAAATACCCGAATTCCACCTGGGCCACAGTCGTTTTGAAGAATGGCATCATGTTTGAGAATGCCCGCGCCAGCTCGCCGTCTGACAGCTTTCCCGCAACGGCAGCACTGTTTGCTGGAGCTTCACCTCGGACCTCTGGTATTTGGTGGGATGATGGTTACGACCGAAGTCTTTACCCACCAGGCTCCAACTGCGATGGCCCAATCGGCACAGAGACTTCCTGGGATGAGTCAAATGACCTGGACAACACTGTCACTTCCGGTGGTGGTGCGCTCAATGTCTCTCATCTTCCGATGCAGAAGACCAGTTGGGGCAGCTGCGTGCCGGTCTACCCACACAACTTCATCCGAGTTAACACCGTCTTCGAAGTCGGCCGTGGAAACGGTCTCGTAACTGCTTACGCCGATAAGCATTTGACATACGAGTTCTTGAACGGTCCTTCTGGAGTCGGACTTTCTCAGGTATACACTCCCGAGATAGCTGCCGCAAATAACACCCTGGCTGGCCAGCAGGCATGGGACGACCTACATTGTGAGTCCTATGATGGATCCCATGAGTACCGTAAAAGCTAACATTCCATAGGGTCGGCACTCCGCAACTGGACGCTCGGTAACTGGGCGAACGGCACAAAGAATCCAGACGGCGCTCCGTCCATGTATGGCGGTAAGTAGTCGTATGGTCCGGAGATCAGGATGGTCGCCTAACGTCTTCTCTCCAGCCAATTTCCAGGCCATCACCTGGGCTCAGACGAACGCTGGGTATACCGACGCAGTGGGCGCGGCGCCGAACAAGTCTCTCGAACTGGCACTGCAATACGCCGACCAGCGCCTTGGCACTTTCATCAATGACCTCCGTGCGAGCGGTCAGCTGGACTCCACCCTACTGTTGCTGGGCTCAAAGCAAGGTCAAGGGCCGATCAATGCCAAGAACGAGACCGTCTTCCCCGACACTCACCTCACCCAAAGTCTTGAAGCTGTCGGCATCCCCGTGGCTCTCACTACCGCTGACGATGGTGGAATAGTGAGTGAAAGGATCTTCCTCCCGTATCATATGACGATGTTGACTTGCCTCTCTAGATGTGGCTACAAAATCAGTCCCAAATCCTTGATGCCAAGGCAAACCTTCTCGGGAACGCAAGCTTGGGCGTAAGCTACGTCTTGGCTGGGGATGAAGTCCAGCAGGCAGTACGTCAATGTTCCTTGCAAAGCAAAATAACGGTACTGACTTCATTGCAGGGTTTTGGCTCGCCGTGGCTAGATCCTCGGGTACCAGACTTGGTTATCGGTGCGAAAATTGGGTATCTTTGGGCAAGCTCTCCTCGATTTGAAGACCACGGCGGATATGCGCCCCAAGACTTGAACGTCCCTTTGGTGGCGTACAATCCTCACCTTGCGCCGACCAATATCAGCGTTGTGGTCAGCAACCGCCAAGTAGCCAGCACGATGCTGCAGGCACTCGGCTTACCACTTGCGCAATTGGATGGCTACCGACTTGAAGGCACACCAGTGCTTCCAGGTCTTTTTGAATGAGTGGGGATGTGGTTTGGCAGTCGTAGCGTATGTACGACAATTTTTGAACGTTGGGCTCGCAACGGCCCATCACACCAGTGGTGTAGCAGCCCTTGGAGCTGCGCGATGTCATGCGTACATAGTAGATATGATGTATTTGTGGCAGAACTCGCCCAAGCCTGCATCAGCATGCGGGAGCTCGTTCGCGCCCCGTGACGCTAGAATGAGAATATCCCACAGAAAAGTGCGTGTAGCAGTCTCATCGATTATTTTGCTTTTTGATGTCCTGACAAGACGTGAACATACGTGGGTGATCTTGTTGCAAGCTATCTCCAGTAGTCCTCGAGGTTGACCGTACAAGCTACCTGCAGCAGTAAGGCTTGTTTTTTACGAAGGCTTGTTCTTCACGTCGTCATATTCCCCGCACATCACTACTCGCTCTAACTCATCGCCGGGCGCTTTCGCAATAAAAAGTTCACTTTCAGTCGGCAGGGAAGTAAGGACCAAGTGTACTCGAAGCAATGGAATGGCCAACTTCGTACAGCAGATATGCGTTCGTGTCCATCTCGCGCCGACGAGTCAAGCGAAAGGAGTTCGATCTAGCGGCGCGGAGGATGAAAGCCTTGCTCTACCTCGCCAGCATGGCACCAGTATGTTTCCCGCGACCATAGACTTCCTTGACTGGACGTCATAACGACAGCATCGATCATCCTTTGCGGCATTCCGTGCAGAGCGTCCTTGGTATCAAGCACGTGTACGCCACCAAACTGCACCTCGTCCCGAGTGACATCCCACACCACGCCCCATTCGACTCCTCCAAGTTCATGCCTACGAGCTTCCCTTTTTGCTTCCCGACGTCGCTAGCGTGGGCCTCACTACATACTGTGAACCTCAGACATGTGCTCAAGTGGTTGGCTGCAAGCAACGCATGTCTTCTGGCAAGTGATTCATCATGCGAGAAACGAGCTGTCCACTGCGAATGGCTCATATAGTCCAATGCCCAGGGCGTTATGTCCCTCGAAATCTTGACACAAATCCGCCCTTCATCCAATCGCCACTATGCGAGTTTCTTCCTTATGGCTATCTGGATTGGCGGGTACGGTCCTGGGCTGTGACTCGTGCTATGGACCTCAAGAACATGTCGTTCGTACACGCAACGTGTGGCCACTTGCTCCGAATCAAGGCCCAGTAGCGAAACGAATGCAACCGGACGCCCAGAATGCCTCGTATGGACCATCCCGTGGGCCTCTACCTTGGGGCCAATTGAATGTGTTGCACACGACTGACACCCACGGCTGGCTCGAAGGCCACATTCTTGAGAAGAACTATGGCGCCGACTGGGGCGATGCCGTCTCCTTTACGAAAGCCATGAGGAACAAAGCCGACCGCCTTGGTGTCGACATGCTCATCGTGGACACCGGGGATCTCCACGACGGTGCCGGTCTCAGCGATGCGACCAGCCCCAACGGTGTGCTCTCAAACCCTATCTTCGATAACATCGACTACGACCTGCTCACTATCGGCAATCATGAGCTCTACGTGTCCAGCATAGCGTATGAGCACTTTTACAATTTCAGCCGAGTCTGGGGGGAGAAGTATTTGACGAGCAATGTCCAAATCATCAACCCTAACACTAGCGAATTTGAGTATATTGGGCACCAGTATCGCTACTTCACCACGGCTAATGGTCTCCGTATCATGGCGTTTGGTCTTCTGTACGACTTTACTGGCAACTCGAATGTTAGCAAGATCTTCACAGCAGCGGAGGTCGTCGAGCAAGCATGGTGGAAGCAAGCAATCTCGGGCTACCCGGAGAATTGCGAGACTCAGGTTCCCATTGACCTATTCGTTATGCTGGGCCACAATCCAGTGCGATGGAATGATACTGAGAGCACTTTCGAGACGTACTATTCCAGCATCCGCGCCGCTCAGCCCAAAACACCGATCCAGGTGTTTGGCGGACATTCACACCTTCGTGACTTTGCTGTCTACGATGAGATGACGACGGCACTTGAGTCAGGCCGATACTGCGAGACTTTGGGCTTCTTCTCCATGACTGGCTTGAGCTCGTCCAACTATACCGGAGCTTTAGTGCCTTTTGGTGTTCCTAATCCGACGCAAATGGCTTTGTCTAGCAACAAGACCAACGATCCCAATGCCACCAATGTTGGAGCCTCTCTCAAGTATGCTCGCCGCTACCTGGACTGGAACAAGATCACTTTCGAGTACCACGCTACGGGCTCGCAGAATTCCAGCATGTTCGACTACTACAAAGGCTCGGCAGTCACAAGAAACATCACTGCCACGCGTGCAGAACTCGGCCTTAGTGACGTGCTTGGCTGTGCTCCGCAAACGTATTGTATCTCTTGCGCACCCTACGGCACTGCCGAGAATATCTACTCTGGACTAGTTCCGCAAGCGCTCACGCTTGGTGTTGTCAATGCTAGCCGTGCGAGTAACCCACGCTTTCTGATCGTCAACAGTGGCGGTATTCGCTTCGATCTTGTTCAAGGCCCCTTCACCGTGGACGACAGCTACATCGTCTCTCCCTTTGCTGACATCTTCGTGTACCTCCCCGCGGTCCCATACAGTATCGCCAGTCAGCTGTTGAACGAGCTCAACAACGATCCCTTGTACAACGGTAAGCGCGATCTAAGCGCCGTCGAGGATATTCACACCCGTGAACTTTCCGCTCGTGACTTCGCGTTCCACCCGATCCGAGGCGACGACTGCAGGTCCCCGGCCCCGGAATCGATCATGGCCAAGCGTGCATTGAAGCCGGCTGTGAAGCGGCAGCAGATCATGCTGACTCCGGGCTACACTACTACCGACGACTTTGGATCAGATGGTAAGCACATTCTCGACTGACACATCTGCCAAAGAACTAATCCAGGTCATAGGTGACGATACGGTGCACTCCCACATTGGAAACTTCGTTAACAGCATTCCCGCCTACATTGGGTCCAATGCGTCCCTTCCATCGAACCCATCGCCCAACGCCCCAGTCGACCTGATCTTCATCGACTACATCGCGAGTGACGTCCTCCCAGCGCTTGCCGGTCTCGGTGCCAACTACTCAGAGAGCGACGTCCAGTATTATATCAACAGCACATTCTCGACAAACACGTATCTCAATGTGTACGCGCAGGTTGCCTGGAAGGCTAACATCACGAACTGTCCAGTCGGTGTAGGTGTTGGTGGTGATGCGGGCACTTAGGCATGTGTTGGGAGGAGACAAATCGTCGAGAGGGTAGAGTACATAGTCGGAGGTTAGATTAGATGGATCCACTGTAAATTTGTTATGGGTGACCCTGAAACCCTGACTGCGAATTACTACCTGTACTCTTCCGCTTGCTCTTCTTCTACTTCCTCACGCTCAACCTTACAATAGATATATATGTCAGCAAGACTATCTTCCTAGACTCCAGCTTCAAAAGATCGATTATCTCTCCTTCTGTAATGATGAGAGCGCCCAGATGAATAGGTTCCAGCCGATCCAGCGCTGGACCCCTATCACCTCAGTTCGCACTTGCGACTCGTCGTTCGTCATGCGCTGGAGATGCAGCTTTCCGCGAGAAGAGCCAATTCGTCGGGACCGCACTTCGGTAGCATTTGTAGTCTGAGAGATCATGCCGACCTTGTGGGCCTTCCTGAGCTTGACACGTGATCTCATGGACTCTTGTTCACGCTGTCGGACCTCTCACAGTAAGTAGGCATGTGCTCGAAGATGTAGTGACCGGCATCATTCACGTGTTTGTGTAACCTGTCATTCAACATCTCGGCAAAGCGCGGCAACCTGCCCGATGTGTGCTTCAACTCGCGTTTGCACCATTTCGTTGATACCAAGACACCCGCCTCTTAGACTATTCTTCCACACTATCTCTTCCCTAGACACAACGATACAGTGACCCCTCACCATACGGCCATGGCAGTCCCACACAGCGCGTGCAAACACAAGCACGCAGCGCCACTGCCAGACAATCTCCTCGGGCGCTACATCTTGTTTAAAGCGGGAACGACCAAGCTAGTAAGAGATTTGCAGCGCCCTTAATTCCCATCATCGCGGCCATCGCTAACCTTGACACCCATAATCACTAGGTAAAGTGGCTGATAAGCTCCGCCAGCGGTTGTTGCGACCTCACGACCATCGTCGAGTCTTGAAAGGAGAAGCCGACCAAGTCCTCGAGCGCTGGAGGCAAGAAACTCGCCACACTCCAATTGCGGACCATTGAGCTTCTCAAGCTAGCTGAAGTGCTCGCAGCCACTGATCCACCGGTTGTTGTCACCGACGAGATTCTTCGTGTACTCAGTGATGTTATCTCCGGTCGCAAAGAGTGCGCCCACTTCTACGACAGTCAGGAAGCCAACGACGGCACGCTTCTCGCCGCCGAGAATGCTTCGCATCGTTTCTTCATCACCGTTTTGTAGAAGATCTACGGCACGATGAAACAGCTCAAGGCCAAGCTTACCAGTAGCAGCACAACTAAGCAGCTGTCGAAGAGGCAGAAGCAGCTCAGCGGCAAGAAGGCTGCTGCCTTGAATGAGCCTCTTACCAACCTCTTCGGCTGCTTGAACGTGGGGGAGCCGAGCGAGTTACTTTCAGCCAGCCTTCCAGTCCACACGAGCGCTGCCTCAAACCCGAAGTACAGCTTCAAGCTTGAGACCGAGAATCACGACGGCCCGTTTGCTATCTGGTGTCATCTCAAGGATCTCTATGATTTTCGCCAAAATGTTCGCCAGGCGTGGATTGATCACAAACGAGGCGATATCAGCTTCCTTGCCGCAAGCTCGCTGACTGATACCGCATTCGGTCTGCTTCGACGGGCTGATGTGAGCTTTGCTGAGTCGACCGGCCGCCCTACGCATTGTTCAAACCTAATGGAGTATCTTGGTCTGAGTACAAAGTCACGAGGCAACATTATCTGGCTTTGCCATGATCCGCCAGTCGAAAAGCTGCGCCACATTGATGCGAACACCAATGTCGTGAAGCTCCTTGTCCTTGGGCATGCGTCTGCCTGCGCGACTACCTCAGCGATGCAGCATTGCTCTGCAACACACTGGCCGCTACGAGGGACAAGTCGACTGTTGACGGGGCCATCCTGCTTGCTGGGCAACACATGTCGAGTGTTCACCCATTCCGCCAAGTACTGCGCCAGCTCGCCCCAGCGATACACGATATAGCTCATACCTCCACGTGCCAGCATGTTGTCATCGATGAATTTGCACAAGGGCTTGCCGACGCTCATCAATACGCCCGCGAGCCTATTTGGCTAGTCCTAGCTTGTCAAATCTATCTTGATGCGTACGATGTGCTGCAGACCGGTGTCGAAGAAGGAGCAGGTGTTCTGCAGAAGGTAAGAGCAATACCCATAATCCCTGACCCCATCCCATCGTGGAGGAAATAGATTTATGGTACGCTTTCGCACAGTCTTCATACGATGTAGGACGGCAGAAGTTATCCAGTCAGTAGTGGGACGACGAAGATACGATACTGATGCTTCTGACAGTGCCGGAACCATGTCCGCCAGACGAAAGAGGACGTAGATGTGCTCTTGACCGACTTGGTGTGTCCAGAGGCCAACATCCGTCAAGCTTACACGGACCTGCACTCTCTCGCATCCGGTACGAGTCGGGTCGAGTGTGCACACCCCAAGAAAACCACCGGTGCGTCGCCGAAGATGCTTCTGGCAAAGAATCGTGCGTATCTGGAGAGTGGTATCCCACCATCCGGCATGGAACAATTCCTCCCTGGTCACGCCGGAGCCCTGCTGGCAGATGCCAAGATCGGCCTGCACTACATCGGTTGCCGGATTGCCAACCACGGCCTCTACATCCTCTGCATGGCTCACTTGTACAAGTCACTCCGTAGCCGAGGCTTGTTGAAGAATGATTGGTACGATATGGATTTCGTGCTCGCTGGGTATGGCCAGAAGGATGCCTCGGTACCAAAAGCGGATGCCGAGTACCACCCACAGTCGGCAAACCGTCACTTCCTGCTGGCACCGGGCATGCCTGTATCACACTTTGCAGCCAATCGTCGCCATCAGGGCTCAGAGCAATCGCCACAACTGAAGAAGGCTCGCCAAAACCAGGTGACCTCGCAGTATCTCAAATCATTAAGCACCGATGACGAGAACCGCAACGGCACTTGGCAAGAGCATGGCTCAGTTTGGTCCAAAGTGGCGACCGTGGAGCGGGTGCTACATGCTATGAGCACGATCAACACCAAGGGCGTCAACCACGGCCGCGCAGGAGGTGGTGGCATGCAGGTCTCATTCACACCTGTTCAACTCCTGCAGACCTACCGCAAGTCCACACTGGCAGACGAATCACAGCTCAACTTCGACTACATCTACTTCACCTTAGCATGTCGCAAGTCATTGCACGAGATGGTCCGTACTATGGGCGAGCGTCTCAACATGCCGCCGCCTTAAGAGCCCCACGAGCATATCGACATGGAGTCGTTTCTGCTTGCATCTGATCTAATCGACGCAAACGTGCTCGATGCTGCGGCAGCAGTGAACGCGTACCTTGCCGACTCAAGCAAGATATTTGTCAAGCAAGCATACGATCAGTCAAGCGGCCGTATACCGAAGCTATCTACGCCCATCTTTTACCGACAGGCAGGAGAAGAAGTCCATGATGCTCGACCTAGCGTGCGCAGTCCTTGATAAGAGCGACGCCAAATATGTCGTCTCGGATACTACTATTGCAGCCTACCATCCTCAGGTCAAGATCGAGAAGTGTACAGATCCTGATTGCAAGAACTCAGGGTGTGAGCGAGATGGCGCCGAGACCGATCCCAGTGCCAAAAACCACGGCCCACGCATCCTCGTACTTGGATCAGCTCTACCGCCCGTCGTGGTTCGAGAAGAAATTACTGGCATACGGAACGACCCAAAGGCATTTCTGGCAGCTAGAGACCAGCTAGTGGAGGACCTGTGCCCGGTTCTGGACCATTTCGTCTGTGGAGTGACCAAGGAGCTGTCTACGGAGGCCATCAAGACTGTGTTACGGCAGAATGGGTGGAGCTGGAATGCGTGGAGAGGCGTCAAAGATCTGGCGGCATGATTGTTATCCCAAGGTCATCTTCCATGCCATTGACAGATGTGCGGGAAAGAATTGATAGGTTAACGTCCCAACCACCAATGTCTATGAGTTCGCAACCAAGTGGAAGGCGACGGAAAGTGAGCTTGTCATATCATTTGGCTCCCTGATGAGACGAAGACTTGGACGGCGGGACACTAGAAGTTATCAGCGCCTGTATCACAGGAGAGCTTCTGTACATTACACACGAACCGTAGATCTTCTGAGCATGTGGTTTTCGTTCTTGTCAGGATCGGTTCCGTGGCTCGAGCGTCTTTGGTTCAAATATCTCGAGTTCCATTAGTCGAAGAGTGCGAAAGTTGAGTGGAAGCACAACGGCCCGAAGCTCCATCAATCGTAGGGCACCTGATCTATCTCGGCAACACATGCTGAATGGCATCGTAAGTATGATCGACAATAGGCACACATGATCAAGATTCGATGCTTCGCATAAAACGACTTGTCGTCTAGCCTGGCCGCTGTACAGAAAATTCTTCCCATTGGAGGCTTTCCTTTCCGCCTCCAGATTGCGAGGGCGACTGGTGAAACTTGAAGTACAGGCTATTCGGAGACCATGCGCCCGGCCTTCACTATACACGGATGAAACATGGTTATAATGCAGAGTCGTTCCAGCTGTCTTCGGATCGCTGCCTGCTACACCCAACGCAGACCGCCTGCACCAAGAGATCCCAACTTATAAACGACACAGCCTTTCGGTATAGCGCTCAGCCTCCTCGACCATGTGGAAGTCTACCTTCTGCGCTGCCATCCTCGGAGCAGGCCTGTCCCATGCAAGCCCAAGTGCAACACATCCGAAGCGCGCCTTGGCAAGCTCATGTGCTCAGTACGGTTCCACGACTTCAGGCGCATACACCCTCTACAACGACCTGTGGGGTGAGTCAAGTGGCACGGGGAGTCAATGCTACACTCTGGACAGCGCTAGCCCTCTCGCCTGGACTTCTACATGGTCCTGGTCTGGAGGCCCAAACAGCGTGAAGTCCTATGGGAACGTCGTGTACTCGGGCTACACTCCTGCAAAGCTCTCGACTCTTCCGTCCATCCCTACTCAGTGGAGCTGGGCTTATACCGGCAGCTCCATCGTAGCAGACGTATCGTACGATCTCTTCACCTCGTCTACAGCGACCGGGAGCAACGAATATGAGATCATGGTATGGCTCGCCGCACTTGGTGGCGCTGGTGAGTAAATGTGTCCTTCTTTTCCAAAGCAGCTTCTGACACCCCAGGACCAATCGCATCTTCGTACGGCGCAGACGGCAGACCAGTGCCCGTCTCCCAGATGACTGCAGACGGTGTGACCTTCAATCTCTACGCAGGAAGCAACGGCGTCCAGAAGCAGACCTACTCTTTCGTCGCAACGGCACCAGCTCAGAGCTGGAGCGGCGATCTGAACGTATTCCTGACCTACTTGGTCAAGAACCAAAACTTTGATGCATCTCAATACCTGGTCAGCATTGGTGCCGGTACGGAGGCGTAAGTCTGGCATGATCCGATCGAGAAAGGGTCGGCATCGCTAATACTACAGTAGCTTCACCGGCAGCAATGCTGTGTTTAAGGTATCGTCGTTTAGTGTGAGCGTGGGCGGCGGAAGCGCAACCTCCTCCTCACCTGCCACTCTTCCTTCCACTTCCCATACAACCCAGACTAGTAAGCCCGCCACTTCTGTATCACCACCAACATCGAAGACCACTTCTACCGCTGCGCCGACTGGCGCGTGCGCAGCGAAGTACGGGCAGTGTGGCGGTCAGGGCTGGACCGGACCAACGTGCTGCTCAGGAAGCACATGCCAAGTATCGAACCAGTGGTACTCTCAGTGCACCTGATTTGTACCAGGGCAAGAACTGCATTTGCCAGGTTTAGCTTATACAGAACTTATCGTTGCCACATCATGGACCTTCTTATTCCTATTCCCGGTCTATCTGCTTTACAACGTGTCACTCCGATCAAGTCTCAGTAACAGTATTGCCTGGACTGATCACGAGTGAGTCCAAGTACTAGTAGCCAACACTCGGCTGCGAGAGCGATATCACATACTCCACGCAGGAGGTTAGGTTCTTTGGAGCAAAGGCTCTATCATGAATACGGTTGACCTGGTCGATCCAGCCTTCACGAACGTCGAGCTCAACCTCAAAGGAGCGTGTGGCAAAGGCCAGTTGAGATTGTTATGCGTTACCTCGCATCACGTTTCCATAGGCAACCAGATCCTAGAAGTCATAGCTCGGATATCAGAAGTATCCGATCTGGAGGTATGTGGCTGTATCGAGGCTGGGAGCAGGAGAAACTTTTGTTGAGGTTGTAGTGATGTGGGAATCGACGAGCCCAGAAATTCATGACGTGAAGACGCTGACGAGCTGCCTTCTTAGATCTAGAACGGGTCGTGTCCTTCTGGCTAATCAGGAAAGCCTCGTGAGGTGTGTAGTGCTGTGCGCTACCCGGGAAGATGCCACCTTCAGTCACTCTCTTGCTGGACTTGAACTGTCTTCGACACCCGAATTGCTTTTGCTGGTGTATCGCGGTGCCCTCTCTCCTCAAGCTCACATGCAGTTTCATTGTGCGTCGCATCAGCCCTCATATTGAATCGAGGCATACCCTGCGGCTGTGTAGTCACACTAGGCTCTTTGTCCACGCGCGACAGAACGATCGACCCATGCTTGTTCTGCACCGTAGACCCTGCAGTGCCAAGCATGAGATACGCTTCGGTTCTGGTGCGGTTGGCACCCGTGATGCCGTATTTGCCGGATGCGCTGAGCGATGAGCTGACAATGTAACCTGATTCCTGGAAAGGCCGGAGGAAAGGTCTGAGGCAAGTTACTGAAGCGAGATTGAGTGCCGTGTCCATCACAACCGCAAGTAGGACATCTACAGTGATATTCGGTAGGTTGGGATCGGTGTTCTGTGCTGGCGAGAGCTTGAACAGACGAAAGACAACTACGGGCCAGGTCCTGCGATTGATCAATAGGCTGGATGCGACCCTGCTTCCCACTCAATACATACAGAAGCCGTGTGGCAAAGATCGCAGTGACGGATAGCTTCTTCTTCAGCGGCATTTGCAGTCCCACTACAAGCCAAGTAGAGAACGCCACTGCAGCGAGATCAAAGACACATCCAATAATTTCGATAATTGTCCAACGGATGGACTATGTCAGAAGTCAGCACATCGAATTTGTGGTTGCGAAATGATTACCTGCCATATCACGAGTGCCGTCATGGTTCTGCCAAGGTCGTGACAGTGGCAGCCGAAGAGCAATGGCGAGTATCGCAGCGACAATCCAGACACCATACGCCGTTGTGATAGCATGTGCTTTCGAGACCTGTGCGATACTTTCAATTAGCCTCGCTTTCGTGATCAGGATCAGAGGTTGAGAACTTGCATGATGATCGGCATGTGTCACAAAGCGAGCGGTGAACAAGCTATTCGACAGCCTTGTGAGCTAGAATGAGCATCAGTCTTGCTCCGCCACGACGGTGCTGATAGCAGTTGTTGTCCACGTACTACTTGTATGTCAGCACGGCTGATGCCAGCTATCGATCAGATCTTCCTTACCCCCCATGGACACCACGTATAGTAGCTGTGCAGCATATAACGCCTGGAGATAATGCGTCAGATCCAGACCATGTCGTACGATCGTGCTTCTGTGGCGAACCTTCTCGACGACCGCTAAATTGGCGAGAGCAGACCACGGAGCGCCATAGCCGTGGTTTACAGCATGCGTTGTAGCAATGAGATTGGCGAGCGCCGCCAGCTATTGTCGTAGTGTCAGAGAAGCGGCTTCAGCTGCTGAACGACCGTCCTTACGAGCGCCAATGCAACGACCGTGTCGTCGACTGCCCACAGCTCACGCTTCGGAAGCTTCACATAGAGTCGCAAAGCAAAGGTGAACAGTGCCCAACAGAAGAAGAAAATGGTGATACTGGTCAAGGTTGGTGCAGTATTGCCCGAGCCAGCAGGCATGGTGGTAAGGTCAGAATGGACACCGAGTATATAGGTGCAGCATTCTAGCGGATGACGGTTCGAATAGTGCATCAGATGTCGGCGAGGCTTTCAATATGACATCCATGACTTTGCGCTGCGCGTCGTTGCTGGTTCTCGATATGGCTCTATTCATATTCCACACACAACCATCATGCGACCTTGTCATGGCTCTATGGGTCTCATCTGAATCTGCCGTGTCGCAGATAACAATGGCTGGACATAGCGCGAACCTTCTTACATAGCAACCAACAGTAATGGATGGTGCATCGGGGATCACGATCCGCGAATCATGCCGTCGGGCCTAGCACCGCTACAGCTGGCCGTTGTGATAAGCAAAGACCGGCTAAAACTGAAGAGCGGTGGCCAGTCCGCAAGTCCAGATCCATGTCTAAGCATGCAAAGGCGTGTAGATGTCTTGAGATTTTTCCAGTCCCAACGATTAGATACTGTGTAGGCGGACATCAGTCCGTATCTATGGCGCACATTGCTATTGGCTGGGAGCGATGTCTTTTCGATCGGAGTTTGGAACTTCAGCCACCAAGCCTAGCGTTTGCGTCGCTGCATATACCCCTGCTGATTGCTGGCTGTAGGGCCAGTATACTTATCCGATGATTGCCGGCTGGTGTGGACGAGGACGATTATCACCTCCATCAATTGGTCGGGTAGGGACTTGTCGAAGGATTCCGCCTAGCACTGATAGTCTGATATCATCGTTGTCTCACAGCGATGAAGTATCGACAAGCCTCCGGCAGTGCGATAACACTCGGTGCCGAGGAAGCTTCGTCTCCGTGCGGGAGAGGGGGGAAGCAGGAAGCAAATCTCGATCTTTCAGCCGTCTCTTCCCCACCACGCTACCAGAAGAAAGTAGTTCTAGGGGTCCAGATTACAGTAACACCGACGGCCGGCAACAATCAGATGCTGTAGGAGCACTAGCAGCATCGTGAGCACTCTATCAAGCTTTCTACAGATGGCTCCCACGAGGCGGGTATGACTCGTGGCAATTTGACTAACGCCCTCATGCAGGGCAATAATGGCCTAGGTCTTGCAGCAGATTACATACGGAAGGTGGTGATATCGCGTTCACCACCGTTCATTTCTCATCACTCATGTCGCTCGCCAGTTCATTTGAGGACTGTCTTGTGATAACCATACCGTTGGGCTGCCGGTCTTTCACGTTCGCGGCGTGTTGCAGAGATGCCTTTGCGATATGCGGCACCCGGTGGGCAGCCAGAAGCTCACAGCCACGACGTCGGCTTTGGTGACGACCTCGAAATGGTCAACCACCCGGCCTCCACCAGCAGAGTCTCTGCAGACATTGGGCCAATCCGCGAGAAGCTCACAGCTATAGCGGATGTCAATGCTAGTGAGGAGTTTCTCGAAGAACACGATGAGGTAGCACGAACGAGCAAATCGACATCCGGAGACGCTGCAGACATGAAGCGAATGGGCAAGCAACAACAGCTCGTTCGCCATTTTCGGCTGGTGTCGACCATGTCCTTCGTGGCGATTTCGACTGCAGCATGGGAGGTCGGACTCTTCGTGATTACACCGGCGTTGACTGATGGCGGTTGAGCCGGCTTGGTATGGAATGTTCTCTGGAACATTATCGGTTTCGGACCCATCTATCTGAGCATGGCGGAGGTGCGTGGGAACGCAAGTACGAGATACCAGCAGACTGGAGACTAATATTCAGCCTGGTAGATGGCCAGTATGGCGCCTATCGCCGGTGCGCAGTACCACTGGGCAAGCATCGATCATCTTTCCACACTACCTTCCCTGACCGAAAGCAGGTATCTGAATTCGCTCCTGAGTCATTCCAGCGCATCCTCAGCTACATATCTGGGTAAGTTTTAACGCCTCGTAGAATACGGGCAGACTAACGGACAAATAGCTGGACCTCTACAATCGCCTGGCAAGCTGGAAACGCCCAAGGCATGTTCCTAGTCGGTAGTCTGATCCAAACAATGATCCTCATCAACGATGAGAACTATGGCTTCCCCAACTACCAAGGCACACTCTTGGCGTTCATGGCCGTCGGGATCGCGTACTGCGGTGTGGTCTACGGCGCGAAGATACTACCGTACTGGCAGAATGCCGTGTTCATGGTCCACGTGCTGGCGTATCTTGGCTACATCATACCCGTGTGGGTTAGTGCTCCGGCTGTGTCACATCGAGAGGTTTGGTTAACTTTCGAGAACTCTGGTGGCTGGAGTAATATGGGTCTTGCGGTGCTCGTTGGGCAGTTGGCTGGTATCAGTACGCAATGTGGTGGCATTGATTGCGCCGCTCATATGTGAGTGAAATTCAGATCTGATGCTTGAGACTCGGCTGATGAAATGCGGCATGAAAGGTCAGAGGAGGTCAAGGCAGGTCGCCACGGTTGTTTCCGTATGCTACAGCAAAGACTGACATGCGCCCACAGGATGCTTCATACGCCGTGCCCAGGGTCATGGTGGCAGTCTACATTATCACTGCCTGTATCATCTTCCCAGGCGTTGTCACCATCGCATATCATATTGATGACGTGGTCAGTGCCACCTGAAGCAGCAGGCCCGAATCCTCAAGAAAAACTAAGCTGACGTGTACATCTTCGCGCCCAGACTGCTGCCATCAACGACTCGACCACCTACCCTGCGATATACGTCCTCCGTCAGGCAATGTCTGTTGGATGGATTACTGTGATCCTGGTGTTGATCGCACTTTTGAACGTGGCATCCAACATCACATACCTTGCAGCGGTGACTCGAGATCTGTTTGCTTTCGCTCGTGATCGAGGTAGGAGCCTTGTATTGGCCAATTCCCGCAAGCTGAAGTACTAATTGCTTCAGGTCTACCATTCTCTACCTGGCTAGGCACCATCGATCGCAAGCGGATCATTCCCGTCCATGCCGCTATGTTTTCGCAAGTCGTGGCTTGCCTGCTGGCTTTGATCTACATCGGAAGTGAGTCGTTGTGAAACAACGCAAGACATTGTGACAGGCTCTCACGCGACTGCAGGTCCTTTGGCATTCTATGCAATCACATCGCTCGGTGCAGTAGCGTTACTGCAATGCTACTCGCTGTCGATCGGCTGCGTGAGATGGCTCTGCCGGTCAAGCCGCGCTTTACGAAGCTGACACGATCGCAGCTACTTTGGCGAAGACTCACTTATCCAGAGACACTGCCTCCTGCCAAATTCTCCCTGGGCATATGGGGAATCCCGATCAACATCGCCGCCGTGATCTACGGCTTCTGGGCAATGTTCTGGGCTTGCTGGTAAGCTACTTCCACATCTAAATCTTTTCCACGATAATGCTGACCAGCTTGCCAGGCCGCAAACTACACCAGTCACTGCAGGCGGCTTCAACTGGGCCTCACCCATCTTCGTACTTTGCTTGATCATCGCAGGGGTATACTTTGTCTTCAAGGCCAAGACCGAGTACGTTGGGCCGGTGACAGAGGTCGAGGGAAGAAAGGAGCACTTTAGATGATTCTTTCAACTTTCGGACGAGCGACTTGGGTGTCTTCAATGTCTTCACACGTTGCGCCAGCGATCTCGAGTGACTCAGTAGAAGTTTGGTGACTTCGTCGCTCACGAGCAACATGGTGTGAATAGGTATGGGACAAAACTTCCGACATCGTGACATCTCACCACGGCGGTCCGTGACGGTAGGCAGTCATCGTGGCTAAAGATCACTGGGACTTCGGTTGACAACGTCGCAATTGCGGTACGAGACTACATGTATGGTTCTACAGGACAGCCGCCACCCGGAGTGTGGTCCGTCACGGGACAGACCTTAATATTGTTTGTAGCAGTACATCAACCCGTGTTCATCTCTGTCCCTGCCCGATGTCTTTGCTTCTCTTTACCACTCTCATCATTGCCGCTCTCTTCCATCGCCAAGCACTTGGGCCAGCCCTATCTTGGATATGAATAGGCTGCAGATAGATCACATACGCATGAGCCAAGGAGCCATCAGCGCTAGTGCCGTGACTGCCGGATCCTTTAGACTGATACTCCCCTACGGCCAGGCAGTCACAATGGTATTGTTATCGACCATGGCTTCCACGAACATGGACAACTGCCAAGTGAACCGACATGACGAGCTATGCTCACCCTTCCGCGCCTCGATAACAGGCGGAGAGTTCTTGGCCTTCTCGTCGCCCTGAGCATCTTCGGCATCATCAAATGGGCGCGGACGACTTCTCCTGAATATGCGGAGAAGCTCGAAATCCTACCACACCTTGCCCTTGACCCAGGTCGCTCGTTCTTCCCACCCTCTCAGCAGCCATGCCCAGTAGACGTGGTGAATGGACATGACTCTCATCCGCACCTATGCGACGACTTCCCCAGCAATCATGATACACATCCCCGAGTCCATGTCGTCCTCAAGACCGGCGCGAGTGAGCGAGACAAGACGGAACTGCTGCTGCAGACACTGCTGGCTTGTGCTCCTGCCGTGACCATCGTATCCGACATGCAGGATGAGATCGAGGGACACCACGTGATCGACATCCTCGCCGAATTACCATCATCATATGCGGTCGACAACCCGGAATGGAAGTCCTACGAGGCGCAGGAAGAGGCTGGCAAACATGGCGAACCAATCCACAAATCACCCGACGGCTGGCTACTCGACCGCTTTAAATTCCTACCCATGGTCGAGAAGGTCTACGAGCTAGATCCGCACGCCGACTGGTACTTCTTCACCGAAGCAGATGTCTACTTTGTCTGGGACACTCTTTACCGCTTGATTGATCAACTGGATGCTCGCGAGAGGTACTACATCGGTGTCGCCACACCCGGAGCGAATCACACCTTCTTCGGCTACGGTGGTGGTGGGTTTTTGCTGTCTGGCACAATGATACACGATTTACTTCATGACAGGACGGAGAGTCTAAGTATCAAGTACGAGAAGATGGCCAGAGATGGCTGTTGTGGCGATGCGACCCTGGCGTATGTGATCAGGCAGGAGACTGGGGTCGTCATACAGAATGCTTATCCTACGATATCTGGGGAGGCGCTGTACGGGCTGGGGGTGAGCAAAGAGAACTGGTGTCTACCTCTTTTGAGTCTGCATCGAGTATCTCCTGACCTCATGCAGCAATTGTGGCGGTGGGAGAGGTGCAGACCATACGACGAGGTTCGTACGTTTCAGAATATGTGCGCGTACACACCCGCTGACTTTAACTCAGCTACCGATCCGCATGTCCACGATACTTGACTTTGCTCTTTCACCCATCCTTCGGAACGGCTCGACGCTGCACAGCTGGGATAACTGCTCTAATCAAGCCAAACATCGCTTCCATCCTGCGCACTCCTCAGTGTTCAATTGTGCGCATTACTGTTCCGTGGACCACACGTGCTTGCAGTGGACATACTTCAAAGACCAATGTCGCACAGCGGATTTTGTAAAGCAAGGTCAGGGCATTGACGACAACGACGTGGTGTCGGGTTGGGATGTACCAGCGCTCGAGAGATTAGGGTATCGAATACATGGTGATTCGAGTGCTATCTGTGGCACATGATATCGACCAGAGCGTCAACTGTTCTCCACAAAGAGAGACTCAGCGCAATAGATATATATCAGCTCTCATATCTTTTGCTGCGACCCTGGAGGCAAACACATCGATTTCCGCGGGATCTGATGGCGCCGGCTATAGCTTTCCCTCCTGGCCATTGACACCATTGCAATCAGGATCAGATTCGCAGACGCAACCACCTTGCCCGTTGTCGACATGTGTGAGACTATGCATTGACGTCTCCTTGGCATCTACAGACCAAACCAACAAGTCAGCGATTACTGTGATCTAAGCACAGGTGGGGAAGAATCGAGACTTGAGAAGCAGTTTTGCTATTCACCACAGTGCTGCGAACGCGTAGTCCGGGTCGTTGGAAATACACCCGCCGATATCGTTCTGGGCGTGTTTCGGGTGTGAATATCTAGCACCCTCATACTTGATTTGAGAGTTGGCAGCGGGAGCTGCGGAGGCGGGAAAAGCGAAGAGGAAGGTCGTCGCCAGGGTAGCGAGGCGGAAGCAGATGGGTGGCATGAATCGACGATTCTGCGAGAAGCCGTGGGATTGTCTCGAGCTTATGTAGAGGAAGTATGAGATGATAGGTTCCATAGCAGGTCTTTCTCCCTCAGACGTCGGACAACCTGCTTGCACGACCCTTATCCTCAGCTCAATCACAATGCTCAAGTTCGTGTCAGTGCCATGCTAAGATACTGTGTCCCAGCATCAGCTCTATCTTCAGTTGGCATTGCAGGATCTCATTAGGGGCCATTGGACGTGAGATGGCATGGAGAATGGCCGCAAAGCAATGGCTGGGATTGCAATGCCTGCCTCCACGTCGCCTAGGCTCTGGTCTTCACATTCAGGAAATTACAGATCCACACAACTACTGTTTTCACCGGAACGCCTTTCCGCTCGAACAGCCAAGCTACTGCTTTCGAAATGTGCTCGAGAAACTGTTCCTTGCCAGATAGAAGTGGCCATATGTGCCGCTGCCAGTATGCTGTCACATGGCCATCCGATCGCGTGCAGGACTTAGCGCCATGGCGACACTGCTTGTGGCTGTACTGTACTGTCGTTGTCCAAATCCCATGACTTCATATCGTGACACTTCACTATCCATGCAACCAGCCCCTATCGATGATCTTTCGAAGACCCAGTATACTCCTCCTCCCACGTAAACTCCGTCTTATGATACACCGCGTTCTTCTTCAGGGAGCTCTGACTACTCGTCTCCACAGCATCCCTAACATCCATCTCGATCGCATCCCCACCACTGTCACTCCTCCTCCCACCGCCACCATGAAATTGATTCCTCATTTCAAACTGCCTGTCCGGTCTGAAACTGCTATTCATGCCATGCAACACTTCCGCCGCACTTCGGATGTGAGAACGGTTATTTGAGGGGCCAGGTGAGCGATTATTACTTCGATTGTTGGAGAGGTTGTGCGAGCCGGATTTGGATGCGGATTGGTAGAGCTCGTAATCCCGTTGTGTGAAAGCTAGACCGGCTTTTTTGGTCTGGACGTCGGCGACGAAGCTGTTGATTCGGGGGACGGTGGCGGTGATGACCGAGAGGTGGACGACGCAGCTGCGCAAAGACTATTAGTCATAGGTGACGTGGATGGATTGGCAGAGTTGCATCCTTACATGGCTACTGCGGCGGTCGTAGTCTGTTCCCATGAGTAGTCTGGTGAGTCTTGGTCAAAGGTACTGCTCTGCTGGCCTAGTGTGACTAGGAGCCCAATCTCCGCAAAGCACACCAGTAGTCTCGATGACATAAGCATAATAGGTATGAATCGATGCTGGAAATTAGCCTGGAGCTTCCAGAGCCTAGGCACCATCCACAGAGCTAACATAGCATCGGTGATAAGATCCGTGACGACAATCGGAAAGATGACATAGGCTCCCGCACCACATTTCGCTGTTGCGGAAGGGTGTAATGAACATGCGAAGGCGGTTCCGAAGATGGCGAAGATGGCCCAGGCACAAATGCATCCTAGCAGGATCGCGATGCCTCGTTTGTCCTGTCGTGGTGCGATGCGCTCGAAGAGGAAGGCCACTGATATCTTGGCTGTGGCTTGCGCGAAGATGCCTACCAGATTCGTCGCGAAGCTGAAGCGGACAAGATCGGTCAATTGGCTGCCGTTCAAGGTGTCTGCATGCCGTCCGAGACCTTCGTCTACTGAGCGTTCGAGGGTTATGCTTGAGACCAAGGCCAGAACCTGTGTCGATTGTGGTTAGAAGTGAGGAGGAATTCGGTGCCAGTGCTAGGACAGCTTACCGCAGCGGACAAGAAGAAGTAGTCATCGCTGCGAAGCTCATGCTTCTTCGCGAGCGTCAAAAACACTCGGATCAAGGTAACCAGTACTGTGATGGCAGCACCAATGTATCCCAACACGACCGGCAGAGCTCCTCTGTCCAATGTTGTATTGGCGAACAGTGGATCATAGGCATTGGAAGGCATGACCGCGACAGGTCACCCAAGACGTGGAGTCGGTGGTGAGACGTGGTGTGATCAAGCGACAAGGCTGGCGGCTCCCAAAGGGACTTGTAGAGCAGGCGCTTGAGCCTTCAGACAGGTCAAGAATGCGAATGTCGCGATCATGCAGGTCTCGGAGGTGTGGACGATCAATCGACAGGGTGTTCCGGTTCCTGAAAAGCCACCCCGGTTTGAGCTGCGGACGTATACTGCAAAAGGCCTCGGAACTGCGGTGCAACGGATCATAACCATTCATGGTACTGATTCCCGGTGATGCGATTCAGTACAGCAGAACTATCCCTTGTGGCGTCCTCCTCCATCAATGGACCGGTTGAACAGATGCCGTAACACCATGGTAGCCAAGACGAGAGTTCGTCCCCTGACTCCCCTCACGATGTTGCAGCTGCATAGAGGCGGAGGAACCACCGAATCTGGACTCCTGGTGGCGCGGGTCTCTTGCTGCCGCAAAGTCTATCGAATATGCACCGAATCATGGTATACGCCTCAAGACGGCATTTGATAGCCGTTCCCTGGTTGTTCTCGTTGATTTCCACCCTTCGACGGTGCTTGGCTGCAGTAGTGTGGAAGACGAGGTTGGAAAACTGTGGGACAGAAAGAAGCTGTGACACTGCTGTGAACTCTGTCGACCCATCAAATCGCTCTAGGCCAGATTAAGCGTAGCGCATCAGAGCCTGTCTGGTTGCATGTACTCCGTATTGCTGATGACTTTGCGACATCGATCACCTGTTTCTTCCTTGCCAAGCGGATTCGATGTGCAGAGGTCGACGACACACCTGCTGCTGCGACGGACAGACTTGTCTCTCAGCAGACAACATGGACATGACTTACAAACACGCCACGATGCCTTCGGGCTGCCCCTGGGACTTCTTATCCCATGGTTTACCCACTCGCCGTTCAAACCTTCACGACTCGACTTTGACATTGACTTTTTACCATCTTCTTCCAACCTGCGGAACATCTGGGCGCTTGTCACGAGACCTGACTCGCACACGATGCCGATCCACCATCAACCACATGGTGCCTTGATGAGCACGCACTTGGACTCTGCGTCAACGGTGCAGGAATTCCGGGTCGGAGAGACAGCGTCCCAGCAGCGAACGCTGAACGCATGCTTGGTCCAAGTCCGTGTACACTAACGCCCGTATCTGGTTGTACGAATCCTTATTTCTGGCAAATCCCGTCTACACCTCGGTGGATCTGGTAGATCTGGTTGGAAACTCTGCCGAGACGCTAGGGCCCTGGTGTTACACTCTACAACAGTCTTGACCCTGCTTGCACATCACTTCTATCCATCCTCGCGATTGTCGACTGCGCCAGATCAGACGACTGGCACTGCGCTCAGCCAATATGGATGTCCGAGAAAAGACGCCAGGATTCACGACGGAGCCAATGGGCAACAAACCACCTTCAGATGATGTTTCTGAGGAGAATGTGCCACATCATCGCGGGCACGGTGAGAGTCACCTCCAGACAATCGGCGGAGGATCTGGTCATCGATCATATGGTCCAACAGACAAGTTGGATCGTTACTTGAGCTCGAAACCCATCATCAGCTTCGGTCTCACTCTTCAGGCATCATGGGAAGCCCTGGCAATATCCTTCCAATCTGCTCTGCTCAATGGCGGACCCTCAACTCTAGTCTACGGCAGCATACTCAGCGCTTTCGGTTCGACAGCCATGGCTGCCACTCTGGGCGAGCTAGCAAGTATGAAGCCATGCGTGGGTGCACAATACCGCTGGACTGCTCTCCTTGCACCACGAGGCACGAATCCACGTTTCTGGGGGTATCTACAAGGCTGGTTGACCACCTTCGCCTGGAATGCTGCTTGTGCACTCAACCCTTTCCTCATGGCATCGATTATCCAAGGCTGCATCATCCTCTGCAGCGAAAGCTACGTCCCGGCAGGATGGCACACGACTCTCCTCGCCTACGCATCAATGGCCGTACCCATCTTCTGCAACATCTACGCCCGACATATCATCGCACCCATCGAAATCGCATCGGCTATACTACACGTTCTACTTCTGATCGTCTTCGTAGTCGTGCTTACCTGTATGGCACGGCGCAGTACCTCGGACTTCGTCTTCCAGACATCCTTCTTCGGCATCAGCGGCTGGCCCAGCGGGACAGAGGGCATACAATGGAGTGTCGGCCTGCTCACGGTCATCTTCCCAATCGGCGGCTACGATGCGATTCTGCACATGGCAGACGAGGTCAGAGAGCCTAAGCGAAGGGTGCCGCAGGCTATGGTGGGGTCTACCTCCCTCAGTGCATTGGTCATGTTTGTCTTCGTGATCGTGCTGCTTTTCTGCATCGGCGATGTGGACAAAGTGTCGAGTACTACGACCGGCTTGCCTATCATCGAGACCTTGTACGAAGCCACGGGTAGCAAAGCGGGAACGGTATTCATGGTGATGTGCATCTATTTCATCATTGGTGCCTCACAATTCAACATTCTAGCTTCCGTCTCACGATTGGCATGGTATGCTCAAATCTCACACACTACAACTCGCTACAAGACGTGCTGACACATCACATAGGGCATTCGCCAAAGACGGCGGTCTTCCTTTCAGCGCGCAGCTCTCCAAAGTCAGCCCAACCCTCCGCATTCCGGTGAACGCAGTCATCATGACCTCTTCGGTTTGCTTGCTCATCAACCTCATACCGATCGGCAGCACCACAGCGTTCTACGCTCTCACCTCACTAAGCACGCTAGCTCTTTACTTCTCCTACTGCGTCCCAGCGACTTTAATCCTGCTCCGCAAACTCGAGAACAATTTCCCGGCCTACGGACCCTGGAAGATCGCTGGGCCTTATTGGTGGGGTCTGATGGTAAACATCTTTGCCTTTGCTTGGGGGTGGTATTGTGTCTTTTGCTTGTGCATGCCGACCTTCATGCCTGCGACAGCGGCGACACTGAACTGGGCAGGGCCGATCTTGGCGGCTGTCATTGTTATTGCGATTACGCAGTGGTTCATAAGTGGGCGGAGAAATTTTGTGCTACCAAAGGATGAGGTGGACGATGAGTAGATCTCTTGCTGTAGTCGTGGATAGATCGTGCATAGTATACATTGCCACGTCCTGCCCTTCTTCGAGCCACAAGACGACGACGACCTTTGCCATTGGCACACCAGGGCTAATCTGGCGTCCAGTGCACTCGTTATATTAGATAATGTATCTGAAACCCTTCTGCAACTGCCTCGCAGTCCGGAGCGAGATGCCTTCCGTCTCTGCTGTCTTCTGCAGCTTCGCCATCTCCTTCTCGTTGAGCTGCACATCCTCATTCTCGAGCCGCTCGAGCTCACGATTCATCTTCACCATCATGAAGCGGAGCACGACTGCGAGCAAAAGTGAGACGGTGAGAAGGCCAATCACAATGCCCAGAGCAGGACGGTAGTACGGTTCGGATCCATCGACGTAAGTGAATGGCGTCCAGATGGACGCCATGTTGCCGATGCTGTTCATGAAAGCGAGCGCAACAGTCCGTTTGGCTGGTGGCCGGGCGATGATGTTTGAGTTCCAGGAGTAGATCTGCGTGCGATTAGCTTTGACGGGCTACATGGACAGCAATTCACGATTCTTACGGTGCCGAAGCTAGCGAACACCATGTTCAGTAGGAAGACAGAGAAGTATCGCTCTCCAAACCCATCGGTGAACATGAAAATCAAGCATCCGACGATACATAGTGGTAATGGATAGATGAAGAACCAGAAACGATTCTGTAGCTTGTCTGACACGATTGAGTGGCCAAAGGAGTAGAACATGATGAAGATGTAGCTAGGACTCCGTTAGCTGACAGACGCAAGGCTTGTGTGATGATGTCTGGTCACATACGGTGGAGCTACCATGAGGAGCGAGGTACTCCGGCTCGTGAATAGAGTCCTCGTCAAGGACGGGAAGAAGTCTGTGCAATACATTAGCTTGGAGTGCGTAAGTCAACTGCTGACGAGTAGAAGACTGACTTTGGAAACCGGTCGCGCCAACGATGCAGTGGTACATAGCTGCTAGTAAGTAGGTCTGCCGCGAACATCAGCTTTGTACAAGTACCTAGATCGTGTCTCCATACCTTCGGATCCGTGAAGGCCAGCTTTGCTCCAGTCAGGTGACTCATCTTCCCACCGACATCTACATCGGCTCCGGCTCCATCGAGGGCCATGCGTCTGTTGGCGACCGATTTCAGCTCAGGTGAGAGTCCTTTCCAAGTATCTGGAAAGTCGGGAAGGATGAAGCATACGCCGATGCCAATGAATATTGTAAGACTGAACATACGTTAGCCAGTGCACACATTGGCGACAAAATTATGGCAGACACTCACGCTCCTTCGACGATGTACAGCCATCGCCATGCTCGCATACCTCGTGCTCCATCAAGACCGTTAAGGATGCCACCAGCAATAAGATTGCCGAAGGCTCCAGCTAGCAACGATCCAGCGTAGAATATTGACATCCGGAGGTTGAGTTCCTTCTTCGTGTACCACTTTGATAGGTAGAACAAGACACCTTTAGGCAGCATGGTCAGCAATGTTCAAGGTCGATGCTTTGGTTGCATACCTGGGAAGAATGGTGCCTGTAGACATGTATGAGATGATTAGCTTGGGTCTACGCCGCTTGAACGATAGCGTCATCATTACTGACCTCGACAAAGCCTAGTATGAATCGGCACGCCACGATCTGACCTGCATTGCACCGTCAATTTCCAGTGCTGGTTCAGGCATTAGAACTGAATGTCACATACCATAAGTGTTGACTTGCGAAGTCAAGGCGGAAACCAATCCCCACGCGATCGTCCATCCACCGATGTAGTATGCCGGACGTCCGCAATAGTTCAGGAGCATATTTGACGGAACTTGCATGATTGTATATCCGACGAAAAGAATAGATAGCCCTATCTGGAACTGGTTGCCAGTCATGTTGAGATCCTCTTCGAGCTGGTCATCATTAGCAGATGCGCTGGAGGTTTGGTATGGTCCTTCCTACTCCAGACAAACGTGCAGCTGGATAGTTGTTACGGTCTGCTAGACGGTCAACACCACGGAACGAGATAGCTTCGAAGCAACCAGCTGACCAATGTAGTTCATCAAGTATACCTGGTATTGCGTCAGCAAGCACAGACTCCCTGGTGTATCTAGAAGCTCACCAAGACCACGACCGGCATGATAATGCTGTCGATTTTCCGTTTCAACTTCTTCTCAAGAACTAACTCCTCCGCCGTGAGAAATGCATCGTCCAGGCTGTTGGAACTGCTGCTGCTCTTGAGCGCGTTGCCGTCGTTGAGTATTTCGTTACCATGAACATCAGACTTCTTTACGCCATACATGCCTCCAGCGGTCTGAGCAGCCATGATTGCAGCAATCGGTCACTCGGTACGAGAAGAACGAAGTCTGGGACCTACTGACGAGGACGTGGGCAGGATAGTACTTATATCTTCGTGGCATCTGGTCGTATCGCAGGACCAGATCATGACAGGCACATGGTCATAAAAGCCAAGGTCGCATACAAAATGCACAAGACCTTGGTATACCTTCCAGGCGGTTCTTGGCTCGCGTACTAAAGAAGCCGCGATGCTGCTCGTGTTGACTTAGAGACTCTTTGCAAGCCCGTATGGCGGATGTACGAAGTGGCCGTTGTCATGACCATGATCCCGGACGTTCTTGTAGTAGCTGGAGGTCGTGTACTGGACAATTGGTCTTGTCGCGAACGACTTCGATCTCGTCTTGTTGGAACAACGCATTTCCCTTGGGATATCGTTCACCAAGGCTCCTCCCCGCCTCCCAAGAACATTGGCACGCAGCATTCACGGCAGCATGTCGGGGCCCCGTGGTCAAGATATTGGCAACGCTGATGAGAAGGCGGCCTCGAGACGAGTATCGCGGGTCTTGAGAAGTCTGCTGCTGATTTCTGGGCTTCGGCCACTATCTTGGTGCAGTAGTGGCATCAGGTCGAATGATGAGATCGTCTGCTTTGGCTTGGCCTTCACCGGAATAGTTCCGCGGAAGGACGCGTCCACTTCGCGTCCATTCAGACGAAAGCTTGCGGCCTGCGTCCATACCAGCCCAATCCAAGTATCGAGTACCTGGACACTGTTCCCATCATGCCCCGCACTGGCTATGGCAGTACAACGCTGAGGCGGAAATGGTCGACCGAATGCAATTGGCAGACGCCAGTGTAATCCCACTACATAACGCTACACATCAAAGGCGCGAGGGCAAGACCAAACGAGCCCACGCCGGCCATGACACCCACCCAAGCCGCGAGATTTGACTGCTTCGAGACTTTCAGTGATCGCTCCGATAGCTGACACTGCTTCAACGACATGATCTCATCCCGCTCCTCTCTGGCTGACTGTAGCATTTTCACGACCTCTTCGTATGATGGTGGTTTGCTCGACGACTCATGATCTTCGCCCGCTGTCTCGCGGAGAGTCACGATGTCCGACTCTATTTGACCCAGGCGGCGAGATATCAATGCATGCTCATCCTCCAGCTTCTTGTCCCATTGCTTGCTCAAGGTCTCAGCAGTGGCATTGAGTGCATTCAGCTTCGTCTGCTGGGCTTCCAGGCTCGTCTGTAGGTTTTGCATATCATCTTTAACCCGCTGTGCACCGGCATCACGATGCTGCTGGAGCGCTGTCTGCAGCTCCCCTTTCAATTCGCTCATCTCCTGCCGAAGATTGTCAAAAGCCACTGACCACGCCGATTGCAGCTGTTTGCCAGCATATGTATCTTGCAGTCGCATACCGCGGGACATTTGTCGCTGGAAGCTCAGGATATGCCGTTGCCCTCGATCCAGCAACATATCGACAATGGTCAAGGCCGAAGGTCGAGTGTTTCGGAACTCGGCGACCATACTACCTCCTTCACAAAGATCATGCCAGAAAGCCGGCTTAGACCGTAGCTCAGTGAGCTTCTTGTCACGCTCTATTGACGAACAGCTTTCGCAGTGTGTGGCAGCCAATACTATGCTCGGGTACGCATCAGGACCACATAACCCTTCTAGGATCCTCAGGCTTCGTACGGCAGAGCCTTGTACACGCACATCTGTCATCGACTGTAAATAGACAATCCCACCTAGCCGGATCCCAAGTTGATGTGCCTTCACGAGGGTATATCTACGAGCGTGAGTCCCTGCATAGCAGTTCTTGTCACGCAAGGCCACTTACGCGACTTCAGAGAACACATCATCGTCCGAGCGAAAAGTATCGTTAAAGCCTGGGGTGTCGATCAGATGAACGGTGCGGCCACGGTGCTGAAAAGAATGGAGAGTCGTCCTTTGGGTGACTGCCACCTATCAGTTGGGGGGTTAGAGACCGAGCTTAGTGTTGTGTCCGTACAGGACTCGAGACCATGGCCGACATTGAGGGGCGGCGAACCTGTGCATTGCGATACAAAAGTGCTCTTGCCAGCGCCGGTCACGCCCATGACAGCGATAAAGTCGTCATCTGGCCTATACGCGTATCAGAATTGCTTGAAGCGTTGCTCACCAAGATAGGCATACTTGATGTCCGCGGACTCCATGGTAACAGTGGTTTCGCGTTGGGTTGATGGTACGACCGCGGTCGATGGAGGAGATCAGGCAGCAAATTGTGTCCAGGCATGCGACGTAGCCCTGCAGACACACATCTTCGAACACATAACTGTCCCCGAGGAATGGGGCCAAAATCGCATGTAACGTGCGCCCTTATGCAGCCATAGTGGCTAGTAGCAGCGCTACCAGCACTGACGATCATGCGCGACCCCACCTCAACCTTATCAGCGTTATACACCTGGCGATCGCAAGGACTCAACTTTCACAACTAGGAATGCTATGCTGGTAGGAATAAAGTGCATCTTTGTGCTTGGGCCGTAGCACTCAAGCTCTATTCAACGCGCGATGGGAAGCTGGTCAGCAAGGCTGGGCAATGCCCTCGTTCCGTTGCTGTCTGGACCTTAGCCTGAGCAGCGCAATACACGAGAGGCCAATAGGAAAGCCAGTCGAGAAGACTCCATGCCTGGCGCTTTTCCAACGTCGTCTATGAGGCGGCAGGGATCCTTGACGCAGCCGTCGGCCAAGTCAGCAAACCATGTAGAGAACGACGCTACACTCCCTTCTCGACCAGCTGAGCAAGAGGTCCGCAAAGAGCCTTCGCGTGAAGATCCCCCCGCCCAGGCAGATGGATGGGCTCCGACGACAACTACAGCCAGCCAGCAACAGTCTGCACCAGCTTCATCATCTGATCCAGTGGCCAAGAAGCCACCTGCACCTGCAGAGTACTTCGTGCGGTGAGTAGCACCTTTTTTCTGGGGTTGACCTTCCACTGAGGCACTTGTAGTCCACACGATGTTGTCATTGCCGTCATGGGCGTCACAGGTGCTGGCAAGTCCACCTTCATCAACTACCTATCTGAGTTTGATGTTGAGGTTGGACATAATATGGAATCATGTAAGTTATGCGGCCAACCGATGAGGTAAGAAGCACGAATTAATCTGATGTCACTGCCACAGGTACCAACAAGGTAGCGGTGTATCCTGTGACACTTCCGAATGGCAGGAATATATACCTCTTGGACACCCCGGGCTTTGATGACACATACAAGTCCGATACGGATGTGTTACGTGAGATAGCCGCCTGGTTGCAAGATGCACATGCGCATAAAGTGCTCCTGAGCGGTCTTGTATACCTTCACCGCATCCAGGATGTCCGCTTCACCGGAGCAGCGATGAGTAAATACGGGTTCGGCGGCCACTGCGCACAGTATCGCTGACTGCGGTAATAGAAAATCTTCGCATGTTCAAGAAGCTGTGTGGCCATGAAGGCTTGAAGAACGTCGTACTAGCAACAACTTTCTGGAACAAAGTCACCGCCGAAGAAGGGAGCAGCCGGGAAGCTCAGCTTCGTACTGAGAAAGCGTTCTGGAAGTCCATGATCGACGAGGGCAGCCAGATGATCCGTCACGACGATGAGGCCACATCCGCGCTCCAGATCATCGATCGTCTGGTGCAGAAAAAGACCACCATCGAGCTCGCTATCCAGCGCGAGATGCAAGGTGGCATGACACTCGATCAGACTGGGGCCGGCAAGGAAGTCGAGGCGCAGGTCGAGCGCATGCGAATGCAATGGGAGAAGGAGAAGAAGGACTTGGAAGCAGATATGCGAGAAGCCTTGGCGGCGCACGACAAGGAAGCACAGCGGCAGATCAAGATTGAGAGAGAAGAGATTGATAAGAAGATCCTGGAAAGCGATCGCAGCATGAAACGCCTGCAGGCGACTAACAGCCAGCTCGCAGAACAGCTGCATAGCCAGAGACAAGAAATGAGTAACAAAATGCTCTTGCTCAATCATCTGGAGAATAGAGAGGAAAAGCGAGAGAAGAAGTTTTATCGCAAGTATAATCCTCTTCACAAGCGATATGACGAAATGTAATGCGTTGGTTATCGCAGAAGTGGAGACCTATGTGAAGTCTACCAGGGCAGGGTTCGCGAATGTAATCAGCGAAGCAAATGATGACTTGGCGCCGACGACGAGGCAGTCAGGTGTCCTCTTAGTCCTCTTACCAAAGGACTGATACGTTGGTATTCCTCAGAGTAGAGGCTCAGTTGGCATCAACGTCCTCCGCTCCCTCTGCTGCTCCGTAATACCAACGATCCAATCTGCGGCCAGCTGAAGGAGACGCACGCTTCTCACGGTAATCACCCGCTCTCTCGAACTTTGTTCACACCGCGTACATCATCAAGATATTGCTCAAACTCCCGTGTGGTTTCAGCCACGGTCTCCAGATGCTGCACATTAAAAGGCTCCTTGTCGTACCTCGCAAGCATCGCAGCAGTCTCACACGCATTGCCGATTTATCGACCGTTCCATTTCTCAATGTGCCGTGCAGACTCAACAAACCTCATTAATTGCCGTTGATGAATCATGAGCTCCGGGTACTGCTCTCTCATATTCTGGATCGTCATGTTCCATATTTCCGTCGACGAGGCTTTGTCCAGCTGCGGGAATTAGATCGGGACGTGTATTCGTGACCTTAGTGACTCGTCAAAAGTGCCGACTCGGTTTTTGATCGCGATGATGACACCCGGAAATGCATCGAGGTGCTGGGGAAATCCTAACGAACGTATCAGCCCGATAGCTTGTGCAAAAGTGCAGTGTATCTCATGGGAGCTTATCACACTACTGTCCGTTCGGTCCCTTTGCGCAACCAGCTGGTCTGCCTCCTCCAAGCACACCATGCATTGCCATTTATGCGCGAGTATCAATAAAGTGGTCAATTTCCGCTCGAATACTACGGGCTCCGACCCCAGCACCGCCGTCGAGAAGGACAGAAGCGGCCGATTCAAGGACTGGCTTACAGCCTCAGCAGCAGACGTTTTACCGACTCCGGGCGCGCCATGGAAGAGCATGACGGTGTTACAGACATGGGTACGAAGGCTTCGAGTGTTCGCGAGCGACCCAGAGATCTGCGGCGCTCTATCCCGTCTCGCGCGCATCTCCACAGGTGCTTGTATAATCTTCTTGAGTCTCGGCGGTAGCACCAGACGGTGGAAAGAAGGTCCACTGCTGATAACGGGACTCAATCCATCGATGTGTAGTGGAAGCCAGACATGCTGAGCGAGAGAGTAGCCGAGGATCCGGATGGACACTGGAAGGATTAATCTTTCGACTCGTGCATCTTGCATGAGGTCGCGAGGCGCGATAGCTTTGGACAGAATGCCAAGCTGCTTTCGGGAGCGTAACCATTCCTCGGTATCACAGTAGCTGTCGTCCCAAACATCGGTGCAGCGTGTACAAACCCGATCAGAACAGTGGATTAGCTCGAATGTCTCGCGTGGATCACTGCGGAGCCGCGACTCATGGCCGAAAGTGACGCTGGAGCTGCATCCTGACCTCGCCAGTTGTGTCAAAGCTGTAGAGTGGTCGATAACGCAGTCTATCGCGAGCTGGCACGCACGGGTCAGTACGCAAAATCAGAAGCTTTATTCGGAGCGATACCTCTTGATCAGGCTTCACCTGCGCACAATATGAACGCACACTGGAGTGTGCCCGACCATTTAATCGTACGGACATCTCTGGTAGTTGTCGACCGGCATAAGACCAGTGCTTGGTTTAGCTTGCTTCGATGAAAGGCTTACTACGAGAGAGAAGCAGATTTCCCCACGCTGCACGCTCGGGGCATAGTGCAAGCGGTCGAGCCAAGTCTTGATATATGCTGCACTTGCCAGCAAAAGGCCGGAGCACCATGTTATAAATCTTAGGTCCGATCTCCGTACCGTTGAAGTCCAGATACCAGCAAGTCAACAACACGGGAGTCCAGAATTCCCACTCGTCTTGTTGGCTTATTGGTTCTATCAGCTTTCCTGAATGATCCCAGGCAGGAGTTTGCGAGAAGTTCTCACGGTGCAAAGCTTTGCGTCCACCTGTGATGTGCATCAACAGAAAGGCTTGGCCGCACTCATCGCCTTTGCCATCAAACAAGATATCTCCGGGCTGGTACATAAGACGGACATACTCAAAGCTTCATCAGTTGTGAATAATGTTGCTGTAGTCATGCGTCCAAGGTTGAACCTCATATACTTGGCCATGGTCAGAACAGCCGCTTTGACAGCACAGGAGGCTGAGGCCGTCTTTGGGACCTGACGGCTACGCCTCATCGTGCCAAGCGCTGCTGCATGCATGCATGATATGTGATCAACAGACCAGCACACAGCGTCATATTCCCGGGAGCCCGTTGCCGTAGAGGCTGAGCAAATGACTGTCGCTTTCTACAACAACAAGTTGCACGAGTGGATCGTGTGGGGGTGGAGTCGAGACGATGAACTTGAAGGGAGAAGGATGATTGCGTGGTGGTGATGGAGACGCCGCGGTCAGGGTTTCGGGCCGAGTGACTTCTCCACCAAAGTCTCCCGCCCGCGCGGATCGTCATTGGTCATTGGTCTGGAGACACCACGAGGAAGACGAGTAGAAGACGATACCCTTTCGACACACCTCTGGCTGGATATCGACTCTTCTCCCGCCATCTCAACGTTGAACGGGAAATTGACCTGCGCAGGACGACAATGTGACGTATGCTCAACCAGCTTTTAGAGCTTGATGAGATATCAGTTACCATTCACCATCAACCATGCCTACTCCGGAAGAAGTAATTATACCACCTTCACCACCAGTCGAACCTTCGTCGTCACGTGCCAGCTTCACTAGCTGTCCACCCGAGGAGGAGCGGGAACACTATGCGCCGAGAGAGGAACGATATGATGCTGCTGTGAACGATGACGGTCAGATCGAGGACGAGGGCGTCGTAGTGGTGGAAGATGCACCCATACCTGCGCAGCAACCTACGCCGGAGCCTGAAATGCAACATCGACCAATAGAAGAGTCACAAACAGAAGTGCATGAAAAGGGGGAACATATCGAGGATGCCGGGATCGAGGTTGACTCGCCAAGTGCTGCTGCATCTCCAGATGCTCCCATTGAGAGCGAGACACGATTGGCTCAATCAATGTCGCATACCGCTATAGCATCGTCGGATGAACCACTATACCTCACCTTCCCAGATGAGAAGCCAAGAGTATGTCCTCACCCCAGCCACGTGACCATCTACAATACCTGACCCTACTTCGCAGCGGCACATCCCAACCACAACCTCTTTCCTTCGCCCGGGCTCCAAATTCCGCGGCACGCAGCAATCAGACCGTCAAGTCTACAGCGTCGACGTAGAGATTAAATCCGTCGACATCTCCGCTTCTGTTCTGACGGGCTACCTCCGGATACAAGGACTTACTGACGACCACCCAACCCTAACAACCTTCTTCGAAGGCGAGATCATCGGCTCCAAATACCTCTTCAAAACCACTCACCCATCATGGGGCAGCAGCGAGAAAGTGGACCTCCAACACTGGGCACGCTTCCCAGCTTGGCGACCCCTAGCCAAACAATCCAAGAACCCGAACTTCACACTTCGAAGCGGCGACAAGGCGTCTACCCAGGAACATCTCTTCATGCGGTGGAAGGAGTACTTTTTAGTGCCTGATCATCGAGTTAAGACGATCACAGGGGCGAGTTTCGAGGGCTTCTATTACATTTGCTTCAACCAGTGTTCGGGTAAGGTCAGCGGGATATATTATCATGCGAAGAGTGAGAAGTATCAACAGTTGGAGCTGGAGCATGTCGAGGATAGGGGATGTGTCGGGGCGATGGAGTTCCGGTGACCATGTCGCGAATATGCGGTGAAGAAGCGGTTCGTGCTGTGATAGCGTTCTGGTGCATGGCGTTTGTTGGCGATCTAAGGGCACGCAGGGACACATGGGTTTGCAAGGTACATGTGTGTGCGCAATGTACAGGCAGGTGGGATTGTGTGACGCAGAGAAGACCACGGCGTATTCTGTATAGCATTTAAGTCAGTCTTACAAATGCGCTTAGATCCACAGTCAATCCTGGCCGTGGCAGCCAGCTTTGAACAGGCTGAGTTGCCCACGTTTACCGGGACACAGTGTGGTCAGATTGGATTTGCTTATCGAGTTTCTGAATGGCCCGAGACTCGCGAGAATTTCCTAGAAAGGACATGGTTCATGTCTGAGTAAGAGCACAGCGAATCATAGCACGTCGTCCCGAATGGCCGGTAGTGACATTCTGGCGATAGCAGTCTCCCTGCATTGTTAGCCCTTGATGGCTTGTAGGCTGTGCATGTGCATGTGCATGGCATTGAAGCTCACCGAAGGCAGCGGGTTTCTTACAAAGATCACTGGCCGTCCTTAATAAGCGCATACAGGGCTGGGAGACATGCATTCTCGGTTCATCTCTCATCAATATCCTGTCGCCTAGGTGGTCAGATACTTCGCTTAGCATGCTAATCTGATGTGCACTGTGCGCAGTAATGAGGGGGATGGAAACCAATGGAGGCAACCAGCAATAATGGAGTACGGCGCAATGATCGAGCCGGTGCCTATCTGAACACGATAATATAGTCACAATGCCTCCGAGAAGTCAATGTTGAGGGCTGTGCATGATGTCGTGTCTGCAATAAAACTATGCCTACAAAGAAGATCTGAGAGGGCTGATGGTGGATCTCTCGTACATCGTGCCCAAGCTTTTGACCAGCCTACGAGCCAGCCAATCAAACCCCTTTGTCCAGCCCCACTCATCTGAATCCACCAAACTCTAAGCCACGTTCCTGCTATCTTCGTACCGTCTCAAAGGCCATTGCAGACGGCAAGAATCTGTCTGCCTACGAATGTGATATCCACAGCGACGATGCTCTGTCAAACGAGCCAATCGTGTGGATCTGTCATGCCGCGCACGCATGCTTGGCCACTTCGCAATGACTTCCTTGTGAGAGCGAAGTGGTAGGGTATAGTACAAGTGAGGATATATATCGCGACTTCGTTGTGCTGCTGTTTATGTCTTGGGTACACTCGCTGTACTCACCCTCTTCAATACCACGAGCCGTTGCAATTTACCACCTCTCGCTCTTCAATTCTTCAGCCGTCCAAAGCACTCACTTCAACTTACACCTTGACCACAAGCCCAAGCCCAGACACCAAGGACCCGACACCACCATGGCAATCGATCCATATGCCGGCTGCAACATCGACATCCCCTCCAATCTCTGCACACTCGAAACTTGCTGTCTAGCACAGAGCAGCTTCAACTACATCCCAAACTATGGTGGAAACATATTCTTCGCAGTCTTCTTCGGCGTGTTCCTGCTACCACAACTCGGACTGGGCATCTACTACAAGACCTGGGGCTTCATGGCTGGTATGCTGTTCGGCCTCGTGCTCGAAGTAGTAGGCTACGCTGCCAGAATCATGCTCCATGATAACCCGTTCGACTCCAATGGATTTCTGATGTAAGCACATCGCTCATATCATGTCTCGGACGCAAGCTGACCAAGTATAGCTATCTGATCTGTCTCACCATCGCCCCCGTCTTTATCTCGGCCGCCATCTATCTCTGCCTCACCCGCACAATCGTGCTGTACGGCCAGACGAATTCCAGACTAGCTCCCAGGACCATCGCCATCATATTCATGGCCTCGGACTTTCTCTCGCTCGTCCTCCAGGCTGCCGGTGGCGGTATTGCAGATACTGCCAATACACATCAGGCCGCTCAGCCAGGCATCAACACTATGATAGCAGGTCTGGTGCTTCAAGCTGTCAGTCTTGCAGCGTTCCTGATCGTGGTAGCGGACTTTTCCCTACGCTGCCGACGTGGCGTGCTGGATCAGAACCCAGCGAAGAAGCACGCTCGAAGCCGGATGCTGTTCAAGGTGTTCATGGCTAGTCTCCTGCTCGCGACCGTGGTGGTGCTGATCCGTTCAATCTTCCGTGTCGCCGAACTCTGGGGCGGCTTCAACGGTGCTCTCTGGAATGATGAGACTGATTTCTTGGTGCTTGATGGGACTATGCTTGCGATTGCCACGATCTGCTTGACGGCGTTTCACCCAGGTCTTGCATTCGGCAATCAGTGGCAAGCTGCCAACTGGACATTCAAAAGCAAGAAGGCTGATTTCAGCGAGGAATACAAGGACGCGCAGCCGCTCGCTTCCTTGTGAATACTCAATCAAGTGGTATTGGCGGTTTAGAGTTAGCCAGACGTTATTAGAACATTGATAGAAGCGCTGGAGCGTAGCATTGCAGGAGGTACATGGGCAACACAGCATGCGGGATCTACCAAGCAGCGATTGAATATAAATGAAGAACCATGAGCTCGTGGCACATCCTCTCCACTGTCGTGACCTGACACAGCATTGAGTCGGCCCGTAGGCTGGCATTATTCGCGCCTCGACGATAGAAGCCGATCAATGCTCGGGCGGGTGCGACAATGTTATAGTGAGGGCAACACAAAAGATGTGCACCACGATAAACAGCCCGGATAGAATTGTCTCTTTCGAACGCCTCGCAGATGAGGGTTCGGAAGAAAAGTGGAAGCAAATCTGACTTCACTGGCTAAAGACGGCCTAGCTCGGCTTGGAAGGGCGCGAGTTCGCCCATCAAACGGCAACCACGGAGCAGAATCTTCACTGCGCTTGCACCAACACGATAGAGTCAGCAAGAGTGGTGAGTGAACCACAATTTTACGTACAAATACTACGGTAAGTCGAGTGAGTGTTGACTATTCTATTCACGTTTCACATTTTCGCTGTTTGTGTTGTCCACGTGCTCAAACTATCTTCATTCCTTGACGGCCTTGACCCGGACGACGGTCACGTAGCAAACGAGTGACTCAGCAACTGGCGCACCGTCGCTCATAGAGTCTTGCGATAGAGGCGGATCGGAATATCGACACATCTACAATTTACACTCTAATAACATGGACGACCACGGTGCCAAGGAGAAGACGCCGGAGGTCGCTACTGCACAACCCTATGACTATTCGGTCACTTCATCGCCTAAGGAGGGATCGTACCACGATGTCGAGAAGTCGGAAGTCCAGGTCGGCACCACAGTGCAATTGCAGCGTCGTCTACAGTCACGGCACCTTCAGATGATCGCCATCGGTGGAACTATTGGAACAGGCCTCTTCATTGGTTCTGGTGGTGCACTCGCTAATGCCGGTCCTGCTGGTGCGCTCATTGCGTACGCCTTCGTCGGCACTTTGGTCTACTCGGTTATGGTTGCGCTTGGGGAGATGGCTACCTACATTCCCATCTCCGGAGCATTCACTGCATACGCTGCTCGATTCGTGGATCCCAGCTTGGGATTTGCTATGGGGTGGATCTATTGGTTCTCATGGGCCATCACTTACGCACTCGAGCTCACGGCTAGTGGTCTCATCATCCAGTACTGGTCGCCAGAGCTCAATGTGGGCATCTTCATCGGTGTGTTCTGGGTCGTGATTACCGCTCTCAACTTCCTGCCGGTGTCCTTCTACGGCGAGATCGAATTCTACTTTGCTTCCATCAAGGTCCTCACTGTGCTTGGCTTCCTAATCTTTGGCATCTGCATCGATGCTGGAGCTGGTCAACACGGGTACCTGGGCTTTCACACTTGGGGCAACCCGGGTGCCTTTGCACCATATATCCTGACTCGCCAGCCAGCATTGGCCAAGTTCGTCGGCTTCTGGGCAGTCATGATTCAAGCAGGGTTCTCGTATCAAGGCACTGAGCTTGTCGGTATTGCTGCCGGCGAAACCAACAATCCGCGCAAAACAGTCCCGGCCGCCATCAAGAAGACATTCTACCGCATCCTGTTCTTCTTTGTCGGCAGCATCTTCTTCATCGGTCTCCTGGTACCATACGACAACCCCGATCTCCTCAACGGCACCACCAGCGCAGCATCCTCGCCATTTGTCATTGCTGCGCAGTTGGCCGGCGTCAAGGTCCTTCCAAGCTTGATCAACGCGGTCCTATTGACGGTCGTCCTCAGCGCCGCCAACTCAAACGTCTACTCTGGCTCCCGCATCATCGTGGGTCTAGCAAACGATGGCAATGCACCCCAATTCTTTAATAAGACCACAGCTAGCGGTGTGCCATATGTCGCTGTCGCCTTCACAGCAGCATTCGGCTTGTTAGGTTTCTTGAATGAATCAGCCTCGGGTGGAGAAGTCTTCAACTGGTTCGTCAACATCACAGGTGTCGCTGGTTTCATTAGTTGGACCTGCATCGGCATCTCGCACATCGCCTTCATGCGTGCCTTGAAGGCTCGTGGTGTCAGCCGGGATACTCTACCATACAAGGCCATGGGCCAGCCGTGGTTCACCTGGTACGGCATCATCTTCAACGTCATCATCATCTTGACTCAAGGCTTCACCTCATTCATGCCGTGGGACACCAAGTCGTTTTTCGTGGCTTACATCAGCTTGATCTTGTTTGCGATACTATACGGCGGCCACAAGGCTATCTACAGGACGAACTTCGTTAAGCCGATCGAGGCCGATCTTGATACTGGGAGGAAGGAGATTGAGGAAATGCATTTCGAAGAGGCAATACCGACCACTCTTTGGGGTAAGTTTTGGGCATGGATGGGTTAGCCCTGTCAGCATCAGCACAGAGCTCTAGATGATGTACTATAAGCGGATCATTGCCATTCAGCGAGGCGTTGATACGGAGTCTACTACTGCACATGTTCCATAGTCTAGATAATCATGCCTGTCTACAAACGGATCAACTCGATCTAGAGCAGGTCTAAAAGATGGGGGGCGTCGATATGATCGTCTCTCCCAAACGCTCGATCACAGGGAAGTGTTGGTGTTCGCAATATATCTCATCGCAATGGATATTGCTCGAGACTGGTGACATCACAACAATGCCTCGGCCGCCGACCTCGGCCAAGCTTGTCGTCTGGATCCTTATCAGATCGAAGTGCATATACTCGAGCAAAGCTCACAAGTATTATTGTTCACTCGTTGCACACCACTAAGCCTTGGTTCCGTGCTCGATGTCCGAAAACCGCAATGTCGATATCTGGATAGCAGGGGCTTTCGCCGCATTCACAGTCGACCTCATTGTCTACCCACTTGATACGATCAAGACTCGCCTACAATCACCAGACTACAAGAAGCTCTACACAAATGGCCCTAACAATGCCGTCAGTCGATCGATGTTCCGAGGCGTCTATCAAGGCGTTGGCAGTGTCATAATAGCAACCCTGCCGTCCTCTGGCGCCTTCTTTACCACATACGAGGGAATCAAATGGACATTGCAACAGCACAATCCACAATGGGCTGGGTCGAATCTTCTACCACAGCCTCTCTTACATTCCATGGCATCTGGAGCTGCTGAGCTAGTCTCGTGCGCCATCCTCACGCCAGCGGAAGTCATCAAGCAGAATGCTCAAATGGTGGATAACTCCAAGACCGACCGACCACGAGTCAATGCGACACTCGAGACCATGAAGCGGTTTCGGAGTAATCCCTTTGCATTATGGAGAGGATACACTGCGCTGGCCAGCAGAAACCTCCCGTTCACAGCCTTGCAGTTTCCGATGTTTGAGAGAATAAAGCAAAGCATAAGAAAGCATAGAGACGATAATGGGACGAGGACAAACACAATACTAGAGAGCGGGTTGATCACGGCGGTCAGCGCGGGCACAGGAGGCAGCATTGCGGCAGTCGTGACGACGCCAATAGATGTTGTGAAGACGCGGATCATGCTTGCTGCGGCGGAAAGTGCTGCACAGGACCAAAGGCCTATTATGAAAAATGCCGAGTCGGCGAAGGACGCTGTAGGGAAGACTGCCACCGAGACCTTAAAGACTGCGAAGGAGAATGTCATTGAAGCAGCGAAGAGCGTTGCGAAGCCAGCGAGCTCCAAGGGCAGCATGCAGATTGCCCAAGAGATCATGGCCGAGCATGGCGTGAAAGGTTTGTTCAGAGGCGGTGCGCTGAGAGCCGTTTGGACGATGTTGGGGAGTGGGCTGTATCTGGGTGTGTATGAGAGTGGGCGTATATATCTTGCTAGTCGGCGAGGCGAGACGCTTAGCGATGAGGATTTGAAGTAGATGATACCCGTTGATGATAGAGATAATTTGCTTCCAAGATGGCGAGATCGTCTCCTTGGCAGCCGCTTGTTTCATCAACATGCTCCCAGCGTCGATGCAATTGAGTCTCGGCTTGTCGCGGTACTGTGCGTAGCAGAGATATATTTCATGACAACAATGACAATGACGGCTGAGGGACATAGATGTATGTGCGGAACTGATCGGCACTGCTACTGCCGGGTGTGCGGTTCGGATGTGGACCCGTCGAACTTGGCGTTGGCGTTGGCACCAGTCTCTTCGTCGTTCACAACTGGTAACTCAAAAACGCAAAGAAACAACCAGCTATACTATAGGAAGATTTGCCCTCGGTCCTCCGCCGAGCAGAGCCGAACGGAGCTAAGTCGCGGATCACTTTTCGGGGAGCCGACCTTTTGACGAAAGATATCTTCTCGTGCTTGCTGGTGGAGAGTATAGAGGAACGTTGTTGTAGTGTCCTGGCGATGCGATGATGAGCATGATGGACGACCTCGGTAAGCCAGGCAAACGGCAACGAGTTTCACGGGCTTGTGTAAGTGTGATGCGGCGAGGGAAAGAGGCACACGCTGTTGAAATTCTGTGCTCATCCATTTCTCAGGCAAATTGTAGACGAAGGAAGGCAAGGTGCGATGGTCAGACGCCATGTGAGCCATGCGCGATGAGCAAATTGGGTATGTTCATGTTTGGTAGAGGAGCACACAAAGCGCATTACTCATGAGTATGACAGCCTGCGTGTACGAAGATGGCGGCCGAATGACTTCGACTGAATACATACAGTCCCTTGAGAAGAAAGTCAGCGAACTTGAAGCACTTCTAGGCCATCCTGCAACTTTGTCGCTGTCGAGAAGCGACTCACAAGCACTTGAGAGTCAAAGCTCACCATCAACGACTGTGAAGGAGAGTCCGCCAGACGACATTATCGAGACTATCGTTGATACGCGGAAGAATGGTGCGAGAAGTGCACCAGTGGACGAACGCACTCCAGTCACTCATCGACACGATCTCAATCCTCATCATTTCGGTGGCCTTAGCTTGCTCGGGCGAGTCCACAGACTGTGTCAACACGTGTCCGGTATGCGCCATGAGAACGGGGACGAAGAGGACGACAATGATCTGGCCAGTGGTTTCGAAATCGCGCCTCCCGAGTCCAACATGTCCATCTCGTGGGAGGCATTTGCGCTCCTGCCAAGCCGAGAGAATGTGGATGAGGCCATTGACGTTGTGCTCGGTGAGGCCACATGCAATATGCAATTCCTCGATCGATCCACACTCAACCAAATGGCCGACACTGTGTTCCACGAAATCGAGGCCGAGAGCACGCCCCATACAAGGAAGCCATTGGCGTTGATATATGCCGTCATCGCACTTGGTCGGTTGTTCCGGCCTGTGCTGTTACAGGGACGAAAGGGACCTATAACGCTGAATGGCCTTCGCTACTTTCGCGCAAGTCGTGCACTTCTCGATCCGGCAAGCTGTCAGGATGTGATCTCATTACAAACACTCCTGTGCATGATCACCTACACCAACGGAGCTTCGATGATGTCAACATGCTACAGCTATATCTGCATGGCCGTCGCTGCCGCATTGCAGATGGGCATCTACAGCGATCTTGTCAATAGAGACATGCCCGAGGAGGAGCGAAGGACTCGGCAAGTCATCTTTACAGTCTTATCAATGACCGATACATATGTAACAACAGCGCTGGGCCTCCCACGAACACTACGGGATATCGATCCGGAGCGTGCATTGCTCGCACCACCGAATGCGATCGACTACAAAGATCCGATGTATGGGACGTATATGCACGCACAACTAATACAGATCCTCGCAACTACGGTGGAGACCAACCATCCGTTCACCCGGCCGATCGAGACGAAGAACGGCACTTATGGAGTCGAGTATAGCAAGATCGTTGCGACTGAGGTAGGGAAGTCGCTACTGGCCTGGCCCTGACTGTGCTGATACTCATCAATAGCAGGAAAAGCTTGAACAGTGGCTCGAGCGGCTACAGCAGACGCCGCTCAGCGAGACCCATGTTGGAGACAGTGTGACTATGAGGTGAGACGTGTAGAAATGCATGACAATGTAGTCTTCAGGAACACTGACAAAAGCAGGTCGCAACTGATGCTCCGCTTATACTACGCTCACGTACAAATGGTTCTTTATCGCCCATTCCTGCACCACGCACTACGAAACGCCGGCAACGGCAGCCGGACAAGTCTCAAAGCCTATGCATGTGGCAGTGCCTGCATCAAGGCAGGCATGCAAGCTGTATGGCTGGTTGAAAAGCTCGAAGCATCCTCACTCTTCAACTCCTCATTATGGTTCATCAAGTTTATCATCACATTCACTTCTGCTTGCTTGACGCTGTTCGTCACCAGTAATGCTGGTGGGCCCACAGTCAACGAGACAGCGGATGCTGTCAGGAGGATAAAGGAGTTATGTAGGCGACATGCCCACGAGAACGACTCACTAAGACGATGCTTGAACTTCTTAGAAGTGCGTTACGATTTCCTCTTTAACATCAAACAACCACGACTGACGTTCAGCAGAGCGTACCAATGCACGGCAAGCGCATCGAGAGCGTCGACAGCGAGTTGTGGGATAGCTTTGTGGCCAGCACTCAGTCATTCGGCGAAGCTTTCCGTGCCGCAGCCGATGTCGACGAGGGCAATAATCAGAGCGAGGATCACCTGCAAGCTCTTAGTCTGCCGCAGTTCCAGTCATTTGTCAACACGCGGCTGTAATGGGACGTATATGTACAGGATTGTGTGAAGCGTGGTAATGTACGCATACTGTGAATTTAGCTCATGTCAAGATGGCCGAAAGGGAACAAACAACCGAAAACGGAGAAATATACTGATGAATGCATCATTGACATATAAAAGCACTAGATCGTATACTGTGAGCTGCAAATTCAACACTGTAGGTCCTCGCGATCGCTCATGTACAATTAGAGGCAACATTCTCGCTGCTGAAATCATGGCTTCGGTAGATCTCTGACAGGATCATCGCCAGCGAGCTCATGTCTCTCTTGCACCGCATGCTTTCCGTTGTCCAACTCTGGCTGCCTGGCGGAGTTCTCCATCTCGTATACCTGCTCGCCTCGAAGTTCGGCCGTGTTATGATCGGGAGAATGTGGCTTCACTTCTTGGTAGTGGTGTGCGACCTGTGCTCCCTGGCCTTTCTGACGAGTTCGTCGGCGTCGCCAGACTAGGAGCGCTCCAGCGATAAGCGCGAGAATTACTACCGGGATCACCACGCCAATGGCAACCTTTGCAGTGGTGCTCAGTCCAGGATTAGGAGTCGGGGACCCTGTTTGCGATGAGGTTGAGGTTGAACCTGTCGAGGACACGGTGGCGGCTGACATCGATGTGCTTAGGGCGACGAGATCTCGGGGACGCCACCGAATGTCGATCAACGGTGCCTCGACCGTGAAAGCTGTGATGGACTCGATTCCAGAACTGCTTGACTCCGACCAGCTTGCGTCTGTAGGTATGGCGAAGCTAGTCACGCTCCCTGGGCTTGAAGAAACACAGCTTGCTATTGAGACCGTCTGATAGCTCTGTACGACGCTGATGCATGTTTGGTGGTTGCTGTTGTCGATCGTGCAGCCGTAGCCACTGCACACATCCGGTAAGCAGGTGAACACTACCGTCAAGTGGTGATACCATTATACTTACATCGGACAACACCCTACGGCTGTCTCATTGGCTATCATCTTGAATTGCATTCTGCCAATGCCAGAAGTAGTTCCTCCTGCGGTTACTGAACAGGCGCCGGTGTACCCTGCTGGGCAGATTACTCCTGGACTGTACTGCATTGGCCGTCAGCTTGCTCACGTAGACGGCACCAGGTTCCATAAGCAAGCGAGTCAGCCGTGCAGAACCGGGAAGGAGCAGATGTGCCGACCCAGAACCTGGGCTTGGGGAAAGACTCACTGCGGAATCGTTAGCACACGTACACCGACAACAAGGTGATCAGTGAGTTTCTTACCAAATCCCCACCCCAAAAGAGCGCCCGCAGTCGAGAACGCCGACGTCTCGGTGACATTTGGAGCTGAAGGCCAACATTGGGTGGTGTCTTGCGGGATCCAGTAGCCAGAGGTGTATTGAGTGCATGTTTGTCCCTCGTTGCTGTTAGTACAGATAATGCATTGTTCTGGCAATCTGGAGACAGGTGAAACTGACCAGCCAAGCAAGCGTTCCGCAGTTCGCGAGGTCGAAGCAGTTGGCCACGGCGGTGTTACACCACGCAGGAGGCGTGAAGGTAGTGGTGAGAGGGCCTAACAGAGTACGGTTGGACGGCGCTGTGGCCGTCTGACTAGTGATGGCCGCCATCAGAGATCGCACAAAGCAATGCTATACGGTGGTACCAGTATGGCGAAAGTACGCTTGGGCATGGGAGCAGGTTGGGAACGGCTCTAGATCTGCGCTCTAGCGGCCCCAAAGGTGTCGCGGTGGCTTGGATGGTTCTCCAATTTGGGGGCCATGTTGGCGCATTGTGCGTCCTATCAGAACCACGATCTGCTTAGCATCAACCCTACTCTGCAGTTCTAGTGTCGATCCTGAGCCCGCAGCAGATACCGGGTACTAATAACAACAAGCCTGCTTACAGTAGAAACCTGAAAAGTGGCACAAACGATTCCAAAGACAACGTCCAACCACGCTCTTGTTAGGCCTTAAGACGTTGTACATACTCTTCCAATATACGAAGACATGACGCACATTTGCATCCCTCTTGTTCCGACGTGACACTCTCCAATGCGATCGTCTTAGTCATTTTCAGGAAAATCACGCCAAAATGATGCCTGCACCATGCTCACAATTTTGAGAGCATTACTTCAACTCTTATGCTGTCACATCGGGAGCAGATCGACCAGCATGAGTTGCATTGCCTTGCAGTTCACGCCGCTCCTGCACTTCCGTTGTCAAGCCACTGATCGTCAGGAACTTGACCGGACTGTCCATGTCGTATAGCGAACCTGGCTCAGTAGACAATTCGTGGGCAGGATATGCTTGCTGGTGGCTCTGCAGTCCAACATTTCTCACTCCAGCTGCTCGGGAGAGCAGTAACGGCGCCAGATCAAGATGGCTACGACAAACCATTGCAATGCGCGACTGCGAGTGTGCATGTCGCAAACGGAGTAAATGTTGTGGGCAGAGGACCAAGCACGGTGCTCCTGGACTGCCCAACAGTGGTCGAAATGATAGATGTCATTTGGCGAGGTGATGATTGCCCAGGGAAGAGGTCGATCAGGAGATCTTTTCGAAGATCTATATATTCATGCAACGGTAAGGCTGTGTCAACGCCACATCTGGGCTGCGGACAAACCATTGCAGTAGAGTCGCTTCGCTCGTCAGCATGTGGCCGTCCGGTGTGTGTTGCAATCTATCGAAGATAAGTTTACGACTTTGGGCCGATGATCATGGGATGACATGCTGGCACAGGAAGCAGATACTTAGTGATGTGAAGTCAAGCTTCTCTGTAGACCTATCGGCATACCATACCAGTAACGAAGGTCGATGGCCCCGAACGGATTGGGCATCATTACCATACAGCCGTCCTCAAAAACATAAGTTTGCTTGATGGTACAGTGAAGACGATCTCATGGTCATCATGTAATGGCATCATCATGGTCATTCCTCTTCCGCGCAGATCTTGCCATGCTATGCTCATACAGGAAGCTGCAGGCGTACATCTCTATCGTCCGTCGTTGCAACGAAGCCTCTCCCTCGTTCGTACGCTACGATCCCTCCACTTTCTTCTTCGCCAACCCTCCCAGCTTCTCGGCTGCAGCATTCAGACTCTTTGCATCGGCGCCTCTAATCATAGGCTGTCCATTGACGCCGACCTGTTTGCCGTCCTTGAAAAACATGAAAGTCGGCATGGCAGAGATTTGATACTTCTGGGCGATGTCTTTTGCATTGTCGACGTTGACTTTGGCGAAGGCGAGGGTGCCTGCGATGCCGTGTTTCTTGCCAAGCTTGGCGAAGACGGGGGAGATGACTTTGCAAGGCCCACACCTATGTAAAGTGTTAGTGATCAGAATAGTACCAGGAGCCGGATATGTCACTTACCAGTCTGCGTAAAAGTCTATCGCGACGTACGTGTTGCCTGAGAAGATGGTTTGTAGATCAGCTAACGAGCTCGGTTGAAGGACACTATCTGCCATGGTCGAGATGCTTGTTGGCTGTTATGATCGGACTACGCGATAGGTCAGGTCCTCAAGCCGTAAAGATCTTATATATGACCTTCGCAGATGCATGTAATAGACATGTATAGAGAAGGATGGATAGCGTTCGCAGACGGTTCTCGAAGTTCACCTCAGTAGTCTAAGCAGGCCCGAGCGCTTACGAAAGCTTCTGTCTTGCCAGAAAGCACACATACATGTACATGCTGTGGGTATTATTTGCTGGAAGTGTTGAGCAGCTAAGAGCCGAAGACTGATATGTAATAAGTATCTAATTTCGTACAGGCTACGTTACTTCATAGTGCTGACATTCTATCAAGAAACTCTAAACATCACCACCAATCCCCTCCTCAACAACCTCATCCACCTCATCAATAACAGGCATCTCCAGCCCACCATCCTTGGAAATACTCTTCATCCAGCCCACATCCATAGTGAAACCACTACTCTCTCCGCCCACAAACCCACCATCCTCCATCAGCCACCCTTCGCCCGCAGCATCCAAATTGATCATGCTGTCGAAGTCGGGCTCGAAATCCATAAGAGGGATTTGCATGGCACCGTCTATGACCATTGGCCCGTCATTGATGCTAGGTTGATGGTCTGAGTCCGGTGGTGTGCTGGCGAGGTAGGTGTTCAGCTTGTGCGCGATGTCGTCGTCGGTTAGCTGATCGTGGTGATGATGGTGATCACCGTTCTGATGGGCGTCAGGAGGTGGTGTAAGGGCGCCGGAGTCCTGGCCAGAAGTCAGACGACGCCCGGCTTCCATCAGTCCTTGAGCAGAAGTTATGATATTGCGTGGCTCCTTCATCTCGTTCGACTTCTGCGGAAGTGTGATCTCGGCCTTGCGTATGGCGGCTTCGAGGAAGGCGGTAGAGTAGTCTGCTGCGGCATAGATGTCGCGGAGACGAGCCATGATCTGCATACATTGACAGAAGCCTTGGAGACTGGTCTTCCGTGTGGTCTCGTCGGGTGCTTTAATATCGAGAAGATGGATGATGATGGCAGGCAGTAGCACCGTGATCCCTGGAGACGGTAAAAAGCGGACCAGGTCTAGGTTATACAGACGATTGGCAATGCTAGTGATTTCACTTGCCGCCAGTCGAACTGCTTTGCGAGAAGTCTCTAGTTGGTCGGACTGCGTGCTACGTGGTGGCATCGCAGTTGAGGGAAGCACTTGCGGTCGATGCAGTGCTGATAATGCTGCATAGTAGACCATGTGCAATAATGAGCGATTCAGTACAATGTCGTCGTTCCCAGAGTCGACATCGCTCCAGCTTGGCTCAACATACTTTGCTTCTTCGGCCAGATCATCCTTCCATTGCTTGAGCTCGATATCACAAGCCTGCACTTCGTTGATCTCTGGGTCATGTCGCCTGGCTACCAGCATCATGGTCACGCGTGTCGTACCCTGATCGCTTACGATTCCATGATTGTTGTGTAGCACAGAGTACTGCACTGAAAGCACATTGCTGATGCTTACGCAGAGCTTGGCTTTTTCAACACACATGATCGCCAGCTCCCGCTGCTTCTCTGCACTACGCAGAGTTGTGCAATCGGCCGGAATACATGAAGGGCCTTCGGACAGGACGTCGCACTCGAAGTCTTCCAGCTCCAGCATCGGAACATCGAAATCTGCGTCTTTTATGCGAGTCGGCCTCCGCATTCCCAGAGCTACTAGCCGATCACGCATGTATGTTGACCACCATATCCGCTTCCATAAACGTTGTCGTGGTTTGTCCATCGCTGCCGACTTTTCTGGATTACGGTGCAGTCCGATCGTGTGCGAGAGCGATACGGCAATGCCCATCCAATGGTGACTGTCCTTCTGATCGTCTGGAGTCTCATACCAGTATGTCATCAACAGCAGAGACTGGATCAGCGAGACACGATCCGCTTCGATATCGAAATCGTAGAGCAGTCTCGTTTTCGCGAAAAAGTCCCTTCTAGCATCTCTTCTTGTGTCGTAGCCAGCAGCTTTGAGATATCTCATATCGACTGATGCGATACCCGCAAACATGATGGACTGCAGTAAGAGCAGACTGATAGTCTGGCTACCGTCGTTGCGATCGATTGTCCGGACCATGTTGTGGACGTCGAGTGAAGGCATGAAAGGATAGATGAATTCGATGTAACATCGCAAGAGCTCGTCACGAAGTGGTACCGGAGGAATCACCAAGGCCCCTTTCTTCTCAAGATACAGAATGTCGTCGGCACTGAGCTTTGTGGGCAAAGGTTTAACGTAGTTCGGAAGGTGGTAAGAAGGCTGGGTTGGCGTCGGCAGGCCTGCTAACATTGGTGCTGTCTCAACAAGCGATGGCTTTCGACCAAGTCGTTGCAGATTCATGAGCATGTTCGGCGTGTACAAGGATGCAGTCGATAGTGTGTTGGTCGAGGGTACATCTCGACCCAAGTCCTGGTCTTGTGGCTGTCAGTATCCTGGGTACACATGTCTATCAATGCCACATACATAGAGCGTGCGGCTTGTGCTCCGTGTTCCTCTTCAGTGGCTCATACGGCGCATGTGCTGTCATGGGTAATCCCGCGATGTCATCGTCGTCTATGCCACCCAGATGTTGAAGTGAGTCGTCGCCATTGTCGTTGTTAGACCACTTCCTACAATACTATCGTTAGTGGGAACCATTACAGATTCCGATCTCAGCCTTACTTCTTCCGCTTGCTCTCAGAGACAATGCAATCGACTTCGTCTAATCGACAGTTTGTGCACGGTGCTCCGTGTTCGACAACATTGCATCGAACTTTCCTGGCTCGACAGCATTGGCAAGCCTTCGATGCTCTTCGCTTGACACTCTTCGCTGGTCGACCTCCAGGCCTGAGCCCTGCTGCATCTGCTGTCCTTTTCGGTGCTTGTGTCTGCGCAATGCCAGATGGTTCCGGCGATGCGGAGGAGTCCGAGAGATCCGGGTCTCCTGCCATTGAGCCCATCTCGACGAGTCCGCAAGCTATAGTCGTCTTTTGTTCAGCCAATTATGCTGTCAGAGCAGTTCAAGGCCATATAAAAAGATGTTTTTGGTAATGAAGAGAAATCAACCTCACCACACGCAGCCGCGATGCAGAGGGGCATCGCCGCCGTCATATACTCAAACCCTAGATTATGAATACCAAGCAGACATCCACGACTAGTCCGGGAGGGCAGTAGCGAGTTATCTCCGCCACGGAAATGGCTCACACCTTGTCAACCTTCGATCGGCCTGGGGTGCGTGCGTCTGTCTGCTGCACCCCACCCATACCCGCCTTTTTTCTCACGAGCTCACATGCCATGCAGTCTTTGCCGTTAGTTCGTGCCGTTGATGCATCAGAGTTGGTAGAGTGTGCAAGCACAACTGTGTTGCCTGTACAGCCCGCAAGGTCCAAGTAAGTCTGATCCAAGACAAAGGCTTCCTGGTGAGAAGGATTGTCTTGCTCGTTTCCTCCCCAAAGACCTCCGCGCCCTCCGGACTCCACAATCGTGGTTTCGTGGTGCGTGGTCTCGGCAGAAGCCGGCCAAAAAACTGGGCATCGCCGTGGTTTCGTCGGCATCGACTTCCTCCCCCGTCTCATCACGGCCGTAATGTCCCGACTTCACCTCGAACGCGAGTTGCATCGGAGAAGGTCTGCCGCATCGCGCGATTCACATTCTCTAATCGATGCTGCTCCACGATAGCTCTACAACCATCGTCGAGCGTGCTGTGAGTATGCGTCGAGACCAGGAGCCAATGGTTATTGTTGTCTGGCACAAGTTCACTGGAGTACTCGAAACCTAGTCGCAAGTAGACCTTTGGCTTACATGGCGCGTGTCTCGCCAAAACTGAGCCTCGAGACCCACTAACGGAGTACTGCGACAGTTTATTATCTCTTGTGGCTTGCCTTCAGCAAGCCATTATTTCACAACTCAATCTGAGAATTTATACAGTATCTCTGCGCATTTCGGCAGGTGACGCACCGACAGTGTGGCAGCGACAAGGTACCTGAAAGGTCTGTATGCATCGATGCATCCCAAGGACATCCTTGTCGCTTAATTGCATGACGTGCTACACCCATACATCAGGAAGATCAAGATGAGAAGCCCGCCATTTGTAAGCTTACCTCTCTGCAAAGGCACTCGAGTCAAGATGAAGCCCGTCACGCGGTTACATGCACGAGTTCTGTGTCATGCAACTAGCTAGCTGTTGCTACTCCCCACCAGAGAACTACATACAAGAACAGCTGATGATCTCGGAAACGATCAGCCGTGATGCTACGATGATATGGAGCTCGAGCTGGAAGCAATTCGGAACGAAATCCGAAAGGTGTGGAGATCACAAGCAATGAGCCCACAGCACCTGCATATTGCTCAGCTCGTCTGGACTTTAACTGGCCCGTCTGACCTTCTACCACAAGATCCTACAACGGTACCAAGCACGCGAATCGATCTGTGCTTGTAAATATGCCTTTCTCTATCACGTGATCTATATTAGGTACACATCGCCCCGTGTATGTATCTACTGTGCCTTCTTGAGGCTACCATTCGTATGGCCATTCTCAGCCCGTCGCCGGTCAATACGAGGTATGGAGGTGAACATGCTCGGCCAGACCAGCACATATTCGTCCTGCTTGCCGTTCAAGCAGTGCCGCAGCCATATCCCCCAGATCTGTGATTGGATGTCAGCACGGCCACAAGGTCAAAGGAGTCCAAAGTCTGCTTACGATATACATGTAAGCACCATAACCCGTCATGAGATGCCACCATCCATGGCCTTCCAGCACAATACCCCATGGCAGACCGATCTCATGTCGCCAACTGCGCAGTTTCGAGCAATACACATTGTCCAAGCTCCAGATCACAAAGCCTCCGAGGAAGGTGGACAAGCCGCAAGCAATGAGCATCCACATCTGTCCAATGATCTTCTTATCTCTCGTATCCTCTCTACTCCTCTCCAACTTCCCTACACCTCCACTGTCCGACATCTTCTTAAAGTATGGTCGTAAGCTGACCTCCATGATATACATGCTCCTGAACAAGACCAACGCAGTTAGGATTGCGTAAGCATTCTGGTGAAACGTCGGGTCCTGCAGGTAATGATAGTAGCCTGTGATGAAAGCCGCGAGACTGGCGACAGATATACCCAGGAGTGTTGGGATCGGCTGCGCACGCTTGTGCTCGAAGGTGGCCCAGAACATGAGACAGGTGGTGTAGATCATGGACAACTCATCGACGAGCTGCATGGGGTATTTGAGCGTGGTGTGGAAGGCGAAACTCCCACTTCCGACTATAAGGTAGCCGACGAAGGTGATGAAGAAGATGCGGTCGTGACCATTAGTGTAGCAGTTGTACATTCCCTTGAAAGCGAGGAAGATGAAGAGGAGATTGGTCAACGTGTTGACGATCTCGGCGGAGTATCTTGTCGCGTAGTAGTTCTCTTCACACCAGTCTAGTGTGGAGGTGATAGGAGCCCAGTAGCCATCGTCACGAGCGGGCGGGTATGCTATTGATGGGAGCCATGATGGCATGGTTGCTGGTTTGAGAAGAGGACTGCCCAGCTAGAGTGTGATGTCTGTTGCTGGTCGGTCGTGAAAGTATTTCGGCCTCTCCTCCTGTACCAGACAGGTTTGCTTTTAGAATAAGGAGGCTCCTCGTACCAGCAAAGAAAGTTGCTAACAAATCAACCGGGACTGCCGGCAGTTCTGCGTCATGTCTCCACATGGCAGCAGAGCCGCATTTGATGGTTTGAAGTTTGGCATGTGATTGTCGTGCTGCTGACGGACACAATTCTCACGTGCTTCTCCATCTCCAAGAGCATATGCCGCATCTGGTGTGAACATGGCTATACCGAACGAGAAGCTGCAGCAGGTTTGTAACAGCGTGGCTTATCACTTGGAACATATGCTCACGAAGGACAGCTCCTACAAGAGATCTCCTCGAAAGCTGCCTTTGCCGAGCAACAACTAGGCATCGTTCGTTCTCAGATCGCCTCGAAAAATCGCGAGAGTCGGATGCTACAGCTCTCCGATACGGAGATCGATGCTCTGCCCGCCAAAACTCCTGTGTACGATGGTGTTGGCAGGATGTATGACCTCACGAGCACTCTATCGGACGGATGTGAGACATGACTGATGTGGCACAGGTTCGTGTTGACCAGCACAGACGACGTAAAGAAGCGACAAGCCAAGGAGGCAGAAGATATTAAAAAGGAGCTTTCGAACCTGGACAAGAAGTTGAACTATCTAGAGCAGACGTACAAGAACAGCAATGAGCATATGGAGCAGATCTTGAAGAGGGGAGGTTGAGCCGTGTCAGTCAGGAACACGACCGATCAACTCTTCCGCCCGGCCATGTTATATGTCTGCAGCCTGCTCGATCTGCACCGAAGCTATTCGCGGGCTCTTTGCCACGAGACCCGCTACATTGAGACCTGCTGGAGTCCAGAAACACACGTTCGGCAGGCACAATCACCAAAGCCGAACCTGAAATATATCCATGCTGAATTCGTTGAGTCAGCGCGCCTCGTCCTTCAGCTCTCTCGAACGACGAAGCAGCATTTGGAGATGGTGTGGACGCAACCACATCTTCAGGCACGACGGTGCGAAGCAATCAGCATAGAAGAGCGCACTCGGTGGAAATTGGTCTGGACCACATATCGATCATAAATACTCCGTCACACTCTTCAATGCACAACTGCCCGTTATGGTCTAGCAATGTCCGTGCATTGGCCTTCCCCGCGCGATGACGCAGTTACACGCGAGCTTACAGCACGACATGGTTGCGGTACCTGAACACAAAATGCGATGCCGTAACTTCAAATATTTGAAGCTCATCCATTCTTGTACTCTCAGACTCCCAGCGGTCTGCTCTACAATATAAAGCAGCTCTTCAGAATGTTGTTCCTCCAGCTTGCGTTGACAACTTTAGCCACAGCCCAATTCTTCGACACATCAGGTGGCTTCCGACCTTTCGGCCCAGGATACAACCGTGGTGCTTACCCGCAAGACTTCAACGTTGTAGGACCAGAACTTCAAGCTGTTCATGACAGTCAGTCTGCGCCTACCGGTCTCGCTGTGGATAGCCAACACAACATCTACCTTACATACCCACGCAACAGTGGCCAGACACCGAACAATGTGGTGATATGCACCGACTTTAACAACGAGAAGCCCTGGCCTAGCGCAGAGATCCAGAACTGCACTTCCGGTCAAGACCCATCCACATGCTTCCTCAACGTCCAGAATGTCGTCTTGGACTCGATCGGCCAGCTATGGATAGTAGACAGCGGCATCCCAGCCGCCATCGCCAACCAAAGCGGCGCCATGGCCGTCCCGGGTGGCGCAAAAATCATGTCCTTCAACCAAACCACAAGCGCACTCATCCGAACCTACACCATTCCCACGGACTTGCTCGCACATAGCACCAACGCCAACGACGTCCGCATAAACAACACCCTCGGCACAAACGGCTGGGCCTTTATAACAGACGAAAGCACCAACTCCTCTATCCTCGCTATCGATCTCGACACCGGCAGGACTGTGAGAAGGCTCTTCAATACCTCCGTCGTCCGCGCAGACCACAACTACGTAGGCTCTTATGATGGAAACCTAATCTACGGCTGGAATGGAACGAAAAAGTCCTTCCTCACTACAGGTGCCGATGGGATTGCTCTAGCAAGCGGCAACTTCTACTGGGGTGTACTAGCCAGCCGACGCTTCTACTACGTTGCCCAAAGCGTCGTCATCGATCCCAATGCCACTGACGCTGATGTCCTGGCTGCTGTACAGGATCCCGGCCAGTGCGCCAGTGAGCAAGCGGGTCTAACGGCTGATGACAAGGGAAGGGTGTATATTCTCGCTAGTGAGCAGAATGCGATTTATTATGTTGATACCTTGCAAATCCAGGTCAACGAGACGGTCAATGGAGTGGCGGCTGGTGGGAACGGGTTGGTGAAGGCGGAGAATTATGTTGTCAATACTTTGGTCAGGAATGGGATGATCCAGCATGCGGATAGTGCAGCCATTTTGGACGGCTGGCTGTACTTTTGCACGTGAGTGGATCTACATGGCTCGTGTGGATGGAACGATTGCTGACCATTGTTGATAGTAACCAACTCGAGCTCAGCCCGAGCAGGCAATACAATAACACCGACAATCGTCATGGACCATTCAGATCCTTCCGAGTCTGGATTGGTCGCGGACCAGCGGTTTAGTTGTGCGCAGATAATTTCTGCCGCAACCGCACTTCAGTCAGGGCATCGACATCAAAGTCCAAGAACTCATTCCTGATATCCCATCTCCCGTCCAGCCCATCGGGTTTACTCCAGATCGTCAGACTATGCCGAGAACTCATCTCACCAGTCATAGATAAGATCTGTGTATTATGTATGCGGTCCCGTTCAGACGGTAAGTCGCTGCCGCCGAGAGTTGTGAGATTGATCTCCTCGAGCGTGACCACTCGTCCAGCGATCACGGCCGCCATATCACTGTCCCACAGACCTTCCCGTCTTACCGACGACCGCAGGACTGCGAGTGCTCTTCTCCTGAGCTGCGGATGCCGGCACTTGATACCCACAAAATACAAAGGAGACACAATCTCCATATCGAACAAGAAAGTCGCTTGCTGCGTCGGCCTGTTCTCAAACTCGCCCAAACACTGTTGTATCGACTCCGCCAACTCGACAACAGCTTCGAACTGCGGCAGAAACTTGTCTGTCGTGCATTCCTCAATTTCACAAGCCGTTCCAAGCCATATATGCATGACGAGTTGATGTATCCGTAGCATTCTGACCGCATCCAGATCCCGCGAGCTGACATTATCAGTGATCACCAACGCATCCAACTTCGTCACCCAGTCCTCGGTAGCGTGCTGTAGTGCCTTTTGTCTTTCAAAGTCCTCTGCTTCAAGGCCGCCTTGGTACTTTCTCCTACCCACGTTTCGGATCCATCTCATGTTGATGTTGAGAAGATGTACCACACTATCTCTCGCGTCCCTGACCGAGTGGAAGGCCTTCGGTACTGCGTCTTCGAGAAAAGTGGGATATTCGTACCCGGGCTCCTGTCCGAACAGCATGCCGAGTAGTTCCAGCCGGTTGAAAAATGGTAGCATATTCTCCCTGATCCGCTGATTGACAAGTACTTTCCCTGCCGACTTTGAGTCCTTTAGCGACGACAGCGCGATACCCATTCCGGATTTGAAGTGCTTGAACGCTGGCTCCACATCGCCACGTAAGAACTCGATGCACACAAACAAGATGCAAGCCAGTAACGCCACCTCGGTCGCTGCATCCGGGTCCTTCAATCTTTGCGCCAGGAGTGTGATGGCACGGTTGTACTGCGCAAGAGCAAAAGGATCGTTGTGGTCTGATCTGGCCTTCTTCAAGGGTACCGAAGCGGCTAACGGATCGTTCATAACAACTGGACGACGCATATGCAGAGTCGAGCCCATACTTTGACGCTGCAGATTCAAGTACCCAACAGCTATGATAGCGTAGTGGATTGCGGGCTCGACGCGCGAGATCTGAAGCACCAGACGGGTCCAGAAGGAAGCGTCGAAGTATGAAGCCAAGGAAGGTCCGGCGCGGGCTTGGAAGAATTCGATGGCCATGAGCTCGGTGGGCGTCCCTTTGATAGTATCTAGCGACCTTTCAAGCGGTGCTGAGGGTGCTCTAGCTTCTGGAGATTCCTTGCGAGCATTCTTTCGAGGAGGGATGTAGTAGCCATCGCATTTTCGGCCAGTAGTTGTACACCGCGTGCAGGCAGGTTTTGTCTTTAACCGGCTGTCAGCATCATCATCTGGAAATCAGCAAGTCCTACTCACCTCATCGCACTTTACACGCCTGATCTTGCATGTCGTGCATCCAGTCCTGACTTTAGGCTTGCTAGTCCTTGGTTTCTTCGTCTTCTTCGAAGGTCCGCCACCCTCGCCATCATCGTCAGCGCTATCACTCGACAGCGACACACTGTCGTTCTTACTACCACTCGTAGATACAGAACTCAAGGCTCGCCTCACAGGCAGGATCTGGACTTTATTCGCGCCGACCATTGCCTACTTGTCTTATCTGCATGAGGTCTCGCAGATCTTGAGACGCAAGACATGCTCGCGTATATGAATCTACGATGTACTACTGACACCGCTCGTATGATCCTGCGAGCGCGAGGCCATGACTAAGGGGCGCAGTCGACAACGGGAGAAGCCATTGGTATTCCGAAGGATTCCAAGAAGTAGGCTGTGCACAGCCCTGGTCGCCGAGTGGAGCTACAGTATTCTATAGTGATTGCGGCATGTATACGTAAGCGGTGAGGCTTGAGTCGTGCAACAGGCAGACACATTTGGGCTCCATCATCTTACAGGTGATCAACCGTAGTCCATGTGTGATGGGTTGTGACGGAGTACCTAATGATCAAATACGCACGGTTTTGTTGATCGTCCAGCGACCAGGCCGAGGTTCATGTAGGGCACTCCTCTTGCCGACCATCTGACTTTGACGACAGCCTAGGTAGGGGGGGTTTACTTATATCAGACGACATTTCCACTTGCGGACGACAGCCATGTGATGTAATTGCCGATACAGTACTCTCAGCAAGAAAAATAGCAAAAGCCTCATCCGCAGCTGAGGCGGACAACGTGAACGCCAATTGATGCCTACGAGATTCCGCCCAGCCACAGTGTAAGCAAAGCACATAGAATTCGAGATCACACCTCCCAGCAATCAAACATGTTCCAAGCAAAGAAAGACGCCCCGAAACCCTTCGGCAACCTAGCTCCCTGGGCCGAACCCGCCTGGTCCCACGGCATCCCATCACCCTACTACAACACCACCCACCGCAAGCTCCGAGACGAACTCCGCGCCTACATCGACAAGAACATCCTCCCGTACTCTCTCGACTGGGAAGCAGCCGGCGAAGCCCCTCGAGACGAAGCGCTCAAATGGGCCGCCTCGGGCTTCTGTTTCGCAGATGTCCCATCCCAGTATAGACCAGCGACCACCTCTCCCGGTCCAGCAGGGATACGAGTAGAAGAGCTCGACGTCTTCCACACCCTCATAATGACAGACGAGACCTCACGAGTCGAAGGCGGGGTCTTCACCTCCCTTGGTGGAGCCAGCGTAATCGGCATCCCACCCCTAATCCACCACGGCACTGAAACCCAAAAGCAAACCTGGCTCCCCGGCCTCTTCACCTGGGAAACCTCCTTCTGTCTCGGGATAACCGAACCCAGTGGTGGCTCAGATGTAGCCAACATCCAAACCACGGCCGTCCAAACCGAAGACGGGAAATCCTACGTCGTAAACGGCTACAAGAAGTGGATCACCGGTGCCCCCTGGGCAACCCACATGACGACCGCCGTGCGCACCGGTCCAGCAAACTCCGGCGCAGCAGGCGTCTCCGTCCTCGTAATCCCCATGAACTCCCCCGGTCTAACCTGGCGACGTATCCCCAACAGCGGCCAAAACGCCGGCGGTGCCTCGCTCGTCGAACTCGACGACGTCCAGGTCCCCTGCACAAACCTTATCGGGCGTGAAAACGCCGGGTTCAGAACAATAATGCTCAACTTCAACCGCGAACGCTACATCATGGCCGTAGGCTGTAACCGCAAAGCGCGGACCTGCCTCTCCACCGCCTACGGCTACGCCTGCGCCCGGGAGACGTTCGGGAAGAAACTGATCGAGAACCAGATCATCAGCAGTAAATTCGCCACTTTAGCCCGGTATATCGAATCCCACTGGGCATGGCTAGAAAGTATCGCCTACGCCATCCAACACTCCACCACCGGATGGCAAGATCCGGATATAGCCGGCCGCATCGCGCTAGCTAAAGTACAGGGGGGTAGGATCCAGGAGATGGCGAACCGGGAGGCACAGCAGGTTTTGGGGGGAGCTGGGTATCAGCGTGGTGGGCCGGGGGCGGGCGTGGAGCAGATGAGTCGGGATTTGAGGATGATGGTTGTGGGGGGTGGGAGTGAGGAGATTATTGCTGATTTGGCTGTTAGGCAGGAGGGGAGGTTGGCGAGGGGGAGGGGGTGGAAGATCTGAGGTGGAGGAGATGTGAAGGGTCATGTCATGACATTGATTGAAGTCCTTTCGGCATTGTGTAGCACGCTACTTATCTCGTACAAAGGAGATACACAACCTCAGCGTACTGACCCTAGCCCCAAAACGCCATCGAAGAGTGGGGTATGTTCATTCTGTAGCCTCAGAGGTAGCTCGTTCGCTCGTGACCCCAAAGCCATACCATAGCATAGCATAGTATAACACATCAAAGCACCCAAAACGCCCCGATTCAACCACCACCGTTTCGTGTGAAACAGTGTGACTCATCTCCTCACAGAATCCAACTCCTCGATAAAGCGATAAATCCCCTCGAACCCCTGATACTCAAGCGGCGAGTGCTTGTCACCCCCGCTACCACTACCACTACCACTACCATACCCAGAGCCAGATCCCACACTCCCGTATCCCGAAGGCGAAGACATCCAAGGGTTCTCCTGGACTTCGCGCTCAAGATCCGAGTCCGATTGTGCTGATTGGGTGGAATACGCTAGCTCTTCGATGGAAGGCGAAAGTAAGGATCGGATATCGATGGCCTGGTATTTGGATGGAAAGATGGGCGAAGCTTCTTCGTAAAAGCTGTCTGCATCGGAGCACGACCCATTGCTAGGTGCGAAAGGAAACAGTAGAGCGATTTCTGTTCCTGTAAAGGCATCGAAGTTCTGGTCTTGGATGACGGTGCCGCGGGTGATGTTTAATTCCTCGCATAAACGGCCCACGGTCTCGGCGTCGCAGCCGGGGAAGTGGATGCGGAGATGGTTGTGCTCGTAGGTGATGGGGAGGTCGCCTAAAGAGGAAAGCCGACGCAGATCGTTCAGCACGGCTGCTAGATCCTTGAGGGCGCGGGAGAAGTCGGCGGAGAGGATATCGAGGAGGCCTTCGGTGTTGAGGTGCTGGGCTGCTTTCTGGCCCGAGGTGGACTGCGTGGTGGAAAAGCCGGCGACGGAGCCCATGCCTGCTAGGGCTGTGACGGTGGGGTTGAGCGGGAACTGGACGAAGGAACCGGGTGTCGCTCTTGGCAAATCCTTCATCTTCCTTCCCGTCTCCTGCTGCAGGGTAGAGACAGCCTTGAACCTCTTCTCCCCCCTCGCCGTGCAGCCGTCAAATTGCGCCTTCTGCCCTCCGATAAGGAAGGCACGAACAGCTTGCGAAACATTCTGCACTACTTGAGCTTGCGCAGCAGGTGTGTGGGAGAAGGACCTCGCTCCGCCTGCTCTACCTGAACCACCAAGGGAGTATCCGCCAGCTGTACGGTTCAAAGTTCCACCCGTCAGGTTAGGGCGGAGAGTCGAAGCGAAAGGTGCGCGGCCGGAGGACTGGGCAATATACGCGCTCGTCCTCGACTTGGGGAAAGCGGTCCGATCGGCATACTTGCTCCCACCTCTCGCAGCCGCTCCCGAACTGAAATGCCTCACGCTCCCCTCCACGGCCTGTCTAGTAGTGGAATACCATCTCGACTGGCTCTGCCTGATCCTCGCAAGTGGATGCAACGGATGCTTCCCCGTCGAGTTCCTAACCAGGATCGGTTCGAGCTTGGCTGCTGGCTGGGTGGATTGCTGGATGGAGGCATCGAGGGTGCGGGCCGCTTTGGTGAGGGCGGCTTTGAGGGTCTTGATGTTGCGGGCGATGTAGTGATGCCAGTGCACCAGCCCGGGGATGGGCGGCATGATTGTTGATGTGCGTACTCCTCGCACTGGTCAGAGTGGAGGTGTTGTGGTTGTGTCAGGAGGAGAGGGTTACGGCTCGTTAATGAAGGCGATACACTCACGTCACAAGGCCGAGGTGCGGAATGGACCCTGCATCTGGCTGGAATGTGGCTTAGCGGGTGGCGAAGAATGTACAGTCACGTGGAATATACCCTCAAGTGTGTGGCACTCGAGAGAGGCGTACGCAGTGTGAGTGACGGCGAAAGCAAGCATTAGAAACTTTAACCTAGGTCTCTACAAAGTCTTGCAGATAGCGGGTGAAAGCCATGGGGTACAGTATGTTAGAAGCCATGCCCAAACTCCGCCTCATCACCCCGACTAGGCGCGGACCTTCGATCGCATGACCACAAGGGAACCGTATCGTCCCAATCGAAATCGCACCCGTACTCAAACACGACATCCGTGCCCTTCTTCGTCTTGTTCCCCGCGCGCCTCAGCCAACGGCGTGGGAGGATGCTCCTGGGCCACGTGTCGGTTCCTGGGTAGAGACGAATGACCTGGTGAGTGGTAATGGAAAGATGTGAATGTGAAGGGCAGAGATCTGTGTGAATCAGCAGGTTCATGCATGAATTCGAACATCCAGTCATCGAGGCTGCGCAATATTCAATGCAAGTACTGCGCGTGTACATACTGCTTGGACACGATGTCTCGGGATCAAGGAATGTATGCATGTGAGGCTAGTATCAAGCTGTGTTGCGCCGTGGTCTCTGGGGAAGAGGTCATGGGCAGGCCTGCCATGTTGAACGTCTCGCCCATGAAGAGCACGGTTCACAGGTATTGATGTATCATCCTCATGGATATCACGGGAGTGGGAGTCGTTCCGGTAGACTAGAGAGGACATTGATATGATGAGGCGTGTGACATGTGCTCCATGATCGGTGAGACTCGGGGGACGGAAATGCGCCGCTTGTCATGTGCCATCGCTCCTAAACATTTATTTGGAGATCAGACGAAACGAGGTTGGTATGGGTTAGGTATGTCTGAAGCAGGACCTCCTATCATTCCTCTCCAAGGCGTAATCGGGCGGATAGCATCACCGCCTCGGAAGAATGTTGCCAGCAATGTCGCATCACCAGCAGCAGGAAAGAGGCCTGCGAGTGATGGCAATCCTGCCTTCCGAGCCATGGGTATGTCATGTGTCATGTGATGCATATCCTACCATGGAATACTCGACTTCACTGATCCCATACTAATGACAAGCAGGCCTCCCTCGCCTCCGCCTCCCCTCCCGCAACTGGTTAATCTTCCTCTCCATCACCGCCTCCTTTGCCTCCGCCGTGCTCTACGACAAATACCAGACCCGGCGAATAAAACAAAAATGGTGCGACACAGTCTCACACCTCACCCTCGAACCTCTCGATACCAAGACCATGCCGCGTAAACTCACCATCTACCTCGCCGCCCCTCCAGGCGATGGGCTGAGGTCTGCGAGAGAACACTTCCACGAGTATGTCAAGCCAGTTCTCGTGGCAGGAGCGATGGACTGGGATGTGATCGAGGGAAGGAAGGAGGGAGATGTGCGTTTCAAGACGGCGGAGAAGGTGCGACGGAAGAGGAAGAGGGGTGGCGAGGGCGACGCTCTGCCGGAAGAGGAAATGGCTAAGGAGTATGGGGTGGAGTTGATTAGGGAGAGGAATGGGACGGTGGAAGGTGGGGATGTAAGTGGAGATGTAATCATTGGACGGCATGCTTGGAAGGAATATGTGAGGGGTTTGCATGAGGGGTGGTTGGGGCCGGTAGACGCGCCGAAGGTTGAGGACGTGGTGGTGGTGGATGGGAGTGAGGGAGTGGTTGGTGGAGGACACGACACCGGCCATTCATCTGTGGGCGATACGGCGGTAAAGAAGGCTGGGGATGTTGCCGCAGCTGCCCGATCCTCTCCCACTCCTTTTTCACCCTTGGAAGCACGTTCATCAGGACGAGAAGAGGAATCCCCTTTTCTCAAAGAAGAAGGAGCGCCAATAGAATCAGAAATGAAGACCGAAGAAGCAAAAAAGGAAGGAACGGAAGAGGAAGAAAAACCCAAACGACGACACCCACCCCCTTATATCAACCCTTCGGACTACCCAACCGCCCAGATAGCCGCCTCAACCCCCGAAATTCTAGATCCAGCAACAGCAATACCATTCCCCCACCTCCTAGGAATCAGAAACACCCCTATCCGCATCTACCGCTTCCTCAACCGCCGCCACCTCGCCGACCGGGTAGGCCGTGATGTAGCTGCCGCCGTGCTAGGATCTTCTTACCGATCCTACGGAACCGCGACCCCCACATCCATAGACGAAGCCAGTGCGAGCGCGACAGGAGGCGAGAAGACTGTCCCCGAGCAGAGTCAGGTCTTGGCGTATGAGGAAAGGGAATGGTGGAAGACGGTCCGTCGACCGAGGGAGGAGCATGAGGAGAGTGTGTGGATTGAGGATGTTGTTGTTGATGAAAGGATAGGGAGTAGGATGAGGGGGTTTGAACTAGGGGCTGAGGATGAGGAGAGGAGTCGGGGTTTTGCGGAGGGGAGGCTGAAGACGGTTGCGGAGCAGAGGGGAGAAGAGGAGGGATGAGCGAGGGGGTGAACGCTGATACCTTTCCTCGCCTCGGTTGTTGTCTGTGCCATGTACGCGTGACTTCGAGTGGTAAAGCATCGGGACATGAGTCGACTTGCCACCGTGAAGTCGCAGTGGAGCGCAATGCCATCAAATGATGCCGACGCTGCACCATACACACGCACACCTTGACTCGACAGAAGCACCCTGCGCACACAATCTCTCGATGACTGATACTTCCTCGAAAGACAAGAACCGCCGGCACACAAGGTCCATTCGCTCATACGCTACGGCGTCGCAAATGAGAGTGTACATAAACAGATCTCATTCCTGTAAGATTATGTAATTTACAAGCTTGTGGTATAGATAATCCTTTAATCCTGCTCTCCCCTCCCTGCAGCAGTGGACAAAGCAAGACCCAGATTTCCCCGCCGAAAGAATGACGAAACTCAGATCCCAGCCGGTCCAGCCATCGGATCCGTTCAGTGCGAACCTAGCGTTCTTCATACATAGTCATACCAATCACACCCACCCACTCATACACATCCGGATCCCAACATCCAAAGAACCCCTTTACCCGCGCCCTCCACCCTCTCTCGATCCTGCCCCCCTCGCAAGCCCCTCCTGAATCCCCATCATCGTCTTCATCGTCTCCAACACACCCGTTCCATACTCGAACCCCAGCACAATCTCACACCTAACAACAACAGCCGCCAACCACTTCCGCGCCTCCTCCTCCTCCCCCTCCCCCACATCATCCACCCTCCGTTCCCTATACCCACCAGTCCCAAACCCCGTCTCGGGATTCGCCGCACTACCCGCCACGAGCGAAATCCAAAACAACACCCCCGCCAAATGCCCCCAGCAATCCGCCGTATCCGTCCTGATTAGCGCGTTCCGAATATGGATGTGCATGAGGCAGTCCTTCACAACGGGAGCCTCGGTGGAGAGGGTACCGGTGCCTAGACTCGTGTACCCGCCTGAAAGCTGCAGTTGGTGCGCGGCGGTGGAGAAGGGGATGTTGTTGCAGAGGGCCTGGGAGAAGATGAGGGCGGTGAGGCGGAGGGCTTCGTAGGTGTAGCGTTCGTGGGGGTGGTCGAAGGGGAGGGCGGAAGCGCGGGGGAGGGTGAAGATTTCGATTGTGAGGGCGGCGATTTCGTCTTTGCGAGAATCGTCTTCGGATGCGCCTTGAGCTGGGGAGGAGGAGGAGGAGGTCGTGTTGAGCTGAGCGCAGTAGGCATTTGTGAGTTGGCGGCAGAGCTCGAGGAGTTTGTAGATGCGGGTTTCGGGTTTGATCACTCTGGTTAGGGTTTGGTATCCTGTTCGTCGACAATATAAGGGCGACTCCGGGAGATTTCGAGGGCCTTTGGGTATCTGCGTTTTCTGTGCGGCTGCGAAGCGCATGTATAGCGGATCTGGTACCGTCTCGCGGAGACTCGCGACAATGTACATCGTGCTGGTCACCATCAGCAATCTTTTCTTCGTCCGACGGGATACTATGTAGATGCTTACATGGTGCATATCATAGCCAACTGGCCGTGCACCCCGAGTGCGTTCAGCCCTCCTCGCTGCCTTACCATAGCATTGATACCGCGCTCATGCACCCGCATATCCTTATCATCACATCCCATGATCCCCGCATTCAGCAAATGCAGCACAGCCACCAACGTAGCATCGCTCGTCTGCAGCATCGGGTCCTTCATACATTCATTCACCATCGTCGTGACCTGATGTCGCACCGTAGCTCGAGCCACCGACTCTGTCTTCGGTCTCTGGTCCGGATGCTTACTCTGTCGACTCATGATATCGTCGTGGGCGGAAGATATGACTATCGTGCTTAGGAATGCATGTCGAGCACTGAGCAGCATCGGCACCCAATGGTCTGCTATACCTCTACTGCCGAAGCGGCGACTGCAGCTCCATTTCAACTCGTTGACCCTGATTTTTGGGTCGTCGAGCTTTGGCCAGGTGTCGAAGGGATTGAGGCTGCCGTTGATGTGATGTAGAGGGAAGGGCACCTCGTCTGGCGTTGTCCCGAGGTAGGCGTAGTTGCGGAAGCGGCCACTTATACCAGAAACCAGCGGTGCACTGACTGCCTTGGCTGTCACTGTGGCTGTCGTCACGCGCGGTGCTTTGGCTTGTTGATCTGAGCTTGGAGCTTGATCTGACACATTGTTGCGTCCGGGCGGGCGAATGGCAGTGTTTGAAGCACTACTGGAGGAAGCATCTGGTGCAATACCATTGACTTGAAATATCCTCGAGGGCGCAACAGGATTGTACGATATGCCAGTGGTTGGCACTTCTACCCGTGGCCGCTTACGCCCAGCGACCTGATTGGTGACTCGAATGTCTTTCGTATTAGGATCTTTGGCCGCTTTCGTGAGGAAGTCTTTCATGACATGTTGCCGATTGAGCCGCAGTTCACTTCGATTGTGAAGTTGTTCCGGGTGGTTGATGACCACGAAGCGGACATCGCCACTATTGCTCGTAGATCGTGGTGGTCTTGTCGGCCTAGTCCGTCTACTTGGTGGCTGCTCCTGTGCACGATTTCCAATAGGCGCGAGCAGAGACTCATCGGCGACGGTGATATAGCCCTCGCGTGCACTCCGCGCTAATGACGGCGTGCTGGATAGACTCCGTCGTGTCTCCATGGGCGAGTCCGCACGTGTGTCTCCGTTCTCATCTGCGGAGGCGTTTGAGAAGCGACCCGGGTCTTCCACACGAAAGGTCTCAAACATCATTTCTAAGCAGTGTACGTTGAAGCTCGGATAGCACTGTCAATGGTAAGCGTGGCGGGTGTGAGTGGCGATTACGTGCACCAGAGCCGCAAGGTGGTCCAAATAGACTATACTAGAGTAATGACAATGGTGCCAAAGCGTCGGGTCTGTCAATGTTGGGCAGTTGGATTTCCAACCACAAATATGGACAACCAACACTTGAGGCCAAGTTCAAGACCAGGACCGGATGAATACCACTCCGTGATTATGGTCGGACTTATGGGCCACGGAAGAGTGGAACATCTGCTTCGCGCTTGTGATACTGTTACATCAACAGTCGTTGCGTACGCCGGGGGGTAGTATGCTCGAAGGTGGGGGCCGTGACCGGTACCTTGAGGCGAGTCTGGTTACGTCGTCACCTTATTGTGCGGCTGAACGGCGGTGACTATCGTGCAAGGCGAGCTTCCAGGCCGGACGCTAATGCACTTCTCTGTGGGTAGCCTCACGGGGACATAAGGAGTTGACATAATGTATGTCAAGGTCGTATACCCTGATGGAAGCACTACTATGTAGGAGTGGTTCCTCATCGCTAGGCGCAGCTGGCAGGGCCGTGCACAGATCATTCTGTGTACCGTGTAAGCGATTGGTACAATTTGTCAAGTGAACAATATTTGTAGAAGCAGAGCTGAGGGCATAGGAGAGTCCTACGATTTGGACACCCGATTGCATCAGCGGAAGCATTGCCTCTGGTATAGAAGGAGAATACAAAGCAAATGCTTGTTATCTAGCTGTGATACACAGTCCCATATCTAACTTCCTCTGCTGAAAGTGACGTTCACGACCCCGCGAATCAACAAGAAGTGACTAGCCGTCTGATCATGCAAGCCTTCTTCGTCGCCCGCGGTCCAGCGCGCAGTATGTGATGCTCTAACACTCAAGCTATAAACATACATTTTTGTCGTCTCTCAACCACACATGATACCACCTTGCCAAAGTCGCGTACACCATGGCGCCCTCCCGCCAAGAAATCGAGCGACTCTGCTCCCACCTCGCCTCTTCTGACCAACAGCCTTTCTTCGATCGTGTCTCACCAAATGTGGTCTGGGACGTTATGGGTAAGCCACTGCCACCTGCCGCATTAGCCGTAAGGCCATATCTTATTACTAAAATCTGCAGGTACACACCCAGCTGCTGGGCACTTTACGGACTTAGGTACATCCCCGTGCTGGGAACTTCGATAGCTCCCGTCTTCTCACCGGTTAGTCCTAGCTAGCTGACTTCACCTCTGCTCTGCAGCGTCGTGGAAGAAGGGAGCACTCGGTGTGATCAATGATCGGCTGAAGAGTCCACTCTCGCTGAAGGTCGTCAATGTGGTCGGTGGTGGGCCTGATCAAGACTGGGCGCTGGTTGAGCTTGAAGCCAATGGCGTGTGCAAGAATGGTAGGCTCTGATGCAGCCATTACGCGTACGACTCGTCGTAAGCTGACGTCCCGCGCAGGTATGGAGTATCCACAAAGATATGCCTGGGTCATGCGGTTCGATGAGCATGGTATCATCGTGCAGGTTCGGGCATATCTCGACTCGGCGCTGGTGCAGAAGGCCGTGGACCAGAATCCGTAGATCAATAGCTAGATCTGCTCATGCCTTTGCCGACGATTACAATGCGGCACCTCAGCTATCCACACCCAAAGAGAAGTAATCAACCTGCCGTTGTGCAGCCTGTGGGTTCACGAGTGCGGCGATAGACCCACGTGCAGCCCTCCCCTGAGCATGGCCAGGCATCTGCGGAACTACGCTTCCGTTCTGGCCATTACCAAGCCCAGATTGTGCGAGGACACTCCTCAACGCATCGCCCGACCCATCGATTCCCACCAAGAATCTCGCAAGCTCACCACACAGCTCCCAGTCCTGCTCGCTGGCGGCACGACAAAGTAATCTGGCAAACTCATACACCTGGAGTCCTTCTTGATCTTGCTCGAGAGCATGTAGCACAAGCAAGTAGCCCGCCGCAGTCTTCAGCTTGCCCAGCTCCAATGACTGCTCGAACAATTGCTGCACAGGAGGCAGACAGGCGAATAGTGTACGCCAGCTTCGAAGCTCTGTTTTGCGGGTGCAGTTGACTACCACGTCGAGATAGGCTGGGTAGGACGACAGAAATGAGACAACCGTGGGTAGCAGTGCTGTCTCCGGAGGCGTAGGCGGGCTGTCAACTTCGCTATCCAGTACGTCGTGAAGCAAAATCTCCAAGGCGTGCGCAAAGTATGGTAGGTCTTGGTAAGAGCTAGCCAGGTGTAGTGCTGCAGGTGAATTATACTCTGCGAGATGGTGTCGGAGGAGGCGGGGGAGGAACAATTGGGTGCGTGTCAAGTGTCTGAAGAATGAGAAGTTGACGTCTCGGCGTTGTACTAGCTCGGTGTCGAGACCGTTGACGATACCTTTTGAAACCATTGCCGAGACGGGGTAGAAGTCCACTGGTACTCGGACAGTGGCTGGAAGATCGCGGCCAAGCTCATTAGGTGCAGAGGCCAGGACATCATGAATATCTGACCAGACATGATAGCAATCGCCATCAAAGTACCATAAGGAGTCTCGAAGGCTATGTCCGAGACCACCTCCAAGCTCGTTATTGGGCGTAGTGTCGATGGTATCCGGAGCAGCAAGCGCATTAGCTTGGTCTCGTTGCAGAATGAAGTACTCCACGTTCTGCGCAATGACTCGCATATCGTATTTCAGCTCACCTCGTTCGTTGCTCGAAGGCTGTAGGAGCACGAGCTTTCCATCGACAAGAAAGAGCACAGTAGCTCTCGCCACGTCCTGCGACGGATCGCCGTGTTCGAGCTGATCCTCAGGCAGTATCCAGCTGATTGCACGGACTCGCGGAGGCGCCCGAATAATGCCGTGGAACCCGATTTGGCCAACCTGCACAAGCTTGACTGAGCTTCCGGATATTGCCACAATGTAATGGAGCAGGAAGTTGTCGTATGTATATACTAGTAGAGAGTCATGACCAGACATGGTCAGTAGTATCACAGGCGCCGAAAGCTCTTCTTCGTACAACGGTCGGCCCAACGTCTTCTCGCGCGAGTAGGCACGTAGATAATATTTTGATCCAGACTCTACAGCTGCAATCAGGAAGTGTTGAAACCAGCACATACCACCTCGGACCACAAACTGATCTTCAACAGCTGGATCATCGAATGTCTTCCAGCGTCCACTTACGACGCTGTAATGCGCAAGACCTCTGCTGCCGGCTACTGCAACGTATTTGTCATCAGGCGATATGGCAGCAGTCCTAACAGGCCATTGTGCGATAGAGTAGTGCTTAGGTACCTGAGTCGTTTCCAGCAATGACGCGTCAGAAGACAGAGCGCTAAGATCTGATGTATCTTGTCCTTTGTATAATATGATGGTGCTTCCAGTGTATAGAAGCCCTTTCGAAACATTGGGAGGGGAGAGACATCCTGTGGCTGCACTACGGGCCACGTCGAGCATCCATATGCGATCGTCTCGTGGCGCTACAATGGCCAATTGGCAGCCGTTACCAAGCCAAAAAGCACTCCTGACGCCGAGGAGCCATTTTTCATCGTTGGAACTGGTTGGCTCAGACTCGGCAGCGAACGAGTTGGCCAGAGCCGTGCCGTAAACACTCCACATTGCCCATCCTTTTTCAAAACCAGCGAACAAGCAGTGGCCGTCTGGTGAGTAGATGAGCTGGACCAAGTCACCAGTAATCGAGGTCGCGATTGGCAGCTGATGATCATGAGAGAATGGTATGTTTCCGGAATAGTCTTTGACGACGTACACATCGATCCGTCCAGTAGTAGAGCCGACTGCAATGAGTGAGAAGCGTGCATTGATAGCTGTCTTGATGGCAAGATCATGCTCGTCTGCGGGTTGCCGAAAGCAGAAGCCACTGAACACAGGGTTTTGAGCATTGGGCTGCTGCTCGCGAGCTTGACGGCGCTGCACAGCGTACGCACTACCATCGTCCGCAATCCAGCACAGGACATTCATTGGGCGGTCATGCACCATGTCCGAGATAGAGCCACTGGACGTATACCAACTCAAGCGACCGAGGAGCTCGGTGCTGGTCTGTGGCGTACCTTCTTCGGTCGCCCAGCGTATGTACTGCATAGCCGCAGGCTTTTGCGTCGCCACCAGAAGAGCGTCATCCAGTGCCAATGCCTTGCTGATGCCAGCGTCGATACGAATGACCATACGGAAACGCAGCATGGCTTCACGAATACCAGAGCTTGAGGCAGCTCCAGGTTCTGGGAAGCCATCGTTCCGTGCATAGCTACTTGAGCCATCGGCAGTACTGCTTCGGCGTGAGTGGCGGCTGGACTCGGGCAGCTGCGTGCGGTAAATCTGCGTGTTTGACTCTGTCGTCAAGGTATAAGTGATGAGATAGCCCAGCGCCGTCTGCACGATAATCACCGTGCCATCTGGTCTGACCAAGAGGTCCACATTCGGTCCATAAGCCTGCATTGACTTGACAGAGCGAATTACAGCGGCCAGAGCGACCACTGGTCTAGCTTGCCATGCAGTCACTGCAGTCCTCGTGATGGTCGCGAACATCTGGCCATTGCGAGACGGCCTGGCAGCCAAGATGTGATTTTCGATATCACTTGCATTCTGCTCCTGTGCATTGTGGACGCCATTTGTGGTTGTGCCTGTCGCTATCGCATTCTTCTCGGTATCTGCGGTCTGCTCAGACGCATCCTCCGTCGCGCCATTGTGTCTCTCGTGCAAGCTATCTTCCGATTGTTCAGCAGTCGACGAACTAGTCGCGTGCTTGCTTAAGGCATATGCTTTAGGTGCGCCAACGGGCCAGTACATGGCCTGATATAGATGAGACGAAGTCGCGAGATTTCAGCGCTGGCATGGTCGCGATCTTCTGCACATACGGACAGCATGAGACCGCCCAGGAAAGCACGCGAGGCAAGGTATAGTAGTGGGAGTAATGTGGGTTATTAGTGAATGCATTGGATCTCGTGCGATATGTCGGTGGTCAGTCGACCCGTCTGGCCACCCGCAGCTGCCACTTCAGCCCAGCAATCACATGGCAACCTTCACGCCAAGACATACAACAAGGCTTCACCATCCTATTGCTCGACACGCCGTTCAGCACACTCCATGATGATGAGAACCGATACGATATAGTCAGAGATCATGGACGAATTTGCAAGCGACACCGATAGCGACTACACCAGCTACTGGAGAGATTGGGTAAGTAACGAGCATAACTTCTTCCTTCGCTCCTCCACATCGAGAGGATACCCCTGAGACATACAGAGACCTCCACCGGATGCACCGCTGTGGACAGAGACGCTGGGCTACGTCCCCACGGTTCAAATTTGACTAAGCAGTCCGGAGAGATACCGGTCCCGATCAACCTTGATAGATGATCAAGGAAAACTGGTCTCGAGCATGAACCCTTCTCTGCATATGTCAATATTTGATTTGTGGCCTACTGGACCATGTTTCTGGGCTGCCCGGGCTCGGTTCAATCTGCGGTGGCGATCAAGCCATCCGAGGAATATTCTGCTGACCAGATCCCAGTTCATCTCATCCCGTGGCAACGAGTACTTTTGCGAAATCGACGAAGACTACCTGACCGACCGCTTCAACCTGACTGGCCTCAACACCGAAGTCCAGTACTACCAGTATGCCTTGGATCTCGTGACCGATGTTTTCGACATGGAGGTCGACGATGACATGCGAGAGCAGATCGAGAAGGCGGCAAGACACTTATATGGCCTTGTACATGCTCGTTACATCGTAACTACACGCGGACTAGCCAAAATGGTTCGTCTGCCATTCCTTGATTCCGTGGCAAACATATATGCTAACAAATCACAGATGGAGAAATATAAGCAAGGAGTCTTCGGCAAATGTCCACGAGTGATATGCGAATCCCAACACTTACTACCAATGGGCCAACATGACGTCCCGAACTGCTCAAACGTCAAACTCTACTGCGCTAAGTGCGAGGACATCTACAATCCAAAATCTTCTCGCCACAACAGTATAGACGGCGCCTACTTCGGCACCAGCTTCCACAACATTCTCTTCCAGGTCTATCCCGCACTAATGCCACAAAAGACACAACGGCGCTACGAACCACGGATATACGGATTCCGCGTCCATGCTTCTGCCGCACTAATGCGATGGCAGGAGGAGAGACGGGAAGAAATGAAGGAGCGACTACGAGGTCGTGGAATGGAGACTACGTTCGAGCGGGAGGACGATGGGGACGAGAGCGTCGAGAGTGAAGAGGAAGAGGGCGAGCAGGAGCAGGAGGGTATTGACGATATGTTTGAGGGCCAGATGCAGGCTGTGCAGTAGGACCCGCAGTGGGAAGTCAACGGACTCTGGCCACGAGGCTGCCACTTGCGTGGCAGAGAAAGATAGGCGGTTGGTCTGCCTTATATCTGCAGGCGCTGTGTTGTGGGTGGAAGGTACGAGCTATGATTATTGATTTCACAGATCATGTGCGCTGTATGCTCAATCGAGTGAAGCCGCAGTGCAGTCCTCGATCACTTTCGACAACCATATCTCATCTTTCCATACCACTGTGACCAGCGAGAATCAGCTACGTCGAAGCATAGCTTGCCAATGCAACCACCACGACTTGGAACCTCGCGGGCGTGCCATTGCAAGGCCTTTCCTAGGGTGTTGCTCGGCTTCCGCCAACCTCACTCACTGATGGGTGAGGTGAGCTTCATCACATGCACATGAATAATCAGCTATAATTAGAAGGTCTTTTGTTCTTCTTGTGGTCATTCGACCTTCTCGAGGTCTGACTTGGATATCTTTTCGAAGGCCTCACTTGCCACGTTGCTACCTTTCTACCTCTTCTAGTACAGGCTACTACCACTATCTCTCACACCAGCCACATCATGGCAAGCTCACCATCCGGCAGCATTGCTGTTTCGTCCGATCAAGCAGCTCTCTCTACCAACACAGTCGAACCAGCAGTTCCTACCAGGAATCGGTTTAATGAGTTGGCACTCGAGGTAGTCCTTTGTCTTGGTAGTTCCGCACTGTGTTGTACGCATATTGCTGACTCTACCCAGACCCGTCAAGTAATAGCATCCCACCTCGACTCCGACCGCGACCTCTGCAACTTCCGTCGTGTCTGCCATTCCACCAACGAGGCAGTCGACCACGACAACTACTCCTTCTGGCGCCGCCGCTTCATGGCCACTTTCGAGAAGCCGTCGTGGAGTAGCAAGCCCAACGTCGAGTACAAAAGGCAATACCAGAGACGCAAGACGGCCCTGCTGTATGGTGCGAGGTTCGATCTGGCGATCCGGTTTGCCCACCCCAAGGAGATCCCGAGATCGATTCATGCTTTGGAGGTCCTGAAGGAGCTTCTGCTAGGTATGCTGATTGCCGTCGCTGAATTGTGAAGTGACCACGGCTTGCCCAGAACTAACGAGATGCAGAGGCCCGGTCCGAGCAACGCGAAGCCCAGCAAGACATCATCTACCCATCAGCCAATATCGAGCATGTCAAGAAATTCCTGCAGAACCATGGCCTCCTCAATCAAGTCTTCACAACCAACTACACTAAAGAGAACAGGCGCCAAGTCATCGCGATCCCAAAAGAGCTACTCCAAACAGTCCAGGTTCTCCTTGCACCAGCAATGTTTGACATAAGATACAGCAACGACATCATCGGCTTCCCCCAATCGCAGCAAGTCGTGTACTCTACGGTCCTGGGCCAGCCAATCTTCGCTGGCTGCAACAGTCTAGACGTTAATACGGAGTGGGTCCTCCACAACCTCAATTTCTGGCGATACCACATGCTGCGTGAAAGCGAGGCCACGCTCGCCTTTGCTTTCAAAGACCTTGCACACGACGAGCTACCACGATTTTGGCAGAAGCGCTTGACCCATGGTGGCGGCGATAGTCTCGGCAAGCACTGGAAGGGCAGTTATGCCTATGTCGGCCGGGAAGACATTGGTGACATCCGTGCTGGAGAGGGAGCCGTGACGCCGATAATTGATGAGTTCAATGGAGACGACAAGTTCGGTACAGGTGCTTTTCAAGATCTGCAGCTCTCGCTAGTCGATGAGGAAGCCGTGCTATGGCCGCCATCATTCGAAGAAGCCCTGAACTCTCTGGTGGTTCCGGAGTGCCGCGCCAAGACTCGCGCTCAGAAACGTTCAGCTGCCCCCCACAGTATCGCTGCCTTCAAGCCACAGAATTTCCAGTTCAATGGCGAGGGATCGGATAACACGGAGGAGTTCAATGCTCTGGGCTGGCTGAATGCTTTGCCGCCGCAGCACGACGTACCAGGCTGGCAACGCATGACCATGATGAAGTACTTCCAGGATCCAGATACTGGTCTCATCGACGAGGCAGCGCTGTGGGCTTACGAGGGCGTGGTGCTACCGGGTGGTCAGATCATCGTGGGGAGATGGTGGTGTGTCGACGATGGTGTGGGTGAGGACCAGTATTCCGGACCATTTGTCCTGTGGTGTGTTGACGGGCCAAGATATCCGAAGAACGAGGGTGCACTGAATGAGGACGATTTGCCTTGAGAAATGACGAAGTAACATATATCAAGCGGCAACTCTAAGGCGGACATGGTGATCGGCGAGGCGGCGTCTGCCCTTTGCCTTCGATATATGACACGATCTGGCATACTGGACATTTCACAAGCTATACTTGAGTTCGGTACTTGTAGCATGTGTTAGCAAAGCTATCAGTATAGGCAATGTACCATGACTTACAACGTCAAGTTGGAGGTCCAAAGATGACCTGACGTCTTTCGTCCCAGTCTAGCACGCGCGCCTGCCCGTTATGTTGATACATGAACCTGACCTCTTCTGCACCATACCTCATCTCTTGATCTTTCGCTTCTTGAAAACCACAGCCCGTACTGCGTCCTCTTCTTCTTTCACGACTGCATCTGCTACACCAGCCTTCGGCATACCAGCTACGACATCACCTTCAGCACTCTCTTCTGTCTCTATCGGCCCTTTTCCCTCCTCGCCATCTTCTGTCTTGATCTCCCCGGACTTCGACTTGCCTACACCACCAAGCAGAGCATCCAGATCTTCGTCTGCAGCTCCACCATTGCCTCCGGGGTACTTCCTCACACTGCTGCCCCAAGCTTTCCGTCTCGCCCTATCTTGTTCCTCCTCGTCTTCACCTTCCACCTGCCGCTTTCGAACGCCCCGGAATACGCCGTCCGCGTCAATGTCGTCTTTACTGTCTTCTTCAGCCTTGATGCCTGCTAAGGACATCGACGGCTGCTCATCCTCAATCACACGCTCCGAGATGGTCTGCCAGCCACCGACTCCAGTCACCTCCTTCTTGAGCTCCTCTGGTAATTCCACACCCAGAGCCGCAAGCTGCTCGGCATGTAACTTTCTCTGCGCCGCCGTGCTGGCAGCTGGTGCGGAAGTCGCATTCGTACGGCCAAGGTCCTTCAGTCCAGAAATTTCTGATCCACCGCCGGCAGTAGCGACCTTACCTTTCCCATCAACCAGACCATTGAGTCTCGCTACTTCATCTTTCGCTCGTTGCTTGTCCCGCTCCTCTCGGATATTCGTCTTTTGCAGTTCTCTCAAACTCTTCTGAATGGCATTCTGATGCTTGAAGCTTCCTTCATGCTTCTTGCGCTCATTCTCGCGCACGTAGGTCGAGCAGTACTTACAGAAGAATGTGCTCATGATGTATAATGCAAGACCAATGCTCCCGGGGACGTAGGCACTGCGAGGAAATATGTTTGACTTGAATTGCATGTGAAAGCGGCATTGCTGGTCACGGTGGCCCAAGCGTTTGTCGATCACTACGCGTTGGCTCGAGAGAGCGTGCATGAAGGTCAGTTCTCTAACAATTATCTTCTGCAGGTACGCTCGTTTTCTCCCTCCATCTGCCTAATTGCTCTGGTCGGCGATCGCGAAGCATGCGAGCTCGGCCACGATGAGGTTCACGAAGCCTTTATGGCTGACCCACGGGGGTAGGCTTCCCTGAGCCGCAAGCCAAGAACGTGCACATTCACTAACACGACGCAGGAGAGAAGCGTGACGCTGATATTTACTCCTGCCACGTATCACCCGACGGCTCGCGGCTTGCGACAGGTGCCGGAGATGGACATGTACGGATTTGGTCCACAGATGCCATTTTGAATGCTTCGAACCCAGCCTACACGAAACCGAAACAGCTCGCCAGCTTGTCCTACCACTCCGGCACAGTCCACAGCGTACGCTTCAGCTCAAATGGAAAGTACCTAGCCAGCGGTGCAGACGACAAGATCTTATGCGTCTACTCGCTCGAGGCCGGCGCAGTCCAGCACACCACTTTTGGCAGCAAGGAAACACCACCAACGGAGAATTGGAGGATATTCAGGAGGCTGATTGGTCATGACAACGATGTGCAAGATCTGGGTTGGAGTGCGGACAGTAGCATATTGGTATCTGTGGGACTGGACAGCAAGGTCGTGATCTGGTCAGGGAGCACTTTTGAGAAGCTGAAGACTTTGGCCAACCACCAGAGTCATGTCAAGGGCATCACCTTCGACCCTGCCAACAAGTACTTTGCGACTGCGAGCGACGATCGCAGCATCAAGATCTATCGCTTCACGTCACCACCACCAAATGCCACAGCTTACGACCAGACCTCGAACTTCACCCTTGAAGCGACAGTCAATGCACCCTTCGCTACCAGTCCATTGACAACGTACTTCCGACGATGCTCATGGTCGCCCGAGGGAGCTCATATAGCTGCGGCGAACGCGACAAACGGTCCGGTCAGCTCTGTCGCTATCATCAATAGAGGATCTTGGGACAGCGAGATCAACCTCATTGGTCACGAAGGACCGGTCGAAGTATGTGCTTTCTCACCACGCCTTTTCTTGAGCCAGCCACCGCCGCCTCCGTCAGTCGATCCGAAGAGTGTGCCACCACAGCCACCAGCAGTCAGCGTCGTCGCGTGTGCGGGGCAGGACAAGACTATTAGTGTGTGGAATACTTCCTTTCCGCGGCCATTTGTTACTACCGCCGAGCTGTGCGCCAAGCCGATCAGTGACTTGGCTTGGAGCCCTGATGGAGAGACTCTGTACTGCACGAGCCTTGACGGCACAATCGCTGCGTTGATCTTCGAAAAAGGCGAGCTGGGGTACCCATCAGAGCAGTCAGATAATGAGCAGAGGCTGGCGAAGTATGGCGCTGGCAGACGAGCTGGGATCGTCGAAGGTGCTGATGCTCTGAGGCTTGAAGAGGGTAGCAAGGCTGGTGAGCTGAAAGGCGTCGAAGGACGGATGGGCGAGCTCATGGGTGACCCTGAAAGCGCGACTACAGGCGCCCTCACCAATGGTGAAAGTGCAACACATATCAATGGCACTAGCACTGCATTGGCTGTCATCAATGGCGCAACGAACGAATCTACACCAGCGCCACAGCCTCCGAAAGACCCACAGCAAGACAAGATTGATAAGATGAAGAATCGTGTGACGTTTACGAAAGAAGGCAAGAAGCGTATTGCGCCCTTACTCGTGTCATCGTCGAACCAAGGCGAGGCAAATCTACCTCGACCGCAACTGCAAGCTTCCATGCGACAAGGTGGCCTCTCAGATGAGCCTGCTGGCAAGACGCTAGACCTTAGCAAACCATACGATGGCCTACCAAAGGGAGGGTTAGCAAGTCTGCTGATAGGCAACAAGCGGAAGTATGCTGAAGTAGCTGGTGATGACGATGACGAACGCAAGCAGGCCGAGAGGAGAGTGCAGGCTGTCCAGCAATCTGGAGGCCTTCCCATCGTGAACAATACCGCCGACGGACTTGTGCCAGCAAGCTCGGCCACGGCAAAGAAGAATCCGAGTGACATACCGGAGGTTCTGCGGCCAGCTGTCGTCAATCCTAGCTTGACTGTCAGTCAGGTGAGACTAGCTGTCCCGGCTATCAGAGGCACAATACTGCGACCACTGGATGGTACGAAGCTGGCGGAGGAGCAGCAGACTAACGGTGTGGCATCTGACATGCAAGACAGCGACACGAACGTGATCTTCGAGGCCCGCAATGCCACAGGACCGTCCCGGACAGGTCGCGTACAGGACAAAGAGCCCACACGGATCACACTTTCGAGGCGCAATCAGACGCTGTGGCAGGACTTCATCCCTCGAGCTGTCCTGCTCACGACAGGCAATCGCAACTTCTGGGCTGCTGCTTGCGAGGACGGATCCGTACACCTATGGACACCAGCCGGTCGACGTCTGGCGGCATCGATGGTACTGGAGGCCCAGCCAGTCATACTTGACTGCCGCGGTTGGTGGCTGCTCGCTATCACTGCCGCAGGTCAAGCATATGTCTGGAACATCAAAGACATGTCTGCAGCACATCCACCTGTCAGCTTGGCACCTGCCTTGGATGCTGCGAGCGCCACGATGAGCATGCAAGGCCATCTGACCGCCGCGCCAAGCTTGATGTTTGCGAGGCTGAACAGTCAGGGAAGAATCGTGCTCGGTATGAGCAATGGCGATGGTTTCGCTTACAACCCAAGCATGTATGTCTGGCAAAGACTGAGCGAGAGTTGGTGGGCGGTGGGCTCGCAGTACTGGAACACCACCGATACATCTGTCACTTCCGCCGCGCGTCCCGGTAAGACCAGCTCTTCCGAGCCAAATTACTTGGACGACATCAACCCCGAAAACATCTCCGCTGGCATCATACCGCTGCTCGAGCGCAACACGACTTCCCAAGCACTCCTCAAGGGCCGCGCTTACTTCCTTCAACGTCTCGTCAAACAGCTATTGTCAGCCGAGGGCTTCGAGGGCTTCGAAAGCTCAGTCTCAATCGCACATCTCGAGCATCGCGTAGTCGCGGCCATGATACTTAGTGCGCGGGACGAGTTCAGAGTTTACTTGATCATGTACGCCAAGCGTCTCGGGGCCGAAGGCTTGCGTAGTAAGGTCGAGGAATTACTGAAGGGCCTTATGGGTCAAATCTATGATGATGAGGATGCAGATGAAGGCGAGCGTTCTGATGCTGGTGTGCTGTGGGGCGAGGGCGAGGAAATCGTCGGTTGGAACCGCGAGGGCTTGCTCAAGGAGGTCGTGATGGCGTTGGGCAAGCATCGTGATTTGCAGAGGGTCACTGTGCCGTACGCGCGGTTACTTGGTATCTTGGACGATCTCGGTGGGCAGGCTGGAGCTGATGTGGCGATGATCACGGATGTTTAGCAGCAGCCGTTGATGGCTTGGTTCGTGCTCGAGTTTAGCGTGGCGCTTCGGGATGCTGTAACGATATGCTGGTGGGTTTTCTACAACGTATAGTAGTTTAGAGGCCTGACAATGCTGTTGGCGAACCGCGTTGTGTATTTGTAAATGATACATGATCTGCTTCCTTTGCGTTCAATCTGACGTAGGTCAAAGCCGCGGCGTCCACACCTCGATCTTTCTGGTCGTGGCACGACATCTCACCTACATCGTGCTCACCTCGAATATTTGGCACCTTTCATGTCGCAATCGCATGCATGAGAAAGCTTCCTCGCCTCCAGCGCTCTTGGCACGAAAGCTCGCCCAAACATGCAGCAAGGGCAAGCAGCTGCGTGTGCAGCGCCTGCCGCATATCATTGGCCGGCGAAACCGCCCTCCAACCGAAGCCATGAACAGCAACGCATTCGCTGACTGAAGCCTGGTATTTGCTCGGTCGTCTCATTCGCCTTACCTATCCCTCATCTCACCTGTTTTAGCAAGAGTATGTCATTATCTCCCTCCCTGCGTCCAGCAGCAAATCCTCGAACAAGCCAAAAGTGAAAGGCACTCGCTCGGTTAAACAGACCAGACCAGGAAGATGGCGGCGAAGATGGGTCCGGGGCATACGTGAGCCTCCCGCTGCTCGTAACCAACTTCACCTCACTCCTGCGTGGCGTGGAGCCCAAAGCTGCTCTGCAACTTGATTTTTGTGTTTTCTGACAAGCAGATAGCTTCCGCCGCTCGGAAACCACGGCACAATTGCAGTATGAACAGGAGATCTACGATAAGCAGCATAGTGAGCCCAGCACGACCAACACCAACTCCACGGACGACCTGAACCCGGAATCCGAGAAGATGGGTGTTTCGTCTCGTGATGGTGGGAGTTCGAGTGGTACTGGTGGCGATGACCATGTCGACGGCAAGAAGCAGCATCATGGCTTTCGAGATAAGATTAAGAATATGGTTAAGGACGCTTTTCCTGAGGCCATCACTGGTGAGTTCTATTTCATGTGGTTTGAATTCGGTCTTCTTCATTCCTGGTGTTGATTCACTTCTGTAGATGTTAAGATTATGGGCGGTATGGCTGCACTTGAGACGAGGGTCAAGCGCGAAATCCACGACCCGAAACTGTTTCCTGAGATCGAGCATGTGGCGCATGTTAGACGTGGTCTGGAGCTCTGTCCTGAAGAAGCGTCCTTCCTGGAGCGCCGCAAGCTACGTGCTCGCGACAACTTTGCTAGATACATTGGCTTGAGGCCTGAGGAGGTCGATCCGAGAGACGTTCCTACGGTGGCTTTTGGAGGTAGTGGTGGTGGATTCCGAGCTATGATCGGATGTTTGGGATACTGCCGACAGATGCAACATGCTGGACTGTGGGACTGCTTGACCTATGTCTCTGGTGTCTCTGGATCTTGCTGGTCGTTGGCTGCATACTATACCTTCGGTCACGCCAGCTTCGACAGAGTCATCGATCACTGCAAGAAGCGCTTCTCCCCATACCACCCACTTTCTGGCGAGGCCATTAGGACGATCCTCAGCTCACCTGGTGGGGCCCGTATCACTCTCGGACCGCTCATCCAGAAAAGCAAGAGTGGTCTGCAGACTGTGGCGATGGACTTGTATGCCGTCTTCACAACAGGCTGGATCTTCTTCCAAGACGATCCGGCGACACACCCTGGACGGCATATCCACGGTGATGCAGCAGGCTACCAGAGGTCTTGGTATCGGTATTCTTCTGCTCGTGAATATACAGATTCTGGTGCTGAGCCACTTCCGATTATGACTGCCATCCGGCATGAGCGGCCATGGAAAGACTGGAAGGATAAGGAACATCCATTTGACGAAGTTGATCATTCAGAAGGAGATCACAAGGAGGCTGATGAGGCTTGGTTCCAGTGGTAGTGAGTGTGATGAAAACCTATCCCAAACGACGTGATTCTGACATATCACAGCGAAATGACACCTTACGAGATCGGCTGCGATGAGGTCGAAGCTTGGGTGCCTACCTGGGGCTTCGGAAGACCGTTTCATGAGGGCAAGTCGACTATGCAACTGCCAGAACAGTCTTTGGCACTTCTGCTCGGTCTCTGTACAAGTGCGCCGGCTGGCCCGCTCACTTCATACATCTCAACCGTCAGCCGCAACCTCCCTACCGGCTTCCTAGGCAATTCCATTCATGCTCTTGCAAATCGCATATCCAAGTTCTGGGGCAAGCAAGGCACGGAGGAGTTTCAGGAACATCATCCGCTTCACGCATGTAACGAGCACAACTTCATGTACCACTACACCCATATCGAGCCTGGTCAAGGACGACCTCCAGGCCTGGAGAACTCTCCTCGTATCCATCTGATTGACAGCGGTATGGACAATAATTGTCCGACATACGTCTTACTACATCCGAGCAGGGAGGCTGATGTCATCATCAACATGGATGCTTCGAGCGATGTTCAAAAGGACACTTTCCAGGAACGTGTCGATCAGATCGGAAGTCGTCGTGGCTTGAAGTTTAAGAAACGACAGGATGTCAAGGCAGGAGAGGATCCAAAAGATCCCAATCGCTTCAATGGCCTGTATGCTCAGATCTACGACGGCATACCTTGTGAAAGACCAGAGAGTGTCCTGGACTCCTACGGTCGCAAAGTCGCCAATCCACCTGCGCCTGTACACACGAGAGAGTGCACGATGATCTACATGCCTTTACTGCCGAACTCGAAGGCAGTACCCGACTTTGACCCCTCCACTGCGAAATTCTCTGGGTCGTACAATCTTGTCTGGACGGCGGAGCAGATCGAGACACTCGTCAAGGTTTGTGTGCAGAATTTTGAGGATGGGCAGGATGTCGTCAAGGAGGCTATGCATGAGGCGTGGGTGAGGAAGAGGGCAGAGAGGATGCGAGGTGAGAATAATGGGAATGTTGGCCCAGCCAATGGTGCTATCCACGGTGCGGCTCCTACCGCCGCTCCTACTGCCGCTCAAGGTACGGCACCAGGTGTAGCTCATAGTCTGGCGTCGACTGCAACTCCGAGCATGGTACCAACTGCAGCTCATGGTCCAGCACCGACTGTGGCTTCTGGGACGTTACCAAGCGCGGCTCATGGCACGATCAACGGTGGAGCTGTGGGAGTGTGAAAACGGTAATTATGATACCCAGGATATTTTCCTCCATAGGCAGTACGACGAACCTATGATGTCTTTATGCTTCTATCTGTAGACCGTGCTTCTACCCCGAGGACCACATGCATGCTTCGCCTGAAATTCAGACTGTGCTTGGTGCTCAAGCAACCAGAGCATTTCGGATCTCTATACTAGTCTTGCCAGACTTCTGATCGTATTGGCTGAGTGTCACGCTACGCATATCTTGCACGATCCAATCCGCCCCTGCCTCTCGTAGTTTCTCAATTGCATGCGTAGTAGCCAGAGCGACGACTCGATACCCAGCCGCCTTGCCTGCTCGAACACCAGCTGGAGCATCTTCCAGAACGAGCACATCGTTCGGAGAAATCTTCCTGCCACTTGATGCCTCTGCATCACTGCCATCGTTCAGGCCTAGTCGCTTGGCACCTAATCTGTAGCAGGCAGGATCTGGCTTGCCATTCTTCACTTCTTCGGCCGTGACAAGGTACTGCGGATGCGCAAGCTTCATCACGTCCAACCATCCAGTGACCAATGGTCTCGTTCCACTCGTCACGATCGCCCATTGTGCACCAGCTGCCTCGAGCTTCTCTAGCAGACTCCGACTTCCAGGGACCTCGACGGCATCCTTACCGTACTGGATCGGGACCTGACCTTCGGCTTTGCACACGAAGTCCCAATTGGCTTTTTGTGGTGCGAGAAGTCCAAGTACATCGATCGTCCTTCGGCCATGAGACGTCTCCAGGATCTGTTCACCCGGTACACCGATCTCTCTGCCTAGAGCATGCCAGTACTTCACGATAGCGTCCGTGGAGTCGATGATAGTGCCGTCCATGTCGAACAGGAGGGCGGCAAAATCATGGATTCCTGACGGGGCGGAAAAGTTGGGTTTTTCTTCATGATGAGGCATTTTTGCTCTTCGTAATCTTGCTTGTGAATTGTGTCGCCGATCATGTCAGTGAGTTTGACGGTAAGAGTCAGTCGACCTACCTTTATGATTCTTGCTCTAGCGGCGGTGCGCATCAATCCCGCCTTCTTATTCCATTGAATAATGTTGGTTGGTAAGGACATGGCAATATCGGCAAGTCCAGGAAAGGGTTTCCGCTGTGTTCAACCTCAGGCATTATCGCATAAAAGCATCCCCGAAGCGCCGCAAAAAGCACGAGCCGCAGCAGAAATTCCATCTTGTGCTGCTTGAAGCTTTTCGTTTTCTCCAGCGATAACATCGGCAACGTCTTGCACTTTCGACAGACACAGCGTTGCCAGCGACGCTTCCTCGAACATGTGTAGCTGCTCGAATATGCAGTCAGCACGATGGACCGCGCCGGAATGATGATCACACCCGAGGACATGAGCACCAGGCCATGTCCTTTTCTTCGACACCTACCTACTGGCCACACATTTATAGGTATGCACCACACCCATGCCCAGAGATCTCCGAAGGATGCTTTATACACGAACAATCCAAATCCTATAGCGTCATGCAGGACTACTCAAACTCTAGAATTACTCTGATATCATGAACTTCACGACCCAGCTACTGCATCACTCACGATCTCGAGCTCTTACTGACCATCTCAAAGCCTAGTCGGGCACGACCTGACACTCACCAGTCACAAGTGCGACTCTTGCTCCAATTCCCGGGCTGAGCAGGTCACCGAAGGATGAGCACAGATGAATGATTAAAAGGTACGTTGGCACTTACTACTTTCTCTCTCCCTTCATATGATTATAATGTGACAAGAATGGCATTCCTCGGACCTAATCACCATATGTGGATATTGTCAATAATAGTTTCAGCCTTGTATGACCTTCATACATCTTCACATCATTGCTCGAATGTATCATCACGGAAGCAGGGCTGACATGATCTCAGGTATGGCACATCCACTCCTCCATTTCACGGCCCTTGCATGATGAGCCCTTCAAAACGCAACGGGCGGACAGACTGCACTTCTCGCCTGCCAACCACCAAAATCGTGGGCGTACAAACCCCGAGGTTGTTTGGGCGAGGAGCTGCTTGTTGAGAAAGCGTCAACTGATCCACGCCTCTGCCAACATCTCTTGTTTCAGGTTCTCGTTGCAACACGTGCTGACTATGTTGTGCTAGGTACGGTACATATCCTAGCATTTCTTCCTCAGGCACAGCTTTGCAATGATGAACACTATTCACACTGTTTGATCGATGGTCTACAAGACTGTCGATATGAGCATTAAACACTGAAAATTCTGATTTAGTGAGTACATGGATTTGAAATGAGCATACAAAGCTGAAGGCTGACCAAAACTTGAAGATGAGCCTGATTGTAGCAGCTTCCTGCCATTCCACACGCACAACGTTCGAACAATCTCGCGCGCGAATAGCTAATCCATCGGCCTAGATTCGTCGCAACTATCGCACCTCGAGCTATGCTTCGAGTACTCGCGAGCACCCCCGGATATACAGCGTAAGCATCCCTTCGCTACACCATCTGCACATGACACATTGATGAGCAAAATTATTTCGCTGTGTTCTTACCGAGATCACTCTTTGACGATACATTCCATCTTGGAGAACTGACAGTCACATCCCTGCTCATGCTTCGCTACATCGCCACCTGATTGAGCAGTATCTAACCAAAGACACAGATATCCATCGAAGATGAGGACAAGAACTGGTTGAGGTAGGACATCCGTGAAGAAGCATGGCACGTCGTTGAAGCTGGTCTTTCAGTAGCTCATGGAACTATCGGCCTTAGATGCCTACCTCGATGGTGCCTGGTTTCTAGGCGATGCCTTCACCTCAGCCGTACTGAATCGAGCTCTCAGTCTTCATATGGCGCCTTTAGCTGAGCTACAGCAAGCTGCATGCATCCTTTGAATCTTATCGATTGTCACTGCCGGAAATGCAGTTGGACTAGCTCTTTATACGACACAAGATTATAGCAGAGTTTGGCTGACTTGTGGTATGTGAGTATGTGCATGACCAGCCCGTGTTTAGAGGCGTCTGGCCAAGACTTTGGTTTTGACCTGTGCACACTTCAATGCGGAGCCCCACAAAGTCACGCGGACTAGGCGTCAAACTGCTCACGAGCCTTTCGAACTTTAACGATTGCGAGCCAGATCGCGATTATGGTAATACCATCCAGCGGCGTGAGTATTATACCCGCAATCGCAGATATATCTTGACCTCCGTGACGGCTGTGTACAGCTGTCCATCAGCTGTTCCGCGTTGTATTGGATTGACCGTCTGCATCGTTCACACCATCTCACTATTTCCGTCATCGAGAAGGTTGGTGAGGCCAACCATCTTGAATTAACGCCAACGCTCGAGAGAGCCATCGAAGCCGTCCATGGCGGTCTTGACGAGTCCGATCAATTTCCGAGATCACAAGGATCCTTCGCAACGTCGTATTCCGTCTTGTCCCCATGCTCACCATCCTCTATCTTCTTGCCTTCATGGACAGAGGCAACATTGGAAATGCCAAGATCGCCGGCATGGTTAAGAAACTCAAGACGACCGGAAAGCAGTATAACATGGCCTTGACTGTGTTCTTCTTCCCCTACGCGACGCTCGAAGTTCCCAAACGTCATCCTGAAGCTCATGAAGCCATCTTCGTGGATCGTGAGGCTCTACACATTGAGAGAAACTTTGATCGCATGCCTTCTAACACGGCTACCAGATGATTCTCATGATCTTGTGGGGAGTTGTCATGACTTGTCAAGGGATTGTCAAGACCTACGATCAACTACTCGTCACTCGTATCCTGCTAGGAGTAAGTGAATTTGCCCCCTTCAGCTCACACAACAATGCTGACAAGATCATCAGGTCACCGAGTCGGGCTTCTTCCCAGCTGCATCATATCTGCCCACGACATGGTGTTGTCGCTTTGAAGTCCAGATACGACTCGCTTGCTTCTTCAGCGCAGCATCGCTCGCTGGAGCTTTCAGTGGTCTTCTCGCTTTTGGTACCGAGTTCATGGATGGCATTGGCGGTCTTGAGGGCTGGCGGTGGATGTGAGTCTTGTCACAAATTCATATCGACTCTAGATACATTATTGATCATGATCAGCTTCATCCTCGAAGGCATCATTACTGTTTTGATCGGTTGCACACTACACTGGACACTGCCCGACTCTCCCGCCACTGCGTCCTTTTTGACTATCGAGGAAAAGGCCGTGATCGAGCGTCGCGTGATGCAGGATACTGGATCACGAGCTGGTCGCAACAATACCCACGACGGCTTCCAGTGGCGATACCTCAAAGACGCTCTGACTGAATGGAAGATCTATGTCGCGGTCGTTATCTACTTGGGCCAACAGTATCTGTCTCTATGGCTTCACCTTCTCGGCACCTTCGATCATTCAGGAGCTTGGGTACAAGACCTGACAGGCTCAGCTTCTCACCGTGCCAATCTATCTGCTTGGTGCGGCCTCAACGGTCTTCTTTAGCTGGATGGCAGACAAGAAGCATATCCGATGGCCGTTCATCGTGGGACCTTACAGCATCGCCATCTGCTGCTTCGTCGCTTTGCTGGCCATTCCTCATCCAAAGTATCCGGGTCTTACATACGCTTTCCTCTTTGGCATTCCCGCCGGCGTTTATCCGCCTCTCATCACCAACCTCACGTGGGTGGGTAACAACCTTGCACCAACCTGGAAGCACAGCTCTCGCCTAGCCCGTACGGTGGCGTACCATACTGGAGCCCACCGGGCACCTAAGATACCGTGGTAGCTCGAGACTCCTCGTCGCGGCTCCCCATTGCTTCGAGCAAACGGCCCGAGTTCTCAAAGGTGCGGCGTTACGTATTCTGCTCTCTCCTCATAAACGCTGCCCGGACAGCTGCTTCGCTGGGGTCACAAATCCAGGTTTCAACATCTCCGGCCTCATTCAGCATGATAAAGTTGCCGAACATGCTGGCCATTTGTGCGAGCTCGTTGGGGTCCATGGCTGCGGCGGTCGTAATCAGTGCACACTGTAGTGTCTAGAGTCGTATATGTTGAAGCGGACTTCTGTACGGTGCTCATCGTTTGAAGCTGGTGCACTTAGTGGGTGGGTTGCATGTTTTGTTTGTCTCAAAGTGGTCTGTGCGGCTAAAACACGCATATCGACCCACAATGAGTAGCTTAGAAGAGATTGAAAGTTGCAGGCACGAACGAGAAGCCGGCCTCGAGTTGGACAAAGTTCTTCTTAGCCTAGCAGTACTCACTCCTGAGACATGTGACGCCGATCTGGGTAGTCATTCAAGTCGCCAGTCCCATCATTGGAATACGTGTAGAAGTTGGAACCAATGGGTCGACTTGAATCATTAAGCACTTGTTAAGTCGGCGCACTCGCATACATTTTGTTTCACTTTGTGCATGTCAGCATAGGTCCCGCGATGTACGAAGGAGTAGGATACTGACCTCGGGCTTCATTGTTCTACGAAGGAGCCCATAGCGCTATGCATTGGCCACGGCTCCCATCGGCTCTGCTATCGTTTTGACTCGGTCTGTTGCCTTGCTAGCACAGCGGGCAATACAAACCCTTTTTGCATGGTATGCTTCCGCTGCCAATCATTGGATGGCTATCTCCGCATACTTCCCTCAGATGGGCTTGATCTGTAACTACATGTCAGTTGATTCTGAAGAAGAACGTGAGATTTGGACATGCCTTGAAGTGGAGAGATATGAGGGAGAAGACGAGGGCCTTCAAGTCCTGCACCAAATAATAGAAGACGCGTAGACCTTCTGGGTCTTCGGACTCGTTGACATCAACCAGAGAGCCAATCTTGGAAGTCTATGACAGTGGTCTCGATCAGCATATGGTCTCAAGCCAAGGCTGCAAAAGCTTACCTCAAACGAGATGTGCTCGCTGCCCAGCCTGATCTCAAGCTCCTGTCGCCCGTCCTTGTTCTTCTGTGGCCATTTGGTATCGTCTTCTCTGTAAGACTGTCAGCCGTGTGATAGGCAAAGTCCATGATGGGAGGCGAAACGTACTTCAGAACCTCGCTATCCTTGATGATGCGTCTGATCTCCTGCACCATCAACGAGCTCACGCACACTGCAATAAGGGTTAGCCGACTAGGAGAGGGATGTCATGAGGAGACTGCATACTCTCTTTACGGATCAGCGAGTCGTTGCGGTAGTTGCTATTATTGGCATAGCGGGCAATAGCTGAGCGGCCATCGCCAACAACACGGAAGTCAAACTCTGGGTGGTGGTCAGGGGTGGTAGATGTGCTCAATATGAGTATAGGACATACCCAAGAATTCGTGTCCGAAGCGACCTGAGTGGCCGGAGCTGTTGTCATGTCAGTCCAGTGGCTCCTGGTATATCACTACAGGAGAGTGCTCCACAAGTAGAATGGCACATGATGCTCGTGGTAGATGGATTTCCGGGGCATGATCTTCACTTACTAGTATCGCACGTAGAAAGGCTCACTTGTTGCCGCCATACTCGTCACTGCTCAAGCTAGAGATTGCTATGTTTGGAGGTGAAGTCTGCTTCGATGCAGGGCTGATGGCGGGCAATTTATGCCAAGACTTGGACCCGGAATTTCTGAGGGAAGGAGGAACAACAGCTGTACCGAGACGACGCCAATGCTGTAGACTGACAACACGACAACCCGCCTTACAAACAAGCCAGCATTCACCTTGATTGAGATCTGTTACTTCCCAACAAGGCATATCGAGACATCTTGTCACGTGCCGCTCAACCCTAGGAGAGCTTCACTTTAGGATAGCAGGAGCGGGCTGGCTTCGACAATAAAATAGTACTAGCCCGCAAGGAAGACAGGCTCGATTTGGCCAGCCATAACACCACATATTGAACCAGCTACAGGCACGACCTGCCCATCATGGCGACCTTTTTAGAGAGCTCATACTCCCTCGTCCACCAGGACAACCTCGCCGACACACCCTCCCTCCAGGACCTACGAACACAATTGGAGAAGGGATCCGATGACACTAAAGTGGAGACGATGAAGCGCATCCTCACCATCATGCTCAACGGAGACCCCATGCCGAACCTCCTCATGCACATCATCCGCTTCGTCATGCCCAGCAAGAGCAAGCAGTTGAAGAAGTTGCTATACTTATACTACGAGGTCTGTCCGAAGCTAGACAGCAGTGGCAAGCTTAAGCAGGAGATGATTTTGGTGTGTAACGGTATTCGAATGGATCTGCAGCACGCCAATGAGTACATTCGAGGCAACACACTTCGCTTTCTATGCAAGCTGCGAGAGCCGGAGTTGATTGAGCCTCTCCTGGCACCGGCAAGAGCTTGTTTGGAGCACAGACATAGCTATGTCAGGAAGAATGCAGTCTTCGCCATTGCCAGCATCTACCAGCACTCTGAGCAGCTCATGCCGGATGCGCCGGAGCTTCTTCAGAACTTCCTCGAGTCAGAGAGTGATAATACATGCAAGCGCAACGCTTTTGCTGCTCTGATGACCATCAGCCATGAGAAGTCGCTGGAGTACTTGTCAGGAGTGTTTGAGGGCATACCCAACGCAAGCGAGCTTCTGCAGCTGGTGGAGCTGGAGTTCATCAGGAAAGATGCGATACAGAACCAGCAGAACAAGGCACGATATTTACGGCTCATCTTCGACCTGCTGGAGGCCAAAGACAGCACGGTTGTATACGAGGCGGCAAGCAGTCTTACATCACTCACGAACAACCCTGTTGCAGTCAAGGCAGCGGCATCAAAGTTCATCGAACTCAGCATCAAAGAGTCGGACAACAATGTTAAGCTTATCGTGCTGGAGAAGGTCAACCAGCTACGGCAAGCAAATGAAGGCGTGCTGGACGATCTGACCATGGAAATTTTGCGCGTTCTATCGTCACCCGATCTGGACGTGCGAAGAAAAGCTCTTGAGCTTGCGATGGACATGGTGTCCTCGAAGAATGTGGAAGAGGTTGTCATGCTGCTCAAGAAGGAGCTCGGAAAGACTGTGGACGAGCAGTCCTACGAGAAGAACAACGAATACCGATCTTTACTCATCCACTCTATTCATCAATGCGCCATCAAGTTCTCGGAGATCGCGCAGAGTGTGGTCGGTCTGCTCATGGACTTCATCAGCGACTTCAACAATGCCTCCGCAGTTGACGTGATCAGCTTCGTCAAAGAAGTGGTCGAGCGCTTCCCGAAGATGCGATCCAGCATTATTGCTCGATTAGTGGAGACGCTGGGCGAAGTCCGTGCTGGTAAGGTCTATCGAGGCGCATTGTGGATCATTGGTGAGTACTCGTTAGAGGAGCAGGATATTCGAGATGCGTGGAAGCGCGTTCGAGCCAGTCTTGGCGAGATTCCCATTGTCGCTAGCGAGGCACGATTGCTAGAAGAGCAGCCCGATGGCGAGTCGACAGATCTCTTGGACTCCGCTGCGCAGACTAACGGCCATTCGAAGCCCAGCCAGCCTACAGGCAGCCGAAAGATACTGGCTGATGGTACATACGCCACCGAATCGGCACTCACATCCACCGCGAGCGCCAAGGCAAAGCTTGATGCTGTGAAGGCGGCGCAGAAGCCACCACTTAGGCAGCTGATACTTGACGGCGACTTCTATCTTGCGACTGTACTCTCATCCACGCTCACCAAGCTCGTCATGCGACATTCCGAGATCTCTAGTGACTCTGCGCGGACGAATGCGTTGAGAGCAGAGGCTATGCTGATCATGATTTCCATCATCCGTGCTGGTCAGAGTCAGTTCGTCAAGGCGCCAATAGATGAAGACAGCGTTGACCGCATCATGTCTTGCGTACGATCATTGGCAGAATTCGCACAGAAGAAGGATCTTGAGATAGCGTTCTTGGACGACACGAGGAAAGCTTTCCGGGACATGGTACAAGTGGAAGAGCGGAAACGAAAGGAGAAGGAGGACGTGATGAAAGCGAAGTCTGCCATCCAAGTCGACGATGTGATATCGATCCGCCAACTGAAACCCAAGAACGCCATCGAAGGTGCAGAAGAAGTAGAAATGGATCTTGAGAAAGCCACGGGCGGCGACTCAGCAACCGAAGACCTCACCTCAAAACTCAGTCGTGTCGTCCAACTGACCGGCTTCTCCGACCCCGTCTACGCCGAAGCCTACGTCCAAGTTCACCAGTTCGACATCATCCTCGACGTCCTCCTCGTCAACCAAACCCGCGACACACTCCAGAATCTCTCCGTCGAGTTCGCCACTCTTGGGGATCTGAAGGTGGTTGAGCGCCCCACCACCCAAAATCTCGGCGCTCTAGATTTCCTGAACGTACAAGCCACCATCAAAGTATCCAGCACCGATACCGGCGTCATCTTTGGCAATGTCGTATACGATGGTCCCAGCAGCACAGATAGCCAGGTCGTCATCCTCAATGACGTGCACGTGGACATCATGGATTACATCCAGCCGGCGCAATGTACCGAGACGCAGTTTAGGACTATGTGGACGGAGTTTGAGTGGGAGAATAAGGTGAATATTAATGCGAAGATGGGTAAGGGCAAGGGTTTGAGGGAGTTCTTGCAGGGGTTGATGAAGGTTACCAATATGAGTTGTCTTACGCCTGAGGCGAGTTTGGGTGGGGAGTGTCAGTTTTTGTCGGCTAATCTTTATGCGAGGAGTGTTTTTGGTGAGTCTAATCCCTCGACTGAGACCACCGTGCTTGTAAAGTGGCTTGCTGCCATCGGCCGAGCCTTGCTCGTGGTGGTTTGTGATGAAACTCTCACTGACTTGTCAAAACAGGTGAGGATGCTTTGGCGAACTTGAGCGTTGAAAAGGAAGGCGAGAATGGCCCTGTGACTGGATTCATGCGGATACGGAGTCGCAGCCAAGGACTGGCATTGAGCTTGGGCAGCTTGAAGGGTCTGAGCAAGATCGGCGAGATTGCATGATGGTATGACCCAGGATGTAAGGATGATAATGCCTTGTCGTGCTGAGCGTTCGTGGCGTTGAGGCGAGAGGAAAGCTTGCCAGTGAAGGGAAGGCTTCAGACAGCCATGGCGGTGTAGACTTAAAGCTAGCATGAGTGAATGGCGAAGAAATACAATGCAAGCCTGGCAGGTCGCGCTGGTATCGATATGCGCTATTTGCGCGCACAGACCACACCATACGCGCCGCAGAACATAGGTAGGTCCAAGGCTCAGGAATGGCTTGGTTGGAGCAGGGAAGTTTCCTTCGATAACGAGTAACGGCCACGAATATTGAGGTCCTAGAGTCTTGCACTGGCAGGGCTGCGACCAACGGAACGGTCATCATCAGCAGACAGCGTGACTTGTAGCGAGGCAAATCACAAGATGCTGGCTAGTGGCATGACTGATAAATGGTTGTGTTATATCTACCACACAATGATATTCGCGCGGGAATTACTCGCTCAATTGTATCCTGAACATGACATATCGTAGCACGAACTCAATCGATCTGCAAGAGTCCATCACATAGTAGCAGTCGAAGTAGCAGACATCGGCAAACACTCCCATTCGCAAGGTGAGATGTACATGCACTGGTAGCCCGCAGCGCAAGGACATATGGCGTTGGTACCCGTGCAAGCTGAAGTAGCCACCGAAGTAGTGTACGCCGTACTTGACGTTGGCGCGCTGGTTATCGTAGGACTTGAGGACGTGGTAGTGGTAGTTATGGTTGTAGTGTAGTAGGCGGTGACAGTAATTGTCGGAGTGGACGCAGTAGCGGTGACAGTGGTGTATGCCGGACAAGACGAGCCACTCACAGGGCGTTCGACTGGTTGCACCAAGTGAGCTGCCGCCGGCAAAGCTACCGCTTGATTCTGAGCCGGCACGCCCGCGACATGAGCTGCAGCGGGTTGTGCCTTTGCTGCATTCGCGTTATTCGCTACTGGTTTGGCTTGTGGCTGTTGTGCGGCGTTATCGCTCGATGCCTGAGATGCTGGAGAAGCGGCGGCCTCTGGAACGTCTGGAATGGCTTGGAAGCCGGCCTCGATCTCGTCCATGGCAAAGACCTCCAACGCTTGCTTCAAAGCGGCTGCCTCGTATATCAGTGCTTCGGGCTTTATGGCTGCTGCGTTGTGCGAGGCGGGCATAGCGTTCGCTGGCTCTCTGTTGATGCCTGCCGCAGGCAATGCTACAACACCCGGAGCTTTGTGCTGGACTGGTTGGTGTTTGGCAGCGGGAGCAGCTCCAGGTTTCGCTTTTGGCACGGCCTGATGAGCATTCGCTGACACTGCCGCTGGCTTGGCCTGTGCTTGGTGGATTGGCTCGCGATTGATTGCCGCAGGGATGTGTCCAAGGTGCTCAGCCGGCTTGACTTGATCGTGCGCACCTAGCCATCCAGCCATATCCCGAGCCAACTTCGCGTTCTGGCGTTCGGATCGTCTACCGACTCGAGGACCAGCTGCAGATGCATAAGAAGCGGCCATCAAGGCGATGAGCACCACGAGCCGCATGATAAGGTTTGGCGTATTGCAAACGAGCGGCAGGGGTGGGTAATACTTGGGAGAGTTGCGCAACAGGAGTATTCTTGATGGATGTCCGATAGATGAGCGCTTGGCGGACAGATGGACATACTTACGGCGCGTTCGCGGGCTGCAGAAGAGGGTTGTTGACAATCTTGTCGGCAAGGCGATTGGAATGTGGAAGGGCATGCGGCACTCACCGATAGCAACCAGAGCAAACAGGCACGTGAGCGCCTAGACTTTGACCATGGACCTATCACAGCTCCATGCGATCTCGTGGCCGATAGACTTGATGGAGGACAGCCCGCGGCGAAGATGTCTATCTCATGTGTGTCGGGTTTGGCGTGGTGCCTCGCGTACGGCCGATGCTCCAGTAGAGGTTCTATGACATTGCAGCTAGTGGAGTCGGCCAAACGAAAGGGTCATCTGCGGAAGCTTCTGAAATCTAATTTGGTAGTCCTGCTTACGTTGTCTTGATGCTGGACTTGAAGCAGTATTCTGAAGGCGTGCTTAATCATGCGCTGTGTGGGGCGGGGTGAACATACGCTTTCTCCACACGTCTACAACGCCTACGCAGCTCTGCGTGTTATCATTTGGGAGCACCGGCATGATTTTGCGTAAGGACCTTGTCACGCGCCCGCAGAGAGATGTTAGTCGTGAGCGGCTTCTTCCTTATTCGGCCACAACTTCTGTTCAACGGACGAACCCGCCACCTTGCAGCGCGTCACGATAACTTCCAGACTCAATTCGCACAAGCATGAAGGAATCGTGTCGCAGGGTGTCATCATGACTGCAGCATCGACCTAGTCGTATTTGCACCTGTTCATGTCTTCCTCTGATGGTGGCGAAAAGCCTTCGGACCTTGACCCGCGTGAACAGGACCAACAAGAATCTAATGGCTACGACAAAAAGCCTACAACGCGAGATGAGATGTCGAAGATGCTGTCCCGGGACCCGAGTCGGCAAGATATCTTCCACCGAGACAGCAGCAACAACGACGCAAGCTTTCCACCAGGATTTCTGGCGGCGATGAAACCAGATTCCGAAGCAGAACTCAATCCCGAGAAGCTTCGTCCACAATTCAAATGGAAGACTCATGCTGGTCATGACCGAGCCCTCCCTGGCAGTGATGATATCTGGAAGGAGAGCCGTCTGGGACTGCCGCACGAGTGGCCCACGGTTCTCCAGTCGTACGTGCGGACACTGACATCCTTTCGATATCCGGCGGCCATCTATTGGGGAACGGACCTCATAATGCTTCATAACCGATCATGGCAAGAGGCTGGTGTCAAGTCCGAACAAGGGCAGATCCAGCGAGACTCACTCAACGCCGATGCTTCTGCAGCTCTTTCCGCGACGCTGCATGGTGGCGAACCGAAGCAGATCCACAGTAGGCTTCTTCTCAGGACAGAAGCTGGTGACAATGATGACCAATATGTGGTATTGATCAGTCCACTTTTCGGCGACGGCGGCGTTGTTGGCCTGCTGGCACAACTGACTCCTCGGTCGGTGGCGCCTGACGGCAGCAAAGATCAGAGAAATGGACATACCAGTAACGTGGGAGATTGGCAGCAGTCGTCTTCGCCCAGTGGTGGTCCAAGCTCAGGAGATCTGGATCTCAGTCGGTTGGGCCAGATAGAAAGCAGAGGTCCACTGGATGAGCATCCTTTCTTCCAACGTTTCGCCGATATGATCCCGTCTGGACTTGCAGTGCTGGATCACAGAGCGCAGGCCGTTTTCGTGAATCAGAACTTCTGGCAGCTCACCACCCATGAAGGGGAGGACAAAAGCTTCATGGCCTGGCCGCAAAGCATCCATCCCGACGATTACGTCCGAGTAATGGATGCGTATCACCAGTCTTTTCGCAGTGGCAAGCAGTCGCGGACTGAGTTCCGTGCTCTCGGTGCAGAACATCCGTGGCGATTATTGCTCCTGACGCCGCTGGGAGATGAAAATCTCGAGTATGTCAGCCTACAAGAAAGAGGTGGTTTCATATGCAGTATTGTCGACATAAGCTCCGAGAAAGGCGCCGAAATATCGGAAAGACACGCAGCGAAGGAAGCGAAGGAAAGGCGTGAGCAGCAGGAACGTTTCATCGACATGATCTCACACGAGATTCGCAACCCGCTATCCGCTGTACTGCATTGCTCGGAAGATATTGATGAGGCTATCAGTGATGAAAGTAACATCGACCTCGCCGCAATCCAGGAGTCGGTAGAGACGATTAACCTATGCATACAGCATCAACGAAACATCGTGGATGATGTGCTGTCCTTTTCGAAACTGGACGCCTCTATGCTGACGCTGTCTCCCAAGCCCAGCCAGCCGCGGACGGACCTGGCCAACACGCTCAAGATGTTCCAGCCAGAGTTTCGAAAGCAGCACATTGACTTTGGCTTTCGCCTCGATATCAGCTACGCCGATATCGAGATTGACTGGGTGCTGGCAGATCTAGCCCGCATGGGTCAAGTTCTCGTCAACCTCATTACCAACGCTATCAAATTCACTGCCAGTGCCAAGGTTAGGAACACGAAGAAGATTACCGTGAGTGTAGGCGCAAGTCGCGAGCGCCCTGATAGCTATCCACCGAACGTTGTCTTCTTCGGCACTGATAGTGTGGCGGCGAAGATGGACAACACGAACAAGCCCGAGTGGGGTGAAGGTGAGACCATATACTTACTCGTAGCATGCAAAGATAGCGGTATCGGCATCAGCGAGGATGGCCAGAAACGGTTGTTCGAACGCTTCCGCCAAGCAACGCCCAAGACTGACAGCAAATACGGAGGCTCGGGACTAGGGCTCAATATTAGTCGCAAGCTTTGCCACCTTCACGGTGGGGAGATTGGTGTAAGCTCAACAGAAGGCGACGGCAGTACTTTCGGATTTTTCTTCAAGATCAAGCGCTCTGGCCCGCCTGGAGACGACGAGGGCCGAGCTGCAGAAGACGCAGAGAACAAAGAGGAACTACGAAAGTTTGCAGAAGAACAAGGCGCCGATGCCAGTACCAACGTCGACGAGGCCGAACTTCCCGAGAGTGTGAAGAATCCTCCCATTGTGGAGGCTCGGGATACTCCACTCTTTTCAAAGAGCAAGCCCGAACACCGAGGTAAGCAGCTAGAACGATTGGTGACGCAGACGCAGACCCAGACGCAGAAGAGTCGTAGCGGCCGAGAGGCAGAACCATCTGCCGAGCGAGACAAGACTTCTAGCCAACGGCCCACGACACGGACTAAGCAGGAATCCGAGGAAGCCGGCACGAAACAGCAAGAGTCCAGCGACAAGGCAGATGGTAGCTCCTCTGAGACCGATAGCACGAAGGGCCACGTTCTCCTAGTAGAAGACAACGTGATAAACCAAAGAATAGTGTTTCGTAAGTTGAAGGCCAAAGGCTACGTTGTCACTACTGCCGACAATGGTCAAGAGGCAGTTGATGCTGTAAGAAAGCATATGGAGGAGCCACAGCAGGAGCACAATGCCTTCGACATAATCCTCATGGACCAGGAAATGCCAATTCTCGACGGCAACGCGGCAACCAAGGCAATTCGGGAGATTGAGGAGCACAGCTCGGCTGGTCGAGTGCCCATCCTAGGTGTGACAGCGAATGTGCGAGACACTCAGCAGAATGACATGAAGAGCGCTGGCATGGATGACGTACGTTCGAACAATATCGTTCTTCCACCCATAGGAGTAGCACGCTAACATTGTGGTAGGTGATGAGCAAACCATACAAGATCCAGGACATGGTCGACAGGATCGAGAAGATGCAACGGCGACAACAAACTAATACTGGCGCCGACGAGTAGATGACGTATAAAAGCTGTTCGAATGGACGGTCATAAACTGCAGCTCTGTTTGCTCACTTTACTCAATGTACCGCTGCTATTCAGACGTATACGACTCATCTGGCATAGTGCAGGCGTTAGTGGCAGATCATTCAAGCTTTTCCGCAGGCATAGGCGTGGGCACGGTACACAGGCCTAGCATAAAAGGTCCACCAGAAAATTCGGTTAACCAGCCACAAGAGAAAATCACAGAGCTCTACACCTAAGTGCAGGCATCGAGCACTGCTGTACAGTCTGTGCACAATTATCCTCCTCTGCTTCAACGTCGTGAACATGGAAAGTACAGTTATGCTGACAAGGACTATAGTTCCCTCGTACAAATTAGCTCTAGCTGTTTGGGATTACCATGCCTCGTGACAGATGCATTGTAATTATGCCTGCTGCGTGATGATTGCATCAGTCCCGAGACGTAAATCTGTGCCGACTCGCATATCCATCGTCCAAACTCAGCACTCTTAATTGTTCCACACTCGAGTCACATTTACTGGGCAGCACGTGGGATCGTTTGGAGCGCCCGATCCGACTACCCAGTAGAGGGTAGGATAGAAGGTAAGTGTGGCGTTGCAAATGTACCTGGAGCTCGGGAGTCAGCATCGAACGCCGTCGCAGTGCACATGACCATCTTCCGACCTACCAGCTGTACAAGAAGGCTGGTCTGTCAGTTGCCGCAGTACTCCATGGAACATTAAGCAACTCATCGTCATCGAAGGCGAGAACGCTACCGCCATTGGAACCGTCAATACCGCCGGGAGTGAGTTCAACCGTTGCCAGAATGTCGCCGATGTTCGGGAAGATACCAAGAGGCTCAGAGACTACCGCGTGTGAGTTCAGATCAGGAAGAGAGACACGAGTGTATATCAGGCTTACCTGTGGCACTGCCGTTGCTGCCCGTGTAAGGGAGACTGAATGTCACGAGTCCGGGATTCTCCGCTTGCTGGCCATCATCAGAGCTAGAGGTGTTGAAGGAGAAGACTTCTGCATCGAGAAGACTGGTTGAGTCACCGCCCAGGATGCAGAGCTGTTCTAGTGCTGCACCAACATGGCATGCACTCAAAAAGGCGCCATTGAGATCAGTGTCGTCCGAGAGCAGCTCCAGGGAGAAGGCAGGAGATTGGTCAAGGTAGTCCTGAGCCTTTGCTCCACATAATAGCAGGCCAGATGCGATGCTGAAGAGTGTAACCTTCATGATCGTAATGAGGGTTCTGATGAGTTGACAGCATATCATCTGGGTGGAAATAAGCGGAAGCTTATATGTCGCTCAACCATCGCGATTCTGGCCTTAACAGACGCCATCTTTACTCCGCGCAGACGACGAGTACGACCGCATGATCACAAGAGCACAGAAGTTTGCTTTGTCTTTTATGCAGAGACCTGCATGGAGCAGCTTACCGAGATCGTGCGCCATGACTATTGTTTGAAACATTCCCGTGTGCCACGGTGACACCTGAGTACCGACGTCCCGCTTCGATACCTGATCGTCTTGGGCACGGCTGAGCATACAATGGCACATGCGTGCCGTGTGACGCCAGGGAGATGGACCTTCTCCACGATAGTATCCCCGTTGGACATGATGAGGCTAGATTGCTGTTAGGCGATACGATAGTGACCGGGACCATGCTCTCAATCGGGATCCATTGCAGTTTTCTTGAGGTTTCTCTAATGGGCTTCGTCATGCTGTATTACTGATGGGTGATACAATAGCGAAATTTCGGGTTGTGTGAGAAGGGATATACCTGTGATTCTCAAAATACCACCGATAGGTTTTGTCATTACATACTACTGGAGGCCCACACATCAGCTGAAAATTGGTTTGTGGGAAGAGGGAAAAAGTCATGGATTAATTACTAATTATACAAACTTGGTAATCTCATCTCGTCTCAAACATCCACAACTTTACCACGCCCGGCCACAATCATCTCGCCCTCCACGACCTCACCGTCGTACTCCTCCACCTCCCCACCCAAGATCGACGTCCCTGTCGTCCATAACGACGCCCTCTTGTCCTCTACCGGACCACGGTCTCCTCCCTGCTCCCCAACCACATCCCTTCCGTCCCAGAGATCGATAGGCGCCGTCTCAAAGACCGGCGGTAACACCTCACCGACCCGGAACGACGGGGATGTGGCTGTGAAAGTCAGCCATACCGACGCACGCTCATCTCGCATCAGATCTACCAAACTGTACGACGGGATTCGATGGACGATTTTGAGTCCCAGACCAGCCATCATACAGATGGTAGACGACATCTCCTTAGTGGAGACTTCGACATGGCGGAGCATACTCCGCTCTTCTCTGGACAGAGCCACCAGCCAACGAACCGGTCGGGACGACGAGCGAAGAAGGCAGGAGTTCACCAGCATGAACTGGTTGGCGCTGTAGTATCGGAACAGGCTCTCGCCGCGGAGCAGACGATTCGTACGAGCCAACGCAGGCTGTTTCGTAGCTGAGAACCCGCAGAGCCCGCAGGAACAGACGAGACTGGACCGCCGCAGAGAATGACTTGGTCAGTGATCTTTTGGCGGAGATCAGACGGTAGACCGAGCAAGGTGGGTTCATACTTGACGCCACAGATTGCTGATACTCTCTCCGCGAAACGAGATGGGCGAGTAGCTGTTCTGGTGCCTGCCAGGAGTCCAGATGCCATTCGCCTGATCGGGACACTGTTGCTACCAGTAGGACGCACGGGAGCCAGGCCGAATGTGACTTTCTTCAAAGACTGTTTGAATGACTCTCGAAGGCGTTGGCTTGGCATATCTTGCTGGGTTGCTGCATTAGAGGTATTGGCGCTGCTCTTGTTTTCGAAATACTGCGGGTAGCCCTTGAACTTCGGAATGATCGACTTCATGCGCATGAGCTCGCTGAGCTTCTTCTCGTCGTTCGTGCCGAGCAGGTGCATCCTGGTCTGGTTTGTGACGTTGGTGAGTGGACTGTTCTCCTTGGATGGCGGGCCACGAGCAACACCTGGTGTGAGGGTCTTGCGGATGGTCTCCTGATTCTTGTCGTAGGACAACTGGTTATGGCGGACGTCCTCACTGGATTGAATGCCGCTCTTCTTGGAAATCTTGGGATCGACAGTAGACTTCGGCTGCCACTTCTGGTCATCGGCCCCTTTCTCCCGCAGACTCTCCGCCTCAGGATCAAACAGCTTACCCTTCGGACGCACGAGCTCGCTCTCCATCGTCACCATACCCGCATCCCCCTCAACCACCTCATCCTCAGGCACAGTAGGCATCATCATCTCCTTAGCCGTCTCCAAACAAATCTGTTCCCGACTCCTCTTGACAACCACACTCTTCCCCTTGGCCTTCCCAACAGAAACCCTCACACCACCATTTCTCTCATCTCTAACAACCTCCCCCCCATCCTCATCAATTTCCTTGCCATCCAACTCCGCAATGCCAGTGATGTCAGGGTGCGTGCGAGTATATGATAAGTTCTTACCTTGTTCAAGTCTCTGCTGGACATAGTCGAGTTCGGCGTTGTAGCGATTCGTCATGCGTCTGCTGAAGGCTCCCGTGCCGAAGGTCAGTGGACGATGAATGGCGGCAGGGATTTCTGCTTCGTTGAAGCCTGCTGATCCGCTGATGCTGATCATGAGGTTCTCCATGGCGTTGCTTGTGCGTTGAGTGTAGGATGGGCGGCGGGCCATGTCGGAGGCAGTGTTGTTGCGAAGCATGTTGACGATACGGTGGTAGTCTTGGAGCGGTTCTTGTTTCTTGGTATACAGGTCTGCGGTTGCACTGTCGCGTCAAGTACGAGAGCAGAAGAATGTCTCGAAGCCCGGTAGATATATCCAAGCAGCCGTGTGATGTGAAGAACGAAGGTAGTATGCCTCGAACAGGAAATCCACTGCCCAGTGATGTGGCATTCGAAGGTATGATGTCCTCAAGCAGAGACTTCACCGGTGAAGTGACCTTGAACCCTTCCAGAGGCGAAGATCGACCTTGATCTCCGATCTTGCCCGTGCCTCTCCAGATAGGAAGGCACGAGGCAGTGCTTTTGAGCCAACGGCCATTGTTATGGATAGCGTCAATGACAGCGAGCATCAATGAACCCTGATGGCAGTAGAAGATAGCAGACCTGTGCCGTCGCTGTCGTACCCCGTCCCAAGTGTTGGTCGCAGAGTAGTCGGCCACATTAGGAAGGCACGATCACATGCTTCCAAGCAAGATGGTCAAGTCCTTGAAGCTTGCGGCGGGAAGAAGAGCCAGCCAGTGAAGGTCCATGTGTACTAGAGGACAGCGATCGTTAATATGACCGTTCACAAGAGGGAGTGGGCACGGCTACAACATACCATAGTCAAGCCACTACGGCCCACGATCATGACGACGCACGGTCGTTGAGGCGACGACGCCGAGTCGGTCGTTTTCCAGAGTCCTACAGCACCTTTTGGCTCGGCATGCCAGATGGGGAATTTCTGAAGGTCAGCGTTGTCAAGAGCAAGAAGAAGGATAGAAGAACCGTTCTTGTACAAAACCGTTCCACCAGTGAAGAGAGCATGACTAAAGTGATGGAACAAGCATGAGCAATCATTTCATTTTCGATACGATAGTACCTTCATTGACCTTCGTTCAATGATAAACGAGGCATGATAATACGGCATCGGCAGCAGTATCACCAGTGAACTGCCGCCTTGTTCATTTCGAGCGTACGCCGACGCTATGCATGACGTTCCCTCAACGCCATGGGCACAAAGACACTTGTAATGCAAGGTCCCGTGAAGTTTTTGATCATCACACCATCCTAGCCCCCTCGTCCTCCCCATGAGCCACAAAGTCGTGATGCCGATGTGCTTCAGCACAATCAAGCGGTAGGCATAGCACCACCACCACTCCCAGCAGTAGTCGTAGGCGTACCAGCCTCAGCAGCCTTCTCAAGCTTAGGAAGAACACCCTGCTTCACCCAAATATCGATGAGTGGCTGCATGGGCTCGGTATCCTTGTCGTTGAACAGCCCATAGATCCTGCCCACGTTGACGAAGTGAACAAAGCACGTGTTCAGATCACGATGGCTGCTGGTATCCCAGAAGAAGAGCCAGTGCTGCCAGTAGAGGTGGGCGTAGCAGCGGAACATCTGCTTGTACATGTTCTTGATTTCAATCTCGTAGCGTTGCGGGAAGCCGGAGGTCTTGCCAAGGTAGGAAGCCGGGTCTGAAGCGAGTTGGGCCGCGTTGGGGAGTGGTGGGGCGCTGGCGAAGCTGTCGGTGGGGAAGAGAGACTGGTCTTGGATTTTGCCGGTCACCCAGGTTTGAATGTGTTTGATGTAGGTGACGGCCGGGAGGTTGATGGGGTTGCGGTTGACGTCGATCCAGGTGTAGGTAGTGCTGCATAGGCCAGGTTAATATTGGATCTGGTCAGCGAATGGAGTGTACTGCATGTCAACTCACGTGCCGGCGGCCATTGTTGGGCAGGCGGTCTCGTTACATACAGGGCGACCCGTGCTACGGTCCTCGCTCTGAACGGTTTTGACCATGCCACTCAACAGGCGGTTCTGCTCGACGACTGACAGTCACAACGTCAGTTAAAATGCTCTTGATAGTGATAGCTGACGTCACTCACTCTGATGAGCCATCCACTCGCCCTCTTCGATCAGGTGCGGCTTGGCGGCAAGAGTCATGAAATTTCCCTTGACGATGAAGCCTGAGTGCTCTTCGCGGAAGAATAGCGGGATACGGTTCGTGTTGGCATTCCTCTGCATAGCTTGATCGTTCGTGGCCATGCTGTGGGTGAGCGACGGAGAAGCAGGAGCTGCCGGGATCGAAGGTGGCGCAAGAGCTGAGGGGCTGTACGCAGTTGGTGACGCAGTATTCGTGCGGCTTGGAGGCTGGCCTGGGTTGCGAGGTTGGCCGTTGCCGTTGGGACGCTGAGCGAACGCCCGTCTACGAGCACGCATAATGTCAGCATGGCTTTTGGCGCTCATTCCGAAAGAAAGTAAGGTCAGTTCCTGCTCCGTGATGTCTTCCGGTCTGAGGCGTGGATCCCATCCGAGTGGAAACATGTTATCGAACGGCATTGGGTCCAGATCCTTGGTGTGGTGTGAAGAGTGAAAGGTAGAGAGGAGTGGGGCAAATGAATGCATCTCCCTCAGCTCAACGAGTGAAGCTCAATTGAGTGCACGTGGTCCAGATCATGCGCGATATGAGCCAATTTGGTCTTTTGTAGGGAAGGTGCCCCGGTCAGAAGAGGCAAGAACGTTGCTGGAGCTTGTGAACGCCAACGTCATTGCTGTGAAGCCCTGGAACGTCGTGTAAACCTCAATGTGAAGGCGAGAGGGCCGGCGGTGATGGTATGACCTTGAGGGTCCAAGTGGTCGTTGTGCTGGGCATTTCATATTCGCGTTGATGTAGCGACGTGCCCATCGCGAGGTCCAGCAGCAGGGTCGTGAGTGGGGTTATGGTCGAAGGTAGGCAGTGGCGGTTTCAGACCTCTCCCGTCATGGTCGAGATAATCGTAGCCAGCATCTTGAAGTCCAGTAGCGGTAGTCCCCCTTGGTATCTCAAGGCATGCCAGTCGCCCCTCGAAGTCCTCATAGGAACTCCGCAAAGCCAACATCCTCCATTGCCAAACCAACAACGCTGTGATATGCCAAAGGGGTTCGATACTTACAAGTTACTCATCCAATTCGACATGCCGAGTCTTCGTCGCTCAGGCGTGAGCGAGCGAGGAGGTGTAGGTGGAACAAGATTCAGGCTATACCAAAGCGTATCCTGGCCTTATGCGAGTCGGGCAGGTGAGGAGGCGTTTAGGGGTTTCTACCATTGGATGTGCCTCGAGGCGGTCTGCGGGAGGGCGGAAGACAGCGGGTGATCCCGGCGGATCCGATGCGGCTCAAGCTCTAGCGCGTTCCGGCTCTGGAGGTTTGGGCGACTTTCGCGAATGCTCGTGATATTGAGCGAATGTTGTCGTTCATTCATAGATACAGCTTCGTCACGATATCGACAGCTAAGAACAACACTTTCCTACATAAACCCCACCTTTTCGAGACTTCGCCTTCACTGGTACCGGTTTCATCGCGCATCCTCCCTTCGAGCTCTGTCGGCCACACTCCTTCACCAGCATGGCCTCGGCGGCCGCCGTCGGCGCGAATGCTGCGTTGTCGCCTAGACGTAACGACGACCTGGACGACGGCGAGATCACAAGTGCCGTCGGGTCAAAAGCAGTAGACTCGACAGACTTTATCGACGATGAGGATTTGGAGGACGATCCGATAGGGACTGGTAGGCGGAAAGCTGCAGCTACGGAGAATGAGGACGGCGATGGCTTAGGCCTGGGTGATGCCGGAGATGAAGATCTGTTTGGCGACGATGAGCCTGAGACTGCACCGTGAGTTGCATCAGCAGAATATGCAGCGTTGCGAAACTAACAGGGCATAGGAAGCGACGATTGGACGATGAAGAGCTCGACTCGGGCGACGACATGGACCGCAACGACCGTGCAGCCGAAGACGGTGAAGCTCCAGCAGAAGAGGCGCTGGTGGAAGCCGAGCAAGTCATGATGGACATCGACATGTCTCGACAACCCATCCCTGAGCCCAGCGACGGCGAGATGTACCTCCTCAAAATGCCCGACTTCATGGCCATCGAACCACAAGCTTGGTCGCATGACAGATTCCAGCCTCCGACGACCGAACATCACTCGAACAAACCTGCCTCCACCAGCTTCTCCGCATACAACACCGCGCTGTCAACAATACGATGGAGACATTCACCGTCAGACCACAAAAAGATACAATCGAACGCTCGAATACTACGGTGGTCTGATGGCTCCTGTACCTTCCAAATGGGTTCCCAACCAAACGTGCAATACGAAATCGACGGCAACTCTCTCGCACCACCCCAACGCAACCCCCTCAAACCCACACCCCTCAGCATACAAGCCGCAAGCTCTAAAGGAGGCAGGCAAGGCGATGGAACAGTGCAAGGAGAGAAATACGATCCCAGCAAAGAAGCCTTCACATACCTGGTCGTCCCCAACGAAGCAACATCCACCCTTCGAGTCACCCACAAAATCACAGGCGGCCTGTCAATGCGCCAGCCAGCTTCCGTTCAAGACGACGCCATCGAACGCCTCCAAGCCGCTCTCGCTACAGCCGCAAATGCCACAAAAGTCAACGGAGCTGGAGGTCCCTTGGAGCTAGAAATGATTGACGTCGACCCAGATAAACAACGCCTCGCAGCGGAAAAGTTCATGAAGGATAAAGATCGCGCTGCTCGTCGCAAACTCGCCGCTGCGGAACGAGATGCCGACCGCAGTACTAAAGTCCTCGGCCGAGCTTCGCGATACGGTGGCAGCGGCGGAGGTGGTCTGAGCACAGGTATGCTCGAAGATGACGGTGACGGCGGGATAGGCACGACTCGCGGGAGCGGACGGAAAGCTGGCGGCGGGGCGAAGAAATCCAGACAGAGAAGGAATAGCATCTACTCCGACGACGAGGATTTCGGCCGCAAGCATTTCACCAGTAAGGAGGATGAGTATGATGAGGAGGATGACTTTTTGGCGCCGTCGGATGAGGAGGAGGTTGTGGAGGGGGACGGGGAGGAGGAGGAGGATGAGGATGATGGGATTGTGGAGGAGGGGCGGGTGAGGGAGAGGGAGCGGGAGAGGGAGAGGACGCCGAAGAGGGATAGGAGGGAGGTCGGGGGTGAGGGTGAGGGTGAGGATGCTGATGCTGATGCTGAGGGGGAGGTTGATGAAGGGGCTGCTCAGGCGGCGAGGACGAAGAGGAGGAGGGTTGTTGATGAGGATGAGGATGAGGATGAGGAGTGAGTATGCTTTTCGTGCTGTAAATCAGCGAGGCGTTCAGGTGCGGTACTCTTGGTTGGGTCAGCATTGGGTTGAGGATGTGAATGCATGGGTAGATAATGCTGCTATCTGCTCTGTACTTAATAGCCTTTGACAAAAATGCATGCGCACGTGACGCGCACAAAGAAGAAAGCTTATTGTCGCCGCTAGCCGGCCCCCCAAAAGCCATCGAACACATGTACACTAGATCGTTACAGCTCTACTCATGGTTTTGTAGACTGCATTCATGTAACCTCCAAGACACCCACGTTGTCTAAAATCGTAACCAATACAACGCTGAGGCTCGGGGTTGCCCGTTCTCAGAAGTCTTGGCATTTCGCCTTCCAAGAAGGGTCCAGCGCAACAGCGGAAACTCGTTCACCGTCGCCTGCCCTTTGACTCGGCAACAACAAGTGGCAGCCAACACACGCATCCACCACCAATACCACCACCACCTCACACATCAGCCATTGGACCAGTGTTTAACAGGTAAGCCATCACCACCTGTAGAATGCTATTGAAGGCGTGTATGCGATTGTGGCGGCCTGGTGCGGGACGTTGAGGGTTATAGGCCTGTGCTTGTGCCTTTCAGTGTTCGACAGCGGTCAGCGTCCATGAGGGATTGAAAAAGAACAGCTTGCGCTCGCCGACCAGACCAGGCAGAAGCATAGCAGAGGCACATTCATATACAAGAGCGGTCATCAGACACATGAGCCTTGGCTAATTGTTATCCTGCGCAAAAAGACACAGATTTGGGTCCTTCCTCACACAACCATCACACACAGACTCGACACCACAGAAAGACCGCCAACATGGGTCTCACCTTCTCGAAGCTGTTCGATCGCCTCTGGGGCAAGAAGGAGATGCGCATTCTGATGGTCGGTCTCGATGCGGCCGGAAAGACGACGATTCTGTATAAGCTCAAGTTGGGCGAGATTGTCACCACCATCCCAACTATCGGTGCGTATAGTCTCCCATCACACTCAATCCTTAAAGTACAAAAATAAACCGAGCCCTTGCTAACCTGAGAATGATGGCATCCAGGCTTCAACGTTGAAACAGTAGAGTACAAAAACATCCAATTCACAGTGTGGGATGTCGGCGGGCAAGACAAGATCCGCCCGCTCTGGCGCCACTACTTCCAAAACACCCAGGGCATCATCTTCGTCGTCGACAGCAACGATCGCGACCGTGTGGTCGAGGCCCGCGAGGAGCTGCAGCGGATGCTGAATGAGGACGAGCTGAGGGATGCGCTGTTGCTGGTCTTCGCCAACAAGCAGGATTTGCCCAATGCCATGAATGCGGCGGAGATTACGGATAAGTTGGGCTTGCATAGTTTGAGGCAGCGTGCTTGGGTGAGTTTGCGTCATAATACATCCGGGTGGTTCATGTGCTAATCTTGAATCTTTCTCACAGTACATCCAATCGACCTGTGCCACCAGCGGTGATGGTCTCTACGAGGGTCTGGAGTGGCTCAGCAACTCGCTCCGCAAGGCCGGCCACAACTAAGTTATCTGCCTCATCACGAACACTGGCGGAGAAGAATTGCACAAACTGTCCGCAAGGTGGTTTGTGCGATTTGTCATTACTTCACGAAAAGAACGAAAACATTGCTAGAACACGAGATGCATCATAACCGTTGACCAGACTGGGAGCAGGGAGGGAGCAGACGTTAGGAGCGTGGTGGCAGTCAGTGGAGGTTGTGGAGCAGCATGGTGGAGGAATTATGAAGTGCTGGAGCTAGGAGCAGGAGCGTGGTCTGCCTTTGTGGGCATAGTGCTCGTCTGTGTGCTACCTCTTGTCATAGCTATAAGGCGTGTACTTCTTTCTCATACGCTTTCTTCTCGTGATGCCATTATGCTGAACGTGCTGAAGATATCATGCCAAGAGATACATATCGTGTGACGAAGCTCCTCGGAAGACGCGTGTAGGTTTTTGGGCTACCGTGTACTTTACTTGCCACTGCGAGAATGCGATCAACAGTTAAGGAGCAGAGGTGTCAGAGGCCATGGCCGCTCGCACATGCATATAAGAAGCCGAGAAGATATTCCCGTCCGCTGCTGAGTTGAGCGTTGTCGTCGCGGCTTACACACATGAAGAGTCTCCTCACGGCAAAAGGCAAGAGCAGGCAACTCACCAGCAGAACTACAGATGTTGGAAGAATCGGAACTATCCTCGCCGCCACCGTCCACCAGCTCAGCCAACTCTCCTCGCCTCGCTGGGGCATACTCCCATACAAGCCTGAACAACGTCACAAAGAAAGAAAAATATGTATCGTCCATCCCACAACTCCGCCTCACAGAGAAAGTGACCTCCAGCGCAATTGGTAGGAAAGACGGACGAAGACGTCTCTCGACGAGGCCGGGAACGGAAGGGAAGCCATATTTCTGGTCTAACCCTCAGCATGTCGCCGTAGCGAAGCCTCGATGTATTTTAATGACGTTAGTCACTACTGATGTGATTTTCTAAAGAGGAGCGCGAGGTGCGAAGGGCTTATATGCACACAAAATTTTGGAGAGGCGGGCGCTAGGCTGGGATTGGGGTTGGGGCGCGGGAGTGCTTCATCACGTGCTGAGCCATCTGGCAGGTTAGTAAGCGAGAATTTCTTCGATGAGGTCGGTTCGGATGTCCTTTTTCGGATCGTCACGACTTCAAGCCGGGTCGTCACGATGGGTGAGGAGACTTCTGTTGCCGAGGCGTCATATTACTCCACGACAATCGATGTTGCAAACGTAATGGCTACTGGACAACTCATCCCGGCTTCAAGTCTTCACGGGGTTCGGCGTTCGCGGCGGCATTCTTGGCTACGGCACGATGATGGCCTGACGACTTTACATGAGGTTTAGCGGTCGTCATTGAGGGTGGCCGACGACTTTTTCTCGTAAGTTGCTTGTATGTGATGTGACGCCCTTCGTTCTTCAACAGAGCTGGGTGGTTCTATATATATGGGATCTTTCTGCTGATCCTATGTCTTCTATGATTGAGATGGATATTTCCTAACGTCTGTGGCATTTCTCTTACTCTGCATACTTCTTGACTCCATCGTTGCATTGCTTGGGCTCCTATCATGACGACCATGGACCACGACGATACCCGGGCAGTCGAGGAGACGGAAGCCGCCCGAGTAGAACGACTCGGACGTCAACGACCAGACAAGCTCACCTCGATATGGCGAGAGACTGGGTTCGTCTTCTCCATTGTCATGTCGCAGGTTCTGTCCGAATACTTCGTCTCAGGTTTCACCGTCCTCATCCCGACCGTCGTCAGGGAACTCGACATACCACCCGCCGCTACAACATGGCCAGCAAACGCCTTTTCATTGACGCTAGCCGCGTTCCTCCTACCTTTCGGTCGGCTTGCAGATATCTATGGTGGCTTTTACGTCTATATCGCAGGCTGCATCTGGTACTGCGTCTGGTCCCTCATCGCCGGCTTCTCCCAAAGCGAGCTCATGCTGGATTTCTGCCGCGCCCTACAAGGCCTGGGCCCGGCCGCTTTCCTCCCTGCCTCCTTGACCCTACTGGGTAGTATGTATCGCCCCGGACCAAGAAAGAACATGGTCTTCTCCATCTACGGCGCCATGGCGGCGTTTGGCTTCTTCGTTGGGATCTTCTTCGCTGGTGTTAGCGCACAATATGCTGGCTGGAGATGGTACTTCTGGATCGGTTGTCTGCTGTGTGGCTGTACGGCTGTCGTGGCATACTTTGCTATCCCGAACGATTATGCGGAGCACAAAGGTAATGGTGTCAAGATGGATTGGTGGGGCAGTGCGACTACGATTATTGCTCTTATCTTGCTCGTCTTCGCCGTCACGCAAAGCGCTCACGCACCCCAAGGTTGGGCTACGCCGTATATCTACGTCACTCTTATACTGGCTGTGGCTGCTTTTGCGGCTACAATCTATGTCGAGGGCTGGGTGTCTGAGCAGCCATTGCTACCCTTCGAGGTCTTCAAGATCAAGTGCATGAGCCCTTTCATCATCGGCCTGCTTTTCGCCTACGGTACTCTTGGGATATTCCTACTATATGCGACGTTATAGTAAGCTTATCACTTCCCTGTGAAGGGTCCGAATGTACTAATCTTTCAATAGCATGCAAAACATCTTCGGCATCAGCCCCATGCTAACAGTAGCATGGTACGTCCCCATGGCTCTCGGCGGCTGCATCCTAGCCACAGTCGGCGGTCTCCTTCTCCATGTCGTTCCACCCGTCATTCTCATGGCAATCACCGGCGTTGCCATAATCATCAACTCTGTCCTCTTCGCCACCGTCCCCGAACACGCCAGCTACTGGGCCTGGATCTTTCCCGCCATGATCTGCGCAACCATCGCCGTAGACCTGATTTTCACAGTCGCGAATGTCTTCCTCACGACAAGTATGCCGGCACGACAGCAGGGCTTGGCTGGAGCTCTGGCGAATGTGATTCCGCAATTTGCTATTGCGCTTTGGTTGGGATTTGCGGATATTGTTGTTACGGGGACTGCTGGGCAGGGGGAGAGACAGAGTTATAAGAATGCTTTTTGGTTTGAGATGGCTTCTGGTGCGGCGGCGCTCGTTATTTTCTTGGGGTTTGTAAGGATCGATCGGGCGAAGAGCGATCTTACGGCGGATGAGAAGGAGAAGCAGAAGGGTCAGGAAGCTGTTGTGCCGGAGCAAGTTGCGGAAAAGCCCTGAGCTGAACTTGTCTATTCCTTGAAGACCGATTCCGTGACTGCGTGAGAGTAAGGACTATACTCGACCACACTGTCCAGCTGCTGTCAGTCGGCTGAGCCCTTGATCAGGTTGTGGAGGGTGTGGTGAGCTTTGGTGCGTCGCATCGAGGCTTGCCGTTGGTCGAAGAGAACTGTATGCCCGGAGTTGCTATGGCCTGACGGAGCACTTTTACGACCCCGGCCATCTGGAAAGATCTCTCTATCATACTTAGTCGTCTCTTCTTTCACGAGTCCAACGGCGTCGCTCCGATATAGGCGATATGCAAGGCCTCCTGCATAAAGCACCATGCTGTCAACGATCATGAGATAGGAGAGGTGAATCTAGAGTACCTTCTGGCTTACACCTCGAGATAGCACGTTGGTCGAGACCACATCGACCGGCAGCGCATGCGCACCAGTGATAGTCACGAAGCCAGACTACCACGATACCGGCAGCGCTGATTTGACGTTCACGACTCCTAGATAGCGACGAATAACTCATTCGGATCGCCAACTGTCCCACTTGCCAATGAAGCACATGACCCCACTGCCTCTAGGCGAGATACGATAACCCCTGCTCGAAGGATCATGTTAGTAAGTCGGCGTGCGAAGGCGACGCGAGTGATACAGCAAGACGACCGCAGATCCCTGATTTATACGAACACCGCCATGCACCTCGCAAGGCTTGACGTCCAATGGCTCATGCTTACACGTAAGCTAAGGGACGGTTCATATGCTTCATACTCCTCGCTTGCAAGCTCCAGAGCCGAAGGAGTCTCTCCGGTTTCCAAGAACAGCTAACGACTGCGCTGTCTAAATCCTGAGGGGACGGGTGGGGACATCTAAATTGTACATAAGAAGAGATGTGCTAGTAGGAGAGGGCGCAGATGTCCTATCCTTTTCTCTTCACTTCCCTTTTACCTTTCCAAATACGATCAAGATACGTACAGCAGAGGTCAAGAGACCCGGCCATCATGAAGCCTCAAGCCCTCATATACGGCCTGCTTGCCATACTCCCCACACTCTCCATCGCTGGCCTCATCGAAGAAGCCGTGCGAGGTGATCCTACGCTTGACGTCGCTGAAGTCAAGCGCAGCTGCTGCCGAGATCCGCAGAACTGCAACTGTGGTCCAGGAAGGACCTCCCGCTGCTGTACCGCCAGTTGCGGTGTGTGCGAGAATATCTCTTGCGACGTGAGTCGAGCTTTCCATTCCTACACAAGTCTTATGAGGATGGGCCGGCTGACACAATGTCCAGATCAACGACGAGTGCGACAATGGAGCTTACGTCCGTTGCTGTATCGAGCCTGGGAAGCGTAGCGATGGTTCGGACATGGAGTTGATGTCCGGTGTACCTGCTGTGTTCCCACGCGGATGGTGAGGGTTCCCACTGTGGGTTGGCGTTGAGTAGCGCTCGCGATGTGAAGATGTATCAGAGACGAGCGAGGTGGAACTTGTGTAAGGACAGGTCAGATAGCGCTCCAAGTTGTGCATGCGCATTTCATCACACAGCTTAGACTTGAGCTTGCCGTCGTCTACCACTATTGCACCGGTGACTCCATCCCACAACAGTCCGCTGATGCTACAAGAAGTTCCGATCTATCAGCGCTGGTAGAATATCGTACTACAAGCAACGTATGGCCAAAAGGAACACGCTGGCATCTCGACATGGCCCGCCGTCGCCCAAAAGTCGACAGACCGTGCCGTAGGGGAAGGGAACGCTGCACGAGCTGACAGCAAAGCTGCACCGGCTGCATCGACTCCACATAGCTCGCAACTATAGCGAGGGTGGGAGCGCTTGGTTTTGTATCGCGAGCAAGAGGAAGATGCCTTTGTAGAAGGTCACTTGCGTTCAGAACCATTGGGTATGCAGAACATAATCTTCACAGTCTCTAGCTCAAAAGTAGATTTCGTGGCGAACCCTTTGACCTATTGTAGCTATCTCCCATGTCAAATATCAAAGAACAGGGTCTCGAACACCTCCACAAAGACACCGACAGTAAAGTCGTGACGGCTGCTTACTTCTCGAATATACCAGACCTTGCCCACACCTTCTTACTGTGGCCCTCCATTCATTGCCAAAAAGTGCCTGTTGAGCAGATCAGGAGGGAATGTGAGTAGGTCCTACCTTTGGAGGAGTATTTGTCGGTTTCTTCGAAGAAGATTTTGCAGAAGTGCTGGTGGATGTGTGAGCTGATGACGAGGAGCTACGAGTTGTCTTGGAGGTCGAGAGAGTGCTTGTAGGTTTAGTGGAGGCCGGCTTCGAAGTAGAAGTGCTTGAGGTAGAGTTCGAGGAAGTGAGTACTGGAGGTGAGCTTGAAGAATGGCTGGTTGAAGTGGCGCTGCCGGTACTCGGCAGGCATTGAGAATGATAAGCGTTCTGTGATTCGCAGGTCCATGCAGGCGATGTCTGGCAGCAGAGAGGGCCGGTCCAGCCTATGCCTCCACACTGGCCGTAGTTGGCCTGGCACAAGGTCGTACTGATTGAGGTTGTGCTCGAAGACGTACTTGTCGTTGTGATAGGTGGTAGGGTAGTGCTTGCTGTTGGGAGCGTGGTGGCAGGGTGACACATTGCGAAATACAGGTTCTCCGAGACACATGTCCACCAGGGTGTATATGCGCAGCAATTTGGACCGGTCCATCCCTGGCCACCGCACATTCCCCAAGGTTGTTGACACGATTGTGAAGCAGAGCTAATCGGATTGCATTGAGCATAACCGGGGTTGACATCTTCGAAATCGCACCGAAACCCATCCTGACAGCATGTTGGGCCTGTATAGTTCTCGGCGGTGTTACCGCCATCACCACACTGGAGGAAGGGTCCGGCGCATGATGGGTTGATGGCGGCAGTGGTCGTCGATGGCGGAGGAGTGACTGTGGAGACAATCGAGGATGTACTGACGAGTGGACCTGGAGCGGCCTCCACCACCTTCATGATGGCCAATATGCCTGCAAGGATGAGAGTGTTGAGGGACCCCATCTTTTGTGAATGTCGAAGATTGGCTATGAGAATTGCAAGGTGGGCGTCCTGGGGAGTCACGTCCTCATTTATGCTTGTCCAGCGACAGCACACAAGGCAATGTACTGCTGAGTTCAGGCATCATTGTCATCGTACTCTCGCAATGCGCGCCGTGAAACCGGCGCATCACCTTCGCACCGAACGTGGCGTCGGTCACAATGGCTGGCACAAAGCCATACCACAATGTGGAACAATTCTGCCTGTCGGGATTCATCTGCAATTGTATTGAAGCCGAGAGCCTGGAAGCTTGATGAGTGCACGTAAACCTTGTGCTTATGTGTCGTGCTTCCTCGTTTCGGTCTGTCCGCATAGACATCGTGAAACCCGAGGTAGAAGTATGGTGAAAACGACCAGCCAGTGGCCTAGCGATCATGCGAGCCCACTATATTAGGATAGTAAGTGATCAAGTGACCACATTGAGCCCTACAGATATAATTTGGAGTATTAGCAAGAGCTTCGCGGCAGAAGTCGAGTGAAGTCCTTCGCATCCGCATTCCGCGCCTTATAATTGGCCGTTGATATATTGCAGTCATGCCATGAGGGCAGTACGCTATATCGCACATCTTTCAATCGTGGACCGGCCAGCAGCTACCAATTTATGCTGTTCTGATAGCCTAAGAGTGATTTGTTGTGGTAGGAAAAGGAGAGACAGCAACGCCGCGCGATCTAGCGCGGGTGGATCGCGACGAAGGCGACTATGAGTCAGCATTTTACGTCAATGATCAGTTGAAGCATGGGGCTCTACACATCATCAAGAAGTACACCTCTCTCTGATCAGAGCCAGAGTCGCGATGACCCAGCATATGGGTCACCAGTCATATACGATACGCGCTGCAGACTTGTCCGATGACCGAGTGCTCAACCTTTTACGACTTCATACAGCATGGTGTAGTGCACCTGAGAACAATACCTCGGGTGGCCTGATCTACAATCTGGACGTTGAGGCTTTGCGTAGACCTGGGATAGAAGTCTTCATTGCCTGGGACCGCGATATACAGACTGCCTTGGGCTGCATCGCGCTTAAGACCTTGACCAAAGGGAAGCAGATCACGCAAGCAGCTGGTGAACTCAAGTCGATGCACGTTGTGTCTTCTGGAAGGGGCAGTGGGGTGGCAGATGCTATGGTTCATCGTGTCGTTGACCATGCCAGAGAGCTTAGACTCTCGCACCTCTTCCTGGAGACTGGAACGACGACAGCCTTCTCACGAGCGCGAGCCTTCTACAGAAGACAAGGATTCCTGCCTTGCGGGCCATTTGCTGATTACGTACCAGGAGATAACAACACCTTTATGCGGAAGGAGATCGTGTAATCGCTATTGGCAGGCCCACGGGGACTTACGAGCCGAGCCAGGCATATATCATTTGTGCAACCTTACAGTTGTCTCTGGTCATGCCGTCATGCGGCCGTGACATTTGAACAATGGCATAGCTCGACTCTCAAGACTTCACCGCTTCGGCCACGTCTGTGGTGATCACCATCCGCTGGGCTCGGGTGCGATGGACTGACCCTCAGCGGTCTCAGCGAGCGTTCCCAAAGCAGACTTGTGGTCAGCTATTCCTCCTCGTGAGCAATTGGATGACTTGACATCTCGACCGCAGCTGGCTACCGAAATCTTGTGGCGTTCGCCTCTAGTGACGGATCTGCACGCCATCCTTGCGAACATACTCGACCGGCTTGGCATCAGTTAGCATCCGGGAGCGCCCGGCATCCGAACATGGTCTGATCCTTACCCGTCGTACTCGTGGCGACCACGAACGAAGTACCAGATGAATGCGAATATCATGACGCCACGGAACAATACACAAGACCAGTCCATGGTTGCGGCGGTTGGATTTGGTGCCGCAGGGAAGATTCGCGTAGGGAGATTTTCGTCAACGACGCTCTCACGGCAAATGGCACGTACTTCACTGCACTTACGAAGGTCTCCAAGACTAGAAGCCAGCAAAGTGCTGCGCCATTTATCCACGGCCCTGCTCGCCCTAGATCGAAACGTCCTGGTGGAACCAGCTTCTTAAGTCGTCTTGCGAGTACCACGCCGATACAAGTGATTTGGAGCCGACAAGAGCGACATTTGTAATGGAAAGTATGATGTTGAAAGCGACGCTGCTGCCGAGGATGATCAAGCTGAATATGACTGTCGAGCCGAACGTTACAAAGACAGCTGCTCTAGCTTATCAGCGACTGGCTACAGCGATTGAAGGCTCACCAACCATTATATGCAGTTGAGAAGGATGACAGAGGAATCTACAAGGAAGAGGAAAAGGACGATGTGTTGATTCTAATCAATGAGAGAGTCATGGATCTCGAGAACGAAAGCTCAGATTATGCTTGGCACTGCCAGCCACTATTGCCTGCATGGCAAGATAGCATGCGCAGAAATTGATGCCAGTATCCTAGGACATAGGTATGTACGATAGCTCCCCGAAGCAGATGAAATGCGGCAATGTGGCTGCTGTGCCGCAGACTTGCAGTTCGGCTAAGCTTTAGTTGGGGAACCAGCCCGGACTTGGTCCACGGAATGTCCATCCGCAAGCATCGGTTCCTGATCCCTGGAAAGATCTAGCCAACCAGAAGTAACGTAAGTTAAGCCATTCAAGCTCATTGCCGGATTGCATGCGTGATTTTCTCGCCTCTATCAGAAAGGTAGAGAACAGTAGGCAGATCATGTATACTGGCTCCGGACTAGAGGTTTTGACATATGGCTGGAAGCCACCAACGAAGACCGCTCTACCGCATGATGGAAACATGCGTCGGAGCAGATGATTATTCGTCAAAATACTCAGATAAAGGTGCATGTGGAGGACACATGAGGGTGCCTTTTGAGCCGCGGCTATCATCCGAGCGAGAAGTCAAGGCAGAGGCCATGTACCTGATGAAGGAAGCGCTATCCGTGTGAGATCTTCGATACCTATCGAATGGCTCCCACTGCAACTCTTAATTCCTCTGACGTCCTCAATGATGCTTGACAGCCTGCCCGCAATACCAGGATCTGAAACATCTGGGCGGATTGCAACGTGTGTCCTCCATGGAGAGTCCCCGCTGTGAACCTGATTGTCGTATCCCAGCATCCAGGTGTGATAGCATGTGTTTGTGCCACTCTTGGTGGCAAGGTGTCTTACGACCTCTTATGCCAACTCAGGAACAAGGATGGCTTCGCCAGCGTCGCCAGTCTACGATCAGATCTGGACCATATGAGCGCTTCTTCGGCATACTCGGGGCGACTGCCACTCTCCTGAGGTTGTGGTTCTAGTGAGAAGAGTGTGGGAACATCAGATGGTTCGGCCATCAGTTCTATACAGAGTGTCGAGCCGAACACGTGCAGCCTGAATATGCACGCCAAGCCGCGCAAGCGCGCACCTGATCGGCACGCCTCCAGCATCCCTTCACGATCATTGTACATGTTGACATATAATCAGTCCCTGTCGTGAGGAACACGTCTATGTCCCCAGAGCATGCCGGAACATCTGGATGCTCTTCAGGCCTAGCTGTGAGGCAGTGATAGGCACGTCTGCAAACTGACGTTGACGTTGCCACAGAGTATTGCACAACACCATGCACGTTCCCCTGTGCCGCGAGTAAGGTCATACGATGGACGGATGAAGCACACAGTAACGGATGCACATCAAGCGACTTGTAATCGCTTGTACGGGCACGATGTCTGCCAGGACGCGGAGGACGAACAAATACCTCCACGCGTTCCGGATTGCATACCTAGGCGACTTGGCACATGACAGCACATAGCAAGTCCGCTGCCAAGGGCCCATATGCAATCTACATATGCAATTCGGCGGCAGCTGTACCGCAGTGAGAACCGCTGATAGTTTTGGCTTCCTTGCCTCCCAACACTTCCTCCACGCAGACAGTGTTCTCCTCGTACAAATCTGCCACAGATCTTTCCTCTTTCTCGGAGAAACACCCAACGAAAGAATCGATCCGCAATGTCTTTCTTCAAGAAGCTCACCAAAGAGTTCGAAGAGCTCAAATCGAGCTTTACGGACGATCCCAAGAAGGAGTCAACTCCGGCCAAGCCACCGCAGCAGGAGCAGCAGAGGGATTATAGCCAACAACAGCATGGAACTCAACAGTCCTACGGCCAGCAGCCTCAATACAACCAGCAGCCATATGGTGGACAATATCAAGCACCGCCACTACCTCAGATAGGACATGCACCACTAAAACTACCTCCAGGCTGGCATATGCAGTGGGATCAAGCTAGTCAACGGAACTACTACGTTGAGACAGCTACTGGTTGTACACAGTGGGATCCGCCTATCTCGGCCGAATCACATTTCTCGCTTCCACCATCAGGACCCCGACCCGGGCGATATGGTGCGCCGGGTCACGATGCGAACCGAGGGTATGCTGGAGGTCATGATCAGCACCAATACAACCAGCAAGGAGGATATGCCGGAGCACCGGGATACAACCCTCATGGTGCGCCGGGTCCTTATAACCCCTCTATGGGTGGACACGCTGGTGCTGGTGCATATCCTCCGCCTGGTGCTGAAGTGAAGAAGGACAATTCGAAGCGTAATATGCTCCTTGCTGGCGGCGCTGGCTTGGCTGGCGGGGCCTTGTTGGCTAACGCATTTGGTAAGTTCTGACATGAAGTCGCGGCCTTCTCTCACATACCTTGATGCTGACATTCATTGTACAGACGGCGATGATGACCACCGCAACGCCGTTTCTGCAGCATCACAACAATCAGGCGGATACTACGGTGGTGGAAGTGGCTATGCACAGCAAGGCTACCCACCTACCGAGCCACCTCCTGCAGAGCTCCATTACCAACCCGTGATGCAGATGGCGACTATGTGGACCACAGTGACCGGGAGAGCGTGGAAGAGGCCCAGGAAGACGTTCGAGATGCTCAAGAAGAGCTTCGGGAGGCTAGCAGTGAGAGTGATCGAGAAAGTGCACGAGAGGATCTGGAGGAGGCTCAAGAGGAGTATAGAGAGGAGTACGAGGAGGCGTATGATGATTGATAGATTAGCAATGCACGAGTGGTAGGGTCAATCCCGTTCACTATCATCATGTGTACCTACGTCGTGCCATGCTGCTTACATACAGGTTGTGCGTTTTGCTCGACTCCACTCGCTCGCTCGATTGTGTTCTTGCTTGCTTGCCCCGCGAAACAGTTGGTGGCGTGTAAGACGCCAATGAGGCTGTCTAGCGATGGCGCGAACGGTCTGTTTCATATACTACTTCTGCATCATGTTCGACGTCCATTTGACACTGTTTAGCTCTCGAGTTTTGTATGACCATCCTCGACGTTCAGCCAAGTTTTGAAGGCCACACCGAGGTCAATTGACAACCACCATGTGAAAATATGAACCCTCAAGCTTGATCTCGGTCATGTCACTTGCATCGACCTCGTTGTCGCCATCTTAGATCAGCTAACCCAAACCCTAACCCTAGTGTCCGGATCACCGTGGCTCCGAGGGTGAACTCAGCGGGGCCAAAATCAACCGCCTTGAATACGTCCTGCTTGATGCTTCCCCAAGACATCACTCCCCTTCTTGGCGCTGTGTCTGTAATCTTTAGCTCGACCGTGACTCCTACTTCTGCGATCGCAAATGTGGCATGCATTTCGGAGAGGCAGGGTTGTACAGACACTCCTCCGATGGCTCCCGTGCTTGGTTCGACGCGCCTTAAAACTATATACTTGCTCCTGTGGGGCCTGCGATCGACAAACCGCGTTGCAAGTGCCAATGGCTGCCAACACAGGTCCTCACGGAAGCGCTCGTAGCCGAACTAGACGTCGTTCGTTTTCCATCTGTTCGCCGGCATGAATTTATAGTAGCCTTGACCAACACATCTTCATCGAGACACATATTCGTCCAGACCCAGTACAACGCCCACGCATTATCCTGGTCGAGACTCCAAGCCAGGAGCAGAAGATATGTCTGCCCTTTGGCATCGGTTGCTCATGTCTCTTTTCGTTCCAGGCACCGCCATAGCGACGGCGAGCTTCTCTGGCTGCGCGACTGCTGTATGTTGTTCTACCCCCGGAACACTATCTCTGTCGAATTCATGCTCAGGCCATACTGGCTCTGACCTCTTGAGTTACTGCTACATAGCGATGCCCGCCCTTGCCATAAACTGACTGCCAAAATAGTGTCATGAGCTGTCATGGGTCCCAACCATTGGCCGAGTAGACTATTTCAACGATACAGTCTACGCAGCCGGACAAGAGTACTGGAGTCTGCAGCAATCTCAAACCTATCGCCTCTGCCTTTACACTCCTAGTTGCGCCGAGGGCGTTTCTCATGCTATCAAGACGATCCGCCGTACTCAGTGCCCTTGCGCTGTAAAATCCGGAGGACACGTTGCCTTTGCTGGCGCCAGTAATATCTAAGGCGTGAGTACCGGCAATCAAACCGGACGATGGCCCGCTGACTGTGCTGAACATCAAGTACAAGTGGTCAGACGAAATAGACGACGCTTTTCTTGAGTCGTCCGCCCATGCACTGCTCAACAATCTGACGGTCGCAGCAAAGTCGAGAGGAGTATACTTCCGCTATGAGTATATGAATTATGCCGGAAAGCTGCAGGATCCCTACGGGGGATATGGAGCTGATAGTACAGCGGAGCTTTTAGCTACCTTGAAACGATATGATCCGGATCGGGTGTTTGCGAGCTTGCAGCCTGGGTATTTCGTCTTGTCTTGACGACTGTCTGATCGTCACACTAGGTCAGTATGTACTCATCTGATAGATCCAGGGACATAGTTGAGGCCGCAAAAGGAGAGACGCTGCTCCATACCCTTGCCACGACGTGCGCACCTGATCTCATCGACTCGTTCTAGCCTTGCTGCTTCGGTTGTAGCTTTCGTCTCTCTTCCGCCATTGTGAACACATTAGGCTGCCCCTTTCCGTTGTTGAGCGTCTTGTGCAACACCGTGAACCTGCATTGGGCCGTATTGCAGTGACCATGCCACAGCTATACCGAAACATCGTCACACTTGCGGTAATGCCTAGCCACGCGTGTCGTCCAAGTCAGCAATACTCCACCTATCGACCGAATCGTCCCGCAACTTCGCGCCGAACGCGCTTCCGGCACGATCAAAGGTGGAGCTGGGGTTGGCTTGAAGCTGACGTCCTGTCATCTGAGTGGCGTAGGAGGTAGGCTAGCAGACAAGGCCACAGTAGCTACCCGTACCTCGAAGCTCTCCAGCTCCACCACACCCACACGCTGCCCAAACAAGCTCAGAGTTGCCCGGTCGCGTGCACGCTTATGCAAGTGGTGGGGAGATCCATCAATCGTAGCTCCGCGACTCAAGTCTGTCAGTCTGGCGGTGAAGAAAGCTGCCAGCGCTGGCTCGCCCGACTTCACCAATCTGATCTGCCATGCTTGCCGTGGCGGAAGATTCGATTACGACTTGCATTGCAGGAAACCCAATTAATGCTCTGCGCCTGCTGCGGGACTGCCGCAAGGAAGGGTTTGTTTGTTGCCGTCGAAAAATCTTCCTCCTGCATGACGCTGCGGCTATAACACGTTTTCCTTACTGCACGACTCGTCTCTCATATATGTCTACTACAACATCTCTCCTCCATCATACATACTGGCGATATACGAGACGGTGGTGGCGCCGGTGACGCACGGTGTTTCACGGGCTCGCTAGGCTTTCGGCAACGATTGGCTCTGATACACAAACTGCAGAAACGCCTCGCACTGCAGGGGTGTCGGAAACTGGGCCAACCCTTCTCCAAGCTCTGTCCCGGACACACCCTTACCGGTGCAACCCTACACCACGCGTGACAAGACGAGCGAGAGAGCTCCCCTTGTCTGATCAACGCTGCTGTACAATAATCCGTACAGCTCTTGTTTCTGTCTGCAATCCTCACCAGGACGATATTCTTCGCGACATCTGCTTGAAGACGAGACGAAAGCCGGCTTTCCGATTTCGCCTCTCATGATACCAGCCTTCTTCGAGATATCCAGTTTGTGTGCCTTCAATGGCAACCTCAGTCATAACATACAACGGCGACCTCCTTGTCCGAGAGTCGCCCAGACAAGGCATCCAGCGACGGAGGACTGGGCCGACTGAGAAGCGGAATGCCTTGAGACGAAACATTCGAACTCTGGTGGGATTCTGGGAGCAGATACATGAGACGAAGGGTGCTCTTTTGCATGTATTGGCTGGCGGAAATGGCGAGACTACGCTGCAACCTAGCGGCCATGCTCGGAAGGAGCTTTTCCAACCAATGCGAATACCCGATGCGGACATCTCACCACCACCATCATATCAGGAATCTCTGGACGATCTACCTCCAGATTACACAGACGGCCTGGCCCGTGTGCAATGCCACGAATATGCTGCATTTGCACCGGAGAAAGGTATACTGCTAGTATCTACTCGTGAATCACAAAACACAGATGTAGACCTCACATCAACAGAAGGCTTTCGCGAACATGCGAAGAAGAAAGCCAAAGCAGCCGCGAAGGCTGCTCAGAAAGACAAATGGGCAGAGAGCGGCGACGAGGGAGAGAAGGCAGAAGGCGACGCTGGAGATGGTGCTGGCGACGGAGCAGGTGGTGATGGAGATGCCGGCGCAGGAGATGGTGCAGGAGATCCACCAGGCGGAGGCGACGGAGGTGATGCTGGAGGAGACGACGACGACTGGGCAGGAGCAGGCAAGAAGGGCAAGAAAAAGAAGAAGAAGAATGCCTGGGAACTATACGAGGAGGAGGAGAAGCAGAAAGAGGAAGAAGCAAAGAAGGCCGAGGAAGGCGACGCTGCTATGGAAGCTCCTGCGGCTGCCGAGCCGGATCCTGCGGACGATTGGGGTTCTTTCGCGGCTATGGGTAAGGGCAAGAAGGGCAAGAAGGGCAAGGGTGCGCCTGAGGCGGAATCTGAGCCGCCGGCTGTGCTTGACACGATTGATCTTGGAGCGAGTGGAACGCTTGATACGCCTGCTGCTGATGCTAACCCGGATGACGAATGGGGTTTTGGTGGTGGAAAGAAGAAGAAGGGGAAGAAAGGAAAGGTATGTTCATGTTATCTCTTACGTTTCCGCGTTGCCCTGGACTTTGGCCTTGGAGTTACGCTTTGGGACCGGGTCCCGTCAGGACATTGGAAGCACCACCAATGGCTCTAGGCACTTATTGTACGTTCTGCGAACTGCTCATCTGGACATTGCGCGCTGGAGACTTTCATGGAAGCAATCCGCTGTCTTCGGCTGTTGCTCCGATATGCAAGAGTCCGATAGCCGTATGCAACTTCACCAGCGCATACGACATCGCGCAAAGACAATACCATCAAGTCGAAAACGTGATGCAACAAGCCAACCATCTGGAAACAAGCCACCATATCACCCGTCTGGACCGTCGCAATTTCTGGATTCATGCCACGTATATCACATCTAAAACCAACCAAAACATAAGACACCTCATCTGGCCCGTTGATCGAATCGCAAGATTATCCGGCCCTTGTACTCCCGTACCGGGCGATAAAGGAGAGGAGCTGCCTAGCGCAAAAACAGGCTTGGACTCGGGCCTCCGCAATCTCACAGCTTAAGCGTGCATATCGATATGCATGACGAACGGGCCTAGTCATGCGACACCGCTCCTATTGCGTGTTGTCCATTCCACATACACTGACCATTGTTATTATTGTTGTCGCATTGCTTGAAGATACATGTCGTGTTGCACGTCGCGACGTTGATGCTAATTGGTGTTGTTGCCGTCGCAGAACGATCCCGTACCGCCACCCCCTCCTGCTGCGCCCGCGGCTGACAACGATATGAAGTTTGATGATGTCAATCTCTACGACGATCAGAGCGCTCCGAAACTCGACCTCGATTTCGGGTTAGGATCTGCGGCGCCGGCTGCCGACAGCAAGTCGTCTGGGTTCAGCTTTGGTGGAGGTTGGGGCGGAGGATGGGGATCAGGCGGTGGTGGTGGTACTACTGGTGGAACATCGTGGGGATTCGGTGGTGCGGAGGAGAAGAAAGAGGAGGCGCCACCGCCTATGGATGATAATTGGGGGTTTGGGGCGTCGAAGAAGGATAAGAAGAAGAAGAACACTGGGTTTGACTTTGACTTTGAAGATGATACCAAAGGTGGTGATGGTGCTGCGATGGCTGATATCGCATCGCCATTGAAGGAGGAGCCGGCGGCGGAGGACCCTTGGAGTTTTGGTGCGACGGCGAAGAAGGATAAGAAGAAGGGCAAGAAAGGTGCTGCTTTTCTTGACCCGGATCCTGTACCTGAGCCGGAGCCTGCGCATGTCTTCACGCCAGACCCGATCGCTGAGGCCGAGAAACCTGCAGAGGAGGATCCTTGGGGTTCCTTCGCGACAGCCAAGGACAAGAAGAAGGCCAAGAAAGCTGGTAAAGGTGCCTTGATCGAAGAGAAGGTGGAGGAGCCTCCCATGATCGAAGTACCTCCACCTCCACCTCCAGCTGCCGAGCCAGAGAACGCTGCGACAGATGACTTCGCAGGATGGGGTACGTCTGGCAAGAAGGACAAGAAGAAGAAGAAGGGTGCCGCGACGGGCTTTGATTGGGGCGCACCTGCTGACGAGCCTATCGTGGAGGTCCCTCAACCTCCACCTCCACCTCCTGCTCCTGTCGAACCACCCCCTAGCGATGACATGTGGGGTAGCTTTGGCGGTGCAAAGAAGGACAAGAAGAAGAAGAAAGGCGCTGTGTCTGCATGGGATGATCCGGTCGCAGAAGAACCTGCCGCGATAGATGTTCCTCCTCCACCACCGCCAGTGGAAGAGCCAGCGCCGATCGTTGAAGACCCTTGGGGTGGGTTGACAAGCGCAAAGGATAAGAAGAAGGCTAAGAAAGGTGGAAAGGTTGTCGAAGCACCTCCACCACCACCACCAGAGCCAACACCACCTGCGGTAGAGGAAAAGAAGGCCGATGATGATTGGTTTGGTGGTTGGGGCAAGGATAAGAAGACTTCTAAGAGCAAGACCATCGATTCGCATATTGATCCACCAATGGACGATTACAACAGCCTGCAACCTGACGCCGTGATCGAGCCGAAGGCGGAGGATGATTTCATGAGTAGCTGGACGACTGGCACGAAGAAGAAGGGTTTGAAGAAGGACAAGGTGAAAGGTATTGTCGAGGTTGATCCGAGTCCAGGCGCATCTGTCCTTCAGCCGGAAGAAGTCCAGGATAAGTCAGCTGAGGATGACATGTGGGGCACTTTTGGCAATGTTGGCAAGAAGGAGAAGAAGAAGGTCGGCAAAAAAGATGTCGCTGCTGCGCCCGTCGCGGCCGTGGTCGATATCATTGCTGAGCCAGCGCTGGTCGATCTCATCGATGCGCCTCCAGCTGATGATCCTTGGGCTGCCATGTCCAGTGGCAAGAAGGACAAGAAGTCCACCAAGAAAGGCAGTAAAGTCGAGCCGGCGCCTGTCGTGGAAGTGCTTTCCAAAACAAAGTCGAAGGATTCGAAGTCATCGAAGGTGGAGTCTCCAGATGATATCGTGGCGATTATTGACGAGGTACCCTCGCCTCCGCCGGCGGAGTCTCCGAAGGAAGAGAAGAAGTCTTCTTCGAAATCTGGCTGGGGCGCTTCGTTGTGGGGCGGCAAGTCCTCGTCAAAGTCTTCTTCGAAAGACAAGGAGAAGGAAGCCAAGGAGAAGGACAAGGCGGAAGATGAGGCAAAGCGGAAGGTTCGTCTTGCGATTACCTTTGTTTTCCTATTCGTGACATGCTGACCATTGACAGGCCGAAGAGGATGCCTTTGCTGCCGCGCTTGGTGATGACCCGAACGATATTCTTGCTATTATTGACGAAGCACCGCCCAAGAAGTCCTCGTCTTCGTCAAAGGACAAGGACAAGGATAAGGACAAGGACAGCAAGAAGAAGAGCGACAAATCTTCGTCGAAGCTGGACAGTAAATCCAGCAAGAAGAGCGCGCCCATCGTCGAAGAACCAGCATTTGATGCATTTGATGATTTGCTCGACCCACCCGCGCCACCAGCCGAAGAGGGTGGGTCGGCGGCAGGGTGGGGATTCTGGGGTGCATCGCTAAAGTCCTCGACCACGAAATCTGGCAAGCAAGCTACGAATGATCCCGCGTCTAAATCTAAAAAGGAGATTGCCTTCGACGCCTCAGCCAATCACGGGTACGGAATTTCCGAGCTACCGAAGATGCCAGAAGCGCCTGTGCTCAAGTCAGCAACGTCGCCTGTTGGAAAGGCCGCGACGACTAAGGAGAGCAGCAGCAGCAGCAGCAGCAAATCTAAGACTTCACCCACAGCGACAAAGAGCAGCAGTATTCAGGATCGTATTAAAGCGTTGCAAGGTGGTGATAGTCTTGCTGCATCCGAGTCAGCAACCAAGAAACTCTCGGATTCCAAAAAGTCGAGGTACGCGCCTGCCCCGCCTGAGCCGGAACCTGAGATTGTACCGGAGCCTGAACCTGTCGTTATTGTCCCACCGTCGCCGGAAGAAAGAAGATCATCGAAGAAGAGTACCACCAAGTCGTCCTCGTCGAAGAAAATCAAAGACTTGTCGCCGCCACCCACCGTCGTCTTGCCCGAACGACCGCGCGGATCTAACTCACCGTTACCAGGAGGCTTCCCGGCCGACGATATTCTTGATCTCGATATGCCCAAGTCGTCACCTAAGTCTTCATCCAAGGATAAGAAGTCTTCCAAGTCATCTTCTAGCAAGAAGGAGAGCAAGTCGTCGAGATCTGTTGATCCTGTCATCGTTGACGCGCGTGAGCCTATGGATGACCTGCTTGGTCTGGACGAGCCTTCGACCAAGCTGCCTACGCCGCCACCAGAGAAGGGAAGCAAGGACGATTCGAGAGGCCACAAGAAGGATCGGCCCAAGGTCGTGCGCGATCAGGGCTCCAGTTCGTGGGGCTTTTGGGGCGCGACGCCGCCACCCAAGTCGAGTGCGAAGAAAGAAAAGGAGAGCTTGCCTTCGCCAACCAAGGAGCGTCCATCTGGTCTCAGCAGGTCCAAGTCTGCGCGCAAGTCCTCCGACAAGGATCCCATGGAAAAGGCGTCCAAGTCTTCTGGCTCAGATAAGGATGCAAAGTCCACGTCAAAGCGACCCAGCACTTCTCGTGGACAAAGCTTCGGCGCTATGTTCGGCATGGCCTCCACGCCATCAAGGTCCAAGTCTACGCGCGTTTCGTCGTCGCGCCGACAGTCGAATGCGATGGACGACAGTGGGATGCTCTCGCCACCACCGGAAGACCGCTCCAAGCCTGATGTCTCCGACAAAGCTGCCAAGCTGATGGGCATGTCGCGCAGCAAGTCTACGCGCGATAAGCCGAAGCAGCGCAAGGTTCCGGACCCATATGCCATTGACAGCGATGACATGATCGTTGTTGACGAGCCTGAAGACTCTGCCAAGGATGTCCCACGTGGCTCGCGAGAGTCTCGAGACAAGGATAGGAAGTCCCGTAGAAGTAAGCGCGAGTCTACTTTGATGTCTGGTGGGCTTGGTGCTGAGGACGATGCTGTCATGGTGGATGCACCGCGTGGCATGGATGATGGCAAGGCTGACGATCTTGCTTTCGATGTCCGTCCGCCGCTGGTCAGGCGTGCGACTACGAGCACCAAGAAGACCGGCCTGATGGGCGGTCTGCTTGGTGCGTTTGGTTCGAAGGCGGCTACACCGGACAGGCGTCAGGCAAAGACCTATGAGAGCGAGGATGGCGGCCGCAAGCGTGGGTCTGTCTACGACGATGACCGCTCGAAGCGTCTCCGACGAGACGATCGCAAGGTCGGGAGATCACGCAAGCCCTCCGATGCCGACGGAATGGCCGATGGCGCAGCAGCAATGACCGAAGACGAGATCGCAGCCAAGGAAGCTCGCCGAGCCGAGCGCAGAGCCAAGCGGGACCAGGAAGCCGCCGAGGAAGAAGCAAGATCTGCCCGCCGCCGAGAACGCGAAGATGCCCGCAAAGTCAAAGCACTCGAGGACGAAGAACGCCTCCGAGCCGAAGACGAAGAACGCGAGGCCCGACGCAAAGAAGAACGTCGTGTCAAGCGCGCTGAACGCGAAACCCGTCGAGCAGAGGAAGACCGTCTCGCTGCAGAAGAAGAAGCCAAAGCAGTCGAGCGCCGCGAACGCCGCCGTGAGCGCCAACGCCAGGAAGAAGAAGTAGCAGGTGCTCCACCATCCCGGCCCAAGACTTCCGACCGCAGACGCTCCTACGCCGTCGACGCACCAGTCGAAGATGAAGAAGCCCGTCGGATTCGCCGCGAGGAAAGGCGTTTACGTCGCTCCGTCGATCCGGCCGCCATCACACCCATGAAAGAAGATCGTCCCCGTGCCTCACGTCGCAGATCAGATTATCCTGCCCCAGTCGAAGGCTACTTTGACAAGCGCAACGGTGAGCCTCCTCTCCACTCACGAGCGAACGATGTCTATGGAGCCGAAGCTGACGGTCGCGCCCCTCCCGTCAAGACCGGAGGTGATAAGACAGCTTCCTGGGTGCACATGCTCAATGCCTCTCCCCCGCCGCCTCCGCCTCTCGAGGGCACGATTGTAGATGCCCCGGTGCATTTCGGTGCGGAGGATGATGGGGTTCCGGATTTGCATCCTTTTGAACAGGATGGCGACGGTGATGAGGGGGCGACGACGGCGAGGGTGTTGAGACATCATAAAGTCCGCGAGGGCCAGAGCGTGGAGACGGAAGATCAGTTGCGGAGGCGGCAGAGGAGACGGGAGAGGCGCGAGGGTGGCGGGGTGAGGAGTTCGGATGGGGATGCGACGGGGAGTTCGTATGATCAGCAGATGAGACGGAGTATGGGGGGTCCAGTCAACAGTTTGGGGATGAACGAGATGGGTGGGGGGAAAGGGTGGGATGGCGGCAGGCCTGCGGGGCCGCAGAGGAGTGATTCGAAGAGGGGGAGTTGGTTTAAGCGGGTTGCTGGGTTTTGAGCACTTTCACGTGCGAGTGGCTCTGTACGGGTGTGTGTGTGTGTGTGTGTAGGGGGAGTTGCATGATTAGGTGTTTTGACTTTGGTGTTCTTTTTCCGGCGATGGGGGATCTAATGGATGATACCCTTCGTGTTTTTCATATCCGGTCGAGACTGGCTGTAGGATCGGCTCATATATGTCAGGCTTATGCATGTTAGCAGGACAGTCTTGGAGCTTTCCGGGGGATGATGTGATATGATGACCTAGCTAGACTAATGTAGGAAGATCGATGATGAACAGCAATGGTTTATGCCGGCGCTATTTGCAAGCATGTGAGCTTTCTTACAACGTCCTGAACGTCTGCAGCCACCCCCTCTTCCGCAACCAACCAAGCCATTCCTCCACCCTCGCCCTCTTCAATCCTTCTGCTACCGCCATATCTTCGAGCGCGTGTAAGCCGTCGAAGTACTTTAGTAGTGTGGGCATGTATTCTCGTAACTCTTCGTCGTCGATAGAGGAAATGAGGTGCCGTAGAGCTTTCTCTTCTTCTTCTTCATCAGATGGATGGAGTGGGTCGAGGATGAGATTGCTGGACTGATCTTCGTGCTGCCTTCGTTTGAGGCCCTCGTCATTTGATACTGATGCGGACGTGGTGCCGTTGTGTGATAGGGCTGGTATAGCAGTCACAGCCGTCTCCGCCGATCGGACACTTCCCGCGTCGTCGGCTTCATCGTGTTCATCTGCACCTCGCACTTCACGCACAGGCTGGAGCTGCGGACTAAGCAGACTAAAACCCCCTCCTACCGCTCTTCTCCCCCCCTCCCCCTTAACACCAAGCCCATCTGCCTCTGTCACCTCCCCCTTAACACCGCCCCTCCCAACCAGTCCCTTCAACCAACCCTTCGTCTCCAACCGCACCACAACCCCAAACCTCACCAAAAACCCCAAAATCTCCATATAAGCCCCCCGATGATCCTTCGAAGGAATAAGCAACCCATATTGTATAGGCCTCCCACTCAACACCTTAAGCATCTGCGGAAGGGAAGGTAGAGCAGGGAATTTCTTCGCGTACAATTGTATAAGCTCCCGAAGATCTGGGAGACCCGGGACTTTTCCTGTCGGGGCGGAGGGGGAGGGGGAGAGGACGTAGGTATTCCGTGAGTGCAATGGGGCAATAGCGCGGGCTTTGCGCCATTTGATCAGGTGGGTACTCAAAGCCATAATCTCGGAAAGTGATATATTTAACCGTGCGCTCAGTTTCCGGAGGGATTTCGTAGGCGTATGTTCCCGTATGAAGTAGGCTAGTTGTGAAACTCCAGGGTCAGAAAGCTGGCGGAGTAGACTGGATTTGTCTTCGAGGAGTAAGAGGGCGGAGTCGGGTGATAGTGGTGGAGTTGTAGGCGAGGTTTCTGGGAGTGTAGAGGCATGGGTGGGTGGTTGAGGTGGGATATGCAGGGACATTTCCATGCCGTTTAGTCTGATGTCGGCGATACTACCTGCTGAAATCTTGTCGTGGATTTCTTTGAGGGACCAGGCTAGTTCGCTACCCTCCACCATATTGTTCAAGATACTCTCGGCAGCTGCATTGCTCTGTCTCGCCTTCGTCTTGAGTGCTACGAGATTCCTGCTTTCGACGGCAAGGTAGTTCCTCCGCCTCTGGCAGTACTGGAGCGCTTTACTGACTTTCTTGGCTACGTGCTCGTATACCAACCGCGTGTCGTCTTGAGTATTGCCATGTAGAACGAAGACGACGTGGAACATAGTCAGTTGTTCGACCGGGATAGCTGAGGTGGTGGAGGCGCTGGCGAAGGATGTTCCCAAAGAAGGACCAGTGTGCGAGTCTAGGGACTCGGATATGTGGGCGAAATCCAATGGGGGTTTCGAAGTTGTCGCTTCGCGTGGTGTATCAATGGTGATGTTCGATGAGCTCTGTTTGGCATCGTGGATATTGGCAGGTTCAGCAGACTGTGAGATTTTGGATTGTCCAGCAGTGGGCGGCTTGGACAACCACATCCCATCTTCGTTAGCGTAGGTGGGATGACCAACAAAGGTAGTTCCATCTAGACAGATTTCGAAGTTCTTGCCATCTGACCATCGTCCGGGAGATAGTAGCTTCTCCAACGTCTCGACAGCATAGCCGAGGACTTTCGAGTCTGCGACCAGATCTTGAGTCTCGCCGGCAGCTGAAACGTCGTTGCCGTCCTGGCCACGAGCATGACCTCGCAATCCCCCCGCCTGATCGTGTTCATCATCGTCGTCCAAGTCATCATCCGAGTCCTGGTGAGGTTGTTGGGCCGCCGAAGATGAATAGCCATGTCCTCGTTCCGGCTGAGCAGGATAGTGAAAGACAAGCTTCGGCCCGGACTTGGACCGAGTGATGAGCAGAATTGCTACCAGACCGTGTGATGGTCGGTCTGCTGACATATCTCCGAAGCCATTCATAGCATCAGGCAACACGATTCATCTCTGCCACATCCTATTCTACTCTATTCTCGCCATATCGCTCCCGACGGGTTCAGTCCTGCACGCACTGAGACGGTGTCCATGCCCATGTAGCAGTCATGACATGGAAGCCGTGATCTCGAAGTAGCTCGATACGCTCTTGTTGAAAGTCGGAAGTCGGCTGTGTCATCTGGTCCATGTCATATACTGTAACGCTGGAGATGGTTTGATGAGGCTCAAGTAAATCTTATCTAAAGTTTAGTCCATGTCAATGCTTCTTTCCGTTTCCGACACCGGCCCCTGTTTTTTGTGGATTGTGTGGGAGCTCCACGAAGCTCGGGTAATACGGTGCGTACTTGCAGCAGCTGCTCAGCCCAGCAACCAGATCTATACATTTATCCTGCCATTATTGACACTATCAACCGCCCTCACTGTCGCTCGCTCGCTCTCACAAGCCCTCCATATACCTACATATAAACCACGCTAGAGAGAGCATCACGACCCAAAACATTACATCCTAAACACGGCCAGCGAGCACCCAAAACCCAGCAACACCACTCCCAAGCACACCACACGACCACCACACGACCACCACCACCCCCCCAATCCGCCAAGATGTCATCCGAACCCAAACCCCTCCCTTTCATCTACCAATTCGCCGCGGGAGCCGTAGCGGGCGTCTCCGAGATCCTGGTTATGTACCCCCTCGACGTCGTCAAGACCCGCGTGCAAATTCAAGGCAGTGTCCCCGTCCCAGGCCAAGACCACTACACGGGGATGGTAGATTGTTTCCGCAAGATCATTGCGAATGAGGGGTGCGTATATCAATCAAATCAATACAAACAACACCACGATCGTGTGGTCGTGAATGGGGAAAGCTAAAGCTAGGCTAACCTGTGATCTTTTTGGACGATTGTAGAGCCTCCCGCCTCTACCGCGGCATCACCGCCCCGATCCTCATGGAAGCCCCCAAACGCGCCACCAAATTCGCCGCCAACGACGAATGGGGCAAATTCTACCGCAACCTCTTCTCCATCCCCAAAATGACCCAATCCCTCTCCATCCTCACCGGCGCCTCGGCAGGAGCAACCGAGGCCTTTGTCGTCGTACCATTCGAGCTCGTCAAGATCCGCTTACAAGATAAGGCGCAGAGTCACAAGTACACGGGGATGATTGATTGTGTGACGAAGATTGTGAGGCAGGAGGGGTTATTGGCTATGTATCAGGGGCTGGAGAGTACGGTTTGGCGACACGTGCTGTGGAATTCGGGGTATTTCGGTTGTATTTTCCAGGTTCGCGAACTCTTACCTAAGAACCCGACGAAGGATAAGGGGACACAAATCCGGAATGATTTGATCAGTGGGGCGGTCGGAGGGACCGTGGGCACGATGCTGAATACACCTATGGATGTTGTCAAGAGCCGAATTCAGAATTCTCCTGTGGTTGCCGGGGGGGTGAGGAAATATGGGTGGGCTTTCCCGGCGCTGGGGACGGTGTTTAGGGAGGAAGGGTTCGGGGCGTTGTATAAGGGATTCTTACCCAAGGTGTTGAGATTAGGGCCTGGAGGGGGGATTTTGCTGGTGGTGTTTACGGGGGTCATGGACTTTTTCCGGGGGATGAGGGGGGAGGCTTAGATGTTGTATCGAGAGGATGGCGGATCTGGAGGTGCACCGGACCTCTGTTACGGAGAGTCTCGTTCTTCATCCGGACGCTGTTTGTGGGTTCGTCCGGCAGTCTCCTGAGGATGCGCCACTGGGGCTGGGCGTACTGGGATCTGCAGACCTTGGGGGGGTTTTATACAAGTTGCATAGAATGAGAGCGAACGCATGCATGCATCATTCCTATGGGGACTGTGGATTGAGAGCTTGATCTCTCTCACAGAGTGGCAGGCAAGATCTTTTGTCTAGATGGCCGGCATGCTTATTCTGCGCAACCCTATGAACCTAGACACTCGTGTACAAGACAGTATTCTTATATCTGTGCTTATCTTCTGTTGAGCTTGATCTCCTCTCCTTAGGTGCATATAAATATATAGCGATGGGCTGGACGTGAAACGGAAATGCTCGTTGTTGTGTAAGGTCATGTTGTAAACCCGTCTAATCTCCATCCATCTCGCCTGAAACCAGATCACCTCGGCTAGATCTCACGTAGATCGATCGTTCGTCCCAAACAGGCTTCTTGAGGGAGCCACCCAATGCCAAGCTGCCCATACATATATCCACAACCTCACCACCACCCTGCCGTCCCAGAAACACAACCACGACAATGTCGACCCTAGAAGACCACTACCCCATCGACTGCCCTTTCTGCAAAATCGCCGCCGCCTACCCATCCCCCACATCATCATCATCCCCGACCACCTCCCCAATCCCAAGTAACCCCGATCCAGAAAAAGTAGACCCGCAATGCCATCTCCTGCTCTCCACCCCCCACGTCCTCGCTTTCCTGGATATCCTTCCCATAGCGCCGGGACATATCCTGTTGGTTACTCGGAGGCATTATCGGACGCTGGCGGACTTGTATGGGGGGAGGAAGAAGAAGGATGGGAATCGTGAGGGAGGTGAGAATGTGGTTCGGGATGGGGACGTGGATGGGGATGATAGGGACGGGGAAGATAGGGAAAGGGAAAATAGGGAAAGGAATAGAGAGATGAAAGAAGATGCCCAGGCCTTGGGCGAATGGATGCCCATACTCTCTCGAGCTCTTTGCAGTGTGACTGGGATTGAAGACTGGAACCTCGTGCAGAACAATGGGGAGCGAGCGGCACAGGTGGTACCGCATGTGCATTTCCATTTTATTCCGCGGTATCAGGAGGGACGGCGGGACTTGGGAGTCCGTGGGGATGGCAAAGGTGCTGGTGGGATTAATGGGGGGGTAAATGGGAGGCTGGGGAAGTTGGATATGGGAATGTTGAAGAGCTGGAGGATGTTTGGAAGGGGGACGAGGGAGGAGTTGGATGATGAGGAGGGGGTTGTGCTTGCGAGGAGTTTGAGGGGGGCGTTGAGGAGGGAGTTGGGTTTGCGGGATGATGGAGAGGAAGGAGGGGTGGAGGAGGGGAAGGGTGGGGATGTGAAGGCGAAGGCGAAGGCGAAGCTGTGAGGTGTTCTATTTCTGGTCTATGAAGGGCGACTTGCTGATGTTACGCCACCCGCATCGATTGATGTTCTTCAGACTCTCCTGAGCTGCCTGATCTTTCACCTTCTGGAGATTCGCCACAACGTCTCAGCAGGCAGATGGTGCTTCGCGATTCAGGTCTTATCAGACGGGGCGTCTCATCTGCCTTATAACATGCTTCCTTGACACCATGAGCATGATACGCGCACGCCCCACGAGCTTGACCCTCGAAGTGCCCGATCTTCTGCAGCATGAGTGCCTTGGTCAGCATCCCGAGGTCCTCTGCATCGTCCTCCAAGAAGCTGACAATTTCTTCCAAGACTTCGATTTCCTCCTTGGTGATCATGCGACCGCCGACTGCAGTGTCACCGGTGGTTCTGACGGTATTGCTATACCATTGGACAAACAGATTGATCAGGCAGGATCTGCCTCTGCGGCTATGCTCGAAGAAGCGGCGGAGGTTGATGAAGGCTTGCAGGACCTGCACGAAAGATTGCGACTTCCAGTATTCGGCTAGAGCATCGATGACACGATCGAGGAAGCGGACAGAGGTGTCCAAAGCTTGACCGGTCTCGTACGCTTCGCCCAGCACGACGTCGTTGAGCGGTACTCTGTGTGGAGCCTGGGTTGCAGAGTGCACCATTAAACAGCCAGTGCGCTAGGACTTGGAAACCGCCGGTGGAGACATTGACGGAGACCGAAGTCCTGCCATTAGGACCATCCTCGAGATGGTCCTCTACGCTTATGTTGAGATCCGCTCAGGCCGAGCTCTGTAGTGCGGCCTTGATGGCGATCGTGCTGTCCCTGTGGATGACATCGATGATGCGCGCATCACGCCTGAGTATGCCAGCGGCATGTCTGGCAGCGGCAGATTAGATCCATCGCATACTCCATTGTGTGTCACTCCTCCACGTGCATGGTGATATGGCTGTCACGGGGGGTAATATGGTGCTTAGCTTTGCTAGAACCGAGGGTTGGAATTGAAAATAAAGTTTCTGTTCCAGCTGGGACACTTGGAGCATGTGAGGTGACGTGAGTTTCACTCATTATCATGCACGTCTGACTTGCAGGGCTGCTCTCCACTCCACGATCCGACCCTGCTGGAGAGAGAGGCGCTGCTATGAAGGGGAGAGTCCTCGTTTGAACGAATGTATGAACAATGCATACCGCCATCCTGATGGCACTCTGGCCCTCGTCGAGCCAGCACAATTCTCACAGGTCCCCGCCTGGACACTTCCTAGTATATCGCCTGGGATGGGTCTTCGTCGTCTCCTTGCGAGAGCTCGAGCACTTCCTTGAGTGCAGCCTTGCACAGCAGCCCAAGCATTTCCGCATCACCCTCGAAGACCGCCGTGAACCTGATCCACCAAGTTTTCGTCAATATCATCGGGGCTGACAGCGGCAGTGGGCACAATCCACCTGGCCAACAGATGCTTGACTTTCGCCTTATGGGTTGCCTTGTCCACAAACCAGTCTATGACTTTGGCTATGGTATCCAGGACCGTGTCGGAAAGGCTCGGGATGTCAAGGATGTGCCCCGGAAATGAGCCACTGCCTAAGGGCAACGAATTCTGCTGTCGGCATGTCGATCTCTACTTGCAGATGCTGTCCTAAGATTCGATGACACATTGCAGAATGTAGATGCTCCTTGAATCGCGGGGAGACCTCACCGAGTAGCCCTGCATGCACAGGGATTAAGCGTTGACGCGGTCCGCACCTGATGTCCACGAAGCGTGGCGCGGTCCTGGAGAGTAAGAGGTTAGCGGCAGCGACGTCCATGACTGCATTGTTCTGCCGTTCAATCGTCGGAATCAGCGATGCATACTGGAGGGTCAGAGGGAACTTATATGGGAAGGCAATGGAAGACTTCTTGTCAAGCATTATCGCGTGCTTGACGAGCTTGTCGACTATGGAGTCGTTGATGATATCCGTGGCGTACTCGAAATCATAACACGTGTACATTTGCGAATCTCTTCCATCGCCTCGTCGAGGAAGCGTTGCGATACATCGAACGACTCGCTCGCCGAGGACAAGCGCATCCGCTAAATCCTTGACTCTGTATGAGTTCGACCTTGGGCCTTTGCCTTCTGCAGCCGGAATATGGTTGTCCGTGAGCCATGTCGCAAGCAGGCCAAATCCATCGTCCTGATCCATGTTGGAGCTCGATGGGATTTCGCAACAAATGATCAAGGTCAAAGTTTATCGGGAGTGAAGGACCACACGCTAGCTCGAACAGAGAAATACGCACGTGAAAGAATGGGGCACTGATCTGGGCCTGATTGTACTGACCTAGACAGAGATTCTGTCCTGAGTCGAGGATTTACGAAGATCGAGCGCCTTCACTCTTTATCGATGCCTTGTTCTGTAAGAATGACCCGTTGCTTTCCTGCGAGGTATGGTACAAAGACACGCCAGGATCATGGCAAGGCATCCTCAGACTGACCACTAAACCTCGCGCCATAGGCTTCATCACAAAGCTGCATAGCAGAGCATACGGCCACAGAGTAGTGATAAACTTGTGACGAATCTCGATAATACAGTACCAAGCTCTAAAGCCAAATCGACCTTCCAGCAAACACATCCCACCCACAATCCTCAAACCCCCATCTCCACCAACTCCAGCCTCTCACTCTGGAACCCACCCAACGCCACGCGCCTCAAGAAGCCAAGCCCGCTGCCCAGAAAACCACATGAACCCCGCCCAACACATGGGCAAATTGATCTCCAAAGACCGCCTCGACCACCCCTCCTGCGCACAGATCCCAACGAGAGCCTCGTCAACCTTCTTCCTCTCCACATCAATCTCCCGCTTCAACTTCTGACAAACGTGGAGTTCGGGGTTGGCATCATAGCGTACGGCTTCAATCAAGCTGAGTCCATCGCCAGTGGCCTTGATGAGTTCCTTGATATGCAGCAGAGCCTGTGTTTCGCGACGGAAGACTTTCTCAGCGCGGGAACAGAATTCCGCCACCATATTCATCCTCAGCCGCTTGTTGAACTGTAGCTCCAGCTCCTCAGCAGGGCCATGCCGAAGCCATGAATGCCCGCCATGAAGATTCGATCCATTCGGCCCCACACCTTGGACGACAAGCCTCGGCGGATCGAACTGCGCCCGTGGATTATCCGGTTGATTCCACCTCGGACACCTCCCCGACGCCCAATGATCCCCATCATGATCCGCCTGCTGCCCACAAATAAAGCAGAAACTCGTCCTACAAGCTGCAACCGGACAGGTGACGGTATTACACCCATCCCCCAACGCCACAGGATGCCGACAACTCGCAACGGGACACAACTGGAAATGCTTCCCCTGAACCAACCCATCCCGATCCGGCGCCTCGAACTCAAACACTCGTCTTTCACAAACATGCTCCGCATAATCAAAACTCATCGGCCTCTCACAAACCCTGCACGTCAACCCCCTACACCTATGACAAAAAAACTGCTGTCCCGGTATCAAACCCCTCTTATCCAAAATCGATCCACAGACCTCCAACTCCGCCTCAACGCACTCAGGCGTCAAGTGCCGATGCGGCCACGCAATAGCCAAGGCCGTGGTACCCACCAGCACACTCCCCTTAAAATTCCCCTCCCTCCCCTTCCGAAACACATGCCCGCACACCACCCTCTCAGCCAAAGGAATCGCATACTCCACCTCCCGCCTCTCATACGCCCGTCCGAACCCCCTCCCCAATTCGGCCCAGAAGTGCGTGGCGGGGATGATCACGGAGCCCCAGGTCACGGGGTACTCTTGTTCGTTGTTGATCGCTGCTTGGAATAGAGGGACGATGTTCTCCTTGACGCAAAGGTCGCAGATCTCAGCGTCGTCGATGATGTGGGGGGCGGTTGCTTGGTGCACGGTTTCGCAGCAGATTGTGCAGGCGCAGGGGATCGTGTCGGGGTTCTCGGAAAGGGAGGCGGCGGCTACGGCGTCGGTTCCTACTCGGGTGAGTTCACGGTCTCTTGTTCTTGGTGGTGGTGGTGGCGGAGACATGTTTGGCTGGGACAGGAGTGGAATATGTGTTCGGGAGGTTCTGCAATGATGCGGATAGGAAAATATGCATGGTGGCGAGCGGCCACATCACTAAGCCTGACGGCCGCCATTTCCGGTCTGCTTCTTTGTCTTGCAATTGTCCAGAACGCGACATCATGACTCTGACGGATATGCAGCATCATTGACACAAAGAAATGGTGTATATCAAAGACTTACCACTTCCGTCCCTTGACGCCCCGGGTCACAAAAGGGGTGTGCTGGTGATAATTTCCCACGGGCAATCGCGGGTCGTTGACACATTGCCGTATATTCAAATGTTTATGCCAAAGCTTCGTACTCCTCATCATCCCACCCCAAACTAGCATAGATATCGCCCCCTTCCGCCGCCCCAGTACCACCGAGCTCATTCGTCTCCGCACCCACCCTCGGTAGCGACCCAGCTCTCACAGCATTAATACTCGCACCTATCCCCGCAGACGGCGCAAGCGCAAAAGGCCTCATAGCCTTCATCGGAGTCTCCTGCAAGACGCTTCGAGCCAAAATGGGCGATTCCAGAGTCCCCGGTTCCCGACCAAGACCAACCGGCATGAATTTTGCGAAACCCCGGGAGGGGGTTTCCATGATACCGTGTCTGGTCTCTGGATCGTGGGTAGGATGGCGAGGCCGATGACCAGTCTGTGGGATGGCGAAAGGGAGGGAGTCCGGTGGGACGTCAACCCGTGCTGCCAGGTTCGTAGCACGATCGGGCCATAGCCTGGCTGAGGTGGAAGGCACGATCGAGGACGACGGCGGTACTGGACCACTCAACGTGCTTCGAGCTGACGCACGGTCCGCCTGATACTGGTCACCTCGCCACGGCGTACCCTTGACAATCCGAACATGCTTCGGCGTAGTGGCCACGAACACCGCATCTCTCGCAGGCGGTCCTTCCATTCTACCAACCCTCCCCGCACAACCTCCAGTCCTCCTACTACCCAAAATACCCTTCCCACTCCTCCTCTCTGCCTCGTCCGCGACCTCCTTAACAGCAGCAATTCTATTAGGCTTCTTAAGCGTGGAGATCGCTTCCTTCAACTTCTCCTCCACCTCGGCCTTCTTCCGCATCTTCTTCTCGTTAGCCTGCGACATAGCTGACAGATCCACTTCTCGTCTGGAAAAGGAGATGGAGTGCATCAGGCTTGCACGCTTGCGTGGGACGGGAGGTTGATTGATAGGTGGGATGCTGTCGAATGGGAGCGGTGCTTCGCTGGTTTCTCGCTTGAGGTGGTGTTGTAGCATCTGGGAATCTGTAGCGGAGCGGTGCAGGGTGGGTGGTAGATGGCGTGCGGGATGCGGAAGGGCAGCAGAGGAGACGCGTGATAGTGGCTTCCTCGGTTTCTGTTCCGGCACTGGTCGCGCTGCCGGCTCTCCAGGTTTGCGAAACGAGGTCGACTTCTGCTTGGCTGGCGTGTGGTCGCTTGGTCCACCAAGCTTCTTGTTGACAGACTTGGCGTGCTCGGGAACGCGAGACATGTAGAATGGCATGATGACCTCGATGCAAAAGCTTCGCAACTCGTCGGATTTGTCATTGTCGCCATCCCTGCCATCGCTTGTTAGCCCTTTGGCTGGTGAATGGGACTCGAGCGAATGCCAAATGCAAAGGCGATCAAGCAAGACTTCTAGTAGTGAAGGCAAGTCTTGACGCTTCTTCGTCATCGATTTCTTGACTTCCTTTGCTAGCTGCGACTCTGGTTGTTGCGTTTCGTCCGCATAGGTCTCGTCAAGCTGCGTCTCAGTGTCCACCGGCGCACTGCTTTGCTGAGTCTCGGGTTTCTTCAGGAGGGTAGCTTCCAAAGCCAGTACTTCCAACGCCACCATAACCTGTAGATAAGTCTCGCAACTGCGCAAGGGAGGCAACCTGCTCTTCAAGACCATGTCAAATGTTTCTGCAGATCCCGACGGATGCGGCTGTTCGTCCTGCAAGCGCCACCACTTCTCGACATAGGCCTTTTCATCAGTGAAGAAGCCATACTTGTCACGCTTCGCCTTCCACTTCCGTTTCCGCTTAGCTTTAATGACCTGGTCCGGCGTCTCCAGTCCAGCGGGCGAAAGATCCTTCACCATACCTAACAAGCCATCTCGATACTTTTTGTCCAGCACGGAAGCAGTCAAAACCACTTCTCGCAGAAAGGTCGTCAGCACGAGAACGTCAAGCCCAGCATCGGAGGTGGCGAACGCGGCTCGAGCTCTGGAGAGCGGTCCTTTGGCAAAGTAGGCAAGAGAAGTCCGTGACAGATACAACGCTTCCTGATATTGCTTTGCCAGCTCTTGAAGCACGTCTGCGGCCGACAAAGGCGTCGTGGTGGCTTCAAGAGATATCTCCCCTTCTGCAGCTTGCGCGATCTTCGCTGTCGGGTTTGCCCGAGCCTGATCAGGTAAGGTCGAGATTCCCACGAAAGTCGCTGGCTCGCCCGGCGTCATGCAAAGACGATGCTGAGCCTCTGACACCGAGCTGCCAGCGTTCGGCATCACGACTGCAGCATTCTGCCACCACGGTTCCTTGGCTCCGATTTGACCTGCTACAACTCTCCTTCTCTTCACCACGACACCGTCAGTGGTTGATTCCGCAGCGTTCCCTGTCAAAGCCTCCTTCTCCACCCACGCACCGAGCCGGCACAGAGCATACGCTCTTCCTCCAGCGTTCTCAATGGCATACAATCTCCCCTCCCTCTCATCCTCCACGACGAGCACACATGGCGTCCCATCGTCACTCAGCTCGAGTGCTTCCAGAGCACCTATCCGGGCCGAAAACAGCCGATTACTGCCTGCGGCTTGCGTGTCGAGATATGCTAAAGGCAGTTGAGATCTTGGGAGAAGGCATATGGGGGTGAAAGTCCGTGGGAGTCCAAATGGATCAGTCGTGTCAGGCTGCTTCTGGTCAGTGTCATGTCCGTCGCACTCTCTTATATATCCACGTGATCATATCCTACCCGTATACTGAACGCCGATCTATCCAGCTCCTTCACATTTATCGTCTCGTGCCTCTTCCTCTTCCGCTTCCTCGTGTCAGTCTCGCGTCGCCCGCCCTCCACCACTTCTTTCTTTGCTGTATTTAATGCACCTGGAATCAATGACATAACTCGCGCTTCATATGCATACGTTTGGTGGCCGTAACAATGTCATCATGCAATCGTAATAGCATAAGAGAAGCACACAATAATGGAAACGCAAGTCTAAGAATAACGCAGTGTGGTGAGAACTCGAGATGAAGTCGGATCGGACGCGCCGACAGCACGCGTCTTGCCGAGATCCGAAGATCCTATGGGGTAAATGACGATGGAAGAAGGTAATGTTGATGCCACTGGGCTACGATCCAAACCACACATAAGGCACAGTTCTGTGTGCTTCCTAGATCAATCCAATCCAACCACCATACAATGTCATCTTCACCCCTCCCCCTCCTCCTCCGCCTCCCCATCGAACTCCGCCACCAAATCTATACCCACCTCTACCCCCCCACACCAACCTCGCACCCCCTCCCCTCCGTAGGAATAACCTCCCTAACTCACACCCCACCCCCGCTCTCACACCTCCTAATCCACCCACACCTCACCCAAGACATCCTCACCTATTACTTCACCACCACAACAACCAAATTAATCTTCTCCCACGCCTTCAATTTCTTCCGCACCGACCCTAACCTAAACGGATTGGAGCGGAGTTCCATCCTACGACGGCTGAGAAAAGTGGAGGTAGTCTTCTTCTGCGATATCTTGTTGTTAAAGGACTATCCTAGTTTCGGGCTGGAGGCCTTCTGTGCGGAGATTCGGAGGCGAGCGGAGCGGGCGTGTGAGGTTTTTGCCAAGGCTGGGGAGTTGAGGGAGGTGGTGGTCAGCTGGATCGATACTACGTTGACTGGGGAATGGGAGGGGAAAGCAGGGATCCTGATGCCGTTGCGGCACTTAGCAGAGGGGAGTCGGAAGGTGAAATTCAGGATTGGGGAGGTCACGGGACCGAAGGGGAAGGAGGAGAGGGAGGGGTTCGTGAGGGCTATGAGGGAGGTTTTGGGGGAGAGATGTGAGGGGTCGAGACTACCGCGGGAAGAGGAGGTGGAGAGTGTGGCGAGTGAATTGAGGATGCTGGCTTTTGATCCGAGACAGGAACGGGACCTAATTGGATGGGAAGAGGAAGGGATTTGGAGGAGAGGTGGGAGACTGGAGGCGTGGCAGAGAGGACCACGGGAGATTGAGGCTTGAGTGAAGGGGATCATCGTTCATGCGTGGCATCATACTGGTCTATGCATGGACCGGCCACTCTATGATAACATTCGGCCCCTGGTACCAAGGCTCTGCGCCGGGCCATCCGGTATGCCGACCCTCACAAAGTGCAGCTGTTCGATACGTATCTTGCTACATCCATCAAGGAAGACTAAGGAACAACTCCAGCATCTTAGGATAATTCGGCGTCCCAAGTCCCGTAACTGGATCCCACCCTTTCACAGCACTGAAACCTTCATGGCCACCTACAAACGACATCAGCAAACGTGGACCACCAACCCATTGAAAGATCCAGGAGAGACTTACAACCCATATTCGTCCCATTAACAACATCATTCAACACCTCCGGCCGCGCATAAAGCACCGGATTCACAAACCCCACCGCTCCCTTCCCCAAACTCAACCTCTCCTCATTAATCCGATTCAGCACCGCAGCGAAAATCGGCGTGCTCGCCGACGTGCCGCCGGAAACGACATACTTCCCTTTAACAAACGTCGCAATCTCATCCCCATTCGCACTTACATCGGGAACACCCCTTCCGACTCTATTATACACACCCAGCGTCCCATTATTCTCCTTACCCTGAGAACCGGACTGCAGAGCCGTGATATTGAGGAGATCGTAGGGGGTTCCTGAGCCGGTCGCGGTGCCATTGGTGTCCGGGGCGAGGGCGCAGTAGTAAGGGAATGGCGGGGAGAAGTTGGCGAAATAGGTCGCTACTGCTGCGGCTTGGTAATCCGGAACGGGATAAATATTGCTGAAACCTCCGCCGCTCGAGTAGCCTCCTGCAGCAGGGTCATTGGCCGCGGACTCCGGTTGTGCTTCATTGATGACAGAGTGGTTGGGATAGACTTTTGTGCCGCCGACGTTGGTGATATACGGGCCTGCGACAACGGATCAGTATTTCGTTATAAAATTCAATCAGTGATTTGGGCGGGCCAGAACTCACAAGTATTAGGCCAAGTAGGATTGAACACATCCCCCTTCGGCCCAAGACACCCCGTCTCCCCATCAATCCCCCCCTGACTAGCCGGATAATTCCCCACGCCCGCATCCCCACTCGCGAACAAGAAACTCACACCCTGCAGCCCCAGTTTCAAGAACTCAAGACATTGTCGTTTCTGGTACGCCACAGGTACATCGGCCTCCTGACCGCCATAAGAAATAGAGATGACATTTGTAGGCTCGAAAATTCCACATTGTAATGTCCCATTATACCCCTGAAAGGGAGATAAGTCAGGGTACGTCGGATCCCAATCCGCCAGATTCCCGGTCTCGTTATACGCTGCAAAGGAGCAATAACTCCCATCGATGGCATCGAGCAGGGTGTTGAAACCCCAGGTGTAGGTGTTGTTCGGCCAGGTCTGGTAGTGGATATCATCCACATTATACACCGTAATATTCTGTGGATAGACGATGGGGTATGCGATCTCCAGATCTAGCATCGACTCCACGCCGCCTTCGTTCGTGTAGTTTGTGAAGGCGCGGCCGCCGTTGATGTTGAGGCTGGTGGGGTGGGTATTGTTTGGGATTTGGGAGGGGGTGAAGTTGGAGAAGAAGAGGTTGAGATCTTCTTGGTCCCAGAATTGGAGTTCGGATTCGAAGATTCCTAGGCTGTTGCTTGGGTTCAGGGGGTGAGTGAGGTTGGTGGACGGGATGTTGTAGAGGGCTGCTATGCAGGCTGGAGTGATGATTTGGTCGCAGATGCTGAGGTCGGAGGCGTTGGCTGGTGGGGCGCGGGTTGGGATGCGGACGTGGGGGCCTCGGGTGCGGGCGGCGGCTTTGGTGGTTTTGTGGAGGCCGATTTCGCCTTCGGCGTTGCCTCGTTTGGTGAGGTGGTTTGGTGTGGGTGCCACGCCTTCGGGTGAGAGGAGTTTGATGCCGGGGGTTATATAGTCGATGTGGTTTTGGATGTGTTGGGGGACGTGGTATTGCTCGCATGCGGGCAGGATGCCTCCGGTGTGGACGTCTTCGTATTCGAAGTACTCTGTGTGAAGCAGACTTTCTGCCTGAGGTACAGTGGCGTGGAAGGCGAGCCAGGCTTTGTTGTCTGAGTGCGTGATACCTGTGATGCCGGAGTCTTCTAGCCATTGCTGTACTGTTTGCACAGTATCGTCTGAAGGTCGAAAGGCATCGATGACTTGCTGTGAGGTCCAGTGCTTTCCATAATTGGGTGAGTCCGGATGAGACAGGTCCATGAGATGATTGTGAGCATTGTCAAGGTTGGTCTGTGTCAGGCCGATCCGCATTGGCAAGATGCCTTGAGCTCTGTCTTGCTTGATCCATCGTGAAGGCTGACTGTGGCGCTTCTCATGCAGGACGCGAGACGTTGATGCGGGTGCAGAGGGCTCCGCCACAGCAAGGCCAAACAGACCAGCTGCGAAGTATAATCTCATCTTGTGCTATGAGACGAAGCGAGATGATGGAAAGTAATGAGGAGAAATGGCTCTACCATCGCATTCGAAGTTGAGAAGAGAAGATCAGAGAAGTGACATTGTTTGGTTGAACTGGCCTATAGTGAAGGTCCACCGCGCATCACAATCCTCCACTCTATTTGCCTCTCCTCGGGAGGTTTGTTTCAGAACCGACGTTTGTGCGAAGCGAACAACGTCAGGTACAGGGGAATTTATGCGCGACATGCAGGCATTTTGCTGGGGGATCGACAGGTACGCTCCCGTGCTTGGCCAAACAACTGCACCATTGGAAAGGCCTCGGACCAAGCACCCGACGAGGAGGGGTGAAAGAGTCGTGAAATGAGATGCGGTGTGAACCGAATGGACAAATCAAAGTCTTGGCAGGATCCGGGCATGCTTCTAACGATCGTGATTGGGTTTCAGACCACGGCGACTAACGGGCAGCGAGGGCAAAACCACAGGAAAAAGATGATGAACAGCCGACTGAGGCTCTGCTGTGTCGTGTTTAGGGATTTGAGACTCCGTGGTGAATTTATATTACGGGCGACTAACAGCTGCGATGCCCTCTCTGAAGACGTCGTAGTTTTGATACTAGGGACTCAGGCAAAGAGTCTTCCATAGGATGACAGAAACAGGGCTGACAAGTGGCTCTCATGGGCAGTCGTGCATGGTCGGCAAGATGATCCCGACTATGCTTACACTTTCATCGTATCAAGATTTTCTTGAATTCGAGGACGTGTCCAGACCATCGACAAAGTCAGCCCAACTTCGGCATATCCAAGACCGAAGCCATCTCATCGTCAGTCCTGCAAGCCGAGTCTTCTCAAAGACGAAAGCGGGTGGTTCTAGGGCTCGGCGATACTACGGCCGAGTGGGTCCAGTTAGGGCTCGTTAGTTGACGCACCGAATATCAAAACTCTCCTCAGTCGTGTAACTTTGTTCCTGGCTTAGATCTTGGAACCAGGCTCGGAACAGCCTTATCAGCGGCAATAGCGCCTGTCATCTCACGACGTACCCTGTCAAACGCGTGGCGAGTCCGATCTCGAACTGTAGCGATGCCGAGACGAGCTGCCTTGCCCGATGATTTTGGTCTGACGTCCGTGGCTGTTGCCGACGGCGTCGACCATCAATCACGTATATGAGCAAAGCCCACCACGTTGGATATGAGTACAGTACGCTTCCAATCGCATTCGTTTTCTGCCATCGTCATTATGTCTCTCGCAACCCTCCTTTCCTTACTGGGCCTTGCGGCTTTGGTCTCTGCTCTTCCACAGCAGAGCTCTGTATCGACCATCCCGACGACGACCACATTCACTGACACCACCATTTACTCGACTGTCGCCGTGGCCACTTCTCAAGCATCGCTCTCCTCTGTCCTCTCCGCTGCCCAGATCACGCAGGCAGCCAACGCCACAGCCCATGGCGCCGTCGTTCCCTTCTCGGCCAAATGCCCGTTGCCAGTGACATCTACAACGACAAGCAGCAAACGCTATGCACCCACGATCTCCTGGCCACACCTTTCTGGCGGCAAATACATCAATTGGAAAACGTACAAGGCCAATGGTGCCAACCTTGGTGGCTGGCTCGAGAAGGAGAAGACGCATGATCCTATCTGTCAGTACTCAATATAGTTGTAAGGTAGGACTCCAGCTGATGAAGTGTTTCTACAGGGTGGGATCAATATGCTTCTGATGCGGCTGACGAATGGACTTTCTGTCAGACACTCGGGAAGAAATGCGGCGCCGTATTAGAAGCCCGCTACACCTCCTTCCTAAACACCAGCACCATCGACCAGCTCGCATCAGTCGGCGTCAACACTCTCCGCATCCCGACCACATATGCAGCTTGGGTAAAAGTACCTGGAAGCCAGCTTTACACAGGCTCTCAACAATTGCATCTTCGCAGCATCACCAACTACGCCATCACCAAGTACAACATGCACATAATCATCGGCCTCCACTCCCTACCAGGCGGCGTCAATAATCTGGACATTGGCGAGGCTCTGGGTCACGACGCGTGGTTTTACAACGCCACGAACCTTGAGTGGAGTTTCCTTGCCGTCGACGCCATCCTTGCCTTCATTGCCACCAGTGGGCACCAGAACGCCTTCACCCTTGCACCCATCAACGAGGCACATAAATCCAATTCCAAACCCCGACCACCCAGCTAACAAATCCCACAGGCCTCGGACAACCTCGCCGGTTTCGGTTCCCCGGCCGGCCTATCAACCCCCGCCGTAGACTGGATCCTCACCTACCTCAACGGCGTCCTCAAGCGCGTGAACCTCTTCAACCGCAAAATCCCCGTAATGATCCAAGACTGTTTCCAAGGCGCCTCCTTCTGGGCCCCCTTCTTCGACAGCAGTGACAACATCGTCTTCGACTCCCACGTCTACTACTTCGCCGCCGCAGGGACCTACTCGGAGTACGTCCTCCCCGCCATCTGCGGCCAGGCAGCTTACCTCGCCGAATCGGAGACCAAGTTCCCGACTTTTGTGGGCGAGTGGGCGCTGCAGGTCATGTTCAATAACACGCTCGCTGGCCGTAAGGAGGTTTTCGATACGCAGCGGTATGCATGGGAGAAGTATGTGGCGGGTGGGAGTTTTTGGACGGCGGTTTCGTATGCGACGACCGCCGTGGATGGACAGGGGACTCAGAGGGATTATTGGAGTTATATTGATCTCATCAACACTGGGGTCATTACAACGGCGACCAATGCTTCGTATTGCGAGTAGAATGTTTCGATGATGATGGCTTGCCTGGTTTGGTGTTGAATGATGGGGATGCTATATTTCGACGTTCGACTTATAATTCTAGATGTAGATCTACGACTCTGCTACTTTTGTATCTGGAGATCTGTATGTATTACTTGTGAACAAAGTACCATCAGTAATCACGCCAATACCATAGAAAAGCTTGAGTTTCAAGATCTGTCGGGAATGAACCAAAGTGTCTGTCTACGTTCCACCTCAAAGATCTGGACCCCCCGGTCGAACCTATCTGCCAGCCTGTCGCATCCGATGTGAAACCTAATCATCGTATAGCATGCCTTCCCCCAGCATATCTTACCCACCGTCTCACTTCTCTACCCCCTTCCTCCTCAAAACAAAAGATTCTCCCTCCCAACCCAAACTCACAGCAAAATTCTTCCCAAAACTCCCCAGCATAATCGGATCAATCGTTGGGTCCGGATGCGGCCTATGCACCATCACACAACCATCCCCCGTCGCACCACGGAAAGTGTAGGTCACGGAAGATCCGCCGCCGTACTTGAACGTGCATCCGGCGTCCACGACCGCGGAATTGAATTCGTTCCATTTGATGTCGGCTGTAGCTTTGGAACAAGCGATGGGCGTGAACATGCGTTGGAGGAGTGCTAGGCTGGCTGCGCTGATTTCGATTTTCGGGTGATGTTCTTCCTGCATGGAGATGTCGAGGATCGGCACAATGGCGGCACTGTCGCTGCGGCGGGTCTTGATCTTTTGCTTTGGCTCCGCTAGTGTGAGCCTCTCGATTTTGAGCATGGGCAGAGTGGCGGTGGGTGGGAGGAGGAGCATATGTCCGTTCGCTACGATATCTTGGGGCCGCCGCTTCCTGCCATTATCTCGAACATTCCGCTTCGACTCCTGCTTGGCAAATGCTTCGTCAAGAGCAGTGCATGCTTCATCAATCCTGAGACCATGCTCGGCCGACTTATCATAGCTGATCATCTCCACGACTTCGCGTATGCCTTCCTTCGACGCGCCGCTCCTCTTCAGCAGCTTTCGCTTGTCCTTGCGGAACGACTTCCAGAAGCCTGCCAACGACTCGTGTGCTACCCGCATGTCTGCAGCACCGTGCGACGTCAAACGCTTGGGGTTGGGAATGTACAGATCGTCCTTGGCAACCTGCAGCCTGTCACGCATCGCTGCTACCACAGTCGCGAAGTTCACGACAGGGGGTGCAATGGAGAATTGGTCCACCCACGGTCCGGTTACTGTATAGCTGCTGTCCATGAAGCCGCGAGCAGCGCATATCTGCCAGTCGCTGTTACCTTCGGCCGCGGGAGCCTGCAGCAGGAGGTCCACAGTGGATCTCCTGAAGGTAGACAGCTCGTTTTGTGCTTCAAGCACTAGCAGAGCTCTAAGCAGACCGATTATGTCCCACCTATGAGCCGCACCTTTCTTCCAAGGAACAATAGTGCCGAATGTATCGACTTGGTCCTGCATCACGACACAATGTAAAATGTACGCCAGCAGAGCCAAGCCTTCATCGAATGGGAAGTGGAGTTGCTCGCTATCGTACGGCACCCATTGAGCTGGATGGCAAGCGGTCCGTGCGCGAACCAGCGCCAAGAGGCGCCCAGGAGTTTCGCTAAGGCCTGGGAGGTCAAGATCGGGGAGGAGCCAGAGTTTGTGGTCCTTCACCAGATCTTGGTCCGAGATGTTGCGCGTGCTCTGACACAGAAGTTCGGCCTCGACCCACCTATGCTTGTAGATATCCGGTTTTGCTTTCAGCAGAAGTGCTGCACGTGGATCGACCGTGCGTTTCCGCCAGCGCTTGGGCCAGCGCTTGGCGATGGCGTCGCCGTGAAGTTGAAGCTTCGCGCGGACGTGAGCGAGATCATTTTGGGTGGGGTGTATCAGCTCGTGAACCAATTCTGCGGCTTGTGCGTCGGAATATGTTTGGTGATAGCCAAGTCCTCTCCACTTTTGAAGCTCAATGGATCGATAATGCTGCGAGCATGTTTCGCACGTCTTCGGGCATCTTGGTACAGAGCAGGCGCTTTCGAATGGGAAGTGCTTGTAGCCAAAGTCATGTTCGAGCCCGGGTGTATTCCCATCGCCGTACCGGGCGTGATGGTACTTTTGACGATAGAATTGTGAGAACTCCCTCGCAGGGTCCGTACTTATGGGGGTTTGAGAGCCACAAAGATGTTCAACGAATTCGTAGGCGAGTGCTGCTATGTGAGGGGTGGGCTCTGGCCATGGTGATGATGCTGACATCGTAGGGAGCAGGGCCCGTCGGCGGGCAAGAATGCAGTGTGTAGTAGCTGGGCTGCGCAGGCCTTGAGATCCACGTAGCGATACGTATTTCCATCGGCGCGATCAAAGGTTTGGTCTGACGTGTTCATTCATATTGTGAAGCTGAATCTTCTATTGTAGGCGGTTTGCATTGTGCAACGCACGGGCCATCGTTGCACGTGCTGACGCCTTCAAGTCGATGCTCAGCATCAGCATGCCAGGTACCACTCTTAACACCGAGTCTGACGACAGGCTACGTTATGCGCGAAGTTTTCAGAGGCCAAGTGTCCGATGCCATCCTGTTGCCCTGTCTGCATCCGAGCCGCGAGCCACGGTGCGAGGAAGTTGGTCCACGGTGTCATATCGTCACGGTTTTGTCGAAGAAAGTGAGATGCCTTGAGCCAGCGCTGTCTCGTCGTGAACTCCCGTAAGATCGTTTGCCTTCTGGCTTGTTGCTGCGACGTCACCATTGCATCGGGTGGTGAGGGTGCCATGCCTGGCTAATGGTTATGCCTCATTTGGAGAGTTTATCAATGGTGGCGTGTCGCATGCCTACGTTACGGTGCTCAGTGTCTAGTGATGACGCGGCGATGTCTTCATCACTTACTAGGACGATGTGATTGCATATTGATCTGCTTTCCGAACCATAAGTCGTAAACCAGATGCATTGGACTCTGCTCCGAGTAATCCGCCGCCTATCGACCTACCTCATGCATTCTGCGATGTTGTACGCACGGCCATTGCAAGTCTTGGCCAACCGGCTCGCCTAGTCTGACGGAAGGATAACAGTGCTGAAGTGAATCTGTTGAATACTTAGGTAGTGAATGGAAGGTCTGAGACCAGACGGGATGGTAATAAGAGGGGCAAGGTTGATCTTGAGCAACAAATTGGTCTTTCAGATGGCCACGAATTTGGTGTACTTGTACAAAGTCAACGACCATAGACTTCATCTTCGTGTTCTGGCCGTAGAGTGTGTCATCTGACCGAGATGGGCGTCGGTGAGAGGAGCAAGCGCATATCATATGGCTGGGAGGGCTTCAAATATCATAGCAATCTCGTGTGATAGGACGCAGAGCATTGCATGACATGCTACGTGCTGACCCAGGGTGTATTTGATGTGCGTGCTTGACTTGTTGGTACAACGTGCGAGTCGCGTGTTAATGAATGCCTCCGGCTCTTCGGAGACTCTCGCGGGTCGCCGGCTATAGAAAGTCGGTCCACGCGGAACGATCGAGGATGGAAAATATATTCGACGAGGGCGAATTCTGTCACTGTGCAGACTTTGTTCTTATCGAACTTCTGAAGGGCACATCTCTGCAACAATACCGAGACCGGACAAAAGGTCTCGTGCGGGAAAGTCAGGGACAGAGTTTCGTTGCCGAAGGACAAGGCCCGTGCAAAGAGACGAGGCACTTTTTCGATCTCGAGCACACAGCACGCCCGCTGGCTGAAGCACCCACCACGCCTTTACTTCTACGCAACCGTATTCCGCCTACAGTCAACTCACGAAGCGAGTTTCTGTCGAGAGCATCGCACGGGGCATCCACACAACAACATAGTCACCAACAGCGATCGCGACTTTGTCACGCATCTGGCAAGCGGCAGTAGCAAGCCTGAGCAAGCTTGTGTGCTGGTACGATATATCCTTCGCCATTTCTGCGTGCTGCGTCCTAGTCACAGCCAAGGGTTGTTTGGCAGTGATCATACTCACATCACATGATCAGTGGAAGACAATAGAGCTGACACTTTCCGAATTTCTCCAGATCCAGCTTCGCAACTTCCTCGCTGACTTGGTCCCGCAACAAGCTTGTTCGACCTCACTTTCCGCATTCAACGTCACTCGACTGGACTTCATCCTTGTCACTGTACCTACGTCAACGACATCCACCGCGACATTCGTACTATACAGTCTCACTCAGCACCACTTCGAAGGCTACCTTAGGATAGCATAGTTTGACGCTCGCGTGTGGAATAGGGTACGTACGTTTGTTGGCATACCTGGACCCGGCAGTTTCGGCATTGCGCAGGGCTGTGCGAGAATTATTGGAACAGCCCGTGCGGGCAGACCTGAGTGTGGGTCCGTGACGGAGCGACCTTCGCTGGCGGAGAAGGTACTCGACAGGAAGACGTGATGGCGGCAGGACAGGCGAGCCCGAGTGGCTTCTCGTATGCCCAAGCAGCGAAGGGACGGTCACCGGCGATCGCGGCACAGACGCCTTCGAGCAAAATGACCTCTGGTGCGGTAACACCTGCGACCAGTGCATTCTCTGAGCTATCACCAGGGGGAAACTGGGCGGATGATGTGGAGGCGAGTGCTACCGAGAAGAAAGTAGAGCCGTCTCCGGCAGTGCAGGATGTGGCGAAGCCTACAGAGGTGAAGGACAGCGCAGTCGAGCGTGCCAAGACCGAAGAAAAAGCACAAAGTGCTCCATCTGGCACCTCTTCACCGGACTTGATGGCCTCGGTCAGCACAACGACCAAGGACGACGACTCGAGCGCTCCGACGACCGGAACATCATCAGAAACGACTTGGGAGACTAAGTCGCAAGTGTCGGAGCCATCATGGATTGCGGATCGTGAGAAGAGGCAGGCTGCTGCGTCTCAAGCGTCACAGAAAAGTGACACCACTGTGAAAGCCGACAGTACGGCGAAGGGTGAGAAGAAAGCGCAGGAGCCATCATTACCGGCACCTACCCCACCATCGTATCAGCCTGCACCGCCACCCCCTGTGAATATCTGGGCAAAACGAGCAGAGGCGGCGAAAGCCAAAGCCGTCGCTCGGCCCGCGCCACCGAAAGTAGCAGCTAGCGCAGCACCTGTCGAAATATCTCAACCTAAGGAGAACCAACGACCACGCGAAGACTCGAGAAAGAAGTCAGCTTCAGTCAGCAATGTCTCACGCAATACTGAGTGCGTGACTCAACCAACGAGTGAGCCACGCAGGGCCGGCAAGACCGATCAGGTTCGCATCAACAATCTAATGCAGCATGGCACGAAGTCGAACCCACGAGAAGCTGAGTCTCCGTTGACTACACGAAATGGCGGCGTGACCCGCTCGAGTCTGCCAAACGTGACGACAGCTCAGCCACTGGTCAAGGACGAGGTTTCATGGCCAACACCGGATCTCGCCCAAGATGCGGATCGCAAAGACTCAGTAGGCGTTAGCAGTCCTGAAAAGCCAGGTGAGGATGACGCGCAGAGCAGCAGGCGGAAGAAGCCGGAGTGGGAGAAGATGGTTGTCACTCCTACCATCAAGTGGGAGTCGCAGAACGCACGAGGTCATGACGGACGGCGACCACCAGGCTCAGAGCGTGGGCGTGGTGGTATCAGAGGTCGTGGTGGCCTTCGCGGTGGTGCTAATGGTGCTGGATCGAATGATCGAGCGCCACAGCGTGGCAGTATGGACGAGAGCTCGAATGTTACAGCATCAGGGGGTCGTAACTCTGCGGATCGTGAAGCCATGCCGCCGCCGCCGAAGCCGAACCGTACTACTAGCGAAACTGCTGCTCGCCCGATAGTCGAGCGTACTCCTGACCGTGCTGCTGAAGAGATAGACGTGGCAGCTGCTCCGTCGATCGCTGAGCAGCCGAAGGCAGAGAGCTCAACTTCCGAGCAAGCTGCGGCAACAAGTGACTGGGTTGCCGATCAATCGAGCATGCCACGTACAGCATCTCCTGCCAAGGTCAATGGCGTGAACGGCGAAGTCCACGACGAGGAGAGCATACCTGTGCACATACCTCGCCGTACATCTGTCGGCACGCAAACCACGAACGGCGCCGCAGGTGAGAACGAATCTCGCGACGGGCCAACATTTCGGCTTGTGCCGTCTAGCCATAACAAGGAAAACAGAAGTTTCGATAGCTACAAAGACGGCAATTTCACTGGAACACCACGAGGCAAGGGCCGTGGCGGTCGTGGACGTGGTCGTGAGAACGCTCACACTCATGCCTCGGGATACTCCAACGGCGACTTCATCCCTTCGTCTGGCTTCGGTATTCCACCATCTCCTTCGGCCTATCACTCAAGTCGTGGGAACCATTATCCATACCCGTCTCAGGGTGGACGTGGAGGATGGTCTCGAGGTAACCCGCGAGCCCAGTCAATACCAATGAATGACTACTATGGTCGCTCTCAGAATCCTTATGGACCGCCGCAGCTTCAGCACGTCCAGAGCTATGGTCCTCTAGGCTACGATTACAATGGATATCCAATGACTGCAATGCCGTACCAAGCCTCCATGGATACATTATACATCATGGGCATGGTCAGCATGCAGTTGGAGTACTATTTCTCCATCGACAATCTCCTCAAAGATTTGTTCTTGCGCAAGAACATGGACTCCCAAGGTTTCGTCCTTCTCGACGTAGTGGCTAGCTTCAACCGCATGAAGCAGCTCAACACGAACCGAGATCTGCTGAAGGACGTCTGCATGAACTCCGAGACTGTGGAGATCCGCATCGGCGAAGACGGCAAAGAGCGTTTACGGAGACGAGAGGGCTATGAACGGTTTGTACTACCCACGAATCAGCGCAATCCTGGTGCAAAGAACGACGGGCCGAAGCAACTGCACTTATTGGAGAGGCATCACGCACCTGCTTTTGTTCCAGGCCCATCTCGCGGTCCACAGTCTGCTGGCGCTCCCAGCATGCAGCAGCAGCCGCCTTTCGCCCGCCGATCATATGACGCTGGGTTCACACTGAACGGCATGGCTCCACAATTCAACAGCTACCCTTCTGGTTCCGAGGCGATTAATGGTGACGATGCTCGTGGACGACCCGCGAAATCTCCAATGTATGGTGACACGGTCTCACAAGCTAGCGAGGCTGTCACAAACGGTCCGACAGACCAGGAACCCGATGCATTTCCGGATGACCAGGTCAGCTCCCTGACAGTCATGGCGAAGGTCAAGCAGACCCCACCGCCACACGGTGCAGCCACTCGCACTTTCTCCAATGGCTCGATCGATACTAGAAGCATCTTTTCCGAGCTTGGAAAATCGAATGGAACACAGACGCCTCCCACTTCCAGTGACGAATCACAGGCCAACGGGACTGACAGCGTAAGCGTGGACTCGAGCACCGTTCGTTCGCCTGATTGTGGGCCAGCGCCGGATATGATGATCTACTGGTCGAAGGATCAACAGGCTCCTAGCGAGACAGTGCCCAAGGATCTGACAGTTGAGCCATACGTTCAACTGCGGCATAAAGCGCTCGACCAGCGCAGCCACGCCGCTACTGGCACATGCCCATACGACCTCGATGTGCTATACCAGTTCTGGTCGCACTTCCTTCTTCGCAACTTCAATGCTGCCATGTACAGCGAATTCCAGCATTACGCCACCGAAGACGCCAAAACCCGCCACAACACCAACGGACTACACAACCTCATCAAGTTCTATGACCAGGCCTTGCTCAGCAGCAACGCTATCCGCGACCGAGTTGCCAAGGACTACGGCAAACTTGTCAGCGAGGAGCCGAAGGAGCTAGAGGGTGCGGCCTTCAAGCAGTTGCGTGCTGCATGGCGCAACGGCGCTATGAATCTGAAGAACCGCAAGAAGTTGATCGATGTGCTCGACCCGTCTGTCCGGGCACGTCTGGATCCTATCAATGGAGACGTCACTTCGCCGGTGTCTTAAGCCATGTCTGAGCTGGATCTTGAGCCTCATGTGCCAGAAAAACAAGACCACGCATCGACCCATTGCACATAGCACATGCAATCGTCGCCCCCTGCTTCACGATCAACGTGCTCGTCACTCAAAATCTCCTTGGCATTCTTCACAACGGTGGTCGTGCAGATGACCTCCACGACTGCGAGAGTAAGCGCATTCACGATGCAGGTCCCCGCAACCACTACATCACAACGTCAATCGTGCCCTTCGACCTGTACCCGGCCACAAATCGGCATCACAGGTATTAAGCAGGCGCCCGGCGTCATTCACAGCGACACGATATTTATGGGGCAAAAAGCATGATTTATTCAATTCTTTTGGACCAGGCCCGACACCGCCGCCGAAATGCATAGATGTACTAGGCTGGACTGGCGTTTTTGTGTTGCCGATTCTCATCTTACTACTGCTCAACCCTGTTTTCTTGCCGCATAGCCTGCGAAGGACACTCAGCTCCAGTTGCGTTGCGCATGGATCTCAACGGGGTTGTTTAAAAGACTGTTCAAATGTATTTCTTCTCGACATCTCTCTCTTTCTTTAGTGTGGATACGATGAGGCTTGTTTCCCGACAGCGGATGGACATGGATAATTGGGCTTGGTATGGGAATGGGTTGCGATGAGAAGGGAACATCGGGTAATCCAGCGCGCTGGTTGGGATTGGCTGCTATGGGGCTGTGCTTGTGTCTGACTTGTCGACGTTTGACGGAAGATGGTGGCCTTGATGGACCTGTAGATGCTCGGTTCTGCACGTATGGGAAGGCCTTCTGATGGGGCTGGAGGGTAGCTTTTACTTGGTGGGCTGGGCTGGCTTGCAGAGGACAGATCCAAGTAATTCGACCCCTGAAAATATTTATTGCGAAGGCTCTCATGGTGTCCGCCGTTTCAACGATCAACTACGCACGGCTTTGAGCAGAGCGCTCACATTGTGTCTTCACTGTCGATAGGCTGGGCCACTGGAAAGTTGTCCTTCGTTGTCGATAGTGAGAAGGGTCAGGCATGACACAAGCAGAGAGAGGTGCAGCGCTCCGGAAACGAGGAGTAGATGCTCGTGCTCTGCCCCCCTTATAAGAGCTGCAGCGATCTATCGCCCTGTAGAGTAACCCATTCAAAAACCTCCATCTCAAAACCCTCCGCACTACTCATGACCTTCTTACTCCACTCCGTCCCCATCAGCCTAGGTACCAACGCCTCATCTGCCCGGAAGCCCTCCAGAGAGGCAAACTCATGCAGCGCCAAATACCGTGGCTCCTCGCCATCGATTCGCTGATATCTCGTTGAGCGACGGTACGAGGGGAGCATGGACATCATGGGTAGATGTTGCGTCACATACCAGTCGGTACAGTCTTGGTCTGCGCCTGGACCTGGTTCCATGGTAGCGGCGACGAGGATGGCTGCGTGAGACGCGGGTTCGAAATTGGAGTGGAGGGCTTCGTAAGTGTGGATTTTCTCATAGCGGTGGACTGTGACGTTGATGAAGTCCGAGATGGGTTGGTTGTCCAAGGTTTTGCTGATGCTGACATCTTTGGCCAAATTGTTGGTGGCGGCTGTTTGGTAGACGCTGGCGTCGATCACGGGATACAAAGCTAGATATGGATTCTTCGACTCGGGGTTGATGTTCTTGTAGCGTTTGGCTAATTTTGGTGCTTTCGGGTGTGGGTATTTGAGGATGTCTGGAAGGTGCTCTTCATCGTAGGAACGGTTGAAGAGCTCTTCTGAGGTTCTTTGGGGGTCGATGATGGAGGAGCTTACAAATGTTAGGCCGGGAGTTGCCATTTAAATGGGTTATGGACGGGAAGTGAGAGGCAGCGGTGTAGTGATCGTTTCGCTATATAGCTGGTGACCCATGCTGGGGCGAAATCCTAGGCTAATGGATGCGAGGCAGGATTTCTCGCTCCTTCGCAGTACATAGCTTGCGGTTTTACGAGCTGTGCAATGATGCGAGAAAGCCGTGACTCGTGGGTGGATGATGGAGTACAAGGCAATGTAAGTCTGAAGTCGCTCTCGTTGGGCAAAGGCCTTGAAGGTCATTGTCACGTGTGATGCTGTGGCGTGCTCTGGAGTCGGATGTAGATAGAGGAGCACTTGAGATCGCCCTCAGGCACTCATGCAGATGACATGCTTGGGCTAAGACTAGGTTTCGGCCCGGGCCTGGAGTGCGTCAGGCCAAGCATGAGCCTCGCGACAATCACGTCTGCAACTTTACAAACGCATATGCGCGTAGGTCGACTTGTAGTATACACCCACTCGACATACCAAGGGACGATCGACTGACGCGCAGACTCATGACACGATCCTGGAGCCAAAACTAGATTACTTGCTGCACAGCCCTGGCAGCTGACATCCTCCCTACCTCTCGCGACAATGCCGCGATATGGCAAGAGGACGGCAGAGGTCGCTGAGCTGGACCTCCCCACCGAGCCAGAGATCGCGCCGGAACATGTCGAGACACTACAGAAGTTACGCAGAATGTGGGAGTTTGCCAGCTTCATGCAATACATCTTCCTGTTTGGACACATTGTCAAGATCGACGACGACTTCAATATCGAGGTAAATCACACTCTCACGCATGCATGAGGCCTGCTAGAGCATGAACATCATAAACCGTGATAGATGCTGATGGCGATTGATGACAGGATCTCGAAGCGGAATGCCTAAGGTCAGAGCCTTCAGTACGGCTAGCAGCAATTGGCCTGTCGCTGCTCAAATATGTGTCGTCTCATCGTGGACTGACGTACGTTCCATCTGATCCCAGACCAACTACCGATTTGATGCTGACTGCCCGCTTACAGGCCCGAGATCTTCGACGAATATACACGCAGGCAATACCTCGCCAAAGCTCCTGCTCGTAATCCCTTTGGCGACGATGAAGACCCTGCCTCCTTCCAGTCTCTCGACATCTTCACAAGGATTCGCGTACTCCAACAGCTCAGCACATGGACCCTGGGCAACGCAGAGCGTATACGTGGGATGATGCCGCAGGACGATGACCACCTGACATGGCGGATGGAGCCTTTGGGCTGGGACAGGGACGACAGTGCATACTTCGTCCTCGACGACAACCGGCTGTACAAACGATCCGACGAGCCACCGCCTCCCCCATCGCCAACAGTAAAGCCAAAAGCCAAGAGCAAGCCCAAGAAGAGTACGAGGAGCAAAGCGACGCGATCAAGCAAACGTCGGAAGGTAGAAGAACCCGAGGACGATGATGAACAGGCCGAAGACATTGATGCCGATGCCGAAGCCGGCGCACAAGAGGATACACTAATGACTAACGGAGACGATGTACACAAGCCAGCATCAGAAGAAGAGCCGGCATTTGGGTTCACAGACAAGACATGGTCGCTGGTCGCCATCACACTTAATGAGTATGATGATTTTCTTTCGTCCATCTTTCGATCACGAGACCCGAATGAGAAGGCTTTGCATAGGCGCATCAGCGATGACGTCCGACCTGTCATTGAGAAGCGTGTTGAGGCATTACGGCAGAAGGAGCTGAAGAAGCTTCGTGAATTAGAGGTTGTAGAGAAAATGGCTACCGCGAAGAGGTCCAGCAGATTGGCTGGAAGGTTCGAGAAGGAGAAGGAGGAACGGGAGAAGAAGGAAGCCGAGGAGCTAAGATATCGTGAGCTGCAGATGGCTCGCGAGGAGGAAGAGAGGCAGAAGCGCATCGAGGATGGTCACGATTCGCGGAGGCAGACACGTGAGCAGAGAGTCAAGGAGCGCGAGGTGAAGCGAATCCTACACGAAGAAGAGTTGAAGAAGATCCAAGAGGCTGAAGAGCGTGGCGAGTCCGCCTCACAGGAGCCAGAAGCTGCAGATGCAGAGCACAAGCGAGCCTCCGCACGACAGGCTCAGACACAAAAGGAGCAGCACAAGAAGGAGCTCGAGCAGCTCGATGCGGAAGCGGATGGAGAGGGCAACTGGTACTTTGACTGTGCTATCTGTGGCATGCATGGCGAAAACATGGACGACGGCACACATAGCATGGCGTGCGACAAGTGCGGAGTATGGCAGCACAGCAAGTGTCACGGCTTCTCGCCAAAGCAGGCTGAGAAGGATGGCTTCACTTTCAATTGCAAGTCGTGCAAGAAGCAGGAAGCAAACAAGGATAAGCCGAAAATCCCACCTCTCAAGCTAGGCAAGAAGACACCCTCTGCTAGCCCAGCTAGTCCAGAGAAGAAGAGGAAGAGGAAGAGTGACGCTACGAGTCCACCTTCGGCATCGAATGGCGCGAGTTCTGCAGATGGCAGGGAGAATGGGCTTCCCGCCCACATGCAGCGACAACTCGACGGTGTCTACGTCCCTCCCCACCAACCTCGACCAAGCCCAGGACCATTTGGCCAGCTCACGAACGGTCCGAGTCTTTCCCCGCACGGTCAGGCCCAAGGTCCGCCAGGCTATCGCTATCCTCCCGTGGGGAACTTCGCACCTAATGCTCCACCGCAGCAGCCATGGCAGGGTAGTCCTTTTCCACCTCCTCCCAGGCCATCGTCTTCGAGATATGCTGGGTCACCGCCACCAGTGCAGCAAGTATCGAACGGCTACGGCCCACCACAGCATCAGCATCAACATGTGTATGCGCATCAACAAGCCGTACACTCCGCAGGCGGACACCCAGCACAGCCCACGCATCAGTACCAACAACAGCCTAACGGCTATCATCCGCACTCGCAGCCCGGGCGGCCAATGTACGGCCAACAACCAGGCTACCCGCCCACACAATACTATCAACCAACACCGCCTCAGTATTATCAAGCTCAGCGACCGGGATCCGCACACGCACCTGCAAACCAGCAACAGCACCAGCAGCAGCCACCACCGCAAAATGTTCAACAAAGCTCACCGCACCAGTATCAGACGCCTCAGCCTTTGATGAATGGCTCCTCAACTCCTGCCAAAAGTGCTACGCAGCCTGCAATGTCCCCACCACTTGCACACCCTCCTCAGCAATCTGCACAGCCTCCGCAGTCCTCGCCGTCTCTGCAGCGCAGTCCAAGAACAACACTCCCGCCCCCAGTCCACGACCATCAAATAGCCGGCCACTCGCCGATGAAATCCTCGCCGCCACAGCCACATCCCCAACCACCGCAAGCGTATCAGCGTTCCCTCCAGTCTGCTCATCTGGCAGTTACACCGCAGCAACAACCACCGATTCCTCGTCCCTCTTCAAGCAACGGCATAGTAGCAGATGGGATGTCTGGCCCTTGGCCAGCCGGCAGTAAAGCCATCCCGCAGAAACATGACCTTCCGCCTTCGTCGTCGCCTATGCTGGGTCAGGCTAAGGTTGTGCCGCCGCCGGGGGCTGTGATGCCTAGTCCGTCGGCGTTTCAGCAGAGTGCATTGGTTGGAGCCGCGGTGATTCCTGTGAAGAAGGTTGTGCCGGAGGGTAATGGTGTGCCGCCTGCAGCATCACCCTCGGTTGTTGCGGCGCGATCGCCGAGGTTGCCTCCTCCGTCTGTCGTTGCGGGGGAACCGACAGACGGTGATGTTGGGAGAGGAGAGTAAGCTGGAGATTGAGCGCAAGTTCGTCGTGGTAGACGATGCAGGTGACATGTCAGGTCAGTGCCTGGTACTACGGCCACAGTCAGGATGTGCCTTGGTCACTAGGCTTGTTGATGGTATGTTGGGAATCAGACAGACATTCATATACGAACATTACACTAGCATGATACGCAGCCTTCAGCATTATCGTTGCCTTCGTTTCATGGTTGTCGAAGCTCAATACAACTTCGACCGAAGCACACCCTCAAGCAACACCACACCACTAGCAACCCCATCAACAATCATGATACGCCTCCCCTTCTCCCCCCCAAGCCTCTCAACACACGCCTCCCTCACCACCTCCTCCAACCCCGCCATCCCCGCACAACCCAGACAAATCGCCCCAACACCCCTCCCAAGCAACTCCCCCACCGCCCCCTTCATGCTCCTATCCAAATCCTCCTTCGAAACCTCATGCAACTCATTAGCATTCAACCCTGTCGTCACCGTCCCCGCAAACCTAGTACTAGCCTCCACTCCGAGAAAACCACGAACAGCGGAATTAAGCAGACCTTCCCATTGAGCACCTGTACTCACTATCCCGAATTTCTGGTCCTGAGATAGTAGGGGAAGGCAGGCGGCGATGGAGGTTTCTAGGATCCCGGTTATGTAGCGGCATTTCACTGCTGAGGTGGTGGCGGGGAGCGAGGAGAGGTATGTGCGGAGGGCGGGGACCAGAGGGTGGCCGGAGTAGCAGGCTATTAGGACTGCGTCGTGGGTTTCTAGGAGGGTGAGGAGGGGGGTGTAGCAGGCTTCGGTTGAGATTGTGCCGTCCTGGGTACTGTTTATCGAGGGGACACCGGTGGGGGCTGTGAAGTAGGTATAGTTTTGCTGAAATTGAGATCATTCAGTCCAATACAGTGGCGAGGACGACATAGTGGTGGTGGAGCATTGTACTGACTGTGTTGTAGCCGAGACTGTTTACTATTGGCTTCAAGGCATCGGTCATTGATTGGGTCGTGTTTGGATTCACGATTAGGATGCTGTGACCTGATTTCGAAGTGGCAGCCATGTTGGAGGAGCGAGGATGCTGTTACTTTTAGATTGATATTTCGTATCCGTACAATTGGTGAGAGCACAACTGAGTAGCCAACATCGATATATGTCTATCTCTCATGGCGCATGGTGAGGAAAAGTGGAGCAGTTTCCAGATGCGGAGGACGCCGGAACGCGCCTTCCTCATCAGTAGCACTCGGGACTTCTTGTTATACCTCTTCTTTTCCACCTCATAATGTTCCTGGAACATCATCCAGTTCAAAGGTACGAGGATGTACGCAGAACGCCTGTCCGGATGAAGATATGCACGCCGCAATGGACCGGATGTCAGGACCGCTTAATCTCCTTGACCACGATATCAGCTTGAAAGCAAGCTCTACAGGGGGCATTTGACGGGACCGCGATCCATCGACTCACTGGTACTGCTAAGAAGTCACGTTTGCGACAAGTCGTCGGCGCTTCGATTCCGGACCGATCGTCTCGAGATGGGTGAAGCATTCGGAAAGCCGCACCTATGCGGAAGGCAGCCGTGACGACCCCTGTCATGTCAAACCGATGGACGAGATCATCGAAGACCTGTCGCTTCCGCACAGCCATCTGCTGAAGATGTGTTAAAACGCTAGAACCATGAAGAGAAAGGTGTGAATATGTGGGAGGCTGCTCCTTCCCTGTTCGGGAGACACACTCTGCATATGACTTCAGAATTTCTTTGTGCCCCACTTTTCTCCCTGAAGCTCTGCTTGCGAAACATGAACGCGACCACACCAATGCATTCTTCTTCTGTTTGAGCATCCACCCTTTGAACAAGCCCATCGCCAAATCAATGCTGCCCTCCTTTTTCTTTTGCATTAGGCTTCCTACAGATATACCCCAAACAACACACGCCGTCAACAGCCGTAGATATGCCTCGACGAGGAGACGCTCTAATTCCATGCCGGGACTTGAAGGACATGAGCTGCGATGCTTACACCCGCTACCAGAAAGGCAGGTATACGGAGGTTGAGAGAGACGAGGACGCCACCGAAGAAGTAGAAGTAGAGAGACTGTTTCTCACGGCATTCGAGCATAAGGACGGACCTATCGAGTCTGCTGCAACGCTGCCAACTTGTCCAAAAACATGTAAGTCTTGCCTTGAACATTACCGCCCTTTGCAGTGGCAGGAGACATGGGCGTGGTTGGAGTACAACTTCACGTATGAGGATGAGAAAACTGAAGAGATTGTGCGTGAACATGTCGACAAAGCGCGTGCCTCGCTTGCAAATGTTCGTGACAAGCTCGAGCGATTCGGCAATGCCATCGCGAAGCGGTGGATGAAGAAGAACATGTCGAAACGAGCATCACTGCTGCGTACGGCTTCACCCTCTCTACACAACAAGCGCTGGGCTGCTGCAGATCTTGTGTACAGGTCGCAGAAGCTGAATCAGGAGGACTGGCAGCGTTATCATGAAGCCTGGCTCCTACCATATCTAGACGTGGACACTCTGGCCAAAGACCCAGCCAACCTACTAGCGCTACTCCACTTTCGCACGCACCACACACTTCAAAACTGGTTTCGGTTTGACTATGAGCAGATCCGTATACCCTTTCTGGAAGGAACAATCGGACTGGCGTACAATCCTCACTGCGTTGTGGTGCATGGTAACAGATACGGCGACTTAGTACAGTGGGAGCGAAAGGCTGCTCATCGGGGCGATATGGTTGGTTTACCGCGTGCTGAAGTTACGCTCGAAGCTCAGGAGGCTCTTGCTGCTTTTCTCGAGGCAGTCGTGAATCTTCCGCTCGAACAGGATGCTCCGGAGGGTGGTGAGAAGTGGACCGCGTTGGTAGAGACTGATTTCAATCGGCCACAATCCGACTGTCTGCTGGCATCGTTTGCTAGCACTGCATTCGGGCCACCGCCCGTCTGGGACACTAGAAGCATGGCTGCATCGGTCAAGGCGCGTGTAGCGATCGTGAAAGTTGCGATCGAATGTACACAGACCGAGCCAGAGCATGTCCGAGCTCTCGTGCGGCGCACGAAGAACGCTGTCTCATTCTCGAAGCAATCCGAATTTGTGCAGCAGCAGCAAATCGTTCGCATTGTCATGCGAGACTATAATATTCTCGCTTACATGAACGCTGTATTCGATGATCTGACCCGTCTGGCAAGGGTTGGCAAGGAGAACGTCGTGGCCGGTCGTGCTCGAACAGCGAAGCACGAGGTAGCACTGCAACTGCTCACAATATCCGTGGATGACATAATACAGATCCTCATGAGAGACATCTGGAACGAAACAATGCAAGTGTCGAGTTTTGAGAGTCGCGGCTGCCCATGTGGCAACAGACACCTCCTTTGTGAGCCAAGGGACCTCCACAATGATGATCCGCTCTTCTGGTGTATATGGCAGATCTGCACCCATCAAGAGCATGGCGGTTTTGACTTGAAATTCCTGCTTGGCCACCTTTACCAGGTCATCGATGGAGGCTCTCGTAAGGAGAAAGCTCGTATCAGTCCGAACATGCAGATTCTCCTAGAAGACCTTGCTGTATTCGTGAACATCTGGGACGGCATACGTCTGCACTGCCCGCATCCCATACGCATCATGTATGGGCACGGGCGTAACGAGATCGGGATGCAATGGAAGGACGACAAAGAGTGGTATATCAACTGTACTGCCAATGCGGAAGCCCTAGCCGGACCCGAGGACTTCCTCGAGCCGTTGATGATCTTAGCTGGGCTTCCTGCTCCGAAGAGCAAAGCGGAGGATGCGCCGGGCGACCTGCTCAGATACGCCACCGCACAAACAGCTCTTGATGAGTTCTGGGCGTGGGTATGTCAGGCGCATCGATACTTCTTCGAAGATGTGTGCATGTCGGAGGAGCGTATCAGACTCTATCTTCGTCCCATACTGGCGAGGGAGAACAAGCGGCATGTTGCGAGTATGAGAACAGTGACCAAGAAGCTGCGCACAATCGTGGTCGGCGAGACACCGGGCAGGTCGACTCAGGATAATGCTGAAAAGGATGCGCGGACGGCCGGCAAACGTGATATCAAGAATCTATCCATCGAGCTGGCATCGTGCCGACGGGAGTCTCAAACGGTCTGGGGCTCGACGGACTCTCCGAGTACTCCAGTAGCAACACCAAAGGAGAAAGTCAAGACTAGACCAGCGGTAGCTGATACCCCGTCACCTGCCGTCGCAGACGCACCGCCACAGCCCTCAGCACCGCCCATCGCTGGGAACAAGGTCCTAGTGTCATCAGAGAGCCTCACACTTTTCGACCGGATGTTTGATTCTCTCGCCGCCTCAAAGCACACCGCTTGCGTAGCCTGGGAAGACTTTCTCGCAGCCATGACGGACGCTGGATGCGGGATCGAGCAGAAAGGTGGCTCGGCAGTGGCTTTTTGGGTGGCGGCTAAGAGAGAGGGGACGGTGATTGTGCATCGTCCTCATCCGGATCCGAAGATCAACCCGATTATGCTTAGGGACTGCGGGAAGAAGTTGACGAAGTACTTTGGCTGGGACGAGGATAGCTTTGTGTTGCGTTCGAAGGAGGATGAGAAGGAGAAGAGTGAACGGGAAGCTTGGATCCTGGGTTGTGGACGCGGGTAGAGGAGGAGCATGTTGTGCGGTCATGAAATGGTAGAAATGACGCTCGGAGAAATTGGCAGGGTTGGGCTGTACGGTTTGCAGTGGCACGTGTTCGGGGAACGGCTAAGCATCGGCATTTCGTGTATAAAACAGTACGGTTATACATGCCTGTAAGCTTTATACTTGGTTTATGTACTACTTCGTTGTCCTAGACGAGCCTGGCTGTGTGTATAGATCATATGCATCGTCCGACACGGCAACGCCGATTTCTGAGCCTTCGATAGAATCCGACATATCATCTATATCAGCCTCGTCTTCACCCTCACGATTGTCCTCGGGTTGATAAAGTGCTTCAGCAAGCTGAGCAGTATGCCACGCCAAATTCCTCTGGTGCGCAGTCTTGCTTTCGCCTGAAGTTGGCAGCTTGTATGTGGTTATCTGTTTCAGCATCGAGCGCTTCTCGTGGGCTAGAGCCATGGACAGCCTATCGTGTATTCGTGCCCGTGCCGCCTGGTCTGCCAGAATGCCATACTCGCGATAGCCAAGTGTGAGAGCGGTATGTCCGTCTATGGTCTTAGAATTCGCTGCTACGCCCTTGTATAGTAGAAGGTCTACCATATCCGGCAGGCAGCTCCAAGCTGCCATATGTAATGGTCGCCAGCCGCGAGAGTCGGCTTCGTCCAGCTTTGCGCCTCCAGAGATTAGGAGATTGGCGATGTCAACGTGTCCAAATTCCAGGGCAAGGTGCAATGGCCTCGAGCCCGCGTGAGGCCAGCGTATCTCAGCCCAATATCCTCTTCGAGCTGCCTGGTTGGTGCGCTTTCCGGGTTTAAAAGATGGTGTTGTCAGCTTCTCCTCGATATTGGTGCCTCGAGTAATGCATTCGGCTAAGAGTGCGACATGTCCGTATGCCGCTGCTAAGTGAATCTGAAAATATCGAGTCAGCCTAGAAGAGGTGTGCGAATAGCTGAGAAAACTTACTGGCTTCCAACCATACTTGTTGTAATCTTTGAGCTTCGCACCATGCTCTAGTAGAGTGGCCATGAGCTTGACATCGCCTTTGCGCACAGCATGATGCACTGGCTGCTGATCGTCGGCGTCTTCGACGGTGACATTAGCATCCTTGTGAGCGACGAGCGCGAGTGCACATCCGGTATGTCCAGCCGCTGCAGCCATATGTAGAGCTGTCTCCTCTGTCTTTTTGGTAGTCGCTTTCCACGGTACTTTCAACGCAAGCAGCTTCTCCACCATCGGTTGGTGGCCATGTAGTGCCGCAAAGTGCAACGGACTGTAGCCGAGAGGACTCCGATCTTTGAGATTCGCTCTCTCGGCCAGACAATACTCCATCATGGGTAGACTGCCGCTTTGAGCAGCATACCCTGCCATACGCCACGAATCTTTTAGCCTCTTAGGCTTGACGCCCTTCGCTAGGAGGGCCTGGGCTGTCGGCGTGTCTCCTAGCCTGATTGCAGACAACCAGGCCTCGATCAGAGCCTCGTCGTTGGGCTTGCGATACGGAATCGAGTTCACAAGACATAGAACAGTCTCAGTATGCCCGCCCACGACTGCAAGCTGTATGGGCTGTTTACCGTCTTTGTTGCAGTCTTCCGATGGAGCTCCGGCGTCGACCAGCAGCTGACAGATCTCGCTATCGCCCTCACGAGCAGCATGGTGGAGCGCAGTGTTACCATCCGAGTCTTTGAGATGTGCACGAGCGCCGGAGTCGAGAAGTAGTCGACATACATCATATCTTCTATACCGCGCAGCTTCTATGATAGGTGTTGTGCCAGTGGACGTATCGAGTTCGTTGACGTTATAGCCGTCCTTCAGAGCGCCTATGATCTCCTCGAGTCTACTCTCACGGGCGAGCTGTGTCATCATAGATAGTGTACTCTGTCGGACGAGGGATCTTCTACCAGTATCTCGACGTGGCTGCACTGCTCGTGGCGTTGCGACAACACTAGACGATGCAGCTACGTAGGCCGGCGGACTGTCTACATACGGCTGCACCGGCGAATGCTGCTCAAGCTCAACATTGACATAGTCATCGGGACTCAGAGATCGCAGACCATCAGTCAAAGGTGTCATCTTCTGCGCAATCCTCATGGCAGAACTGCTAGCAGACGATCGGATCCCTGTATTCCTTCTAGCTGGAGCCTGGTTCTCTGGCAAAGGTCGTTTCGAGATATCGCTTGAACTCCACGTCGCTGAAACGGGCTTCCGGCGGATGCTACCCAGACTTAGACCTCGATTGCGTGTGACTGTCAGCGGATTATTATCTGGACGCTGCGAACTCTTCGTAGGTATGTTAGGCGGCGGCGAAGCTGCCTCCCGCTGCTTCTCGTCGCCGGAGGAAACTGAGATGGTACCAAGAATGTTGTTGATATCATCGATTAGTTGTCCATCACCAGATGACCAAGACGGCTGTCTGTCCTTTACAGCAGGTCGAAGTCCAGTATTAGATGCTAACGAGGAAGCGTCCGGTAGATCTTTTGGCGGTCTCACTGGTGGCATATCAGGTAGGTCGTGGCCATTAATCGTAACAGTAGGATTTGCAGGCTTGGGCTTCTCCTGTGTTGGTCTGCTGTCCAGGTTCATAGCATTCCCATTTCCGCTACCCAATGCATCTAATGAATCCAGAGACACCTGCGTTGATGATGGTAGCGACTCGTCCGTCAACTCTTCTTCCGCGGCCATGACCGATACCATCAGGTTATCGTAGTCCTCGGAGCTTGCTTGAGGTCCTTTCGTGCTGACTTGCTCAATGACATTTCTCCGCTCACGCCGCGAGGATATCTGCGCTCGTCGCAACGCCTTGGCAACGTTCGACAACTCTCTGGTCCTTTGTGTAGCTGTCTCGCCACCAGGAAGCTGACAGACATTGAGCGTGAACTGTATCAGGCTGGCGCATTCGCGCAAGTCAACAAGGTACTTCCGCATTCGAGCCTCGTTGTGGATTAGGGTACCATCGCCAGGCTCACTGTCCTTGTTATCGTCTATCAGCTTTGCGGCAGGGTTACCACCCTGAAAGCCAGCAGCCACACCGTCCTGCAGACGCTCAAGTGAGGATCGGACAGTCGCCACGGCATCTTGGACACTGCCTGTCACTTGAGCTCTCTCGGTAGGCTCGGTGAAATGTAGCCATTCCTGAATCCTTTGCGTCCCTGCTTGTAGTGCCTTGACTTGTTCTCTGATCAGACTCAATGTCTCAGAGGCTGTTTTGTGGCTGTTGGCAAGCGCCTCAAGCTTTTCGTCAATCATGTTTATTGACAGAAGAAGCCCAGCAGGATCCATTGTGAAGGCAATAAATCAACAAATTGAGCTTGAGCTGATTTTGAATCCGTCCAATGGGTCGAATGTTGGTGCCTGGCCGGGGCAAAGTGGAAAAGGTTCACCGGACTATGCGTAGTGCCATTGCCTGCGCTCGACTAGACGACCATAGTTCTTTATGATAAACGCCACAGAAGTATTTCAAGTTACGCGCATGATGAGCTTGCAGCAGTCTATAGGAGATGGGCCAGTATCTTAGCATTGCCATTGCTGCGGACAGTCATTGAGGCGTCACTTGTCTCGCGGCAAATGTGCAGGGATCAGTGTAGGGATGCGGTCTAAAAGTGGATCTGCTGGCAATTCGCACCATATATAGCCGGATGGTATGCCTATCAATACACATGTAAGAGAGAGCAGGTTCCGAGCATAAGGTACAATTTTCTGTCACGACAGAGTAGTGTTGACGAGGCAATGCGCCTGTTGATGGACTATGTATACAATTCGGAGAACACCTTGGCATCTTTAGCTCGCACTCTTACCAGCGTAAGAACGCTTGATCTCAGCACAGACAGCGTCCGTCACCTCCTTCGTGCCAGCAGAACCACCCAAATCGCGCGTCAATATACCCTGGCCACAAACAGTCTCGACACATTCCATCAAACGATCAGCAGCCTGCTCCTCACCAAGCCATCTCATCATCTCCGAAGCAGTCCAAAAAGTGCCTACAGGATTCGCAACGCCTTTGCCCGTGATGTCGAAGGCTGAGCCGTGGATTGGTTCGAACATGCTTGGGTTCTTACGTGTTGGGTCCAGGTTTGATGTTGGAGCAATGCCTATTGAGCCTGCTAATGCTGCTGCTAGATCGCTGAGAATGTCGGCGTGCTAAAGTCATGTCAGTAATAGAACTATGATGAAGCGAATTCGACTTACTAGATTCGTTGCAACGATCGTGTCGAGTGAGTTGGGCTGCAACACCATCCGGCACGTCATGGCATCTACCAGCATTTTGTCCATCGTCACATCTGGGAAGTCCTTGGCCACCTCTGCAGCGACCTCATCCCACATCACCATTCCATTGCGTTGAGCATTGCTCTTAGTCACTTTCAACGCGTCAGCATAAATCGCTATCGAGAACAGCATACTTAACACTCACCAACAGTGATATGCTTCTTCGGCCTGATCTGCGCAACCTCAAAGGCAAATCGAATCAAGCGTTCAACACCGTGACGAGTGAAGATGCTGACTTCGGTGGCGATCTCCCAAGGCTGACCGACATGAGATCGGCCTCCTTGACCTGCATACTCGCCTTCGCTGTTCTCACGAACGATGACCCAATCAAGATCACCAGTCTTCGCTTTTCGTAGTGGAGACTCAGTGCCTTTCAAGATCTTCGTCGGTCGAACGTTGGCGTATTGTTGGAAAGGCTGGCAGATTGCTAATCGAAGACCCCAGAGTGAGATGTGGTCGGGTACGTCTGCATAGAGATTAGCAAACATCTGGTCAATGCACCGAGCGATTGACATACCAGGAGCACCCACAGCGCCAAACAGAATAGCATCGTGTTTCCTGAGTTCTTCTAAACCTCCATCTGGGATGTACTTGCCCAGCTTCTTATATGTTTCCGAACTCCAGTCGAAATCTTGGAAGCTGAGCTTGAATTCACCAGATGCCTCGCTCAATGTCTTGAGAACCTCAACGCCTGCGGCAATGACTTCTGGTCCGATGCCCTATCTTTGTTAGATCTGATCTGACTCGCCACATATGGCTTGGCTTGGAACTTACATCGGCTGGCATGCATGCAATGCTGTAGTCGTGCTTCTTGTCGGCGCTTGGAGACATTTTGATCGACTCTGATGTACTGCGTAACGGCCTTTGTGCTTAATTATGGTGGATGAATTGTTGATACGACAAATTGAATATACGGCTATTTTCTCTCTTATGTATGCATCATGAGGCCGGGACAAATGCCACCGACTTCGGCCAATTCAAGATCATCGGCATCTGCGTTCGCCTCTCTCCACAATCTCTCCACCAGTCATGGTCTGGAGAGGTGTAGCATTTCACGCCGTAAACTCCCGACGAGAAACACCACATTCATGATTGTCAAGGGGTCCTACAGCTAGAAGGTGAGAGTGCGTTCGCTGCAGACACTTTTTTCTGTAAAGCCAATGCTGGTGTTACAGACCATTGGCCATGTCGGCTGGATGCAATGACTTAGGACAAGATATATGACATGGATACTATAATCTTGCCATGCTACGTATATGGACTGTAGCTGTGTATACTGCTGCAATGCCGTAAAGCACTGCCTGTCCCATGGCAGCCGAGGCTGCTGGAGTGACATACACATTGTGCTCGTCCCCAGCGGCCCTTGTCGTTACACACGCCTTATCGAGGAGCCAGTAACCACCTTGACGCTGCAGCGAGGGTACTAGTACGCGCAGACCGGTGCTGAAGTATCCTCAAGTAGGATGAGCATCGTAGACGTTCCGATGGTCCCGTCTGACATTCGGGATGATACCTCTTGACCATCCGCCTAGCCATACGCCCAGCAATGCCTCTCCCGTACAGGAAACCACATTCTCCCTACTCAACTCAAATCAAGCTTCCACAGCCCATCTCCAACATAATGCCCATTTTCAATTCCCGGCCCCTTCTTCTTCTCCTTCATCTCTTTTGTGCCCATCTTCAGCACACCGACCATACACGCATTCTCCTTGCCCTCCGCCTCAACCACGACCACCTCTCCTGCCGCGATATCCGTCCCACCATTGCCATAGACCTCGCTGTCCTCAGCAGTGCCCGGTAATCTGCCACCAGGTGATGTGAGACCAGGCACCATGAGCGTCGCACCACTGAGGACGAATCGGATGGCTCCTCTGTCTATCCGTAGTCGTTGAAAGGCCCATGGATAGCGATGGATTACTTTGAGATGTGGTATGATGGGATCGTTCATATGTTGCCAGAACAGTCCTTCATTACCGAGACTGTAGAGTGAGACTCGGTCGGGTAGCTTTACAAGGTCGAGTTGTTCTTTCTTGGGTAATATCTCATCGATATGTGGTTCAAGGCGTGGATATGTTTCGACGACCTTGGCGCGAATGGCTCGTTGGGCGGAAGACTTGACCTTGGTCTTGCTGCCGGCTGTGAAGCTAGGTGGGAGTGTCAGTCTGTGCTGTTGATTAAGGTGCTATATGAGACATACTAACTCCTTCTTGAACATTCTGGCGGTTCTAGATAGTGATGTCTGTAGTATGTAATCGGGTATCTTATAGTTTGCGTCCCAAACATAAAACAAAGACCGCGACTCAAGGAGCGACGACGACCCCGCTTCCACCAAGAGGTGGATTTGCTGCTTCATTCACTGCAAATTTCGTAACGAACAATGGTGGCGGGCACGCCCGTACAAATCATGAGCATATTCTAGTTCGAGGAATGGCCATGTGAATGGCGTGAAGCGGAAGGTGAGCTGGGCAGTCAGAAAATGCTGCTCAGTGGGAGGCTATGCCATGAGACCGTGGAGCATTCATGTGCAGAAAAGCTATCTTACGGCTTCATTGAGAGCCATACCACCAACACCAACGCTTGAACGCTGCACAACAATCCACCTCTGCCGGACAAGAGCTGCTCTTTTCACCCGCAAAGATACCTCACAGACCTGTCCCAGACCCAAGCACCTTCATGCCACCCGCGTCCCCAGCAAAAGCAAGCCAGTATCTTGTCGGATGCCACGCCACATAGCTAGGACAATGAGTCGTCTCGATGGTGTGCACAACATCACCAGTGTCAGCATGGAAAATGTTGAGCCCAGGTACGCCATCCTTCGAGTCCGGCCCTGCTCCAGCCACGACATACGATCCATCGAAGCTGAAAGACAGATCTCGAACACTTGTCACCTGTGATGGCGCCGAGAGTGTATGTGTAGTCAGCCACATGGATGTATCCCACATGCTGATCGTGCTGTCGCCTGAGCCAATTGCAACGTAGCCTCCTGTAGGCGATTGGGCAACAGTGTATGCCGCAGCGGTATGTCCAGACAGAGTATGCAGATGGGACATAGTCGGATAGTCCAGGATCCTCACCGAACCTTCCTGCGTCGTAGCAAAGACTTCCCGTCCCGAGTTCGAGAACGCCATAGCATACAAGATGTGCTTGCCCCTGTCCATCTTCCTCTCGCATTGAAGCTCGTACTGTGCCGTGCCATCTATACCATTCATGCGTCTGACATCTACCGAATGCACCACATCGTCCCGTCTCCCCACTAGCATATCCTGACCATTCGGATGCCATGTCAGGAACGCACTATCGCCACCTGTCTTGCAATCCGCCAATGCTGTGCCCTTTCCACTCACGCCCGTAGCTGCTCCTGGTGCCCTAACATCCCACAGTCGTACCATGCCGTCTAGACCTGTACTCGCGAGCACGCCTTCCGTTGTCGGACAAAAAGCTACCCTCTCCACTGTATCGCCAGCCACACCAGGCGTGCCATATTCCACGCCGCCTTTGGCATGTGCATTCTTGAGTTGTGTGCTGCTCTTGACATTCGGACGGTCAGAGTTCCATATCCGGCAATCTGCGCCTGTACAGGTCGCGATCAGGGTGCCGGTAGGTGACCAGCTGAGTGAGCGTATGTTCGGCGGTATCGGAGATGGTTTTGTGCTGAGGGACTCGGAAAATAGTATTGGTTTGAGTGGCTTGAAAAAAGTAGGGAAGTCATTCTTCTTCAGCGTACGGGAGCGCAGTGCTGGCGCCATTATCGTATCCTTTTGTGTCTTTTTGGTTCACCGGCCATCACACTATCGTTCAGTGTCCGTGTTCAATATCAGAAGGCGCTTTATTGTAACAACGAAGACCAAGTTTTTACGGAGACAACCAGCTTGTGAGCTCGGACCTAGCCATGTGCTCTTAGAACTGCAGAGGACGTATATAAGGACAACATTTATTTCTAGAGATTGAGATTGGCGAGGTATCATACTAAGTATACTTGGTCAGGACTGCGAATGCGAAGCTCAGAAGTCGTTGAGTCAAGGTTGAAGGGTGTTGAGATGAAGACCCTAGCCTCCCGACGCCTGGCCATAAGCTTGTATCACAGCCTGACCTCCGTGCAGTGCCCCTTTAGCCAAAGCCTCCCTAACGTCCGGCATCTCTTCCTCCTTGACCGGCACGACAGTAGTCTTGACGAACCTCTTCGTCCCATCGACATCCTGAAGCGTGACACTCCACTTCCTCGTGGCCTGCACCATCTCGTGCGGATCGTCCAGCCTGATCTGTTGGTAGTCCAGGTCGTGAAAGCCGTGAAACATGAGCGCCGTGACCGAGTTCTTCCAGGGCTCGTGACCGCGAGATTTAAAGATGGTGACGAAGACGAACATGAGGCTGATCAGGACCATGGCGATGGGATACGCTAGCCAACCCCATCTGACATGGAAATGCTGCTCGTAATCGCTACACCAGCCCCAAGCGTAGCCTGGGCCGGTATCGTTCATCTTGCGTAACTCATTGGTCATATAAGATGACAGATTCGAGATGGAGTACTCGAAGGTATCGTAAAAGTCTTGCGTGCAGTTGTCCTCGGTAAGCGATGAAGTACATTCGAAAACTAGCACGTTCGCCGCATATGTCGTATATGCGAGTCCGGTGGCGTTGAACGTGTCAGTGGTATTCCCACTGGTCCCTATCGCCGCCACGTCGCCCGTAAGAAACCCAGTCACGCCGTCCGTCCCGACTAGATAGTTCTGCAACGCGCGTTGGGAGGCAGCGTCCACCTCAAACTCGCAGCATGTCGCATTGGGCACGATATGAGCACCCTCATATTGGCAGTCGGGTGGGTTGAGGTAAATACTGGTATTGCTGCCGTAAATTGTAGCTGCCTCTGCGCTCGTGTTCGTCCAAGTCGGTGTTTGTACGGTGTTTCCATCAGTGCCGGTATCGTTGGCTGGTGTCTCGTAGAAGGTATTGTCGATCACCTGGCCGTAATAGGTATTGACGCACCAGTACCTGCGATGTGTAAGTCAGATGCCTCGATCTCGAACGGCGGAGCTTCTAGAGTACTTACATCGCGCACTCCTTGGCGTATGGTGGAGCTTCCGGCCAGTCGGTCGAGCCCATTGCTTTCCAGTGTGCTATCAATGGTCCTATGCCCGACATGACGCTAGCATCAGGATACTGAGTGTCAGAGGTCGTATTGACGATACCAAATACTGAATTCAATGTCAGACTTCCATCTGGCAAGGTCAACAAGACTTCGCTGTTGGTATCGCATTCGTCGTCGCCATCCACGTCGCATGGTGTGATTATTGTGTCCGAGATGTCAGCACACTGATAGCAGACGGCCAAAGATGAGTATGTTTGGAAGTCACAATTTCCGGACGTGCAGTTGACCAGGTTCACAACTGTATCAGCATCGTTGACGGAGGCTGGATAGCCAAAGCCACTGTACACTGCAGTTATCATCTCGGTGAAAGGCAACTCTGCACCTGGGCGGCCACCTGTCTGCCACTTGCCTAGATAGTTGTTCGAGATTGGTACCCTGCACATCCTTTCGGAAGGATCATGGGTGTGGGTTCCAAGTTTGCTGACAATCACTTCCTGGGTGAAAACGCTGGTTCCAAGCAGAGCTACAATCAGCAGGGCACCCAGTGCTGCCCAGTGGCTGTATTCAGATGTCAGACGGGTCCTGGAGGGTGTCAGACTAGCTGAGATAGCTTACCGCCAAGCCCCTTTACTAACGACAAAGGTAAGTGCACCAGACGGTTGCCTCGCGTTGGTCAATTTGTCCATCCATCTCAGCTCTTGGTTGCCTTTCTGGAACTATGCGAAAGTCAGTTGAGGGTTCAAGAATGGAGGTGACATAGGTAGTTGTGGCAGTGCACTTACCCACAGCCAGCGCAGCTGCCCAAGGCATGAAGCCACAGCAAAAGCTATCGCCGCCTCCAATAGCGTAGTCAGGAACGCAAATACAGAATTGATTGACCAAGTATGATTCCAGTTGTCCGAGCTTTTGTTATCGTACACTGCAAGAAGTACAATCTCGATCACGACCATGAGGACTGAGATGGAGCATGCGATAAGCTCGTAAAGCCAGGCATATGTCAGGCCGAAGAAGCCTCGTCGAGTCTTTGGGGCCTGGCCATTGGGTACGTTGGCTTGGCTTGCTTGCGACGTGCTGGCTACGCTTCCAATGGAGCCTGCGGGATAATTGATGCTTGCAACCCCATTGGTATTGCCAGAAACTGCTGAAGATGGCACTGGCAGAATCAGTAACGGAGGCTCCGAGGAAGATGGTGGTGCTTGGCCCTGGGCGATGTCGGCGGTACTGGAGTCCGCTGGGATTTGTCCTCCAGGAGATGGCTGGGGACTAGCGAGTGTCTGAGAAGGAGCAGACGCATGGAGATCGATAGGCGATGGCGACGCGCTCGCGTTCGTACCAGCTGGGAGAGCAGCATCACCGTATTCTACACTGTTGGCACGATAGACTGGACTGCTCGGGGCAGATGGAGGGTTTGAGCTGCGCTGTGGTAGAGAAGCCATATCCTGTTACCGGAAGACCGTCCTGCCGCGGACCAGATTATCGTCCCTCTTGAACGAAAAGGCTAGAATAACACGCAAGAAGGAGGAAGAGGTGAGACTTTGACAGATACGTACCAGTACTTATCGTTGACCTTCGCCAAATCAGTTGGCCAGACAGATCGCGCGAGCGCCATATTGGCCCCAGATGCACGTTGAGATAGTACCGAAGAGCTCAAGCATCAAGTTGTGCCTGAGTACAAAGCCACATTACATTAGTGGGATCAGAATACCGAGTTACTAGTGGTTGATGGTGTCGCTTGTAGGGCTGTTGATTGAGGCTGAGTGTCGTTTTCGGGGACGTTAGACTCGATTGGTTTGACGTCCGGGGTCAAGCCCTGTCATATCTAATGTAAATTGCTTCGGCCCGCTAGGATGGATCGTTTGACAAAGCCGAAGCCGAAGTGGAGTGGCGCAGATCCCAGGAGGTCGCGGATGCGTGTTAGTCCTTTCACAAAAGGCACGCTGAGCTTGTATGGCCAAGACTTCACAATGCTTCGAGCCAATAACCCGTATGGACAGAAAATGCCACGCATGCTCATTCGTGGATCTAGTCCCGGCGGAGCCGAGGGGTGTGTGTATCTGCTTGTACAGTGCATTTGAATTTGACGATTATCAGCGTGGCCAGTTGAACGCCTTTCATTCTATATCGTACTTGAAGTCATACCTCATACCACGACCTAACAGTATTCTATTGTCCACCAGCGCCACGTCCAGCACCACCAGCGCCGCCGCCGCCCATGCCGCCCATAAAGTTCCTTGCCCTATGCAAATTGTCAGTAATGACATGGACAACCTCAATTGCCAAAACTCACATCTCCGCTATGGCGGGATCGTTCATCATAGAACTCAAGTCTGGCATCCCACCACCACCACCCTGCTGCCCACCCGCACCTGCTTCTCCCCCGCCACCACCTCCACCACCAAACCTTCCAGCCAGATTCCTCAGCTGCGGGTTATTCATCAAATTACTCATCATCTCCGGGTTACTCATAACATTCTGCGCCATCTGCCTCATCATGGGATTCTGCATAATACTGCTCAGATCCGGCATTCCTCCTCCGCCTCCTCCACCGCCACCCATACCACCCAACATCGACGCCAGACCACCAAGGTCAGGCATACCGCCGGCACCAGCTCCACTTCTCGCAGCTTCTTGTGGCTCCTCTTCTGCTTCTTCTGCAGCTTCCGGTCCTTCTTCCTCCTCTACCTTTCGCTTGGCAGTCTCGTAACCCTTCTTCATTGCATCGCTGCCCCCATTGCCTTCGGCTTCGATACCTTTCTGATAGGCTTCCATACTCGACTTTGCGTCGCCAAGTGCAAAGCAAGCTAGGCCCAGTCTCGACCATGCCTTGGTGTACTTCGGATCTGCTGCCGTGGCGAGCTCGGCATCGTTCTTCGCATATTCGTGCTGGCTGTTTGCTGAGTATGCCGCTGCGCGATTGGATAGATAGATAGGGTTCAGCGGGCTGATCTCCAGGGCCTTGGTGTAGAGGTCGATTGCAGTCTGGTAGTCCTTCTTCTGCATAGCGGCGTTCCCTTGTCCTTTAAGCTTCTCGCTCTCTTCTGTAGGCTTGCCATCACCACCGCTAGTCGTTGCCGCGGCACCCGATGATGCTGGTTGTGCGCTGCTTGACGCGCCGGCTGGACCTTTGCCCTTGAGCTTCTCGTACACGCCGTATATTGCCAGAAGGTTTTGCCCTCCGACTGCATCTTTCATTGCTTCCTGGTCGGTGGGATCTACATGAAAGCATTCTGCTATGCAGTTCTGCGCAATCTCAATGCTGTCTGCGTCTTCAGGCTGGAGTGTGCCATCTTTGAGCGATGTGGATAGGAAGTCGTGGATTGCGAGCGCAAGGCGCTTACGGGAATCGGTTGCCTGAGCGTCGTAGTCAGTATGGAGCCGCAGTTGGGTCAGGGCGTTGCCTACCATATTAATGAATTGGCCCAATTGGGCAGTCACGAATCTTGGGCGGGGTTTTCTTGAGTTCCAGCTGAGATTGGTTATTCGACAATCTGTGAATAGCTGAGAACAATGGTTAAGCGGCGGTAGCAGGTTTGTCTATCATTGAACAGTTGGTGCCAATGAGAATAGAGAACTTTCTAGACCAACCTCGTGGTCCCGGGAAAGTTGTATCGCAAGGTACGCGTTGCTTGGCGTACGTAGAGTGGGGCGTACTTTCACGTGCGCGGGACAGATGCCGATGAGATATTCAACATATGATAGAACCATGTTTGCTTTACACGTTATAGACCAAGCAGCGCTCGATGCTAGCCTTGAAAACTATCAAGCTTCTGGCAAATGCTAAGGGGCTGCAACACAGTTCGTATCGCCACCACCAATTGCGACGCCGCCGAAAGCTCCAGTCACTTTCTCTCTACCATAATTAGATCAAGCCACTTGCTTGGGATTTTCTTGTCCGGGCAACACTTGGTCATTGATACGGGAACGCTTGATCATTGACACGCCACTGATCACGCTCACCGAACGCATCTGCATCCGACCATAATGACTGTGAAGTCGCTTCTCCATTATACGAAGTCGTAGTAGGTCGACAGTCGGGCCAGGGCGAGGGAGATGGGAAGTGTATAGTGCTCTTGCCGTGGTAATGATCCTTGAATTGGACCAAGAGCCGCTGTTCAGAATGAGAGAGCAGCCATAAAGTCGCCCGCCGCAACATGACGACCCTCTGAATGGTAAGACGAAAAAATGCGCTGCAGCACACCAAGACGATTGTTCTTCACAATGTTACGCTGATCTGTGTCTGCAGACGTCCTATGCGCAGCTAGTTTGACCTGCTCATGAAGTTCATGCTGATCTTGCTGCTCGCCATGGGTGGTGCGTGTGTTGACTATTACCTGGATATTGGGTCGCCACGTGCACACTGGGATTTTGCGTCGTGTCTGATACCCATTTGTCCCGAGGCTGGTTTAACAAATGTCTTCTCAGCTTCACACTGCTGTCTGCGCAGTGCGCGCTGTAGGGTCTTGTCAGTGTCTGCGGTTTGTACTTGTGCTACGTGGAGTCATCGAACAGCAATAGTAGACAGGACTGCGCTGCGCCTCTGCTTGTATGCTGTACACGTCTTGGTGATAAAAAGGAAAGGTGAAGTTGGGTAACCGAGAAGAGCAGAACGGATACACCCGTCACTAGTCGGAGGCTCTCGAGCTTATCGTGCTCACCCCATGGCTCGACTCGACTCTCCACATCCGCGAACCATACCGATTTAACATCTTACTATAAATCCACAATGTCGACCAACCCACCCCGCTCCAAACGCTCCCGGACCTCTTCCTCGATATCCCAACGAGCATCACGAACGATAGGCAAAACCGAAATAACAATAAACGTCTACGACCTCCTACCCGTGCGTCTTGACGCTCATCACATCTGCACCACCCACCTCCCATGAGACCAACACTAACTAACGCCCAGCCTCCCTGATAGCCCTCCCGCCTATCGAGTCTGCTCTGGACCCTCGGCTCCGGCCTCCTGCACACGGGCGTCGTAATCCACGATCGCGAATACGCCTACGGCGGGCACAACCGGCGCAACACAACCGGCGTCTACCACACCCCCCCCGGCCACGAACCCCCCGGCGGAACCTTCCGATGCTCGATCCTGCAAGGCATCAGCTTCCTTCCCATCCACGAGATCGACAGCATAATCCACCGAGTCTCGGAAGAATTCCTCGGGGAAAAGTACAATTTATTAACGAATAACTGCAACCACTTCACCTCAACCCTCTGCTCGCGGCTTACGGGTAAACCGGCGCCGGGATGGGTGAATAGAGCAGCGGGGATCGGGTTGGCGATTCCGTGTATGGTGCCTAAAGAATGGATACAGCCGCCAGACCACGAGACGGCCGAAGGCGAATTGATAGATGGAGATGAAGAGGACGAGGACGAGGACGAGGACGAGCAGGCGGCGATGTTGGATAGTGATCGGAGACGGACGAGGCGGGCGGAGGAGGAGCAGCGGCAGAGACGCAGTGCGGCGGGTGGTAGTGGTAGGCGTGCAGCGGGTGGTAGTAGGAGTGCGGCGAGCAGTAGGAATACACTCGATTCTTATGATACGGGCACGAAGGGCAGTAGTTTGAGTTTAGTGGGTGGGAGGAGAATAAGTTGGGTTGAAGGGACGCCGCCGCCGCGATTGGTTAGTGTGGGGGATACGAGTGGGCGGGAGATGCCTGTGGCTGAGAGGGCGCCTGTGCCTGTTAGACGATAGCTTGAGGAAAGCTTGAGAACATGGTCATGAAGTACTTGGAATTGTTCGGTATTAGATAGACCTTCTGCGCTGCTTTAGAGATGGCGCGGTAGGCTACGATAAGCGGTGCGATCACGATCCTCACATCTGGGATCGTTTCGCTTTACGGTGCGATAAGAATGGTTCTTCTACCACGTCATCCACGCCCTACGATCCAACCTCTACAAATCCCATCCGCAACCACAACATGCCTTTACAACCACTTGTCCTCCCTCTCAAGCCTCCACACTCTTCCTCTTCAACCCAGGAAACAAGGGCGTCTTCACCGGCGACGTATTGACCCTCGCATCCTTCGCCTTGACTGGCGTCATCGGCTCGCCGCCAGATGCATTCGAGACCTGCCGCAGCTTACTCGGACTCTTCGCTGGACTCGGCAGGCTGCCCTTCTTCACCACATTGTTCTTAGCAACGGTGGCGGCGGCCTTGCTCTGGCCGAAGACATTTGTGATGGCATTGGACTTCTTCGATGGTTGTTGCGGCTTGCACTTCGCCTTACTCGTGGTCTTGGTTGACTTTGTTGGTTTCGTGCCCTTGAGGTTGCTTGCCGCGATCTTCTTGGCCATGGTTGCAATTTTGGCGCTCTTTGGTGCTGACTTTGTCTGGCTGCTCTTGTTGAGCTTCTCAAATGCAGTAGGCGCTTTCTTCGAGGGCGTGCTGCGATCTGATTCGTCTGGTGTAGGAAGGCGAAGACTCTCGCTCACCATGATGTTCTCGCCATCAGCAATCACGTTTTCAATGCTCGATAGGACGGAAGATCTTCTGCTGCTCAGCGGACTCCAACAATCCGGACTGCGTTCAGTGTGTCGTGGCGTTGATATCACAAGTGGTGGCTTGAAGCTGTTGTTGATATGCTCAGCTGTAGGCGGAGCGATCGGTATAGCTTCTTTCGGTCCACAGCTCGAAAGCACAACTTGTGCCCTCTTCGCCGCAGCCTTAGCCACATCCTCCTCACTAACTTCACTAAAATCATCCACCACCACAGGCTCGTTCCATCTTCTCATCGCAGCTTTCTCCGCCACTTCGTCGCAAGTCCCTTGCACGATGATATCAAAGCAGTCTCGGAAGCCTCCAGCCGCAGGTGGCGGATCAGGATTGATCCAAATCGCGAGGCCACCATCCTTGCGATTCCTGACAACTCCACACATCTCCTTGACCAACCTCTGCAAGCCTTTCACTTTCAAAGTCGTGCCTACCACGACTACAGCATCTGGCCGCCGCCGCAGATCCTCCACAGACACTGCACCAATCGCTGCCTCATCAGGTCCACTCTCATGGTAAAGCACCATACGTGGCCGAAGACGTCCCACTCCGTGACTTCGCTTGCCCTCGAAGGTGGTACGGATGTTGTTGACTTCGTCGCACTTCGCGCATAGTGGAGCTTCCGATCCAGCAAAGAGTGCCGCATCCATGTCTGACACATCGTGACATTTCGTGCAGACCATCTTGTCAAGTCCACCATGTAGCTGCACAGATCGTGGCCACTTTCCACTCTCGTCCTTGGTCAGTGGCGTACGCGTGCGAAGCGGCTCCATGTTCGTCTCCAGTCCGTCGACATTCTGGGAGTACAGTCGCATCAACCGACCGTCCTGCGCGATCGTGGCAAGCATGTGGTGGAAAGGCGTCGGTTTCGCGTCTTTTGTCAGACGCGCCATTTGGCTGATCATGGAGTGGAATTGGGTAGTCGACGCGTCATCCTTGTATACGGACGCGTCAAAGAGATGCTGGCCTGATCCTTTGAGATTGTGCTCCTTCTTCAGACTACAGAACAGTCCTTCTTTGGATCGGAAGTCCGGTACGCCTGCGGACTTGGACATGCCAGCGCCAGCAATAACCACAATCTTTTGCCTCTTGTGGAGCACGTTCATGACCAAGTCAAGATTGTCCTGCTGCTCGTAGCTCAACTTCCCAGCTCGCAAGTTCAGGTACTCGGTCGTGCGTTCTTTAGGGTCCTTTGATATCCGCCTCCGCTTAGCAGGTCGCCGTCCGTCCTCCGTGTTCGATTCCATACCATCTGGTGTAGGTGTGCCATGTTCGGAAGTTTGCTGTGATGCTGGTGGCGAAGGGTAAGGCACGGGCGGGCGCGATCTCGGTGCCATTGCAAAGTCGAAGTAGTCCGGCGGTTCTGGCGAGCTGGACAACACGCTGAGCGGTGAGGAAGGCGCGTCGAGCGATGTTGGAGAAGGTGGAACAGACGACAAATCGGAGGAAAGGTCGGAGTCGGAGTGTGCGTCTGCCATATTGGGCAAAGAAGACGGCATGCCGCAGGAGAGCAGGAGCGAGGTGCGGAAGGTGCGCGGGCCGGGCGCACGTCGTATTGTCGTAGTTTATTCACCGTGACAATAGCATCGTGTATATATATAATTCTCGGTAATTCACCGCGAGTCCTTCGTATTGTTGGTGGGGTCGAATAGTCGCGTGTTCGTGAGCTGGAGGAGGAAGGTGCAGTGAGGATGGCTGGCGGAGGAGGAAAGTGCAGGATGCCGGGCGTCAGGAACGAGGGGACCCCCTCGGACGCTACCTGCATTCGGTATGTTGTTTATCAGGAGGACAACAAATTGCATTATTATTATCCTTCCACACACAGATGTCGTTCGCTCCGTATGGCCATAGGGGACTCCACAGTATCGAAGAGTACTCCATCTGTCCGCGATCGTGGTCAATCATGTGCTCAAGGACTCGGTAACATCGTCTCAGGCAGGACATTTGAGCCTCACGGAAGCAGACTTCATCCGGTCGTCTTGGCATTTCCACGTATTATTGCTGCAGCTCGCAAACACCAACGCGCTGGAACCGCCACTCTCCTTTATTGCGCAGGAGATATAACTCGGATGTGACCACAGCTGTTTCCGTGGATAGAATTGGATAGAGTCTACTGCGACTCGGCACGCTCATGGTAGTGTACATCAGCCTTGCTCATGCGCATGATCTGAATGCAGACCATCCATCAAAATGGACACTGGAGAGACATGGAGACCCAGCCAATGATGCCAGAAGCCGACATGACGGGCGTGAGCATGCTGGACCCGATGGACGATCTCTTTGGTGAGGCCGCGGACGGTCTAGGTGTGAACGTCGCAATGCCTGCTCCACCATTGACCGCACCGCTTCTCTCCTGCATAAATGACATGCAGCGCACAGGATCGTGCTCGTGAGTCGCCAAACCTCCTCTCTCCATGGGAATGTCACATCGCAAGACGGTAGGTAACGGTTCTCCAGGAGACTTGCTTGGTCCAACTCCGGCAATATTGCTCATATTTCCAAACATGGTCGGCACGTCGACCTTCACTGTGTCTTGCGCGACCCGAGATCTGGAGATTGGAAGCTCAGTCCAGCGTCCAAACATATTATCACTGCACCAGAAGGAGTGAAGTTTGTACATCTCGCCTTCAACAGAGCCGGGAATGAGCTGGCAGTCGTTGATAGCGTCAACGGCCTTCACATGTATAGCGCAGGCAGTATGCTTGGACACATGCTGCCGGCGCCCACAGATGCATCTATCAACGACCCCTCACGGACTTCTTTAGACGCAGCTGTTGGAGTGTACTGGTTGCCGACGTATCAGATCGACTTTAGGGTAGGCCTATTACCACATTTGGCGTGTGTCATGCTAACAAGGTGAAGGCACCCTTCATCACTCCAGCCACCAAAGTCGGCGACCACTGGCTCACTAGTATGCATATGTCGAACACAAATCTACCGAGAGTACACAATGCGCTCGAGGGCAGAAATGCTTTGATGCATGTTAGCGCGACCAGCAAGCTCACTCTGCTCTTTCAGAACGAACTCGGAGTATGGCATGCACTACATTCGGTGCTAGAGGAGTGGCACACGAGCAAAGACATCCTGACGCATGCTGCTATAGGCATGGAAGGTGATCATTTGATCTTAGTGACCCACGATCACGCAAGGCGCTTCCGAGTGTACAAGATTGTGATAAATTGGAACGCCGTGCAGCAGAATCCCAACGGAGGTGTGGTAACAATTGCGCCAACAGTAGATGTCAGTCATCTTAGCATGCTTGGACCTGAGCGGCCAGAACTCGCACAACTCACGAGTCTGCACATCCTATCAGCAGCAGCACCGCACGCTGATCCGAGCGCATCTGCGACAACCACAGTGGCGGCAATTTATACGCATGTTCCGACTGCGATGGGTGCAGTACAGCAGAATGACTACTTCAGTATGCTTGTGCGGTGGGATATTGAGACTGTCACACCTACGCTCCATGGGAGTTTCGCGAAGCTAAAGCAGAACGGACCAACAACGAACACACGACCAGTCACCGTGCTGAGACGACAACCTGATATTCTTCTCAGCAAGATCATACTGAACCTTCAAACCTTGCATCACAACACTGCCATCGCTTTGATCAGCAGCCTAGGCACGATCGATTTATATGACCGCGCAACATGGACGCCCATCGAACACTTGGGTGATACGACCACGGCTTCGACTTTACAACAAAGTGGGCTAGGGTTCTCTTCAAGCGAGCACTCGGCGAATATTGCCGGCAATGCAGACTGTTGCATGCTCGCCTGCACCAGACCTGATGGAAAAGTAGAAACCAAGAACGTCTCCCTTCGCTTCGGCTGGCAACCGATAGAAGACGGCATAACAGACACCAAGGGCATGGTCGAAACAGCCATCGTCTGTCTCGCTCGACAATACACCCAACTAATCTCCATGACCGCGAGCACAGACGAAGTCATGGCGGTGCTACCAAGAGACCTAAGCAAGGACTCGAAAGTACTATTTGTTCGACAAATCATCAAAATATTGGTCAGAGTCCTCGACGTCTCGATGGTAGACCAGCAACGACAGCAACAGGCTGTGCTAAAAGAGGCCATGCATCTCCGTGCTCTAAGCGCACAGCTCGTCTTGAACGAGACCATACCTGAAGTCCAATCAGGGGCGGATCACGCCCGACCTCGACGAGAATTCGCGGCCCAATACGCCTACGTCTACCTCCACATGCGCCAAAACGCCCTGACACTCATGACGACCTTCGCGCCCAAAGAAAAGGAGCTCCTAGCCCGACAACCCGACCTCGTCCCCTCACTCACTGGTCTACTAAAATGGTACACAAACCTCCTAATCTACTTCACCGAGACCTTCCGTCAAGTCAACCACCTCGTCACCCAATCCAACGGCACCAGAACCGCAACCTCCGTCTTCCAAACTCTAATCCACGACAAGGGGAACCCAAGCCTCATCCTCTTCCTCTCCAGCTTCCCCCGAGTCCTTCTGAACATGCAAACCCGTGTGGCGCCAACCTTCGTCAAATGGGTAACCCTCGCCCACGCCCGAGGAAGACTAATGGAGCATAAACTCCAGATGGAAGATTTCCTACACCTCGTCGAGACCATGCCGTTCAAATACCCTGCTTTTATCGAACTGATCGTTGAAGTCGACGGGGCTGTGAGGGCGGCGTATATGGAATCTGGGGCTAGTGCGGAGAGGAGGGTGGAGTGTGAGATTGAAATGATCACTCAGGGAGTTATTCCGCCTGAATTGCGACCAGCGGTGGAGCAGATGGTTCAGAAGATTTTCCCGAAGTTTTGTCGAGGGGTGGATATGGGGCGAGTGTATTTTTGGGATACGGAGTGGTTGGGTATTGAATATGCTCTCCCTGATCAGCGGAAAAGCGGTGGTGGTGGTGAGGGGGGTGGTGAGGGGCTGGGTTTCGATGCTTTGAGGAAGACGCCCTTGAGGAAAGGGATGGGGTTGAGACAGTGTCGGAAGTGTGGGAGTAAGATGGAGGATTTGGATGTAGAGGGCAAGGTGTTCTGGCCGGATTGGTTGCGAAATTCGCAGCGGCATTGTTTCTGTCAGGATTCGTGGTGGGGTGGGCAGTGTTGAGACCCGTCCGTCCATCCATCCATCCATCCATCCAATGCAGATGAGATCTCGCCACAGTTGGGTCTCAACATACGATATGACAACTCCTTCATCATACAACTCTCGCCACTTAATCTAGGTTTATTATATCATATATATCACACCCTGCACACTTCTACTTCTTACTCTCCTCCCCCTCCCTCTCCATCCCTTCGCACCCGGCCACCTTCCCCGCCATCTGCTCCACGCTCCCATATCCATCCTTCTGCGGATCTCGGTTCGCACTCGCTTGCTTCATGCTGTCGATGCCGGCCGCTTTGTCTGTTTCGGCGGATTGTTGCCAAGAGGTGGCGCCGGTTACGCTTCCTACTACGCTCTGTGGATAAGAAAATGGGGTTAGTGGGTGGACGTGGTGTGTGTGGTTGGGGGGATAATGCGTACTTCTGCTGCGCCTTTGACGTATTGGGCATGGCCGCCGATGAGGGAGGATTGTTGTTGCTGTTGGTCGTTGGAAGACATCTTGACTGTTGGGCTAGATTGAAATGATGTAGATTCCGGGAAAGTCGATGATAATATCAGAACTCGCAGATGATAATTGTCGGCTCTCGATCATCATCAAAGCCAATTTTTGGTGATGTATAATGACGTCGTCCTCGAGGATCTAGCCGAAGGAAAAAGATCATGATAAGATCAACCCTCGCCACTCAACCCGGCTCATTGGACGAACCGCTTTCGCATGGCCATGGTTGATGGAATTATTGCAGTGCTTTGCTGTCATTTCCGCCAGCCAGACATGTTCCACAAGGGGGACTGCCTCACACTACGTACGCGATCCATCACAAACGACTTTTGCGCACGTATCGTGACACTCTATCCAAGGCCATTGCGGACGAGCCAGATGAGGTTGGAAGTGGATGGAGGATGACTACCTTAGGTTGAAGTGTCAAGAAATGCCATAGCCGTTGCACACCAATCGGTGTAAAAGACACCAATCGAGGAAGCTCACGCTATACTATTCTATAGCTACCACACCTCACAATCATAACGTCATAGCACTACCAAAAAGCAGCAGCCTGAAAAAGTCGTCCTTGCCCTTGAAGTCATTGGTATCATATGCCACGCGCTGTGCACATCCCCTATGCCATCTATACTACTACCAGAAAACCAAGCCCTCCACCAAAAGAAACAGAAGCCATAGCAATCATCATCACCAGCTCATAACCCGGTAGGACCATGCCAGCCCAAGGACAAATCACCGATGCGGTTTCCCAAAGGGATCCCAATCGGCGACTTCATGAGCCAATCGCTCCTAGCGAGGCGCATACGGATTCCCACTCTGATCTGCTCCACCCGAAACAAGGACAAACATCAGCAAACACATTATCCCCGTGTCCCATAAAGCCTCTGCCAATACGTACCGGGCTGCTGCTGCTGCCTCTGGCCCTGTCCTCCACCGCCACCTCCGCCGCCACCGCCACCATAACCCTGGGGCATCATCGGCAACGGCATGCCTTGTCCATTACCTTGCATGCTCTGCTGCATAGTATGCATCTGCATCGCCATCATGGGGTTTTTGCTCCACACGTTCATCATTTGCTCCTGCCGCTGATGCTCCTCGGTTCGTTTGCGTTGCTCCAGCCGCTTTCTACGCTCGCGTTTGCGCTTTTCGATTTCGTGGATTTCACGTCTAGCGAGAAAAGAAAGTGCGATGATTAGCGGACAATAGTTTTTGTTAGGGGGTGAGTTAGGATATGCATACCTCTGCTCATTCATCTCCTTCCACTCTGAGAAAGCACCTTTGATACCCAAAGCCGCAATACCCACAGCGGCTGCATCTTGCACCCAAGCCTTCGTTTGCTTCTTCCTAGCCTCCTCGGGACTCATCTCACCCTCCGCCACAAGCCGATGCCGTTTCTCGTGCGATTCCATCGAGGAGTAGACACCATGGGCGGCGTGGATGGTAGCAATAGTAGCCAGACCCGCCGTCAACAGCTCTTTCCCCTTCATGTGCTTTCTTTTGTTCTCCATGTCAGTAGTGCTACTACTATCACTGTGTTGCTCGCCGTCCTTGCTCTCATTATTATTGTTATTCTTGTTGTCGTTGTTGCCGTCATTTCCGTTCTGCTGCTGTCCTCGATTACGGTTCGCAACTAATGCACCAGCACCAGCGCCCGCCGCCCCGCCCGCGGCGACATCACGGCCATTAATGCCGCGGTCTTGACCTTGACCGCGAGCGGTACCGGCTTGACTGCGGCGAGTACTGCGATCGTCTGTATCTGAAGGGGGTGAGCGACGCTTGTCTCGGCGACGATTGCGGGAAGGCACATACGAGTCTGCGCTGGAGTTTGAAGGTGAGCGACGTTTGCGTGACTTGGAGCGTACCCGATCATAGATGGCCTTGCCAGCTGCAGCGACTGCACCGCCTGCTACCAAACCCTTGAGTGCGCCTGCACCACCCCCTCCTTCGCCTGCCTCGCTGCGAGCGCCTGGACCACGTGATGCTGATCTTCCCCTGAACCTGTCTATGACACTGCGACTGCGGGAACGGAGACCGCCACCAGCACGGGAATCTGGAGAGTAATCCCGTCCACGTCCATCCGGTCCGCGAGATTTGGATCGGGAGCCGTTGGCCAGGCGATTGACAGCCAGACCACCAATAACAGCTTCAGCAAGATGGATCTTTGACTTCTCCTCTGGCTTCTTGCCTTGGAGAAAACCATCGATACCACCAGCACCAAAAGCCGCCGTGGCAATGCGCTTTCCTTTCTCGCCAGTCCATGGGCCAGCCTCCTTACGCGAGCGGAAAGCCTCGACGGCACCAGCGACGAGTGCAGCTTGAGCAGCCTGGGCCCACTTGCGTTCATTCTGCTTGCCACCGCCACGAGAGCGGCTTCGAGAGTCCTCGTCCGAGTAACGTCCGCGATTGGCACGTGAGCGAGACCGGCCGGAACGGGCAGAGCGACCATCACGAGATGAGGAGCGGTCCTTGTCCTTGTCTTTCTTGCCGAGTGCTGCACCAACGATGCCGCCTAAGCCGAGACCCTCGAGCGTCTCCTGGATGCCCGACTTCTTGCGCTCATGACGGCGTGGCGGCGGGGAGTCGGAGTAATCGGAGTCGTAATCACGATCATCGCGACGGCGTCGATCTCTCTTGTCTCCACGGCGACCAGCGGCGTATCCAGCAGCTCCTCCTGCTCCAGCGCCGTAGACAGTGGACCGGTCGTCGTCGTAGTCATCGTCGTATCTGCCCCCACGCGCGCTCTTTGCACGGCGGGGAGGTGCATTGTAGTCGTCGTAGTCTCCATTCCGGCGCGAGTTACGTCCAGGCGGTGGGAAGTCCCTGGGAATGTCCTCAACGCTGTCATCGCGACCTCGAAACACCAAATCACGTGGTCCAGCACCCTTGCCGCGCTCAATGTACGTCTCTTCCCTCACGTAGTCCGGCTCGTCGTTGCCTCGTGGTCGTGTTCGTCTGTCGCATGTCAGTATAGTTGCCTATGAGTGAGACGGGAGTGAATACTGCTTACACGCTATGATACCGGCGTGGACCATCATCGTCGTCGTAGCCGCCACGTGACTGGCCGTATTGAGACATGGTGGGAATGGAAGAAGTATGTGTGGTGGAAGAAGGAAGCGGTCGAGAGATGTCTCAAGGTGTGTCGGAGGATTTATGATGACTGAGTGAGACAGCGTGTCGCTTTAGGTTCGCATAGGTACGGCTCGCAACAGTCTCACTTGGCGAGCTGGTAGTGGGGCGTCGCCTTCTTGGCTGTGCGGCCTTACGAGGCTGTGTACAGTGTGCAGCTCACCGGCCGGGGCGCAATCGAGGTATGATGACCAGGTGTGAGTCGTTGGGGGTGGATGCCGTGATGTCAATATTGGTAAAGCGTGCTATTGGTGTCCAGGTCGGCCTGTCTATCTGTTCGCCGCGGAAAGGTGGCAGGTGGCAGGTGGCACGTCTCAGCACAAGCTTCGAAGGGTGAGGCTAGGGACTTGGATGGTTCAGGGAAGGAACGTTGCACAACGGTGGGGCGACTGCCACACTCGCGCCTGCATGCACGATGACGTTGAATTAACTGTTGATATCAAAGGCACATCCTGGTCGCTGCTGCCCAACGGTGTTTCAGCATCGCTCATCCATCCCAGCAAGTGAAGATTGTGACGATGAATTCACTTGCGCTTCATGTGTCGTCTATGTGCGTGTTCAGAGGAGTAGAGTCAAGATAGAACATGCGACGGCCGTCTTCAGATCGGGCCCGGCCGGAGTTTTTATCCGCCCTATTGCGCCACTCTCCCACAATTGGAAACATCCATGGCATGAACATTGACAGGGTACAGTATTAATATCTCTTCCGTCACCCCTATACGACACTCATGAATTCCGCATTGTCCTGAAAATGTCCAGCTAGTACCTCATCTATCTATCTAGCTTTCTCGCATGAATCAGCATACCAGGGTGACCCTCCAGGACTAGAAGAGTCCAATCAGCCCAATCAGGAAGGCACACTCAGGATCCTAGCTCCGCCTCTCTCACGAAAGCTCTCATATCCAGCCCGCGGGTGAGATGGCCATATATCACCGCGATGTGCAATACTCGGACGAGTCCAGCCTAAACACCTTAGAAGTATGCATACCGCGTCCGGAAACACAAACCCCGAAGGCAATCTGGGTCGTCTTCATCCATGGCGGTGCATGGCGAGATCCTGCAGTAGACTCCACATCGTTCAGGAAGACACAGGACCTCCTACTGCAATCACCTCAGTTGGACCAGATAGCCGGTCTTGCTTCGATAAATTACCGACTCTCACCATACCCAGCACACCCGACAGACCCATCCAATCCATCTGATCCTAGCAGAAACGCGAGGCATCCAGATCATGTGAACGACGTTCTAGCCGCCATCTTGTATCTGCAAGAGAAATACCACTTCGAAGACCGTTACATTCTGGTTGGCCATTCTGTCGGAGCCACTCTCGCCTTCCAGGTGGCGATGAAGCGATACTGGGGCTCACAGTACGAGTCCACGCTCGCACTCGAGCTCAACGTATTCCCTCCAATAGCGATCCTTGGCGTAGCGGGAATCTACGACATACCTGCACTAGTCACCCACCACAAAGATGTCCCAGAGTATGCGGATTTCGTCAGCAACACCAATGGCTCGGACCCTGCTGTCTGGAAAGCAGTGAGTCCGACGTCAGGTGACTATGATGAAAGCTGGGCCGATGGCAAGCTGGTGATCATAGCGCACTCGCACGAAGACGAGCTCGTTGAGTGGGACCAGGCTGTGCTGATGCACGAGGCGCTGAAGGCACAGGGTTGGGTGGAGAGTCTCAAGGATAGGCAGGTGAGATTGATGCCGCTGAACGGCAAGCATGATATGATTTGGGAGGATGGCACTGAGTTGGCGAGAGCGATAAGTAGGGCGGTGGAAAAAGTTATGGAGATCCTTTGATCGGAGGGTCTGCCTATACTATCATGATCTTCACTGGAGCGAAGCAATGTAGATAATGTATCCAAGAGCCTCCGATCAGCACACTTCCTTACGGCAGCATGAACATCTGTACAAGGATCGTATCCTCCTCTCAACAAGTCTAAGACTGCGCAATTCCAGAGCCGAGCCCTCCAGGTCTGCTATAGGCGCACCTGTGCCTCGTACTGCTTACTAGATCCTGGAGCGCTACGCCTAGGGCTCAAAAGACACCATGCCAACAGACGGGGAGATAACCATGCCCGTCTTCCTAACGTACGGGGGAAAAATAAGCTCACGGAGCTTGTCTTCGCTTGGCCGACGGTTATTAGGGTCTCGCAGTTGTGAAGGTATATATATCGAGCTCGACATCCACGCGCAGCGTGAAGATATCAGCTTTAGAGTGTGCCCGCTACGAATTCCACTACAGCAACAATGTCAACAACCGACAACTCAACCAAAGTCCTCTCCCCCACCAAACTCGCCCACGTCGTTCTACACACTCACCAGTACGACCGCATGCTACAATTCTACACCCGCTTCCTCGGCGCCAACATCGTCTTCGAGAACGGCCATCTCGCCTTCCTCAGCTACGACGAAGAACACCACCGCATCGCCATCATTTCCATCCCCGGCATGAAGGAAAAGGATCCGCAAACAAGTGGTCTGGGCCATATCTCCTTTGCTTACGACTCGCTCAAGGACCTCTGTGCTTCTTACAAGCAGAGGAAGATGCTAGGGATGGAGCCGGGGTGGTGTGTGGTAAGCCCGCTTTGTTACTTGCTTGGTTGTATCTCGTACTGTGTACAATTCTGCCACTGATAAGCTCGAGCAGAATCACGGCCCTACGACATCGCTGTACTACTGCGATCCCGATGGCAACTCCATCGAGATCCAAGTGGATAATTTCGAGACGAATGGAGAGGCCACGGCGTTCATGATGGCGAGTTTTGAGCGGAATCCGCTCGGAGTCGATTTTGATATCGAGGAGCTTTGTCGTAAGGTTGAGCGTGGTGAGGATGAAGGGGAGTTGAAGCGGCCGAAGGTGGAGATCGTAAGGAATCGGCCGGAGGATTTGGTGCGGGCTGCGAGGTTGATGCAGCAGGGTACGACTGGTTTGTAGTTGACTGGATTGATCACGAAATCAAAGAGAGTGCGCGAATGTATGAGTTGCTGTTCTGAGCTTTTCACGTTGTTTAAGCAAGTACCATGAAGACGGACAACCCCAGGAAGGCGGCTAAGATCAGACTGCCGGTGATCGTGGTCGCCGATCCTGTGTATGGCACAACAGATGCTGTCGGAATAGATCCGGGAGAAGTACCATTGCTCGAAGTCGTATTGCTCGTCATATTGCTACCTACGATTGGTACCGTAATATTGAACTGTTTGCAGACTTGGCCGAAGAGTGAGGTGAAAGCTAGCATACCATCAGCTCACGCCATCAAGATCATATCAGTGCCTTCCTTACTGTACAACTCGGCACTCGCGTCCGGACATGTCTGGTTTGCACAAGCGGAGATATTCGCTATGATGCCGTCCTGGCGGACACAGTGGCAGTATTGATCAGCATTCGTGCAATTGACTGATACAATTGCCGCAGGGTCGCAGCTTTTCTGTACGGATGTTAGCTCCGGGTTGATGACATGGTTGGGGAATGTCGTGCAATGCAAGCAGGTATCTGGGTGGCTTGAGATCCGACTTGGGCGAGGACAGAGGTCAGGACGCTGAAGACAAATAAGAGCCGCCACATCATGAGAGGTCGAGGATTATGTTACTCGTGGCACCAGTTGCGTATGTCTGTTGTCGACGGTGTGAGAAGAGCACAAATTGCGACGGTCGATGGCTGCCCTCGGTAGACCAATTTGCGTCCCCTGTCACTCCTGCTCGAAGTTCAAAGTTGTCGGTTGGGGCAATTGTTAGCGCTGTTCTCGTCCGCAAGGGACTATCGACTTCACCTCTGCATACAACATTCGCTTCTTCTCTCCTACAAGGAGATGTTGCCTGGCTTGAACATTTACATGCACCCAATGCGAGAGTCGGTCAATTGCGATTCGCGAGTGACTCTTGAGATAATTCTTGAGTTTCCTAATTCGTGGCAGCTTCAGAATTGATTTCCTCCACCATCACTACCTCATCTTCGGAATACCTCCTGCAGACCGAAGGATACATGTCGCCGTATTCCACGGTATTGCCCACTAGAAGGTTAGATACTGATCGTGAGAAGGAGAAGAAATGACGCGATCCTCCAGGCCGCTGTCATGAATTCTGTACATGGTGCCGTTTAATTGCCAACGCATAAAAGAGATAGGTGTGGTAGGATTGATACGATGAATGGAAGCTTCGAGGCCCCAAATTCGCATCAGTGGCTTTGAGCGGACGGCACGAACACACTTAGCATTCGCGAGACCTTGAGATCGAGGGTGATGACCATGCACGTAACGGCAGTACCGCTTCCTATACCACCACTGGAGTGCCATAAGAGCGGAACATTGTTCGATAAAGAGTGCTGGTACTCATGGCACCCAGCCAATACCCAAAGGATCCACTTGCAGACATGGTAGCCCACACCACTCGAGCAATTTACATGCCTGCGAGCATTCGATACGCGGGTATGAGACGACCATCCGGAGATCGATCTCCAAGACTAGTTTTCAGGTATCCTGGACCGAAGCTAGGGGCAGACTATTAGTGTCTGGCTGTGGCAGACATGTGGCTAGGCCAGCGTGCGTCGCTGACTTCTGCAGACCTCAAGGATCGAGACACCATAACTGTCCTGGTCATCGGCTGTAGGAAAGAGTGATCTTGAAGCTTGTATGCCATCATCACTGCTGAATAGAGCTTACGACCGTCTACTTAGACTAGGCATACCGTTCATGCTCTAAGCGGGATGCCGGATTCTTGCCTAGATAGGTCGACAGATCAGGTCTCCTCTTCAAGAAGGACGGGGCCCAACAGCACGATCACCTCATCCATGCAGTCCAGCAGTGCTGCATCTCTTGTGATGTGTTCTTAGGCTGGATGATGTCAGAGTTGGTGATCTCTCTGGTCCTGGGCATGGTCCTGCCAAGCTTGCTAGTCGTTCAACGCCTCTTTGGTAACAGCTCCATTTGATGGGTCCATGCAGGTCAGCGGGTTCTGACAGGATCAGATTGTCTCCACTCCAGATCGTCGGACTGTGTGCAAGCAATATGAAGGCTCGTTGACGGACGGCGAGCATTCCTGGACGGAGCGTGCTTAAGCAAAAGGTCCGATGGCAGCGAGGCACCATCCGCCTGTCGCGGTTCCACCGACGATAGCCTGCCGTGGTACTGGAGTTTGTAAGGTTGCTCGTCATGTCTCACGCTGCCTGTCTGGTGTACGGCTCTGCAAATCTTACCTGTGCAGTCCGGAGCTTCATGTTATAGCGATCTTCATCGTGTCATAACCGTCAGCAAGGTAATTTTGCAGTGGGTCGCACCTCCCTGCTGTCTTCATCTAGATGGTAGGTCGCTCCTTCTTCACCGATCAGGAGCATAGCAAGGCAGGCACGGCTCACAAGCGCGAAATCTATTCCGCTTCTGTTGACAAAGCTCAAGCCCAGGAACAACAGACAATACCTCTGACACCACCACCTGTTTTGTACATCATTTAGTCCATTGGAGATAGCTCACTCGTTTTGCAGTGCACTGCATCACTCGCGCCACCATGGCTGCAGATTCAGATATCATGGCTCAGATGGCTGCTCGCCTGATGGGAGGACCGCGTCAAGCGCCACCAGTGAAGCCTTCAAATGCCTCAACTCCGTCACCAGCAGTTCCTCGCACGCTCCCAGCGCCAAGCCCTAATGGCAGCACAACCCCTGCGACATTTCGACCACAACCATCTCTCGCGAAGACCCCTGAGGTCAAAATCACTCCCCCGAGCACCACTGTCGCCCCTTCCCTCACCTTCTCACCCACCACGATACCCTCTCCCACCCTTATGGAGCGCGACATGAACGCAAACAGGGGTCCAGCCCTCAGGGGAGACCCCACTCAGCTCAAGGTAGCCATCAACTTACCCCGAACGCATCACAGCACTGACACAAACCACAGGCTGCTCGTCAGTTCATGAACGAGCTCAGTGGAGGCAAGAAGGGCTCGCATGGGCGACCTAAGCCATCACGCCACGACAGTATGTCATCCACCACCAGCTCGGTACGCAGCACGAAGGCTCACGACATGCCATCGCCGCGCCCTGGCTTCAGCTGTGTGGCGGCTGGCCGCCCTACTCCACCAGCTCGCGAAATCACGCTTGGTGGCTGGCAGGGCTTCTCCTCGAGCACGAGCAACAAACAGCAAGCACCAGCAATTTCTTCGACTCAGCCAAAGGCACTTTCAGCGTCATCACCGATACTGGCTGTCGTAAGGAAGCCAAGCGTGCAACCCGCAACTTCTGGTTCGACCAACACCCTTGCCACCCCTGCTCAGCAGCCAATCTGTGTCCAGACGCCCGCCACACCCGTCAAACAAGATGCTGGTGCCGGCTTGCTAAGCCGCCAAATGGCGAGTGTGAACACCACTCTCACTAGCAATACCAACAGCGTCCCTCCTCACCTTCGTAAGAAGGCTGATGCAGGCGCCGCAAAGCCAGCCGCTTTGCCAACCATCAAGCCCACTGCAACTCAAGAGAGAACTCCCCAACTTCTCTCCGCTACTGATAAGGCCGAGAAGAAGGACGACACGCCACCAGCATCTACTCCAGTGGCCGCTACCGATGCGAGCGGTAACGTCGAGCTCGAAAAGGAGATCAAGATCGAACCCAAGGCTACTCAAGGTAAGGGGTTTGGCATTTCCTTCGGTGCGGCTGCTTACTGGGCTAATGATAAACGCACAGGTCCTCCTATGAATTCCTTCGCCTTCAGCACCTCTCCCAAATCCCTCAAATCCGCCATCTCCACCGTCAACGGAGCACCCCTGGGGACCCCGATGAATCCTATCGATGTCGATGCGCCATTCCCGCCGTCACCTTCTACTTCGAGCAACTTCGTGACCGGCCAAGATGATGCCAAGAAGCTTGTCTGGATCATCGCCGAACTCCAGGACTTGAAGTCACAGGTCAAGGAGCTGGAGACCGAGAACCTCGAGCTCAACCAGAAAGCAGAGCGTTTGCAAGAGTCTGAGGAGCGTCGAAAGTTCCTTGGTACGGACGATGCTAGGGCTCCCTTCACTATCTCGATCCAGAACCGTACGTTGATCTAAATCTGATGGACTGTTGTCAAGCAATGCTAACCGAATTATAGCACATGGCCAGACTCACGCATTCCAAGCTAGCAAGGAAAAGAAGATCAAGCAGCTCATTCTTGATGCTCGCTTCAAATTCAAGCTCGACAAGGATAGCTGCAAGGCGCCTACTTTGAGCTTCAAGGGCAAGCAAGTGGGTCATGCGATGATGATGGGGGAGATTGGTGTTGTTCAAGGCAGCACTTTGGCGTTCAACTACGCTGGGGCGGATGATGAGGAGCTGTAGAGTGTGACAGTAATCTCGGATGGTAGGGACGTGAGGAGATTACGTACGCGTCTTGCCACGCAAAGGCACCCTGCACAAGCTTGGGTTTGCGGTCAGCAGTGACAGCTCAATAGCCGATAGCGGATCATCAGGAAACTCGAAAAGCATCGGAAACCACTCCTGTCCTTTCACCCTTCCACCACGGTCCCTCGCTCCAGCCTAGTCATGTTTGCCACTCGTTTCTTTCGTCGCACGTGACCGTGACTTGTGCGGAAGAAGTTCCGGTCCAGCCGCGCCGAGCTCACGAGACCATCGCAGCTCGCCTTCCACCATAATTATCGAGTGATTGAGCAGAGACCTTCATCATACACCAGCAATACAACGCTGAATCATGCTAGAGCCCGCAATGGCGACTCTTCTTTCTGCCGCCCGACCCACCCTCTCCCGCCGCTCCATAGCGGCGATACAAAAATCTCGCCTCCCACTACTCGTAGCTGCCCAAAGAGCTGCCTTCTCCACCACTCCCAGTCATGCCTTACCCTCGCCAGGTGAGAGCATGTTCCGCTCCTCCTCATCCATGGGCGGATCACCAAGCACATACTTCCAACGGCAAAGTCTCCCAGCAAACACGATAATCAAGTTCGTCCCACAACAAACCGCATGGATTGTAGAGCGCATGGGAAGGTTCAGCCGGATCTTACAGCCTGGCCTGGCAGTCCTGGTTCCCATCATCGACCGCATAGCCTACGTCAAGAGTCTGAAGGAAAACGCTATGGAGATTCCGAGTCAGAGCGCCATTACAGCCGATAACGTGACACTAGAGCTCGACGGAGTGCTGTATACTCGAGTCTTCGACCCATACAAAGCTAGTTACGGCGTGGAAGATGCAGACTACGCCATCAGCCAGCTCGCGCAGACGACGATGAGAAGTGAGATTGGTCAGCTGACCCTCGATCACGTCTTGAAGGAGCGAGCACAACTCAACACGAACATCACACAAGCCATCAACGAAGCAGCGGCGGATTGGGGCGTGCGGTGTCTGAGATACGAGATTCGAGATATCCATGCGCCGGGTCCGGTGGTGGAGGCTATGCACAGACAGGTTACAGCCGAGCGAAGCAAACGTGCTGAGATTCTTGATTCGGAAGGTCAGAGGCAGAGCGCGATCAATATTGCTGAGGGTCAGAAACAATCCGTTATCCTGGCCTCTGAAGCCGTGAAGGCGGAGAACATCAATACTGCTTCTGGTGAAGCTGAGGCTATCCTCATGCGTGCCAAGGCTACGGCGGCCGGTATCGAGGCAGTGGCGCAGAGTATCGAGCAAGGACAATCTTCTGCCCAGAACGCTGTCTCGTTATCTGTGGCGGAGAAGTACGTCGATGCATTCGGGAAGTTGGCGAAGGAGGGCACGAGTGTGGTTGTCCCCGGGAATGTGGGCGATATTGGGAGTATGATTGCTACGGCTATGAGTGTCTATGGGTCTGTGAATCAGGCGCAGGTCAAGACGAATGCTTTGGCACAGGGGAGGTTGAGCCAGGGTGGGCAGGAGCTGGCTACGCAGGGTTCGGAACAGCATTCGCGTGGTCAGGGTGGGAGCAAGGTCAGTGTGAACAATAGTGATGTGGCGAAGAGTGTGCTGGAGAGTTTCAGAGAGACGCAGCAGAGGCATTGAGGAGGGGGGTTTCGTTTGTATGCATGGCGCTCTGGCGTTGAGTCCGCAGACTGTGGATGGACAAGGGTGTAAGATGTGGGTGTTCTGAGTACTGTGTAACTCACCTTCTCAGGTCATTGATTAGCATGACGGCCAAATTGTATGTATGTTGTACTCTACTTTCGTTAGACGATCGGGCGACCGCCGGCCTGTGGTCGGTCAGTGGCATTGGATTGGCTCATGTCATTGGATGTTGAGAGCAGAAACGCCACCTCGTGCTGGCTAGGGTTGTACTAGTATGATTCAACAGCCTATTGTATTGTAATAGCCTCGTTGTCTGTCATTGGACACAGTGATATCACTTCATGCTTCTGGTACAGACAAGAAGCTGTACGTTTCTCTTCCTTCACCCTTGGCACAGCATGGCACGCAATCAGCCTTTGTTTCTAATTCTCAGACACCATTTAAGGGTTTCCCCCGCCCTCCTGGCCGCAACTAACGCCATTGCGGAAAGCTAGATCCTTCGATCTCTGAAAAATCGGCTGGTGGAGCGTATTGGCGATCATGATAAGATCTGCCGACCACAGAGCATGTGTAGACTCTGAATCCCCTTTGGGTGCGTACTTCTTCTCGGCAGTCCAAGCATAGTACGCGTTAAAAGGATCGTAAAGACGAGGGACCATCACAGTGTGCTGTCGCTCAAGCTGGACCAAAGTACCTTCAGGCTGTTGTTCTTCGTACCGACTCGTGGACGGCTCTGAGAACTGTGCCCCAATGCCAACCAAGAGGTTGCCAGTCATACTTTGCGCTACATTCGCAGCACTCGATTGTGTGTTCAGCCTGGTACCAGACTGAAGGCCCTGGAAGGCGTTGGTAGGCCCGCCGTGACTCTGCCGTCCGGGTACGGCTAGAATGCTTGGAAATTCGACTCTTGAGAGCGCGGATTGAGGTCTCTCGTGGGTTGTGGTAGGTCCGGCAAGTAGCAACAGGCTTACTGCTACGTCATCGAAGCAGTCTTCGAGCCCAGACTCGGATTCGTCATCCGAGGCGCTGCAGTCAGAAACTAGCGCAGGTACGGAGTGAAGGTCAGGAACAGGAGCTATGCTTGTCAGCGCATTGCCACTTCAAGTAACTCTGAAGAGCTCATAGATTCGGTATGATATCGACGGCGTGGAGGAACAAGCCGAGCTGTGAGTTTTCGACATCTGTTATTGTGCGAGCCGAGTATCTAGGAGTTATGATAGTGAGACAGTGACCGCTGCCTTGACCAGAAAGACACAACCATGATTGGAGATGTTCCGATAGACCGCAAATCAGAGGATTGATAGCAACAAGCAAATGACAGCTTTTTAGGAGAATCTCGGTGCTTCATTAGCCTCCCGCATGCCTGCCGCAGGCCATGGAAATTCTCAGTCGTGGAGCCGTTGCGAGCTGTGCTGTCGTAGTGGTACGTTCACTCGCCCACGATAACACCGATCTTCTTCCATTGGAGGAGATCATGCTTGACCAGGGAGCCCAGATATAGGCTTGTCTCGTCAATTCTTTTTGGTACGACTTTGCCACCAGAGCTCTCTCGAACGCGGAGTCGCAAATCTGCGCTCATGCGCATTGTCCACCTTGTCAGCATGTCAGGCCGAGAAATATGGATGACAGCGGATGTATCTTGTGATTGAGCGAGAATGCTCAACTAGTCTCGCCCACGTACTAACACGTCCCGAACGAAGGCACAACGCTCAAATCCTTCAAGGGCTCGAAAGTGTGCTTGACTACGCTTTGCTTTGCGTCAGAGCGTCGGCAATGCTATCCACGAGAAGTGACCGTGTTGTGAAGGTCAGGTGTGAGCTCGGCAATGCCGGTCGTTTACACGGTATCCGCAGCTGCTCGCGACTTCTCCTGTAAGCCTAGACTCAGGTACAGCCGTACGCAATGATATGAACGGATCCGGTAGCATTGGTGTATCTACGAAGACCAATGAGCCCCTCCCGATCTCGGGCGAAGGCGACACCGCTGCATTGCGAACTCCATAGAGTCGTGAACCACCACCAAGCCAACAGACTCGTTTCAGTATGCTGCAGCCATAGCTATATTGCTTGCCATGCTCGTAGGGGACTTTGAAGCAGTCATGGCTGACAAATCCGGCGACTGACCAGCCAGTCATCTCGGATCAGAGGAGTCGTATGCACAGTCCTTGGTCACTCGCGGTCCATGGCCGGGTAGATTGGCTGGTGCTCAAAATTTTCCATCAGTAGTTGCACAGAAAGGTGTCTGCTCTGGTTCCGTGCGGTGACACGGTCCATCCGTGCATCGGCATGGTGAGCTTTCTGAGTGGTGAACGGGGATGAAGTTGCGCGACCTATGAAGCTAGACATCTGTAAATGAACGACATTCTCTGACCCGGGGTGTCGCGAGATATAAGAGCATAAGATGGGCAAAGTGTCGCAATATGTCAAAGAGCCAAAATCATAAGAGGGTAAGGAACAAAGGCAAAACAACCTTATCCGTGCGCGCGCTGCCGAGACTTCGCAGCATGCTCCCCAGACATCATTGCTTCTGCAATGCCTTCTTCTTTTCTTCGAAGAATAATAAACAGCTCCATCCGGAGCATATTCTACCATGGTCACACTACGTCTCTTGAGCTCGTCGTCTGAAGCGTCCTCGTTCAGTAATGGCCACGTCAGCTTCTGGCGCCCCATGCTGCGCGGAGCAAGAGGATTGGGAAGGCTAAAGCGGTCACCTGTATCACGTCGAAGCCTTGCATGCATTGCATACATGACTATTTGATACGCTTCGAGGACGGCGATTCGTGTACCTCTACCACTGGATGTCCCGAGCTACTGATAGCTGATGGGATGGCGCGGCGCAAGACCTGCCCGAAGCCTTGCTTACTGGCATATAGCTGTCGACAACTCCGCTCTGGTGGTTTGCTGGAGCCTTCCTTAGGTCTCATCCTGCTCTCTGGACCTCGCAAACGCTTGTACTCATGTCATGAGCGATATAGTGAAGTGCCCGACCATCCCAAAGAATGGATTGTTATTCGCTCAGAGACGTTTATCAGGAGAATACGTCCTTGAAGAAGTGTGGCCCGAGCGCAAATTGCAGGAAGTCTTGCTCCAGGACGAAGGGCCAGATGGACAACTTGCAGACACGAGGGGCCGAAGTCATCCCTCGAGCGAGATACATTCGCCGGGCACGAAGAAGTACAGCGATATCGGCACCAGGACCGAGACATCTGCATAGCTGGGCAACGCCTGTCCCCCGGAAGCGACACAGTACCTCGAACTTGCTGACCTCAAGGACTTTGGAGTGCTAGAACAGTCGTATTCGCCGATGGAAAGTTCAGACATCCTGGACACAACTTCTGAAACCACGAACGGGCAGTCAAGCACACCCGTGGCATCTCCAAGCAAGCGTGCGCCTAATTCACGCTCCTATCACTGTACAATCTGTCACTGGTTATTCCCAACCACGGAGTTACTGGAAGAGCATGCTATAGCAACATTCCACCGCGTATACATCTGTCCCTACGTCGGTTGTGTCAAGAGCTACTATCGAAGAGATGTCTTTGTACGCCATAAAACGACACAAGACAAGGCTAGGGTCGATCATGGTTGCCGGGACTGTAAAAGTGCAGGAGAACACAAGTCCTTCAAGCGAAAAGACTATCTCGCGCACCACATCAAGAATCACCACGAAGGTCGGAGCTCTGACAGACAATGCTCGAGTGCAATGGCATGGGCACAAGATGGCTTTAACTTCTCAGCAGCAACTCCAATGTTGTGGGACGCCTCCCTGGCTGACACCGGCAGCCTGCCACTACCGCCCACAGTACAGCCACAGAGGGGGCGCGAAGACTTTCCAATGAAAAGTGAAGCATCCAGTGCCACGGTATCAAGGTCAAACAGCTACTCGATCCACCAGCCAGAAGTTCCAGATACCGCCGTGATCGACCTGCAGAATGCCTTGGCTGCTGTTCTAGGCCGTAACATATTCGATCTTTGCCAGCGTAAAGATCGATTATGTCTTGGTAACGAGTGTACAAAGGAGCAAACAGCCGGAAGAATCCTTGAGGTCATGGTACGTGGTATGGGGAGTGGTGTGCCGTAACGCTAAGTTACCATTCAGGATATTGCTCCATACGCAACACATGCTTGCGCTCGACATACTGGCTGGCGCACACACAAATTCGGTCAACGACACAAGTCACCTGGTGGATGGTTTTGCTCGGACCGCTTTTATGGGATGCAGCAGGAACTGGAGGTGAAAGGTGGAAGGTTTAGTACGATTATCAGACGGCCTTAGTCGTTGATAAAGCAACCTCTGAGACACAGTTGTCTCCCAAGACAATTTCGGCTTGGTATGCAGCCAATGAACATCGCTTAAGATGGTGTGCAACTAGCTAGTACTAGGTAGTCGCCACCAAATTTTGAGCTCTACTACTATCTGACGTGAGCCCGTTCAGGCTGTCCAAATACATATCGCTTGCTCTAAGCTGTTGCAACGTCTCGGTCCGCATATTGGGGAAATGCTTCAGCTTGTTCCTAATTTTGCCTTCGGGTCGTGCTTGCTACCATTGTTGAGCTTGTACTGCAGGCTGTCGTCTTGGTTGCCCAACCAGCTAGACATGGCGAACGACTGGGTAGTACCTATAGCAGCTGTAGGCATGAGTTGTGGTTGCTGTCTGACTACTGAGGAGTATGCTTGCACATGAACCGGATATGGTGGGCTGACATCGTCGAAATGTGCACCGATGCCTACTAGCCGACGATCGTAGCTCCTGTCGACTTTATGGTGCTGTCGTGGTGTAGTGCTGGATGTGAACGCCCCATCTTCGTTCCGGGCCGGTCTTGTAGCCGGAGCGTTGTATAAGACGGACTCGGCTACAGTTGCCCGTGGTTTCGTGCAAGCTCGGAATGCCAGGTGAGTTGGTCGACCCTTAACGGACCCGTCTGTCCCTGATTGCGTTGTAGCATCGATAGATGGTTGACATCTGGACTTCTTAGCGTCCTTCTTGTTGGGGTTTGTCATGGTGGGCGGCAGTCCTGAAGGTAAGTCACAACAAGGTAGAGTCTTGTGCAAAGCGGCGGCCTTGAGAAGCGCTCAAGTAGGATTGCCATATTACTGTGAGCGATAGTTATATCCGTGTGTGAAGGTCAAGGGCAACAGCTAGACTGCAAAGGGGCAGAAAAGCACTTGGGCAAAGGGCACAAGTCGTCGCTGTGTCTTGAAGAGTATTGCTCGTGTCATACGAAATGTTGAACTACGTGGAAGTGTGGCGTAAGTTGATACGCGATGCGAGCCTATCAAGAGGGTGGAATGCGAATGCGACCACAGTTCCCTTGTTTCAGCATAACTGGCACGCTCCGCGCGCGCCCGTGTGCCTACCAAATCGGGACAGAGTGAAAATTTTCGCTGCCACTTTCCTTGTTCAAGCGTCATCGGTCGAAGCCGGACATGTTCCGTCGAGTCCGTTTAACTAATACAGGGCTGATCAAAACCCGGCCCTTCCCTCGTGCCCTTCATAAGAGGCTCGGGAGAGTACAACCCGTGAAGATATACTTGGCTTGCTGCACGGCTCCGTCATCCAGTCTCAAGTCGGTAGGCAATGATTGTGCCGAATTTTGCGACTAAAGGTACAATCGTGTATGTGCTCTGTACGCCAGAGGGTCAAGTCCCAGTCGCTGGGGAACTGATACGCCGATCCGCGTGGAGACATCGTGGAGCACCTGAAATTAGATCTGTTGCCAAGATCCAGGCGAGGCTAGACTGGCTAGTAAATGGAGCTATGGCCTTAGAATCATCGATGTCGTTTCCTGTTCTTGCCCCGACTTGCCCTTTTGCCCATTTCTTCGGGACTATTTTGCTACGCCTCGCATACCATGCCATGCGTTCAGGCGTCGACTGTGGCTGCAAGGCTACGATCTCAGCCACGCTGGGGAGGCTCACCATTACACCTTGTGTTTTCGTATGCGATCGTTGGTACCCGTGCTTGTTCACCTTATATTTCGCCCTTGGCTGTCTAGAGACTGTCCAACATGAGTCTCACGCAATCTTGACCTCTTTTCCCAACGACACTCGCCTCCGTCTGGAGTGAGCTGAACTTGTCCACAGGATGGACGACGATATCCCTCTCCTGGGCTCGTACGACGATGCCGAGTCTATTGGCTACTACATTGAACATCGGGGTACACACCGACATGGACTGTTCGGCGACGACGTGATCTTTTCTGACTTTCACGACACAACATACCTGGGTATGGCGAGCTCCCACGGAAAGACTGCTGCCGCTCAATATACTGCTCACGCCGATGGCAATCTTCCACGAGGCCAAAGGCCATCCGTCGTCTCTTCTGCGCCCTTGAGTACAGCGCAAGCGATCATCGACCGCCCGCAGGTTGGCACTGGTGATCATGCCGATACTTTTACTTACTTCGACCAAGGCCATGCCGAGCATCAGTCTCAAGCGGCTCTTATCGGCATGAGTGACAGTACGGAAGAGCATCCATCTCAGCATTCAAACGCACAGCACTCGTCACCTATCGCAGTTGTGGCTCGGTCACGTTTTCATCATTGCAGCGTATGCGCAGAGTACTTTCTGTCCGCAGAAAACTTGGAACGCCACGCCATAGCGACTTCTCACCGCATCTACGTCTGCGGTCACGACGGATGTGCGAAGTCATATACCCGCAGAGACGTGTTCGGGCGGCATAAAGCCACTCACAAGGGCCACACTCCCCACCAATGTCACGCATGTCGAGAGCACGGCACTACCAAGACATTCACTCGCAAGGATCATCTCATACAACATCAACGCAAGTGCCATCCGGATCTCTACAGTGGCCTTGCAACACCATACACGGCATCAGTTGTGGCGACACGCGACACTAGTCCTGGCAGCTTCTCAGTTCTGGATGGTAAGCCTGGGGCAGGAACCAGTTTCGGACAACCGAGCTGGTCTTTCCACCAGAACAGCTCAACCTCAAGCAAGCAATCTTTACGTACATCTATTGGTTCCTACTCGCTTGCGAGTACGATGGGATCCGTTCGAAGTGTTGAGCAGGACTGTCCGGTCACAAGACTACACCATGCCCTCAAGGATCTTCTCGGCGCCCAATCTGACCACCTGAACGTCTACCGGCAACTTCTTGGGTTCGACGGCATGCCCGACCCGCAGCATACCGCCTTTGGGCTGCAACGATTGGTCTCTCACATGTTACCTGGCAACAAGACCAACATGCAGACAAGGCATGCCACCCAACGGCAGGGAGATACACACGAGATACCCGACGACACAGAACCAGACCCATTACCTTTTGAAATCTTCTAGTCACTTGGAGAATGCTGTTTCTCCGCTGCCGGGGTTTTTTATCAATGCCCTGTTGGCCGATGTGGTCTAGGTTCTTTATGATGTGTTCGAGAGTTATCCATCGCTTGTTGATATGGGCCATCGAATTGCTTATTGTGTCGGCTGACCCACAAAACCACATGGTGTTCTCCACGGTGGCAGTCAAGCTAGATTGATAAAACTGTTTCGGATGATTACACTGTATGCATGTCAACACCTAAGAAATCTTGAGGCAGCTTAAAGCTGTGCTGCGTGATTTAACACCCAATGCTTCCACCAAAATCGTGAAAAACCTATAAATTTGAGGTCGCAGCCACATAGGCGCATGAACTAGATTAACAATGCATACGCACGCTGCAGCAGTCGATGTGGCTGTGGCTGTGCATTTGTCGGGCTAACCCGCCCTGGTTCGATGACCGAGCCGCCGATTTGGGTGAACATGTGGAGGGCATGCCATGGCCACAAACATAATTTGACTTTCAGGATGAAATAGATGTATCTGTTGTAGATCTAGATATCGAATTTTCGCGCTCACCCTCGCTCTGCAGTCGCGTTCGCCATGCATTCCATGTTCATACACAGTTTGCGCCACAACACTCGCACTCGCCCACTGATGGGCAACTGCAGCGCGCACTAGTCAACTTTGATTGTACAACCAGTTCTCAATCGTAGAGATGCGACTTGGCCGCTGTCCTCCAACAGCAATGGCCAGAAGCCTGAAGGGTGACAAGTCGTACGGGTTAAGGCCGTCACTTGCGTACTCAGTTTGGATATTCATGTCGGCCAAGATATCTGTGCCAGCTGCAAAGTCAAAGTCATCCTCACGAGGCACAGTGCCATAGAGACAACCACGTTGATGGGAGTCCTTGTCCTCGGCATCGGTGTGCGCATCGTGCTCAGCAGCCGTTGGCAATTCGTCATGAGCACCATGAGCATCCGTCTGCATGGCTAGCACTTCGCTATTCAGGTATAGTGTATCCGAGACATGGTGTTGTGGTTCCGCACGATCGAGTTCTTCGCCAACGTCGGATCGTGCCGCAATGCTCTCGGTGTCGCTTTCGGCGAATGAGCCATCGTCCGATATGAGGGAGGGTGTCTTTCTGCGCGAAGCATGTCCCTGCACATCGCAGTCGGACGCGCAGATTTCTTTTCCTATGATCGCATTGGAGTCTCCAGGAGCATTTTGCGCATTGGCTTGTGTCTGTCAGCAGGTGCATCTGATATCTTAGAACCAAAGCTTACCAGAAATGCCGGTCACTGGAGGGTTGGGAAACGAAACTTGCGCGCGATCAGCCATGGTGCATTGTCTGTACGCGAGAGGGTTCGAGAAATGCTTCATATCACGGTTTTGAAGTTACAAAGGTTGACGAGGAGGTTTACGTAGCAGCAATCCGTAGGAAGATGCAAGAGCTAGGGGCAAAACCGAGGGCAAAAGCGAGGGGCAAAAGAATATTGCAAACCCGCGTGAATCGTGCTGGTAGTCAGTACTCGGTGCGATACGATGCTCCGGTGCAATTTGTGGCGGGGTCAAAGATCAACACTCACGTTTCGCATGACCTCGTCGCGGAGGCGCAGTGGTGGTGTGCCGTGGTCAGAGGAGACCCGTGCAGCTCGGTATCATCAATGCTTGCAAGATACATTCGCAGCGAGCTCTGTATCTGGATGCAGCAGTCTTGCACACATTGTATATACCATTGGATGCCAACATGTGTCTGAGGTAAACCCTAGCCAAGCTCCGGCAGACAGCAGTCTCGCTCTCGACGGCGTCGGGTGTAAGATGCTCCGAGTAGCGTGGGGAAGCATCCGCACCGACCATTGGTGGCAGCTAGAAAGATGCCGTGCGGGACTGAATAGTGATAAGTCATGCTTACCACGGCAAGAGATCACGCAGTGTGGAGGTATAGTCTTCTTGCAGCACGACGGGGTCGATTATGCCTGGAAGTTCTGGCTTCCGAATGGAAGTACGTGGCGCTCCTCGGTATCTCGTGCCTTTGGTGACATGCTCACCTCAATGCATATCCCGCTGTTCTTCGGTCCACTCTGTCTTCCGTTCAGATGCTCTCGCGATAGACCGATGACGCCTGACAAGAGCGGTAAGCACAAGTCGTCCAATCGTGCCACACTACTCGATCACGGGTCTGCCGACCAAGGTCGTTAACCTATGGGGTTGTCCGGATGAGGCTTGGCGAAGGCGGCCTCAACTTGGTTGCCTGCGCGCTACTGCACCTTCGCCTGTTTCTGCTCAATGGAGAGCTGGTCGCGGATCCCGTGGCTTCTCGTATTCAGAGGTCGACGCCTCGCTGAGCCTGGCCGGTGCCCTTCCGGCATTGTCGGTGTACTGTGCCGTGCGTCCATTGGTAGGCGCGGGAGATATTCGACTGGTCGTGACGTGTCAGGTTCAAGGAGGATCCGGCTCGCTAGTTGGCTGATTAGATGGTATGGTCGTCGAGGTGCCTCGTATGGCGGTCCACTGAGCGGTCCCCGATACGACGGTGTGGGCAATCATGATCGTTGTCGCAGCTGCTTGATCGAGAAGAACGCCATCCAAAATTGGAGCGACGCACGTCGAATTTCCACGCATCTGATGCTCGTTATATCGTACTAGAGGGCAACAGGCCCGGACTAGAATTGGCAACAGGCAACAGGCACGTAATCATGCTGATGTATGAGGCATATTCGGGTGGCTGAGATGAAGACGTTGTGGGCTCCTCCATGTGGCTAGCGCCGCCGCTCTGCAGCATCGGCCAACGGCCACGGTAAGCTCTGCGCCCTCAGGAGGGTCACGCACGCGGCCCCTGGACCAATATACGTTGAAGCCGGCATCCTCACGATACCTTGAGCATGCCCTACTGCTGTAAAGCGTTACACCTACCGCCCGGTATCGCATAAACAACGTAGCTTGGCCCCGATGCGATCGATGCTTGCACTTGCAGAACGGCGTCGAGGCCGCAATAAACTCCTCGCGGGCGACCTGCTCTGCTCCGTCTATTGGTTTTTCTAGCAAGTACCAGCATGTCTGACCACAACCACTCATATCCTTCATATCAGCCATATCTAACACAACCAGACAATGACAGTAGGGGACTATACACTGATGACAATGACGAGCTCAGAGATCTGGCTCTGCCCAGTGTATATGACAGACCATGGTATAACTGGGCCAATGCCAGCACGAGCTCATTGGTCTCAATGCCGACAGCAAGGGTTTCGCAGCCGATGGCCCGAACAGATTCGATGCAAAGCAACTTCACAGCACATAGTGAGGACCTCACCTTATATGATTACGACCCTATCATGGCCAATCCTCACCCAGCAACGTGGCAATCTCTTGATATGATCTCCGAAACTGAATCTGTCGACCCGTCTCTTTTGAACAGTCAACCTCGATACGTTCGACTTTCGTCTGGCGGAGGGTGGAACAGCGCTGGAGGATATCCTAGACACGATTACCCAGCCTTCAGCTCCAACCAAGATTACTCACCTTTTGACGACAGTCCTACTTGTTTGGCGTCTCTGGAACTGGACAGTGACCTATCCACGCGCCCGGATTCCCCTCACTCATCTGAAACCCTTTCTGTGTCGGATGACAGTGGGCCGTCAGACGACGAAGGTCGGTTCACTTGCTCAGCCTGCGGGATGAACTTCGCCACATACTACAAACTGGAGGATCATGCAAAGTTCGAAGGACACAGATCGTACAAATGTGCGGAGTGCGGCAATAAATACACCCGCAGAGACGTGTACGTGAGACACGTCAAGGCACATCGAGAGTCCAGCCTGCACCTCTGTAAAATATGCGAGAGCTCCCAACAACAGAAACGATTCGCTCGCAAGGATCATCTTCAGCAGCATATCCGCACGCAGCATCCTCATGCCAATATCTCGGCATCTATTGGCAAGACTCCCGCCGCGCGCCTTGCGAACAGCTCGCCAAGCACGCCGTCGATCACACCAGCTAGTCCTGCTCTGCGCCTGCGGAGATCCCTGGCGAAGATGAGAAACGTCCGGAACGGCAGTCTGTGACGAGCGTCGTTTTTGGATCATCATGCTACTTTTAGCTTGATCAGAGTCGGGCATATTGCTTTCATTGTCCGTGGCGTTCTCACGACGAAGATGACATCATAGATAGTATGTATATACGATTCAGTAGCGGGTAGTCTTGGCTGAAACAACAGCCGAGTCCTGCCCTACACGAACTCGTGCAAGATCGTACGAAGTCGAACATGGGATGACTACATGGTCGTGGATGGTCGCTAGGTGGCACAACGTACAGTGAGCTTGTCCGATCATCTAAATGATCAACAACAAGTGGGTTCTCTTGATCATCACCCACAGAACGCCGAACCCTCCAATTCCTCATCCGCCCAGCACCGTACGTGGGCGGTCAAGATGGGCCTCCTAGGCTGTGGAAAGTGGACGCGACATCTCGCCGAACACATGCGCTCACTTCTCATTCTTGATTGGTTGGTCGAGAGGTAGTCGTGCCTGCTGCTAGCTTTTCTCGTAGTGACCAGATCGCACTTTGCTGCAGGAGCAGCACGACGGCTGCATATGTCCGTACTGCTCGCTTCCATCCTCCATAGCCTGGCACGAGGCTCACGCAAGCTTCTGGCTCACTCCTGAGTCTCGTGACTTTGCTTTGCTGCACTTCCCTCGGAGCTTCAGGATTCAGTAAGCGCCATCTTGGAAGCCTGCGACAAGATCGAGTACTCGTTGAATCGTTAATGTCTGCACGGACAGGACTCACCCGCGAACGGGTCCTCTGGTAGGTTCTACCCCGTTCGAATGGCTTCTCATGGAATCCAATCGCATCAGCCTGACGAGGTGGAGCATCACAACAATATGTTCCATCCACAAGACCGGTACGGCAACGATAGTATTGACGAAGGCCCTTGGCTTAATTTGACCGCATCTATCGTGTCATATGCATCACAGTCGTCTCATCGATCGAGCAGCAGTCCTTCAGACATGGTAGAGAATGCCGCAGAGTCGAATGAGGAAGTGCTACATATCCGGCAGCCCCTTGCAGATACTGCTTTCCACAGACAGACAGCCCGCGCTTTTGGATTCCCTTTCAGCTGCAGTCTGACCTTCCAATCACTCTTGCCAAATCCGCCTTGACTCCTTCCCCTGGCCGATGACTTGCGATGGCACTGTATCACTTTCAAGGACATTAAAGAACTCCCTCCGACCGCAATATATCTACCACGTATGGGGTTACATCAGACCTCATTCTCGCCGAGCTTCCCCTGTATGGCACAAATCAACCTTCGAGGAATACCTTGATTGGCGCCTCTAACGACATGAGGACGTATGGTGCACCTGTTCAAATCTCCTGAGCTCGTTCGAGATACCAACTGCGGCCTTTGCGCTGCATGACGTGCGAAGGTCCTCCAACCTCTGTCTGCGGATGTCCCGGCGCATGACCTTGTAGATAGCGGAAGGTCACATCATGCCTTGCGTCACGAACGTGCACGAGTGGCGTATCAGTCGCATTCTAGGTCTTATTGTTATTCAGTGAATAGGACTTAGGCTGAGTGTACAGTGTGTGTTGATGCCAGTCATGTCTGGTGACGTCTCTGCCTTGATCACAGTTGCAAGCGAGGGCGGCGCGGATCGACAGGCTGATCTCCACCTAGAACGAGCGGGAAATTGTACAGCTTCCTCTCCCACTACTCATCTCAGTCGGTGACACAAGAGTATCAGGAAGAAAGCGAAGTCATATCGTGAAGAGTTATGTCACGACTGCGAAATATATGGAGATGTTTACGTACGTCTACATTATCAACATAAACCTGCGAGTTCCTACAACGCCTATCTAAGCCAGTCATACAGTCGATGGCTTTGTGCAATAGCATCTCACTGTACACCATCATACACCCAAACGCCATTCGTGCAGTACCCTTGCATCACCCAGCTAGTTTTTACGAAGAATAGCGGCTTCCATGTCGGCCAGCCGCATCTGGAGGTCGGCTTCGTGCCACTCAGGACCGTACCCAGCCCTGACCTTCATGAGCGACCATGGGTCATCGAGGCTCATATCCCAAGCCAAGATGGGCTGGGCATTGTCGAACTCGTCGTCCTCACAAGCAGCGTCACTCATGGTGTTGTGGAGTTGCAAGCTCTGCGCGTTCAGGTGGCGGGGCATGTGCGGTGCTGTGCTTGGGAGAAGAGCATTCGCTTTTGGGGAGCCAATGGTGGCCGCATCTTCGTCTTCACTAAGCGTACTCTCGTCGGCGATTCCATCTGAACCGTTCTCTAGGGATGGGAGACTCTCTGGTGTCGAGCATCGAGGGCCAGAGTGTACTTGTGGCTGAAATTCATGTTGATGTTCCTCGTGCGCATGGCCCACGTCGACAGGCTCTGTGGAGCCGCGTAGGTCCGAGGTGAAGTTGTTGTGCGAGGCGAGGCGCGTTGCGTCCCGCGAGTGACCGACTGCTCGCCGAGCCGATTCTGTGGAATCCCAATCAGCCCGAATCTTTAGTATTGTAGCACCCGTCACTCACTGTTTTTGGTCCCGCTTTGATCTGAGAAAGTAGCAGGTCTCTTGTGTTGAGACATGTCTTGAGGGTGCTACGCTTCGTCAAAGGACTAATTGAAGAGAGGTATGAGTGTGCAGAGTCCAGCTTGAGAGTGGGCGGTGAAATGTGGAATGAGCTTGATACTTCTCTCGCTCTAAGTGCGGGCGTCGCCAGGAGCAGTATTTATGGGCGCACGGATTGCATACATGAAACAGAGATAGGGATCGGAGCGACGGCATGCCTTCGCACCGCCAATGGGTGCAGTCGAATGGGTGTGTGACATGTTGGCGGCTGCGCTGCTTATTGGAGAGGCGACAAATGCTTGCGGCAAGCTTCAGACTCAGCTCAGGAGCTTCGCTCGTGCTGGGATGGAGCCTGCAATATTGGCTCCAATAATGGCCACTTGCGCTCGACAGGAGTCACAGGGAGATGCGCCAGAGATGATCGTCGTGTACTCGTGCTGGCAGCACTGGCTGGGCGTGTAGAGCGGAGATTGCGATGGACCACATCAGAGTTGCACGCAAGCCAAGGTCAGACGACTAGCGGGTCGGTGGCAGGCTGCTGTAGGGGTCACAGCAAATAGAGCCCACATGTCCAGCTCGGAGGAGTGATCCGTTGGGGATTCCAGACCATGACCTGCCGCGAAGCCGAAAGTGGAGTGTACCGAGCCTGCAGCTTCACTTAACCAAGCTGCTCCGTCGCTCAGATCAACCTCGAATTGAGTTTTCATATAGTCTGTGGCTTGGCCGTGTCAGACGTATGCTCCAGTGTCCCATCTGCAGATGTCTGCGCCGTTTGTGGTTGGCACCCCGCTTTCAGCACATGCGTCTTTGCTGAAGCCCCTCCTTTGCGTATGCCAAGCCAATCTTCTCTGCTCAAGCCGGACTCCAGGACAGCCGTCTGAACACGACTGCGAGGGAGGGAGCTGGTTTGATAGCCTGAGGTTCCCCAGTCGTCTGCTGAAGGAGAACATGTCCGCATCCCGGCTGGTCTTTCTCAGCGAGGTGCATGGGCGGCCGCAAGCACTGCTCGTGCGATGCATGCAGGGCGGCACACCTCAATCAATCCTGCTCATACTACCATGCAGTGCAGGGTATCCTGGTAGCTCTGGGAAGGTCGATTCGGCGTAGCGATCCCGATCACGAGCTACCATTGCAGGCCTTGGCGGGCGACGACCACGGCATCATCCTGCATGCCACGTATGCAGCTCCATCACTCTCGGCTCGCGTCAGACAGCTTGATCGATTGGTCGGTTGTTGTGTAGGTGTCAAGGAAGTGCGGGTGTGGCGTGAAGGCAAGAAGGCGATGCTGCTTGCCAGACCGGTGAGAAGTTCTAGCCAGTGAGATTGCCTGTGGCGAAGCGTGATGGGCGACGTGGGCAATGACTGAGGCATATAGAGCGTGGCAGCAGCACCACCAGATCTGTTGCAACTACACAGACATATATGCATAGATAGAAGATGTTGTTGTTCGCACGCCTCTTACCTACCACATCCCCCCTCTTACCTCTGACCTGGGTGACGTCTCACCTAAAACCCGGTCCTCGACCGATAAAGACTAGCGTATTGAAGCTCCGTGGGTTAGTCGCGTGGCTGCATCAGCCCCAGTCCATCATTCGATGTCCCATCCCCCTCGACAGATGCACTTGACCATACGTGGACGCGAGTAACCATGAGCCTTGTTGTGGGACGGCAGCCTTCAGACGCCTGGGACGGTGAGCTTTGGCGACATGTAGACCATCGGTGTCCTCCGAGGCCGCCTCACCAGTCTTCTCTTTCTTCTTCCTCGCCATTGAGCCTCATATAGCGTTGTTTTTGGTATGAGAATGGCCGTTATGGCCCACCTCGTTCATGGACATGATCAGCGAAGTCTACAATTCATCGACTTTCCGCACGAGAGTCGTAGTCGAGAGAGCCGGTCACTCCCTCACGACGACTTGTCCGGCATTGGTACTTGGTCTCATCGCGCAGAATCGTCATCTGGGCAAATGGGCGACTTCCTGCGTGATAACACATACTCTTCTGCCATATCTTCTAGCCATGAGAAGATTTTTGAGGGCAATATGGAGTTGTACGAGGCCTTGGCAGCCGATGCTGCAAGTCGTTCGCCGTTGTCCAGTGATCAGGGTGGGCTACAGTCAACCGACAGATCGACCGCCCAAACGCCAGTGCCACAGCTCTGGAGAGTCCACCAGCGAGTGCACAGAGTTGACTCCGCTACAGCACTGTCAAACACCTATACTGCTTCCAGGTCTTCCGCGAGCGGACGTCAGTCACGGCAGTACGAGTGTACAGTATGCTATGCCGTCTACCCTCTTCTGGACAGTCTAGAACGACACGCACGAGCGGCGTCTCATCGTGTTTTCAGCTGCGACGCGCCTGGCTGCGTCAAAAGCTATTTCAGGCGCGATGCCCTGATCAGGCACAAAGCTACGCACAGGGATATCGCAAATCACACATGCAATCTCTGTTGGTCAGAAAGTGGCGAAGCGAGAACATTCAGTCGGAAAGATCACCTGGACAAGCATGTCCGGGATCGCCACATAGACTGGATGAGTCCACAACAACAAAGCCGCGGCATTCATCTGCAAACGAGCTGCGCACCATCCTATACTCTAGCCTCCTCATTAAGCCGCGACGCTCCCGTCAACTCACTACCGAGTTGCTCTCCTACAGATATCATGATGAGGGATGACCAAACCTGCAATAGCACAGCTTCAAGTTGTCGACCCTCACCACCTCCAGACCGACCAGATGGTCCCCGCTACCGCGGTCCCGAATTGTACTTCCTGGACTACGCCCTTACCCAAGTAATGGGCCGCGACTCTCCAGAATTGCGGGTGGTAAGACATCAGTTAGGATTGCGAGCTGGTTCCACAACCGAGCAGACAAGGCAGGTTCTGAAAGAGTTTTCTGCCAACCTCTCGTGCGGCGGTGATGCAAGTAGCAACTACACTTGGAAAGCTGAGGAGTACGTGGAAGCGTAGCAGGGAGATGTTCATGGCTGTGTTCTGGTGCGGCTGTTATCACTATACGAAATCGCCTGTGCGCTATTATGGGCCGGGACTACTACCACTCATCGACACTCCTCGCGATTGATCTTATTTGCACGTTTGGGTAGTACTCCGTCCTGCGCAGGTCACTAACGGCATCGAACAAGCATGTCTTGGATTTTGATTATCGATAGAGAATTGTGATCAATCGATGACCAGGCGTATTCGGCAAGCAAGCAATCGTAGACACTCAACATAGTCTTACTCAAAACCCAGTATCCATGCCAGAATTTAGCAGAGTTACGCCATTGACATTTGATGCACAGAACGCGGTGGTAGACGTGCTATCAAGCTACAGCCGCCGCACTAACAACAGGAGCAGCCCTCCTCTCTTTACCACCAATCAAATACACCGCCGCGCGTATCTCAAGCAACGGATCATCGCTCGCATCCACTCCATCAACTCTGGGAATCGGATCGAAGATGATCCTCTTCTGCTCCCTAGCATCCTGTGGCTCCACCACACTCTCCTCAAGCTTGATTATGCCCAGCTCCACTTTCTTCCTGCTTTCAGGCCAGTGTTTCGTAACATCGTTCGTAGGATCGCCTGCTTCTGCGATTTGAGCTAAAAGCTTGAACTCTACTGGTGAGGTCGACAAGTGCTCTTCCAGCTCGTCGAAGAGGTAGGTACTTGACTTTTGGGCAACCTCCTCCGCTGATAGAGTATGAACACCAGCTACCGGTTCGATCAGATATCGTACAATCGTCTCCCTGCCAGTCTCCGGAACAAGCCTAAACGCATGAAGACCAAAATACGCCAACGTCCCAAAACTAATCGGGAAAGGCTTGGGCTCATTCACAAACCGAGCAGCCGCTGGATGAGCATCCAGATACTCCCCAATACTCCCGTCCCCAATCGCAGCCAGCACCTCCAGAAACTCCTCGCCCGTCCGAGCAGGGAAGGCCTTGGTGGAATGGAACACGATATCCGTATGCCTATGCCCGTCCTCGCTCAGCACGAAGCGGACGGCCATACCACGGGGCATACCATTGGGATCCGTGTCCGGGATTTGCGGGAGGCCGGTGGAGCTGGAGAAGCGGACGATGAGGGGGACGGGATGGTTGAAATGCGGTGCTTTTGACAGGTTTCCAGCTTCAGCAGACGGAGTGAAAGTGCCCCCGACGAGCTTGCCGCGGGCGTGGGCTGAGTTGATTTTAGTGGAGCGTAGAACATGAGGGTTTTAAGTCATGAAATACCAGCACGAAACTCCCGTGGAGTATGGAAAGCACCACGCAGACCTTTCACCAGCTGGTCGGCCGTCACATTGACTTTAGGGTCGTCGGACAAAGGCATGATGGGCTTGGTGGTTTAGTGGTATTGCGAGTGCCGTGGAAAGATTGCTCTGGGTCCTGAACCAAAAAAACGTAACTCATGTAACCTATAATCTTCCTTCACAGCGAGGAGGACAGCCAAATCTCTTGTAGTTTCTGTGTCCTGCACAGCTCCACGGCCGAAATCTCACACCATCATGGCCGACCCATAAGAAGTGCATACTGTAATCAGCACAGCATGCCCTTCCGCCAATAGTAGACGCTGTCGGCATCGACATATGCATGTCAATAAGGGCTGACTAAGGCGTCTGTAAGTCTCGCGCGATAGCAATGTTCATCATAAAGATCAGTGAACAAGTCCGTGGTAGATTCGACCATGCCCCGAACTGGCGCCCAGTCTCGTTTCGGGCCCGCTTGGCGTGGCGTGATTGATGCGAGCTGATGACCGAGCATATTGTGATTGGCGAGAAGGGCGCAGCCAAGTAGCGCGGGTTCTGGCTATCAGCTTGTGTGGGGTCAAATTCAGTTCTATCTAAATGCCATGATTTCATATCATACAGCTCTAACATCATATGGCAACTTAGCAGGCATTTCAATACATACAATTACACCCTCTCCACCAGCACCCCACGCATCCGAGTCTCTCAGATTCGGGAGCACAGCATACTCGCCTCGGAGCAGCTCCCTCCCCCGTGTCATCTGACCAGAGCAGACCTCGACTCCCTCAGAAATCCCGAAACTGATCATCCACCTCCCTCCTCTCCCTCTCCCTCTCCGCCGGCCCCTCCCTCTGCTGATGACTCCCCACCTCCCTCTGACTCCCGGCCCTACTCCCCACCCCCATCCCACTATCCGCCGTATCCGGCCGTCCCTCCCGCCTCAAATACTCCGAATAGAGTTTATTTCGATCCTCCTGGTACCTCGGACTCACCACTCCATTCCCATTCCCACTCCCGATAGAACCCCCCAAGCGCCCTCCGACGTCCTCGGAACTCATACCCATACCCTGCTGATCCCGCTGCTGGTGGCGGTTCAAGGAGCCCGTAACCTCCTCATTCTCAACCATAACCACCATCCACACCCCGACCCTCTCATCACTCCCCAGCAAAGGCGTACAATGGATCCAGCGCGGTTTCCCGACCATCGCCGAGTCCCTCTTCCCCGCCTCATTAGAATGAGTAAGCCAACTCACCTTCGCCGTCACACTCGTGCCATGGGCCATCGCATCCAAGATTCCCTCGCGAATATGCTGGGGTCCGCCAATCCGTTCGAGGAATTTCGTCTGCAGGAGGCCTGGGATGCGGAGGGCGGGGGAGGTAAAGGTGATGCGTAGAGAGGGGTAGGGGCGCACGAGGAGGTACTAGCACTTCAGGTCAGTCAAGCTCACACTCACAAGCTCACACTCACCACGACTCACATTCTGATAAACGCCCGGTAACCTCCCACTCGGTCCAAGCGCCGCACTAGGCCAAAGCGTCCTCTCCGTAGCCGTCTCCTCCATCCCCAACAAAATCCTCTTGCCCCTCCTCTGCGGCGTCGCCGTCGACGACGACTGATACTGCTGCTGCTGCTGCGCCTGCGCACCCGACTTTCCTCCCTCAGCAGAAGCGAAACTCCTCGCCCTCCCACTCCCACTCCCGACCATCCTCCCTTCCTCCTCACTCAACATCTGCCCGAGCTCATTGAGAGCATTGTGAGCAGATCTATCCCTTCCCCCGAAACGACTCTCGCTACGATCTTGCGCGAGTAAGCCGGAGAAGGACTCCAGACCCCTCCCGTTCTCGATTAGGGAGCTGACGTCGATTTGGCAGCCGAGGAAATATCGGACTTGGCCTTTATTATCATAGAGCGGGGCCAGCATGAGGAGATTCATAAACGGTGAACCATCTCGGCGATAGTTCAATATCGTCTCGCAGATTTCTTGGCCGGATTGTATAGCTTCGATCATCCGTCGCACCGTGGCGTTGCTAGATTTGGGCCCCTGGAGGAAGCGGCAATTGCGGCCGATGGTGTATTCGCGGCCGTATTGGGTGGTGTTGTAAAATTCTTTTGCACATCTGTCAGCTTTTGTCTTCGGGCGCGCTCTCAGGGGAATGCTTTGTGAAAAGAGGCATACCTTCTGAAGCATAGACGATAGGATTGTCCGGCAAAGAAGGATCAGTCACGCAATACACTTCCGCTAGACTGGGGATCAGTTCCCGCATCACCGGGGCGCTATTTCCCGTGATCTCCTTGACCAATGTGTCCGTGACAAGGGTGACGAGTCTATGTGTGATATATGCCGGCAAGGCCTCCTCCACAAGATCCTCCACTATCTCCGCCGACTTGGCCTCGAAGCGCTGGTCTAGTGTTGCCGCTACATAGCGTGGACGGCCTTGGTTCGGGGGGATCTGTTCTGCGATGGCGTTCGCGTACTGTATGGCTGCGATGGCCTTTTTCGTCTCCATATACCGGGCGAGGGTGTCTGCTTGCTGAGGCCGGTATTGATTCAGGAAGCGAGTGAGACGAGCAGCGTGGTTGTGATCTCGGATTATCGCGTCCAGATGATCGGCGGAGAAGAGACGGTCGGAGAGGGCTTCGACGTTGTCGTGGGTGGCGGATGGGGGAGGCGGCTTGAGGTCGTAGGAGGGTTCGTCTTCGCCGGAGCCGGAGCCGGGGTTGTTGTTGACGGTGGTGGGTGGGGTGTAGTGCTGTTGATGTTGGTGTTGCTGGCCGCGGGTGTCGACGTGGTCGAAGACGCTTGGGGGACTGATGGACCGTGGAGCAGACATGACTTCTTCCACCTGCTCCGGGTATACCTCTGGCTCTGGCGCAAAGTCGAGCTCGTCCGGTTGTGTTGCTGTTCCGTCCGGCTCTTGGGCAAGGTCAAGCGCACCAGCCTGGACGGTTATCTGTTCCGTGTCGGGTTCGTCTGGTCGGGCTGGTTCCGCTGCTGGCTGCCAATGCTGAGCTGTCGGCGTCTTGTTTGACTGGGCTTGACTGGTCGCTATAGATGAGTTCCGAGAGAGGGTGTCGCGGTCCGTTTTCGTCTTGCGGCGTAGAAAGGGAAGGATGGGCGTTTGGCGACGAGCAGCACGAGCCTGAGCTACATTCATCCTCGACAATGGATCTATATCGACATGCTCTGCTTATTAGATCATCAAGTCAGATGAATTGAAGTAGAGATCGGGACGGCGCACGAAGCACTGATGCTTTCAACCAAGGTTTAAGCAGGGTAGGTTTCGGTAGCGCGATGGATGACAGAAAGTAGTGTGTTGTCAGACAAGACGACATGCAGCGTTACCTTGAAGCCATTCGTGCCATTCCCTGCCATTGCACGTAAATAGATCCGATGCATATCCCGCAAGCACTACAGCGCAGAGACATTGGCCGGGTCTCGATGATGCTGCGTGGCCGCACGCGTGCAGCACGTCTCCAACCTCACCATGCGGAGACCCGATTTTCACACCTGCCATGAAGTCATCTTGCATATCTCATAAGTGCGGATCTTCCCGATCGCGAATGGCGCAAAGACAACGGCGCGAGTGGCTGGTTAGCCGCCATGTCAACCCAGATCTCGCATGGGGTGCCTTGCGATAAAGATTTTTAACATGCTGCTTCACGATCGCCGGTAAAGAAGAACCAGCGCACGGTCAATAAATCTAGAACGCAGTCGCCTCTGCACTCCATCACGTCGTCTTGATCATGCATGGAAGGAGGGATCAAAACCACTCAACATTCGCTCGTACCCGTCGTGCGCAAACATCAAAGGTCAATGCAGCAGTACGCCACAGCTCCACCAGAAAGAGCGATGTTCGCGAAGCAACGCCACGAGGGTAGGTACTGGAGATAATGAAGGAGAGAGGATGCGCGGTAGGTGGCAAGCTGTATGGAAAACGAAATGCATGATCGAGCAAAACACAGTCACCCTCCACATCCCAATCAGGCAGGAGCTGAAGCCCGACGAAACATGACTCATATCAAGCATAGACATCAGTATCAACACCGCGAGCATACATCGCACCTCCGAACAAACAAACCGCAGTATTCCGAGACAGGTCATCACATTCAAACCCCCCAAGTACGACCCCACCTCATTCATATTGCCCCCCATCATGGTCCTCCAAATCCTCCCCCTCCAATACACTGACATCCCCGCCTTCGCCGCCCTGGACGCCGCCGCAATGGCTGATTGGGGTTTAGCGGAAGCAATGGCGCACGACATCCCCGCAGGCGAAACCCGGGAACAGTGGGTCTTGAAGTTTACGCAGCAGGGGTTTGTGGAGAACGATCGGGTCAAGTGGTTGAAGGTCGTTGATACGGAGTTAAAGGGGGAGAGGATGGTGGCGGCGGCGTTGTGGCGGTTTCAGTTTGAGCCGGAGGAGCCGAAAGCAGAGGTAGAGGTGGATGACTCGGCTCCTGTGGCGGAGGGGGAGGTGAAGAAGGAGGTGAAGAGGCCGAGTGTCATGGTAAGAAAGCCAGGCTATCCCATCCAGAGCTCTTCCATCAAGGTCACCATCTCATCTACAGCGATCAAGCTTCCTGCCTATCTCTACACAGCTTGAGAGCCAGCCAGCCAGCCAGCCTATCCCGCATGGCACGGCTGACACCGTCAATTCCTTCAGGAAGCAATGCACGAGCAATCAAAACCCTACACAGCCAAGTACATCCACGGCCAACCACATGCCCGTACGTGCCCACCCATTCCGTCTCATATCCTTGAAAGAGAAAAGACGATCATTGTTGACGCCCCTTTTCTTCGGCGTGGCAGATCTCTCCGTCCTAGTCACGCACCCGTCCCACCAACGCCGGGGCGCAGGTAGTATGCTCGTGCGGTGGGGCTGCGCTATGGCAGACGAGAGGGGGTTGATACAGACGTTACATGCGAGTCCTGCGGGTCTGCATGTGTACGAGAAATGCGGGTTTAGGGTTGTGGAGACGTCGGAGATGGATTTGAGGCTTTGGGGGGTGGAGGAGGTGGAGGTGAGGCGGTATATGACTCGGGATGCGAAGGGGAAGGGGGAGGGTGAGGGAGTGTAAATTTTTCTTAGGGATGTTGTGGCGAGGGAATGGAGGGATAGTGTAGATGGGCGAACCGGTTTGTCGCGGTTTTGATTGATGGCTCTTACTTTTTGATAGTGCTCGTATTGGACCAAACTTGGGCGGTGGTTGTGCTGTGCTAGCCCTGGTCTTGGTGTGTGTATGTACATATGTACTTGGCGAGTTTTGCCACGGCGTTGCGTACCTGCCTCCAGGCGGCAGCATTCCGTAGTTAGTATCCACTTCCCACACCCACCCATACGTCACACTGCTTGGCTACAGTACCTGCTCTTCACTGCCACACTTCACCACTATCTGAACAGTAATCAAACAACATCGACTTCTTGATCCGATACAAGCCAGAACACTCCACGCTATCTCATCACACCCAGAGAACGAAAAGACCAAAGCAAGGAATTTCCATATTCAACACCTGACAATATGCCTCTCGTGGTCCCGGGACTCATGTCCGAAGGCGGCAATGATAAGACCAACGACTGGATGAACATGTTGATGGGGAAGAAGATTGGAGATAGCAGCAACGAGACGGTAAATTCCTGACCTGTTTTTCTCCTTGCTGCCTTCACCATCGCTACTGATGATTTATGTTCCTGCTTAGACCTTCGCCAAGACCGACCTCCCCAAGGAGCACCGCATGATCAAGGAGGGCGACATGTCGACGATGGATCATAAGCCGGAGAGGTAAGAGACTTGGCTTTTACCTGTGATGAGCTTATTGCTGACTCACGACGTCTAGGCTGAATATCCACACGGCGGATGATGGGACGGTGACTAAGGTTACACACGGTTGAGAGATACCAGACACTTTTGTGGTCATGATGCTGTGATACCTACGAGATCGTTTGGTGACGGCGAGAGTACGTAGCTATGATACGGCGATACTTGGAGCCGTCGTCGAAATGATGCTCGATTTCTCGAAGTGTAGTTCACTTGCGATCATTGAGATATGATAACTTGTGGCCGTCAAAGAATGCATATCCAGTGTTGTCTACAAGCCGCACGAACACGTTTCAGGCACTACTAAGAGCATTGGTAGCCTCGACAAACCCCTCCCACTGCCTCAGCGCCGCCCCACTCTCAATGCACCACCTCGCCCTCCGCAACCCTTCCCTCCATCTCAAGCCCCCTGAGCCCCTCTCCTTCACCACAACCCCATCATCACCTTCGCCCATCGAACTAGTCTCCGCTTCACAAATCCCACTCACAGTGATCAAAGCAGCCGTATTCAGCAGCACAAAATGCAGCACCGGATCATCCTCCGGCAACTCATTCCGCAGAATCTTCATCAAGATCTGGGCGTTTTCCGTGGGGCCTTTACCACCATGTACCTCACTGAGTGGATGTCGTGGGAGGCCGAAGTCTTCTGGCGACATGAGAAGTTCTGTGATTCGGACTTCCTTGACCTTCTCGCCATCTTCGTTCGTAATCATACCGCCAGTCTCATGCACGTACCAGCAATGCGTGGGCCCAGCACAACTAATCTCATCTAAATTCTCGTCGCCGCAGACGACCAGAGCTTTTGTTGCGCCGCTCAAACGCAGAGCTTCGGCGTACTGGGCCCCGATATCTTTGCGGGCTACGCCGAGGATGCGGGCTTCGAGGAGCCCGGAGTCGTGGACGGGATTTGCAAGGGGTCCGAGGAGGTTGAAGATGGTGCGGACGGGGACTTCTTTGCGGACGGCCGCGGCATACTTCATGCCTGGGTGCCATTCACGGGCGTAAAGGAAGGCGTAATTCGTCTTTCCGTAGATACCGGGTAGGGCTTGTGCGGTAGTGGCTGCAATTACTGGGGCCTTGGGCTGAGCATGTTGAAGCAAGTCTGCGGAACCTGATAAGGAGGTACTGCTGTTGTTGCCGTGCTTAGCCATCATCAAGACTGCTGAGGCGATGATGGAGGAAGTGGTTGAGACATTGTAGGTGTCGTGGCCGTCGCCTCCTGTGCCCACTATGTCACACTAGACGTCTCATTAGTATCATGAAAGTCGCGTGATATGTGCAATACCAGGGCATACCATACCAGGCCGCCCGCATAGTGACCCTGAGCCAGTAATCTACTTGACACCGCTTGTCTCAACGCCTCGACGTCGACCTGGGCGGCCATTCCACGCATTGAGGCGGCACATGCCGCCAAGACTTCTGGGGAATGATCCTGGCCGGTGGTGTGAAGAGCCCAGAGCAGCAATGCAAACTGGATTGGAGATATCCGGTTATCAAAGATCAGGCCCACGGCTGCGGCGATCTCAGAGGCTTGTACTTGGCGTGCTGATTCCAGCGTTGAGAGACGTTTAAGCAATGGGGTTACGGAGACGAAGCCCGAGTCGTTGGTTGCCATGTTGGCTCCTATGAAGCAAGGACATCACAGTTTGAAAAAGTTCTACGCACTCTGCATAAGACTTGCATATGTGCTCGATGTGTGTATGCTATTGCCAAGGTACAAACTGATGACTGTTCAATGGCTTCAGAGAGGGCATGTTCGGCCGAAGATATGCCGCCTTGACATGCGGCGATTCACGGAGGTGCAGGTGCAGGGTGATGATCTAGGATGAAGCACACGCTCAAACACTAACACAAGACACATTCCACATCATGCCTCCTCGGATACGTATACCGTCTTCACGGCTTTCATCTGCTCATCGACCGTCAGCTCCATACATATGCTGGCAATGCCGCCATGCTTCGCTAGCCAGCGCGACCACTCCCGCTGCACCCATTGAGCACAACATCGCAGCAGCATCGGCCATCACACCTATCCAGACATACTCGCCCACGCAACCGCCATCACATAAGCCGCCAGAGTTCCGGAAATCACAATTACATCGGCAGTACCAGTCATTACTACGATCTTCACCACTCATACTCTTATTCCAGCACAACAATCTCAAAGCTACAGAATGGTCGGGCATTCGACGAGAACTGGCTTCGGCGTTGCGGAAAGTGGACGAGGAGTTGGCCAAGGCGGGCGACCATACGTACGTGGGCAGCAGTACGAAGCTGCAGATTGTGCAGACGGGCATCTTCGCCTCAGCGTTGAAGGTCGTCGAGTTCTGGGAGCCCAAGTTCGAAGCAGCAGCAACGAGTGCACATCAAGCAGAGATACAGGATGAAGCTGCTCTCACACACGGCTTGTCCGATCAAGTCTGGCGTGCTGTGAGTCTGGACAAGGAGCTGAAGCACGGGCTTGAACCACTACTATCCGGTCCTATCGCTCTCCTGACTTTGCCAAATGTCTCACCACAACATCTGAAAGCCGCTCTTTCCATCCTCTCTCCCTCCGCACCGAAGTTTCCTGCACCGAAGCGGAGGACAAATCCGACATACTTTGAGAAGCCTGTGCAGGAAGGGCTGCAGAAGCTGATGTTGCTCGGCGCGAGAGTGGAAGGTAAAGTCTTTGATATGGACGGTGCAAAGTGGGTCGGTGGTATTGAGGGTGGAATGACTGGTTTGAGGGCGCAGCTGGTTGGCATGCTCTCGGGTATGGGTGCGCAGATCACGAACACCCTTGAGGCGGCGAGCAGGAATCTCTATATTTTGGTGGAGAGTCGGAGGGGTATGCTTGAGGAGGAGCAGAAGGGTGAAAGTGGTGTAGTGGAAGGAGAGAAGAGTGGGGAAAAGGCTGCGTGAGTCTGAGAGACACTTTGAGATCGTAACGACATGAGGTCTCCGCAGGCTCGCAATGATCACATGCATCTGAATGTCCAGCTCGCCGACCATCCAGCTCGTACGGACAGTGCTGCCATTTCGTAAGGTCTTGGCCAATGATTCGTACAGCTCGGGAATATCGACTGCTCGCATATTGACGATAAGAGACAACGGCGTTGCTACGTGCAGCTTCCGGACACAAGTTCGGCAAGGCAACTACTTCTGTAGACTGCCGATACAGTGATCGAAGGCATTCCGAGAGCTAGAGCGGGACCTTCAGTCCACCATCCAGATATTATCCTCGAGGAATTGGTTCAGGTCATGGGACCACTAGCCGTCCACGTTACAGCAAAGGTAATAGCTGTGTATGGACAGGTCATTTGCATTCTGTATTATATATAGTCGTACAGAGAAGGTTCGTCGAGCGCCATCTGGTTATTTGCATTCCCTATGATATATAGTTGTTTAGACAGGAGTCGTTGGGCGCCATCTGATCCAGAGAGGAATTCCATACTCGAATTGGTCGTACCACCGTACTTTTCGCATTCGGACTCTGCCGGGCAGGCACGTGGCTGTCAGCCAATCAGAAGCCATGTATGTTTCCTCCCCTCCATTAAAACTTGATCGAGGCTCGAACGGCCGAAAAAGTAGACGCCACTTCTTCAACAAGATAGTGGAAATGGCCGACTGCAAGCATGCCGACAACAACATGTATCTCTGACCACGACCTGATCACACGTATATGGAATTGCCCAATGCCTTCCTGAAGCCTGCTTGATGGACGAACCTGTGCTGGCTAAACTAACTAGCCAGTATTCAGGCCACGATGGACCGCCTTTGAATTCCTGGTGTGAGGTGCCCGAAGCCGCCACGGATCGAGCACGGGATAGTGAGTTCCATAGCTACTACGAGCCGTTCAAGGCTGCTGTCGCCAACGGTGACAAGAGTCGAAAAGACGGTGTTCTGCTATCTGGGGAGGATCGCGCTCTCACGGCTTTTGCTCAGCTTGGTGCTTTGAGACTAGGCGCACGACGGTGTGCGATATCATTCTTTGATCAAGACACGCAATATGTACTGGCTGAAGCGACCAAGACACTGTCTCTGCAGACAGATGAGCCTGATATCCCCGAAGATAGCCTACTCTGGGGCGTCGCGGAGTTCCCTCTCAATGCTGGCCTCTGTCAGTATACCATCCGTCTACCACCCGAGTACGTGCAGTCGGATGATGGGCATCTGACGGAGGTCGCGATCAACTGCTTCCCGGATATGTCGGCAGATCCACGATTTCAGGACTTGCCCTTCGTGTGCGGAACACCGTACACGAGATTTTATGCGGCAGTCCCTATTCGATCTCCAACTGGGCTTGCGCTTGGATCTTACTGTGTTATGGGCGATGAGCCGAAAGCGGGACTGACGCATAGCGAGATCGCTTTTCTGAAGGACATGGCTACTACGGTTATGGTTCATCTTGAGATGGTCAGGGCGAGGGAAGAGATTAGAAGAAACGCGCTGGTCATTCATGGATTGGGTAGTTTTGTTGAGGGAGAGAGCTCCATATGGGGTGGCCGTCGAGTGGCGGATGAGTCGCTAGATCACGGCTATACTGGCAGCAAGTGGTACGAACAGCAGTATGCCATACAACGACCTGGCCTCTTGAAGACCGGTCAGGCACCGAAGCGGGTGACTCCGAAGGATCCAAGTCTGACACAGGATTTCGTAGAGCAGTACCCGAAGAACACGACACCTGAACATTCTCCTACGCGTCTGAGCGCCGAACGTACCATGTCCACTACTAATCTTTCGATCGAACTGTCCCAGACTACAAATAGACAGCATCAGCTGCAGAGTCTGGATATCCGGCATACTTTCGCACGAGCGGCCAGTATTATTCGGGAATGTACGGACGTTGATGGTGTGGTTTTGTATGATGCATCGATTGGCACTTTTGGGGGTATGGTTGATCTAGAATCCGAAACGGATTCGACCTTATCATTGGATAGCAAAAGTACCGCGGATGAACCCTCGGACTCTGAGAACGGCTCAAACGATAGCGACAGACCTACAAATAAGCGACAACCATATGAGGAGGAGGACTACTCCAAGCGCTGCAGAATCCTGGGGTTTGCCACTCCCCGGAAGTCTGATCTTCATAAGGATGAACCGCCGGAGCATCTAACGAACATGACGGAGAAATTGTTGAGGAGATTGCTCAAGCGGCACCCATTTGGTCGAGTCTTCAATTTTGACGAGATGGCTTCACCTACCATTGACGCTCAGGATGACTCACCGGTGTATCGCACTCGTAGTCGTGGTAGACAAGAACGGAAGCACAAACGACTCCATAGGAATGATGTAAAAGCTATCCGCGCTATCCTACCAGATGTGCGGTCTATGATGCTGGTACCCTTTTACGACATCAACCGAAAATCGAACTATGCAGGGGGCATCGTCTGGAGCAAGAATTCGCAACGAGTATTCTCGCAGGAACAAGCTCTAACGTATCTTGCTGCCTTCGCCGATTCTGTCATGGCTGAGGTGGCACGCATTGAGGCTAAAATTGCGGAGCGCACGAAGTCGGACTTCATCTCATCTATCTCACACGAACTTCGCAGTCCGTTACATGGCATTCTCGGTGGTGTGGAGTGTCTACAAGATACGAACGACCCGAGTATGCGAGCCGAACTCTTGTATACCGTGGAGACCTGCGGTAAGACGCTGCTTGATACTATCGATCATCTGCTTGAATTTACGAAGATCAACAACTTTTCGAAGGCGCCCAATGGCAAGCTACGGTCGTCGACTGGAGAGTTGAGCAGACTCAGCCTGGATGCCAAGAGTGGCGGAGCTATGGACGCACTTCGTCAAGAACCTACGAGACGTTCTTCTGTTGGCCTGGAGACTGATGTGGACCTTGCCACGCTTACGGAAGAGGTAGTGCATACCGTCCGGGCTGGCAATGCATATGTGCGGGCTGCTGCTCCGACTGATGACTCTTCCGGCGCCTCGAATCCAGACATATCCATCCCGCCGATACGGTCCAGACCTGGCGCTGTGCTAGCTCTGTCGAGTTCGAGCGCTCCTGCCACTACTGTTGAAATTATAATAGATATCGACAAATCCGAGTCTGCCGATTGGCTCTACCGTACGCAGCCAGGTGCTTGGCGCCGTATAGTCATGAACCTCTTCGGTAATGCTATAAAGTATACTGCCAAAGGCCACGTCCGTGTCTCGTTACGGACATCGCCATTTATAGAAGACGAGCTCGGTGAGGTCGTGCTGACCGTCAGCGACACGGGACGTGGTATAAGTCGGGACTTTCAGGAGACCAAACTCTTTACCCCTTTTGCTCAAGAAGACTATCTTGCACCAGGTACAGGTCTTGGACTTTCGATCATCAAGCAGGTCGTTACGGAGATGGGTGGCAAGATTGCTGTGCGAAGTGAGCAGGGTCAAGGCACAGTGGTGGAAGTCAGACTGACTCTCGAGCGGTCAGCAAAGAGGCCTATCGAGGAGACCTGGCCTAGTGTGACCATGGGTAGAGCGTTCAGCTCGCCAATGTTCTCTTTCGCTAGTCCAGCGTATAGTACAGAAGAGCCTTTGACAATAGCCGCTACGCCACCTCCGTCCATATCCGGCGTTCGGGTTGAGGATGTGGTGAAGCGACCGCCTCTTGCTCATCCAGTTGCACAAAAGCTCCATGCTGATGCCAAGCGTGTATTGATCGTTGACGACAACGACATCAATGTCAGACTTCTGGTCACGTACATGAAGAAGCAAGGGCATCAATACCGGACGGCAAGCAACGGACTTGAAGCTCTTGAGATCTTTCAAGCAGTCACGACTACTGCTGTTCAAGGGCCGCAACATAGCGTCTCCATGCCTGATTTGGCGGAAGACAAACATGCGGCTACTGCGACCCCACTGACAGTATTTGACTACGTCCTCATGGATATCAGCATGCCGGTCATGGACGGGCTTGAAAGCACTCGTTGTATTCGTGCCCACGAGCGCGAGCTTGTTTCTAAGCGACGTGCGGATGGTCTGCCGTACGCGCCTACCACTATCATTGCTTTGACGGGACTGGCGTCAACGGAGACACGACAAGAAGCCTATAGTAGCGGGATCGATAGATTTATGCCAAAACCTGTCAAGCTTGCGGAGCTGAAGAAAGTCATGGCCGCGGCGAACAATACCTGAGTCCGGAGGTCATCCCATGCTGGATCCACTATCACTATTACACATGGCTTCTCGCAATCATCTAGAGCCACGCATCGAGCCTGGAGTAGCTCTGTTAGCACAGGCACGAAACTGCTTGGCACCTTGCAGTCGGAGAGCTGAGCCTTATAAGACGTCCCCAAAAATCAGGAAGTGACGTTTCTGCTATGCTCGTTATTGCAATTCAGATAATAGCCTAATATACCCCAATGTGGAGCCGGCCGCGGCTATCAAATCTTGGCACCCTTCCAGTATATTTCCATGAGAGGATCTACAGCACCCCACTGACACAATACAAAACTGTTGCTCTCCCGTTGGTGGAATAACATCATGATAGACTTTATTCGTGAGGAGTGCAGGAGTGGAGATCTTTCCCGGACCTGCTACCTTTCTGACTGAAAGCTTGCTGTATTCCACACGAGACATAGTTACTTAAGGCGTTCGATGTCCTCGCTGGTCAAGCCATATTCAAGCCTACAGAAGATCTAACCCCATGGCTGCCATGCTTGTATTGTTGCCAGCGCTTCTCAGCGTTGGCATGGCCAACCCGTTCCCGCGAGCACCTTTGGTCATCAACAACCCTGTACTATATCAGGACTTGGCCGACTTGGATCCTTTCCGAGTCAACGATACCTTCTATTACTCAGCATCTAGTATGCACTTCTCCCCTGGTGCCCCCCTGCTTAGGTCATACAATCTGGCAGACTGGGAATACGTGGGTAATTCTGTTCCGTCTCTCGACTTCGGAAGTCCGGCATACAGCCTTGATGATGGCATGCGGGCATACGCGCGTGGCGTGTGGGCAAGCGCGATTAGATATCGGCAGAGCAACGGCTTGTGGTACTGGATCGGTTGCGTCGACTTCAATAGCACCTACTTCTACACCGCCGAGAACCCCACGGGCCCATGGGAACAACGCAATGTTGTCGGACAATGCTTGTACGATTGCGGCCTTTTGATCGATGATGACGATACGATGTACGTCTCTCACGGATCGACCAACCTGAGTGTTGCACAACTCACACCAGATGGCCTCGACATCGCAAAGGATCAGGTAGTGTTTAACTGTAGGTCATGATGTGCGTCTATCGCAAAGTGAATGTGCACTGACCCGTCGCAGACACGGCCTATATCGAAGGCTCGAGAATGTACAAGCGTAAAGACAACTACTACATCCTGACGGTGGAGCCGGTCGTCGGCGAATATGTGCTCAAGTCAGACAATCCGTTCGGGCCATACGAATTTGGTGTGATGCTGAACGAGACCAAGTCGCCTTCTGGACTAGCAGGTGGAGATGTACCTCACCAAGGTGGCATCGTCGATACACCAGATGGAGACTGGTACTACATGTCATTCGTGGATGTTTGCGGAGACTCCTGCGGCCGTGTGCCTGTCATTGCGCCTTTCACATGGGGGGACGATGGCTTCCCGAAGCTAGAGCTCGCTGCTAATAACACGTGGCCCGAGACAGTACCTGTACCGGTGCAGAGCCCATCGAAATCGGAGGATACCATCCAGACTGGGCCTAGAGCTTTCCAAAGCGCTTTCGGTGAAGGCCTTGCGCCTGAATATCAGTGGAATCACAACCCAGACAACAGCAAATGGTCGCTCCACGAAGACGGTGTCTGTCTGGAAACGGCCTCCGTCACAGATGACCTGTACCAGGCCAAGAACACATTGACCCATCGGATCATTGGTCCCCAGTCCCAGGCCACCATCGAGCTCGACATCTCTAGCATGCAAGATGGCGATCGTACAGGTCTCAGCATGTTTCGTGATGTATCGGCATGGATTGGCGTAAAGAAAGATGGTTCTCGCCTGACACTCGCCATGCATACAAATCTTACCATGAATGGCACGGACAATTGGGCCACGATTAACAAGGGCGTAGAAGATGCTACGCATAAGCTTCCTCAACACACGAGCTGCATCTGGCTACAGACGACGGGAGACTTCCGATCCCCACCGACTGGCAGCCTCGAGACATCTTTTGCGTATAGCGTGGATGGAAAGAGCTTCACCTCTTTTGGTGATCGCTTCAAGCTAGCGACCGACTGGCAGTTCTTCCAGGGTTATCGATTCGCGGTGTTCAATTACGCAAGAAAGTCTCTTGGTGGGTGGGTGACGTTGAAGAGTCTCAGTATTGACCTAGTGTAGTGGTCCGATATCATGATGAGCAATATAGACTCCCTCCATCGCTCGGTGCATCTGTGTACTACTCAGCTCTCCTGATATGACGCCCAACATCCTATGATCCTGGTGTTTGAAGCTGGCGAATGGACAGTCACCATAGCCGCTCGGAATTTCTGTTTCCATGATGGTCTGCAGCAGAACATTGGCTGCTATGTCAAGATGTTCCGAGCACGAAAACCATACGTGAACTTTGACGTCAGATCATAAATCAATTTTGCCCCTAACCCTCCGTGATCACTAATCACCACGCCACGGTTCGAGCTCCTGGCTATGTATATATATGTTCCTTTCTACCAAAGTAGATCTGCAACAGCAACTTGATCCTTGCAGAATTCGGCGTCATGAGGGAAGTTCTCGTCATTGGCGGCACGGGGGCTCAAGGCCTGCCGGTGGTCAAGGGTAGGTCACTGTCCATCATCAGAGGTATACCAAAGGGCTACCATATACTCAGCACTTTCGCAAAGTGGGCGCTACACAGCTCGTGTTCTGACACGCAACCTTGGATCGAAACGAGCACGAGAGATCTCCAAGCTTTCCAACGTCACTCTAATCCAAGGATCTCAGGACAACCAGAAGGACCTCCATAAAGCTTTCAAAGGAGTATGGGGCGCCTGGGTCAACACCGACGGCTTTACACTCGGCGAGAAGAACGAGCTTTTCTATGGGATCCGGGCATATGAGATAGCTCGTCACGAAGGAGTGCAGCATTACATTTATGCTGGAACAGATTATGCTGTCAAGGACGCAGACTGGGACGCAAATTTTCATTGGGGCCATAACGACGCAAAAGGAAGAGTTGCTGATCTCATTCTATCCCACAAGCATGATGGGATGAAGGTTTCTGTGCTGACTACAGGCCCATACATGGACATGCTCTTCGATGGTATGTTCGTACCGAAGGAGCATGGAGATGGGTCTTTCGTTTGGCAGAATCCAGCCAGTATGTCGAGTCTTATATGAGAGCCGCCCAAGAATTGTTGTTGCTGACATCTCGTAGAACGCGGCAAGATCCCACTCATAGCGGTGGAAGATGTAGGCGCATACTCGTTGTGGATGTTTGAGAACCCCAGCGAGTCGACCGGTCTGCAACTGAAGGTAGCAACTGACGCAGTGACCTTTGAAGAGATTGCAGGGGTCTTCACCAAGGTCACGGGAAAGAAGGCTGTACACGAATACGTGCCTCTTGAGCAATATCTACTAGCTGCTGAGCCATACCCCGACGCTCCAGCCAATTGGGCGGCAGGTCCAGATGCGCCGCGCGACGAATCTACCATGACTTGGCGGGAGAATTTCGGACCGTGGTGGCGATACTGGGGCGAAGGCTTCTGTGAGAACAGAGATTTTGCGTTGCTGGATAGGATACATCCGAAGCGCATCAAGTCTTTGGAAGAATGGATGCGCTTAGTGGGCTACAATGGGCAGGCTAAGCCCGTTCTGAAGGGCGCTGAGGATCTAAGAGCGGTGCAGCAGGCGATCGAAAAGGCATCGACTGCTCATATGTCTTGAGGCATAGCATACTAAGGAAAACATTATTGTCGAGCCCCGACAATAGTGTCACGTGGTCTCGTATCTTGTGAAGAAGCCCTGAAGTACGCAGGCTCTCTCAACGATCTCGCGCTGCCCGATACTCGTAACGTTGCTCGCAGTCCACGGCGGGACAGATTCACGGCATCATGTCTTGGACACCCACCGGATCGGGCCACAGTAATCCATCTTACCAAGATCCACGCCATTGTGTCTCAAGATACATACGCAACCATGAGATGGAAGTATACATTTGGAATGGAGACCTGAACCAAATAGTCTTCGCCATAGGTCACGGCATCCGGCGGGCTCCAGGAAACCCTGATGGGGCGTTTCGCCGCACCATCGTAGTCGGACTCCTGTACAGTCTCGATATATGCCACCGTCTCCGTAATGCGCTCCAGTACTTCTGCTACCGTTTCCTCTGTATCGGCATGCTTCGGTGGAATGCGCCCAGCTAGTAGTGCCGCTGCTTCCTTGGCATAATCACATGCGCTTGTCGATTAGATAGATGAGGTTTGCCTGATCGGGTGCGAGCCGAGCTTCTAGCAGGGCGGTCATATCAGTTTGTTTAGCGTCGGCATGTTGTTGAGCAATATCTAGCCAGTGCTCCAGATTTCGTAGCGCTTGCGCGTACTGTATGATGGCCTTGTAGAACATTGCTGTCGTGGTGTTGTTGTTGCGGATCTCGAGGGATGATCGCCCCATGAAATGACTTGTAGGCTCCATGGTAGTGCTCTCGATAGACTGTTTCTTTCGTCCGTAGTTTGATCAGTAATCCGTTTATCGCCAGATCGTAAACCATAATTTTTTATTCTAGACACGGACACAGCGCCCCTTCGTCTTCTCTCTCGGCCGTGCAAGCTATATTCCCACATAACATCAGACATGTTGATCATGCGCCTACGCTCGTTAACGAATGATTTTGCCAAGAAGTCATCAGATGCAAAGCGAGGCGCTAATAAAGGTGGACAGCATCCCATCAGTCCTTTGGAATACACACCTCGTCAAATCGTTGGTGCTTCATAGATTGTGATGTTAGCATCACCAGCATCCCGATCTACTGAGATTGCTTTTATGCTGCTCCTAGCCAACCAGGAGCCACGTTGAGATGACGAAGACTTCCACAATGCAGAGACGAGGCTGGTACATCTGCATGGCTGAACAAGGCTGAAGTCTAATACTTGGGGGCCAAGGCTGGCCGCCTGCGGCGGATATATCCCTCCCTCCCTCGCGCATCTCTTCTTGACAACTAGCCGGGTGGTCACTACTGCGTGAGAATCAATACGATGACGAGTTCCGGACAATGCTACTTTCCTGACGGCCTGACCCTGTCGCCAGAAGACACGCCGTGTAACTCTACTGCGGAGAACTCAGCGTGCTGCGCTCCTACAGCACAATGCTTAGACAACGGCTTGTGTTTTGCTGCAGGGTATCTTTCACGAGGGAGCTGCACAGATAGAGAGTGGGGCTCATCGTGCACACCATACTGCTCGCACGGTATGAGAAACGACATATGCCTGGGATGATGTTGCTCAGGCTGATCAACGCATAGTCGCTAGTGGGTCTGGGGTTGGTGTTCAGCCATGCGGCGGTTTCCAATTCGCATGTGGCTTTGACAACAACCGCTCCTGTAACGAGGCAAATCTGTTTCCTATCTCTGGAGGGACGAGCTTCATTCTTGGAAACGTCATAGTCGACGGCCAAGGAGCGGCGCCCGTGAAGATCTCTCCACTCAGTACCTTGACCTTTGCTGCTTCTGCCAGCAGCCAGACAAAAGCTAGCACAAGTAGTAGCCTGTCGACTCAGACCGTAACAATCACGGCAGACCCGAAAGATGGTGGAGGGACAAACAATGGTCGACAGTACACCACTGGCGATATCGCCGGCGCAGCTGTCGGAACGGGTCTCCCGCTCCTGTTAGCTCTATACGGTGCCATCTTCATCATCTTTCGGCAGCGCAAGAAACTACGACAAGAAGCACCGGCGAGAGACTATGCCAGTTGGACACCGATGACTCCTAAGAAAGAGTACCACCATACAAGCTACGACCCGCAGTCCAAGCCATTCATGGAGTCACGGCCGATAGAAGCAAGTGCTGAACGTGAGTTACAGGAACTGGATGGCCGGAGCTGACAATCAAGGTCTGGCACTGTTGACCCAAAAAGTCAGCCGAAGCCCCTCAACCACTGATCAACTCTTGATCAGACTTCGGTGCCAATAATTGAACATATTAGCCTTCGATCTTGTTCTAGCAATGCTCCGCTGCTGCTCATATCATGGATCGCACCTCACAGCACGCCCATCTTCGGGATATGGTGATGCTATCCCAGGAAGGCGCCGTTTGGACGACACTCCCAGGAGCGAAAACAATCCAGACCGGCCATGACCGTGACATAGAGCGGCTCGCATGTTGTCATTGTCTCGTTACGAACGCAATACTAAGGATACCCACTTCCATACGGGGCGAAGGCCGACGAAGGCGAAGAGCATTGCGATCCTGCCACTCTGGGTAAACTCAAAACGGCGGAATCGTTCGCAGCAAGCTAGATCTGTCGTTATTATGGACTCCAAGCTTTCTCGTCAGAGTAAAAAGCTTGCCAAAAAACGCATGCACGACCTGCGTTGAGCGGACGGCGATTGAGGCACTATTTACTGGCTGCAAAGATGGTAAAGATTTACGCATCTCAGCGATTGTACGCTACGATGATGCATCACCCACTGCTGCAGGACATTCTTTCCTCGCGGGTAGAGTGTTTACATACCTCAATCCCAGTCGATACGACGTTGAAGGGTTCCTTGCAAAGACGCTTCGATCAATGCCAGCCATGTAGCTGGTAACGGTATGGAGCCTGCCACAACAAATAACATTGTGCCACCCAGACTAGACCAACGTTAAACAATAGTATTAAAGCAAGCCTAATGATACTCTTGCGAATGTGCGCTGCGTTCCATGGCTGGTGGATCGTCGTCGTTTTATGCTACTGAGTTCGGGAGAGTCTTGACTGTCATTGGAGCGGCAGGAATACCTCTTACGTAGGGTCCACACCTTTCAAAATTCTTACGATAATCCCAGAGCCATCGACATAGTGCCACTACATTCTTTGACGTCAACAGACTATAACTTGGACTCATGGCATGACACGGTCAGGCCACTGCGCGTGCAATCGCCACGTAGCGCGTGTTCCTATAACGAGTGGTACACCGTGGCGTGTTGGCCGCCGTCTTCATAGCACCGGCAGGATGCACGCTCAGCTTCGATACTCGCGTATCTTGGCCTACTTTCGCGACATGGATGTAGACACATCGATACCCTGCCGCATTGCCACGTATGCATATGAGAGGGGTGTCGTCGTCATTTACAGAAATCACCGACGCCCCTGATGTACATGGGAGCTAATAATTCACCATCATGGGCCAGACAAACTCAGGTTCGCCACGACTCCAACTTCCCCCTGTCGATACATCCACCTCAGAGTTTCGGCTGCTCAAATTTCTACCAGCAGAGTCACCTTACGATGTGTTGTGGTGCGAATATGTTGTAGGTCAAGGCCAGCACAGTAGCATGCCCGGCCATTGACAAAGAGCAGGTAGTCCGCCTGGAGGACCAGCCCAGATTTGCCTATCTGAACACAGACTGGGACGATGAATCAAGTAGTAAAGCGGACCACACAGTAATCATCGATGATGGTGGGTACCACATCACACGTCGCCTCCACGATCAGCTATTGTGGTTTCGACATCTTTACGGACAAGGCGTGGACCTGGATCTGCTGCAAGCAAAGAAACCAGTACAACAAGGCGGTCAGGAACCCGCCAGTGTACCCTTCCGTCCCAGTCAAGCCTACTTGCGTGAGTATGTTTCGCAGGCTGAGGTCAACAAAGGGTATCTCTGCTTCACGCCACGCCTGTGCATAGATCGATCGATCGATACGGAGTATGAACGCCAGAACCAATGGCTGTCTTCACGTATACTAGCAGCAGCTCTCGACCTCTTTCCGGAGCATCGTCCTGTGAAGCCAAACGTTGTTGGCGTCGCAACAGAGCTCAGAGACACACATAAAAGCATCGATGACTACACAAGCGTAGAGTCGAGATTTATATACGAGCCTTTCGCAGATTCCACGAGCGAGATCGGGATCCTGCATCTTCAGCCCTTGATGAATGTTAGAGATGGCTGCGAGAAATTAGTAGGCAAATTAGTGCCAGTAAGACTGGAGGATGCACCTCCATATACTGCTTTGTCTTATACATGGGGTGAGCCAATCTTCGACCGCACTATCATCCTCAATGGCGAGAAGCATGCCATCACGGCCAATCTGGCTCACGCACTGGTACGACTCAGGCAGCACAAAGAGACTTTCCTCTGGATCGACGGCCTCTGCATCGACCAAAAGAACTTACGAGAGAAAAGTGCTCAGATACCCATGATGCTGGACATCTACAAACGTGCAGAGAAGGTTAGCATCTTTCTTGGCGAAGAGACTGGCGTTAGCAGCGAGCTTGACCGCGTAGGCGAATTCTTGATCAAGATTGTTCGATCCGGGCAACTCATGTCTCTAGGCAGAGAGCTGATGGCACAAGGAGAAGGTCTTTGGAGCCTCGGCGACGAAGGCGATCGAAGCCTCAAACAATGTGGCTCTCCGCCTCCGTCTCATGCGATCTGGCAGGCTTGCTATCGACTGCTCCAGCGGCCATGGTTCCGCCGTGCTTGGATCGTTCAGGAAGCTGCTGCTAACGACAATACCGAGGCTATGATGAGAGGCATGGCTCTCTCCTGGAATGCCCTTCCTGCTGCTATCGGCTTTCTCGCTGCTATCATGGGAACCACATATATCAAGCCCGTCAACTTATCAGGTGCAGTCGATGCCGACGATCCAGCTCACGTGGAGGCTTGGAGGACCGAGCTGACCCAAGAGTTCGCACAAAGGCTTCTAGGACGCATGCAAGATTTCCAGGAACGTCTCAAGAATGGTGCTAAGATACCTCTCCATCAACTACTACGCGATTGCAGGTACACATTGGCTGCCAATCCACGAGACAAGATCTATAGTGTGCTGGGACTGTCTGATTGTGCAGGTCGCGCACCCGCTCCAAACTACGCCTTGTCCGTACAGCAGGTCTATCATGATTATGCCAACTTTATGGTGCATAAGGGACATGGTATGGCCATGCTTGAAGCGGCCGGTGGTCTTCGCCAGAGCCTATCAGACCTGCCGTCTTGGACGCCTGACTGGACCTTCGATCGAGAGATCGTCCCATTCTCTCTGAACAATGCCGGCTACTACGATCCTCCTTTCTCTGCAGCTGGTAACTCCGAACCTGGTATTTCCATTCTAGACACGGACAATCGGACACTCGAAGTTGAAGGTGGCATTATAGACAGAATACTTGCGGTTGGAATGCAGCTCGACTTCACTGGCTGGGAGCCATGGCGTCGAGACCTTCTTTGATGGGACAAATTCAATCGTGAGCTACTAGAGCGCTCTGACCAGCACGATCTCGAGCATTACGTGCGTGTGCTGGTTGTCGACGCTGCGTTATGGGGTCGCAATATTGATCGCTTGGCACAGTACAAAGCCATCGTAGGAGCATTGCAACGGCCTGGTGTGTAGCAATTCGACTTCATAGGCCACAACGATGCGTGGCACGAGTCTGGCAATGCTGGTCCAAAGACGAAGAGCAATTCCAATATTGGGCAGCTCATAGCGGAGATAATGAATGCTCGAGCCATTTGTGTGACAGAGAAAGGCAGGCTTGGCTTGGTGCCGGGTTCTGCGAGGATTGGCGACGAGATCTGTCTTTTTCTGGGCGGTGCTTGTCCTTATGTTGTGCGGCGGGAGGAGACAGCTCATGCCCTGATCGGAAGATGCCTATGTTGATGTTGATGGTGTGACGTTCGACGGCGAAGCCGTGGAGCATGAAGACTTCATCCCGGGTACGATCATCTTGCAATGGTTGCAGAATGGCAGACACAGTCAAGAGTGTAACGGCTGAAGATGACCTATGATTCCGATGTTCAGCGCTTCACTCCCTCATCATCCATGTTCTGCTAAGCAAGAGAGAGACGCGGTGCCTTGCCAAATCACTGACGCTCGCAGGCTCGCAGGCTCGCAGTGTTACTCAGCGACGCTAACCCATTCTGTAGCATCTGGGCGAGCATCAGCATATCACTTGTTATCAATCATTCATCCTCCACGGCCTCCATCCGGGCCTGACACAGGATGCGCCGCATGCGGAAATCAGACTCATGATTTCTGATCGAGGTCTCGCCAAGGCCAATGGGTCATCGTCTCGATCGGGAGCCATTACCTGGACCAATGCAAGGCTCTGGCTGATAAATCCTGACGGAGAGTGGTGTAGACGATGCCACTCTGTGACATACGTTGCTAATACTCTTGTTATTACCTCCAGACCTCAATGGAGCGATGTAGCGACGTCGAATGCTATATATTGAACATTCACCACAACTACCATCGAAGCAAGCTATCATTCGATCACATCCATACCACAGCGATTGAGACGCGTCACCGCTCCGCATCCACATTCTCATCATGTCTTCACTTGGAAACGTGCTCGTCGTCCTCGGATCTGGCCCGGGGATTGGTCTCGCCACAGCGAAGCTTTTTTCGAAGAACCGCGCCTTTGCCAAGATTGCTATGGTCTCGCGCAATCCCGAACGCCTTGCCCAGGAGGCTGAAGAGGTGAAGGCTGCAGGTGGCGGCAATGTCGAGGTCACCGCATACCCGACCGATCTAGGCAATATCGCTCAACTGCGCAAGACCCTGGCCCAAATCGAGCAGCTTGGTCCCGTAGGTACGATATTCTACAACGTAAGTCCGCCTTAGACCCAGGTCTTTTGATGTCGCTGATCGTTCAGCAGGCCGCTCGGATCAACCCCACGGAAGTTCTCAGCACTTCTGTCGACGAGCTCGAGGAAGACTTCCGCATAACCAACTCGGGTCTGTATGTGACCGCACAATGGGGCATCCCTCTTCTCCAGAAGTCTGGCCACCATGAGCCGGCTTTCCTTGTCACCAACACATTTCTTGTGGAGAGCCCATTGCCGTTCCTGCTCTCGTTGAGCGCCGTCAAGGCCAGCCAACAGAACATGGTTCAAAATCTCCATGCTTTATTTGGCGGAGACATCCACTTTGCGCTCTTCAAGATCCTGGGAGTCGTAAGCCCGGACACCCCAAGCTGCAATCCCGACAACATCGCTAAGACAATCGTCCGCACTGCAGAGCAGGTGAAAGGGACATGGGAGCTGATGGTAGAGATACCCGCTTGACCGTACCTGTACGCGGAAAGCGCTACTCACCAGGAAAATTCAATACGGTCGTTACAGACGGAGATCGAGAATAAAAGCTCTCAAGTCGAAATTACGGGAGATTTCAACATCGTGCCCATCTTGAGTCCCAAGCCGATGTGATCACAGGTATGACAGGAATCATTCGTCGTTCTCGCATACACATAATGCTTTCTTGCCGTTCTTGGAGATATCGGTGGTGATGAAGCTCAGTCAAGCAGGACTCCGGGACACATCTTCCGGCCATGAGTAAGATGCGGTGAAAGAGAGATGCTCGTCTAAATCAGGGCTGAGTCTTGCTGACTTCTCTTGCTTCACGGACGGATGCCACCAAAGCTAGGCTGGAGCTGATCTGCAGAGGGTTTCGGCAGTGCTCGATACGAGGAGTCTGAGGAGAATTACTCTCATGCCCTAAAAGACATATGGCAATGAGGGAGAACTTAAGACTCTATCGCACAGATCGTTTCTGACCTGAATCATCACCCTGCATATCAGCCCCCAACTCGCTACCACCTCATGTCGGCCCATTGCCTTGTTTCGTCTCCATTCTGCACCAACCCTACCACTTTAGCCGATGGTACTCTACGCTGTGAACTACGGTCGCGAGGCATAAAATGCTACGTCTCCCACGGTCCATCAGCAGCAAAATAGTCGAGAACCTCTCTTGGTAGGCGCCATCATGAGCGGTCTCGAAGTCATTGGCTTTCTCTTTGGTGCGTGTGGCTTTATTGGGCAGGTAATACATTATTCGAAAAAGTATCGCCAGAAGAAACGGGAAAGAGTCACTACGGGATCGACACAGATCGTCACGACACAGACCAGCGGTTCTAATGGCCAGCTCACAAGAGTGCGGCGCTCGTCGCAATCTCAAGTCGCCGTGCAGCTCGACCACGGACGAACGATTCGAGGGCAGTGGCAGCACTTCTCCGAGATCCAGCGCGACAACAACGAGGTCGTACGCGCCGATATCCGTGCCATCGAGCGCTCTTACGACAGTCGGGATCGTGCGAACGAAGTGGCTTGGGAGACGGTTCGGGCTATGAATGCTGTCTATGTCGAGGAGAACGTGCGCTTTACTGTCGTGACTCTAGTAAGGGCGAGTTTCATAACCTTCCTGGCTTTCTTCCTAGGAGTTTATACCGGCGAGAACAGCATCTTGAAGCAATTTCACTATCCATCCCCATGGAACTTTGCTGCTTTCGAATCAGAAGATGACGGAGACTTGTTGCAGCACTCGGCTGTGACTGTTGCGAAAGGTGCGATTTCTGGGTTCACGTTCATACCTATACAGCTCCCGTGGTTTACCTTCAAGGCGCTATTGGACGGCCTCGCAGCGTTCCTGGGAGCTGACGGTGCCGGCGTCGCTGGCAGATACTCCACTGTTGGCGAGAGAGCGGTGTCCACGCACGTGGGAGCTGCGCAGACAGCTGCCGAACATAATGCAGCTGTCTTCGACATCATCAAGACATTATCGGTCTCCGGCGTGACCACAAATACTGCAGCCACGACAGTCAATTCAGTTTACTCGGCCCTCAGCAGTGTGACATGGCTCTGGTGTCTTCCTTCGAACTTTATTCTCAACCTCATTGTCACCGCTCTACAATTCTACTTCGTACCGAGAAGCATCACGATCCCAGGTCTCGGCATTATCGCTACCATCGTCATCATGCTCTTCTGCTTCGCATGTCTGCAGAGCGTGCAGACCTGCAAAGGCAAAGGTGACCTAGGGATAGAGTTGGTCATGTTATCGTTCAGCACTCCGTTCTGCGTGATGAGCTTGTGCTGGCTCTCAGACGTGCTGGGGATATCGGAGATGACGGCGAGCGCACTTGTTGCTCTTCCGTACGCCATGATGCTCTTCGGTGGACGGTGGTGTGACTCTTGCTATCTCAGTTGCGCGCATCAGACGGAAGGATGACCGACACAGGAACTATGTATACAGCCATACCGACCAGACCTTGATCTATTGCAATCTCAGCAGAGTTCGGACCCTACTAATTTATGACCTGAATTGACTGAACCAGGCGGCCTGACCGACCAAATACCCCTCCTCATCAAATGACACACCTTCCTCACGCAAGAGAGCAAGCTTCGACGTCTGATTCTGCCCGCTAGGCGCCATCTCCCAGTTGCCTTTGAAGCCGCCCACGTACCCGTTAGCAGCGATACATCGATGGCATGGCTGCATTATCACGAGTCAGTGCTAGGGCCTTCTCATCAACCAGAAGATGATGGTTCAGAAGCATGATAGACCTACCACCTCTGGTGCGAAGGGGTTGCGACGTAATGCCCCACCGACTGCTCGTGGCGATGACTTGAGGGCAGCTGCCATGGTGGCGTAGGATGACACTCGACCGGCTGGAATTTGTTGGAGTAGTGCGTATACTTTCTACTCAGCTTTGTTAAGTCCTGTCCATGAGCTCAAAGGCGGAGTGGACATGCAGCTTACCTCTTGGAAGTCGGTTACTGCCATCTCGATCCGTTCTTGTGGACAATGTAGCGATGTGTGAAGTCGGGTTGGAGCTTGGTGGCTGTTATCGTGGCAATCAGTCGACGGCGTCGTCACGACACTTATAGTGTGTGACTATGAGTGTGCGAGTACGAGTGTGTTGGGCTCCAAGTCGGATTGACTAATAAGTCTGTGCTGACGTGACATGCCTATTTGCTGAGCAAAGTATGTTGCTGCGAAAGTGACCAATCAGGATCAAGAGTCTGCTTAGTCTAATCCACTTCCGCATATCGGTCTGACATGAAAGCATTTGCGCCATCTGCAAATGTGAGCGATCAATTACTCTGTAACATGCACTGAGCTGGATCCGTCGCTAACAGCACCGGACAAGCTACCAGTACTGCCCTGTAACCGCTATAGCAGTTGTGCTATGCTCGTGCCTCGACTCTCATTTTCCTCTGTTAGCTTTGATCCTGAGCATACTCCTCATGAGCTCAGATTCCCGGATGCAGTGCAACACTTTTCCGTCAGACTTTTGAGAGCATGGTTCGACACGGAGAAAGTCAAGGTTTTGCCCGATGGTCTTTCCAGCGCTTCCACGACCTCTTGTGTGACTGCCCGCAACTCGTGATCACTTGCGTCGCCAGACAAGGCACTCGTAACGAATTTCGGAAATGGGAAGGCCATGTCCAGTGTGAATAGCGACTCCTCTATTGTAGGAGCCAAGTCCAGCTTACTGATTTGTCCTTGCTGGAATGCGACTAGCAGCACTCCGTAATTCGTATGTACAGTCGTGTACTGGACGTAGTCGGTTAAAAAATGCAGATCAATGTCTTGACTGTCCGCGGGTGAAGAGCCTATTCCCGAATCGCTTCTCGATGTGTTCGCTTTGCAGTTCATCTGTGACCACTGACTTGGCGTGACACCCATGACTTTCTTGAAAATGCGCCAGAAGTGCCAGCGACTCAGTCCAGCCTCAGCTGCCATATCGGCCAGGGTCATCGTGCCACTACCATCCAGTCGTGCACAGAGTGACGCCACGAGATCGCGCTCTGGCTCGAATTCGTCCTGTTGTGGTTTGCAGCGCTTGCAGGCGCGGTAGCCGGCTTTCATGGCGTCGGTTGATGAGTTGAAGAAGGCCACATTCGAGCGACAGGCGAGTCGAGACTTGCAGTTCGGGCGGCAGAAGATATGGGTCGTCTTCACGGCGTAAACAAATGCAGTGGCAGCGCCTGAATCGCGGGTGGAGGTTGCTTGCCAGCGTGCAGCCGTAGAGGCATAGTAATTGTGAGCCATGGCTCAGCTCAGAGGTACGCTGCCTTTAGACTTGGGCAGAGAATCCAGATGGCAGTCGTGGTGTTAATGACGATGTTTTGCTCAGTCCTGAGGTTTATATCGAGTGCAGAGCTGGCCTGGTGATGATTTTAGGGATGGCAGGTCCTCTGAAGCAGGATCATCATAACATTCGCCAGATGCGAGCTTCAAGCAAGCCAAAATCGTGGATGCTATGCTGCTGAAAGAGCACAGATGGTCGTCTTGCTGCGGAACTTGTCATTGGTCAGATTGAGAGCAATGTGGGTCGCTCAGTCATCTCCGAGAACGAGAACGACGAATATCTCGCTGGGCACGAGACATCACGGCTGGGGAGCGGAAAGATGAGCTACTCGTCATGGTATGTACAATAAACATGCCGTAGGCGTCTGAATCGCACCATGGAGACTGTACCTGAGATACTGTACCGAGTATGCTGGATCCTGAGGCGTGGTCCACTCGCATATCACAGCAGAACTGCTACGGCCGGCCAATATCAATGCCACAGCCACGACCGGTTCTCCCTGTCCATCATCATACAGGCGAGCGCCACCCCGGTTTGTCCCACTCTTGGACGTGCGGTGAGTATGGCCTAGAGAAAATATGCACACTACAGGACCCGCATACCTTGCAAGCAGTGGTTGCTTGGCCACATCCGAAGCAACCCTATGACTTCCAGAGCAAGATGCATACTGCCATATACACCCCTTGGCGATAGCATCTCCAACACATAAGATATCGAGATGGTAAGTTCATGTCGACCAGAGCCAAACTACACCTCCACCATCTCCTCTTATCAACCATCACTACCACACCAATCACCCTCAATCCACCACAATGGGCTCCAAAGACACCATGCCAGACACCCACTCCGTCATAACCCCCGCAATAATGTACTGGGGCACCCCAACTGTCCTCATAACCACCATAAACGAACACGGCATCGCCAACATAGGCCCCATGTCCTCAGCCTGGTGGCTCGGCCACCGCTGCGTCCTCGGCCTTGCCGCCGTCTCCCAAACAACCATCAACCTCCTCCGCACCGGCCAATGCGTTCTCAATCTAGCCAGCGACGACATGGGCCCCCACATAAACCGCATAGCCAAGACGACCGGAACCCCCGAAGCACCCGCCCTGAAACAAGGACTAGGCTATACCTACTGCGGCGACAAATTCGCCCTCGCAGGCTTGACATCGCGACCCTCCGACCTCGTGGCACCACCAAGAATAAACGAATGTCCCGTACAATTGGAAGCCCAACTCGTAAACCACATGGCCCTTATGCAAGACCTCCCAGATCGATCCGGTGCAATCCTAGCCATTGAAGTCAAGATCCTACGAACACATATTCGACACGACCTCCGCATGGCCGGACATGCGAACCGGGTCGATCCCGACCGATGGCGGCCGTTGATTATGAAGTTCCAGGAGTTCTATGGGCTTTCGGGGAAGAAGAGGGGGAAGTCGGAGTTGGCGGATTCGACGCCAGAGGAGAGGTATCGGGCGTTGATGAGGTCGGATGTTGTGAAGCAGGGCGGGGACATGGATGAGGGATCGTCGAGCCCGAAAAAATAAAGTAGACAATGAGCACCGTGTAAACGTAGACAAGCCCGGAGATAGACTAGATATAGACGCTGCTCTCCAAACGTAAGCTCGCCTATCTGCTAGATTCTCATGGCTTGAATGGCGCCAGTACGACAAGCGCGAGTGTGCCAACTCAGTACTCAAACTCATCATCAACCCCGGTCTTCTTCTCCTTCCCCTGCTCACTCTGCCTTCTATACATCTCAGCAACCTGCTTCGAACTCGTCGCATCCTCCGCCTTTTTATCATCCCTCACGCGAATAAACCTCGGGAACCTCAAACTAACACCCTTATGACTCCCATCGCCCCCGAACTCACTACTCGCCGCTCGATACCTTGGACTCAACGTCAAATCCGCCGTCTTGACTTCCCAGACGAATTTTGGCTCGAACCAGACGTCTGGCTGGTCGTTCTTGCCGGAACTGTGGTCGTAGAAGGGTTTCGGGCGTTCGATGACGAGGGGTGAGAGGGTTTCGTGGAGTTCGGAGAGGAGGGCTTCGGAGAAGCCGGTGCCGATGTTGCAGACGGTCTCGTAGGTCTCGGTGTCGGAGTTGAAGCAGGCGAGGTGGAAGGCGCCGTAGACGGAAGTGCGTTTGCCTTTGCCGTAGTAGGCCCCTAGGACTACGAGATCGAGGGAGTCGCCCGCACCGGCGAGGTAGTCTTTCTTGACTTTTAGCCAATTCTGAGAGCGGCGGGAGGGCTCGTAGTGGGATTCTACGCCATCGAGCATTTTTACCATTAAGCCTTCGCAGGACGCTTTGATGGAGTCTTCGAGCAGGGTTTGGATCTCCTCGATTTCGCGTGTGTTGCCGTATTGTGCAAAGGCAAACTCTCCTTCTACTGGTTCGAAGGTGCCGTACAGGAGATCGCGACGCTCGCGAAAGGGTTTGTTGACGACTGCCTCGCCGTTGAGATATAAGAGGTCGAAGGCGAAGACGCAGACTTTGACTTTCACATCCTCGGCCTTTACGTCTTTTCTTTTGCGCGTCATGAGTTGTTGGAAGGGGAGGACGTGCTTCTTCTCCACGTCCCATGCCACAGTCTCGCAGTCGAGCACGAATGACTTCGTTCCTTCTTTCACCCACGTCGGCAACTTCGCAAGGATGTCTGGGTACTTCTTGCTGAGATCTTCGCTGTTCCGGGAGAAGATATTGGACATGCCGCGATCGCTTTTACCCTCCTTCGGCGCCACCGTTGCGGCATATTCTTCACCAGCGTCATGCGCCACGAAGTGTATTTGAGCTCGCTCGCCATCGTATTTGTACTCGCAAGTGAAATCCTTTCCTTCAAACCGGTCCAGAACTTCGCTAATAGACTTGGTGGGCTTCGCAAGCATGGGCTTGAGCGGCACACCAGCCTGTAGCTTGCAAGCGTCACGCAGATTCCAAATACCGCCTTTGAGCAAAGCAGGGATGATCACTTCGTATGCAGGTAGTTCGTTGTACACAGCCTTGAAGATCTCCTCGCCCTTCTTCAGATCAGCTTCGGAGGGCATTTTCTTGCCGTCTTTCGAAACCTCATATGCAACCATAGCATGCGAGACAGCAACTTGCAGACTCTTGTCCGCAAGACCCAATCTCATCTTACCTTCCAGTGCTCGGATGATGAATTTCGATTCGCTGGGCCCGCCTTTATCCTTGGTGATGTCCACACTCTGTCCCTTTGCTAGACCCACGTCTGCCGAGGAAAGTAGCTTCTTGATTCCATCCACCTTTCGACCTTGCGCGCCCTGCCCCTCAACAGTTGCGATCTTCATCAAACCTTCATGCACGCCACGCACACTAAGTGCCTTGGGCTTGAACATGGTGGGCTGATTTTGTCGACTTTTGGCAGCTACTAGACCAAGGTCTCCAATCTTCTGCTGATCTTCCTTGATGATCTTCAGACTACGTCCAGTCGACTCACCAATGGCCTTCATGATCAACGACTCGCCAATGCCAAGTTCGATGCCTACATAATCTGCCGCGAGCTTTCCCTTGGTCAGGAGCACGGTGGGCAACAGGTCTTCTGGCGTAAGTCTCAGTACTTGTCGGTAGAAGGCTGCACATAGTGCCAGGATCTCCAGCCGTTTCGTGGTCATCTCGATCTTCGAGAAAGTGGCACAAAGTGCGGCATAAGGAACAGGATCTCCACCTTTCCAATCTGGATATGCGTTTTTGCTGGCAGATGAAAGCGTGCTCTGGATTTGTGCTCGAGCCTTGGCTGAAACAGCCAGCTTCTCATCTTCATCCTCACTCACTTCATCTTCGGCCTCCGTATCTGGCTCGCTTTCATTCGTCTTTGAGTCCTCTGCTTCTGTCGGAGAAGGATCAGGCGCTGGTACTGCTTTCGTAGCTTTACCTCGCTTCTTTGGTTGAACCGGCTCGTCTTCTTCATCCTCAGCCTGATCCAGATCCATGCCGACATCCTCTGCTTCGGCCGTGACGAGCTTCGGTCGTTTCGGGATTACAGTATCTGGTGATTCCTCAGACGTAGTAGCTTTGCCCCTGATCAAGGTCTTCTTCGTCGCCACGCCTTTCTTCGCCTTCGTCTCACTAGGCTTTTGACGTTGCTTCTTCGATGGTGGTGCATCTTCAGCATCATCTCCCTCACCCTCATCTACAGCAGATACTGCACGCTTCTTCCCAGAGCTCGACGGCGGGTCTTCCTTCTTCACCTCAGAAGCCGCATCGGCCGCTTCCTCCACTTCTGCCTTGATCTGCGTGGCGTCTTCCATCTTCACATCCTCAAACTCCACGTGACCATTCGTCTCGTCGCTCTTGACCGCTCCGGGTGTGGTCGCGTCTTCAGCAGCATCTTCCTCTTCGGGCTTGGCCTTTGAGGAGAACTTGAGCTTCGCTTGTGCCGGTGCTGGTTTCGTGCCATTCGTGTTGCCGCCGAAGAACTTGCTGGGATGGTATTAGTGATATCATCGTGGCTAACCTTATACTATGTCCAATTTCGCACCCGAGGGTCTGCTGGCCGGAGTGGACATACCCGAGAGTTGCCTGCTTGGGAGCCATGGTGGTACACTTCCTCGTTGTCGATATATGCCGCAGCCGTTGGAATTGTGAAGATTTTGTTCGAGCGAACGCTGCCCTAGTAACTCGAGTCGCTATCCCACGGGACCATAGCATTGATTTGAAGGATCTAAGGTCGCTGTCGCCTATGTCGCAGGCATCAATTGTCTGAAGTTCGACCGTCGCGTGTGACGCGCGCTGAGCGCGACGCTGAGTGACGTCGGTCCAATCAATCATGAAAGAGCACAGACGACGACATCACTATCGCTATCATCAACACACATAAAACCCCACAAACTATCGCCATATCGAACAACAACTTAGCAAGCTGGCGCGGATACTGTGGAAGAACCCCATCGGTCCCCCTCCTCCACCACCTACCGCCTCCGAACCTTTGCCTACCTCTGCTCCACCACCAGCTATCATCATGTCACGCACTCCAGACCAGCCCCGACTAACACCACAATTCTGCTTCAACACAACCGCACTAAGAGGTAAGCTATGTCCTCGAGTACAACATCATCCATCGCTCACAAGCTCATCCCAAGCCCCACCCTAGACTTCCTCCGCATATCCCGTGGCACAGTAGACGACACCATCTCGCAGAACCTGAATGCACTAGTTACACCTGGCACATCTGCACCCTTCGACCCTACATCGACAACCTCGCGAACGCCCCGGCCAATATACAAACGGCCAATAGACGGACAATCATGCCGACTATTCAAAGACAAAGTCCTCTTCCCATCATGGCAAAGTAGAAGTGACGTCCTAAACTACTGTGCTGGTGTGGCGACCAGTCCGGACCCGGATGATCCGGAGCATGTGCTGAGGGATACCGAGGATCTTCGAGCGAGAGAAAGGTTAGTGGATGAGAGGTTGGATCCTTATAGTGGGAGATACTTTCCTCGTGAGGCAAGAACGGAGGCTTTGGCGTATCTGATACGGAATGAGAGGATGGTGGAGAATATCATCAGACAGCGGACGTGGGGCATAGTCGGGGAGAGATGTGAGAATGAAGGGATGGAGTTCGAGAGGGCGCTAGATGTATGGCGGCATGGAGGCGAGGAGGGTAGGAGCTAACGTCTAGACTTCTAAACTCAAAGATCTCCACTTACATCCACATACATCAAAAAATAAGAGGCCTTCGACTCTACAACCTAGAGCTCGCATAAGCCATGCATGCCGCAAGTGTAGACACAGCCACTAAGTTACAGCTCAACCGCAAAACGAAATCGCCCATCCCTCTCAGTTGGTCGTGAGTGATTCGACCATCCCAGCAAAAGAGCAAAACGTACAGCAGCAGGCATTCGCCAGTCGTCACCGACCTGACTACTACTCTACCGGTCCGCGGCTTAAGTACAGGAGAGCGGACGGGATCCTCTGTTTTCCGCGGCCTATGGCCGTACGTGAGAGGCACGACGCTGCAACAATTTATAACCTACAATATCTAAGGTGGCGAGTACTTCTATGGCTGTGAGAAGTTCCAAGAGCAAAGGACTTCGCCTCGTCCTACTTGGAGATTGAATTATTCATTGTATACTAGACGTTGCTTTTCGTACTAACGCAAGATATCTAACTAAGTGTCTTCGAAATTTCATGACCGATCACAAGGCATGGTGTAAAGGGCCGCTTGCCAGTCCGGCTCGATCTGCTCACGCTTGGTGGTTGGGACGTGGGTTAAGCACGAAAGTTCAGATGAACTTGTTACGGCTACATCTCATGATAACACACGAAACTGTCCCAGAACTCTCCACGACGCCTAGACAAAGAGGATGCCAGCGAAGCAACTCGGCAATGACACTTTGTACTACAAGCTCTCCATGGCACTGGGCCTTACGGAACGCGGACTGCGTAGAAAATGCAAGTAGAGCCTTGACTGAACCACTGAAACTGAATATTCAGGTCACCTGGACAGGAATTGTGCTCGGTGCTGTCGTGTGCAACCTGGAAGGACACATAGACTATCGTTCGAGTTTGCACGGCGGCGTGAAGTCGATGAGCATATAAGACCAGCACTGCGTAGCGGTGAATGCGGACTTGTCACATCCTCAAACCAAGAACAGACCATCACGATTCTTCTCAGCAACTCTCGAAAGCAATCGTCCTGCCCATCCATTAGTGTGCCGTTGATTTCGTTGTGGCTCCTAAACATATGCTTACATCCTTTCAGGACCTCGAGTTCTTACAAGCAAGATGCACGCCCCATATGTCACTACGCTCATCGGCACACTCAGGACCGGCTTGCTAGGCACTAGCAACGCCATGGCCGTGCAAACTCCAAACAACAGCACCAGTGTCCTCCAACCCATCCAGGAGAAAATGGGCGTCAACTGCCAAGGCGGCTACGGCTGCGATCACTTCGACGCTACGGGCAAGAAAAACGGCAAGACAGCAGTGATCGACTACATCGTGTCCGCCATCGACGGCGTCGACCAGAACCGCATATACCACAACGGTGAGCGCATCGCCTGCCAGCCCGGAAGCTACCATTACGACATCGGGCTTCACACCGGGGAAACTGTAGGCGGTATCTGCGCTTTTCTGTAGAGAGCACATCGTCCGATCAACGGCCACGAGATCCAGATCATGCTCATGGGCTTAAGAGCCACGGATGTAGAGCTTGTGGGAGTCAGCCGACCGAACCTGGCAACAACGTTGCGAACGGCATGTTGACGTTCAATGTCGTTGCTGACGTGTCTTTGCATTGCGATGGGTTGTGCTAGGGTATTGACGAGAGCTTCGAGTAGGAAGAGGAAGATTCCGGCTTTGCCATTCCGGGAAATCATTCTGGACCGCGTTGAGTAGATTCGTTTCTAGGTAGCTGACGATCATAATCAGAGGCATCCAGTTGGTCACATATGTGCTTATTCGCAAGACCAGAGGCTGCTTTCGCCACTGCCGACTGAGCAGCGCCTATCAAAGTGCAGCTGTTTATGGGCGTGCTAGGTCCACTATTGGAGTGTTGCCGGCCATTTACTCAAAGAATGTGTTGTACGCCTGCTATGTGGTCAGCCAACGTCCCCATGATGTAAGGACAGACTTACAGAGGCATCCAGATCGAGCCAGTCGGAGGGGTCCCAATCATCAAACAAATCAGGGTATGCTTCTTGGCCAAGCACATCCGCTTCAGCATAGGATGTAGCTTGATGAGGAATGCCATCATGGTGCGCTGTACTGCCGAAAGTTAAAGCAGTCATGGACGGTCGTGTATCACCATGCCCACCACTGTTCGCAATACTTGACATCTGCTGGGCCTCCTTCATCAGCTCGTCGAGGGTAGCGGTGTAACGTGCACCTGCAAAATTATTGTCCCACAAGAGTGTCTTGCAGCGATTAGCAAGATCCAGCAGGCCATGGAATTGGCGATCTTGATTGACCCAAGTGCCCTTCTTGAGCTGGATGGCGAAGACGAAGGCCACTGACAGAGCGCAAAATAGCACATACTGCGACCACCATAGGGAGTAGGAAAGGGCGCCATCCTTCACCATGGTCTCGACTGTCTCCATCGCCGTCTCTGCGCCTTTGAGGCATTCGTCCACACTATCCTGCATTTGTCTAGAGTCCGTGGTAGGCCCGTGGGTCTCTACCAATATAGCTCGGTGGGTGTGCATTTGTGCATGGCAGTACGCTAGTCGCAACGCCAGTGACTGTCTCTTGAGGGTAGGCACTAAACTTGATGCCTTGATCTTGCCAAGATGAGGCGGTAGATCATGCCTCCAGTGTTTGAGTTCAGCTCCGAGACGATAGATGGCTGACGGGCGGGTGCTAGTGGTGGTCCGCTTAATGGTGTACACTTCACGAGAGGTAGAACTAATGATTTGTGCTAGTTTGGCATGCCATATCAATCCATCGACTGGACTGTCTTCTTCAATGTCTCTGGTGTGGCCGGATGCTGCGAGAGCCTCGTCAACGATCGGATCTGGAAAATTCTGGTCTATGTCATCGTCATTGTAGTGTTTTGGTCTACCGAGGACGATGCATAGATATGTTTCCATCGTGTAGGCAGCCCAGAACGTACGTGGCTGGCATTGGAGCGTGATATGGTCGATGTTGTCGTTGCTCAACGCTCGTGTCCTTGTGCTGGATCGATGTAAACCTAGGGCAGATATCATCTGCACGACTACACCGAATAGATACCATGCCTGACTCATGCGTTGGGTCTGCAATAGGTATAGCACTTGCAAGAGTCTAGCCTGCACAGAGTCAAGTTTTGCGTGGCCAGTCTCCTCCGCAGTGAAGCGTCTTGACGCTTCGAAGAACCCGTCACTGGATTGAAGCAGAGATTCAAGTGGCTGAGTTGCAGCCTTCTGTATCTGGGCCTTTCTAAAGCTGGCAATTGCGAACGTCGTGAATAAACTCGCCGCTCTAGCATGTCCTATTACTGAAGCAGGCGCCAATCCATTTGTGAGAGCTGGTGTTGCATCCTGGAGCCAAGCAAATAGACTAGGTCTGTGAAAGAAACGATATGTCACGGAGCACGTGTCGAAGTAGACAGTGAGCAGTGCGTGAAGTTCATCAATGTCGTATGCTGCTGTGCTCCTTGCGGAGGCTGCTTGTAGTGGCTGGTCACCAGAACAGAGTATCGTCTGACCGGTATTCTGGCTAGCATCTGGCGCCGGTAAGAGCTCCTCATCTCTCCTCAGGACACGCCGGAATGCTCGATGTATAAAAGTAAGACCAGAAGTTCGATCGTGATAGTGGCCGTTTGGTCCTGCCACCTCAACCTCGGGAGTGGCTCTGCTTGAGCCATGGCCAGAATGCTGGTGAGTGACGGGTCGTGTGTCCAGAGAGTGGAACCTTTCGTAGCGTGACTGGACTTCAACCTGCACCTGTTCGTTCGCCACCGGTTCTGTAGGTCGTCCACGAGTGTAAGTGGCTTCCCAGTGGCAGATGGCCCAGCGTTTTATGCAGGTGTCGCATGGATTCGTCCCTGAGCATCTTATCTTCTTGACCCTGCACCAGTCGCACTGGAGGTCAAGAAGAACAAGTTAGCTGGCTTTACCTTGTCAATACGCTGGAGCGCATCCGACATGTCACGGGCGAGAGCGTTCAGGTCGAACGGCGATGCTCTTCGAGGCGGTCCTTTGAATGTACGGGGAATGATATCGACTTACTATCACGTCGTTAGCATGATCGCTAGATAAGCGTGCTCATCAGATATTCACTCGCAAGCGCGTGTCGCCTTCGACGCTTTGCGACGATTGTTTCCTGACTCTCTCGGCGAATCATCTGTGTTGCTTCGCGGTCGCCGTCCAAGGCTACTTGGCGATACTGGGATGGTAGTAAACCCCTCGTGCTGGACAGACATATCCAAGAGATTGATAGGTATACTGCCGCTCACACGGTCAATCAGTTGGCTCAGCGCTCCTACCCAAGTTTCAAGAGCTGGTTACTGTGCAGTATAGAGTCAGCAATTGTCAAGAAGCGGAAGTTCTAAAAAGCAGACGATGAAGTCGAACACAATCACGGCGACGGCACACGGACCACACTCGCATGTTTCAACAAGACGTTGTCTTATGATTTCCACAAGCATCTAGGTAGCACCATTTTAAGCGTGACGCAGGAATGGAGATAATTTCTTACACTCTTCTTGTACATAGACGTGACCAGATAGCTAATTTGACCTCACAGCTTATAAACATACAGCGGCGACCGATCCCCCATCTTGTACAGCTGCACATCCGTATATCGAGCCCTGATCTCGTCTTCACCGAGCTGAGCATTCCTCTTATTACTCTTCTTGAGGAAGAACTCGAGAGCGAAAGCAGCGACGATACCTGCAGCGCCAAATGCCAATGATGTGCCATAGCCTGTGGGATATCTCGGTGCCTCCCGTTCAATAAAGATATAGCTGCCAACAATGCGACCAACATTGCCCATACAGATGAGATAGCCAATGGAGATCGCTCGTTTCGCTGGACCAGCAGTGTTGTAGATGTTCCAGGCGTTGACCGCTGATAAAATCGGGTACAATCTAGTAGCTGTCAGCGAAGTTGTTCAAGACTCTTACAAGTCAAGGTCAACCTACCCGGAGCATGCCAGACAGACTGCAAAATAGCACGAGGCGATGTTATGCTTGATATCCGGAGTCTTGACGAAAAGCACTGCATATCCAATGACCACAGCCACTTGTGGCCCTACCAGGAATGGCAGACGCCAATTATATCGGTCCTCGAATACCGAGAGAACGTAAGATGAAATGGCACCACATGCATACGGTGGGATCGTCAAAAGCTGTGCATTCGCCGACTTGTATCCCATGCCCTTGATAATGGTGGGCAGAGAAAATTTTAGGGCGTAATTTGGTACTGCTTGTGACCAATTGGCCAGGATAAGTAGATTGACTTTCCAATCCGAGACAACAGTCCAGAAGGTCAGTAGATTGTTGTGGTTCTTCGACTCGTCGACGTCCGCAACCGTGGCTCTGGTCACCTGACGAAGAGTAAGGAACCGTTTCTCATCCTCATCCAGCCACTTTGATAATGCGGGAGAGTCAGGTAGCAGCAGGCAACAGACCACTCCCATGATGACAGTAAGCAGGCCCTCGATGATGAAAATCCAGCGCCAGCCTTCATATCCGCCGATGCCATCCATCTTTGCGATTCCAAAAGCCAAGAGGCCAGAGAACGCACCACCCGTAGCGGCGGAGGTGTAGAGCAGTGCTAGTCTTGTCTGTGTTCCGCAAGGAAGGTACCAGCGAGAAATCAGTAGAATTGCACCTGCAAATGAATATGTCAATGAGTGCTGCGCTAGGTCGTGATATAGACATCGCTAGCGTACCTGGGAAGAGACCAGCCTCGAACAGGCCGAGTAGGAACCGGACCGCGACCATCTCGCAGAAGTTCTTGATCGTGCCAGTACATGTCATGATGATGCCCTGGTACAATCAGCACAAGCCATGCCAGGGTATAGTTGAGGTACTCACCCATGCGAACACGATCGCACCAAGATAGTATGACGGGCGAGGAAGATACTGTAGGATATGTTGCTCGGGACCTCCGCGAGGATGTATGGAATGGAGAAGATCGACAATGCAATGTTGTACTGATATCCATTCATATGCAGGTCTGGGAGGAGACCTTCGATTTTCGCATTGCCAACTGAGAGAGTTTCTTGTCAGCTTCCGCGAGGACCTTGGATCACAGGCAACTTACTATTGACTTTGTCGATGTACGTGATAAGGTACAAGAACAACAGCATCGGTACCAGATGCCAGTCGACCTTCCTCAACAGCTTCTTCTTCTTGTCCGCTGGGAACGTGACAAGGAACGTAGCGTCGTCATCGTTGAGCCTTGGAGAGATTCCGTTGGCTCAATGCTCGATTGCGATCTCCTTGCAGACTGCCTGGTCCTCGATATCCATCTTCTCGAGTGATGCTCTACGTGTTGCCATAGCGTATCCAGATGATAGGGTGAGAGATCTAAGAATGAATGCTCGGCTTTTCCACCAGGTGATACGATGGGAAGATCAGGAAATGATCCACATGGTCAGTGGACGAAGTCATATAGTGCACGGTTGATGGACTTCTGGTTCCGCTTGGCAGAGTGTGATCTGATCCAGCTAGTGCCAACATGGTCGGGACATCTTCGCCACGGATATTGTGGAGATGCTCCATTGGGGTACAGTCGAGCTATTGGTTGATTCGAACACTGAAGAAGAATCCAGCGTCCTCCGATGCACCCCGCTTCCAGAAAAGGCATCCGGATGTGGAGTCTCGTCCAGATCAGATCCCGGATTCAATCCCGGATAATAGTCCGAACACCTTTTGACATATCCAGACTTTCGGAAGTCCTCCGAGATGTTCTTGAGTGCCTGGAGGCGGCAAACAATACCCCATCGAAACACTCACTAGGGGTTAAAGATCGAACTCCGGTCATCGAAGCAATGTTGATCCACGAGAGCTGGATATATAAGAGTAGCCAACGGATTGCTCTGCTCTAGCATCCCTCCCAACAAACACCTTCACATGCTCCTTACCAGAGCCAGCCAACCTCACACTTTGATCGCAATCTCTACACGGAGACATATCTGACCGCGATCAAGGATCATGGCAGTCGGACAGTCCGACGGCAATGGCGCAACGAACGGCACGAATGGCCACACCGCTCAAGTAGGCTTCGACATGCGCGGCTTGACCCCCGCCCGAGTCACTCCTTTCACGGAGACCGGAGATGTCGACTATGAAGCCATCCAGCGCCTTGGATCCTGGCTCGGAAGCATCGATGGCGTCAAAGGCTTAGTCGTTCTTGGCCACGCTGGCGAGGGAACGTTCCTGACACAGAACGAACAAGTCGATGTCATCAAGGCGTTTGTCAAGTCCGTGGACGACAAAATCCCGATCATCGCAGGCATTACTGGCGAGGGTACCGAGGTGGCTGCCGAGGAGGCGAAACGTGCGAAAGATGCTGGTGCCAAAGCTGGGCTTCTCTATCCGTCTCACGGGTGGTTGAGGTTTGGGTATCAACCTGGTAGGGTCACTCAGTCTCTGACCAGTGGGGATAGAATCTGACGTTCTCCAGGTGCTCCACAAGATCGTTACCGCAGGATCTACGAGTACAGCGGTCTACCATTGATCCTCTTCCAATACCCCGACAACACCCATGCCACGTATAGCCTGCAGACCATGCTCGACATTGCAGCTCTACCCGGTGTATTTGCCATGAAGAACGGCGTACGAAATATGCGAAGATGGGACACCGAGATCCCCATCATTCGTGCTGAACGGCCAGATCTCCAGATCTTGACCTGGTAGGCAATCTCCAGACACGTTCGATTAGAGGTGGCGAATATTGACATTCTTCCCAGCCACGATGAATACCTCCTCCACACCGCCTTCGATGTCGACGGCATGCTGGTAGGCTTCGGCAACATCGCGCCCGAAGCTCTCATTGAGATGATCGATGCCGGCAAGGCCAAAGACTACCCTCGTGCTCGGGCTATCCACGACAAGCTCCTACCAGTGACAAAGAGCGTCTACCATCGCGGCTCGCACATGGAAGGTACTGTGGCCCTGAAGCACGCTCTCGTCGCGCGCGGCATCCTCAACCACGCCACAGTACGGTCGCCATTGTTGCCGTTGCCTGAAGGGGCCGACGCTGAGATTCATGCTGCCGTGAAGCAATCGAGACTGTCCAAGGTGGCTTGATTCGGTGGTGCAAGTATAGATTTGATGCATTCAACAGCCTGTGAGCATTTATTGGCGCTTTGGTGGCTTGCGCTTGTAGTCGGTAGGGGAGCTAGCTAGATCATGATGTAAGAACCTCTTCGCTCAATGCTTCTTGCGTAGCGCCGCAGTCTCATATTTACGATGGGTTCTGCTGAGGCGCTCGTGACTCTTTTCCCGGCATGGATAAGATCCAGTAGCTGGGTACATTTGCTGAACATCCTTCGCTTTCGTAAGGGAGGCCTTTATGCTCACTCCTCGAATGCTAGCGAGATCTAAGAAGGCATCCAAACCTGTGTCTCGATATCGGCGGATACAAGTCTCACCAAGGCTGTTATCATGGTCGAGCTACTCGCAAGCACCGACCCACTACAGAGAGGAGTTGAGGTGTGTGATGCAAGCCAAGTACTATTGGGTACCATAATATGATTGGCACGGCCGCAGCCGGAAGCTAGCTCAGCTCCATCTGCATTCACGAACCATTCTTTGGCCCTACGGCTGACGGATGTCTATCTCAATTGCGACATCACAAGTACGAGCATCATCGTCGACCGTAAAATATCAGCACAGCTGTTGAAGGGCTGTGGGATGAGGGCCCGCCGCATTCACCTGTCCAATAGACTCATTGTCTCGTTGCCTGGCGAGACCGGTGAAGGCAGGCTGCGAGACTGCTTGATGTGACCTTCGGATCTCCGATGTGTAACATCTAGCCCCAAATATGTTTGCAAGAAGGGACTGACAGAGTAATCCACCTCTTATCGCGACTAACAAAGCAATAGCATACACTTCTCTGCGGTGGTTCACATCATACCACGACATCATGGCCAACGCAAAATCCCCACGCACGGCAGAGGTGAAGAAGCGACCTACCCGTGAGAAGAGAAAGAAGACCTCAAAACGGAATTCTTCGCCGCGAGAGACCGACGATGCCAATCAAATGACCTTCGTTGACAGAAAGTCGCTCTTTCCCATCCTCGACCTACCTGCGGAGCTTCGCAACGCAATTTACGAGTACGCCGCTCTCGACGCCACCGCCGTCGTGCGTCCGAACGTCCGTGGCAAGGTCCTGAGTAACTCGCCACTCACTCGAGTCTCGCACCAGGTCCGAGAAGAATATAGCTCCATGCTCCTGCTCACCGCCCCCACAATCACGGCTCACGTCAAAGACCTCGACTTCGCGCATATCGTGGCCCTCTTGAACAGGCTATCGGACCAAGAGCTCCGCGCTCTACCATCAATCACTCTCCCCTCCGACCGCAGCATCAGGATAAATCTGCACATAACAGAAGCCTGCGCAACACATTCTGACACCCTCACGCGCTGGCTCCTTCGGCTCGAACATCCCACCAAAAGCGGCACGAATCTCAACATTACCTATCGCGCTTTGGGTATTCATCATTTCACCCCGTCACGGCCTTACGACGACGTCGTTCACTCTTGGGCTTCTCTGAATCCTGCCGTGTTGGCCTGGCGAGCCAACAAGCGGGCCGTGCCTCAGGATGGGTCGCCAGTCGGTGCTATCTATCAAGCACTGAAGAAGATGCTTCCACGGGTGGAGAAGGAGGAGTCCGCCGGAAGGATTAAGGAGGAGTTGAAGAAGATTATCGAAGCTTTGCGGTTCTCAGCATCTCCTGCGGGGTCTTACTGCGCTTGTTTGGTTCATCCTGAGGATGAGTGAAGTCTTGGTGGCAGTCGCTTGAGTGCGCATCATGTGGCAATTTGCCGAGGTACGACAGAGTGTGTGCTATGCTAGTGACTGGTGAATGTGTAGCACATTTCATCCCACGCCCAGGTTGCATGGTCACCTGGCATGACGGATTTGAAATCTTCGACAGTCTCGGGACAATTCCTAGCCGTGAAGTGATCCTCTCCATGATCCAACTCCAGAGTCTTTCATGTACAGACTAGCGAGCTACGTGAGTATCTTCACAAGATGTGGATACTTCACTCTCCTTTCTGCAGCTTAACGATGATAGACGGGTGGAGTATATAGATGGATATGAGTGGCTCGGCGGTAGCCGAAGCTAGCGCAAGCGCAGGTATGTTAACGACGAAGCCGCGCACATATGAACTGGCAGCTGCGCATGGATGACATAGCCAGTCTACCAACGATAACAATACCAGTACGGGTTCAATCAGAGATCGCAGGTAAGTCTCCGCCATGTTCTCAACCATCCCAACAGACAATCTCAATATGCTGTCCTATAAAATCACAGACTAAACAAATGTCCTCCCACAAGCGCACTCGAGACGCCGCCTTCTCACAGAATAATGACGGCCTACCACCTCACGCCCCGTATGCACTGTACGGCACACCGCTTCCAGCCTACAATCCGGACATAAGAGACGACGGCAGCTTCGTTCCACTATGGAAACAAGAAGTCACGGATGAGCGAGGGCGGAAACGTCTCCATGGCGCTTTTACTGGAGGTTTCAGTGCTGGGTACTTCAATACTGTAGGGTCGAAAGAGGGATGGACGCCGAGTATGTTCGTGTCTTCGAGGCAAAATAAAGCGGATGCGAAAGATGGGGAGGTTAAGAAGCAGCAGCAGCAGCAACGGCCGGAGGATTTCATGGACGAGGAGGATCTGGCTGAGCGGGCTGAGTCGCAAGTGCTGGAGACGAACGGTGCTTTCGCGGGTTTGGGTTCGAGCGGAGGAGGTGCTGGTGGAGAGAAGGGTATGTTCGCCGATCTGTTCCGGAGTTCGGGAGAGACGATGGGTGTGAAGCTGCTGCAGCGAATGGGTTGGAGACCCGGTCAGGGGGTTGGACCGCGTGTGAAGCGGAAGGCGAAGGGCGATGAGAAGGGAGAGGTGCATTCGTTTGCTCCTGAGAATTCGAGGATGATTACTTTTCATCGCAAGACTGATCGGAAGGGTTTGGGTTTTGCGGGGGAGGGTAGACTGGAGGAGTATAGTGATGCTGTGAGAAGGGATGAGGATGAGGAAGATGGGTGGGATGCCCGGATCCTTCAGACGAACAGGTCGAAAATCAGCCTCAAGGGCAAGAAGCCGAAGAAATCTGGGTTTGGGGTTGGAGTGCTTAATGATAATGGGTCTGATGACGACGATCCTTATGCGATTGGGCCACAGATCAACTATAGTCGCATAATAGGCGGCAACAAGAGAAAGAAGAAAGGAGGTCTCGTGTCGAGCAACGCCAATTCTTCAACCATCAGGCCCGTGTCCACAGCCAAGAAACTCACGCAACGCACAGCCACCTCAGGTGGCTTCCGCAAATGCCATGATGGCCGCTTACCACTCGATGGCTTCGTCCTGTCTTTAGCCCCGTTGACATTGACCGAAGAGAACAAGCATCCGCCACCCGAAGTACCCTTAGGCTGGATATCAAGCAAAACCGCCTCAGTCGACCCATCCAGCGCAGCGACCTATACATCAACCGCAGACGCCGCAAAGGCCTCCTCACTCGACCCCAAGGCCCGCGCTGCTTTACTCGGCGAACAACAGCTCCCTGGGAAATCCATTTTCGACTTCCTCACCCCCTCTACCCGAGATAGACTCGCCACAGCAAGCGGTCGTACTAACCTACCTCCTGCTCTTAGCGAAGCAGCACCAGCCGGCCACAAAAAAAGTACAGCAGATAAGACCCGCACACTCTGGGATCTCGTTCCGCCACTCGCCAAGGAGACTGCACTAGCGGCTCTCCATCGTGGAAGTACAGGGTGGATGCCGTATGCCGAGGACGAGGACAAGAGGGAGCGGTATAGGTATTTTCTGCGGTTGAGAGCGGGGCAGGCGGACCAATTACCTGATCGGCCGAAGGATGCCTCGACGCAAGAATGGTGTAAAGAGATGAGGGAATTTGCTCAAGCTGCTGAGGTCTTTAGGCCTATTTCGGGATTGATGGCTAGTCGATTTACTTCTTCTTCCGCGTCCGCGCCACGATTGGTGAATGATGCGCCGGACACTGCCCCCGTCCCGCAGGAGAAAGTCGAGGATCCGGCGGAGAAAGCGGCGAAAATGGGGATGTATGGACCTTTGACGAGGAGTACCGCGGTCTTTTATCCGACGAGATTACTGTGTAAGAGGTTTAATGTCAAACCTCCTGCTAATGTTGCGGCGGGGAATGAGGACGGGGAGGGCGAGGTGGCGGATAAGAGGTTGGAAGTTGTGGGGCAGGCTAGTCTGGAGAGGATGATGAGGGAGGCGAGGTGGTCTCAGCAGAAGGGTGGTAGTTCTTCGGCTGGGGTGGACGGTGGGAACGTTGATGATGGTGGTGGCGAGCAGGAAGGTATAGAGATTGCGGTAAGAGTCCAGCCAACGAAGGTAGATGCTGAGAAGAATGAGGCATTGGAGGGGCAGAAGGCTGGAGAGGCTGTCTTTAGAGCGATATTTGGGAGCGATGACGGAGAAGATGAGTGAGATGTAGCCGCATGTCCTTCCCAAGTCTTGTGCCATCCTGCCACAACCATTTCACTTCTCAACGTAAGCCCGACACCAGCTCATCCAGCCATCCCAATAGCTCCCCAGTATCTCGCCTACAACAAGTACAATCCTCTTGCCCCAGCCCTCGAAACACCACACACGGTCTAAAGAATGCATCAATGCGCCGAAATGTGCAAACAACACGAGCGCATACGGCTGCCGCTGATACAGACGCGCCAGAAAGTCTTCCGACAAAAATTGAATCCATATCATCGGACCTGCCCAAGGACCATTGTAGCCCCATTTCCGCTGTTCTTCGGGGCTGTGGGGTGTAATGGGAGACGTTGCAGAATTGTAGTGCGGATGGTGGAGATAGGCATTGCACCTCCGCAAGGAATTCAACGTCTCGTCGTAGATTTCTTTGCCGCTACTATCGCCAGCCCAGACGTCAGACAGACATCGTAAGTCAGCATCACCGGGGGCGTAAGCGGTTTCGGGATCGAGTTCGAACCAGTTATCTATTTCTAGTAAAGGTGCTAGAGGCCCTTTATGGACTTGTTGGTGGACGGCTTGTACGACGACGCCTACGCCGCGCATGAGCGGGATCCAGTCGGTGTTTAGTGTGTGTCGGTTCGTAGGTTTTGTAGAATCGTCGCTAGATGTCTGGTCTGAGAGAGGACCAGCCGAGGCAAAGATGTAGACCACATTCAGCGAGGCACAAGCGAACAGAGCATCGCTCATGCTCTCGTGCATATGGTTTAATTGCTCTCGTAGACCGCGTACTGCATCGCTGTTTTGTCGCGCTGCTTCGTTGAGGAGATGTTGCCGTTGTGCGTTGACGTGGCAGGCCATATGTAGGGCTGAAAGACTGAGAATGGCGCTCATAACGAAGGCGTGCTCGAGGCCTATTCGAGGGAGAATATCTTGCCATAATTCGTCGGCTAAGGGGGCGCAGACGATTGTTCGGCTTGCGTGACAGGTCCAATGGTGGAGAAGAGCCATGTCCTTTGGTGTGTAGGTCACTACTGTTGATGTCGCCGCCGAGAACAGTGGCGTGCCATGACTTGAGGCTTGGATCGCGGGCGTTGGTGGTTGTGTTGTTGTCGGTAGTAGTAGTAACGGTGGCTGCAAAGTCCAGTGTGTAGTCAGGGAAGGCTTGACAGATGACTGAGGACTTGGCCTGGCATCCTTTGGGGTTGGATTGCCATTCGATGCAGATGTTGGCACTGGCGTAGTAGTGTTCCCACTGACCGCCGTAGGAGAAGCAGTGGAAGAGAGGCTGGATGAGGCTCGGGCGGGCGCGGTATTGCGGTAGACACAAGGTACATCATGTCGTGCACAAGCATTGCATTTCGGCTTCTGCTCACCACATTTTATTCGTCGCCGTCGACACTCCCTACAGCCTGCGTGAGACTTGCGGTGCGCTTTTCGCTTTCCGTCATTGCCATTTGGCTTCTCAGACATTCTACACGCAAGGCAGATTGGTGGAAAGAGGGCGCATGCCGCAGGGAGCCGGCAATGTTGTGCCTGCCTCCTCCGCATTTGTGGATCTGACGGCGAAATGTTTTGCCGATGGGGTGTATAGAGTTTCTGTTCATCCGGACGTCCGCCTCTTCTCCATCAACAATGGCTTCACGTGTGCAAGTTTGTATAGGAGTCGTTATCACAGCATCAGCCCCGCAAGTATGGGGCCATTGCGAGGATGATGTTGTTGCGATTGGGAGCGATTGTTCTTGACATCTCTACAAGGCAACGGCTATCGCATGCTCAGAAGGGAAGCGCCAGCTACGATGATCCTCCCTTCTTGCCTTCTGTCTGCGTACCTATCGCGGCGATGTTCACTCCTTTTCTTCTCCCATGCCGCCACGCGGCTGATCCTCACATCTCTCATCTCTGCCGTCTTCACAACTCCACTCTCTCGCCGAGCCTCACATCTCTGCATCTCACCCTACCTTCGCATGCTCAGCAGCCGAGCTGGTGCAGGTATCAGCTCGTTCTTGCTGCTACCGCCCTCCGACAACATTGCTCGCCCTCAGATTGTCCGCATCTACAGGATTGAATGACCAAATACAACACTCGCTTCGACAATATGCTTTACCACGGCCTGATTATGAGTGTTCTCCTACCTCTACTCCCTGGAGTCTTCGCCCAAAGACCCGCCCAGACTGTGAGCGGCAATCCAGGTGGGGCCTCATATATAGCCACTCTACCGCAAAACCAGAGTCTACCAAGCGGAAGTCTCATTGTCAGCTCGGCGCCTAATGGCAGTGGCGTGAGCGTTCAAGTCAGCTTCAGCAACCTTCCGACTACTGGAGGGCCATTCTGTGAGTCTGCACTGGATACACAAGGGGAATGTTCGCTGATGTGTGCTTAGTATACCACGTCCACGTCAATGCTTTGACTCCCGATGGCAATTGTACAAGTGCTGGGGGCCACCTAGATCCCACGAGCATTACCGAAGCACACTTGTGTGATCCGAAGAATGCTACTTGCTGCCAGGTCGGTGACGTGTCCGGCAAGTATGGAGCAATGGCCGATGGGACAAGTTTCTCCACTAGGTCTGTTGCCGGACCTAACGTGCGTGCAAACCATACTGACACTTGGCCAATAGCTACCTCGACCCATACATATCCACTCAGCCCAACACATCAGCCTTCGTGGGCAATCGTAGTCTCGTCATACACTTCGCCAACCTTACACGGCTTACCTGTGCGAATTTTACGATACCCGGGAGCTCATCTGTCTCTGGTGGACAGGCTGGCGGAAATGGAGGAGCCGGCGCAAGCGTGACTGTATCGACTGCAATTGGAGCAGCTGGTGGAAACGTAGCTGCTGGGCCTAACGCTCCTACACAGGCTGGAGGTGGCTCTGCTGGCGGCAACTTCGCTGGAAATGCAGTCACAGTCGCAGGACCTATTGGATCGAGCACAACGGACAAGCCTCCTGCCATCGCGACCACACCGCCCCCTTCTTCGTCCTCGCCAGCCGGCAATAGCGGTTCCGTCAATATAGCGCCGGCGATGCCGCCGACAGTGACTCAGACCACAACAGCGTAGAGTGCTACCACTGTCTTGACAGATAAGCTGCCCTCGAGTCAGCCATCCAATGTAGGAAACTTTGGACCAGCTGCTTCCGCTATGCTCGCCACGGTTACTCTAACTACCACTGCATACAGTCCTACCACAATCTTGACGGACAAATTGCTCACCGGTTCAGCGATTGCGCCAAATGTGGTCGTGAGTGGAGCGACCAGTGGCGTACCAACACCGACCGGAAGCAATGGAACGATTGTCAATATCACGTCTGGAGTACCATCTAGTGCGACCATGCTGACAACGATGGTATGGACTGCTACGACTGTGTTGACTGGGATGTTCCCTATCACTGGCTACCCATCTCAAATCGTCCCTCCTGGCTCTGTGTTGACTGGGATGTTCCCTATCACTGGCTACCCATCTCAACTCGTCCCTCCTGGCTCTGTGTTGACCTTGACACCAAACAACACTGCACAAGCTTCAGCTCCAGCTGTAGTTCCCGTTGGAGGCACAATGACGGTCACCGGATCTGGTCATTCCGTTGTACCCGTCACTGCGATCACTATCAGCTTTGCGAGCACGATCACGATTCCTGTCAATGCGATACCGCCAAGCTTGTTGACCATGCAGACCACTGTCTCCCCACAGGTCAGCACGATGAGTAACAGTGCTAGCCCAACAAGTCAGTCCATTGTCCAGACATCGATCCCAGTCTCTACAAGTGTGGTCACAGTGACAGTCGACAACTACATAATCCAGTCGACGGTACCGAGCACAGTCACAATTACAGCCAATCCGCCAAAGAACTCCGCTGCCCCATCCACAATCTCACTTACTGCTACCATTGCCCAATGGACGTCTCAATCGATCATTCCGCCAAGTCCGATTACAACTACAATACAAAACACACCTCTTGGGGCTGCTAGCACCGTCACTGCCAATCCGTCTACACAGACTATTGTACAATCGACTCTGCCAGGCACCGGCAGCACGGTCACAGTGAGCCAGTCGACTATGCCACCGAGTGGTAGCACCGCCACTATCAGCCCATCCGGCAGCAATCCTCTAGTATCGGCGAGTGCTGGGCCAGCAGTCGTCACGGTCAGCAATCCGCTACCTCCGGCCGGAACAGCAACTGGTCCTGCACTTGTTTCGGTCACAGCTGGCCCAGTAGCAGCGACCGTCGGTAATCCGCTCCCAAAGACCAATATCCTCATCAATACTGTCAGAGTGACACGCTCGAATATCAAGACAACAGTTCCGGCGAAGCCGAGCACGGTGACCGTACAAGTGAAGAAAACCACTCTCAAAACGACAGTCTCGAAGCCGAAGCCAAAGACTACGCCTAAACCAAAGCATACTCCTAAGGCCAAGACATCGAAGAAGACCATCAAGAAGACCATCAAGTCGACCATAACACACAAATGAGCAAAGCCAGCTGGAAGTAGAGAAGGCGCAAAGCCTTGTGGGCAAGGCTGGCAGAAGCATGATGCATGGTGTTGGCACCTCCTTCAGAAATACATTATCCTGTAACTACACCAGATACTGACCTTCAACCCTCCGAGTAAACTGTCTCTCGTACAATCGAAGCTCTTCACCTTTGTTTCCAAGCACAACTCGTCTACGTCTCCTTGTCTGCGATTTGTGTCATATTACTCGCCACGCTCTTGCCCCTCCATGCGATCTCTCTGGTACTCGCAGGCCCTCAGAGACAGACGTGAGGATCTTGAGAGCCATGAGGATAGCTAGTCGCCTTTCTTCGATGCTGGTCCGGAGTGTCATGTCTCGACGCAGTAATTGTGGTAGGTCTGTGGTAGGCTGCTCATCTGTCGCAAGCTGCTCGTCTGCTGTATATGGCCGGCCGATCTGTGGCTGTTGCCCGGACATCATCTGCTGGATCGTCGTAGACTGCTGGTCTTGTGGAGGAGGCTGTGCTGTCGTAGTCTGCTGGCTTCTGTCGATCATATGTTACTGTCCGCCGCTGCGTTTCCGCCAGATTGAGGCGATGTTTTGCGGACATACCCTTCTGCTGGCGTTGCCTGACGACTGCCTCCACTAGTCCGACTCCTACCACCGGCGCTATCGCGTCTGTAAATCTCCTCGGCGGCTTCTAGTGCTCGTCGCTTTGCCGCCTTGTCTGATGTTGCGGAACTTGCGGAGTCTTTACGCCGTGCACCTTTCTCACTCAGACGTGAGAGTGGTGGGTCCACGGGTGCTAAGGTCTGTGAAGAGCTTGTCGCTTCCGCTGATACATCTTCGGCAACAGTCGATAGGCGATCTGGTGTCCGCAGCCTTGGACCACGCTCGAGTGGTGAGCGTGTCTTGTTCATCCTATTGCTAGGACTGACAGCGATGGTACGATCGATTAGGGGTGCTGATGAGACAGACTTCCTCGGGCTATCCAGGGCCTCTTTACTAGGTTGTGTAGTAGGCTGCATGGTCCCACGCTTGACCAGTAGAGCAAGGGCTTTGACGAGCTCAGCTGCATCTGCAAACTCATCATCATCGAGTCCGTCCTTCGAAGCATACACGGCTCTGACAGCCCTTGCCGCGACTCGGACAGAGCGTTCGTGCTGCTTCTCGCAGTCTGATAGAAAAGCTGAATACTCTAGCGCGATTGACAGGCGCAATGCGTTTGCTGGTGGGAGCAAGCTTGTGGCAAGTTGTTGGGCTGTCTCGAAATGTTCTTTTGCCATCGGTACGTAGTTCAGAGGTGGCAGCAAGAATGCAGCGGAAGCCTGTGGCGATGGTATCTCAATGCGTGCAAGGCCGGGTGGTCGTTCAGGTGTTCGCCGGGCATCAAGCGGGACCGGTGGTGGTGGCCCGGGCGGAGGTGGTGTCTGTGCTGGTCCAGCAAATGGATTGGTGACATATGATGTCTCGGAGGTCATCGAAGGTATCGGATCTCGAAGTCCTGAACTTCCAGCCCTCCTTCGACGCTTGCCATACTCTCTACCATCGCCATCTCGCGGCGACTTGCCTGGTGATCGCTTCGCCCGTTCGTTGCCTGCTTTTTGAGCTCGTCCGCTCGACGGAGGCGAGTCGCTGTCGAGGGAGCGCGGGCTCATCGCACTGATGGGCGGATGGTTGTGGAATAGACAGAACACATGGTACAGTGAAGCGCGCAGCTTTGCTGCCATGACACGGCACTCGGGGCCCTGCTCGCCGTTTTGACAGTAGGGTAATATGTACACTTCCGTGATTGACAACCCTTCCCGTGCTAACCAGATGATGTGATGGTATAGCTTGAGCGACTTTGTGTCGCGGGTCATATCAAGTCGGCGTACTCTCTGAGCCTTTACAAGCTTCCGTGACAGGAGTATCGAAAGGCCGAGCACCTGGTACAATGATGCTGATAGAAGTGCGTTTGATGGTGCGCTGTATTTGGCCAGTCTGCCCAAGACCTTCTCTTCGATCAAGGAGACTGCCATAGGTCTCTCGCACGATATCCCATCCACAAAGGTTGCTCTAGCCAGTTGATCACCATTCAATATCTTGTTCACTAGGTGACGTCTGAAACACGTCGATCGTCGAAGTGAGTCTGCAATAGGTCGTATCCTTGGCTTGTTTAGATGACATCGACGTGCGTAGGAGACGGCAATTGATCAGAGTGTGTATGCTGGAGTCGGTCTCGAAAGTGTCACGACCGGACTAGAAGTGAGAGGCTGGACCAGTGAAAAATCCGACAAGGTACGTAAGCAGAGATGAGATTGCTGCGTGATGTGATCGCCAATGGCAGAAGTAAGGTGCAGTATGCGAACCTGCGCAGTGCGAACAACCTACTATGGTGCCTTTTTTGTATGCTGTATTGCCTTGCCACAGTAGATACTGCCTTTGGTCAATCGCTGCACTGGATGTCAATGCGAAGCGCAAGACACTTACAGCCTATGCAAAATAATGTCAATTCCTCGAGAGAGTTGTCCGCACGCTCTCATTCGCTTCCTGGTGTTAACGCTGCACCAATGAAATCCCAGGACAACCGGATCAAAGTCTGCTAGTAGTGGCGCCGAAGCAGATATCACGTTGAAGGCCAACGACTCCTTCGGTGGCTGGGCGAATGTGTGCGCTGGCCAGCTGTGGACGCAGAGACCGCTCGATCACCAAAGATGATGCCGTAGTCGGTCGAAGATATGACTGTGGCTGTCCAAGCGTTTTGCCACTTCTGTGTCCACGGCCCAAACCTCTTGAATTTTACGCTCCTCAAGACGCTTTCGAGCGACCTGAGCTCCCCAGGCTTCTTGTCGTCCTAGATCGCTTTCCGACACATGCGTTATGATGCCTCGCGACCAGGTCTCTGCTTCGCCGTCCAATGCTATCCGTGAAGAAACAAGTAACTCCTCCAACGCCAACGATCACTTGCTGCCCAACGCGACACTGGAAATGACAGAATAGAAGACGATGCCCACGAGGAGGAAATGAATCGCATTGGCAGTCTACTAGCTACCGGCAGCTTGCATGCCGGCCGCGTTAACTCCTGCATGGATAGCCACAGTGCGGATGCGCTGGCGGATCTGACAGCGTGTACAGCGCATCGTCCGCCTGTAGGACGGTGTCATCGAGCATAACCGAGTCTGACGACCCGCACAACTCGTAAAGTCTAACGAATGTCGTGAGAGTGGAATATGCAATCGGTGTGTTGGCAAAAGCCACGCTAGCCGAAAACCAAAATTCAATTTTCAGGTCACGAGGCATCTCGGCGAAACTCACATCCTCACAGCGTATGACTACCAGCTTTGGCCTATCATCGGGGATTATACAATTGAGTTCTGGCCATGTGTTCATGTTCACCGACGAGCAACGACCTGTCTCACATTGATACCGTTGTTTTGCATTCATGTCAGTACTGATGGAGCCGGCGACTGCTTTGAGTGCATATCAAGCCATATCCATGCCTCAAAGCAGATCGCACAATGGTCGTGATGCCGAGACACAGGCATAGCGAAAGACCATGCGGCGGTAGATGGACAACATAAGCGTTCAATGGCCGTCTCTCCGTCCAGATAGTCAGTCGCACGGCGGACTTGTCTGATATCCATGGCGAAGTGATTACTGGCTTGAGGTCTCAAAACACAGGTGATCTTTGGCTTGTCAGGCACCTCGGAGTCTAGCAGGGAGCCAGACAAGCGGCTAAAGGACTAGCAGATTATTGTTCAAGCCACACTGGAAGAGCGGTGTGTAGTCAAATTTTGATTGGCTGATATAACTTATTCACGTGACCTGATATTCTTCTGTCTGAAGCTCCTACTAGTGGTATCTTTCACTCTGTATGAGGTATGAAAGCAATGATGCGAAGTGGAGTGGTACAGTAAGCAAAGGAAATTTCACTGTATTTCAGGGCAGTGTTCCAGACAATCAACGGCAGCTGAGCGGTTACACGCGAAGCCTCGTGTGCTGCCGCCGGGCATTGTTTGCCGTAGTACGGTAACGTGCAGACTGCGAGATCGCATTTGTGGATCTGGTATCACGGAGACGTGCCGGTTGTACGTTGTTCCTTCGTCGACACCCTGTTACCATCTACATGGTAGAACCTCTTCTCAGGCTGCAATGAACGTCCAATCCGGTGTTCTTTACCGAGAATAAATCAATCGCTGTGGAGCCTGAGCATTCTGCAAATCGTAGGAGCCGCAGCTTAGGTGGCTAGACTGTGGTCTACGAAAACCGTGGGCTTGCTCTCGTCATGGTAGGGCCGACAGGAGTGTCTGTCGGCCGCAATTGGGGCATTCCAAAAGATTGCCATGGTTACACGAATGCCTGCGATGCCGTCCTCAGAGTCTTCCTGGAGCCCTTCTCGTACCATGGTCCCACCAGCAGACCAACTCCAGCTGATGTCAACCAAGACTTAACGCGTTCGTGCCATGTAGGCTCCCAAGATAGTGCAATGTAAAGAGATCAAGCACACCGGCCTTGGATGGTGTACGACGTCGAGTGCCACTGCTCGCGCCAAGGTCCAACACTACCGACGTAATCAGCAATCTTGAATGCTCGGAAGCTTTGTGTCACGTACTGCGGTTGTGATGCACAATCACGGTGTCGGCCCAGGATAGCATGTTCGACAAGATCGTTTCAGGCACGCAATCGTTTGAAGGTGAAGCACAGGAGCGAAAGTTGTTAGTCGTAGCGTACTCGAGTCCAGTAGCTCGAGGCGGAATACATACCAGTTGAGATGCTGAGCCTACACTATCTGCAAAGTAAGACACAAGAGGTATCCAAAGTTCCATTGTGGAAGCCAATTACTGAAGGCGCGGTGAAACTCGAGGTCAGTGACATGCGAGATGCGTGGATGTACCAGCTGACGGTGATGGTAGTCGGACGACACGCCTTTCGCATCTTGCGCAGATCGAACAAAAGCCTCGCAAGTCCTCTACGAGATCTCGGGTCTCCAGTCGATCACAAGGATCAACCAAAACAAGATGTGCAAATATTACGCTCATACTCACCCATGTGGCCACACCAGGACTGTGTTTGCTTCATACTGTTCCAACGCGGCCATGATGCAGAAACCTTGTGACCGTGGTGAGATCTGGGTAACTGTCAAGATGGAAGCCAGCTGCGGGCAATGCATGGACGACGTGGGATATCCTGTCCCCCGGACGAAGAAGGCCAGCGAACGAGAGAGCATTCGTCGGTAGTAGTCGCTAGATAGGGGCTTGACAAAAAGGTCTTGGTGGTCTGTTTCATCATTCATGCCATTGGTCGAAGGCGTACTAGCTTATGTCGGTCGAGGCATATTCTCGCTCTCACGCAGGTGGACGGTATATGGGTCTGTCATGTACATTATCGGACTTGGGCGCACTCGGCATATATTGTAGGGTCTGTCAGTACATCGAAACCAATAGCTCTGCTTACTACACATTTGCAGGGGCAATCAAGTTGGACTCGTCCACACTCCAGCAAGGAGAACAACACCTCGAGGAGTGTGGTATTCGCTTACATAACTCGCTTAATTTGTCCTCGGTAGTTGTATGAGATGCGACAACCCAGTCTTGATATTATCTGAACTCTTCGGGCCATCGAGTACAGTGTCAGGTCGGAAGAGAAGTTGATGCAGATGATGGAAAACACCACGAACGCGAACACGACACGACCGGCGGAAGTTGCCGACAGTACCAAGCCCGATCGGGATCCACCATCTGAAAGAGACGACAGTAGTGGCCCAGTGAACAACCCGCAAGCATCCGAGGAACGTCAGCACGAGGAGAAGCATGCGCGCCAAGTCTCAGACGAGCACGGCAACGAGGACGTTGGCCACACGCAGCTATCGTTGCAAAACGAGAAGGAAGTAAATGTCACGGCCAGCGGTAGCACGGATGATGGCAAGACTCCAGATGCAGACGACGACGGAGATGAATCCAAGTATCCTAGCGGAACGAAGTTGGCGTTGCTCACGCTGGGCTTATGCTTGGCCACCTTCGTCGTTGTTCTCGACAATACTGTTCGTCGTTCGATACCTAGACGGTGTTCAACAGCCCACCAGCTGACCACACCACAGTTCACCGCTACGGCAATACCCAGGATAACGACGGTCGTCGACTCCCTGAATGATGTCGGCTGGTATGGTTCGAGCTACCTCTTGACAACCACCTCGTTGCAGCCATCCTTCGGCAAGGTCTATACGTATTTCAACGTGAAGTGGACTCACCTCACCGCACTATGCATCTTCGAGCTGTGTTCTCTAATTCGTGCTGCCGCAACTAGTTCAAAGATGCTCATTGTTGGAAGAGCGGTTGCTGGAGCTGGAGCCACTGCTTTGTTCTCCGGAGGCATGAACATTGTCGGGTACTGCGTTCCGCTACGTAGAAGGGCGATGTATATTGCCTCCTTGTCCTCGATTTTTGGTATCGCATCTGTGGTAGGCCCTATACTCGGAGGAGCCCTGACCGACAAAGCATCGTGGCGATAGTGTAAGCATCTTGAGACTGATGGCTTTGCAGTGTTACCCGAAATCTGCTGACACTCCTACTCTGCCCTGCAGGCTTCTGGATAAACGTTCCGTTCGGCGGAGTGGCCCTGGCAACCGTGTTCCTATTCTTCAGTGAGCCGGCTCGACAACACACCAAGATGTCTGTGAGGGAGAAAATCAAGCAGATCGATCTTCTTGGCGCCTTCTTCTTGATATGCGCAATCGTATGCTTGCTGCTTGCACTGCAATGTGTTGGCTCGCTCTATCCGCGGCACGATAGCTGAGTATGGGGCTGCCTTCTTGGATTTGGTTTGATCTTGGCAATATTCCTTAGTCTCCAAATTTGGCTGCAAGAACGAGCTACCATTCCTCCTCGAATCTTCAAGAACCGTACGGTAGCTGCCTGTGCAGCCTTTCCGGCGTTCCTCGCCGTGGCTTTATACTCGTGAGTGAGCCGAACAATACATCCACAGACACCTGACTGACCGACCTAGGCACATATATTATCTGCCGTTTTACTTCCAGGCTGTCAAAGGCACTTCGGCTGAAGGCTCAGGTATTTGGTGCATCCCATACCTTGTAAGCATAATGCTTGCATCCATTATAGTAGGCGGCGCCATTACGCTCCTTGGTCCTTACAATCCTCCGATGTAGGCAGGTGTAACCATATTCGTAAGTGTGATAGGCTGGACCATCTTTGAGAACGTCATGAGTCCACACTAACGCTCTTCGCAGACGATCGGCTCTGCCATGATCTACACCCTCAAGGTTGGATCTGGGACTGGAGTTTGGACCGGCTACCAGATCCTGGCTGGCGTAGGAGCAGGTGCCTGTGTTCAGATACCTTTCATAGCTGTACAGGTCGTGCTTAACGAGAAGGATATGCCTGTCGGCAACGCGGTAAGTGACCCAGACGTCGGTCGCTCCTCAACATGATGCTGATCATGCTACTCTCCTAGGTCGCTATTTTCTTCAACACCCTAGGAGGTGCCATCAGCGTCAGCATCGCGCAAAACATCTTCTCCAACACCTTGATCAAGCAACTGCCAAAAGATGCACCAGGTGTCAACCCAGCATTGATAATCGGAGCTGGCGCAACTCACATTAGAGAGGTCACTACTCCACAACAACTTCCCGGCGTACTACTTGCTTACGACAAAGCCATCACAACGGCCTTCATACTGCCAATAGCAACATCAGGTCTCGCATTTTTGGCATCTTTAGCAATGGAGTGGAAGAGCGTGAAAGGCAAGAAGCTGATCCCTGGTGGTGCTTAATTCGTGATCTTCATAGAACGGGTGACCCGATGTTCTTGCTTGTGGACCCTTGAATATGTAGACAATCCCTACCACGATCAATCATATTTCTCCATCAGCTTGTTGGCCTCGACCATCTCGGCAAAGGCGTCGATTCTCGTGGTGTTGGCCCATGGTTTGAGCTCGCACTCCTTCCTGACCACGCCAGCGAAACAACCTGTCCACTTCTCACGAGGATACTCAGCTACAACGCTCTTGATAGTGTCTTCGTGTACGAGCTCTCCGTTCAAGCCGGCATTATCCAACACAGTGGCAAAGTGGGTGACAGCCGTGAGCGTGGTGATGTTACCAGTATCTCCCAGATCCTGGTGGCGGATGATAGTCTCGCACACAGCTTCTGCTTGCGAGACGTCGGCGTGCAGAGACTTCAAAAGATCCAGTGAAATAGTGCCACCATAGAATTCGAACGAAAGGTTCGTACTGGTGATGTTGTTGTCCGTCGTGCCAATATCGTGAAGCAGACAAGCCAACAAATATGTCTCTGGGCTGAACTTCCATTCTGGAAAGTGCTGCGTCACGATCGCCTGGCCTAAGCTGGTGTCAGTCGCTGACATTGCCATGAAAGCTGATGGTTGTTACCGTAGTAGAATACTCGCATGCTGTGATTGTAGGTCTGTCGGGAGAGGTTCTTTCTGGCATAGCTGACCACTTGATCCACTAGCGGACTGCTTGGTAACGGAATGTCGTCTACTCGGATGGGTCGAGATGGCTCCTTATGCTTTCGGTTTGCGACGAGCTTGTCAAGTGATCGCGGTACGGCCGTCCAGCCATGTTCCTGCTGATAAGCCGACATGATGTTTGACAGAGTATGAAAGCGCTTGGCGCTTGATCGATTAGTTGCGAGTGTTGTTGATGCCAGATCTGAAGAATCGAGAGTGTGCAGGTCATATGTACATCGAAGAAATTGTCACGCCTTGTCGGTCCCTTTTTCACTGATTATTGAACGATACATGCTGACATCACGACTACACAGTCTCTGCGTTGGGTTATACGTCTTTCTAAATCGTTGCGTCGCCCTCCTCCAAGGTAGTGTCATGCTGATTGTGCTTACGTCGTAGATACACATCGCTGGGAAACTTCCACAAGAAGGAATCGACTCAGCCCAAATGCGGAAGTAGCGAGGCGTAAGCTACGACGAAACCATGCCATTCCAAAAGTTCCACGTCTCGTACGAGGCAGGGTGTCGAAGAATGCAACCAAGCAACGATGATACAAGAGCGTTGCGAGCTATATACAAGCAATGCGAATGACGCCACCTGCGCCATACAAGAGCTTCGCCGCGCCAATCTATGCTTCTATCCCTTGCGCTTCCCCGAACACCAACGCTATGCGAAGCAGATACTAGAATGATACTTGTAGGTGTAGAGCGGACTCTTAGACGTGATAGGAGACGCCGTGCTGCCAGGCTCGCGACCACACTTTCTTCTTTCCAGCTAAGGGGAGCGTGTCTCGCGAAGCTCACTAGTTGATCGCAGTGGCTTGCTGGGATGTGTAAGTCCGCAGACATGCAGTCTGCAATAACCTCATGTAGCGAAGACACAGCTCGTTGATCTTAAGCGCCGGCCTTGTCGTGCTCAGAACCGCTTTGCCGGCCACCAGTCTTGCTGCTGCTGCTGGGCTCGCCACTGAAAGGGCCATAGCCATACGCAGGCGTCGTGTCCGTGGACTGACTCGGCGCTTTGTTCCCAGCTTCCTCGACCGGATCGTTCTTGATGACGATGTCGTCATCCTTCTTAGTGTCAGGATGAGCTTCCAACTTCGCTTCCTTGTATAGGTCGCTCCTAGACCGGTCGCGAGCGAATGGAAGGCTCTTATCATCATGTCCTATAGGCGACCAGCCTCCAGCAATTGAGCCGGCCACGACACCAGCCATAGCCACACTCGCAAGCGCCGAGTTCGACCTTGAGCGACCACGTCTTCGTCGAGACTCGGGCGTAGGAGGAGCAGGCGAGTAACCGCTGTTAGAGTCACCCTCCGGCTCATTGTTGGGCGTGCGAGGCAGACTCGAGCTAGCCCTGCTTCGACTCGGGCTGCGACTATGAAGCAATGCTTCCTTCGGATGCTGCACCACAAATCTAAGTGCGTTGAGCCGACCACCCTTGTACTTCCTGATCCAAGCCAATTCCTCCCGAATATTATACAAAGCCTCATTGAACTGGAACGGGTTTTCCTCATCAGTGACGAAAACCTTGTCCTTCTTCGGCTTGCTGACCCAGCGACGAATAGGTCGAGGTACGAACTTCGTGGCGAGTTCATCGGGCACCAGTCGAATCACTATTCCGATGGGCAACGATAATGCGCCAAGGACGAGAGCGATCGCCCACTGATCGCCATGCTGTCGTTGGGCCTGAAAAGCTGGCCAACCACCGACGAAGATGATGAGGACTTGGCCTCCGATCATGATGAAGAAGATACCGATGAAGAACAAGTTGCGCTGTATGCCTTCGAAGACATTGAAGCGATTGTCGAGACGGCGATTGTTGAGTGCGTTGAAGATCTGCATCCAGACGAAAGTGTTGAAGACAAGGGTCTGCTTCTCGCGGTGCTCTTCATCGGTATTGTACTTGAAGATCGAGTTGCCGGCGAAGTACAGGATCAGAGTGATAGTGAGCTGATAGATCGCCTGCCCGATGATCATCTTCCACATGGTGACAGAAATGAGAGGCGCGGATTTCCCATCTGGCTTGCGGTCCAAGATCTTGCGTGAAGGTGGGTCAGTGGCAAGTGCCAGGGCAGCCATGGTGTCCATAATGAGGTTGACCCAGAGCAACTGTACGGCTGTCAAGACGGACTCCTCTGTCGCACTTGACACCGCAGAGATGAAGGCTAGGAGCACAGCGGTAATATTGACCGTAATCTGGAACTGCAGAAACTTGCGGACAGCATCGTTGACTGCACGGCCCCACATGAGCGCGAGAACAATCGAGGCAAAGTTGTCGTCCATGAGAATGATGTCGGAGGCTTCCTTCGCGACTTCAGTACCAGCGATATTCATCGAGAAACCAACATCGGCGGCCTTGAGAGCAGGTGCGTCGTTGGTACCATCACCAGTCACAGCAACAGTCTCGCCCATCTCCTTCAGACGCTTGACCAAAGTCCGCTTATCCTCAGGCGAAGATCGAGCAAGAACCTGCAGCTTAGGAATGATGGCGCGCTGCTCGGCATTGCTCATCTTACGAAACTCAGGCCCTTCCAGCGCGACACCACCAGTAGTGAAGATGCCGCACTCCTTCGCAATGGCCTTGGCAGTCAGAATATTGTCGCCAGTGACCATACGAGGAAAGACACCAGCCTTGATGCAGTCCTTGACGGCTTCAGGCACACCGGGTCGAAGAGGATCCTGAATACCGACTACGGACAAAAAGGTCATGTTCTTACACACATCCTCGAACACCACTTGCGTCTTGTCGTCCTCCTGTCTCCTGGCGTTCTTAGGTGGCCAGCTTTCGAAGTCACGGTAGATGAAGCCGATGGTGCGTAAAGACCGCTCAGCGTAAGCGTCGATCAATTTCTGGATGGTCTCCTTGTTTGCGCCAGTCATAGTCGTGGCCTCGATGCCCTTTGTAGGTTCAGCTTGTAGCATGGAACAGTATCGCAACATGATCTCGCTAGCGCCTTTGACCACGAGACGATAGCCACCTTTGTCCCTGCGCTTGATGACCATAGCCATGCACTTTCTGCCCGAGTCGAATGGTACCATCTGCACAATCTCGGCATTGCTACGCTCGATACTGACAGTCTCCATACCCAGATGGGCCCGAGCAAAGTCCAGTAGTGCCGTCTCTGTCTTCGAGCCTATAAAGACGTTCTTGCCATTGTCCTCGGTCTCGAACGCAGTAGAATTTATCGCGATGCTGTCTTTCCAAAGAGTCTTCACAGGCTGCGAGAGTGCATTGATAAACTCGGCAGTTGGCACGCCGGCCACGTCGTCGCGGTCGTCTTCGGCAGTTCTACCGCTGAATCTGTTAGAAGTCCCAACGCAACCAGCTACAACAGTCATGACGTTTTGTGTAAGCGTTCCAGTCTTGTCCGAGCATACCGTGGTGGCGTTGCCCATCGTCTCGCAAGATCTGAGTACGCGCACGAGGTTTCTATCCTTCAACATGCGCTTTGTAGCATAAGCGAGGGCGAGAGTGACAGCAAGGGGTAGGCCTTCCGGAACGGCAACAACCACGATCGTGACGGCCGTGATAAGTATCGTCATGAACTGCTGGCCTTTTTGCGCGGGTGTGTTGGTGTTAGTGCGTAACTGGGCCAGGAATTTGATGAGCAGGACGACGAAGAGAAGCAGTGCAGCAGCAGATCCAAGCTTGGCGATGTACTCGGCGAGGTCGTTGAGTTTGCTCTGCAAAGGTGTAGCATCAGTGCCCTCTTGGAGGGAAAGCATAGTCTTGCCGTAGGTTGAGTGAACACCAGTCGCGGTCACGAGCATGCGGCCAAAGCCTTCGGTGACCTTGCCACCAGATATCATGAAGGGGTCCATCTTCTTCAGTGGTTCTCCCGCCTCCATTGCGCGGTAGACCTCATCGGCCGCTGTCTTCTTCATGATGTCCGACTCGCCAGTGGCTGAGGATTCGTCACACTTCACGCTATGGCCACTAATGTAGATGCCATCCACGGGTAGGATATCACCAGGCTCAACAAGCAGAACCTCACCAACCAGGATGTCGTGTATGCTAATCTCCTGAGTACGTCCAGAGCGTATGACTTTGACATTGCGGCTCTCCTTCTTCTTGTTGAGCTTCGCAAATTGTCGTTCCTTTTGCCAGTCGTTCGCTGCACCGACAACCACCACGACCACGATCGCAACAATAATGGCCACACCTTCGATCCACTCTACACCTCCATCAGGCGTTCCCAGCGCTTGGTACAAGCCTAGAGCAAGTGCAATGATCGCAGCCACGGTCAGGACCATCAGGACTTTGTCGTTGTATGCCAGCCACATGAGCTGAAAGATGCTCTTTGGCTTCCGCTCCGGTAATCGGTTGTCGTCGAATATGCGTTTGCGATCCTCAAAACTCCCTTCACTCTTCTTCTCTCCTGACAATTCGGCGATTGGCTCCTCGACGGCGGTCCGGTCAGAGGCAGGACTGGACGACGCAGTGGCTTCTTCAAAGGTAACGGCACCATCTAGCCTCGACTCATCCATGCTGAGACCTGTATTCCTGTCTGACCTCAATCCTTTCTCAATGCCCACCAGACCACCAAGAGCATGAAATGCGCCCAAGCTCTTCGGGTTGAGTAACTTGCTCATGTGTCCCGGTGCATACGCGAATGGATTGTTCTCACGAACGAAGTCATCCTCTGTGCCCTTATCCGGCAGTAATGCCTCCTCTCTCTCTGGTATCACGAACTGCTCGCCATCACCCGCCTTGTTATCACGCTTGTCGAAAGTCTTCGGCGGGCTATCAGGCGACTGTGTGTTGACATATGTGATGTCCGAGGTCGAGGCCTCCGTCTCGCCCGAAGCATTCGTATCAAAGCTCTGACCTCTACTTCGTGTATTCGGTACCGATAAGAAGTTGTGTGGGTTGTTCCATTGTGACGGCGACGACACATTATGCGGGCTGGTAGGTCTTGAATCCATTCTATCGAAACTGCCACTCGCCCGTAGATCTGTAGGCGTCGAGAGCGTGTTCGATCCCGGTCGTAGCCTTGCGGGCGACTTGTCACCATTCAAGGACCGCCCATCGTCGGACAGCTTGTCCATCTCGTGATCCGGGCGCTGCAGGTTGGACATGTTGTCCGTCGAACGTCGCACAGCAGACGTGTCTATGGTTATTGTTGGCGCACGCGGCCGCTTTCCCTGTGACGTTGGAGACGACGAAGCTCTTGTGGTGGAGGCGGTGCCCGTGGGGGGCCCCGGTGGGTCGACCATGTTTGCTATGTTGGTTCGGTTATGCGAAGTGGGTTTCCGACGCTGGAATGCTGGGGCGGCTATGCATGCAGCACATCAGATACCCCACGAAGGATGCAAAGATGCGGCCTTGAAGGATATGTAGATGCTAGTGCCGAGCGTGGCAGTGCTCCAGCCAAGGCGAGAGGCAAAGAGACGACGTACGATGGAGGCGGCTGCGGGATCATGTGAAGCGTGTGAAGCGTAAGAGGTAGGCTCTGTAGGGCTCTGCGACTGTCAGTCGAGCTGGACAAACTTTCTCACCAGCTCATGGTGGAAGGTACGAGGCAGGCTGGCCATACCACGCCGAGGCCTTGGTCATGGGGGCGGGCGACTCGAGAGGGCAGTGCAGTAAGCTACTGCTGACCATGTCTCGTCTCGGTGGCAAATGTTATGGAACGGTGGAAGGCTTACCAAATGACTGTGCTTGGTTGGGTGCTTGGTGTTTGTCTTGGTCATGGACTATGACCTCCAGACACTCCTCCTGCGAAAGCACAAGAGATGCGGCTCATAACAGACAAAGCTATCACAAACGCTGGCCAGGACATACATAGACCGAGCTCGCGAGCCTCGTCTTGATGCAGTATGCCTCTGGATCTTTCCAGCTTGGCAAGCAGCTGCAGAGGATGCCTGACCAACACACTGGAGGAGCATTGATGCCGCAGCAGGTTGAGTGGTTGGCCATTTCACCATCTGGTCTTGCCTCATTGCTTGGTTGAAGTCCGCCAAGAACGAGGCAGTGCAAAGCTAGCGTATGACCTTCCCGTAGCCGCCCGTTTCCTCAACGGCTCGGTAAGGTGTTTCGAAGGAGGCGTGATCTCCGGATGCATAGACATGATTTGCGTGAACGAAGAAATCAACCGGCAATGCCAATTGTCATGTTATCTGATTGATGAGATTGCATCGATCATGCCACGATTATGCCTAGTTTGACTTTCATGCGCTTAAGGTTAGAACTACAGTTGAGCGCTACTCGCCGAGCCGCTGCAGCTCGGCATCCACATCTTCTGAACAACGTGGAACTCGAAATGCTGTCACAAGAACTTGAAAACTGATGATCAATACAAGCTTGCTTGTGATCGAACTCCTGTCTACACAAGTACGAGCAAGCACAATTGGCGCGCTCCAAGTCTCGAGACGAGCTTGGCCAGCAGCATGTTGACGAGTGTGGCGCAGATGCCCAGCACCATCGCGCCATGGCGAAGCGTGGCAAGACAAGGACGTGAGGCAGCTTGATCGAACGACATCCCGTTTCTCAAAAATGCATATCTCTCCAGCAATGCGCGACTTTTGAGCACCAAGTCTTACCAAGGAACTGTATTTTATGCGAGTCTTGGATCATGACGGCCTCATTACCGAGACATCGTTGCACGCTGGTGCTCTGATACTGAACGAGTCATGCTACCATCCTGTCACTGCCACGTAAAGAAAACGCTCACCGCTGCGCACGAAATGACGATTGTCGATGACAGCATCTAGAAAATCTAACTCCGTACACCACTGCCTCAAGCGCTTATGATCTGTTCTGCGCAGCGCCTAATCCTTCGTCGACTCGCAACATTCGTAGAGGGTTCTTCCCGCAGAGCACCGCCCCTGACGACGCGCAAGGGAGGCTCGCTTTGTACCAGTAGCTGCCTATGCAGAGCTCTCCAATCTTTCGGCACTGCTGCATCTCTATCAATTTCCCACAAGTACGCCATGTCGTCTCTGATCCTGCACCGCCAGAAATGTGCATCAAGACGCTGAGCTACTCCGGGGGCAGTATCGAGAAGGTCGACTAGCTCGTGCGCCGCAAGATGGTCAAGTGTCTGATGAAGGAGCTCAGTAAGTAGCTCAGCAAAGATGTGCCCGCCTTTCGATGAGATAGTCTTGCTTTCATGCCCTGACGTCGTCGCCCCAGCGTCGACTTGATCAAGAGGATTGAGCAGCCATGGCTAGAATGTGTCAGCTTATTGCTCCAGCAGAAATTCGGGAGTGCATGAGCTGACCAGTCTCGCACGAGTCTCATCGCCATCCTCCCACATCTCCTCCCAGGGCATCTTCTGCAGCTCGAAATACTGCATCCGGCGGAGAAAAAGCGACTCTCCGGAATCAAGTACCTGCATCCTGGATCTTATCGCTTCGACATCCAGCTCCGTGCTTCTCGGGCTCTTGACCATGTGGACTCTTTCGAGCATCTCGAAGCATATACAATGAACAGGATAATTGGCAAACATTTCCCCACCACCGCCCATTGAGCTCCTGTCAAGGTAAGTCGGCAAGTCGATCGTGTTGAAAACTTCGGCACGTCTGGAATTTGGCACGTTTGGGTCGTCGCCGACGTGGACTTGAACCCAGCCGTGAGTACTAGCCTTGCCAACACCAGACACATATGCGCAGCCGGTCTTTGGATTACGTCCGATGATCCGTAGGCGACGGAGCCAGTCAAGGTGTTTTGTTGAGAGCTCAGAAAAGGAGGCTTCTTGGTAGTTTGAGTTTGGACGGAGGTGTTCTAGCGGTGGTTGGAAGGGAGAACCGCAGACGGAGCACTGGATATTCCCTAAGAAGCACATAGCAGGATAGAGCTAGAGTCTAGAGCTGTACCCTGGTCTCCCAGTAGGATTCGAGGTCTGTGATGAGACGGAGAGGGCTGGGGAAACATGATCGTTATTATCGCTGGAACAGTATTGATCTCTTTGTGTCGTATCTAAACAGCAGTAAACGACCATCAACGAGCCGGTCTCACTGGCGTCCACGCAAGCCCATATGTTATACATCATTCGCGCCGATGTGGCGTGACCACCATCACAACAGAACTGGCCGTATCGCAGATTGGGCCTGTCAGGCTGTCCAGTCCGTACGCATCGTAAAGGCAACCACTCACAGCAGGAGCTGCCGCTCTTTCGGGAAGCTCAAGACTGACACCGTCCAGTGAGGTCTACATCGCGAACCACGCTGGCCATAGTAATATTTCCGCTCGCTGAGGCAATATAGTGCAGACGCGGGAGGAGCTGACACGGCAGGATACGATAAGGGAGTACCTCCGTACTTCATTGGTACTTCCAATAGCAGAGATTTGGGACCCACGAGTGCTCAAGTTGGTCGCAGTCAATAACGACAGATGTGGATGGAGCATTATACCGGCAGATCGTGACAAGAAAGATGCAGCTGATGTATACATGGCCGTAGAACGAGGTAGGGTAAGTAACGCTCGAGGCTCTTTCCATTGGCTCGGCATGGGCCGCCGCTAGCATCGCACGATCACATTCACCGAAACGAGTTCTGCACTTCATGCGATCGACCTTTTCGTGCTTCTGCCCCCTGGGTTCTGCGATGACCTTGATGCAGAGGTGCCGCGCAGATGGCTGCAATCAAAGCGCAAGATATCCAGACGTTGCATGCTCTTCATGCAGCCGATGGAGCCCCGTAATTCAATACCGGTCGTCCTGGGTGCGTGATGTCCATCTGGTTGCTGACGTTTGTGCTGCTTTGAGTGGTGCTAGCTGGATTATCGTACAAGACGTCGGGTTTCACTCTCCGTGGAACATGACTTGGACAGTGTAGGCACGCATTTTGCCTCCCTTTTGACTAGATCGTGATTCCAGGATCGAGAAGGATTCATGCGCTTTGATATGGCAGCTTGGAGGTAAGTGGGACGATCGATAGCTGCAATACGACGCCGTTGAAGCTGGTCTTCGCGATACTACTGATCTGGACCGGTACATGGACCATACAACCATAGCATGGACGGAGGAAGCTATTCTTTCCCCACATCGGCCTGGCCCTCCCTGGCCATCTACATGGCACCTGTCTTGCAGCATAACGGGACGCCGGCGATGAGTTTACACATGATATGGTCTATTGAGCTGTAAAACACAAAACGCAGTCACACCTGCGATGTCTTTAAACAAGGCGGCCCCAACACCATTATTCAAGCACGCCTCTTTTGCAGTGTGGGCAACTACAGCGATACGTCCAGTGGGTGCTCGCTGGCCTCGGGGATGTCAGAGCTTATGGGCATATCCATGCACCCACCAGTGGACGAGCTGGGAATGCTCGAAACGACCCCTCCCTAAACGTTCAGCTGAAGAGTATCGATGTCTCCCAAAGACTTGATGTGAAGGCAGAATGCTAATGAGGCGTGGAGTGTACACTGGATCGGGTAAGGACGGACGCTAGCTCCGGTACAGGCCAAGCCACTCACTCGATGAAGCACCTCTGCACGAACTTCAGCATCACTGCCCCGCCGCTCGATTTGTGGCAATCGTACCGAGAGTGCTACTAGTGTTGTGGCTGCCACCAACCCATTGGGTCGATAAAACACCGAGCTAGCTGTTGTGCAGGCAAAGCCACCCGATAACGCACCTCGCTCGACCTCATTGGCAACAGATCACCCCTTGTTTCTCCATCACGGTGGACTCTCGAAAGCCTTACGCAAGTGCAGCTCGATCTTTGGTACCGTCAGATCGTCAGAAAATCAGCCTTCATCGTCTTCACGACAGAATGACTGATGGCCTACCCCCATGTGCCTCCAGGCGCCACTCAATACCACTCCGCTTGCTCCATATCTTCGCCTCGCTCTGTTCATTGGTCTCGCTTACTCCAGCGCTAGCCCCTGCTCAACACCAGCCACCATACCACCTTGGCACACTGCACCTTCGATCGTAGTTACCACTCACTGAATGATTGCAATCCTGGCTCCTCCGATCTGGCAGACCTACTGCATGATGCTATGAACACGGAAGCGGGCCAGCGATCTCAGTCAGATTGCGAGTCTGGTCACCCGTTTTCCGGCCCCTGAGTTGACTCCAGAGCAGTCACCCCAGCGTTTGGTTCTCTTTCTCACACCGACTCTATCGAGATCTGGTTGCCAATTTGTCCTCACTGCATGAATGCTAGCCATGGGATCGTGATGGGAAGGAATCACTATCGTCTATCATGATCGGGGAACGCACAAGGAAAAGGGCCTGATCATTGATAATGGGACAAGCATGTCGTTGCACACGCTGTCACATTGATAGCGTCAAAGCGTACTCATACTACTAGCGATACTTCCCGCTTCAGTGTTGAATCATGCTCACATTCGTCTCATGCATGAACACCTGAATCTCTCTCCTTGCTACTCCTACTCCTCGCCCTCAAGCGGCGCCTCCTCATCATACTCCTCCTCGCCCTCGGACACAGACGCCTCCTGGTACTGCTGGTACTCAGACACCAAATCATTCATGTTGCTCTCAGCCTCCGTGAACTCCATCTCATCCATACCCTCACCAGTATACCAATGCAAGAAAGCCTTGCGCCTGAACATGGCCGAGAACTGATCACCCACACGCTTGAACAGCTCCTGGATGGAGGTGCTGTTGCCGACGAAGGTGGAGCTCATCTTCAAGCCGCGGGGAGGGATGGAGCAGAGAGCGGTCTGGACGTTGTTGGGGATCCATTCGACGAAGTAGGCGGTGTTCTTCTTCTGGACGTTGCGGATCTGGTCCTCGACCTCCTTCATGGAGATCTTGCCGCGGTAGATGGCGGAGCAGGTGAGGTAGCGACCGTTGCGGAAGTCGGAGGCAGCCATCATGTTCTTGGGGTCGAAGATCTGCTGGGTGAGCTCTGGCACGGTGACGGCACGGAAGCTGTGTGCGCCACGGCTGGTGAGAGGAGCGAAGCCGACCATGAAGAAGTGGAGACGCGGGAAAGGGACCATGTTGACGGCGAGCTTGCGCAGATCGCTGTTCAGCTGGCCGGGGAAACGCAGACAGGTGGTCACACCGGACATGACAGCGGAGACGAGGTGGTTGAGGTCGCCGTAGCTGGGGTTGTTGAGCTTGAGTGTGCGCATGCAGATGTCGTAGAGAGCCTCGTTATCGATACAGAAGGTCTCGTCGGAGTTCTCGACCAACTGGTGGACAGAGAGGGTGGCGTTGTAAGGCTCGACAACGGTGTCGGAGACCTTGGGAGATGGCATGACGGAGAAGGTAGCCATCATGCGGTCGGGGAACTCCTCACGGATCTTGCTGATCAAAAGTGTGCCCATACCAGCACCAGTACCACCGCCGAGAGAGTGGGTGATCTGGAAACCCTGCAGACAGTCACAGCCCTCGGCCTCACGACGAACTACATCGAGGACCTGGTCGACCAACTCAGCACCCTCGGTGTAGTGACCCTTGGCCCAGTTGTTGCCAGCACCAGACTGACCGAAGACGAAGTTGTCGGGGCGGAAGAGGGCACCGAATGGACCGGCGCGGACGGCATCCATGGTACCTGGCTCCAGATCGACGAGGACGGCACGAGGGACATACTTGTTGCCGGTGGCCTATGTCGCGTGTCAGTTCGTGCTGCTTGATTAGGAAGGCACACATTACACACCTCGTTGAAGTAGACGCTCATACGCTCGAGCTGCAGGTCAGAGGTACCATTGTAGCTGTATCACATTAGCTTATCTCCCTCGACCTGATTGTTGCAAGTCAACATACACGCCAGAGCCGTCGAGACCGTGCTCGCCGGAGATGTTCTGCCAAAAGGCGGCACCAATTTGGTTACCCTTCACCAATGTTAATCAAATGTTTACATCTCTTGATCGTTCTCGTGTACATACGCATTGACCGGTCTGGAGGTGGACCTGTACACATATCGCTGGTTAGCACAATGTTTCTCTGTTGCTCGACGCGTGCCCCGCGTGTAGTGCGGGCCATGAGACGTTGGGGCTGTGTTTCACTTACAATCTCACGCATGTTGGCGATTTCCGTGTATCGCGTGGGTTGGTCGGTCGTCGAGAGTGTTGTGTGGTTATCGTTAAGCTTGTCGGATGGTGGTGTGGATGTCGAGGAGGGCGGTCGGTGTTTGTTGCGGTGAGAGGCAGCAGCAATTCGATTGTTTTGGGCGGAGAGAAGCAGCAAAGGTGGGCTGCTGCGGGCCCTGGCGCTAGCTTCGACTAGTGGTCTCACGTCCTAACCAATCACATCACGCTAATCTTCCCTACGTGAAAGCTTCGAATACAGCAGAGAGAGAGAGTACCATTAATGTCACTAACTCCTCCATCGCCATGACCTCGCTACGTACTCTGGTCCCGCGAGGGACCTTCGTATTACACTCAAAGCAACTGCAAAGTCGTCTCATCATCTCTGGCCTCCGCAATGCATCATCACAACCCCCAAAGCCGCGACTGTTGGAGAAGCCGGAGCGATTCAATCCACCGTCACATCCATCACGTATCCGAGCGAAGCCGAAGTATTACGGAGCACCATTGAGCGAACATGAGCGGCAGGCACAGAAGGAGAGGCGGTATCCGCATATGATGCCGCCGAAAGGCACTTTTATGCACTGGTTCCTCACAGACAGGAGCTTGCACCTGTACATCACTATGGTATGACTGCATCACACTCCGAAAGTGTTGAATTCAGCTGACTAATATCACTCAAGGGCGTTCTCATGTCCCTTGTAGGAGCAGTATGGTACCAAGACTTCATACGCACAACACCCTACGCGGACCTTCTCCCACCCAATAACATGATCTTCGCCCACCCTTGGTCCTGGTTCTGGCGCTGGTGGGAAGTCTACAGTATGCACGTCCAATACGTCTCTACTCAGACTGCGGAGAAGAGGAGACAGAAGACGGATGATGTGCAGAAGAGAGCGGAGTACAGGAAGGCGCACGGAATTGGACAGGAGGAGGGTGTGTTTGGAGGGTGGACGGCGAAGGAGGATAAGGATGTTTTGGGGCCAGATCTGAGGGAGGGCGGTGTGACTATCGCGGCTGAGAAGGTGGCTGTGGAGGATGCTAGTCCTGTTGCGTTGTCTGCTTCTCGTGGAGGAGAGCAGACTTATGTGGATTTTGAGGGGAAGCCGCAGGTTACGAAGAAGAAGTGGTTCGGTATTTGGTGAGGAAGTGCCGCTTGACCCAATGAAGGGTCACACGATGGAAGAGAAGCAGTATCGGAAGCAAAATGGTCAGCAGTGCTGCATTACAGACCCGGCACGTCACCCTTGGTCGCAGGGGGCCTCCGCATGAACATGGAGTCCGCGCATTCGTAACAAGCGCGTTGGCCAAATCCTCACCACTACTGCACCGCGTAAACAAGATCGGGGGTTGGCGACATAGGGAAATGCTCGAGAACATACTAATTGTGGCCCTGCTGAACGATGTTGAGTCACGAACGAAGGCTACCCACGTACAGTAGCTCCACAGGCAGAGTACTGTCTGCGCAAGCTTTGTCCAGTGAGATGTTTGTAAAAAGACCTATTACACGGGCCGGTATCGCGAGGTCACTTGACGGCTACAACTGTGGGAGGTGATCAGATGAGACACTCAACTCTGTGCTGGAGTTGGAGGCATAAGTTACAGGATACACTGTATACTAGAACAATACGGTGCCCAGATATATTTCAGTGGCGATGTTGAGCACGTGCCTCTTGCGCCACTGCACGTGACAAGTTCCGTATCGTCTCAACTCTGTTCTCCTTTCGAGGTATCACCAACCTCGTGCACACTCCACACATCGTGCTCTCCGTCGCACACTGCAAGACCGTGTAGCGCTTGGCACATACAGCATGCTGCCCTGACCGAGGAAGTCTTTGCTGGTAGCTGTCTGACACGACCCGCAAGAATGCCGTGCCTGAGGACTATACGAGCTCGGCAACATCCTTGTCGCACATCATCTGGCCCCATCTATGATTACTGTCGCAACCACTTCGCGACTAACGATCATGGTTCTCATCCGAGACGCGGTGCGATCTCACTTGGCCATTGCTGGAGTATAGCCTGATGATGTACTCGACGGCAGCCACCGTTCTCACAAATGTAGTGTGCTCATGGCGTCCTGCGTAAAGGCAGTTCGGCTCGGTTTGCCAAGCGACAGATTTCTTCTCCATCATTCAGGAATACAAGAAAGCTTCAAGTTTTATTATACTGATTCATTCGCGCTTGAAACCTCTGGCATGAGCACGACTTGTCTATAGAAGCACTCTAGATACATAAGGTCAGCAAACAAGCTGTGGAGTGACTTTCTGGAGCAGCAGGGATTAGCTCCATATCGCATTCTTCTCCAAGAAAGATCAACATAGGTCTCGAGCCCCCTTGCAACGATGACAACGGCGACTGAGCGGAAGCGCAAGTTCAATCACAAGGTGAAAAGCGGATGCAAGACTTGCAAGTATGTTCACACTGGCCTCAAATGGTCCCATGAGCTAACACGAATAGGATACGTCGGGTGAAATGTGGAGAGGAGCGTCCGTCATGCCAGCGATGCATGTGTAGTGGACGCCTCTGCGATGGGTACGACACCATGCGGATTGCTCAAGCGAGTACCGATGCTAGTGGAGAAGTATCTCTAGCCTTTGTGAGACCATCCTCCGAGCTCTCGGTTGTTGGTCAGGATGAACAGGTTGCTTTCCAGTTCTTCAAGCTGCATATGCAAGACTCCCTGCATGGCCTGTGTGGACGCACAATTTGGGCAGGTGACATCTTGCCTATCTCCATCCGCGAGCCATCGATCAGATATGCGGTGGTTGCGCTTGGAGCTCTCGGCAAGGAGAAGAGACTCGCTAGCTCTTCGGCCTGCCTTTCTAAGCAGACCAAGCTCGCACGACAGAGCTACAGCAAAGCCATGAAAGCACTTCAGACGAAGATTGAGCTCAAGGAGCAGATGACACCGGATATGGTTCTCCTCTCATGTCTACTGTTCGTGACGTTCGAACTCTACGTCGAGGACTTCCCGGCAGCCAAATGTCACCTCGACAGCGGCTTGAGCATCATCCGGGAGATTCGAGACGGCTCTTCTACCCCTACGACGCCGACGTCCAAGCAGACCATGAGTTCGCTGGTCGAGAGCTTCGAACGGCTCGACATTCAGATGTCCTTCCTCCGTGCCGAGCGTGTGCAGCTCAACCGGAGCCAGGAATTGGCACAATCTACACTTTTACCTTGCGCTACGAGATTCGATAGCATACACGACGCACGTTGCTCGTTGAACATAAACATGGCTGCCATGCGCGAGCTGATCTGGCTTGTGGAACAGACGACCTGCGACTCATACGGAGGTATGTCGAGCGATGATATGGTATCGCTGTCCCGAGAGCAGACCAGACAGATCGTTTCACTGCGAAGGTGGGAGGAGGCTGTGGATGACTTACTGTCTCGGACGACTGCACCTCTTCTCGTCCTTGCTGGGCATCAGTTGCGTATGCAACAACTAAGCTGTGCTTTGATGGTCTCCATGGCATTATCTTGTGGCCGCGAAACGCTATGGGACGATCATCTCGAGGAATTCGACAAGATAGCAGAATTGGGTGCCAAGATACTTCAGACCCGTAGCACGAACGTGCAAGCTGCTGAAGGGGACAGCACGTTTACACTGGACATGGGTATCATCCCACCTCTGTACATGACAGTTATGAAGTGCAGAGATCCACAGATCCGGCACACCGCGTTGAAGTATCTCAAGCAGTGTACGCACCAGGAAGGGCCTTTCAATGGACCACAAATCTGCGCCGCGGCTTCTGCGGTCGTAATGATTGAGGAGAAAGGTCGGGTGTTTGAGAACGCAGGAGATCTGCCTGAGCAAGATCGGTTGTATCAGGCTTACTTCGTCCTACAAGAACGACCGTGGTATGTTAATTGTGTGCGTAGATCTTCTGAGGGAGATCGCAGGTGGTTGAAATGGCGGGTTGTGCTTGGGTAGCCTGGTAGTCCATATGGGTCAAGCTGAGGCTACATTGACCCCGACAAGATGGACGATTTCGAGGGACATAAAGTTGCTCATTGGATTGATCCTGGCCAGAGCATCCGATGAGCATTAAAAGAGTTCAACGGAACGTCAACCAAACGCAACGAAAGCGGCCCTCTGTCCGTGATTTCCTCTACACAGGCCATCGACATGCCTAGGCGAATGCTGACAAAGCATTGCTTGGCTATCAGGATTCAGAGCCGCCTGCACGATAGCAGATGGAGCGCAGTAGGCAACGAGAGTCATTTGATGCTTCCTATTCAGGGTAAAGAGGAGCAGCGACATACGACGTCTGTTGATAGGCATCTAGTCGCCCAGTCGAATCCTTCTGCTCAGACCCATTTGCAGCAAAGGGCTGCTCGGAACAGTAGAAGATCAATCTCAGCAGGCAACCAAGTGTCGTTCGATGTTCTATGGACAAAGTGTAGAGGATCACAGCCTGCTGCATGGCTTCGCCTTTCTAAGCAATACGCCCGCAACGGACACATCCGCCTTTTACGTACCGACCAATCACAACACCACATACATACAGGGGAGATAAAATTGGTCGTTGCTCTGACTATACACCATGCAAAGATATACGTCTGAGCAGTGGATGATCAACATATCAATGCGGCTGAGACACAACACTGTAATTTGATTATGCGAGTGCGCAGCCTCATGCGCATTGTCCCTTGACAAGAGATTTACGAGCGAGTTGAATATAAGATAGAAAGCCCTCGACCATTGCAACAACACAAACATTACCATTTCATCTTCTCCTACTTGTATCTGCACCACCAATTGCGCAGCATATACTACAATGCGTATAGGCAGTCGACTCGCTGTCGCAGCAGCAACACTCTCAACAGTCTTAGCTTACACACCATGTCCAATCTTGGGTCCAGTCTTTCCAGCTCCATCATCTCTCTGCGATGCGGATTCTTTCCAGGCCGCGTTGAAGAACATATCCACCACTCTCGACTACGCCGGTAATACTGGCAAGACGCCATACGGCAACATACCCAGCAACGCTACTTCCTTCACGGTGGGAGTCTTTAGCGCAGACGAGACTCTCTTCTCTCATCAGTACACTTCGCCATGGCTCAAGACGAGCACGCAAGGCGCTACTGAAGTCGGCGTGGACTCTGTCTTTCGAGTGAGTATCACGGTGCCACTGCTACGATGTGATGCTGACTGCCTTTACAGATTGGCAGTGGAAGCAAGTTAATCACAACATACCTCTGGCTAGTCGAGGTCGGCACGAAGTACTGGGGACACTCCATCACAGAATTCGTCCCCGAGCTTGCAGAGGCTCCCCAAAATTGCTCGGCGTCAGCAGATCCTGTCGATTGCATCGATTGGGATGAGATCACACTTGGTGCTCTGGCAAGCCATATGGCGGGTGTTCCAAGAGACTGTCAGTGCCATTCAAGTCTACGAGATCCTTCAATACTGACTTTGGCACAGACTCCACGCCTTTGGAACTTCTTACACAAGTCGCTTCACTGCCACCTCAGATGTTTGGCGCTCCAGCACTTCCCGCTTCAACATTTCCACCATGCGGTTACAATTTCACGAATGCTTGTAGCGAAGAGCGTGAGTACGGCTTCCGATCAATGCAGATACTTCATGCTGACCAGGATAGAATACGCTGATGGTCTTGCTGCGGCACATCCAATCTATGCTCCATACACTACTCCAATCTACTCGAACGCCGGGTTTGAGCTGCTTGGCTTTGCCCTGGCAAACATCACCGGAAGATCGTTCCCAGACATGCTTCAGGAAGATCTGTTCAATAAGCTCCACATGGCCGACTCGAGCTACTTCGTTCCCAAGAATCTCACGAACGCAGTCATGCCTGGTGGACCCGTCAACTCCTTCTTCGTTGCCGACCTTGGTGGCGAGACACCGTAAGTGCACCTGACCCGGAACATCTCGATTACATATACTGATTCCAACAGCGATGGCGGCATGTACTCCTCCCAAGCAGACTTGATCAAGATGGGTCAAAGTATCCTCAACGCTTCTCTCCTCTCTCCCACCACGATTCGTCAATGGATGAAGCCCTCGACCTTCACAAGCCAGATGAACACAGGTGTTGGCATGCCATGGGAGATCTGGAGGGTGGCCACTCCTAGTAACCACATCGTGGACCTCTACACCAAATCCGGCGACCTCTTCTCCTATAGCTCGCATTTTGTGTTGATTCCTGACTACAATATCGGGTACGTGGTGCTGGCCGCTGGCAAACAGACGACTTCAACCGTGGAGCAAATCTCGGATATCATGGCCGCTACGCTCGTGCCTGCACTGGAGAACACAGCGCGAGCTCAGTCGCAGGAAAATTATGCTGGAGTCTACAAGTCGGCCAACTCCAGCCAGGCATCAAATATGACTCTCACCACCAACACGGGTGAAGCTGGTCTGGTAGTCAAGAGCTGGTACAGTCAAGGCGTGAATCTTATGCCCGTCCTTGCACAACTCTTCGTTGGAGCTCTGACGCCGGTTGATATACGCATGTTCCCAACCAACTTGGTACAGCAGGTCTCGCCAACAAAGCAGCGGATTTCCTACCGACTCATTGTCAGAGCACTGGCTGAAGCGCCAAATGGCGGGCTTTTCTCTTCGGACTGCGAGCAATGGGCCATGGTTGATAGCAAGACCTATGGTAATGTTGGTCTGGATGAGGTTGTCTTCGAGGTAGAGAATGGTAAGGCGACGACTGTCAACCCCAGAGCATGGAGAGCTGTGTACAACAAGACGGCGTCCGTTGGCGAATATGTTGAAAGAGGTATCATGTAGGACGAGAGTCGTCAATATTATCGAGATATGGACATCAATATGTGTACTAGTCGTTTGCATGTTGCTTCCCCAAGACGACCCACATCAGGCTCTTGTATGGGCCGTTATTACCTCTTACGATCTCCATTAGGGTGCATTATAAGCTCTTCACAGGTTCTTTCGCAACGAGTGCATAACGGACCACCAAGCCAACTTGGCATCTAGAAAGTCTCATGTGTGAAGCACGAAGACCACGAAGATCGGCGCAGTAATCTTCCCGCTACAGACTTATGTATAGTGAGGCACCTGTGCCCCATTTGCCGCCGGCCCTTTGGTGCCATGAGCAGTGCCGTTGACGATCTCCGCCGGCGTTGGTCGCTGGAAGTGAGGTTTCAATGGCTCCCACGACTCTGCATTATAACCCTCTTGCACCTTAGCACACTTCTTCAGTCCCCACTCTGTCACACCGACCATCAAACAACTCTCGAACATGAACGCCATACTTCCCTCTCCAACCTTCATAGGCTTCAGCTGGGCATTACTAGCTTTCTCATGCGTCGCCGCGTCGGGACCGTGAGCACTCATGACGTTGTGTAGTGAAGCTCCAGCAGGCTGGAAGCCACCGCCGGTCTTTGCGTCATACTGACCATGTATGAGCCCCATGAACTCACTCATCGTGTTACGGTGATACCATGGTGGGCGGAATGTGTTCTCAGCTACCAGCCAGCGAGGCGGGAAGATGACGAAGTCTGCTATTGCTGTGCCTGCATGTTCGGATTGAGCCGTCAGGACGGTGAAGATAGATGGATCTGGATGGTCGTATGAGATTGATCCAATTGTGTTGAAGCGGCCAAGGTCGTACTTGTAAGGGTAGTAAGTGCCATGCCAAGCCACCACATCGAAAGGCGTGTGGTTCTGCTTTGCGGCGAAGAGGTGCCCGCTGAATTTGGCAAACAGAGTGTACTCATTCTCAGTGTCTTCGTCGAAGTGAGCGACCGGTGCTTGAAAGTCGCGGACGTTTGCCAGGCCGTTTGATCCAATGGGTCCTAGTTCTGGGAGTCCGAAGTGGCCTTGGTATAGCTCTAAAATGTATCCTCGGACTGGACCCTCAGGCAGCGTCACGCGGTGCCGAATACCTCGTGGTATGACACAGATCTCGTTCGGCCGGACGAGGATCTTGCCTAGTTCGGTCTGGATGTCGAGTGCACCATGTTGAGGGACAATCAAGAGGTCGCCGTCCGCGCTGTAGAACGCCTCGTGAGGATTCATGTCCTTCCCAGCGGCGAAGATGAATATTCCCAGACCACTTTTCATGGTCGGATCACCAGCACCAGCCACCAGTCTCAGACTGTGGACCCAATCTACAGTCTCGTCCATGTCGAAAGGATCCCAACGTAGTTGATTGGGAATTTGATGCCATCGCTCCTTACCATGTATGCCTGGATTTGTGTCAAATGTGTCTGTCTCTCGAGCCTCGAAAGGCTTGTGTGCCGATGCTGGGAGGATGCGATAAAGCCAGCTTTGTTGATTCTCTCCTCGTGGTGCTGTGAAGGCTGTACCGGACAGCTTCTCGTTGTACAGACCAAATGGCGATTTCTGAGGGCTGTTGGTCCCTATGGGCAAGGCACCATCTACCGCCTCGGTCTCGTGATATGAGCCCAAGCCATTCTGGTATTTGTACTTCTCGCCGACCTTGAAGTCCGTCAATGGCATGATGGGAAATCTTGATTGACCAGTAGGACGACGAACGGAGTGAGCTATTCGTCAACGAGAGTAATACTGCTACGTGGGCTCTGTCAAGCCCGGTCTGACCTACAGAGTGACTGAATATTTTCTAAAACAGTGGCGACCCGATGTGATGCAGTCCAACTCGCAATAATTCCGCCTCGACGCCAGATGAGATGACTCTCGCACGGATCTTGCATCAGCGGCTAGTAAAGGCTGTTGCTTGTAGCTGCATCCGAGAACTTGGGACCATTCCCCTCCTTTGCAATGACGCCCCAATGCGGAAGGAGCGGAAAATGGCCGTTTGGTCAAAGTGGGGATGGAGAACATCAAAGCTTGTATATGCGGCATGGCTCCAACAGATGCACCACAATGTTCATTACGGAGGAGCACCTACACGCATTCTAAAGCCTAAGAAACCCATGACCACACAATGGCACCTCTGCAAAGCTGGCTAGACATTGATCCGAAGTCAGACTTCTCGCTGTACAACATACCATTTGGTATCGTATCTACAGCAGCCGATCAGGAAATACACACAGCTATAGCGATTGGTGACCATGTATTGGACCTGCACGTCTTCGCACAAGGCAATGGCTTCTCTGCACTGTCAATCATACAGCCACACCAAGCAGTATTCTCCCAGTCCACGCTCAACGACTTTGCTGCTCTTGGAAGACCTATGCATCGCGTAGTGCGCGAGTACCTACAGAGCGTACTCCTCAAAGACGGACCATTCCCAGACGTGCTGGAGACCAACAAGGATCTTCGGACAGCGGCGTTAATACCGCACCGACAATGTCAGATGCACCTCCCAATGCGTATTGGCGACTACACGGACTTCTACGCTGGTCTTCACCACGCATATAACGTTGGCGTCTTGTCCCGTGGACCCGAGAACGCTTTACAGCCGAACTACAAGCACCTCCCAGTAGGCTATCATGGTAGAGCATCGTCGATTGTGGTCTCTGGCACCCCTATCAGACGTCCTAATGGTCAGATCTTGAGTGATCCGAAGACTAAAGAGCCTTTGCTAGCACCATGCCGTAAGCTCGATATGGAACTTGAGCTTGGCTGTTTCTTGTGTAAGCCTACCGCACTGAGTCAGCCTATCTGCATCCAGGACGCTCAAGATAATCTGTTCGGTGTTGTGCTTTTGAACGACTGGTCGGCCAGAGATATCCAAGCTTGGGAGTATGTTCCGCTTGGGCCTTTCAACAGCAAGAACTTTGGCACTACCATCTCACCATGGATAGTCCTTATGGATGCATTGGAGCCGTTTGCGACGGTCGGCATACAGAACGATGTGAAGCCACTTCCGTACCTCGACGAGAGGGGCAGAAAGTCACATTTCGAGATCGATCTTTCCGTAATACTCACAACGTCTGCCGGAAAAAGCTCAAAGATCTGCACTACAAGTGCTAGAAACCTGCTGTTCTCATTTCCTCAGATGCTAGCACATCATACCGTAGGTGGGTGCCCGTTCAACATCGGGGATCTCCTTGGCTCTGGCACGATCAGCGGCGAGGACATGTCGGCTAAAGGCTGCTTGCTAGAGCAGAGTGAGAATGGGAAGATAAGCATTAAGCTTGAGGATGGCGAGGAGAGGACGTTCCTGAACGATGGGGATACTATCACCATCAAAGGTGTATGTGGTGATCAGATTGGTGCTTTAGTTGGCTTTGGCGACTGTGCTGGTAGAATAGATCCTGCGCTCGAGTTGGAATACGATTGATAGTGGCTGACTAGCCGATGATCTGTCCAGTCCGTCTCGTCGAAGCTCTCACAACTGCCTGCAAGTTCAGCGGTTTTCGACTCGCAGCACCTGCCATCGCATGCACATGCGGCCGCCTCGACGTGCCCATGATGCATTGGAGTAGATGGCTAATGCGAGAGATGTCCGAGTATGGTGCAAATGGAGTCGATGATAGCGGCGATTGTTCCGCGCCAAGATCGTCACAACCATGCACCCCGCATCGTATGCAGATGCAGCTCGGACAGAGTTTGAACCACCACCTCCTTCTCACACGACTAGTTGACCCTGTTGCCCGTACTTGGCAAGCAGCACTGCTCACTGCGGCTTTGGTTCCACGAGTGCGGGCAGCTACGGTTTTCGCTCGGCCCAAGCGACGAACCATAGCATTTAGAGGAAAGATAGAAAAGGCAAGAACGAATTCCTTGTTCAGTTACTGTACGACTCGTCACGTTCGCAACGAACAGCAGTCATGGTGCAGACAGACTCTCAAGGCATTCTCTCCATCCTCACTCAGCCAGCCATTCTCCCTTTCTTCCTTCTAGCCCTCGGGTACACCATTCTTAAGCTACTGGACAAGACAGATGTGCCCAAGATCAAGGACCTCCCTAGTATACCTGGCCTGCCGATCCTAGGGAATCTGCATCAACTCGGTGATAATCACGCCAAAGTAGCTCAGAAATGGAGCGAGAAATATGGCCCAGTGTTCCAGGTGAAGATGGGCAACCGCCGGATCGTCTTCGCCAACACCTTCGATAGTGTCAAGAACTTATGGATCACGAACCAGTCAGCCCTGATCAGTCGACCCATGTTGCATACATTCCACACAGTCGTCAGCTCATCAGAAGGCTTTACTATTGGCACCTCACCGTGGGATGAGAGCTGTAAAGCTCGACGGAAGGCTGCTGCTACTGCACTCAATCGTCCAGCTGTGCAAAGCTATATGCCTATCATCGATTATGAAGCAACGAAGAGTATCAAGGAGATGCTTTTGGACTCCAAGTACGGCGAGAGCGACCTCGATCCGAATGCATACTTCACTCGTTATGCTCTCAGTACGTCCTTGACTCTCAACTATGGTATCAAAATCGAGGGCAATGTCAACGATGAGATGCTCAAGGAGATCACGCACGTAGAGCGAGTAGTGAGCAACTTCCGATCGACGAGCAACAACTGGGCGGACTACGTTCCAATGCTGCGCTTACTTCCAGGAGGAAGTTCTGGACCACAGGAGTACAGAAAGCGGAGAGCACAGTATATGCACAAGCTACTCAACATGCTCAAGCAGCGAATTAAAGACGGCACCGACAAGCCATGCATCAGCGGCAATGTGCTCAAGGACCCCGAAGCGAAGTTGACAGATGGTAAGCTTACTTCACAGGCACAGAGGCCCTCATCACGAGCTGACTTGTGATCCCGTCATAGGTGAAGTGATGTCGATTGGTTTGACCATGGTCTCCGCCGGCCTCGACACAGTCCCAGGAAATCTAATAATGACAATCGCCTACCTCTCAAGTCCACACGGTCAAGAAATCCAAGCCCGCGCCCTTCACGAGATCCACTCTGTCTACCCACCGTCCGAACACCCTGATCCGTGGGCCTCCTCCCTGTCGGACACAGGCGAAAAGATCCCCTACCTGACCGCATTAGTCAAAGAAACTCTACGATATTGGTCCGTGATACCCATCTGTCTACCTAGGACGAGTATCCGAGATATCAAGTACCGTGATGCTGTCATTCCAGCTGGAACGAGTTTCTACATGAATGCTTATGCGGCGCACTACGACCCATCGCACTTCCAATCCCCCGACGACTTCAATCCCGATCGATACCTCCAAGACACATCTCTTGATGATGCAGCGGCATCAAGGGGGACACCTCATTACGGCTATGGTGCTGGAAGCAGGATGTGTATCGGGTCTCATCTTGCAAATCGCGAGCTGTACACCGCATTCCTGCGCATCATCACGGCTTTTGAGGTCTTGCCGGCGAAGAAGGCAGGTGATAGACCGATCCTGGATGCTCTGGGATGTAATGCTTTCCCCACGAGTCTGACACTGGATCCAAAGCCTTTCAAGATTGGACTCAAGGTCAGAGATAGAGGAATGGCAGAGAAGTGGATCAGGGAGAGTGAGGAGAGGACGAAAGATTTGTGATGGCAGAAAACGCTGCTTTGTCTATTCATGTGATGTCTTTGTATATAGTTCATGGTACCTTTCATTGAATGCCAACGGCCTGGTCCAAGGATATTTACCATCCTCCACCTGCCGCTACAGCCAGGGCGGAGACTTTCTCGACCTCGCTAGCTTCGCCTCCGTTCTTGCCTACGTTGCTCTCAACAGCACGGTATGTGGTACAAACCAGCTTGTCCAGCTCCACACTCGTAATCTCACTCCAGTGCTGCAGCATTTGGTGCACTTTCCGCCGATCGATACCATCGATCACATTGTCATCATCATGTGGTCCACAGTCGTCGCCGTTATGCATATCCACATCGCCATCCCCATCCGGACCACGCACATCTTCATCCTCTTTGCCTGAGTCTTCCGCACTCCAATAAGCCTCGTCAACCAGTCCCAGCCACTCCCTCTGCATCGGCAGGATCTCCTGCTCGGTACTACCATTCTCCACACCGGTGCCCCCTACTTGCCTCAAAGTAAGCACATCTCCAATTTTGATCTGTCCTCCACCATTCGTGCATCCGCCCGGACAAGCCATAACCTCCACATAGGCATAGTCCTGACCATCCGTACCGCCGCCAGCCTCAACACCGCCAGGTTTCCGTGCTCGACCCTTCCGCATAGCAGTAGAAGCAGCACCTGGCATTCGACTCGGTCGCGCGGGTCGTAGTTTTCTGACGAGGTTCTGAATATTGCGAAAACCGTAGTAGCGGGCTGCTTTGAAAAGGATTTCGCCGTTGGGTGACACCAGAGAGTATTCCACGACATCTGAATTTCGGCCTCGTTGAGTGCGGATTGAGGACTCAGGGTTTCGCCGTTGTTGGGTCTGAAGAATGTGGTGGAGGTAGCCGCCACTCGTACCGACTGTGTTAGTCGTATCTTTGTCTGCAAAACGCTTGTTGCTTCGTCGACCGAAGAGGAAGTCGTTAATGTGTGGATCTGGGAAGGCAGGTCTCATATGCTTGGGCAATGGCGTCCGTGGTAGACAAGGAAAACTGATGTTCCGGCTCTCGGCCAACATGAGCAGTTCGCGTGCTGTAATAACGCAGTCCACATCGCGCACTGCGTCGCCTTCCTGACCATGCCAAGTATGAGACGTGAGCTCGGCACGAGAAGCCTCGAGTTTCTTGTCAAAGCAGGGCATGATTGCCATATGCCAGATCTGGTCGGGCCTGACACCCAGTTTCTTCGACAGCACGGACTTCAGTAGGGTACCTGTCAAAGCCTGTGGAGACTTCAGCTTGCTGAGGTGAGGCAAGATGTATGGATGTGTCTTCTCGGCATAGCAGATCCAGCCAGGGCAAGCGGAGGTCAATACTGGACGTTTGAGGTCGTCGGAAGGAGTTTCGAGGGCCAGCTGTGCTTCGTCCGCAGCTGAGACCAGAGCGACTTCTCGCATCACGTTGGTGTCGACTACCCAGTTGAAGCCGGAGCCATGTATGCCTCCAGATCGTAAGCCATAGGGCCCGCTGAGTAGCTGGTTGATCACATGTCCAGCTTCTCGCTCCGAGACCTTGTATGTAGCCGCCAGACTGGCACGAGTCTGTGGCGAGACGGTTGCGACAAAGATCTTGCCATCATCTTGACCGACCACAGATGATCCATCTCCTGCTACCTTGATCTCTGCATGCCTGTCCAGAGTATCCAGGACCTCACTATGACTCTGCAGACTAACCAGCACAGCTTCTGCACTTGTAACACATCCCGAACAAGCCAGACAGTCCGTCAGAGATATCTGAGCGGGGGGAGGAGGCTGCGAGGCCTGTATCTTCTCCTCCGTAGTCACTTCGTAGGGATTGCCATCCTCGATAGGCTGCTGTTTGGGTAGTGTCTCGACCGGTTTGATGCACGCTACACCCGGGTTGATGAAGTCGTTCAGGTCGTCGGCGGACAGTATGGCGGACATACTGCAAGTCGGTAGCCTCGAGAAGGACACATGGATTATGCAGTCTCAGACGAGGGGATTGCTAGGATCATATGGCGAGCACTAGTACTTTGCTTGTGACATTTCTCAGCAAGAAACAATACACCTTATCCGCCACTGTAATCGATAGCGATCTCGGCCTCGCACCGCCACACCCGCAGCCACAGCAGCTAGAACTTCTTGCGCCTGACAAAGCCCTACTGTCGCATGCGCAAGAACCACGACATTACAAAACCACACACACCACCCTCAACAACCCACGCACCACCACCGCCAAAATGTCCCGCGAACAATACACCCCCCCCTCCCTCACCGCGCCCCAAAACATCACCACTGGCCCCGGCGGCAACACAACCTCGAACCCCAACACCACCTCGACCCAATCATCAGCCACGGCCTTCAACATCACCGGCTCAGGAAACTACGAAGACACGGCGCGACCAGTCCACTACCTCTGCGGCGACTGCGATGCCAAAGTCATTCTGCGGAAGAGTGACCCGATCAGGTGCAAGGAGTGCGGGTACCGGGTGCTGTACAAAGAGAGGACGAACCGGATGATTCAGTTTGAGGCGCGGTGAAGGAGGAATTACTTGACTTGACGACAGCGGTGATGGATATGGAACGCCTGCGATGAGGGCGGAGCAAGTGGCCAAGCGACTTGTTCTTGTCGTTGTACTGCGGCTTCCGCCTCGAGCCTACCTCACACATGAGCATATGCTAGCATCGACGACCGGATCTGCGATGAGACATCCTGAAGCACGATTTCTTTATGACGCTGCAGATTACGACATCATACGCACTGCTACACGACCGATCTGCCAAAGGCTTCAGTCCAAATCCGCGCTGGGCCTTGGGATTGATGGCGGATCCACCTCGCACGCTCCCTCTTCACAGCTGTGGTAATTCGCGAGGGCTTGCTTTCCGCCTGCTCGCAAACGGCACCTCTCAAGCAAGCGGGGGACTGGACATGGGCAACAGTAATTAGATTCAAGCTACTATCACAGGAATGCTAAAAAGAACATTCCCCTGCTCAGCAGTGGAAGATCATGCCCCATGCCTATGCCATATGCCTGCCGTGACTCATCAACTCCTAAAAGTCGCCTCATCCATGCCATGAAGTTGGGCTCAATTGAGCATTCAGCCACGCCCTGCCACTACGCCTTGCCACCACGCTCATCTGTTTTGTCATGTTTTCTTGCCCAAGTGCTCCGAACGCTCGTCATATGAAAACGAAGTAGCTCGCGCCACAATGCACGTTTCATTTCATCGCGCAACCCATCCCACGGAATCATGCTGAGAAAAGACCCATCAAGCACCCCTGAACGCATCAAATCGCTTATAAGTATACCCAATGAAAGGCAACGACAATGTGGAATCGTCTCCGCCATTGGTAGCGGCAATCTGTGCCTCCGTCTGTGCTCGCAACTGTGCCGAATTGTCTACCTGCGGGATCTCATCAATAGGGAAGTACTGTGTATCGACATTACTCTGCAGCTTCGGCTCGAAAGGTGCTCTGATCTTGCGTAGACTGTCCCAGTTCACTCCACGGAAAAAAGGATGTTGTTTCAGCTCCGCAGCGCCATTGACACGACCTAGACGATTCTGGCTGTCGCAGATGAGTGAGCAGATGAACGTTTGCGCGTCGTCACCGAGCTGTTGGTCAGGTGGGAAGTGTAAGTGGCGAGGCCAGTCGACGATTTTGCGGTAAGTATCATGTGGCTCTTCGGCGCAGAATGGAGGCCAGCCAATCAGGCATTCGAACATGATTGTGCCTAACGACCACCAATCACAGCCGAAATCATACCCTTTCCCGCTGAAAATCTCGGGGGCGATGTAGTCTGGTGTTCCGACGGTGGAATAGGCGAGCTGGCGACGAGATTTACGCCAAGTGTTGATCTGATTGCGATTGGAAACTGTGAGTTGGATCTGGTCGATGCTGACACTCTGCCGGTTCTGGGCGAGAGATTTGGGCCGACTCTGGGACATGAGTTGTTGGTAGTACGAGGCAGAATGTTCTTTACTGAAACCAGTGGAGAGACCGAAGTCGGTGAGTTTGATGTGGCCGCCACGATCGAGGAGGATGTTGTCGGGTTTGATGTCACTGTGGCCATGTCAGTCTTGCCAAGATACGACGATTTAAAGGAAAGGACAAACCGATGTATAAAGCCCAGCCTATGCACCGCCTCAATCGCCAGTGTGATTTCGGCCATATAGAATCGCGTGATATCTTCCGAGAAGATCTCATACTTGATGAGCATAGTCATCAGATCGCCTCCAGGTAGGAACTCCATCAGCATGTATAAGAAGGTCGAGTCCTGGAACGATGTATGCAACTTCACCAACCAAGGGCTGTCGGCATTGGCGAGGATATCGCGCTCGGCGCGAACGTGAGCGAGCTGATCCTTTTTATGCTGTGATCGAGATGTTAATATGGGCTTACTCGGCATACGATGCATGCCAGCAAAAGAACCACCAGCATGACGAGGATCAAGCTTACCATCTCAGCCTTGACCAGCGACTTCAATGCATAGATCTTGCCATCATGCTTCCGCTGCACCAGCTTGACTTCACCAAAAGCACCTTTGCCGATGATCTTGAGCGTGTTGTAGTTCTGCTGTCGCTCGCTCGTCCGCAGGAATCGTAGAAAGTTGGCTTCGGATTTGCGCATGGTGTTCTTCTTTTGCTCTTTACGAGCATCCGATAGCTCTCTCGAGCTAATAATGCCTTCCAGCTCCTTGGCTCTGTGGTCAGAAGTCAGCATACACAACATCACGCCCTTCCACGCTTGTCCGAATATACCTCTCATTCCTCGCCCTGGCCCTCTCGACGTTCTCCTTGAAAAATTCCTGCGTCAACATCTTCTGCAACTTCACTCTCTCGGTGATAGTGGTGGAATACTTCTCCGGATTCTTTGGTGGTGGCTCATCATCGTAGATACTCGGTCCCGAGGGCACTTGCTGTTGCTGCTGCTGTCCCGGCATAGGAGCATTGAGATAGCTTCCATACTGCTGCTGGGCCTGAGCAGCTGTCTGCCCCGCTGTCCTCGGCCTCTGCGGATTCGCAGGTGATGCCTGCCTCTGATACGGACTAGCGGATCGCGGTGTGTTGCCTCCCAAGTTCTGATGCTGAAATTGATGGGCCAAGCCATTGGTTGCGTCCGCGTAGCCACCTGGACTGCGGTAGCCCGCGCCTGCACCTGGTGTCTGAGCTCCCGAGGGCAAGTTGCCGTACTGCTGAAGGTTTGGTGTATTGTAGAAATACCCTTGGCTGTTGATGCCACTGGCAGCTTGTCCTGTGCCCCATACATCTTGCTGACCGAGCGGCTGGGGAAAGGTGGACGGTGTGGTAGGGAAAGCACGACCTTGCTCGGCGGCGAAGTTGGGCGAGTTGTTGTTGTTGAAGCCGAAGTTCAAGTGAAGGCGGTTGGGGTTACGAGCATCTTGTTGCCCGCCCTGCTGCTGCTGTTGTTGCTGCTGGCCCTGCTGTTGGTACGCCATGTTGGTGTGAGAAGTGGTATTGTTCTGTGCAGAAGCTGTTGTTAGTTCTAGCGTTGTAGAAGATGCACGCTTGGCACTCACATGATAGTCGACCAGCAACTCAGCTCAGTGGCTGTCTCGAAAAGTCGGGTGCTGCTGGACGGATGCTCAGAGCGCTCTCACCCGAGTCAGGGGGGTTGTGCTGTGGGTGAGAATGGCGGTGGACACTTGGAATGGACAAGGACCTGAATCGCTCCCTCCAATTGCAGTGGTAGTTCACTCGAGCTGGAGAGTAGTGCTTAGCCTAAACTTTGCTTTGAGAGGCTAACCACTCATCCTCAACTTCACTCGCCTTAACCTCAATCCTACTTCAAAGCGAGATGAACGACAGCTTCACCATTGAAATGGCCTCCCTCGCTTCTGGCTTTCCCGGTGCCCAAAAGTCCCCCACATCGCGTGCAAGGGCAACGGAAACAGGGGTTTCGGGCACGCTTCCGACCCATAACTTTAACCTTCTCCTGACCAGGGCCTCCTGGCAAGACGATATCATGTGAAAGACAGACAAGTCGAAGTGGAGTGCAACAATCGTCACACGAAAGAGGCAGCAAGCAGCCGCATGCAGAAGGCACAGCGCGGTACCAAACTGCTCGAACATGCACAGCAGACGCCACGCTCCAATGCAACACGCGAGGGTCATGTCTCGTGCAACGAAACACTGCACAATGATTCCAGAACAGAATTCCAGTGCTTCTCTATCCATCTAAGCCATAGGTCAAATCACTAGGCTCTGTATCGTACAACATGTAATGACTCCCGTCGACTCGCTATGCCAACCAAAACTCCCGCAGCGATTAGCATACCCATATCCTTAAATCCGTACCCACTACAACTTCTCAATCAACCCCTCCCCCCTCGTCCTCTCCTCCTCCACCAACGCCGCCAACTTCCTCATCTGCACCATCGCCGCATCCCTCTCCGTCTGTAACTCGGCAACCTCAAACTGACTCCTATTGACCCTCCGAACAACAACCTGCACATCATCCTCCGCCTCCCTCAGCAACTTCTCCAACTCCCTGACTTTCCTCTCCAACGCCTGCGTCCTGCTCGCCTCAGACAGCGTCGCCCCGCTCAGACGTTTCTTGCTGATCCGTGGCGATCTGGAGCCGGGCAAGAGAGGCGAATGTGCGGGCGAAAGTCTCTTGGCGTCTGGGATGGAGATGCGGAGGCGTTGGAGGGAGGGCGAGGTGGCTTCGGAGATCCGGCGGACTTCGGTTTCGTGGTTGCCGAGCATGGTCTCCGAATGCTGCTGTGCTTCGAGCACACTATCTTCCATTCCGGCCAATTTCCTCTGCATATCCTCGATCTGCCCTGTGGAGACCTTCTGTTCTTTCTCGCCCTTCTCGACCGCCTCAGCCAGACGATCGCGAAGTTGGACATTGGCCTGAACTTGTTCCTCCAGTCTGTCGGCAAGCTGTTCCATTCTCTGCGCCGAGCTCATCAAAGCTTGGGCATTAGATGGATCCACAGAAGCGGCACGCTGTCGATAGTCTTCTGCTGCTTCGCGGGCGTTATCGCGTTGATGTTCGGCGGAAGAGATGCTGAGTTTCATGTTGTCAGGCACGTCTTCATCATCACCGTAGTCGCTGCCGTAGCCTGAAAGAACGGAGTGGCGGTTCTTCTGCGTATTAGACTCTTGCAATAGATCTCTCAAACCCTTCGTTTCTTGCTCAGCGCGATCGAGATCCATCTTGACGCCAGACAAGCCCTTCTCATACTGCCACTTCTGCTCGAGAGCATCCTCGGTCCGTTTCCGCAAAGTCGTGACTTCGTCTTTCAGGAACGCAACTTCAGCATGGTAAGCAGTACGCTTCGGCGTGACCGTCTCAGCCTGCTGCTTCGCTCTTGTGAGCTTCTTCACCGCCCGCTCATGCTCCCGCTGTTGCTTCTCGTGCCTCGAGATCAACAACCTCAACGCCTTGTGCAGAGCATCGCGTTGATCCTCGATCTCCTTCACTGCCTCCGAGGATACCGGGCCTTGGTGTGCACTGACGGAGCCAGAGCGTTGTCGACCGCCACCCTCGGCACGATCCAGGACAGAGCCTGTTCGTGTGATAGACCCGCCACGCACGCTCCTGTTCCTAGCAAGCGAGTTCGACCTCGAAAGGCTCCCTCTTCCAACCACAGGTGACATCGGCACGCCCTCCTCGGCGATACTACCAAATCGAGCATTACTCTGCGCCTCCTTCAGCGCCGCCAATTCCTGCTGTAGTCGTGTATTCTCGTACATGATAGCCTGCACATCTCCTGCCTCTGCCTCCAGACCTTCGATGCGTGAGCGCAAATTCGGCACAGTCTCATCCCGAAGATTGTCCCTTTCATTCTGATGCTGCACCAGCTCCAGTTTTGTGGCACTGTACAGATCGCCGAAGCTATCTTTTGCTTGTCGTTCTTGCTCCATTCGTCTCCTCGACTCATCGAGATTTTTCTCGAGCTCCGTGACACGTTCATCCTCGTCAAAGCGCTTGTGTAGTTGCTCCTCAAGTGCATGTACAATCTGCTCTAGATCTCTCCTCCTCGCCAGCTCAGACTGCATGGTGGATGCCACGTCAACCTTGATCTGTGCCTTCTCCTGCTCTGCCTTGCGAAGCTTCGTCTCCATCTGCACGAGCCGTGCATCGGGATCTGTGACGGGATATCGTACACTGCTCGCACCAGAATCAGAGAAGTAGTCGCTGCTTCGTCGGCCTTCGGAGTTCGAACTTGGCATCTCAAGCGACAAGCGATATAGCTCGTCCTCAAGATCCATCTCACGCTTAATAGAGCCCGCTAGCTCGGAGCTGATCTGGTGCAGCTCCCGTTCCAGTTCGCGAACATGTGCATTGGTTTCGGGAGAACCGAGTAAGATGGGTGTATCAGGATTCTCAAAGTAGATCGAGTTGTCGTTGCGTGCATTGGCCTTCTGTATGTCCAGCCCAGACGGCGTAAGCCGAGTGGTAGACACCGAGCCCTCCATTGGTGACCCTGCAAAAGGCTTTGTGATGCCTGGCGAAGGCAATGGAGACAACGATCGATCGGAGAACGTCGTAGTAGGCGACTCGCTACCAGACCTCTGCGACGAGGATTTCCACCCGAAGAAGGCTCTCCTACCCGGTGACTTTAGTCTCTGATCCCGCAGTGAAGTAGGCTCAGAGAGTAAGGAGCTGTCAGAAAGTGTCCGCTGCACGCCGTCAAATTGCTGCAAGGTCATGCTAGGTGCCTGCTGTATATGCATTGAACGTCTTCCTCTTACTTCGTGCTCCACAGCTGAGTAGTCGGAACTGCTTATTGATGTCTTGGGCGCGTGGCTTCGTGCTTGGTCGTGAGCATAACGTGCGTTGACTGGGATGCTGGAGCGTCGGGAGGACCTGTTCGACGCGACTGCCTCGTTGTTAAGCAGGCGAGAGTCGATAGATTCGTTGCGATCGTGGCCGTGAGTGTATGGGTAGCTGTGGCTTGCCCTGTGTTTCGTCAGCCCACATTGAGTACCTCTGATAGCCACGGCGCGTAGCTACCTATCCTCCTGCTGTGCCGTGAAATCCTCCGTTAGAGGTGGAGACAACTGATTCAATAGTCCGTTCGGCTGCTGTGGTAGTGGACTGTCCAAGGAGAAGGGTCTAGATGATGGCTCTGCAAGCCTGGGCGATGCTCTCTCCGCCAGCGAGAAAGAGGCAGCTCGCGGCGAACGAGCAAGGGCGAAAGGCGGTGGTTTGCGCTTCGTCGTCGAGGGCGAGGGTACGGGTATACTGGATGCGAAGGACCGGAAGGAGGGGACCTGTATGTGGGCGAGCGACGACTGGGTTTTCAGTATCGCCGGCACTGCGTCTTCCTGCTCATAGGCATCATAGCCATGCGTGTCCTCTGCCGTATGTTCGACTCGAGACTCAGAGTAGTAGTCGTCGGCGCCAAAGGAAGAAGAACGAGAGTGCGACGGCGACCCCATGACCACTACCGCCTCCTTGGGACGGTCACGAGCAGATCCCAAGACAATCGAATAGCAGACAGCGGTGGCTCACGCCAGCCAGTAGACTTCGGCAACGGCCAACGCCCAAAGATGTGTTCCAAAAGCGACTCAGAAATCAAAGTCAGGAATAGCGGCCGAGTAGGCGATGATAGACATGGTCGATGCGCTGCTGCTGCTGCTGCCACTCTCGAAAGAGTATGGTGAGGGTGCACACGGACGGTACTTGGGCGATCGGGAGGGAGGGTCTCGGCAAGTGGGAGATGAGGGAGAGACAGACTCGGGTACTGTAGGGAGGGAGGATGAGAAAGGAGACCCTGACCGAGTCTCTCACAAACAAGTCAATTAGATGGTCAACGGCGCGTCTGCTCAGCGGACAATGTCAGACGGCTATTCGACAGCGGAGGAATGACGGACACTATCGCGTCTGCTCCTGCTTTGATCATGCAACTATCCACCCAGGCCTATAATCTCTTAGTAGGCCTCAGATTTCGTCCTCGAAGCGCTCTTTTTGACTCGGCGAGCGCGTACTATTCGCGCCAAATCCCCAGCCACTCAGGAGATTTTAACGTCGATCAGAGGCTATAGCGGGTAGCTCCGAAAGATGGCGTCAAAAGTACCCCTTGCTAGTAATGCTAGTCAGGTACGAGCAACGAATTGCACTTCTAGTCTCTGCACATTTCACAGTAATAATCACGATCATCACATGTCCATGTATACAGCGCTATGCGAGATGGATATCGGAGCAGGCGCACCAGTCAGCTTGTTGGAATGCCTGTCTATACAGCTATCATAGCTATCATAGCTATCTTGTCTATATTCCTCCATACCGCCACCTATAATACAACAGTCGCCCGCGTCAATTGCAATGCGACCACGTGCTTGCCTTTGCTAAACGAGATCAGGACTGTTTGCCGTCCAAGTCTGCGTAGAACTCCCACCCGAAGTTTTTGGAGGGATCATTGAACCTCAACTTCTTATCCAACGCATCGATCTTCTCGACATCTTCCTGCTCAAGCTTGAAGTCGCCCTCGAGATTCGCCTGGATCCTGCTCTCTGTCTTGGACTTCGGGATGACCTGAAAAAACATCACGAATCAGTACCTCAAAGGCTCAGGTCAACATCACGCATGCAACTCACCGTCCGCTCGTGAGCGATACCCCAGGCCAGTGCAGCCTGCGCGCCAGTCTTCCCATACTTCTTTCCCACCTCCACCAATACGGGATCATCCATTAACTTGCCCATATCCTCACCCTTCGAATACACCGGGTTCTGATTGCCAAACGGTGAATACTGCGTCACATGAATACCCTTCTGTTTGTGCCACTCCACAAAGGCCTTCTGCGAAAGATAAGGATGACATTCCATCTGATGCGCCGCCGGCACCACAGTCGTCTCCTTTAGTAGCCTCTCCACTTCCGATTTGCTGAAGTTCGAAATGCCGATCGCTCTCGCTTTGCCCTTTTTGAAGCAGGATTCCATGGCCTTGTACGTGTCAACGTAATCTGCTGATCCTGTTTGCACATTCCCAGCGTTGTCCTTTGGGAACATCTTGCTGCCGTCTTTGAAGGCTGAAGGCCAGTGCATCAAATACAGATCCACATAATCAGTTCCTAGATCCTTCAGCGAGGCATCTAGTGCCGGCTCCACGGAAGCAGGGTCGTGACTGTTGTTCCATAATTTCGTGACTAAGAAGATATCTGATCTTGGCACACCCGACTTCTTTATCGCAGCTCCTACGGCGGGCTCGGTGCCGTAGATTCGAGCGGTATCAATATGTCTGTACCCACACTTCAGTGCTGCTGTGACAGCCGGCTCTTGTGCTTCCTTGTCCTGCCATGTCCCGAAGCCGATCGCAGGGACGGAGGCGCCAGTGTTGAGCTTGAAGGTCGTGCTTGCGGATGCTGATGTCGATGCAGCCCGGATGGGAGTCTTCACAGCATGCTGGGAGGAGAGCTGTTGGGAGACTGCAGCGACCCGATTAATAGCTGAAGAGAGGGCACGGTTGGACATGTTGAGATGTGATAGAGAAATGACAATATATAAGTTGTGAAAAGAATAGAGCCGCGTTCGCAACTTTACTTTTCTTTCATTTATGTCTGATGGTGACGTTATCTGTGGTGACATTTTGATGATCGATCACTGTCGTCGGTCATCTTTGAGCCGAGGTGGACTTCGGCATCCAACCCACGAGGATATATTCTATCTAACCTTAGGTGGATCCGCCTGCTCCAGAAGGACTGTGACGGGCACCACTTAGAACCGTAGACGATAGCAGGCCGGCGAACGATCAACACTTTATAAGTCGCGACAATAATGGTTTCGCTGCGGTAACAAGCTTCAAGCCATTGGTATTTCCGCCGTGTACCCCAGACGGCAACAGGAAGGAAGTCGGCACGGATGATCCACATCGACTTCTACGGGCTACGCGCGGTGTGAAAAGCTCGAAAGTAGTAGCGACAGGGCGGGCTATTACCTAACAAACTATACGGCTATGCATTTCGTACGAGCGGGCAGCATGACTCCTAAGATGTTGTACATCGTAAGAACGATGCACCATACATCGCCAATTCCCGCCACCTTCCCGACGTGAAGCTGGAAACCGAGGCCGTGACATCACCAGCAGATCGCCATCAGTTCGTCCAAGATGAAGACGTCCCAGTCGAATAGCAGCGATGATGTCAAGACCGAACGCGAAAGAACATCGCCATCTTCGGACCATAAAGCTTCCATCTCAAGTAATCACGAAGACTCACCGACGAACGAGACTCTCGCCTCCACCGCCGAGAAACAGCCCGCACCCTCATCCACCCCAGCGCCACCACCCAATGGCGGCTACGGCTGGGTCTGCACAATCTGCTGCGCCCTGATCAACGCCCACACCTGGGGCCTGAACAGCAGCTACGGAGTCTTCCTCGCCCACTACCTGGCCAACAACACCTTCCCGTCCGCCACACCCTTGGACTACGCCTTCGTAGGCTCCCTCAGCATCTCCTGCGCCATGCTCGTCTCCCCCCTCGCAACCTACGGCGTCCGTATCCTCGGCACGAAACCAACCTTGTTCATCGGGATCGTGTTCGAAACCCTCAGTCTAATAGGCGCCTCCTTCGCCACCAAGATCTGGCACCTCTTCCTCAGCCAAGGGATCTGTTTCGGGATCGGCATGGGATTCCTCTTCATCCCCTCCGTCGGTATAGTCCCGCAATGGTTCACGACCAAGCGCTCGCTAGCAAACGGCTTCGCAACCTGCGGATCCGGCCTAGGCGGCCTAACCTACTCCCTCGCCACGGGCGCCATGATCAAAACCATCGGTCTCCCCTGGGCCTTCCGCGTCCTCGGAATCGTCGCCTTCGCCGTAAACACCATCTGCACGATCCTGCTCAGAGACCGCAACAAAATCATCGGCGCCTCGCAACTCGCCTTCGACACCAAATTGTTCAAACGACCCGAATACCTCCTCGTCAACTTCTGGGGCTTCTTCAGCCTGCTGGCCTACGTCGTCCTCATCTTCAGCTTAGCAAACTACGCCAACGCGATCGGCCTCAGCGCCTCCCAAGCCTCCCTCATCTCCGCCCTCTTCAACTTAGGTCAAGCGCTCGGTCGACCGCCCATCGGATACTTCTCCGACTCTATAGGGCGGCTGAACATGGCAGGCCTGATGACCTTCCTCGCCGGCCTCTTCGCCCTCATCATCTGGATTTTCTCCCACAGCTACGGCGTTCTGATCTTCTACTCCCTGATCGGCGGCACCGTGGCCGGAACCTTCTGGTGTACCGTAGCGCCCGTCACAGCCGAAGTGGTAGGGTTGCGAGATGTCCCCGCCGCATTAAATCTCATCTGGCTGTTCATCGTCTTACCCAGCACCTTCAGCGAACCCATAGCCCTGGAGATCGTGGCCGGGACGGGCAGTTATTTGGGAACGCAGCTCTTCACAGGCTTCATGTACATCGCTGCGGCAAGCTGTATCCTGTTCCTTCGCGGCTGGAAAATCGGCGAAATGAATGAATTAGCTCGACTCAAAGGGCAAGATGCAGAGCAGATCGATGCCGTAGCCGCGGAGGATGAGAAGGATCATGTGGATCTGGCGAGGGCGAAGGGTAGAACAGGCATACTCGCGAACTGTATGGTCTGGCGGAAAGTGTAATGTAATAACGTTGTCATGAATCGAACTCCTGTGCCTGCGAAACAAACCGCTCATATCCATTGATCTCTATCAATTATGAAGAATGCCGTAATGCTACAAAAAGTCGTGCGACACAGGATAAGATGCTCGCTCCTCAAACTCCGATCGTCTCTCAGTCCGCTCGCTCGCTCGTACGCAAGGAAGAAATCTCATGGATCATCAGACAAGTTCAAAAGTCAAAGCAGAGACATATCGCCCAGAAGCCACACGGTCGCGCGCAGGGGACCAGCAGAGACTGAAGTCTTTAAAAGAGCACCCCTCGCCCCTCATCTCACCCCAGCCCACTCACCAAAACATTCTCCACCACAAAATCCTCCCTCAAGGACGAAAAGCCGCCGGGCCCCCCCCCCTCCCCCCCCCTCCATCTCTCACATCTCTCACAACCTCAAACAATCCAAAATCGTCTGCGCCATATTCTTATACTGCCACGTCCCCCCCTCCAACTTCTTAAACTGCACCCCATGCAACCCAATCAACGGCACTTTCACCACGAAAATCTCAAACTTCAACACCATACTGCTCCCCAGATCCGTCTGGACGTGCGTGCTCGTCTCGCCCGCGGCGCGGTTGGCGTTGCTGTCCCGATCTCTATCTCGGTCATAGGGGCGTGGCCGTCGGGGCTGCTCCTCGTCGGATTCATCCTCTGTGTTTTCGTAGCTTGTGGGATCCGTGGGACGTTGGGGAGGTTTCATGCTCGTGCTGCCGCCGCCGCCGCCGCCGCCGCCTCGGGGGTTGGGCGGTTGTTGCTGGGACTGCTGTTGCTGGGCGCGGAAAGCATCCCGCTCAGCGTTATTCTGTCTGTTGAACCCTCCAAAGGAAATCTTCCGTCGATGATTCGTGGCATCAGTTGGCGGCGGCGGACTCATAACCGCACTATCCTCATTTCCCCCTCCTCCCGCTCCACCACCAGCACCAGGTTTGATCGAAGGCGCATGTCTACACCTAAACCCGCCCTTGATCTCCGAAAACTCGACTCCCAATCTCGAAAGAACTCTGATAATATCCGCTCGGATGAAATGAATGGGTTTACTGCTCGTGGTACTCACGCTGAAGACGCCCTTCAAGTACACGGGTTTGAAGCCCGTCGGGCTATTACTCCCCGCGTTCCCACCCCCCTCGAGATCCTCCTGCTGTTCTAGGATATCTCGATCCGTTTCCTCGGGGACATCGGCAGTTCGTCCTGTGTCTCCACGGCGAAGTGTGCGGCGGGCTTGCATGCTCTCTCTTCTGCCGTGACCGAGGGATTTGGTGCGGGAGGCTATGCTGCCCATGCCGGCGCCTGCCATAGGTGGATTAGGCGTCTCGGCATCGGAAGCAGCATCGCGACTTGCCCCAGGTTGTGTCTTAGGTGTGTCGCGGCTGTCGTGGCTGCTGGAGGAAGTCATGGGTGGTCGCATGGAAGTGCCCTCCGAAACCCCACGTCTAGTGAGCCGTCGTCGCACATCGCTAGAGTTCACACTGATAGATCGGCCCAGCCCATGTATTCGTGAAGACTTCTCGCTAGCACCATCCCCAGTCATAGGCGGAGTGAGAAGTGATCCCGCGGCCTGTCCAGCAGGCTCCACGGGCTTCTCTGCCTTCTCCGCCTTCTCCTTCTCCGATCGATAGCCAGTAGGTGTGGGATCCCTATCACGCGTTCTACGCACGCTGAAACTCTTCCTCGGCGTGTCAGACGGAGCGAACACAGCCAATGAAGGAGGCGGATGCGACCTATCTCCCCGTGATGGTCGATCGGTAGCCGGTTCCTTCGACCGTCTCGTACTAAGTCTACGCAGGAGACTGGTGGCTGCGCTCTCCTTTCTTGCAGGCTGTGGTGCTTGTTGGTCGGTGTTGGGCTCCACGATAGCCGGGTTCGTCGGTGAGGGTGCGGTATTGACGTTGAGATTCTGCATGGCGTCTTGAATATCATCTTCGCCTTGTGTGCGGGCGCGTGGGCGTGTTCGGCCGCCCGTCGGCTTCTCACCTGGCATCTCGTATGATGCTGCGTTCGTGTATGCTGCGGGTGGCGCCGGCAGATCTGGCAATGCGAGTGGCTTCTCGCCCGGACTTTGTGGTATGGCCAGTGCGCCAGGGTTGTTCTCTCGGGCTTCTCGTTCCTGCTTCTCCAGGGCGAGGTAGTATACCGAGATCAGAGGATGGAAAGCATTGATCGGATCATTACCAAGCTGCACAGCCTCCATAGATGGCGTGTTGAGCGTGTCTCTGCTTGTAGTCGAGTTGCGCCGCTTGTAAAAGTCAAAGACACCTCGCTTGCGTTCCTGGTCCGGTATCTGCTGTGCATTCCGTCTCTCCTGCATCCGCACCGCCCGTTGATAGTCCTCCGAAGCGATCAATTTATGCAGCTCATCCGAAATATACTCCGCAGAACCAAAATCAAATCCAGTCATCTTGTCAATCACCGCGTGATCCAAAGGCAACTGGATCGGCTTCCTCACCGGCAGGAAGTTATCCGGAGGCCCATTAAACCCCTTGACCATCCACGGATGACTCATGATCTCCTGCAACGTCGCTCGCTCCTGGGGGTTCGTATTCAGCATCCTGGCAATCAGACCCCGGCACTCAGGGGTCAACCAAGGCGGGTACTCGACATTGCCCCTTTTGATCTTGGCGTGCAGCTGCGGCATCGACTGGTCGTCAAAAGGCACCTTACCACACACCAGAACGTACAGCACGATGCCGAAACTCCAGACGTCCACTTCGGGACCGGTGTACTGTTTCGCCTGAAGCAATTCCGGCGCGGCAAAATACAGCGAGCCGCAAAAGGTCTTCAGATGGGAGCGCGGAGAAAATAGATTCGACAAGCCGAAATCGATGATCTTGATGTCGCCGTTCTTGGAAATTAGGATGTTTTCGATCTTGAGATCACGATGCACGATACTGTTGCGGTGACAGTAATCCAACGCACTCGCGATCTGACGTCCAAACTTCCTCGCTTGCTTCTCCTTCAGTCGGCCATGGGAGATGATGTAATCCAGCATCTGCCCGCCATTCACATATTCAAATAGCATGTACCAGTGGTAGTTGGTGCGTAACACATCGCGCATGCCGCAGATATAGGGGTGGTCGACTAGAGTGACGATGGCTGCCTCGCGAGCTGTGCGCACCTCTTTCGATCGGTCGGCGCGGTCGCGCTCGGCTTGGCTGTGGTGTTCGCCGTCTGTGCTGCCTCGGGGGACGATCTTGACCGCCACTTGCTCGCCGGTCGCTTTATTTCGCGCCAGCTTCACCTTGCCCATGCTGCCTGCTCCGATGGTCTTGCCCAGGTCCCAATGGCCCGTCGTTGCATCGATGGTCGTCCGTCTTCGCAAGTTGGAGTTGGTGGTGGTGGTCTGGGTTGTGGAGCGACTCTGCTCTGTCGCGATTGAAGGTGGGCCGCCATCGGAGCTGGGGGCGGGGGTTGGTTGGTCGGCATATCGCGATTGGGTGCGCGCGTGACCCGAAGACTGCCTCATCGATTCTGCTCTGGTATGTGTGGGGGCGGACGATGATGTTTGCGAGGTCGAGGCTGATCGGCGTGGGGAGGAAGGTGCGACGGGGCGGGTGGTGGTGCTCTGAGCGCGGTGTAGTCGGTCCTGCTGCTGCGCTCCGTTGCTGTAGGCTGGCGGCGGAGGTTGCTGGCGGCGCGAGGGCGTGCGAGGCAGTGTCGTCGGTGCTGCTGTCGACATGTCTTCCGTATATACCTAATCCTCTTCACGTGTGCTGTGACTGACTTTCACGACACCCTCACGCCCGTATCTACGCCAGCTTGTGTCGGCAGGATAACAGGATAGCATGGGATTGACCGTGCTTCACTCTGCCCGCTAATAGTCGCTCACGATTGTGTAACACGTGGGATACTGTAGGAGCCCAAACCCAAAAAGTGTCGTGTTCAATGTCCATAATCTGCTTAGGTTCACGCATCCCCAAGGAGAGTACCAGTTCCGCGCCCGCAATCAGGCTTCAGGTCGATCTTCGGTCGACTATACGTATATACTGACCCATACATACACTTTGAAACGAGAAGGCGTTGCAATCACAATCGATAGGAGATGGATGATAACTTCAGATGCACACAGACCAGTTTGCTCCCGATCGTTGTTCTACTAATCCCACCTACCGTGAGACATCGCTGACAAGACTGCCGGCTATTACAACCAAAGGACCTGAGAAGTACGTGCTGATTCATGCTAGGCATGAGGAAGGCATTAACACTACATCCCACAATCACCCAATCACCCAATCACTCAATCACAACAACAACAACAGTAACCTCCCCTGTCAACCCATCCTAACCTCACGTCCCCGCCGGCGGAGCAGCAGTATAAGTAGTACTCACCCCCGCCGGCCGACTCGCCACCCACCCATTCGACCCTCCACTCGGCGTCTGCGTCCCCGCCACCGAATCAAACATATCACAAGACAAATACCCCTTATTCGCGAACCCGATGGCCACACATCGGGGCTGCTTATCGCAGGCATTGAGACAGTCGTCGAGCGATTTGACCGAGTTGTTTTCCAGGATTATCGAGCCGAGGTAGTTTTTGCCGCCCTGGAGGTTGTAGGGGTTGGTGTAGGAGTCGGTGCAGAGGGTGCTGGGGGAGGTGAAGGGGACGGCGCTGCAGGCGGGGAGGGTAGTGGCGGTTGCGGATGGGGAGGTGGTGGAAGATATGGTTGTTGGGGTGGTTGTTGAGGACGAGGAAGTGCTGGTGCTGCTGCTGCTTGGCGTTGGCGTGCTTGTTGCGCTGCTACTACTGCTCGATGTTGTCGGCGAAATGATTGCGGCGCTGCTGCTGCTAGGTGATGTAGGCAGAACTGTCATCGCACTGCTACTACTGGTGCTTGCCAGGCTCGAGCTAGTCATTAGTGAGCTGGTAGACGTAGAACTACTGCTACTGCTGACCGGTATGCTGACACTCGTAGTGACTGGCCCGACACTAATCATCATCGCCGTAGGAGAGCTCGTCGACTCCGGCGCAAAGCTAAAGAAAGTCGGAGAACTGCTCGCAGAGCGCTGTTGACTAATAGTCGAGCTCGACACGCTGCTCATCGGAGCGAAGGTGAAAGTCGTCCGCACACTGCTTGTCGAAGACGATATCTGCTGACCAGACGAAGTAGAAGTTGATGTACTAGCGAGAGTCATTGCGGAAGTAGTAGTTGTCGTAGAGGTCCAGTCCGTCTGTCGACTTGTTTCTATGGAACTTGACGTCGAGCCCTGACTTGGAATTGAAGCAGCTGACGCGCTTGTGGGTGACGAGAAGCCAAATTGTCCTTGACTCGATGTCGATATCGGGCCCGTGTTCGCAGTCGACTGTCCCACAACCGACGACGCCTGACCCAGCGACGAGGTCTCCGTACTCGAAGAAGACGACACCGTGAAAGAAACAGTAGCAGTACTCTCCGTCGTCGACGACTCCCCCAAACTCTCACTAGCCCCACCACCACCACCACCACCCAACGGCACCAAACCCTCAAACCTCTCAACATTAATCCCCACCACCCCTCCCAGAAATGGCGCCATAGCACTAACATCCGCAAAAGCCGAGCAAGCCTCCGCCGCAAGACTGATAGCCTGACACGAAGCAATCGCATTGCATTCCCTCAAGCACGCATTCAACGCCGTTTCGCTCGCGCTGGCTTGTCTGTCGCGAAGAAGTTTGCCGGAGGCAGGGGTGTGGATGATGTTGCCGATTAAGGTTAGGTTGTATCGGAGGGTGTAGGTTTCGTTGTCCTCCGTGAAGGTTGTGCCGAAGTCGTTTGAGGGGGTGGGTGTCGTGCCTGAAGAGGTGGCGGCGGGTGTGGTAGATGGGGAAATGTGGGAAAAGGCGGACGATTGAGTAGCATTCGTGCCAAAGTCAAAGGGCGTGATGCAAACGGGTACGGTGACCGTAACGACTATAGTGCACGATCGAATTGAATCAGCCCCGTCCTCGTCTTCATCCTTTGCCACTCGACTCGCCGATTCCTGCGTGCTTACCCGGCGCCGCCTGTTGTTGTTGTGCCATCGTCATCGCCGCCATCAAGCCTGGCACAACCACGGTCAAAAATCGTCTTTGAGCCATCTGCGACACCATGATCTCTCCCCAAATCACTCACGTAAATCATGGAGTGCGGTCGAAGCAAGCGTCAAGCGCGCAGTGCACTACAAGTCCGGCCCGACATACCGGTACACAACAACAGACATTTGCATTCCTCGCATATTAAGTCTACCTTGGCACATGGCTTGGCGTGGCAGGTCAGAGACGTGTACGAACCAGGTCGATAGCGTTCATTCGTGATATCTGTCATAATTATCGCAAGTCACCTCTCCTCTGGCTGAACCGACCTCGCACTCTCTCTCTCTCTCTCACTCTCTCTTCATGGAGGGAGGGAATCAGCACAACAGTGTTGCTGGCAGACAATGCGAGCACTGGTGGAAAGAGTCTTTGCAGAAGGGCGACCGTGAGGGCGTCGCGGAATACTTGTCGAAATGAGATCGTCACTGCATGTTGCCATGCTCTCATACATCTGGCCCAATGTGCGCTTGCGAGGACGATCGTACGCTCGGTCGATGGTCGTGTCTCGTCATTTATAGACACGATCTCCCTCCCTTTCAAAGGCACGCAGATCTCGACACCAGTGTATCGTCTCAGTCCCTTTTTCTATCAACAATTTCTCTCGGTCGGGGTGGCGAAGCAGTGGTTCTGCATGAATACGCAGCAGTATCCATATAATACCTTCTCATGAACTCCCACCTCTTCCACTTCACCCCTGCGTCCGCCGAATATACTCCGCACTCTTCACCGTCGCCGCTGGGCCCCCGGAAGCCTTCAAAGCATCCTCATACCGCTTCTTCAAACTCTCCTCAAACTCCACATCATCCTCCTCCTCCATGCCCGTCCCCATCTCGTGATCCGGATCCTCCAGTCCATCATCCTCATCAGCCTCCATCTCCTCCACATCCGACACCGTCTCAGGCCCCTCCTTCGCAATCCTCCCACCATTCCCACTCTTAGCATACTTCCCCGTCCCCTTAGCTTTAGAAGAAACACCCATATCCCCCATCATCCTCCTGACCTCCTTCTCCCTCATCTCAGCCTTCATCCCATCCATATCCCTCCTCCGCCTCTCCAATTCCGGCTGATACTCCCTCTCAAACTCTTGTCTCTTCCCCTCCACCGCCTCGAAAAACCTCTCCACCCCATCCCCAGTCATCGAGCTCACGCCAACGACACTAAGCGCATTATAAAACTCCTCCAACACCAAACTCATACTATTCAACAACGACCCCATATACCCCGCCCCACCACTCCCACCTCTCATCTCCACCTCCTCCTCCTCCGCCCGCAAAGCAGCCTGGAACGCCTCAAAATCTCGCATCCACTCCACCGCCTCCCCCTCGTCCTTCACATCCGTCTTGTTGAAGACCAGGATCATGGGAAGGCGGGTCTTGTACAGGATGCTGATGGCGTAGAGCATATTGCTCATGAAGGTCGAGGTGCTGGCGGTCGTGCGCGGGGTATCGATGATATAGGCTAGGACGGTGGGGAAGGAGGAGGCGAGGGAGGAGAGGAGGATTTGGCCTGAGGCGGACCAAACGAAGACTTCGATTTGGCCGGGGGTGTCGAGGAGGATATGGGATGGGAGGGATTTCGGTGGGGTGGTGGTGTCTGTTGTTTGTGGTGGTGGTTGTTTGGAAGGTAGACACCGCTTCTCTAGTAATCCCATCACCTGATCGATCTTCGTACTGAATAAATTCAAGCTGGTGAGGATGCCGCCGTTGGGGCCCAGGTTGTATTGTTTCATGACTTCCTTGTAGTTGACGCTGTCGCGGATGTCGATGTTGCTTTCGAAGGGCACGCTGCGAACGGCAGGGTCGAGGTTCACGACGTAGGGCGGGGCAGTGGTGGAGGGGGATTGTTGGTGGAGGGTGTGGAGGTGGGCGTTGATGCGTTGCATGAAGGTGGTTTTGCCGGAGCCGGCCATGCCTACGCAGACGATGGCGACGGGGGTTGGTTGGGTGGAAGACATGGTGAGGGCGGTGTGGGTAGGCCGGAGCCTGTGTTGGCTGTGTTTTGTGTTCTTCTGTGTATCGAGGATGATGGTTTGTGTCGAAGTGACATGAAATTTGAAGCTTCGACCAGGAACACTGCCTCCAACACACAATTGTCGCAATGGGTCTGGAAGAGTTTGAGAAGGAGTTAGCGGCCGGTAGAGATGATGAGGTGAAGGAGAATACTCACCGTAGTCGTGATGAAGAGGGGGAGAAAAGACATCACCGACACCATCACCGTTCACATCGACTCGGAGGAGATGAGTCGCGGGATGCAGAACGACGGCATCGACATAAGAGACATCGGGAAGGACGAGAAGACGAGGATCGCGAACGCCGACACCGGAAGCGCCAGCGAAGTGACTCCCCGAAGCCTGCGAAGAAGGAAGAGGGAGTGAAAGTGTTCGACAACCACAACGCTGAGGATGAGGAAGACGAATGGGTGGAGAAAGAGGCCATGACAGCACCACCAGGAGAACAGGAGTTAGACGATCTTATTTCAAGTGCCACTGAACCCATACAGCGAGATTCATGGATGCAAGAACCCTCTGGCCAAGATATCGAACATGTCAAGAGTCGCAAACCCACTGCTCCACCCAGCCAATTCGTAGGCGCGAAGAACAACCACGAGTTCAAGGTACAGGAGACGCAAATTAATCAGCACTTGGCTGATTTACAGAATGACTTTAAGGCTGATGATGGAGAGGATGCTGCGAAGGTGGAGGATGAACCGGCGCAGCATGAAGTCTCCTACACCTTTGGCGATACCGGGAGCCAGTGGCGGATGACGAAGCTGCAGGGGGTGTATCGACAGGCGAAGGAGGGTGGACAGGGTGTGGAGGATGTCGCGCTGAAACGGTATGGTGACCTCCGCGACTTTGACGATGCACGAGAGGAGGAGAGGGAGATGGACAGGAGGAAGACGTATGGTAAAGACTATGTGGGTCTGATCAAGCCATCAGGAGAGCTGTTCGAAGAGCGTAAGATGAAGGCTGGTCTGCACCGGCAGTCACAGAGTCAGTCTCACGATGCTGGGCAAGACGACCTCCCACAAGGTGAGGTAATGCCCGAAGGTGACGCTCCCAGCACTACCCAACCCCTCGACCAAACAGCCCTCAACAAACTCAAGGCCCAGATGATGAAAGCCAAACTCCGCAACGCCCCAGACGCCACCATCCTAGAAGAACAATACAACCGTGCCGCCTCAGCCAGCCAATCCAACACCTCCCAACCGGGCGTCGTCGTCCTCAACAAAATGGACAACCGCCACCTCGCCAGCTCTCGCACCAGCGAAGTCACCGCCGTCTCCAGCAAAAGAGGCCGTGAACGCGGCCTCGTGACCGAGAACGAAGACATGAGTATATCCGACATGGTCCGGCAAGAAAAACGCTCCCGCACCACTAATGCAGGCAAAGACTTCGCGGAGCGAATAGCCAAAGATGGGAGATTCACGGATAATCTCGATTACATGGACGAGAACGCCACGAACTTATCTAAGAACGTGATGAAATCCGACATCAACCTCCGCACCACCGCGATCGGGGATTTCAGCAAAATGCAGCGGATCCTGGATTCGTGCCCTTTATGCCATCATGAGGATAAATCCGACCCCTTACCTACAGCGCCCATTGTGAGTCTAGCGACAAGAACATACCTCACGCTCCCCACGGAACCAGAGATAGCGAAAGGCGGCGCAGTGATAGTCCCGATCCAGCATCGTCTCAACCTCCTCGAATGCGACGATGATGAGTGGGAGGAGATGCGGAATTTCATGAAATCCCTGACGCGGTACTATCATGCGCGGGACAAAGGGGTGATTTTCTACGAGAACGCGGCACATATGCTTTCGCGAAAGGGTCACGCAACACTGAACTGTATCCCGCTTCCCTTCCACCTGGCGGAAACAGCACCAGCCTACTTCCGCGAAGCTATTTTGGCAGCAGATGAACAATGGAGTCAACATCGTCCGTTAATCGACACCCTCGCCTTGTCCCAGAAAGCCGGCGGGTTCGGGAAGGGAGCGTTTAGGAAGAGTATGGTGAAGGAGATGCCTTATTTTCATGTTTGGTTTGGACTTGATGGCGGATTGGGACATGTGGTTGAGGATGCTGCGAGGTGGCCTAGGGGGGATCTGTTTGCTAGGGAGGTGGTGGGGGGGATGTTGGATAAAGGGCCGGAGGTTGTGAAGAGGCAGGGACGATGGGAGAGGAGGGATGCTAGAGTTGAACGGTTCAGGAAGAAGTGGGGGGAGTTTGATTGGACAGGGGTTTTGATGGAGGGATGAGAGGATCGGCCGCTGTAAATTGTTATCGGGGATTGAAGGAAACGTGTTTTCGCAGACCCGGTCCAAAGAAGAAGTTGGGGGGCAAGCTTCGCAATTCATCGAGCCGGCGATTCACCTGTCCCTTTACAAAGCTGGCGCGCTAATCGAAGTTGACCTTCTTAGCGCCGAAACTAGCTCACCGCCTCGAGATGAAGTGAATGGTAGAAGTCGCTTGCCTAATGAGGTATAGCGCCTTCCGATCCGGCGGTCAAGCATTCTTGCGAGGCCTTCGCTATGCTCCACCCCTTCGCAGCTCCTTCCTCGACATCTCCTCCCCGCTGATCGCCTCACCGCTCTTTACATCCTCATCTCGGACGACTTCTCGCATTCTCGTCCTAGTCAGCTCACGTGACCCCCATATCTGCGGTGTCAGTCCTTTCCCACTATCGTGAGGAGGACTTTCCAGAAGGCTCGCCGCTATCGACGTGCTGGAGTCAAGTGGTAGGCAATGTAAGTGAGGAGGTATGGACATCTGACCCTGGCTTGTCTGCATAAGGGAGACATTTGGTGCCGTCGTGCGATCCCCTACATACCTCGTCGTGGCACATTCCCCATCCCTCTCGAGGACGAACGCATGTCAGACGACTACAGCCGCATTCATAGTACGAATATAGCCATTGCTCAGCCCAGCCATGGGTATCAACGGCTTGCGCAGTCAGATCCTCGGTACATACAGCCTCACACCACCTCCTGCCAAGTCCACGGCCAGCGCTAACCATCACTAATCCAACTGTAGCCAACGCGGCCGAACTCTTCCTCCACAAAAACACCGGCCCCCTCGACCTCCCCCCAAAACTCCTCCTCCTCATCATCCGCCGCAGCGACAAAGGCTACCGCGCCGTCATCCTCTCGAGCAGGATCCTACGCCTCGAGGGACCGGAAGGCCATTCGGCTCAGCAGGCTCTGGAGTTGTTGTTGGAGTTGACGGCGGAGTTGTTGGAGGAGGTATGTGAGACGTGGGAGTATGTTTTTGCGCCGGGGGAGGAGGTGAAGGTTTTTGAAGATGGGGCGAGGATCGTGGTTAGGGAGGGGTGATGGTTTGGGGTTAGATGGGGGCCTGTTCTGGTGGGCAATCGTGAGTGGCGAAAGTGTCGGGATGACTAGGTGGTGGTGCTCGGGGTGAGTGCCTGGCAGATATGAAGGACGAGAGGAGACGGTTCTCATGCTGCCGCTTCTACGCTTCATACCCGATCCGGTCAAGTCGGACAATTGCATACAGTCTCATTACACTTGGTGAGGTCTCCTAGAGGTGGCAGGCGTCACCCGTCGCACTGAACCGGTCATTCGCTAGCTCCGACTCTCGCATTACCAGTCACTCACCATGAAGCACGTCTTGTAGCCCGTGAAGTGACCATCAAGTGAGGGAATATCGAGGTGTCGAGCTTCACCCGAACCTCTGAACGGCACAACCGCTAGCGTGGACTCTGGCGAGGCAAGGAGATCGCCACGACGCACGAGCTTTCATCTTCGCGTCACTTGTGGATGTGCGATGAAAGGGGTTTCTGCGAGGGTGTTCATCCTCATCTAAGGATATTAGCCGGCATTTGCTTCCTCTGCCACTGGGAAGTTTATGGGTAGCATGGCAGCGTGTGCTCATACATCTTGCTATGGGTCTGAACCTCCATCGTGGTAGTACCTGCGGATCGCTTGTTCATTCACGCAACAGGGTGTTTGAGGCGTTCGCTGGCCCAAGCAGGTTCTTGTCATTACTTCGATGATTCGGTTGGCGATACTCCAATGTCTGCATTCGCAGTCCCACTTTACGGCATGGCCTTCATGCTTCCCAGCTGGACCCTATGATGTCTCCAGGCGCATCTCAACCCCTTCAAGCCGCCCTTCCTTATGCTGTGATAAGTAGACAACGATCGACATCCGAGTCGAGGGCCAGCACACTTCACGCTTTGTGACGACCGAGACGAAGCCAGCTCGTAGTGGAGAGTGGTATTTCATCACACCCAAAGATAGCCTCTACATTTCTTCGCACCACAATTGCAAGGCAACTTGTCCTCATTACTCGGATCAGCAGCAGCCTCAGCACGTTGTCGCAGCACCTCTTCCTCTTCCTCCTCATCCTTATCCATATAGTCGAAAGTGAGCTCCGTCCCGGCGGGAACATCCTCAATGGCGAAGAAAGCCAAATCGTAGACTCGCAGATCATGCTTGTTATAGCTGACTGTGTACTGGCGAATATTTGGCTCGCAGCTGTGATTGATGAAACGTGTCGGGCCACCCATGAATTGGCCGTCTACGACATAGCAGGTGTCCGGCGTCAGGTCCTCCGCATCACCAACAAATTTATCCAGGCTGTAAAGGTATGATGACTTGTCCTTTCCGGCCTTTGACTCGCGAACGTCCGCTTCGGCATTAGTGATCACCTCGCCAATGTACGTGTCGATGAACTCGCCCCGGATGAGCTCCTCGTCGCACTTCACGCCCCAACCACGATTGGGAGTCTTGAAGATGACCAAGGGCACTTTCCGGCCTTTCTGAACGACTCGGCTCTTGCAGACAGAACCGCAGTTGCAATTCAGGTTACACTCATAGATCGGATAGCGCTGATCAAGATAGAACGTTTGTAGCTTGCTGGGCATGTGCGGGTTGTCCTTGTTAGGCTTCTGGTACGGAAACCGCTTCGGCAGGTCTGTCGTGTTCACAAAGTAGCCTTTTTCTTGCTTCTGCTGCAGATGCTGCTGGTAGCGTTCCTCGTTCTCTCGCTTGAGCTCTGGCTCGTTGACTGCAGCGAACTCAAGGCAGGTACACAGTCGAGGGTACTCGCATCCGATGTTCTGGCCCATGTGCTGTCTGCATGGATATTGGCATCCTTCGTGTGCATCTGGATCGCTGCGATATACACCAGGCCGTAAGGTGAAACTGTCGATGAAGGTGAAGTCTAGTGAAGGCGCGGTATTGTCGACATAATTCTCCCAGCGTACATTGCGTAGACGGCCTAGCTTGTTCTCGAAAGCTATGCGAATCTGCTGTTCAGCCATGGCTGTGGTCGCATGTGCTGCAGCCTGTAGCATCGGAGCATCTGGTAGGTTAGCTGCATTACGCTTGACGATGCCCTCGTCGCGTGACTATGACCGTCAGTCTTTAGTCTGCATTCCAATGAAGTGAGTTCTTACCTTCTTTGCCAGGATTTTACCTTCCTTTCTCTGCAGTATACCATTGTAGACCTCGAAAGTGCGTGAAACGACTTCACTTGTCGTTGTTATCGAAGAGGAGCTGCCAATGGAAATTACAGAAGTCTCCCGACTGGGGAGTGGAGTGTCCTTCCGCAGTGAGGTGGCAAAGTTGGGTGCGCTCTGAGTATCCGAATCTGATGAGTCGGGTGACTTCCGCTTCAGACCTGGAGTTGTGGGCTGGCCATTTCCATCTACCCGCCGGCCAGCTGAAACGCTTTCCAGGTACAGCTGCACATGATGGAGGCTGGCACTCAATTCCGCCAGGCCATGCCATGAGCATATTGCCCCTGGCGGCACCAAGGGATCTTTTGGAGTCTTCCAGCCAACGAGATACTGCTCCTCCTGGATCGTGTTGTATTAGGTTAGTGTGCGCTATAGGTCTATCGGGTAACTTACATCGTTGTGAAGGCGGTGGCAGATCACCTTAGATACGTGTTTGCACGCGACGCGATATGTATTGGTCTGTGCGTATTGAAGTGAATTCACCGAATAATTGATAGCCGGAGGCATTAAAGAACAAGCTAATAGAGCTAGGCTTGGTAGTAGTGTTTGTCTTCGCTCTTTCTTAACAAGCTCTTGTTATTAACTGCTTGGGGTAGATAGTTAGAAGACTAATAACAAGCGCTGTTAGAGCCTTAGCTTTATATAAAGCTTACGTAAGAGAGCTAATATATATCTATACTAGCGCATACTAGCTATCTAATAGCTATATAGATCTCTTATAGCTATTATCATCTACTATATAACTAAGAAGCGAAATGTTTTCTAAGGTTAAAAGTACTCGAAAGGAGAGGAAGTAGGTAGCTACCGCGATATTCTACCTCAATTAGTAGATAGCAGAATCATACTAGTCCAAAGCATGTTCGGAGCTAGCGTCCTCTAAAGCCGACCATAGTCAAAATTTCCAAAAGCTCCAGCAAGTCTTTCGTCTTGCGCCGACTACATTCGTGATCATATCTCACAATGGCGCAACCTGCGAACCCCTTCATGCGACAGCTAACATCGAGCGGTACGTCTCCATAACCTCAATTCTTGACTTTCGCACCCGCTGATAAACATAACGTTACAGACCGCAAAACCCGCCTCTCAGCCCTCTCATCTCTACGAATATACCTCTCCTCGCGCCCCGCGACACAACCCTTCACCCCTCTCGACCTCCAAAAATTGCACAAAGCACTCTTCTACGCACTATGGATGCAAGACAAACCCCTGCACCAACAAAACCTCAGCAAAGATCTCGCCTCTCTCGTTGACAAGCTAAAGGGACAGGAGAATACTGTTATCTGGTTCGATGCTTTCTGGTTCACCATATCCCGAGAATGGAGCGGGATAGATGCATTGCGGATGGATAAATTTCTATTTCTGGTCCGCTGTTCTTTGGCGAAGATTTTTGAGATTTGTGTACAGCAGGGTTGGCAGGGCGAGGTTGTGGAAGGGTTGTTGGAGGGATTGGAGAACAGTCCTTTGAGCGCGAGAGATGGGAAGGTGCCGGATGGGTTGAGGTATCATATCATTGATATCTACGTGGATGAGCTGGACAAGGTAGATGTGAAGCGTGAGGTTGTGCTTCAGGAAGCTTTGGCGCCGCTGAGGAAGTTGGGAGAGGAGACGTTGAGTAAGGTCGTCAGGAAGAGGGTTAAGGAAGCGTTGCAGGATGAGAGGGTAAGTGATTGGAAGGGCGAGAAGGCTGAAGAGCAGAATGGAGATGCAGACGTGGACGGCTCTGACAATGAGGACTTCGGTGGCTTCGACGATTGATACGACACGGCGTCGAGCATTTGACAATTAGCGTAGGAGTTCGGCAAGTTCAATACCCAGAGGACCGGATATGAAGATAGCTGATCTATGATTTTCTACGACCTATCCAAGATTCGTTCTACCCAATAAGATCCACGCCACCTGCTTGCCCGTCACCAACTCCAGAACCTGATCAACCTAGCACTTGAGCGAGAACTTCGCGCTGCGGTCCGCATTCATAGCACCCCAGTGCGTCTCATCCTGCTTGCTGCCGTTGTCACCAATGCTGACTGGCTTCCATGGCTCGTCGAAGGCCTCGAAGTAGAAGACATTGACACCCCAGTCAAGCAGACCACAGACCGCCTGGCTGTAGAACTCGCTTGCAAGCTGGGTGCTAGCAGTAGCAGGGCCGTAGTTAGTGCCGCCATCAGTAGGCCAGCCGGTCTCGCCATTCCAGAACTCGATCTTGTCGAGCGAACCAGAGATGGACTGGACGCGGCCGAGAGCTTGCTGGACATCGTCGAAGTAGGTGTAAGTGGCGCCAGCGCCGACTTCCTTGCCCTGCCAGTAGCTAAAGGCGTTGGCGAGGATGAGATCGACACCGCCTTTGATCACGGCATCGGCCGTACCATCGGCGATCTTGTTCCAGCTGTCTGCTGTGCCGACCTTGATGTTGGGGAGGACAGACTTGATGTCGTTGATCTTCTCGAGCAACTGCTCGCCGGTGAAATTACCACGGTAGAGCGTCTCGCTGCCGACGGTGACGGCGTAGACCTGATCGGGGTATTGGGTAGCATAGGTGGTCAAGGCCTGCTTGTCGGCGTTGTAGCTTTCTTCGACATCGGGCCATACGCCCAAGATGACCTTGAAACCCTTGTTCTTAGCGGCGGGCAGGATCTGCTGAGCGCAGTTGCAGTCGCTGGCGGCATAGCCGCGGACGAGCGTGGAGCCAGAGGCGGCCTGGATGGCGGAGAAGTCGTCTTCGTAGTCCTGGGTGTACTTGCAGCTGCCGTCAGGCTTTTTCGTGCCGAGAGCAAAGCCTAAGTTGCCTTTGCTAGACTGTGCGCTAACGGAGGCTGCAGCGAGCGCGATGCTCGCGAACAGGGTGGTGGTGCGCATATTGGTTGTGATTACCCGCAACGTTATTCTTAATCAATGTGCCGCGGTTTCAGGTATGGGTCAGGTAATAGAATGTGTGGTGATCCCAGAGTGTCTGAATCTGGGGTATGTAAAGGAACGACTGCACAATGCGTGCGAAAGGAATGTGTATAGAAGAGAGGGTAGCGTAATATAGTGAAGGAGAACAAGCGGTTGGATCAGTGTCTGAGGAGCGCGTCTCGAAGCTCAGGGGAGGTATTTAAGGTTCTCGCTTAGCTCAGGCGTTTGGCGCTAGTTCACGTGCAAAAAATATTCGAGTGACCAGGTCCATTAGCTGTGTGCGACTTTTGCCTACACCCACTGCTTTGCAAAAGAACCACAATGGCCGCCACAAAACGAAAAGAAGCACCATCAGCAGCTGCCAAGGACGTGAAGAAGCAAAAGACAGTGCAAAACAAGAAAAGCAGACTCGACGCAGCAGCAGCAGAAGACGAAGAAATTGGTGGGTTCTCCGATGGCGAGGATAATGCAGTAAGAGCGCCGCCAGCGAAAATCAACGGCAGTAGCAACAACAATGATTCGAAGAACTTCAAGCTGGAGACATCATCAGCTGAAGCGCATGCGAAGCAGAGACAACTGGCCAAGGAACGGAAAGCTGCCAAGCCCAACGCAGATGTCATCGCCCGGAGCAAGAAGATCTGGGAACGTCTCAGACGGAAGAGCCATGTTCCACTTGAGGAACGCAAGCAGCTTACCGCTGAGTTGTTCGAGATCATCACTGGACGAGTGCGGGAATTCGTGTTCAAGCACGACAGTGTGCGAGTTATACAGACAGCACTGAAGTACGCCGATCGCACACAGCGAAGGATCATCGTGGAGGAGCTGAAGGGTGATGTGCGAGAGCTGGTAGAGAGTCGGTACGGCAAATTCTTGGTTGCAAAGATGGTGGTGGAAGGTGACCAGCAGGTCCGAAACACTATCGTACCGCAATTCTATAGCGGTGTGAAGAAGTTGATCAACCATCCCGAGGCTGGTTGGATTGTGGACGATATATATCGTCAGATTGCGACCCCGCAACAGAAAGCTGTCATGCTACGGGAGTGGTATGGACAAGAATTTGCACTCGCCAATCGCAACGTCCAGGCCGAGGATGCAGAGAAGGAGTCGGCGGATTTGAAAGCGATACTGGAGAAGGCGCCTGAGAAGCGACGACCCATCCTTGAGCATCTTCTGCAGATGATCAACTCGCTTATACAAAAGAAGATGACAGGCTTCACCATGGTCCACGATGCCATGCTGCAGTACTTTTTAGCATTATCTCCTGGCACAGAAGAGTTCACGGACTTCCTGGAGCTCCTCAAGGCCGACATAGAGACGAAGGCGGAGGCGAAGGACAGTACAGATGCAGCTGGTGGCGGCGATCTTTACCGCAATCTAGCGTTCACGAAGAGCGGCAGCAGATTAGTGTGCCTAGCTCTTGCATACGGCAGTGCAAAGGACCGCAAAGTCATCTTGAGGTGCTACAAAGACAACGTCGAGCTCATGTCATTGGATCAATACGCCAAGATGGTGCTGATCACAGGTCTCGATGTACCCGACGATGTCAAGATGAGCGGCAAAGCTATCTTATCTGAGCTGCTTGGCCAGAGCGTAGAAGGCGAGGAAGCACGACTGAACAGGTTGGAGGAAGTGTCGACCAACCTGATCTCTCGCGTACCATTACTTTACCCACTCGCAGGTGATGCGAAATGGTTGATGAACGACCAGGACAAAGCCCTGCTCACAGAAATCCACGAGATACGAAAGATCACGTCGAAGAAAGATCCAGATCTGCGACGGAAAGGGTTGATGGAGTATCTTGCTCCTCCCATGCTCGAGTTCGTGGCGAAGAGATGTGGGAATTTGGTGAAGACGAGTTTTGGATGCCAAGTCATAACCGAGACACTTCTAGAAGCCAGTAGCGACTCAGCTACAACGCAAAAAGAAGATGCCAAGACCGCTGTGGCGCAGCTTGCACAAGGCAATCCATTGGACGCTGAGCACGTCGCCGCGAACGCGGCAGCTGGTCGCATGCTGAAGACGCTTGTGCTTGGTGGTGCATTTAATCCAGAGACCAAGACGACGAAGCTTGCGGAGGGTGAACTAGGTTTCGCCGATGCGCTATTCCCTGTCATCTCTGACACTTTGGTTGACTGGGCATGCTCGCCGAGCTCATTCGTCGTCGTGGCTTTGCTCGAGAGCGAAGATGTATCAGATGACACAAAGAGTCAGGTACGCAATGCGCTGGAGCAGGGCAAGAAGAGCATTGAGAAAGCAGCCAAAGGAGCCGACGTCGCGAAAGCCGATGCTGGATCTGATGGTGAGAAGAGTAAGAAAAAGAAAGCGGAGGGAGGGAAGGGCAACGCTGGTGCAAAGATTCTGTTGGTGAAGCTAAAAGCTTAGTGTAGAATTGAGCATGTATCAACACTGCCGCACGGAATCATCTTCGTGCGGGCGACACATTGCTCCTGTGTCGTGGTGCGTACAGTCCGCTCAGATCTCCAGAGCTTGCATATCATTTCGTCTGGGCACGCAGCCACCGTAGCACTATGGCGTGAATCCTGTCGCCGCTTACATCTTCCATATCATCTTCATGCCATCCACCAGGTCCTTCAGACGTGCTTCGACACCCTTGAGCCTGTCATCGTTCTTCTTCCGATCTTCGACAGACTTCTGAGCCAAGGTATTGTGACGCTTATTGGACTTCTCGAGCTGCACCTCGAGGTCCGTCAAGCGCTTGTCGTTGATGCCATCGCCATCGGCAATGCCTTTCTCGATCTTGCCAATACGAGCATTGACACCCTCGATCTCGGTATCGAAGCTGGTGATTGTGGCACGAAACTCTTCGATCGACCCTTTCTCCGTAGCAGGACTGGGAGGCTTGAGAGTGTCGATGCGCTCAGCAAGCGACATGATGTATCTCGACATGTCTTCTTGCTTCTCATTGATCTCAACGAGTTCGTCTTCGATCTGCTGACTGATGTGGTTCTTGAGCTGCTCGGGAAGCAGCTTCGTTGAGTCGCGTAACTCTACGCACTCCTGCTTTGCCTGCTCGGCCTTATCGTGAGACTTCGCAGCAGTCTTCTTCACCGAGTCCACATCGTTGATACGCTCCTCCTTCTCAGCCTGCAGGGCGCAGCTCAGCTCGCACAGTTCTTCGCGAAAGCTCAGAGAAGTTGCGTTGCAGTCCTTGAGGGTGACAGCAAGCGATTGCAGCTTCTCGCTCACCAGCTCGCTCAATTTAGATCGCTTCTCCCTTTCCTCAGCGACCTCGAGTTCGAGGTCAGAGATACGGTCTTTCAGCTCATTGACCTGTTCGTCCCCAGATCCAATAGCGCTGAGTGCCTCCGCGGGCACAACCGGCTGCTGTTGCATGTTTGCATAAAGAGCCTCAACGTTCTTCTTCGTGAAGTACATATCTTGACCGACTCTCAGAAATTCGCGATCGTAGAGCGCTGACATGCTTGCGCGAGACTTCGCCTCGATCTGCATCCAGGCATTGAGACTTCCAAGCTTGTCCTCGATCATTTGCAGGCCAGTGGACGCAGTCGAAGTTGAAGCAGGTTGGCTTGCAGTAACTACGATCTGCTGCATCTTTGACTCAAGCTCATTGAGGCGTTCGTCGATTGTCTTGGGAAGATCTTCCTGGTACGTGGCCTCAAGGTCATTATGACTGTAATTGTTCTGTCGTCGGTGTCAGCCAATTCCCATCTGGTGAGGCTGCGTGTTTGGACTACCATGTTCGTTCCCATGTTGGCGGCAGCTATGTGTCGCGTCATAGAGAGGCTGAGGTATGTTAGGAGGTTGAATCACGTTGCGGTTACAATATCTCAGGTTGTGCCCTCGAAACTGATGTGAATGTGCGAACCAAGCTTCTAGCTTCTTCTTGGCTCATCGACGAAGAGGGAAAGTGCGATGTTATCTCGTTTGCATGTGTTCCTTCCCCATGGAGAAGGAGAATACGCCCTGATCCGACCTGCGACAGACGACACTCCAAGGAATTCAAGCGACCGATGGTCATATCGTGGCAATAAGTCAACACGATGAGACTCGATCCCGGACTCCACTGCTTCTGAAGCCGCGGACGTCTCCAGCATCTAGTGCAGCCTCATCACGATATCCAAGATCTCTCGGAGCGTCACAATTCCTTCACAGCCTTCTGGGCCTCCTCAAATGCCTCGTAGTAGGAGCCATACATGGCGAGACGACAGAGCACACGATCTCGCGACTGCCACACCTCAACTGTCGTGCCTTCGAACGGCCCACGAACCTCCTCCGAACTGTCAGCCATCGTAGTGAGATCTGAGTAGTAGCGGTATAGCATGTCTTACGTGTAAGCATTATCGATGAGTCTCTCTTGCTCATGCTTCCGGGTAATCGCTTTCGCGAAGTTCTTGAGTTTGTGCTGTACTATTGTTAGCAGGCAGGTTTGGATACTGAGAGATGCAAATAAAACATACCACGTCCTTCTTGAGCTTATCGGGCGGCTTGTTACCTGTTTTACTCGAGTCTTCATTCCCTACCTGGCTAGATCCGCCTGTGGCAAGGCGCGCTTCGATAGTGATGACTCTAGCCAGAAGTTCGGTCTCGAGACTATCAAAACGTCCTTGGAGTTGCTCGCGCTCGAAGTCCAGATCAACAATAAAGTCTTTCGAAGGTGTAGGCAGTTGGCAAGGTCCGTCTTCACGTCCTCCTGTAGTATCAAGGCCATCCAGCTCGTGCTTCAGTGCAGTGAAAAGAACCTTCGAGTTGAGCTTGTAGGTTGTGAGCTTCTCGAGGTGTCTCTCGGTCCTGATTAAGCGAGCCTCTTGTACCTCAAAGCGCTGCTGATACTGCTCGAGTAATTGGCCCACGACACGAAAACGATCGTCGTTGAGCGAGCCGTGGTCGCCGTATGGATCTAAAACCTAGCTGTCAGCGGGTTGTGGCCGTAAGATGGGCTCATCCGAGCAACACACCCTCGGTGGAGTTCTCAGAGGACGCATAGCCTGTTAGATTGGCCTTTGTATGTGGCACTTGCTCGACCTCATCACAGCATCTGCGCTCGAGGTCTGTCATACGCTCGGCCAGCTCTGTGTTGGCATTCTGCAGGTCCTCGCATCGTGTGCGTAACTGTGTGACGTCGCTGACGAGGTTGGTAATGCTCTCCTGCATGATCAGGTCGTGGGCTGACGTAAAGAGGTGCTGGGAGATGTCAACATCGCTTTAAGATACTTGGGAGCGGGACGAACAACCTTCACGGGCTGCGAGTCGTGCTGCTTGTCATACTCTCCGCTGTATGGCACAACAGCTGTGCTAGAGGCGTTCGAGGTCAACATCGCCGCTCCTAGTGACGATCCGGAAAACTTGGGTTTGCAGAATTCTCGTATGTCAACAAAGCTGATTGTTGTGCTTCATGCGATTTCTTGACGGCATGAAAATGATCATGCAACCATCCACGGAAATAGCAAGAGCGCAGTGTTGGCAATATTGGCAAGAACGACCGACCTACCAGACGCCATCATGAGAACTCATAAGCAAAGTCGATGCAGGCATTCCGAGCATTCAGCGACCGCCAGACTGATACGATCAGGTAGGCATCACGATATTTCACATTGTGTCCGGGTCTTCTGGAAGACATATTGATATCTAGCTATCGGGCGTGGACAAATGAAATATGAAGAGTCGAGTTGATGAGTTGATGGAGACGGCAAGATTCCGTCATGGCGGTATGGCGGCGTGGGCCGCAACGGCGTTCGAAGCGTAAAAGTGGAGTCAGGGTTCGCGGATCATGATTCTGTAGAACGCGCGTTGGTGTATGTTCAGTGTTGCTGCTGATGGGCATACATTTTGAGCATACCCTCCTCCCTCGCTCGAAATCACAAACGACGGCCTACCTCCTGAGGCGAAGTCCATCCCTTATCAATACGACACTGAACACGACAGGAAATCCAGGGCCATCAGCACGGTGTTTCATCCATCCGCGTGCCTAAGGATTCCGACTTGCAGCACCCTGAGCATAATAATATTCCGGATCATCATCCCACTACACAGTCGTTCACGCCCGACATACCTCAACAAATGCAGTACTCGCAGCATATACACATCCTAAGCGCGGAGCGCTAGCTCAATGGCCTCGGACGATCCAGCGCACCGCCGTAATCAGTCGACAAATTCCATCCCCCTCCAAGACCTCAATGGCAACGGCACACAAGAGCATGGCCTGGGTGTCATCAGGAGTGAGTCGCATAGGCGAACGCTTAGTGATCGTGGACGAGCGTTGTTCGTGCGAGGTCGGGACCGACCCGAGAACAGACGGTATGCGCCCATCAACGAGCGCTCGCCTAGCCCACCACAACGACCATCACGCGGCACACCTCTGTCGCCAATCGCCATAGTGACCACACCAGATGGCGCTTCATCACGCATACCTGACCAGGATGACGAAGCGGGTATGTCACCTGTTGACGACCGTGGAGCATTTCAGGCCGCCATTGGCTTTGCGGGACTGAGCTTCAATGCAGGCTTCGATTCTCCTGACGAGGATGATGACGATGCGATTAAGGTGACGCCGCCACGACCTTCGAGATCGAGTCGGCCAACACTACCGACCATACGAACAATAAAAGACCCGGATGACATGGTTGCTGTGGAGCTGAATGATGGGCCGGATTTCTTCTCGCCGATTACAGGACATGCAGACGAGGAGGATACCATGCCGCTTACCGATGCCGCACGTATGCGATCGTCTACACTTGCGGCACCAGTCACACCCGATGGTCAACGGCACGACAGACAACGATCTCGAGCCAACTCAAACCTGAGTGTCCGCTTTTCTCCAGGACGTGGTCGAAGTAGCTCATACTTGGGCGACGATTTGCCACGACTAGAAGCAGGGAGTCGGACATCTGGGTCCGATTACGATGGAACGAATTCAAGTCGCCATCGTTCATTGTCACCCTCAGCTGCAGAATCGCCATTCCAACGGACTGGAACTATGCTGAGGAAGATGTCTCAGCGGGTGGTCAACGTCAGCAACGAGTCAGACATAGTTGAGCGAAGTAGGCAACGAAAGCTGTCTTCGGCGAGGCGTCCATCGATCGTCGGTCCTCCTTCGGGACATGTAAGTCCGAATATTGGAATGGACGGTGCACCGCCCTCACCAGCAAGCGAAAAGGCTGTATCTCCGATCATTGCACCAGACACGCCACCTGAATTGCCGGTAACTGATCGCAATCCACTGCGCGGCAAAGCACTTGGTATACTACCTCCAGAAAGCAAGCTGCGACAGCGACTTCTCGCACTACTTGTCCATCCCCTGTTCGAGCCTATGATATTACTTCTCATCGTCATACAGACCATCGTACTTTCAATCGACGCTGCAAACAGTGTCTACGACGAGGCCGATCACAGGCCCTTGAAGTGGGGCCACCACTGGACAGACTTTACGCTGTTCGCGATCTTCAACGTCTACACGGTCGAGATCGCGATCAAGGTTATGGTATCTGGGTTTGTGTTCAATCCTCGCGAGTACAGCACTATAGACCGGAGCGTCAGCCTCCAGAAAGCCCTGGCGAAGAAAGCGAATGATCTCTTCGCGCTTCAAAGGAAACACTCAGTCAGGGGCAGGCAGGATGAATTCAGTGTCAGCCAACCAGAGCCGCCATCGCTCTTACGAACCTTCACAGCTCAGCCATTCGAAGATGTGCCTGGTGGCTCACGACAAGCCCAGCGACATCGTCTGGCTTACCGAGCATTTCTGCGGCATTCCTTCAATCGCCTTGATTTTATTGCAGTGGTATGTTTCTGGATTAGCTTCGTGCTCTCGGCATCTGGTGTCGAGGCCAATCATCACCTCTACGTCTTCCGCATGATGAGCTGTCTGCGTATAGTACGGTTGCTTGGCATTACTAGCGGCACTTCCGTGATTCTGCGCAGTCTGAAGCGAGCGGCCCCGACGCTTCTCAATGTCGCTTTCCTCATCGGCTTCTTTTGGCTGCTGTTCGCGATTATTGGTTTGCAGAGCTTCAAGTCAAGCTTTCGCAGAACATGTGTGTGGAACTGGCAAAACCAGACAGAGCCCACGCAGGGTGAATATGTGCTGAACGCATACGGCAACTTCCAATTCTGCGGTGGTTGGATCGCGGCAAATAACACACCCATGCCATGGTTACTGGCGTCTGGTGTCCCTAACTCGGGTGAGCCAAAAGGCTACTGGTGTCCGTTCGGTTCGACCTGCGTGGAAGGAGAAAATCCGTACAGCGGTACTGTGAGCTTCGACAACATTCTACAATCTATTGAGCTGGTCTTCGTCGTCATGACATCAAACACTTTCTCCGACTTGATGTACTACCTTACGGACAGCGACTATCTAGCAGCGGCCATCTTCTTCGCTTGTGGCATTGTCTTCCTATCGTTCTGGCTTCTCAACTTGCTAATCGCAGTCATCACATCAAGTTTCCAGGTCATTCGAGAGGAGAGCAGGAGTAGTGCCTTCATGGTAGACGACCACGATCCGACGGAGGATGAAAAGCACTTTACTGAAGATCGCCCAAAACGTCGTTCGCATGGTCTGAAGAAGATATACGACAAACTACACTGGCTCTGGATCGCTGTCATTGTCTATGGATTGGTCGTGCAATGCCTCCGGACTGCCTATAACCGGCCAGACACAACTCATTTCATTAATGCTTCAGAGCTTATTGTCACTGTTGTACTGCTCATCGAGATCGTGCTACGCTTTGCAGCCGATTGGCGCGACTTCTACCGACATCGCCGCAATTGGGTCGATTTGGGACTTGTCATCATCACATGTGTCATCCAGGTCCCGATGATACGACATTCTGGACAGCCATACGCTTGGCTCACTATCTTTCAGGTTTTGCGGATATACCGAGTCGTTCTGGCTGTCAAGCTCACCCGAGATCTCATCACACTTGTCTTGCGACACGTCTCTGGTATCCTGAACTTGATCCTTTTCGTGTTCTTGCTCACCTACCTCGCGGCCATCTTTGCATCTCAATTGTTCCGTGGCGAGCTCCCACCGCAAGACGACGCTGGCAATGACATCTACGTCAACTTCAGCACGATCTACAACTCGTTTCTGGGCATGTACCAGATTCTGTCCTCCGAGAATTGGACGACGATCCTGTACAACGTTACGCGCTTTGATGTACAGTACGGCACAGCTTGGATCGGCGCCACATTCTTCATCTTGTGGTTCATTCTGGCCTTCTTCATCGTACTGAATATGTTTATTGCTGTCATCCAGGAGAATTTTGACGTCAGCGAGGATCAGAAGCGGCTGCAGCAGGTCAGGATGTTCTTGCAGCAGAAGGAGACACAGCTTGGTAGCTCGAATCACGGGACTCTATCACTGAGCACGATCTTCAAGTTTGGCTATGCGAAGCGACAGGATCCGCTGGACTTTGGCAACGCTGCGGTGGACATGCTGCTGAAAGATGCCGTAGTCAGGGACTTTCTTGATGAAGAAGAGAATGCGGATGGAGAACCTGCAACACCTGCCTCCGGCATTAAGCACACTGGCACGAATTTTGTGAAAGAGAGCAGTGGATGGTTGGAGACTGCACGAGATTGGACTGTCAACAAGCTCTTTCGTCGTGAACCGAATCCCTTCTATGCTCGACTACAGCTCTCAAAAGCATACGAGGAGCTCGACCCGCAAACCCTGGCCAGAGAAGTGGTTGAGGCGACTGAACAGCGCAAAGTAACGCAGAGAGAATACTTGGGTCGCCACCCAAACTACAACGTCTCGCTCTTCATGTTCAGACCAGACAACCCTGTCCGAAGATTCTGCCAGCGCATTGTCGGTCCAGGTCGAGGTAGTGATCGTATACAAGGTCTCGATCCAAATCCGACGATTTGGTACACCTTCTCGATTTTTATCTACATGGCCATTGTGGCAATGGTGCTCCTGGCTTGTGTGACCACGCCGCTATTCCAACAAGAGTACTTCAGGAAACATCGCGACCTCAGCATGAGTCTCAATTGGTTCTCATACACGGATATGGGATTTGCTGCCTTGTTCACGATCGAGGCGATCATCAAAGTGATTGCGGATGGCTTCTTCTGGACACCTAATGCTTACTTCCGCAGCTCGTGGGGTTTCATCGACGGTATAGTGCTCATCACACTTTGGGTCAATGTTGTCACCTTGCTATACAATCCGAGCGGAGGCTCTCGTGCTGTCGGCGCTTTCAAAGCACTAAGAGCCCTGCGATTGCTGAACGTCAGTGACAGCGCTAGAGATACATTCCACTCTGTCATTGTACTGGGCGGCTGGAAGGTTGTATCTGCGGCCTTCGTATCGCTGAGCTTGCTCATTCCATTCGCCATCTACGGCCTGAACTTGTTTGCCGGACAAATGCAAGAATGCAACGACTCATCTGGTGCTGTCTATAACCTCAGCGACTGTGTGGGTGAGTACATGGCTTCGCCATATAACTGGAACTTTCCAGCACCACGGCTAGCATCGAACAGCTACTATGACTTCGACTCGTTCGGCGGTGCGCTCTTCATTCTCTTCCAGATTGTCTCACAGGAAGGCTGGATTGATGTCCAGCAGAGGGCGACGTCTATCACAGGCATCTTTACACAACCCAGTCAGTTCTCACGGATGGGCAACGCCATCTTCTTCGTCATCTTCAACTTACTCGGAGCCGTCTTCGTCTTGACATTGTTCGTATCTGTCTTCATGCGCAATTACACGGAGCAGACTGGCGTGGCGTTCTTGACAACCGACCAACGGTCATGGCTAGAGCTACGGAAGCTACTGCGGCAAGTAGCTCCTAGCAAACGACCAAACACGAAGAAGAAGCGAGAAGGCTGGCAAGAATGGTGCTACCGTCGTGCAGTCACCAAGAATGGTAGATGGCAGCGTAGTGTGACCATCATCCTGGTCGTGCATCTGATATTGCTCTGCCTGGAGTGGTATCCCGAATCGAATGGTTGGCCGAGAGTGCGAGATTACATTTTCCTCGGCTTCACGATGCTGTATATCGCAAACATCGTCATCCGAATTGTTGGCCTATCTTGGACACGTTTTCGCAAGAGTGCTTGGGATGTCTACTCCGTCTTCTCCGTTGCAGGCACATTCGTCACGACTATCATCATGCTCACAAACCTCGACAATCGCGACTACCTGCAGGCTCATAACTTGTTCCTGGTGTCTATTGCATTATTGTTGATCCCGAGGAACAACCAGCTTGATCAGCTGTTCAAGACCGCCGCCGCCAGTTTCACAGCAATTGCAAATTTACTAGCCACCTGGTTTGTGCTGTTCTTGGTGTACGCCATAGCGTTGACTCAGACATTCGGTTTGACGAGGTTCAATGCGAATGAAAACAACAATCTTAATGTGCGGACTGTGCCCAAAGCACTGATTCTGCTCTTTCGCACTTCCGTTGGCGAAGGCTGGAATCAAATCATGGAAGATTACGCCACCGTTGTCTGGCCGTACTGCACGGTCGGTGACGACTATCTGGAAGGTGACTGCGGTAGCCCTGAGTGGGCTCGAGCTCTCTTCGTTTCCTGGAACATCCTGAGTATGTACATCTTCGTCAACCTGTTCATCTCGCTTATCTATGAGAGCTTTTCGTATGTGTACCAGAGAAGTAGCGGGCTTTCGGTCATCAGCCGAGAGGAGATCAGGCGCTTCAAGCAGGCTTGGGCAGAGTTCGATCCGAACGGCGCTGGGTACATTTCCAAAGAAGCGTTCCCGCGTTTTCTTGGTGAGCTTTCGGGTGTCTTTGAGATGCGGATATATGATGGCGACTTCACCGTGCGGTCACTTATGGAGGACTGTAAGGTGATACCCAGTGGTGGCTCCGCGCTGCCTCTTGATGGTGGCCCGGGAACGTATGAGATTGACATTGACGCCTTGAATCGGCGGTTGAGAGAGCTGCCTGTGGATGAGATACGAAGGCGACGGACACGCATGAACACGTTCTACGAAGAAGTCCTGGTTTCGGCAGATCCTGACAAGGGCATACCATTCAACGCACTCCTGATGATCTTAGCCCACTACAAGGTCATTAGCGACAACAAGAGTCTGAAGCTGGAAGAATATCTGCGTCGTCGAGCTCGACTCCAACGTGTCGAGGAGGCTGTCAATCGAAATGTTGTGGTGGGCTTCTTCGATACACTCTACTGGTCTCGGCGCTTCAGACGTGCTACAAATGCGAAGAGAAACGCACGCATGACAGCAATACCATCATTCGGCGTTCCGGAGATCTTTGTGCAGGGAGACGAAGACGATGTGTCGGATGCGAAGAAATTCGACGTGCCGTCAGTCAGCGTGACACCCGTCGACTTTGATGTGATTAACACAGCAGCTAGCCTTGGAGTAGGCCGCGCTCCTACCAGTGGCTCAGATGCCGGAACTAGCAGGCCAAGTGCGCAAAGCAGCATGATGCGAAACAGAAGTGGGTCGATACAGCATTCAGATGGCGAAGCTGATCTGGCACCACCCTTGGATCACTCACCTCGCCTGTCAGCACGTCATAGACCATCGGCCTCGTCAAGTAGTATTCAGCCCGACTGGCATTTTGCAGCGGCCATGGAACCCGGGGGACCAGGTATCTCACCACCACCGAGCCCGAACTTGGCGCCTACACCGCCAGGCCCACGAAGTCGTGCTGGAAGTGCCGTCAGCCAGAGCGATATGATGAACGTGTTCTCATCGAGTCCATGGGGTGCGAGTATGGAGCGGACGATGACCACGAGAAGGACAAGCACGAATCCGAGACGGCCATCCTCGTGATGCATCTACGATAGAGGATGAGTAATTTCCAAGCAGGGTGATTCGAATAAAGTGATGAATGTGATTTTTATGGCGTTCTGGAGGGATGATACCAGTATAGATGTCTCGATGGAGGTGCTCCTGTTTGATTATAAAACTTGCAAGCGGTTTCAGCGTATTATACGACACACCTAATAGCATCACATGGCATTTGATGATAGCCTTGTATACGAATCTGTCTTCGCCTTCTGGTGTAAAGTCATCTTGGGCCTATCCTACGGTCATTGAGCCGATATACATCATAATTACGATCGTGTATCTTCGTCATCCCACTGCACCCGCCATTGTTACACAAACACAACCCACTATCTGACGAAATGGCCCTCATAGTAATCTGCAACGCTACGTTACAGCCGTATACAGATCTACAGCCGTTAGGCTGAATGCACCAATCACAATGGAGCGAATCGATTCGCTCTAGTGTGCTTCTCATGTTTGTACTGTTTGAGATACACCCGCCGCACGTCCTCATGCACATCATAACCCCAAATGTGACATCCTCCTCCTTCACTGATTGTGGAGGAGATGACCAGGACCGAATTCGCGGTGCTTGGCCCGCGCTCGTGAGACATCTCGGGGCAATGACCTGCTGATTGCTTGCGTTGCGGGTATCAGTGCAAGATAAGACTCGCACAGCTTCCACTCGATACCACAAGTCCCTCACTTTTTGACCTCATTCGCAACTTAATCGGCACAGGTGGCTTGCGGTGTGCTCTTGGACTGAGACTTGCATTGCGGTGTGCGAGAAGTGGCAGCGTTGCTCTTTCGGACTGCTGGTATTGCTCCGCCACGAGTTTTCAGATACGACTGACAATCCACCGCTGGGCTGGCCTGGGCGCGGACATTGTTCATTTAACACGACTGCCACCTGCAGAGGGCATTTCACTGTAGCGGTCAGCGACTTGCCTGATATTTTTGCACTTACATTTACGAGGACTGGCTCTGTGGATCAGAACAGACTGCGCAGTACTCTTCGAACTCTTACATTACTCTCTGATCGCGCCTCTAAACGAGCCCGACGATCGACTCGACTGCACTCCATTCACAAACTCATACAAGAATGCCTTCTTACAGTCTGCGACCTCTCCGGCCACGGCAGTCCCTCCAACGCCTAAGGACAGTATTCCGACCATCGACACCTCCTACCTCTGCGCCTTCGACTTGCTCAACGTCACCACTATCGGCTGAAAGGTCGATGTCCGGTGTCTCTTCTGGGTGCTCGGGGTTCAGCTTCAGCAACATGTCGTCCTTGTCCTTTGGCGACAGACTAGACACACGACGAGTCATACGACGACAGAAGAGTATGGCCGAATTAGAACAGGACGAGGAAAGACGACTTGACGATGCCCTCGTCAGACTGATCGAGCCGAGACCATACGCAGGTCCTGCACTGGGTGGGATTGAGGAAATGTTGGAGGGTAGTGCATAAGCACTCGGAGGTCTGATGTTATCTGGAGTATGCGTTGGGTCGTGGTATCGGGCATGGTACTGCTGGCTCCACCAGGTCTGGCGCCCAAGTGTTGGCGGTCATTGTCCTTAATGTGTGTCGAACAATCAGTGGCACGAGCTCATCTTGACATGAGCATGGATAGGCAAGGCGACGAACGAACTTGCCACCTGATATCTTGGGACGGTGTAGGTCTATTATAGTGCTCGTACCGATCATGATCATTTCTCCATGAATCTGCCCAGTGTCTCATTGCAGCTTTTGACCAGGATGGAGAATTGGAACAAACGGGTAGTCCTGTCTCCTGCTGACCAAAGCACCTGCTACCAATGGGCACGAGGGTATCTGCCATTGGATGTCTGCATTGCAGCTGCTCTGGCGGATAGTACGCGCTTCCCGAGAGCAGCCGTCTGGAAGCTTTGGCATGTGAAGGAGCACACCAGGCCTCTTTCCCTTTCGTCCATGAATATTGCACGAACACGATGTCGTTCCAAGCTGCAACACCATGTCTGCTATGCTCTACAGTATTAAACAGTCATGGCAATATTAACGAAAGCATGGAACACCATCACAGCGATATGGCGAGCCGTGCTTGACATCACATTCTTCTGGTGGCCAGTATGCATGACCTCGAGCGGATAAGATACAACGACATTTGCTAACATGGACAGCATCTATACGAACGCGTAAACACTAAGCAGCAGACCGAAGCCCTTCTCCAAACACTCGACGAGGCACCGAACTATGAAGAGTGGCATGCAGCGGCTTACCAGCTCGATGAGCTTGTCGGCAACAATGACTGGAGACAGGCGCAGGCAAGCAAGGATTACGATCACAGACTGATATTTGCTCGTGAGAAAGAGCACCTCGCAGCACTCCAGAAGGGCGACCTCATCACTCTTGTGCGATATTTGCGCTGCGGCGTGGTGCGGAACCTAGGCAACATCACCACCCCCAAGCTGTTTAACAGAGCATACTCTGGCACAAAGCTTCTGATTGAGGATTATGTACTACATGCTGCGACTGCAGTCAATTTTGTCAGCGACTATGACACATCTCCTGGTGCTGAGATGACCCATCAGCAGAAACTGGAGACGATGCATGATGCGCGGCTCAGCTTGGGACGTACTTGTCTAATTCTCCAAGGCGGCTCTGTCTTCGGTCTCTGCCATCTGGGCGTGGTCAAGGCCCTTCATCTCAAGGGGTTACTGCCACGAATCATGGTTGGAACAGCCACTGGAGCCTTGATGGCCGCGCTAGTAGGAGTGCATACAGAAGACGAGTTACTGGACTTCCTGAGTGGAGACGGTATCGACCTGAGTGCTTTCACCGACTCGTCGCATCGTGCGGCTGACGCTACCAGCGCAGCGCACACACGACATGGCTGGTTGTCAACACTACTACGTCGCGCAAGGAGATTTGCTCGAGATGGATACCTTCTCGATGTTGACGTGCTCGAAAAGTGTGTACGAGCGAATGTTAGTGACATCACGTTCGAAGAAGCTTACGAGCGCACGAGGCGGGTGCTGAACATTACCATCTCTGAGCTTGTTGACGGCATGCCGACTCTGCTCAATTACTTGACAGCCCCACATGTCTTGATCTGGTCGGCTGCACTGGCTTCGAATGCTTCGGATCCCACTAAGTCACCAGTGACCTTGATGTGCAAGACCAGAGATGGTAGAGTCGAACCCTGGGATCTTGCTGTTCACGCGATGAAGGCAGCGAAGAAGAATTCTACCAAGAAGAAGCGTACTTGGAAAGGAGGCAGAGATACACCACTGTACAGGGTGGCAGAGATGTTCAACGTCAATCACTACGTTGTTTCCCAAGCACGTCCATATCTTGCCCCCTTTCTGTCCCCCACGGCGCATCATTCGAGTTCCCTGCGGTCTAGCCGGGAGTCGTGGACAGCCTTTGCGATGCGGATGATTGCCATGGAAGTTCACCACCAGCTCAGTCAGGCCGACAGATTAGGTCTACTACCAAAAGGCATCCGCCGTCTGCTCATAGATGAGACCGTGCCGGGCGCCTCTTGGACTGTCGTACCCAAGGTTAACGTGAAAGACTTTGAGCGTCTGCTTCGAAACCCAACTCGAGAGGCAGTCGACTACTGGATACTGAAGGGCGAACGATCGGTATGGCCAGCCATTTCAGCTCTCAAGATTCGTTGCACAGTCGAGATCGAGATCGATCGAGCCTACCAATTCGTACGTCGCAGGAGACCATCCAATGGTGAGGTCGAATCACATGCGCCGGCTGGGCAAGGTAATCGGGTGAGTCCTGCCGGTTACTTCGTGGCTGATTCTGTTCATGCTGACTTTGATATCCTTGTAGCAAAGGAGGCAGCAGAGGACTGCATCGCTTGGCGCCTTATAATACCATGACTATTCACTCGGCTACGGAAGCAGACGGAAGTGTACGAGGACGAGAGTATGCCAAGAGTTGTACGCACCATAACTAGGGAACAGCTTTCGGCTGCTGGGCCGAGCCGCCCAACGCCAACAAACATCACACGCACATGCATGCACGTCATTAGTTCTCGCGTTTGCGCCCCTCTGCATGTGAGGACAGTAGCTGCACACCATCTTGGTCACTTGCGAGACATAGATCGGCGAACACAGCTTCTGATACCAACCAAGCCTTTGACCCAATCACAGATCGTCGAGGCGGTACTACAACACCACGCCAGAAATTGCTGTCCGCGAGGAGCTGCGTAATGCTCGACGCTCTGTGAAGCTAATCCTAGTACCGAGCGTGCCGGATGGCAAACTGGAAGTCTCTTGGTCCAGGATCTGTGGTTGGGGCCGCACACAAGACCCTCCTTGTGACCTCACCTCTTCGCCTCTTGGCACTCGTATGTCCAGACCTGCTGCCGTGTTAAGGTACACTCAGCCTCGGGGCGATAAGATACAATATCTTAGGCATGTACTATATCCTCATGCTCCCCTCATTGTTCATTCACTCCACTCCATCGCAACCTCCTCAATTGTGAAGCATTACTTTCGCCACTATGTACGCCGCAAGGACTTATCAGACGACGGTCCAGCCCAAGAAGGGTCTCACTCGCTTCCTACGCAGCTCGAACCAAAGCCCACGACCAGCCGCGGAACGTACTCGAAGCTATAGCAAAGCACCATTAGCGCGGCCACGACTCACAACGTCTCCGAGCTATCGGGCTCCTCCAGCACCCCAGTCAAAGCATGTGCACTTCGGTGGTGCAAAGGTCGTCGGCTACTCTGCCGAGACAAAGTCGGACATGAGACAACCGCAGCGTCCGTCTACTTCACGGCGATCTACATACCATGGTGGAGAGCTGCCGAAGGCCCGCAGTCATCATGGTGGTGACGGCGGACGCACCAAGCATGACTCAGTCAGGACGAAGCGCTGAAGCAGCCTTACTGGTGGCCACCAAGACTTGGATCTGCACAAATACTTCACGCGCCAATGGACTAAGACTTCACACCATTATGAGTGACGATGAAATCATGCCAATAGAACACACCCAATCCCAAGTCACAAACCTTCGTTCGGCTCGCACCTGTTCATTCCGAGGACAAATCGATGACATGACAGTCGACTATGCAAGCCGAATGATGTGGAGTAACGACCTGAGCAAAGAGGCACCCCAAACGATAACTCCGGCCTAGTACACGAAGTGGGTAGTTATCGCTGGCATTCTAGTAAAGTTGTGATCCAGGAATGGTTGGGAGGAAAGTGAGGGTAGAGACCTGATGAGGCGATGATGTACAGTACTATAAAAATAATGCCAAATGCATGCAGCAAAGCATACCACCAGCAGAACAAAATGGGTATCGCAAATCAAATTCCTTTTCGCCATCCCATAAGTTGAATATGACTCTCATGGACCCAACGCAGGATCAAGCTCGTATATTGCACCGCGTTTGCTCAAGACAGTGCCTAATGAAGGCACAACCTCCACCTGAAAAGGCTCGAATGGCACACTCTCGCCATCGACTGCTACCAGACCTTGCTTTTGCTTCCCGGCTCCGCCTAGCCAACGTCCGATCTTGGCACGTACTCGGCGTGTAGAAGGTGTTGGCGCCATCCTCGGCGAGATCCTGTAGGCGAGTACTTTCCGGTAAGAGACTTCCGGGAAGGCCATCAATTTGCCATGCTCGACACTGCTTAGCATTCGCAAAGCCGTCATCCGTGAGAGCATGCCGTCGATGTTTATCATGTCCATCTTGCCATCGGCTGGCAGCGCAGCCTGGAAGAACGGAGCGTCTGGCGACATCCATACCATGTTGCCTGTGTAGAAGTTGCCCAAGGTAGGTAGATCTGCGGTCTCGAAAGTCGCTGGTAACGGATCTGCCACAGTACCATACTTCAGACCTGGTAACAGCTCAGTGTCAAATGTCGCACGGGTGTCTTCGTCTGGTGAAAGTGTCATGTTGTCGTCTAGAGCAGATTGATGCTCTGAAACGGCATGCCGGTAAGACTCGCGGATGGCATGCTTATCGCTACTATCAAGGACGATGGAGACTTCTGCAGGGTAGATAGTCTGGCCTACGATGCGGATGAGAATCCCCCATGTAAATCGGAAGGGTCCCATCCATCGCAAAGTTTCGGTACCCAGATCACTCTCTGCCACAATGCCGACTGCTTGTGACAGGAAGCTGTAGTATCGCTCGCTGCCTTGTGTGATAGCCATAAGATCCATAGGCGTCCTGACGCCCTTGACGATAGCTACAGCAGCCAGGCTGGGTGAGTCAGTCCCGTTGATATTCAGGCTCAGAGCATTACCACTGCCGCAAGGTATCTGCGTGACAGCTACTTGTCGCAGAGCCTTTCGCGCATACTTTTGCTTCGCCAGACCATTAAACACTTCATGAGGCAGACCATCACCACTAGCGCAAGCCACAACATCGAAAGCGTCCACATCCATCTTCTCTGCTATCTCCTTCGCATGCCCTCGATACGCCGTCTTCTCAACGTCCACATCGCATTGCGCCGCAGCGAAGATAGGCTCCACTTCGCGTGTCCAGAGCTGTTGCGCTTTGCCCTGCCCGCCAAAAGGGTTGACCAGGACCTTAATCCTCTTTCTGCGCTTGGTATTGGATGGGTACGCTCTGTTCACAAGTGCAGCTACCCACTGCTTCGCATGCGCATATAGACTCTTGTCCGTCACCGAGTAGTGGATAGACCCGACCTTGCAAGCCTTCTTCCCAGATGGCTGCGCATACTTGATCGTAATTTCGAAATCACTAAGTTCCGCCCAAAGGATGTTGTAAAAAGGCACCGCTCGAGTCGTCTTCGATAATTGGGGCAGCAGGCCGCAGAGATTATCAGGCCTTCTCCTGTGCTTCAGTCCGTCGTCCAATACAATCAAAGCATCCGTACCAAGAGTCAGTGTCGCATTACGGTCCACATTAAGCACAGCGGCTGCTGTGAGCATATCGGTTGTGGACGATACATCGACTCCGGAACCAGCCGGGTCGTCAAACGGGTTGGGTGCGCTGCTTGCCATCTAGATCGCTGCGCTGAGCGAGTGAAGCGCAGTACTTGATGGTTGAGGATTTAGAGACGAAAGGTCAGACGCATTATGTATGGGCAGGAGAGTTTGCTGGTTCGTCAGCGGCTCCAAGCTCGCTTTCGCTCACAAGTTGTGTAACGCGAAAACCGAGGCACAATAATCTAAGTAGGACGGCATTCGACACAGGCAGATGGAATGTGAAATGTTATCGACTATGATGACAATATGGTACAGATTTTTCAGCTTTCTATCGTACACTGTTCCGGCTCTGTCTACCACTGCTTGAATTGCCTGTGCTCGTGGAGTCGATACTAGGCCTTCGCTTCTTCTGCAATTTGCGTCCTGTCGACCCTATACTACTGGACCGAGACCTGCGTGTATGATTATGTAGTGATATTGGTGGTCCGGCTCGGGTCCGTTCGAGAGGCTGCTCCATCGGTTCTGGTGAGTGCAGAGATCCGGGCTTCAATATCTCAAACCCAGAGCCATAGCCTCTTATGACTGGTGAAGCCACCTTTTCAAACGAAGTACGCCTTGGTCGCGACGACTGCAGTGAGGTTGCCGATACAGGCTCTGCTGGCAGCTCACACAACGTGAGAGGAGATATGGGTGAGATGACTGGACTGGATAATGCGGATGTAAATCGGTCTAGACTCTCGCTATTGCGTCTGGTGCCGTGAGCGCTGCCTAGTGGAGTCGTGCTGACTGATGTCGATTTCGGAGATCGAGGCGCAGTCTGGCAGAACTGTGCGAAAGGCGTCACATCAGGCATGCTCGAGCGTCGTACTGAAGCCGGCAGGGCATCGATCTTGGGACTCGAAAATGGATTCATGGGTGACCCCCCGTCGGAAGGCGACTTTTGCATATTACTGAAGTAATCGTTGTGCTGGTTTCCAGTGCGCATAGAGGCAAGCGATGAGTCTCTACTCTGTCCAGGTCTCCTTGTGCGAGGGGTGAGCTGACCGGTCTCTGCGGCCTGCGACCTACGATGACTCGCCATTAGCTCAAGGTCGACAGAGTGATCCTTTGGTCGTGGTGTTGACCGAATGAATAATCGAGGTGCGGCTGCCGTGATAGAATCGGCATCATTGCCACTGTGGCCGGAGTCGTCGCTGTGGTCACCGCTACTAGTGCTGTCTGGCTGCTCACTTGTCGAAGCACGCCGGATAGCTTCCAATGAGTGCTGTTGTGCGATCTCGAACTCCTCGAAGGACGATTGAGTGAGTGAATACCGATGAGAGTAGTTTCGACTGCTCCATTTTTCGTGGGAACACGGCGGATGTCGAGCACGAGTAGGCTTCGTGATGTAATTTTCATTCTCGCAACTTCTGTGGGTGGCTGGCAGCCGTTCTGTTAATATAACACGGTAAGAGTTCGAGCTCGGATCCCTAGTGGATGTGGCGATTGATGGTGGATCTGAGAGTTCTCCAGCAGACCATAGCTGTTTCTCGACATTTGAGATGTTCGAGTCTTTACGATGGCTTCCCTCTGGTGTTGTAGGTCGCGAGACCCAAACGCCGTCAACTTCCAGACCATGTTCCAGCGCGCGGATACCAAATGGTACTTCATCATGCCGCCGTCTCTGGCTCATCTGTCTCTCCACCATCTGTTCTCTCCTCTCCTTCTCTGCAAGTACACTGTACTTCCTGAGCCTCCAATGAGTATATGCTACTTTGGTAGCGCCTGCCACGACGATGACAAGAACAGCACAGCCCAAGAACTGCAAAAGTATGTCAGAAATGTATGGCTTGGCTCGAGTCAGGTAAAGCACGACGTACAAAGCACAACTTCTCCCACATCTGCCAGGTAGTGAAGAATGTCATCCCACCGGCAGGTATGCTTGCAAGCGCAGGAAGAAGTGACGGGAAATTGGTAAGTGCGGCTTCCTGCCTGCATCTGTTCGTAGGTCGTGTTCAAGGAGAATCGCTAGCCGAGACGCCGAGCATTGGACTTAATCGCACTGCGTTGAAGATAATACTTCGCCTGTAGTAGAATGTCAAAGGTTGCACCTTGCCCTTGCCCGAGCTGAAGGACGTGCTTGCTTGTGCTTGATTGCAGAAGGTAAAGCTTGCTTTATCAATCGTTTGTCGTCAATACAGTAGTCGTGAAAGGTTTGCAATCTCATTCAGGTCGCCATGATAGTGAATATCGTAAGTCAATGTAGAGCCGTGCCGGGGCAATGGTAGTCGAAGAAGGTGTGGCAGGTACGTTATTGCCACGAGGATTCACGAGCTTCACGAGCTTCACGAGCATGTGCTACGCATTGAGCGGTGTTAATTCAGTAAGGAATTTGTGCGTTGCGTTCGGCCATGCCGTTCGACCACAGGGACAACAATGTGTATCGTGTCCGATATTGGGGGATCGGCTGGGAGGTTAGTCTACTGCAGCATTGGAAAAAGTTTCCGACGCGTCGGTCGAGGCAAGCAGCTTGACATGGCATCCCCGGTGGATTAGTGTAACACTCGCTTCGTGACCTTCCCGAGCCATTGTCGAGCCGCATGATGCCGTGGACCGTTTTGTGCTACCAGAGGCGTGCTTGCGCGACTGATGGCAGCAAGCTTCAAGAATCGATCGATTCGATCACTCATTAGCCAGCATCAATTTAGGTTGCCGTCGATTGCATGCTACCGTTGTGTCTGGCATTTGTGTCCTTGGCCAACTGGGTGACATGATGTATCTTGACAAGCCGAAACGTGAGGGCGTAGTAGAAGTCGGTTTTCAAAACAAGGGGGAAGCCTAGAAATAGCCTACCATGAAACATGAAGAACGCTACATATCGGCATCGACTTGCTAGAAACGACCACCACAGAGTAGGATCATCTGGCCAACCTGTGAAGTGAGTGTAATAAAAGACGGTTCTATCAGGACGACGGACTGGAGGTGTGAAGAATGTTGTAGAGCGCCAAGCCGGCAGTCCCATGAGCCGCATGTCGTCTCGTCTCGCTTCTATGACTACACTCTACATCCCTTCGTTCCCTTGAGTGCGGCCAGACCACAGAACTGCCTCTATGGTCTTTCTGAAAGTCTCTTCTTGCACGACGATACATTCGAGAGAATCTGGACAAGCTCTACCCCTGTCATGGCTAGCCAAAGTAGCCGCGTGGTGGATGTCTCCTAATTCCCTACGGCTGAAAACTACACATACGATCTGGACACGGTCACTTCGAGCACCGTCGCGTGGTCATGTCTGAGTCGCTTTGCTCCGAGAGCTCGAAGACCAATAGTCAGCTTTGGCCGGTACAGTGTCGTGCTCTCGCAAGGACAGACAACAGTATCTTTTTTGTTCTGTAATGTTCCCAGCGCTGACATGATGGTGGGTCCGGGCCAATAGACGTTACGCTGCAGCTCAATTCAGGACTAGGATCATACATCAGTAAACATTGACGGCATCACGGCTTCTTCCTTCAGAGGGCGATCGTTTACATACTCGGTCCCGGGTGAATATGGATCCAACCTTGGGATGCTTGATCTACTCGCCAGTGCATTAGTATTGGGAGCTAAAGCTCAAAGGTTAGTGAAGGATGGAGATCAACGATGTTGTGATCGCCTCTCTTCGAAATGTGCATATTCGCCAAGGTCTGCAAAGCCTGGGGAGAAGTTGTGAAAGCGATCTAAGGAGTGTGTGACGCCAGTCTGTCCAATGTGTTACGGTGGGATGCCACCGTGCCCACGCGCATGTTTTGTTCACGGCCTTGCGCCCCTTGGATTCTGTCTGGCTAAGACACGCGCTATATTCGCATGTTCATACGATCCCAGAGCCGATCGAGTATACAGACAGGCTACCAAATCCTCGATTCACCTCTCTATACCTCCGTCCAGTATCGCTCGTGCTCGGAGGACACACTGGCAGCAGGATGGCTTGTCTGTCTTAAGAAGAACGCTTGAAATATCGCGGTCCATTCGACTGTCAATCTCTATCTCCTCATCGTCTGAGTGAATGCACGCTGATCGGTCTCAATGCCCACTTTCCGCTGATAGACACTGTGGTGCATCCATTGATCATAATTGTGGATTCAATGAGAACGCGTAAGTTGTGCAAGGACGCCAACGTGATCGAATGAGGAGACCAGAGAGCGAGATACTGAAGTGCGAAGTCGACGAAGGACACGACTACCACCAACATGTTTCAGCATGTTCAAGGCCTTAGAGACATGACGAGGCCTCTATCCAAGAAAGCAACCTTTGCTCTTTCGATGGCTGGACAGGTGTGAACATCGATAGAGGAGGAAGTGGCAGGCCTAGTGCCCTCGTCATCTGAATACATATTGCGTCGCCAAGCTGCGCCAGAACAAAGGTATTGTTTGGACCACTATACATGATATCGCGAATGCAAATAACTTAAAGAAGCTCGTCAAGCATTTCTGTTTCTCTCGTCTCTCATATTCAGCGGCGCAGCAATCTCCTGCACACAGCTCTTGAGTCTAGCATTGCCCGCGCGAGGGTTCGTCGTGTGGGCAACAACCGACGGGTTTCTACAACTAGTAATGGGTCTGGCAGTCTCGTGTAGCCCTCTTGGCGAGATTTAGTCTCCTTCATAGTCTCGGGGCGCATGATCTGACACGGTCGACCAGTCCGACAGTCACAGCATGGATTCTCGTCACAAGCAAGACAAAGACAGTAGCAGCGCATTTGCAGTAGCACGGAGTGATGAGTAACCTGAAACGATGAGCCAAGACATGAATCTGGAATTTGAGCCTTCGAATCCTGGGGAACATGGGCTTCACGACTGCATGATTGGAACAAGCAAATCTTCATTTCAGAACCATCAACGACATGGCCGGGCCACCAAAGAAGCGCCAAAAGCGCGATGAGAAAGAAGAAGGACAGATGCCACAGAAGAAATTTTACCGGCAGCGCGCTCATGCCAATCCCTTTTCCGACCACGACCTGACATAGTAGGAATTCCAATGGTATGGACATCTGACGCCACACTGACTTCGCAGTCCAGAATGCCCTGCCGCAATGGACTGGGCGGAGCGCTTTCCAGCATATGCGGCGACCACACCAGCAGGCATACGTCAAGACAATCTCATAGCAAAGGAAGACCTGGTGAAATATGGTCATCCCAAATTGACGCAGCAAGTCGAATTCGCAGACATCGGCTGTGGCTACGGCGGCCTCCTCTTCGCACTGGCACCAAAACTACCACAAACCATGATCCTCGGCCTCGAGATCCGCACCTCAGTCACCGATTTCGTGCAGGAAAAGGCAAAAGCCTTACGCGTCCAACATGCGTCAGAGGGACTCTATCAAAACGTCTCCTGCATCCGAGCAAACACCATGAAGTTCCTTCCCAACTTCTTCAACAAGGCTCAGCTCTCCAAGATCTTTCTCTGCTTTCCCGACCCGCATTTCAAGACTCGGAAGCACAAGGCGCGGATCGTCAGCACGACGCTCAATTCCGAGTATGCTTTCGTGCTCAAGCCTGGTGGGATGGTCTACACGATCACGGACGTCGAAGACCTTCACATGTGGATGGCAGGGCACTTTGACGCTCATCCTAGCTTCGAGCGCGTGCTCGAGGCGGAGTTGGCAGACGACGAGTGTGTGGAAGTGATGCAGACAGAGACGGAAGAAGGCAAGAAAGTAGAACGAAACGGTGGACAGAAGCACGTGGCAGTGTTCAGAAGGCTCGCAGACCCGCCTTGGCCTTGACGAAGAGGGAAGGGAAGCTGATCAGATTGTTCGTTATGATGTCTAGCTACAAGCCATGCAATGCAGATAGTATGGTACAAGTGTTTCGTGGTCGTCTTTTGTCCCCGATCCTATAGGACCTTCATCATGATGCTACCCAATTCTCGCCGTGTAAATTGGACTTTTACCGCACCACGCAGGATGATTAGTGACGTATCAGGGGTATATGCGTGTAGATCGTTAATATTAGACATAGCTCGTCATGAGCTAGAGTTTGCTCCATTGCTGCTTGCTGGGCTATTGGAAGCAGTAGCGGAGGCCCGTGATCTCTTCCCTCTTTCGAAGTCGAGTGGGCTTTGATTTGTGAAGGAGTAGTTCTTTGGTCCCGTATCCACGACCTTTCGTGGTGTGGCTGCGCGCTTCAGGTCTACGGGAGGGGTGTACTCGTGCGCGAAGAACTCGCTCGGCGGCCGGGGCGATGGCTTTGGTATAGGCGCAGTGACCTGTGGAGGTGGTGGCGGCGGAGGCGCCGTGGAAAACATGCCTAGCATACCCTCGAAGCTGTTGCACTTCTCCGGTAGGTGCATTTGTGGGACGGGCTGGTGTAGCGGCATCTGTTCCCGACTATGTAGTTGTTGCATAAATTGTGGGGGCACGACCATTTCGATCTCGCCCGCAGCATTTATGATGGGGACCAGCTGTGTGTATGCCAGGTCGCTCAGATCAACTTGGGGCTCGGGTACCGGCATGCCATGCTGGACATGCGTTTGCGGCATATGATTTATTGCGGGCGCCTGGAAGTGCGGCTCTTGTAGCACGACGTTCGTATAATGCTGCGGCTGAGGTGGTGGGACTGCTGGCATGGGCGCCACATGAAATGCTTGCGATGGGAAGCTCTGCTGATTTGCTGGAGCTGACTGCGGTGGCGTGTTCTCGTTGATCACATTACTAGCCATACGCTGTTGCATGAAGGATTGCTGATGATACATTGGCGTATGTGGAGGAGACGAGAAATTCTGTCGCTGTGCGAATGTGGTATGTTGTACGGGCAGGCCATGCTCGATTTCCGTCTCGTTGATGCTCGGTTGGCGGTTGAATTGACCGGAGGCTTGCCAACCGGGATGTGCTCGACCCAGATCTGCTTGCTGGAACTCTCTCGGTGACATCGGCGTTGGCGGCGCAAGACTGCTGATCGAGTGCGAAGAGGCATGTCGCAGAATTTTGGGCGAGCTTGCAGCGTCGGCAAAGTTCCATACGAGTGGTGAGCGTTGCGGCGCGCCAGGCATCGCCTTCTGAACACGACCTTGTGCAATGCCTCCCACGACGTTGGATGATCTTATGCGTCGCAACTGAGGTGCGCCCGCAGGGAGGTTATGAAGTGGAACTTGACCAGGAGATCCAGGCTGAGCGGCACCACTGTAGGACTGGCTGCGCATAGCGGCCAAACCGATGGGTGTAGGACGAGGACGTTGCCGACGAGCTGCAATGCTGGCAGGAGGTGCAGGTGTCTTGAATGTAGCGTTCTGCTGAGGTTGTGGTGTATTGAGACCCACATGTCCCATGCTTTGAGCGAGCATTGATGATGTCTGCGATTCCCTGCGCTCGAAGGCATCGTCGATTGGCCAAGCCAGAGACTGCTCTTGAATCTGGTGTGATGATTCTGGATGTCGGGCCTGCGACGCCTGGCGAAACTCCTCATTCAATGCATCAAAGTCAACAGGGACTGATTGCCCTGGCTGCCACTGTGAGTTCGTGGCGACAGGCTGCTGCATTGTGTGCTGAAACGAGTTATCCGGCAAGTTGAGCGACACAGAAGAGCTTCGGCTATCTGCCCAATCAGAGTGTCCAGACGAAATCGATCTTGGCTCACGCATGCTCGAGGTAGACGGGAAAGTCGATATCGAACGCTCTGACAAAGTCGAGGGTATGCTGGAATCGATGCTTGACATTGGTGGTGGGACTGGGCATGGGAAAGTGTATACGTCCTGTTGCTTGACCTGTCCAGGCTGGAGTTCTGGGAAGATCTGGCGCATGATCTGCTGGTCGCCGGAGAAGTCGCCGTTGAACACGTCGTAACTTGCCGTGCCATCCATGAACCCTCCGTTTTGAGCATAAGCATTGAATTGCTCCTGCGTCAGTGTCCTCCGGTTGTATTCCTGTGGGCTGTCAAATGCTTCTGGCTGCATTTGGTGAGGGAATTCGTATGCTTGGGTGTGGTCGGTACTGTGATGAACGCTTTCGTAAAGGTCGTTCTGGCTGATTCCATTGTTGGATCCCACATGTGCTGAAGACCTCTCATCGGAGGCCATCATGGAGGCGTAGTCGTCGGAAGGATACGATGGTGATGTGTCCGAGTCTGAAGCGTAGGAGAGATGGCTAGACTGTCCCTGGGAGGAGGAATAAATGTGGTAGGCTCCCGCAGCTTTCTTTGCATCCTGTTTGGACTTGGCTCGGCGGTTCTGAAACCAATTCTATCACATTTATTCTTAGCCAAAGGATCACAAAGGGGAGGCACAGCGAATCTGCCATGACTTACGTTGACCTTGTCCAGCGACACACCCAGTGTCTCGGCGAATCCCTTCTTCACGTTCGTACTCGGCTTGTTCTGTCTGTTGTACTCACTCTCGAGCATCTCGTGTTGGCTCTTGGTGAGCCGTGGCTTGATATCGACCATCGGCGGTTGTCCATTGGCTGCGTAGTAGGCTGCGTTCTGCGCATCGGCCGACTCTTGATACGCGACTGAGCCCGAGTAGTCGACATAACTCTCCATATCCCGCCAAGGACGCGGTAGCAATCGTGATTCCCACTGCTCAGTGATAAGGATGTATTGCTAAAGTAGGTATGCACGAGTCCTGGTCCTCCGCGGTGGATAGATCTCACGTTGCTCTGACAGCCTGACGACCGCGCGCCGTGGTAGTGGTCAGCGTCAAAACGCAGTTTCCCGGAGTGTGATAAGCGAGTGACTGGGTGATTATCCTCTCAGATACCAGCGGATGACCTCAACGTCGTCCTGCAGTGACGGCAAATAGCGAGCGTGGTGGTGTCGGAGGTAACGATCAGGTCTCACCAGCAGAGATGGCAGCGAGACAGGGCGGAAACAAAGACACATGCGATTGAAGAACGGCCGGCAGCCAGCCAGCCTTCCGTCTTACAACCTTTCGACACGCGGGCCTACTTTACCGGTACTATATGGGCGCCCGTCGCGATTGGCTGCTAAATTTGGGGGTGCAGAAGCTCGTGAGTTGGCCTCCTGGTCGCTACACCGGGCGCCTGGGAAGTGTATCAATCGAGCATACCGTTCGACAGCATGGATCCCGACGTGACTGCCACGAGAACGACTCGTCACGTCGCGCCTTCCACTCTTGCGGTACCGTTTTGTCTCGGGATGGGGAAGGGACAAGTGAGAAGGAGCGACCCCTGGACCGTGCCTTCAGGCTATTTTTGGCTTGATGCGGAGAGCAGATCATCCATGTCTTCCGTGTGGTCCAACGGGCCAACCTCACCAAGTGCGATACTGTGAATCCGCACGGACAGCTTTGAACGACGAGTAGAGCACGATATGCCGTTGACTCTATATAGGAGAAGCATTGCGTGTCGCCGGAAGTTCAGCACACATTCGGCAGCTATTACTGAAGGGGAATGCTCGCAGCTACGCTGGACGGCCACCGAGCCACAACGGCCACCGCGTGAGAAGAGTGGCGGCTAGACATTCACATCCAGGCGACTGCTGCAAGGCACAAGGATGTGGGATCCACTCTAAGCTCGCGCTCGACGATTTCCGCCCCTACAATTTGGTGCTTCTGCTGTTCTCTGTTGTTCCGTGCAAAGCTGTATTCCTCCAGTATCTCGAACGCTCACTAGCGAAGACGGATATGTGTGCGAGCTTAGCACCTCCTTTTCTCCAAAACATTCCACATAGGCGTCAGGCACTGCTCATCGTGGTTCGACGATGGCTCCATCATCCATGCATCAAGCCCCATTGGATCGACATGAGGCACAAGCCAAGCGAGATTTGTGGATAGTGTGAGGCTCTGGAGGGGTTACCTCGACTTCATCCCTAGTCATGCGACCACAACTTTTCATTATCATCTGGGGGCAACGTCGTGATCAGCAGTGGTACACATGGGATTGTACGTGGAGGCGAGCGTGGATGGCATTTCACCTCATAGTGCTTCAGTCGGAACTTTTGAGCTGAAGGAAACGCCTTGTGATCATGATCTAAGATCTAGTGCGCGGTATGGTGAAGTGAGACCTGTGATCATCGAACTTTGAGAAAGGTCTTCCCGACTGCCTCAGGATGATAAAGTACCCCGCTATCACCTAGTCAGATGGTGAGGTTTCGAACAATGATCGCGACTGGCCCCCATGGAAGCCTAATGCCTTTATGATAGATATCGCCTACACCCTGTGAAAGTGACAGTCAAAATCAATGTGTTGTAGCTCTCATCCCCACATAACAAAGCACATAATTCCAACGAAACATGGCAGACCAGAACGAAGACCGCAAGGTTTTCGCCAGAGGCTGGACTTCCTCGATCTACGCCGGCGGCGACATCGACAGGGACAGAGTTGTGAAAGTCCTCGATCGCGACCATACCGCGGAACGAAAAGCGAAGAGCGAAGCTGAGATCCAGAACTACCTTCAATCCCTCTTCGACACAGAAAGGCGTGTATATGAGCGCATATCCTCGCAAACCAGTCAACCAGACAGTCTCCTGCGCTACTACGGCGTGGACACTATGTCGCCGCGTGGATTAACAATGGAGCGTGCTGAAGGTGGTTGTTTTTGGGACCACTTATATGTGCTTCGCGGCCATCTACCAGAGAGAACAGCGCCAGGTGTGCTATTGAAATGGGCACGTCAAGCAGCCGAAGCACTGGCTTTCGTGCATAAGCTGGGCATTTTGCATTGTGATGTCCATGCTGCAAATTTCTTCCTTGATGGCGATCAGAATCTCAAGGTGGCAGATTTTGGTGCAGCGTCCATAGATGGCTCAAAGCCACGCTTACTGTACCGCACCACGCATCAGCTCTGGGTACAAGCCGACGGTGGTGGGTGGCGGAAGGATGTTTCGATCGCGGCGGAAATATTTGCTCTTGGATCTGCTCTGTACAATATCGAAGCCACGCTAGAGCCATTCCAGGACCTAATAGATGCCTCAGACAGTGAAGGTATATTGCAGCGGCTGCGGGAGCGACGAATGCCAAATACTGGTGGTTTGGTACTGGGCCTGGTGATTCAGAGATGCTGGAAGTCGGAGTATCAAACCATGGAAGATGTGCTGGGCGACATTCCTGCTGCTACTGCACCTCGGATGAGATCTTGAGGACACCTGCTATTATCTCACGCTCCATCTCTTCCTCCCGCTCCTCCAATATTACTGCTTAGTCGATCGCCGACCCCTGCAGGCAACGTATGATCCTTGGGGTTGGCGGCTGCTTCGTACAGGAAGTTCACGGGTTCTCGACTAAGCTTCATCCATTCGCCTTTAAATCCAAGATAGCTTATCCTCGTCACATCTTCTTCTCCTTGACTCCAATTATCCTCGAAGAACAAGTCGAGCGAGCGAACGGTGTTGAAGAGAGCTCTTTTGACAGGGTACTCTTGCACTTCGTTGCTCTGCGCGAGTTCGAGAGTCTGGGTGGCTTGCATGGAGGAGGCAGTAGAGAAGTCGAGGTCATCGCGATTGAGGTAGAGTTTCAGTGTTTTGGGAGCGCTGTCCGAGGTAGATGTGCGAAGGAGAATGCTATGAAGACGGATCTGGGCTGTGAAGCTGGGTTTTGTCAGTGGGAGCAATGCCTCGCATGCCATTATATCTCACGGTATATGCATAAGAAGCTGTTCGTCTGCGTCACTGCTCAGCTCGGGCTCGGTACTCAATCTCTCAGTCCATGCTTTTTGCACTATAGCACTGCCGGAGGATGCAGTAGCTTCATTGAGTGTGTTGATGGCCGAGAAGTCTATTTGTTCATATATGTGGTTCTGGAGCGCAGGCGTAATGTCGTCTGTATGGTCGTGCACATGATCGTCATGACCGTGATCGTGGTGTCCTTCGTCGTGGCAATGCGACATCTTTGCGGCGGCTATTGTAGTTGTACGCCTTTGTCAACAACTTTTTGGAGAGAATGACATCGGCAGAATGTGGGGCTGTATCGATTAGGAAGCGCGAGCCGCTGCATGGGCACCAACAAACTCTGCCTCTGATTGAGTCAACCTGTGCACTATCCGAAGGTATGTATTGTGCTTGAGAGCGACAAAATAGGTCTGTAGTCCAGGGACGGTGCTTTGATTGAACGTGGGATGAGTCTGGGACAGCTCGGTGGCATTTGGCTTCATGTACAAGTACCTGTTAGTATCCATAGCAAATGCAATTGTTTGGAAGCCCTTGCCGCCCTCGTCGAGACTGGGTAAATTATTCGCATGTGACCAGCAGCCTGACGAGCAACTATGGCAGTGTATTCCAGGTGGACTTTCTCGTCGCTCCGGGACATTGGCATTTCCTGGCTCACGATGGTAGGATGTTTAACGAAACCACCAATTCACCTAGCACTCGTTAGCTCGGAACACTAAATTCCAACATGCTGCACTTACCGAGCCAGTCATGCCTGTTCCCACGCCTTTAATGCTATGCCACCAACCTTTTGGTATAAACAAGCCACCGCCTCGCTCAACAATGGTCTCGTACGCACTCGTTAACGAGACCTCTGAAGAGCCCCACACTTCTTGCTCCAGTGCTTGCTTCTCGGCGCCCTGCATCATCTCCTCTCCACGCAATGTCGCAGACGCACTTCCTCCAATTTTCTCCTGAACTTTCGCGAACACAGCTCGTCCAGCGTCTGGCTTGAACAGTCGAACCACCTTCGTACCCGCCAGCTGTACAAACAGGTTCGGATTAGGATCGCGATGGAGCGGCGTATATGTAGGGGCTTGTCCTAGCCAGATGGACGAATCATAGACATCCCCCTTTCCTGCCTTGAGAACAAGCTCGGGCGTGGGTAGGTCATCTCGAAGTGCTTGCGGTAGATCATATATTGGCGCCTGAGCGAGGTAGATCTTCGCGGTAGGCGGTGTGATCGCAGCTGCGCTGAAGAAGTCGTTAGATGTAGCGGTTTTCTTGATTGCTCGCGCCCCTGGCACGTACGCGCTGAAGTAGCGGTTCGGTCGGCTTTGGTGTCTGGATTGGGAGGATTGTACGCACTCGAGGAAGAAGCTGAAAGACTGCTCGATCCGGTTGAATTGATGATTACTTGATATCTCCAATGGGACTATAGTTGAGCCAAAGCCAGAGAGGTAAGAGCGGTTCAAAGTGACAGGAGCGCCTTTCTCATCATCTCTTTCGAACCATTTCTGTACCGCTGGCAGGTTGCCAAAAGTGCTTCTGGGCAGGAGTACTGGAAGTGCTGGGAGGAAGGCTTCATTTCGGAATGTCTCGATGTTGGCATCGGGTAACACAGGCACTGGACGCAGACCTCGCTCCGTACCGTATGTCCTACATCTGCCGATACCTGCTATCCGGATCTTTGCAAGCAGCATTGGCGTGCTTGACAGCAGGGATTGGAAGCATGTTCTGAGCTTTGGGTTGATGGAGCTTCTGGACCGTAGAGAGCGCGCTAGACTGCTTTGGGGAGGTGTTCCTCTGACACGTTCAAGTACACCATAGATCCATCCTCTGTCCCGAAAACACGCGGACATGCCGTCTACACTATGCTACTACCATAGCGCTTCATAGTCCAATCAAAGTTCGAAGCGAGATGGCAGCCTTCAAGTCGCATTATACGATGCGGCCTCACTACACCCATCTGCGCGTACTGCATGATGCAGTTGCAGGCGGGACGTATGCTCAGCCTCACCCGGAGAGCGATATCGATGCATAAGACTGGGCCCCTACCTTGTCGAGTACAGTACGTTTCCTAAGTGTATGACATTCGCAAGCAAAACATCTCGGCATCATGGAAGCCGTCGGAGTCGCCGCCAGCATTCTCGGACTGGCAAGTTTGGCTATTCAATTAGGCGAAGGTGCTACCAAGCTCAGGCGCATCTACAAGGCCGTACGCGATGCGCCACAGACGCTGGAAGATACAGCAAACGAACTCATGATTATGGAGCTGCACTTCCGCCAATTGTCTCGCAATCAAATGGGCTACGACGAGGACGCGTTTTTGATCGATGCACTTGTGCAGCGCTGTAAGTCTAGTGTCGGCAAGATCGCAGATGTTGCCACATCCATCGAGAACATAATAGCACGGCAAATGTGAGTATGCACTAACACCTGGACGGCAATCTAGCATAGCATTGCAAGCTCAAGCAAGAACACAAGCAATGCTGATGGAGGATGTTTCTAAGCTACTGGCTCTCTGTGGAAGTAAGACAGCTGCACTGTCACACCCATTAGCCGCTGCTACACCATCGTCAGGGATCGTAGCTGCTGTATCAAGTTCAAACCAGGCATCGAGCCACCAACCTTAGTCATCTGAGGCGGTCAGGCACAAGTACAAGCATCGTACTAAGGAGTGTTGGTCGTTCAAAATTTCACCCTGGTTCAGCCACGCAGTTTGGCAAATAGCCTAGAACAGAGCTGCAGCAGGCTGGACACTGTCCCTCCGCGAATGGAGGGTAGTAAGCGATGCTGCACAAATCTTCCAGATGGTGCACGGAGGAAGCGTCGAGAATGTACGTCAGCTCATCGAGTCTGGCAAGGCTTCGCCACTTGACGTCAACGACTTCGGGCAGAACTTGATTAAGGTATACCAAACCCCGTGTTGAGCTGCACATGAAGGCTGACCCTTGTGTCACATAGATCGCGACGCAAAACTACTACAAATCAGACAAGACTTCGATAATTCGCTATCTTCTGAGTGTGTCCCCTGAGCTGAGACAAATGGATTCTCTTTACCACATTTATGCCAATGTGCGACACGTTCCGGGCTTGCACTCGGAGCTTGTGAAGTCCATTGGTTTTGATGTGCAATCAGTCATCGAATCGTGGATGGAGGGTTCGAGGGCGCCTTCTGAGTCTCGCTTAACGGGCGAGTCCATCCCGCTATCCCTTGTCCGCATCACGAAATCGTCAATCCACAACTTCGATGCTCTTCCGTTACATTTTCGCTTTGAACTTGCGCTGCAGCTGGGTAGCGACTGCACACCAACCGACTTCTTGGAGATTTGTATGCTGGATCACGTTACGGCTGAGCTAGCAGGAATGGCCAGGCTTACAGATGGAGCATCAGCGCTATTGTTCGCTGCCATTGTAATCGCTCAACACTCTCTCTGGGGTACAGAGATCCCAACCTCCGCGAGTTGGACCGCTGATTGGGTCAAATTCGTTATGGAGCCGGTGTGCGCAGGGGCAAACATTCACGGGGTACGAAGCTGGAGGTTCACCCATTCTGCCATTCACCGACGCATCATGGGGTAGAGCTACTCACACCTCTCATGCTCGTTGCTCATCTGAGTGGACGGAACAACGAACGCTTCAAGAGTTGGATCAGCATCATGGAACAAGCAGGGGTTGACCTGATTGAGTACGGCAGGAAGGAGAGCGGAATATGGCAATTGGAATCTCGGCTGGCGGACATGGCGTTCTGGTACGGTAAAACACCCTCGGACTGGACACTGAAGACCCAGATTGTCGACCTTGAAGAGTGGCCCGACGAAGTCAGACCAGGTGACTCGTGCTCTGTCAAGATACTCCTACGTTGTCTAGAGGCCATGCCGGGTGACTTCCCAAATGATTCGTACAGACCAACGACGATCTTCTGGGATCCTCAGATGTTCGAGCATGTCTGGGGCTCTTGGCGTAAGGTCAGTGAAATCGAAGTCATGTGGCACCTCCACCCTAGTGCGCAAGAGCAAGAAGACCAGGCTTGGAAGCATGAGCTCGATATCTCGCGACTACTTTTAGCCGCTCAAGATGATGCCTTTCAGGCTGTATTTCGCCGCGACCTCCGGCTACCTGGGCACAGCGCGCGACGGTGCAGGCGGTCCAGCATGCCGAACAGACTAACCGCGGCTTTACGATATGCATTTATTTTGGGCGGCTGGACATATCACAAATGCATAGTGCCCGGACGTCGACGCGCTGACCTTTTTCATCCGCGCGGCGGGTACTCTGACTGTTTCGCCGAGCACATGGAGCGTCCACAGGAGATTCCGGATGCCATCGATGGCATCGTGAACGGCTTTCGCATGGATCGCCTTGCTGGTACTCTGACTCTTGCTCCTAGGTTTCGATCAAGTCACAAGCCATTAGCGAACGGATTAAGCATGGGGTACTCGTTGCTCTGCTAGACTGCACAGCTCCATGAATCGACCGCGGAATGGAGTCCAAGAAGTCGCAAGTCATCGTGACCGGATAGTCGTGACTCGCCTTGCGATCTTCGCGACGACTTCGCCAAGGTCTGCAGCATTCTAGAAATGTTCGTTGGTGGGACAGCTCTGATCCCGTGTTCGATTGGTTGCAATGTCGCCAATCCGCAATGCTACGGCGGCATCTTGCTAGCACAACTACCCAATGCACTGGATCAAGGGCTCGGTCGATGTCAGACCAAGCAATACACCAAGATCGCTGGCCCGCAGCTGCCGTGAAGGATGTGAGGCGTCGGATCCACTCCGGCACGTATTCGGACCAAGGCGGCATACGGCGCCGGCGAATGCAGCCAGCACAAGCACTAACCGTCAGCACTCGGATCTTTATGCACCGGACGATGGTAGCCGCTCGCGAGTACTGCATGACAGGTAGGCTCTCTACACGGCATGCTGAACGATGAGCATTTGCCGACGTGTTAGTGGTCCTCATTCCGATATCCACGTTGTGCAACGCTAGCCCCGCGCCTCCACACTTGGTCTTGGTATATTCAATGGCTATTCCTTGAACTTTTCTTCTTGATGCTTGTCTGATTTGCTGTAATCTATTATACCTTGGATCTAGTGATCTGGTCAACAGCATGGGTTCCCCTGCATACGACGAGAAGCACAACTCCGGCAGCGAAGATGCCACCAATGTTGAACGTGGAACTGAACCATACAGTGGCTATGGCAGCACCGCCGACAAAGCTCTGGTCTGGAAGCAGGATCTGAAAATCGTCCCGTTATGTGCAGCTCTCTCTCTTCTCTGCTATCTAGACCGATCAAATTGTTATTTATTGTACTGGGAGTCCCAAGTTGCTTAATTTTTGTAAGTATCTACGTTCGCACTCGCTCGAATAGGAAGTAGCAGGTGGCCTGTGTGCTCACTCGCGTGTCTCGCTGACTCATCGCCACTCACCTACGTTCACTTGGATGACTCAGGTTACTGGGCCGGATATTCAACACAAATATTGGCAATGCCAAGGTCTTGAATGCGGAAGACCACGACGACCTTCTTTCAGAGACTCATATGACGAACTATCAATACATTATCGCTCTGATGTTGTTCCTCATCGCATATGCGCTGTTCGAGGTATGATAAAGCCCTTCAATGGTCGCAAGTACACCCATACATGCTCATAATGTCCCCACGAGGTCCCAAGCAACTACATGCTCAAGCGTGTGAACCCGAGCAGATGGATCGGTTTCCTGATGTTCTCGTGAGGTGCCATCACCATGGGCCTAGGTGGGGTTCAGAACTTCGCCTCCGTGGCAGTCGTTCGCTTCCTGCTGGGTGTTTTCGAGGCTGGTGAGTTGTGGTTACATTGGTGAGGTTGTCACGAGTCGACGCTAATGATGCCACTTTCAGGTCTCTTTCCAGGTCTTGTTTGTAAGTCATGATCAGACGTATGACAGCTCCGGTAAAACAGCAAACTGACCATTCCTAGATTAGATGACCTTCTGGTACCGTACCGAAGAGCGATCAATCAGAGTCGTACTGATCCTCGCATTGGCTACTCTCGCAGGCGCATTCGGTGGTGCCATCGCTTTTGGTGTCGGGCACATGAACCAGGTGGGCGGTCTGAGTGCTTGGCGATGGCTGTTCATCCTCGAAGGCATCCCGTCGGTCCTGTCCTCACTTTTGGTGTTGTTCTTTCTACCAGACTACCCAGAGACTGCGAAGTGGTTGTCGGAATCCGAAAAGCAGCTCGCCGTCGATCGTCTCCGTGTCGACGGCTCACATGGCCAAAGCGTGCATCTGACCTGGACTGAGGCCAAGGCAACGTTGTGCGACTAGCGACTTTACGCCCATCATGCTGTAAGCGATTGCTGACTGTTGCTCTTGCATATATGCACACTCACAGTCCACAGGTCTACTTCGGCATCTCCACCCCCTTCTCCTCCCTCTCCCTCTTCACCCCCACCATAACCGCCGGCCTAGGCTAATCCGGTCTCCGCGCCCAACTCATGACCGTCACCCTCTACGCCGTCGCCTACGTAATCACCATCGTCGTCGCCTGGTCCGCCGACCACTTCAACGCCCGCGCCCTGCACTCCGCCATCTTCGCCACCATCGGCGCAATCGGCTTCATCGCCTCCGCCGACCTCCCACCATCCGCATTCGCCGCTCGCTACAGCTGCCTTGTCATAGCAGCCAGTGGAGCCTTCAGTTGCATTCCGCCGCTTTTGGGCTGGTTGAGAAGTAATTTGTTTTCTACGGCTGCTATTGGATTGGCGATTGCGATGAATATCTCTTTCGGGGCGCCGGGGCAGATTGTGGGGGTATGGATAAGGCGGGGGAGAAGGAGAGGGGGTATCCTACTGGTCACTGGACTAATGCTGCGTTGTTGCTTTTTACTGCGGCGGGATGTCTTGGGTTGTTGTTCTTTTATGGAGCGAAGAATCGTGTGCTGAGGCGGGAAGGGTCTGAGAGGTTGTATAAGTATTAGCTTGGCTGTATAGATGCCGATGGGGATGGTCCGGATCTTGTCGGATCGGAAGGCATTCTTGATGCTCGCAGTCCGTATGACAAAGGCATTGGAGCTTCGACGTGATTAGAGATTGCTCGAGTCATCATGACCTGGGACAACCGTGTGTTCAAGGCCACTTCCGATCCTTTCCTGACGAGGGTCTGGTCATTGAAAGGGTTGTACTCATGCCTAAAAGCTGCCGTTATAATGAACCCAGCTAGTCCTTCTTCCCACTCAACAGCTCCGCAGCCTCCGCATTAATACTCCCACTCCTTTCACTCTCCTCAAGCGGGTTCTTGCTAGCGTTATCAGCACTCGTACTTTCACTAGCAACCTTCTTCAATCTCTCTGTATCCTCCTTCCGCACATCCTCAGTCTTCTCTCTCACATCGTCCTCATCGTCGCCGAGACTGAAAGGGTCATTATCCTCTTCCGGAGCCGGTGCCACAGAAGTCAAGGGCTGCCATTTCCGTGCCTTGCCCGTATCACCACTCTTGCGATCTGCGGCATCGACCTCGTCCACGGGACCAGATTGCGGCGGCTTCGGCTGCGTCTTGAAGAGGTCTGGGTTCGCGCTCTTCCGGCTGCTGGTCCGTGGTGGTTGCGGTGGCGGCGCCTCCTCGTCACGTAGTTCGAGACGCTCGAATTCGTCGTCGCCGATTTGGTGTGGGTCTGCGTCGTATCTACCGGCTTCTGTGCTTCGTCTTGCCTGCGCCTCGGAGCTCTTCCTAATGCCGTGTAGCTGCTCGCTTTGGCTAGGCCCGAAGTTCTGTCGTCCGCTACCAAATCTGTCTTGGCCTGGTGGAGGCCTTGACTGTTGCGAGGAGCCGCCTGAGTATAGGTCTTCTTCCTCATCCTCGCCGTCTAGACGCTTGCGGAAGGTGTTAATCCAGCCATTCACTTTCTTCTGCGTCTCCATGAAACCCTGCTGGATGTTCTTCCCTATCTCAGGTAAGTCATCGTCAAAGAAGTTGCGCTCTCGGTCTTCATCATCGTCCATATGCTGCTGGCGCTGCTGGTTCGGACCACGCCCACCACTCCATTGTCGCTGGTTGTAGTTCGACTGTCCACGAGGTGCAGAGCCGCTATACTGCTCGGCAAGCTGACGCGCATACATCTCGTCGGCTTCCAATTGCGTTTGTGGTTGTCGCATTGCTGGCTTCGGTGGCGGAGGCGGCGCTGCTTCTGGCTTGAAGTCCGGGTCGCTCATGCCAAGTAGGGCGTTGAAGGCAGGCTCCACTTGTCCTGCACTCGCCTGCAGCACGGCCTTGACCACTTTGGCATCGATGGATGGGAAGGCTTCGATGAGGGTGTGCTCGTTCTGCTCCTGCGGGTTGATGGGACGTGGCGGCTTCTGCGGTGGGATCTCCTCGTGGCCTTCCTGGAAGCTGACACGTGGTTTCGGTGAAGGTGATTTGAGGTTTGTGTGGGTGTCTGTGCCGAGCGGGCTTACCCTGCCAGTCTCCTGCTCGGCTTCGTTGTCGTTGTCGAAGTCCATCTCCTCGCGCGTCGTGACTGACTCCTTGACTGGAGATACTGGGGTCTTGCTATCTGCCATATTCGCCAGCTCCCGAAAGTGTCTTGCTGCTACTCGAGACTCTTCCAGTACAGAGTAGGCTCCTGTCACTTCCAAATTTCGAATTATCAGATGTCGGTCTTCACCCCTGTCGCTTGGTATTGTTGGGTATCGAGATGTTTGTGAAGCTGGAAGCTGCCTTAAAGCTGCTATGTTGAATGCTGCGTCACGGCCTTGGCGTTGTATGCAGGGTTCGCCGTTGGCCCTAGCCAGGTTTGGGGGGCAGCACATATCTTGACTCGCGTGATCTTGCTCTTCCTGGAGTGCCTTGAGAGTCATGCATACACAATACACAATGCTGATAGCCTGGTTGAATACAATTCTAGGAGTTCACTGCACGTCAGCGGTCATGAGAGGGCAATGAGACAGAGCATGTGAGGCTCACTGCACGGATAATCTCTTCATCACTTTCGTTTGGCCACAACTCATCCGGAGGCCAGCCAGACTGCACATTCACGATATCTCACATCCGAGGCCACTATATCATGGCAGACAGCGATACTTTCATCCCAGCGCTTCACAAACCATCAAGCTTGTTGCCCATCGCCCGTCACCGCGATGCACTACTATATACGATCGAGAAATATCCCATCACCATCCTGATCGGCCAAACAGGTTCTGGAAAGACTACCCAGCTACCACAGTACCTAGAGCAAGCCGGATGGTGTAGCGATGGCAGAATTATCGGAATCACTCAGGCAAGTTCGCGACCTCCCTTGATCATCCCGCCACTGTTGACACCAACTCACAGACGATGAACAGCCTCGTCGAGTAGCCGCAACCACAGTCGCAAAGCGTGTTGCAGACGAGATGCGATGTCAGATTGGGCAGGAAGTAGGCTACAGTATCCGCTTCGAGGATGTAACCTCTGCATCGACCAAGATTAAGTTCTTGACCGATGGTCTGCTTCTGCGCGAGGCGCTGGTAGATCCTCTGCTCAGTAGATATAGCGTAATCATGGTCGATGAGGCGCACGAGCAAAGTCTGAGCTCGGAAGTTCTGCTAGGTGTGCTGAAGAAGATTCGGAAGAAGAGGCCAGAGTTTAGGATTGTGGTTAGCTCGGCAACTTTGCAGGCTGAGGACTTCTTGAAGTTCTTTGCCGGTGATGAGGTAACTAACAGTATCGACTCGGATGCGGATGACACTGTAGGCCGCATCATTAGCATCGAAGGCCGTGCCTTCCCAGTAGACACACATTACCTCAGTGAGCCCTGCGAAGACTTCCTGGAACGTGCTGCACAGACTGTATTCGACGTTCATACCACGGAGCCAGAAGGCGACATCCTCATCTTCCTCACTGGCCGCAGCGACATAGATACTATGCTACAAATGATTGCAGACCGAGTCCCTTCTCTGCCACGAGAGGCCGACAAGATCCTGTCTCTTTCGTTATACGCCGGCCTGACGACGGAGGAGCAGATGTACATCTTCGAGCCTGCACCAGAAAATCACCGGAAAGTCATTTGCGCAACCAACATTGCGGAGGCAAGTGTCACCATCGATGGCATTGTGTACGTGATCGATTGCGGCTTCGTCAAGCTACGCGCATACAATCCGATCACCGGCATTGAAACGTTGACCGCCACTCCGGTCTCGAAGGCATCGGCCACACAGCGGACTGGCCGAGCAGGCAGGACAAAGGCTGGCAAATGCTACCGCTTGTATACTGAAGCTGCGTATGACATGCTGCCGGAAGCCACAGTACCAGAGATACAAAGGTCAAACCTGGCGCCTACGATATTGCAGCTCAAGGCGTTGGGTATAGACAACATCGCACGATTCGATTTTCTCACACCACCTCCCGTAGAGCTCATCACCCGAGCTCTCGAGCTGCTGTACTCGCTAGGCGCACTAGACGACTATGCGAAGCTCACAGCCCCACTCGGTACTCGCATGGCCGAGCTAGCACTCGAGCCGATGCTGGCAAAGTGCCTGCTCTCGGCCCCGGCGTTCGGCTGCTTGAGCGAAATGCTAAGCATAGCCGCCATGATCAGCCTCCAAGGCAACGTCTGGTTCACGCACGACAGCAAGAAGCAAGAAGAATCCGCCAGGAGGAAGTTCGCGGTCGAGGAAGGCGATCATCTCACATTACTAAATGTCTACAATAGTTTCGTAACCAAAGGGAAGAAAGACCCAAAATGGTGCCAGCAGCACTACCTTAACTTCAAGAGCATGACCCGAGCAGTTAGCATACGCAACCAACTCCGCCGCTACCTCGAACGCTTCGGCATCGACGTCACCGAGACTCTGGGCAGTAATGCCAACCACACAACTGTGCTCAAAGCCGGCGGACGGCCAATCCAAGAACGTATTCGTCGCTGTCTGACGGCGGGATATTTTGCTCAAGCGGCTAGGATGCAGGCGGATGGGACATTTCGTCTGGTTAGCGATGGTGGTGGGATGGTGTTGCATGCGCATCCTAGTAGTCTGTTTTTCAATCGGAAAGCGGATTGGGTGGTCTTTACGGAGGTTATGGAGGTGGGGGAGAAGTGTTTTATTAGGGATGTTTCCGGGATTGAGAAGGGGTGGTTGATGGAGTATGCGTCGCAGTATTATGGTGTTAGAGATTGATGTGGACATCTCGGGCATATCGACGTGGTTACGAGAGTCTGCGGTGGCCGTCAGGTGATTGTGCGGTGTAAAGTTCGAAGGAGATGTATTGATACATGAGTCCGAGACTGCTGATTCTTAGTGGTATGGCCAATCTATTCCCAACTATCGACTTGGTTTCTACCATACTAAGTCGGACTGCGGTCGCTGTCATGGCATTATTGCCGCTGGGAAGTGCAAGTATATTGATACGTGGGCCATAGTGGGATGAACTAAAGATCCCTAATACACTATAGCGCTTGAAAGACCTTATGATAGACGGCAGCTGGAGTTGAGAACATGACCTACGTGGGAACGCGTGAGCCGACTAACTCTTGGAAGGAAAAAGTGACCCAACGTTACTTGACATATCTCGAGGACAAAAGCACTGCCAAGTACAGATATAGTGTACCTTGTAGTGACAAGACGTCTCACTCACTACGAGATTCGTCTGACGACCCGCACTCTCACGCCGAGGTAGGCAGACTGTCATCACGGACAGAGCTCATGAAAGACGACAATGGCCTCGACTGTGGCACCGGGAACGACAGACTTGACATCATGAGATTCGCACGTCAATAGACGAACAAGTGGCTCTCCTTGATAGTGAAACTTTGGCACAAGTACAGAGCGAACTGTAGCACATTCTCCGATTAGCGGCCTGTGGAGATCTGATCGTACGTACAGTTGGCGGGTGCTCATCGTTGAGCAGGATGGCATCCGACATTAGAAAATTAGAGCAAGAATGTTTGGGATATAAAGGCTTCTCCGCTTTGATGTCCTAAAGAGCTATCTAGTGGGAGGCAAGCCAGCAAGGCCATTCGTCCGACCACTGGAGTCTCTATAATGCGGCAATAAACAGATCACCGCTTGCTCTATCCTTGACTTAAGTTCCCGGGCATATTTAGAGGCGGCCACCCATCTCGCGGGTCGGGAATGCCATGCCATGTTCTGTCGCAGCAAGCTTGAAACAGGATCTCCCGAATCACACCAATCTTGAAGACTCCTCTTCTATCTTCGGCTCGTCAGGAGTAGTGACAGTCGCCGGCTTCAGCCTTCGCGCACGCTGCAGGAACCTACCTGGATGGATGACCAGGAGTAACGTAAGTACTGCACACATCGGTACAGCATCAAAGATGTAGAGGAAGACTTCATGGGCTGCAATGCTGCCTTTGGGACCTTGACCATACTCAGCGATCCTGACAAGATTGCGGACCCAGATGCAAGCTGTCGAGATACACAGAGACAGGATCTGTAGGCGCCATCGTGGGAGCTGCGGGTTCTCCGACACCGTCGTTGGGTTCTCGTTCGTGCGCTTGTTGAACACCACGAGGTTGGCCAGAAAGCACAGGAGTAGTATCAGCTGGAAAACCAAGCCGGCTATGACGACTTTCTGGCCCGTAGCCTGAATGCTCTGGCTCGTCGTGGTTTGAAGGCCGACACCAGCGATTTGGCTGATGAATGCGATGATGTCGCCCGTGAGAAACACCGGCGTGATCCACTTTGGCCTCATCAAGGCGTTTCCTTGTTCTTCCAGCACACTTATGAGACGGCCGAACGACATGTAGACCGTTGCGCTGATCAATGGTGGCGCGGACATAATGAGCAATGCTTGTAGTGCCCAGGGACCTATGTTGTCTGATTTGGAGCCAGCCCAGGCTCTGCCATAGTAGCCAAAGGTCTCCACTACGTCGATTGTCAGCATCCTTCCCTTTTCACTATTCGCAGACTCAAGACATACTGATCCCTCCGATCACCAGTGGTGTCACAAATTTGGACCGGAAAGGGAACATGGCTACGAAGTGACCCAATGTAAGGATGCCGAAGAGTACTAGGAAGGCCCATCCTGCTGCTTTCGAAGGGTGGTAGAGATAGTAGATGGCATGGATCGTTCCATCAGGATTCTCTGTAATAATTGGGTCCATTGGGTCGGGACTTGTGATCTTCTGTCAGTGAATGCGATTGGAGTAAGGTGGTTCGAGGCATTTTGATTTTCCACTGGCACATCTTCATCTTATACACAACTATCGTTTGATGTGGCAAGGCAGCAGTATTCTTCGCTCAATGAGATATCTTTGTTGAGGGCGTTTATGTGCCATTGGTGTGTCCGTATAGAATACGGCAACTTCTCTAACGTAGGGTTTGCTGCCGAGCTCCGGGTCAATGGAAAATTTGGGAAAGGAAAGTCAAACACCTTCAAAAGCCGATCGTTTCTAATACGGAGGCCTCCCAGCAGCTGGTATGTCGCTGGCCATGGCAGACTCTTCGCAAACTACCAGCAGAAAACGGAAGGCTCATGCCAAGTCACGCCATGGCTGTGGGCAGTGCAAACAACGTCATCAGAAGGTAGGTGAAATATTTGATGTAATGCCGAACAAATTGCGCTTCAAGCTCACTGTCGTCTGCCACAGTGCGATGAGGTACATCCGATCTGCGGGCAGTGCAGACGATTGTCCGTCGAATGTAGCCTGAGTAGCTCGACGCCACGGGACAACACACTCAGCGATGATAGTATCACAATCAGCGACCTCCGGTATCTTCACCATTGGCTCAAGGGAAGCAGCCTCTTCGATGACCATGATCCGCAAGAGAGCAGGAAACATGCAGACCACCTTATGGAGTTAGCGTTCTCATATCGCTACCTATTGCATACAATATTGTCCATAGCTGCTCTGGACATGTTCGACAAGCATCGACAGACCATACAGTATTATGAGCACGCTGTGCAACACAACTCGAATGCCATCCGACACGCGAGGCCTATTATGACTAGATCAGATGCCGAGCACAGTGAAGCTCTTTTCAACTTCTCGGCTTTGACATCCCTTTTTGCATTTGCGGAGCCGCCGTTGAGAAGGGTACAACGACAGCAGCAAGCACACCATGATTTGCTTGATGACTTACTCGATGCTTTCCGCATGGGCAAGGGCAACCGCGCCGTCATGTCTTGCCATGCCGAGAATCTAACAGAGGTCAAGCAGACGAATGACAAGCGTTGGTCGGTAGATAAAGATTCAACCAAGTCTAGTCTGGAGATGGAATATCCTCAATTAGCCAGGCTCCGTGACATGGTGCGGACGTCCTGCGACAACCAACGACAGACAGCGGCGTGTTGTATCGCTCTTCAAGAACTATTTGGAAACATATCCGCATTGTCCAAGCACTCTGGGAACCACTCCAGCGCCTACATTATCATGACCTGGGCAAGCAATCTCGACCCACTGTTCATGGACATGTGCGAGGCACGACACCCTGTCGCACTAGTCATCCTCGGCCATTATGCAGTCATGATACATCTGAGACGAGCGATGTGGTTCTTCGCCCTCTGGCCAAGACTCCTACTCACATATACACGCGAGCGGCTCCCATCGGCCTTTGATCACTATCTAGACTGGCCAGCTGAGACGCTGGAATACTGTTCAACAACAGGAGCTGAGTAATCCATAAGCATGATCCTCCTCGAGCCCATCTGACTTCGGCAGCGTCTTGTGTGATTAGACCTGGACTGTGCTACCATGGCTACCACCACGCTTCAACCTGGGTGTAAATTCACCTCCCCTAGACCTAGATCAGATCAGCATTGGCCCCAGACTTCCGTTTTCAACCTCTCGAACGCTACATACTTAACGAGAGCGTAGACACTCGTCTGCGGGTGCTTACGGGGAAGATCTAGGAATAAGCTGCATGTGTCGGTACCTTAATTTAACGGTATCTCTGTACTACGACCGCACTTCATGCCTATCTAAATCTTAGATTCTGTTCCGTTGCTGAGGACTATGAGGAGATCTGCAAGGTGGCTCTCCTCATGCATGTGATCTTCCTCCATCATCGATACCGGGCTTCTCTTGCGCCTGTCGCCTTGAAACAGGCGGCGCCACGGTTGGATAGCTCGCGGCGCAGTGTTCCAACTCCCTCGACCGGCCAACGGCTTGAGGCTTCCTGGATACCGGCGAACATTAGAGTCGCGCAGCGCCCTGCTCAAGAGTCTGCCAATCCATCCGCTCGAAGGGAACATAGGTCTCCGTCCCTGGCTTCTGCCAAAGGAAAATATCGTCTACACCGTCCTTCTCGTGGACGCCCGACTTGTCAGGGTCTACACCTTCCTGTCTCAGTCCAACTTTATTCTGTTTGTGGTTGTGGATATGGCTGGAACGCTGGACAATTCGCAAGAAGACCGGAACTGCATATCGTGGGAGGTGTGATCGACAGTACCGCAGGACGTCGGCATAGAAGTGGTCGCTAGGTGTCATAGTCAAATGCAAAGCGGCGCAACCTGCTCGTCCTTCGTGGCCTGGAACGGTGACGCCGTACACATTGGCTTCTGCTACGCCTGGATACTTGCCCAACGCCTCGGCGACTTCTGCTGTTGATACGTTCTCGGACTTCCACCGGAACGTGTCTCCCAGCCGATCAAGGAAATACCTAAGCACATTGTTAGCTCATCACAGTCCATTGACCATAAGGTGGATCTGATACCAATGTCCATCTGTAGTGCGTCTGAGGGCGTCACCACATCGATAGTACAAATCGCCCTCCTTGAAGACATTCGTGGCGAATCGCTTATTCGTCGCATCTGTATTACGCCAATACCCACCGAACGCTGCACGGTTCGGTACAGCTACCAGAATCTCGCCTCCTTCTTCATAAGGTGTGCGCTCCGCGAAGCCTGTCGTCGCATTACGCCAGATGTCACCAGTCTCATGATCGATGCGAACTGGTATGTAGGTGTTTTGTAGTAGGCTACGGGTCAAAAGACCATGATGTCCAACGCAAGCACTGTTATACCGATTTCGAGCCCAGGTCACCAAGCTAAACATGCCCTCGCTGGAGTTGAAGAATTCGGCGACTTCTGGAATGTCGAAGCGCTCCTGGAATTTGTGCCAGATATCTGGTCTCAGCCCATTGCCGTACGCTATTCGCATCTTATGCTTGCGCTCAAGAGGGTGACTAGGTGCTGCGAGCAGATACCGTGCGGTCTCGCCCACGTATATGAATGCAGTCGAACCAGAATTGTAGATGTCAGGCCAGAAGTTCGAGACAGAAAAGCGTGGAGCAATCGCTATGCTGACGCCAGCAAGTATCATTGTCGATGCGGTGATGATGCCGGTGCCGTGGTACATTGGCATGGGACAATACCATCGATCCACTCCCCGTTTACAAGCGAAAGGCGGTTCGAGATGGGAGCCGAGCAGATGGGTTCGAGCGATGGTGAATGGGCATCCTTTGGGTAGGCCAGTCGTACCAGAGGTGTAGATCAAGCAGTATGGGAAATCTCCTTTCATGCCAGAGCGTAAGCTGTCTTCTGGCACGAAAACTGGTCCAGAGCTGATTTCTAGCTTGAGTGAAGTGTCGAGGGGCACAATCCTTGTTCCAGCCGCCTCGATATCCTGTCTGCTGCCTTCGATTCGTTGCTGACAATCTGCGTCCTCGTCAACGATCAAGAGCTTGGTTTCGCAGACCGCCAGACAATGCATAAGAGCCTTTCCCTCGAGATTGTAGTTGATGAAGGCAGGTCCAGCCCCAATGGTTAACGTAGCAAACATGATGAAGATGAACTCGGCGCTGTTGTGCAGATACATCCCGACCAGGTCACCAGGCTTGATTCCCTGCTCAAGCATCCATTGGGCATAGCGCACTGTCTGATCGTGAAGCTCTTTAAAAGTCCAGCTCCTCGTTCGTGTCCAGATCGCTGTGTCGTTTGGCTGTCGAGCACATGTCTCCGCTAAGATATACCATGGTGAGAGTTTGTCATCCTTGACTACTAAAGGTCAGTCACTGATCGTCCGAGCCCATGGAGTGGAACCTCACCAGCTTTCGCATACACTCTCTCGGCGTTCTTGAGCTTTAGAAGTGCTCTAGCGTCTCTGGACAGCTGATATCTGTTCAGGCAATCATCAACAATAATCCATGACGGAACGCAAATGTCATCCGTACCTGCCATCGAGATATGCTGCGGCAGCAAGGCCACCAGCGGCGGCTAATGCTACATGGCTTTCATCAGCTGTTACTCAACGCATTTTGGTTAATACAGATGCTCACCAAGAGCCATTCAGATTGATCTGAGACCAGATGATTAATCGTGTGGCTGTAATTATTGTGGGTCCGTCGATCAGAACTGTGAGATTGCCGGAGTGATAATAACCTCAAGCAATGCAACGAATCGAGTTTAGCTGACAGTCATAAGGAAGCGAATGCCATGCGAGCATTACATTGCTCAGTGGAAGTTGTGGTGAATATCGTGGGCATCTGGAAGTCGCCGGCACCAATGCAACACCTCCTCTCACATTTGCCGAGCTGCAACACCTCGGCATCATTCTGAACTCGATCAGCAATCCGGTGTGGAATAGCAATACTGTGGCTTCTCCTTACTCCTCTACAACTTGATTTCGTTACATTGACACGGCCGGAGACGTCTTGGTACTGATCAATCGTAGCAGAACATGCAGTTCGCAGCTGGAAAGAATGGTGAAGTGCACTCCGTTGCCACCAAGGGTCCTCCACAGCGTCCAAGAAATACGCTAGTCACGATCACTCGGCCACGATATCATGTCTGCATGCTCGTAGGATATCAAGGCGAACGCGGATCCACCTTCCACAACAAGATATCTTGGATGTACCTGAGAAGTGCCAGCGTTACATGACCATCGATTGAGACCGTTGCGAACCAACCATGCATTTCAACACTCAATCAAATACAATAGCAGCCTTGACGACCTGCTGCTTGGCCACCGCCTCCAACGCCTCACCCCATTCCTCAATCCGATAAGTCTTGTTCACAAGCCCCGTAAAATCCAATCTCTTCGTCCTCAAATACTCCATCACGACGGGAAACTTCAGCGTACTGCAGAAACTCGCCAAAATCGTGATCTCATTCTTCCATATCAACATGGGTGGCCAAGCGATCTTTGCGTGGTCGTCGTAGACGCCGTAGACGACTAGTGTCCCGCCTTTGCGGACGTAGTGGATGGATTGTTCGAGGACTGAGGGCGCGCCGGTGGCTTCTACTACCATGTCGAAGCCGTGAGGATGTGCGGATCTGAGCTTATCCATGTCGATCTTTGCGTTGTCGTCGGAGACTGTGATGAAGGAGTCTGCGAGGTTTAGCTTCTTTGCTAGGTCGAGCTTGGGGCCGGCTTTGGAGGCAATGGTCAACTTTGGCGAAGTCAGCTTTTGTTCTGTCCAAGAAGATAGTTCTGATGCATACGTTTGCTGTGCCGTTCTGCCGAAGCAGCTGAGCTAAGAGCATGCCAGTTGGTCCACAACCGAATAGCAGGACCGTACTGCCAATCTTCGGCTGCATACGCTCGATGCCATGAGCCGCACAGGCACATGGCTCGATCAGCACGGCCTCCAGAGCAGGTAGGTCGCCTATCGGAATGACCTGTCGGGCCGGATACAGGCAATACTCTGCGAATCCTCCGGGTGCTGGAAGATGTCAACTGTCGATTCCTTCCTATCAATTCGATTGATGTTACTCACCATTGCCACCGTATCCCTTCATGTCTTCACACAACAAACCACGACCTCGCACACAATGGAAACAGCTTCTACAAGGCTCCATCGGGTCTGCCGCTACTCGGTCGCCAACCTTGACGCTTTTGACGTCTCGGCCTACAGCTACTATCCGGCCTGCGGCCTCATGGCCTGGTATGAGTGGGTACTAGCGATCGTCAGTCCCGCTAGTGATACGATCACTTCCATGACCTAACACGCACTCTCGCCATGAACTCGCCCTTGTGGTAATGCAGATCCTGACATTGATTAGTGTGCGGCACCCAAGACTTCTTTCGCGTGACTAACTCACCGTTCCACAGATACCGCACGCTTCTATCTTGACCTGTTCTTGTGTGAGCTTCGATGACCCTTCAGATTGAAAAGCAGCCTGATCTGTGATTTACCAGCACATCTTCTGTTCCGAAGGCAGGGACATCTATCTCGACGACGTCGAAGTGTTCAGGTTTCGAATATCTAGACGTCATTAACCTGCGCAGACGGCACATGCTCTGGTGGCTCGAGTATACTGTAATGCTTTCATCCGTTTCGGCACGTTAACATGACTAGGTCCTGTCGAATCGATGGAGTCCATTTCGGCGATGATGGAAGAATTGATACACTGGGGAGTAGCAGTGAGCAGTAACAGCAGTACTCCACGTGTTCGTTAAAGCAGTCATGTCGAATAGCCTTATGAAAGAGACTGCGTACATGTAATTATCCAATAGCATGATTCTGTCGTAAGCTTCGCTCTCGGCTCAGTTACCTTTGGCTCGATTGGGTAAGCCGAAGTGGGAAGGTGCGGCGTGTGGCCGTAAAAGTGGTCTCCGTCTACGTCGAGTTCAGTCTGACGTCTTGCGCGTACGGCTGTGCTGTTGAAGACGCGGCTACTTACAGCAGTCGATCGCCTGGGTGATGCGAGCGAGGGAACAGGTTTGTGCAAGTGGTCAAGCATCTCGGTCAAACTTGCCGACCAAATTCCTCTGGCTGGCACCCAACAAGCACGGAACAGTGGTGTAGAACGTTGGCATTATCAACCACGGTATAACTGACTGATCGAACTCGTGACCGATCATGGATATGCCTGAGCTCAAAGTCAGTGACATATATCATGTTGCGTGAATTGTGGGAGACCCATACCTTCTAAACCTGCCATACCTTGCAGGACCACGGCCCATGGTAGCTAGAACTGGTTTGGTGGATCACTCGCCTGAGATTGTTCTGTGAGCCCTTCTCGAGCGACACCAGGTCATCCGTGACAGCAGGGCTCTCGCGCATTACTGATAGGCGTCTCTGGAGCAGACCAGTCGCAGAGAGGCCGGATAGACTGCTAATGTGGCAGCCTCGCCATTCGCATCTAGAGACCGATTTAATGTCCTCACAGATGTACTCCATCCTCCTCCTCCTCCTCGTCCGCATCTACTCCCATCTGCGCCTCAATCTGTCGCCGTAGCTCCTCGTCCGTGAGCCTCCCACTAGGCGCACGCGCAGCACTTCTGCTATCTGTGGTACCATTCTCTAATGCCCCGTTGGCATGTCCCACACCATTGACTCCACCTTCCGCACCATCCTGTTGCCGCTCAACCACAACCGCGTCACCTTCCAATGGTGCCTGTCTCAGATCACTCGGATCCTCCACCCAAATCATACCCCTTCTCTCCACCTCCGCCTTCAGTAAATGCACCCTCATATTCATGCGCCCAATCACGGTAAGGTTCTCGAACATGGCATCCTTGCAATCCTGGTCGCCTTCGTCGGCAAAGGGCATCATTTGTTCGTTGCTGTGGCGGAGGTGTAATATGCTGTTCCGTATTTCAGCCGCTTTAGAGTGAAGCGCGTCAAGGGGGAGGGATTCAAGGGCCATAGCGAAGCGGGCTGGGTCGATGGGACTTGTGGTTGTTCCCGATGACATCTTTCGTGATCCGACGGTCTTTGGTTCCCTGTTGTGGAACGCTCTACTAGTGTAAAGGTCAGAGCAGGCGTGCTAGGAGAGTTGTGAACAGGCAACCATGATTACGTCCACATGGCAGTGCCTGCTGTACATAATCTTTCTGACACGTGGGAAGACCGGGCATGGTCCGAGCACTTCCGTCGCGGAAGCAGTCCGCAAGTTAAGTGAATGGTAGTTTCAGAGTCTATGATATCTCACGGTGTGAACCGAGTTCTGGGAGCATTGGATCATCGCAATGAACAATGTGTGGACCACGATAGCATTACGAGCGCCTTGTGCGCGACGACAGCAGACCAAACCTCTACGGGAGCTGTTCAATGGTTATGCGAGATCACGGCGGAGTATAAGTCACAGCTACTCTCCCGTGGCGCCATGTGGAAGAACGGCACAGACTAGTACATGGCACATGCGACAGATTCAGCGAACATCGGCATTCTCCACGACCGCATCGGTCAGTGCAAGGGTTCGACCACCCCCACCAGCCAAATTCGATCCGGACGTGGCACGAAGACTAGATGAAGCAGAGGCAAGAACCAGAGCTGAGCGGAAGGTCGGGCGAGAGCAGGCGGAGGCACTATCGACGCTGAGACCAGTAGATACTAACGCCTCATACACGGAAGGAGTCATAGCAGAAGACGAAGATGAAGGAAAGATAACATGGCGCGACTATGACCCCGAAGGCGGCATGCCACTACCCAATGGCGAGCTCCATGGATCAAAGCTTCAACAGGTCTTCGACAGCAACGCCATCAACATAGACACGGGCAACTACATCCTCTCCGTCCTCCACTGGCGCCGCATGTCCGGCGCTCTGATAGACTCCGGGATTGACTTTCCTCAAGGCAGCGGTGTGAGCCGAGACACAGCCCTACGAGGTCTCCAATACATCCGTAGCCTAGACCCGGCCTTCGACGAACAAGCTGCCGGAGCCCGATGGGCAGAGGAAGAAGGACTGCGCTTACAGGAAGAAATTCAGGAGCGGGCGAGGAGTCTGGGGATCTACAAACAGGATAAAGATGCCGAGTACTATGAGGGAGAGGAGATGGACCAAGGCACACCCGAGGGACGCGAACGGCAGGGGACGAGTGTACTGCGTACGCATCGTGAGGAGCGGGAAGCCGCCCACGAAGCCGAACAAGCCAAGAAAGAAGCTCAGGCGTTACGAGATGAAGCTACGGCACTACACACCCAACGTGGACCTCTAGAACTAGCAGGTGGTGTCCAACCCCCCGTCGCACTCACAACCACAGGACCCTCGGGCGTCCTATTCGGCAGCGGCCCACGCACAGCCTGGCTGCCCGCCACCGTGGAACGTAAACCCTGGGTGAAATACTACGAAGACTCCGCCAACCTCCTCAAAGACAACGTCCTCCCCTCCCTCAGCACCCCCCGGCGTCTCGCTCCCGCCTTCCTCCTCCTTCTAACAACCCTCTACGCCGCGAACTTCCTCTCGCAAAATTATACCCCACCCCCCACCTCCGCGAGACTCTGGCCAGATACCCCACCCGCCGTCAGCACGCTCACAGCCGTGACAGTGGTACTGGGGACGTTCTTCCTCCTAGGCCGCCTCCCGCCCTTCTGGCGCACACTAAATAAGTACTTCACCATTGTCCCCGCCTCCCCGAACCCAGTGAGTATCCTAGGCTATACCCTCCGCCACGACACCCTTTCCCATCTAGCCGTCAACACCTTCGTCCTCTGGACCTTCGGCCTCACACTGCACGAAGATGTCGGTCGAGGAACCTTCCTCGCTATCCTCCTCGCTTCCGGAGCAGTCGGCGGTTTCACCTCCCTAACCGCCAACGTCCTGCGCAAGAATTGGAATACCTACGCCTTTGGCGTCTCGTCCGCTGCTTTCGGCGTTGTGACTGCGGCTTGCACATTACGGCCTAATGGGACGCTGCAGATAAACGGGGTGGGGGAGATTCCGTTCGCGGCATGGGTTCTGGCGTTGTTGCTTGGTGCTGCGGATATCGTAGCTTTGCGCTTTGGATTGAGGGCGGGGACGGATCACTGGGGACATTTGGGTGGGATGGGTGCGGGTGTTATCGCTGCGTTGGGGTTGAGGATGCGGCTTGCTGCTAATAAGGCGGACAAGGAGATGGCGGAGCCGCAGATGATGCGGGCGTATGCTCTTCCTGCTGGTGATTCGAGAGAAACAGAGAGCAGAAGAGCTTAAGTAGTTGGATCTTGTACCGTGCTGACAGCAAGCATGTAAAGTCATACAACTCTCAGCTTCACGGCATACAGCGATGAGAGTATCAGCCAGCAACAGGTCAAGCCAGAAATGACATCTCGCTTCTGGCGCCTCGTGTACATGACAAGACTCGTCCTACACACCCATCCCACCAAAGCTTCCTCGACTCCACGCACCCGCTCAAATCGCTCTCACATACGTTCTTGGGTGCCTGACTACACGAAGTGCGACAAATCCAACGGCACACTACTGCCCCGTCCAGCCCGATACCTCTTCGGCCCACCGACAAAAGGTCTCGGCTGCGGAAGGGAGGAATCAGGCTGGAATTTCCACCGGGAATCTTCTATCCCTCCTCCCGTTCCACCGCCACCACCAAGAGCAGCTGCGTTGCTGTTACCTCGTGGTCTCCCTCCGCCTCCGTTTAACATGGAGCCGTTGCTTGTTGGTGCGAGGGTGTAGGCCGAGGCATCCATGGGTTTGATCGGCATATTTCTCTGTTGTTGTTGCTGTGATGGCGGCGGAGGTGGGGGTGGAGGCGCGTGGGAAGAAAATGATGCTTGGGTTGGTACTTGGCCGATGGAGAGGCCGCCGGCTGTGGGTATACCGCCTGTACTTCTACTCTGCGTCGGCGGTGATGGCGGAGGCGGTGCAGGAACGGATGCGGCATGTGGTCTCGCAGGCGCTGCTGAAGGTGGCGGAGGAGGTGGAGGAGGGGGTGCTAAGCTAGGACTCGCCAACGGACTTGATATCGCTGGCGCCACCGAGGGTGGAGGCGGAGGTGGAGGGATGGCAGGCGAGGATGATCGGAAGGCGTTGATTGCTGCTTGTGCGGCTAGTGACGTTTCGCGCTCCACGCCATTCGGTCGAGGGGCGGGTGCAGAGGGAGGGAGTACGGGCGCGGAAGCTCTTGCTGTTGGGGGCGGTCGGGGCGCACTGGAGGGTGGTAAGGGAGGCGCTGAGGGAAGTGTACCTAGGTTTGAAGGCGCCGCTGGTGTGAGTGTCGAGGAGGGAGGTTTTCGTGATGAAGGTGGTGGGATTGGAGGCTTCTTGCCTATGGGTGGGGGAGGCTTGGGTTTGAGGATTGCTGGACTTGATTCGGAGGTCATCGGTGCGGGTCGTAAGTTGTTCTTGAGTGCTGCCATTGATGGGGGTGGAGGAGGTGCCGCTGCTGAAGGTGGTAAAGGCGGTGCGCCTCCAGGCAGCCTAGGTGCTGCTTCGTTGGGTATGGATGGTGCCTTCGGTACACTAGCCGAAGTCGATCTTCGCGATGTCGTCTCCGGGTCTGAGTCGTACATGTTCACACCCCCTGCACTCTTCCGTAGTTTCGGCATGCCACCTGCAAATAACCCTCCTAGTTGTGGTGCTGAATCCATTCCTCCTGCTCCACCACCCACGGGACTCGTTGGCTGATCGCTGTTACTCCGTGCTCGGTTCTGTCCAGCAGGTGGAGGAGGCCGTAGTCCAGGTACCGGCGGAGCTCCACTCGCTGGTGCGCTCACGCCTGACGAAGCTTTACTGTCTACAATTGGGGCTGATCGATCATTGGTGACTGCCTTCTTCAACCGTGACCCTTTCTGGATGTCGCCGAGTAGTGCTCCCTGGGCGGATATGTCAGCATACTACACTATAACGACATGCGAATGGGAACATGCGACATACTCTGCCTTTCCCTCCTCCCGCTGCTGGTAGTCGTGAAGGTAAGCCACCTGGTGGTGGAGGCGGAGGAGGAGGTGGACCTTGGGCACATCAGCTTCACACCCCAATACTAATCATCCATACATGCTTACCTCCTGCTGCTCCAGGCATTGGCGGCGGAGGCGGTGGTGGAGGAGGTGGAGGAGGCATATTGGTGTTGTGCTGCAGGGTGAATGGGCTTGTGCTATGCTCCTGTCTTGGTGATGGTCGGGGTCGCAGAGGTGTGAATCGATTCTAGGCCGTCGTAGCCTGCTATATAGTCCGTTCGCCCTGAAGCTGTTGCCTTCTGTGGTGTGCCAATAGCAATATATGGCTAGGCATGTGCTTTCTATCTTCATCAGGTCCGTCGTCATGCTCAGCCACACCTGCAGCAGCCACGCGAGCGAAGCGCCACTTCCGAGCTCCGTCTCCACCTCTCCGCAATGCTTGGACGTGGATAAGTATAGCATTATACAGTAGTAGGAGTCGAGCATACGATCCAGGACGGCAGAGATAGATACAATGGAACGGAGAGGCATCAGCATCTGCTACGAGTGTATCTCAGCACTACGACAACAACCCAAACGAGCACGATTGGCAGCACTCGCTCCCCTCCAGCAAAAGACCAGACGACACATCTCCGCCCAAGCACACAATGAAGCCCTACGCACATCCGGGCGAACGACGACCAGGAAGCATTCCGTAAAAGTGCTCGAGTCGTTATTGGTCGCGGCAAGAAGCGCCCACACCATCTCTGCCCAAGATCTCAATGCCTTACACAACCGCATATTAGAGCTCACGAACACGGCCCTAAAGCCAGAAGATGGCAAGCTCCCGTCTGAGCAAAGAGTACTATACGTACTCGAGCAACTCCAAGCCCTAGTCACCTCCCTCATCAACGGCCAAACCATCGAGCCAGCAAGCAAAACAGAAGCAAATCAGGAGACCAGCGCAACCTCAGCATTGCTAGGCTCGGTCAATACCCGCGCCTACCCAGCCTTCATAAGCAAAGCCTCCCTCCTCAACCTCGCGAGCGAAAGGGCCGAAGAGCTCCTCCGCCATCCCAATATCTTCATCACCCCGGGCGTGCTGAAGGCATATGTCCAACTACAAACAACCCTCCACCAACCGGCTAGTCTGGCCGATGCATTCCACCTCTATGCCCACAAACCTATACCCATAGCGTCCGGCTCGAAGATAGCGTTCAAGGAGTCTTCACCAAACGCCCTAAACTCAGCCGTGGACCCTAAAACCGGCAATCTCGCCCTCGACGCCGCACTAGCCACCAACGATCTACCTCTAGCCATAGACATAATAACAACCACCTTCTCCACCCCAGCCTTCAAACGCTCCAAACTGCTCCGGCAATGCCTCCTGCCCCTCTCCGGCCTCCTGGTCCTTCCCCTCGGCGCCTGGACAGCAAGTTCCCAATTCGCACTCCTCCAAAACAGCATGGACCCCGCTTACGCCACTGGTGTAGCCTTCGCCGGCACACTAGCATATCTAGGCCATGTAGGCACGATCGGGTACGTGGCTATTACGACAGCGAATGATCAGATGGAGAGGGTGACGTGGGCGCAGGGGGTTCCGTTGTGGGAGAGATTTCTGCGGGAGGAGGAACGCGCGGCGTGTGATCGCGTTGCTGGGAGATGGGGGTTTGAGGATAGGGGACGGAGGGGGGAGGAGGAAGGGGGGGAGTGGGAGGTTTTGAGGGAGTTTGTGGGGGTTAGGGGGATGGTGCTTGATCGGGCCGAATTGATGGAGGGGATGGAGTGATGGGTCTGCTGTCAACTTCGTTGCTGTCGGGATACTGTATTGCTCTCTCCGACGAGTTCACTGGCTGCGAGGCAAGTTCTGCTGCGCGGCTCGTACAGATGTGGAGCATCACGCTGCTTCTGTGTCACCTACGCCCCAGTAGCTTCATCAGATGGGTCCAGCTTTCTCTGTGAACGGACGAAGACCCCTCTTGCTACGGAGACTGCGCTTTCGCCATCGACAAGGACCGTATACTTGTCCTGTCCTCTGGTATGAGGATAAAAACAAGACAGGCACTACTGGGCGTGGATGTCCCTCACGCCCCTCATCGTCCGCAGTGCTCTAGTCCTCACATGGCGGAGAAGATGCCATGGCGGGGGTGAACAAGCATCACATAGACATCACTTCCGCTACGTCCGTCGAGTCACGCGCAGGAACAACTAAGTTGCTTTCGAGGAGTGCACCTAAGACGGGAAAGCTACTTACTTGAGAGGACAGTTCAGAGCGGCGGCGGCATCTCTGCCTCTATTCTACCTGCGACACTCTCCCTTCAAGCTACTATCACGATCTTACACAAGCTTGCCCCATCCAATCCAGCAAACACTCGATCGTAGTTCTTCCCTCTCCTACCACACATTAAATCCTGGCCTAGATCCACTACCGAGAAGAACAAAAGCCCAACGAGTCTTACCCACGAGCCCACGGATATCCGACCCACGTACATCGAAATCATCCTCCATACCCGCCTAATGCCACCAATCCTTTCTCTTTGGCTGCTCCGGCTCCTCGCAGTACATTTCGAGACTCATCGCCTTGATGGGGTTGCCGTCGAAGTCGACGAAGTCGGTTTCGCAACCGCCTTTGTAGGCTTCGGTGTTTGTCTGTGCGGAGGGAGTTAGTCTCGGAGCTCTTCGTGGCTGGTCTTTGGTGGGTGGCAGGCAGGGAGGCAGGGGGAGTAAAGAAATTGGTGTGATTGGTGGGAGCAGGGTGGTGCGATGGGTGGAACTAGGTGATGTGATGCGAGGTTACTTGGCAGCGGCTGACTTACGATGTTCGTCTCGGAGAATTCGCCTTCGCAATCCAGCTGCGAGTAGGTCCACGCGTGGCAGACACGACCTACGCACATTCACGGCTGGTTAGCGGATCTGGACTCGCCTGCGTCCTCATGGTGGAGACGACGTGATCTCTGTGCGAAGGAACATACCACCATAGTCGTCTTCGATCGAGAGCCACCCAGGCCTGGTATTGCCGGTCCAGCCTATGGCCTGGAATTCCCCGGCCGGGTAGAAGTTGTGGCAGCCGGTGTCGGCTTTGATGTTTTCGGGGTACCAGAATTTGGTGGCTAAAGGGGAGCAGCTGGGTTCGGAGTAGCGCTGGGCGGTGATTTCAAACTGGCGATGGTGGAGGCCGAGCAGCAAGTGGCCAACGTCGGCGCTGGTCAGGGTTAATGAGGTGGCCAGGAGGCCGAGGACGGTGGGGATGTGCATTATCGTTGAGGTGAGTCGGGTTGGGATTCTGATGGATGGTGTGGTGGGTGCTATTGCGTGCGGATTATTGGAGTTGCTGGTGAAAGTATGTGAGACGAGAGTGAGATGGGAGGGATCGAAAGCTTGGTGCGTCGGCTTATATGTGAGCTGGATTATGAATTGTCCTCATTCGAAGGCAGTGGACCCAGCTAGTCAGCACATCATGTGCTGGAAAAGCATGCTTACCATCTCCATCTGCTCTTCGGCCAGAGGTCAGCTTTTCATTGTGTACAACAAGCAGAAGCTTTCTACGGAGCTTGCTGTCGTTGCGCGCACACCTTTACTGGCGATTGCAAACTGCGCAACGCACAAACGGCAGAGGAGCTTGAATATACGTCCCGGATCGGTTCACCGACATACATACTTACAGACATAATGCTTTAGAAGCGGTTGTCGCTTGGCAGATTGCATTTGAGCAATACTCGATATACATAATGGACTGTAATATCACGACAAGATCGACTCTGCTACTTCACACACCCGATCTTCATACTTCTCGCCACGCTGGGCACATTGTCTTCGTCCGTAAAGTCATGTTCGCATGAGCCGGGATCCAGTTCAGCATTGGCCTGCAAGCAAACAACATTAGGACATATACGCCGCAGTCCGCTGAATTTTCCGGATACTAACATGATCGAGGTAGCCGGCCGATCTCCCTGTACAGCCTGGTCCCTCCCATGTCGACATCCGACACACTCCTAGACGGCGCATGCCCCGTCAGCATCAACAGCTCTGTATCATCTTGCCCCTTACGAGCAGTACGTATACTGGAAGCGGGTAGAGCTCACCATATTGCTCCAGCGACTCGAATGGAGCAGCCATGTGCGCCCCCCACAACCATGTGAAGGAGGAGAACGGCCCTTCGAAGTCATAGCATTGCCCGGTTCCTCAGACGAAGACAGCTTGCCAACCTTATTGACTAGACCGCAGACATTGTCGCGGTATGGTGTTATTTCGGCGTCGAAATGCCATCTGGCCTGCCCCAGGGTAGAGCACATAATCGTCAAGCTGGCAGCCAGAAGGTGTATAATGCATCTCATCGTTGGAGCGAGTCAGCGGTGTAATGAGCAGACAGCTTGTTGCGCGAGGAGCAGTGGCGCGAACGAACGGGCTTGAAGACTTCGTTGTTCTGAGTTGGGCATGGATACATACGTACTGCGGTAGCATACTTTCTTGCCACGAAAGCGTTTTTCTCCGTCAACGCTCAACTGAATCGCAAGCTTGGCGTACTTCTCAGCAGCTTCAATCGGTCATGCTGTGCTTGGGTTTGCAGATAGCTCCGATTAATGCGGCTAGCACGCTGTAGTCAGCAATCAGTATCAGCGTCGTGAAGACAACAACCCTTCCAATCATGAATTCGAGATCGATCGCGCAGTCGTCCAACCTCATTGGTGAAGTTTCGTGCGAAGTTGTATATGAAGTTTTGACAATTCGTGAAGTCTTGGTGAGCTTTGAGCAGTAGTAACGACGACGTCGACGAGCGGGCGGACAAGACGAAGAGGAAGACAGGGAGAGATGGTGAGCTTTGAGTCCTGGGCCAACGATGCATTTTCAAACGGAAAGAATATTCTAGTGAGGCACTCACTCGACGAAGAAAGGACTGATACTCATGCCATCCGGATGGCAGTCGCTATCATGATTTCGTGACCCTGAACGATCGTCTACCGCCATCCAACTCCCCTCTGCTTCAACAGCAGCCTACTATTCATAGTGACGATACACCTCACAAGATCCCAATCACCATTATTACCCACCCAGTCACAGACCACAATACCCACTCCACCATCACCCTGGAATTCCTCCCCCGGAGCATCAACCCCTTTGTCGCCAACCTCATGCTTCTGGCACAAGAAGTTCGTGACAGCCGGGTTCAGCTTCGCCGCAATCCGATCAGGCCAGCAACCGACCTTCCAGAAGTTCGAGGCGGAAAGAAAGTTGAGATAGAGAGGTCCGTCTGGGACAGGGTTGTTCGAGTCCGTTGTCACGCCGGGAACAGGGCAGATGACAGCAGCTGCTCGCTCAAAGTGGTCGCAGCAGAGGCCGATCTTCTTATCGATGTTCTCCGTTTCGAGGACTTCACAGAAGTCTTGCACACGCACGTGACCATATGAGCAGTCTGGCGTGTTATATGCCCAGTTCTCTGCGTTTAGACCCCAGCCTCTGCCATCCCATTCGCCTTTTAGTCTATCGGAGGTGACGAAGCGGCGCACGAGAACGATCTTGCCACGAGCTTCGCCGAGGCTGGGGATTTGAGGTTGCGTCCACCATTGTTCTGGGTTCGTGTAGTGGTCCTTGAGTATGTCGGACAGCTGCTGGTCAGTGGCGTTGCCTGTGCCTTCGCGTTTGAGTGACATAATAAGAGTCTCAGATGGGTTCTCACGAAGGAAATCTTGCACGGTGTTGACGAGGTCGCGGAACCTCTTGGGCCCTGTCAGGGATATTGGGAAGGCACCATGCACAAGAGCCAGGCCATCATCCTTCGGATCGTCTGGCTTGACCGGCTGGACACGAATGTCGAAGAAGCGTACGCCATTCTCGAGCTGCTCCTTCGGCGAGACTGCTTGACATCGCACGGACATCAGAGCTTTGTGGTGGGTGGGCGAGTTGTGCGTGCCTGGGATTGACAAGGCTGAGAGGGGTGTCTCGTCCTTGAACTCCTTCATCCAGCTGTGTAGATCTGTGGTCTCGATGATGGCCAGGAATTGGTCGGCCGGGTTGTAGACCGCAGTATAGTCATGCTTTGGATCAGGTGTCAAGGGTACGAGTGATTGCGAGGCTGCAGAAGGTGTGGGCGTATCTATCCTCCACTTCCCACCTCCATCACCTTGCAAAGTCAAGCGCAGGATCTCGGTAGGTCCTCGTTCGGTCGTACTGATTTCCGTCTTGTGCGTGCTAAACGGTTCCATGCGTACATCCACATCTTGCTTCGTGAAGCTTTGCGACTTGTCATTGAGGGCTGTGACACTTGGCCGGGATGTGCTGTTGTTTCCGAGTAACGTCGTGAAGTTGGAGGTCAGGTTGGACATCGAGAACCCGCCATTGGGTTGGAAGTCCTTCGGGTTCGGTGCCTCATAGCGTTCTACGAGCTTAACAGTGAGCGGCTGTGCTGTCAAATTACGAATCGTGATCGGGCCTGACATTGTGCATATATTCATTAGCCTGCTTCGAAATGCGAGAGAGTCCGCACCGAAACGCTGCAGTACTCACCTTGAAGAAGGAAGAAGCAATGGTCGAGCGAGCTCCAGACCGAGCTCCAAGCTGAGCAAAGCAGGGAAACGAGCCCGACTTGCCTTGCTTCGATCACCTCGATACTTTATTACATACGCCACACTTCACACATGAGAGAAGAGGCTACAGATGACTCCATGTACGACGACCACGATCACTAAACTCACGTGGTGCTGCTTTCTGGGCATGTTGAGATCTTCATGACTATGAGAGCTTTGCAGGGACAGCAATTTGGCAAGGAAGTTTGATGACGGCGAGGTGAACAAGAGACATTAGTACGAGTCACTAAGTACATGCAGAATCACAACCTATATCTCAATGCTATCTCTAACCATATACCATAAGCCATATCTTCGTCACTGTCATAACCACCTAGCTGTCAAATGTCATACTTCCCCAAAGTCATGCTCATGATCTCGCTCCACCAAAAACCTACCCGCCAGCATGTGATTGTGAGATCAGAAGCGGAGGTTGAGGACATCACCACGCGACTGTTTGGTGCGCTTGCGGCCACGCATGCTGTTCATGTCGGCCATCTCGCTGCCCGTGTTGACCGCCTCGGCCACTTCAGCAGTGCCATCGTGGGCGGCAACGGTCTCGACATGCTCGGCAGCCTCAACAGGGACGCTGACAACCTTCTCAGTGGCCTTGGGAGCCTCTTCGACGACATGTTCGACGGCATGGGCGGGTGCAGTGACGACAGTCCCGCCAGCATGAGTGGTAAAGACCTGGGATCCACCAGCACCAGTAGCAGTCTCAGCAGGCTCAGCGAAATGAACTTGGCCGCGGCCTTCTTCGGCACGGCGTCCTAGGGTACCTTGATCAGCAGTATCTGCTGTCTCTGTTGTCGTAACGACCTCTTCAGTGGTCTCGGTGGGCTTCTCAATGTTTTGCCTCTGCTTGCGGCGTAGAGATCGACACGGGAGGCAACAGCAACAGCATGAAAACAAGCTCGAGAGCAGCAACCAGAAACCGGCCCAAAACACATATGGAGCCATAGTGCGCCAATTGTCGGTATCGCGCATGTCCCAAAAGCCACGATAATCCCCTGGATATGATTAGCGAGACTGCCCAGTCATGGCGGATGTCATTCAAGTATTGAGCATACTGGCTTCGATGAGACACTCATGAGCACATGTGACTTTGCTCCAGCAACTCGGTGGGTCGTGATAATGGACACGTATCCTCTTGTCCTTCCTCGGGATGGTGACTGAGGGGACTGCTGATTCTGTTCCAAGTCGATCGGTCGTCACGATGAGCGTCGAAGGGTAATACAGGCAGTCTCGATCGACCACACCCCAATGATTTCCAGTGAGCGTGGTCTGTCGCGTCAACCAGCCACAGGAGTTACAGTGAGCAGGAGTGAAAACAGTCGTGATGTAGATGGGATCTCTGAATTTCGACATGCACTTCTGGAACACGCAGATGGTGTCGTTGTACCGGTGGTCCTTCTTGTCGCAGCTGTACGGCTTATTATGGCTAAGCATCGAAGTTATTGCAGCCCGGTCAATATGTGCGCTCAAAGCTGCAAATTGATGAGGTTGAACCAATGTCGGGATAGCGAATGACGTGGGGATAGCAAGCGTCGTATGATGCTGTAGAACTTCGTACTGGACGTTGCCGACAGCCGTGGTCGGACCAGTCATCTGGAAAGCGATGTCTGAGGAGGAGTACGAGTAGACTGGGGTAGCAACGAGTGCATTAGTGGTGCGAGTCGGGGTATGCAGGACGAGGACGTCGTTGGGGTGCGTGTATGATGCTATGGCCCGCCAGGTCATGGCGAGCAGGACCAGTGCGATGATGGAACGCATGGCGTCGATCGTGTAACTTTGTGGTGTGATCGAAGAGACTGGGTGCGTGTATATGAGTCCCTGAGAAGAAAGTGGAACGTTGTAGTGAAGAGAAAGAGGTTGCAGCAGTCCTCGGGAAGAGAAATATAAACAAAGGAAGTTGAAAAGGCGGAGCCAGGCACCTGTTCGGCAGGTATGATATAGCAAGGCACCTACCATGGTGCCAGTTTCTGGCAAGTGCAAATGAAGTCTGTAGCGCTTGCCGCACGCCAGGAGGTTTAACGCCGTGACATCGATAGTACATGGATGTGCATGATCTTTGATACACGGCAGACTCCTGAACCGTCATCTTTGGAATATGTCAGATCAGTCTACCACGAAGTACGGATGGCCATGTTGGGTGGCAGATCAGCAGGTAAGGCCGTATGTCTTCAAGGAAGTTGCCCTGCGCATCACAGCGGAAAGTGGATGTCCTGCTCGAACGCACTGCCACATTCAGCTCTTCCAGATTCCTACGGTTTGGAAGATTTCGACGTATTGGAGCATTGACTCTCGACTTCATTGATAATGAACAAGAGGTGTCAAGGCAACGGCCTCTGTACTGGAACTGCACTGTGAGATCTCAAGACAGTCTGCCCTTAGATAACGTCGCATTGCACTTGCCTGTCTTGCCAGAAATTCGTGCCGCTCTGCGATTGAAACACCTTGCTACTCACTTCGATAGCGACTTTCATAGTGAACATTTTCTGAAGAATGGTTTTGTCGATGTGAGGAGCTGGACGTTGAAAAGAGCTTGTCCATAAGTCCGCTATCTCCGCCGCGCGGCTAAATGCCCCTCACATCGTCACGATCACCGGTACATAATTACTGCCGTGTGAGGTGGATGGTCGAATGGCTGCAGTAAAGACGCCATGCCGTCTAAGCGGTAAGTAGAAAGATGAAAACATTTCCACCACCCTGTCTTTCTCACTCTTCCGACCCTGCCAAACCACACAAAACACCCACAATCATGTCGTCCCAAACCCGCCTCACGCAGCCATTTGGCAATCTCGATATGTCGAATAACAAGGATCCGGTGATCAAGTCGATCAACGAGACAAAAGCAGAGTACCGCCGATTGGGCAAATCTGGTCTTCGTGTGTCCATGCCCATCTTCGGTACCATGAGCTTCGGTGACCCTGCTTGGCAGCCGTGGGTCATTAACGAGGAAGCGGCCCTACCATTGCTGAAAGCAGCATACGATCGTGGTTTGACCACCTGGGATACGGCCAACGTGTACAGCAATGGTGTCAGCGAGGAGATCATTGGCAAGGCGATCAAGAAGTTTGATCTACCGCGCAACAAGCTCGTCATATTGTCAAAGTGCTACGGCTATGTCGGCGAGGATCCCTCAATCCGTGGCATCGCTTATGGTCAAGCAATTGGAGCTAGCAAAGACTACGCGAACCGTGGAGGTTTGTCTCGCATCGCCATCTTCGAGGCAGTGGAAGCTTCGTTGAGAAGGCTGGATACGCCGTACCTTGACCTGCTGCAGATCCACAGGTACGATCCTTATACGCCGTACGAAGAAACCATGGAAGCTCTCCACGACCTGGTACGAAGCGGCAAAGTCCACTACATCGGTGCATCGAGTATGTTCGCCTACCAATTCGCACAATATCAGTTCGCGGCCGAGAAGAACCACTGGACCAAGTTCATCTCCATGCAGAACCACTATAACCTACTCTACCGCGAAGAGGAGCGCGAGATGAACAAGTTCTGTGACGAGACTGGTGTAGGTCTGATCCCATGGGCACCACTCGCTCGAGGTCATTTGGCCCGAGCACCCGAACAATTCGGCTCCACGGTCCGCAGTGAAGGCGAGAGCAAGAATCCAGCATTCAAGCAGCAGGAGAGTGACAAGGAGATTATTAAGCGTGTGCAAGAGATTGCGGAGAAGAGGGGCTGGAAGATGAGCCATGTTGCTCTGGCGTGGATCAACAAGAGGATCAGCAGTCCTATCATCGGGTTCTCCAGTATTGCTCGTATTGATGAGGCGCTTGAAGCGAGAGGGAAGGAGTTGACGGAGGAGGAGGAGAAGTATCTTGAGGAGCCGTACACCACCAGGGATATCCAGGGTCACTCGTAGACAGACAGCTAGATGGTATAGATCACTTCAGTGCAAAAATAATCATCATATGGGACCTTCACGCCTCCTGTTGTCTCTTCCATGTCGACTGGACGAGTTGTATGACACTGTGATTGATGCAAATATGTTCTACACATATGTACACTGAACCAGGCTTCGCACTCATACAGGAAGGTACTCGAGAGCTCGCAATAATGCTCTCGCAACGAATGGCTAACAAAATGGTCAGCATAGCGTCGGTCTCGAACGACAATATCCTGCTCAGGCTTACCACTTCGACTCTTCGCATACCAGCCCCAGGTGTCGCAACAGTGCTACTCCCATCGATCACAAAGCCTCCTCCACCACCAACAGTGCTCTGTCCAGCCGTCCCTGATGCAGCCACCAGTCCTCCACCATTTGTTGTACTGCTCGCTGACTGGAAATTCTGATAGTTCGAAGTTGTTGTAGCAGCGGCCGTCACCAGTCCGCCTCCCGCGCCGTTCGCAGATGTCGCCGCGGCACCTCCCACTACCACTCCATTACTGATCGTCCCTGCCGTTATGATTCCTCCAATCACACCGCTACACGCTGCTCCGCTTGGACAGCATGCCACATGTCCTGCTGCGTCCGCTGAGCATACGGCGTTAGGGTCACAGCAGAGACCTGGTGCACCAAGATTCGAGCACGAGTTGTATTTGTTCGGACAGGACGACGACGAGGCCTGGCGCCGTAGAAGTTCGTGGCTTGCTACAGAGTGGGCTGAGTTTTGCTCGAGATGTTGTCTGGTTGGGAAGTAGTCACTCAGACTGATAGGTAGGTGAAGGTCTGTCAGTCGAAGTGCAGTGGTCGTAGTGATCAAGAGTGCGGTTGGGAGGAGGTGGAGTCTCATCTCGTGAGTCCTTCGTTCTCTCGAGTAAATATGGATTGGATCGATGCGGTGTATTCGTCAATTGGTCGATGTACTGAAGCAGGCTCCTGCGACCACCCTCCAGAGACGCAAATATTACTGTACGGAGGCTAGTTTCGAGGCCGTGGAATCGTTATGGTATATCAATGGTAAGCAGATGCGAGGATATGTATGGACAGCACATGAGCACCGCAATGCCAACCCATCGTGTCTTGGACGGGAACTTTATTTGCGGGGCTCGTGGCGCTGGGCAACAATCGATGCACGAACCAACCAGCCACGCGAATGCACCCCTGCCCGACACTTCTTCCGTCTCTGCAAAGCACTATGCTGCTAGCGTCGAGCGTACAACATGCCCCCCGTGCAGGTTAGGATTGACCATCAAAACGACAGCGGTCTGTATATCATTGTGTAGCATGGAACGCCGGAGCACGTCTCCACACGAGCTTCGAGCGGCCGCTTTGTCGGAGAAAGGAAGCTCGATGGAGTTTCCCTTGACGTGATGCATTCTCCGAGTGGTAAGTGGACAGATCTATTTCACTCTCATTGATCGTTTCGTCGACACGCTCTCTGGCGAAGTTCCCCGTCGCTCTGTGCTTCCCACGGCAACTTCACCATCATGACTACCACTATCAAATCCAATGCCACACAGGCCTGGTGGAAGGAGTCTGTAGTCTACCAGATCTACCCAGCGTACGTACCCCGGCTAGGACCTTGGTAGTCGCCCATAGAGACTCTGCTGTTACCGTCGGCCAAAGCGTTCTCGTCAACCGCCAATGGTTCTCCTGACTGACTTTCTGTTTAGGTCATTCCTGTCGACTGGCTCCGGGAATGCTCCAGGATGGGGCGATATTAAAGGCATCACGTCCAAGCTGGATTATCTGAAGCATTTGGGGGTTGATGTCGTCTGGAGCTCACCCATCTTCAAGTCTCCTCAGGTAGACATGGGCTACGACATCAGCGACTACAAGGATATCGACCCACGTTTTGGAAGTTTGGACGATGTCGACGAGCTCATCCGGGAGCTAAAGAAACGTGACATGCGCTTGATGGTGGATCTTGTGGTGAATCATACCTCAGACCAACATGCCTGGTTTCTTGACTCTCGCTCTAGCAAGGACTCAGCCAAACGAGACTGGTATATCTGGCAACCTCCGAAGTATGACGATCAAGGCAAAAGGCAGCCTCCGAACAATTGGGGCATGATTCTGGGCGACGCCAACAGTGCTTGGACCTGGGACGAGAAGACGCAGGAGTACTATCTGGCACTGTTCACACCGGAGCAGCCGGATCTCAACTGGCGTAATCCTGAGCTCAGAGAGGCCGTTCATGACGTGCTACGCTTCTGGTTGGAGAGGGGTGCGAGTGGATTCCGCATGGACGTTATCAACATGATATCGAAGGTCAAGGGCTACCCTGATGCGCCTATCGGCACACCTGGCGCGCCCTTCCAACCCGGCGAGAAGCACTTCGCAAACGGCCCGCATCTACATGAGTATCTACGTGAGATCAACGACAAGGTATTGTCGAAATTCGACACGATCACGGTCGGCGAAATGCCATTCGTGCGGGACGAAGAGGAGATTATGAAAGTGGTAGGTGCTGACAGGAAAGAGCTGAACATGATCTTCATCTTCGATATTGTAGACATCGACAATGCTCCTGGAGGGTTCAGACTAACCTTGCACGACTGGACACCGGCAGATGTGCGATCGATCATCACAAAATACCAACGCCTGATGCTTGATCGTGACGGATGGAACAGCATCTTTATTGAAAACCACGACAATCCTCGCAGTGTCAGCCGATATGCAGATGACAGCGATCAATACCGAGCGCTGAGCAGCAAGCTACTGTGTCTGATGCAAACAACACTCGGTGGTACGCTATATGTCTACCAGGGCGAGGAGCTGGGCATGCGCAATCTGCGACCCGAAGTACCGATGGAGGAGTACATCGACATTGAAAGTGTGAACTACTGGGAGAAGACCAAGAAGCAGCATAGTGGGGACCAAGAGAAACTCAACTTTGGCAAGAAAGTCTTGCAAACCAAGGCTCGAGATCATGCTCGTACACCGGTGCAATGGTCTGCGAAGCCTAACGCGGGATTCTGCGACGAAGGTACGAAGCCGTGGATGATCGTGAACAGTGATTACAAGACAGTCAACGCCGAAGTACAACGCACATACAAGTCAGAAGACGATCTGAGCGTTCTACAGTTCTGGAAACGTGGTCTGGCGAGCCGGAAAGAACATAAGGACGTCTTCGTGTATGGAGACTTCACTTTACTGGAGGACAGTAGTGAGAATTTGTTTGCTTATAAGCGCACGGGAGATGATGGCGCGGCCTTCGTCACAGTCTTGAACTTTTCTGGCAAAGACGTTGAGTGGAATGTCTCGAAGGAGGCGAATGTGAGCAAGTGGGTGACTGGAAACTATCAGAAGGGTGCTCCGAGTCTCGACACTACCGGGCAGATCAAGCTCAGGCCATGGGAAGGTATTCTAGGTGAGTGTGAGAAGTAGATGGGAAGGACGTGCTTCCTACCATTGCATATATATACAGGTATCTCGAATATGCTATAGACCAAAGTGACTGTCATTCCGATAGGGTAAAAGTTGGAGGTGGTCGCCCTCTGCTGTCCTGAGTCAGGAGTGTAAAAACCGATAGCAAAACAAGAGGTGGTGATGTGCTTCTGCGGATCCGGTGAGTTCAAAAACAAATCACCCCACGCGGGACTCGAACCCGCAACCTCCAGATCTCTATCTGGATAGAAGTCTGGCGCGCTACCATTGCGCCAGCAGGGCCAATACCGTTAGGTTGAACCCATCTAGCGCTATCTTACTGCCCCGGGGCGGACAGAGCAATTTGGGCGTCGAAAAGTTCGTCGACGAAAATACACGGACTTTGCGGTCTTAAGCCTGGCTTATAATAAAAGTAGGTAATGCGTGTGGACCGATGTCAATCCGACCAGGAGAACGAACGGACTGCATTGATCACTGATAGCTGAGCCAGTAACGTGCCCCGCTAATGACTGACCATATAGACGCTCTGGGTCCGGCCACAACCTCATGGATTGTTCGTTCGCGTGATAGAACGAGAATGCTAGATCTGCAGTAGATGTCCCACTTCGTGCTTGGCCTCGACTCACAGGCTAGCTTGATGGAACGGACATGCTAATCACTATCGGGTTCGTCGTCCAACGCTTCGTCTTGCAACTCGCCTCTATCCTCAAGCTGATCAGCTGGATCCTCCATCGTCTCGTCCTGGCCATCCTCATCTTCAGCATCATCGTCTTGATCGACCTCGTCATCCTCTGGCTCGTCCTCTGGATCATCGACATCGTCAGGTATGTCGCCGTTAGTCTCGTCTAAATCCTCGTCTTCTACGTTGTCACGGTCAGGAGGCAACGCCAATCCAGCGTCGCCCTTGACTTTCTTTGCTGGCCGCTCGGCGTCATCCTCAGTAGCATGGCCATTGGCTGTACCATTTGCTAGTGGAGTAGTCGAATCTGCAGCCTGCTCGCCTTCGCCTTCACCAGGTACGACAGTCACAGTCTTTTCTTCCTTGACGCGTTTTCGGTACGTGTTACGCTTATCGCATTGCGTGTCGTTGTATTCTAATCACAGATTAGCATGCTTTTCCCATCAATCTCTGTGAATATGTTGGCGTAGTGGCGTACTCTTGAGCTCAGCTTCCAGACGTGGCAGGAATTCTTCGAACTCGGCATCTTTCAGAGCAGCAACCACATCGGGAGGCATAATGGTCTTTTTGCCACTTGCTTGTGCATTCTCATTGGATCTGCAGGGTTCTGTCAGTATGAGACTTGAGGTCAAGGCATGTAGCAGGAGGAGATGTCCAGGTGGTGCGAGCAGTCGTGGTCGTGAGGAGCCCAAGCTGCTGAGATCGGGTCGAAGTACTTACGTCGAGGCGATGTAGCTCACGAAAACGGTCGCACTCTTATGCAGCGCCAGTAGAGCATCCTTGTGTATTTGCGTGTTTGCTGGTAGAACTCCTTTGGCCAGGCGAGCAATCATGGATTTGGGCAGACTGAGATCCTGCAAATGCGTTAGCTTGAATATTCAGCCAGACTACAGATCTTTATCTCACTTCAACACCAAAGCCTTCCTTGGTGGCCTTCGCTGGCATAGGCTCTGCACCCTCATCCCCGCCGTTTGTGGCCACCGAGACATTAGATTTGCGCGGTGGCATGGCGGAGGATTGGGAGTAGTGTCAGGGTCTGTTGCGAGACTCTTTCGCGTCTTCGATGCAATAGCAGCAGGGATCTGTTCCGGTGTTCGAGATGCAAGTCGTGGCTCAGGAACAACACGTGAGGTACGCGAGATTGACATTGAAGGAGATGTCGCGCTTGGGGCTAGTGAGCGTCTGCGCAACCTTCTCCCAACATCAACCCTTTCCTGCACCACCTTCCCGCTTGCCGCAAATTCTCCTCGTCAGAGCGTTGGTGCATCTTACACGACATCCGTCATTGAGAGCTCACAACTATCAAGACGATACAGGAGGGAATGATTGCTAAGTTGAAGCATGGAGCGATCTTTGTTGAAGTCTGGACATGTGGTCTGGTACCGTCACATATGCTCAAATTCGCGTTATCGAATCAGTAGCTTGGCAGGACGTCTCACGTCAACGGCAATGCCAAAGATGAAGAAGAATTGTTGAGCGTGCTAAGACGCAGATGACCCCTGGCCGATGCTCATGGAAATGACATGGCTCAACGTGATATATGGCTGGAGTACAAGGTCTTACACGAGACGACTACCATCATAGGCCATCTATGTGACCTCGCGCACGGTAAAAATGACTACTGCCGAACAGTCTTGCAGACGAACACGATAGGAAGACAGCTGCCTTCGATAGCCATTAGCCCGACGCCACCAATATCACCTATTCTGGTCGGCTTCCATTATGGGATTTACCTTTCAACGTTTCCAGTCCATCAACGGCGTTCCCTGGTCGCGAGGGAGCTGTGATGGGGTGGCGGATCACAGAATATGCTACAGCTTGAAGAAGACACTCGTCGATACCTACAGTATATATCATCAAACGCAGGATGAGAAGCCCGTATGGTAGTGCTTCTCTGAGCCATGGAGCGCAGCATTGCGTGCAGAATCTGGATAGTATCCTCATGACTCGCTCAACCTATATTGCTGAAGTATTGCTGCCACGAGGTAGCTCCTCACCCCCAACGTTGATATAGGTAAGCAACCCGAAATTCGACCATCACCATACCCATCATTGGCCACCAGCTCTACAAGAACCGTCCTCACACATTCTAACTTCGCACGACCGCTGCAAACGCAAGCGAAAATGGCGTCTCCTGCTAGAGGCTGTTATCCTCACATCCAAAGGCTATATCGCCGACGCTATAAGTTCCTGCAGTGTCCCCTTCTCATCAAAAGGCAAAGAAGCGAAATCATGACTGCAGCTACAGGTACAGCCTCCAACGACCGCCGTCGAATAACAACCTTGTCCCCGTTCCTCCGGCATCTGAGGTTCCCAGAAATCGTTGGCGAGTGCAAATGTTGATCCAGCCGCGCCACCGCAGAGATCTGACAGCATGACCACAATACGAAAGGCAGAGTCTACGCCAACGAAGTCGGAAGAAGCGTCTGCGCCAGCTGCCGAGGTCACCAGATCCTCATGGTTGCCTCGCTGGTCTCCAAAGTCGCAGGCGCAAAGGTTGGAAGTCTCACCACCAGTCCAGACACCGCTCGACTCAGAACCAAACAGAGCGAGGTCAGAGTCTACCGACACCATAAGACCAGAGCGTCCAAAGTCCAACCAAATTCCAGCCCCACGAAGAGTCGACCCCTTGACCTCGCCGTTGCCAAGACACGTCGACGGGAGGAAAATGCTAGAAGCGCTGCGAACGATGGGCTCGCCCGGCGTCCGGCAACTGACAGAAAACCAGATCGCAGCCATCCAAGCAACCTTCAGCGTCCCTAGTGCAGAGGAGTTGGCGATCCGGGCGGCGCAAGAGATCGATTGGTCGTTGACGCCGTATATGCGTTGGAGACGATATGGCGATATTGCGCTCCATCGACCGCGGAATCTCGACATGTCCACGTCCAATCAACCACGCCAAAGGACTTCGCAGGAGACCGTCATAGCAGACCAAGCCGGACACGAGCTGGTGCGTCGATCTGGCCTGCCGTCCCGTTTTCGCAATGATGGCCAGCGGAATCGAGTATCTCCTCGCCCGAGGCCTGACGGGGGCGTCGGTGCGACACCACACTCGTCTGATTCTGGGTCGTCGCGGTCCTCACAAGATACGATCCGCGGTGTAACGGGAAGTAGTTACTCGAGTTATGAGGCGATACCTCGCTATCAGCTGTACGATGCACCCATGGAGGAGCAGGGCGTCGTGCCATCGAGTTCGGTCCACCAGCCTGAAATACCATGCGCGGAGGTTCAGGCTGCGATGCAAGCTCTACATGCCCAGCTGGAGAACATGCGATCGCAAAATGCCGACGCCGCAGCATCTCCACGGATGAAACTCAGTGAGGCTATCTCAGCTGCTGCTGCTGCCATACCATCGAGATCCAGACCAGCGGGCCAAGGTCCCGTGCATTCAGATAGCACTCCCACGGACGAGATTGCTCGCCAGGAACGTCGAGATACCGCCTTCGAAGTACCAAGTGCAGCCATCACAAAACCTACTGCCAGCCCTGGCCAGACGACCCAGGTCCCCAGCATCCTCCAAACCGCACACCACCTCCGCGACTCTACACCCCCACGACACACGCGCACCTTCACTCCCTCTCAGCCCCAAACCCCTCGCACCCCCTCCCTCCTTACCAAAATCAACACCCTAACCTCAATCAAGACTTCCCTCCGCACCGCCCAGGCGACCAACACCACCCCACCATCCGAACAAACCCTCCTCTCCGAAATCACCTGGCTGCGAGCCGACATCCACCACCTCTCCCAGCACCCCTCAAATGCCGGGAAGAAAGTCCTAGCCGAGTTCAAGCTGGAGGGGAAGAAAGTGGAATTGGGCCGGAATCGGGCGTGGCAGGCCGAGGGCCGTGCGAAGGCTGTGCAGATACAGATAGCAGGACAGACGTCGCGGCCACGTGAAGCTGTGCAATGGCCGCCTCCTCGCGGCACATCGATCTACGCTCGTCGACACGGCTCGAGTCTCAAACCATCTCCCTCACCTCCTTTCCCAACGGCACGACATCACCCCTGCCCCTGGCGAATCGAGCTCTACAAAACCCTTCCACGCTGGAAAAGTATCTTTGGCCCTGCGAAGAGTGTAGAGGTACGCTGGCCTCCATCCTCTTCCAACTCTGTATACGGACGTCGACAGGGCCTCAGCGCTCTTGTACCTCCTCCACTGACTCGAGAAGCGAGTTACTCTGGCCCTGCTAGCCCGGTGGAGGAGACGAAGAGGAGACCGGTGGGCGTCGGAGTGGGAATCTAGTAGGTAGGATGGAATCTCTCGATCGTATGGGGGTGATGTATTAAATTGTAGAAATGTAGAATGAACAGGACGTCGGGCTCGAGCGTAGCAGCTCCGTATTCTTGAGTGTGTAGTCGTCCCCCAAGTAAGCGCGCTTAGCGCCAGCAACACGATTGGCGAGAAAATGACCCCCCACAATATCCTTCGCTCTTGTGTCGCTCCCTCGACTGCTCGTCTTGCGAACTCGGTGTCATATCATATCATGTCATATCTCCACCCCCCTCAACCCCCCCAAAACCTCCTCCCCAACCCCACCAGCCTGAACAACCATCTTAATCATCCTAGCCAACACAGCCCTCTTAACCCCACCCCTCGGGGGCCTCCAAACCGAAACTCCCTGATCCTTCTCCCTGGTCACCGCAACTTCCACCGAACTCAAGCTCTGTGAAGCTGCACCCGCACCTGCACCGGCAGACGTGTTGAGAGAATTCGGTAGACCGGCTGCTGTGAGTCGGGAAGGAGGGTCGATGGTGCGGAGGGCGATGAGGTGGAGTGGGTTGGGAGAATCGGCATCGGCATCGGCATCGGCATCGGGGCCGGTTGTGTTTGTGTGTGATTGGGTGACGGAGATTGCGACCACGGCGTCCGCAACGGCTAGCTCCTCTCTACTCGGGTCGAAGAGGATGTTCTCGCCTACACTCATCACCAGCAGCGTTATCGGGGGTTTCTGCCGCGCAGTTTCGTCTTTAGTTGGTGGGTAGAGGTGGGTGGAAGCTTCCCAGTCGTCGTTGAAGAGGGGATCTTCGTCCTTTTCGGATACGAGGGCTGGGAGGCGCGTGGCGAGGAGTGCGAGGTGGGTTGTTAGGGAGAGGAGGGGTAGGGGGTAGGAGAGGGGGAGGGAGAGGAGGAGAATCTGTGTAAGCATTAGTTACGACAGTGGCGGGGTTTATTATGAGCGGAAGCTTACGTCGATGTAGAGGCGCCAGTGGAAGCGCGTGTTGATGTACAGTTTATCCTTTAATGCTCCATCTGCTAGGAGTGCTTCGGTAAGCATGGCGGAGAGGAAGACGGGCAGTGCATCATCATCTCTCATGCCGGGGATATCGATGGCTACTTCAAGCCATTCGTCCCTTCCCTTGCTCGATTGCTTTCCATCCTCCCCACCATCCACATCCATCCCATCATCCTCGACATCTCTCACGCCACCACTACCTAGACCCCGCACACCCTCGTCTGCCACCTCCCCATTAATGCTGTGGGAATTAATGCTGTGGGAAGATGCACTCGGCGTCTTCTCCACCTCCGCTTTGACGCCGACGATGGCTTCGGTGCCGTCGGCGAAGCAGATACGTGCGCTACCGTTCGCGGCTGGGAGGATATCCGTTTCGGCTATGAGTGGGCGGAAAGCTGTTGGGGAACGGGCGTCGGGTCGGATTGGTGGGTGTTGGGAGAGGGAGGTGTGGAGGTATGAGAGCTCGGCGGGGGAGAGTGGGATGCCTGTGTAGGGTGCCATTGCGTGTTGGAGTATTTAGTTCGTTTTGTTCTATCTCCAATGGCTGGCTGGTGGTCAGCAGGACATGTGTTTGTTAGGTATGTGTGTAAGATATAACAAGGTGCGACAGGTAAAAGATTTCTTCAATGGCAGTTTCAATGTTCCTCAACTGCGCTTCCGACCTACAATGTACTACTACTACGATCGCAGCCTTGCAACGCTTGTTTCGACCTGCATGGAAGGGTATAGCTTGTCTGCGTAACACTGGAGTACACTACTCTCTCATCGAGAGCGCAACTCTGTGCAATAGATTTGGATGGGCGATGGCGAAGGTACCACGACCACGACCACGATGTCATTCCTCGCGGCTGAATGAACACGCGATGCCGACAATGCCGAGGAAAGCTCCGAGCAGCCGGCGCATCTCGCATCTCGCATCTCATGATCCTCATGGCACAAACTCACAAATTCAATCATGCGACACCCAAGATTCCAAAGATGTGATAGGTATCCATCAGACTCCTTGGCGGAAGGTCACTCCGACCCAGTACAGTACATGCGCTCGCTACCAATAACCACACGCCAGAGCTGAAAGTGGTTAGATCTGTTAATCATGCTTGCCGGCATCGGACGGAGCACCGCGCATCCGGTCGGATTGGAACGATTCCAGAAGTGCTCGCATCTACTTCTCCTTCTAGCGCTGTGTCATTACTACTGTGTGTAGAAGCAGGCCAAGCAACCCGACCAAGATACAGTACAGCAATCCGTCATGGACGCGCGACCTTGTGGGCCGCGACCCGCGTGTACTTTGTTCCTCTTGCTCCTTCCTGTTCATGCCTGCCGAGCCATCCGATCTTTGCCTTTGCATGATTCCACTGTTATTATTATTAACACCTTCCCTTCCCATCCGCCTCGGTATCCCACCTTCCCACCTTCCTTGCCCCAGCTTTGGTCGAAGTGAAACAGTGGTTGTCGTTGTTGTCGTTGTTGTCCCAACCCTCGACTTCTCCACTTTGCGATTGTGTAACATCCACCACCAACATTGCGCCCGAGAACGAATACATTAAGCGCATGCTACAAAGCAACGGCATATCAAGCACAACATAGCAGACTTCCCATATATCCACCTCCACACCAACATGCCTACGATCCTCCGCAACCCGTTCCGGAAACAGGACGAGAATCTGCGACCGAGTCAGCAGGCCAATGCGATTGAGCAACGTGTAAACGGGACGGGCAATGCGAAGACTGTCGAAGTCCCGCAAGAGAAGGAGTCGACGGAGTATAAACTGAGCGGTATATGCAACGCCTACCATACCTCAAACGTGATCAATCTAACATGAAGGTGGATGACAGAAATCAACGACTCGGGCGTCTACCTCCCCCCCTCCCCCACCGAACGCAAATCCTTCTGGTCCACCACCTCCTCCCGCAGCACCACCTCCACCTCCAACAAGAACAACAAGAACAGCAGTAACCGCCCCAGCCTCCTCCTCAGCAGCGACAATAACGACCAATTCAGCATCTCCCGCGAATCCTTCGACTCCTACCGCCGCTCCTTCGACATCAGCGCCCGGAGTCCCGTGATCAACGCGCTGGAGACTTCGCGGCCGCCGAGGGCGAGTCTGGATGGGAGGACGTTTTATCCGCCGCATCCTCCGCACCCGGCGAGGGCTTCGTTTGAGTTGAGGGGGAGTGGGGGTGGGAAGGGGAATGGGGGGTTCTTGCAGGCGCCGCCGCCGAGGAGTTCGAATTCTTTTACCCGGCCGAGCCAGGTTCCGGCTGAGACGAGGGAGGAGGAAGGGGAGCCGAACACCACGAGCAGTAATTCTGTACCGCAAGATTTCGAAGACGTGGATATAGCGGATAAAACTCCTCTCGCTGCTGGTGGTACCGGGGGAAAACGCGGGCTCTTTTCACGCATCACGGGGTATGGAGATCATTCCTCCGAACGACCTAGTAGTAGTAGTAACAATAGTGGTGGTGCGGATGGTGGCGCGAAGTCGTGGCATCATTTTGGCGGGAGGAGGAGGGGCCAGTCGGGGCAGGGGGCGGAGTTGGGGGCGATTCCTGTCGGTAATAACAGAAAGGAGGATGGGGCTGTTAAGGGGGAGTCTCAGCTTAGGAAGGAAGTCCCGCTTAAGAAAGAGGTGGGTGATACTACCCCTACTACTACTACTACTACCACTACCACTACTACTACTGCTGGAAAGACCGCTGTCAATGAGACTCCCCCGAAACCCGTCGTCGTCGGCAAAGCTGAGAAAGCTACGCCCGTCCCAGCTGCGGCCGCCGAGGAGCAAGCTGTCGCGGGCGCGGGCGCGGGCGCAACGAAAGAAGGACTGGGTGAGTCGCCCGTGGATTCTGGGGTGGATATTGAGCAGGGAATGAGGGAGGTCTCTTTGAATCATGCAGCGCCGGAGATCAAAACGAAGCCTGGTACGGTATCATCGATCGAAGCAAGCCAAAGCGCCGACGCTCTCAGGCCGCAGACTGCTCAGGCGCCGGAGATTCGAAAGTGATTCTTGAGTCGGTTTGCGGAGAGGGTGGAGGATTTGTAATATGCTGGATGCTAGGTGCTTGGGATTTTTGTGCTCGTGCTTGAAAGGGCGTTCACAGGAGGAAAAGGGAGGGGGGGGGGCTTATGGCAGGGTTTGCATAATGATTGGGATTGGGTAATGAATGGTGGTGTTGTTCGGGCTCGAAGATTGCCAGTGGTGGTGTTTAGAGAAGACAAGGTCGGTCGGAGGAACGATCTACAATTCTTTGCATACACTGGATCTTTTTCCTTACGAGACAGATGGTTTTATGACGGTGACAGGGGTGTGGGGAAGACGGGGGGTTTGTTCTCATAGGAGTTCGAGGATCTTGTTAGGTCTTGTGGCATAGCTTTTTAGTAGTGGGAGCATATATAGTATACCAGCTGCTTTTTTCCCGCTGCCTTAACATCCATTCCCCGCGGCTTTCACGTATCAGGCATCTCGTTCTTATAGAACCAACAACAACAACATCTTTGGCGGAAGGAAGTGTATTCCTCTGCCTCAATTCCACTCCACCTAGCACCAACTTTGGCATTTCCAAGGCTCTGGCAGATCCTCGGTTCTGACGTAGATAGTACATATTCAGTAAGGCAGCCAAAGGATTCTATCGAGTCCGCAACGACTTGCCGTTTTCAACTTTGAAAAAATTTGAAAATTTGGCGTTGTAGCAAAGTGGTTACTGCGATTGACTAGAATCTGGTCGATCTATATGGTCTTCTCTGCTATCAATTCCCTTCGGGGGTGAGTCTACCAGAGCGACTCACACGCAAAGGCTACAATTCTAACAATTTCACAGGCGTAGGGTAAATCAAATCTAATCAGTCAAGTTCAGGAATGGTTTCTAATAGAAGTGCAGTTCGAGTCCTGCCAACGTCGTCTGATATCTACATCATTGATATGGCAAATTTTTTTGGTCCCTGGGCCGAGGGAAGCTGGGGTGGTGAAGATTTGGGATCCGAGGTGTAATATGTGCGCTTTCTGGCTCCTAAGGCACACATGAACGATAAGATAGTCCCTGCCTGCGGTGTTCGAGTCTATACACCCGCTCGTCAACAATCCAGGGTTCGGGTGTGGCAAGGGATCGAAGGTGGTCGAAAAGGTAACCAGGGCCTGCTTTTTTTGTCTTCCGCTGAGCACGCTTCTTGAAATCGTACCACGTTTGCAGGATCAGAGAGAACACGGCCTGCATTGACGGGATCTATCGTTCGTGGCGTGTTAGGGAAAACGGCGTAGGGTATAGCTACGACTAAAAGCTAATTCCGATCAGGAGCAACATCAACGATGTAGATGCCAGCAACGTTGGCACGACTCAAATGTCGGTACAACTAACCATTTCCAGACGTTCAGAACGATCATATCTATCCGATTTACATCGATGAGGATATTCGAACCCCCCCCTCTCAGCATGACAGGAATCAACGGGCTCAAAGGACTCGTGTCGTCTCGTCCGACTTGCCCGCACGTCCAACCAAGCTCGTTCGTTGTTGTATTGTGCTTTCCTTGATATGACTACCAGCTGCAAGAATCGAAAACATGGCACCACACCATATACACAATCGAGCTTGTCAGGTCGATTGTGACCGAGTGCAATGCTGCGGCTTCAGGGCTCGCAATAGGTAAGCAGGTTGAATTGGTGGTGTCACTGCAGGGTCGATCAAAGGTGAGGACAACTACAGATCATGCTATGTATATAGAAGCCAGTCTACAATCTACTGCCAGATGACACTACAACACTGAAATCTTCTCGAAACCCAGCACAGCTACCACGACTCGACTCGACTCGACTCGACTCCACTCAACTCAATTCAAACATGTCCCTCATCTGCCCGCTCCGCCTTCTTGGCACCCATATCCAGGCCGCCAAGAACACGGCCAGCTACTTCGAGGGCTTGATTCCGAGTCTCGCCGTGCGGCGGATCAAGTCCAAGATCACTCGTGACGATTCTTCTGCCTCAGCAGGCAAGGCCGCAAGTAAATCTCCTATCGCCGACGCTGCAGTCATCAAAAACAGTACCGCCCAGGTTCCGCATAGCAGGTATATATATCCCAGATCGTGTCTCCAGCTGTCGTCGAATGTGATGGAAGTTGACCATGACTGCCCAGCAGCCCGAACAAAATCTCACCGAAACCATCAATGTCGAAGAACCTCACAAATTACGCGCGTACGGTGGGCGTAGCGCATGCGGATGGTGTATCGTTAGGTCCAGACGTCAAAGTCCGTGGATCTGTTGATATGCGTGTTATAAGTATGGCGTACGTGGATGGTGTTACGCTTGTGCCTGATTTCGAAGTCGTGGCGAGAAGAGGTCCTATCGATCAGGACATTTAGTCCTCGGAGCTTAGCTTTTTGTTGACCAGGTGTGCCCCCCAGTAGCAACTAGGCAGGATGTTGTCATACCCCTTGGGCTGATAAGAAGCCGTGATGAATAGCCGCTTCGTCCGTTAAGCAAGATGAGACCGTGATGCTGATTCTCATATGATGAACACTGTTATGAAGCCTCATTCGCCCGTTCTGTATGCAGCGATTGCACTGCGTATTCTCAACGCTTGTTCTCCCTGCCGTACCCCCCGTCAGGAATCTGTCGGATCGGCCAGAGTACGTTCCAGGCACGACATCATCTATGATAATCTAGATCCATATTTCCACAGTCGCCGATCGCTCAGGATCGACAGGATTGGAACAATCTAACATCCCCCGGTCTCACCCCTCTTTACCTCCACCCCCCAACCCTCCCCTCATCCCACCTCTCCAACCTCTCCCTCCTCAAAAATGCCACCTTCTTCGCCTCCCTCACCCTCCGAACAAACTCCCCCACCTCCCTTTCCGTCGCCACCCCCTCTTCCTCCAACCAACTCTCCTCCAACCCCCGAACCAATAAATCCTGCTCCTGCACCCCCGCACTCAATCGCTGATACAGAGCCATGGGACTAAACGACGATAGTGCGTCCTCACTCTCCGAGACTTTGGTGCGGTGTTGTTGTTCTAGCGCTTTGAGGGAGAGGAGGCGGGATTGGGTTTGGGCGCGGAGGGTGGTGAGATGGGATTCGAGGGTGGAGAGGTTGGTGGCTAGGTGGATGTTTTGATTTATTAGGGGTTCGAGGGGTTGTTGGGATGCGGGGATGGCGGGGTGGGTTGTCGTTGGGTTGTCGAGGAGGGCTGCTTGGAGGGATGGGTCTTGGAGGAGGGTGTGCAGGTCTGCTGTTGTTTTGTCTTTTACTGTGTCTGGGAGCCAATTCGGATCGATGGTTGGGATTTGTGGTATTTGATGTTGGTTGTGTTGTTGATATGCTGGGCTCGCATCTAATTCTGACGCCTCGTTCTGGTGTGCGCCAGGTGGAGGGGGTGGAAGTGGTGGTCCTTGCAAAGTTGTGGAAGTTGCAGATGTCTTTGGCGGGGGAGGTGGAGGGGTAGAAGCGTAGGATGTCTGCGATTGTCCATAGCCTGGAGCCGGACTGTACGACATTGCTGTCGACCGAAGACTGCTCATCGGAGTGCATGGCAAGCAGTGTTTCACCTCATACAAAGCGGACAGCTAATGGATCGCCCCGCTGGCTGGAATTGGTTAGTGAATTAATGAATACCGACTGCACAGACACCACAGGGCATTGATTGAACCTTAACTGAGGTCCGGGTTCACGAGCTTACGTCGTGTATGTTCTATAAACATGTATCTCAAGTTTGACAAGGCTGCATTACCCGTCTACAAGATACGGCACGTCTACACCGAACGGAGCAAACTGGCCATGGACCGGAGACGATAGCTTGGACTTCGCAATGCGACGGAGGACGGGAACGAACAAGGCCAATAGAAGGACCACTACACAACCATGACATCCCCAGCAAAGCAGCCAGCCAAGAAGGGCGGATGGGGCTCGTTGTTGTCCGGAGCTGTTGCGAACCTCGAATCACGTCTCGACACCATTTTAGCAGAGGACAGTGAGGCATCAGCCAGACAACGAGCCAGTGAAGCAGCACTGAAGGAGACGCAAAGCAGGGCGCGTACCGGCTCTGGTAATCTTGCCCCGCCGTCCGGCAGCTCAAATACCGGCTCCAGAGAAGCTTCGAGGACAAGGGTGAACGATCGTCTGGCTGAGAGGTTGGCCAAGGCTACAGCGGCGAAGAAGCTGACTGGTGATGGAGCTGTTGACACACCATCGCGAGTCTCCACACCTGTGCACGATGAAGCAAGTCCGAGGACAAGTGTTGATTCTACGAGATCTCTCGAGACCAAGACGAATGCTCCGGCAGTGCGGAAAGACACTGTGCAGGAGTCCTCAGCACCGTTGGAAGCAGACCCGGAACCAGTGCCAGACACAAACGGAGAGAACGTTTCCAAGCCAACCGAAAGCACACTCCTGACTTCGCGACTACCTATGAACCCGTCCAAAGTCTCCACAGACAGCTCGAGACCTTCGCTAGACCTGAGTCAAGGCGTGTCCACTCGACCATCCACAGATTTTTCAAATGGCCATGCTCAGTCGGACGGAGGAAATGCTGAGGTCGAGAAGGAGATCGCGCAGCTCCGCGAAGATCATGCTACGGCGGAGAAGCAGAGGCAGGAGGAGATGCATGCATATATGGAGAAGATTGACGCCTTACAAGCTAAGCTTCAGTACCTGGCCAAGGAGACTGTGGCCGCCGCAAAAGCTGCGAACGCCGAAAGTCCAGCAGGTAGTCCAGCAGCACAGCTAGCCGAGAAGGATGAGCGGATCGCGTTGTTGATGGAGGAGGGCGAGAAGCTAAGCAAGACTGAGCTACGACAACTACAGACTATCAAGAAGTTACGAGCCAAAGCAGGCGAAAATGACAAAGCTTCTGCGGATGTGCGATTGAGGTTCGAGAAGTATGATAGAGTAGAAGCAGATTTGAAGCAAAAGTTACGACGCGCCGAACTTGCTGAACGGCAAGCCAACGAGAAGGTGAAGCAGGTGGCTGCTATCGAGAAGCAGGCAGATGAGCTGCGTGTAGATCGAGAGAACGCTAGTGAGACTATCAGGACTCTGACGGTACAGCTCAAGGAGTCTAGGGCGCAGGCAGATCGAGCGGAGAAGGAGGTCAACAGCAAAGCGGCACAAGCAGATCGAGAGCGTATAGCTACCCTGGAGAACGACCTGGAAGACGCACAGATCGAGAAGAAGCTAGCGGGAGATCGTGCTGGTAATGAGCTCAAGAGTGTGCAAGCAGAGTTGGCGAGGCAGAAGGAGCGCTTTGACGCTCGGGAGACCGAGATGAGAAACGAGGTCTCGAGTCTTGAGTCGAGGCTTGAAGCTACTCGAGCAGTGGCGGAAGAAGCAACTTCAGATGTGGGTAATCCTGAGAGTAATGTCAAGCTCTTGAGGCAAATTGAGACACTACAGAACCAGTACAGCCAAGCCAAGGCGAATTGGGAGACGATTGAGAACAGTCTGAATGCACGAGTGTCCACGTTCGAACGAGAACGTGATGAAGCTAGTAGACGTGAGGTCGAAGTCAGGAAGAAAGCTCGGGATGCTACAGCCTCGAGACGGAGTGCTGAGGAACATGCTGAGCGGCTGCAGGAGCAAATTCGTGAGGCTGAGCAGACTTTGCACGCCCAACGAGAAGAGATCGACAAGCTGCAGGTGCGCCTTGAGACGTCAGAGCGAACGTTGGGCAGTGCCAAAGCAGATGCAGAGCGTCAGCGCAAAGTCTGGGATGTAGAGCTGTCGCAACGATTAGAGGAAGAAAGGTCGAAGTGGCAGCGCAGCAAGCCATCACCTAGCATGCGCAACGATTCGACTGCCAACTCGAGCCGCAAGGCTTCTGTGGCCGAAATGGTCGGCTCTCCCAATGGGCAACGGAGAGCCATCAATCGCGTGACATCCTCCAATCTTGCCGACCTTCGCACGCACGCCGAAACGCAACGCCCGGTGTCCCGCCGCAGCTCAGCGATGCCAACGCCTGTGTCAGCGCGGCAAGAACACCATGATCGCTCATCAGAGGCTTCGCCCTCTATCAGCCGGCAAGAAAGCACACTCAGCCTCGATACACCTGACATGCCACCAACACCATCCATCGAAGTCGATCAGCCGGACTTTGACGACGCCTCCCACTCGCCACAGCGCACGATCAATGACCTAGTCAGCACATCCACAGCCGCGGCAGGTCCCTCAGTCCAACTCATCGAACGCATGAGCGCAGCTGTACGGCGCCTCGAGAGCGAGAAAGCCACTTTCAAGGACGAAATCTCACGATTATCTAGACAGAGAGATGAGGCTAGAGATGAAGTCGTGGAACTCATGCGTGAGGTCGATGGCAATAGGACCAAGGAAACAGCTGCACAAGATGTCGAGCAAACGAAGCAACGCTACGAAGCCAGCCTCGAGATGCTAGGCGAGAGGGAGGAAGAAGTGCAGGAGCTGAAACAGGATATGGCTGAGATGAAGAGGATGTATCGGGAACTTGTCGAGCAGAAATTGCCTGCTTCATAGCAGCATTCAACAGAATCATGACATAATTCAGAAATATCAGTCTATCAGCCCTCTTTCAGACCGTCCAGATAAGCTACCAACCTTTTCTTGATCACCACACCCACGAGCTTCCCCGTGCCCTCTTCCGTCAACATCAGATGTCGAAGCCCGAGTTTGCCGAACATTTCCACCACATACTCCATTGGTGCTTTGGCGCAGACGCTAATGGGTGTGCGGTCGACAAAGTGGCTCATGTCGAAATCCCCTTCTTCGGCATTCCCCAGCAGTCGTACTTCAGCGTCCGCCTCGTACAACATGCCCAGATCGTTGAGCCCGAACTCGAGTTCGCCTTCGGCAATATATCCCTGGATTATCCCGCCATTCTGTACAAGCGCGAGCCCGGCATCCATGAGTCCTCGATCCTTCAGCTGGCCGAGCTTCTCCTCCAGAATCCTCCGAGAGACTTTGTTCGAAGCAGGAACATGCACAGTGATCTCCTCCATCGTCTGCCTAGGTGGTACTAAATCCTCCGCTAATGCCCCTTCCCGCTGCACAACAGCCATAGCGTGATCCGCATCCAGGAACGGATGTCCGAGAACCGTCTGAGCAATATCGTACACACTCTCCTTGCCCAACGCATCGGCTACCCATTTCGCCACTAGGATGGCCGTCATATGCGGGACGATGTATTCGAGTTCGCCGGTGAGTTCGAACATTATCACGCACAGGGAGATCGTCATGCGGGAGACGCCAGCGAGGAAGGCGGCGGCGCCTACCATTGCGAAGATGCCGGGCGAGATGACGTCGGAGGTGGTAGAGGGAAGGGATGCGATCCATTGGCCTACCAAACGGCCAAACAAGGCGCCGGCATCGAGGGCGGGGATGATGACGCCGGAGGGGACTTTGATGCCGAAGGTTATGATTGTCAAGACTAATTTTGTCAGGGTGCCGTAGACGAGGTAGGCGATGTAGGTTCCTCGATCCGATTGGGCTTCTTGTTGGCAGAGCCAGGAGTTTCTTGTTTCGTGGGAGCGGCAATCGACGAGGAGGTTCTTGATGATTGCATCGCCTGGTTCGCGGGTCAGAGGGTTGGGGTACTGGAGTAGTGCTGTGGCTGCTACTACCAGGAAGACTTCGAGAACGGGGTTTCGTTTGATGATCTGGAAGCTGCGGAACCATTTTGACCACATGAGGTTGAGTCGGCAGAAAAGACCGCCGAAGATGCCGCCGGCTATACCGAGGAAGACGAAGATGATGTAGTGGATGGGGCTGTATCCTGTTCCGTAGTGTGTTTCGAAAAGGACGAGTTTGCCTGTTCCTGTTGGGTTGAGGGCTTTCAGCACCATAGCTGCGAAGAGCGAGCAAAGGAATGCTCGCCAAAGCACCTTTCGAGGGAAGTATGTACTAATCTCCTCATAGCTGAAGAGTACCCCACCGATCGGGGCGCCGAAGGCTACACTGAGACCTGATGCACAGGCAGCTGAGAGCATCTCTCGCATCTTGCGGCCGTTGTCGCGATACTTTGGGAAGTGTTTGGCTACGAGATATCCTACGCACGTGGAGATGTGGACGAATGGTCCTTCTTTGCCCAGGCACATTCCGGTCGAGACGGCGAATACGGCGCCAAAGGCTTTGACGAAGAGGACTTTGAAGTCCAAGAAACCTGGGATGATGAAGCCGGACAGGATGGTTTTGATTTCGGGGATACCGGAGCCGGCGGCCATGTACATCGTCTTACCTGTAGCGACAGGCTGCGGTGGAGCACTGTGCGGACCCTTGTCGCCACTCCCTGGTGAGGTCGACGGTAGCGAGCTTTTAGTCAAAAGCGTGGCAGTCGAGCTTATGAGGCCGAAAGCGAGGGCGAATGCGGTGTATATCGCGAAGCGCGAGGCGTAGGTCGAGGACCACTCCTTGAACGCTGGACAGTCAGTGCCGATAACGCCATTGGATGCGATGCCAAACAGAGGCGTTTTGCCCTCGCAACAAGCTTCTCGGGTCATGAATGGGTTGTGTGAGCAATAGCCTAATTTCCAGTCTGAGGCCGTGGCGGCTGCGATATCGACGAGAAAGGCTACGCATGCTGTTAGTGTGCCTATGATGGCTGCTGCAATCCAGCCGGACGCCTCGTCGAAAAGAGTTGAGAGCTTGTACCGTAGGCCATTACGGCTGTGGATGAAGCGGTGGCGGTAGGAGTCTTTTACTAGATCGTGCAGCCAGTCGATGGTCGTGTAGTCGTTGTATGGTAATCGCTCGCCAATGGAGATATCAGCCATCTTCTGCTCCTCGACAGAGACATGGCTCTTGATGATGCTGCTGGCCTCTTCGTCGTGACGGAGTCTGCTCAGTCTTCGATCTGTCAATCGTACCTGGCCGTGCTCGGCTCCGAGCAGCGGGCTGCTTTCGTTGTCTGCCATCTCACTTCTCGCCTCTCGTCTTCAGCACGAACTCTGTGGACTCAATCGCCAAAGAGCGAGTGGCAAGATGGAGAGGTAGTGCAGGAGCGATTCGGACCTGTCGTCGAGTCTCCCGCGCATGACGTGCATTTCCGAGCTGGAGCCGCCATGAGATTGCCTGGCGTAGGGTGAGATGCTCTTATCAGAGGTCCAGAAGGCGTTCACTGATAAGGTCGCAGCAAAGAGCAGATGGTCCGTGCAGATATCAGATCAGCCTCTTTGTGGCACTGCCATCACATCTCGAGCGTCAAGACCAGTGCTTGCGAGGCGCTTGAGACCTCGTCAAGCCTCTTGGAGTGCACGTGCTGGTTGTGACCTGCACAGCATCAATGCCGAACATGTGGACTCGGTATTGCGAAAGCAGGAGCAGGGGCTAAGCCCAGATCCATTTCGGCTCCTGAGCAGCCTATTCTACTGGTGAGGTTGGTCACGCGACACTCTGCCGTGGCCTCAACATAAACATAATAGTACATCGTCGTCATAAACACAAACGACAGCAATGACCGGACAAATGTAAGGACTGACAACTTCCATTCACCTACGCTCGAACGGCTGTCTGTCACATGCTTCCGGTAAGCCAGCCAGTCTTCTCCACTTCCTCCCACCCTGCAGAGACACAGTACGTCACACCGGGGCCGACGGCGCAGGCACCGCATTGCGACAACATGCAGTGCCGAGCCCACGAGCCCTTTACCCGAAGTTCGAATGACTGTAGTATTTCCATGGCGTCGGCAGTGAAGCATACAACACTGCCTGGTGCAACTACAAGTGCGTCCTCCACATCCGTTCTTCTCGCAGTCCTCGACACACCCCTCGAAATTCCACGACCCGTATCGTCGACAGCATAGGCTAACATGCTCCATCTGGACGTCCAGGTATACAATAGATCACCACAAGATGTCCTCATCTACCGACCACCAGCCCGTCGACAGCCCATTGGGTCTGCGACAGATTCCATACCATTTCAGCAACGACAATGCAGACAAATCAGCGCTGGAGCTGGTTGAGGCACTTGATGCAGAATGGAAGGAAGCAGAAGGACCCGTCGTCTTTGTGAGGTTCACCGACGGCATCACGAACACGTTGACTAAGGCCACAAAGAAGCGACCCGGACGAACCGAGTCCGAGATCGACGAGGAGGCAGTGTTGATACGAGCATATGGGAAAGGCACAGATGTGCTGATCGACCGAGAACGAGAGCTCAGAGCACACAATCTGCTAGCCAACGTTGGCTTGGCTCCACCGCTGCTGGCGAGATTCGATAACGGTATCATGTACCGATTCATCCAAGGAGATGTCTGTTCACCAGAAGATCTGCGGAAGCCTGAGGTATACAGAGCTGTCGCGAAGAGACTTGGGCAATGGCATGGCAGTCTGCCCATATCGGCTATAACCTCCACGCCAAGCCTGGAGGCCGCACAGTTGGATAAGCATTGCGGTTTGAAGAACGGTAAGCATAGCAGGCCTATGCCTAACACCTGGACAGTGATGCAACAATGGATCGATGCACTACCGCACGGCACAGAGCAAGAAAGGGAGCGCAACAAGATGCTCGACAAGGAGCTTGTATGGCTATCAGAAAAGCTTGGCGACACCCCTGGCATTATTGATGGACTGAACTACATCTTTGGCCATTGCGACCTCCTTTCGGGCAATGTGATTGTACAACGAGAACCTGGCTCAGAAAGCAGCAATGGCGACACAAAGAAGAAGGAGAAAACAGCATCCTTCATCGACTACGAGTATGCGACACCCTCACCCGCAGCCTTCGACATAGCCAACCACTTCGCCGAGTGGGCTGGGTTCGACTGCGACCACACCGCCGTGCCAACCAGATCACAACGGCTGGAATTCATGAAATCCTACGTTGGATCTTTCCGCTTTCACTCGATATCAGATAATGACAATCTGGCGATAGATATAGATCTGCATAATGATGTTGTGACTTTAATGCAGCAGGTGGATCTGTTCAGAGGCGTTCCAGGCTTCTATTGGGGCATCTGGGCGTTGATACAGGCGACTATCAGTCAGATCGACTTCGACTATGCTACTTATGCTGATCTGAGGCTTGGAGAGTACTGGAGTTGGAAAGGAGAAATGGATGGATCGAGGACGAGAGAAGGGCGAGAAATGAGTGTCAGGGAAAGGCGATGGGCAGAAGAATGAAAAGCCCGAGCCGCTCTCGAGAATTGTCGTAAGCTCGACGAGCATGAAATGCAACCCAAGAAGGAGTACGGTGAGCTGCTGGTGCCTGCTGTTCAACATAGCACGCTCGCAACGTTGCAGTGGGTTTCAGCGATGTCTGCCGCTCAGCTATGTGTGCTAGGAGCATTCCGTGGTTGACGTGCGATCGGAAGACTCTGACTGTCTGTAGGGAGGCGACTGATGGTAAGCAAGTTCGGGACGATGAAAGTTAGGATGGTACATGACCGGCATCTGCGACTCCTGAGTATGGAATAGATTCTTGTACAGACGATATGTATATACGTCGCGCTCACAACCTGATGCAAGTTCCCGGACAGGCTTATATTGCACATTTCACTTCTGCGACTCTTATACAAGTACAATTCACGTCATGATATGTATCCTGTAATGATAACATAACGCTTGCTTTTCGTAAGACAGGGACTTCTTTTACGAGCACAACGTGCTATCGAGAGATCAGCTAAACCCGTCCATGCGGATATAATCTACCAACGAGCCGCTTTCAGCGGAAAAGGCTGCTCATCAAAGTCTCCTTCATTCCAACGTCGAACATCCTGACCACACAGCATCCAAAGCTTCGCGTCCAGCTCCGCTCGTCTCGACTCCTCCTCCTGCTTCCTGTTGATCGATGAAGGCGACTTAGCTTTCACGACTGCACCTCTATCCTTCAGTGTACTGACACCAGCGAACAACCCAGCAAGCCTCGCAGGTGCTCGGCCAGGACTCGTAGGTCGTGCAATTCTGACTTTGCGTGGCGAAGGCGTCGAATCGCGGAAAGCTGCAAAGGGTGAGCCGTTGGCTAGTGGTTCGTCGATCGTCTGGGGTGGCGTGATGTTTGGTGCTCGTCGGAGTGCATCGCGGCTGCTTTCTGGCCTGTTGAATAGATCCGGTCTTCGTATTGGCTTCTGCGCGCTCTTCGAAGGACTCTTGCGTGGGCTGGGCGGGTACTCAGTAATGTCCATGTCGTCCTCTGTGTCGTCGGACTCGACATCCTCCATTGACAACTCGCCAAGTGGTATAGCTGGTCCTTGCGGTCGACGTGGAGTGGCTGCTTTGGGAGTACTTTGTGGTTTCGCCGGGGAGAAGGCCTCGTCGTTCTCCTGATCGGCATCGTGCATGCTGTCGTCGTCCGATACTGAAGGAGCTGGCTGCTGGAGCGCGGGAAAGCGTGGCAAGTCGCCGAAGATATCATCCTGCCTAGCTTGGAGCACAAAAGGCTGCTGTGGCGGACTTCGAGCTCGTCGTCTGCCAATGACGCCAGTGGGCGAGCCTTCACTCCTTCTTAGGCCGGTAGTGCCTCTTTGTCGCGCCGTGGCAATTGGTCTCCTGTGCCTAGCTGGAGCTGCTGGCTGTACAGAAGCAAAGTCCATTATATCGACCTTGTCCTCTACTTGAGCTTCCATCTCCGTGATATGGCCTCTGCTCCGCGCCTCTGTCACAGCATCTCGTAGCTCAACCGGGACTTTCGCGTGGATGCTTGTCATCAGTCCCGCCCGCCTTCCGAATGCACTGTAGTCATCCTGTATCAGACCGCCCGCCTCTGCATTGAGTGCACTGTCCGGATTTGGCTGGATGAGTAGACATGATATGACGACCAAGATGTCCCTGAGGGTGAGCTTGACATCCCAGTCACGCTTCAATGTCTCCACACAGACGCCTCCAGTCTGTGGTTCAACATTGGGATGGAAGATTGGAGTCCGGAAATGTGCCGTGGGAGGTTGTTGTGGGTAGTTTGGAGGTATGGTAAGATGGAGCTTGAACAGTCCTCCTGCAAAGGGCGTATGGCTAGGTCCAGCAAGCAGTACGTCCAGCTGTGTCAGGTCGTCGTCGTTGGTAGAGGAGGCTGGAAAGAGGTAGTTTGGAGGTAGAGGCTCGCTGTGGAGACTGCCATGATCTGCCGCTAATCGTCGTAGGCTTCGTGCGTTCTGCTTTTGTCAGTGATGGCTGTGAGATGCTGAATGGGATATTCGTCTGTACCATAATGTTGTCGTTATTTCATGCAGCATGTAGCTATACTACGCGCTGTACCTCGAGCCCCAGAATTCAATTGCTTCCAATACTATTTCGTGCTCCCAAGATGCTGTTGTAAGCCAATCAATCATATGTAATGCATTATCGTTGCGCAGTGTCTGTTTACAAGTCATTGCTTGGCTACAAATTCGCTTTCATCAGGGCGACGCGACGCGCTGCAGCAAGCGCGTAAAGTGGCATCATTATCGTATGCACCGTGCTTCTTTCCCTCTCCCTCTCCCTATCTGTCTCACATGCTCATCCTTCTATACTCGCAATTCACACACGCGACAGTCGTCATGATCGTGACGCGACATGATTTCGTGCTGACATCTCTTCCATCTGCCGCACGTAGAATCACGGCTAACGGCACACGATGACCATCTCTGCTGCTTTAGCCAGAAAGACGACCATCTCCTCCTTCAAGATCCACACTCTCCGCACTGTGCTCCCAAACATCATCGTGCAGTGCGGAGTAGGTAAATGTATCAAGATACAAGAGATGGTGAGCGAGACGGGAGAGTAGCCCAAGACGGTAGGCTATCATTTTCTTCATTTATCGCCATGGCCTTTATGCAGAGACCCGTATTGTTGCTAGTGGCATGCCACGCAGCAGGTATCTTTTGCGCAGTGCCCTCACCGGATACACTAGGCGACATAAGCATCCTGGCGTATGATAGCTTGCGACGTAAGATGCTCCCATCTACACCATCTCGCTATAATTGACAACGACCAGCAAGCGATAGGAATACCACAAGTGCAGCACTTTTACTCAAGTCGCCCGTCGACTATCAAGCTGCTGAGGCTGCATGTACATCCTTGAGCGAGAGTCTATGGTCTGCAACCACAGACCAACCATTCTCAGCCGGCCTCAACAGCTCGCTGTCCTACGAAGTCTATAGTGGTCGAGTCGCACGCGATCAGCTCTTCTGGGTAGGCAACTGGCAGCATTATGATCAACCACCATGGAACAAACGTGGCTCTCTATGGCAACACAATCCACCCGGACCTCCCAGCTATGGTCCCCACAATCCTCATGGTCCAGCAAGCTGTCAAGCCATGCTTCCGAGTGGTGATGTGCAGAGCGTAGACTGCAACACCGCTCTGCCAGCTTTGTGCTCTCAAAGTGCTCCAGCTTCCAACTCCACCTATGCAGATACGACTGCGCCTTACCAAGTGGTCCAAAATACTGGCAGCCAGTCTTTGCTCGGATATCGAGACTTCCTCACCTTCCACTTCCTTGGCGTGCGCTTTGCTCTTGCGCCCAAACGGTGAGCTGCATCCAACCACTTCGAGACCAGAAAATATATGGCCAGAGACTAATACTACACGTCCTGCAGCTTCACTTACTCAACTGTGTACAACGCCGCGACAGGCCTCAACTCGGCCTTAAAGGACGCCTTGCAGTGCTTACAGCCAGTAGGTAATGGACCAGGAAGTACAGACTGTCTTTTCCTGAATATCTGGACCACTTCTTTGCCTGCCTCGAATGAATCGGAACCTGCCACGCTTAAGCCTGTCATGGTGTATATCTATGGTGGCGGTTTTACAACCGGTTCTGCTAGCAATCCTACGAACGACGGCGGCAATCTTGCTGCTCGGGGCGATGATGTGGTTGTGGATTTGGCCTACCGACTAGGTGCCCTTGGGACTCTTGCTTTCAACGATGGCGTACACAACGGCAACTACTGGATCTCAGACCAGATTGCTGGATTGCAGTGGGTTCAAGAGCACATTGCCGGTATGTTTCAATATCACATAGTAATGCTCGATGTACTGCGATTGCAGCAGCTAATATATACGACAGATTTCGGTGGAGATCCATCACAAGTGACCATCTTCGGGGAGTCTGCAGGCGCACAGAGCGTGCAAGCACTAATCGCATCTTCGAAAGCTCGAGGACTCTTCCGCGCGGCTATCCTGCAGAGCACTTACGTCGACACTTATCTGCCTATCTCGCAATCTGTCGACTCCTTCACCCTTCCGATTTTGAATGAGACAGGCTGCGCCAACGTGTCCGATCAATTCGCCTGCTTAGAGGCGTATAACGCCACTGCTCTCATCAATCTTCCGACGACAGCCAATGCACCAACAATCGACGGCACGTACCTCGTTACGCCATTCATCGATCTCAACGTCACTGCCGCCAACAAAACCACGAGCTCTATTCCGGTCATGATCGGGGTTAATCGAGATGAAGCCGGAGTGCTCAACCCTCAGCCAACCTTTTCGAATGTGAACGCCAGCTTCTACAACCTTAATCCAGGCGAAGGGATTCAGAGTCCTCCTTACAAGGTCATAGAGGCTGCACTAGCTTCGGGACTGTTCCCACTCGGTCCAGGGCCCACAGGCAACGACACCCTGCAGAATGAAGTCTTCAACGCGACTACGCGCTTCTATACCGACTATCAGCTCAAGTGTCTCGGCGAGCAGCTCGCTTATACCGGAGTGGCGACCGGTGTTTGGCCTGAGGTGTACTTCTACGAGTTCAACCGCACCTACCAACCTCCCGGGTACAATGGCAACCATGTCTGCCAGGCGCCGATCACACCAAGTCACCCGAATGGTGACCCAGAACTGGAGTACTTCAAATGCCACGCCGGTGACCTCGAGCTTTCCTTCGGCAACTTCGCTCGTGATGGGTATCCCGAACGTGACGAGTACGACATTCCGTTCTCTCAGACAGTAACAGATTACTGGACTTCCTTCGCAAGGACCTTGAATCCTAACCCTGCACAAGGGTATCTGGCTGCGAGAGGGTACTGGGACACGCTCAGCCAGCAGTCAGTAGCTGGAGAATGGCAGCCGGTCAACACGACAAGTCCAAGTATGATGTTGTTGCAGTGGAATGGGGCGATGGTGAGCTTCGGTGATCAGCCGCAATGTGCTGTCGTTGGGGAGTCACTTCACGGACTGCTTGGGTAGTAGACAAGTCTATCGACCGCTGGTCGGGGTCGAATTAGAAACAGATCACGATACAGGAACGTGAGGGCAATTGTAATGCAAAACAAGCTGCGCCAAGCACAGCTCATGGCATTGGATCTCGGCTTCATCGATCGAGGTGGACGAACCGAAGTCTTCTTCGCATATGTAGTCGACTGATTAGTTTATGCGCACACGATCTTGTGATCGTCCACACAGACATTTATGTTATAGAGTACAATACACAAACATTGTGCAGAAAGATCAAGCTCAAGTGCGGCGTCATCCTCGGCGGCAATTTCCCAAAAAGTCATTCACGCCGAGACTGCAGACAACCACTAGGTTCCGAACATTGGCGGCCTATAATGGAGCTGCAATGTCATGCTTGTACATGACATGCTTGGCCAACCCTAAGCAGTCCTGCTTGTACCCACCACTTGCATGTGATGTCTTTGTGAACTTCTAGCAACGTCGCAAGGTGGGCCGATCGCTGATTTTGGCGTTGCAAGAGCAGAGGCAAATGCTAAGTCGCTTCTCTGTGACATTAAGGCGTATCGTTGCCGTGGAAGCGAAATGAAGACAAAGCCGTGGGAGTCTTCGAGGAAGGTGCGAGCTGCTTCCCAAGGCTTAGCGGCTGAAATATCTGGCTTGATGCGGACTGCAAGCATACTGGACTCATCTCTCTGAGAGACGCCTTCGGTGCACAGATCGTTGCCAAAGACGTTGCCACCCGATAGCGTGCTGGTGTTCCCGCCATAGGTGCCTCTAGCTAGCTGCTTGTCACAAGACACCGCTTGGAGGAAAAGACTTTGTACAGATGGCTTTTCATAGCAGAAGCAGCTTCTGGCATGCGAGAGTCGCGTGGTCGTTTTCATCTTTCACATTTCCAACGGACCTCGCCTGCCTCATCCTCTATTTGGTGCCAAGCCTGGCACACCAGAGTATCTCTCCTCCCTCTCCGTCTTGAACGTGACCAGAACCCAGAACTCCTTGCTATCGCCATCGAACCAAGTCCAATGCTTGTCCTCCCTCCGATCCACCTCCCTCGCCTGCAGTTTGAACCCGCAAGTCTCGTACGGCTCTGCCGCGACAAGTAAGTACTGAACTTGCCGATCCGGTGGATCCTCGACTTTCTGCTCAAAGGCACTCATGAATCGCACGCGCGGCACCACACCCTGCGTGATCTCAGGGTATAGAAGCTGGAACAACAAGCCCTCCTGCCTTGTGACCGGATCCCTCGTCTTCGTGATCTTGTACCCCGGCCGTCCGATCTTGACAACATTCTTCCTCACTTGCACAGCGTTAGCACCCGTATACCCATCCTGCTCCCTCTTCCTTCCCATCTGTTCATCCTTGGCAGCTCGACGAGCAAGATTCGTTTGATGTTTTCGTCCTTGTGTGTGAGCGAGGTATGAGCCATCGTTTTGATGTACTGTGAGACACAATCGACATTCGAAGCTGCCGACGTGGTTTTTGAAGAAGTACGGATCTTTGTCTAGATCGATGGTTTCGAGAGCGAGTTTTCGTAGACGTTCGCGGCGGTCAGCGTTGGTGGCAGATTGGGAGGCGACACCGCCGCCACCGAATTTGGAGCCAGCGCGGTTCTGGTAGTCCATGGTCTGCTGGCAATTGTTGGGTGTGTTGTGGAGGATGTAATTAACAAGAGGATCGTAAATCGCAAAGTCCAGGAAGCTAGCATGCCCGAATGACTCGTGCGCGACGTGCGCCACTTCAAGCGCCACACCTTGACTTCTTGACAACATCACGAGCACAAAAGCTGTTTTCCACACCAATAATGTTGAGAAGAAGGGCGATGGAGGATTGAATGTCTTCATAGCGGCTTGCATTGACCTAGGTGGCTAGGTGGGACAGAATGTCGTCTCGTTACCACATAAATCAACGACTATCCCTCAAGGGCCAAGCATGCACAATTCGTTTCACAGGCTTAGTGAAAGGCAAGTCCGGAGACTGGATAGGTGTCGAGTGGGACGATCCTACTCGTGGAAAACATGAAGGGAGCCATGGAGGCACGTCGTACTTCTCCTGCCGCGGCGACTCTCCAGCGTGTGCGTCTTTCCTACGACCAAATCAACCATGGGATGAGCCACGGACTTTTCTGGAAGCGTTGAGAGAGAAGTACGTAGAGCGCGCCGATGTTGGGGGAGACGCCATCTATTTCTCCTCGAAGCAGGCCGAAGAGGTTGGCTTCGAGAAATTTGCCAATCGCCAGGCGAAGCTTGAAGGCATTAAGGTCCTGGTTTTGAATCGCACGAGAATTCAACACTCTGCCAGCGACCCAGATGTCGATACTATCGCAGACGTATGTGCTGAGATTACAGATTTAGACATTGGAGGGAATCTGTTCGAGTCCATACATGGAGTGGTGGACTTGTGTCGACGTTTGCCGAGGTTGAGAAAGCTGGTTCTGGATGGAAATCGAATGGTGATTGATGATGACTTCCTGGACCAAGAGAGGAACCCGGCCTTCGTCCGAATCAGCGAATTGAGTCTGTCAAATACATTCCTCGACTGGGAAAATGAGCTCCATCCAATGGTCCAGCGCCACTTCGTCAGTATTCGCAGCCTGAATTTCAGCGACAACGAATGCGGCCATTTTGTACCTTTTGATGAACCACTAGGTCTTGATATATCCACTCTGGACCTATCTAACAATGAGGCCGAGAACATAGAGAACATCAGCGGTCTATCGAATGCAAACGTTCACACGTTGATCCTCAAGAACAACAGGATCGACTCTATAGGCGACACAGTACCTCTAGCTTCAATCGTCGAGCTCGATGTTCGTCACAACGCAATTGCCTCATTCGACTTCATTGATATGCTTCCCACTGCCTTCCCAGCCTTGCGCCACCTGAGGACTACAGGCAACCCTCTCTACTCTAATCTTCGATCTCACGATGGCAAGCCACTGACAACTGAAGATGGATATATGCTCACTATAGCTCGCTTACCACAGCTGAAGACGTTGAACTATAGTAAGATCACAGAGAAGGAGAGATTGAACGCCGAGACTTACTACCTCAATACTGTTGCTCAGGAGGTGTCCAAAACTTCTTCTGAAGAGGAGAAGGAGAAGACGATAGCGCGGCATCCGAGGTGGAAAGAGCTGTGTGAGGAGTACGGCGAACCAGCTATTCTTCGTCAAACAATTGACCACACTACAACGTCAGGAGAGAAGTTGGTGGACCCGAATAGCCTTGCAGCACGCCTCGTTACAGTCAATTTCACCTATGGGTCGAAGACGTGGACGCGAGAGGTCCCGAAGAGCTTCTCGGTATATGAAGTTCTGGGTTTGGTTGGGAGGCCATTGTCCGTCATGCCCTTGAAACTGCGACTTATCTACGAGACTAACGAGCAAGCTGTGTTGGTGGAGGGGGTACAATACGAAGGACCGGGGTGGTGGTGTAGCGATGGCGAGAGTGAAGGCGAGGATTTGATCGAGAATGGAGCCAAGGCTTTGCGAGCGGTGGAGTTGGTTGCCGGGACTAGGACACTGGGGACGTATGTTGAGGGTCGACATGCTAAGATACGGGTTGAGCTGCGTTGAAGGAAGCTACCTGGACGGCCCGTACTACATGACAGATCTGTGGGGCCGAGGGATACAATCGAAAGCCGTTTGAGTATGCCGCTGGACAGGGAGCACATATACTTGTGGTCACATCGACCATTACTGAACCCTGTGAGACACTGTGCTAGAGGCCCCCATCAAAGCCGCGGCGAGACCTTCCTCCGCGAGCAATTGTCTGGTGATCGACGCTACGAGTGCCTGATGTCGCGGCCTCATGATCCCGAATACCCACGCAACAGCGCCCCGGCTGCTGGAAGATACGTTCCTGCACGCATCGAAATCGTATGGCGGTCATGGTCGGTTTCAACCCGTGGCAGAGGTCTGGGGGCAGGAAGCCGCTGTGGTGGAACACGTGGGAGGCAAATATTGTGGCCGCACGAGAGATGGGCCCAGCCGCAGCAACGATCATTGGGCCGAACGGCAATTCACCGAACGCTAGTCGGGAGTTGCTGAATCCTAGGTGGACTGAGTGCTAACGCTACCTCCGGCGGCCATGGATGGAGTCTTCCAGCCTGAGGACACGGACGAGGCAACCAAGACTGCGGAGTCAAATGACGGCTATGGGCACTGCAGTCACGATGTTTCGCTCTCGGTATGCGAGATGTACTACCAAGTGCTGCTCATCGAGGCAGGAGTGGTGTCGAGGGGCCCGGCACGCTCTAGTGCTGAGGAGCTTGGTCGCGGCTCAGTCTCGTCTCATCCTTAGCAGACAAGCTCTCCAGCTTCCCAATCGTCCATAGTCAGTTGCACAGAACACGAATAGGCTTCACCCCAACTTCTGCAAGTACCCCTGTTGAATCAAACTCTGCACATCCGCCTGCCTCACATGCAACTGACTGTTCTTCGTGAGCGTAATGCTCCCATACTCTGTCTGGATCTCGCCGGCATCTTTCAACACCCTGACATCAATAAATATATCCTTCGGTGGCTCCAAACTCCCCGTCAGATCGATATCGGTCCATTGGCCTTTGTAGGCTGCCAGAAGATCGCTGTATTGGTGCATATATTGTTCTTCTTCGGCGCTGAGACTAGAGGCCGGTGCACTTCCACCCGCGCTCTGTCCTCGAGAGAAGGAGGCGGTAGTGGCAGACTGGAGGTCGGCGATGTCGAGGCCCGACCAGCACATTTCTTCCATCTTATCTGTGCGGACACGGTGGTAGGCGAGAAGGCAACGTTTGTTGCGGCGCATGCTTAAGTGGTTGACCAGTAGGGCGCAAGCTGTTGCCGGATCGTCTGCGGGATTGAAGCTGCTCTTGATCTGAGTGCCATCGCTGCTTTGGGAGTTTCCGTAAGGAAGAAGGAGGTTGCTGACTTCGCGGTCAAGGTCGCGGACTTCTTTTGTTACTGCTCGGACTGTGGTGGCGGCGTATGGTGGGAGGTGAGGCAGGCCTTGGATACGTTTCGCATCTTGTGCTAGCTTGTTGGCTTGCTCAGCGTACATTGTTGGTCGTCATTCAATCCATCGAACTGTAGTGTGCTTTCAGGCGGGGTGTCGATGTGGGAGGACGCGTTGGCGGGGCAGGAAACGCGTTGCTCCTCCTCAGCCAATGCTTCTCTCTCACATGCTCCCTTCTTGTACACCCTCATGTCACAAATGATAGGTGTACCGCTCATCAATCGTCGCTGCTGCCTTGGTGTGGTATCTTGAATGGCAGTGACAATGCTCACAAGCTGCTACAGGCTTGGTCATTTATACAGCTGACTTCACTTGCACATCCTACAGCATATCATCCAGGAGTTGGATATCGCCTCGATCATCTTATTCAAAGCATGGATGCTGATCTAGGGAAAAGATTGCTAGACAAGCAGGCCTTCTACGCCGAGCTGGATGTCACACTAGCTGATAGCGACGACGAGCCGGATCCAGGCCGCAAAGCTTCGGAGCGCATACTGCGAAAGAAGTCTACTATCGCCACTGCTCCGCCCACTGTGATAGCTGAGGGTAGCGGGCTGGCTCGCTCGACTTCGGACACGAGTCTAGCAAGACATTCGCCGCAGAAGACCGTCGCGCAGAACTTGGTGAGGCCGACGACAAGCGCCGCCCCAGCCGCGAGAGATCATGCACCGCCGCTTAGAAAAGGTGCTACTTTCTCTGCATCAGCTAGCGAACCTATCGTGACAGCAGTATCGCTCGGCGTAATCCCAAAAACCTCGATAGGCAAGCGGAAACGTGACGGTGTCGTGAAGTTGGTGTCAGAAGCACAGCAGATTTTCAAGGGCTTGCACTTCTACTTCTTCCCAAACAACGACAACAATCCTGCTCGGGCGATGCGAATGATGAAAGCACTCGAGTATGGTGCTACCTGGCAAAAGGACTGGAGCGAGCACGTCACTCATGTCGTTGTTGATAAGCAATTGGATTATGCTATGGTTTTGAAGGAGGTGAAAGCGGCCGCTCTGCCCGAGCACGTCATCGTGGTGTCTGAGAACTATCCAGCAGACTGTATTTCCTTTCGGCTCATGATGGACCCGAAGCAGAAACGCTTTCAAGTGAAAGGATACATTGCACAAGCTCAAGCACCAGCAACAACGCCTGTGGCTCCAGTCCTACCCGAGAAGACGTCCTTGGAGCTCAAGCCAGCTGGGCGTGCCGTGATGGCTCGGCCGCCGGAGTCACCAAGAACAACTGACGAAGCTTCGCAGCCTCCCGACTTACCATCCAACGAGTCGAGTAATGCTGCAAGACCGGTCAGTACCAAGACTGCTGCACCTGATCAGATCGTTCCAGACACAACAGCGGAGTTCGACGACGCTATACGGCAAGCCAAGGGTTTAAAACATGTGCCATTCGAGGACGAAGGTGAAGATAGCCGACCTTCAACCTCCGAAGGCCCAGCTACCGACGACGAAGACCAAGCCTCAAATCCCAACAGGAAACAAAGAACAAAACAGCTTGCTTTCCAAGATAAATTCCAATGTATGCAGAAGCATACTGGGGACAAGATAGGCAACCCGAACGCGGCGACCATTACGATTCTGCAACAAATGGCCGACTACTATGGTCAAGTAGGTGATCAGTGGCGAATTCGAGCCTACCGCAAAGCGATAGCAACGCTGCGCAACCATCACACCAAGGTATGGACGAAGAAGCAGGCACTAGCCCTTCCACAGATTGGCGAACGCCTAGCCGCCAAAATCGAAGAGATAGCTGTCACTAACCGACTACTCCGACTTGACAATGCCAAAGTGGAGCCAAGCGATCAAGTCTTGCAGACCTTCATGGGCGTCTACGGTGCTGGCTTCGCCAAAGCAAGCGAGTGGGTAGCCCAAGGTCACAGAACACTCGATGAAGTCCTCGCCAGTGGCAACCTGACCGAGAGTCAACGCATCGGTATCGAGCACTACGAGGACTTCAACAGCCGTGTCCCGCGCCATGAAGTAGAACAGCACGGCGCTTTTGTCCGCCAGGCTCTGCACAAGATCGACCCGGCTTTCGAAGTAATCGTAGGCGGATCTTACCGTCGTGGTTCTCAGACATCAGGTGATATCGATTGCATACTCACGCGGCCCAATACCAACGCCTCCCACCTCCGCACAGTAATCTCGGGCCAACTTATCCCCACCCTGCAAGCCCAAGGTTTCCTCGTAGCCTCCCTGGCCACGACCTCCCGGGACGATGGTAGCAAATGGCACGGTGCTTCCTGCCTTCCCACCAGCCAAAATAAAATCTGGCGTCGTATCGATCTCCTCCTGGTGCCATCAGATCAGATTGGAGCGGCGTTGATATATTTTACTGGTAATGATATTTTCAACAGGAGTTTGAGGCTGTTGGCTAGTACGAAAGGTATGAGGTTGAATCAGAGGGGATTGTTTAGGGATTGTATGCGTGAGAAAGGGAGGGAGAAGATCAGTGAGGGGGTGTTGGTTGAAGGCGAGGATGAGAGGAAGATCTTTGATGTACTTGGCGTGCCTTGGAGGCCGCCTGAGCATAGGATATGTTGAGATCACCTCAAGTTTTGCCCTGCCGCTGGTGAAGGTAGTCTGAATAAGTAGTACTCCAGCTTTGGAAATGGTCTCAATGGCAAAACACTACTGCTTGGCGCCGACGCAACCAAGTACATGCATTATGTCGTAATTGCTTGATTTGTGCACTTGCTGCTTGGAAGATTTATGCATGCATGTTTCAAGGTCTGCCTGAAAGTCCTGGCTATAAAATGTTGAGTTATGATCCTTTGTTTTCTGGAGACCCGCGCCAGGAATGATCCCGGTGAGGTTGGCTTGAGGGTCTGGCTATACCACTTGCTGTTATTATGATCTGGATGTCGTCCCAACTTTGAGGTCTGGATCCGCTCTCCTGCATGTTCGACAGCGGACGTCTCGGTCCAGTTCACGGGCCGCGAATGCCTACGTCCTTTGAAGTTGAGACAGCGGTGTCGTTCGAGAAAGTGAGTGGAGTCCCTGATTCCTTTCCAGTGACCGGCTTATGCATGTCGTGACTTGAATTCGACTCACATTGCACATTCATCGCGCAGTGCTCAATTGAAACAGTCGAGTCGTGGTCGAGATCAGACCGACAAGGAGAGAGTGGCTAGAAAGGGCAATGCAGTTGCGTCACTGCTCACAATGCAATGCCGCCATTGCGGATCTCTACCACTGGGAACACCGTCGCTTACGATGAGGACGATGTATCTGATGCGGTTTCCAGACCGCAAGCATGTTTCGAGACGCTGTCATAGAAACTGCGGCCTTAGGCACTCTTGATAAAAAGAGATGAACCAGGACTCGGCCAGTAGGAACCGACGGAATATTGAATCTGCTGCAGCCAATAGGGCTGATGCTTCAGGAGAGAGCTAATGCGAGATGGAGCCTAAGCTAGACAGCCGTTAGTTCAGGGGAACGAGCTGCCGAGTGCGCCGTCACAAAGGCAATTAAATCCATAGGGGCAGAAATTCCCGTCGGGTCGGTGATGCATGTGAGGGATTCGAGCATCATCACATGGAATCCTGCTTTCGGCTGGTGTTGCTCTCATGTCCGCGCGCAAGCGATGCTTTTGTTGCTGGGCGGACGACGTAGTAATTTGTTATTTGTTGGTGTGCGCTGGCAGAGCGGTCAGCTTACTAGATGCGTGAGCGATCTATCCACTTTAGATTATGGCCCAGTGCATGCATCGAGGCAGTGATAGAGCTGCAGCCTTTCGAGCGCAAAGGTGAGAATGAGAGTGGTGATGACACGACACGGCAGCAGAGCGTGGCTTCACGCCTTTCCCGGACAGGCTTTTTGGGCCCTGATGTCTAAGAAAAGAAGGGAGGCGCACAGTCCCGTCGTCTAAAGTGCAGCCGTCCAGCCACACTCCTTCACGACATCTCGTTTCGTCGCGTCTCTCTGCCTGCTTTCCGACGGCAAACGCGACCGCATCTCATCGCAACTTCCTGCGCAATCTGTTCCAGACGTTCCAAACAATGCCGTCATTATGATTTCCCGATGCACTCCTCTCCTGCTGTCCGCACCCGAGTCGTCAGCCTCACCTAGCCTTTGACTCGTCTTGGGCCGGCTCGACTTTAGCGCAACGACCCGAAGTCCGAAGAGTGAATCTCGACAACGTCGCGTCCTGCGCACGATCAGGAGAGACGCCTGTGCACCGCTTTCTAGAAAGAGGATCATTCCATCTTTATTGCAATCGCTCAACCGACCCTGGCCATCCTCCCTTGAATCAGACGCAATCAATCTCTTCGACCATCGACGTAACTTTCCACAGCGCGAACCTGCTCGTGCACTTTGTCACCGCGAGCTGTTCTCGCCTCTGGCGCCGTATCAAAGACATCGCAAAACCATCACAGTCTCTTTCCCGTGGACAACACTATCGTCCCTCACCTGCAGCCGCGCTGCCTTCACCCGCTCAAAGTCAGTCTGCTAGTCAGTCTACCGGAACCCTGGCGACTCCTTTCGAGGGGAAGGACATCGGCCTGTCTCATCACGATTCACCTTCCACGCAGGACCCACAGGCCGCTCAAGGCAAGCCACGCTCCGCGCTATCTCGGCACTGTTCCTGTTGATCGGCTGCCAAAAGGTCACCATCGCTGCGGGAGCCGTCCCGTCAACCGTGACCTTGGGAGTCTACAATCCCGACCACGATACAGAACATCATCGCCATCCTTTGGCCTCTACGGCACCGACTGTCCTTAACATCCTACCGTACGCCTGTGCAGGACCCTAACGTGTCTCTCATCCATCGGCCATCAACATACGTGTGCTGTCTCATCTTACACAACTTACCATCACTATCTAATCGTAATCGCATCGGCCTTGAGGGTCATCATACTGCACGGGCGAGCTCAATCGCGAACTATACTAACCATCTCTCTGTAAGTGCATCGGCGTTATACGTTGCTTAGGGCATGAGCTGACCGTCCACGCAGTTTGCACAACATCTCAAAGCTCATGTCCAGATAGCCTTTGTACAGCTCACGAGCTAACCTCGCGTCGACTATCTTCGACCATGACTGTCGCGTACGATATGTCGTACCGTGGGTGGCCACCAGCGACCCAGTCGACCGTATGCCTTGAAGACAAATTCGAAGTCATCAAGGATATTGGGGATGGCAGCTTCGGCAGTGTCGCTTTGGGAAGAGCAAGGAGCGCTGGCGCCCATGCAGTTCGCAGAGGCACACTCGTAAGCTGTACCAAAATTGGTTTGTAGTTTGTGCTAACACCGAATAGGTGGCCATCAAAACTATGAAGAAGACATTTGAGTCGTTCCAGCAATGTATGGAGCTTCGAGAGGTGATCTTCTTGAAGTCACTGCCAAACCATCCACATCTGGTTCCCGCATACGACATCTTCCTTGATCCGCTAAGTCGGAAGCTCCACATTGTGATGGAGTACATGGACGGCAACCTGTACCAGCTGATGAAGGCTCGTGACCACAAACCTTTGGATGCCGGAAGCGTGAAGAGCATACTCTTTCAGATCATGGGTGGCCTCGAACATATTCACGAGCACAACTTCTTCCACCGCGATATCAAACCAGAAAACATTCTGGTGTCAACATCTGCTCCTGAGGCTGGCAGCTCTTTCAAGCGATACTCAGCAATGGTCACACCACCATCGACCCCTCCATCGTACTCCATCAAAATCGCCGACTTCGGGCTTGCAAGAGAGACGCAATCGCGTGTACCATATACGACATACGTGTCAACTCGATGGTATAGAGCGCCTGAGGTGCTCCTAAGAGCTGGAGAATACTCCGCTCCTGTGGACATTTGGGCTGTAGGCGCGATGGCAGTTGAGATTGCAACCCTGAAGCCACTTTTCCCAGGTGGTAATGAGGTCGACCAAGTCTGGCGAGTTTGTGAGATCATGGGAAGCCCAGGAAGCTGGGTGAATAGACAAGGCGGAAGAGTTGGAGGTGGCGAGTGGAAAGATGGCATTAAGCTGGCACAGAAGCTCGGCTTCTCCTTCCCTAAGATGGCGCCTCACTCACTCGACGAGCTATTGCCTTCTCCGCAATGGCCGGCTAGCTTAGCGAACTTCGTCACGTGGTGCTTGATGTGGGATCCAAAGGTGCGGCCCACGTCGCGACAGGCACTTGAGCACGAATACTTCGCCGATGCTCTGGACCCACTCAGGCCGAAGAGCAGCAGTACATCTCGCATGCTTGGCCGTAAGGCATCGAACATCAGCGCTGGCATCGATACGGCCGACAATGGCCATGCTCTAGCTACCAAGACATCATCATGGTTTCGAAAGTCGATGGGCACGAAGGAGGTCATTGCGCCAGCCGTGCCGGAGCATGTGCAAGTCACGCAGACGAAGTCTCCCAGACCTGCACCTGTACACGCAAACACGTCGGCCGATGTTATGGCTACCACGAACAAGTCACGCCCGAACGCGACCAAGCGTGCCACTTGGACGAATGGTCCGAACAACAATGCCGCTCCCATACCCATTCTCCCATCGATACGGCCCGTCTCTCCACTACCAGACTCTTCCACAGCACACGCTGATGTGCGAAGAGCTGAGCATCCTGAAGACAGGCCAGGCAAGAAGATTGGCCGTCAACTCTCAGTCAACTCGCAAGGTAATCACTACGCCGAGCTTCACAGACAGGAAGCCGAGCGTGCTCTCAACGGCGCTGGACTCAAATCACCTACCGGTAGTCAGCGTGAAAGCTTCTTCTCTCACCTGCGCAAGCGGGCAAGGAGACTATCGGGACGCACTCCTGGCACGATGTCGCCCAACCCGGAAGACATGGAGGCGAATGCCGGCTGTGCGCCATGGCCCACGAATAGCAACAGGCACTCGGTACAGGAGCCGCAGTCCATTGCTGCAGTGGCCGCCAATCCGTCAGACGACCCGGGCTTTGCTGAACTTGACCGCGCTTTGCAGAACGTACGGTACAGCCTGGACGTTTCTGCCAACGCAGCGAGCACACCACCAAGATACCCAACACGCGTGTCAAGTAACCCAGCACTCAAGCGACATCACTCGTTGCCGAATGGTGAAGGGGTTCAGGCAGCTGGGGTGAACGGCAACACCCTTGCATCAAATCGTGCACGCCGCTCTGTCAGGCAGCCCAACCATCGTTACGAGACACCAGACGAGGAAGATGAGCTTCTCGATGAGGCAATCACGTCGGCACACAAGGCTGCTACTCAGCTTGACAGCCATCGTGCAACCCATCACGCTAGCGGATACCAACAGTACCGGCCACCAATGCCACACATCACTTCTGACCCTGGCTTCGCGGCGCCATACTTGACGCCATCACCTTCGAAAGACCACAACAATGTAAGCTTTGGCTCGCACGACTACACGCCTACGAAGCCTGTGCCTATACCAGCAATGAAGACTGGCAAGCCTGTCAACGTGAACCCACAATGGCCGACACCACCGTACGAGGAGAACGATTGGGCAGCAGCAGCCGCAGCCAGCATATTCGCAACACAAGCACAATTCCGGTAGTCTGGCCAGTGTCACGACTACAAATTCCTTTTCGTCATAACAATTTCGCATTACTAGGTGTTCCCGGAGCGGCAGACTCCCCTACGGTCTTCTAGACTTTTCCTTATCTCTCGGGATCGGCATTTGAAAAACCGAGTACACTCTCGCCTTGGGGAGCACGGCGTTTACATATACCGGACATCACAAACTCTGTACAGCATTCGTACAGTCCGCCAACATTTTGGCCACTGCACATCTACCTAGATCCAAGGACATAATCATCGCACATGGCTCATCAGGAGCATCAAAATCTATCTCATTATCAACACAGTATTTCTATATGTACACAGGGGCGGAAGGCAGATCACGGCGTGAGGGAACAGGGCAGTGGAAGTGTACACACATATCAAAGGGAGAGTTTCTATTATTGTTGGCGAGAGATTACGGCTGGCGTGGCATCGCTTTTGCTGGCGGATACCCCAATGAGCTATTGAGCTCGATTTGTTTATGTGCTTGATGGTAGCCCCATCCTCTGTCAGCTGCGCTGTATAGAGTGTACAATATCTCGAAGGATCTATCCTCAGCACCTCTGACCTCAATATTGTCACGCCGTCGTCATTGCTGGCGGCTTGTCCGGCGCCAGTGGATGTTCCCTGCTTGGCATGCTGGATAGCTCGATCTGGCAAAAAAGAGCTTCTGAGGCTCATATCTCAACGCACGCAGGCATGGGCGGCATTTTGACCAGATGTCGTTCATCTGTGAAATCAGCTCCTCCTTCTGCGCCTATATTGTTATTGCGTGGTGTTGCCATTAGGTCGCTGGAGGGGGTGCTCTTGAGAAAGCGTCACCAAGCGGTTCTCCTCACGTGACCTTCTGAAAGACCGACTGAGGCGTGGGAACACACCCTCAACACTCGAAAAGAGTAGATTCATACAGGTAGATCACAGCTTAGGTGATTGAGAATATAGCATAATCAAGTCGCTCTGCGCGACGTATGGCGGACATACTACCCTCTCTATTGCAAGTATCGTGCCAGCCTGCTGTGCCGTGGCTGAGGCTTTAGGCGCTAGCGCTGCACTTCAACGTATATCTCCTGCAGGTACAAACGGCCAACAAACGTAAACACAAACTCAATATTGATGCCTCTTTACACCAACCTACCTTGACTGATAGCAAGGTAGAGCAGGCCATGGATCGGTCGCGGCCGCAACCTCCATTGCCGTCAGTGGCGACACCAAGGGCACAGCTCAAGCGTAAGCACGGCGAGATCGCTGACCCAACTCAACTTAAACGTGGCGACAACCATGAGCAGATCGCCGGACCTGGACCTGAACAACCTGTATTTCTCAAGAAGGCCACCGAACCTACCAGAAACGGATCACAGCCGCCGGAAGCTGCAATCGACAATGAGGACGAATCCGAGGATGACTCGATGCTTGAGGACATTCTTGACACTATTGAGCTCGATCCTTATGTTGCAGTCGATGATGACAATATTGGCCTGTCAAAGACGCAATGTCAGCAGCTACACCGCGAGCTGCGGAAAGACGGTCCAGAGGCATTTCTCGATCATTACTTGACGAAGAGCAGTATCACATCGAAATTGACGGAGAGCAATATCACACCGAAACTGCTCGGGTTTGCCTTTGGAATAAGTCCTGGTTTTGCGTTCGAAGACGATGACATATTCGAGCTGGTCCTCCGGAAGACAATCTCACGCGCATACAAGAAACGACTTAAGCTTGCTGAGTACAACACGATCGACGATGCTGCCAAGTTACTCCGCTCAAAGAAGAATATCATGGTCATCACTGGCGCAGGCATATCGACCTCCCTCGGTATACCTGACTTCCGATCGCAAGGCACTGGTTTCTACGACAAGGTCAGAGCTATGGGGTACGAGGGTGGCGAAGACGTCTTCCAGATTGATGAGTTCGACAGGGATCCGACGATATTTTATAGCCTGGCTGGCGACATTCTGCCCGACCTCAAGCGCTTCTCGCCCACACATGCTTTTGTCAAGCTACTTCAGACCAATGAACGCCTACAAACCAACTACACGCAAAACATTGACAATCTGGAGGAGTTGGCTGGCATTGATAAAGCTCGTCTCATCCAATGCCATGGTAGCTTCGCTACAGCCAGCTGTCGGAAGTGCAAACATAAGGTCCTAGGCCGTGCAATCTTCGATGACATCCGTAAACAGCGCGTCGCTAAGTGCAAGCGCTGCATACAAAAGTTGGCGGAGCAGCCGCCTCCTCGACCACCGCTCAAGAAGCGCAAATCGAAGTTGACCCTGTTTCGCAAGAACGACTGGGAAGATAGTAGTGATGATGACGAGAGTGCTTACGACATGCCACAACCAGGGATTATGAAACCAGACATCACGTTCTTCGGTGAGAAGCTCCCCAACACATTCTTCGATCGCTTCACGGAGAAGGACTGCAAACGAGTGGATCTGGTCATTGTGATCGGCACGTCGTTGAAGGTGGCACCCGTCAGCGAGATGCCCAACTATCTTCCGCATAGCGTGCCGCACATCTACATTTCGCGTGAGCCAATCGCGCATGTCAACTTCGACATCCAACTGCTTGGCGAATGCGATCATATCGTATACGAGCTTTGCCGACGAGCTGGGTGGGCGCTGAAACATGAGATGATTCCGAAGGACTTTGGGGTGAATGTCGCGAAGGTAGAGGGCTATGATTGTAGGTGGTATATCCTTCCCAAGGGAAAGAAGGTGGGAGAGGAGAATGTCGAGAGCAAGGCTTCCAAACCACACAAGAAGCCAGGAGTGAGTGGTATCCTGCCAGTGAGGTCGTGATGCTGTGCGAATTAGGCTGGGCACGGTACGAAATGAGCATCGCAAGCATACATGTAGAGGTTGATCGACCAGCAATAGCTTGTATAGTAAAGTGGCACGACATGGACATCGTCGCTTTCATCGCGTATGATTATATCGTCTATCTCCAGTGACTTTTGAGTGAATGATTGTTCTTGACCATTTAGCCTCGCGCTCACTCCACAAACACGTCCCCGGAGTTTCACATGTGACTGAGCTGCCACGCCCAAACACCTTCAGTGCTCCGCATCTCGAACGACCTTCCTTCCTGCATCATCCCAGGACTTACTGAGTATTGCTGTTCTCGTTATCGCAAGCTCTTCAGATCCTCTAGTGGTCGCTCGCGCTTGATTCTGAGATATCTCCTACGCTTTACAAACCACTTGAGACGACTATCACCACAAACATGGACGTTGTGCAGGGTGAGTGCTTGTGCCCGTGATCGTTGCTGACTATCTAATGACAACGTCAGACTGGGCAGCATACTTCCTCAATCAAAATCCTCAGGCGTACGCGACGTACACGCCCTACCTCTGGCAGTTCTACAACGCCCTCAACACCGTCAAATCATGGATCCTCCCTATCATCGACCAAATCTCACACAAACCCGACTTGGCTACTATCGCTCTACTCCTGGTCATCGTGCTAGTTTCTCTAAAGATTCTCGACATGCTGTGGCAAACGGTAATCTTCTGGTTCAAGCTAGCAAAGCAGATACTGTTCTGGGGTGGACTAGCAGGACTGGGCCTCTGGTTGTGGAGTAGAGGACCGGAGGGTATGATGCAAGATGTGCAGTATTGGCAAGGGGCATGGAGCTCAGAGTATGGGTATTGGAAAGAACAGGAGAAGATAGCAAGGTTGTCAAGGCAGGGTGTGAATTATGGTGCTCCACCGCAGCCCGTACAGCGTGGATGGTTTGGACGATGAGTGAGAAGGCTAGATGGAATATTGAGTGGAATATGTGGTGTTACGACTTGTCTATGATTTAGCGATGGTGTGCGGTAGTGTGGGCTGTATAGGGCTGGAGAGATGATTATCGGTTGGCGAAATATGTGGATGGCCTCATGCGAACATCCCTACCAGGCTGGTCGCTCCTTCCACGGCCGTCACGACACGACCGCGTACCTTCCTCAAGTTGCCAGTTCTGCCTGGCGACGTGTTTCAGGCTACCACGGATGCCTACTCTACTCAGAGCTGTATTTTTTTCACCGAGTCACTCCTGTCAGATTATCCGACTACAAATTCGCAGACAACCACGGAAAATGGGCAATGACAACTCAACCTTCACCACCAACTACGGTCGCTCCGACCATGATCGCGACGATCGCATCAAGAATCGCTTGTCCCAAAAATACAGTGCCGAAAATCGCGCTCAGCTGCTCAAGTGGGCGACCGCAACTAGCTGGAAAGACGTCCTCGATCTGAATCGTGCCTTTCTTCGCAAGGAGACGGAAGCCACGCCATTCTATTGTGGTCCAATCTACTGGGAGACTGTGCCAATGGTCCCCGCTCTCGAACGCCTTCACGACTACGGCATCTTCACGACCGCCAGCCAGCCATGGCGCGAGGAGGGTCCGGAATTCTCCAAGTGTGGCTGCTGCGACGACTATGCCTTCTTCCATACTCTCAAGCGCGCATTCGTCACCTTCATCTTGCCACAGCCCGATAAGAATATCTCGCCACAGGTTCGCAGTGACTTGATTAAGGAGGTAAGCGGCCGACTCCTGATGTTCCGTAGTGTTCTGAAGCCGTGTGCTAAACCACCTCCCGTTCCAGCTGCTTGCAGACAACCGCATCTACACTTCCGTCTACGATGGCACGAAGGGCTTCAGCAACTTCCCCAGTGATCCTACTGATTACAACACGCACATCACTCGCAAGGCAAGCCGTCCTTTCCCAAAGTCACCTACGAGATCATGCTAACAACATGGAAGACCCTAAACGCACAAGCTCTCCTCACGAAAGAAAAATGGGCTTGCACGAATGATGTGCACGTCTTCCAGCACAGCGACGTCAGGCCGAAAGACGCACAGTTCGTGCCGATGACAATGAAGTCAAGCCCTGTCTTCAGTGCAAGGCTCCTGCACATCAATGTTTTGGCGCGCGCTTGGGGCGAGCTGGACGTGCTGGATCTAGTGGAGAAGGCGGCTGTCGCGGCTGGTATGAACCCAGTGTTCGCAATGTGAAGGCCAAACGCGAGAATCAGGAACAGCAGCTTCTGACGGTCTCGACTGGACTGAGTGGTATAGCATGCACCATTGCGCTGATGCACGACATACTTAAAGTAGACTGCTCCAATGTGTAGCCTGAGGCACAAACGCTTGCAGCAGCAACTCTGAACTTTCATGAATCGCGCTGCCTCGCATGTACACAGCCCTTTAAACAGTCACACTTGCCGCTTCTCAATCTGTACATCGTGAAAACCGTTTACTATCGAGGAAGGGAATGCGGCAACACCGCAGGCGGTGTCTAGCTCGAGTGTGTCTGCAGCGTGAGTCAACAGTTCCGCCACCACTTCCATAAATTCTTGAAAACAATCTCTGTTTGGTACATCAACACGACGGTCGCCGCTACTTCACAGTGCAGAGACGTGGAGGAGAACCACAAGCGTTTTTGGGGCTCCTGAATTCATCTTAAAGACTGAGCCCTTGAGTCTGTTCTTAGCTTTCGCTGAACACTCTCGGACAACCATTGCATTACCAACATTACAATCATGGCTCAACACCGCGAAGCGCCTCATAGGCCACAAGACGTTCAAGACGTTACTGAAATGTTGCAGGGCCTCGAGAGCAATAAAGGCAAAGGCAAAGGCAAGTCTGGATTCTCGGTCAAGAAAAGCACATTTAACGTCCACGGGATCAATGTCGACTCCTGGCGAATGCAGGACTGGGACTACAAGAAAGAAGGTCTGCCTACCTATGCCCGAGGAATCTTCACGACCAAGACCACGAAGGGTACCCCTGAGATCGTCACCCGAGGCTACGACAAATTCTTCAACCATGGGGAGGTCCGTGAGACCGGGTGGGAGAACGTTGAGAAGAACACTCGAGGACCTTACGAACTCAGCGTGAAGGAGAATGGTTGTATCATCTTCATTTCCGGACTCGAAGATGGTCCTCTCCTGGTCTGCAGCAAGCACTCCACAGGTGCACGCACCGACACTGATGTCAGTCATGCTATGGCAGGTGAGCAGTGGGTCGACAGGCATTTGGCTACGAAAGGAAGGACACGACAGCAACTGGCTCTTCGGTTACGTGAGATGAATGGTACAGCCGTGGCTGAGCTCTGCGATGACGACTTCGAGGAGCACGTGCTGCAATACACACCTGATGCTGCTGGGTTGTACCTGCATGGTATAAACCTCAACCTGCCAGAGTTTGCCACATATCCTCATCACCTGATCGATCAGTTCGCCGATGAGTGGGGCTTCAAGAAGACCATGTATGTGGTCAAGGAATCGCTCCGTGAAGTGAGGACCTTCCTCGAAGGCATCGCTGAGACTGGGAACTACGATGGTCGCGACACAGAAGGCTTCGTCATTCGATGCCAGTCAAAGGCGAATACTGGAGAGTGGCACGACTGGTTCTTCAAATACAAGTTCGAAGAGCCTTACCTCATGTACCGCCAGTGGCGTGAGTGCACGAAGGCTGTCATTGGTGGTCGGCAGCCAAAGTATAAGAAGCACAAGAAGATCACAGAGGAGTACATCGACTTTACTCGGAGACAGCTACATGCAAATCCAGGACTGGGCGAGGCCTACAACCAGAATCACGGCATCATCAAGATGAGGGACGACTTCCTCGCATGGCGTGGCGTGAAGGGCTCGGACATCATTCGACAGGAGGAGCAGGAAGGTGACGTGGAGAACGATAATGTCCGTAACAATGTCATTCTCGTTCCCGTTGCTACCATTGGCTGCGGCAAGACCACTGTCGCTCTAGCACTATGCAGACTGTTTGGCTGGGGCCACGTTCAGAATGACAACATCACCGTCAAGAAGGGCAAGCCTCTCGCCTTTGCTCAGGCTTGCTGTGCAGAGCTCCAAAACGCACCAGCCATGATCGCAGATCGTAACAACCACCAGAAGCGTGAACGTGAGCAGCTTATCACCGACGCCCACCGAACAGTGCCAAACGCCCACTTCGTCTGCCTGCAGTACGTGCATGGTCGTGGCGACTATGATCGGATCCGTGCCGCGACTCGTGAGCGCGTACTGACTCGAGGGGATAACCACCAAACCATTCAAGCCGGCAGCAAAGGCCAAGGCGAGATCATCGAAATCATGGAAGGCTTCATGCATCGCTTCCAGCCTGTCGACACAGAGTCGCGTCCTGATGATGGCTTCGACGTTGTAATCGATCTGGACCCATGTGCCGACTCTCGTCAGAACCTGGAGCATGTGGTTAGCATGATGTACACTGAATTCCCGAAGTTGTTCGGGGATCAAGACATGCCCTCTGCGCACAACATGGACGCAGCAATCGATGCCGCCATGAACAAGTACACCGTCGATATCAAGCATGAGATTAAGAGCCGGGAAAACGGCCGTGGCAAGCCAAGCCAGGGTTCGACGTTTAATGGTGCTCTTAGCCAGCCAAATGGCAAGGCCAAGGAGCGCAAGATCGACTACTTCGCCGCACAAGTCTCTCCGACACGCGTCTCCGCCATCCTCGACACCTTGTTCCGCGAAGCTCCCGCTGAAACTGCACGGATGTACCAGATCCTGAAGCAGACAAGGCGGCTTCAGCCCGAATTTCACGTCACCCTCATCCACCGGGCTATGACTGGCCAGTTCCCAGAGCAATGGAACAGGCTACAAGATCTGCACAACAAGGCCACCGCACCCACAGCGGAGCGCCCATATCCTCTTCCAGAATCCAAGCTCGGTATGTGCAAAGTCCGTCTTGAGCGCGTGGTCTGGGACGATCGTGTCATGGCGGTTGTCGTCCGGCTGAGTCCATTCGAGGAGGGTGGCGAGCAGTTTACGTCTGTCAATTCCACGGCCCATATCACGGCCGGTACTGCAGCTCCGAGCATCAAGCCCAAGGAGTCGAATGATCTACTGGAGCGGTACTTGAAGGAGGGCACGAGTACGGGTGTTCAGGAATTGGTTGTCAAGGGGAATGTGGAGCTGGAGGGGACTGTTCGTGGAGTTCTTCAGAGATAATAGAAAGCGATTTGATGGAACAGTGGCACGATGAACGTGCGTCAAAGGCAGGGCCGAGGTTCGAGGTTCACGCAGTGGTCCATTAGGGATAGAGAGCAGGCAGCCACGCTAGCGAGCATTTAACAGCAAACTGTCGTGGAAGATCACGCTGAAACGAGGTCACGCGTAGCGTGATGAGTAGAGCACGCAACACAGTGTAGTAGTAACTTTTGTGCTCGAAAATGTTGTACAATGTCATTAAAGCCTGTAGCTATCGCAGCCTATGCAAACACCATGCTGAACCCAGATGTTCCATATCCAGCATTTTGTCCAATCAATTTTGCCCAATCTTATTTTTACAAAGCAAAGAGACCGACAATGCCAACGGCACCAGCGAGACCCATGCCGACAATAGCGGTTGGGACGGCACCAGCAGCAGAAGAGGAAGATGCGCCAGCGCTGCCGGATGCGCTGCGGGAGGCAGAGGCGCCAGTAACAGAGCCAGTAGAACCAGCACCAGACGAGGTGCCAGTGGTGGCACCAGCGACCACGGAGCTGTTTTGGGCTGACAAGCTGGCGAGGATGCTAGACTGGCCTGCAGAGACAGCGGTCGAGTTGCCAATGGCTGATGAAGCGATGGCAGTCATGTTGGCTGCGCCGGTGACGTTGGCGAGGGAACCGCCAGTTGCGAGAGGTACAAGGTATGTCTGGATGTCTGTTGGGAGAGCCGTGAACCATGTTGGTGTGGCGGTGCTGAACTCGGCGGCGATCTCGCTGGAAGCAGCGGCTGGGTTGGTCATGGCCTCGGCGATGAGGGAGGACGGGAGGGCAGTCTGGAGGACCTGGTAGATCAAAACGCTGATGGAATGGTCAACTATCGTCGTGGTAGACTGCGTTTTGCGTTTCCGAATACTTACATGTCTGCGCTGGAAGAGACACCGCCAGCCTGAGGAGCCGCGAAGGCAGTGGCCACGAAGGCGGAAACGGCGAGATTCTTGAACTGCATATTGACGGTTGATTGAGGTGTAGCTGGAGCGACTGTGGTGAAGAAGGCGTATGTTATGGATATATCGTTGAAGTGGTGGGGTAAGATATACAATGACAAGGAAGAATGAAGTGTGCAAGTGCTTATGTACAAAGTAACTCGCCGATCAAAGGATAGGAGCCTATATTAAGTCGCAGGAGTCGAACGCTCTGGACAAACTCGTCGCCTCTCCCAACAAAGCTGAGCTCGTAAGCATTTACCTGCTCGATGTGGTTAGGCCTATACTGGACGCGCAACCCTTGAACGTTCGCGACATTGGGTCGCGGTCGGAACAGAGCCGCGAAATAGAACGGTAATAGTGGTTCCGACCAATAGAACGATCTATGGCTCTGCTTCGGAAGATTCTGCTGCGCCAGTTTCTGTGGAGTCTGAGTTGCGAGAGTATTATTATTGAGGCTGCTAGGTCACCTGTCTGTAGTTGTCGTGTGGTAGCACGGAGCACATGGGCGATGCTGTGCTGGTCGGCCACGCCTATGATGGCGTATAAAAACTGCTGCGGCTCTGGGATCATAGTCGTTCGCGAAGCATTAGCCGAGTCTGGATAGTCAAAATGCTAAAGCACATAGTTGCGCCGTTGGTTCGAGCTTGAAACAAACCAAACTGGCGTCGCCACAATTTCGCTTGCGACGCTCGACCTAGCACATCCACCATCGCGGCCATCGGCACTTTCTGACAGACGACTCAAGACACAATTTGTGGCATACCACGTGAGCATAGCCTACCAGTCCGCTATGCTCTAAAAGAGACGAGCGAGGCAGTAACCTTGATCCGTCGCGAGCAAGCCGTCGTGCTGTTTCGACCGGCTCTAAGCTGGTGGCTGCACTCTGCCAACCAGAGCGATTGCGGTCATCGACATATCAGTGTCCATTGTCTTCGCTCGGCTTGTAAGCGTTTGAGCGTCCTATTCGAAAAGATCGAATAATCTTGACGGTGTTTCCAAAGGCCACCGCTATCGACTGGTCATCAAGGTATGCAACAGGACCTGCCTTGTGGACATAAAGCGAGTATTGCCCATCGGCAGCAGGCGAATATCGCAGTTCGACTGTCTCTACCTCACCGTCGCTGGTGTACTTGTAGACTTCCCACTCATCGATTACGTCCTGCGGCGGCGCTATTCTTTGATGGTTCCGGAGGCGTGGACCTAGCGAGGTATCGGATGCCCTCCCCCTCAATTTCGCATCTTCCGGCACGGCCTTCCTGCGTAAGCCGATTACGCCATGCGAAGGAATCGTAGTCCAGACACCAGCGTTATGTACGTCGTGTATGGTTCGCTGGCTCGTGGGTGACATGCCGCATTCGATTGAGCTGCGTTGCAAGCACAATAGGTTGTTATTCCCTTCCTTCTCAGAAACTTCAACACTGAATGCCTCGCTATCTTGAGCTTCGCAGACGAGCGAGATGGACTGAAGAGCTGGTCCGCCACATCTCTGACACTTGGACACGTTTGGAAGTAGCATTCCCGTGATCGTGCCCGTGGAAGACTGTGCGAGCGGCATCATCTCTTCGCCGGTTTCTCTGCTCAGAAGTACTTCCGCGCCATGCGTGAGTAGGAAGTCATTGGTGTGATTGGTCTCGGATCCGGGAAAATGCGAGATATTCACAGCATCGCTGAGTCGTCCGTGTCTGGCAGTGAACGAAAGGTGACGTGTGGCGTCGATGATAAGATCACTTCCACTCCACACGAGGACGATCAGCTTGCAGTCTTCGCTTACAACGACACAAGAGCCTGCGGCGACCATCCGACCACCGAGGAGTGGCACGTCCGAGACACGTGAGTAGTTGTTTTCCAGGCTATCGACCGAGCGACAGAGTAACCGTCCGCCAGAGGTCAACACCACCAGATGGATTTTCGCCTGCCCACTGCTACTCGAAAGCCGCATCAGCCGGAAGATTAATGCAGGGTTATCATCTGGAAATTGTGGAACAGAAGACGCTATGATATTGGTCTTGCAGTTATATAGCAAGATCTTGTCGTCACCACAGTGGCAGGCCAGCCATTCCGCGTTATCGTCAATGACAGCTGAATGGACAGGCCAATGTATGGTCTGCAGCACTTCTGGTGGGATTGACAAGGTACTGTAAGCTTTCTGCGCTCGGTCAAAGACCGCGACGGCAATAGTCCTGTCGAGCGCAACGGTCACGAAATGACCACTCTCGTTACCGGAAATCCTGACGACATCCAGTCTGTGTGGTAGCAAGATGGATTGCACCGTCAAACCTTCCTCTAGCCTATCACTGTCGTTGTCATTGTCGTCGCTCGGCTCGCTGTAAAGCAGGAAGTTCATCAACACCGTCACAAAAGTGACAGCGAAGACGATGGCTACAGCCACTTGATAGAAGTGGTGCACAGCAAAGCTCGTCAACGCATGCATCCAGGCTTCGGTACCAACAGGTGCCCCAGTGCGATCAGCTCCAGATAGCACAACGATCAAGGGCGCAAAGACTCGTATCACGAAACTGTCAGCACCTGGCTTTGCGAGGCGCATCACTTCTCGTGCAGTATCGAAGTCTTGCATTCTCATCCATTCGCCGGGTGTAAGTGTAGCGTTCATCGGTGGCGGGGAGAATGTATCGAAGTCAGCAATTCCCTTAGGACCTCCCTTTGCTAGTCCAAGCAAGTGCGTAATACTAGTAACCTTCTCATGTCTCTCAAAGAAGTGGTAGTTCAGTGATATGATGAACGTCGTCGTTACAGCCGTGCCGGCCATCCGCGTGCTGAATGGTAGTCGACCACGAACTAGTGCGTCGAACCATGTGTGCTGTGATGGCGATGGCTTGCGTGCTCTGCGCTTGTGCTGCTGATTTGCTCGTGCCAGTGCATCTTGCAATTCAAGACGCCGGATATCGACGTTGAGAACAGCCACAAAGAATGTGAGTAGGAAGAAGACGTCGAATAAGGTGGCGATGCAGGCGAAAGCACAGAAAGCTGCCACACCTGGTGACACGAAGCTTGCCAGTATCGCTAGGATTATCACGTTCTGAGCCGCGGTCGCCAAGCAGATTGGCCCAATATCTCCCAAAGCATTAGCTATACGTTGATCTGTCGCCAGAGTTGCTGGATATGCAAGTACAGCATTGATTAACCGGAACATGTTCTCCAGGCCAATAACCAGGACCACGAAAGGATATGCGTTCTGAGGGATCATGCTCAGATTGATTTTCAAAATTCCACAGATAGTAAAGCTAGCCAAAACCGAGCAGGTCATCTGCGTTATGGCTGTAACGACCAGACCAAATCTCGAGTGAAAGGCTTTCAGTCGTCGAAGGCTCATAAGCACATACAGTGCCATCATGCTGTAAGCAAAGGTCAAAGCCAGATTCTCTTGTAAGCTGAGCGGTGTAAAGCTGAACTCGTATACTCGATTGCGAGTCACATCACCATCGGATGGGAAGAGCGTGCAGTTGTCGCAGGCCTGTGGTTTGATCGTCTTCATTTTCTGCTGCCATGACCCTCCTACGCCATCTCTGACCTTGTTCATGAATGTCAATACCAAAGCATCGGCTGCTCTGAGCTTGCGGCGATCGAAGACTTTGCCGGCAAAGACGGACGCAGGTCGTAAAGCCACATTTAGAGAAGAAGGCGTGCCAGCTTGCGCATTGATAGTATCTACTATATCAGTGTCGTGATCGATCATCTGTGCTGAGCTATTCCAGTACATCAATGGCGAATGATAACCCCACGACAGCGTACTCGAGCGCAGCTTCTCGTCCAAAGCTGGAAAGATGTCGGTCAGATTTTCGTCACCGACCAACCTCTCCTGTATACTGAGAGCACTCTTTAGCACATCCTTGTCCAGTGCCTTCATGTAGCTGCCGTGCACCCAGATCTGGCGCATCTCGACGTCGATGTGTCGAGAGTCTCCGTCGAATGGCTTCGCGCTTGTCCAGACATGGTGAGGGTAAGCAGCAAATCCTGCCGTCGGGTTCTCTGCCAGGAAGATGGTCGGGTAGCTGAAGCCCACAGCTATAGCGACCGATACTAGCATGGCTACGAGCCAATGTTGAGCAGTGGTCTTGCCGTGTCGGTAGAAAGCCCTCCTGATAGGATGGTTGGCCGACAGGCGAGGCGGCTGCGTTGTGCCACGCAGGGGGTAGAGGAGATACCAGAGCATGATCGAGTCGTTCTAGAGTGCCGCTCTGTTTGAGGTTCGAAAAGTGCCCATCTACCAGGTACTCAATCAAGCAGTACTCAATTGTGGCGCAAGGCTCCAGTATGAACGCTTCGAGAACTGATGTGCGACCAAGGAATGCCGCCAGCATCAGGAACAGGTCCGGTAGAAGCTGTCACTGACATGACTTTGGTGCGTAGTCAGCAGTCAGTGTAAACAGACCTGTTTGGTCGAGATGGCAAGTGCTTACATCGTACGATGAATATATTGGCCATCGTCGCTGCTCGTCGAGGCTGGCATCCGTACGGCGTGCTGTATATTAGTCTAAGCCTAAACTGGAGCTATCGCAGAAGCAACGTCAGTGAGGCAGCTTTCATTGAGCTTCACACTGGCAGCGATTGATAGATCTCGGCCCCATCCACCCTCTCGCCCGGACACATCAGACTCTGATCTGGGATATATCGGCCATATCAAGGCGAACATCATGTCACTCGATCCGCCTGCGTACATCCAGTCGCTACAGAACAATATCCGAGCACGACCAATAAGCTGGGAGGGAGCTGTCCGAGCGAAGACGATCACAGATGCAGACTTGAAGAAGATCAAGGCAATCGACAAGGTTCGGAAGGAGCAAAGGAAGCAGGTCATCGAGTCGGATACCGATACGTATACTGCACTTCTACTTGGCAATGGTGAAACGAAGAGCATATTCGAGGGCGCAGCAAAGCGAACAGATATCCTGCAGTACATGCTTGTGCTTACTGGCGATCTCATAGAAGGTGTGCTATTGGGAACACAGGTCATTCGAGAAGTGCTACACTAACACGTTGGCAGACATACCTGCCCTCGTCGACTCCCTCGTGAACCACCCACATCCTTACAAGGCGCTCTTACCACTTCTGAAGCAGTCAAACAATGCCGAGGATCCCATACCACTCCTCACCTCAGCTGTCTTGTCATCACTCCTCTCCCGAGCTCTGATAGCACAGCCGAAGTCCAACCCAGAGATCGATGAAGCTCTACCGAAGATCTATACCTACATCTCTGCGCTGTCAAACACTTCGGACTCGAATCTACAAGACATCGCGGTACAGGAGTACAGTGCCCTACTGAGAACCTCGAAGTCGCGACAGCAATTCTGGAAGCAACGAAAGGAGACTCTAGGCCCCCTTGTGGATGTCCTGCGCAACGCTACTGGTGGAAAGGACACCGACAGCACGTTATACAATGGCTCGGCTGGTACAAGCATACGCAGTGGCGCAGAAAGCACCAGCAAGGTCGGAGGGGGCGTTGGACTCCAGCTGCTATATCACGTCCTCATGGCTATATGGCAGCTGTCATTCGAAGGTAGACTTGTCGGCCCTGGTCTTGACGAGGACTACGACGTCATCCCGCTCTACATACATCTCCTGCGCGTATCGCCAAAAGAGAAGACTACCCGGCTGCTGCTCGGGACCCTGTACAACCTACTCTCCTACAACAAGAGCACTTTGATGCCAGCGGCCCTACCAGCCAAGCTCCCGTCCGTGTTGACCAACCTAAAGACACGACACTTCAACGATGAGGATCTGCTAGAAGACCTGGACAAGCTCACACAGATGATGGATGAGTATACATCTTCACAAACCACTTTCGACGAATACGCATCCGAAGTCAACTCCGGCCATCTTCGCTGGAGTCCACCACACAAAAGTGCAGACTTCTGGCGCGAAAACGCAAAGTCCATCATCGAGAACGAGCAAGGTGCGCTTTGCAAGAAGCTAGCAGAGATCCTGAGCAAAGACTGGGCGAACGACAAGCAAGTTCTTGCCATAGGTTGTAATGATGTTGCATTCTTGGTGAAGGAGTGCCCGGAGAAAAGGCGAGCGCTCGAGAAGATGGGGCTGAAGTTGAGAGTCATGAGCCTCATGCAGGATGAGAACGAGAGCGTGCGGTGGGAGAGCCTCAGGGCTGTGGGTGAGTGGTTGCGGTACAGTTTTGACAGTCAGTAGCGAGGTGGGTAAGCTTGCGATCCGGTCTTGAGGCGAGCGCGGTATCATAAGCTGTCTTCAAGCGAAGGGTGTATCTAGGTTTGCTAATGGGATGTTCCGAGCCTCTGAAACTGCACTGCCTTGAGCACGTGTTGTTAGATTTCTGCTTCTGAGACGGAGCTCGCGCCTAGTGGCCGTATCGGATATGCATGTGGTTCGGACCTGGACCTGATCTGATATTACACAGCCACATGATCTGCACTCGAGATACTGGGTACGGCATTAGATCGCCACATCGTGGCGCAACTCTTCGTGTGTGTGTCGCCTAGATTTGTCGCAGAATCGTTCCTCGCACGAACTTGTGTTTCTTGACGGTATATCCTGTCACCACTTCATCCCATAACTCGGAAGTGTCTTGCTGGCGCCGAGAGGTACAGCCGTGTCATGACATCTCTGGATTTGAGCCATTGACGTCCAAGAATCATGAAACAGGTTTTGCTCCACGATGAATCCTTGTCAGCCTCGGCGAGTCGTCCCGTCTCTGACTTCACCTGGCAGACCCTGTTTCAACCACATCCGGTATAACGAGCGCAGATCAGGCAACGGCAAGGCGTTCGAGTGACGTTGGCGCACGGCACAGCGACGAACCACCGGACATGCGCCACAGGTATGACTGCACAAGTGTGGCTACCTTCCCTGTCGGGCTCGAGCCGAAGAAGGATCAGCCACACATGTTCCCGAACAGACTTCCACGTTCCCTTGCTAAGAGCTGTCAACCCATGTTTCTTGCGTGCCGCCCAGTTCTGCCCTGCATCAGTGCTGCGTCTGTCTTCTGCCAAAGCGTCCCTGCGTCCACGAGGACGACATCAACGCTTCCCGTATGGCCGGACTGGTCATTTTAATGGCAGGGAGTGTGCTGGCGTCGGCAGAGGAGACGACTTCTTCGAGCAATGAAGATTGCCGATCATATCGGAGGCCAGTGGTGTCGCGGGCAGCGTATCTTCTGCCGCCGCACCGCCCTGCTTCTCGAACCTTTCCATTGCTACCTCATATATGATACTACTGTAGAAAGACGGCTTCAAGATCGTCCCTTGTGCCGCCTACTACGGACTACGTCTATCATTTCGAGTCGTGGCCTACTTCTTTTCTCTTTTACCTTACAACATCCTTCGTATTGTCCTGTCAACGAGCCCACTATCAAACTTTACTGCAAGTGTGTGGTGATTCTGCTACAATTACAGCGGCGATCCTTCAACGGTCAGTCTTGGCCATGTCACCCACTGGAGTAACTACATGGAAAGCCGTTGCGCTACTGCTTGCGGCGACTGCAATCTCACCAGCCATAGCACAACAGAGTCAAGGTCCGACTGTAATAGCATCAGCAGATCCGTCCGCGACAGCCACGTCGCCGACCAGCACCATAACGCCGGCGAGTACGCTAAACTCTGCTTCTGGAAGCGCTACTACAAGCAATGATGTTCCTCTCTCACTTTGGAGCCAAGCGGAAAGCTTATTGTCATCTTACTACCCGTCAACAACACTTACGCAGGTTGCGTCCCTGACATGGCCAAGTGCTGTGGTCATCGGTTCCAGCACGTATTCAGTACCTGCAACATCGGTATCCTCGATTGCTCCAGCGAGGACGGGCTCTTCCACTAACGCCAACCCGTCACAACAGCCTAACATCACCAATGATCAGAAGCTCGGCATAGGCATTGGTGTAGCCCTAGGTGCTGTCGCTCTCATCCTTCTGGCACTTGTGGGCTGTTGCCTGCACCGACGAAAGAAGTCCACTGGCATATTCTTCAAGCGTCGCGGCACACCCTCCATCACGGACAGCGATATCGGGGCGTGGCGATCGCCAATGCAGAGACACACCTCCATACTATCCACCGCCCGACCGAACAACTGGGCAGAGCGATACGACCGTATGCCCGAGCCACCGATGTCGAGTCTGCAGCCACCACCAATGGCCATGCATCCCGCATACGCTCGTCAGTACTCGAATTACTCTTCTTCAGAGGACAATCCCTTCTTCACTCCCGAAGAACGGTCTTTACAGCACAAGATGGACGGTGCAGCTGTGGCGAAAGAGCTGCGAGCAGAGCCGGCTGGCCAGCGTGACTCATATGATTCGATGGCAGCAGCCGCGGCTGCACCACGCCACTCCTACGACTCGATACAGCCGGAGCCAGAAATGGAGAACCGTCCGCCAACGCCTTTCTCACCAATGATGATGATGGCGAACACTCGCGACCATGGGACACATCCAGCTGAGCGCAGCAACCCATTCTCCAGTCCAGAGGACGATGAGGCAGACGACATTGTCTCGCCGATCTTGCCTTCGCGAAGTCCTGAGCGAAGACACTCGCCCATGATACATTACCCGTCGTGGGGTGAAGTATCCGAGTTCGATTTCAGTGGCGAGGGTAGTCGAGGTCGGAGTGTGCGAGGCCAGTCAAGCTATGAGAGTAGCAGTGGCGACGAGTACAGACCAAGACGTGAATCTGTGCTTGGGCGGTACGAGCTGGCTTAGTCCGATGGGATGGTGATGTTTGATACTGGTACTTTTTCGAGGTTGCAGCAGGATGCAACGATATCATGGATTTACGGCACATGCGATTCGTGGAGTTAGCTGAAGTTTGACTCGAGAAGCATGATTCTGTTTCTTTACATATACCCAACAGGCTCACACTGGCTGTTCGAGTCGTACATAGAGTAAATTGATACAAAAACACAGCATAAATCTTTTTATCACACTCCGAGCTCAGCTGGGTTAAGCCCGTGAAGTAAGGGAAGTCCAGGCTTGCCTTGACCCCTGCCAGACCTTCTGAAGGACACCGACCGTCTCAACACTACCGCTGGCAACACCAAACACGAACAGCATAACCCAGCTCATTGCCAGAATCACGGCAAACGAGACCCAATATTCCTTGACTGTATAATCAATCCCATCAAATTGCACACTAAAGTAAGCCGACATTAGGCTGACCGGCAAGAACGAGATCGTCGCTTTCGTAATCAACAGCGTGATCTTTGTCAGCCGCTCCATATCCAGAGACTCTTTCATGGCAATGAGGTTGAAGTTCATGGTAACCAGTGAGTCTTTCTGCTTGAGGTACTCTTCCACCTCGCTCAGGGCATACAGGTCGATCAGGTCCTTGAGCCGTCGGAAACGTGATCGTGCGGCGGAGGTAAAAGAGACTCCCAATAGACTTTCCTTCTCCGTGACCATTGGGCGCACAGTGCTCAGCGATGACAGCTCGCTGGTCTCGCTGATGACATGCGAGCCTTGGAGCGATGCTGGGGTTGCAACTTGTGGCTCCAGGAGGCGGTCGATAATGCGATTGTAGCTCAGATAGTGGCGCTTGAGGACGCCAAGTTCCTTCCCAATGCAGTCCAGGCGGTCGATGTGGCAGAGCTTAGGTGACTTGAACATTTGCGCCCGTAAGCTCACTAGCTCGACGCCATATCGACTTTCTTTGCGAGTGACCAGAATGTAGCTGTTATACCAATTCTCGAAGATGTAGTAGAAGAGCAGTCCTGGCGCATCGGGCTCTCGGTGAGCAGTCTCTTCTATGGTGTCACCGAGACGTGTGCGAATAGGTAGAAGTGCCATGGGATTGCGTGACATGCGCTCGTCCTCGACTACTCGAGACAGAGAACGGAAGACGTTGAGGAGATTCCGTCGTGTCTCTTGTAGGATGCGCTGCTGTGTTCCGCTCAATACACCACCTGCGAACGGAAATGGATCCTCGTTGATCGTGATTACTGTACTATCGTCACACAGCACAAGCCAGGTCCATATTCTCGTGCAATGCGGCAGTATTCCATTGTCGTCCTCGGAGTCTGCATGCTTCGTGCCAAAGATTGAGTTATAGCCGATGCAGACGTAGCTTCGCCCGAGGTCGACAGACGAGTAATGCCAGAGGTCGTCGATGATACGATACAGATTGCCGCGGGCAACAGAATCATAGCTAGCGATGGAAGCGTGCTCAGATAGCTCATCTATCTTGTTCTCGGAATTGTCTAATGAACCACTGTGTTTCGATCTGTTGCACCAGTGTGCCTTGCGGGAGAAGTTCGACGTAGGGCTCCGGCTAGCTGAACGCGTTGACATTCGCGGATCTGAGCACATCATTGCCAGTAGGCGTGGCGAGAAATCGTACCGTCTGGCCAACACTTCCAGGATAGCCTGCTGCTCGAAAGGACGCCACAGGTTTACCCAGCGAGCGTACGATGCATCCGGCCTCTCGGCATCGAGCAGTTTCGAGGTGGAAGCGAACGGTAGATCAAAGGTCGCATAAGCAGCCTCATCGTTGAAGTCGAGAACAAAGGTGGCGGCAGTGCTGCTTTTCGCTATGTTGAGCATACGCTTCAAGCTTGTCGGGTCATCCAGATCCTGTAGACTGTCATGGATGTGGGTATCGTCTATGGCCATGTAATATCCCTCCATACTGGTCAGGGTTGTGTCATCCATAGCGACCAAGCTGATGCGCCAATTTAAAAGTGCAGAGTAACATCGTGAAGAACAAGAGGAAGTTGGTGTCGCTGTGAAGTATTGGTCCGGAGAAGGTCGTCATGTGTAGGCAGTCAGTAGTCTGCAAGACTTACCGGTTGCCTTACTGCAACAACAAAGCACCGCGAGCACGCGCAGTCCTGATGAAGTGGCAAGTAAGACAAAGAGGCCGCACGCCTGCTCAGCAGACATGAGGATGTCACGTGCCCGCCCCCACGTCACAGGATGCGACCTTCTTGAGTGAGTCAAGTAGAAGTGTGCGGGAGTCATACAGAAATTGAGAATACCTTTCTTCATCCGGCAGTGCTCTTCAATTTGTACGTGGCGTAATCGTGAGACGGAGATGGAGAGACGACTTACCACGGACATTCTCAAGCTGCCAAACCTGTCCGACCAAACCCAGACCAGTCCTATCATCCTCGATTTGGCACAAAGATGGCGCTCGTTTCGTCTTCACGCATTGCAGACAGCGCCAGAAGCATTCGCAGCTTCGTACGAGATTGAGAGCCAGCAGGGGGTGGAGAAGACGATCGAGCGCTTGAGTAGCTTGAAAGCTACGACTTTCGTAGCTGTGAACAGCCCAAACCCACACGGCGATACTAGCCACATCCCCAAACGACTCAACGTTCTCGAGGCTCCATGGGTAGGCACGATCGTTCTGCTTGGGCCCTTGACAGATGCGAGCTCAAGCAGAATTACGGCGACGAAGGATCCTTTCGCAAGAGTCGCAGCATCGGATCATGTCGCCAGTATCGAGACTTCCACGATTGAGGCGGAAGAGGATAATGATAGAACTCTAGAGACTTTGCACTTTCATCTGAATGGCATGTTCGTCGACACCCAAGCTCGAAGCCGAGGGCTAGGCCTGGCTCTCATTCAAGCTGCTCTGACTGAAGCCCGGCATCTGGGTGAGGCGAGTGACTCGAAAAGTTTCAAGGCCACCATTCTTGTCGATGATTACAATACGGCGGCCAGGAAGTTGTACGAGAAGGCTGGGTTTGTGGTGGTGGGTCGAGAAGTGTACGAGCAGCAGCCGCGAGCGCTTGTCGAGGGCGAGAGAGCGCGTACAGAACGTGCAGCACTACTCATGGAGCATGTGCGTATCATCGAGTCACCAGATACTTGATTTGTAGAAGCTGTATAGGGCGTGCCTTGTGGTCTATCAAGCAAAGCATTCTCTGGTGCAAGAAGTGAGTCTTGCGCACAGATTCTCTTCCGGCTGACTCACCACCCCACCGCAAATCTTGGCGAAGCCTCCAAATTGTTCGTCGCCTCTCCATCTAACTCTTCTCCCTACTCCCAACGAACCAACAACTACGAACGCAAAAGCCGTACCAATACCACTCCCTCAAAGAGATATTGGAAGACCGTCCCGCCCATCATGTCGAAGATCACGGTCGCTGGTGTGCGTACCAACGTACAAGAACTCCTCAAGTACTCGAACGAGGAGAAGAAGCGCAACTTCCTCGAGACCGTCGAACTCCAGATCGGCCTCAAGAACTACGACCCGCAGCGCGACAAGCGTTTCAGCGGTACCGTCAAGCTGCCCCGTGTCCCGCGCCCGAACATGAGCATTTGCATCTTAGGTGATCAGCACGATATCGACCGTGCGAAGCATGGTGGTGTTGATGCTATGAGCTCGGAGGATTTGAAGAAGTTGAATAAGAATAAGAAGTTGATTAAGAAGTTGGCGAGGAAGTATGATGCTTTCGTCGCTTCCGACTCCTTGATCAAGCAGATCCCTCGTCTCTTGGGTCCAGGTCTTTCTAAGGGTAAGCTTTATATATTCCTATCTTACCACTACATCTAAGCTAACAATCCCCCCCAGCCGGCAAGTTCCCCACCCCCGTCTCCCACAACGAGGATCTGGGTGCCAAAATCACCGAAGTCAAGTCGACCATCAAGTTCCAGCTGAAGAAGGTGTTGTGCATGGGTGTCGCTGTCGGCAACGTGGACATGAGCGAGGAGGAGCTTATCGGCAACATCATGTTGTCCATCAACTACCTCGTCTCGCTGCTGAAGAAGGGCTGGCAGAACGTGGGCTCCCTGACCATCAAGGCCAGCATGAGCCCGCCCAAGCGTCTCTACTAGATGCTGAGTTACGTGCTGGTATGATAATCTCCTCTGCCTGCTTAAGGTTCAAAGAGGAGTGGATGGCCTAATACGAGCGTGTGTCTACGTGTACTCTAGATCATAGCTAGTCAGTTGCTCGCCTTCACTGGTCTGAGTAGCTGCAATAGAGCCTCGAATCATCCAATACTGTGTCCCTTTCACTTGGTCTGATTACCTGTGTCATCGCCCTATCCGTGCTTACCCAACACTCACTTTCTTACCATCATTACTGCTCTGTCTCGTGACCCGACCATCACTTCTATATTGCATAGTAGGAGCTTGGACCAACCCAAGCTTAGCCGCCCGCCGAACATTGAACGGCATTGCCCTGCCCTGCATTGCCCTGCCCTGCATTGCACTGCGCCTGCATCCTCGAGCAAAACATTGCGAACGATCTGGTTAGGTTGGACGAACCAAAAAGTGACTACTCCGCTGCTTGTGAGACGGGCGGTCAAGACTCGAGTCGCTCAAAAGGCAACGCCCGCCGGCTTGCATGCCGTGTCGCAACCATGCAGGCTCACCACGTCTTCTCCCACCAGAACCCTTACCATGGCCCGAACGATTGGCAACACCACCCACAACACGCCCAGACACAATATGCTCAGTCGCAAGCTGCCGCGGCGGCGAATGCGGTAGCGCAACAGCAACAACAGCAGCAGCAGGCCCAGCAACAGCAGCAGCAGCACCAGCACTCGCAACCACACCAGTCGCAGCAGTATGGACGACCGAATGGAAGTGCTGCAAACAACGGGTCTACTATGAATCAAGCGCTTGGTGGCGGTGGGAATGGGAGTAGAGAGAACACACTCGACCACGGACCCAGCAGTATCTTCAGCACGAATGGAGAGCAGATGAGCGAGGAGAATAGGCGGGTGCTGGAGTGGATCGTGCAAGTACTGAACGCGCATACACGTGAGAGCGCGCTTCTGGAGCTCAGCAAGAAGAGGGAGCAGGTGCCTGAATTGGCACTGATACTGTGGCATTCATTCGGCGTCATGACGTCCTTGCTCCAGGAGATTATCTCTGTCTACCCGCTTCTCAATCCGTCGCAGTTGACGGCTGCGGCGTCGAATCGGGTGTGTAATGCGCTGGCGTTGCTGCAGTGTGTGGCGTCGCATAGCGAGACGAGAGGGCTGTTCTTGGGAGGTACATTATGCGCACCCAAGTATGTTTGAGAGAATGGGAAGCTGACATGGCACAGCGCATATCCCGCTCTTCCTCTACCCCTTCCTGAACACCACATCCAAATCCCGACCTTTCGAGTACCTCCGCCTGACCTCCCTCGGCGTCATCGGCGCTCTGGTCAAGAACGACAGCTCGGACGTCATCCACTTCCTCCTCACCACCGAGATCATCCCTCTCTGTCTCCGTATAATGGAGACGGGCTCTGAGCTCAGCAAGACCGTCGCCATTTTCATCGTGCAGAAGATACTGTTGGACGACACGGGACTGCAGTATATTTGCCAGACATACGAGCGGTTTTACGCAGTGGGCACGGTTCTGTCGAATATGGTCACACAGCTAGTCGATCAGCAGACGGTTCGATTACTGAAGCATGTTGTGCGGTGCTTCTTGCGGTACGTATTCAACCTTTTTTGCTGGCACGGGTTGCACTTCACAGACACTGACTTTCACTAGGCTTTCGGATAACGCCCGGGCTCGCGAGGCTCTCCGCCAATGCCTCCCCGAACCCCTGCGCGACGCGACTTTCTCCCCAGTCTTGCGAGACGACGCCGCCACCAAACGCTGTCTTGCTCAACTACTCCTGGCACTGTCAGATTCCGCCGAACCCACCATGACTCCTGGAAGCTATGGGCATCAGCAATCTCTGCTGGCGTAGGGAAACAACCTCCTTCACGATCTCGAAAAACATCTTATCGATACACAAGTCCCGTTCAAATATTTAGGCAGACCTGCTAACGTGTGCTTTTGGCATGCTTTCCCGTCAGGTCCGAGAGAACCCGTTCAACATACCTCCGAGGGTGATTCCGGGATTAGAGCACGAGGACTTCTTGCGGTCCGAATTCGAGCTTGCTATGGTTGAGATTGAGCAATTTGGCCAAGCTTTACGGGAAGAGGCACGAGAGCGAGGAAAGAGACCTCGACGAATGCGATATGGCCAGTCGATGATGGGTTGATCGACGGCGAGATAGAAAGTGAAGTGGAACAGCAACAACTTCCGCCCCTATGACATTTCTATACCTGGTTTTTGGAGCTCAATACGGCGCGCGAGCTTGTATCAACAGTGACAAATAGTGGGCTCCTATTGGTGTTTAGCGGATGAGGCACCTTTTTCATAGATCACCATTCACACGGGAAGGAATGGACCGATTGCTTTTTCGGGGATTACTAGTAGAACACGACGGGGATACCATGGATTTTGTTCCCTGTATTCTGGGCTACGAGCAAGGGATGGAATGAATATCACGAGGTTTTTAGGGCTGTAGGACTAGTATAATGGCGAGGTTTTTACAGTAAAAGCGGGTAGACGTTGCTTGTGTAGATAGGTGGTGGGTATTGATTCTTGTGCTGATCAGTCGCCTCTCGCGGTCTTCGCTGCTTGACCGATGTGGTACTAGGCCAACTTCTGTCGCCGGGTTTGGTCAATCATTGGTCGCCGACGTGGTGGAGTGCTAACGACAGTGCAGTCCTTCGCTTGACAATCCGAGACTCCCTGCCTCAAGAATGCCGACAGCCTCATGCCTCAAAAGAGCGCGACGTGCTTGGAGTTCCCTTGGATTGAGCGAAGACCCATCCACGTGCTAGAAGGTTGCCCGATCATACCCCTCAAGCAGCAGCCTCGGCGCCACTGCTCAACTTCCTCTTCTTGTTCTTCTTGCGCTTCTTTGCGGCCGGCTCTCCGTTACCACTATCGACCTTGCTGAGAATCGAGAGGCCCTCCTAAAAAGATTCGAGCTTTCCTGGGGGAGACTCGAGCTTCTTGATGGCGACCTCGACTTTCTTCATGGGTGACTCGAGCTTCTTCGCAGGAGACTCGAGCTTCTTGGTAACAATCCGGACCTTCTTCGCAGGGCTGGCGGCCGTGGCCGTCTGCTCTGTTGGCGCCTTGACCGCGATCCTGCTACCCTCGCGCCTCTTGAGAGCTTGGCCTTTGATGTGCGAGAACTTCATGTTCTCGTAGCCTTCGAGGTGCGGCTTCAGCGCTTCGGCAGTGAAGTTGAGAAGACTTTCCAGGGCTTCGAGGAAGGTGTTAGCACGAGGACCTTCGATACCTATATCATGAGGGTCAGCGCTGTTGGCATGTGCGGCATACGACATCGAAGATAGGTTGTGATCGACGTCACTTCATGTCTTCCGGCACCTGTGTACGAAGCCTCAAGTCGTGTCGGGGAGGTCCTACTTACGGATGACGGCATAGTCGATGATGACGCCCTTGTAGCCTTTGCTCTCGCCCATGCCGCAGCGACGAACGATAAGGCGATGCTCAGAGATGCGGTGCTGCTTGTCGGGGTTGAGCTTGCACATCAGCTCCGCAGCGTTGACTGTGAAAGCGTCAGCCATGGTGTTTTATACTCTACCCGATCCCGGGACTCCCATACCAAGGATCTGCTCGCGGAGTGCAGACTGCGCCATAATGGGTGTGCGATGTTATGTTGACGGATGAGAAGTATGTTTGTGCGAAAGCAGACTTTGATTGATCAGGTGCTCAAGCGAAAAGACCCTCGAAGGTGCTTAAAAGGGTCGGCAGGTGAATCAAGTCCTCGTGCTCATGCTCAATGCTCGCGGACTGGCGCCGAGACTGAAAGACTGTCGGCGCTTGAAAGCTAAATCTTAATCAATACATGGCTGCAGTATGGGTACGACAAATATGGTCACCAACTCCTCGCTTCTCCAAAACACCTGTCTCGGATCTCCATCGCTTGACCTGGATACGCCGCCCCCTACACCGTGACTTCGGTCTTCAGAAAATCGGGAGCATCAGCAGGGTCCTCAAAGATACACGCCATGCTCATGATTGAATAGAAGTCATTTGATATAAGCTTACGTAACTTGCTTCGGTCGAACTTCTTCAGCTCATCATAAGCCGTCTGTCATCGTGTCAACCACTGTTGGTAAACCTTACCCTGGCGGTATCTTTTCGTGATGACTAGTGTCTTTGGCTCACGGACTTGTCGTTCCGTCTCGTGTATGCCATCAAATGTTTCCCACTCTAGCATGAGGTATAGATGCTGGCGGTCGGTCTTGTCCAGTGTAAATCAGAATGTTTGTGCACTCGAATTGACCAGGAACGCATCCAGCTCCGGGCAGATCTCGCATCCGCAGCACACTGGCTTGCGCGCGAAGTCTTTCTCATGGGGCGGTGGCGCAACGTAATTCTGTAAAAAGGCTCTAAAGATTGCAATGTAAGCGTTCTTGAGGCCCAGGTAGAGCGAGGTGTGCCTTTCTAGCTCGAGAGCCCAACCGAGAGCGCCTCTCAAAAATGGAATATGGACCTGGCGTAGGGTTTCGCCATCCACACTAGGAGCATCGGTCCTCAGCGCAAACACAAGCGACGGAGCTTTCATATCTTGTGCACTATCAGCATACCGCAGGAGGGCCCACAACTCGACAACTGACGACTGGGCTGTCGAAGCTGCATCCTCTTGTGGCCCGTCAGAATTCGAGTTGTGCGGTTGACGTTTGGAGTAATCGTTCCATTCATCATCATAAGCTGCCACTATGCTAGCCAGAACCACGCCTTTTCGAGCCAATTCTTCGCGACCGGGACTACATCTGTGGCCTCCAACTCGTCCATCTCTTTCTTGCCAGTCATGACGTCCACTTCCTCGATCTTGACTGCAAAGCGCCAGTTCTTTGACCAGACCTTGTGGCCTATGTATAGAATCATGAAGATAGGCAAGGTAATATAAGAAGCTAGGAAGCTACTGGCACTCCATTCTGAAGGAAAGAAGACCGCAAAGCCACTTGTAAATGTCAGAAGCACGACAATGAAAAGGACCACGTATGTGGCATGTGGCTGGAGTGGAGTCCTATACGGTAGTGCCGAGAGCATGCCGTTGATGCTCATAGATTTTCGGAAGCGAAGGTAGGTAATCATGACCACTATCCATGCAATGAAGCCCGAGATCGTCGAGATGTTCGAGAACCAGGTGAAGACAGTGGCGCCGGAGTTCGATACGTTCAAGAAGGCCAGGCACCCGAAGAGCCAGGTGAAGAGGACTGCAGCGTACGGTACACCGCGCTTGGAGGTCCTGGAGAAGATCTTAGGTGCTTGTCCGGTCAGGGACATCGAGTATAGGACGCGCGAGCCAGAGTACAGGAAAGCATTGCCGGCTGACCATGCAGAGGTCAGGATAGCGGCGTTGATGACGTGGTTCAGTCCTCTGATGCCGGCGCGAGCAATACCAATGACGAAGGGGCTGGCCGATGCGTTCGAGTCAGGGCTCAGGAGTCGCGGGTCGTTGTATGGTACGACGACGCCAATCGCCAGGCTTCCGAGGCCATAGAAAATAGCCAGTCGCCACACGTATCGTTTGGCTGCCTTCGGGATGTTGCGTCTTGGAGCTACCGTCTCACCTGCAGCCAATGCGATAAGCTCAGGAGAGGTGATGAAAGCGAAGCCCGCCTTAACAAAGGCAATCCAGTACGCTAGGAAGCGACCAGTGCTGCCGTTCACGAGGTAAGGCTTGAAAGCGCCAGGATTGTTTGGCTCCCAATATCTAAATCCGATCCCTGAAAGTGATAGTCAGCACTCAGCGACTTCTCACACAAGGTACACACGATTGCTTTGCTTACTGTCGTGGTTGGGACCGCCGCCGAAAAATAGGACCACAGCAAGAATGACCAAGCCGGTTATAGTGATAAGCTTGATGGAAGCGAACCAGAACTCGGCCTCGCCGAAGAAGGAGACAGCGATAATGTTGAGGAGTAGTATGACTAGCAGGATCTGTCATTACTATTAGCAATGTAGCCAAGTACAAGTACCTCGATCCGTACTATAGAGATCCAGGCAGCAACAGGTACAGAATCGGTCCAGTATTGCAACACGATAGCACCAGCGGTGCACTCGGCAGCAACCAGCATAGCGTAAGCGTACCTGATACCAATCATGAGCCTCGTTTGACAGATCACACAAGTCTGATACCTAGTTCTTCACATACCAGTAGTTCCACCCAGCAGCGAAGGCCAAAGATGGATCGACGAATCTGTCCACAAAGTACGGAATAGATATTCCCCTAAGAGGTAGGTATGTGACCATCTCGGCGAGATTGTTCATGACGACCCAGACCACAAACATCATGGATAGGTATGCCATGAATAAGGGCGCTGGACCAACGAGCGAAAGAATCCCACCAGATCCGACGAACAGACCAGTCCCGATCGCGCCGCCCAGGGCAAGGAACTGTATGTGTCGTGATTTAAGGCCACGTTCCAGTTGATGTGTGGCATTGAGATCGATCTCACCGGTGACGGTGTGCGTCTTCGTGAGATCCAGTTCCCGGACACAATCCTGGCCAGTTTTTCCTTCAAGGTCCTTCTCCGACATCTTAGTGGACTGGAATGCGCGTGTGACGGGATCCATCGCAACGGACATGGTGGCACCGAAGATAGATATACACAAGCCAAGCCTACTTACGGCGCGAACGGTGATATCGCAAGCACACAGACTCACAGGACGGTCTGATGTCGGGCGCTTACTCTCGGTCCACAAACATTACCAGATCACTGGAATCCCTTTTCGACTCCCTTTTGGTAGGTACACGCTCCATGGTGCGTCAAAATTTGCTGTGTCTCCACATGCTGACCCTCTCGAAGGATGTGGGTAGAGGCGGCGTTTGGTCATTGCCCAGAGTTTTTAGGTAATAGCGGGTGGAGAAGGACCGGACGCTTGAGGCATCGACGGCAAGCTTTACGGAGACCCCAGACAATAGCCGACGACGCGCTGATGGCATTCTGGTGTGATCTTAACATGCTTGTCACGGTGGGAGTGGCAGGAGACGAGGTGAAAGAGGAAGCAGAAGCTCGTGGAGTTCTGCCGCATGCACAGGCCAGGCCTGCTTCAGATTCTCCACATCAAAGAGACCACCGAGTATAGCCGACGTTCCTCACCTCAACCATGCGATGTCTGTCCTCTATGCGGCCATCGTGCGATAGCCACCGGCAAAAGGCCAATGAGCTCGGCGGGGGGGGAGGGGAGGGCATGGAGTAGATTCGTCAGTGCACCGATAAGAGCAGCGTGTCCAAGCTACGAACGCCGCCGAAGTCGTCACATACACAAGCACAGGCTTCTGAAATGGAGCTGCCGGTCGCCACCCAGTCAGAGCTGCAAGTGTAGGAGTACAACACCATGATAGAACGATCGATGTCGTTGTAGCTGCGAAAAAGCAGTTCTTTGCTAGCTCATGTTGGCTCCAAATAATGAGTGTCTAGAATCCCAGGTGGCGATGCATTGGCTTGTGCCCCATACCAAAGAGCTTGCGCTCCATCTCCTGCATGCCGATCGATCTCTTAGCCCGGCACCATCCTGGAGTCGAGTGCTGCACTTCTGGAAGGTACATCGGACTACCGTCGCCAGCGGCTTCCCAACCTCAGCCGCTAGTGGGCCTCCCACCTGGTGCTCTTGTCTATGCTTACGCGGTGGCCACTTTAGCTTCGGGCGGCGCTTCTTTTATGTTAAGGCACGCAACGAACGTTGCAGTCGCGCCATACCGTCCGAAACGGGGCTTGTCCTCATTGCCCGCGATCAATTTGACGAATGTGTCCATGATCTCGCCAAGACGAATGCCTTCCGGATTGCGTAGAGTGGCGAGTAGATATTGATCTCCCTGGGCTCCTGATACCGTGAGCCAAGGGATGAGCAATTCTACCACGGTGCACGGCGGGCTCGTCAGCAACATGTGGCGTGCAAATGAAGATCTGCGGATCTCTTCTAAATCCCTCGCGACCCATCCGAAGTTGTACACGTCGACAGGAAAAAGGAATGACGGTGATTTGAATGGTAGTTGTTGAGAGATAGTCCAAGAGCTCTCGCTCGTCGGCTTGGACCCGAGGCGTTTGTGTAGAGCAGTGAATCGTGGAAGATACTTGAAGGCTCCGAATTCAAGCGTTGCGAAACCTCCGTATGTACTCAACGGATCTTGAGTGACAGTAGTCTCAACGTCGAGCCGAAGGCGGTCTGTCGTGCTTGGGTCGAGGAAGAGTTGTTTGCGAAGGGTTGGAGAATTGTCGATGAGTGCGCGCCACGTTGCAGACACACCTCTCGCCAAGAGTAGATCGTGCCACCCAAAACAAGCCAGCACGCTCTCGAGGAGTTCCGGAGTTTCGAGGACGGCATGCGTGGCCAGGAGGTGCAACGTCCGCCGGTCGTGGCAATGAGAGATTTGATGCTTCGATTTGATATTCAAGAGAGAAGTGTTTGTGACCTCGCGGAACTTATTTTTGAGCAGACCTGAAGATGCCAAGGTTGACGAAAAATCTGTGAATGATGAATAAGGAAGGCGCGACAAGCGAAGCCCGGACAATGTTCACGTGCGAGCGAGCGGCGCATACCACCGCTTGCTTGATTGGTGAAAGAGCGGACATTGCCTTCAAAGCTGTCCGTAGACCTACTATGTCGTAAGAACAGAGATAGCGCTGCAACCACAACACCACCGCAATGCTTCGTAGATCGTAAGAACGCAGTCGCCCACAAGCTGTACACCCACATATTTCTCAGACTTGGTGTCCATACTTCAATCCTTCTCCAGATCCTTCGGCTGTGGATCACTGATACCATCCTCCGTGATCGCAAACATGCAATCACTTTCCGGCAAGCAAGGTGAATCGTAGATCTTGCATATTCGAGTCTCGCCTCGGCCCTTCTTCAGACTGAGACGTGTTGTGGAAGCGTGAGCAATGATGTTGCCACCAATGGGTTTCTTCGGATCGGGATTGAACATTGCTGAAGGTCCACCATCGACTTGCGCCACGACTTGGTTCGTGATGACGACTGCGATGCCGAACTCGTCCGCTAGTCGTTGCAATGTTCTCATGAACTTGGCGAGATGTGTCTGTCGACTTGAGAGCTCTCCACGGCCCACGAAGTCTGTGCGGTAGAGTGATGTGGCGGAGTCCACCACGAGGAGTGAGAACCGTGTCTCGGTCATCATCTGCGCGGCCTGATTGAGCAGTTGCAATTGATGATCGCTGTTGTACGCTCGTGCGTACGCGACATTGTCCAGCACCTCCTCGCCTGATAGTCCGTATCGGTTCGCCACACTCAGTAACCGTACAGGACGGAATGTACCCTCGGTGTCGATATACAAGCACTTGCCTTCGCCGCCGCCCATGTCGAAGGGTAGTTGGCATGTTACAGCGAGGGTGTGACAGATCTGACTCTTGCCTGTACGGAACTCGCCGAAGACTTCAGTTATGCTGCCAGTTTCGATCCCGCCAGCTAAAAGTGTGTCAAGTTGTTTGCTGCCGGTTGTGATTGAGATGAGTTCGCTACGTCGTGCATGCATTTCGGTCGCGGTAGTGAAGCCCATGGGTACGAGCTTCGAAGCTATCAAAGGTTAGCGTGATCTCATACCCGCGTGCACGATATCAGCGTACCTTCTACGAGTATCTTCGTCGCCTTCTGCTCAGATATGCCCTTGATCGTCTCAAGCATCTTTTTTGGTCTGTACCACGATCAGCAATGCCATGACATTCATCGCGTAAGTACGTACGTATATGCCACCGACTCCACCGTGTTGTAGCCTCCATCCACGAACAGTTGTATATCTCTTTTCGTCAAGCCCGCCACACCATCAAGAGCCGACAGTGGCGTTGGTGCGCCTGGTCCTCCTGCCAGGCCATCTTCATAGCCCGATTGCGATTGTTCTTCTTCTGCGCTCATACTTGCGATCGTACTGCGATTGTTGTACGGTTCTGTGGAGTCAAGCAGAGTGGTGGTTGTAGTAAAGCAGAGAAGCGCAGTGGTAATCGAAGTCAGGACGCGTCTAGGTTGACGCGACAGGAAAGTGGCAAAGCACGGACGACTCGCGAGGTCTCGTGACCGAGCTCGTCTTGTCTACCAGGAACATAACAGCAATCTTCGAGCAGGGCGCACCATGTATTACCACGATATCATCATCAATCTAGCGTTACAGGAAGCTCACCAAAACATGTTGCTAATGAGAATGTGCTCCGGAACCAAATGGAAACATAGCCACCTGCGTCGTGCGGAAGTAATATCGCGGACTCCTTCGATGCCATCATTATCACATCGTGCCACCGAGTTATGGACAAACATATGAGTCCGGCAATCTCACCGCATAGCTCCGGCACTCAGAGTTGCCATCGAGCACAAGTTATGCCGACTACAAGACTAATGCTCTAGGTGGGTAGAGCTGTACGTCATGACCAGAATCACTGGGCGTCGCGAATCTTTAACTCCGCTACAGGTAGCACTTGCAATGTCACGAAAGCAGCAGGCACTTTCCATTTTCACGATTGCATTGGCCGGAAAGGTTCACTGCCTTACATCCGTTCCTGACTCGTACCACAATTATCATCTCCTTGATTGGCTCACTTCTCCATCGTGTTAGCAAGTGGTCTCGGAGCAACTTGAACACCAGCAGGTACCTTTAGACTGGAACGATTGAGCCGACGGCTTGCGGTCAGAGTGAAGCCGGTCACCGTGAGTATATAACAGCCTTCCCGTGACGAAATCCGGACTCGGTAGTCTCACAGCAAGTCTCACCACCCGCCACACCAACTGCAATAAAATCGAGAAGAACTCTACAACCATGACCTCTATCATCGACAAAGCGAAAGCCACAGTGGGCATGTCCACCAAGCCCGCAATCAAGCTCACGGGCCAAGAAGTCAGCCCGATAGGCTACGGCCTGATGGGCCTCACCTGGCGAGCCAACCCACCTTCGCAAGACCAATCCTTCACAGCCATGAAAGAAGCGCTAGCCCAAGGCTCCAACTTCTGGAATGGTGGCGAGATCTACGGCAACGCGTCCCGTAACAGCTTGCACCTCCTTCAAGAATACTTCACGGAGTATCCTGGGGATGCGAAGAAAGTCGTGATCTGTATCAAGGGTGGCTGTGTCTACGACGGCATGAAACCCGATGGGTCGGCCGAGAATACTAGGAGAAGTATTCAGGAATGTATTGACATTCTAGGGAAAGCGGGTAAGAAATTGGATCTGTGGGAGAGTGCCAGAGTGGATCAGGAGACGCCGATTGAGATTACGATGCGCGCGGCGAAGGAATTTGTGGACGCTGGGAAGTTGGGTGGAATCAGTCTGAGTGAGTGCTCGGCCAAAACTATCCGCCGTGCAGCGAAAGAGGTCAAGATCGACGCCGTGGAGGTGGAATTCAGTCTCTGGGCGACGGAAATTATTGACAATGGTATCGCTGAGGCGTGCAAGGAACTCGATATCCCTATCGTGGCGTACTCGCCGCTTGGACGGGGTTTCTTGACGGGACAGATCAAGAATCCGGATGATCTGGAAGATAGCGATATCCGCAAACACATGCCGAGATTCTCAATGGAGAACTTCCCGAAGAATCTCGAGTTGGTCAAGGAGGTCGAGAAAATTGCTGAGAAGAAGGGGTGTACGCCCGGTCAGGTCGGTATCAGCTGGATTCTGGCGAAGAGTGGCAAAGATGGATTGCCTACTATTATTCCTATCCCGGGCTCGACGACTGTGGAGAGAGTGAGGGAGAATGTAGGAGCGATTGAGCTGAGTGAAAATAATGTCAAGGAGATTGATAGCTTGCTTGCCAGCATTGATATTCAGGGTGGGAGGTATGGTGGGCATTTGGCGACGATGGAGTTTAGTGACTCCCCTCCTCTGCGCGAGTGAGCAGATATCGTGAGAAGCGAGGAACTTCGGTACTTGGAGGTTGCTCAACGGTAGCTAGTTCCTGATCCTGTAATGCCATGTTAGCACCCATCTTCACAAGTGCAAGACTCAGATGATGTTGATAATCGCGTTGTTGTAGGGAGTCAGATCAAGTGTAGTTTTGGAATTAATCCGCATCGAGTGAGGGATGTCAGAAGACACCCGCAGACTCTCAGCATTGCAGAATTCTCTATATTCATCTTGTTGTGGTTGTGAAATATGAAGGGCGTGAGACTTACCCACGGTGTGCCGTGCCAGAGTCCGATCACCATGCTCACTCAGTCGTGGCCGTCAGCAGCATGTGGGATCGGCATGACCATATGGCGAGGATGCTGTCACTCGTAAACAGCTCTCATGCTGGTAGGAACAGGTAGGGCTAATGTTGAGGTGAAAAGCTTCGAGAGTGATCTTACATCTCGTCAGTCAGCAGTCGGTCTGTGCTTGAGAGTTTGTGTAGCGGATCGACAATGCAAGCCAAAGCACGCCAGCGAGCTCCTGCAGCATTGAGACAGCCACATCTCGTACTCCTCGCGACGACGAGCAAGCTCCAGGCCAGGCAAGACATCGAGATGGCCGACGAAGGTTCACCCGCCTCTTCAGACCTCAGCGATGTCCCCTCCATCGACAGCGACCACGAAGACCAGCTCAGCACCGCCGTACCTTCCTCGCGCCCAAGCGTAGACATCACCGCCCACGACGCCGAGCACCTCGCCGCACCACCACCCAAACGCCGCAAAACAGGCAACCACAACACCAACACCTCCCTCTCCGCCTTCGCTCGCGACGACTCCACCGCGCCCGCCGAACCAGACTGGGACGCCGACATCGCCTTATCCGAAGACGGCTTTAGCGATGGCCCCGGCTCCCCCTCACACGACGAATGGACATTACGGGAAGAAGCGCAGACCGCGTGTCTCTGGCGGGACTGCGAGTTCGGCGTCGCTCAGAATAATGATGAGTTGGTGAAGCATGTGCAAGGCACACATTGCGCCACGGGGCTTAAGAAGACCAAATATGCTTGTGAGTGGGGCGAGTGTCAGAGGAAGAATAGCATACACCCTAGTGGGTATGCGTTGAAGGCGCATATGAGGAGTCATACTAAGGAGAAGCCTTATTATTGCGCTTTGCCTGGTGAGATCTACTAATTGGTGTGAGTAGTGAGGATCACGTGCTGATGTGATATACTGCTAGAATGTGACAAGGCTTTCACTAGATCTGATGCCCTGGCCAAGCATATGAGAACTGTCCACGAACCGGAAATACCTCGTAGTGCCACCGCTGCTGCGGACGCGACACCGATTACAGCTGGAAAAGGCAAAGGCATCAAGATTAAGCTCACCAATGGCACGCCGAATACGAAATCTGCTCAGACACCTCTGGATCCTTCATCGCTGGGACCGGCGGTAGATGAGTACGGCAATGAAGTTACGCCTTCTCCAGCAAATGACAATATCACATACATACCAGCCCACCATCCAATAACCGGCCAACCAGGTTTCATGATCCACTATCCAGCAGACATTCATTTCTCTGGCTGGGAAAGCAGTATACCAGCTGATCAACTCATGCGGCTGCTCCGACGACAGCTTCATTGGGCAACGAAAGAAAACGAGCAACTAAAGCAAGAAGTTGAAGTCCTCGAGCAAAGGAAGAAAGAAGAATGGGGTCTCAAAGAGATTCTACTGGAGGGTGTACTGGAGTCTGAGCTCGCGAGAGGTGAGCAAGAAGGTCTGATGCGAGATGTCGACGAGCATGTGCGTGAGACGATGGAGAAGGACGTCGAGCACGCGAAGAACATGACCTGGACGCCTCAGTCGCCGAGCTGGCGGCATCCGACCGCTAGCTTCGCGAATATACCGGCATTGCCACCTGCACCATTATCGACTCTCGCCTCTCAACACCACACCTCCCACCCCTGGCCCGGACAACCCGAAGACAATGACGATATGATGCACGACAACGAAGACGCCTACGACAGACCACCACCTGCCCTTATCCCAAGCCGAGCCCAGACACCCTCCCAAGACGATCGCTCCCCTTCGCCTCCTCCCACAGGCAAAAGCGGCGGTTTCGACGGCGATCAAGATCCCTACGATAACTACGTAGGAGATACTATGGCGCATTATGAGAATTTGAAGCGGGCGAGGGAGATCGAGGTGGGGCTGATCAGTGCGGATGGGACACCGATGAAATCAAGTATGCAGACGCAGGAGAGGCAGGATGCGGAGGCTGATGCTGTCGGGGCGTTGATGGGGATGCAGAGTGGTGGGATGTGATGAAGGGAAGGGCCCCAACCCCTGTGTTAAGATGATCCGCAAGGGTGAAAGATATCCCTTTTAATAATGACCTCTTCCTTCTGGAGAAATGTTATTGCTTTGCTGTACAAGATGCCATCCTAGGCACGAAAAAGAACCACGATTTCCTCACTCGCTCTGCTATACTTAATACACACTTCTCACCGCCACGAGCTCCCCCTCGTCACACTCCGCCTCTTACTCTTCTCCTTCTCCTTCTCCTTCTCCCTTCCCTCTTTATCGCTCTTCCCCTCCCTATCCTTCTCTTTCTCCCGCTCCTTTTCCTCTCGTCGACTCTCCTTTTTAATCTCCCTCGCACTCTCCTTGTTCCCAAACGGCCAGTTCCCTGTCCGCTTATCCGCCCCAGTCTTCCTACTCACACTACCCTTCTCGCCCGCGAACAAGATGACCCAGATCCCGAAGCAGAAGAGTGTGGCGCTGAAGGTCAGACCGGCGTAGAAGGCGAAGGTCCCGCTGCGGGAGCGGGAGGAGGCGATTTGCATGTAGATGTAGAAGGATGTCAAGGCGTGATACACCGTGATTATCACGGCCGTCCCTTGCGCATATGGATTCTTCTTTGCTGCATCCTCTCCATTGCTCGTTGTGGCTGAGGCATCCCAGCTATTGGTCGAAGGGATCACGCCGGTGAGGAGCAAGATGAGGACGGCGAAGGCGAGGAGGGTGAGGGCGGAGGAGCGGCAGAGGTAGGTCTCTAGGCCTGTGATCCGTCGGGGTTCAGAGGCGAGCAGAGATACGATGAGGGAGGGGGTGAAGAGCAGAGGGAGGGATTGGAGGGTGAGGTAGCCGGTTGTTGCAAAGGCGTATAGGTGGTGGACCTGTTGTACAGAGATGGCGGTGAGTAGAAGCTTCTCTTGACATGTGGGGAGTGCAATGGTATGCTTACGTCCATGATGGTGATATGTTGGGTTTGACAGCTGTGAGCTTCAATGCTATCCCAAGCTGTGGAACCTTCGAAAGCTTCAAAGTGGTCAAGGAAACACAATCATGCTGGCTGCCTCACGTGTGCAACGTTGCACCTTTTTGCCGCGGCTGAAGCGCGCGCCATGACGTCGAGACGGATCGGCAGGGACCGAAGCTTACCCGCATGACTTATGTCTTGGCTCGTTCACATATGTGTCTCGTACTGTCGTGCCTTGCTCATCTCTCGACTACAAGCTATGCGAGATATATCTAAATGGGTCACGTAGACCCGATACCAGAGTATATTCATGCTGGTGACGGTGATGGGACTCCACAAGACCTATCAATGCTCAGACTGGCCCGGCCCGACGCTTTTCGAGTGACTCTCGCGTATGCTCAGGTATACGAAGGAACTCTCGAAGACACTGTTTAACTCCTATTCACCACCCCAGGGACAAAGAGGAAATCATTCTCCCACATTTCTTACAGGGATGTCCACATAGTTCTCTGAGAAGGGGAATCTCGTCACAGCATCATGAGTGCAAAGCTTCTGGCTGGCCACTTGCTTCGCACGAGGACTGAGCAAACGAGCGAGAATCAGCATTGGAGAGTTCACACCGACAGGAGTGGACGACGTGTCAGCCCATCGATGCACTTTTCAGTGCGTTACCCCTAGGACGGGTATGATCTTGGCGTCAGTAGCGATCATGACTTGTTTGCCTACCACAACCCGCAATGCCAGGACGCGACTAGTTCTTCGCCAGCAGCATCGGGATTCTGGTGGAGGCAGGACGCGTGGGCGCTGTGTATGCAAAGCTTTCCAATGCGGTCCAGAAGGCAATGTCGATGCGAGATGGACCAGGAGGCTTCACCTGTGCCTGGATCTGATGCTCGAATGCTTAGAACGGAACCTTTGTGCCTATGCCTTCCGTGTATAGAGGGAGTGCGGATGAAGGCGATTCTCTTCTCGTGGCCGTGCGTGGCTGGAGCATTTGCCGGAAACTTGCACGTACATGATTTTGCCTCTGTGCGGTGTTGTAGAATATAGCCCTCCCGATATCTCGGTGCAGAAGTTACCGCATTATGTTCTGACAATCAGAGGCCGCACTGGTCCATGTATGTAGACAACAGCGAGACGCAGGATGTTGTGGCGAACATCTGCACATGAATGCCAAGATATGGGTAACGGGCCTTCCGTCCACGGTCCGTAGCTCCATACCGCTGTAAGCGAGCTTCTAGCGTCGCTCTGTGCATGTTCCTGGCAGCTGACAGCCACGATGGCCTTGCGTTGGGTTGCACCATGCATTAGACAACCCACTTGTCCGCTTTCTCAGCTAAGGACGACCGAATTGTGTGCCAGTGCAGTCGAGACCTAATACGACTTCAACTTATGCCAGCATGATCGCGATACCTCCAACTTCATGCAACCACTCAACCCGTTCTTGCGCGCCTTCTTCAGAAGCGCACTACCGTCGCAATGCTCGCCGATAAACCACCACGTCATCCTGGTCCCGACGACTGACGTACTGCTGAATGCCAAGGACCGCGAGACGAACACGCCTTACGCAGAACTAGCAGCAACCGATGAGTTCTTGGCCAGCCATGTTCTACGAGTTCCAGGGGGAGCACCACCTGGAGGTAATGGAGCGAGGGAGGGCGGGAATGTTCGAGAGAACAAGAGCAAAGCGAAGCAGTACAGTACGATCAATGGCCGGACGGTAGTGTTGAAGGACGCCTTCGTATATAGCAATAAAGGCTTCAAGACACTCAATCAGGCGCAGCTGCTGCAGGATGCGATATACTACCCGGACACACCCGATGGACAGCAGTGGCTCATCTACTACATCTCGCGACCACTAATAGGTATGTATCACGCGACTCTAGTCATACCGGCAGTGATTAGTGATGAGCCGAGCAAGGAGCGGAGGAAACTGCTAGCGGAGGCATCGGAAAGTGGGCCTTCGACTGCTGGTGAGCCTCCGCCTGTGCCGAAGAAGAAGAATGTGAAGAACTTCAGCGATCTGCTCAATCAGTTTCCGATGATCTCTAGACAGATGGCAGGTGGACTAGAGAGGATCATCCGCGAATTCGTATCGACGAACCAAAAGCCAGTGCATACACCACGATCTAGAAGGTCGTCGGTCAGCTCGCAGCAGTCTACGCCATCAATGAGCAGTTCTGTCTCATCGCTGAAGTCCTCATTGTCTGGACACTCTACACTGCCTCCTACCCAGCTGGAGCTCGAGCCCGAAGAAGAGGCACTACGCATGTCCCTCGAAAGCGCAGTCACAGCTGCGATCGACCTCTTCCAACAAGTCGACAAGCACCAGCTATCCCTCCTCGGGGCAAATACCGAACTTACTGGACCTATGGTGGAGCGCATGCTCGAACGCTACATCTCCGAACAGGTTCATGACCAGACGCTCTTCCCGAAAGTATGCGCTAGTCGCAAAGCAGACGACAGTGATCTCGACCATAAGATCCGTAAGATGTCCGATATTGACATCGCGCAAGTGGGCATACCTATCGAAGGAGGTATGCAGGGCAAACGTGAGCTGTCGGCTAGACTGGCAAATGGTGTGGATGCTTTCAAGAAGGTGGGTGTCTCGAGTAGTGCTCAGGAAATGCTGGAGATCTTGTTGTCGACGCAGAAGGTTATTAGCGAGCAATCTTCTTCTAGCGAGGATGCTCAGGCAACATCTTCAGTGTTGACTATCAATGCTGATATCCTGGTGTCAATGCTGTTGATTGTGGTGATCAGGAGTGGAGTACGGCATTTGCATTCGCGGCTTCTGTACATGCGCTACTTTATTTTCACCGAGGAGGTGGACAGTGGTGAGCAGGGTTATGCTTTGGCAACTTTGGAGGCTGTTCTGGCACATCTGACGAACAGCTCATCCGCGCTTCGGAAAGCGAGCAAGCGCAATAGGCTTCTGTGGCAGGCGGTTCGAGGCGGTGATCTGCAGGCACTGGAAGCAATCCTGGAGCCTTCTATGATGCCGCCGAGCGAAGCCACCATTGAGGAATCGCCTACGGATGTTGCGGACGAGCTATCAGATGACAGTGTCCTAGACCCTGTACTCGAAGGACCCAGCAAGCACGGTGAAATGAGCAATGAAAACCACCGACCTGACTTTGCCGCGAATGGCTCGCTTGGACACGTCTTCCCGTTTCAGCGTCCACCTACGCCACCACCAGAGCACTTCGATGTCAAGGTCAAGAAGCGTGTCTCGATGGCGTCGCTACCGAGAAGCCAGTCAGCCTCATCAGGGTACTCTTCGCGTTCGCACTCACGAAAGAGAAGCGTTGATTCAATCAACAGTAATGCACCAGGCGGCGATCTATCTTCCGACAAACTCGCACAGACGCAAGATGCGGAAGGCAACTCCGTACTTATGATGGCTACGGATAGTGGGCAGAATGACGCTCTGCGCTTCTTGCTCAACTTGCCAGCACATTTCCGTGCCGACTTTGTGCTTGACGACATCAATAATGCAGGCACGACGCTGTTGGGCGCCGCTGTACAAGCAGGAGATCGGCCCGTGATTGAGTGTCTACTCGAATTTCTTGAGAGCCGTGCTTCAGAGGAGCAGCTTCTACGATACCTAAGGATGCCGGATGCTCAGGGCCGTTGCATGGCGCACTACCTCTTCAACCAACCCTACCTCATACAACGTTTTGGCAAGAAGCTGCCTTGGCGACTGAAGGACAAGCATGGACAGACACCGCTCTTCGCCCTGTGTCGCTCCTACGACCATAGACAGTACCACTCGATGATCGACTCTGCAATCCCGCTAGCCACAGCCACGCAAGGTGATGGCCTGCCTTTACACCTAGACGATCACGTAGACGCCAAAGGCAACACATTACTGCACGTTGTTGTGGATCCCAAGACAACGATGAAGCTCCTTCGACAGTGCGATGCAGATGTTAATGCTACAAACGACAAGCGTTTCACGCCGCTCATGGTCGGTAGCAAATATGGCCGCATAGATCTGGTGCGAGCGCTCTTCGGTGATCCACGGGTCGACATCACACTGAAAGATATCCGTGGGCTAGGCGCAGTCGAATTAGCGAAAGACGACGATGTCCGGAACCGCATCGACGACCTCGTCCTTCTATCTACCCCAGCCGGCAAGGATGGACGAAGCACAACGGTCGTGCGCTCCTTTTTCGTCGAGGACGCCACAGTACGCTTTGTACTGAAGTCTGGCGCCCAGAATGCCAACGGCTCTACCACCGTTACAACCTGCCGGCGTTCCCTCCAGGACTTCGAGAACCTAGCTAATTGGCTCACGATTGAATGCCCTGCCTCCTGGTTACCATCACACTTTAATCTCCCTTCACCCTTCCTTATACCGTCTAAGCCGTCCCGAGCTGTGTTGAGGGATACGCAGCTCCGACTCGACAACTTCTTTCGCAACCTACTTACTCACGGTACCTTCGCCACCCACGAACTAGTGTGGGAATTCTTCCTCGTGCCTGAACTGGACGCCGAGATGCTCACCGAGCGTAGCAAGCGCAAAGCCGAAGCACGGGTAGACAATCTGAAGGACGACTACGAGCCCGTCGTGATGACGGAAACGCAAGAAGTAGAGAACTTCGTCGCCTACGCCAAAGACCAGATCCGTAGCATCACCCTATCAACCAAGAAAGTCACACGAGCCGTGAACAGGAGAAGGATGCTCGACAACGACTTCTTCGAAGCCTCCACCCTCGCGTCTTCACGTCTGAGCACCCTCCTCTGCCTCCCACAACGCTACATCACAGCCTATGACCGCTACACTAAAGTCTTCCTCCCCACTGAGGCCTCGCCCTGGACGGCACTATACTACACCCTCCACTCGACAACCTCCACGTCCTCCGCATTAGCCGTGGCTCTTAACCGGCCCGCGTACCTCATAGGCTCGATGGCACAAACGCATCGTAACGTCCTCCGGCATATCGACTCCCTTTCTCGCTCCAACCGCTGGACACCTAACATCGGGCTCTTCGAAGACTCGAAGAAAGCGGCGGCGGATGAGGCGATGGAGCGAGCGAGGAAGGGTGAGAGGGAGCTGGAGAGTTTGGGGTGTGAGTTGAGGTATACGCAGACTACTGTTGCCGGGGAGTTGGCCGCTTGGCAGGATGAGCATGTGAGACAGGGGAGGACGGCGCTCAAGAAGTTTGTGAATGATGTGGTGGTGAAGGAGAAGGCGAGGTTGGAGGGGATGAGGAGGGCTCTGAGGGAGATCAAGAAGGTGCAGGTCTTCTGATCGGCGATACTGCTCTGTCAACCCACAGACCCTGGCAGGAGGCGTGACTCCATGTATATATACAGCTTGCCATAATTTCCGCCACGACCTGTACCTCATACCATGATTCCTCAGACAGTACGAGCCGAAGAAAGGAAGAAAGAGAAATTTGTCATGTACGCCCGCACTCCAGCAGACAAGATCAACACATTCTGGCCAGCGCGGCAAGGACATGCATCTTCACGATCTCGGTGCCTTCGTGCTTGGAGTCTAAGGCGTCTCAGCATGAACCATCCCTTACGCAATGCAGTGCACAAGAGATCGACCGGAGCGCCCCACCACATATAGTGACAGCAGCAGTCTTTGCAGACCGACCTCCTATACACCGCTCGCGCTGCGTCGTGTCCTGAAGAACACGGCACAAAACGACACACATCTCGTGCCCGCCATCCAATCTAGGACTAGCCACGAGACTTGCGTCCGTGTGTGTCTCCTGCTATCAGATAGATAGATAGATGGCAGGAGTACGCAATATTGATAGGAAGATGCGCCAAACACATAGGCACTCCTCCGCAATATCCTCGAGTGAGCCCGTGGACAACATTGGAGCGCCATTTCGTTCTTTAGATCTCAGCAAACACCACTATCAACTCGGAGCCGTTCATGATCTTGATGATAGGGGTTTGTGTTTCAGATGGTTCATGCTGAAGTTGATCTATCCTTAGGTGTAGTCCAAGGATCTGATGTGGGAAGCACAGGCTATCTGGCATGATAGTCGAGTGCGCATGAGATTCTGTTAGAGCCACAGAAGCATTGGTAAATTACATGGGTGTGTGAAGGCGCTGCTAAGTCACCTACACGCCTTCGGCCAGGCGTATTGCACGTGTTCCTCGCACGAGAGTGGCCCCATGACACTCCCAGCGATGCAGGAAAGAGCTCCCGTAGCCCTTTCCTCCCCTTTCCAGCGGACAAGCGGGCAAGAAAGCACTCCCGTAGCACCTCACACATACCTGCCCGCTCACACGAGTGGGAGCGCAGACTCCCGTAGTCTGCGTCTCAACCTCTTTAGCTGAGCTGAACTGAGCTCCCACAGCCCAGCCCAGCCCAGCCCAGCGCGCCTTTCTGTCAACCACCTCCCTCCTCACGCACCGCAGAAAAACCTCCGAGTCCCTTCCAAACACGAACCGCCTGGCCGGCTGGTTACGAGCAGCTTGAAATGAACTTCGATTGCTTGCAGGAATTCGTGCCGGATCGTCTTTAGTCCTTCTCCGGCGTGGAAAGTGGAAGGTGACACTTCATGGTTTCATTCACGTTTGCGCCCCGGGAGCCCGATGAACAATCGAACACCAAGGTGTCATGGTGAAGAGAAAGAGGGTCGAAGTGGATGAGAATGAAAAGAAAGCTTTATAGGCTTGGTGGGTGCGCGCTTACCTACAACCACGTGGCAAGCTGCAGACTTGGACTGAAATTCAGACCAATTGTAAAGGCGGTAGTGCTAATGACAGTAACAGGCTTTTGATTGCCGCATACTCCCATGCTCTGAAGCTCTAGGCAGTGGTGCGAGATACAGATGAGCATTTCTAACCTCGGAGCCCGACGTCAGCTCATGGCACAGGCGCGAATTGCGACTGACATGGCAGTAATCCGGCAGAGTCCACTCTGCAGCGCCTCGACCCTCATTCACGCCACAAGTTGGACCTCCCCACTCAACCCTTAGCAGCTCCTGCCTTGATAAGCAACACATCCCCATCCTCAACCACATAATCCTTCCCCTTCGTCATCACCTTCCCCTGCGCCTTGACGCCCGCCTCGTCCCCAACCTCCTTCAGCACGCCAAAATTATACACAACAGCCTGAATGAACGTCTTCTCGAAATCCCCATGAATCACACCCGCTGCTTGCGGCGCCTTGGTCCCGTTCCGAATGGTCCATTGTCTGACCTCGTCCGTGCCGGTCGTGAAGAAGGAACCTAGGTTGAGCGCTTTCCGCATTGTGGTGATGATTTTAGGTAGGACGTCTTTGGTCCCGATCTTTTCTAGCTCTTCTGCTACGGCTGCGTCGGACTCGAAGCGTGTGAGGCGTTCGAGGAGGGAGACGGAGATCGGGATGATGGGGTCACCGGGTGCGTGAGTCTTGATCCATTCGGCGATTTTGGGCAGGTGCTTGTTCTTTTGTCGGATATAGTCCTTCTCGCTCAGATTCACGAGGTAGACGACTGGCTTGGCGGAGAGCAGGAAAAGAGGGTTGATTGTTTCGACCTAATAGCATATGATCAGTATTTGGTGGCAATTTGCTTTTATGTCTATGCGATGTATGATTGTGATGTGATTGTCGGTATCAGGTAGGACGTTCTCTCATGCGCCTCTTACGTCTGTGACGTGAGACTTTCGAAGAGCTGGGATTATAGAGATAAGATCTCTTGTTCATCATGACATGATAAAAGGGGGTGCTGGGGATGAAGGGACGATGCAATGCAAGACTCACTTCTTTCGGCGACCAATTCTCATGCCTCACATCTTTGCCACTCTTCAACAACTCCAACACCTTCTCCACTGTCGCCTGCTCCTCCTTCAGCTTCTTCATCTCCAGACTCTGACCACCCCTCCTGGTCAGCTTGACCAGATTCTCAAGTGCCTTCTCCGTGAATTCGATATCCTTGATCCTCAACTCTTCAGCGATAATCTCCAAATCGCGCACCGGATCGACATCACCCTCGACGTGAATGATCTCGGCATCGTCGAAACATCTCACGACCTGGAAGACAGCATCGACGGCACGGATATGGGACAAGAAAGCATTTCCCAGTCCAGCTCCGGTGGAAGCGCCACGGGTCAGACCAGCGATATCGTAGACGGTCAGATTGGCCGGCACGATAGACTTGGGCTTGTAGTAATTGACCAGCCAATCGAACCTCTCATCCGGCACAATAACACGTGCTTCTTCGGGATCGATGGTAGCATAGGGGAAATTGGCAGGATTCCCGAGCGAGCATTTAGTCAGAGCCTGGAAGAAGGTCGATTTGCCTACGTTGGCGAGTCCGACCTAAAGCAAGTAGTGTTGATTAGTAGGTGAGGAGTGTGATATGCGCAAAGGCACGCACTTGATGGCCAGCGTACATACGATCCCACTCTTCAGACTGTTGCCAGGGCGGCCTAGCAAGACCTTCTCCTCCTTGACTGCCTTTTTGGGTGGCATTTTGCGTCCTTTGTGGCCTGAAGCGTAGGTGCGTGAGGTATTGGCGAGATGGAGGGTGACGGCGCAGAGTGTGAGCACTGGTCGTCCGGTAGCGGTAGAGGAGTGAAATGCAGAGCCTGCTGCGGGCGCTTGAACTTGCAAGCGCAAAGAAAAGGAAGAGACAAGGGACAGCCGTACGAGAGACAGCTTGTCGAGGTTTATGGTAGCGACCAATTACTGGTCCTTCAAAATATGCAACGAATGCGGGTGTGCTGCGAGGTGTCCCGCAACGCTGCAGGTCAAACTTCTTTAAGCTGCGAATTTGAGGCCCTTGGACACAGTCACGTGATGGCCATCTGTGCCTCACCCAGAGTGATTATTGTTGATGCATTGTACTCTGGCTCTAAGTGGTATCACATCTACATCATGCCCCATTGACTCCCAAAGTATGCTCCTCATATCCCTACCCTACACATCAAATCCCTACCACGCCCCAACAATCCCAGCAATAGGAATATCAATCCCGGTAGTATAACTCGCCGTCTCGCTCAGCAAATACACATACGCACCTCCCAACTCTTGCGGCAATGCCAACCGCGGCATTCCACCATAATACTTCATCTTCAGATCCCAATCAGGCGTCTGATCAACGAAATACGTCATCGCCGTCCGCACGAAACCAGGCGAGATGGAGTTGACGCGGATGCCGTGAGGTGCCCATTCCATAGCGAGAGTGTGCGCCATATTCCGTACAGCGGCTTTCGTGCCACCGTAGGGAGCTGAAGGGGCGGCGCGGTTCGGTCGGTAGGATGTCATGGATGCTGTGAAGACGATTGATCCTTTCACTCCGAGCTCGATGAATTTGCGTGCGGCAGCCGTGGCACAGGTCCAGACTCCAAAGACGTTTAGACGGAAGAGTTGCTCGACTTGAGCCATGCTGAAGTCCAGTGCGGGCTGATGTTTGGTCATGCCTGCATTGCACACCATACCGTGGATGGCACCCTCGGCATCGACGATACTATCGACTGCTTTCTTGACAGATTCCTCGTTCGTGACGTCCATCTGCAGGAACTTGAATTTACCGGGATGGCGCTTGGATAGTTGTGCAAAGTCCTCGGAAGGTTCGCTGAGGTCGAGACTGTAGACGCAGGCGGCATTATTGGCAAGGCAGACTTCCGCTATGCCGAGACCAATACCGCGGTTGGCTCCTGTGATGGCAACGACTTTGTCTTTGAGTGTAATGGCGAAGTTGGTCTCTGATGTTGGTTGGGTCGATAGGACGGGTACGGGCGATTCTGAGGCCATATTGCTCTGTCCGTTCGAGGTGCCGTTGAAGTGTCCGTTGCCTGGTCCGGACGACTCTAGAGATACGGCTTGAACCATTGTGAGCGTTTGCGTCTTGTGGTATTGGTGGCGAAGACGGATATTGAAGCCCTGAGGATGGATGAGATCGCTTCTGGTTGATGAGAGACTTACCTGATGAGAGTTATATATGTCTAGCCGCTAGTTCGTTGTTCCGAAGGTCGCGTCGAGGACGATGGAGGTGAGTACTGTGCAAATGTATTGTGTGGAGTCTTGTAACAGCAATGGGAAGAAGAGAGGAAGCGAGCTGCCTCGCTTCGAACACCTACCTTTCGGCAAGTGCCTGGCACAAGACGTGGTTCGAAGACCAGAAATCGCTTTGTTTCTGGCTGGCTCTGCTGATCGACAGATCTTGCTTCGTAGATCCGAGAACTTGGTCCTTCTCACGAGACGAGGTGAGCGAACCGCGTCTCCGCACCTATCACTCCGCAATCCCCTCAGTGCTCCAGATTTACCTCGAGTCGAAGTAGTGTATTGTTGACCAGTAGGCTGGGCTTCGTGAGAATAAAACTGAGTCTCGACACGAGGCAGGCTGACTCGAGTCGTGCCATCTCTCTGCGCCACCGAAACGACCAAGCCTGCTTTCTCCGCACAAGTCTCGTATCGAGGGCTTCATATCCCACCGCGGTTCTTCCATAACATTAACTTTGTCCTACCGCGGACCTGGATGGCACGGGAGCACTGCATGCGTTGATCCGACTGGCCAGACACAGGTCATGACCCCAGATACCATGGAAAATACATTGGGGTGGCCAATGTATGCGGAGAAGCCACCGAAAGCCCCAGCACTTCGCGTGTCAGCCCATGAACGTCTGGACATCGGATGATGAGAGCCGTGGGCATATCGTGAGATGTCTATAACATCAACGTGAAAGTCGTTCGTTTTGACGACCATCGCCATTTCGCTCAGCGAGATCCTCACTTCCCTTCCACGAGGATACATTCTTGAGTCATTCAGCAGATCGTGCCTCAACCCTTTTGCAACACCATCATGTCGTACGTCGACGAGAAGCACAACAGCGAGTTCGTCGAAGAGAAAGTCATCGGCACTATCGACACCATGGAACGCTCCAAAGAAGAGAAGGCATTGGTGAGGAGGATAGATTTATGCCTCTTGCCAACGATATGGATCATGTACCTCCTGTCCTACATGGACGTGAGTCCTACCGGATGTCCATGGTGACTTTCAACGCATACTGATATCACCAGCGCACAAATATCGGCAATGCCAAGGTTGCAGGCATGACAACTGACCTGGGAATGGATTCCAACCAATATTCGATCTCACTGGTGGTTTTCTTCGTAACCTGCAAGTGCTTACGAACTGCAGTCATGCCGGGCTTGTGCTGACAATCTCCAGACGTGGTCTTCGAGGTCCCATCGAATCTCATCTTGTCCAAGACCAGGCCATCAATCTTCTTAGTACGTACTCCGGTCGGGCATGTACTCTCACACGACGTGCTGACGATGTTACTTAGCCTACCATCATGTGTCTCTGGGGCATTGCCACGGCTTGCATGGCCCTCGTCCAAAGCTATCACCAATTGCTCGCCCTTCGCCTCGTCGTCGGCGTCCTGGAAGCTGGATTTGCACCTGGTATCCTCCTGATCCTGTCCTCCTGGTATCGAAAGAACGAGCAGTCGAAGCGCTTCGCTGTATACATCTCAGCCGCCGTGTTGTCCGGGGCCTTCGGCGGCATTCTGGCAGGTGCGATCACGGGAGGTTTGAACGGCCACCACGGCTTGGAAGGCTGGAGATGGCTGTTCATCGTCGAGGGTGTTGCGACCGCGGGCTTCGCCCTCATTGCCGCTTTCTTGCTTCCCGACTTCCCGGCCAACAGCAAGCGTCTGATCACACGGATGACCGAGGCCGAACGTGAACTTGCCATCTCGAGACTTGAGGCAGACAACGTCCACCTCAGGACTGAAGACACACCACATCTCACTTCCTTCCAAGCCCTCTCGCAGTCTGTCCGCAATTGGCGCACTTGGATATTTGTCGCTGGATATATGGTAATCGTAGGCTCGTCAACCTTATCATATTTCTACCCAACGCTGGTCAAAGGTCTGGGATACACCTCGCACATGGCACAATACATGGTCGTCCCGATCTACGCCGTGGCGTTCGTCTGCGTGGTCACCACTGGCTATTTTAGCGACAAGTTCCCACGCCAACGGGGTCTCATCATTGCTTCGTGGTTGGTTGTAGCATTGGTCTGCTCGATTATCATCTGCGTGGTATACAACTTCAAGGCTCGTTACATTCTCTTGATATTCATGGCTGCAGCTCTTTGGTCGACCAATGGTCTGGCACTCTCTTATGCATCCAGCACGTTCGGTGCAATGCCGCAGGAAGTCCGAGCAGTCTCTCTTGCTTTGGTCAACGCCTTGGGAAATCTGGCGCAGATCTATGGTGCTTACTTGTTTCCTTCCAAGGATGCACCAAAGTATTTGCTCGGTTTTGGCGTCATCGTAAGTGCAATGGGTTGAGCCCGTCTGTGACAATGTTATAAGTTTACACTAACACTTTCTCCAGTCTGGAATGTGTGCATTCGGCATTGGTGTCTATATTCTTATTCACGTGTTGCTCAGGAAGTATATCCAGAAGTAGCCTGGACCCAGAACATAGCCAAGCAAACTTCTCTCCATGTACTGCTCTCGTAACCAAGATCCGGCTCATCAGCGTGCGGAGTTCCAGTATGTAGTGCTTAATGTCGGGCTCTGATGTGCGTCAACTCTATGTCCATGCATGTGGACCTTTAAAGACGAGTTACATGGTCGAGCTCCGCGCACTTATCCCACAGCTATGCACGGGCTATGTTGCCACCTTATCGTCTGGAAGCTTTATCAAGGTGGGAGGAAGTTCGTTACCATCGTAACCGTGTCGCTCATCCAGGCTTTTGCTTGCTCCACTCGACCCTGAGCTCTTCTGCCAAGTCAGTATTGGTTGGCCAGCCAGTAGTGACGGAGAACTCTGATATAAGCTCAGCAATGCACTGCCGCTTTGCCGAGTCGGTACAGTACAGGCCTGCAGCATAAAGGCACTGAGTGGACATGAGTCGTGAAGCATCATCACATGCCTTAAGTGCGATACCACCGATCATGTCTATACACTCAGTGATGATCTTGTCCCGTCCCAGATACTCCAGATATCCTCCAGCCGCGGGTTGATGAATAAGCAGAAGTATGCGAGCCATGCTATACATCTGCAGAGACGTCCCCAAAGCCGGTGGATGTATCCAAATTGGTCGAAAGGCTCGATCCGCGGAGTCTGGTAGAGGCAATTGCTGGAAATGAATGGAAATGTTGTTCCGCCATTCGTCTAGCATATTGAGTAGTGTGTTCGCTCGCATTATTCGACCACCAAGATCTCGCTCTCCATTCTGCTTTTCCTCGTCGGAACTGTAGTTGACACACTGCGCTAGGATATACACTTCCCTGGACGCCATGTCCCACACATCCATAACATGATATGGCTTGGTTGGCTTGTAGAAGCTGAAGCATCGTCTGCGTTCCCGAAATGCTGCCCAGAAGTCTTGTCTTAGCCAAGCCCACCAGATAGCTTGTTCGAGACCTCCTGACTCGCCGTTGATATCGCGGCTACGTTGAATCCAGAAGACGCCCTTCAAGTGCCGTTCCCATCCCTTGCCCGCACCGTCGATCATCTCGTACAGGCTAACGGTCAAGACTGTTGCAAGAAGTTCAGGACTGTTTTTGTACGATGTAAAGCGCATGGCATTCTGTAGATACTGCAAGGTCTCGTAGTAGTATTGCACTGCAGCTGTTCTGTCGACGACAGCTTCCCCACTGTGCACAGGCTTGATGGACAGATGCCGGGAACCAAGCGCCAGGATAGCCTTCATCAGGCCCTCGTTGCGAATCGCCAGACGTGGTACTAGTGCCGAAAAGTGCTTCAGAGGATCAAACATATCGATCCAGAGACTCAGCACCAACACAAAACGTTGATACATGTCATGCTCATGATCCTTGAGCTGTATAGGTTCTGCAGCTTGCCAGTACTGCCGCTCGTCAATGACTGGACCGCCATTAGGAGGTGCTGGTGACAATGCTGATATCTGTAGCATTCTTGACGGATTCTGAAGAGAGTCTGCGCTGAATCCTAGTGGTGTCCTTGGGCTCGAAATGCTTGGTGCAGGTGGGCCTGTTTCGTGGCGCGAAAGATAGCGTTGAACGTCACTGAGGCTGTCCAAGGCAGGTAAGTTCAAGTCCCCATTCTGTGCATCTCCAGCAAGCAAGCCGAACCATCTCAGTGGTGCCACTTCGGTACCATATCCAGTCGAAGTGCTGAAGTTGCTCTGCGGACTTGCGCCCACCACCGGCTCTTCAGTCACCGGAGTCGTTGGCCACTGCCGCTGGGGGAGTGCTCTAGAATCTGGGTTGGATGAGAAGCTCGTCCGATGCTGCTGCGGAGTGTTATGTTGAGGTGCTGATACGTACACACTGGCTTGCGAAGAGACGGAGTGAGAAGTCTGTGGTTCGTCCTCCTCGTTTGTCGCCAGGCCATAGATGCACTCGCGATCGCCTTTGCTACATGGTCCACAGAGTGGCTTGACCTCATCGCACTTCATATGTCGTTTTCTACAGATAGTGCTGCGACTGAATTAGCATGTCTGCGATTGTGTTCATTACTATCAAATTTCGCCGGCAGGCAAGCTCAGCGATGTGATATGCAACCGATGACATGTCGTGGTGCAAGCAGGTCGGCGAACGACCACACCAAGAGCATGTCGCAGTCGTGCTGTGCCACAGCTCATCGCTTGCAAGACGTGACCTCGACGCGCACGAACTCACCAGCCAGTCTGTATTCATGATTCATTAGGAACTGCCGTCATCTGGTGCACGAATCGACGGTTCTCCACGTACCGTTGTTCTGAGACCACGACCACGCGACTTTCGAGGCTTACGCACCCCAGCGGTCGCAGCCATTGGGTACACTGGGGACGCGGTTGGTTGTGCAGACATGCTATGCTCGCGTGGTGTATCCACGAGGGCAGGAGACGAGGGCGGGTGAACTCGAGACGAAGTTTTCGCGACTGCGATCTCTGCCTCCTGCCGACCCGCGAATGGGTCATTGCCGGTTGCCGAAACTCAACACCCTCGAAGGACTCCTGTCCAACAACAGCCTCCGTACATCACTAGAGGCATTATACATCTCATCCAACTACTGTGCTTCTCGAGATCATGACAATGCCTGACTTATGCTGCCGACATGCGCAGAAGTCATAAGCATAAATGATGCTCAGCCTGAAGCCGCGAAGCTCTAAACAACTCGCTGGCTCGTATAATTGTTGGCCCAAAGGAGCCGCTGACTGTCATTAGCAATCATTTTGGCTGCCGCTTAATGCCCACTACATAGTATGTCTGCGTACCGTCCAGGTTGACTGCAACAAGTCCAAATATTGCGACACCCAGCAAAGAACACTACAGTCCTTGTTGACGGCGAAGTCAGCTCTCGAGCACGACAATCTCATGACAGCATGGCCACCAACAAGTATCGGATTTCATCTGCGGCTCTTTACCTACAGGGAGCGATCCTTGTGCCCGCCAGCATCGTTGCTCTCATACGACCTGGCATGGTTTTGGATGGATATGACGATAACGTCCAATCTGCAAAGCAGCTCGTGAGGACCTTTAGGTGAGGCATTCACTCGCGGAGACGATGTGTCCTCGGTACGATTGCTCATCTTCACCGTCAGCGCTCTCTGCTTTGGACTTGGGGGCGCCTTCATCACGGCCGGTCTGTTTCCACCCTTTCATCGCCACATGCTCAGCTTCAACTTGCTTTCGCGAGCTGTCGCCATGCTGATGTTCTGGGACGTGGCACGTAACACTGCTCTATACGAGATTGCCTGGGCTGCGCTAAACGGTTCCGTCCTGTGGTACATATCGCAGTGAGCAAGGCGCGCCATGAAGGGCTCGCCGCGAATGCACTCCCCGCTCGTTGCAAGCTATAGGCCAGTCAAGATGTACTTCGCTCATCGTATTAGTCTCCACGAAGCTGTGATACTGCCGTTACGCTCAGTCGTATGTCCTGAGAGTCACAGTCGATTCGTGATAGCGCGACACATTGGTACCTTTAGATATCAGAAGAGTTGAGATTCTGTTGAAGCAACGCCACACTTGATGACTGATAAATCAGTGGAGTAGCACCAAAGGACTGCTCTGTCGCTGGACTGCGCCAAGTGGCACACTACGAAGGATAGCCTGGCGAGCTACCTCGTCAGGCTTCCAGATGCCTGCCTTGTTCGTGGTCATGGTTTATATCCGATATAGCCCACAAAGGTCAATGCCCCGCTATGAACGAATGCGGGGGCATGTGTACAGGAAAGCCGAGAGCAGTACTACAGATATAGCTTCCCAGCAAGACCGACAACAGAAAAGCATAGCACATCACCGCGGGACAAAACACAAAACTAGAAAATGTCTGGCAAACTATCTGGAAAGGTCGCGATCGTGACTGGTGGAGCAGGAGGATTTGGCAAAGGCATTGCACAAAAGTTCAAGGAGGAAGGCGCCGAAGTGATCATCGCCGATTTCGTCGAGGAGGCCGGACAGAAGACCTCGACAGAATTGAAGTGCGAGTTCGTGAAGTGCAATGTGACCTCGCGGCAAGACTGGGAAGCGGTTCTAAAGCTTGCGGACGAGAAATTTGGCAGGCTGGACTACGTTATCAACAATGCCGGAACGACGTACAGGAACAAGGTGAGTGGCGGATGCTTATCCAGTCTGATATGCTCTATGGCTGATGTTACTATAGCCGACGGGCGAAGTAACAGAAGAAGATTTCGACAAGGTTTTCAATGTCAACGTGAAGTCGATCTACTACTCCGCGAACGTGATCGTTCCGTACATGCAGAAGAAGGGCAATGGTGGATCGTTCGTCAACATTGCTTCAACAGCTGGACTCCGCCCACGAGGCGGTCTCACCTGGTACAATGCATCGAAAGCCGCAGTGATCAACGGAACGAAGTCAATGGCTGTCGAGTATGCGAAAGACAAGATTCGCTTTAATAGTGTCTGTCCGGTTGTTGGCCTAGGCACGGGGCTGTAAGTCGACAGCGCTGGAACCTCTTTAGTGTATATGGTTGACAAAGGCGATAGGACGGACTTCTTCCTTGGCAAACCAGAGAATGAGAAGACATTCATGGCCACGATCCCACTGGGTCGTGGTTCGACACCAAAGGATGTCGCCAATGCCTGTGCTTTCCTCTGCGGCGAAGACTTCTTGACCGGCATCGAGATCCCTGTTGATGGTGGAAGGTGTGTCTAGTGAACGAGGAGCGATGAGGCGTTGCGTACCAACTGGCGAGACGAGGACCAGCAGCGATCTTGGTGCAATGAGCAACTTTACTCTTGTGGAAACATTGTACCACTAGAATAAAATGACTACTTTTGCATGCCTTGTAGCAATCCGCGCAGGAATATTGCCGCAGCCATAGCACCAGGATCGGGCGGAGCATCTTCGTTGGCCTCTGCACTTTTCTCGCCAACATATGTAGCTGTCCAGCATTAGCGGCGCCTTTCGTAGCGATTTATCACGACACTCACCTCTGCCAAACTTTGCCTTCATTCCAGATGTGCCCTTCGCGCCTTGCTCAGCTGCTTTCACAGCTTTACTGAAATCCGCATCCTTCTCAAGTGTCTCGCAAAATGGTATCAGAGCGTCCATGACAGTTCTGCCACCTTGTCTCGCGCTTGTGTACCCCATCAGGTTCTTCAATGCTTGACCAGCTGCTTGACTGGCGCTCTGAATATCCATCTTGAACGCTTTTTCGTCCTTGGCAAACGCCAGGCGAAGATTCGACGTGTATGATGCGAGAATGATGCTGATGATGGCGCCTAGTGTTCCTCCAATCTCTTCTACTGCAGATTCGACCTCGTCGAGAATGTGGAATAATGAGCCGTCCTTGGTCAGTCCAGAGTCGAGCTTCTTGAGGATGCCTTTGCACATCCCCTCGACAGCTTCACCACAGTCACCGTCGCCCATCTGCACGTCCCACTTCGTCAGATCTGGTTCTGCTTTGATTGCCGCATCGCATGCATCTCGTAACCCGGGTTCGATCTTGGTCGGGTCAACTTGTGGACCCTTCTCCGTAGCCTTGTCTAACGAGCCGTCGTCATTTACAGTGGCTTGAGTCTTCGGTATCCTTATGTCCTTGTATCCATTCTTGGGCCATGCCGGTGCTTTCGTGTCACTATCAAGGAGGTACAGGATGGTGTAGAGCGACGTGTTGGTTTGTCGCTCGATGCCGCTGATGTTTAGAAGGGATATTGACCAGCCTGGTGCATTGAGTGAGGTTTCGAAGCGTTGTTGGTAGATGCGGCTCGGCTTGATCTTCCACTCCTTCTCCAATACCTTCCGGCTGACAGTCGTGAGTGCCTCGGCCTCGAAGTCTGACATGCCACCGAAGTTGTTGATGAGCATGCAGACTTCATCCTCCGGCTTGAACTCGACAAAGGCTCGATCTTGATCGTTCGTGTCGAGGCAATACTTGAGCATGTCGGACACAATGTCCTCGGCTGGTGGTATTGGCGACTTTTCATGCAGTCCAGGCTCGTTGTGGATACCCATACCGAGCACGTATGTGTTGTCGGGCACGGATCGATGATGTTCTCGTCCAGGGATGTGACAGTGGTCAAGAGAAGAGCCAACAGTGACGGCATTGGCGTTGACGGACTCGCCGATCTTCATGCACTTCTCAAAATCGTAGCCGGCCTCCGCAGCGGCTCCGCAAAGCTTCAGCACGAACATGTTGGCTGCCAGACCTCTTCGCCCCGTGTTCTCTGTCTGTTTCCTCCCCAAAGCAACGTCGTCTGTCATCCGTAGAATGGCAACGTTGTGACCCGCACCAGCAGCCTTTTCTCGAGCAAGACCGAAGTGCAGATTATCTCCAGTATAGTTGGTGATGCATAAGATGATGCCGGCGTCTGACGGCGCGTGCTTGATCGCAGCCATGACCTGCTTTGTCGAAGGACTTGCGAAGACCTCACCATTGACAGCTGCAGCTAGCATGCCGTCTCCGACGTACCCGCTCCATGCTGGCTCGTGTCCACTGCCTCCTCCTGATATAACTGTGACCTTTGATCGATCGTGCGTCTTCGAGTAGACAACTTTGTTCGGCGCATCGAGCTCAAGATGATTGTTCCTGGCGACGAGTGCTTCAAGGCCTAGGACAACGACGCCTTCAGTACTGGGGAAAAAGTGCTTGGTGCTCATGGTTGTGTGTTGCTTGTAGATCGGGGTCGAGGCTCAGAGGTGTGACACGCGACGGACAAAAGACAATGTTTTGACTGTACCCGTGCTTTCTTACCATGAGCGATTCAGACAAGCTCCGCCTGATCGACGGCGGGCATGTTGAAGGGTCTCTTGACCCCGCTCATATTCATCCATTGGAGCCATCTCAGCCGCGTCCAGGACGAGCATCGCGCTTGCTGAATAGTGCCTCTGGACATCAGACGAGGTCATTGTCGATGGTAGAACGCGTACAAGGCGACGCAGTGAAATGACGCCAGCTTGGCGAAGATCTGATGCTGGTGCTCGAGATGTTCCCGTCTCGACGCAATCGCGTAGCAAGCGGAAGGTGAGGTTTCTGGAAGTGAGCTTGACCCACATGTCGGATGACTTAATGAGGCATCCCATTGTGATTGCCAAGCAGCGGACAACAGGAGCTCCAATTGCTTTCACATCTGCAGCGAGAACTCCATCGAACTAGTGGAAACGGCATCGTCGAACACCGATACGAGTCCGTGATGGAGTGACCCTGTGCGTGCTCGTTAAATGGGACGGCGTTGCGGAGCTCTCATAGCAGACGAAGACAACCCCGAGCTCGCAATGTAGAGTTCGAGGTAATCGTGCCACAATCCTCGAGACGAGGCACCATACCGTCTGCAAAGCTAGAATACCGCGGTTCGAAGAGACACGAGTGTGTCTCTTCATTTAGCTCAAGCGGAGTGCCTGCTTCATGGAACCTCGTACTCGCATATAGCAAACCTGGACCGACCAGACAAAGACGACTGCTATCATGGTGTCATCAGAACTATTGTCGAGCAACAAGACCGCTCAAATATTACTTGCTGCTGAGGAGGGTGGCTATGGCGTCCTGGCAGCGATAGCGTTCGTCAATCTGAGGCATGATATCTGCCCAACTGCCACTGACAACATCAGATACAACATCGAACAGATACTCGGATTGATCAAAGCTGCAGAATCAGCTCGAGCGCCATTGATCCTCCAGTTCTTCCCATGGGCTATTACATTCAGTGATGGTTTACTTATACATACCGCTGCCATGGCTGCTAAGAAGGCCACTGTTCCTGTGGCAATCCATCTAGACCATTGCCAGAACGAGGACATGGTCCGCCATGCTGCCGATCATCTGCCCTTCGATTCCATCATGGTCGATATGTCTCATCATGAGAAAGCAGCGAATTTGGCCAAGACCAAGGAGCTCGTGGCTTACTGTCAAGAACGTGGCATTACGACAGAAGCCGAGCCCGGACGCATCGAAGGTGGCGAGGACGGCATCGCTGACACTGCAGATCTGAGCGGCCTCCTCACCACCCCTGAGGAGGTCGACGAGTTCATCGACACTGGCGTCGATTTCTTGGCACCGGCTTTTGGTAATGTTCATGGTGAGTATGGAAAGCGCGGTCCTCAGCTAGAGTACGGTCGTCTAGATTCGATATACGCATCATGCAAAAAAAGAAATATCAGAGTCGTCCTACATGGAACAAACGACTTTCCAGAGGAGGTAATTTCCAAGTGTATCAAAGGAGGCGTCTCGAAGATCAACGTCAACAAGCTTGTACTAGACGACTATAACGACTACCTGCGGGCGTCCGCGTCCAATACCAGCATCACGAAACTCATGGAGGAAAGCGTTGACAAAGTTGCGAAGCTGACCGAAATCTGGATCGAACGGTGTGGTGGTTCTGGCAAAGCGTAGAAGTCACAACGAATCCGTATTTCAAGATACATATATAGCTTTACTTTTCAACCATCAATCTATCGCCACATGTCTGCCTCCCTGGACTTGCCATAACATTGTTTGGATGTAGGCGCTGAGCTCAAATATTCATTCGAACATCATAGTAGCCACAAGCAGATTAGCATGTACCGAAGCCCGGCTTGTTAATCTACTCGTAACAAGCAGCTGAACGGCCACGTTCCAAATTCATGGGATCTGATACCTTTACATTGGTATGAAGCACAACGTGGAGGTGGACCGTCTGATAGACTTGACCACTGGCGTAACGCAAGCATGTCTCAAGGAAGAGTGTAGCCACCATCGATTACCAGATTGGCCCCTATATGCGAGTCAGCTCTGGCGTGCAACGTGCAACATTAGCAACGTACCCGTCATATATGAAGAAGCATCACTGGCGAGGTACACATAGGCCTATTGAACTGCGTCAGCGAAATATCACGGACGGACTGAGGGCCTTGCTCACGCCCTTCAGCTCTGCAGCATCGCAGAACCGAGTTCCAGGGATCAGTTCTGGCCACTTTTCGCTCCATTCTTTGGGAAGGGTACCGATCACTGGAGAACAGTTAACCAGGATCCAAACAAAAGTCTCGATCATGGCGCCACTTACTATCCGTCTCGATAAACCCTGGACTTATACAATTAACCCGACCAAAGTCAACCCACTCTACAGCTAGCGATTTCGCGAGGTGGATCACGGCGGCCTTGGAAGCGTTATAAGCTGCTTGCTTCTGTGGAATATTGACAAGTATGCCAGAGACCGATGCTGTAAAGATCATACTGCCTGCCCCTGGGCCTTGTTGCTTGAACACTTTGCCAGCTGCTTGTGCTGTGAACATCGCACCGTCCAAATTGACACGCATGATATCGTGCCATTGATCTGCAGTATAATCCAGACTGTCGTAGTGAGAGGCAATGCCGGCATTAGCGACGCATATATCGAGTTTGCCGAAGTCCTTTGCCACTTGATTGATGGTAGCAGTAATAGTGTCCTTATCCGTGACGTCGGACTTGTATGCCTTGACAGTGGCACCGGTGTCCTTCGAGATCTGTTCTGCTGTCTCCTCAGCATTCTTGCTGGACGTGTAGATGAGGGCGACAGCTCTAGCCCCGGCCTCAGCAAGGCCTCTCACGACCTCAAGACCAATTCCACGAGCGCCGCCAGTCACAGCAGCGACTTTTCCGTTGAGCGAGAAATGCTCGAGCACATTTGCCTTCGGGTTGGCTGGTCTTGCGAGAGGCATGGTGTCAGTGAAGAAAATAAGTCAGGAAACAAGCGGCGGATGCTGTTAGCATAGATTTGTGGTTGAGATGGCTACCCGCAAGTATTCTTGAGAAAATGAGAAGACGTTGACTCGGACGACGCTATCCTGTGCGGATGAAAGCAGAGCTACATTGAGAGTCAATCCGCATCAATTCATCACCGGACATCGGACACCGTCCGCCCACTTGGTTTGGTATTGGTGAAATGCGATGAGGGTCTGAGGAAAGGAAGTCTAGCGAGAAAGTGCATGTCTGGCGGTTGCGCTTGCTCACGAGCCGGGGTTTGGGATCCACTCTTGGCAGCATTCGCGAGCCAGATTTACCGGGGACACGTCCATCATCTGCTCAAACATATCGGCCTCTACTCCACCATTGGTAAGGTGTGGGCCGTCCGGTAATACTGGGTCTGTTCGCTTTGTTTATGCTGCTCGCAGCATCTCACAGGGCTCGCTCACGATCTAGCCAACAAGAGATGAGGTAAGGTAGACATAATTCATCGGTTTCCTCCTTTCATCGCCACAAAGGAACTACTTCATCGTTTCGTCGTACTACGACCAGTATGACCGATCAGAACGACAATGTTAGTATGCGAGAGATGAGAAGATCATGCATGAACTGAGCGGCGACACAGAATCCGTCTTTCGTCCTCCGAGCCGTCAAGGATGTAGCCTTTGAAGACCGCCCTGTTCCTGCTCTTCGAGACGGTCACGACGTCAGAGTTCATGTGGCGCAGACAGGTATTTGTGGTTCAGATGTTAGTTCGAAAGCGCCGAGCATGAAGTGTACTCTGGACAAGACTGAACTTGCACAGGTCCATTACTGGCAAAAAGGTCGGATAGGAGACTTTATCCTCAACAGCCCAATAGTCCTTGGTCATGAATCTTCTGGTACCGTAGTGGAAATCGGTGACGCCGTTAGGAACGTCAAAGTCGGCGATCGAGTAGCGATCGAACCTGGCGTGCCATGTCGACGTTGCAATCACTGCCGTGAAGGAGCATACAACCTCTGTCCCGACACCATCTTCGCCGCGACGCCTCCATGGGATGGTACCTTGTCCAAGTACTACGTTGTGGCGTCTGACTACACGTATCCAATCGCGGAACATATGACCATGGAAGAAGGTGCACTTGTAGAGCCAGTAGCTGGTAAGGAGGATGTTCCTCGCGTATTTCGAATCACCGGAAGATGCTAATTCGTTCTCAGTGGCTGTGCAGATCACAAAAGTCGCAGACCTTAGAGCGAATCTGACCGTCGTTGTCTTTGGCTGCGGTGAGTCGAGTCACCCAAGGTCGACGCACAACCTCACGCTGACAGTGTGCTACAGGTCCCATTGGCGTGCTCTGTCAGGCTGTCGCCAAAGCTTATGGCGCTGCCAAGGTCATTGGCATCGACGTAGTACAATCTCGACTAGACTTCGCCAAATCTTTCGCGGCCGATGGCGTCTTCATGGCTCCCAAGCCTAAGCCTGGCGTAGATCCCGTTGAGCATTCTGAGAAGGTCGCCGCCCTGATCAAGAAGGAGTTCAATCTTGGTGAGGGTCCAGATGTCGTGCTCGAGGTAAGTCATCACAAACTGAGCTGACATCCGAACCGTCATGGCTTACCACTGATGCTGTTGTAGTGCACCGGAGCAGAAGCGTGCATCCAAGCCGGTGTTTTCGTTGCCAAAAAGGGCGGCACATATGTGCAGGCCGGCATGGGCAAGGAGAACGTCGTGTTTCCGATTACTACCGCGTGCATTCGTGCTCTGCATATCAAAGGCTCGATTCGATACACAACAGGCTGTTATCCTGCGGCTGTGGATTTGGTAGCATCAGGCAAGATTGACGTCAAGCGATTGATCACCAACCGATTCAAGTTTGAACAGGCAGAGGAAGCATTTGAGCTGGTAAAGGCTAGCCGGCCAGATGTCTTGAAGGTCATCATAGAAGGTGCAGTTTGAGTGCCGCATTATGAGTTATGTGATGAGCTTAGTCTGAACGTGATTCCAATCCGGACTTAAATCAAGACTATCACAATCGTTCACTGCACACGACCACACTAGCTCTAGGGGGACACATGCAAGATGCAGCCTCTCCTGTTGAGTACGGTGGTGCAGAACATTTCGCCGTCTCTTACCGAACATTCGTTCCGAGCGCCGATGCCAAGCTCCGTCGAGCGACAAGGGGTGACTGTCACCCTCCTACTCCACTTCCCACGCACCGAGCCAGGTTCTTTCACCACCCCATGGAGTGTCATGCCACTCGGTGGAGACTCCGCAATATCTGGAGAGCATTTCGGGAGCACTCGCGTGATGATCGAGGCGACTGAGCGCTGATTGGAGTATAAAGATACTGTGGTCTGTAGCTCTACTACAACTTCTTTTCGTACATTTCATCAGAGCCAGCTTAAGAATCCCATCATAGCTACACCATGAAGGCAGAGCAGATCGTTGGCAAGGCACTAGCAGAAGTGCTGCCAATTACCGATAAATGGTGGTTCCAGCAAAGTCACTTACTGCGTCTAAACCTCTTACTGGTCATACCGCTGCTATCGTCGTCGGTTGCCGGATACGATGGCTCACTCATGAATGGACTACAAGCACTCCATCAATGGCGAGATTACTTTGGACAGCCACAAGGTGCTGTAAGTGGATATCGACACCTTTGACTCATCGAGACAAACATTGCTGACCATGCTGCTCACTCAGCTCTTGGGACTTGTCAACGCTGCTCAGTCCATCGGCTCCGTCCTCGCCTTGCCCATTGTAGGCTCCTTTTCTGATAAATTTGGCCGCAAGCCAGTTCTATTTGCAGGCTGCATTGGTGTGATCGTCGCCACGATAATTCAGGCTACTTCCACCACACTCGCACAATTCATCGTCTCTCGGCTCGTAGTTGGCTTCGCAGGAATGTTTGTGGTACAGCCAGCGCCTCTCTTGATCGCCGAAGTCGCATACCCGACACATCGAGGCAAATACACTGCAGCGTATTGGACGATGTATTACTTGGGTGCGATTCTCGCTTCATGGACAACATTTGGCACACAAGACTATGTCTCTACCTGGAGCTGGAGAATCCCGACCATCCTGCAATGTGCCTATCCGTTGATACAGACAGTTGGTTTGTTCTGGGTGCCAGAGTCGCCAAGATGGCTAGTGTCCAAGGATAGGAACTCGGAGGCACTTCACATCCTTGCTAAGTATCATGCTGCAGGAGATGCGCAGAGCCCACTTGTGGTTCGTGAGATGGGCGAGATTGTTGAGACGATCAGAATGGAGCAAGATGCCAAGTCCACAACTTGGGGCACTCTGGTTGCCACGCCCGGAAATCGAAAGCGATTGTTCATCGCAGTATGCTTGGGAACATTTGCACAATGGAACGGAATCGGTGTCGTCAGCTACTACCTCTCTCTGGTACTGGACACAGTCGGCGTGACTTCCGCCTTCGACCAGACACTCATCAACGGTCTGCTACAAGTCTTTGTAAGTCGCTTAGATCTGATGAATTGACAGTAATCAGGGCTGACAAATGTGCAGAACTTTGGAGCTGCAGTCATGGGTGCTATGTTAGTCGACCGTCTTGGCCGCCGGACTCTATTCACTTGGAGTGGAATAGGCATGCTCATGTCCTACATCGTCTGGACTGCGTGCTCGGCTGTGAACAACAATACTGGCTCTCAGCCTGCTGGCATCGTCGTTATTGTCTGCCTGTTTACGTTCTTCTTCCACTACGACATCTGCTTCACGCCTCTCCTCATGGGCTACACGACCGAGATCATGCCCTTCAGCATCCGCTCCAAAGGATTATCGTGTGAGCTCATGGCCATCTATGCATCGTTGGTCATCGCAGCATTCGTCAACCCTATCGGTTTGGAGAACATCGGTTGGCGATATTACATTGTATTTTGGTGAGTTGTCCAGATTCCGACCAACCACAAATTTGACGTGCTGATCATGTCTAGCTGTCTGCTCGTCATATTCTTGGCAGTCACATACTTCACGTTTCCCGAGACTAGAGGGTAAGTCTAACGCTACCACAGCGACGTTCCATTTCATGATAGATACTAATAATCTGATAGGTACAGTCTCGAAGAGATCGCGGAGGTCTTCGATGGACCATCGGCAAGGCCCGATACTGCTGCAATTGAGCGAAAGCTGAGCGACGCTGCCTATGATGAGCAGATTGAAGAGCGAATCAGTAAAGTGTAGTGCCGTATACGCGGCCAATGTCGCTTGTGTTTCCAAATCATCTTGAATTTCATGCGAATCGATTATGCCAGGTCTTCAGCGTGGTGGCCACTCGTTCTTTTCTTCAGCTCCAAATTGGTTCCAGAAGAAGTTATTCATTGTCTCATCTCCCAACGTTGATGGGTTTGATGGTACCTGCGTAAGGAAGTTTGTCCAGCCTTGATCAGGCATCATAAAATCTGGTTCAGCCGACAGTGACATTGGCCACATCATCGAGTAGACTCCCGACAGCTGCGTCTGCGGACTTTCCTCGACAGGTTGCTGCCACGTAAACGATGAAGCTGGCCCAACCTCCGACGCCTGAGTCCGCTGATCTGGCGCCAAAAATCCGGCGCACAGCTTCAATATTATGTTGCGGCAATCTTTGCTGGAGGGGTTGATTTCGCGCATTGCGTCAAAAACTGTCAGCACTGTCTGGATTTGTTGACGCCAAGATGATGCTTGGTCAGACATAGGGTTGTTGCGAAGACACATGACAGGTATTAGCGAGGCCTGGAAGATGAAGTACAAGCCGTACCAGGATCCGAGACAGTTGTGGTGGCATGTAGACCAGTAGTCATGGATGGCGGTGATGGTGCTCTGCGCTTCGCGGAGACAGCGTTCCACGGCTGTCAACATTGCTCTGTCGAATTGTGGGCCTGCTACTCCGGAACGTTGCTGAAGAGCATGACGTATGACAAATGGTCTGTACATGATGATTCGGAAGTTACGGTATCGCCACTCCATGATGCTGCGCGACAGACGAAAGCGAGGCTGCACCTCGAGGTCGTCTTTGAGCCATGTCAGGCGCCAAGTTTCGATCTTCTCGTCATCCAAACGTACGAGCTCGGCAGCACGAGGGAACTGCACAGAGATAATCTTGGAATAAATGTCGTTGGTCGCGACATGAAACCGAGCTTGGACACCCACCGCGGTGTACGTTGTAATGCCTTCTCTTGCCGGCGGTAAGGACTTTGAGACATTCGTGAGGTCACGATCGTCAATGTTCAGAGGTAACGCGACTTCGACACCGTAGTCAGGCCAGCTGAGAGGTCGTCCGAAAGTGATGATGGCTCCAATAGCAAATACATGTAAGCACCACCACACTCGTCTGCGGATCTCCATCGTCAACGGCGATATCCTCCAGTTGTGGAACTCTTTGTGCAGACCTAAGCCCATCGCCATGTGCAGCGCCAGGCCGATGTAATTGTATCCACTATTCGGCTTGTTCCGTTTTTGGAGATAGTTCGACATGAGAATCAACACCTGCACTAACGTCAGATTTCCGCTTTCCAGACTGCCAATCGATATGTTGGCTCTAGCCGCCTCAAACAAATCCAAGTCTCTTGTGACCGGCCCGGTTGACGTTGTGAACAGTCCAATAGCTCCGATCATATAAGCCAGTGCATTCCAGCTCCTACCAGCAGGTCGCGGAATAACCTGCGCGTACTGTGCCCGGAAAGATGCTTCGTGAACAATAGGATAGGACAAGTGGTAAAGTGAGAAGTATGCGTTGATTGCGGCGTCGAGGTCGATATTGCCAATGCTTCTTGCCACATACACAGGTGTAGGCACCCAGCCTTGAGCTTCCTCAGCAGCAGGCAGAGGCTCGCTTGGGGATCTGTAGCGGAAATTCGTAGAGCTGCGTTGAAGCGCACCCCTGTGCTCGGCATCTGGCAGCAGTAGACGCAGCATTGCAGCTCCAGAAGCGACTCCCAGATATCCTGCACCACGATCTTCGACAGACAAAGAGGCCATACCATCTGTGACACTTGGCTCTTCATCGTCGAAAACAGCATTGTGATATTGCCGTTGGATGTCAGGGCGGTCTCCTGAAGATTGCTCGTCCCAGCTGAAATCATCAGCTTCAGATGGCGGCGCCTCAAAGTCATGAGTACGTAGGTAAGAATCCGCCAGGCTGGTGCCCTCGAGAACGCTAGGCGAGGTGAGTTCGACGCCACCAGGTGTTTGATGATCGCTGCTCGCATACTGCCACTCAGCGTTTATACTGCTAAAGCTGTGGTGGCCACAATAGTCGGGCGCCGGAGCATTCGGAACGGATCCATGGTCGAGTCGCTGGGCCGGTACTGGCGAAAATGTTGTCTCGTCCCTCCGGTTGTTCTCACGAGCTTCCGATATATGAGTGTGAGGTTCCGGTGACTGTCTCGCGGTGGTGACGTCTGTTACACCCTGTTGCTGGTGTGCAAGCTTTGCTTCAACAAGGAGCGCTCGCCTCTCGAGTTGTCTTGCTCGCAGCTCAGCTTGGCGTAGCCGCTCCTCCACGGAAGTTAGGTACTTTCTGGTCAACGGTGTCTTGGAATGCTTCTCATACAGGCAGTGTCGCTTGTTCCTCTCACACGGTCCGCACTCCGGTAGTTGACGATCACAGCGGCCTTTTCGTCTTTTGCATTCATTGCAAGCCTGTTCGTTGAGTCCAAGCGTCGACGAGGTGGCAATCGCGTATTCCGAAAGTGACAGTTGCTGATCCATATCCAAGAGCACGAGCTAACAAGTGGTACGGAGAAATCATGGTAGATTCGTGGGATTCGGCTCGCACTTGGTCTTTCAGCACTTATGGTAAAAGCACCGGGGTCCACGGTCCCACCATCCACATATCGCGCAGCGCAGCCAACGCATATACAGTCTCGGCGCTGCTTCCCCGATCTATGCCTGTATGACCAGTACGTACTGCCAGCATGCCAATCTGGCCGTAGTGAGATTGACAGCAGAGTTCGCTGAAATGAACCCTCACCAAACTCTCACCGAACTCTGCGAGGACAGAATGCGGAGATGATGCAGCACCGACCTCGCAAGTTGACCACTGTTTCTCGTTCTTGGTCCTTTCACCGAACACTGTAAGCACAATAGGCGTTTGGAGGCATCATCATCTTTGAAGATATGTCGTCAAAACAGAGTCGCCACTACTGGGCGCGCAGCATGAAGAGTATGATGATCAATATGGACAGCGACACGGCAAAGACGTCTCACCCAGAAATACTCGAGGATACCCACACCTTCTCAGTAGGGCAAAAGACTAAATGCTCTCTGATGACGGCCCACCAACCGAACCGCACCGCCCGGATTAAGTCATTGGCCTCGATCGACGTTTAACACACTTAGCCGCGTGCCTCAACCCACCATCGATAGCCTAACAACATCCCTGCTTCGTTATTCTCAAATAAGCCTTGTGACCTTTCAGATCTGGCTTGGCGGCCATTGATCACCCAGTAAAGCAGATGCCGGACTGAGCGTCAAACCTTCCGGAGGCTCGTCAAGAACTTGCGAAGGTATGTCTCCCGACAGTAAAAGGTAAAGAGCCCAAAGGAGTCCCTTCCAAAGGCGAGAGCACGTCGGCATACACTTCATGGCAGTCCATTCCGTCTCAAAGTAGGGAACGAATTGACCCGATCCTCATCTTGTAACCCCAAAGGCGCAGTTTGAGCTAGCAGTGTTCTTGAGGTACTACACATCTTCCTAAAATGTAAGCTGTGCAGACGATCATGAGCCACATAACTGACGGGGGTTGTCAGTGGTGGTAAGTGGAGTTTATGCAGGTTCCCCCTCAAAGCAACAGGCTGTACATTTGTACAAGACAGGAATTCATACTCATTCTGGGCGGACTTGCGAGTTGTCAATCATTACTGCTTCTCGAAGGCAGCGTGTACTCCCGATACCTGCTAGACCTTCAAGCTCTCGAATAATGGTGTCTCCGCAGAATATTGGACATCGATTCATCGGCCGTCGATCCATGCGATACATTGAGGATCCTCAGCCTCGAGCTTACAAGCGATACCAATACGGCGTTTTGGCCTGTACAGGTATCCCAATCGAGCACCATGCCAGACTTCACCCCGGATGCTTCCGCAAAGATGACCGACAACCAACATATTCGTTGACCCATTTCGATTCCGACAAGGCCCATGCATCGCGCGACAATAGACCTCGGAGTCGACGCCGAACAACACCCTTGCAACAGAGTCCCCCAAGCTCTCGTTGAGCAAGTTTGGACCGATGGGGTATCTGTCCAAACTTTGAGTGTGGCAACACCCCCATGTAGACAAGACTCGATCATTCATGTTCCTAAAGGAAGTTGTATGGCCACGACCATATCTCTCAGCACCGTGGGGTTTGAGTTGGGAAGTAAGTGACTAAAGACAGGGGACCCACAAAAGCCCGTGGCCTCATCGGCTCAGCTCCAACCACTGCGCCTCCGTCTTATTGCCACATACTCTCTTCTGCTATTCGCCATAGCATCGTGGATGGCGGGATATTCAAATCAGGTAAAGAACCCAAGGGCTTTTGAAACCACCCCCCCAACTCAGTACATCCCAGCCATACCCTCAAACTTCTCTCTAATATCATCCGGATGCACACGTCTACCCGTGAGATCATAGAACTTCGCCGCGATTCTGACCCATGTCTGCTTCTGATCTTTCATGATGATCTCGCTCAGACACTGCAGTTCGCCGAAGGAGAAGAGATCATCCTCCTGCAGCGTCAACCACTCACCCATGGTGAAGCGAGCTTCTCCGTTACTGCGAACACTTTGGGCTTTGCTGGAAGCTTTCTTTGCGTCCTTTTTGGTTCCGCCCTTTCCATCGGCGGCTCCTGCTCCATTAGCAGCTTTCTTGGCAGCTTTCTTCTGCGCCTTCGTCATCTTTGATCGGCCGCCAGCATCAGCTTGCTTCTCGTCATTGGCCGTGTCGTCACCTCCGCCACCGCTGATCTCGTTATAGCGCTCTTCACATTGCTTCTGTGGACGCTTGAGCTCTTTGGCGATCTGCTTGAGGGGTGTATTGGCGGCCCACAACTCCTTGAGCTTGGCATGTTCTTCAGCAGTCCATTCGCGGTTCTGTGGATTCTACGGAGTGAAGCATATCAGTGTTTGGCACTTGAGATTAGAGATGGAGAGATACCTTGTTGCCACCTTCGCCTTTCTTCTGGTCGTTCTTGTTATCATCCTTCTTTCCCCCATTGTTCTCTTGCTTGTTTTTGCCACCCTTCTTGCCCTGCTGATTGTCCTTCTGATGACCGTTCTCATTGTCATCCTGCTTCTTGCCTCCTCCTTGCTTGTCCTTCTTGCCCTCGTTGGCAGGTTTACCTGTACAAGATTAGCCATAGAAGGTTCAAATATCAACTCCCAGTGAATCTGTGTGAAGTACCACCGCAGTTCACCGCACTTCCCAGTGGCGACTTGTGAGCAATAATGCTTTTCCTGCCATGCTTATCCTTTTTGATGTCGTAGTACGTGACATAGCTCTTCTGGCTGGGGCTTCTGTCTAATGGCTGGCCTGTGTCAGCATCGATCGGTATCAACGAAAACGGACGAAAGCCGAAGAACAAGTTGCGGATCATAACGTTCGAGCGGATCAGCAGCAGCGGCGTGTTGTGGCGGCGTAATCGGTCGATAGCTCGTAAAGGTAGGCATCATGGTCTAAGGTAATATGGCACAAATGTGCACGTGGGGAAGGTACCTACCTCTTGCTCTTTTCTCGGTGAGCCCAGATTGATGTATGAGCGCGGAAGCAGCGCATCAATGAAGGACACCCTAGGCAGCTTCTGCGACGATGGGAGGTTGTCTGCATCGGTGACGGCGGCAGCGATTTTGGTGGCGAGGCGTCCCATTGTGGTGGCGGCGTAAGGCGCAATGCAGGCGAGCAAGGTGGAGCATTTGAGAGATGGAAAACGCTGTCAGGATACTATGTTGTAGTGGGTATGCTTACATTGTGTAGTGATGTTGTGCTGCGAAGAATCCACCCTTCCGCCCTGCACGCTACGGAAGGCCACTCATGAGACCTTGAGTAAAGCTCACATTCTGCCGTCGATTCCCCCTTTACTATTCACTGCACGTGTGCCTGCACCGTGTGATCTTCTTGGGACGACATCTTCTCGTCAAGACACTCACAACAAATCCCTGCAAGGTGCCGCTAGGTGAACAAAGAGCAAACGGCGATCAAAAGAGGATATCTCCTGGTTGCATGTACTCTTCAGAACATGTTCCGCATCACCATGCCAAATCTTCGGAAAAAGGCTTTCTCGCGCCTAGCTGCGCCGGCCACGAAAGAGAAAGCCAAGAAGCACAGGTAGGTGTTCTGTTCACCTGCAGGACCTCTCAAGTCTTCATCCATTAAATTAGGAGTAAGGTTAACCAAAGCACTCCTTGAGAAGATGCTATCGCAACCCGAGGCGCGCCGGTCGGAGCTTTTAGTACCCCTCGAGTCCGAAGCAGGCCAGAACATGCAGAACCCAAAGGTGTTGTATGTGCTTGGTATTCGTGAGGTCCTAACGTTCGATCTACTACCATCGGTGAGCACATTCAGTACCTTGGGTCTGAGCGCTGCTGACTTGTATAACTGGATAGGGTAAAACAGTACTGCTTGCTACATGAGAACGCACCTCACGCTATCATAACAAGCTCTGTGCTGGGTGGGATAGCAGGGAAGAGGCTCAGGTGGTCAGCCACGATATTTGAGCGGCCAGGAAGAGACCAGAGATGTGGAAAGCGATCGTGTTGATGCACATCAAGTTTGGTCGCAATGGTTGTTTGGGGCGTTCGTAGGACGATTGATGATACCGTGAAAAACTTTGGACTCTCTTTCATCGCAGGATATTAGGTTACTGCTTCGTCGCCGCTCCCAGTGTATCCTATCGTCCAGGGCTATTCCAGCCATTACGCAATCTATCAGATCGGACACGATAGCTCACGGAGTAATCTGAGAGCAGTGAAAGTGCAGTGAAAGTGCAGTGAAGTGAGGATGAATATGTCTTTGCACGTGAAAGTCACAGCTGACCCTGCCAAGACTTCCCCTTTGGTCCCGCGTTGTTCGATCGCGTGGCCTTGTTGCAACTAAAAGTTGATCATTGCGCCTGCGTCGACCATACCGTACGAACACCTCCCTCCTCTAATCCAGACCACTGACAGCCGGAATCATGCCCTCAAGACTCGACACGCTCTTCGTCCTCCTCGCCTCCATTCTCGCCTTCAGCCATGCACACAATATCCAAATGAAGGCGCATTCGCGAGAATGCTTCCACGAGATACTGCACAAGGATGATAAGATGACGGTGACATTTCAAGTGGGCGATCGAGAATTTGGTGGTAGTGGGAACCTAGATATCGACTTTTGGGTTAGTAATTCCTTACAGTGAGAATGCTGGGCTTGTGTCTGGTGGGATCCGCTAGTGTGGGAAGCATTGAGCATGGGCGGTGTAGGATAGGGACGAGCTCGGGAGTGCTCTAGCCCTCGCACATAGCATGGGAGAAGCGAGCGAATTGCTGACAAGCCATATGTGGTACAGATTCAGGATCCATCCGGCAACTATCAGACCCAACAACGCACAGTCAGCTCAGGAGACTACTCATTCGACGCACACTCCGATGGGAAGTACATGTACTGCTTCAGCAACGAGCACTGGTCGGCGAACACGAAGGAGGTCAGCTTCAACGTCCACGGAATAGTATACGTGCCGGAGCATGAAGCGCCTTCAGATCCGCTGGAGAAGGAAGGTACGTTCTAGCATTGATTCTTGCCCGAGCTTCTTAAGCCATATCACGCAGCCTAAATCTGACGCTACGTAGTTCGCCAACTCTCCGAGCTCCTCGCACAAGTCAAGGACGAACAGTCCTACATTGTCGTCCGCGAACGCATACACCGCAACACAGCCGAATCGACCAACGGCCGTGTGAAGTGGTGGTCGATCTTCCAACTTGGCGTGCTAATCGGCATCGGTGTCTTTCAAGTCTGGTGGCTGAAGAGGTTCTTCGAGGTAAAGGACAGCACCAAATACTCTCGTGGTAATTTGGGATAGTGAGTAGGCTGACGTCTGCTGTTGCGGCGTGCTGTAGGTTAAGCGCATAGTCTAGGTTCGACAATATCAGGAACATTTCAGCAATTGCTTTTCATCATGCACGGAAACTTGAGCAATTTGTTAGCGAGGTGCTGGGCGCGACTGTCCGTGTCCGGCAGGCACGACACTAATTTCCAAGTGCACAACGAATGTAAACTTCGACAGCCCTATACTCCTCTTCCACCACAGAGCTACTTCACATGCCTTGCATTGTCTAGATGCTAGCAGGAGTCTGCATAAATGTACCTACCAGATCTGCCTTCGTCCGAAACCAAGCGGGGTACAATCGACTCCGATGAACAACATATGCATCTAAACTCGATCGTGTCATAGCTTGGACTTCTGGATGAACCTGAGTAAACTGACTACATCTCAGACGAGAGTATAGACTGTATAAAGCGATGGCTACGAATGGCACACATACGAACGGCGACTCCCATACCACCAACGGCCTAAAGCCCAAGCCTCGAATCGTCATCGTAAGTTCAAATCTATCTCATACTTATCTACTGGCTCATCATAAACCAGGTAGGCGGTTCTCTAGGCGGTCTCTTCGCCGGCACAGCTCTAAAGTCCCATGGCTTTGACACTATACTTCTCGAACGCAACCCAGAAAACCTTCTTCACAACCAAGGGGCGGGTATTGTGGCTGGCGGCGATACGATCGAATTCTTCAAACGCTATGATCGGACGGGCAAACCGGTCGCCGTGCCCAGCTATAAGCGCGTGTATCTCAACCAGAAGGGCGATGTGATCCATGAGGAAGTCAACCGACAGAACATGACTTCTTGGGACCTGTCTTACTATCTCCTTCGAGCGAACTACGATCGCATTGACAGCGAGTATCTGGAAGGCGGTAAGCTGCCAGAGGTCCGGGACACGGATGGTGAGGTAAAGTATTGTGCCGGTGCGACTGTCACGAATATCGAGGACAAGGGTGGACAGGTTTTAGTATCGTACCTGCAGCGAGGACTAGACGGCAAGGAGGAGTCGACGACTATACTCGCTGATCTAGTCGTGGCGGCCGACGGACCGAGCTCGTCGATACGGAAGCTTTTAGAGCCGAAGACAGAACGCACATATGCTGGTTACGTGGTCATTCGCGGTACAGTCCCCGAACAAGAAGGATCGCCAGAGTCCCTGGAAGTCTTCCGCGAACGTTTCTGCTTCTTTCATGCACCAGTACGTGAGCTCGAGTACTCATCCTAAATGGAATCACGTACTGAAACCTTTGCTAGGGTATACAGAACTTGACCTATACCATTGCTGGTCACAATGGCACTACGGAGCCGGGCCAACGTCTCCTGAATTTCGTCTGGTACGCCAACTTTCCCGCCGACTCCAATGAGCTCGACACTCTTATGACAGACATCTCCGGCCGCCGACGCCACATCACCATCCCACCTGGCCAGATTGCACCCGAGGCATGGAACATGGTCAAGAAAATGGGCTACGACCGTCTCCCACCGCAGATGGCCGAGATGGCAGCGAAGACCACAGCGCCTTTCGTGCAATGCATCACCGATGTGATTGCCTCAAAGAATCTGTGGATGGGCGACAAAGTCGTCTTGATCGGGGATGCGCTGGCTGGGTTCCGACCGCACACGGTGGCGAGTACAAGTCAAGCGGCCTTTGATGCTATGAGTCTTGCCGAGTGGCTAGATGGGACGATCGATCGGAAGCAGTTCGTAAAGCAGACTATGCAATTCGCGAGGGAAATCCAGGCCATGGGTGTCAGAATAGGTGATCGGAGTCAGTTCGAGACTCTGCCGGTGGACGAGTATATTGCTGATAGGAATTTTGCGAGTATCAAGCGGCAGGATAGGGTGTATGGGAAATGGACAGAGGATGGGCTGGACAAGATCTAGATACCATTCTGTAAAACTTCTACCGGCTGGTGAGACCGCGAGCTGAGGACACTAGGACATAAGATCAATGGTTCATAAGCCTTCGTATCCGTGAGACATACTGTGGCCACGCCCTGGCATAAACACAGCACATGGTCACGCTATTGGCTGGACCTGCGTGAAGCGCGCAAGCGAAGCCGATTCGGGTTCGTACAACTTTACGGTGCATATATTGACCTGCTGCAGCTCATGCATTAAACACTGCAAGCGGCGTACCCAAGCCGTGGCACGTAGCTCACTACATAAAGCATGCCTTTGACGGTGCTGATTCACAATTATGAGAATTGCGAATCCCTCGACTTCCTCACCATGTCTAACCATACGAAAGGCCGTGCTTTCCTTGCAGCATGCGCACTATTCTCCATGCTTCTCCCAGCTGCTACAGCCAACAATATTGACGGCCTCTACTGCCCCTCCCCACCGCAACTCCCCACCAATCTGACAAACACTACCATCTCCGGCCTCCCACCCAGCTTCTTCCCATCAGCCACAGGCGCAACGTCCCAGAACCCCGTTTTCCTTGAGGAGATCCGCTACACCCTGAACCTCTACCCTATAATTATCGATGGCAAAGCCTTCTCTGCCCTCGATCAAGTCTTCACCGCCACTGCGGTAGCCAACTACTCATCTCCACTGAACGTCTTGACGCCGCTTTCGACTATCAAGACAACACTCGCAGCAAGTCTAGCGCCAGTCAATACACAGCATAGTCTCACTACCCAATTCATTGAGATCTCTCCCGGCGCATGTACAGCGAGGAGCGTGAGCTACTACACTGCCGCACACTTTGGAGTAGGGATCTACGAAGGAGAAGTGCTGTATGCGTAAGTGATTTCCGCGACTCGCATGCTCCGCAAGGGATGTGAGTGTCTGACTGTCGTGTTGCAATAGATACGGGCAGTACCGAGATGTTCTTGTCAGGATCGCAGAGGGCTGGAGGATACAGGAGAGGACGTTGGCTTATATGGTATGTATCCTGTTTTCCTCGTGGTCCACACGGCACCTCGGGCTGCACTCCTGAGATACTCAAACGCCATCAAGCGTTGCGGGGAACCAAAATTTCGTGCGCCGGCTAGACGTCCCATCAACCTGATGCAGTGTCTTGCTCAGGTACGCTGACGTTTGCGAATATCGTAGGGCCCTTTCATCGGCAACCTCACCATATTCACGCCGCAATAGCTGCAAGGGTTTGAGATGAGGCCAAAGGGGTTTGGGGGACGTGAGGGTAATTGTGGGCACGCCGCTTGTAGAAGGAGGGAAGTCATTCAAAGCCGTGGGAAGAGATGGTCAAGAAACCGCCGTCTCGATTAACATGATAGCTTCCCATTCCAATGTGGGCTCCCAATACTTCAAGACCGCCTGCTGAGTCAACTTCTTCTTAGCACGGCCTGGCATTTTTCTCCTAGCCAGCTTTGTAGCTCCAACAGCCGGTAAAGTAGGAAGATCAGCACGCTCATCACTCATCATTACAGAACTTAGACGAGCAGCGAAGTCCGGCTCAACGAAACCATTGATAGTGACTTCCTTGATACCGTACAGATGTCGGAGTGGCTCGAGGACATACTGCTTCTGCTCGGGTGTAGAGTCCCAGGCGAATCCGCGCTCAGACGGCCCTAGGAATATCGACCCCGCCATCTCGTCCACACTGATGGACATGTCATGGGCTAGCTCGGTAAGCATAGAGACAGGCTGGCCGCGGTACGGATGTGAAACGCACACCTCTCGTCTTCGACTCAAAGTAACATCGAGGGTCCTCAGCTTACGACATTGAGACAGCAGTCGAGCAAGATGGTCGACCCTCAACTTCAAACCCTTGAAGTTCGCAGCATGAGATCCGTCTTTTGCAAACAGCAGCAGCCTGATCGACTTTACATGGGGCAAAGTAAGGGAAGTAAGAGGCCATAGTGGATCAGGCGTGACGTCCTTGAATACTTTGGTCCAGACATCCAGTCGATTAGCATAATCGCTCACGAGTACAGTCTCGTTGATAGGAGTAGTCGCCTCACGGAACACGAAGGTGTTTTCGCCGTAGAGCATAGCATAGCATTCGGCTTGAATTTGTTGGCTGGTGGAGAGCAGCAGGGTAATGCGATCGTGTACCAGTGAGCCAGGAGGCATGATCTTGGTCAGTGTCGCGGTGTGTTGACCATTGTATCCCGCTATGTAGTCCAGGGCGGAAAAGTAAAATGTGCATTCAGTTTGTATCAGGTAGCCATACACGAGCTTTCGCAGCTCTAGCGGTAGAAACTTTTGCCGCCTGAAGCTGGACTCTGGTCGTCCTGCGTGGTAGAGATGTTGGATATGGGCTTGTGAGTGACAGGCCCACATCCACTGGTATGCGTAACTTCTTCACCACTCCCTGCCTGCACGCCATCACCGTCATGATCGCCAGTAGTGCTAGCAGCTGGGTCGAGGACGTCCAAGAAGGTATAATTGCACGCATCGTCACATCTATGGAAGTGCTGACGTCGGGGAACAAGTATATATCCAGCCCAGCGAGACCTTGCATCTTCTTGAGAGCGTTCTTGGCACCACGCGTTGTCGTGAACCCAGGCACCTCGAGCTTCATAGCTTGGGGAAGGCAGTTTTCTGGTCGCACTGACTTTTGTCTTTGCGACGTATGGAATCATGATGGTGTTAGTAGTTAGTGTTGTTAGTGCAGTAGGATATGTTGCTTGAGGCTAGAACTCAGCCTACTGGAGCGAAATGTGTACGAACAGGGTGGCGAGCGGAAGGGAAGACCAAAGTCCTGAAGTCCCGGAGATATCAAATAGTGCTCTTTACGATCAAAGTGTTGTAGTCGTGAACAGGCAGCAGCGGGCTATATTAGTATCACAAGCTCCTGTGCCGCAATCTTGCAGGACATGTGCCTCTTTCCGCTGGGTTCAGAAGTGGTGATGAGAAGATGGTGGAGAGCCCTCGGTGTGAGTCTATCTCCCAACACCCTGTGTACAGAATGTGATGGCGAGCATTTAGGCACAGTATGTCCGTGATGAGGTCAGGGATGTTATGTCAGGGTGCGATCGACTTGCAGCGGTAGCGAAGAAGAAGAAGGAGATAACGTGAGTGGGGGGCTTCTAGCTTATGTCAGCCGTCTTTCGCGGCAAGCCTGCCGAAACGAAATTCTTGGCGCACACCTTGAGATTTGCGTGACGAGCAAGTTCGAGACTGAATACGCGAGCGCATTGCGGAAGCACGACGACAACACCACACCCTTCGACAATCGCCCAACATGCGCTACATTCATTCGAAGGAGGAACTCAAGATTCCTGAGGGAGGTATGTTTGCATCAGAAAAGAGCATGGCGTAGCAGGAAGAAGTGCTGCGGGAAGACACATCGAAAGGACAACCATACTAATACCACCCTCCTCCAACAGTCAAAGTCCACATCAAGACTCGCATCGTCACAGTTGAGGGCCCGCGAGGCAAACTCACCAACAATCTCGGCCACGTCAGCGTCTCCTTTTCCGTCCCCGACAAGAGCACCATCAACATTGAGCTCCACCATGGCGCACGCAAGAACGTGGCCACTCTCCGCACAGTCCGCACCATCATCAACAACATGATCGTCGGTGTGACCAAGGGCTTCAAGTATAAGATGCGATACGTCTACGCCCATTTCCCGATCAATGTGAATATGGAGAAGAACAAGGATACCGGCCTGTGGCAGGTTGAGATCAGGTAAGAACACTCCAGAACGATCGCACTTGGTAGGAAGGAAGTGCGATAGCGGAGATGGGAGTACGCAGCCAGTGACTGATATGGTTGTGATTACAGAAACTACCTCGGCGAGAAGACGATCCGCTACATCACCATGCAACCCGGTGTGGATGTTGCAGCCTCGAAGAACGTCAAGGACCAGCTCGAACTCACCGGCAACTCGCTAGAGAACGTCTCACAGTCTGCCGCCGACATCCAGCAGGTCTGCAGAGCGAAGAACAAGGATATCCGAAAGTTCTTGGACGGGCTGTACGTGAGCGAGAGGACGAACATTGTGGAGGAGTAGAAGGACGTCAATGATATGAGGGCACTGGACGTGGGGTGCTTGTGTGTGCATTTTGCTACTGGGTCTACGGGCGCATGGAGCGGATAGCGGCTACATCTCCACTGTCTGGTCAACGACGGCCAGCAGTGGGTGTTGAAGTAGCCTTGAAATGAAAATGCTATGCCACCCAACACATACTGTCCGCTGATGCAAGACTGCCTTGCAATCGTCATGACTCCAGGACTTTACGACTGTCTGATTGCTGATAGCGACTTGACCGCAAACTAAGAAGAGCCGGCCAAGCTTCATCCTCACATCCTATTGGCCAAAGGCTCTGCAATGTAGCGGACTAACAAGAGGTAAGGCTAATCGTGTAAACAATAATGAACTCGCACTCGACCACCCATATTCGTTAGTATAGGCGCCTCGAAGAGCGCCCGCAACATCAACGTACCAGCCATCTTATAAGATCTAAACAGCAACCATGGAGGAACGAGCTGCCATCCCACCAGGTCTTCCACGGCTCAACCCAACTATTTCATACTGGCAAGATCCACCTTCAGACATAGGATGCCTACGATCAACAGCATCACTACCGGAGAAAGCTGACTACATAGTCATTGGCTCTGGTATAAGCGGATCATGTATAGCCTACAATCTCCTCTGCCGACAGCCCAAAGCAAAAGTAGTCCTGCTCGAAGCCCGGCGAGCAGTGAGCGGTGCCACTGGTCGTAATGGCGGTCATACCAAGGCCGCTTCATATCGAAGCTTTCTCGAGCATGAGAGAGAACTAGGTCTTGAGGAGGCGATCAAGATTGCGAAGCTGGAGTATGCTAATATTGTCGCCACGCACGCGTTTGCTAAGACCCATGGCATCGATTGTGCGAGTACGGAGTGTCAGACTTTTGATATTGTCTATTGCCAAACCCAATTCGTCTTAGGAAAGCAGGCTATTGGTCGTATGCGGCAGACGATGGAAGACCATCCCGCCGCTCAGTATAAGATCTGGGATGCGGACGAGGCGAAGGAGAAGTTTCTCACGCCTAATGCATGTGGAGCTTTTGAGTATTATGCTGGGAGTCTTAGTGCTTACCAACTCGCTATCGGTGTGCTAAAGCTCGCCTTGGCCAAGGGATTAAATCCGCAGACCACTACGCCAGCTACTAGCTTATGGTCTGAGCCTTGTAGTGGCAAGACGCAATGGACTGTCCAGACCCCTCGAGGCTCCATCGCAGCGCCGGAGATCGTGCTCGCAACGAATGGCTATAGCGCACATCTTCTACCCATGCTACAGGGCGCCATCGTGCCGCTTCACGGCCAGATATGCGCGCAACGGCCTGGTCTCGGACTCCCTCATACTGGGCTGGGGAATGCGTATTCTTTCATCCATGAGACTGGATACGAGTACATGATCTCTCGACCTCCTGGCACGCCAGACACCGGTACCATTACCATCGGAGGTGGTCTGTGGAAATTGGAGAACAATGGTGCTTCGCGGTATGGCGAGACGAATGATACTGCTCTCGAACCCAGTATAACTCTTTTCCTTCGAGACTGTACAGAAGAGTATTTCGGTCCCGAGAATTGGGGTGCCGATCACGCTTCTGGTCGGGTGAAGAAGGAATGGAGTGGGATCATGGGCGCTTCGGCAGATGGCTTGCCATATGTTGGTGCTCTTACAGACACTCAGGGTCTGTGGATCTCAGCGGGGTTTCATGGGCATGGGATGGTCTGGTGTCTGAAAGCTGCCGAAGCCTTGGCCGTTATGATGGTAGGGAGCGAAGCCGAGTATAGAGAGATGGAGGAGTGGTTCCCCAGGAGTGCGGTCTGTGAGTAGGGGGAGGCTGGGTACGAAATTCCTGGGGAGGAAAGATCTGAGGGCGCCTGGTGAGGCACAGTTCGGAGAGCGTGGGAGGTCGTGATTTTAGTGCATCCAGCATAAGGTGTACATGTCTGGGTAGTCACCGGATCACTGCTCAACCCACACGACCGCTGCCCGGGAGAGTTTGCCCATGGTGCTTTCGTATCACGACTCCAGACTGAACGCGGCTCGGCGTATATTGCCATCCATACATCAAGTCTGGCCAGGCTCATACAACATCCGTCCATGTCTGATGGTAACCACTAACAACCTTCCTCACTATGTCATCGGCAGCACTCGTACCTGCCAAGCCCGGTATAACGAAACCATACTTTCCACCTTCCTCAGCGGCTAAGAATTGGCAGCTTCGCTTATCCAAATCGGTAGTGCTTCACCCCAAAAACAGTTTAGGTCCAATCAATTTCTCCGCGCTCGTGGCTTGCTAGAGTCGATCACAAGGTGCGTGGAACATGTGGGGTGATGGCTGCGGTGGGTACGGTACAGTACATGTACTGGCTAGGGGCCACTTGCATTATACGCACTTTCGCTCTTGCATATCGTGCTTTCTAGATCGTCGCTGCTGTGGGATATTGTACGACGTGTTTGCCGCTGTTGCTCACGAGGGACGCGCGTGGTGGTTCTCGTGACCGTTGGCAAGTGTTTCAGGGAGGGATCTTTACAGCGCATCGATGGGTGTCTAGAACAAGGAAGAAACATACCTAGCCATTATCAAGGAGAGTAGGAGATATCGCGGCCACAATCAACAGGACCGTGACTGGAGGCACACTGGCGCACGACCACTCCCAACATCGATATTGATTCACACAACGATGCCCTCGAGTCGGCGGCTAAAAGTGACCGCACTCATAGCCATCCTCACCGTCCTGGTAATATTCTACGTAACCAACGGCGCAAGATCAACACATGAGTCGCCTTTCTATACACGAACTGTACAAGCAATCAAGGATCGAAAAGCTTCAGAGGCTCGAGATGATGTGATCGCGGAGGAGAAGGCAAGGACAGACCGTGTAGAGAGATTACAAAAGGAACACGATGCTGCGGTATCAGCTGCAGTACCTGTAGCCACAGCGACTTCAGCCGCCGCAAAAGTAGCTGCAGGCGTAGCAGGCGATGCGGCGAAACCAGCAAGTGGTGATGCAGGACCAGATCGGCAGAAACCTCTAGCAGGAGATGTCAAGGAGGCGATCTCGGAAGCAGCAGAGAAACTCGTCCCAGTCGCGGGGCGAAAGACAATGGGGGAGAAAGTGGTCTCGACCAAACCCGCTTCGGCAGCCGACCACGACGGCGTAGCGAAAGTCGGCAATGTCGAAGCCAAAGCCTCCACAGCCGTGAGCGACAGCGAGAAAGCTGGTGCGGAATCGCCCGAGGATCATGCAGTGGAGACCTTATTGAACGATATCTTAAAGAAGGGCCCGATCATAATCTTCAGCAAGACCTTCTGCCCTTACAGCAAGAAAGCCAAACATATCCTCCTCGACCTCTACACCATCAGCCCACCTCCATACGTAGTGGAATTGGATCGGGAGGAGTTAGGGCCGGGTTTGCAAGCGGCGTTGGGGAAGAGTACGGGCCGTAGGACGGTGCCGAATGTACTCATCAACGGGAAAAGTATTGGGGGTGGGGATGATGTGGAGGCGCTGCATCGGGAAGGCAAGTTGGCGGAGATGGTGAGGAGTATGGGTGGGAAGAGAATTGTGGAGGTTGAGCAGAATGAGATTCCCGATGCTCCCCCGGCGCATGAGAAGCGGGAGGTGAGATTCAAGGCGTAGAGTTGGTGTACTCGATGATTATTCATGATGCTTGATGAGACAAGCTGCTTATCACCACCATCGCTCGCGGCGACGTCTGACTCAAGAGGCTCACAGTGGAGCTAAGAGGGCTGCTTCCCAGATTGATGGAGATCACTGTACTGCTGGTCAAATATTTCGGGACACAGTGTGATCGTTGTATAGTAGACGGCATACACGGGGATGGGCTGAGGGTTTCTTGAGGGAAGGTTCCTATGATACCCTAGGGAAATTGGCGTTGCAAGGTGGGGACGGTGGAGGCATTGCGATGATTTCCTGTAGAGACCTAAGACAGACCGACGGATACCATACATCAAGCAGTTCACTCGATCTTGTTCCGGCTCAATGCTAACTGCTCATTGCTTCCACGTGATCGTGTGATTTCGCGCTAGCCATGCTCTTGCGGGGAGGGTTCCGCGCTGATCCCTGCAATCGCGCGTCACAAGCTCAGAGTGGAAGTTGAAGTTGGAGCTGTAAGTGTGTGAGCCGACCATTGCTCTCCCACACGAAGCACTGAACAAAATCTCACGACATCTTCTGCACGATCTTCATGATGGCGGCCTCACAGATAGCCATAGCAGAAACCATCCGCGGCATGAAACTTGCCCTCCGTCGCAAACGAGCAACCTCACCCGCACGCTCGCTCGCTTCCTCCGAAGACGACGCAGACGACACCCACACCCACGCCAATCGCGGCAACAAGCTACGCTCCAGCGCACAGTATGCTCAAGAGGGCCGTCTGGACACTACAGGTGGCCAGGCGCGATATAAGCGCAAGGTCCAGCACGCCGGCCGCGAACGCTGCATTATCAAGAAACGCCCACGCCTCTACGATGAAGACGGCGATGTGGTGGATCCGGCCGATATCCCTAGTGATGTTGAGGAGGCCGAGTTCGGGGAGGCGGTCGAGGAGGATCCGTTTGGGAACGTGCAGTTGCATCATTTGCTGCGCCCACTGACGAGCGCGGCAGAGTTGTGCGAGCATCCGAGTCTGAGTCAGGGATTTACTGGTAAGGCTTTGACTGGTATGGTACAGGAGGTGGAGGAGATGGTGAGGAGGGAGAGGGCGGGGCTGTGGAAGGCTAAGAGGCTGATGGGAAGATTGAGAGGAGATGGAGGGTGGATGGGTCTTGCTGGGTTTGTGGGACATACAGATGAAGCTTTACTTGACGGAGAGGAGGAGACGGTAGATCAGACTGGCCTTGCGGACGGCTTCGGTGAAGTAGATGCGCTGCTGCGAATGGGTAGGCAAGTGGATTCGGAAAGTGGAGAGGGAATGGAGGGAGTACAAATACAAGACCACGTTGAACCGACGACATATACCACAGCGGATGCTCAGAATGGCGAAGCTATTGTTAGTGCTGAGGCAATGACAAACGGCGAGCCAACCAATCCAACAATCGACTCCCTCGCAGTTCCGGACAACGAAGACCAATCCTCCAACTCCGGCGCCTCCAATCCCTCCGGCGCACCCTCCCACAGCATGACCACCCGCGCGCGTGCTCGGAGCCCGCAACTCCCCATCTCACCTTCGCCATCACCCAGCGACAGCGCAAGCATACCAGCCATACATCCCTGGTTCCTCCCCTCCTCGAACCCTATAACCCTCCACCCCAACCCCTTACTTCGCGGCCCCGAAGCAGAAGAAACACTAAAAATGCTCCTCCTCTATATCCAGAAGACAGAAAATATCCTCCGACATCTGGAGACTCTCTATACCGGCTTAGCGCGAGTAGAGAGACAGAGGAAAGATGTGTGGAAAGCTTGTAAAGCTGAGAGACACGTAGTGGGTGATGGCAAGGGAGGCGTGGTGACCGAGATGAGCGATGGCGAGGATTGGGTGGATGTGGAGGAGTGGGGAATTAGTGGTGTCTACTTGGCGGAGGGGGGTGGATTGGAGAAGGGGAAGGATGAGGTTGATGATGTGGCTGAGGAGGAGGGGAGACGAGTTGGTGGGAGGAGGAGGAGGGTGGTCGGGAGATGATGTGCTCTTCGTAGTGGTGGTGGTAGTTCTGGTGATATCTTGTGAAGTAATTGATGTGGAGTCGTTGTCATTCGAATGCACATCTATACCGCAGTCTTCTGGAACGTACAAACCGTAATGCTTCGCGTACCCGCACTTGCTCCTCGCTCCCTGATATATATTTAATTGACACAGCAGCATCAAGAGTCGAAACGATGTAAGCCAGAAGGACTCTTGATATATATATACATGAAGACCGTCGGCGCAGCACATGCGGAGACATGTCCGGGAGTAAACGTGAATCAGGGTTGTGTAGCCGAGAGTGCATTGTGGCGCCGTCCGGTGCAGATCCTCGCGGATTGTTGTCCGCTAAAATACGAAAACGTGCTTCAGCCTGCAAGAGGTCGGATGACTTCTGTTGTGTCGACAGACAAGTCTAGGTGACAGCTAGATAGCAGCGTCGTTCCATAAGGACAACTCTCGGATCAAGGAGCAGATTTGACCGACGTTATCGGTGTTCATCTACCAGGCGTCCTTGTTATTTCCATCGTCATCGGCCTGTCACAAGCCAAAACCATCGCCCACTTATGCATTGCCAAGGCGCTGCTTAGCTATCTTATTTTTCACCGCTCCCAAGTCCCAACGCTGACGTCCGACTCTCTTGCCAATTCGTTCGGCGTTGAGCCTTTGTGTCGAAACAGGGCACTGGTGACAGCATTGTTAGTAATCCGTCGGTCTTTTGGCAAGAGTTGTTTCCGTTCAAGCACGAGTTTTACTCGTACTACTATCAGATTGAGTCTCTGGGGACTTGACAGTCGTTTCCACAACACCACCCCTTCACGCAGGTGATTCGAACACGCTATATCGCTGCAGCAAACTCTCTCGACCGTATCGACAAACACCCAGAGCAAGCAATCGGACCGCATAGTGACTGCTCTGCACTGGCAGGAATGCCACATTCTTAATAACTCTCGTAACTCGACATAATGTCTACACAAACCCAGCCGGCAAGCGCCAGCAACATCGTCGACCCGATGACGAACGAAGCCTTGACCAAGACTCAACAACCAGGAATCTATCAGCGTGTTCAGACATCATGGCGATCATTCTGCACCCTCAAGGACCTTACGCCGGAACAGGTGGACTCGTTCATGAAGTCCTATGTGATATACGACCTAGACTGGAAGAACGAGAAGCAGATGATCGAAGTCCTTGGCCCCAATTACCAGCAGGAAGTCGGGAGATGTTTGTCGGATTACTATGGAGTTCTCAACCACCTTTGCGCTATTGGCGAGCTTGAGAAGATGTATGTCCCACCGATCATGAATCCGGAGTTCGGTATCATGGGCAACCAGCTGCTCTATGAAGAGCTCATCATCGAAGAGCTCCAGTTGCTGGCGAATGCAAAGGTGCTCGATATCGGCTGTGGCAGAGGCCGAGTTGCAGCACATATGACCGACATGACTGGGGCGAAAGTGTCAGGCTTGAACATCGACAAGGACCAAATCGCCAGCGCGATTGCGTTTAACGAGTTAATGAAGCACGACAACACATTTGTACGCCGCGATATGAACGACCAACCCTGGCCCTTCGAGGACGAGGAATTCGACGGCTTCTACCAAATCCAGGCGTTCAGTCTTTGCAAAGATCTCGATCAGACATGCAGAGAACTTTACCGTGTCCTCAAACCCGGCGCACGATTGAGCTTACTCGACTGGGTGAGTCTAGACGCCTACAATCCAGAGGACGCACACCACCGCGACCTGATGCGAGAAGTGAAACCCATCATTGGCGCCGTCGGTACACCAACACCACAATCCATGGTCGAATCGCTCGAGCAGGCCGGGTTCAGAATGGTTCGCCATTACCAACCTAGCCACGAAGGCATCCAAGCGCCCCTCCTCGAACGAGCAAAGACATATTTCTTCACGGCGAGGTGGTTGATGCACAATCTGGTCTACTGGAAAGTGCTACCCGCGCATCTCGGAACCCTCTTCAACCGGCTGAACCAAGGCGCGGATTCTTTCATCGAGGCCGATCGATCGAAGCTGATCACTACGTGCTACCACTGGGTGGCGGAGAAGCCTGCGAGCAGTAATGGTGCTCCGGCCAAGACTGCCTCGCCCGCTAGCTCTAGCTCGGATACGGATGGCAAGCAGACCGATACGCCACCATCGTCCGATGAGTCTATTGCGGGGACGCAGAGAGGGTTGAGCAAGTAAGCGCGACGATGCAGGGTGTGTATATACGTACTGGTGAGACCATGGCATGAAGGCGCACTGATAGTGTCTTTTCTGGCATTTGCGATAATATGCATGGCGTTCAACTGTAGAGGGCTTGCCTTTAATGAAGCGGTGATTATGATACCACCTACAGCAATGCTTGACAGTTGTTCATAACTACTATCAATAATCTCTACCTCCAGCGTTGGTACTTGCATGACGTGCCTTGCAATACTGCCACGGGGCAATGGATGGTGTATTGACTACATTCCAGACTTCTAGGACCTGAGATATGACCTCCGGGAAACAAGGAGGCTCCGACTAACAACAGGACGACGAAAGCTCGGATCTCAGCGCGACTGGCAATGCAAAGTTGGAACATCATGTGCTATAGCATTTGTGGCTACGTTTTGCATAATAATGCACCCTTGGTATATTGGTACATTCGGCTGGAGATGAGCCATGATCATACGATCCTTCAGGAGCAGCCACCGACCGAAGAGAATGGCGGTCATGGTGCTCCGGCATCGCAACTCAGTGTCGAGCTTATGCCTCATCACCACCCTTGCCCTTCTTCTTCTTGGAGGACCCGCCTCCGCTCGACGCATCGCCCGTCTTCTTCTGGTGCACGATGAACTTGGTATAACATTCCTCACGGTCCCACTCGAATCCAGCGAGGTAGGGGGCCTCTAGCTCGTCGTCGGCCTGCGATCAATCAGGTCAGCATAGCAGATGCGTGTGGCTTAAGCATGATACGCTAGCTCACCTTCTTTTTGAACTGCTTGTAGATGGCATCACAGGCGTCCTTGACGGTCACACCCTTGTTGTTTCGGGCCGTGACTTCAAGCCCGAGAGGGAAGTGCAGGTCGATCTTCTTGATGAGGGGGTGGCATAGCAGCTTGGCCAGTGCTTCCTTGTCGTCGATGGTCGAAGTGGCTGTGTTGATCTTCCTGTGCAAGTCGTCAGCTTGGGAACTGGAATGCGGGGTAGTATGACCACCATCACGGCAGGAAGGAGCAATCAACGATATGCCACCGAGCGTGATGAATGCGTACGTCGAGGATTGCTTACCAGTTCAGCTTCTGGGTCTCTGGAGCGATCTTGAGATCGACGTTCTCCTTCTCTGTTGATGAGAGTCAGCTTTGCTTCTCACAATCTAGTAGCTTTGCTGGTACATACCGAGATCAACAATGCTGAAGACACCGCTGACGGTGCTGCTGGATCTGCGATGCTTAGGCTTGCTTTCGCTCGGCGAGGCTGGAGCATCGTCAATGGCAGAGTCGACCTTGGAGAGGGAGGCAGGCTGTTCTTGCACTTCAGCAGCCATTCTGATAAGGTAGGCGTTGATAGCTTGATGCTACGAAGGAGATCTGAGAAGGCGTTTTCGTGCAGTGCAGTAGTCAGGTACGAGTTGATGGTGAAGGGAAGAAGGAGGTAGAGTGTACACACGAGCTGGTGAAGGGAGCTTGTTACCTTGGTGAGAGGAGGGGCATCGGAGGGGGCTGATCCATACCGATAGCGACTCGACTCGACTCGGCCTTGCAGCTTGGGGTCGCGGTCACACGACTGCTCACGCGATCAAGCTCGTTGACGGTCAAATACGGTCTAGCGTCAGAGTAACCTTCCCCAGACGGCATTTCTCGGCTCGCGGGGTAGTGGCGTCTAGTTCGTGTGCGATATTCTGGGCGACGGCCACTCAACCGTATGTGTTCCAAGGCATTGTAGGTATGAGAACAGATTCGCATTGGCACGTCGAACGACTCCTTCCTCAGCTGTGGGCCCCGGTGCCTGTATGAGCTTCTGTACTTTCCTCACAGCCGTCCAGAACATTCCCGCTCGGAGCGGGACGACGAAGATGATGCCATATGTCCAGACTCCACAGACAAGCTCGTGGGAGCAAAATAACGCAGTACCAGAGATTCGCTTCGAATGCTGCATACAGCGAGCTGATTTAGAATGAGCTTGGAAAGAACGAACGTTCGTTTCCCAGCCATGTCACTCCAAGCTATGCTACCCCAAAGACTAACAAGTGAAGCTGAATAGACTACTACCGGCAGAAGATCCGCCTAGCTAAGGTACGACGTATCGACGTAGCTTGCAGTTTTGTACCCACTCCCAAGCACACTGGCAATAGCAACAGGGGAGCTGATCTTCTTCGAGAAGCTAGCCCTGCTGCCCGATGCGCCAGCACCAGTGTTTCCGTACTCCTCGAAAACAACATGGTCGGTCTGCGGGCTTGAAGAAGACCACGAGTGCCATCCAGCGGCATTGATCACATTCGACATAGCTGTGTTCTGGAACACGACCCTTGCGTAGTCACCCCATGGTCGACCGAGATAATAGGCACCCGCTGGGACGCTGTTGCCAGACGCTGCTTGGATGTTGGCCTTGTTGATCACATACCAGCCATTGTTGTTGGAGGTACGGCCAGATGCAGTGATGGTGCCGTAGCTCGTGGCAAGGACACCGATGTCGCATCCATCGAACCACGCTTGAGCTGTCTGGCCGAAGATGAAGTCGACGGCGCCTTCGATGTAGGACTTGGCGTAGAGTTGCACGCCGGTCTCGGCTAGGATAGTGTCCTGGAAACCGTAGAAGGCACAGCCGTAGTAGCCTTGCTCCTGCAATCGTGTTAGTGTACGATGCTTGCGATCGACGAGGTGTGGGCACTTACGCCAGCTTCAGCTGAGAGGGCAAGGGCTTGGCCATTAGAGGCAGCTTGTCCATAGGTGTTTTTCACATTCACCTGGGGCGAGTCAGCTAGCTGAACATTCTCATAGGGTCCATTGAGACCGAAGACCTACGTTGTACATCTTGAAGTTCGTCGTCCACACCCTCAAGGTACCAGTGGCATCGTCGTTCGCCGAGTTAGCCAGAGCATGAGACGAGGTAATGATGACCTTGTTGCTCTTGTAGGACGTGGTATCAGCAGTAGAACCATAGATCGTCAAGGGTCCCTTCAAGGTCTGGATGTAGACCTGCTCCTTATAGGTACCGGCATTGATGAAGATGCTCTGGGCTGAAGTACTCGTGCGGCTCAGAGCATTGACGGCAGCCTGGATAGTGGAGTATTTGCCACTGCCACCTACGACGAGCGCGCCAGATGGTGCTGTAGTTCGGCTGGCAGCATAGGCCAGAGCCGCGAAGGCCACGAGGCTGTTAAGGAAGTGCATGCCGTCTGGAAGGTAAGTAATGAGCTAGCGAGTGTGGTGGAAGGTGTCCTGCACGTTTCCTGGTTCAAAAAGTTTACGATGGCAAGAATGAATACCTAGAAGTGCGTATAAGAAGAGAAGAACGGCTTGTCTGCCTCCGTGTATAACAGACGACACGGTAGTATGTCCTACTATATTGAAATACAGCCGATGGAGATTCTCCGTCTAGGAGGGAGAGGCGAGACCATGCGCGACACATGGTGGAGACCAGCGACATGACCAGGCCTGTATTGCTTGCAACAACTCTTAGCCCCAACAAGCGTGTATCGTCGCTAAGGGTTGCAGCCGACATCTATGTTATTGGAGGACTTTCTTCCGATGCGTCGAGTAGAGTGCGGTTTCAAGTCTCCGAACGAAAGGCAGTGCCGAAGTGGTCCGTGAGCCAAAAGATGTATGATTGCCAAGACCTCCAAAGCACCTCACGTAGGAGACATCCACTGCTGTTTCCTTAGCAGCAGAGGCATCTCACGATTGTCCTCCTTTGATATGGGACCATTATAGTATTGACTACAGTCTACTATTATGCTACAATGAAAAGTAAGAATGCAAAATCGATGGGTATCCCGAACGCCGCCCAAGCACTTCAAGCTCCCATGTCCCCAACCAACTGCTCATGGCTGAGCAGAGCACGTGAAGATGTCCCCTCACACACATGCTCACCGTCAATGACCAACTTCACCACTTCTCTCCTTGCCCTTTGTAAGCAGCACTCTCCAGAGCAGGCACACTAAACCCATACCCCTGCGTATGGCCCTCACGATCAGACGGTTCAATCTCGACTCTAATCGTCACATCCAGACCGTTCATACCGGCAAGACCAGTCTTTTCGACTCCGCCAGCAGCTGCGTGTGTAGTCCCGGCGCCCTTCTCACCAAGATGGAGTGGCTCACGAGGGTTCTTGGGAGCAGAGAATGCCATATCCACAGCTCCGTTCTGTTGGCCATGAGCCATACCATTGGCGCCATGAGTGGCAATACCATTTGACTGCGCCGTACCGTTGGCGTGTGGGTGGGATTCGCAGATGATGGCATAGTTGCGACTGGGCATAGTAGCGTGATTGGCTGCAGCAGTCTTGGGCTTCGCGCCTTCGTCTGCACCCGGGTTCTTGTCAAAGAGCTCGAGAAGTGTCTCGTCAGTATCGTGGTCGAGATGGTGGATCTTGTTCCGCTTTGCCAGGAGGTTAGCGACAGCCTGAGGTGGAGGCTTGTTCGTGATGGCGGAGCTGATGATGTTCGGCATATATCGCCAGTCACGTTCGGCAGGGATGTTCAGCTTTGGGTTGGAGTAGAAGCGACCCATGGCAGCCAAATGAACGTCTCCTCCAAGGATGGAGACACGAACACTGTGCTCCTTTGCCAACTTCTGCAGTCGCAGAATCAGCTCTTTTCGCTCTTTCTTGTGTTGGTGAGCGGTATAGTGGTCGTCCAGGTCGTCTAGCAGGTCTACATTCCCGTCAAACTGGTTGAAAAAGCCTCCTGCGACACCGAAACGCTTGTTTAAGAATCTGATCGGTCCAATGATGGGACTCTGTAGGATGTTCTCTAGCCATTGCAAACGAGGATAGGCGATCGGAACACCCAGCAGCAGAACCAAGTGCTTGATCTCGCCTCTTGAGGCCGCAAGCTGTTGGCTCGTATGCCTCCAGATGAGATCGTAGGTCTCAGGGTAGTTAATCTGATGCCTTGTCCTCTCTGTGCGTGCATCGAGACCCAGAAATGCTACACGCTTGCCAAGCTGGCAGTATATGCTCCTGCTCTTCTCCTCTACATATGGACCTGCCTTGAGTCCCATGATATAGCTTGGATCTTCGGCTTTTGGTGTCATGACATACGTGTCACGCAGCTGCACGCTATCGATCTGCATCCTGCCATTCGTATGCATAGTTTGCGGAGCATCGGTCGTGTACGTGGATACTGGAGGTGGCAAGTGGTGTTGGAATAGGAGATAGTATTTGTGTGCCACGCCTCCAATACCACGGAAGACTGGACATCTGCATCATGACATTAGCCTTCGTCTCGGTCTCGCGTTCTTGTGTATCTTACTTCATGAAATGGTCTGTGTAAGAGCCGAATCCGTCAATTATATCGTGATCATCCCAGATATTCAGCTGCGCTATCTGTGCATTTGCCGTCCTGAACGGCTCTGTGCTGTACCATCGCGTGTAGTTGTTGAAGTAGAACTCGTCGCACTTCGCCCTCATCTCCTCGTTGAAAGGATATTCGCGTCGCTTCTTTGGGTTGCCGATGTCAGTCCAGGGCTTGAGAGGTCCTTTGACCCGTACGCTATCGTTATAGATCTGGTCGCCACCTCCGATCATGACGTGGAACGGCTGCTGCTCATGTACGCGATTGACATCGTTCCAAAGCGCTGGTCCGGACCATGCCTCCTCATTTGTGCCCAAGGAGAAGCCGTTGCAAGAATGGAACATGATGCGCATGCTTTCGTGCTTGGAAGGGATGTAGAATCGTTTCGGGCGGCTCAGCGAGCCAGATTCGCCCTTCGCAGCCACAAGTCTTGGTATACTATACTCCCATGCACTCTCCTGCTCCTGAAACGGTGCCTCGACATCGAACTGCCAGAAGGCTTTGCGAGGGTCTTCGAAGAGCTTGACGCCTTGGATCTGGCGATCTTGAGAAGCAGAGTAGCCGTTGGACATGCCGTTGGACATGCCATTGCTGCTGCCAGCTGACCCAATACAGCTCAGGGTCATCAAATCCGGAACACCTCCAGGCATGGTGACGATCAAGACGCTTCCGTGCCATACCGGACTATCTGTATGCTCCCTGCTCATACGGCGGTAGTTGAGTAAGGGTCCGCATAGCACTTCCAGCTGCCGAGACGTGCTGCGTATTTGAGGCCCACTTCCTATGCCATTTTTTTGCGTTTGTACGCGTGCATGTGTCTCATTCTCTGATACCGTATGTCCTGGGCCATCATAGTCGCCACCACCTATCTTGTCATTCAAGGCGTCCCCGGGGCCACGGTGCCCGTCCGCATGCTTCATGTCCGTTCGCATCGCCATCTTGGCCTGCTCTTGATCGGATTCCTAATTAGCTCCTTATCACAATTCCAAGCAAAATTATGTCTCCTTAATGGTTCTCTATCTCTTAATCAATCAATACATTAACAAAGTCGTACAAGGCGACTGGCGTAGCACAACACAACCACGGCGTATTGGGAAGGGGCGGATCGGAGCAGTAACGACTGGGCTGAGCCGAAGAGATACCTTTGCACATGAATAGATCAACAGCGAGTATAAGCTTCCTCGAAACAAGATGATCGAGCAGCAGCCGGATGTTGTCTGCTTGGCACGAGGCTTGGAGGCCTTGGCCTGCGTGATAGACTTGATTGATGAGATTCGACGCCGTTATGCGCCCGAGACAAACACGTGCCCTGCGGCGTTGGACCTCATGCATGCAAGAAGATTTTGCCCAACATAGTGGAATGATGGAAGAGTCACAGCAGGTGAAGTTGAGCATGGAGTTATGGTTCTGTTGCTAGGTTACAGAGCACGTATCATGCATCATCATAATCATGCCGTCATAAAAATACGCGTCGCGTCGCATCGCGTTGATGTCGAGCGACAGCAGTTGTTGAGAGATACTAGTTCGGCCACCATAGCCATCTGTCGCTACTGCCCAACAACCACGCCTGCTAGTGCTAAGAAGTACCAGTACCAAGCTTTTGAAGGCGTTGGTCTTCACTACTCCCGACGAATAACCACAATGCCTTGCCCAGGGCCGAGCTCCAACTTCTCACCCTTCCAATTCCGAAGACCACCAGTACTGGCAGATTTCCTCGTACCACTCGCCACGCTCATCTTCGAGACACGTCGAGGTGTATGGGCATCGACCTTTTTGGCTGTCTTTCGTAAGGTGGCAGCACGGGCAGTGGCTTTATTGCGCTTACTGCTCCTGATCTGCTTGATTACCACCACAGCACCTCCTGAACGAGTATTCGGGCGCTTGCGTTTCTGCTCTTCGATCGCCTTGGTCGTGGCAGCTCTTGTACGGCCGAGAGGCTCACCGGCCACGGTTTTGGAGTCCTTGTTCGATGGAAGCTTTGGTGGCGGGCCATAAATCTGGGTGAGAAGGCCGGCACGCTTCTTACGTTGTTTCACCTCTGGTCTTGTTTGCGCCTCCTCACGGTCTCCCTGGTAGCCTTCATCGTCGGGCCCGGCCTCGTCTCCCCTTGCCACAGTTTCCACACCTGGTACTTGAGCGTCCACCGAACCTTGATCCTCAGTTGTGTTCGTGGGTATATCTTTGAGTTCCTGCTCGCTTTGAACCAAGCCTTCATTTATGAATCGCGGCCGTGAGGTATCTCCATTCACGGGGTGCTCGTTTACTTGTTCGCCCCTCAGATAAGCTTCGAACTCATTGCTACCAATGTTGTCGTAAGCAAGGTAAGGATTGCTAGGAATTCCACCGTCTTCCTCGAGCGTGCGAAAGCCGTCATTCAGGTTGCCGAGATTGCCGACGAACGACTGCTCGACACTATCCTGCATCGTCGAAGGTGGCGCTTGCGAGCCAGGTCTGCCCCCGACGAAAGATGGAGCAAATGTGCTGAACATGCCGAGTTTGACAGGGGTGAATTCCTTCGAAGGTGTTTTACTCTGTGGGAATGTGTGCTTGAAGGGCGAAGCACTTTGATGAGATTTGCTAATGTTACTGTTGATGTTGCGCCTCGAAGTGACGTTGCTGAAGAGTCCTCGACCTCTGTACCTGCCATTAGCTGAATGATCCCAGTCGCAAAGCTTGGATTGAGTCATATGAGGGGAGGCGTGAAGTGAAGTCGCAAACGCACCTGTGAGGGAGCTTGCATCGATGGCAGGTGAGCCCGCATGCGTCTGACTTTCAGGCTGGTCCTTGGGAAGTGAGCGAGCGTAAGATTTGAAGAAGCCCACTGCTGCCTGGGTAGCCGGTTTCATCGCATATAGGTTGTGCTCCTCGTCGCCTTCGCTATCGTCTTCGCAATTGTCTCCAGCATGCTCGAAGCTCTCATCGTCGTCCTTGACGCCATATTCGTCCTCATAGTAGTTCAAGCCGTAGCGCCGGTGAGTGGGGGTCGTTTGGGGTGTAAGCATTGTCGCTGCTAATGTAAAAGCAAATGGGACACACTAACCGTGGTTGAGGGCGCCTAAATACCTCTGTCGAAGCTGAAGATCATCGCATGTGAAAGACGATTTTGCAGCTTGGAACGGTGCTCAGATCATGTGAAAAGACTCACTTCGTCATACCAAACATACCTACGCTTCAATTACATCTTCGGCTTGCCATCATTCTTCCCCGTCTTACTCGTTCCTCTTGCACCTCTATCGTCGGGCGTTGGCTCGGTATCGCTCGTTTCCGCCTTGAGAGATACCGGATCACCGAGAGCAGATGGATTGCTCTTTAGACTTTGTTCAGCCTTCTCTTTCAAGGTCTGCCCATCACCCGAATTGTTCGATGCCTTATTCGGCTTGTCCTGATCCGTGGGCTGTGTAGTTGATGTTTCTGCTTTTAGGCTGACTGGATCGCCGAGCTGAGATGGTGCGGCACTTTGCGTCTCCTTTGCAATCTGCTTTAATGATTTGTCGTCCTGCTTCACTAATTAGCAATAATTAGTTGTGCTGGGAATAGCATAGCTGCTCGAACCGATGGCATTGTGAATGTTCTTGGTTGCTAGTGATTGTATTATTGGATTGGCAAATATCTTGAGTAGGCTTTGAATCTTTCTTCTCGATGATGTGCTATTGTACAGTCGTACATGCTCTGTATTGAGTTACGGCATTGGAGTAGATTTGGTCGTGTCGTCATTGTCCTCCAAAAGCCGAGGCACACATGCTGGAGATCGCGGGCTTTGCGTGCCCTGCGCTAGTCGCGATCGATCGTCAGATTGCCTTTGGAGCATGTGTCAGCAATGCACCAGAGCGATAGGAAGGGCAGCTCAGCGCTTTCAGAGTCTGCACGACTATCTGTCTCGAAAGACAAAAGAGATCTGGGATTGGAGCCACGATTGTCTTGCTTTTGAAAAATCGAAACGAAGAGGTCCAGTCTTAGACAACAGCCGCTTCCCAATGGTCGATGCCAGAAGAAATAACAGGAGGAAGAGCGATTTCACAAGACCTAACAACTCTGTTGATAAGCTTGCAAGATCAAAGGCTGGGTAAGAAGTCCAATTTGATACCGGAGAAGGTATGCTTGTAGTACAAAGCCAGGCTCCAGCGCTCAGATCAGACGAGTTGCCCCGAATAGCGATCCATTCCAGGTAGGTATAGGGAACACTGCGCATCAATGCAGACCAATCCGTTTTGATCCGAATATCTCGGATCCGATCGAGCCAAACTGACGACTGACACTTTCTCCTGACGTGCTCTAGTCTCGAAGCTACGGAGTCGCGAATGATAGGCTGATAGGCCCTTGAGTCCATGAGAATATATCGGTAATGGGGACACACTTCAGCATATATCGTCTAAAGTGCAAGTCGTTGTCAGTCTCGAAAATCTCCCACCTCCTCCGATCTGAGCTACGACGGCAGGTTCATCAGTGCCTTCATCTGTGTGGTCGCCCGAAGCAGGTCTGCCATGATAGCCTAGCTGGAAGTAACGTGAGAGAAGTCCATAAAGGTGGAGCTATTGGTGCCGCCCTCATCACGCGGGTGCGGGTTAGGGCGGAAGACTTTAGGTCGAAAATCCTCGGAGTTATTCATCGCTTCGAGCCAAGTGGTCTACTACGAGCCTGCACCGCACGCAAGCGACTTCAATACCGTGAGGGAAGTGGAGAAGAACGGGACGTTTGCTAGGCGAGCTCGAGCGGGAATTGTAGAGCATCGGAGTAACGTCGGGCGAATCCCTCATTAGCGCGAGTTCGATTCGGCTTAGAGGCCCCCGCTCTTCTCCATGCTCCACCACAAAACCTCACTACTCCCTCGATGCAGTGCCCGCCCTTGCATATATTTAAGTCAGTGACAAATGAGGGCCGTTTCTATGTGCCGGGCTTCCTCGAGGCCTCGCCACGGGTTTTCTTCGGAGGCGGGGGGACTACACGACTCACGTAGTGGTACCGCTATGGAATTTACACGGCGCCGGACACCTAGCTACGTCCACTGACGTCTTGTTTTCACCGTGCAGGCAGAGGGGTAACAATACCAAAGCGAAGATCGACAAGGCATATAAAGCCTCGGCGATGCCCAGAAGCGTGAGTATGATCCTGCAAGCTCCCTTTTCCCTCACCAGACAAAATGCAGGCCATCATTAAAGCTTCCCTTTTTGGTGTCCTTGTCCATGCCGCCCCTGGTTGGCCTGGCCATGGTCCATCTCACCCACCAACTTGGGGTCCTGGTTCGGGACCGCCCGTTGGCTATCCCCCAGGGGCATCAGCCAGTCCTCCTGCCGGCTACCCATCAAATGGCTCAGGTGCCCCGTCTGTGAAGGTTAAGAACGGCACGATAACTGGCGTGCACTCGTCAACATACAACGAAGACTACTTCCTTGGTGTTCCCTTCGCTCAGCCTCCAGTTGGTGAGCTTCGCTTCCGCAATCCAGAGTCCATCAATCAGACATTCGACGGCACATACGCAGCAACTTCATATGCGCCATCATGTGTGGGTTATGGCGGCGACGACATTGGCTATCCCTTGTCCGAGGATTGCCTCTACCTGTAAGTGGACTGTAATCATGCTGAGTTTTATGCCTAATATGACACAGTAACGTCGTTCGTCCATCTGGCTATGAGAACCAAGATCTCCCCGTCGGTGTTTGGATCCATGGTGGCGGCCTCACGATGGGAGGTACCCAGGATCGTCGATACAACTTGTCCTTCATTGTCGAGAATTCGGTAAAGATTGGCAAGCCTATCATCGGCGTCAGTATAGCATACAGACTGGCTGCCTGGGGTTTCCTCGCCTCGCAAGAGGTTAGTGGGTCTGGCAACACCAACATTGGCCTACGTGACCAGCGACTAGCTCTTCACTGGCTCAATGAGAACATCGGTAAGATCGACAATGGTGTTTTCGGCGTCGGCGTGGTATGTGCTAACGAACCGACCAGGTGCTTTCGGCGGCGATCCTTCCAAAGTAACAATTTGGGGCGAATCTGCAGGAGCAGGCTCAGTGGGGTGGCATTTGACGGCATACAACGGACGTGACGATGGCATCTTCCGCGCTGGTATCATGGAGTCTGGTAATCCTGTCAACTACAATAGCTACCGGACGGTCCAACAATATCAGCCAATCTACGACAGCATTGTGAACGCAACAAACTGCTCTGCAGCCATCGATACTCTGAATTGTCTACGTTCCGCTCCATTCGCCACATTAAACAACCTTTTTAACCTCACTGGCGGTGGTGGTTTCAACCCCATCGTCGATGGCGACTTCATCCAGAAGTGGTCCAGCATTCAGCTCGCCGAGGGCGATTTTGTCAAGGTCCCGATTATCGATGGCGCAAACACAGACGAAGGCACTGCATTCGGACCACAAGGCGTGAACAACACCGCCGACTTCGTCAATTTTGCTACCCGCAGCACTGCGCAGGTAACTCTCCCATCTGCATTCGTGCCAGAGCTTCTCGAGGCCTATGCCGATATCTGTGATAACTTCGTGCCACCACCAACCGAGCTGTCGTGCAATTACACTTACTCCCTGCCGCAAGGCGCAGATTATCGTCGCAGTGCGGGATACTTCGGCGATGTAGTCATGATTGCCAATCGCCGCGGCGCCGTCGAGACCTGGACCGCTAATGGCGTTCCCGCCTACAGCTACCGCTTCAACACTCGCCCGGCAGGTCTGCCATTCACTGTCGGTGTCACTCACTTTCAGGAAGTGGCCTTCGTGTTCAACAATACCAACGGCCTCGGCTACGATGCCCAGCACGGCACAATCAACCCCTTCACCAACAAGACGATCGAATTCTACCAGCTATCACAACTCATGAGTTCAAGCTGGGCATCTTTCATTCACGATCTCAACCCCAATGGCTACACTGGTCGCCCCGCTAGTTCGCCGGATTGGCCGCTCTACGATAACAGCAATCCGCAGAATATTGTTTTCGACGCTAATGTCACTGAGCTTGTATACGCTGAGCCCGACACCTTCAGGAAGGCTGGTATCCAGTTCATATTGGATCACGCTCTCGCCTACCACAGATAGGGCGCTCAGATATAAAACCAGGCATATTATCATGAAGTTAACAAAAGCAAAACGAGGTATGATTCGGTTGTATAGGGAGACATGTTGTCATGGTGCGATACATGTATCCTGAACATATCTATATCTACACTTCTGCATTCCTCCTCGTAACCTACCATGCTCTGAATATGCCGAAACTATACACTACTGACACCGCACTTCCTCAAAGTCTCCCTAGCTGTTGTGACCTTCAGGCCGACTCGCGCCTCAAGCTCATAGCTCTCCGACTTCTCCACCTTTGCGATCTCATCACTACATTTCTGCAGGATGACTTTATCGCCATGCTGGCCCCTCGCTTCATCCCAATAGCACACAGCCATCTCGTAGTGGCCGACAGGAATTGACCAGACATCGGCATTGTCGCAAGCCTTGAGTTGCAGCAAATCGTGGGATAGCACACCCTCAGACAGCATTGCTTTAGCCTCCGGCACACGATGCAGGAATCGAAGACAAGTTGCTTTCAGCAAGGCCTGGAGTGCTTTCTCATCGGCAAGTTCCTGCGCCCATCGAGGATTGAGACTGAGGTCTTCCGACCACTCCAAATTCTGCAAATGCTTGAGCAACTGCTTCTCGTTCATGCGCTTGAACCCAGACCAGAAGTAGGCCATCTCCGCCACTGGGCTCACGCCGACAGCATCAACGAATTTACAGCCTTGCGTCTTCGTCCGATGATCCCATTTCTTGAGCTTTCTGATCACGAAGACGTCAAAGGGGAGCTGTCTGCCCATGAATCCTTTCTTGCCGACATTCGAGTACACCTTGTGTAAGTTCTCCTCGGCCTGCTCGGCATAGGCCGCCGCCGCTTTCGGATCGTTGACCTTGTGCGCACGATACAGCTCGACGTAGCATACCCCCGCAATATAGTAGTAGAGAGCATGAGACCAGCTGTTCAAGCCCACACACTCGATAAAGCCCGTCGCACATTCCTCATACCGATGCAAGTACATGCAGTTCAGACTTCTCTCGAATCTTCTCAGCGCCTCAATCTGCTTCAGGCCACCAGGCGTGGCGTCGTTGGTGATCGCAATAGCTTGCTCGAGATTCTTCTCGGCACCAAGCATGCGTGCCTCCTCCAATAGCCACAACTTCGACCTAGGGTAGAGCTGTCGCATTTCCTGGAGAAGATTCTTTAGACGAGCCTCGGGTACTGCATCGTCCATGAGGATATCACAAAATGCTATCGCGCCATTGTAGAAGCCTAATGTTATGAGGCCAGCCATGGCGCCGTTGATATTCTGCTTGAATTTTGTCGCAGACCACAGCATGCGTAGTCCTGCTTCTCGGTCGCCGCGGAACGAGAAGATTGATAACAGCTTTGCAAAAGCCGGTGGTACCATTGAAAGCAGTAGTTGAAGGAGGCCAAAACAAAGCGCAACGCCAGAATGGATGAAGAGATCGATTGGATCCGTTGTGATCGATCGGAAGTCAACGTCGGCATCTGCTTGCGCAAAGGCAGTGGCTGTAGTGGCGCCGGCCCCAGTTGTGGGCGCTGATGATCCTATACCACCGTTTGGCTTGCTCGACATGTCGTCCAGCGTAAGCTTTTCGAGGTCCGTCTCAGTCAGCTCGCCATTGTGCCTGTGGGTCGTCGTGCCGTCCTCTGCATCCACAAAAGCACCCTCGTCGTCACTATCGGAGAGGTTCGCTGGTGTCAGGACGCCCGACCCTTCTGTTGGTGTCTGCAAGCCCGTCGACGACAACTTATCTGTGGAAGACACAATCGATGTCTGTGAAGTAGCGTTGCTCCTTCCAATACTCCTCAAGTACTTCTGCTCGGCCTCACTGAGCTCGTACAACGTGGCAAATGCCTTCCGCAGTTTATAGAATCCTCGCAGACTCTCCGTCAAGCTCTCGTTCAACACACCGATAACGGCAGCCATAAGCTGGCTTTCAGCATGACATAGGGCATATTCTGCTCCAGCTGGGTAGATGGCGCTCTGGTGTGCTGTGCTACGGTCCTTGATCGCTCGCCGCTGATGTTCAGTTGCTGCCTCTTCTGCTTCAGCGATTCGTGCTCCAGCCTGTTCCATCACCTCCTTCTCGAATCCCAAAGTAGCTCGTAGGAAGACAGCCGTTGATAAGCCGAGCTGGTGAGAACATTATCCGTCAGCAAGGCGTCGAGGCAGCATTTCCAGCTGTGTCCGTATATCTCACTTTGTGGAAAGGCGATGTCCCTTTGCTTAACTCTGCTTCTGCTCGTTCCATGTCTGTCGTCTCATCAGCACGTGCTCTTCCTGTCCAAGTCGTGCGCTCGGAGTACCATACCATCATTCATGATATGGCTGGCCGCAGCCATGGCCTCGTGTACTATGCTCCATCAGCAACTCCATTGATAATATCAAACACTCAGAATGGCCCTACAGGCATGAGGCTCATCAATGGCCGTGAGGCTCCTACTGGCAGCACTCCCGGCCTTGGTGCCAAAAACGCCACCCAATGCTCGTCTCATGTTCGCACAGATCGAGAGCAATGTGTACGCCAAGTGGCACAGGAAGTGGTCTAGTCCGTGGCGAGAAAGTACTTATTGTTTCATGGCGATCTTTCAAGGTACCAAGTACCAAAAAAGACATATAGTAGTGACGCCAGCTATGGCGGGCATGACGCCGCGGTCACTACTGCAGTCTCGGGCTACTGATCGAAGGAGGATCGGGATGGGAAGCCGCTGCGATGATGCAGTTGCACAGCCCAGGTGGATCTCGGAAACGGACATCACGATTGCCCGCGATTTGACGGACTTAGGTAAGCTTCAATCAAATTGTGGTTGACCAAGCTACTTCAGCTTGACAGGGCAAGGTGTGCGAGTGTATACTCTACCCTTCAATAATCTATCCTTCGCTCTCAACCCCTCGTAATAGTAATGTCAACGTATCTCGCGACTACGATCAAGCACCTGTGCTCGTGAGGTGAAACGGATCAGGTCAAGCCTTCCTTGTTCTCTCACGATGATAGCACAAAGTCTGTCGAGCACCAAGTCCGTCGAACTGCGCAAGTATCATCAGTATCACCCAGCACAACCATGACATCGCATAGGAGCGGCAAGATGGCAGCAGCTCAGACTTGCCTTTACCAAATCATCGATGGCACGCCATATCAGACGCACAACCACCACCATCAGAGAATGGCGGGTTGCATCGTCAGATCATAGCAAGCATCTCATAAGTATCTGAGCCTGAAGAACGAGTTCCTCAATCTCGTCATCATAGCCGATTGCCAGGAGAAGGAGATTGAAAGCGGCTCACCTTCAATTCTGGGAGCGATGATCATGACAGCAATGTCGTGCCTTTGGTCTTGCCCGTCTCCATCTTGGCTGTACGTGCGCCAAACTGGATCTGTCCACTTTTTAGCTCCTACAGATCATGGCAATTGATCAATTGAGCACTTACAGCACGCTTCTTCTCCTTCGCCACGCCCTTCATTCCAAGCTTCCACGCCAAGCACCGAAGCACTTTCTTACCCGGCTCAAGAAGCTCACTCCCGTCGTTTGGCGTCTCAGGGAGAGTCTCGCCGAAGCCGCACTTCTCATTAACCGGCACACTCATGGCCCAAGCAAGCACTTGCTCATCAAGATATGGAAATCTTGCTTCCCTACCCCAGTGACTGATCACACGATCGTCTCGTCCTAGATTTCGTTTGCCAAGTCGTCCGATGTCAAGGCTTAGTTCATCAAGTAGACCCTCGTAGCCTTTGCGTGCGAACGCTGTTGCATGTCTTTGGTAGCCACCAAAAAGCTCGTCTGCGCCTAGTCCGTTGAGCAGGACTCGTGCGGAAGTAGTGTATGGCTCTAGCACGTCGGGTGTCGGGGACAAGAAGCCTTGACCACGTGATGCAAAGTATAACGCACATGAGATGCTGAGGTCCATTTCCGTGTTGTGCGGATGCATTAGTGTGATGACCTGGTCGCGGTGGTCTAGAGTCTGTACGTATGGTACATTGATCGCCACGAAGTTCCAGTGTCGTTCCGGGCACACTTCCTGCAGCTCTTTGTACGACGCGCACCCGGTGATTCGATCCGGACAGAGTTCGTATGCACTCTCAGTATGTGGTTTGTGCACGCGAGGATTCTCGAATGCCACGTTGAGAAGGTCTACGATCTCATCCATTGGTAAGATATCGTGAGCTAGTCGAGCGAGCACGGTACAGTCAAGTCCGCCGGAAAATAGTATTGCAAGCCTCGTTCGTGGTGAGCTCGCTTCGCCCGATTGCAAGCATGGTGGCACTGGGATGCTGTCAATTCGCACGGCCAATGCTCGACGAAGCAGCTTTTGCAAGTGCTCCACGGCCTGCGACTTTGCGTTGAGACAATGGTCTTGTGCTGGCAGGTCCAGGTTCAAAGAAAGCTTTGGAATCACCTACCTTACCATGAGCACAGAAGCTCACCTGGCCATTGATAGAGACCTACCGTCTTGGAATCGTCAGTGACTTCCCGCGGTTCGCACGAGCTATAAGCAGCGAATGATACGGCCTCCTCCATTCTATTGCCAGCATTCTTTGCTTGTAAAAGGTCTAGACAGTAGACGCCGTCGGTGCCAATTTCTTGCCAGGAAGTGTTGGGTGTACCAGCAGTGACGCTGCATAGCAGCCAGTTTCCCATTTCAGTACATCCACTGAGTAAAGAACGTCGGCCTAGGAAGTCGCGGCCATAGAAGAGTAAGTTATTCGCCGCATCGTGGAAGACGAAAGCATATGGTCCAGCGATTTGAGACAAAGCTGATGCTAGATTTCTAGCCCGCGCGATGATTGCTTCGCCACGACTCGGTGCCTCATTTTGCTCACCGGCAATATTCTCTAGCAGCCTTGCCACGGCCAGAGTGTCGTTGCCGGAAGTCGGGAGTCCCGCAATACTCCAGGCTTCACCGTTCCAGCATAGCGCAGACCCGGACGTTCCAACAGATATAGGTTGGTGCACGGTATGATCACCTCGCAGCGATAGTACCGTGGCGTGTAGCGAGACGTGAGGTCCATGCTCTCCGTGGGAAGCTTTGTGTTGTCCGGTACTGTCAGGTCCGCGCTGTTGAAGTTGCTGCTCCAGCTCAGGCGATGGCCGAATATGTTGACTGTCGCTGATGGCGGCAAAGATGCCGCACATAATATCTTTGAGAGTTTGAGTGTTTAAGAAGTGAATGCAGGTTGATGGTGCACGAGCCCAGTGTTGTGTCTCAGGAAAAATGCACATCTCTTAGCGTGCTGGCACAGGCAGCCAATCGATCTCCAAGTTGCCCATGCGGCTCTGCCGATACATTCGCAAGCTCTCGTGCCTGCCGCAAGCAACGAATCACCAATACAATACCCAACGCAAATCTTCAACGACTCTAGGACCACCAACATGTCAGGGGCAGCACAGAGCACCGCAAGCACGACAAAGCTGCAAGACAACAACCAAGATCAAGCCAAAACACAAACAGCACAACCACAGAAGCCCGCTGCGCAATTAGAAGAGGATGATGAGTTTGAAGACTTTCCTGTAGAAGGTGGGATCACGTTGTATGCCTGGTGGGATACGAACGCCGAGGGCTGACGAATCAAATCCAATAGACTGGGCAAAAGAAGAGGAAGTGGGCGCACAACAAACCAACACACATCTATGGGAAGAGAGCTGGGACGACGACGACACGAACGATGATTTCTCTGTGCAGCTGAAGTGAGTGCTGTTACACCTGAGCAGTTTCGGATGGCTATACTAACGACAGCATAGGGAGGAACTGAAGAAGATGGAAGGGCAGAGGAAAGGCTAGGAGCCATCCATCTCTTGATCCAAGAACACGAGAGCCGACGGGAACCATACCACATCATGAAGCATAAGCGACGGCATCCGGCGTAACCTCGTCACGAGCAGGCGAGCTCAACGAGAAGGACTGGAGACGAGGTAGATGAGGCGGCAACGTGCTTTCGATACAGCATGATTATCATCAATCATGAAAAGAACTCATCTAACTACATTCTCGCTTTCAAGCCTTGTCCTACATCAGACTACCTTGCGCGAATTTTCAGCCATCAAAGTAATCTACTTACTCGACAGAGCAGCCACACCAGGCAACTCCTTCCCCTCCAACAACTCCAGACTCGCACCGCCACCCGTAGAGACATGGCTCAGCTTGTCCTCCACACCATAATTCGCCGCCACGGTCGCCGTATCTCCACCACCAATAATCACAATCTTCCCACTTTGCGCAGCACTAACCGCATAATCCATCGTCTTCCTCGTTCCATTAGCAAACTTCTCCATCTCAAACACTCCAGGAGGCCCATTCCACAGGATGGTCTTGGCGTCATCAATAGCCTCCTTGTACAACTTCAGACTCTCCTCACCGCAATCTAGCGCCATCCAGCCGTCAGGGATGCCGTCCTTGTCCGTGGCATACCCAGTCTTGGCATCCTTGTCAAATTTATCCGCGGTGATATAGTCGTTAGGAAGGGTAAGCTTGACATTATTCTTCTTCGCCTTCTCCACCAACTCTGCCACCTTCTTGCTCCCCGCCTCATCGAACAACGAGTTCCCTATCTTGACATTCTCCAGCGTCTTCTTGAACGTAAAGGCCATACCGCCGCAGATGATCAGGCTGTTGACTTTATCGAGTAGGTTCTCAATGAGCTGGATCTTATCGCTGACTTTAGCGCCGCCGAGGATAGCGAGGAAAGGTCTTTGAGGGTTCTCGAGCGCTTTAGCGAAGTATTCTAGTTCCTTCTTTACGAGGAAACCAGAGGCTTTTTGTGGGAGTTCAACGCCGACCATGCTGCTGTGGGCGCGGTGAGCGGTGCCGAAGGCGTCGTTGATGTAGACATCTCCTAAAGCTGTGAGCTGTTTGCGGAATTGCTCAACCTTGCTCTTGTCGGCTTTAGTCTTGTTGCCATCCTTGTCCTTGCTGCTACCCTCTTCTTCGATGTGGAAGCGGAGGTTCTCGAGGAGGACTACGCCACCGTCTTTAGTGTCGTTGACTGTCTTCTCAACTTCCGGACCCACGCAGTCGTCGGTGAAGGTCACATGCCTGCCTAGGAGCTTCTCAAGCTCGGCCTTGACAGGCTTCAGGCTGTACTTGGGATTGGGCTTGCCGTCTGGGCGACCGAGGTGGGACATGAGGATGACTGCCTTGGCGCCATGTTCGATGGCGTATTTGATTGTGGGAAGGGCGCCGACGATACGCTGGTTGTTTGTGATCTTGGAGTTGGTCTCCTTGTCCAATGGCACGTTGAAGTCGACTCGGACAAGCACGCGCTTGCCCTTGAGGTCTACGTCATTGATGGAGAGTTTGTTGGAGAGAGACATGCTGGGTGGATATTTTTGTGAGGAATGGCTTGGAATCTCGTATGTGGTATTGCGGTAGAGTGCTTCTTTCGAGTTCTGTAGTAAACAAAAAGTGAGCTCTTGCCTGTCTCTGCCCCGCCATCGGAAAGTGACGATGATTTTGGTGGGGTCATCCTTTGCGTTGAATCGTGGCGGTCCGATACATTTGATCGTTCGGACAACAACATCCAATGGCATAGTGCAGCACTAATGAAGAACGTACCGTACTCTTTGGCGTCTTTGCTCATGGATATGAACATCAGCCAGCCCATCGTGATGTTCCCAATGTCTTCCGCAAGACCTCCCCACGTCATAGGACAGATATACGCTGTGTATAACAGACAAGCCAGAGCCAGGAGATACAGTGGGGCGACAGGGCGATAGCATCTGCTGATCCATCCAGAATAGTCCCAGGAAATTAGGCATGCCCACAGCAGACACGCAAGCAACATGTGGGAAAAATGGTTGAAGCGAATTGCAAGTTGCATTATCTGCGACGACTGTTCCGGACACGTCTTGAGTGATTCATGTGATGGTCGGCTGTATTGTTCTATGTCGTTAACCGTGTTGTCGTGGAGGAGACGCATGCGAAGTGAGGCAGCGTAGGGCAAGCAGGACAAAATCCAGTCGCGAGTGCTATGGAGGGAGGCGAAGTATAATGCAAGTGCAACTCTGGGAACGAATAACCCTCATATGGACGGAAGTCATGTCCCATAGGCAAAGCAAACGAACTTCGGGCCTTCGAGGTATGGTTTCGGTGCGTGTGCTTATCAGAAGGATTAAAATAGGGTTTGGGATGGGCTGCCTTGACTTCAATGCTCACGATACGCTTTCGAAGCGGCAGGTGAATTTGACCTAGACAACCATGTCAATGCGCCCTCGCGCCATACTCCGCGCTTCATGTCCAAACTCAGGGCGCCTGCCCGTCCCGGATCCTGTCGAGTGTTCGCCATGCGCCTAGGAAGGATTCCCAAAGTTGCTATGTCGCGTCCTGCCCGCCTCTCTAAGGTGAAGCCAGACCGATGCTTTCGTCCTCTGCAGAATTCGTCAAAGAAAGGTACGCAGTCCACGCAATACCAATGGTCGACACAAAGGGCTATTCAACAGTCAGCAAGGGGTCCAACATCCTCAAACGTATCTCCTCACTCACAATCTGAAATTGTATAGGTATCAACCTGAAATTGATGACCTGCACAAGTGGCCATACCAAAAAATTGGCCTTCAACGCCGGCAGGTACACATCCTGGAACTTCTTCGCAACAGCCCTCCTCCCTCCCCCTTCAGCCACAGTCATAAACGTAAAGAAACACGCCAACCCCACAGGTGCAAACAACAACTGATCAAAAGCCACTCTCTTCAACGCCTGTAACCCCGCACCCGACACGCCCGCTTTTATCGGAAAAGTGTTACTCAGGAACGCGAACCACTTGTGTTGCAACGGCGTCATGATGAAGGGGTATGCCATGAATCGCACCATGCGCTCGAAGTCGAAGGGTGGTGGGGCGAGGCGTTGGGAGGGCGAGTCGGGCCAGGGAACTTTGCGATCCATGTCTTGGATCTCGATGGAGAAGAAGTCGTCTTTGTGGCCAGGTTCGGGGTCAGATTGTCGTTGGGCTTGACGGCGGCGGAAGGCGGTGAGGGTTTGAGCGGTGGTGTCTGCTATGCCTCCCAGAACCTGTACGTTCGTTAGTCGTGGGATTTCGATAAGGGGCTGAAGGTGTTCGTACGGCATTGGTTATCATGGTCGTGAAGACTGGTCTATTCGCATAGTAGGCGTTGAATTTCCGCACCAGTATCGACACCATGGTGATTTGTATGAGGGCGATTATGGCATGAAGCAGAGGCTGTCACCGAGTGATGGCGATTAGCATATGATACTCCTAGGTCGCGTGCTCTCTCGGTATGCGCAGAAGACCTCAAGCCAAGGAAATTGCGTGCGCCCTTGTCCATCAAGTCCAGCAGGGTATGCTTACATATCGTCCATAGATGTATCGGCTATTCAGCTGTCTCAATAGCCTCTTCCTCGTCTCATTGACCACCATCTTCAATGGGGTTGTACAGGGAGTTTCGGCCGTTCAAGGGCAAGAGTATGTGGTGTCGTCACCTGTCGCTGCTCGTGCAGGTTGCGTGTCCGTGCGGTGTTCCGGATGGTCTGCCCAACTCTCTGCTGTCCGCTACTACGCTATGCGAAGTCGAGTCCTCAATCTGTACAGTGAAGCAGTGTTGCTCTTCTAGAGTCGCCAATAATGCAGGCGCCTCTACGCTGGAGCATGGGGTGCACCTGCACCTGCACCTGCACTGCGCCACCGAGGCATGCAAGATCTACGTTTGGGGCTGCCGGCTTCCGCTGCAGGCTAGGATCATCACACGAGTCACGATCTACATTTGCAACTATTTGAACCAGGTTTTGATTTACGATATTTACGAGATAACAGGGGACAACCTGTTAGTATTACGGGGTGGTCATGCTTTGAATCGCCTCCTGATAGACACTATGATATGTCTCGGCTTATAAACATTACATACGTGCAACACCATGGTATCATCCGCTCAATGCAAGACAGGCATCAACAGCCCTACCAACATTACCTTCTTGCGCTCTGGTCACGTCTTCGATAACCTCAGCGTCAAGATTAGGAAACATGCTACGGAGGGTCCTGCATGACTATTAGCAAAGCCTCAAGTAATGCTGAGTGGCGACACCATACTCAACCACAACTTTGTGCTCCCTGGCACGTACCCGTTGTGCCTCTGCGGCTTCAGCATTTGCCTGCTGTACCGCCGGATCCTGAACTATTCGTTGCTGACCTGGCTGTCTCGATGACGACCGCTTTGCATGCTCCGTACTGGGTCTCCGAGGTAGTTCGGGAGCAGGACTCAGCCTTCTTGGTGACGAGCCAGGTTGCGACGTACTCGCTGGCTTGAGAGTAGCTTGACTCTGTCCACCATCATCTGAGAAAATCCGCCCAATACTGCTCAAGGGCTTCTGTATTGTGCGAAGCAGGCCAGAAACAGCATCAAGGTCGTCATCTTCGCTTACAGGACTCTGCGGTGCTGGTTGACTTCTCTCGCTGAGCCGTTGATTACCGTTTCGCCGTGGGCTTGATTGCTCGGCGTCCATACTATTGTTGGGCGTGACTTCGGCTCGACTGAGCGCGCTCTTCTCGCTCAAGTGCTGCAGTGCCCGGACAGAGGCAGCATGGCTCTTCTCCTCATATTCTTGTTCCTTGTTCTCCTCTGCGATAGCACTAACAGCATGTTCCACATTCCTTTCGAATTCCTCGTCCGAGATAGTAATGGTGGTGCGATCCAGATTTTCGATGAAGGTCACCACGCCCATCAAGGACGACATGTAGTACCCAGCCTCGCCACCCAATTTGTCTTGGTTCCGAAAGCGCCAGATATACTGCACATTACTGACAAGACTCTCCGGTCGAGCTCTCAGTACGGTGTATATGAGCAGTGGAATGAATGCATCTGCAGATTGGTCCGCCTTCGCACTTTTCAACAAGCCGAATATGACCTTACAACAGTTCAGCACACAGATGACCTTGTCTCTGGGTGCTCGGTAACTGTTGATCTTCAGCAGTTCCTGCTGCGCCAGGCCCAGGAACTTCTTGCCCTTATCGCCAATGGGCTTGATATCGAGATGTTCCTCGCTAATCCAGCCGTATATCCGGATCTTCTGTGCGATGACTCCGTCCCGCTCTACATCCTCCTGATGTTGGCCTCTCCGCCCAGGGCCGTGCGGATTTGCTGCATCTGCTTGAGATCTAGCACTCTTGCTTTTGCGCGGACTGCCTGGGGCAGCAGGAATAGCTGGTGAGAATGTCTGTGAATATAGTCTATTCATGACCAGCTTCTCCATTCCTTCTTTCGCATTGTCAAACTCGTCATCCGAGACCGTCCGCCAGACTTCGCATTGTGCCATCTTCTTTGAGATGAACTCAAGAAAGTCGGAAATAAACTTGACTTGTTCGTGTACCATCCACCGTTTCTTCGCAAATTCTCCCAGGAAAGAGCGTAGGAAGCCAGCTACAGGATCTGCAGTCCGGTGTCTCAATTGCTCAAGGAAGCGATGGAAGTCGAAAGGGAGACTCGTCTCGGGTTCTGGTGAAGGTGGTGGTGGTTGGAATAGCGATCCAGATTTCATGCTAATTAGTGACTCGTTGTCATCGTGAACGGCTGGGCCCGAATTGCCATACTGATTGCTATTCTGGTCCATACTGTGCTGTGACGATATGCTCTGGCCAGTGGTCTGTTGACTTAGATTCTGTTCTAGGCTTGACGTCCGTGGTGGCAAGACCAGTATTGGTTGTTGTCGTTCTAGTCGAGGTGACATGATCTCCTGTTCACCCGCAGCACCATTGCCGTCCGCGAACTGATCCATAATGGTCTGTATCTCGAGCTTCATGGGTTCGAGTGCGCCTTGAGGTGCCTCAGGCACATCAGACGATGTCTCGTCGATCGGAGGATGTTTCTCATCGTACTCTGGCTCAGCCTCTGCGGCAGCTTTACCCTTGTCCTTCGCCGGAGGAGGCGGATGTGGTGGAGTCGCTGGTAAAGATTCCTTGTCTACGACTCGCTGCTCAACGTCTATCTTTATATTTGCTTGTTGTTCATCCAGATGCATCTCTGAGGCACGCCTAGCGAGATGCTCACTTGCTTCCTGCTGTATTTGTTCGGAACTCCGACTCTCACCTGTATTGCTCTTGACATCCTTGCCAGCCTCGATCTCTGCGTACTCGGCACCATTCTTCGCATACGCCTCAGGATGCGTGACCGTAGAATCTACTCCAGTGGTTGCGGGTGCCTTCTCTGCGTCCTGGTTCGTGTCCGAAGTAACGGCATCATCCACGCCTTTGCCCGCAGGCGGATTCCTCAATCCCTCTGTAGCCTTCAGGACGGGGTCGACTACACCATGCACAACTTCATTCTGCTTCTGGCTTGTTTGCTCTTCTATCACGCTTGGTTCGGACATAGACAACACTTCTTAGCCGTGATTGTATCAAGGTAGCGTTTGTGAAGACCTGCATTCCGCTGTTGTATGCGACAGAGCTACAGCGTCTTTTTATTATCGTAGTGTACTAAATGTGGTCGGAGACCGGCATGCATAGTTACGTCGCCAGCATGTGGCACATGGCAAAAGCGTTACTTCGGTATCGGGCCGGCACGAGAAATAAGCTTACGCGTGCGCCATCGACCTGCCAAGTATCCTGACGTTGCTCTAAATAGCTAACACGACATCTCTCGACAGATCACCGCGTTCAAAGCCCGATCTGGTACTCTCAAGCTATACGGTGATGCTGATATCAGCCGCTTGGCTCGAAATCTAGGTCGGACAAGCATGCCTCGACGATGACGGCGACCCTGTTGAGCAGCGAGCTCACAAACCTGATATCTGAGTCGAAACGCAAGAACACCGACCTAAGAAATGCTGCGGAAAAGAGCCTCCAAGAGCTAAAGTCGCTGCCGGCAACATCGGAACAACAGCTCGCTGCTGGTGAGGACCATGTATCTTACTATAGTCTTCCAGACGCTGATTAACAAAAGATCTCAGTAGACGGTCCAGCTTCATTGACCCATTCTTGATAGCATGCGAGACTGTAAACGTCAAACTTGCTAGCAGCGGCGTTACGTGTCTCCAGAAACTCGTCATCTCGAGAGGCTTGCCCAAAACCCGGCTACAGGAGACACTAGATGCGTTCAATGCCTGTGCCAATCTTGGTCTAGAAATTCAGCTGAAGATACTCCAGGCTCTCCCTTCGCTTATTCAGAACTATGCCACCGAGCTAAGGGACGAGCTCCTTGCTGGTGCACTGCAGCTATGTGCTTCATTGCAATCTGCCAAGGCTCAGACGGTCAGTGGCGTCGCCGCCGCTACGCTCCAGCAGCTGGTAAGTGCTGTATTCGAGAAAGTCGTGGACGAGGATCGCAAAGCAGGAAGCATAAGTACCACTCACGAAGTACCTGGAGAGGAAGGACCAATTGCACTTCGACCCGCGGCGTACGATGCCTATCGCATGTTTCGTGATCTGGTCCTAGCTGCAGAAGATCGCCCTACCAAATTCGTGCAGCTCACGTCCTTGTCGCCTGGTTCGAGTCTCGAGCTTATATCGTCAGCTTTGAACGCTAATGCACGTCTGTTCGTGTTCCACTCGGAACTGAGTAGTGTCATCAGCTCGAATCTCCTACCGGCTGTCACGCGGCCACTATCTGAGAAGGCGTCGTTCGGGCTGACGATACGTGCTCTTCGTCTGATCGATACGCTATTGTCAAGATACTTCTCCCGATTTCTGGATGAATTTGAAGTAGCGTTAGGGCTTCTCACTCACCATCTTGAGCTCGATCCCGCTGCGCCATGGAAACGAGTAGCTGCTATGGAAGTTCTTCGCAACTTTTTGAGCCGCGGAAACGCAGTCATAGACGCATATGCTGCATATGATGGGTCTGAGACCGGGAAGTCGATTGTACAAGATCTGCTATCCTCATTTGTGCGATTATCGGCTGAAAAGCCCGCAGCCATTGGGCTAGGTCAACAATCTAGCGTGCCCGCTGGTAGCCGAGACAACGGTGACCCAGCAGTGGAGCAGACAACCCTCGAGGCCGCAACTGGCATGGCTGGAGTGATTAGCTCGGTCCTTGGTGTTGCAGAGGCCAACGTACCTGGGATCAGTCCTGCCTGGAGCATTCCTAAAACCGCATGCTTGGATCAATTAGACAAGACAGAAGCTCCGGCACTACCGGAAACATACATATATGCCATGGTTCTAGATTGCGTGAACAGTATCTCTGACAGCTTAGCTCGAGTCGTACTGCCGCTTACAGTTCAGCATGAGAAGCCAGAGGACGCATCTGCTGAGACTCCATCAGATAGCAGAGATTCGATCAAGCGGCCAGTCAACATGCCCAGGTCGCAATCGTTTCGCAAGCGTGCTGTGCCCGTGAACCCGTTGACACCCGAGAATGGAGCTGTCACGGATCGACTACGTGCAGTGGCTGGGCTCGTCGAGCATTGCTGGCCTGCATTTCTAGCCACTTCTTCCACATTTCTCAACGCAACGCTAGAAGAGCAGTACTATCGCAATCTCATCAAGGGACATCAGCGCTTTGCACAGGTGGCTGGTCTACTGAGATTGACCACGCCACGAGACGCTCTCATGACCACATTAAGCAAGTCCGCCGTACCACCTCATGTCCTCAATGCTGCCATGATGGAGAGCACCAAACCTTCCTCCACCTCGGTACCTGAAAGCCCTCGGATCTTCTCCAATCCCAGAAATCTGCTCAGTGTCGAAAGTCTTGTCAGTCAAGCATCGTCGCTGACAATGGATCGCGAACGACGCTCTTCTATCGAACCTGCACGACCCATGCTATCGACCCGGAATCTTCTGTGCTTGAGGGCTTTATTGAATCTTGCGATTGCGCTTGGTCCAACCCTTGACAAGGCCTTTGCAGTAATTGTGGATGTGCTACGGCAAGCAGACATGATCCTTAGCTCCACAATATCACAGCATCTCCTTCGTCAAGGTGCTTCTAAGAAGGGCGACGATGCTCCTTCTGCTGTCCGTACATTCAGTTCAGAAGTGGCTGCGGTCGAATCTGCTGCCTCGCGCCTGCTTGAGAGCACCGCTGATTATCCCAACGATGCTTTCTTGTCCGTGCTCCATGCTTTCATCCGCCTACTTGGCACGAGGCCTCTGGAAGCGCCTTCCTCACCGATTACGGAAAGTGTCTCGCCACCTACTACACCCACGTTGCGACAAAGGAACTATTCTGGTTTACCTGGTATAAGCACTCTCGCCGAAATGCAGGCCAGGGACTATCAATTTGTGATACCGAAACTTGGCGTACTTGGCCGCATGAATATCTCACGCTTCGTGGTGTACGATCCTGCAGACAGTGGTTGGTCTCTTGTCGTCGATGAACTTGTGCAGATTGCGTGCGGTGCTTTGAACCCAAGAGAAGCTCGACGAGCAGCAGCCAGCGTACTGTGCGAGATGATGGCCGAGTGCATCATAACCGCATTTGACGAAGATACCAAGCATCGGTCTGTTGTGCAGCGCCGCGCTTTTGTGGTTATGCTCGAGATGATTAACGGCATATATGCTGATGATGGAGAGCCCACCAATACAGATGTTGAAGTGCACAGTCATGTGCTGGAAGCCCTAACACAAGTCTTAGACCGTTCTGGTGAGACTCTGGCCGCTGGGTGGCATACCATAATTGCAATTCTGAGCACAGCTTTCGAGCGCACTGAGTCCCGTCCATTCGTCTGTGAGCAAGACATGGGACTCGGCATTGAATGGCACTCTATCTCCAGCGAGCTCGTATCTGCTCACGTCGCTCGTGTTGCGTTCAGCGCCACGCAGCTCATTTGCTCTGACTTTTTAGCTGCTCTACCTTTGGCCGTCATGCCCTCTCTCTTGGAACTGCTCTACCGATATACTGCCCAAGAGGGAGATCTAAACATGGCGTTGACTACCGTGACGATGACTTTAGCGGTCGCCGGACATATCATTACGGATGGGGCAGCGGAGGAGATGGAAAGCTTGGCGTCGGATCTCGAAGACACCGATGATATGCTGGCAGATGTGGAGAATCATGCAACTGAACGCAAAGCTGCTCAGCTACTGCTGCTCATGCTCAGGCTACGAAATGTAGTACGGGACACAAAGAATGAGATTCGCAATGCAGCATACCAGACCGTGTGCAGCATTACCAAAAATGTTGGCACGACGGTGACACCCAAGGCATGGGACATGTTGCTGCGCCATATCTTTATGGTCATTGCAGCCAACGATATCCGGCTGTACGCAAGCGAAGACATTGACGCTGCAAGCCCATCAGCAGCCTGCGCCAAGAGCGACCACAACGTCTCTGCGCAGATTATGCAGGGCGTTGCGAATCTCGTAGTCCAGCATATCTCTGTGATCGAGCAGAGCAGAAGGCTACCAAGCCTGTGGGAGATCTTCTTGACTCGCCTCGAGGCATATCTCGATTGTGAGGACCACAGGCTCAACACTAGCGTATACACTGCGCTTGCAGGGATACTAGGCCAGGTAAGAGAAGGAGCAAGTGTCTGGACGACTCCTATCTATCGCACCATTGCGTTGTGGCTGAAGAGGCCACCGGAGCTCTCGGATGATGAGCAAGACAAGCAAGACAATCAAGCTTCGTTCGTCGCTTACATGGACACAGCAATTGAGCTTTATCGATTGGCTAAGGAAACCATTAGTGGGCCGCAGACTCGTAAGATGATTGATAATATCTTTCACTGCGTGGAGCGTTCCAACGGTCCGAGATACGCAGCCGATGTCAACTCTATGAGCACCTTGCAAACCAAGGCTATGCAGCTGCTCGACAATATCCGTGTGGGCCAGGATCAATTGTTATCGAGCCTGGTAGTCACCGCCTCCGAGATCTCACTCCTGCATCACAAAGGCGCGAGCTCGAACACGAACCACGGGCCTACTTTCATAGCCATCTCCAGTCATGCCATAGACTGGCTTGCCTCTCTCGTGCAACATCACGCAACGACTGATCTGGGGGACATCAACATGAGTGCCCTTAATCAGGCCGTGGGCGCACTGCAACACATGGTACATAGCAAATATGCAGTGCCGGCGAAGTGCAAAGATAAGTACCTTTGGCAACAAGCAACCACCACTGGCTTGAAGCTGGTAGAGCCTATACTACGAGTTGCACGTGATACGAGAGACATCAACTCAAGGAACGCTTTGTGGACAGAGACGATTCAGCTTGTAGCGGGCACAGTCAACGCTACAGGTCTCGATACCATGACAGAGCAGAAAGCCATCGAAGAAGATGAAGGTTCTGATATCGAGAGCTTTGAGAAGTGGAAGGGTATGCTTGTACCGTGCGTGGGCGATTCAACACTGGCCGTCGAGATCCGCAATTCTCTTGTGCGTGCGCTATTCGACGCCTCTATTATTCACAGAATCGAGCCAAGCGAGGTGCCAGATGCCTCCAGATCTCCGTTGGAAGGACTGCTTGAGCTCAGGCGACCGCGCGCGAGGCGTGTACCATTCTCACCACGCGAGCGTATGAGTTACGTCTGCTTCGATGAACTCATTGCGCTTGCAACTCGCCAAGAAGATACAACCGAGCACACAAATTTGGCACAAGCAGCCGCACCAATGCTTATTCTTCGACTGGCCGTGCCAATCCGAGCATATGTCATCGATCACCCGTTGCGAGGTCGGCGACCTCAACCTCTTTCCGAGCTAGAGGAACTGCTCTTCGCGTTTGGGAAGATCAAGACTATCAGATTGCATCCTCAAGCTTTGGCTGCAGACTCGGTCGCATCTCGAAAAAGTGGCCCAGATGCTCATGTGCAACTCCTGTACCCGCTTCTCGTGAAAGCTGTTGCAGTAGCAAGTAACAAGTGGTGTGGAGCGGAAGAAGTGCTGCTGCCACTGCAGTCTGTGCTGGAAGGTATCACCCCAGTGCCATGAGTGGCACTCTCCGAGCCAGTCAGTCAGTCCGTAAACTCCCAAACCATAATATGATCTTCGGACTTCATGGTGGCGTAGGCGCTGCCATCGAATGATGTAGCTATCATTGCGAACCAGTCATTGCTGCACACCTTCAATGCTGGAAGGAGGATACCGATAACGAAGCTCGAAGGTATGAAGCCGTGCCATCTCAGTGCAGACACGCCGGAGCTCTCCACTCCTGACATCTCGTGCTCACTGGCTAACGGTAGAGCTCTCACTGACCCGCTGGCCACAAGAGTCATCCATTCCAGCAGTGCTGTAGCCTCATCGAAGTCATGTTCATCTACGACGCCAGGCCGAGCCGGCATTGTGCGAGCTTTGGTATGGCTGATTTCAGCCTCGATGGCACGTATCGACGGTTGGTGGGACGAGATGGGACCGCTGAAGTCTCCTGGAGATTTCGAATTGTATATCAACCACGCGACGGAGCGGTTGAGCACATTGCGGCAAGCCCAGACCAGGCGATCGAAGCCAGGCTTGCCACTGACCATAGATGGTAGGCGCAGATTTACTTCGATAGCTATAGAGATCAGCTCAGCTTAGCTCAATGTAATTGGTACTAGATAGACCTACCATATCTTGATTTGACATGCTTTCTCCCTTGACTTGGTATTGCCGTTCCAGGCAGACCCGTACGCTCGAATGCCGGCCTGTCGACCTCGAGCCGGAGCACTCCTTCACACAACGAGTACATATGGTCTATGCCTGGTCGTCCTTCAGATAGCATGAGGATGTCGTCTTGGGAGTGTCAGCAAATGTTTCGTCGTGAGGTGCGAGACATGGAACTCACCACTTTTGATGTACGTGTTGAAGAAGTCGCCGTCAAGGATCTCACTGAGCTTCATATACACACGAGCATAGTGTAGATCGCCTGGTCCCTTCGTAAGTGCTGCATTGAGCTTGTCAAGGTGCGTATCAGGGACGATCAAGTCAAGCTGGCGAGTTGTTAGCAGGAGTGCTCTAGTCGCCGAGCATGCGGTGTCAGTGTACTGTGTGCGTAAAATTCTGCTTCACAACAGTTGCCAAAGGCTGTTTCTTGATGGGAGGGTGGTCATGATCAACGAAGGTCGGTAGATTGGCTTGCGTGAAGAAGCATTTTGGCTTAGGCCCATCACGTGTAAGGTGCATGCTTTCGCCTTCAAGATTGGTACTGATACATAAGCGTTTTGTTTCTCACAGTATTCAGTTCTCGCTCATTAGCGGCCTTTCACGCAGTTTTCTGCATCGAACTGTGAGAGGGAGCTGTTCGGCGGTCGAAGGAAGCAGGAATCGTACGTTTGGTTAAAGTCTAGGCTAAAAGTTTACTGGCTCGGGCACGAATATTCCATTAATCAGATTGACTGAATATCGCTCGATGATCACGTTATTCAGCTAATCATGAAATACAACGTGATCCAAGTAGACGCTGGTAGCCATTCCAACAACACCTTTGTATCCTTCTGGCGAACCTGCTACAATGCCACCCGCATAAGCATCGATTAACCTAGAAGAAGTCCTCAAGGAAGTCGGCATCGCGATCCTGATTACTTGAAGCTGCAATGGCGTCTTCGTCATGAATATCCTCATACATATGGTCCTTCTGCCACTTCATCTGAGCCCGCTCCTCCGCTAGCCGCTCCTCGTCCTTCTTCTGTACTCTTTGGTCAGTACTGGTCATGCAATATCAGGCTCGTCAAATCCCTTACCTTCTCTTGTGCGGCTATCCTCTCAGCCTTCCTCTCCTCTCGGTCCCTATCCATCCGCTCCTGCCTCAAGTCCGGATACTTCTCCACCTTGGTCTTATTCAAACGATTCACGATAGCGTTCTCACGCTTCTCGACATAGACTCGCTTCACCAGCTTGTTGTCCTTGAACCCAACCTGACCAGTAGCCATGTTGCCGCTCTTTTTGAGGTTGCTCCATGGCGTGTAGATGACTGTTACGTTGTCCTTCTTGTTGCCCTCGATGCTGTTGGCCTTGGTGAGCTGGCCGCAATCGTTGAGCAGCTCCGGGGAGATAGTCTTCCATTGATCTGGCGTTTGTGGAGGAGGTAGTCGCAGGTAGATATGCGCCGAGGAGAGATTGTCAGCGTGGAACCACACGTCTTCGGGCCATCCATGGGCGATCAGGTCCTTCGCTGGTCAGTAACCAGGGACGGCAGAAGCGTACAAGCGACAAACCTCATCTCTGCAAGTGTCAGCATTACGATCGTCCTGGTCAAGGGCAATCTCGCCTACTCTCAACTTTGTCTTTGCCCACGTAAATAAAGGCCGAGGGCTCCACGACGTTGCTGGTGTGATAGAACACCATCTTCAGATCTGACAAGTGCGTACTTGACGAGACGGCAAAGAAGCGTATTGGTGTGAAATCGCCTTAAGCTACCTAAATGTATGCCTGCACCACGACCTCCAAGATTATTAGATTTCAAGCTCGCATTACTAGCGCGAGTGCTTATTCATCCTTGGATATTATTATGAGCCCCCAACTCCCGCCATATAGAACTAAAGCGTTTGTCACTGCATACATGTAGCCGCCTGGCAGCATGACTTCGTCTGGACTGTTCTACTGGGCCACCGCGTTACTTTGTGTAGTCGTTGCCGCGCTAGCTAGCGATATCATGGGTTTCTTCTCCAGCGCCAACCACTTCGATGTGAAAGGAGGCGTAGGTCAGATTCATCCCAAGCAGGTCTTACATATTACTAACATAAAGCAGACTGTGATGGTCACGGGCGGGTCGCAAGGTATGGGCAAAGCAGTCGGGAGACTCTTGGCATCCAAAGGTGCGAATGTTGTCATCGTAGCACGCAATCAGCAGAAACTTGACGAGGCATTGAAGTACATCTCAGTATGTATCCTTCTGGTCACTATCATCTGCTTGTCCTCTGACACCTCATAGAGTGCAGCCGCGCGACCGTCCCAAAGGTTCCTTGCCATAAGCGCAGATGTCACCAGCGCAGAAGAGAACATTCGCATCATCAACGAGGTCACCGAGTGGAATGCCGGAAGTCCGCCAGATGTTGTCTGGGCGAATGCGGGCTTTGCGCGCCCTGCACTGTTCATCGAAACTTCGATAGAAGACCTTCGAAGCCAAATTGACATCAATTACCTTGCGGCCTGTTACCTCGCTCATGCAACCCTCAAATCATGGCTCCGACCTGCCAAATCGATTTCTGTATCCACGGCTGGACAGTCTCAAGCCGCTAGGCCCCGACATTTCATCATGACCTCCTCCACGGCCTGCTTTGTTGGTGTGGCAGGCTACGCGCCATACTCGCCTGCGAAGGCTGCACTACGCTCCTTGGCAGATACGCTCCGAAGTGAGGTGAATCTGTACAACGGCTATCGCCGCGCGCATCCGGACACTGGACCTCGAGCAGATGTGAACATCCATTGTGTACTACCAGGCGGGATCCAAACACCCGGAAATGAAAACGAGAACTTGACCAAGCATCCAGTCACTCACCTACTGGAAGAAGGCGACCCAGCTCAAACGGAGGACCGAGTCGCTGCTGTTGCCGTCAAGAGCCTGGAGAAAGGCGGCTACCTGATCACGACGCAGTGGCTTGGTCATGCTATGCGTGCCGGAGCGTTGAGTGGCAGTCCGAGGAACAACAGATTCATCGATACTGTTTTTGCCTGGGCGGTCAATGTCGCTTGGTTGCTCATTGGGCCAGATATGGAAAGCACCGTCTACAAGTATGGCAAGACGCATGGAGTAGATTTACCAGCTTGACCTGGACGGCTGAAGGTCTCGCGACGAGGTTTCACAAAGTGGATATTGATCTTCTGCTTTCCGTTAAAGGCGACTACCTACATATGCCGGCGTGTGAACCTCTCAACATGTAAGAGGTAGTCAGCAGAGGCAGCGAGACCGACGTAGATTGTCCGTGCTAAGAATATGCTGGTACAGGCCACGATAGAAACGTGGTTCAACGATGCAGGGTTTCACCCGCACCGGGCGGATCGCTGCTGTCGTCCATGTGGCAAGGACGGGTTGTGACAAGTACCGGGACACTATTGCGAGTCAGTAGCATTATTTTGATCAGGAACTCACTTCTTCCGAGGTCGATGTCCGTCTCGGTGGCCGCCTGCATTAACACCGAGTTGCGCGTCGAATCGACTAAGATTTTTGGTGGTGATGTCACCCGCGGCGTCGAAAGCTTAATTTTGTGCTCGGAGCCCGATTGCATTATTTGGTCTTTGGAAGGGCTCATCACGGCACCGGCAAGCATCTCGCCACCGTTTCTACCAAGCGCCCAACTATAGTACTGTTATGTGTAAGCTAAGTATGGTTAGAGTTTGTCAGTGACGACGGTGTTTTCTTTACTATGTAATGGCACAACAGCGTAGATGCCGCAGTATTGGTATACACATCTCATCTTTCATCCATCTCGATTTGCGCCATTGACGACCTATCCTGGGACGCTACCACTCTAAGGCCATAATTCATTGGACACTGGCACCGACATCGTATAGCATATCACCTTCCCAGGATCTGGTCTAGGACAAGCCCGTCGCCATGAGCCACGGCGAGAAGGATCTGGAGTCTGGCAAAGCGACACAGATTCCACATTTGAAGCAAGTCTTCGATCAAGCCGGCATCACTCCAGAAGTTGTGAATCACCACTATCATGGTTCTGGTACTGAGGACGATCCATACGTTGTCACATGGATTGACAACGACCCTCGCAACCCCATGAGGTATGGCGCAGTCAAGAAATGGAGCCTCACCATGCTTGTAGCATTTGCTACACTGGCCGTGGCTTTTGTGTCCAGCGCATTCTCTGGTGGTAGCAAGGAAGTCATTGAGGAGTTCCAATGCAGTCAGGAGGTCTTCACCCTCGGCCTGTCGTTGTTCGTTGTTGGCTTTGCGGTCGGTATGTGTCACCTTGAAAACGTGGACTCTTTCGTGCATGAGGCTGACAAAGGAGTAGGCCCACTGTTATGGGCACCGTTATCCGAGCTATTCGGCCGTCAAGTACTCTACGTGATAACCTACGGCGCACTTACGGCATTTAATGCTGGTGCTGCTGGCTCGAAAAACATCTGGACTCTGATCATCATGCGATTCTTCGCCGGAGCTTTTGGTTCTTCGCCTCTGACCAATGCTGGCGGTGTCATCGCCGATATCTTCCCAGCTAAGGAGCGTGGTCTCGCAATGTCGCTCTTTGCGGCAGCACCATTCCTTGGACCAGTCATCGGGCCCATCGTCGGTGGTTTTGTAGGCGAGACTATTGGTTGGCGTTGGCTGGAAGGCATCATGGCCATCTTCACTGGAGCTCTTTGGATCCTCGGATCATTTCTTATACCTGAGACGTATCCTCCAGTCATTCAGCGCCAGCGTGCCAAGAAGCTGAGCAAGATGACTGGTAAGGTATATCGTAGCCAAGGTGATGTCGACCAAGGGCCGACCACATTTGGCCACGTCTTCAAGACTTCGCTTTCTCGACCGTGGATTCTGCTCTTCAAGGAGCCGATCGTCCTACTCTTGAGTATTTACATGGCCATCATATATGGCACGCTCTATATGCTGTTCGGCGCCTTGTAAGTTTGAACATAACATGACGATTTGGAGACCTGCTGACTGTTGGTCAATTACAGCCCTATCGTGTACCAGGAGAATCGTGGCTGGAGTGCAGGTATCGGTGGCCTGGCGTTCCTTGGTCTCGCCGTTGGCATGGTCATCGCTGTGGCGTACTGTATCTGGGACAATAAGACATATGTCAAGGTGGCAGACGCAAACGATGGCTTTGCGCCTCCAGAAGCCCGTCTACCCATCTGTATGATCGGTGGAATTGCTATACCGATTGCCCTCTTCTGGTGAGTTCAGGTCATTCGTCCCATGACCTCTATCTTCGCTTGGCTGACCACATCCTAGGTTCGCGTGGACCAATTATCCCAGCATACACTACATGGTATCCATAGCTGCCGGCGTACCTTTCGGGTTTGGCATGATCCTAGTCTTCCTGGGCATCATGAATTACCTCATCGATAGTTGTAAGTCATACTACCAGTGTTCTCGACAGAAGAATATGACAATGGACACTGACTTTAGTACAGACACCATCTTCGCAGCCTCCGTCCTTGCGGCCAACGCTGTGCTCCGTTCGGTCTTCGGCGCGGTCTTTCCACTCTTCACCACTCAGGCAAGTCAAGACTCTTCCAGCCCACAGCATTGAGCGTACGCTAACGATTTGCAGATGTACAACGGTCTGGGCATACATTGGGCTTCATCTGTCCCAGCATTCCTGGCCTTGGTCTGTGTTCCTTTCCCATTCTTGTTTTACAAGTACGGACCACAGATCCGGAAGAAGTGCAAGTATGCTGCAGAGGCTGAGGCCTTCATGAGAAAGATGCAGCAACAGATGCAGGACAGTGAGGAACATGACGAAGGCACTAGTGATGCCGATACTGCTGTTGCCTCGCCTCATGAGGAGGACAAGGCTGAGAAGGAGAAGGAAGGTCAGGAAGAACGAGAAGACGAAGAGCAAGAAGCTATCGATTACTCGTACGAGCCGGAACGTATGGCGCAGACGGGCAGCACATTCGAGACAATCAAGACGAAGCAGCGACGACCATCTGGTCCGGCCCATACCAGGTCTTACGACTATAGCCCTTTCGACCTGGACCGCATCAATACCCGTGAGAGTTTCAGGAACGAGAGGGGTAGTCTATCGAGAACGAGCTCCAGGAGAAGCACTCGTTCTCGTGCAGAGTCTCAGGCGGGTAGACGGTAAAAGCAGGACTACTGCTAAGTGTGCCGTGATTAGCGTTGGTGTTGGGCGGTATTGGAATCCTCATGTAATGCAGCGTTCGAGCCGAATAACAGCGTGCCATCAGCACTCGTCTAGTGCAGAACTGTCATCTTCTCATCCTTTCTCTCTTCGTGCAGACCTCGCAAATGCACGCGCATCGGAAGTACATGTAGGATTCAACGCAAGGAGCTAGGTTCGCGGGTGGTGTAGCACAGCGGGAGCTTGAAAAGAACGTTCAAACGTGCATCACTGAAATCAAGGCAAGAAGAAGTGGAGTAGAACATGCCTCAGCTGCTGCCTGTTCTCCTTCCGAGTATCTCGTTACAAGGACTCGCCATGTTAGAGGCTGGTGAAAATCTCGAAGTTCAGACGATACCATAACATCAAGAAGAACGCAAAGCCAATACTCTAAGACACTAGTTCCATCACAAGGACTTCAACGATGGAAGCCCACCAAGAAGCAGTAGCGCATATATCCTCTCAAATCTTCAGCTTCCACCAAAAACAAGTAGGTCCCTGTCAGAAGTCCAATATCCTCGTCCATAATGCTGACAACCAAGTAGGTGCCTTTCCGCCTATACCATGGCTCAACAAACTCAACCCAGAGTCGCAAAATCGACCCAGAACGTATGGTCGACACTTCACAGCTCAATCATGTGCTCAAGATCGATGACAAAAGCAAGACATGTCTGGTCGAGCCGAACGTACCAATGGACCGACTTGTGGACGCCGTCATGCCTTACGGACTTGTACCTCCGGTAGTGATGGAGTTCCCAGGTATCACGGTCGGTGGCGGCTTCGCAGGGACTGCAGGCGAGAGCTCTGGCTTCAAGTATGGGTTCTTCGATAGTACCGTAAACTGGATCGAGATCGTGCTGGCCACTGGTGAGATTGTGACCGCGTCTCCGACTGAACACTCGGATCTGTTTTATGCTGCGGCAGGTAGACCTCACCATGAGAGTAAAGATCCCCGTAGCACTCTGACAGACTCGTAGGCACCTTCGGAACTCTTGGCGTGACAGTCCTACTAGAGCTACAGCTCATCGATGCAAAGCAGTACGTCGAGCTGACGTATCAGCCTACCTCGAGCATTAAAGAGACCTTGGCCGCACTGAAGGCTGCATGCGAAGCCGAAACCAACGACTATGTCGATGGTATCATGCTTGCAAAAGACCGCGGTGTCATCATTAGCGGAAAGCTCACAGACGAGGTCGCCAGCCGTACCAGAACACAGCGATTCGCGCGAGCTACGGATCCCTGGCATTACATACATGCGGACCGAATCACTCGCGGTAGCCTTGAAGCAGTGAAAGAGGCTACACCCTTGCGAGACTACCTCTTCCGCTATGATCGAGGCGCCTTTTGGACGGGACGGTATGCCTTCAAGTACTTTCTGGTCCCCTTCAACCGCATCACCCGTTACCTTCTGGACTACTTCATGCATACGAGGGTCATGTACCATGCCCTACATGCATCTGGCCATGCCAAGAAGTACATGATTCAAGACTTGCTCCTGCCCAAAGCGTCCGCTGAGAAGTTCATCGAATATGTCAGCAATGAGTTCGACTTCTGGCCACTGTGGCTCTGCCCTTTCCAGCCAAAGCAGGAGCTTGCACTGCATCCTAGACATGATGATATACGAAAGGAAGAGAAAGGCGACTCGCTTTACGTCAACATCGGAGTATGGGGACCAGGCTCTACGACATATTCCCGCTTCGTCGAGCAGAACCGCCTGCTCGAGAGCAAGGTGTGTGAGCTTGGCGGCGTGAAATGGCTGTACGCCCAGCAGTACTATACCGAGGACGAGTTTGACTCGATATATGACCGTGAATGGTAAGAGAGCAAATATAGGTTCATTTGATATCAGGAGCCGGAGCTGATGATTTGCAGGTACAACGATCTCCGAGAAAAGTACAATGCAACGTATCTGCCCACTGTGTTCGAGAAGACAAAGGTCGACCTGTCGCAATCAGACAGCGATACAACGACATGGTCAGGATGGCTTCGCAATGTGATATGGAATACTTGGCCATTCTCTGGACTGTATGGTGTATTCAGGACGCTATCAGCAAGAGACTACCTACTGCTCAAACAGAAATAACCTCGATTATCTATTTCCATAGCGCTCAACCGTGATCGAGATGCTACCATTGCCCATCTATGTTCAGAAAAGCTTGTGCTCCAGCGTCATGTCGTTCTCTGGCTCAAGGCCAACGCAGGCCTTCATGATGTTTATGAGGGCACTACGCTGCTTGGCCAGAGCGTTGACCACGGGTGTGCCGGGTGGTGTGAGCGGCGCCTTGAGCATGTAGCTCAATACGCTGAGGACAGAGTGGAAGCTCTTCCAGTCTTGCTCGCCATCCTTACGCCACTGTATTCGGGTGAACAGCTCAGCGATAAGCACCAGATCAATGATAAGTGGCGATGCGAGCAACGAGTCTTCGCAGACGTTGAACATGGATATTGTTTGGTGGCCGCCGAGGAAGATCTGTTGTGGTTAGCGATATGCTTAAGCATCGACGATGCATAGCAAATACCTCAGCATAATACTCGTCCAGCGCACGCTTGTTGTCACCAACAGCCGGCATGTACTTGATCACGACGCAATGGTCAGGGTGCTCGCCTTCCTTGTACAGCACATTGTTGGCAGCGACCATGTCGTCCACGACATTAGATTTGCTGATCTCTTTGCTCCTGAATTGCTTCTGCGATGACAAATTCTTGCCGTCGTTGTTGCCAAGATGGTTGTAGGAGGAAATCGAGGTCAGCTTGATGCCGGCATTGATCATGAAGTCGACGAGGGCAGACTTCATTTTCGTCTGTCCCGACTTGAAGTCGTCGCCACCGATAAAGGCACTGTGCTTCTCAGCTAGCTGAATGCAACCCGGCACGAAGGTATTCTGTGGCGAGCCGTTGATGAATGGTGTATTCTCGAGGATGCAAGCGACGGCAAATACAGTAGATGGTGCGACTTCTTCGTGGCCGTTGCTGATAGCTTGTAGAAGATTGTCGGCAGTATCGTTTACGCCAGGTACTATGTCGGCGAAACGCTCAGTATTTGCGGTCCAGAGCACAATCACCTTATCGAGGCCGTTGGCGCTCTTGAAATCACGGATGTCCTTGCGGAGATGCTCGACGTGCTTGTCAGAGGCCTTTGAGCCCTCGACGACATTATCTGCACGGTCCTCTTGGTTCGCGGCTATGAAGTCGGGATAGTAGATACTCGGCAGCGGCACCATCTGAGCCATTTCTTTGCGAACGAGCGACTTCAAGGTCGGTTCGAGCACTTGTGCACGGTCCATGGCGGAGGCGATGTCCATCTTGCTGATATCCCAACCCCCAATGACAAGGTCGTTCGGGTGGACCATAGGCAATAGGCTGTGTAATGGGATGTTGACGTCTTTACCAGTGGTTGTGTCTTCGCCGAGTTTGAGCGTCGACGACATTACAACAGAGCCGTAATAATTGGCAGCACGTGGTCCCTCTTTGGTCTCCCACTCAAGCTTGCGACGGTTGGCGATGATACCAGCAGTGACGGTAGAGCCGTTGTTCTGTTCCGTCAGCACATGAAAGTAAAGAAGATTCTGGTCAGGCAATGCTTACTCCACCCCAGCCAACAAGCATGACACCAACTTTGCCAACCTTACGCTCCGTCTTGAAATCGTACTTCGACTCTTTGGGTGATGCCTTGTATTGGCCGTTGTTGAAGCCGACGCTCGTTGTGCGGTACGTGTACTTGGCTTGCATGGTCTCGGGCGTATATGTAACATTTGGCGAGTCCACCGTGAAACCGGTGTTGCCAGACTCACGTACCTGCTCAACGGCTATTCCGGTTGCACTGCCATCGCTATCGTTTGCGTGAGGCGCCATGTTGGTTCTTCCTTGTGATATCTTGGAGCTTTACGTCAGAATCCAATTCCGACCGAGCACCACTGTACAGCCAACGATGATACATGTCACTTACACGAGACAGCGGCGTATTCGTACGTGATGGCCCAAGAAGTGCGGGCAAGAAAGCTCTAAGAAAGAGTGTTGTATCGTGAAGAACAGGAGGACGAAGAGGGTGAGAGTGTGAGATAGGAAGGAAAGCTCGGTGCGAGCAAGAAAATACTTATCTGTCTTCCGCGCGTTCCACGATCGCGCGATGAGCTTACGGCGGCTAGAGTAATTGTTGAGAGAGATTGCGGTGCTGGGCAACACTACGGTATATAGTTGTTGCCAGTGGTTTGCAGCGCCGCCCGGTGGTCGAACGAAGTCCATACGCGGCACCACATTTCTCCGGATCCGGCCAAGATACGAGGCGAGTGAAGTGTTGGTATTTGTCCATTCTGCTCAAGGTATAAGATCAGAGGACGATGTGCCTCAACCGTGGCTGCGAGCAATACCTTGGCTACATACATTGTCGATCGAGATGCTCTGGTAGCTTTCGTTGCGCGTATCAAGAGTATTTCACCATCGTTGAAGAGGTCCCGACGATGATCGTTGTCCAGTATCCTTGAAGCAGGGCGATCATGAATACTCGCTACGTTCCTTGGGGGTTTGGTCAGATGCAGTCGATATATGTACCAGCAGTGCACGCATCATGGAATCAAGCCATTTCAAGGCTGGGGTGGTACAGAGGTACTTGGTCCAGCATCCTTCGCCGTGTGCAGAATCTGAATCTTGGCTGCTAGTACGCGAATAGTGTCTATTTGGCACGATCGATCCTTAGCTGAGGCGAGTCTTGTGCACGATGTCGATCGAGCTTGAGGATCCTGTACTTGACAGCGTGGTGACACCACCGGTGAGAATAGATTTTTGAGCCGCATGGGTTCGAGGTATAGCGCTAGTTATGCAGGGCCGAAGCCGACCGGAAACTCTGGGGAGCTAACTCTTCCAGGTGCTAGATTCGAGACACTGTTGCTGTGCGATCCACCGCGTTGCTGCCCTCAAACAAAACGCTGTAATAACGCAAGCTGCATTTATCCTTCTCAAGGAAAAGGCAGGACAAACGCCATTATGAGCACGGTCGATACGCCGCCGGAGTACTTCGCCATCGGGTCATCTTCTTGCACATCCACCCAGGCACCGTGCACTCGGCGCGCTCTTGAATGGCTGTTGGTCTAATAAGCTCCGGAGCCGATCATCTGCAAGCGCGATCACCTCAACACGAGACGCGTCAGCAACAGCTACTTTTATAGCTACAGTATGTTTGATGCTTAGCACAGCATGTAGAACTACAGCTGCCGCCAATAGGCATGGGCGTTGCATGCGGGACACCCAGTGTCTCGATGGCAACAGTGGATACCACCCCACTTCCTGCGACGAGTGCGCCGTTGGAAGAAGCAGCAGGGGTGTGGCGGAAGGGTGTGCTGAGCTAGTCTGGAGGCGTTGTTGCTGTGCCAAATTAGCTCTTCCTCGAATGGCAATAGCGACGACAAGGCTCTGTGCGTGCAGACTTGCGCGCCAGAGTATTAAATGATGTGCTCGCCCCTGACCATCCTCTCAGACATCTCACTCTTACACACAAGTCTAATCGGCGCATCCAGTTCTACCAATACAATCGATAATATCAATCCACGGCTTCTTCGCCACACCAAACAACAGCAAACCCACCTCCGTCAATATGCGCGCCTCTACCATTGTCGCTGCGCCATTCGTGGCCGCCGCTATGGCTCAGAGCACGATAGTGAGTACTTGACAAAGTTACTATCGCATTTCGCAACAACGCTAACATTGAGACAGACAGCGACCGTTTCTAATAGCTCGACTACCGTAACTACTACTTACGTCTACTCGAACCCTGCGACCACTCTGCTCACCCAGACCAACTCTGTCGGTATCATTACTGGCCAACCAAGCGCACCTTCCGTCTTCACCTCTCAGCCATCGGTCGCTACGATCCCAGCTGGTCTCCCCATCGGCGTCACATCCCTCGCACAGAACATCAGCGGCCATCTTACATACTTCACCGTCAGCGTCGGCAGCTCGACCACGACTGTCATTGGCGGTGTCGCGACAGCGCCCGCTGCTGCGACTGGCTCCTCCGGCTCCGGTTCATCAGGCTCAGCCGCTAGCGGCAGCGGTGCTTCTGCCACTGCTCGCAGCAGCGGCGCTGCATCCGGCACAGCATCAGGAGCTGCCAGCTCTAGCAGCGCTGCCTCCGCTGCCAACAACGTCCAGATGGCATCTGCTGGCCTCCTCGGCCTCGGTGCTCTCTTCGCTGTTCTCTTGTAGGAGATCGAGAGTGATGTGTTAATTAGTATAAGAGAAAAGAAAAGTATTGGATCGCTTTAGCGCTGCATAATGTTCTACGACATTGGGTACAAATTTGGTCTTATTTATACTGCTTCTGAGCGTGAACCTGGCGCTGGCAATGGTCTGGAATACCCCGCATGGGATGCACGCAGTTGTGTGCCCGCACATAGGAATAATTACATAGTCTTGTATACAAAGAGATGAAACAGAATATCAGCCTCTTCACCACCGCTTCAGGTCATGCGAATTTGCCCTGCATACAGCTTCCCGCTAGCGCAGGCACGCATCTCTGGGGAAGCAACGCGCCACGAGAACCTCGACCTGAACACACTTACTACATCCCGAACAAACATTACGACAATATACAGAGCCGTGGAGGAGACGTAACATCCAACATTCTCATCCATGGTCATCGAAGCCATGGACGACGCCACCCGGCAGCAGTACCTGGCTGACGACCCGCCTACTATTGTCCCTCTGGCTATTAAGCCGCACTTCGAAGCACTTGACGACGAACAGAAGCTGTATGCTCACTACATATCTCGAGCCGCATTTGCAGGAACCAGGATCAATCTACGTCAGGTATCGCCGGAATCCGAGGCCATCTTCGACTTCATCCTCACGCTGCATAAGCAGTGTCAAGGTAAGTTGTGCATTGCCATCTTGTGGATGTTAGCTCGGTCTGCCTGTTTGCCAGTGGATCCCCCGCCTGCCGGTTGATTTACAAGGTGCTGGCGTGCTTTTTAGCAGCTAGCAGTGCTAACACCTCCTAGGAGATTGGCAAGCATTTGGCACAAAAGCTGGCCTTTCAAAGGAAGATCTTAAGCACTTCCTAAGCTACGCGGCGCAGCTCATCGGCAACACTGGTAACTACAAGAGCTTTGGCGACAGCAAGTTCATCCCTCGGCTGCCCCCAGACAAGTTCGCCGCCTTAGCTGGAACATCACCTGAAGCACAAAAGCTATACGAGACTTTCAAGGACGAGATCTATGAGTCCATGTCCACGCCACATATGCACCTGGGCTATCCAGACCAAGGCCATGTCTCGACTTACTATCCCGACTCACCATCGATTACTCACGACGAGATCGAACTTGTCAGCTCATTCCTCAAAGAGCAGTCTCTCATGCCAGAGAACACACGTCTTCGCAAGACGAGCAAAGGTGATTATGAGGTACTGATAGCCGCCGCTGTAGCTCAACCAGCGCACCATGATACGGAGAAGACTGAATGGACGTTGAAGAACGGCAAGAAGCTGAATCTGGTGTACGGCGACTACCAACCCCAAATGGCCGAAATCGCCCGCAATATCACGGAAGCGCAGAAGCATGCCCTTAACGACGAAGAGGCGAAGATGCATGCAGAGTATGCCAAGAGCTTCCACGACGGCTCCATGTTCGCTCACAAGGAGTCGCAACGCCACTAGATACGTGACAAGGGTCCACTGGTTGAGTGTAACATTGGGTTTATCGAGACTTACCGAGATCCTCACGGTATTCGAGGGGAGTGGGAGGGGTTTGTGGCTATGGTGAACCAGGAGAGGACCAAGGCATTTGGGAAGTTGGTCGAGGCCGCGCCAGCGCAGATCCCGAAACTACCTTGGGGGAAGGACTTCGAGAAGGACAAGTTCCTTGCTCCCGACTTCACAAGCTTAGAGATTTTGTCTTTTGCGGGTAGCGGAATCCCGTATGTATAGAGTCCTGCTGACGAACGAGAGACTGTTTGAGAGCTGACAAATCTCCCAGAGCCGGCATCAACGTTTGTCTACCCGGCAGCCTCCCTATACCATAACCAACCACATTTACTAACAGAGACCACAAAACCAGATCCCCAACTACGACGACATCCGCCAGAACGAAGGCTTCAAGAACGTCTCCCTCGGCAACGTCCTCAGTGCCGCCGCGCCCAAAGAACGCATCCCGTTCATCCGCTCCGAGGACCAAGAAGTCTTCGAGAAGTACAAAGACGAAGCATTCGAGGTCCAGGTCGGTCTTCACGAACTCCTAGGTCATGGCTGTGGCAAACTGCTCCAAGAGACCGAACCGGGTAAATTCAACTTTGACCATAAGAATCCACCTACTAGCCCCATCACGGGAACGCCCGTCGAGACTTACTATAAACCTGGTGAGACATGGGGATCGGTATTCGGCGGCATGGGTCCTTCGTACGAGGAGTGCCGAGCTGAGTGCGTAGCCATGAGTCTGTGTCCCGACTATGGGATCCTCAAGATCTTCGGCTTTGGGAACGGGCAAGAGGATATCGAGGGTGAGGCGGGGAGTGTGCTCTATGCGTGCTATCTCCAGATGGCACGAGCAGGTGTCACAGCGCTGCAGTTCTGGGACCCTAATAGTCGCAAGTACGTCCCACGTCCCACCTCGCCTTGTCATACATGCGTGCTGATACCCTCCGGCCCGCAGATGGGGCCAACCCCACATGCAAGCCCGCTTCGCCATCCTCAAAGTCTTCCTCGAAGCCGGCGCAGACTTCTGCACCCTCCACCACACCCAACCCGACCTCTCGGACCTCGAAATCCACCTCGACAAAACCAAAATCCAATCCCATGGCCGACCGGCCGTCAACTCCTTCCTCCAAAAGCTACAAATCTACAAAGCCACCGCCGACTTAGCAGCGGGCAAGAAGTTGTACGAGGATTATACTAATGTCGGGGAATGGTATGCCGGGAAGTTACGGCCGCAGGTCTTGGCGCAGGCGAAGCCGAGGAAGGTTTTTGTACAGGCCAATACTTTCCTCGAGGGGGGAAAGGTGGTGTTGAGGGAGTATGAGGCGAGTCCTGAGGGTATGATACGGAGTTTTGTGGAGAGGGAGTATATTTGAGGGGAATTTTCGAGAGGCGGTTGAGAATGTCTGATCTGCTTATCTCGGTTTTTTCGGGAGAATTTATGGCAGAGGGGCAGGGGGGGCTTCGTGATGGGTATCGTTGAGGGCGGGACGAGAGGATGGTTCTAAGTATTCATGTGCCACGTCCAGTGCAAAGCCACGAGAGGCGACGAAAGCTGTTGGGAAGGTCGATGAGATGATCACGTGGTTCTTACATGTCGTCCAAACTGTCGTATGCATTCAAGCAGGCCTTCGTCTTCCCGAATTGTCTGGGTTCGCGACGAGATGTGTCAGAGATCTTCCTGAAATTGTCAGCGACGAGAGAGACTGGATTTGTCGAAATCGGGGAGATGTGTGGTCTGCAGCTACAGAATCAACTCCTTCCTTCTTTGCACGCAGGTTGACGCCACCAAATGTAGTCTCGACGACGAACGGGCGGCTGCAGTCTAGTTCACTTTGCCCTGTGCCTCCGGACATGGTGGGAGTGGTGGTGGTATCAGCACCGGGAAAGCATTCAACGTGTGAAGTAGACGCCTGTCTGTCAATCGATAGGGTGGCTTGAGTGTATCATATCATTGTTTGGAAGAATTCTCAGCTGCCTACTTCAGCGCTGGATGGTCTCCATGCATTGACTTCTGGACTATCGATCTCGCAACGCCAGCCCTAGATGTAATTGGAGGGAGACACGCGGTCGATGCAGACCCCACATGCCAAGTCATGTAGCACTACTCCCTCACCACCATCATACCATCAACGTCACCATCTAAAAGACCATCTCATGCGGCTTGTCGCCCTTCCTCAGGCTAAACTGCGACTTGAGGTACTCGGACAACATCTTCTCCCCCTTGATCGCCTTTAACAGCCCCTCATCCACCTTCTTCTGATCGCCCGCCCGGTCCCCACTGACCTCCTTCTTCTCCTGCTTTCCCTCGCCCTGACCCTGCTTGAAGAAAGCCTCCTCGCTCCCCTTTTTATCCGCCTTCTTGTCGCGGGAGAAGTATTCGGGCTTGGAGACCTTGTCGATGGTGGCGGAGTCGAGGCCCTTGAGGTCGACGCTGGTCTTGGTGGCGATGACGTAGCGGGCGTTGACGCGGCGGAGCGGGACGCCGTTGATTTTGAAGGGGCCGGTGACCAGGAGCACGCCTTGGTCGAGGACTTTGAGGAGGACGACGCGTTTGCCGCGGAAGCGACCGGCGAGGAGGATTAGCACGGCGCCGGGTTGGAGGGTGGAGCGGGGTTTGTATGGGCGGAGGGTCTTGCGGGCCTGTTGTACATATCAAGTGATTAGTATCATGTTCGTATGGGTATTTTCTCAATGCTACGTTTCTGGCAGGAGTATGGTTGAGGCGTACCTTCTTTGGCTGCGCATTATCATCGGCCGGGTAATATCTGCTGGCCTGCTGCGATGGGTGTGGGATTGACCTCTCGCCCTTCTGGAACTTCTTGGTCTGCGACTTTTGCTCCGAAGACATGCTGGGCGACTGCTGTGGGTTGTGTGTTAGTGTGTCGGTCGCGGAGATGACGTCTGTATGTGATGATCGTACCGAAGAGGTGATGCTGGAGTGTTAGTGGTTCGGTCGCTAATCACACTCAATCATGAAGCTCGTCGTCCATTCTCCGATGCCACCTGCTAGAATTCGAAATGCTTGGCAATGTGTAAGTGCGGCAGACGGGCATTCTTTCGGCCGAGGTCATGCAAGTGTGGGTCATCAGCCGTCGCAGGCGAGTAAGCTGTCGTCAGAAGTCAGAAGCTCTTTCCTCGTAGCTCGATCACGAAACAAACATTTAACAACACGACCTCACCTCACTTCATTGCGACTACGATCCAAGCACCCACGATGTCGTCCACACCGCTCATCACCTTCAAAGCCGGCAAGTGCGTGTCGGCCAACCGCAAAGTCCGCCCCGACCCTACCCCAGGCTACCTCTACATCTACTCCGAAGACGACCTGCTCCACCTCTGCTGGCGACCCCGCTCCGCCCCCTCCACAGACCCGGAGCTCGACCTCCTCATGATCCCCGGCGATGGTACCTTCCACCCTCTCGTCAAGAACCCCGGTGCCGAAGCTGTAGAGTCACCAACCAACGGCCGCATATTCGTGCTCAAGTTCAGCTCGAGTAGCCAGAAATACTACTTTTGGATGCAGTCGGCGCCACAGCACAAGGAGGGGAACCATGCGTGGTTTAGTCAGCGGGATCAGCGGATCGGGCAGGTGGTTGATGCGCTTTTGCAGGGAGAGGATGTGGATGTGGAGGAGGAGGAGCGGGCGATTCGGGAGGCGGGAGGTGGCGAGGGTAATGGTGGTGCTGATGGAGACGCGGATGCGATGGAGGTGGATCAGGAGAATGGGCTGACGAGGCAGGGCAGTGGTGGCGCGGGCCAGGATGCTACGGGTGGTGATCCGCGGGAAGAGGGACACTCGAGTAGAGAGGGTGGCGCGGATGGTGGAAGAGCGTAAGTGGTACACCGATCCTTCTTGTACGGTGCACTTTAGCGAGGAGTTTTTGAGGCATAGAGATGGACCGGCGGATGTACGCTTTAGCTACTCATAGCCAGTACGAAGACACGATACCATCACCACTCCATCAAGTGTCACGGGAAACAAGGTAAGCTAATCTCTATTCTCCATCTCTACCAGACCCCAAGACACGAACGACCTCGTCCAGAACTTCCTGCGCTCCATCCAATCCGGCCCACAATCCTCCTCCACCACCACACGATCACCACAACAACCAGCAGACAAACCCTACACCACCCTCCCCGACCTTCTCACCCCGGCAACAACCATCCCCTTCATCGACTCCGCCACCCCGTCCCAGGTAGACAACCTCTGCGCCTACCTCCCCCCCGACCTCTTCCTCCTCCACCAAGCCTCGACCACCACCCCCTCATCCTCCGACCCAAACCCGACTCCCGCCGCAGCCCAAGCAGCCATCGACGCCCTCTCCTCGGACCAAAAGAAGGATATTCTGAAGAAAGCACTACGGAGTCCGCAGTTCACGCAGAGTCTGGGGAGTTTGACCGTGGCGTTGCGGGATGGCGGGTTACCTATGATTGGGGAGGCGCTGGGGTTGAAGGTGAGGAATGGGGGCGTGATTAGGGGTGGGAGTTTGCCGGTTGGGGGTGGGGAGGCGGTGGAGGCGTTTGTTGAGGGGGTTAGGGCGACGGTTGAGGAGGAGGGGGAGGGGAAGGGGCGGGGGAAGAAGTGAGGATGTTGTGTGTGTGTGTGTGTGTGTGTAGAGTAGTAGAGAGCCTGAAACAGGTCGTAGAGACGCGAAGGGCTCTCTACGCCGTGCTCACGGCAATGTCGGAGCTTACTGTATACACACCCTCTGCTAAGCGAAGTACCATCTCAGGTCAATCTTTATGCAAACTGAGTACTCGAGCAGCCTGCGCGACACGTACGATGGATCTGCTATCACATCCTCGGATCGTGTTCTTCTATGCAAACCATCCTCTTGTTTCTGACTCGGTAGTCATTACGTACCTTGTTATTCAATCTGTTGCCAAGCCAGATAGGAAACCGCTCCTTGACGCTTGCTCCTTCCTGATTCGGTAAGCTCGACGTATCAACCAATGCCAATGCATCGCGCATCGTGCATATACAGCGGGTAAGTAAATGTATGTACATGCCGGTATATCTTGCTACGCTGTCCATCCATTGCTTCACCACCCGGCTTGCTCGCCTTGAGTGAGAGACAATCCAACCATGGCGCTCTACATCCTCCTCGCCGCCACGGCCGGTCTGGCCACCGCCCGCGACATCACCTTCCCATCTCTCTCAGGCATCCAGGAACAGCCACTAGGACAACAACACTCCACGAATTTCGGCTCCGACTACGACATCTCCGACTCCCCATTCGCAGGCCTCTCCACCTTCGCCAACTTACCCTACGTCCACTGCCTAAGCTCCCGCCCCGACTCCGACATCCCAGCCTACGACATCGCCATCGTAGGAGCACCCTTCGACACAGGCGTCACCGCCCGTCCAGGAGCCCGCTACGGACCCGGTGGGATCCGCGCCGGCTCGCGAAGAATATCCTCCCAATTCTCGTATTCCGTCTACACCGGCCGCAACTACTTCACCGAATGGGCCAAAGTGGTAGACTGCGGCGACGCACCCCTCACTTTCCTCGACAACACGGTCGCGTTGAAACAACTAGATAAGACGCACCGTGTCATCTCCAGCCGCTCATCAGCCAACGGTTCTGCCTTTCCCGTACCCCGGATCATTACTTTAGGAGGCGACCACACCACCACCCTCCCCGCCTTACGATCCACCTTTGCCCATTTCGGCCCCGTAAGTGTGATTCACTTCGACTCGCACCTGGATACCTGGGACCCTTCCGTGCTAGGCGGTGGACTAAGCCACTACGCCGGCGTCAACCACGGGACTTTCCTGCACATCGCGCATGAAGAGGGACTGGTGTTGAATAGTAGCTGGCACGCCGGCATCCGCGGTCCGGTGTCCAATCCCAAGTACGATTTACAACATGATAAGGCCTGCGGGTTCCAAATCGTTACAGCGAGGGATTTGGATCGGATGGGTATGCAGGGCGTGATTGAGAGGTTGAGGCGGGGGGTTAAGGGGACGAAGGTGTATATATCCGTTGACATTGATGTTTTGGATCCGGCGTTTGCTCCAGCGACGGGGACGGCGGAGCCCGGGGGTTGGACGACGAGGGAGTTGTTGACGATTTTGGATGGGTTGGGTGGGGTGGCGGTTGTTGGGGCGGATGTTGGTGAGTTCTATCATCATCATGAGGTTGAGATGGTGATATGTAGTGGATTACTGATATGTCTCTTAGTTGAGGTTGCGCCGATCTACGATAATCCCGGTGAGACGACGACGTTGGCTGCGGCCGAGGTGGTGCACTCGCTTGTTGGGTTGATGGTTGATACGCCTGTCAAGGGTAAGGTGACTTCGTGAGTCGACTTGATGGTGTCTGTACATTGAGAACACTCACAAGCTTAATAACATGAATGGTAGATGGCTGTATATATGAACATGAGATCTGCAGAAACGTGACTCGTAAGGTGAGCACCAAAGGGGCTTGATGGCTGATCAGGCACGGCTTTGGTATGGCTCTGGGTAAGCTGAGACGCTCAAAGCAATAGCGACCTGTCTGCTTCTCAGCACTCTTCTTCTAGACCAGCATCAGGTCTACTGCTCTCGTTGAATACCGCGGGTGAAGTCGGTGTGAAGTTGCTTCGCTCTCTGATCGTCGCTCCCTTCAGCCAGAAGAGCACTGGCAGCGGCACGAGCAGAAAGCCAACCAGACTCAAGAGCAGACCCGCCCATTGCACACCCATCCCTTCGATCATATATGTTGCAAACAGGGGGAAAACCAGCTCCTGCTAGCGAGCGCAGGATGGTGTTGGCTGCGATGGCCTAGTATTGTTGTCAGGATTCTGTTCAACTAAGCGAAGTGCCAAGGACAGAGTGCAACTCACACTAGCAGCGTACACCAAATAAGCATCGACAAGATAATTAAAACACGCCAGGAAGATGACCATGATTCCAAACCCGGTCGGTAGACCAGATAACGTGGGCAAAATTCAATGGATATCTGCTCGAAAGCCGGTCCAGCCAAACCAGAGTATACCGCCAGCGAAAAGCATTCCGCCGACGACAGCAGGTGGCATTCGCCATTCTGGGATAGGTACATCGTTGTTAGCAGCCAGTTTCCGATTATATTCTGGTTGAGTAAGTATCACATAGACTCCCGCCAGCATTTCTCCCGTAATCATGCCGAGGAAAGGCAGACCAGCAACACCTTGATTGAAGCCGTGGATCTCTTCGAAGACGATGGGATAGAAGGTCAGGAACAGGTAGAGCAGGCCGTAGATGAAGGCCATGTAGATCGACAACGCTAGGACGATGGGCTCGGTGAAGAGCATACGTAAGGGCCGGGCCAGGTTCTTCTCCACTAGTTCTCGGAACGTGATTTCGATTTCTTCTTTTTGGCGTGGATGGCCCAGTTTCTGGTCTCTCGTCGTAGTTTTCGCGCTTTGTGCACCAGGAGGACGGGGGCATATGTTTCTCTTACGAAGATGCAGGCTAGGCCGAAGCCGAAGAAGCCCATGATACTGCTCAGATACTGCGTCCACCGCCAGCCTAGGTGAGACATATTGATGAATCCACCGATGAAGGGTGCCCACAGAGGTCCGACAAACACTGTCATGGTCAGCGCTGTTATGGCAAGGCCTCTTTGACTATTATTGAACATATCGGCGAAGACGGCGCCGACGCAAGTCAGGGGACATGCGCCGAAGAACCCCGGCGAAGAATCGACAAATAAAGACGGTCTGGAGGTCTTGGCCAGTAGCCACAGCAAGGTTGAAGATTGGTGCTCCGAATGCCGCCACCAGGAGTGGTAGCTTTCGACCGTAAAGCTCGGACAACGGCGCCCAGAACACAGGTCCACTTGCGAAGCCCAGGACGTACAGTGAGACGCCGAGGACACCGACCTCTGGGCTGACGCCGAAATGGTGTGCTACGCTTTCCGAAGCTGCGGAGAAGATGCTGCTGGTGAATGTCACGACGAAGGTGACGTATCCTAGAGTTATGGCCAGAGACAATTCCTTGCGCAGCGGCCAGTTTTGAGCATGTAGAGGGTCGCCTGGCCCATTGAAATCGACAATGAGACCATCAGGATGCGCTGGGCTGCATCGATAGGGATGGTTTGTCGCGGCTCCGGTCGCGTCGGGAGATGTACTGCATGCTTCGTCTTCATCGATCTTCTCCCGGCAGAAGACTTGCTGGCGGTCTGGTGGTATCACGTTGGAGCGCGCGAGACTTCGCAATTCATCGTTGTCCATGCTGGCGGTAGCTTCTTGAGAATTCTATCGTATTTCTGATACGAAGGAGGTGCCCGAATTTCAGGTTGTGGCAGTGTTGTAATGGGCCACTAGTCGTGCTGAGACGCTTCTGTCATACCCTTACGAACATCAACCGTTGTCCGTAGATGCCACTAAACTACGTATCCAAGGGTTGAATGGCAGAGTCGACCCAAGAAATGGCGACTGCCTGACAGTCTGAACGTCGAGGCTGACTTGGACTGCTATGGCAAAGCATACCTATCCTGAGCATGCCGTAGACGCATTCATACTCTTTGGAGAAGTCCTCCATGCCTGGTGTAGGGTAAAGACTATACCGACATTTAGTCATCCGCCCCGATGGAGCACAGCATTCGGGCAAGATATGAGGTTGCGTGATGGTCTATGGGGCGACTGCTCAAGCTCTTTAGGAAAGAGATGTGCGTCCTTTATCAGAGACATTGGTAATGACCGTGGCAGCTACTCAAAGTTCCAGCCCTCGGACTTATGCGGCTGGCTTACGTGAAGATCGGCATTGAAGCAGCAGTTGATTAGCATGTCACAAGTGTATCAGATCCTCCAGATCCTTCGGCCCAGCCAGCAGTGGACGTTGCAGGAGCGCTGCGTTTCACTCAAGCAACAGGACTCCTGAAGTCGTCGACCTTGTGGCCAATGTCATGCTTCTGTATAGAAGCGCTCTCGGTTCGGAAATGCTAACGCTCTCCGATTCCATCAGTCCTTCATAGATGACACGTTATCAGTATGCCACATCCTACATAGTCAGCGGAGGCTTCCTCGTCTTATCCTGAAGGGACAAGTGTGCCGGCTAAAGCAAAAAGTGAGCTCAAAGGAGGTCGTGAGACGGGGTTTGATACGCCACGCTACCTGTACCCATTCGGAGAGGGACTCGCACGGCCGTAGCCGACACTAGCCCATCGATTCTACTCATCGTGAATGCTTTCTAGATCTTCGTGGAAGATGTCATCTATGGTTGTTACCAAGCTAAGACCAGCGGACCACGGTCGAGCATTCGCGACGGAGCTTCCGAAGACAAGCACGCCTGTCTCGCGTAATGGCAAGTCTCGAAGTCCGTGGGCTGGCAAGGAAAACATCCAAACGAAGGAAGGTCAATTGCCTGCGGTCGTACAAGATGAAAGTGGCGTGTGAGTGACTTTTGCATGGACATACATACTCCCCGGCTCTGGTCGTTGCTGCACGTCTGGAGCGGAAGGGCAGGAAAGGTGAAGTCAGCAATGTGGAATCATTCAAGCCACTTGAGACCTTCTCAAGCCACGCGTTTCTACCACATCCACACATGACAAAGTGGACAGTAAACCGCTCATGACAAACAGACTCACTCATCCCCGGCCGATGGACTGGCACTTGAACATCTGGTGAAGTACCGATTTCCCGTCCTCTGCCATTGATTCCTCATGTCCAAACTCAAACGGTCGTCCGGATTCTTTCCAATCCACAACTCCACCACAGCCCTGCTGCTTCCCCCTGAGAAAGCCATCTGCATAAATTGGATGTGCTTTAAGTCCCTGTTTAGGACTTGACGATGTCATCCTAGTCAGCTCGCGCAAGAGTCAGCACGAGATGTTCACGTGAACCATGCCGCTCTTGAACGCAACGCGGCGGTCCCGCTGCCCTTTATCATGTGTTTGGAATCACGACATGCTTTCCGTGTCCGCAAGGATTGTCGGTCTCATCGGTCTCAACCGTAGAGATCTTGGCCCCGGCACAGGACAATGGCTAATGTGCGCAATTGTGGCTTCATGATGGTTGATGCATCGCGAGGAGGATAGCGAGCGCCTGCATGAGACTCTCATGAGAAGTATGTATAAAGTCTCCTACTACCTCTGTCGACTGTCCACTGCCCTTGATCAGCTCTGGTCGGATAGATTTTTCTTCCCTTTCACCGTCACGCTTAATCGTCACAATACGATATGCACCAATCAATCATACATCTGCTCTCTCTATGTGCCGGAGTGCTTGGCCAAGGTCCTAGTCATCCTCATGGCCCGCCATCGGGACCATGGCCAAGTGCTCGACCATGGTCAGGACAAGCAAATAAGGCCATCTACTTCTTAGATGACAACCCCAGTGGCAGCTCCATCGTCTCGATGCAAGTCAGCGCCAATGGGACCATCAGCAATCCTCAGCGTACTTCGACTGGCGGTAAAGGCTCCATTGCATCAGATGGGACGGCTCCTTTAGCTAGGGATGCTTTGATATCCCAGGGCTCCGTGATCGTGGGCGGTGAGGTGAGTCTCCAAGCCAACACATATGACAATCGAGTATCGAACTGAGACCTGCTAGTACCTCTTCACCGTCAACGCAGGCAGCAACACCTTGGCCATGTTCAGCATCGATCCACAAGATGCATCGCGTGTGACGCTCGTGGGCGCCCCAGCTAGTACCCTCGGCGAATTCCCGATGTCCGTTACCTACTCGGACACACTTAACATGGGTTAGTCTCTTACAGTACTCAAGATTTCGTACAGAAAGCTGATAGAAATGCCAGCCTGCGTTCTCAATGGTGGTGCTAAAGCTGGAGTGACCTGCTTTCACGTCGACCGGCAAGGCGGCCTCCAGCCGACCGGATCCTTCCTCTCTCTTGCCGGCATCACGAACGAGACGACACCCCCAGTTGGGCCTCCAGAGTCCAGCTCACAGATCCTGTTCACGCCAGACTCCTCCGCCCTGCTCGTCCTACAAAAGGGCAACGCAGGCCCACCAGTATCGCCAGGTTATATTGTCGCCTACCCTGTAGTCAACGGACGAGTCTCTGGCAACTCAGTCAAGAACCAGTTCGCCAACGTGGCCATGCCGTTCGCCGGAGTATTCGTGGACAACGATCGAGTGTTCATGGCCGATCCGTCCTACGGCGCCTCCATATTCGAAATTCCTAGCGATCTCGAACTTGTACAGCAGACCCATGTTGTTCTGCCAACACAGAAAGCAGTTTGCTGGTCAGCATACGATGCATCACTCAACACGGCATATGCCATTGATGCTGGACAGCCACTGGTCTACACCTTTGATCCTAGCTCAGGTGCCCAGACCGGCTCCTTTAGCCCCGACGAGAGCGTACAAGGATTGTTTGATAGCGCTATCAGCGATGGGAAGATGTACTCGCTTGCGGCGGCTAATGGTATCGTGGTTATGGATCTGGTATCGCAGACGCAAGTTCAATTCTACAACCTGACTAGTTTTGGCAATAGGCAGTACTGGGACGGCATGGCAGTGTCTTGGTAAGGACAGGTTACTTGTGGAGATCAGATTGTTCTGCAGAGTCTGGACGAGAATGTGGCACACCACACTGGCAACTAGCTCTCCAGTCTACTACAGAGATGAACAGGTAGCCTCAACTAGAGCAAATGTGCTATAATACATGTAGGCTTAATTAGCTCCCATCGTCGAGCTTGCAAGCTTGAGCAGGTCATCAAGGATAATGCGAGGCTCGTCTTCGATATCGTTCTCCAAGAAGTCGCGAGCAAGTTCCTCCTGCTCAGAAGTTAGCACGTTTGTTACATTTGACTAAATTGCATTAGCATGCCTACTCACAGCATCTTGAAGCTCGGCTAGCTCAGCATCAGGCAACTCTGCACAGATTTCGACCAGGTCCTCGCCACGAGCAGCAAGCAAGATCAGCTGCTCTGCCCTCTGCACGACCTTTTCATCCACCCCATTCATGGCAGCGCAGCATGTTCCGAAGCTTGCGCTGCTGCGACCGGGTTTGTAGTTGTAGAGGTACGTGATTTGTTCATCGAGAGCAGAGGACTCTTCATCGACACGTACTTCCATATGCGCAAACGCGAGCGACGGGCGCCTTGGTAGAAAGCCAGTCTCAAAGATCTCGTGGAAATGCGTTGCGCCTAACACTTTGGGACAATGAGTGCCGCGCTGCAGTAGATGCTCGAAGACACCAGCAGCGAGTCCTGCCCCATCGTACGACTCCGTGCCTTTGCCGAACTCATCGATGACAAGCAGGCTACGACGGGTAGCGAGGCTCAGAGCGACAGATATCTGTTGCAAGTCGATCATGAAAGCACTCTGCACGCGTGAGACACTTTCGCGAGTCGTGATGCGCGTCAAGATCTTGTCGGTGATGCCGATCTTCGCAGCTTCTGCCGGGACGAAGCTACCGATGTGTGCCATATAGACAATGATGGCGACCTGCTTGAGGTAGACGCTCTTGCCAGAGTAATTCGGTCCAGTCAGTATGGCCATGCTGGGGCCACTGGCGATTGCTTGAGATGCTGCCGGCGTAGAGGCTACATCGCGTAGCTCCTGAATCATTACGTCTTCGACTTGTTCTTGATATGGCTCACTACCAGATCCGCCCACTAGAAACGTGTCGTTTGCGACATACGACGGCACAGTCTGCTCCTGCAGTGGGTGTCGACCAGCTTTGATCTTGATGATGTTCTCCTCGGTCACGATGGGTCTGGCAAGATTGTGCATTTGTGCACCTTTTGCCAGAGCTACGAGAGCATCGAGCTCACCACACATATCCGATGCAGTATTCAGCAGATCTTCGTACTCCAAGACACGATCTCCAAGCTGCTGAACGATCTCAATCTCCTTGTCACGGATACGACCATAGATGTCACCAAAATGTTCGTCCATCTCTGTCATGTTGGAATTCTTATAGTACGCATTTTCCTCTGTGGCAAACATCTTCTCCCACGGATCGTCCTCGGTGCCCTCCCACACTCCTCTTCCAGTGTCTCCTTCAAGACGAATTGAGATGAGGAAGCCGATCTGTGGGAAGAAGATGACATTGACCTTCGAGTCGAGCACAGCCGGAACATGACCGGCAACATGGCTTGCAACTTTGGACAGTAGATCCTCAATGCCATCGTATGTCCTCTTGGCCTCGTCTAGCTCCTCATCGATGTTCGGATGCACGACTGTATGGCCCTCCAGCTTAGATGTCTCGATATCAACGACATCATTGATGAGCTTACCGACACTTGCAAGCTGGCGACGATCAAACTTATCTTCGATCTTAGCACGAATGGCGAGTCTTTCGCCCCCCTGCAGCTCGACCAAAGTCTCCAGTATGTTGAGGGTGTAATATGAGAAGTGGCGAATGGTGGACCATACAGAGGGGGAGACTCTTCTGTTCGAATTCAAGCCGCTGTTGATGCCTTTGCGCAGGTTGACCGTGACGATACGTAGATTCTTGACTTTGCCAAGACACTCTGACAGCCTGACTAAGCAAGTGCTGTTCTCAGGTCGAAGCAAGACGCTGATGGTCTGTAAGCGTTCGTTGATCACGGCAATGTTTAGGCTTGGCCGCAAGAAATACTGGCGTAGAAGAGCTCGACCTTGAGCTGTCTTGGCTTGCTGATGAAACAGGCCGTAGACTGAGAAGCCCTCCTTGGCACCACTCGACCAACCTTTACTTGGTGGCCCTTGGTTCTGCGCGTTCGGATGTGATTCAATCGATGTGATCTGCAGTGATGCCAATGTGTCTGCATTGATGAACATGGTCCCGCTGAGGCTGAACATCTCCACGGTGGCAACTCTGAACATGGCAGCAGCAGCTTGGTCTCCAGGGAGGTAGGACGTGGCTCTGCGGCGCTGCAGGTACGAAAGGACTGCACCTGCGCAGCCGACTGTGGTGCGACTTTCGACATTGATCCAGCCCGACAGACGGAGAAGTTGACCTTGACGGCCAGCAAAACCTGTGTCGGCATTGTCACGGTCGTCCTGCTCGGTCATGATGTCGCCAGGGACCACGAAAGTCACACGGGGACCATCGTGTTGGCCGATGCGAAGGTTGACCAGCCTGTTGCGAGCAGAGTCGTAGCCAAACTCGGCATTCGGACGGCGTTCAAGCAAGTATGGTAGGCGAGTCTGATCAGTACTTCTGCCATCTACTGATGCTCGTGCGTCTCTCATCTCGGGGTCAAGACGTTCAATGACCTGATCGTCACATTTGCTTGAGACGAGTACCACGGTCGGCTCAATGAATAGTTTGACTAGGACTGCTGTCAGTATTAGAGGGAGCAGAAGGGGCTTATTCCTCACGCTGATCAATGATGTCTGGGCCACCAAGCCTGACGTCTTCGAGAAAGTACAGCTTCTCCTGGCGTGCTACGTAGTATGCGCAGCCCACTGTGCCCCGTTCTGTGAGCTGCACGGCCATGATCACCTCGTCAAGAGAGTCGAGGTCGGCATCGGACTGATCGTGTGGCTGCTGATCTGTGGTAGCGACACTCTCCGGGTGCGGCACGAAGGTGCGGCTCGAGGCTGATCCCTGGCTGGCAGAACGCCTTCGACCAGTTCTGTAGGAAGTCATGTTGTCGAAGTGTGCTATTAAAGGAGGGGGATGAGGTGAGAATAGACGGCCGTTAGGATCAGCTGGAGCGCAAGGTCGTAGGAGTGTGGAGGCGTGAGGTCAGATGAAGTGAGGTCAGAGACGCGCTCCATCTTCCTCCGTCTCGATGCGGCAAGTACGACTGGAGTTATGTACAAGCCCCCATCGTGGACTGAGCTAGTAGTAGAGCTCACGACTCAATCTTCCCACCATCCTGCTGCTGCCTCCACTCCTCAAACCCTCTGCTCGCAGCCCGAATATCCAAGAAGCCTGCCCTCTCCTCCAACCCAGCATAAGGATTGCCACCACCCACACCCACCTCCTTAATTTCCCTCGCCTCCTTGCTCCTCTCAAGCCTACCAGCCCATACGTTCCATTGTATGGGTTTCAGTTCTGGACTGCTTAGGACCACGCCTGCGCATAGTAGGAAGACCGAGAAGAGTGTTTCGAGTGTGATGTCGAGTGGGAGGTTGACTTTCGGATCTAGTGCTTGAGGGAGTATGTAGCTCGCGGCCGTTGGTGTCGAAGATGAAGGGAGGAGAGAGTGCTCGTATGCGCTGTAGACACTGTATCATTGATAGCTTAGCATTTTTGTGGTTAGTAGTTGCAGCAGGCATAACTTACGCATGGGCGAGGAAGAGCATGCCCAATATATTGACAGCAGTCGCTAGTGCAGCCATGGTCTGGTATGTAAAGCAATGTTGGGGTGACCGATGATTACAGCTTCGTCAATTGATGCACGTTCATGTTTGGAGACGGCACATGAAGCAGAGCCGCAAAGCTTGGCAGGTATATATACATGTAGATTAATGCGAGAAGAAGTTTCTAACGGAGCAAAACGTCTACACAAACAATATGCTCGGGTAGATGGTGCTTTGCTGAAGCGTATCGCTCTATCTACGACAGGAATTTGTGAGACCTATGTTCACTGCTACAAGAAGTACGCCAAAAGCGGCGCTGCAGCAAGAATCCAACCCATGACGGCAACATGCCAATCTTTCGGCGTACATTTTGGCTCTGGATTGTATGGGTATGGATATCGGCCCCCAGCACTATGCCCTCGTCGTTCGCATCAATATACTTCGCTCATTGACTTGTGGTCGTACGTTCATACCACTATCGACTGTGCTCAGGGTGTTGTGCACTTGCTGCGTTTATAACATAGTCGTCAAGGTCGACTTGAGGCTTTCAATGTGCTCCATGGCCTGGAGAATATCGTCCCGATACTGATTCCATTTGAAGAATATGAGAGCTCTGGTGATACCTCCGCCGGACGCTGTCGGGTTGAAGCGCTCGAGGACTTCTTTGGCCTCTTCCAGGACATTTTTGGAATCGGCGAGAACGCGATACGCGATATCGTGTAGCGGCGAAGATGACTGGGATCGGAGCAAGACCTCGGCTATAGGCTTGAGAAGGGCCGAGTAGTCCATGATTCGAGCGGATAGCTGCAAGATTTCTTTCAGAGCATGCTTCAGGCTGCGTCTTGTACTGGAGAAGCTCAATGACACTCTCGCGGCATAATCCACCATCTGAATTACCCCAGCTGCCAATGCGAGCCCACTCATAGGGTCCAGACCGAAGCTAGGCATCTGTATCTTCGACGGAAATCTCCATTTCTCTCGAGTGCCTCCGTTGCGATGTTGATTGCTAGAGAATTGATCAGGGCTCGCTTCTCTTGTTGGATCTCCCATAGCCCCATTCGTGAGAAGGAGTGGCGACTGCGAATGTTGATCCATGTGCGCAGCCTCAGCTTCAGTCAATTCTGGCAAGTGCAAAGCGCGCAAGTATTCATCGACACCTTGAGACACGTTGTGATCGCCGTCTGTGGAAGCAGCGGATTCTGGGAGATCTTGGTTTGGAACAAAGTGGTCTGACCGGTCGTCAGAAGAAGCAGTTCTGGGTGCAATCACGTGTGACGAGTCGGGCTGCCGCGGAACCAGGACCAGTGGATAATCAATTGCAGCGTCTGGTAGAGTGAACACTTTTGCCTGTTCTGACAGCGGTAGTCCAGGTCGTGTCAAGAGGCGCTTGTAGATAATGTCCGTCAAGTCATCTACGTTTTCCAAGAGTAACCTATGATTCGATTGTGCCAGTCGCCCTGGTACCATGCTCATGTGGCCGGCGTGCTGATAGGGACTTCGAACCACGGTTCCGTCAGAAGCGTTGTCTAGACGGCGATCGCCAGACGTCGCAGCACCCCTTCAAAGTCCAGTCAGCGAACACTCCACCGGCTCCCGAGGGCTGACTTGCCAGAATCCCACCTGGAGCAGTAGCATCACCATGTCGACTTGTGCCTGCATGCTCTGCCTGACTTGTCGAGATCATCAGCAGCAGCAAAAGCCCACTGCAGCTTACGCGGGACATTGGCAACCATCCCGCGCTCCGAGTACTCACCCAGACCTTTCTCGTACTTATGGATACCTTGTTTAAAGTCCGCCACAAAACCGTCGAGGCCGTTGGATTGTTCCTGGATCTGTTGCTTGATATTGGCCGGCATGCGGGACAGATCCAGGCGTTTCAGCGTATCCATCACCGCGAGGAACCCTTGACACTGGCGCATCGCCATTTGATAATCCTTCTTAGATTCTTTGAGTGCATTGACAATTTTGTTACCGAAACCAATGAAGAAGCCTATATCCCCTGGACTGAAGCCGAAGGACATCTTGGTAATTAGTAGAATACCTACCTGTAGCAGTAAATACGTCGCGTATTCACTTGATCAAACGCAGAGTGGGGCGAAGGAGCTAGTCATGGCTTCCCATATACGATGATGGCAGGGCGGCCTCAACCATGACAATGTGGCGGTAAGGCTGCGTCTGGCCACTGCCAGCGCATTCCATCACCATCTCAATCAGCCGAAAGTTGTCCTTGCATTCGGAACTGGCAGTAAAATTGTCTTGGGATAGTGTAGCAAGATATCTACCACCTACAGAAGAAAGATTGTACATGAGCAGGCCGCGTCGCGGGTGATGGGCAGGGACCATTCGTGCCAAGCCTTTTGCTGCACGGCTCCTACGCCGCAATTGCATGACATCGGAATATACCTAGTCGTTGGGCATGTGTCTGGAAACTTTTATATGCATCTATGGTATCGTGTCTTAATGCTACTGATCGTCATAGTTCATGCCATTGATCTGGGAGATATACAGCAAGAGCTGAACATTCGATCGGGGAAGGCTTTAACAAGGTGCCTTGCCGTGACCAGTGCAGCAGCGCATGCGCCTACAACTTCTGCATGGCCGCGACGTCAGAAGACTGCACATAGTCTTCGAAGCCCTCAATCTCCTCCTGGAGCTCGTCGAGGGAGATCTTTTCATCCTCAATGACCAAGTTGATCTGCAGCTTCTTGATGCCGAAACCGACAGCGACCAACTTCGAGCCACCCCATACGAGACCGTCCTTCTCAATGCCGCGCACAGCGCCTTCGAGCTCTTTCATGTCTGTCTCGTCATCTGGAAGAATATGTTAGCCGGGCTCAGAAATGTATATGATTGTGATCTGAGCATACCCCAAGGCTTAACATCGAGTGTGACAATCGACTTGGCAGCAGGCTTCGTCTTGCCGGCCTTCTTCTTGGAATACTCGGCCAGGCGCTCCTCCCTTACACGCGCAGCCTCTGCATCCTCCTCCTCGTCATCGGAGCCGAAAAGATCGACATCCTCATCGTCATCGTCACCACCCTTGGCAGCCTCCTCCTTCCCTGGGGCCTTGGCCGGGTTGACGGTGAGCTCAGACAACTCTGGGCCGTAGGCGGTGTACTCCTTGCTGGGGTCGCCTGGCAGAGAGGAGAATTCAGACTCGAAGGTGGCAGTGTGCTTGTACCAGCGGTAGGCGTGTGGATATTGCTCGACCTTTGGTGACTCCTTCAGGGCTTGGAAGCATTTTACATCGGCTTGCGAGGGACCGTAGCTGGAAGACGCTGTTAGCGACTGTTTGTTTTGTCGTGTGATTGTAATATGAGATAGCAGTGGGGCGAAATCAGAGGTGCACAGAATGCATTGGTTATAGTCATTCAGCGGGGTCTTACGCCGCCTCATCAACACGGACCAAATAATTATCATCAGGACAGCTGGGGAGTGTGAGGGAGGGGATGAGGCTGGAGACCTACCCGACAATGTACGATCTCGTCCGGGTCCACTGATCCAAGATGGTCAGACCCGTGCTGGATAGGAAGTCCGTGAATCCCATGGCGGCGCAATTGTGTGTTCGTGATAGGGAAATGGGGCAATGGAAAGTTGTGAAGCTGTGAGTAGTCAGTGGGATATTTTTCCCGCCCTGAGGCAACAAGGCATTATTCCAATACGCAGGGATGACGGGCCGACCCGCTGATACCGAGCCAATCAGTAGCCATCAAACGTTCGCGCCCGAGAGTTGATGCTAGAATCGTCCTGAAGCCTTCATGCTCTTGCAAGAGCCAGGATTGTACATATATCCTTCCGCCCTCGCCCCTGTTCCTCTGTTCCACCTGATCGTCGATGGTCGACATATTGGGACTGTCAACGCTCTGCTCCCGAATCAATATCGTCAGACATGCTCGCAAGCACAGGTAGGAGCGCGGCGAGGCGAATCGCGAATGTACGATTTTCATCACCACGACTTCGCATACCAGCAGCTGCCGTACGTTCAAGCCCAGCTATTGTCAATGTAATCCAAGCGTCAGTCTCAGGCAGCTTACAACAGTCTCGGAACTATGCTTCGGGACGACCACATCCTCCAGGTGGCACTCATCGGATGAACTTGTCGGGCGAACCCGAGAAACCAGCACTGGAACAGTACGGAGTCGATCTCACAGACAGAGCAAGGTCTGGTAAGCTGGATCCCGTGATAGGCCGAGACCAAGAAATTCAGCGGACGATCCAGATCCTGTCAAGACGAACGAAGAACAACCCTGTCTTGATTGGTGCGGCTGGAACAGGCAAGACCGCCATTATTGAAGGCCTGGCGCAAAGGATCGTCAAGGGCGATGTTCCGGAAAGTATCAAGGAGAAGAAAGTCATCTCCCTGGATCTAGGAAGCTTGATAGCGGGTGCGAAGTTCAGAGGTGATTTCGAGGAGAGATTGAAGAAGGTGCTAAAGGAGGTCGAGGAGGCGGAAGGAAATGTGATCCTGTTCATTGATGAACTACATACGCTGCTTGGGCTGGGCAAAGCTGAAGGCTCGATAGACGCATCTAATCTCTTGAAGCCAGCTCTGTCACGAGGTGAGTTACGTCTTACAGGAGCAACGACGCTCAACGAATACCGTCAAATTGAGAAAGATGCGGCGCTTGCAAGACGATTCCAGCCAATCCTTGTTGGCGAGCCTACGGTGCCGGACACGATTTCTATTCTGCGAGGGATCAAGGACAAATATGAGGTCCATCACGGTGTTAGGATCACAGATGATGCTCTCGTAGCAGCAGCCACATACTCCAACCGCTATATTACAGATCGTTTCCTGCCAGACAAAGCCATTGACCTCGTCGACGAAGCAGCCTCAGCGCTACGTTTGCAGCAAGAAAGCAAACCAGACGCAATCCAGGAACTTGATCGACAGATCATGACGATTCAGATCGAGCTTGAAAGCTTACGGAAAGAAAGCGATGTGGCGAGCAAGGAACGACGAGAGCAGCTTGAGCGGACTCTGACACTCAAACAAGATGAAGCCGGTCTCTTGACAGAAAAGTGGGAGAAGGAACGAGCAGAAATCGAGACGATCAAGAAAGCCAAAGAAGACCTCGAGCAAGCACGAACTGACCTTGAGCAAGCTCAGCGAGAAGGCAACTTTGCTCGAGCGTCCGAGCTACGATACGCCAAAATTCCTGAATTGCAAAGAAAACTTCCAGCAGAAGAAGGTGGTGAAGGTGCCGCTTCGGCCTCGGTTTCAGAGACATTAATCCACGACTCTGTGACGGCAGACGACATTGCTGGCGTTGTAGCGAGGTCGACAGGTATACCAGTAACCAAGCTCATGAGTGGCGAGGTGGAGAAACTCGTACACATGGAAGACTCACTACGGATTTTCGTTCGCGGGCAGGACGAGGCCTTAACAGCTGTTTCAAACGCCGTCCGGCTACAGAGGGCGGGCCTGTCTGGCGAGAATCGGCCGCTGGCTTCGTTCATGTTCCTCGGACCTACTGGTGTGGGCAAGACGGAACTGTGTAAGAAGATGGCTGGGTTTCTGTTTAGTACTGAGCAGGCCGTCATTAGGTTCGACATGTCCGAGTTCCAGGAAAAGCATACGGTGTCCCGTCTCATTGGTAGTCCGGCTGGCTATGTAGGGTACGAAGATGCTGGACAGTTGACTGAGGCTGTCAGGCGGAAGCCTTATGCTGTTCTGCTATTCGACGAATTCGAGAAGGCTCACCGAGACATTAGCACTTTGTTGCTGCAGGTACTGGATGAGGGGTTCTTGACGGACGCACAAGGTCACAAAATTGACTTCAGAAATACTATGATTGTCCTCACGAGCAATCTTGGCGCCGAAGCTCTTGTGGCCGATGAGAGCACATCGTCTGACATCAGTCCCTAGGTGAAGCAAGGTGTGATGGACGTGGTCCAGATGTCCTACCCACCAGAGTTCCTGAACAGGATCGATGAGTTCATCGTCTTCAAGCGATTGTCAAAAGAGGCTCTGCGAGACATAGTTGACATACGACTTAAGGAGCTACAGAGGCGGCTTCATGATCGTAGGATCACGCTGGAGGTTGGGGACGAGGTCAAGACGTGGCTGTGTGAGAAGGGGTATGATCCTCGATATGGTGCTCGACCGCTCAATCGGCTGATCTCAAAGGAGGTTGGTAACAGCTTGGCGGACAAGATCATCAGGGGCTTAGTCAAGAGTGGCGAGGCAGCACGAGTTATGGTGAAAGATGGCGGAGAGCACCTCGAGGTCATAGCTGGGTTGTGAGGGGGAGTTCGATATGTGTAAAATATGCACGATTGCATGAATGACGATATAATAGCGTTGTCTAGATGTATGTACGATAGTCGCGAATGTAATACTACTCTGTAGGCTCACGTATGCACATACAGAAGAGACTGCATATACACGACGAAGCATAAGAGAAGCACAAGGGAGTCGATTAAGCCTTGACAGCACACTGTTCTGCACGTGACTGTAGGACACTAGCGTGCATCCACGGCGTTTACAGCTAATTCTCCGACAAACAAATTCAGAAAAGTTGAAGTACGCTTTGGGAAACACATTCGATTGACACATAATACACTTATGGCGCCCGCCGCGAAGAAGCGGCGCCTTTCGGACGGCGGTATCGCCAGTATCGAAGCTGTCGAAGCTGTCGAGGAAGTTCTACCAACGACAAATGCGGCAAAAGCAGAGTCCACGACAACGAAAGCTGTACCACAGACAAGATCACTATTCGTGCGAGCGCTGGCTCCAGAAACGACCACCGAGTCCTTGACAGAGCTGTTCTCAGAGTCCTACCCGATCAAGCATGCGACGGCTATCGTAGACCCGGCGACGAAATTATGCAAAGGCTACGGCTTCGTCACCTTCGCCGACGCCGAAGATGCCTTGCGAGCTAAGCAAGAATTCAACGGCCGAGTACTCAAGGACAGGAAACTCCGCGTCGAGCTCGCTGAGCCTCGTAACCGCGATGAGGCTGGCGAGAAGCTGCCGAAGGAGAAAGCTGAGAAGGAAGCTCCAGCCTCCACCAAGCTCATCGTGCGCAATCTACCCTGGAGCATTAAAGGTTCCAACCAGCTTGAGAAGCTGTTTCAGAGCTATGGCAAGATCAAACAAGCGTATGTGCCCAAGAAAGGGCCTGGGCTGATGGCAGGCTTTGGTTTTGTGGTTATGAGAGGTCGCAAGCATGCTGAGAAGGCTTTGGAAGGCGTCAATGGGAAGACAGTGGATGGGAGGACCCTGGCGGTTGATTGGGCGGTTGAGAAGGGTGTGTATGACGGGCTGCAAGCGCCGGAGGAGACGAATGGCGCTGAAGCAGAGGATGACGGCGACGGTGGTGTGAAGCTGGACGACGAGGACGACGAGGAGCTGTTTGCGAGAGATGCCACCGATGAGAGTGACAAGGGAAGTGAGGACGAGGCCGAAGACGAGGATGAGGATGACATGGACATGGGTGAGGATGACGACGAAGAAGAGGAAGAGGAGCGCAGGCCAGAGGACAGATCGTCAACTATATTTGTTCGAAACTTGCCGTTCACTTGCACAGATGAGGATCTTGAGGATCACTTCTCCCGCTTCGGCAGTGTGCGGTACGGCAGAGTTGTCATGGATATGGGCACAGGTCGGTCCAAAGGGACCGGCTTCGTGGCGTTCTACAACAGAGACGACGTCGATACTTGTTTGCGAAGTGCACCCCGCCGTACGCAGCCTTCTGAGATTCAGAAGGACAAGGATGGCAAAATCATCCAGGCACCGACCTCGATCCTGCAAAACGACGAAGCAGATCCGTCTGGCCAGTATACCCTTGACAGCCGCGTGTTACAAGTCAGCCGTGCAGTCGACAAGTCTGAAGCCAATCGCTTGACCGAGGAAGGCAAATCCCACCGCAACAAGCGCGACAATGACAAGCGGAGGCTGTATCTTCTGTCTGAGGGCACCATCTCAACAAAATCAAGCTTGTACGAAAAGCTGTCGCCTTCAGAAAAGACCATGCGCGAAGCGAGTGCGAAGCAGCGCAAGACCTTGATCGAAAGCAACCCGTCCTTACATCTGAGCTTGACACGTCTCAGCGTCCGCAACGTCCCACGCAGCGTCGATAGCAAAGAGCTGAAAGCCTTGGCCCGTGAAGCTGTGGTGGGTTTCGCGACAGATGTCAAGGGAGGCAAGCGGCAGCGACTAGCTCGAGAGGAGCTTGAGCGCGGTGGCGACGAGATGGTAGAAGCTGATGCTGCACGTAAGCGAGCCGGCAAAGGTATTGTGCGACAAGCCAAGGTTGTTTTCGAGGGCTCTGGAGGGAGCAAAGTGGGCGAGGAGACTGGGGCGGGGAGAAGTCGGGGGTATGGCTTCATCGAGTACTACACGCATCGATCCGCGCTCATGGGATTGAGGTGGCTGAACGGACATGCTGTTGGTTACAAGGTCAATGAGAGTAGCAAGGGCTCAAAGCGACAACCTAGCAAGGATGAGATGCAAGATCGAAAGAAGAGACTGGTAGTCGAATTCGCTATCGAGAACGCTCAAGTCGTCCTGCGTCGTCATGAACGGGAACACAAAGCTCGAGAGCGCAGCAAAGCCGTCCACGATGGCCGTGTGGAGGCTGCCGCTGCTGCCAATGGCGAAGATGCCGCTGCTGACAAGACGGCCAAGAACAAGGATGGCAAGACTAGACCTGGCTCGCGGAAGCGGAAGAGAGATCTTGAGGAGGATCGTAAGACTGGGAAGAAGCCTGCTGCTAGGCCTGCGGCTGCTACTGCCTCTGCTACGAAGAAGAAGGCGCCTGTTGATGAGAAGACTGCCAAGCGGAATCAGATTATTGGGCGGAAGCGTGCAGCGCGGAAGATGAGGAAGGGTGGGAAGTGAGCATTGGTCCGTCGTTGCCAGCTCATCAGATGATCCGGATGTGATGGCCATCTTGCCGATATAGCCTTTGCCGGATCCATTTCGGTATCCATCGGCGCTACGGTTGCATCACTACATACTTGCTTCATGACAAGCACGAACAGGTGGGCCTGGTAGGCTTTACGCCGCCCGAGTCCTGGTACTGGACTCTGGTCATCGGCGCCGTAAGAGGTTCTATGATGTGCTGGAAACGATCTTGTAGTAAATGAAGATTCGAGCTGATCTGCGGACAATCGCTCCAGATGCCGGCTGTGGTACTGGTGGGGTACAGTGACTGCGAGCGTGCCACCTCCATATGCTGTGGTCCGATTGGCAGCTCAATCGAATGCAGTATCTGATGTCTCACATCCACGTGCATTGCTTACCAATGGCTTGCATTTCGACAGCATGTGGTGCACAGCATGCTCAACGGTGCTGCGGTGTGGTACATCTATGCTTCGTTGCATCTGCACTATTACCATGTCTGGTTGGTACGCTATCTTCGCGGACGAGCCTTTCGTTCTCCATGACGGCAGAAAGTCTTAGCTGCAGTCAGATATCCAGTACCATGGTCCTGGGTCAAGGCGACGGCTCAAGTGAAGAAGGCGCTCGAGCCGGAAGGACCGTCGTGCAGCCGAGCCTTGTCTGTTGACAGGGGTGGCTGCAGCAGTACGCATATCGGTGGGTCGTTGTGCCTCCTCAGTGTCAAAGCTCGTGCACTGCGCTCGAGCAGACCTGGTTGTGAAGTCGAGGGTCCACGCAGTGCAACGCCTGTGCGACTTCTGGTCGAGTCCTGCTTCTTGCCGTACCGAGAGTCGAAGTCAGCAAAATCGTCGACGGGCGATGCAATGAAGCGACAGGCTGCAGGAGAGCGGTAGGTGGCGTGCGGAAGAAGCGGTGTGAAGTGACCTGTATCATATAAACGAAAAATTCTCTCTCGAGTTCCGACACGAGCTTCCAACTTCCACAAGTTCTCCTCGCTATGACCTTGATGCCATCGACTGGTCTGAGCTCCACTCGTGTCCTACGTATCTTCGTAGACGACCAAGCATTGGACGGTCCATTGCTGTGGGGAAGACGATGAAGTGGTCTTTCGATGCTTCGGCTCTCATCCTCAGGGGTCAATGCATCATGGATCGTCAAGTGCTCGGTGCTATCTGGGCCATCCTGATGAGCTATCGACTTGACGAGCATGCTATGCCATGCAGTGGTGTGGCGTGATTGAATGTGGTGGAGCTACAGCAGGCCCGTGCGTAGATATGAATGGAGATAGGAGAGCATATATACGTCGCTCTGTCGTCAATAGTGTATGCAGCTTCTTCCCTTGTACTATCTGTCGAGGTCTTCTGCTTTCTCATCCTACGCTGTGTTCATCGTCCGGACTGTTTCGGAGGGTTCGAAACCACGCAGCAGGAAGCAACACCACACGTTGTCAGCATATTGATTTTGCTTTGACCATGAATCATTGTACTGAACCTTCACAGATCGCAGAGTATCAAAACATCTCGGCACACACGACGGATCTGCTTCACCCCAGTAACCATGTGTCAAGTACGAAACTTGCCCAGAAGCACGTGAAGCTCTAAGCTGACCACAGAACAGTACGAAGTCATCCACTTTCAATGCGGCCACGCAGGCAGACGTCTGATCAAGCACTGTCACTTTGCCCGCAACGATCCGCACCACCAATGCGTCGGAGCCTGGTCCATCAAGCGAGAGTGGGTCAGCGCGAACCAGATCTGTCAGTGCTGTGGCCAGCAAGCCAATATGCAACGCGCGCAGCAAGCACAGCTGCGGGTCTGAAATGATGATTTGGTTGTTCACTGCTTGAATTATTTTCGGTCCGTCATGGCGTTCACGGACATACCCACTGAGTCTTGCTTGCGTTCTGGATTTGCTTTCTGCTTTTCTTGGCCTGGGCAGTATTGTGGTACCAAATGAGATCGATGACTGATGCAAGTGTACGAGAAGTGTTGTATGATAGTAGAACAAAGATCAGACCCGTCAGCTATTGGTTGGTAGCGCCTTCCACCTTGCCCTTCACGTTGTAACGTTTGCTGAAGAAAGTGTACCAGTCGTTCAGCACTTTCTTGTTGTCGTCCGAGAGGTCCTCCCAGTCCGGCCGGCACTCTTCTTCCTTAAGTGATGACTGTGCGAGTGCTCTACTTGCGTCCCGGCCTGCGAATACTACAGAGATGTCAACGGATGGACTCAGCAGACAAAGCTCGACTGAGCCAGATTGGTACCTTTATACGAGCCACCAGGACTATAAGCCTTGTTGCCAGTGACATCAAAGACTGTGCCCTGGAAATGAAGTCAGTGATCATACCTCCAATGCGAGTTTGCATGAAGCACCTTTATGGCAACATATGTTGGATGATCTTCATGTGTGCCTGCATTGATATGTTAGCCCTGGAGTTGCTTAACAGGTAGCGGCTGGGCCTACCATCGCATCTGCTGAGATAGTCCAAACTGATGACATCGTCCTTTGGAGGGTCAAGCTCGACCTTGTACTTCGGCTCGAACGACATGATGGTAGAACTTGCTGATGATTTCTCTAGTCAAAGGTCAATGTCAAAGCACGCATATTGGGACATCAGACGGTAGTGACCAAAGTGGGGGCAAAGATTACGTAAGGCATATCACGAAATCTATGTGACAAGGACCAGATGATCGGACGAAAATAAAGATATCGTGACAGTGTGGAGTCGATACGCCTTTGGTCTTCAACCGCAGGCAGACGTTTGTAACAGGCCAAGGTGTGCCATTCATCATTAGAAGGCGGACACCTGAAGAGCAGGCGATGACTGGGAACTCTTAAACGAAGGGATACGACATGTCTCTTAAGCCGGATGGAGTCTGACAATTGGTTCAAACACATTAGAGTGATCCTATGTACAAAAGCTAGGAGGTAGTCTTTTCAAGCAGCGGAGTAAAAGCAAAGAGAGGTATCGTTCTACGCCCCAAACATGGCATATTCTAGAAAAATCTGCTGCGCCGTTCATGGTAGATTTATTGTTTTCCCCCCAGCGCTCCTCGAGAACGAAGCCTATTCGTGAATAAGCTACCGGTGCTCCGGACACCGTACGGAAAAGCTCCATCTCACCCATCTCTCATACCAGTGAGCGCGAAGCCTGCAGAAGAAAGTATTCGCTGTATGGTGAAGAAAGATGTATATCCAGATAGATCGTCAAAGCGAGAGTGTGAAAACAAGTCGTAGCCCGCAGATGGGCTTGTGGTTTATATTCGACGCCTGTCATGTCGTGTGGGTGCTGGGTCGTGATGTATGGCAACGCAAGAGATCTAAGCTCAAATCTTATTCGAGCCGAGTCCAAGGTTCAGCCAGCTCATGTCGCTTGGCATAGTCTTCTGCTCACTTTGCCTTGCCTGCCCGCGATCGGCATAGTACGCACTGGGCACACCTCTAGGGAACACAGTGATGGTACTGTCCCGTTCTTCCGCAGGCTTGCTGATTCGCAAAGCTGGTGGCGGCTTTGGTATTGGAGTTGCCCAGTCAGCTGTAGGCGCAGCGGATGACCCGAGCTTGCTGGCGGTCTTCGGTGATGTCTTGTATGACACCCCAGTACCTGGAAAGAAGCTGCCACCGCCTTTGCCACGAGATGGCACACGCGGCTCGTACATGCTGCTGGTGTAGTTGCTGCTGGGCGGTCTCGCATCACTGTTCGGCCGACTGTCATTGAGGTGATCCTTGAAGCTGACGGGCGTGTATGGAGTCTCGCCAGGATTTGTATAGTAGTCGCTGTCGCTCATGGTCGACCCGATCGTTGTCCGATGATTCGTCGAAAGCGAGTACCCTGAGATCTGTGACCGCCTGTCTAGTGTTGGTGAGTCGACCATCAGCCCTGACTGACCATGTGACAGCTCAGCGGCACTGGCTTGCCTGGACAAATCTTCCCTTGAGTGATTGAAAACAGGCGATCCAGTAGCCACCGTTGACAGTCGTTGACCGTCAAGAGTCTTACTGAAGTCGATATCGAGAGGTGGTACGAGCACCGAAGATGGTATCCTCGATGGTTGTGAAGCTCTCGAGTAGTCGGAAACATCGCTCAGACCAGACTTCGTTGTCGACTTCATGTAGCCAGCGGGAAGGTGTGATACTCCGTTCGGGCCAGTGGGCCCGCTGGTAGCGAAGTACTTGGACCAACCAGAGCTGCGATTCCTTTCCACGTCATCCGAAGCAACTTCTTTCTCCGTATCGTAGGTGGCAGCAGGAGATGCTTGCTTGGGCAGTGGCAATGGCTTGCGCATGGGCTGTGGGACTGCCAACGTCTTATCACCTATGTCCATCATTTCCATAGGCTCGCCAGCACCGCTCCTGTCGCGTGCGAATGGAGCTGTACTGTCGAAGCTGGCCTTCTGCTGCACATGGTTCTTGCTGTTGTTGTTGAACCTTCCAGCAATGATTGCAAGTGAGCTGTGCGAGCCACCTTGTGAGCCACCGTTTGCTGTGCTATACCGGCTTTTGTCAGGCGGAAGCAGATTATTAACCGAGCCTCCAGCCTCCTTCATGAAAGATGCACCGCGATCAGCAAAGCTCATACGGTTGCGTCCTTTCTCATCGATGTAGCCCTCCTGCTTCTGTCGCTTTGACTTTCGCCATCTCAAGAAAAGTAGAATCAGTATGAAAAGTGCTGCAATACCACAGAGCACACCAAGAGTAATGCCAAGCGTTCTGAGCATGCGTTGATGTGCATTGAGGCCGTCGTTTGGTATTCCGGCCGCAGATGTGGTGTGAGATGGTGCGGATGAAGCGGTGGATGTGCCTGTCTGAGTTGAAGTCTTACTCGAGGTAGAAGAGGGCTGCAGAGGCTGCTGGTCTTTCGAGTCGAAGAATTTGTTGACATCCACCCAGCTGTTCCCGCTCTGGTCGAACAGTGCCACGGGCATGTTCGTGTTGCCACCACTGATTGCCGCAATGCCACTAGGTCCTTGTGCGACTGCGCAATCTGCTCGAGTTGCGGTTGGTGCATTCGAGCTGTTGTACGATGGCCAGTTGCTTAGAGATAAGTCTCTACTTCGTACGCGTGATGATGAGCCGCTGCCAATCTTCTGTCCATTCGCAGCGGTCTCGCCATTCGCGCCAAGTAAAACATATTGCGAGACTGTGTTCGGTGACACATTGACATTATAGACTTCCAGCACTTTGCTCCCATCGCTTCCATCAACGATAGTACCGCGTGCTGCAGGGTCGATCGCGTCTGTCAAGTTCGTGCCCAACTGTGTCCAGCCTTGCGATGTGTCGAAGAGGAACACTTGCTCGTTGGTCGACGAGCCACCAACCATTACTGCGTGACTGCTGTTCCATGGTGTTAGGAGAGGCATTGTCAGTGGTGGCGCCTGTGACGTGAAAGATTCCAAGTTGAATGGTCCGTCCGTAGATATGAAGAATGTCTGTGAGGACAGGTCGGATGGGGCTTGTGGCTGGGAACCAGCATACACCAGAATTCCTTTCGCATCCTCAATGTATGCTGCACTGTGCCCTGTCCGCGAGTGCATGTCCTCTGTTGGCGGACTCAGCGTCTCCCACGCTTTGTTCGCGAACGAGTATCGTTGTAGACCTCCATAACCAGTGTCATCTGACGTCCCGCCGATCACATATAAAGTTCTTTGCGAGTCCACCAACACGCATGCTGGTCCTGTCACGGACTTCGCACTCGCCTCCTCGTTCCACGTTGCATTCTGTTTCAAGCTCAACGACTGAAATCCAGAGGGTGAGAGTACATATAAAGTGTTGTCGTCAATTGCTGAGCAGTGGCCCTCAAGCGCCTGAGCAGGCTGAGGACCAGACATGAGTTGTGGTGCTGGAGCAGCGTGTCGCCCAGCACCCAAAGTCGAATAATAATGCTATCGCGCTTCCGTAGTGGTATGATATCGGTGTCCAGCACTAATCTAGTGATTGCTGTTGCTGGCTTGGAAAGATGTGGTCGCCAGTGACCAAGATGGAGGACCCACGTTTGCTCCTGCCCATTCGGTGTCCGTCCTCTGCCCGCGACTTCCTCCCTGCTCAGATTCGAACGCTACCACGTGCCTGATATTGAGCAAACACACTTCCTCGCTCCTGGCGCGTATAACTGGTGCGAAGACAGACGGTCGCTTCTTCCAAGACCAGTAACGAGAGTGGTGAGACGTGCAAACAAAGGTCGACAGCTAGTGTTGAGACCTCACCAGATGTGACAGTCTCGACCAATACTCTCCTGCAACGACTAGAACAGGCAGGCCTGCAAAGCGACCGGGTATGAAACGCGCTGCGACTCGGATGTTCCTTCGTGTCTCCCGGACAAGATCCTATGGGCGATGCGGCTGCGTAGTGAGTGAAATGGGTACAAGGAGCGAGTGTGACGGATCGAGTACAAGCGAATGTGATGCAACGCGCAAGGCGGCGGATTGGTGGTCGTGTAGCGAACTGGTCCTGGGAGCTGGATCACAGCTGTGTCAAGGTCGAAGGGGTTTGTGCCCGGCAAGGAGATGCAGGTGCAGGGCAGGGGTGTGCATGGGCCACAACGCCGAGTTCAATGATTATCGTTGATACAATATTAATAGGGGAACTTCTTCTTTCTCGGCGATTGCAACGCCACTACATCTAATCATAAACACAGTTTGCTTTACGGGGAACATCCACGGAGCATGACGTGGGCTCTCTTGACTGGACAACTACTGTTTGTCTGATCTTTGGTACGTGGGTGTTGTAGATTGTGATCGAGCAATGGCGAATAATCAACGTTTTGGTTGTACGGATGAAACAGTCCCACGATGTGCATACGAGTGGATCATGGACACCCTCGATATCACAGTCAGGTCGATCACGCCTTCCATCCGTACAGAACTGTTTCGCAAGCTATGTGAAGCTATACAGCACGTCTATTCAAACATGATGTAGTGCTGTATAGAGAGTACTTTCATGCAACACGGCAGGACGCGCAGCGCCACGCGAGGAGCCTCTTCTCAAAGCAGCCGCAACGACGCTAGCTTAGCGTGTTAGACGATGGAACTCATTTGAGCTCGGGTAAGACATGCATGTTGAGCTGCAACAATGTTTGAAGAAGTCTGTATAATAAGACTACTTGATCTTTCCTGCCTCTGACCGCGATATCACACTGTCTCCCAGCACCAAGCATTGACTCAAGCTTCCCCGCGCTGATGACAATATTCCTTCTACGATCGTAGCGCCGCTGTCATATCGGAGCCAGTGAGGGACGAGAACCGCTCATGCTTCATCACATCACACGACCTCGTGCCAGGTATTACAAGCGCTTGTCTACCCCACCACGACTCAATGCTCAATTCCAGGTGTCAAGTCGGGAGGATCGTGGAAGGACCGCAAGGTTAGCCTCTTAGGATTGATACAGACCGCGATCTGAGCAATGGTCGATGGCGGACGAACGCATATAAATAATATGACCGGCCACTTCCATGTGTCAGGTGCCTGGTGGTGTTCTCTTTTGACCAACATAGCAGCGGCTGTCTGTCAACTAATGCCGCATCGATAAGCTGATCATCGCGCCTGGCTCGTCCGTTCGGATGACTGTGCTAGGTGCCGGCTACAGGATTGGAAATCCCATTGCAGAGTCGGCTCAGTCGGCGTACGAGATATTCCATAATCCTTCTCCCAGCACTCCATTGTCGAACAGAGTGAATCTCGCCGGAGCTGGCCGAGCCTGAACATCCGCAGCTCTCGGCAGCGGCGTCTCTGAAGCATACGGCTGGTTGACCGGCCTGAACCCGCTGCTAGAGCTCGAACCATTTCTACCAAGTGACCGCACAGCATCGAAAGGCACCCCACCATTGCTGAATGGCCCAGCACCATCGTACTTCTCTTGTAGCATGCGTTTCTTGATGTTGTCACACAAACCCTCGAACCAGCTCAGCTGTTCCTGGTTCCGCTCAGTCGCAGTCACTGACGCCATCCTCGCGCAGACAGCATCAAGGATGGCATGAGGTTGTAACATCGATGATATGGCTCCTACTTCCCAACCACCAGAGGACAACGAGGGCTGAGCAATGGTCGCAACGGTCGTGAGTATCTCTAACAAACTGATCCAGTCGATGATTGCCATCTGGTAGAAGACAATTGCAGGTTTACTCAAGAGGTCGTCCAAGTACTCCTTAATCGAGCAAGCACATTGTATCAGAGTCGCAGTCTCTGGTGTGCCGCTAAGCTGTAATGCCCTGTACTGGAAATGGATATTCGCGGTCGCGAAAATTGGGAGGCTCGCAAGAACATGATGATCTCGCTTCAAGGCTTGCATGCGGTGTGAGACGGCCAGGCGATAGACTTCACATTCCGAGGTATGCACAGTCCGCCCATGGTTGCTGATCGCTCGGAACAAGTCGTCGAGATCATTCACAGCCCGCGTCATCTCTAGTGTCGCGATGAGCGATCGATCGTGTGGCTGGCTTCCAGACGTAGCAACCATTTCTGCACAAGTACGAAGATTGTAAGTCCAGCGCAATGTGCTCGGTCGGTTGAAGCCCATGACAGACAGGCTGCAGCAAAGATGATAGCAGCCAACAAAGGCTCTATTGAGTTCCGCCGTGCTGTCGGAATTCTGCTTGTCGCTCTGGTAAGGCTGCCGATACAAGCCCAAGTCCGCAGCCATGCCGCTCAACAGACAAGTCATCTGACAGATCTGCTGCTTGGCCATGTAATTCTGATGCCAGGCAAGAAAGATTAGCAATGCCACGAATAAATCGAGACTGCTCTCGCAATTGACAATGACTTTGTGTGATAGTGCAAGCCGAAAGGCGTGTAAGAGCCGCGTCAAATGATCACGTCGAGCGCCAGATGACACCGCGCATATTGCGAGCGTAGTTATAGGTCGATCACAGATCATGCGAGAAGGGTTCAAGTCTGGCCAGAGGTTGAAGAATGGGAAGTGACCGGCCATTGGACGAAAGGCGGCGAATCTCTTCCGGATATAGTCATCGTCGACCCCCTGGAGGAGGTCGCCGGGAGCCTATGGCAGATCAGCGACAATGTAAGATACGAGCATCTGCCAACCCACCGATTCGATGCCTAGACTTCGTGCAAAGTGCTTGCCGCTCGACCCTGTGCCATTGCTCGTCGATGCAACCGACGGTGGCGTACTGCGTTGCACAGTCGAGCCTAAGGTTGGCAGACTCGCCCTCGACGTTGCATTGTCGTCCGCACCGTTGTTAGCAGCCGGCGCTTCGTCATGTGAACCATTGCGCAGAGGTTCTTGATCTGCAGTCCTTCGCTTCCGAGGCTTTGGTAGACTAGCAAGGCATTCTTTGCCCATATGAAAACATCTGTGCCCGATCAGCATTCGACTCTCATCATTTATCTTGACATCCCAGCTCCGTTGCCTCGATAGGATACCACGGGTTCTAGTATCTCCACATGACACCATGGTCAAATGTTTGCCGGGCTACCGTCAACACGTACTCCTCCATGCAAGATGAGAAAGCCCGGGACATCACTACATTGCATTGTGACATTGACCTACCTATGACATTTGCCTGATGCGTCTTCACTAGGGACACATCTCATCTTAAGATGGGAGCATTGCTGGCAGGCACTATTTCTTGGCTGACGTTTCCTCTTGATGCGGCCATCTGACAGTCGCTCTAGGTTGTCTTCGGGTGGCGGTGGCGGTTTATATGGCGCGACTGGAGACGGATAGGGACCGGCTGACACGTTGGTCTCCATCGGGAGATTATGGAGTAGTAGGAAGAGAAGCAAGCGAGCGAGCACATGAGCAGGTAGAGAATAGATGAGAAGACGATCGGATCGATCAGAATAGCCGGTGACCGGTTGTTGTCGTGCAACGCGGTCAAAGAACTACCCGATCCTCTCAGAACTTGTGGAAGGTGTGTCTCGGCCCCTCCTCGGCACGGGTTCATGGAGCCGGATCAATCCTGAGCCGGCCCTGATAACCGGACGTCGCCAAAATCAATGACATTATTCTTATCTGGTCGGCGTGTCCTGCTCCTTGGACCAATGTTGTCGTGCGAAGCGGCTCATATAGGCCAATCACGGTCATTATCGTGGGTACTAGCAAAACGAAATTCAATCGAAAGCTTTACTGCTGATATATGCTCGGCTTGCACTGGCTACCTTTCGAGAGCTTGCGCTCGAGTCTATGTCTATGCCCCTCACTGAATACGATCTGTCTTGCCATTTATATCTCGTCACAAGCCAATAGGTAAGATCAGCCTAGACAAAAAGAGAAGATCCCAGGCACTCAATGCTGCTCCTGGGCCCGGAATCATGGTGTCCCTAATTGACGTAAGCTCCATTGCATTAAGCTTGCAGGAAGCTGCCCAGTCTGCGATTGTTGGAGGTTGGGATTTGAGCTCGTCTTGTGTTGCTGTGGGATCCATTTGCTCAATTTTTGCATCGTCCGAGCGGAAGATGAGCTGTCCAGATGGGCTTAGGGTGAACTTTGGAGGCAACCCTCTCATTTGCAGCAGCATAATCAACAAATCCGCAAAGTGTTGACCTTGCGGCCAGAAAGCGCTCGGAGGCATATCAAATGGCCAATGATGTATTCCATCAAATGCGTGGAAGGATGGACCATCGTCACAGCATCGATACATTCCAGTCAACCGTTCGATGCTGTTGATGAGCAGTACAGCAGAGATAAATGTGCTGAAGCCTGAAGCCTGTTGGCGTTGTAACAACCGTCGTTCGAGCTCACTGATCACGTTCCGTGATAGTTCCGAGCAAATCGACTCGAGCGCCGCCTTGACCTGACCAATGATCAATCTTAAGTTGTCACCATTTGGAGCCATACTTTTCGTGACACTAGGTTCGTCCTCGGACACATAGAAAGGGGAGTTGTTGTCGTTTGTCGCATCACTCATAGTGACCTTGAAAGCGTCCCCTGATGAACAAAGGGCGTTGGTGGCTGACCACAAGGCTATAGTATTACTGATCAGATGATGTTGCAGGTTATAGCAAGAACGACCTTCTGGCTTTGGAATGTTGGTTGGAAGGTTAGTCGATTGCTCCGATCTAGCAAGCATACTGGCGTGCTGCAACGTAGTATTCAGGATTTGTGAATTCTGATTTGCGGCACGTGGCCTAGCAGAGTGTATCGCATGCTGGAGGGTCTCAAACACTGTGCCGCCGTCACCCAGCAAGAGCACAGCGCTCGGACAGTGAGAGTATTCGCTATCTGCCAGATCTGCAGATTGTGGACTGTACGCCGTGGCTGCGAAATCCAACATCATACGCTGCCCAAGCGACAGCTCGATGTGGATCCTCCCAGTGTATGGCTCCGCGTTCCGACCTTCCACAGCAGCGTTGATATTTGTGGTTGACTGCATCAAGAAAAGCCTTGTCGACCACAGTGTGAACTCATCGACAAGCTTTGTCCGAATGCAAGTGCCCTTCCAGAGGCGAGCAGATTCAACGTTGGCACAAGTATTGCATGGAGTGCCATCTGAGCACGGCTTCTTGAGCATTCGGCAGCGCAAGCATGCTCCTTGTTTACGCATTCCTTGGACCTCTTTGCGTCTCATGTCAGAGAACTTTCCACGCACCCGAGGCTTCTGTCTCTGATACGGCAGACTCGAATCTGCCACTGGCGCAGCGCTAGGAGCAGCCAGTGTTGCAACGGTTTGTGAAGAGCTGTTCATGCTAGGTTTCCAGGCCAGGTCACTGCGTCGTACAGCCTGGTGTTTGCTGCCTACTTTATCGTCCGAGAGCTGTGGATCGACCAACGATGGCTGCACAGGATCGATGTGTTCGGGTTGGGATGTTGTGACTGACAGGAGCGGTATTGTAGTTGGAGATGTGGGCGATCTCGTTGCAAAGCCGCCATGGTTGTCATCCAAAGTTGTGGAGGCCAATCGACGAGCTTGCGTGGTTGGTCTACTGAGCTCAGAAATTAGGGCTTGTTCCAATATATTGTCCTGGTCGAACTGCGGCAACACCCCTTGGAGCTGGAACGGTAGACGCTCGTGAGATAGATCCAGGTGTCTTCTGGAGACTTCTGCCAATGTGGCAAGAGCTGACTGATCTGGTACGAAGAGCGTCCGATTGACAGCATCTGGAGGTGCCCCTTCCGGAATGAAAGTAGCCTGGTCTGGGTTTCCGTTGTCCTGCAGCTGTAGAGCTGCTCTCGAAGTCTTGTTCTTCTTCTTCGATCCTGTGCCAGCTGGACTGCAAGCAGGGTTCTGCTGTACATAAAGCAAGACGGTCTCTCGATCGTGTTGAGAGATGTTCGGGCATTGATGTATGATATGACCGATTAGTGCTTCTATACGACCTTTGGGGAACTGGGAATTATCAGTCTCATAATAGCGTGCTGCACAATCTTTGGTCGTCGTACCACATCGCCACACCGCCTATGTGCACTTGTCAGTACTGTATAGCTCTGCAAGGTCTCTCCATGGCTACGATCAGAGCAGGGCGTTCATCGGCCACGACGCCGGCTTGCGATACTCAGACATGACTTGGAGTGCGGAACAGCTTTCTCAACAATACTTACCGACAAGTGTGCCGATACCTGTTGGAGGCATCGGGTAGCTTCTCGCCTCGATCAAAGAGCTGCAGGACGAGCTGATTGGGTCGGCGGCCCATGGCCGCAGCGGACTGGTGGCCTCCTATGGGCGTGCGTGAGCGAAAAGGTGTCTGTGGTGCTTTCAAGATCGTGTTGCTTGTGGTTCTGCCGTCCGATGACACCGCCCTGGCGTGAACGGTTTAGCAATTTCGCGCTAGCTGATTTGACGCCACGCTTCGGCTTCACCCACCGAGATGTGGCGTGCATGTGTGAAAACCTACACCTTCAATCTCGAATATAACATCAATACATATATCAATCCGGGACTGCAAGATGACCTCTCTCAAGCGGTCACACGCTTCGACGTCGACGGGCACAACACTATCCAGCAAAACCTACCTCCGCACACTGAAATCTGGAAAGGTGCAGAAAGTCGTTCGCGAACTATACCTTCGCCAAGATATCCCATGTTCTTCACGATTATGTTCAGCATGTCTGGACCTGGCACCAGGGGGCTTCCATCGCAGAAGTGAGCCAGCGGTACTATCGGCCACACCTTCCGCCACCAAACATTATCCTGAGGGCCATTATCTCGTACCGGACACTAATGCTTTTCTCTCTGCCATGGACGTCTTCGAAATTGAGGGTAATGCATTTCAGGATGTCGTTGTGCTACAGACAGTTCTTGAAGAAGTGAAGAACCGATCTCTGCCGCTCTATAATCGACTTATTGCCCTGACGAAGAACGAAGGCAAAAGATTCTATGTCTTCTTCAACGACTTTAGGCTGGAGACATATGTGCAGAGAGATGCTGGAGAGACGATCAATGACCGGAATGATCGTGCTGTACGTAAGGCTTGCGCCTGGTATGCTCAGCACTTGCAGCAAGCTGCCAAGTCCAGGAAAAGCGCGAGGTGTCCAGCAGTCGTGATGATCAGTGATGACAAGGACTGTTTGCGAAAGGCGACAGGCGAGAGCATCATCGCTTCCAACCTCGAAACATATGTGTCTGGGCTGCCGGATGCTGATCGTCTGATAGATATGGTGGCTGCTAGCAGCGAGCAGCGCATCACGAAAGAAGGCAGATCACAATTGTTGTATCCTGACTACCTGACCATATCCGCCATGCTCACGGGTGTGAAGAATGGCACACTTCATCAGGGCATCTTCAACGTATCGCCCTACAACTACCTCGAAGGCACAGTGCACGTTCCAGCATTCGATCGATCACTAATCATACAAGGCCGCGAAAACAGCAATAGAGCTGTCTCGGGCGATATTGTTGTGATTGAATTGCTGCCGAAAGATCAGTGGAAAGCACCTTCTAGCAAGGTGATCGAGGAAGAAGATGTGGGCAAGAATGAAAGCGCGGAGGTAGACGAGGAATCACCAGAGGGAATCGTCTCGGAGCGTGAGAGACGAGCACTGCAGGACGAAGTCAAAAAAGCGCATGGACAGAGCACCGAAGGCCAGAAGCAACCTACTGCGAAAGTTGTTGGCATCGTGAAGCGCAATTGGCGACAGTATGTCGGCCATATCGACAGGGACTCTGTGAGGTCACGTAATTCGGACAGCAGAGCACAGCAGACTGTGTTCCTGATCCCCATGGATAAGCGCATACCGAAGATCCGCGTACGTACCAGACAGGCTGGCGAGCTTGTGGGAAAGCGTGTACTGGTCACTATTGACTCATGGGATCGAGAGTCTCGCTACCCGGTTGGACATTTCATTCGTAGCCTGGGTGAATTGGAAACGAAAGGTGCTGAGACTGAGGCTCTACTACTGGAGTGGGACGTTCAATACCGACCATTTCCGAAGACTGTGCTTGACTGCCTACCTGCTGAAGGCCATGACTGGAAAGTGCCTGCAAGTACGGAGGACCCTGGCTGGCAAGGTCGGCGAGACTTACGTGATCTTCTCGTCTGCTCGATTGATCCGCCTGGCTGCGTTGACATTGATGACGCCTTACATGCTAAGAAACTGCCGAATGGCAACTTCGAAATCGGTGTACACATTGCAGATGTGTCACACTTCGTCAAGCCGAATAACGCCATGGACAAGGAAGCCTCGCTCCGTGGTACCACAGTGTACCTGGTCGATAAGCGCATTGACATGCTTCCGATGTTGCTCGGCACGGATCTATGCTCGCTAAAGCCCTATGTGGAGCGCTTTGCGTTCAGTGTCATGTGGGAGGTCAACACAAACGCGGACATCGTGAATTCGACGTTCACAAAGAGTGTAATTCGCAGTCGAGAAGCGTTCAGCTACGAAGCTGCACAGCTACGTATCGACGATAGATCCCAACAAGACGAGCTTACGCAAGGAATGCGGCATCTCATGATGCTCTCCAAGAAGCTGCGTGCCAAGCGCATGGCTGCTGGAGCGCTCAATCTGGCCAGCCCTGAAGTTCGTGTGCAGACCGAGAGCGAGACGTCAGATCCCGTGGACGTACAGACCAAGAAGCTTTTGGACACGAATCAGCTGGTTGAAGAGTTCATGTTACTGGCCAACATCAGTGTTGCGGGCAAGAACTTTGAAGCCTTCCCTCAGACAGCACTACTACGACGTCACGCTGCACCGCCAAAGAACAACTTCGAAGAGCTCAGTAATCAGCTCAAGGTCAAGAAGGGCCTGGAGTTGCGAACAGAGTCATCTAAGGCACTAGCAGACAGTCTTGACACCTGTGTCGAGTCAAGCGAACCATTCTTCAACACTCTGGTACGCATTCTCGCCACACGTTGCATGATGAGTGCCGAATATTTCTGCTCCGGTACCCAAGCCGAATCGGAGTTTAGACATTATGGCCTCGCTTCCGAGATCTACACCCACTTCACCTCGCCTATTCGTCGTTATGCCGACCTTGAAGCACATAGACAACTTGCGGCGGCCATCGAATATGAGTCGCTGGACGCTAGCCTACAGAGTAAAAGCAAGCTCGAAGCTGTCTGCAAGAACATCAACGTTCGTCATCGTAATGCCCAGATGGCTGGTCGAGCGAGTGTGGAATACTATGTAGGACAAGCATTGAAGGGGCGGGTGATCGTGGAGGATGGATTTGTCATGCGCATCTTCAGCAATGGGTTCGTAGTGTTCGTGCCACGCTTCGGCATTGAGGGCTTGATCAGGCTCCGAGATATGGCTGAAGACGGCGAGAAAGAGCCAGAAGGTGTCTTTGACGCGGAGAATTACTCATTAGAGATTAAGGGAGAGAAGAGGCAAGCGAAGGTCGAGTTGTTTCAGAAGATCAAGGTGAAGATCAGCGATGAAGCGGAAAAGAGTACTGGGAAGCGTAAGATCAAGCTGCAACTGGTGCAGTAGAGCAGTCTCGGTTGGCTGTCCAATGCTGGCCAACTCACCAGATTGCAGGAGAGGACGAGCGACACCACAGTGACAATTGCAAAATCATGAACGATCATCTCAAAATTCGTGTACCACGCCTGCGTATCCATATACTAAGTAGGCCTGTAAGAGCTGAGAAAGAGCAAAGAGCATGCAGAAAGGAAAGCCACGAATCCATCGCGTTCAATCTTGTAAGGGGTATCATGAAAGAGCAGATCCCTCAACCACCCCTTCGCTATGCATTACGAACCATGCCGTTCCATCTGTTTCCCTCCCGATCGTGACTTGGTAGCAGAACGAAACGCGGCATCCAGTACCGCAAGCACCCGACCCAATGCAATATGAATGACATGAACGAAAGCCCGGCGAAAGTATCAAATTCCTTGGTCGTTATCCCTGCGCCTTTGGGAGCAAAAATCATTATTCCTGGTTGAAAGCAAAAGCGGCAGGTGGCTCGCATGCTGACTCCTTCCCATAACGCCGAGTCGTGCCGTTCTAGATCGAAATCTCATAAGAAGGCTGACAAAATCGACTCAGGTTGGATCAGTGGAACCTTGGGTTCATTGTGTCGGACACAATTCTATTGGTATCCCCAACCCCGCGGAGCCATTGAGCTCGGAGTGGTCCAACCTTGCATGTTAGGCTGCTGTCCTGCGGTCGACATCGCACCCATATTATATTGCTGTGGACTCGGCGATGGCTGGTACATGCCGCGATTGATGGACCCACCATAGGCACTCGCGTTCATCTGGCTCATTTGACCATACGACATGCCTTGACCTGGCATCTGCGGCGGCGGCATGGGGGAAGCATGCTGCTGTTGTGCATATTGCTGTAAAGGATGCCCCTGTGCCAGCGGCGACGGTTGTGGTAGTGGCTGTTGCCACATCTGGCCCGTGCCATACCCGTAGGATGGTGTTTGACGGTGACCAGATGCTGCACCCATGCCCATCGAGGGAGATCCTTGGTGAAGCTGGCCTTGAGGGACTTGTCGATGCATCTGCTGGACTGGGGAAGTCATAGGGTTCTGATGGGTCTGATATTGAGGTAGCGTCTGGGAGCTGGCATGCGATGCATGATCCTGCAGACGAGGTTGTGCCATTTCGGCTACTGCTTGAGGCGATTGCAAATGCTGGGCAGCGCTCGTGCCTTCTCCTGGGGCAGTCTCCGCTTGCGTGACTGGCTGTTCATGCGGCCGGCTCCAGTACTTGTCAAGATAATCTGCTCTGTGAGCTCGGGTGGTACTTAATGCCTTAGTGTACTCAGCCGCCTGCTGCGCTTGGGCAAGAATGTCGTTACTATTGCTCGAAGGCATACGGTCCTGATAAGGCGCGCCCGTGATCTCTTGCCTCGGTCGGATGATGTTACCGTAAGCGCTGCCAGGTCGCATTTCATCGCCTGGTATATGGATCATCGGCAACGGTGCAGCGGGCGCAAGTGAGACCAGATGCATGCCAAGTAGATGTCCGTCCATACCTGGGCCGTTGCTGTAGATGATCTCTCCTTGTGGTAAAGTCATGGCGTTATGACTAGCCTCCGCAGCGGCGACTTCTCTCGCTTTCGCAGCTCCAGGTCGCTTCTCTCCGGCCGGATCCTCTTCTGTGAAGCCCTGTTTCCGTGCTTTAGCTTCCCAGTAGTCATCTCGCACACGCCGCCCACCCTCGATGAGACGTGCACCAAACTGCCGGAACATCGACCGCGCAGTGACAATTGCTATTTGTCGTGAGCGATACGAGTATGGCAAGATTTCCTGGTGTATCAAATTATCCTTCTCGGTCTGGTTGGCGATGATCTTGTACAACGATCGATTCTTATTGAACAGAAGATAAGAGTCGCGGTAACCAAGCACACGGGCACACTCAGTGGCAAGCATGAACAGTTTCTCTCCGCGGTTTGGTACTTGGAAAGTTCGACACCGGTATTTGCGCTCGTCCAGAGGGTAGCCGTCGGGAGAAACTTTGGTCTCTCCAGATGCATCTGTCTCACGAGGCATGTACTCATCGCCTTCTGGACTGAGCTGGTCAGTGGTATGGTCTCGAACAGTTGGCAGCGCCTTGACCACGGAAGGCTTGGTAGCAGATCCTGGAGTCGACCGTTGTGGCGAAGTCTGTGGCAACGCCTGTGTGTCGAGCCGTGGTGTCTGCATGACCTGCTGGGGCAATGCGAGAGCCATGCCTGGTTCAGTCTTGATGGCCTTGCTCCGCTTGTTGGACTTGATGCCGTCTAAGCAGTAAGTCAGCGCGTCTTATTGCAGCATGTGATATACCATCCACCATCACGTGTGCCGTGGCGATGAATTGACGTTACGCACCTGCTCCTGCCTCTTGGCTTTGCGCGCCTTCCTCGGCCTCCGGCGACCTGCCTCTCTTCACTCCACGCGGGCTCGGCTGCGACAGAAGGTTTGGCGCGATGGTAGCAGATGCTGCAGGAGAAGTCATCGATTAGCATATAATAAGATGCAAGATATGATATCGGCGTTGGCGCATGTGACGAGCCGGTCTCCGCGCGACAGCAGACTACGGCCAGCACGGCTTGTCGACCGCACACCACGACTCCTCACGATGTAGATCGCAGGTAGGAACAACTTACACGCAGCATTCAAGGCGGCGGGGTTGATGGTGCCAGACTCGTCCATGTCACCGTATTGTGCCAAAGGCAAGGCTTCGAAGCTCCGATGCGACACGGCCAGCATCACTCATCCCTCGCGCATGCACTACTGCCGGTCGCTGATTGCTGTCGCACACTTTCCCGGCTCTCGGTATCGCCAGCTTCACCTGCAGCGGTGAGCCTGAGTTGATCGTGGGTTGTGCGCCGGGTCGTCGGCGATCATGGATAGCGTGTCCTGCTCCTCCAGCACGCAACAGCGGGCGTCGCCTTCGAAGGCGGCTTGCTCAGCCAAGGGCAACGACGCGCGCGACCACTGAGACTCTGCGATCGTGCGGTCGCGAATAAGCTCCTGTATGCTCCGCGCTGATCCTGAACGCTGGGCCGACGACTGGGATGGCTGCGGTTCGAGGTGGAGAAAAGCCTCACGCAAGGGTATCTTCAAGTTGAATGCGCCGTGCCACAATTCGAGGTCCAAGCGCTCGTTTCTCACGATGACGACTGTTCTCTCCCCGCAGAAACCTATTCCTCCGACCACTACGCACTATGCAGCGTCAGCACTTCTATCTCTTCCTCGCCACGGCCGTGTCCGCGGGTCGCAGTGCACGAGGGCTGAAGTTATCGGCCGCCTTCAAGATGATGTTGGCCCCCAGATGCATGCGCAATCAAGTCGGTGGGGCATCTCGTCGTCGTTACACACAAAGGCCATGCAAGGAGTATCGTCTCAAGACGCAGTCCAGATTGCTGGGATGTTCCACGTCCGCACCGGCCGTGGAGTATTGACAATAATGAGCAGTTGCACTTACAAGGACGGGGTGTCGATATGCAAGTAGCCTGATATTGAGTCGAGCTTCAGACAAGCATATGCCAATCAATTATCGAGTCCGATCTTCTTTTTCTGATTCGCTCTCAGCCAGCAATCGCTCCACCGTAGCAGCGGTAGGCACTAATAAAAGTGGTAGTACTGCAGGCGACTCTCCCTGCGCAAAGGCGCTCTTCTTCACTGGTCGGCAGGCTAATGGTAAAGCTTGTGCAGAACGCTGATCTGCAAATGAGTGTCCTTCTGCGGTTGGTTCTTGATCCGAGCCCAATGATAGATCGTACGGAAGAACGATGCACGCAGTCCTCCCGGCAGTGATGATCACGACGAATAGTCTCAGCTGCTCGTTCGGCGGAGGCGGTGCAAGCCTCGACAGTTGCAATGGACGAATGGCAGCAAGGAAGCAGACGGCAGGCCAGGTGGCTTAAGAGCCACTTTCTACGATCTCTCCGTCCCGCAGGCGCATGACACCTATTACATGCATAAGAGCCATCGAGCTTGGATCGTGCAAAAGGCAGGATTCCAAGCTCTGGAGCTTACGATCTGCTTGGAGATAATGCAGATCATTCTTATCCTGCCTCTACTACTATACTGATCGTTCCTCGTTCGTCGACATGTAGTGGTCATCGCACTATTGCTATCGAAAGATACCTTGTCAAATGCGGCTTGTTCAAACGCGATCGTGAGATCACTACTAGGGCAAAGGAACACTGTACGCTGCCAGTGCTGTTGGCGATCGAGCAAATGCTCGCATTCGCTGATCGTTCTGTGATCAATTTATCTGGGTCGAGTCGGGTGCTGCCTTGACACTCTCCCGGCCCGCCTCCGTACCTTCTCTGCTCGGATACCGCTAGGTTTGCTAGCTCGCTATGTCGATTCGCAACTTTGAAATCGCTCTTGGATCATGTCAAATGTTCTCGTGAACGATTTTTCCAGCTTCTACTTGTCTCCTCATGATTGGAGAGCACGAGTCGGTCGAATCCCAGAACTTTGATGTGTATCTTCTGACCGCGATCTTGCACAAAAGAACATTTGCTAAAATACGCGACGAAGCTGTCTATCTTCTCGGTCCCAAAGCCGCGAACCTCCGGCATCGCGTGGTCTTGATGACGGTCAGATGTGGCTTGCCACCAGAAGTACCGCAAGAAGTATCTCCAAATGCAGACAGCCGAAGTTGAGGATCTGCTGCGCGACTGCCTCTCGTGGCCATGACATGTTACCTCCACGGAGTGCCTCTGGAGCTAAAGCTATCTAGAGCATCTACTCTGACCCTACGATCTCTCGATGTCTCGATGATCACGACATACTATCCCAGGCGCTTAGAGCACCAATAATGATGACAGTACGTCTCGCTTCTGGATCGAAGCCCTTTGTATTGAGACAAGGCTTATCGCACCACACTCCCCCACAGTCGTGCACGATTGGTGGAGCGTACAAGAGCACATGGTCGAGTGTACTCGGATACCTGCATAAGCAGCCAGGCGCCAGCCTCAAATCGTGTTTCGTCAGCTGCGACCTTGGCTACAGCAAAGTAGGAGCTCTCTCCTCGGATATTCGGCGGGCCGCATGCAAGTATCGTAGATCACCAGCTAGGCCAGAGTATCAGAAGTGCTGGTATACTACCGCAGAGATATTTCTGGGCACCAACCAAGCCATAAGCTGCCTACCTCATGCATGGCTTCCTCACATGTCAACGGACAAGACGCTGAGCAGTTGGAGTAAGCGACACAACCGCCTTGGTCTGACATCAACCTGACCTGCCTGGCACTACTTCACGTTTTAATGGCAATCAAGCACTACGGAGCAAGGTCCGGATTATATTGGCAAGCCAGCCTTATGACATGAATACTTCGTATGAAGCTGTAATGGATTCTCGTTGGCTGACGAGTACAATTCAGATGGTCAATCAATGCCGTCGAGAACCATGTTGGTCATTGGCCATCGATCTGTGGCTACGACGCGATCGCTGGGTCGTGAGTGTTGTGCACAGCGGTGTAACGAGCCCCTGGTATGCACGTCAACAGCACGAAGCGGACGTGTGGCGTGGCCATCGAATACAATGCTGTAGGTGACCTTCTGGTATGTTTGCAACAGCAAGTACTGCACTACAACCCATCATGCCTCAGTAAGTAGTCATCTGCTGCACCCCCTTCTTAACCCCTTGCACCCCAGCATGCAAATAGCTTCCCCTCGCCGTCTCAACCGCATCCCCAAAAGCCTTCTTCAACATCGAAACATCATTGCCCATGTTCGCCATATTGAAGCCCAGATCAGCATACTCCCTCGCCTGCTCTCCCGAACCGCAATAAATCGCGCTCCACTTGCCCGCCGCGTGCGCCGCATCATTAATAGTCTTGATAGCCGTCTTGAGCTCCGGAGCATAGTCAGCGCCGAGGATGGGATGGCCAATATTGTTGCCTAGGTCTGTGGGTCCGATGAGAAGGATGTCTACTCCAGGCACAGCCGCGATTTCCGAAACGGAGGCCAGAGCTTCGGCTGTTTCGATCTGGATTACGACCAGCGTGGCGTCGTTCGCCTGTTGGTAGTACTCCATAATTCCCATCTTGTGGTCGAACTTCTCCATGCTTAGGGGTGAGCCGAGACCTCTGGTACCGGTAGGTGGGAACTTTGAATAGGAGACGATGTTCTTGGCATCTTGGACTGTGCGGACTAAGGGTACCATGATCCCGTGAGCGCCAGCGTCGAGGGCACGCTTGATCATCCAGTGTTGGCCTTCTGCTACACGGACAATGGGCGAGACACCGCAGGCTGCTATGGCCGCGACTGCTTCGTGCATGCTGTCGTCACTTATGTTGCCATGTTCAGTGTCGACGCAGATCCAGTCCATGTTTGGGGTGCGAGCCATGGTTCGCGAGAGATTGGAGCCGGGGAGCATCTGGAGGACGTTAGTATTGCTCGACATATCACTTCAACGTGTTGGCTCATACCTGCCATCCTCCAAAGGAGGTCTTGCCGCTCTTGAGGGCTGTCTGGACACGATTGGCGGCTTGCATCTTGGCTTAGAGTTCGACAGATGTATTGATCGGTCACTTCGACTTGAATGTTCAGTGTCAAGATGAATTCCAGCGTGGTTTGCCAATGTGCTGTTAATATCATTGATTGCTGTCCTCGGTCCACTCAACCCCGCCATTGCTGGGTGATCACGAACCGAAGTCGGCAGGAGCGAGTGCGTTGTCGCAATAGTAATTATACCATCACGACTAATTTCCGACCTCGTCCATAGCAGACATGAGCTCGACCTCCTTGAAGCGGTGCATCAGCTTCTTGGCCTTGGTCGTGGTCTCGCCGATCTTGCCTCCAGCATTGCTTTTGTCGATGTGGACCTGCTATCAACTCAGCAGTGACACTTTGGCTCGCAATCAGTGAGGTATACGACAGGTGTATCGAATTCATATGTATCCTTCCATTTCTGCTGTCCTGCAGTCATCACATCGATCTCCTCGTACCCGAAGTCGCGCTTTTTCCTGACTCCTGACAGGACGACTTTGGCGTCCCGGCAAAGCCCACAATTCTGCCGTGTGAACAATGTCAGACGTAGTGCCTGCTGACACAGTGATCTCGTCGCCAGCATTGCACTTATGACGATGATGGCGTACGCTGTGGTTGCACGAGAGTTCAACGCGATCGAGGGCGTGTTTGTGCTTGCAGATTGTACCGGCGGCCATTGATAACTAATGCCAACATCGTCACTTTCGTTCGAGATATTCTTGGAACATTGGTTCGGACATGTGAAAGCATACAAACGGTCTCTCACACCAGCTACGCACTTCATACTCCAACCATGGCTCAGAAGTGTGTCCACAAAGGCTGTGGCAAAAGCTTCTCCGATTCAGACGAGCCATGCATCTATCATCGTAATGATTGAGACCATACCCAAAGAGCTTCGATTGAATGCTGACAACGGCATAGCTGGCCCACCTGTATTTCATGAAGGCCAGAAAGGTAGGTGGAAGATTGGGCTGTGTGCTCGCTTGGTCCTGGCTCACTTACAACAGGATGGAAATGCTGCAAACCTCGTGTGCTCACCTTTGACGAATTCATGACCATCCCACCTTGCACGACGGGCAAACACAGCACAGTAGACGACACACCCGCACCCGAACCACAGCCCTCGAATGAAGACGTAGAAGCGAAGATAAAGGAACAAAAGGAGAAGCAGGAGAACCTGGGACCAGCGGTATCGAGAGCACCAGTGGCAGCACAAACAGCTCGACCAACACCCTCACCTGTACCTCCCGAACCCGTCGACGAAGACGATGACCCAGACGCATCAGTAACAGCTGGAGCGAGCTGTAAGCGAAAGGGATGTGGGGCAAGCTATAAGAGTGACAGCAGTAGAGAAGGCGAAGAATGCATACACCACCCTGGCCAACCCCTCTTTCACGAAGGCAGTAAAGGCTGGACGTGCTGCAAGAAGCGGGTACTGGAGTTCGACGAATTCATGAAGTTACCGGGCTGCACAACAAAATCACGACACCTGTTCATCGGTGCGAAGAAGGACCTATCATCCGAAGAAGAAGTGAAAGACGTCCGGAACGACTTCTACCAGACCGCTACCACCGTGATCGCGAGTCTGTATCTGAAGAAGATTGATAAGGAGAGATCCAAGGTGGTATTCAAGAACAAGAATACGGTGGACTTGGATCTGCATACGAGTGATTCGAAGAGGTACAGGACGAGTATGACTACTTTTGCGCCCATTGATGAGGAGAAGAGCAGTTTCAAGATTATGGGTACGAAGTTAGAGTTGACGTTGGTCAAGGGGAGCGGAGTGGGTTGGCCAGTGTTGAGAGCTGATGATCCGCATTCTGGAGAGATTATACAGGCTGGGAGGGCTGGGAGAGTGTAGAGTGTGTTATTCGCGTGTGTAAATACGGGCCGCGCAGATGGTGTCGCCTATGTCCGGCACGAACTTCGACACAATTTGGACGCAAAGAATGCTCGATCCATAGCGGGAATGACTACTACGGATACGATGCATCAATATCGTAAAGCACAAGAATTGATGACGGCATTACTTCTTGAATGCGCGACTGCAGTGACCATCCTTGAATGGCAACACTGCACGTTGCCTCCGCTCTCTTGTGTTCTTTTTGATCTATGTTAATCAGACGCGAGGATTGCATTTGCTCCCGCCACTTCTGTGACTGGCTATAGCACGATGTCCGGACTGATGACGCGTAAGCTGCCGACGGTCCTCACGTTTCTGAAGTGCGGCTGCCGGCGAATGTGGATATCATAGCGGAATAAGGGGAAGCAGCGCTTGCGAAATACAGAGGCTCCTGCGCGAGGCGTCGAAGAATGACAAAAACCGCAGGAGAGGGCGAGTTTTTGCGTTTGGTTTCTGGCATACAAGATGATTTAACTCGGACCAGAAGCATCGCACCAGGAAACCATCATTATACAGATGCAAGTAATACACAATGGCGAACATTGAATCTGCAGATCGCCAATCGTCTCTCGACAGCGCAATTGGCGACCAAGACGATTCCACACGTTCATCCAGAGAACAAGAAACGTCGCACGTCAAGGAGCAGACGGGAGCACGACCACCACTTATCGATCGACTCAAGGTCCTCAACACGACGCTGAAGACTATACACGAACAAATAGACAAGATGCAACTGGCACCTCCAGTCGCTAGCCCGATCGACGATCGCAGTCAACAACACTCAAGACGCGAAGCCGTCTCAACACCCTCAACCAGCAGCAGTAAGGCCCTCGCCCAGCCTCCAGTCCCGACCGTTCCTGTTCCGCATCAGCCAGAACTCCCCCTGTCCCTCTATCGGACCAAGATAGAGTACGAACAGAGGAGAGGATGAGACTGATCTTGATAAAACAAGTCCGCTCGCCAGAAGACTGGTTCCCGCCGATTCCGCCGAACGCTGGCAAACATGAGCGATACCTGAGGGTTCTGTTGGCATTTGAGTACTTAGCTTCTCGGGTCGTCACGTTTCAGGCGGGCGCAGAATTCTCAAAGGCGCTACAGACTGTGTTGATCTCGAACTTCCGATTAGACCTTGAGAAAGAGGCCGGTGGGTGAGGGAAGGAGTTTGGATCTGGTGTGTGTAGTAAAGAATTGGCATTCTTGTTACTGCTGGGTAGAGTGCGAATCGCAAGACTGATGACTGTGTGTCTTTTCGGACATGCTTGTAGAGGCGGGAGTTCATTCTTTACTGAGGCTCGCTTTGGAGTTCGCTTGGTACGATGTGTCAATCGCTGTATATATGACTAGACGAGGTTCACAGAATGCTGATAACATACTTCAGCCGGTAAGAGGATCTCAAACGACTTACTCCAGCTGAAGATACAACAAGATGTGCGTATGGGCAAGATATATGTACGACTACCGCCATCGCTCACCCATTTGGATCCTGGTCGAACACTGCGCCCGCTACAAGTTCAGGAACCATGAGGAGATCTTTCAGCCTCAGCGAGACCATCGTGGTATGTGTGATGACTGCATGGGACGGCATATAAATTTGGATCATCTCCCTGTGGGACCTGAGGGACTGCCGCTGAATGCTGAGAAAGGGCTGCTTGATCCGAAGTGGACGCGTGGACCCAGCCAGATACAAGGTAATAGTCCAGATGGTGAACGTGATGAGGAGGTTGAAGAAGAAGGAAAGTGCGACCATGGCGGCTTGTTGTTTGAGTATGAGAAGTGCTATGGAGAGCTTCTCGCATCGAGCAGGTCGACGTGAACGGGGCGGCGGACATCTACGTTAATCGGCTCAGCTATGTTACGCGCGGGAGGTTGATCTGATGCTCCAGGAGGACTTGTTGGTCTTTCTCGAATACCAACGGGCGCCATGGTTGTGGCCCGCCATCAGTCATCCTAGATTATCTTATGCTGTCGTAGCTCGTAAACAACAGCCATACTCATGCATTGCCTTAAGCCAAGAGCTGTGCGCAACAGTGACCTTGTCGGATGGGTTTCGGTATTTACAATACTGAAGGTGTTGACGTGGCCTGTCATGTCGTTGTCGATCGAGGAGGCACGAGCGTGGACGCAGAGACCACTCGCTTATATATATTTCACTACTCAAACGGGTTTAGCCCACAGTTACAAGATTTGAAGGAGCCTCCTGCGTCATGTAGAATAAACCTGCCAAGATCCTGGGTTCACATCAATGGCAGTAAGACAGCATGAGTCTGCATCTCTTTCGAGATGGTTTACACACCAACAAACTCAACATGTCGACAGAAAGCACGAACGGTACGCGCTTTGTTTGAACTCTCGCCAGACCCCACTAACATGCTAATCGTCAGTTCGTGGCGAGAAGCTCAACTTCTTTAAAGACGGTCTAGGCTTCTTCAAGGATGGCTACTGCAGGACTGGACCTGAAGACAAGAGACATCTCTCCGTTGCGGCCATCATGACCCACGCCTTCCACCAGTCAGAATACGGAGACGACGACTACAAGGGTATCTCCGCTGGCCAAAAGACGTGCCTGTCTGCCTATGACTTCAAGAACTGTATCAAGGAGATGGGACCGTAAGCAATCCCTCATTCACGCCAGCCGTCGCGGCAGTGCCAAATCGATACTTCCCAGTGGCCTGCTTGCGGATTGGGTATGTTTATTCACTGACAGTCTGCTTCAGTGATCTTGGTCCAAAAGTCTATCTCTCAGCAACAGACAAGAAAGCGCTCGATGTGGTGAGCATGTCGGACTTAAAACGATACGCCACCAAAGAGAAATAGGTACTGGGCTATTCGGCGTCTGGTTTTTGGACGGTACTTGTGGCAATGCCTGGTCGATATCATGTCGATTCGTGGAGGGTCTCACCGTAGATATTTCACTACAGCTCTACCAAGCCATATAGATTAAAACCATCAAGCTTCCTTGCCATTTCTGTCCATTCCCGTGGTATTGGCACAGGAGAGTCCACCGTCTTGGAGCTCCGTATGGAGCAGGAAAGCGGTGCTCAAACGATCTGATGTCTTGCCACCTGCACTCTTTCCATTAGATCAAGACATCGCGTCCTGTGAAGGTGCAGTCATGTGGCATATGGCGAGGCAAACAGCGAAAATGCTTGACGCAGTATGATCAAAGCATTCGGCTACTGACCGGAGGTTATTCATGTACCTCCGGGTGATAATGGCAATAGGCCTCGAGCAACCCCAATGCAGGAGCAAGAAGAAGACCCAGCCTATGTATGGTGGGCTACCATGCGCTTCTCCAGGTTCAGGCTGCGTACACTTTGAGCCGCCTCCTTGAAGTCCAGCCTAGTACTGACGCTAACCCGGTGCCGTACTTGAAACTCTGCCAACAGCTCCAATATTTCCAGCTGCTGGCTCATGAGTGGTACACGGCCGTTGAAATGCCGAGAAGCTGTGAAGAGGATGCCTAACGTATCCAGTGTTCTGCCATGATCAAGTGCTTCGATCAACTGTCTGATAGTCACTCGTAGTCTGGACCAAGTTTCTGTCGCCTCTGCTTCCTCCCGGATGGAAATTGAAGGCAGGGTAATGTTGATCTGCAGGTGACGAAGATGTTTCTTGAGATCCGGATAGAGCCACGGTACAGCGACTGTCACCCCATAAGTGGTTGCAGTCTCGCTCTCGTGGTTTGGCTGCCACCACTCGGGCTGAGTTCCCATCCCTGGATACCCGACCGGGTCACTGCGAAATAGGGTACCGCAGTGGTCGATTATCCACAAGAATGTGTTGGCTTTGTAGAAGGCCTCAAGAGCTTCAGCACGAACTATAGTATGGACGGCGAAGAGTGGCTGGTCATAGGCATCGCGACCTGCCCATATAGGGAGCTGTAATTCGATCGTACCTGTCTGCTTGAGGGCGTGCTGAAGGATGACTTGACGTACTTCCGTGGGAAGGTCCAGGAACCCTAGCTTATAGTCCATGACAGCTCTTGACCCAACGAATTATGCAGTTGAATAAAATTAATCTCGTGTTCTGGGTCAGTAGTACGTTCAGCTTAGGCAGCAAGAATCCCCTGTGTTCTGTCTTGGCGGAGGGGGCGAATGAAAGCTTTGCTACGTGCACATTGAGGAGAATCTCTTCTGCATCCATAAAGGAACGACACAAGCTCTTTGTGTAGCAAATTTTTCTGCTCGCTGCATCTATTATAGAGCGTGAGGTCAGGGTAAGGAGAGACGTCTTGTGGTCTGAACTCCCGAGGTCTCGACACGCCAACCACATATCGAAGGGCACGTTACCACAAGACGCACGCAATGTCCAGTAGGGAAGCTAGCTTGCGAAGGAGCAATGGCCTCTCTTGTCGGCTGGGTAATGCACTCAACTGTAGATGGTCATCATGATCTTGAGATTTCAAGCACATGGAGCGCCTAAGATGATGCGACTTGTAAGCCAACCAAGGCAAGGCGCTGTCCAAGCTGGACTGCGATGATCGAAAGAGTCCTATCGGGACTCTTATTGCATACCTCCCCTTATGCTGTAGCCGCGATAACTTATTGTTCGATCGTTGACAGACTGCTATGCTGTCGAAGTATGACGTGTATACGCTAGATTTCCAGAGGCCGACCAGCACAAATACATCATGTTTCTAGTGACATCCGGAAACCTGGCTCATGGCAATTGGATCATCTGTCTTACTTCTGGAATCATATTCCTTGCTCTGGCAATTGTGGTGCTACACTTCCGGTACGTCTCTCGAGCCCAGCCGGCAGCCGCCATTACCAGTCACAACCCGTTCATAAAGCTAGCACAGGTACTTGAGATTGAGGGTCTCAAGCTAGGTCAACAAATTGCTCCTGGATGGAAACATTACCACCGATCTTGTTTCGAACCACAAGGATTATGTCGAGAACCTGAAGGACTCTCTACGGACACGATTTAGCCTCATTCTTGGGGATGGAGCAAAGTATTCCTCATGTAGTCCTCATTATGACTGGTGTCGGCACACAGCGCTGCAGGCCTCGGAGCAATACGTACCAGGACTTGCAGGGAAACGCCAGGCAACCGTCGCATCTGCTGTCAGTCTCTATAACTCCGAGTCCATCATTCCTGCTCAAGCACCCGCTTTGATCACGGCTGTTGGTCATCTACACAAACATAACAAAGTGTACATCTCTAATTTCGAGTGGTTCGAGTGGTAAGACACAACATGTTTTATCGGACTTTGCAGCTGCTTTGCAGGCTCTTGGTGTAGATGGACTCTGGGTGCACACTTCTCACCTGAGCTCAGACTACTCTCGTCTGGACCGCATTGTTTTATCAGAGATCCGGAATTTGGCTTTAGTCCCACTTATGCCATATGCTACAAACAATCAAGGTCTTAGGCATACTGATATTTTTGAACGACGTGGTTACCTGTGCCTCGGATATACGTGAGCTAGTGCATCAGCAGCGTCTACAGCAAGCTGATTTGGTAGTGGGTATAGATTGGGGCACGGTGAAGGCGGAAAACGAGGACCCCAAGGATTCTCTGATCCGCCTTTACGACAGGTGGATGCTACGCGGCATCAATGGCGAGCTACCGTGTCCTTTTGAGCAGAACGCAGGCTATAGTCCGCAGACAGATAATGGTAAGTGGGTACAAGATGCTTTTTCGACGCAAGACAATGCCATCTATGATCGCTGGCGGGAGAGACTTGCATTGCCGATACACTGCAGATGGGGCTTCGATGGCCACCTGCGCTTCCGATCTTCGAGTGTCTCTGGGTGCGAGAGGCGGAGGTTCTAATGGCGCTCTGCGCGAGTTGGGTCGTCTTATCTGCCAAGATGGCTACATGCGCAGCCACTGTCCTGGTGCGAGTGAGTGCGAATACGTCTGCCGCGACATTTGGAACATGCGCCAAGGAAGGGGCCGGATCGTTCTAGCCCCACAGGCACGTACGACTTACAATGTGGAGGGTTGGACACCGATACATCGATTGGCGCCTGCTAGACGGCGAGATGCTGCAGGTGTGGAGGCATTGGAGTTGATAGTTTCGAACGAAGTCGAGGCTCCGAAGAATGTAGTCTGCATTGCCACAAGAACGGAACAGGGCGGTCTTTTCCACGCCTGGATCGAGCAGAATCAACGCAAGAAGTTGTCGCCTGTAATCGACTACGAAGCTAGCAGATCGAGCCGTCAATATCGCGGAATTCAATTCTACCAGAACGGTCGAAAGACTCATATCTGTGCAAGCATAGCTGTCGTATCCTAGCTCACGATATGAATCAATGGCTCCAATGGTTGTCTCGAAGCGGTAAATGTCATCCTCGATAAGCCCCACGAAGGTCTATACGGTGGTTCGGGGCGGGAAGACCTCAGAAAAGCCAGAGGGAATGACATATATCTTATAACAAGAAGCAGTCTGCTGGTAGAGTGTGATCGGTATGGCCGGTCGGGTGACATAGCAAGGGATCCTCGTGGTGGCAGGCAGAAGGGCGCTAGTCATGCTTGACGGGTGACACCAAATCCTTCGCGTCCTGCAGTGGAGCTGAAGACACATCAACATGCGTCACTTCTCCACGACTCTGAACGATTATCTGTTGTTGTTATGATTGGCCTGACCTCGACTCCGCCTTCCATCGGTAGTATGGTTGCATGGTCGCACGAAGCATGAGGCCTCCCACGACGAGATCCTTTCCATCTAGTAGGCTTGGAGCCGTTGAACTCGGTGAAGGCGTGCCTCCCCGCATCCGAGATCTGATCTAGCCTGATGTATATGCCACTAGTCAAGCCTATCTTGACGCTAAAGATACTATCATGACGTCGATCCAAGATGGCATCGCGTAGCGCGCCTTATTAGCTGTTCGTGCAAGCCATTTGTGGGCACGCGAGAGATATAGACTCAGCAAATCCTTTTCCTCGCTTGTGGATCTATCGCCTCCAACTTGTCTTTCAACTTCGGTTATCAAGTTGCAACGACCTGCTTGACTCCAGGGACCTTTTGCTGTTCGTGACGAGGTAGGCTTCACGATGGGCAAAGAAAAACTTAGCAACGACTCGCCCGTGAATGAGGCCATTGGATCGGGGTCCCCGAATGGCCATGATCCTCTGGAAATGGATGGCTTGACACTGTATGAGAAGAAATGTGTTTTGATTAACCACGAGATTGACAACAATGGCATGGGACGTTATCAGTGGTACATCTGGGGATTGTGTGGTTTCGGTTACATGCTCGATCTGCTCTGGGCTCAAGCATTCGGCCTGGTACTGAGTCCGCTTGAGCAAGAGCTTGGCTTCTCACTGAGCAACTCGGGAAACATCTCGGTCGGTACTCTGGCTGAAATCGCTCTCGACTCCCAGGCCTGTCCAACACCAAACTGACTCATTTCGCAGGTAGCGTTCAGCGCTGGTCTCACCGCAGGCGCGTTCTTCTGGGGTGTACTCGTTGATATCATAGGCAGGCAGTGGGCGTTCAATCTGACCTGTCTCATCTCTGCGGTGTTCGGACTGGGACTTGGTGGCTGTAACTCTTATACGGCCTTCTTGGTCGTCACGGCTTTCGTTGGCTTCGGAATTGGTGGCAACATCCCGATTGATACCACCATTTGTCTGGAATTCATCCCGCAGAACCGACGCTTTTTGCTGGCTCTGTTGTCGATCTTCCAGCCCATCGGCGTGGTCGTCTGCAGCGCGATCGCGTACGGGTTCATACCGAAGTTCTCCTGCAGCCCGAACTTTAGTGAGGCGAACCCACTGCTATCGTGCAATGTTCCGCACGATGGCCAAGCATGCTGTACCCGCCAGAGCAACATGGGATGGCGATACCTGATGTTCACGCTGGGTGCGATCACACTTGGAGTCTTCATCTTGCGGTTCGTCGTCTTTCGCTTCAAGGAATCCCCAAAATTCCTCGTATATCGTGGGCATGACGAGAAGGCAATTGCTACTCTGGAGCACATTGCAAAGTTTAACAAGCGAGCTTGCGGCATATCTCTGGCCGACTTCGAGGCCTTGACTGGCGAGCACAATTCTACGACCAGCGCGACCGAGCTCATCGGAACTGGAAGTAAGCAGTTGCAGAGGTCGACCAAGGAAAAGATCATGATCGAGCTGGCACGCTACAAGATGTTGTTCAATGGCTGGCAGATGACTCGGCTAACCATCTTGGTCTGGCTAACTTATATTTGCGACTTCTGGGGTTTCACGCTGGCTGGTGTGTCCCTCATGCCTGCGACAGGATTGGTGCATTAGCTGACATGGTACAGGAACCTATCTGCCCACGATTCTTGCGAAGAAGAACGGTAGCATCAATCTCTCGCTGGAGTTCACCTACCGCACCTATCTCGCCATCTATGCACCAGGTATCGTTGGTGTTGTCCTCGGTACCATGATGTACAGCGTACCATCGGTAGGCCGCAAGTGGACCATGGTCATCTCATCGGGCTTGATGGGTATATCCATGTTCGTTTTCAGTGCCGTCAATACAGAGGCCTCGAACATCGGACTCAATGTGATGGAGTACTTTTTCCAGAGCATGTGAGTAAGCTTCAGTTGGCGCTTCGCGGATCCTCGCTGATTCTATCAGGTTCAACGCCGTACTCTACGGTTGGACACCAGAAGTCTTCCCAGCACCCATTCGAGGTACCGCCTGTGGTGTAGCCTCTTTCTGGGGTCGCCTTTTCGGCATTATCGCACCTCTGACCGCGCAGTCATTGTTGCCGTCAGGCAGCACCGCGAACGATGGTCCCGCTCTCAACAGAGTGCTGTACTTGGTAATCTTGCTCCTACACCCTTCACATCGAACAGACTCGCTAACCATGAAATAGGCTGGTGGCATTACCTTGGGTTGTGTCTTGACAGTATCACTGCTTCCTAATAAGGTGTTGGGACGACAGAGCATGTAGATTAGGCGCTCCAGATAGAGAGCTCACTTCCCTTAGCGTGTTTTGTACCCTATAGCGATAAGCGATATGATGATGCTTAACGTTGGAGAAAGGCTCACTTAAAGCTATGCCGAGCGGAACATACAATCGAGATCAAGCCAACGGATCAAAGGGCAATATTTCTTGTGCCAAGCCGCGTTGTCCACGACCTGAATCTTCACATCGGATGCAATGCCTATTCGATGGTGACACAACTCATTGATTGACCGTCGTCAAGGACAGCTTCCATACGCTCTCTAAGTAGGCACGACACTGGCACCCTCACGACTTGTGGTTGAACTGTGCATGCGTCAGTAAGGTTGCTTTTACATTACGATCTCGGACCTGGGCCGTAGCATCTCTTCTTCGGAGGAGTAATGATGAGTGTCTGAACGCTATTATACAAATCATGTCTAGTATATAGTGTCCCCTGCAGCGCCGCGCTGTATAACACAAAACAGCAAAATGCTTCGTAACTCATGGTCAACACATGGTCATCGCGCTTATAACAACAAATGGATCTAAACGATGTGACTTCTAACCCTTATAGTCGGGATCTTTGCGAGCGTCCTTGCTGTACTTGTTGCGCAGAGTCGGTCCATACTACGAGGGTGTCAGTCACATGGAAGCGCGTATGCAGTACGAAGATACTGACTCTGTACAGAAGGAACGGGATCGGAATGAAGGCAATGGACAGGAAGCCGAGCAGACTCGATGCCCAGTTAACTCCGAGCTTGGTGAACATGGCATTTGCTACAGGATTGTCAGCATTTGCATTCCATGGCGGTGATGCTCGATTGCTTACCAAAGAGTGGAAAACCAGCACCGAAGCTGCTACGGAACAGGTCGTTTCCTGCAAGAACAGACGCTGCTTTTTCAGGATAAGCGTCTGGGAGGTAATTTAATACACTGCTGAAGAGCAAGAATGCACCAATCGAGAAGAATGATGTGCCAATGATGGGCACGATCCAGTGAATGTCTGGCCGGGAAGTCCAGCCGAACCAGAACAAACAGATCGGGATGCAGAAGCAGCCAACAAATGCTGGGATGAGACGCTTTTCCGGCTGAATGTTGCCCTCCTCGTCAAAGTGCGGTTCGAGATAGTAACGAAGCCATGCGAAGAACGGAGCGATGACGACCAATGACCCGACGAGGATACCTAGATATGCCAAGCCTTCCTGTCCAAGGGTGAAGCCGTACATCTCGACGAACACGATGACGAATGACTCGAACCAGATGTAGAGCAGGCCGTAGATGAGAGCGATGTACAGGTTGAGCAAGAAAACCATAGGCTCGGTGAAGTTCATGGTGATTGGCTTAATGACGGAGATCATGAGAATCTCCTTTCCAGTCATATGTTCGGACATGAGCTCCGGCTCGCAGACGAGTTTGTCATCGCCAGTGATCTTTCGCAGACGCTTGGTTCGGCGAACCAGGATATTGTTGGCGCTGGTCTCAGGTAGCAAGAAGAAAAGGAAAACGAGGCAGAAGCCAGAAAGCCACATTAGCTCCCATATGGGCCAGGTCCATGGTGCCGTGAAGCCGCCCTCGATGAAACCATACTCGACTGCGAAGCCGCCGACCAAGGGACCAAGAACCGGACCAGAGACAGCGAAAATGCCCCAAATGGCCATGGCGTAGGCTCGCTTCTTGGGCGCATACATGTCGGCAAGTGATGCACCGCCTGTGGCGAGTACTGGCGAGCCAAAGAATCCAGTCAAGAAACGAAAAGCGAGTAACATGCCGAAGTTTACTGACAGTGCAGTAGGAACCTGGAAAAGAACGAACACTGCGAGTGTACCGATGTAGATGGGGTTTCTGCCGACCTGTGGAATCTCGCTCATTGGCGACCAGAGCATGGGCCCAAGACCGTAGCCGGCGACTTCAGATATGAGTCAGTACATGTGAGGTGATGTGATGAAGCGACGTCAAGAGCTCACCAAAAAGACATAGACCGAGCGTTGCGGCAACCTGAGAGACGCCAAAGGTGGCCATGACACTCTGCGTACCGGCCGAGTAGATAGCAGAACCGATGTAGACGGACAGAGTCAACAGGCAGATCTCGAACGTGACAAAGAATCTGGCCACCAAGGGTCAATATCTGCTGGATTCGGATCTCAAGGTGTTATGAGATTCACTCACTTCTTGACTCGCGACCAGTTCAAAGGGTTCTCCGGGTCGTTGTCGCCATACCAAGTGACAAGGTGACGATCCCGTCCCTTCTCTGGATCCACCTTGACACCACTAGCATGGTTGATGTTGACGTCGTTGCTGCCCACTCGTGTCCGCGAAGAACTCTCCGAGTTGCGACCCATGGATGGTCGGTTGGCAGGAGGTTGTAACGTGAACTGGTCTTCTCGTGTGCGGACGCCTCCGATGCCCTCCATCTCTACGTCTTCTTCTGGCGGATTGGTGTCGCCATGATGAGCTAGATAGCCAGACTTCTTCTCATCGATGAATCGGGTCCATATTGATGGGTCGGCCTCCTCAGGATATTGGAAGGCCTTCTTGTTCGTAATGAGTCGTATGAAATGGCCGAAGGCTGTATCCCTGAACAGTTCCGCCATCTTGCACCGGTGATTTAATGATTGCTGAAACAGACGCAATATTTTCTCCGTGAGAGACAGTACCGTTGAAGAAGGGTTTGATGATACTCTACTTACGATGGCATATGGACTACATGTATCCCCGAATTACCGTCAACGCTCTACCTCAACCATCGTCATTGACGAAAGTCTAGCGTCAAATCGGTCACAATAACAAAACCCGGTACATGACTCGGCGGAGATCTGTCGGTGGTAGATGTGGCGATGAGATCAGATCGAGTCCTATCTCTTCACTTCTGCATGCAAAACCGTTAGCGCATCGCCAGAGTGACGTAACTACACCACGGAACGGCCTTCTCGGATCACTCCTGCACCGGGCCTTTGCAGCGCGGCTGAACCTTCTTCTCCCAAGCGGAACTTGGCGCTCAATAAGCATGATGATGCTAATAATGCAACTGTGAGCTCTCAACCATTCGGTACACGATAGGGCAAAGAAAAGATTCGCAAGCCCGGCCGTTCCGAGGGCTACGGATCACCCACTGCCATGCTACGTGAGTCAATCCATACCAATCACAACCACGGACGACGTCTCATTCCTATGGATCCACATCTGGATGTAGAAAGAAACACCACCCTAACGACCTGACTCCATGTCCCCCGCGGATCGGCATTCGGCGTCCATCTACACCATGTGGCCTATTACCAATGCAGAGCTAAGCTGGACTCGATAGCATCTTTTGGATGAGCGCAATAGCAGACAGAAAGTGCCAGTCTCAGGGAGAGTTCTGGGCGCCATCTGTAAACCGGTTTCCATCTGATCATGTCTTACCTCTCTACCATTCCGGCCAAGGACTAAGGCCATCTTGTTAGAGATACAGAGATGCTGGTCGGGACATATCCAACATGAAATGCGTGTCTGTAGTTCCTCCTATCGCTTGAATACTGTACGCTCAGTTGCATCAGGGTACAAATGGTGCGGACGAGTCCGTGATGGACCCGGTATACAACGACGATCCCTGGCGGGGCACAGGAGTGTTCCCGCCAACGACCACGAATGTCTGGTGAGAACTTGCCGGAAGCTACTTGCTGCCGTTTCTGTTGAGGCCGTTACAGTCGACGTCTATGGGATATTTACTCATTCCGAAACCTCGCGATGCCGTATAGCAGACTGCTTGTTGCTGACTTTGCCCATGATCTGATCGAGGTCTGCATGGTGCGCGTCGTCAACACCCAGTATATCACCACCCTTTTCGACATGGTTCTGGCCCCCGAATCTAGTATCCACTGCAAAGAACGTCAGCATCAATCATTTTGTGCAGCATACACGGGCGCTGTCAATTGCACCTACTTTCTTCCAGTGAAACCTGCTTCGTTTCGGGTATGCAGAAGAACACAAATGCTGCGAGAAGGAAGTTGATACCGGCGAACATGTAGAATGCATAGAAGCCGCAGTTCTAAGCTTGTTAGCAAAATTTGGTATGGATGCAACTGCACGACTCACATTCAAGAACGTCGGGAAGAATTGCTGAAGAAAATGTTAGTGTGGGCTTATGAAGAGTGTCTTCAATCGAGCTTACCTGGACGATTGCGTTGGCGACGTTCTGAGTCTGGGATGCCATGCCCACAGCCTGGGCACGTACGTTCCTGAAGGCAATAATTAGACCAACCAACGTCTCTTTCCAGGAGTTCACACAGGTGCTTTACGTACATGGAAAAGACCTCTGACGTCCAGATCCAGGTCGTTGCACCCCTGCGATGACAGGATGTTAGCTTGCCGGCCGCGTCACAAAAACGAAGTGACGGCGGTACTGACCAAGATGGCTTGTAGAAGAAGATGAACAGGAAGAGTAGAAACACGATCGCGATGCCAACAGGCTTAGACTTTGCTCCATCAGCTAGCACCGGTGTCTCGGTCTCGACGGCGGCGACTATGATCATGCAGATTCCCATGCCAATGGCGCCGATGATCACTGTGTTGTCACCTGTCAGCACCCACAACCGCTCAAGGTAGACTCAAAACCTACGCAGGAACTTCCGGCCGAACCTATCAACGGTCCAAGTCGCATTCGCAGTGAATATAATACCCATGGTCGCGTTCAGAGCATTGATCAATGCGATCTGGGACGCGTTCTTGAAGACCTTCTTGTAGATGATCGTGCTGTAGGTATTGAGCGTGCCTTGTCCGGTGACTTGCTGACCAGCATTGAGGATGAACGCCAACATCAATCTCTTGCGTACGGAACGATCTTTCCAGAGCGCCGAGTATGACGAAGAAATCGCTTCTTTCTCGAACTGCAAGGCTTCGGTGATCATGAGAAGCTCATCTTCCACATCCTGCTCAGTAGCTCGGACCCGGCTCAGGGACGCGCGAGCGGAGTTGTACTTTCCGCATTTGACATGCCATCTTGGAGACTCGGGGATGAACCACACCTGGGCGACGATCAGGATAGGTATCATCATCTGGAATATGACCACCATCTTCCAGTCCTTCGTTAGGTCAGCACGTATATCTTACGTTAGGGAATGATCATGTACAAACCCACTCGCCCAGAGAAGCCTTATGTTTCGTGCAAGCGTAATTGATCCAGTAGGCTATGAAAGAGCCGACGGAATAGAACATTTGCCAGAAAGACATGATGGTACCTCTGATCTCCATAGGTGCCATCTCGCCAATATAAATGGAACCAGCCGTGAGAGCAAGGCCTTGGCCAATACCAATGAGTACTCGGCCGGCGATGAAGCAGCCAATGTTGCCTCTCGGAGAGAAGGTTTGCATGAAAGTAGCCACCACGACGCAGAATGCGCCAGAGGCCATGCCAACTCGGCGACCAAAGTAATCTGCAACTGGTCCACCAAAGAAGAAGCCTGCGACGATGGCACCGACAGTGTACGCTGTGTTCACGGCGCCGACAATCTCTGTGCTGGGGTTGCCGAAGTAGGCATCCCAGTGCTTTAAAGGTGTCAGCATGAACCTATTACTGTCTCACAGATGGGTTCAGTTACCTTCGAGCCCTGTACAGCATTGTAAACCGATGCATCTGAGGAGGGTCAATCAGTGTGCTTCTTGAGGATGTTGGTCAACGCCAGGTGGGAAAATCTCACCATAACCGTAGAGCACCATGCACGACGCAGCCACCAACGATATGTACCAGTTGTACGCCCTCGAGGGCGTCATCGAGAAGGCGCCCATGATGGATGTTGCACTCAATCAATTCCAGGCACTGTACAGCAGGCGAGATTCATTCAACGGTGCTTCAGCGAGTACGTGGACAGTACCATGCGACGTGGCTTTCAAGATGAAAACGCAACGATAGGGCGCCACGGTCGATCGATCATGAGACGGAATACGGACGCAGAAGCCCTTTGCAATCCGAGCCTCAAGTGGCATGTCTCGAAGTAAAGTATCGAAACGATCTCGCGACCACCTTCTCCGCTGCCGCGGCCTGCTATGGGCATGGGGGCAGAATGCAATCTTCATCTGCGCTCGACCACGCGAGTCGGCAAAGCCATCGGCCCCAGAGCCGAGTTACGAAGAAATGATAGCATGCGCCAGCAACAGCGTAGAACTGCTTGCATTCGATACGGAGCAAGTCATGAACCATGGAGGTAAAAGAGACATGATTGGCTACCCTGCTAAGCTTCCATCTTTCCACCAATCATCAAGCGTCGGCGAATCGGGACAGAGCCTAATTTCAAGGCACGAGAGTGCTCGGCTAGTATGCTTTGATACAGCTTCCTGGCTTTCAAACTGTTGGACCAACGATATGCCACGCGAGTTGTTCCAGATTGCGTTACATGATGCTTGCTCCCGACACCTCCACACGCGCACGAGCGGAGGTGTCCTTGATCAAGCAACTGCAAAAGCTTGATTACTTTATACAACTATCTGGCATCTGTGCTTGCTGTGAACCGTGGTAGGATTTTATTGCCTCTGTCGACCCGTCGTCTTCTCTCGTGACAAGCCTACGGCAGGCTCAGGAACAGATCTCGCATGCGTGGGTAGTTGGGCGTCCCTAAACCTGTGACCGAATCCCATCCGCTTGCAGTCTGGAACCCAGCACTGCCGCATCCCGGGTTTGAGCCATTGACAACATCATTCAGTACCTCAGGGTGCTGATACAACACTGAATTGACGAATCCCACTGGACCCTTCCCAGCTGCGGTACGCTCTTCGTTGATCAAATTGATGACCGATGCGAAGATGGGTGTTGCAAGACTGGTGCCGAATTGCCAGTGCTGGGTCAAGTTAGTATAGCCGAGGAGGAAGGCACCGTTGGCTGTGCGAGCGGTCAGCTTTTATATCTGATCTCGATAGATGCTAACGGCGCATGCTCAACTCTGCACTTTTGATGAGCGAAATACTTACCGGAAACATCGGGAGACCCTCTGCCTGCGCGATTGTACAGCCCACCGCCTTCACCAAGGTTGTTAGCATCCGCACTCGCTACATACGAGGGCGCACTTGGTGAATCTTCGGAAAGATACTTCGAGACGGCGGCCATCTGGTAGCCTGGTCTGGCGAAGTAGTTGCTGAAGCTTCCACCACTGCCAAAGAGGTCGAGGCTTGGATTGCTGGTCGAGCTGTAACCGGTCTCTAGAGCTATAGCCGTGAGGTTGACTGAGCCTGCGCTCTCGCGATCTCGGACAGTCTGATTGTCGTAAAGTCTTGTCTGGCCTACTGACGTTACGTATGGGCCTATAATTAAAATGTCATGGTCAGTAGTAAGTTCTTTCTCGCGATACTAGATGACCATAACTCTACTCACATGCAGAAGGGTAGTCTGGGTTATATATAGTGCCGTTCAGACCACTTCCAGACAGGCATCCAGCTCCAATACTGAGCCTGTTGAAATTGTCGGCGACGCCATAGTCACCACTAGCGGTGACGATAGTATGGCCTTGAAGGCCAAGTTTCCTGGTTGAGAGTCAGTAAGGAGCGCCACGCTAGCAGCACGAAACCTGCATGAATTCGCTGCACTGCCGCTGTACATAGCTCTTTGGCAGTTCAGCCTCCGCCTCGCCATACGACACACTCACCACTCTCGTAAGCTGGTAGACGCCGCACATCCTTTGGCCGGTATAGCCTCCAGTAAAGTTCGTATTTGGGTATTCGGGATCGATACCAGGACTGTCTCCAGTGATGCCAAAGGCGGTAAAATTGCAATAGCTACCATCGACCGAATCAATGAAGGTGTTTCCGACGCCGGTGGCACCCGTCTCGCCGAGAGCGTTGGGAAGGTCATCGATCTGATAGACTACCACGGTTTGAGGGTAGATCAGAGACTGAGCCAATTCGATGTCTACGTCGGATTCACCAGTATTCAATGGACTATTGGCAGGCACTGGTGCTTGCCGCCATCGACTGACTTCACCTCTGGTGTAGTGCCAGTGGGTACCCAAGGTGCGACGTTCTGGAAGTCCAGGTCGATATCGGCTTGTGCAAAAGTATCTGCTGTTTCGAAAAGACCCAGCTTGTTCACTGGATCGTGGAAGTTGAGCCTAGGAATACCATACAGAGCCTGGATACATGTTGGCGTGATGTTGACGCTACAGTTCTGAAGGTCTGGTGGTAAGCCGTGAGCGCCTGACGGCATGACCCAGTGAGGATGGGGATTGAATACTATACCTGCTCGGCCCGGTCTACCTGACACTTGACCTGGTCCAGGTCGATGTAAGCCAGAGACATCCCGCTTGAACCTCGACTTCCTCATTGGTGCCGACAGGACAACACCAGGTTTGACCAGATCGACGTGCTCAGAGATATATCCCGGCAAATAGTACTCCTCGCAACCAAGCCTAAGCCCTTGGTTGGTATCATGCTCGTAGTATTCGGTCCGTAGCAGCAGCTCAGCCTTGCTAGCCGGAAGATTAACAGCAAGCCAGCCCTTGTTGTGGTAGGGTAGGATATCGTTCTTATCGATTCCTGCGGACAGCAACCAGCTCCTCACGGCCTCGATGGCACTGTCTGCTGGTGCGAACATGTCGCGAACCTCGTTGGCAGAAAGATGTTTGCCATAGTTTGGTGATGTCGGATGAGCGATATCCATGAGTCGATCGTAACCGGTGTGTAGGTCATTCTGCTTCAAAGCGATGCGAAGTGGAATGATTGAATCGACGTCGACCCGCTGAGTGCTATACAGGGTGGGAGTCGAACGTTTCTCATGTAAGACATGGTAACTCGATGGTAGGGCAAGAGATTGTGTGAAGAGGGCACAACAAGCCAGGCCAATGGGTACCTGCATGTTAGCTGTGTCTGAGGCTGATATTATCGTAGCCATTGACCCCAAAAATCAGGACGTCTATCTTATTCTTCCTTCGTAAATGGTTGCCTGCTCCCTAAAATGCTGCTTATGTAAGTAATATACAGCCCGCGTGTCGCGATTCCCAAACCCTACTGACGCTGCGCTGTGCGAAATGGCGATCACTGCATTGACTTCAGTTTTCAAGGCTGAGCGTCTCCGTAGTATATAAGGTATACATAGTCATGTTCTCAGACCAGGATCCTGACGATGACAATGATGCTGAAGCGAATCAAGATGCATGCAGATGCACATCAGCCTCGAGTGATAGCCAGCTCTCATGTCATAGATATAGCACGCCAGGTGAAGATGGAGGCGGGAAGGTTGTCCCGGTGGCGTACCACTTACTTTGTGCTTGGCGCAGGACCGTAGGAACAGGGAGTCAAGCCATCGATGCATGAAAGACCGATCCTGCGATGTTTCGCGCTGCTTGATCATGCATGCCAATGACTTGAATCATCATGCTTAACAACTACGGGGACCTCATCAACATAGCAGTAACAAGATCAAGGTATGGGTATTCGTCATAGCACACTGGTATTAGGCCAATCTGCAATCAAGTAGCCTCTGATGTGTATGCCATCGTTGAACCAAGCCGGTGGTCTTCGTTGTAATAATTACGTCGAGCTCGAGATGCTTGCTGTCGATGATAGTGGTCATCCTGGCAGACGTCAAAAAGCATCGAAGACCTAAAATCACCCAAGCAAAATTTCGTTGCGTTTGGAGTGGCGCATCAGTTCAACATCAGCGAGAGCGAGAGATGATCAGCTTTGACCAGATTTATTGATTGATCGATTCATCAATGGATGCTTTGTGCCACCTCTCCGTTAATATTCGACATCCGGAATGGTGAAAATGAAGTTGCATGTGTACCGACGAGTGGAGGATTGATTCGTTGTCACAGACACGCCGAGGGCTATTGGTCTTGTCGAGCCATGCGCGAGATATCCAGTGAAGACATCTCCGGACCATGGTGTAGTGTCTCCCCCTCGGTCGTCCTGAGGGTCTGCTGCAGCTTCAAGCGTCAATTACGTGCTTTGCCATCCGGCAGTTGGTGGATGGCTACCGTCTCGTCTCTTCGTCTTGTGGGAAACATGCAACATCAAGAATGGTTGCAGGCGACAGCCGCGGCAAATTCTTGATAATGCGCGTGCCTGGCTGCATGAAGCACATGAACTATCCATTGACCCTTCATTCGTCGAGCATCCCACGCCCATCGAGCGCGTGCGCGAGGTGGAGGAGGAGAAGATTCGAGAGAAATAGCCCCCGTGCTCACTTTGGAGGAAAGACAGCCAATCAGCGCTCGCATATGACCTGCGTGGATCAGATAGCACGCGACAGTCCACGGCCGCTCCTTCCTGCGCAAAGCATCTCTTGCCCACCATGACCACCAGCTCGGTGTCTGCCCAGTGTTACTACTGTAACCCTCCTCAACCATTCTGTATAGAGATACCCGCTCCACAACGCCGCAGCTATACAGCTCCGTGCTCGTTATCAAGGTTGTCGTCCTCCTGCTCCTCCCTCACCATCGTCCCCTCCATCCATTGCCCACTACGGCTTCGTATACCAGCCAAGTCTACTCTGCCCGTCGGCCTACTACATCCGAGTTAGCGGGTAGCACGACGGCTGCGAACGGCCTCTTCGGCATGCCACGACCCAATCCACCGCCGACACCCGGCTCATCGAGTGACATCCGTGGTAAGGAAGGCAGTCTTGCAGCCCCAAAATTCAACCTGCCACCGACGGCATACCACGAGCCCGATCGGCTTAGTAACAGCTCGTCGACGCCTTCAGCCAATGGCTCAGATTCGTCTTACAGACCTGTGTCGCCGCCATCACCCAACGATATGTCGCGCAAACGACCCGCGCAACAGAGTGGTCCCGTGATCACCAAGGATGATTTCGCGCTGCCTCCACCGCCGACGAGGTCGCGCAAGATTATTCAGATGAAGCCTAGAGACGACCCGCAAGACTCCGCGAATGCATCTGCTACTGTGTCGCCCGAAGTGGCTGGCAAGACTCCCACTGCAAGTCAAGCCGCGAGTAAGAAGAAGCAGAACGGTGCGGGCAACACAGCGGCGGGGCGTAAGATCGCGCGCAAAACGGCACACAGTCTGATCGAGCGAAGACGAAGATCGAAGATGAACGAGGAATTTGGCGTGCTGAAGGATATGATACCTGCCTGTAAAGGACAAGAGATGCACAAGCTTGCCATTCTGCAGGTATGCTGAAGCAGTGAGCCAAGTGATGCGGACACAGACTGACACTTTTCGCAGGCTAGCATAGAATACCTTCGGTACCTTGAACAATGCGTAACCGACCTCCAAGCACAGAACAACTCATCTCGACCTCCTCCACCAACGACAATCACACGCGGCCAGCAAGACGAAGAAGATGACGACGAAGAGATGGAGGACGAAGAGCCAGAGGAAACAGTAGCGCCTACTCCACCCGTCGCTCCGCTAGATCGATCTCACTCCAACAGCCTGGTGTCTCTACCATCTCTGTCACAAATCACAACCACAGCGACAGCTTCTCCATCCATCTTCAGCGTCGGTGCCGGCAGACATTATTCCATCTCCTCGGCTTCGCAGGCGAGCTACAGTCCTTACTTCCACTCCAATCAGACCTCACCAGCTTTCGGCCCTCAGCTGTCGCACATGCACTCCGCGCCATCCTACAACAACACCTTCGGTCTCGGCAGTCCTGCTCTCAAACCCGTAGACTCGGCCCATGCACTCCGACAGATCGCCGAGGGTGCGACAGAGTTATCAGAGAAGCAACGGCATGCGAGAGCTATGGGTAGGAGTGAGCATGAGCTTGATCACGAGGCGGCTGCTGCGCTGAGTATGCTTAACAATGACCGACGAAATTGGCGCGCTGGATCCTCCGCTGGTGTGCCTAGTGATGAAAGTAGATCTGGGACTGGTATGAGCGTGAGAGATCTCCTCAGCGGTTAAGAAGGTCCGACTGATCAGAAGTATGACAGGCGGATAACGATGTTTAATGGTTGGAACGATCTCGGCGGAGTGTTGTCAGTGCCGCAACTCGGTATACTGTTTGACGTGGCGTAGGAATATGGGAGGCAATACCAGGGGTACTGATTTCATGCTATGCGTGGAGTTTCAAGGGATGGCTACAACTATGTGGTCTGGTACGGCTGTGCTATACAAAAGTGCTTTGGTGGTCACATTCAGGTAGCCCTTATCTTGAGCAACAGAATCTCTTGAGACAGCGGCGCTCGACGTGCCAGCAGCATCTTTCAAGTAATTGGGCATTATGGAACTTTGTTTCAGAAGCCGAATGGTGACTTTATCTTGCACCATCGTCGTGCCTGTCACATGCAAATCACGCGCTCGTTCTTCAAGCGGCCAACGTCACTTCTCCACCCCTCCACGCATTTTTCTTAAGCCGCAATCGCGCTAGAGCACCTTACAACGATTCTACTTTTCCTCAACCTATGGCGAGATGGGCCTCGACTTCGTGGCTTGCGGTCCTGACAGATCCACTATCGCGGACGACCCACAGCCCGCCCATTATGGTGCAAGGACGCGTTGAGGGGCAGTAGGATCGTCAGGCACGTCTCTCCGCGACCTGGACGATATTTGCTGGGCGCCTGTCAAGTGTCTGCTTTCCAACGATATACGATACTCATGGCCCGGGAAAGATCGTCACTCTCGACGTGTGCGTCGGCATGGCCAGCGCAATAGCAAGCTGCCTAGCAAGCGTTGAGGTAGGTCGTGGCAAGTGGGTCTCTCCTCCACGAGGTCGAGGAGAGGACGCTGCTAGCGCTGTTCCTTGGTGTTCGAGAAGATAACCAACCACTTCCCTTGATGTGTTGTTCCGCCTACTCTCCACTTCACCTCTCATCCAGCCTGGCATCTCCTCTGACTATAGTGCAATCCTTACCATACGATCAAGATTTGCATCAAGGAGCACAATACCACGGATCATGCCTTCCGCTGCGCAGATCCCCGAGACCATCCTTGAGACCAGCACCCGGCCGATGGGCACGAAGAGAAAGATCATCTGCTTCTCTGGTACGTCTTGTCTACCAGCCTGATGTAGCAGTGTCTGCAGTCGTGCTCATGCAGCATGAACAGACTTCGATGGCACTATCTTCATGCAAGACACTGGCCACATCCTCTTCAATGCCTTCGGCTGCGGCAGTGATCGCCGCGAAGTGCTCGACCAACAGATCAAAAGCGGCGAGCGCTCCTTCAAAGACGTCTCGGAAGAGATGTGGGGTTCTCTAGACGTCCCATTCGAAGACGGCTTCGAAGCCTTGAAGAGCGGTCTAGTGATGGACCAGGACTTCAAGGTCTTCCACGATTTCTGCCTGAATAACAGTATCCCGTTCAACGTCATCTCTGCCGGTTTGAAGCCCATCCTCCGACGAGTCCTGGACCATTTCATTGGCGAAGAATCTAGCAGCTCCATCGAGATCGTCGCCAACGAGGCAACGATAGATGAGGAAGGCCATACATGGAAACCGCAATGGCGCCATCAGAATGAGCTGGGTCACGACAAGGCACTGTCGATCAACGAGTACAAAGACCAAGCCAAGCTCGAAAGCGAAGACGGCACAATTCCTATGATCATCTTCATCGGCGATGGTGTCTCTGATCTTCCAGCTGCTCGTGAGGCAGACGTCCTCTTCGCTCGTCGTGGTCTGGCGCTGGAAGAGTACTGCCAGAAGAACCAGATCAAGTATACACCCTACGACACTTTCGCCGATATCCAGAGGGAGATCATCAAGATTGCTAAGATCGACGATAAGAAGACGAAGGGCCAAGGTCTGCCCAGCAACTTCAACCCGAGGGCCAACTTGTGGAGGCGTGCAAGCTCCAAGACTGCGGTGCCTGTTTTTGCTGCGATGACGCCGAGGGATGAGAAGATGTTTGTGTGGCCGGAGACTTTCACCGAGGAGAAGACACTGTCTGCCCAAAGCAAGGTTGTGACCGTGTAGGTGCGTGATTCTATCTTAGAGTATTTCCCTTTGACAGTCTATAGATTAGAACCATAGATGACACAACGTTATGCATGGCGAGATTCAGTACAACCACGAAAGCACCAAAGCACCAAAGCACCAAAGCATGGATCAGCAGATCTGTAGCTTAAGACCAGTGACAAACAAAGACAGGAGGCCGCCACTTTCCATCGTTGGTAGTCGAAACTTTTTGTCCATGAGCCCATGCACCTGCTTCTGTTGCACGGAAATGGTCCAATGGATACCCATACGATCTAAAAGGTGTTCTGGCTTCTGCCAATGCATGCCACGTCAAGTCTGGTCCTTGCAGCTAATAAGCGTCTGTCCTCCCGCGGCGCCCACGAGCTTAGAAGCTGGTCAAGATCTCCTATTGCCCATGCTTGTGCTCTCGATGGTGTTCTGCCCAGGCACTGTGGGACCAGTGGGTGGAGTTAAGGATCCGATACGAATGCCAATGCATGACTCGTCAATACACGAGACCCATACAGTTGCCATACGAGACCTAAGTGACAAGAGTGGGCAAGCTTTACGCGATGCTGCGAGTCATAAGCATGTACGGTCACGGAGGCTTCCACGCCCTCAACTGGACTTCGAGCGCGGACGCTAGGTTTGGCGAGCACTATTCGATGAGGCTATTGCATGCAATGGAGGCTACAGATCCAACGCCGGATGGACTCACTGCATATCAACCCTGGCCTTTTCTGTCTGTCAGTGCCTCTGTAATCTCATCTTCGATGCTTCATTCTTGTTCCGGTCGATATCAGCTGGTGGAGGCTGATGTTGAGGTCGTACACGGAGCTTGTGGTGGCTTATGCCATGCAGAGCTGACATTGGAAGGCTGTCAGTAATGCCGTCTGCATAACATCGACAGCTCGCCTTGGCAGCCATGGCATCCTTCGCCGTCGGACATCGTTCGAAGCTCAATTCCTCCACTTCCCACCCAGTTGCGTCCGGCGGTCGCTTCCCATTCGAGTATTAGGCCATCACAGACTGGTGTGTCGTTGCCCGTTGTTTGACTCGAGTCCGCCAACAGATGCCAGCCGCCGTGCTGAAAGCGATGCGGCCCTTAACACTCCTTGATATGCGTAGATTCGTGCCTACTGATAGATGGTTTGAAGTGTCCCCAGCGATTCTGCTCACTCTGTTCTGCTCGGGCAAACTTTCAACAAGCGAGCTGAGTTTACGCCAGCCCTGTCTCCGTGAACTCTCTAGATGGCCACCCTTGTTGGTATGAATATAGTATGATTCGCACTTATATACGATTGTACTGACATGCGTCGATCGTTGCAGCATTCGGCGCTTGAGCACTGCATCGGCAAGTGGCAGTATGCGGCTCCTGAGCCCTGTCGCGCCTGCAGCATGCCTCCGCAACGCCACCCGCTGCAATGGTAGGCCACCCAGTATGCCTATTCATCTGGAAAATGACGCTGGAATGGCGTCCGCCAAGACTCTTCTCAGCCGTGTCTTCCATTGCACCCTCACACCGCGACTTCTGCGATGAAGGTTACTACTCCGGACAGCAGAACCATACTTCTAAGTTCTGCTAAACGGCTGTGGTGTCGCCTCCGAAACGAGGCAGTCCCTCCGTTGTTCCCTGGCCGTTGAACAGCCGCATACAGCAACGAATTATGCTTCACCAGCCCACTGCGAGCACTATTGCTGTCCGAGTGACATGAGCGGGATGGCTCGTACGGGTAGGTAAACGAGAATTTGTTATCTTCATCATCTCTTTTAATACTCACCGTTCATTGCCGAAGTGTACTTGTTGTACTTCTGCGCTCGTCCGCCTCAAGCATCTCTCCTCGGTCGAAGGGGTTTGGGTTGTCGATGACCCGGGACACTATCATTCGAGGTCAAAACTATAAACGAGAGATCTAGAGGGAGAAGTACCGTCAACATCGATAGAGGATCATTACCAGCACAGCAGAGAGAGCGACAAAGTTCAGCATTGTGGCAAACTACCCATGTCACACTACCTCGACTCCTCTTACCACCCCAATACCAACCCACAATGCCACCACCCTCCGAACCCGACTTCAGCGCCGACCCCTACACATGGGAAGGTCTAACAGGCTGGAAGTCCTACCGCACCCTCCGCCCCTTCCGAGGAATCTACTGGGACATCCGACGACGACTCCCCTACTACTGGTCCGATTGGCGCGATGGCCTCAACTACCGCACGATGGCAGGCTGTGTCCGCATCTTCTTCATCAACCTGCTGCCCGCCCTAGCATTCGAACTGGATATGATGCGGAATACCAATGGCTACTTCGGGATCAACGAGGCCTTGCTTTCCAGTGCCCTGGCCGCGTTCGTGTTTAGTCTGTTTTCTTGTCAGCCATTGACGGTGGTTGGGATCACGGGGTTGATTTCGTTGTTCAATTATACGATTTTTGCTATCACTGAGCAGCAAGGGATTGCAGATCTCTACCCGCAGTTTCTGGCTTGGTGTAGTATCTGGGCTGCCATCACGCATTGGATTGCCGCCATTTGCAATTGGTCGGATTACATGCGGTATATTACCGACTTCAGTAGTAATAGTTTCGGGACTTACGTGGGCATCATTTACATGGTCAAGGGTTTCCAGGAGATCTTGTCGACATATTATGTTGCCGATGAGGGAAGTCCTCGGGCTGCGTACCTGGGGAGCGTGATAGCACTATGCTACTTCTTCTCCGTTTGGGCACTGGAGAGGATTGGGAGTACGATACTCTTCACACCACGGATACGGAAGCTAATCTCTGATTTCGCATACCCGATTGCGACAATCTTCTGGACGGGTTTCAGTCATATTCCTGGACATATCAAGCAAGCCGATCTACCACGAGTTCCGCACACTCGAGCGTTCTATCCTAGCGTCCCACGACCGGGCGGAGTGTGGCTGGTCGACTTCTGGAACCTGCCAGTGAAGTGGGTCTTCGTCGCTCTACCCATTGGAATCCTGATCACGCTCCTCTTCTACTACGATCACAACATCTCTTCCATCACAGCCCAAGCCAAGCAATTCCCGCTTAGAAAACCAGCGGGCTTCCACTGGGACTTCTTCCTGCTAGGCATCACATGTTTCGTCGGTGGCGTGATGGGAATCCCATTACCCAATGGTCTCGTCCCACAAGCGCCAGTACATACAGATAGTGTGACAGAATACGTGGAGCTGCATGCACGAAGTCGGGAGCAAGATTTGAAAGATGGGGGTGAGCAAGGCGAAGGCGACTGGATCCAGCATAACAGGAAAAAAATCGAGGCGACCAAAGTCCATGAGCAACGTGTCAGTCACTTCTTGATGTGTCTTGCCTTTCTCGGCCTTATGACGGGACCGCTACTGGATGTCCTACATACCATGCCTCGCGCTCTGTTCGCCGGCGTGTTCTGGATCGTAGGTTTTACTGGCCTTTCGGGCATGAATATCGTGCAGAACTGGATCTACATCCTCACCGAGACACGTTTCGTGGACCCGAGCGATCTGCGCACGACGCTGAAGAAGAGGCGGATAGCATACTACACTATGTTTCAGATTGCTGGAGTAGCCTTCAGTCTTGGTCTATCCTTCACCCGAGCCTCGATTGGGTTTCCGGTGGTCATGATCGCGTTGATACCTTTGCGATGGGTAGTGCTACCTCGCATATTCACGGAGCATGAGCTGTTGGTGCTGGACGCGCCGACTGCAGAGGCCGAGGTGGTGCTGGCTTCGATCGGTGGTCGACCGACGTTGCCGGAAGTGAGGATGGCGGAGGAGAAGAGGAGACAGAAAGGTGAGAGTGGTGAGACGGGGGAGGGGATCAGTACGAAGAGTGGGTCTGAGGAGACTAAGGCGGAGGGTATGAGGTCAAGAGACGGGTTTCGGGATGGTGAGGAGAGGGAGGTGGAGAAGGAGAGCGCGGATGAGGATGCGAGGAGGGGTGTACAAGCGACGCTGAGGACGGGTCATGCTTGAAAATATACCAGGGTGATGTGCGTGTGAATATGATATGTACATATTGTACATCCAGACGACTGTGGTAGTGCATATGGTTATTGGTGATCGTTAGTCCTGATCGCATAGCTCGTGGGTCGTGTCTCTAATCATCCCATCCTCAACGCCATCCCATGCAACGCTAAACGCTTTCGATGTTGTACAGAGATCTGCCGGCACCTCACCGCTGCTTCAAGCTATTGAGCATTGCCTGCTCACGCTCCGCCATCTCGAAGGGATCACCATAGCGGTCTGTTCGCACATCTCATTAGCATCATTCCGTACACAAGCATGGCACAATGTCGATACTCACTCCCAACCACGCAATCCTGATGCACCATATCCGCCCACGCGCGCGACCTTTCATCCATGGCCTTCTTGTTCAACCACGCATACCCCGGCTCGTCCTCCGCGCGATTCCAGCTATACCCACTCGCCTGATGTGTGTGGGTGGCGAACTCCTGCCCTGCTCGTGCCTTCCCTGCATTGGCGTTTGCACTTGCCGTCGTAGTGGTGGTGTTCATGGGTGCGTCGACGTCGATGACTTCGTGCTCGCCATTACTGATAGTGTTGAGCGGGCGTTTGCCGTTGGCGTTGGCGCGTGCCACACCGGGAGCAGAGGTGGGCATGTTGCTGCTGGGTTCGCGGTGTTGTGAGTCTGGTGGTGAGAGGATGGACGAGTTGGTGATCTGGTCGAGAGGTGTCTCGACTTCTTCCGTGTCTGTGAGTTCGGGGGAGGAGGCCATCCGGCTGTCGCCATCGTTGTCCGCCATGACTGCTGTGTTTACTGCCTGCTGGTGCCTGAAGTAGTGAGTGCCTGATGATTTGATCGTGTTTATATAACAGCTGCAGGGATCATCTTCCGCCCCCGCATTGTGGCTTGAACGCTGGCCCACTCAGCTTTGCCCACAAGCCGCTCACTCAAAGTGCAATTGTGCATATTTTCCTTCACACAAACATGATATCTCGATAGTGGCTGGGGTACCTGTGCTGAAATCAGACACAGGAGCGACTTTCCAGTAACATCACGAACACTGAGAGCTTCGTAGTAGTAGGCAATATGAGCAAGAAGGCGGCTGTGCCAGATGCATGGGAGGACGACTGGACTAACAACCCTGTGGTATGTCGTGTCTCAGGTAGCAGCAAGTCATATAGTAAATTTGAAGTTGCTGACCACTCCCTTCAGACCACGGACAAGCCACCCAGTCCCGCGCCAGCACCCAAACTCACCAAGGCAGAAAAGAGAGCACAGCACCAGGAGTTACAGAAGCAGCTATGGGACTCGGCTGAGAACCCTACGCGGTCATATTGGCTCGAGTCGCAAGGGGTGGTACCTAACAAGCACGAGCTGAAGCCACAAATGAAGTTACTTAGTCGAAAGCCACAGCCGATGATCGCTAAGAGAGACCCAGCAACCGGCATGGCGGATCTTACCATTGACGACGGAGAAGACAGCGAGGAAGAACGAAAGAAGAAGGCGGAAGCGGACTTCGAGGAGCGAAAGCGTAAAGCCCAAGGCGAGCGCGAAGATAAGTTGCGACGATATGCTGAGGCGAGGGAGCGCATCATGGGCTCGACCAGCACCAGCACACCTGCCACGGGATCAAGAGAGAGTTCGCAAGGCCGCGACAATCGGAAAGCGAGAGGCAGGCCAAGCAGCAACAGGAACAGCCAGCCTACTTCTACAGATCAATCGCCTGCCAGGATAAATCAACAGACTGCTTCAGGACAACCATTGTTTGACCCTGAGGATACGATGAGACGTAGTCCAATGCCAAAGCCAAACACCCCAACTCTCAATGGACCAACAAGACAGCCAAGGGCGCCGCCATCTGATCATGCAAGTCGAGGCGGCTTCGGCTTTGCCGGGCGTGAAGGTCGACCAGCCATATCGAATACTTAAGCTCGTTTGCTCATCGATCATCACACAATCACTTCACGGAGGGAGACTATGGACTACATGTTGAAGGCTTAAAAGGACTCCTGTCGATGACTTGGCATTGCCTCAAACTGTGATCGCCCGGACCATGCGCGACTAACGGTGACAGCGGACCGCGCCGCTCATCTTACTTCCAGACCACCAGGTACAGCGAGACCAACATTATTATATTCGACTGCAGACAACGGATTCTCAACGGAATCTACTGCAACGTGTACTGCCAATCTGCCCACTTGTGGTGATGGCAATCAATTTTGCTCATCACGCGTGGGGTTGATTTGGACCAGAAAGTGCGCAAGCTTCCAAAGCACCAATGACCGGCCTCGTCCGAAACACGATGTTTGGACTTCAGCGCAAATGCATGCGATTGACATGTCACGAATCCCAGTCTATACCAATAGCATGTGAAAGCCCGTATGTGGTTTCACATCGGAGAGCGCGTAGGGTATCATCGCTGCTTCTATGCTTCGGCACTGGATCTGCATCTGGCAAGTGTTATGTAGCATGCTGCTTGCCTCGTTAGACAAATGCAGTCTGCGTGCATATCTCGGGCGATGAGCGACTTCCAGTACATCGCCGCTTGCTACAGAATCACCTGAATCCCTACCACGATATCTGAGAGTCCTCCTGGAGCAATTCGAAATAACAGCACATTCGACTTCTCATCTTTGACTACTCAACAGTCAAACATGAAGGTCATATCCTTTGTCATCGAGCTTCTGGCAATTCTCGGCTTTAATACTGCCCAGACTAGTGGACTTGGGCGACCGCCGCTACAGTCTAGACAACAAGCGTGCAATGGGAACGCCGCCTTCTGCGACCGCCCTTACTCGAATGTCTCTCTTATCGGCACGCACGACTCTGCGTTCGTTGGTAGCATCGTCGATCCGCGCGTCAACCAGGAGAAGTCTGTACCTACTCAACTGGACGCTGGGATCAGATTTCTGCAGTCTCAAACTCATACAATCAACAATGGCGCACAGCTAGAGATGTGCCATACCACCTGCACCGAACTGGACGCGGGAAGTTTCCAGAACTACTCGAGTACGATCAAGACGTGGTTGGATGATAGTCCGGACGACGTTATCACGCTGCTGATTGTGAACGGCGACAATGTTGATGTCAGTATGTTCGACGCTGTCTTCTCCAGCACTGGTCTGAAGCAATACGCTTTCGTGCCCTCGACATCTCCGAACCAGCTTGCGATCAACGATTGGCCGACGTACGCCCAAATGATCACCGCGAATACCAGGCTCGTGGTGTTCATCGATTCGAAAGCCAATCAGAATATAGTGCCGTATATCCTTGATGAGGTACTGAACATCGCTTTGTACTTCAGGGTGCACACATGCTGACTCGCGCCCAGTTCACCTACTTCTTCGAGACTCCCTACGACACCACCGACCCCAACTTCGCCGAATGCACTCTCGATCGGCCAGCCGGCGGCAGTGCGGCCGGCAGGATGTACATCGTCAACCACTTCCTCGACGCCTCACTTTTTGGAATCTTGTTCCCGAATGATGCCGCGGACTACACGACCAATGCCGCTACGGGTAGTGGGAGTATTGGAGCGCAGGCGCAGTTGTGCGAGAGCGACTATCAACGGCCACCGAATGTTGTGTTGGTGGATATGTTTGACCGGGGGGATGTTTTTGCTGCTCAGGATGCGCTTAATGGTGTGTAGATGGTGTGTAGATGGTATTCTAAGTCGTATCCTCCTTGGACGTGGTAATTTGCCTTGTTCCGTCAAGCAGGAGACAACAGCGTCTCGAAGCTTCCTCCAGATAGTCAAGCCCAGGGCAAAGTGTACAGGTCTTTCCGGAAGGATCTCCGAGCCACTCAACACTTATGATAGATCCTGAAGCCATCGCTCTTGAGCGCCTCGAACACTTTTCAAGACATCAGAGTGATGTATCGTGATCTGTCAATTCGCGCAGCCGTTGTCAGTGCCGTCTCGTTTGCTGGACCTCGGCAGAGTGATGAACCGAGCAACACCATCCCTCTTCGAGACAATGGCCAGTAACATCAACTACCAGCATACCGTCACCAGTGCATCGAGAAAGGAACACTTCGAGCGTGAGTATGTTCTAGCCAACCAACTCATCATCCTTGGCGGCCTGTACGAGCATAACATACAACACAATCTACTAAGGTCCCCTCAATCCGGCGCAACTTCGATCCAGCAAGATGTTCCACGTCAAAGAGCATACTGTGCCTACTTCGCATATCCGAGAGTATGCGAGATCGACTGTCGATGACCAGGAAGAAGTCTTGCATCTTGCTGTAAAGCAGTACATTCCTAAGAAGACATTCGCTGCCACTCACAAGGTCACGATCGTGGGCGCTCATGCCAATGGCTTTCCAAAGGTCCGAAGCATTTCCTCCATTTTATGTTTCAGGCTGATAGATGAATAGGAAATGTATGAGCCGCTCTGGGACGAGCTCTACGAAAGACTTCGAGCCAAGGGTATCGCCATCAATAGCATTTTCATCGCAGATGTTGCACATCAGAATGCATCTGGCATTCTCAACGAACGCAAGCTTGGAAATGATCGTGAGTTGGATTGATGCTCAGAGGTATAGTTCAGGACTAATGTTGAGTTCAGCATCTTGGCAAGATCATCCACGAGACATGTTCCTCATGATCAACCACTTCAGAAAAGAAATGAAGCGACCTCTGATTGGCATAGGACACAGCATGGGCGGCAACAATCTCGTCAATCTGTCTATCATGCACCCACGGCTCTTCACAACGCTGATCCTCATCGATCCCGTCGTTCAGCGACAAGTGTCCACTCAAGGTAATTTCGCACCGGCGAGAGCGTCAACGAACCGAAGAGACAAATGGCCCAGTCGCAAGGCCGCAGAAGCATCGTTCAACCGCTCGAAGTTCTACCAAACCTGGGATCCTCGAGTACTCGACCTATGGGTGAAGTATGGACTTCGTGATCTTCCGACACATCTATACCCATCTGCAACTCCAGCGTCAGCCTTCCCTCCGGTAATCACAGCGGATCCAAGTACAGCGACCGTATCTCCTGAGCCCATGACCGAGAGGAAGGTCACTCTTGCTACGACCAAACATCAAGAAGTTTTGACCTTCGCAAGGCTACGATCACCAGCGATAGAAGGCTCGAGCATACCTATGGAGGTGACACATCCAGACTTCGACCCGGAGCGAGACATTGATTCGCTCTTCTACAGTCCAGCACTAATCTCCACTTTCCGGAAACTGCCAAATCTACGACCGAGCGTGTTCTACATATACGGCGAAAAATCCGACCTTTCTGCGCCACTGTTCATTGCAGACAGACGCGCGCAGACTGGCATCGGACCAAACGGATCTGGTGGTGCCAAGAAAGGCCGAGTGAGCGATGTCACATTCAAGGGTGTTGGTCATCTCATACCCATGGAGGACGCTAACCAGACAGCCGATGCCGCTGCTGCGTGGATCGTACCTGAGATAGAAAGGTGGGCGGCATTGGAAGAAGCTGAGAGGAAGGAGTGGGCTGGTGTGCCGGTACATGAGCGCAGTCAGATGACGGAACGATACCTTCGGATCATGAAGGAGGATGGGAAGAAACCATCCAAGCTATAGATGTCGGTAACGCTTGGCACCATTCCATGTTATGAAGAAGGCTCGAAAGCAGGTTGAGAAGGACTCGTCCGGTCCACATGCATTGCAGTTCCTCGGAATTCCGCACGGTGAATTGCTGCTCATGCAGTACAGAGCGTGGCCAAGACCGTGGTCGAGGGCATCGTCACGGTGTTGTTGCACTGCACGATCTATATCTTTGTAAGCAGGTTCACAGTTGCTACAAATACGGAGCTCTTACCGGTCCATGGCCTGGGTACTTGGTCGAGACAATGCAGCCCGGGTATCCTCCACAGTCTTGCGAGATGGTACTTGTTGTCGACTGCTCATACCTCGTGCATGTAGCTTGGTACAGAGCCTGCAGATTCCCAAATCGTGTCAAGGTGCAAGGCGGACTGAGCGACGGCTTTGGCGATGCGGAGACAGTGGCTGTAGCTGAGATAATGCAGCTTGTCACTATCGCGGTGGCAGTGCCGGCTGTAGACTGTGTGCTTTGGCACGGCTACCGTCGGTCAGTACGAGCATCGATGCGAAGCCACGAAATAATCATACCAGACCATCTCCGAGCACTCGAGTCTCAGGAACACATCCACAACAATCGGCGGATGCGGTCGAAGTCACTGTCTCCGCATACGACGTGCAGCTTTCGTCAAAAGCTGGTAGCTTCATCAGTGTAGTTGTACACAGCTGCCCAGGACCACCCGGGTTGATGCAGGTAGAGTAGACTGCTTTTGACGCTGCCCTGGTTGCCATCAGTATCTCGCGCATGACATATATGGTTACATACGTACACGTGACTCCAACTAAACATCAGACGGACAAATAGATGTACTGGGAGCATCTTGGAGATAGTATATGCTTGATCTTGACTTCGTGCAGCAGGTGGTGATATGCTTCTACTGTTGTACCGGGGCAACATCAAGTAGTGACAACGTTGACGATCGTAATGATAGCACCTGTCGATTGGCTTTGGATCTGATTTGGTTGGTGTGAGGTATGCTTACTGAAAGTGAGGCATTTGCGACTCATACTCGCGGTATAGTGAATCTTATGTAAGTCGTCTATCGGATCGCGGTGACCTCCTTGCTTGTGAAATCCCTTGATCGAACCAGCCGTTCTCGCTGCGACCCTCGTAACGTATTTATCAATGAGACCAAGCGACATGAGCGGTCTTACGCTGGTCCTATAATCATGCGGCTGTTATCGTGTGGTTTGCTACACAGCGACTGCTGACAGGAGTGCCACCTGCTCAATCCACTGGACGCCTGATCGCGTCAGCCGCGTACGGCGACCCGCTAGGTGAAGCGGCCTAGCTCACCTGCGAGCCAGCACTTCCCAGCACACTACACCGCCCTCAAGGCGATAGCATCTGCTCGTGCGCTGATTACGACAGTCACTCCATGTCAATGGTACCTGTCTTCACTGCCGGCCGGAGGGTAGTATCCTCCGCCATACTCGAGACTGCATCCCTCAAACACATCCTCTCGAACCAGCGTGAAAGGGCTGAACCAACCGCTCTTATAGATCTTGACCACAAAGGTAGCCTGAAAGCTCTGGTTCAGGAAGTTCGGCCTATGTCCTTCCTCGAAGGGCGCACTCAGTGGGAAGAAAGTGCCCTTGGGGGCCGTAGCGGTGACAGTTAGCTTTTGGAAGAAGTTCTGGATGCTCAGCTCGAACTTTCGCTCTTCCCATTTCGTCTCATAGCTCAAGAAGGGGCTGAGGCCAGCTAGGCGAACGGCGAATGGTGGCCTGAAGTCGATGTTCAAATCCCCACTGCGGTACCCGAGCAGAAACGCTTCCATCCCTAGAATTTTGCCGCCAGCGCAGCAGAACGCCCTGTCACCTTTCCGAGCTTGCAGCCACATGTGTGCGGCAGGAAAGCTTTGCGCCCAGTTCTTCTCCTGATGCACAATGGCTTTTCCAGAACGATCCTCGGGCGGTAGGTCGTAGCTGGGCAAGCTCATCTCGAAGTCGCAGTCAGATGCTAATGATTGCACATGCCAATGCAAAGGTAATGGAAGGTTGACAAGAAGTGCTTCTGGCGTGTTCGTGTGAGCAGACCATGGCGTCCTCGAAGTCGTTTTGCCACGGAAAGTGAACTCGGGACAGTTGAGGTCGTACTCGGTCGTGGAGTCGGCATCCCATCTAGCGTATCCTATGCCAGGTACCTCGAGTCCAAAAGCAAAAGTTTGTTTGTCGTAAGTGACCATGTGCATCTCCTTCGCCCAAATCTCCTTTTGGTATGTCTTCGAGACATCCTTGGGCACGTAGGTCAAGGAGACCATGTACGGGTTCTTCTTTGCGCCTTTGACCTCACATATTATGATCGCGAGTTTCGCTCCAGAGGGGAGGTCGAACTTGCTGTAGTAACCTTCAAACACTGACCCCGAGTGTGGAGCATGGTGTTCCATTTCACAGTCCGATGGGTCTGGTGACCAAAAGGTAGACGAGATGATAACCTACCTCTAGACTTTGGTGCAATTCACTGTATTCTTAGTGCTATGTTGTGTACCCTTTCATTTCCTGATTGTCAATGTATATATGTCGCAATTATGATGAGGGTGAAGGACGCTACGGTGGGCTGCATGATTCGTTCGACCACGTGCCCTCAGCCGTTTCACTTCCATCACATTCACGTTCACGATCCTCTTGCAACGCGACAGTCACCCGCCCAACATCATCATTGAGATAGTGTCGAGGGTGGCCGGCCAAGGTTTGGCCAGTATCAGTAAGGTCGAAATCGCCAAGGACATGCATAAGCACGGTCATTTGAGCTTGACAATACCGAAAGTACACCTCACCACACCAACATCGTCTCACTACTTATCATCCTTCTTCACCGGCTCACCCTTCTGCGCCTTGTTCTTGTTGTCCCCAGTATCCTTGTAGTCGCCTCCAGCAGCCTCGTACCGCCTCGCCATCTCACCAGCCTTCCAAGCACTCCATGAGCCCTTCCCGCCACCTGGGATTATGTCAATCAGACGACAAGCATAACAGCATGGTGAACGACTGGATCCTACCTTTCTCCTCGGCCTTGACCTCCTCCTTGATCTTCTCCCTCAACTCCGGATCAGTAGGCTCTCCCTTTGATGAAGGCATAATGCTACTGTGTGATGAGGTAATTGGTCGCGTGCGAGGCTTGAGAACTGCTCTTTGGCTATCGAATAGTTGAGTGCGCTGAGTCTCGAGAGGCATGCGAATGCGACCAAGGATACATCTTACGACGACGATCCCAAGCATACTCCAACTAGTGCTAGGCAATGCATGACTGGATCTGAATGGTGATGTCACTGCTACAGCTACCTTATCAAGACCCCACCTATGAAAACGGAGAGTTGTAACTGGGAGGAGCATGACATTGGTTCTGATGGTATGCAGGTACTAAACCTAAAGGTTCTGATCGACGCAAGATTTCACGCCGGCGCACAGAATCGTAGATGTGTTTTCGTCCAATCACATCTTCTTTACTCTTTCTTTAAACGATCGAGTGTTCAAAAGGTTCAACGCCAGATTGTAGCTTGCCAAAACGAAGTGAGGCTCCATCTATCCGAAGATGTTGAGCGCCCGTATCAAGAGCCTACCTCAACGACTGCTACTACTACAAAGCATCCCGGGAGCTTTGCGATCGCTATAGTCAAGCCTAGTGTAATAGAATCAGATTTTCAACGCGGTAAGGAGATACTTCAAAGCTCATCCCGTACCTTGACCTTCGTCTTATTGTCCATGCCACGCTTGACCATATTCGTGAGCACCTCGAATCCAATCTGCGCTGCTGCCATCGCAGTAGTCTCGGCACTCGTATCATAAGCGGGTGACACTTCCACGATATCCGCACCAACCACATTGAGCGCATCGATACCTCGAAGAACACGAATGAGCTCACGGGTCGTCCACCCACCAGGCTCTGGCGTACCAGTCGCTGGCGCCATGCCAGGATCAATGACATCGATATCGATCGACAAGTACACTGGTGTGTCAGTCCCGACATGATCAACGATCTTCTGCGCCACGGCAGCGGCGCCCATATCGTCAATGTCATCGCATGCGATGCGAACCCAACCCTGGGCATCGTCGTCTTCGTTGTCTTCGATACTGCTTAGTCGGGTTCGAAGACCAGCGTGCACCGATTTGTCCTTCATGATCAGAGATTCGTTGTGAGCAACCCAGAACATTGTTCCGTGGGTGAAGAAAGATTGTTCATTGGGATTGTTAGGATCTACCCAGGCGGAAGGGTATTTGGCTGGGTGCCAGGTATCCAGATGAGCGTCGAAGTGGACTACTGCTACGTTGCCGTAGATCTTGTTGAGGGCTCGCAATGTCGGTAGAGCAATGCTGTGGTCGCCTCCCAGTGTCATGAGCTTCGGCTTCTTGCGATAGGCGTTGGATGATTCTGCGTTCTCCTTCGGCGCAGTGCTGTGGGCGAGATTAGTATAGGCTTCTGTCATCTGTCGGACCGCCAGCGCATTGTCGAAAGGTGAGATTGGAATGTCGCCACAGTCGATGATCTTGGCCCATTCGCGATAAGGGTTGAGACCAGCTCGAGGATTATAGCCTCGGAAGCTCGTTTGACGAGCTGATGCTGCTCTGATAGCTCGTGGACCAAATCGGGCACCTGGCCTGTAGGTGACTGCAGTGTCGAAGGGCGCTCCTAGGATGGCGATATCGTATTCGACCTCGGGATGCTGCAGACATCTTGTGTGTGGCAGATGAGCAAATGTCGATATTCCTGAGAAGCCCCACTGCCAATACTCAGTATGATATCTTGTTGTGATGTTCTGCAACCTACATCTGTCCCCCACTTGGCATCAAGGTCTTCTTTCGTCCATCCTACGAAAGGCTCCTGCTGGGCTTCTGCTGCTTCGGCATGAACATGTGCTGAAACCAGACGGCAGAATGTTGCCACAGCTGCGTAGAGTACTGAGAACTTCATCTGGACGGTAAGAAGGAGAGCATAGGTAGCTGGGTCTTACGCTGAGGCATCTCTACCATTGTTAAGACAGCATGAGACGCTTATCGCTAATCCTGCCCGCCGTCAATCGGCGAGCAATGTGGAGTCAAACAACCATTGGAGCTCAATACGGCAGGTGCATGCGAGGGGACGAGGTCCTGTTCTCGAGCTTCTGATCGATGCCAGTCAAGCTCGATCAGTTCGAGAAGCCTGGTCTGTTTAAGAGGAGATGAGGAGTTCCGAAAGTGACGGGAATATACTGTAGAGGCTTCGAAAAGGCGAAACGGTGGTGGTTACTGTGTGATAGCATGACATCACTGTGGCTTCGAGCGCGTCTCCTTCAACGCGTAGAGTGTTTCGCGAGCACCATCTTGATCATCTCGATGCCGATGCCATAGTAGACATTCTGGTCTATCATCTTGACATAGCATTCCTCCCTGATCGCCTTCGCATCGTACTGTAGACATCATGCCCGAGGTATGTAAGTCTGCTTTATCCAGCAACATCACTAACCATCGAGGCAGATTGGTGAAGTAGCACGTATCGTGCACTACATCCACAAGCATCTCGTTGGCCGCACGATCAAGACATGTGAAGCCTTCGCAGACGATATTGTGTATGGCAAAGTCGGTTGCAGCAGCGACGCCTTTCAGAAACATGTTACTGGAAGACGGATCACTGGTGCAGCGCAACAGGGAAAGTGAGTATAGCCTTCAAGCGTTGTAGTAGAGGCTATGGTTGACCCACTCGACAGGTACTTCTACATAACATTCGACAAGTCGCCCCATGCAGTACTGCATCTCGGCATGACAGGATGGATGAAGTTCGACGCCGAAGAGACGGGCTACTATCGCAACCCAAAGGCGAAGGAGGAAGAATGGCCACCAAAATATGCCAAGTTCCTGCTGAAGTGTGAGAAGGAGACAGTCAAAGGAGAGGCACGAGAGGCTGTGCAAAGCGCGTTTGTCGATGCGAGAAGATTAGCTCGGATACGACTGGTCGATTGCGAGGCAGACAATATTCGCAACGAGACACCACTGAAAGAGAACGGCCCAGATCCCGTCCGAGACAAGGAAATCGTCACGGTCGAGTGGCTATCCGATCTCCTTAACAGGAAGAGGGTCCCTGTCAAAGCGCTGCTCCTGGATCAAGGGAACGTCTCAGGCGTTGGAAATTGGGTTTGTGACGAAGTCATGTATCAAGCCCGCCTCCACCCAGAGCAATACAGCAACACCTTCAGCAAAGCACAAACGAAGCAACTCTACGATGCTCTCATCGAAGTCTGCACGATTGCTGTAGAAACACGATCAGATAGCTCACAGTTCCCCGAGACATGGCTGATGAAATATCGATGGGATAAGGGGAAGAAGGACTCGAATGTTCTACCGAATGGTGAGAAGATCGTGCATCTGAAGGTTGGTGGGAGGACGTCGGCGATAGTGCCTAGTGTGCAGAAGAAAACGGGTGCGGTGGCCGGAGACGTTGATGAGGATGGCGAGACGAAAGTTGCGAAGGGCAGGAAGCGGAAGTCGAAGGCTGCTGATGAGGAGGATGAGGAGGACGAGGAGGATCCAGAGGAAAAGCCAGTGGTTAAGAAGGGGAGAGCGGCGAAGAGGGCGAAGGCTACGCCAGTCGACGAAGGAGAGGAAGAGGATGTGATGGCGAAGAACAAACGAGGTAAGAAGGCTCTTAAGGTCGAAGATCAAGCAGATGGAGGCGCTGAGGGAGATGATGAGTTGGTGAAGCCAGTAGCTAAGACTGGGAAGGGCAAGAAGGTCACGCCGAAGAAAGCTGAGAAGCCTGCTACGCCTGGATCTCGCAGGTCGACCAGGACGAAGAGCTGAGGTTTGGGATCTTCTGATATGGAAAGATTGTACCAATAATTCATGATTGTAGTATAGCACTTTGTAGGAGGCTCCAGCCCATCGCAGGTCTCCTGATTACATGTCTCGTCGCTGTCATCGAGAGAAGGCTCACCATGGTCGTCAAGCTCATCATTAACAGTAGGGATCACGTAACCAACTGGTCTGTCAAGTATTGTATGTTGATGTAGGTGAATATCCGGCGGAATCTTGGCATGTCAGCCCCACACGTCTCCGCGAGCCGGCGGACTTTTTGCCGGAGCTCGAGGCAGGTGTTGTCTCTGTGAGGCTTCGTTCGAGCATTCACCTAACATTCAGGCTGACCACGCCAAAGAGTTTATATATTCGCTCGCTTACAGTAGGATCGACAGGACTCTCTCTGACCTGTGATGGAGCCATAACAGCTGCACGTACGATCCTAAATCTTGTCTCGAGGACCGCTCACTTCTGAACGACTGGCGAGTCCATTTAGTTCTGCTTCTACAGCATCGACCATGGCAACCTCCCAACAGCTCCCCTCCAAGGAGCAGGCACTCTTCCGCCATGTCGTCCAGAACTACGAGAGCAAGCAGTACAAGAAGGGTCTCAAAGCAGCCGACCAGATCCTCCGCAAAAACCCCAATCATGGCGACACTCAGGCGATGAAAGCTTTGATCCTGTCTTCGCAGAACAAGAGCGAGGAGGCATTCGAGTTGTGTAAGGTGGCTTTGAAGAATGCTATGAAGTCGCAGGTGTGCTGGCACGTTTATGGTCTGCTGTATCGAGGCCAGCGGAACTATGAGGAGGCCTTGAAGGCATACCGTTTCGCTCTTCGACTCGATCCGGACTCGGCGCAGATACAACGGGACTTGGCCATGTTGCAGGTGCAGATGCGGGATTATGATGGATATGTGCAGTCGAGGCAGACGATACTACAGGCACGGCCACAGTCACGGCAGAATTGGACGGCCTTGGCAATTGGTCTGCAATTATCAGGCGATCTTGCAGGAGCGGAGGATGTGTTGCATCGCTTCGAGGAGAGCTTGAGGGAGCCACCGAACCGCAAAGATCTGGAGCATGCTGAGGCTGTTTTGTACAAGAATACTATCATTGCGGAGCGTGGCGAGTACGAGCGAGCGCTGGAACATGTTAATTCGGTCCTAAAGTCGGCATTGGACAAAACTGCTGTTATGGAGATGCAGGCCGAGTATCTGCTCAAGCTGGAGCGGAAGGAGGACGCAGTAAAGGCTTACACAAAGTTATTGAAGCGCAATCCAGAACGTCGAGACTACTATGCGGGCTTGGAGAAAGCGTCAGGGCTGGATAGAAGCAACAGCGGTGACCATGAGAAGCTTGGACAACTGTACCATGGTTGGGCAGAGCAGAGCGAAAGGACGGATGCGCCAAGACGGATACCGTTGGACTTCAAAGCAGGAGATGCATTCAAACAACATGCGGACAAGTATCTCCGACGACTGTTCAAGAAGGGCATTCCAAGTACGTTCGCGAACATCAAGCAGTTATACGCAGATCCCGAGAAGAAGGCGGCCATTCTTGAAGTGGCCGAGACCTGCTTGTCCGAGGAGACCCAATTGAACGGAGATGCAGAGAGTCATGAGACACAGACCAATGGCAGCGTCAACGGTGTACAGACGAAGAAGAGCAAGACCGATCCTGCTACTACTTGGCAGCTGAGCGTAAACTACTTCTTGGCACAGCACTATGATTACCATCTCTCGCGCGATCTGACGAAGGCACGAGAACGTATCGATCGTGCGATAGAGCTCAACCCATCGAAGACTGACTATACTTTCCACATGACTGGTGCTCGCATACATAAACACGCAGGTAATGTCGCGGAGGCCTCGAAAGCGATGAATGAAGCCCGTGAGATGGATCTTAAGGACCGCTACATCAATACCAAGTGTGCGAAGTACCAGCTCCGAAATCATCAGAACAGCGATGCGATCAGCACAATGGGTCTCTTCACTAGGAAAGAAGCTGTTGGTGGACCACTTGGAGATCTGCTTGACATGCAATGCGTATGGTTTGTTACTGAAGACGGCGAATCATATCTACGACAGAACAATCTCGCTCTAGCCCTGAAGCGTTTCAAGTCTGTCTACGACATATTCATTGCGTGGGAAGAAGATCAATTCGACTTCCATTCGTTTAGCCTGCGGAAAGGGATGATCCGGACCTACGTCGATATGATCCGTTGGGAAGACAGATTACGCGAGCACCCATTCTTCACTCGAGCTGCGCTGTCTGCCATTAGGATCTACTGTCTTCTCTTCGACCGACCGGCTCTGGCCAAGAAAGGTGCACAACTGAATGGCGAGAGTGCTGAGAATGCGGCGGAGCGGAAAAAGGCTGCGAAAAAGGCCAAGAAGGATGCCGAGAAGGCTGAAGCAGAGAGGAAACTTGCTGCTGCCAAGAAGGCGAACCCTAAAGCCGCGGACGAGGAGGAGACGGCGAAGAAGGAGGACAGGGATCCGCAGGGTACTGAGGCTTTCAAGACTGCCGGCGAGAAGCCGTTGGAGGAGGCGATGAAGTATTTGCTTCCTTTGCTTGAGCTAAGTCCGAACAATATTGATGGGCAGATTGCTGGGTTCGAGGTGTACATTCGGAGAAGTGAGAGCACCAGCTTTTGGGAATGTAGTGTACACCGGCTAACAGTTTCTGCAGGAAAGTATCTCCCAGCGCTTAAATGCCTTTTGGCCACCCGCCGCCTACAGCCCGACCACCCACAATCCCACTACCAGTCGCTTCGATTCCGTCGCGCGTTAGAAGAGGACAAGACCACTCTGGACCCTAAAGTCAACGCCGTGATCCAAGACAACTTCATCTCACAGATCGCCGACCCGGAAAAGAGTCTCGAGACGCTGAACGAGGAGTTCTTGTTCGCCCATTGGCATAGTCCTAAGCACGTCCAAGCCGGCGTCAGATTACTGGAACTGCTGCATCCAGAATTAAAGCCTGCGAAGGAGAAGGCTACGAAGCATTTGATACAAACGCTTGGAGAGAAGGGGACGACGATTGAGGATGCGGTGGAAGGGTTGAGGGTGCTGAGGGAGCTGGAGGGGAGTAAGCAGGGACGTGAGGAGTATCTGAAGAAGGCGAAGGAGAGGTGGCCTGAGGCTACTATTCTGAGGGAGATTTGAGGTGTTGTGGGTGGTTGGTTGTTAGGGGATTGGTTGTGTGTAGATGGGAGGGGGATGTATTTATGCATAGCGGGTGGATGATGAAGATGTGTAGACGTATAGCCACAAGTACTCAGATCTGATGAGTCGACGCTTTCGACTCCTCTTCATGTCATTTATGCCCGTCGTTCTTCCATAGTATCGGATTCTCATGAATGTGTTGCCCACTGCACCGCCATTTCGTGAAGCATAAATCCTCGCTCTCGTAAAGCTGGACTGTGCTCATTACAGGGCTGACTTCACCTCGATATCTGACCATCTCTAGGCTGCCGATTACTGCATCATTTGCGAGCGTCCGGGGTACATTCGACATTATGCATGTCTTCTACAAGGACGTCCTACATGAAAGATTGAGGAGTGGGTCATCATGCCCGGAAAACTAACCCAAGATGGCGAGAGGCGGATCGCCCTAAGACGCTATGCGCCCAAGACCAGGACTGGCTGCGTGACCTGCAAAATCAGACGAGTGAAGTGTGATGAGAACAAGCCTAATTGCGACCGGTGTACGAGTACGGGCCGGAAGTGCGACGGTTATGCACATTCTGAGGTCGCCGCCGCCACGGACTCGACGCAGCTAGTGCTGGGAACGCCACAGTATGCTCTGACCCTTGATAACTCTTCCGACTCCCTGGAACGGAAGTCCTTCCAATTCTTCCGCACTTGGACTGTGCCTTGTGTGTCTGGCTATTTTCAGGATCCGCTTTGGGACAGGTTGTTGCTGCAACTTAGTCAGAGTGATGGGGCTATCAAACATGCTGTTATGGCGCTTGGAGCGTTGCATGAGCAGCGACATACGCGGCTAGCTAAGGATGATGGTCTTGCTCTTAGCGTCGTGCCGCTTGGGACGGACTTTGCTATGGCTCAGTACGCGAAGGCGTTGCATGGTCTGCAGTCACTCCTTCAGTCTGAGAAGATGCCATTGGATGTTGTCATTGCATGCTGTCTAGTCTTGACGCACTTTGAGGCGATGAGGGAGAGCTTTGTACCGGCAATCGTACATCTGGAAAATGCCATCAGCATACTGCAGTCCAAGACCGCCTTCGACGCCCGAAACATCGACCCGAGTCTGGTAAGAGCTCTGATGTGCATGGACATACAGGGTGCAACGTATCTCAATTCTCGAATACCAGGTCTTTCAATGTATACGGCTGCCAGCGATAGCGTTCTACCGACCACATTGCACGACGTACAGCAAGCTCGAGATCTGGTCAATGCTTGGACTAGTAGAATGTATCACTTCATTCGAATCGACGCAGACAATCAGAAGTTCGGCGAACGGCTGGGAGATGTGCCGCTCGAAGTTTTCGCTCGATCACAGCAACTGACACAGATCTTTGCATCTCTTGATCAGTTACTTACGGACTACATGCACAAACCTACACTACGCCTCAGCACGAAAGAGCAGCACGGACTAGGCGTTCTGCGAGTCAGAGTCAAGTTCAACAAGATCCTGAGTGCTTGCAGCGTCTATGCGGAGTGCACTATGTACGATGCGTACCAGGATGACTTCGACGATATGCTGTCTATCTGCACATACATCATGAGCAGCGACGAAGCAGAAAAGCGTCTGATATCTGTATCACTCGACGAGGGGCTTGTCCATCCGCTTTTTTTTGTGGCGACCCATTGCAGAGATCACCACATTCGGCATCGAGCACTCACCGCTTTGCGACGGTTGACTCGACCGCGGACGATCTGGCATGCTGAAGCGATGTACAGAACAGCACAACTGTGCATTGAGATGGAAGAGAACCTTTGCGGCAAGACCTCTCCTTCTTACGACGACATTCCAGAATGGCAACGCATTCACAGCTCAGGCTTCGAGGGATGGCAGCTCTCCAAAGTCGAACCAAACGTCACTGCGCACTTCCGCTTTCGACCGAATGGCCCTGATGGAGAATGGATGAGTGTCACCAAACGTATCGAATGGGGCGCTGAGGTGCCGGATGGCGTCGCTGAGCTCTATGCTGATATCGAGCGGAACAACGCTCTCCAGGGTAGCGGATCGTCGATTGTCACGTTCAAATGGTGCGGTTTTCATAAGATGTTCGCCTGATGGGAGTGCTGAAACAATTGCAGGCCTTGAGAATGTACTTCTGGGACCCACGACGAGTCAAGCAAGGACGATCATCCGAACGCTGTGGATAGCCGTGTTATGAGCATTTCATGCTGCACTTCTCGTCAGTTTTAGAGCACCCTCCCTATCTCAGGCTGTGCGTGTAAATGGCTTCATCATCCATTGGACAGCGGCAGAGACAGTCAGGCCAACGGACGACGAAACCTGCTCGACAGCTGGATCAGTGTGCGTGCAAAGGTCAAGACAACGAAGACGTCGCGCAATAAAGGATATGCGGCAACAAGAGTTCATCGAGCTTCTGCGTGGCGTTTGAGAGAGTTCGGGGCTACGAAGCTTGTCGAACCCAAAGCGTGAGCTTGTTTTTCGATAGAGGTGCAGGGCCCATGCAGCTGACGGACGTTGGCTTCTACGACTTCGACTTCCCACCTATTCACAGCTCACAAGTGCTTCGGCTCCGGTGTTCTTGTAAAGAGTAGTGCAGATCCTGATTGCATACGATCATCTTTGGTTCTCAACACAATAAGTATCGACGCCATTGGAGTTACGGACTGATATGGCGGACTCCACTTACGAGTCCTCGCCGCACGAGGCAGAAGAGGAGAAGCTACTGGCCGAAGAAGTTGCCGACATATCGAGGACGGCTGCACGAAGTCCGAATGCGCGCGTCCTCTCCCGATCACTGTGGCTGTTCTCGTACCTACCTTTGCTAGGTGCTTTGGTCTATCTCGCCACTGCTTTAGGAGCGGAACGAGGGAGAGCTACCAGCTATGAGGTCGCAGGTGATGTCGATGGCATCGTACCAAGATGTAAGAGGTCTCTGTGAAATATGTACATTACAGCGGCGTATTCACGACGACACTATAGTTTCACAACAAATCGTCACGCTCCGACCAGATGCACGATACGTAGGTGATGTGACCTCGCCCACGTTCAAGGAAGACACAAAAGATCTATGGCTCTCCCTCGTGCCTAGTAAGTTCGCTCTGCCAATGTCTCCGCAGCTTCATGTGTCTTGCCTGCTGACCAGACATCTCAGGAGGCTTGGGCTTCGTTGAGATCAACAAACCAGCACAATATCCTGCTCTAGCAGCGCCGTACATGAAGTACAACAAGACAGTCTACACAACCTCAGTCACGCATCAACTGCACTGCCTATACATGATCATGCACGGCTTCAACGATCTGGCCCTCAAAGGCTCATTAAAAATGGACATGGATGCCGACGAAGGTCTGACGCGGGAAGGCGAGGATCCTGCAGACCATCTGGCTCATTGCTTCGACTATTTGCGTCAAGCGATCATGTGTCACGGAGATACTGCATTGGAGGGTCTGCAGACGACTTTCGGACCAGATGTCGGTGGAAGTGATGGGTGGAATACTCAGCATGTGTGTAAGAGGTACGATGAGGTTTATCAATGGCTGGAGGAGAAGAGGATTGATGATCGAGTATGGATATGAATGACTGGGTGAATGAATGAATGAATGAATGAATGAGATACGGTTACTCATCGTCTTACACCTGTACGAATGATGTGGGCTCGAGCCTTGGTCTATGACCCTGTACATTCATAGTCATCTTTCGCCAACACAAGGGTTGCCCACGGCCCTAAGCTCAATAAAGAAATGTCTTGACTGGTTTACGAGAAAACGAGAAAGATCCTGTACTCGGAAGACCAAGGCCGTGGAAATTCATCTTGGTGTCGCGGAAGCCTTAGCCATGACGATGTAGGTATTATTGTCAGGTGGGACTCTCTCATGCAATGTTATACATTTCTTCAATTTCCTATCTGTAAAAGCATACCCAAACTCCATACACTACACTTTGCCTATTCCTTCCGAGGCTGTGCAATGCGATGCGTCGCGCCTTTCCAAGCGCGAGAATGCTAGCAAATAACGCCACCCATTCATATATCGTTACATCGAGATTTCCGTGCGAGCACAAAGCTCAAGCTCGAATCTTTCTATCATTCAGGTATCAAGACAGTCGTGTCAGATCGATGGCGGGTTAAGACGAGCGTCTCAAACCTTTAGACGTGGCGCCTGATGTGTGGGTGTCGGAAGACAGACCTCTTGACAATCTGGTCGTTTGTGCAAGAAGTACCAGCTGCGACTTGGCGACACACATTCTGGCCGTTTGCGATGACGCAGAATTGTGTGCCGTCGGTGGAGCAGGTCATGCCGCTGTCGCTGGAGCCGCTGCTTGGAGAGCTGCTGCTAGATGTTGAGTTGGAACCAGAAGCGGGGGTGTAGCTGGACGGGGCTGGAACGGCTGCGCTGGATGCACTCATCGTCGAGTAGACGGATGGACTGGCTGCTGAAGAAGCAGGAGCCGTGGCTTCAGAGGCAGAGGCGGAAGAAGTGTTCATGCCGATCATGCCGCCACCAGAGGAAGCCGAGCTGCTTGGTGCAGAGGTGGGATAGCTGGCAGGCGCGGAAGAAGAAGCAGTAGAGGAAGCCGGAGGAGAGGAAGCCGCGGCGGAAGCGGTAGCAGGCGAGCTGTTCGAGCCAGCCGCAACCCCCTTGGTCATCGCAGCGGCGGAAGCAGCACAAGCAGTCCCCGAAGCCGAAACCACGGAAGCAGGATTGAACTTCTGAATTTCGGCGCTGCCGGGATTGGGGATGATGGGATCACTCGTCTCCTGCGTCGAACAGTCCGCGGTGGGCTGGTTGATGATGTAGGCGTTGCTGAGAGCGTTGTAGGCGGTCTTGTCGTCGCTGCCGCCGGTGACTTCGACAGGCATGCAGTTCATGTAGATCTCGCGGTTGCCAATGCGGTTGTACCACATCCAGGCTAATGTCAGATTGCCGTTTGGAGTGCCTTCGGGCAACTTGAAGGAGTAGGGGCTGATCCCACCGGAGCCGGAATCGTCCTTGATCGGGCAGCCCTCGATCACGGTAAAGAGTTTGAATTCGGACTGTGCGTTTGGCTCGGCGTCGGTGGTCATGGCCAGTTGGCACACGCCGCCACCGTGGCTTGCACTTCCGGAGAAGATCAGGTCCTGAGCAGAGCCCACTTTGATCTGGGTGCGGTTCACAACCTCATAGCCGCCTTGGCGCATTTTGCAAGGAAAGTTGGACCCCGAGCTCCCGATGGCTGCATTGTTCAGCGGACTGGTGTCTAAGCTCGAGGGAGCAAATGGGGTGGGTGTCTGGACCTTGATGTGGGCGGAAACACCACCAAGAAGGGCAAGAGAGCCGAGGAAGAAGGAAGCGGTAGACATGGCCGGTCTAGTCGTCGTCGAGAACTTCGTTTTTGGTTTGGTTTGTTTTCTTATTGTGGAACTCTGACCGGCAGAGAACGAGAGAGTGTAGTGGCTTGACTGTTACTTCGGTGATGTGGTGGATATCCTTCGCAGAAGTGGTATCCTTGGTAGAGAGTGTTAACCGAAGGGAGTAGTACAGAGAAGAGAGAGAGAAGCGCTTAGAGCAGTCTCGTGAGCTTTTACTTATACAGAGAAAGAGATGATTGTTAGGGAGGGCGAGTGAAACGCCTTGTCAGGGCTGATTGACAAGGCACAATGCATTGTGGCCCTGCTATTGTAGGCCCTCGGTGGCGTCTGAAGCAGGACAAAGAAGTCCTTTCATCCAGGACCGGGGTTTGCATTCTTGCTGTGGACATTCCTATTGGTCCCTCTGGTACGCGTGAAGAGTTTCACGAACACAAGCCTTTTGTCAAGGTATGGGGGGCGGCAGAGAGGTTGCATGGTGGGCGCAAGAGGACCATGGATCTGTGGTTCTACGGCATGCCATGGTCGCGAGGCTGCTAAGGATTTGGAGCAGGCATCGAAACAGAGATGTCACGGTATGGAGAGACGAGAGGTGTGTGAAGCAAGTCGCTGGCGTGAGAGGAGGGCAGATGAAACATGGTCCGACAGGTGGAGCGGCGCTTCGATACACCAAGTCACGTGTGTATATGTATTCGATAATCTATCGATGTCGCTGTTGTCCCTCGTCATGCTCTGAACTCTTCGATCCATGACCAGTACCTTGTCGACGGAGGATCAATGCCAATGCCAATGCCAATGCAGACGAATTCCACACTGCCGTTCCAGCTCGTCTTGAAGAGGAGTGTTTCGGGTTGTGGCCATGATGCAGACATGCCTCAGGCTTCAGCGCACGGACTGCAAGATTCCATCGCGACAGCTCTCCACACACGTCTTCCAGCGTGACGTGAAAGTCGACGGGCCACTCACACATAATGCACATTGCAAGCAAACCCCAATCACAGCCGCCAGCACCACCACTTCCTTTCAAAATATTGCTCACATTGAATTGCTCGTCATGATGTTGCGACTGCGTTGACACCGATCTTGCTGTGCGGAATCCTCGACTTTCCGTCATCCCTTCGTTGAGCAGAAAGTATCAGCGCACCACTGATACAGACTGCTCTCCCCCACGTACTGCCACAATCATGGCCAATCTCAATCGGACCAACCCTCCGCAGAGCTTCGTCAGCAGCTACGCGCCTCGCATCCGCACATATGGCAACTCCCTCCTCACCCCAGTGCAACCTCAAACCGTCCTCCCAAATGTTCGCACTACCAAGCGAGGCACCACTGCCATCAACTACGCCGAGGAGTTCGAGGATGATAGCATAGAAGACTCGGATGCTCCGCGGCGGGGTACCGGCTTGCGGACACGGCCGACACGTGACACAGACCCGAATGCTGAGAGGCCGCGACAGAAAGAGTTGGGCAAGGAGGCATATGCGCCGGTGGACGTGCAGGGCATATGGCGGGAGTGGATGGGCAAGCCGAAGCGGTTCCTGACGGAGAAGCAGCTACACACCCAGTCTGTCCTGCCCACCACACTCGTCCCAATCCGGATAGATCTGGACGTGGCACCCTTCCGGCCAGAAGCTGCTCTGCCCACGCCTCACAATGCCAAGGACTTTGGTATCGATGAGAATCTACCCGCATACAAGGCACCAGACCCTACGCCACAATTTCGTCTCAAGGATAGTTTCCTATGGAACCTGCACGAGGCACTCATCACACCCGACCAATTTGCGAAGGTTTTTATAGACGATTTGGACTTCCCCATACAACGGAAACCTGCCATGATCATGGAGATCGCGAACTCGATACGGCAACAATTAGAAGAGCATGCATCCACAGCTCTACATCCAATCTTTCAGCCAAGTGCTGCGCATCCAGTACAACCGACCACGGGAGCACCCACTCCACTGCCTACCGGCACATCGCGTGACGACTCGCGAGAAGCGTCGCAAGCCAATACGCCTGACGTCAACTTCCTCAAAGCTCCGCATTTGCATGGCCACGACGTAAGCTCGACATCATCACCAAAGGCGAATGGAGCAGCCACGCCTTTGATCACAGTCAACGCCCAGCCTGTACCGGAAGACACAACGACCTCGATAGCCCTCAACCCACGCGACTCGCACCGCTGTATCCTCAACATCTCAATCAACCTCCAGAACCGACTGTACACCGACAAATTCGAATGGTCACTTCTCCACCCAGCAGGATTCGCCGAGATCTTCGCGAAACAGACATGTGCAGATCTTGGCTTATCTGGCGAGTGGGTCCCGGCCATGGCTCATGCAATCTACGAATCCAGCCTCCGACTCAAAAAGGACATGCTGGACAACAACGGCACAATCTATGGTGTGGTAGGCAGCGGCATCGACCTCTATGGGAACGTCGATAACGAAGCTTGCGAATTCCACGGTACCGCCGAAAGTGCCCTTGGAATCGGTGCAGGCTGGCGCTTCGATGACGAAGGATTGGGGAATGAGTGGGAGCCTAAGATCGAAGTCCTGAGTAAAGAGGAGATCGAGAAGCGGGAAGGTGACCGCGAGCGTCAGATTCGCCGGGCACGGAGAGATACTGCGCGGTTCACCAGTTCATATGCTGCTGCTGCACAGAACCCGAATGATTATTTTGCGGGTGGGCTTGGGTCGCAGGCGAATGGTGGAGGCGATGATGAGCGTATGGGTCGTGGGGAGCGGTCGAAGAAGAAGCGGAGGTTTAGGAGTCTGTCGCCTGTTGGTCGCGATACGCCTGAAGTGGCCGGGTTTGGTGGGACTTCTGGGCAGTTGACCGAGGGCGAGAGGCAGTATTGGAGATGTAGTCATTGTCAGATCTGGGGCTCGGCGGTGTGGGGAGTGCGTGATGGGCCGAGTGGTTCGCGGGTGAGTCTTAAATCTCACCAAACTTTATGGCGCTGACTCAAGCTAATCTTTATGCAGACACTCTGCAACAACTGCGGCCTCCTCTACGAACGCGACCACCGCCTCCCACCCTGGAACCGCAACCTCTTCATCACCGAAAAGAATGCCGCGACTCGCGAGACCGCCCTCCCCGGCTCCTACAACTCGGGCCCCACAGCGCAATCCCGCCAAATCACCCACCTCCAATCCGACATCTCCTCCTTCCCATCCCAACACACCCCTCCTCCGCAATCGAAACAACTACCCCGTGATCTGCCCGACATCAATCCATCATCTCACCTCTACACCGGTGCCTCAGGAGGCCAAGGCCAGATTTCCGCGTCAACAATGGCGGATATCTTCAATTACGCCGAACCGGGTGAGGATCTAGATTGGACGAAAGTCACGGAACCGCGGGAGAGGAAACGGTTACAGAATATCATCAATGGACGCAAATATCGGGAACGTCGATTAGCAGCCGAAGGGCAAGGCGGGTCCGGTGGCAATTATCTTGGCGCGGCTGGGGTGGGGAGTTACCTGAGTCAGGGGTATGGGAAACGGACGTCTGGACTGGGTATGGGTAGTCGGACGGAGAATGGCGGTGGGGGTAGTGGGATTGGATCAGAGGGCCAGAGTCCCGCGCGGTAGGATCGTGCGGGGAGTGCTGTTGCTCTGTCTCCTGCGCCTGCTTTCACGGCGGCTTATGCGGCTGGACCTGTTGCTGCGCCTTCGCCACTCGCGATGAGATCGTTTGTGAGGATGCATACGATGTGAGATATGCTCACAACGGGAATGGGATGGCTCCTGGACTTGCTTGTTAGTGATGACGAAATGGAGCGAGGGTGATGTCGGTGATGTGATTGCCTTAGGATGTGGTAGTAGGTAGGATGTACTCTACATCGGGCACGGAAGGCATCGAGAGCAAATATTAGAGTTCTATCAGATGGATACAAGCGAAAGCTATCATTCATACATTGCTTGTCAACGAAGCAACAGCTCGAACGCGCAAACATTCATCCGCCCAAAGCAGAACTTTGCTGCCGTCCTGAAACAGTATCCCACAAATCATGATCGATCGTCATAGCTCTATACAGTGATTGCCCCAACACATTCCTTCCATCTCGCTCTTGTTCGAGTGCGGGCCGTCATACCCATCAATCAGTTCTCATTGACCGCCAGCCTCTTCGCAGCCGGTCCGGCATCGCCCTCGGCATCGTCATCTCGATCTCAAACATCTCCAGCCTTGCGCTTAGCACCGACGACGACCGCAGATGGCGATCCATGCCCATGAGCAGGCGCGACGACATTGCCATTCGCAGGTCCAGCTCCATCATTCGCAACCAACGACGACTTGGCTTTCAAGCCAACATTACCAACGACGTTGCGGTCGCCGATGACCGTGATACCACAATTGATCGTCAGATCGACCTTTAACGCCCTCCTTGCTGTTCCCGTCGAAGTCTCGGCGGCGGCGGCGGCATTAAGTTGTTGCATTGCTGCTAGGAGGACGGCACTGAATTTCGTCGCATCCGCTAAGGGGGTTGGAGAGGTCGGGACGAGGTTGTTGGAGCCTTGGATGCGGTGGGCGGCGTTTATTGTCAATTTGACTGGCGAAGGGGATCGTGCTGCTTCGTCTTCATCCTCCGAGTCTGTGTCTGTGTCTGCGTCGTTGCTTTCCGATGGCGTGTATGGCGGTGGCGCTGTGGTTGGAGGTGTTGGCTGTTGTTGTCGTAGCGATTGATAGGTTCTCTCGGCGGAGAGCTTTTGGCTAATGTGTTGGAGGGGATCCATGTTTGCTTGTGGCAGCTGCGACGTCGAAGTGTCTGAAGACCAGACGTAAAGTGTCGATAGGATGATGTTGCTGCACGTCGTCAAGTTGGTCGTCGTGGAAGGTATCGGCGAGCAGGCGCGACAATAGGGGGTCTTCGTTATCAAGGCCAGTGGCTATCCCTGTACTTCGATGATGAGGCAAAGCTGAAGTCGTAACTCTTTCCTTGAGGACTTATGGTGAGGTTGAGATGAAGATCAAGATGACTGGTAAGAGATGAAAGTGCAGTGCAACTTGTGTAAAGTGGAAGGAGTATCGCGTGAACAGCACATACATGCGTCAATAGAAAAAGTCATACTCACCTGATTTTAAATTGCTATTGTCGTTCGTACTCCTATTGTCGCTGGGCCCCGCTTCAACTTCGTGCATTACGCCCCGGCAGATGAACACGTTGTGAATACGAAACTTCGTAAGAAAATCGATCTTAGTATTGTACTCACGACTCATATATTGCTGTACAATACTGATCCTGCATCAGGTAGTGTTGTAAAGGAGCAGCTTGAGATTGTTCCTTCGTATTGTGGCCTGAAAGGTGGTTGAATAAGTTCGGCACTAGCCTCGGCTTTAAGTCGTGCAAATGCCGAGACTCACCACAATGCGACATTATATTACATCTACTCGACTTACACCATCCATCAGAGTCCGACAAGAGCATTCGATGGTAACTGAAGTATCGTGGAGACTGTACAGCCACTCTTTGAGCTTGAATGTTCGTGTTCGGTGGTTACATCTACCGTTAAGCTGAAGTCCTTGGATCTGGCAGAGCCATTGCCTTGTTTGAAGGCGACGCTGACGAGGGTGGCCAGTGGCCTAGGCCAGGATATCGAGACTCGATGGTTCGCGCGCTGCGTGTTTTCTGGCCCGCATGCCTTGTCCGAGAATGCGTCAGTCGTCTTCGTCAGACGAGTATGCACCGAGACCCAAAGTCGCGGCTGGTGGCGTTGATGGCTTGCGAGCAGAGGTTGGACTGGACGCAACATGGCCTGGCTCAGGTATGTTCGCCTTCTTCTCACTAGCGCTGTGGACGGTCGGCGACGGCTTCAAGTCAACATTCTTCTCCCCTTTCGACGGTGGTATCGGTTTATTGGTCGTGGAAGGCTCCTCTTGCTTTGCTGTAGATGTCCTCCTAACCTTCACTCCACCGAAACCTGCATTTTGCTCTTTCTTCCGCTTTCGCGGCCCAACAGACCAGGTCGATGTAGTCTCAGTAACCTCTGCGCTGCCCTCATCCTGCTGAGCAGCCTTTTCAGCGTCTTCCTGCTGCTTCCTGAAAGCCTCAAGCTGCTCCTTCGTGTCCTTTTTCACCTCGGCCTCCTTCGATCTGGACGACTCCATAACAGACTCCAGGAATTCAATCTCATCTTCATCGAGAGATCGAAATTGGTTCCTCAATCGAGAGGCGTCTTCGAAGGCATCTTGTTTTGCGACTTACGATCATCCTAACTCGTTAGCTGGGCATCGCGGTAGGCCATCATAATGTAGTCAAGTCACCTTTGTTGGCCTGCAGAGTCTCATACAGCGACTTCCCACCCTCTTGCTCGCCAGGTCGCAGCTTCGGCTGCTTTGTTGCCTCTATCTGTTGCTGTGCCTTTTGCCATGCCTCATCTCTTTCGGTCGGTGCCTCGTCTGTACCTGCGGAGACGAATCGTGACATCTTGCCTAATGGCGACGCGATTCGCTTGTCCTTGACCCGCAAAGCGCACCAGTTCTTCACCCACCGGAGTATTCGCTATGTCACGGCCTTTGATTGCCGCAGAGCTTGCCGTGCACGACCGATCAAGAGACGATCAGTCTGATGTGATCGCCCAAATTAGCTCAAAAAGGCAGCTCATAGCATAAGTTTTGAGGCTCTTCGGCGACACGTGCTTGGAATGTGGACTAGCGCAGCCCAGCAAGCATTTGACGAAGGCAAAACGTCACCCGGCTAATTAGATTACATGGTGGGACACGATACGGTGGTGGTGGGGTATTCTGGCAGAATGATGCAGCGAAGCACATGCCACTGATACAAAAGTTTTGTTGCTAAGCTCATCTTGCTCTCTTGACACACAATCTATTCCGAAGAACAATCTCAACGACCACTCCAACCACACAACATCATCAGTTCACAGGACCATCCATCATGTCAGGCGATAACCAATGGACGAAGAAGACCTTCACCCTCAACACCGTGAGTGTTGACTTCGCCACCTGCTCCTCGTAAAACTGACACACTTCACAGGGTGCTAAGATCCCAGCTGTCGGTCTCGGTACCTGGCAATCGAAGCCCAATGAGGTCCGCAAAGCCGTCGCCGCCGCATTGAAGGCCGGCTACAGGCATATCGACACTGCCCTTGCTTACGGCAACGAGCACGAGGTCGGCCAGGGTATCAAGGACTCTGGTGTGCCACGTGAGGAGATCTGGGTCACCACCAAGCTCGACAACCCATGGCATAAGCATGTGGAAGAGGGCATCACCTCATCCCTCAAGTCCCTCGAGATGGATTACGTCGACCTCTACCTCATCCACTGGCCATCTTCCAGCGATCCTGCAGACTTGAAGAAGCATCTCCCTGACTGGGATTATATCAAGACCTGGAAAGAGATGGAGAAAGTTGCGGCTTCCGGCCGTGCCAAGAACATCGGTGTCTCCGTAAGGACAATCTCGAAAGTTGTGTGTATAGGAAATGTTGGACTGATAATCAGCAGAACTTCAGCATCCGCCACATCGAGGCACTCGAGAAGGACGCCGAGGTCAAGACAGTTCCAGCCGTCAACCAGGTCGAGCTCCACCCCAACTGCCCATCGCCCAAGTTGATCGACTTCTGTGCGTCCAAGGGCATCCACTGCACCGCATACTCCTGCCTTGGCTCAACCAATAGCCCACTCGCCAACGACAAGACTCTGGCCAAGATGGCTGAGAGCAAGAAATTGAGCGTTGCTCAGGTCCTCCTGGTCTGGGGTCTGCAGCGTGGCACCAGTGTCATTCCCAAGGTAAGTGAAGAGCCATGACAATGAGATATCACGAGTTCGATTGCTGACTGTTCTGATCAGTCTGTCACCGAGTCCCGCATCCAAGACAACTTCAAGCTTGACGGCGTCTCGCTCACGGATGATGAGATGAAGCAGCTCTCAAGTCTGCCAGACCGCTTCAAGGTCTGCGGTGATGCCTGGCTCCCGGTCAAGGTATGTGATTTAATCATGTACTCCAGCACATCGAGGATCCAATTTTACTAATAATGATTGCAGGTGTTCTTCGGCGAGGACGAGTAAGCGCTGTATTGCTCGCGGGTCGATGCGCCCGAGCCGTCTCAGCAGGCTACTGTATTGCGGCATTCGGTCAATTAGATAGATACGATACATATGCCAGGAACAACACCATAGACACACACTTCGCCCATTTGCTACAGAAGCCGCAGAACGGAGGTAACCGTGCGTCACACCCAGAATCAAGCTAAGACTGATCCCGTTTAGTGTCCGCGCCACAGTCGTCGTAACCTCTTTCGGGACAAAGATCGTGCGACACTGAGCTGTCATCAAACAAAACTCATAGGTCGCCTTCTGTCGCCGTCATCTTTTGCGTTACGATGGCGATTGGTGACATACTACTCTCACTGCGAAGCTGCGCCTCAGACTTGACGCAAAGCATGTCACTGTAAATTAATGTAACACGCCAGGCAGGTGATAGAGTTTCGGTATTACCTTTCCAGTGCCTTTGGCAATCACAGCCCACCATCGCTGCAGAAGCCTCGATGCATTCCTCATGTACCCTCTTTCTTGCACCTGCACTTCACTTCTGTCAATAATAAACTTCTTGGAACCGTCACCGATCTAACTACCATCACCACGACACACGCACAATGGCGGCCAAGAGGAAGGTGTCACTTCGCCTCGCATTCTCTTACGTCCTCGACTGGCTGGTCATAGTCGTGATCGCAGCAATTGGCGGCGGCTTGAACTTCGTCACACCGTACCACAGGCCTTTCTCTCTCGTGAACCTGGACATATCATACCCCTATATCCCCGAGCTCATCTCAACGACAACTCTAGCTCTGGTGTCTCTGATCGCTCCAGCCATCATCATCGCCCTGGTCGTCGCTCTGCTGGTTCCTGGTCCGGCCTTCATAAGAAGATCAACACGAGCACAAATCATCAAGCTCAAGCTTTGGGAATTCGAGAAAGGATGGGCAGGCTTGGCGTTATCTGTCGCGACTGCTTTCTGCATCACACAGGGCATGAAGAATCTGTTCGGCAAACCGCGCCCTGACTTCCTGGCACGCTGCCAACCTGATCTTGCAAATGTGGCTGCGCATGTGATCGGTGGATATGGGCAAGATATCAGTGCTCGCTGGACGCTTGTGGACTCCAGCATCTGCACCCAAACAGACCTCAGCCTCCTGAACGATGGATTCAGAAGCTTTCCCTCAGGCCACTCGTCGTTTTCATGGTCGGGATTGCTATACCTGACCCTTTTCCTTTGTTCAAAGTTCTCCATCGCCATACCATATCTGCCTATGCAGCCATCTGGTCCGAGGGCCGTGTCGCCACAAACGCAAGGTCACGGAGCATTGCTACCATTGCACGAACAGCGTGGAGGAAGTGAAGATGAGCACAAGACGGACGACACCTCGGCTGCTGAACGCGACAACATGCGCCCCGTCGATATCAGAGGACTTGCTGCCACACCGCCTAATCACTTGGTTGTGCTCGCTTTCGTGCCAATCGGCGTGGCGATATACATTTGCTCCACACGCTATGCGCAATTCTACCACCACGGCTTCGACGTCATCAGCGGTGCTCTCATCGGGATCCTGACTGCTTCTTTCAGCTTCCGATGGTATCACCTGCCACTATCGCGAGGACAAGGCTGGGCTTATGGTCCTCGCAGCGCTGACAGGGCATTTGGGGTTGGTGTGGGCACCCGCGGTTTTGTGAGCGAGGGTATTGCGAATTCGCCACGGGCACAGCCTGGTTCAACTGTTTGAAAACGTGCAGGCATGTGAGTGAAGCTGGCGCATAATAAATCGGAAGGAGTTGTAAGATATTGAAGTACATAATTTAATAAATTTGCTTACACGACCAATGCCAACAGTGCTACAAATAGTGCTATAGCACTGACACCAGTCGTACTCGCCAAGCTCTGTGAGCTGGCTGAAGCACTACTACCTGTCCCAATCCCCGAACTTCCACTTGCTTGCGCAGGAATAGTGCCTGTAGCATTGCTTCCAACAGAGGCAGTGGAGTTGTCGTCGTTTCGCAGAATAGCATAAACCTCCCCTGTAGCATCTGACGACATGAAAAGCCTTCCTGACTTATCCCACGCCAGTCCCACAGGCCTGAAGCATCCGCCGGGGCATTTGCTGTTGTCAGCATTGGTGACGATATCTACAGCTGCCGTACTACTGTTGGCGGGCTCTACAGGTTGGCCGTTGGCGAATTCGATGACCGAGAGCTTGTAGCCAACAGGATCTGTGCGATCCCAAGAGCCGTGGAAAGTGACCCAGGCGGCTGTACCAGCAGTGTTGAATAAGATATCGAGTGGCGCCATATGAGCTTGGAAAGTCAGGCGAGGTGCCACGCGGTTTGCAGCATCACAAGTGGTGTCGTTCAGCGTGTTGTTCAGATCACCAATCGCGAACTGGGTGCCAACGGTGCCATTGAAGTCCGGGACGTCGCTGGGCTTCCATGCGGAATAGCAGTCAGGATAACCAAAGTTCCTGCCTTGATTCGGTGAAGCAGTACCGTTCAGGTAACCGAGAAAGTTCATTTCCTCGCCAGGATTGTCTTGGTGGATGTCCTGTCCCTGGCGTGTCATCTCGTCTACACTGTTCTCGACGCCATATATGCCACCAGTGATAGGCTCCTCGTCAATGCCTACCTCGTTCCTCAGACCCCACCCAAGCAAGAGACCGTCAGCGTTGAAGTCGTACGGCCTAGTCATGTTGTTGAGATTGAAAGCTTTCACCTGGCTGTGACCGGTATTGATATCCTCGGCTTCGGCGTCCAAGTTGGAGGTACTTCCTCTCGTGACGACCAAAAGTCCTGGTGCATGCTGTGGGAGAAGCAGAGTCCGGGTAGTATGATCCGAGCCGGTCATGTTCGTGACCAGGACCCTCGGTGCTGAAGTGTTCGTCTGCGATTGTGCCGAGTAGTCCCAGCTGTAAACCGCCTCCGAACTGGAGGCATACAGAGTTGAGCCATTGCTGGACAATGCAATGCCGTGGTTCAATGTCGTATCGTTGATGACCGTCTTTCGGCTACCAACGCTTAAGCAGCCCTTACCAGAGTCGACGATGTTGAGAGCAACAATGCCAGAACTCTGCTCGACGACTAGTAACGTCCCTTGGCTGTCGAATATGATGCCGCGCGGTGTGGTGAGGTTCTGAGCAATCAGCCGAGCCACATATCCCTCGGCAACAGATGGTGCTGCATAGCTGGCGGTCAAAGTAGGTGAGCAGGATGCTGCAGCGATGGAAGACTGTGCTGCGGCCTGTGCTACCAAAGCCGTCAAGGCGGTGATTATCACTGGTCGTGAATACATGCTGAAGACAGAAAGATGGACTCCAAACAAGAACGACGAATCTCCGTTCAATGCTGTAGCTGAAGCAGCACTCTTTTATGCTCTACAAAGAGGCAACGCCATGCCGGAAGCACTCTCCACGACGAGCCACGAACCGTTGCTTGGCTGCAGTACATAGGTGGCAACACTGTTCCATATGAACGGTAGTTCGGCAGCCATCTAAACGGTGTGGAGTGAGTAGATGACGTTGGAAGAAGATCGTTGCTGCAGATCATTTTGCATAAATTCGGTGGGACGCGTCGGCACGATCGCTTACAAACCAACCAGATGGGCTTGTTGGCTGGTCTTGGTAGGCTGTAACACTCTGTCGCAGCACGAGGGTCTTCCTTGCGCAATCAGGGTGGTGTATAAGCTCCTGATGGTGTTGCTTAAAGTTGCACAAGTGGTAGATGTGAAGTGGTTCAAGCTCCCACACACGCCATCCACCATGTTGTATAACATCTTGCATCATACCAGTAGACCATTCTTTGGCAGGTTGGGAAGGATGATGACAACACCACTGATCACGCAGGTCGCGGTGTAACACAGCTCGTACATCTAGACAGCCGGTCGCTCACGTTGAGTGAGCTGACCAACGCCAACTAACATGACCTACCATCCTACCCATATACTACTCCTAAGCGCCATGCGATGCAGGTTGACTGTAAAGACGCTTTTTGTCCTCTCCTAATGTCGTTGTGGAAACGACGATCCCGTGGTATCATGCGCTAGTTGAAAGCAAATCTCATCCGTCAGCTCTTGACGGGTATATCGTCTAGTATCGGTACCTGTAGCAGTATGTTAGTGCGATTCCGTGATGTTGATGTATGAGAATGAGTACGTACATGTCGGTCTTGAAAGGACCCTCGACTGGCAAGCTCATATAGTCGGCCTGCTCAGGTGTCATCTTAGTCAACTTGGCGTTGACGTGGTCCAAGTGCAGAAGGGCGACCTGCTCGTCCAGGATCTTGGGAAGCACGTAGACACCAACTGCCATACGCTTGATCGAAGAGTCCTGAGGAGCCTCATCGATGATCTTCTTGGGCTCACCAGTCTGCTCCTCACCCTCGACAGCACGGGCAAACTCGATGTACTTGCGAGCGAACTCCTTGTCACCAGCCTTGTACAGCATGATCTGGGCCAAAACCTGGTTGGTGAAGGAGCAGGACATGACGAAGGAAGAGTGACCAGTAGCGCAGCCCAAATTCACGAGACGGCCTTCAGCGAGCAGAATAATGTGGCGGCCGCTTGGCATGGTGAAGCGGTCGACTTGCGGCTTGATGCTGACTTTCTCCTTGGCCGCCTTCTTGAGCCATGCAACATCGATCTCAATATCGAAGTGGCCGATGTTGCAGACGATAGCATCCTCACGCATAGCCTCGAAGTGCTTGCCGACGATGATATCCCTGCAGCCGGTGGTGGTGACAAAGATCTGACCCTTAGAGGCAACAGCCTCCATAGTATCGACCTGGTAACCGGCCATGGCAGCCTGGAGGGCGTTGATAGGATCAATCTCTGTAATGATGACCTGGGCACCCATGGAGTGAAGAGCCTCAGCGCAGCCCTTGCCGACGTCACCGAAACCAGCGACAATGGCGATCTTGCCAGCAATCATGACATCGGTAGCACGCTTGATGCCATCAACAAGCGATTCTCGGCAGCCGTAGAGGTTGTCGAACTTGCTCTTGGTCACGGCGTCGTTGACGTTGATAGCAGGGACGAGAAGGCCGTGCTCCTTGTTCTTGAGCATGCGGTAGAGGTGGTGCACACCAGTAGTCGTCTCCTCGCTGAGACCGTAGCAGCCCTTCAACATATCAGGGAACTTTTTGTGGACGAGCGAGGTTAGGTCACCACCGTCGTCGAGGATCAAGTTGAGGTCCTTGCCCGATGGGAAGGCCTTTAGCTGCTGCTCCAAGCACCAATTGTACTCCTCCTCTGTCTCACCCTTCCACGCGAAGACTGGAGTGCCACCAGCAGCGATGGCTGCGGCGGCGTGGTCTTGTGTGGAGAAGATGTTGCAAGATGTCCATGTTACCTCAGCGCCGAGGGCCTTGAGGGTCTCGATGAGGACGGCAGTCTGGATGGCTACACGACATTAGCAGGAGCCTTCGAGTTCCTGATACTGTCCAGCATACTCATGTGCAAGCAACCAGCAATCCTGGCTCCAGCAAGAGGCTGATCATCCTTGTACTTCAGTCTCGTGGCTACAAGACCGGGCATCTCATTTTCAGCGAGCTCAATCTCACGACGGCCGAATGCCGCGAGGTTGATGTCGGCAACCTTGAACTTTTGTGCTGGCTCTCCCATGTTGACGGTATTTTAATGCTGTGTGTAAGTGAGTGGAGGGATGTTGTGGGGGTGGTTTGTAGATGTACAATGGTAAATACAGCGAGGACTCGGTGGAAAGGTGGGGATGCCTTCAAAAATCTCCAGGCCCTGCCCCACCGACATCAACTCACCGATGATGCAGGGTTTATAAAACGCCGTTGCCCGATGGCCGGCAGTTGAGGAAGCAAAACCACAACGACGATAAATCTGGGCACGCTTTGGTTGTAAAATAAACATCCACGTCAATGATCGGTGCTGCTGACATGTGCTTGGTTCACTTCTATACCACATACTAATGCTATTTGTTGCTGCCTCCTTATGCCCGTCTTACCTCCATAATCATTCCCCCATATGCGATGCAAGCCCGACCCATGTACTTTTCATACTCGCACAAATAAAAAAATGCATCCGACTATTCCCAGCCCATCATTGTACAGGCCGTGAACAGTACCTCCCTCACTCGAGAAGACTGCTATCCCTGTTAATTGCGCCGAAAGCAACACCTCTATGCAAAGCCCCGGCTAAAATCAAACAAAGCCCATACTAGCCGTAGATCAGGTCAAGTCAATCCTGCGATCACCAAAGGGGTCAGTGTTGCCCAAGGTACTGGTGAGAGGCTGGTCTCTACTGTTGTACAAACGCCAGCTCTATGCCTCTTGCGAAGCCACAGGCTCGCTATAGATAGAATATATGCGCCGCGACAAGTAATTTTGGCGTACTTCGAACGCCTCGCTCGAAACTCCGGTTCCGATGCTGTAAGACATAGTGCCGGTCTTCGGCTGTGTGTCCATAGTCAGCTCCGGTGGTGCCCTAAACGAGTCCCCCAAAGTGCAGCTAGAATGTTTTGTAGGTCATGAAGGTGGTAGTGTCATGCGCTGGATTCGAGCTGCAAGGTTTATGCGTGGATCTTCGAATGCTTCGTCCCATCCATCATTATCGGTAGCTGCTTCTTCCCGTCTCGAGCGTCTCCTCGTGGGGCTGTTTGGCCCTGGCTCGTTGAATATGCTGCGAAAGGAAGGCTCATGATCGTGCACTGCATCTTCCATATCCGTGTCATCATCGTAGTCAGGTGGTGAGCGTCGCCGTGGGCTGGAATACAATCCCTCGGTCTCACGCAAAGCGTCCTTGACTTTTCGTTTTAATCCATTGACGTATGGTACAATGTGTCGCAGCGTGGCTGTATCGAATGGCACTTTCTTTGTTGGTGCGACCGGCATAAGTGATGTAGGGTCCGAAACACTACGTTTCGAGCGCAGTGCCTCGATCACCGAGCGGGCGACTGCTTCCGAGTCCTTGCGTGGCCGTGCAGCTGTATGGTGACCAATCAAGCTGTTGGATGGGCTCAATCGTGCAGACAGATGCTGGACGTCGTCTTCGGTACTTGACATCACAGACATCTGGTCGTCGTGCGGTGCCAAGGACACTTCGGGAACTGCTGGCAGTGGCTCATCGAAAGCATCAGAGTCGAATCCAGGTGACGATGGAGGCGAACGCCGCGGCTGTAGCGTTTCTTCGTTGGACTCTTGGTCGGCCAGCTCGATCATGGCGTCCACCTCTCGCCAAGCCTTCGCATGAGGTCCCGTAAGCATGTTCAGAGCCACCGCTCGCACCCGTAGATCTTTCAGTTCCTCTATAAGCAATCCCCATTCCCTCAGTAGGCTGATGTTTGCGACCACGCTATCCTGCTGTTCCCTGATCGACTTCGGCACAAACATTTCATGTCCACTATCGATCCGCTTCTCTTCCAATATTGCAGCTGCCGCCGCCGGCAAAGGAGGCGGTTCTTCCTCGAAGTCAAAGTCCTCGTTCCAGTCTTCGGTTGGACCCTTGCTACCTATACCCCAAGTCCCAAACTTATTAGCAACTACATTTCTCTTGCCATCCACATCGGGCACGACTGGTACACTGTGACTCCTGGCATGCATACCACTGGTAGGTCGACGACCAGCGGCTCTGCTGCCACGACTCTCGTTGTCTTTCTTACCATGCACTGTCCGTGGTCTAGGTGGAGACTGCTTGCTATGACTCGGACTCGGCTGTTGTTCAGACCAGTCGAAGAGATTGGCTTTGTCGATGCCACCATTGCTATATCTATTGGGCGTGGATTGTACAGAACCGGGGCCCGGTCGACCAAGCGCGCTCAAGCGGAACGGCGCCATCCTAAAGGGGGGCTGATTATTCATGGGCGTGCCGAACGTGGGCTGTATGCCCAAGCCTAGATCCCTTCTTGGTGGTGATTCCATTGCGTCCCAATCAGGCTCGTCCAAGTCTGACATCAGATCTCTGACTGGTGGGGATGATGCATACATCAGTTGAGCACCAGGCCTTGCGGAGGGCGTGGAGGTGACACTCTTGTCGTGCAGAGACCGCACAGGCGTACTTAGCACGCTACCTTCTTCCTCTATCGTGCCGTGGCGATACCTCGAAGAGTGCTCGCTTCCTGGAAAGTGCCCATCGTTGAGTAGATCGCGAAGCTTCGTGCTTCGTCCGGATGAGAAGCTTGGAGGAGACTCGTCAAAGATGGTATCTATCGGCGGACCACGCTTACCAGAACTGCTTCGTGTCGTACGCGTAGGAAATGAGTCGTAGACAGTGTCACTTTGGTAATCGGTGCTGTATCCTCCTGTTGACCTTCGCTCGCTATCGGATTCGGCAGTAGAGGCAGTCAATTCTGACGGCACAGTTGAGGTCCGCACGTGTCGCGCCGTAGCTGACTCAGATGTAGCTTGGGGTAGAATGCGTTGCTCCAGTGGTGATGGCGTGGGGATTGCAGAGAGTGGGCCAAATGTAGGCGAGTCAGGAAAACCAAACTGCAGGGAATGAGGTGTGCCAGAGCCGAGATCTAGCTGTATTTCTTGTTGCTTAGACTCCGTCGGATGAGCGCTGCTTGACGATGAATATATGCTCCGGTGACCAGCAGATGGGTCGGTAATGTCCCGCCGCTTCGCGGGCCTTTCAGTGCTACTGAGCGAGCTTCCCATCGATGACTGCGGCGCGGACACAACGCGAGCACGAGCTTTTCGAGGTAATCTGGTCGTAGTACCTTTGCTTTTGTTTGAGCTGGGGCGTCTCCATATCGGTTGGGAAGGCCCGGTGGATAGCAAATCGCCAATCGAGAAAGAACGTCTTGGTATCGCGGACGGCTCCAAGTGGGCAGGACGATTAGGTATAGGCGAGGAAGCAACACTTGGTTGCATGCCAATTTGCTTAAGACCTCCGCCTGCAAAATCAATGCCATCATCCATCTCTACATCGGCACGTCTCACGAGTTCCTTCGCCGATACAAGCACAGGCGTATATTTGCGATCGGGGTAGATACGCCTGATTGGGTTTGGAATGCCAGTCGGGCTGCGTCTGCGTTCATATCCATCGTCGTCTCGTGCTATCTTTGGCGTGAAATACTGCTCCCACTCCGGGTCACGTGCGTCAGATGAAGCCGGAGTATGCTGCTCATGATTTGCTTCAGCTTGCACATCTTGCAGTGTAGCAGCACGCTGGTGACTGGTAGCAGGTCTTTTGAACACCGGCAGCGGTAGTCGGGAACCGGATGGCGAAGACAGTGACCCGGCCGTGGAGCGGAGGGAAGAGCTTCGCTTCACAAGCTTATTCCGCTGCACTGGCAGGGGCGTGAGGTCCGTCAGCATAGGTGAAGATGTGGCATCGTGTGATGGGGCGTGGTATCCGTTGGAGTGAGGGACAGCAGCAGAACCTGGCCGTGATGTCGGTGTTCTACTCGACTCGCGTGATCCGGACATGTTCGAGGACAGGCGCCGGAGCCAAGACTGAGGTCGACTAGCTGTCGTACTCGTTCGTGCATCGTCTTGTTGCAGCGACCTCTCCGTGCCCATCCCTAGGCTCATCCGTGACGATACACTGCTCCCGTCCTTCCCACTGCTAGAAGGTGCTCTTGCCTGTTCCGTCCATCGTGTGAAACGCGTCGTTTTCGGGGCGGAGAAGGAGCGATGGGAGCTGAAATCGAAGTCGATCGGTCGTGTCTCGGAGCTTGTGTGCGTCGTGAGCGTGGTAGCGACCGTGAGCGCTGTCATGTCCGAGGTGTGGGCGTCTGGTGAATGGTCGCGGCGAGCGAGCGTTAGGCCTATTGACCCAAGAGAGACTCCAACGCCAGTTGCACACAATGTCGGCACTGTTCTCATCCTCTATGCCGCATGCCGGCCAACGATTGATAAGACACGAGAGTCACGGCACCCACTCGAGCTCATGGTGGCATGCGCAAAGGCTGGAACGCTATGGTAGGAGGTGAGCCCGCTGCGAAACCTCCAAAAGCATGACAGGTTACAACCTTTCAAGGGACAAGCTGAGGACAGGAACGCTGCGGCCAAGCAGTGAAGCAAGAAAACGGGTTTGTGGCGCTCGTAGTGGCAGGCCGTTCGCAAGAGGGGTTCCAATGTTAAGTTTCGGGGGCTATAAAGCAGAAATACCCCCAAAGCGAGCGTAAACAACGACAACTCCGTCTGCCGCTGCACTAATACGCTACATATGCATATGTCTGCCGTCACCGACTCTAACAGACGCTTTGAGTGCAGATGTGCGCCGTGCCATGAAGCAAGACCGTCTTCGTTGCCGCCGTGCTACATCCGTCCTGGACCACAAAGCATCCGTACCCTTGCGAATCCTGTGTGCCGTCAAAGGCAAACATTTCAGTCTGACGAGCATGGCCACCCACGCATGGCCCGCAAGCGAGCAGCCCGTGATAGCCATAATAGCACCGTCAGCTCAATCTGATCCCCCTCAGCTACCCATCCAATCCGATTTACTTGGAAGACTGAGAACCTATGAGGACAGGAAAATCCTCGTTCGTTCGGTGGATTCCTTTTACAAACCAGCTACCCTGGTCGAACGTGACCCGTGGGTGTCATCGTGGGGCATGCAAGGTCCGCATCCGCGGGCGGCCACTTGCCTGTAGCATGGTGTGAGGAATCGAGTATATCAAATTGGGGCTGGGCATAAAACGTGACGTGCATCTCTTAAGCGTGTGAGACCAGATTTCGGGAAAGGTCGTGTGCAGCTCATCCGCCACGCTAAGGCAAGGTCGTCATTTAGGACGATCAAACGCCATCTGTGGCACGGCTTGCTGTTGGCGAGATGAGTCGTCTATGGCTATCTAACAACCGGTGGTCGTCAACGTCGATCGCAGACCTCCGCTATGGAAACTAACGTCCATACTGGGCTATGACAGCAGCAGCAAGGGATGTTGTGTTACTGTGACAGGCGCAATCTTGTACGACGGGCATGTTAGAGGTCTAGGATACCTTGTCAGTGATCTTCGCGCCATACGCAATCGAGACGATCCCCACCTCAATGCAAGAGCCATGCCGCTTTAAGCAGCTGCAACGCATGGCGGGAACGGTGCCAAGACAAGGTACCGAAGAGAAAGAGACACCGTGAAGGCGAAGTGATTCATATGAGATGCAGGATGGCACGATACACGAGGCTGGACCTCAGTTGGAGGGGAGTAAATAGCGGTGCCATAGTATGACAAGAGCTCAATGGAACCATCTTGCACACCTCATGGAAGAAATATGAAGTGACCATATAGCTCCGTACTTCTGTACTGTATCGCTATTATGCTCTCGGATATCGGGAGGATCACAGCCAGAAATACAGCTGAGGTGCTGTCGGTAACGCATGCACCTCGCACCTCTTTGCGATAGCAGCCATGATGACCAGGCAGAACGAACACACGCTTCACTCGCAGTCCTACCTCTCGTAGTGAGCGGTTCCCTTATGTGCTAGCAGTGAAAGGTTAAGTGTCGCCTTTACTAGACTTCGGGATTGCGTCCGTCTGCAGGTGGACGACTCGCCGTTGCGTCTCAACTCTGACGCAGGTAAAACGTCCCGGGAGTTTCTTAGCGAAGGTTTCTAGCGCGTCTGGCTCGTGAGAAAGCGGCACCGGATATCCTCGTGGAAGGATCCTCACTGGTTGGTGTATCACAAGCGCTTTCATTATTCGATCGCCAAGATTCTAGACAACAGATAGAATAAGCTATATTGACTTCTGCTTGCGGTGAAGGGAACACTAGTCAGACGCCCTAGACGTGAGATTGCGTTGTTTGAGCTGAGCAGCTCATCGGCATTCCTTCAAGCAAACGGGTGGCGAAGGACGGTTAGTGGCGTTCACGAAATTGCTTGCGCGCAAGCCCAAGAATCACCTGTGCTTGCGCCACATTACAGGCCCAAGAGACACAGATACTACCACCTGCGCTTCATCATCGACCAGAGATGGAAGGGCAAATCCGAGCACAACTGCCCGACCTCGATCCGGTGGTCGTGGAGTACGCCGCGGGCTATCTCAACCATGCAGCTCATCAATTCGGTGCTGAGAGCGATCCATTGGCCGAGGCGGCGACAGTCATATCTCAGCTCCTATTATCAGCCTCAGGTGATCTCTCGAGCGAGAATGAGGTGTCGGTGCAGAACCTCATTGACAAGTTCATACAAAAATTGCATGATGATACTGCACGTGATGGGGAGCAGCGGCAGCAAGCACCATTGGCCAAGAAGCTCGAGCAGACCATCCAGGTCGGCTCCCAGCGGAATGTATCCTCGACGCTGGGCCTGACAGGTAACGCTGTTGATCTGGAATCAGCAAATGCCAGGAAGGTGGAATCACGGGTGGACCGCAAGAAGCTTGAGAAAGCTGAGCGTAAGCTGAAGGCCAAGCAAGACAAGAAGGAATTTAAGACTGTCGAGTATGAGGCGTCCAGATTGCTCGATCAGCCGAGTGAGCAGCAATCATATGAAGAGTTCTTCATGGCTGTCAATCCTCTGCAGCTGGGTAGTGATGCTCAGTCGAAGAGTAAAGATATCAAGGTCGACGGCATCGATATCACTATTGGTGGTAAGCGTATCTTGTCAGACACGAATTTGACGCTGGCGTATGGCCGAAGATACGGTCTTGTTGGTCAGAATGGTATTGGCAAGTCTACGCTTCTCAGGGCGCTCAGTAAGCGTGAGGTGGCAATTCCAACTCACATATCCATTCTGCACGTCGAGCAAGAAGTCACGGGAGACGACACTCCTGCACTACAAGCTGTGCTCGATGCCGACGTCTGGCGGAAGCATCTCATGAAGGAGCAGGAGAAGATTACGAAGGAGCTTGCTGAGCTCGAAGCTGAACGCTCTTCTATGGCAGACACGTCTGGTGATGCAGCGAAGCTCGACAAGCAACGCGAAGGTCTCGACATCACTCTCAGTGATGTGCAAGGTAAGCTCGCCGAGATGGAATCAGACAAGGCAGAACCCAGAGCGGCTAGTATTCTTGCTGGCCTCGGTTTCTCACACGAGCGGCAGCAATTCGCCACCAAGACATTTTCTGGTGGTTGGCGTATGCGTCTGGCACTGGCGAGAGCACTCTTCTGCGAGCCTGATCTTCTGCTGCTTGATGAGCCGTCGAACATGTTGGACGTGCCATCCATTACTTTCTTGGCAAATTACCTCGCAGGCTACCCGAGCACTGTCCTGGTCGTGTCTCACGACCGAGCGTTCCTGAACGAAGTGGCGACAGATATCATTCATCAGCACTCACAGCGCCTGGACTACTACAAAGGTGCCACTTTCGACTCGTTTTATGCCACCAAGGAGGAACGCCGCAAGACTGCCAAGCGTGAGTACGAGAATCAAATGGCAGTACGAGCCCATCTCCAAGCCTTTATCGACAAGTTTCGCTACAACGCCGCCAAGTCGTCCGAAGCGCAATCACGCATCAAGAAACTGGAGAAGATGCCCATGCTCGAAGCGCCGGAGGCTGAGTACAGTGTACACTTCAAGTTCCCAGATGTCGAGAAGCTTTCACCGCCCATCATACAAATGGACAATGTCTCCTTTGGCTACACACCCGACAAGCCTCTCCTCAAGAACGTGGATCTGGACGTGCAACTCGACTCTCGTATCGGTATCGTGGGTCCAAACGGTGCTGGCAAGACGACCGCACTCAAACTCCTCATTGGTGCACTCTCGCCAACGTCAGGTCTGATATCACAGAACCCTCGTCTCCGTATCGGTTTCTTCGCCCAACACCACGTCGACGCTCTAGATCTCAATGCCAGTGCTGTCGGCTTCATGGCAGCCAAGTACCCTGGAAGATCAGACGAAGAGTACCGTCGCCACCTCGGTGCCTTTGGCATCACAGGCATGACAGGCCTCCAGAAGATGGAGCTGTTGTCTGGAGGTCAGAAGTCTCGCGTAGCATTCGCCTGTCTCGGTCTCACGAACCCACATATCTTGGTCCTGGACGAGCCGTCTAATCATCTCGATATCGAAGCGATGGATGCTTTGAGCACAGCGCTGCAGAACTTTGGCGGCGGTGTGTTGATGGTGAGTCACGATGTGACCATGTTGCAAAACGTATGCACGAGCCTGTGGGTGTGTGACAATGGGACTGTGGAGCATTTCGGTGGTACGGTGAAGGACTACAAGAAGCGCATTACCGCGCAGGCTGGAGAGAGTGGAGTGGCGATACAGCATTAGATATAAATTTAATGAAGCCACAGATAGAGCATCAACATTCTCAAGTTGTGATGAAATATCCGATGCCTTTGCAAACCTCCTGCGACATATCGATCAACCCCCTGAATTGCACGTATCGCCAGGAGAACACGCCAGCCAGCACACACCTATCAACATATCCCTGAATGCAACGCTCAAACGTTCACTATACAATCTTGAGACTCAGCACAGAAGCCGACCGCATGTAGTAACGCAACACATAACCCCAAACCAGACCATTCATTGCCCCTCTTCATCCCTCCAATCACTATTATGCCGACTCGGATGCGCCGACCCAGCAGCACTGTTATAACCGCTCCCACTTCCACTCCCATACCCCGACTCACTAGCGGGTGTCTGTGGCGTCCCCGTCGTCTCCAAATCCAGCTGACTGCGAATACTCAAAATCCACTCATGCTGCAACAACTCAGCCGCCGAAGCTCGACGGGCACTGTCCCGCTCAAAACATCGGCGTAAGAAATCCAGACCAACTTCGCTCATTTGTTCGCGGGTAGGCATCTGCGGCGAGTGGCCTTGAGCAATGTTGTACATGATCGCCCATTCATTATCCATATCCGCCCAGGGACGAGATCCAGTAGCCATTTCGCTGATCACACAGCCGAGGGACCAGATGTCTTCTGCGCCGAGACGAGTATTGCGTGGTTTCTGACCCTTGATGACTTCGGGGGACATGTACATTGGCGTTCCCTGCATACTGCCCTTGTTCCCTCGACCATCTGGACCATCGGCTACGACAGTCTTGCCTTGTTTGGCTATGACTTTCGCAGCACCAAAGTCGACGAACTTGATTACGCCCATGTCGTTGAGAAGGATGTTCTCGGGTTTGATATCACGATGTACAACGTTGGCTTCGTGGAGGTAGCCGAGACCTTCAAGGAGCTGAAGGGCGTAGACTTGTATGACTGTTTCGTCCTCGATGCGTCCATGTTCGAGCAATGAAGCGAGTGAGCCACCAGAGCAGTATTCCATGAAGATGTACACCTTATCTCGATGCGGCTCGATCCCAAAATATTGCACCACATTGGGATGATCGAGGACAGAAAGGACCCTCATCTCATCCCGAATCTGACTGACGATAGTCGGAATCAACTTCGGATCCTGGAGTCGAATCTCCTTGACAGCCATAAGCTGGGTAGAGTCAAGATTGATGCCAACATAGACCGTGCCGAAAGTGCCGCCTCCGATGAATTGTCCTTGTTGCCATCGGAGATGCACGTTGCCCGCGCTCCCACTAAGTTGCGTCAGGGCACGATCTGCCTCGTTGCTGTCCTCCAAAACTCTTCCTAGAGCTTGTCGTTCTGCCTCGCGATCTCGGCGGAATTGGTCAATGTTCTCGAGCTCTTCGATCCATTGCATTCTCACGACTCTAATACTCTCCTCGTCGTCCTTCAGACTGCTCAGGTTCATCTTGGTGCCCTTACCAGACATCTCGATGCGCTGTTTCTCGGCTTGGGCGGCAACGGTGCTTCTTGCGCCCATGATATCGAAATGGCTGATCAGCAATGCCATGCACACGGCCACCTTCGATCGTAAAGTAGCATATTCGTCTTCTGAGATGGACAAGATATTCTGTCCTCTCGTCATCATCATAGCAAACTCCAAAGCCACAACCGCCCATCTGAAAGTCTTCTTGTCGCTAGCAACACAATCATCACAGATGAAGCTGACCCAATCGAGCGCCAAATGTGTGAGCTTAAGCTGATGCATAGCACGACGCTGCTGATCAAAGTAAATGGCCGATCGCTGTCCAAATTCCGTGGCAAAGGCAAAACATGTCTGGATGAGTTCCTGGCATTGCAGTCCTTGCGTCTGCTTTCGCACGATCTCGACACTGTCCATGATGGTGTTTGACAACTTGTAAGCAGTTTTGCGGATCTTGACCAGCTCCGAGAAGACACCTTGTAGATTGGCACGCTGCTCGACCAGCATAGACAGCTCAATGCCATTGCAGACGGACATGAAGCGCTCATTAGCCTGCGCCAGTCGCTCCAGGCTACCATCCGTTACCAGGCGCAGTCGTCCCACCTTCAGACCAAGCAACGGCTGTCGTATAACCTGACCAGGCACAGACTCCATGACTTGTCCATCCCATCGCAATGGATTCTCCGGCTTAAGGATCAGCAGATAGGGATTCTCCGGGTCCTCCGGTCCATCCTCAGCATGATAGCATGTGCCCAGCATACTCTGAATGTCCTTCGGCCTATCAATCAAACTCGGACTTGCAATCACATAGATACCTGCGCCCTTGCCAGCGGCCTTATCACTCTTTTCACCGGCAGCGGCAGAACCCTCTGCAGACCCCGAAGTCTCCACCAGAACATGCCCAGAAACCATCAGCGCATCCAGGAGTTCCTGATGATGCTCCCAGTCGATGTTGAGATTATACTCCGTCGCATTCTCAAACCTCTGCGACAGAATCCTGCCGAAACGGAATATCTTCCGCTGCCTCACACGTACCGAGTCAAGAATGGCTTTATACCTCTTATCCATCTCCGTCCCAGCAATCTCATCCGGTCGTCGCTGCAGCTCCTTTTCGAAGTGCGATGTCAGACGAGCCAAGGACTTGCTCGTGAGCGAGCTGAACTGCTCCGCAACTTCCACGTCACCGCCGTCCAGGTGTCGACCGAGCTCATTACTAAAGTCCCACTCTTGCTCTAGGATTTCGGCTTCCTTGAAGGTGTTTTTGTTGGCCATCAATTTCCAATTGAGCATGCGAAAGTAGAACTTTAGCGCGTCCAGTACGACGCCATCGAACCCTTCGTCGATGCAGGATGGTAGGTCCCAACCAGGTTCGGGCTGACTGATGAACAGGTAGCTTTCCTTGATACGGACCGCGAGCTTGAGCAGGATCTGGAATTGCAAGATCATTTGCTCGGCCATCATGACGCCTTGCTGTGCTGGATCTTTCATCTTCTTGGCGTAGCTGAGCCGCATACGGATGATCTCTTGTATGAGCCTGCTCGGGAAGTTGATAAGAGTAAGAAGCTCCTCAATGTAAGGTGGCAGATGTCGATCCGCAAAGGATTCGGCGTTGTGAATGAGCGTGGTCTTCGCCTTCTGTATGACATTGTTTACACCGTTGAGCAAGTTATTGTCGCCCTGCAAACTCTTCAGACCGTCCTCCTTTAGTATCCGCTCAATGAAACTGCTGTCGTCAAACAGTTGGCCAGATTGACCCTCGGTAGCAGGACGTGATCGTGGCTTAGTAAAGTCAAGCTCGACATTGCCAACCCACGTCTGCAGAATACCGAGCTCGGTGTTGATCAGCTCGGTGGTGTTATGCCATGCAAGCACAGCGTCGCACGTCTCTCTGTACGATGGTGACGCAGCACGCGGCTCAGCAGTCTCGAAGGCATCGCGAGTCGGGTACAAGCTCTCCGTCTTCTCGATCTTCTTGACTATCTCTTGCACCTGCTCAAGTGGACTCTGCCCAACCTCGGCTTCGCCCTTGATCTCGAATGCTACTATTGCTTCGATAGCACCCTTGACCTTCGACCTCCCATCTTCGATCAGGCGCCGCTGTGCTACGAGAGACCGACCGCAGCACTTTGCTCGAACGCCCAGCCAGATCTCAGACTTCATAGTGTTCTCGCCTCCTTGATCCGGACCACCAATCAGACGTTTCTTCTCTTGCTTGACCACATCTCCAGTCAAGACGTTAGCCAACATAGCATGCCACTCGAGCCGTTCTCTATTCGCGGGTATTCTGAGCTCCTCCACTGACGGTTCCATGTCCTCATTTCCGTAGTACAGGAGCATTTCCTGGTCGTGCGGGTCACTATCGGCATGTGCATTGCTCGTCGGGCTTTCTTCGTCACCTTCGCTCGGCGTCTCATCACTGTAGTCGAGACTGGGCGTCTGAGAGTCGCTGTAAAAGTCATTGTCGGGTCCTATCTGCTGGATTCGTTGCACATAAGCCTTCTCTTGAGCGCGATAGTCGCTATCTGGGTTCCGCATGCCACGTCTGTTCCTGTTGGTCGAGGTGTTCCTTCTCGATGAGGAGCTGTTCATGCTCCACTGGTGCGGTCGACGAGCCGGGTTGTATGCATTACTGGGCGTCCGAGAATTACTCGGTCGAACCGGTCGTTGCTGCGAGCTATGCAGACCATTCGTGATGATGTGGGGATGTGGAGGGCCGTATGGTGGTCGCGCACTAGTCGGCATGCTGTCGTAGGTCCTGCTGTTCATGCTACCCGTACTGCTCCGGACGGTGGTCGCTGGTGTCCACTGGTAGCCCGACATGGCACTGAGTGGCGTGATGCTGTCCTCGACTGCTGTACTCGACATGGTGCTGGTCAATGTCGGGGGCGAGAAATGCCGCGAGCTCATCGGGGGCACGACATCGCTGTCGCTCAATGTCTCGCCAGGCGTGCCTTCCAGTCCATATTCAAATTCCTCCTGCTCATCGCTGCCACTTCCACTCCCACTGTTACCCGTGTCGTTGCCTGAGGCTGCTATCTCGCCGTCCATATCCTCCATGATGGGCGTGACAGCCGGTAGACTGCCCTCTCGACCTTTTCGACCACCACTGCTACTGCGTAGCGATGCGGGTGAACCGCCCGGCACGGCGGGCGAGGTGGACATGGCCGAGGACTCGCTTTGCCTTTGGCCTTCGCAGTCAAGCCTCACGGACGCGTTCCCCGCTTCCGCGTGGTGTTGATGAGCGCTGGGATTGTTCGTGGCGGTGCAGTTGGTTAGTGTTCTCTCACCGATGCCATCTCCATATCTTCCCCTCTTATCACTTCAAGTCGGATATTCGTGCAACACCACTTCCAGAGAAACTGGGCCATGCTGTGTCAGATGCCGTCGTTGCCATTTCCGCTTCCCTGGCACGCGCCAGCCCGGACGGCTAAAATAACATACGTAAAACCTGATTCATTCTGACGCCACAAGCAGGGATGGATCATGTCACATGCATGCCACTCATTCCGCGCAACGTCCTATATGTCTACTCTACTGAAACGGCATCATGAACTTTGCAAGACCATCGGGATTGTCTGTCCGTCGAGCACGCGTTATGCGGTGGGAAGGCTGTCTCATGAGCGGTGATGAGAGTGCTGGTTCGAACAGAAACGACATCGCTCCTGTGAAAGTAGTACTGATCGATTTATATTGAAGAAGCTGTTGAACTTATTCAGATAGGTAGAATCGACCGACGAAGTACTGTTTCCATTCCGTTCGCGAAAGATATCGTGCTAGAATCATGACATGCTGTACGTCCACACCAACCTCAATGTTAATTGCTCTATCAAGGCAGGGGCGCATCCTTGGGTCAGACGGTCTGGCTTGTGTCGCGACTCAAGCAACACATCTTTCAGACTTCTGTGATGAGGCGCCAACGAGATGTGGATGCCACGGCCATTATGATTGGTACGCAATATTATGATGAACTATCCCCGCCTAGATCCTGGGTATTTGAAAAGGAAAGCACAACAACGCCGCTCTGCTGTCAAGACTATTATTGCTCCCACCGAGCTCATCCGCCACCACTACACCTTTTTCCAAGCCTATGACACACAAGCCACATCTCCTACTGCGCATGTGACTGGAAGTAGGAAGTCAAAGATTGAACCTGTGCCACCATCTTTGCCACCACCTTTCCTCAAGACCGACCTCTACGGTTTCTTCAACTTCGTTCCCTCGGTATGCTCAGGCATCGTACTCAGAAAGTAGTCCTTGCCCTTCACCATCGAAATGACGAAACTGGGCATACCCCAACCAGCGAAAGCGCCGACACCTCCCTTGGCTCCAATAGGCACCAGCTGCGTCTCATCGTCTTTGCGAGTATAGGTCCTCTCTGCGAACGTCCCAACCTTGGCGTCCTCGAATAGGTCGTGATTAATGTTCGCGCCGAAGACCGGGACAGAAGCGCCCAACTTCAAGATACCGCCGAGACTCACGCCCGAAACGTCGCCGAGACTGTAGACGCGTGGGCCAGCGGCGTCGACCCGGAGGGTCTTGCCGTTCGTTGCTACGTATTCCTTCTTCCCTTTCAGATTCGCTGGGAGGAACTCGGTGTTTGGCTGGACACCGTAGGCAGGGATGAAGACGTCGGCAGTCATTGTCTCACCGTTGTCGAGAGTGATTTCCGTCTTGCCATCAGGGAGTTCTTTCGAGCCTGTGGTCTTGGTGTTGTAGACGATGGTGACGCCGAGCTTCTCAAGCATCTTCTGGGTCTTGGTGGCACGAGAAGTGGAGAAGATGGGGATCAGTTTGCTGCTGCCTGCGATGAGGGTGATGCGTGGGTTGTGGGTGAGGTGGGTGGCGATCTCTCCTGCGGTCTCGACGCCAATGGGTCCACCACCAGAGATAACGATCTCCTTGGCAGTAGGTAGCTTGGCATTCATCTCGTCCAGAGCCTTGATTGTGATATTATGGTCGCCTTGCAGAGTAGTGAGTGGCGTTGGTGATCGAACACCGGTGGTGATGATCAAAGCGTGGTAGGGCAATGACTCCTCGACACCTTGAGGGGTCTTGAACAAGACTGTCCGCGCATCTGTATTCAGGCCAGATGCCGAACCCTGATGGAAGTGGATCGAATCCTTGAGGTCGGTATACTGCTTGAAGCCATCCATGCATGGGACGAAGCACTTGTTGTGTGGCATTTCCTTGACAGACACAATTTCTCGTGGAGCAGCGATATGGAACCAGAAATGCGTCGACGGATCAATGAGGTGAAGTGCATAATTGACATCCTTGGCTTGCTTCAGCTTTGGCAATGTATGCCTGCAGATGTAATGAGCGGCATTGAGGCCAGCAAAGGAGGCTCCAAGGATCACGATATTCCTGGTTTCCGACATGTTTGGATCTTGTTATCGTATTTCGTCAATTGCAATGGTCGAATTGATATCTCGAGTTGGCCTTTTGATTGAGGTGTCGAATTCTTCAATGATAGAAAGACTATTGGCCACTGCCGTTGAACTGTTCGGTATACGGAGGAGAGCCGGGATGTGAGTATCGAAGTGATGAGAAGAGTACGCTGGTGGAGCAGTCGCTAGTGTCCGGCAGTGAACCTCAATAAAATCCTAAGGAGTGTATGAAGATGTTATATATGATCATAGCACTGAGAGATGAGCAAGCACTGGTGTTGCCATCGAGCGGAATGTTGCTGGTACATGCTGAGGATCGGAGTCCGGGAAAGGGCGATCCGATGTGCATCGGGACAATCGACTCGCCGTTTGGGTGCTTGGACACCATTTATCTCTCTGCAACGTCGATTACACGACAATTCCACCTAATTAATGTTCTGCTGACTAATGACAGCAGCAAGCTACTCAATGCGCTCCGTTATGGCGGTTTCCGAGGGCTGCAAAGTTGTAGACTATTATTAAAGGTCGTCAGCAACGTTTGAGACCAACATAGCGCGGAATTGATCGCTGGCACAGATATTCGAGACCGAGCATCGATACCGCTTATGATATCGGAAAATCATACGCAGAGACCAAGAGAGTGCAGACCAAGAGAGTGCATACCAACCCTACGTGCCGATCAAAACCAGCGTGCCCTACCTTCTACACCCGGGGGAATTGGTACGCGATTTCTTTTTGTCAACCACTCCATGCTGATACGGTGGTCTACACCCTAGCATACGGCTTCGGACTGCTCCAGCAATGTCTACTATGGTCATCATCGTCCAAAATCATTTACTGTCATGAGGCAGTGGTATGAGACGGATGATTAGATTCAGTAGGCGTGGTCTGAGCCTGCGCGACTGCGGTAAGCTTTAGAAGTGTACACCCCACTTTCATTGTGGATGAGGTGAGTACACGGTAATGTACAGTCGCTTCTGTTATACAAGCACGCGCTCTGCCCTCCTCACGAGCTCCTCGTACACCGTCCATGTGAACGCACTGCTCAAGGCTTTCCTGCCTATGCGCATGCTGAGACCACTGAACATACTTGAAATGCCTTCCTGTTGCAACATCATGCTGGCTGCTTTGAACATGTTCCCATACCGACCAGGCGCAATCTGTAGTCTAGTCTTGATGGCGTCAAATGGATTGGTCAATGTAGTCGCCGTGATAGCGGCCAGCACCCCAGACGCGAAGTTGATGGTTGCTGAGCTCGAAGCCGTAGTCGTCACGACTTGCTTATCGCCTGCAGAGAGGGTGGCCAGGCGAGATTTGGCCTGCTCGTAAACCAGAACGTAGAGCCCAGCGTACGGTGCATCTCGCACAGCAGTGGCACCGAAGCCTGCAAAGAAACCCCGCATGCCCTCCTTCGCGACAATGTCCCTCGCAGCACCCATCATCGATGTGTAATTGTAATGCGTAGACTCATACCGTACCTTGAGCACAGTAATCGGATTAACAATCAAGCCAGCCGCAACGCGAGCCAGAGCACCAGTTGTCAGATTGGCCACATTTCCAAGCTTTGGCAGAGACGAGGAAGAAGCCTTGACCGGCTGCAGTTCACCCGCCACCACCGGCATAGCAGGAAGCTGAGCTGCATACTGTCTCATCTGATTGAGCATGCCGAAGTACAGCGCCGAGCCAAAGCCGGTTCGGAGTACTGATGGAGTGACGCCTCGCCATAGGGAGCGAATCGGGTTTGGGCCATTGAGGATATTGCGTAGTGCTTGTGTCAAGCTGGAGGCCTGCGATTGTTGGACTCGAGTCTTGAGCAGGTCCGCAGGTTGCAGTAAGAACGCACTTGTTGCGCCGGAGCCAAGACCGGCTACGAGATGGAAGGCTGTTTTCTGTGGTTAGCGAATCAACTTCGTTCCGTAGGAAAGCATCTTTTGCTAGGTGCACACACCTGAGCTCGCTTTCTGCTTCTGAGGGACAATGGACATGTCAATGACAATAGACTCATATCGCTGTACACATGTTGGACGATGTGCGGAAGATATGGCTTTGAAGGTCGATAATGTTTCGGATACGCCTCCAGTCACCAACAACCCGTGAGGTCACGATATGGCGCTCGGACCACTCACTTCCCTCACTCACCCGACTGACTGTGCTCGCATTCAGTTATGTCATGGCGATTGATATTGCATTGTAGGATTGAAAGGTTGCTGAAATATACATTATGTGCAATCAAGTTATATTATGTGATCTGGATAGCTATGTCTTCAAGCAAATCAAACAGAATATCAGTCTATCTCGCTTGAGGGGGGTATTATGCGCCAGCAACTTCAAGAAAGGGATCCCTTATGTCTCCTGGGGCAGGACTCCAGAGCCCTGCCCGCTAACAATATACTTTTCTACAATCTTTACAAAAGAAATCATGCTGGACTATGCCTCCATACATGCTTAAGCAATTGTATCATCTCGGGCAGACGTATCGAGCTCAGCCTCCAAGGACCGAAACGCAGGTGGCTGCCCGTCGTCGACATCTAGATCATCGTCCTCCAAGTTTTGCATGTGGAGTTCGTTGTCCTCGGCATCGCGATCATAGCTCTGTTCGCGGAATAGTGGTGTTGCAGGTCCATCGCTGTACGTCGGCACCATGCTATCAAGCGACGGCGCACCGTCCGCATACCCATCGGCCGATGGCTGAGGTGCCCTACGGCTTTGCAATCGTGGTGCAGGCAACGACTTCGTGGCCTCTGGACTTGGTGTGCTTCGGAGGTTGCTGGCAGGAGGAGTCATCAAGCCGGCCATGTAGCTTGGTGGCATTGAGGAGGATGGTCGAGGTTTGGAAGGCGTCATGGATCGAGGACGAAGGGCAGGCCTAGATGGTGCGGTCTTCAGTGCCGAGCTCTCCATGTTCGACCGCCACTTCTGGAAGGCGGATGTAAGTGATACTGCTTTTGGTGTGGCGAAGCTTGACAGGCTAGCCAAGGCCTGGCCACCAAGCGAGCCCTGTGGGTAGCCAAAGCGCTCTTTCTCCTGCTGCTCCATCTGTAGATTGGCACGAATCCGGATAGCAATGTCACGCACATCGTTGCGGTCAAAGGTAGGCTTCGACAAAGTGTTGACCAAGTCCGTCAAGTCTTCACTGCGTACAGCAAGCAATTCCCGAAGCCAAGTTATCTCGGAGTCGCGCTCTTTGAGCACTGCCGGGCCTTCGTCATCGACTTGACTCTGCAACTGTTCAATTGTCGATTCGCGTTCCTGCAGCTGTTCTTGCAGGACCAAGATCGACTCGCGTAGTGCTTGTGGCGAGATCTTCTCAGGCAATCCTCTTGACTTTGGCGAAACACCTCTGGTCTGCGCATTCATAGCTGCGGCCTGCGCTGCAGATTTCGTGACCTCGAGTCTCTCCTCCAGATGCAAGATGCGATCATGAGCATGCTGCAGCTTGGCATCAGCCAGGCCAAGACGCTCATTCAGGATGTACTCGGACCGATCTTTGTCCTCAATGGCATGCTGAAGATGTCGTTGTTGTTGTAGCTGCAGATCCTCGAACATGCGCCCGTGCTTCTGGCGTGCCTCGTCAAGTGCAACACTGCTTGAGTGGTTGATTTTGCGGAGAGCCTCTCGTTGAGCAGTCTCCTCTTCCTCAAGAACACGCTCATGCCTAGCCTTGGTAGTCTCCGCCTCGAGTCGTGCATTGTCAAGCTCAGATCGCACCTTGGCTAGCTGGCCTTCAAGCTCGGCCCGAACAATGTTGACTTGACGGTTGGCGGTCTCAACATCAGTCTCAAGGGATAGACGCGTACGTTGAACCTCTGCACGGCCAGCTTCCTTGGCATCATGAAAGTTGCGTTCGTGATGAGCAGCGGCAGATTGCTGGGCAGCAAGGTCCTGCTTCAGCTGATGAGCAAGCTCCCGAAGAGAAACACCGGACGTAGTCGACTGCTCCAGTGCACGCTTCGCATCGGTAGCCTCTGCTTGACCAACTCGCAATACCCGGAGCTCTTTGTTAAGCTCATGGCGCTCGCGAGCCTGAGCAGCTTGCGCAGCCTCTAGAGACTCACATCGACTACGGTAATCCTCTTCTCTTGCCCTCCAAGCCGCCTTTTCACTCGCAAGCTGTCCTGCCGCCATCGCCATATCACCATGAAGTTTCTCGAGTCTGCGTCTCATACTGGTGCTAGAGTCTTGAGCCTCCTCGACTTGTCGCTCGAGTGCGGAGATTGTACCTTCGAACTCTTCGCGTTGTTGGACGCCATGGTCGATATCCTGTCGCCACTTGTTGCTAGAAGTGCGATACTCCCCAAGCGTGGCTTGCAATGCTTCGTTCTCCTCCTCGACTTCCTGTGCACGATCCTCCGACTGTTTCTGAGCTGCCTCGGCCCTCTCAACGCGGTCGAGCATTTCCTTGCGCTCTTCATGCAACGCACCAAGTCGACCGTCGTCACCGCGGGACAAGTCCCGAAGCAGTGTCAGTTCCTCCTCAGCAAGACGCAACATCCTCTGTGTCTCGCTTGCACGCTCCTCCACATCACGCCTGTGGTTGGCCTCCTCGAGAGCACCAGCCAACGTCTCATTGAGCCTGCCCTCGAGCTCAGACAGCTCACGCTTATGCATCCGAGTGTTGTCCTCAGTCACCATGGGCACTAAAGCCTGGCTCTGGCGATGCAAGACGTCTTCAACCACAGCACGCACGTCTTCAAGCTCGAGACTGGCCGAAGCTGCTCTTGCAAAGGATACTTTCATGTCAGCCAGAATGGTGTGGATATCAGCCAGATCGTAAGAAGACTGGGAGCGTTTCGGACTCTGCTCACGCATGACTTCCAGGACAGCGGCCTTGATCTGATCGATCCGCTTGTCCCTGCCTCGCGACACAGGTCGCTGCTTGTTGTCGCCAGACAGCTCGTCCTCGTCGTCGGCATCGCTCTCGACAGTGGACGACGTGCGCTTCAGTGACGGTCGGTCAGCAGAGCTGGCACGCTTGACGACGACATGCTGAAGTTGCCGCATCGTCTCCTCAAGCGGCAGCAGCCTCTGCTCAACTACACGGCCGATCACATCGTTGATGTGGCTGTCGAAGAAAGCACTGCGATGCTGCAGCTTCTCCTCGTCAGGAGGGGACAGCACACCCGACCAATCGCTTGTAGGCACGTCTTCAGCCCTGTTGAGTCTATGGACGTGCGGCCAGCCTTCAATAGCATGCTCACCGCTGTCCGTACGGTCATGCACCGTAAAGGATGAGTCTGCATGGATCTGCTGCTGCACGGACTTCCTTCTCGGACTCGGGCTGGGCGCGTCGCTTCGTGGCCAACCGGGTATGTAGCTAACGCCTGGAATCGAGGTCTCCTCAAGGTCCGGCAAAGGCGACATGGCACGTTCCGTAGGCTCCTCCGCTTCATCGCTAGGTCCAGCTTCATTGAGTTGGCGCATCACTGCGTCGATCTCGTCGAACGATGGTTCGGTATGAGCGACGTCACCAATGCGTCCAATGCTGGGGTATGTGTACGACCCAAACCCTGCAGACAGTTCTTGTCGTAGTGGCTCGACCATCCGCATAGGTGATACTTCGGGCACATCATCATCGAGTATCTCGCCATCCTCGAGTTCACTGATGGAGAGGTCGTGAGCATGGTTCTGGTTGAAAGGGCCGCCGAGTGAGGCTCCTAGTACTGGAGGTTCGAAGGGCTTGGCCATCGCAGAGAGTGAGCTCGAGGGTTTGTGTCCGTGGTAAGGAACCGTTCTGGGGGCAGGCTCCGGCTTCTCTGCTGCACTATTGAGTTCGTCTGCAGGCTCTGCATCTTCGACCTCAGCAGCTTCAAGCACAGATCCATCCGGCTCGTCCGTTGACTCGGCGGTTTCAGCATCGTCAGCTTCCTTAGGGTCCGGCTGTTCCTCGGGTTCCAAGCCTTCAGGGACAGGCGTAGGCTCAGCAAATCTCGGCACCTCATCCCCATCATCGCCACCAAAGCGTTGCCTCTTGAGCCTATCCTCACTCTGCGTGATCCTCCCGTCCTCGTCCTCAAAATCCTCCCCAGAATCAGTAGCCACGTCCGGTCTCACAATGGCGACAGCCTTAGACTTCTTCGCAGGTTTGACAATATTAGGAATATTGACTTTGCCAAAGATACTCGGCAGGTCATCGATCACTGTGCGATTGGCAAGTGGCGAAGAGTCTTCCTTCTTTGGAGGCTCAAAAGCAGGAGCGTCGGGCTTGAATGACGGGCCTTGAGCCGAGAAACTGAATTCTGGCTGCTTGGGAATAGCGATAGGCTGGGTTGGCTTGAAAACAGGCGCGGCGACGTTGAACGTGCCAGAGGATGTCTGTCGGTTGTGACCTTGCTTTGGAACAGTGGGTTCGGGACCAGCAGAAGCGCCGAATGCGAAAGCTGGTGCCGTCGGCTGGAAGGTCGCGGTAGGATTGAAGTGAAAGCTTGGAGCAGAGACATTGAAGCGAGAGGGACGTTTCTTGTGCGCCCGTGGGCTCTCTTCCCCATCCACATCGTTGCCAGATGGATCTTTCTCGCCGACTGTTCTTAGCTGCGCAGGCTGTCTCCGCTCATCAAGCGATTGGTTAGAATCATCCTCAGTGGTCGTGACCTCGATCCAATTATTGCGCTCCTCGTCATGACGGTGCTCAGCTTCGAGAAGCTCACGCTCCAGGCCCTCACTAATATTATGACGGTGTCCTCTCGTAGGTGTAGGAATGGCTACATCAGCATTGATCTGTGCCCTCTTGTGGGGGGGCACATAAGCCGGCGGCTCAGTCTCGGCCGTCGCACTCTCTGGCTGGGTCGCTGGTTCGAGCAACTCATCCTCATCGTCCTCTTCTGGCAGTTCGGGGAGGACTGGCGTCTGCTGCGCAGCAGCCATCTGAGGCACGAAAGGCTTGAACGAAGCCGGATGCTGTACAGATTGTGAGTATCCGTGCTGACGTTGTCTCTGGTCTTGCACAAGACCTCTGCTGTAATCCTGAGGCGATTGTGTTGCAAACATCTGCTGCGCAAGTGGTGAGCCAGGGCCCCGAAGTGCACCAAGATCCTGTCGCAGAGCTGCTACCTGAGCAGGCGAAGCGCCGCGTGAGAAACCTGGTATCGCGAATTGATTTTGTGGTGAGAAGGCTTGCATCCCAAGAACAGGCGAATGCTGCGGTAGCTGCTGAGTCTGCAATTGAGGATAGCCCATAGGTCCCGAGAATGTCGAATGCCTGTGCATGTGGCCGAAAGGGCCCACTCCCGGCGATATAGGAGAAGCTACGGACATTGTATGCGAATGGCCGCGTATCATAGGCGGACGACCCATACTGCCAGCAGACCCAGTAGGGAGTGGGGGAGAGAATGGTAGAGGCGGATACTGGCCAGATGAGTGTCGTGACGTGTCTTGCATACTCGGCGCTTGCATTGCCGGGGGTAGTGGTGGCTCTTCGCCCACTAGACCCACACCCAAAGCTGCGAGCTTCTGCTCGATGAGCTTGTCCATATCCTCCTTGAGCTTGTTTAGATCGGGCAAAGAAACCCTGGGTTGGCGCTGGCTAGCCTGTGATCGCATCTCACCTTCGTCGGGGTAGATAGCACGGGCGTGCGCGAGAAGACCCGGGTCACTGAGATCATGCGATAATCTAAAGCCGGTGATATCGTAGCCATCATCCTCGAACGCCTTCAGTCGAGCGTGCGTTTCTGCCTCGCTCATGGGTGTGGGCAGACCAAGCGTCGCAAAATCAGAGTTCGGCACGCAGACGATGAGATTCTTGCCACGCCAGCTGACACGCTTCCTGGTCAGTTTCGGCAGCTCCAGGCGACTCCATTGGGGTGGCGGTTCTCGTACACTGCTGGCAATTTCGTCTTCTTGCGGGGCCTGCTCGCTGCTCTCGCCCATGTCCTCACCTTCCGGTTTCTTATTTGTGCTCTCTGGTAGCCCCTCGGCTGCTTCGCCGGCTCCCGTGGCCTCAGTTACGTCATCTTTCGCACCCTCTACCTCAACAGCCTCCAAGCCCCTGACCGCAGTCTCCTGTTCATCCACAGGCGGAGTCATCTCGTCCTCCCTCGACTGCTCCTGGATCTGCTCCGCCTTCGTATCCAACTCCCGAGCAATCTCAGGCGGCGGCGTAGCAGCCCACCTCGAAGCATAGAGACTCGCCATCTCGTCCTCCTTCCCACCGCGGACAATATTCAGAAAGGTCTGCTGATTCAACGTCCGATTATCTTCACGTGTGTTATGTCCCTTCGACCTTGGACGAGCGAAGTCGACTGCCGCCGAAGCTGAAGCAGAAGCGGTTGCAGGCTCGTGAGACTGTGTTTCCTTCTCAGAGCTAGTGTTCGAATGCGATTCGTCGCGCCACCAGTCCGGCTTCTCGAGCGTCTGGCTCCGTGGGAGCTGGATCCAACGTTTAGTTCGGGAGCGGGGGGTATGCGAATCGTCCTCGTCTGAGATGATGCCTAGACCAAGCGCTGGTGTCAAGGATGCAGTAGACTGGCTAGTCTGGTGTCGATATTGGTTCGCTAACCGACTCGGGATCAGATGCTCGAGGCCAAAGCTGGCGAGAGGCGAAGACAAGATATGCTGGTCTTCACTCCTCGCTTGCTCAGACAATGCCGTGCGGGCGGAAGGCGTAGGTGAGGGCGACCTTTCGTATGGCGAGCCCCAAACTGCGGTATAGTACTCCGAGCTGTCGTCTCTGTACCTGCTTCGAGTGGTGCTGGCTGGTGTTCGTGGTGGGAAGCGCTGAACGTGTTCGGGGCTGAGAAGCCGCTCGTGCTGTGTAGGAAGACGGCCACGCGATTGTGAGGACTGTGAGGATGAATCTACTGTGATATCATACTCGGCGGTGGGAGGCGACGATGGCAGTGCCAGATGTTCGTCCAAGTTGGCTAGGAAGTGTCAATAGAAGCTCGTTTAAACTGCATCCATGTCGCCCAATGCCTACATACCTTCCACCGTCTCGGCTGCTTCAGAGCGACCTCTGATCGCTCCTTATATATCCCCCGTATATGCTTGTGTAGCTCCTCCTCCTTCTCTAGCTCTCATATATCCTCCGACTGTACACAAAAGAGATCAAAAATATTACTATATCCACAACAGAAGGGAGTGACAAGACGCGATCCTCTTAACGAGATGCAGCGATCATAGCGCGCAATAGCAAGCAAAGTAAGCAATACACACAAATATACTGGGAGATAACGAGATGAGGTACAAGACTGTCAGGACACACAGGCCTTTTGGTGGTGGTGGAGGTCAGAAACTAGAGCGGTGATGGAATAGGTGTCAGAAGTGCTGGTGCCGCGGATTGTGCGCTGTCTCTCGCTTAGACTTTCAGAACCCCTTCGAGTTTACGCGACTTGGGCCCGATGCGGAATTTAACGTCGACGTCATGGAAATCAACTGCCGCACAATAACGAATGGCATACACATTCCATGTAGGAGATCGGAGAATGCTCAACCATCTGCCTCTTCAAGGCCCGAGTATCAAAGACTTGAAACATCCCAAAACCAAAAGCTCACCTCGTGTCAGTCACGTGGTCGCGCGTGTCCGAGGTGAACTCTAATATGCCGGACAAGGATCATGGTTCTTGTGTTTATACAGCAAGTACCCGTTCTGTACATTTGTACCTGATACCCAATGCTCACCCGAGCGAAATCTTCCCTTCCCAGGCAAATGCAGCCTGGCGTTCTCGCACCTTCCCTATGATCACAATTGTAAGGGTATCAACAAAAGAAATGCTCACCAGCGACCCATCCACCCACTCAGTTGCAACGACCAAGCTTACCGCAAGCCGATAACGCTCTGTTGTACATGTAAGCATATGCATCACGCAGCACACTTCTCGCGCGGTGGACCTACCATCTCCAGAGTCCACACTCGCCTGATCCAGACCTTCAGCTTACCCTCGACTCCGTCAACGTGGTCCAGCTCGACTCCCTCCCACCAGCATCTGCGAGCAGGTTTGCGCCAGAAGAGTAGGAGTTTCTGGGCCATGCCAACGGCGTTGCTGTTCGCTGACTCGCCACGGATATCTGTTCGTAGACGTGCGAGGGCGATCGAACAGATAACAGCTTTGTTTGGTTCAGCTGCGCGGTGGCCCCAGATGTCCGCATGATCGAAGCCGCTGCGAGACGTCAGTATTTCCAATCATTGAAAGTGAAGGACTGACTTACCCCGCCGTCAACATCTCGATAAGATGCTGCTCCGTCGTACCAGGCTCCTCGCTCTTCCGCAGACCAGAGAAAATACCATCCTGGCGCAGCAACGCCTTACCAGCTGCACGCTTGACCTCAATCATCTCAGCATGCTCGATATTCTTCGTCGGCGGGATAACGTAAAAGTCCAGATCCTCCCTGAGCACGATGATGCCAGCACGATCTTGCAACATATCCCTTGCATTGCCCGGCATAGGCTCAATTGGCATCGTGCTGGTCGTCGACATCGGGTCTTGACTCGACTGCTGAGCAGCATGTTCATCGCTCGGCTGCGGAATCGTCTGCGCCACATGTCGGAAGAACTCGAGCATGTATTGAAGCGAGGTGGGATCATACTGTGCGTGATAAATCATGTCAGATAAATATACATCGGGATTGCAAGCCACACTGTGGATCTGTTGGACGGTCACAGTGGGAGCTTTGCCCACTTGGGTGACGATGTGGATTTGTTGGGGGTGGCTTACGTCGACCGGGTAGACATCGCCTTCGTGGTAGCTATTCATGTGGCCTTCTGGGAGGAGCCCGTTCGGGAAGAGCGAGAGGAGGACGAATTCGGGGAGGGTGAGCAGTTCATCGCGGGAGAGTGTGAAGCGGGTGCCGCTAGACAAGTTAGTATGTGAGCACATTAACGTCCTTCCTGGTAATCATACCGTAGCTCGAGCGTAATGTTCTCGTCAGATCCTGATGAGTGTCAACGGTGCGTCTGCCACACTGATATGACATACTCACCTCCGCCAAGAGCGGTGTTGAGCGGTGCTGGCCCTCCCTGCTGCACCTGCGTGAGGATGCTTGCCGCACCTCCTGCAGCCGCCATAACGTATGTGAATCCCTCTAGCGGACTGGAACCTTCGGTATAGGGAGGCGGTGGCTCTCCGTCGTCAAGATTCTTGCTATCCTTAGTATCCCTCGGTAGCGCAGCCTTAGTCTCAGCAAGAACGGAAGAAGCGGTTGCAACACTATCCCTCTCTTCGAATGGCGGTGCAGGCCCACTAGGCGCTAGCGCGGTGAGGGACTCGGTGTCTCCGCAGGCGGTGACGAGGGCGCGGTAGGGGTCAACGGTGGAGGGCGCCGGGAAGTAGCGGACGGGGAAGTTGTGTGAGGAGAAGGGCGGTGGGGATTCGGCCGCGGCTGAGGACGACTCCTCCTGTCGCGTGGATGCTGGCTCTAAGCGGAAGTGCGAGTCGACGTCAGTTTTGCCGGGGGGTGAGTCGTGGGCGCTGCCGCGCAGAGATGGGGTGGTATGGATGGAAGACCCGTCTGGATCCACGATGTAAGAGTGCGGCGTAGAGTACGAGTTGGCAGAGTCCACGATGTGTTTGTTGTGGAAGGCGTGCGCTTTACATGAATGTTGTTAGGCGAGCCTGTCGCGATTGTTCGTTTGCGTTAGTGATCAGTTGCGATACAAGTGTTTGTGCTTGTCAGTGTACAGGTGCGATGTGAGATTACAATGGTGATTTGCCCTTGTTATTGGCGCGAGATCCTCGAAGCGGTAGCCACGTTCGAGCACGAGCCTCAATCTGCACAACGCTCAGGGAAGGCGGCTACGTCAAACATCACGAAGCAGACGACCAATGTTTTCTCGTGGAGACTTCCTTGCCCGACTACTGTTGCCGACAGAATGAGTACACATGGGGCCAACATCGCGAGACGGGAATTGTGGATTCAAGTATGGCATGCAGTCATTTACCTCTAGATCCGAGATACGAAACTGAGATAATATTCACCATACTCAACAGTACCAGCACAATACGCTGCCTACTCCTTGTTGAAGTCAATGACAACACGTCCAGCAATCTCTCCCCGTCTCAATTGTTGTACACTCTCTGGGAAAGCTGACATCCCTCTCACCTCACTGATGCTCTTCAGCAGACCACGCCTCGAGTACTCGAGACAAGCAGCAGTATCCTGCATAGTGCCAACCAATGTACCAATAATACGCAAATTCTTGAACGAGAAAAAATTAGGATCGGTTCCAAGGACGATGGTGCCAGCTGGAGGGAGAGCGATGGTCATGACTGTGCCACCGATGCGGTCGCCGATGAAGTTGATGGCGTCCTTGTAAGACTGGTAGGCTGTGACCAGAACGCCGTGCGCACCAATACCACCGGCGACTTCCTTGACCTTGGCCACGACATCGGTATGTTCCTTGAAGTCGATGAACTCCTCCGCACCCATCTTCATGCAGAGGTCTTTCTTATGAGAGCCGCTGTCGACGACGATTGGACGCATGCCCATGGCCCTATCACAAGCATTAGTATACCAGCATGTGCCCTTTACCGCCGAGGTATCCATACTTAGCAAGCTGCACACCCTGAATTCCCACTCCTCCACCTCCACCAGGAAAGACGACCCAGTTCCCGGGCTTCAACCCACTATCAATGAGCGCCCTATGCATCGTACTAGCACTACACATAATCGGCCCAGCAACCTCATCCGGCACTCCATCGGGGATCCGACTGGTGTACTTCGCCGGACTGGTAACATACTGCATATACGTCCCCTCCGCCATGAGGCCCGTGTAAACACCCTTCTGGCAGTAGTTCTCTCGCCCGTTCCAGCATTCTTCGCAGTTGCGGCATACATCCCAGAGGGGCTTCACGCCGCCGCGGTCGCCGATCTTCCAGTCTGTGACGTTCTTGCCGAGTTTGACTACGACGCCAGCGCCTTCGTGGCCTGCGCATTTCGTGCCGAAGGTGGACATGGGAGGGACGGCCCTGTGTGGTGGGGTTCGAGGTCAGCATGAGTTCGAGTGCTAATGAGAGTCTGCTCTGGTAAGATTGTGCTCTGGTGAGATTTTGCCCTAGTGATGTTTTGCTCCGGTGATGTTTAGAAAGTGCTTGAGCTGGTCCTAGAGGACGACTAACCAATCTCCGACCATGAAATGCACATCGGACATACAAAGGCCAGTAACGTTCAGACGTAGTAACACCTCGTCGTCCTCTGTGAAGAATAATGCATTAGCCAATTGCTTCTCGTGATCGACATACATTGATGGTCAGAGGGAGTTACTTACTCGGTTCTGGGACATCAACCTCTTGCACCTCGACTCTGAAATCAGGTCCCTCATTGACGACGACGCCGGCCTTGCCTTTCTTTGGTACTTCTTCCGACATGTCTGAGCGGTCTTTAGTATATCAGTAGTCGATGTGTATGGGAAATGAGCAAGCTGACTACTCAATTGAAATCGATACAGAGCTACCTACCTCCAGACCTTATAAAGACCTGGATCTTACGACCCTTCGGCGAACATTCTCCTCCGTCCTCGTCAAGTGGAGATAGCCAGAAGATCCCTCGGCGTATGTGTTTTACAGCTCACGCCTCCACGCGGGGCAAGTTCTTGGGGCTGTGAATGTGGACGTGAAGATGAGCGGGGTAAGCGCATGGACAACCATTAACAGGCCTGCCATCTCGCCGCGTGTTGTGCAGTGGCGGAGTTGAGACCGCGCCGAAGGAATCGTTTGCTTGAGCCGGAATAGCTGCCGCGATTGTCGCCTTCAAGCTAAAGCTGTGTGTAGCCGGCGTGGTTCGGGTTCCTTGAGATGATGTTCGGTATATATTCATTTCCGCTGGCTTGTGGAACCTGTCCGAATTATCACCGAGACATCACCAGGTCAGAAAGCTCGATGAGATCTCGAAACATCTGGCTTCCATGGAAATAGTCAATGTATGATGTACAACTCTTCATATCAATACGCAAAGTCGGCAGGGCCCCCTAATTGGTCGTCCTCCTCTTGCCTTGATTGCGTGGCCTGTCCTGGACAACATACTTGTTCGGATTGCGCTTCTTCCTCGTCTTGTATCCACCTTTGGCCTGTCAAGCATGTCAGTAATTGCACACCATACACCTCGTGATGGTTACGACTTACCGGTGTGCCCCAGATAGACACTGGATGCACATTACCCTTACTCTTACCACGTCCACCACCGTGAGGATGGTCCGCAGCGTTCATAGCCAGACCACGCACGGTAGGCCTGATGTTAAGCCATCTGCTCCTTCCGGCCTTTCCGAGTTGTCGAAACTGCCAATGCGGGTTGCTGGCCACCCCAACCGTGGCGCACGCATCCCTATCCACCTTCCTCACTTCACCACTCTGTAGTCGTACCGTCACATCCTTGACCCTCTTCTTCGCCTCGCTGCCTGTTTCCTGCTTCGCAATGACAGTTGCATACGTGCCGGCACTGCGGCAGAAGACTGCGCCCTTGCCAGCTGTAGATCCCACATTGTACACTTGAGTCCCCATCGGCACCATGTGCATCGGCAAGCAGTTTCCTCGGAATGCGGTCTTCGCAGCAAGCATACCAGGATCCATCACACCTCCCATACTAGCCAACAAATCCTTCGGAATGCCGGACAAGAAGGACTCAACGGTGTCTCCTGCGCGCATGCCTTCCGCAGCAATGATATAAGTCTTCTCTTTCGTCTTCACACTCTCGACCAGCGCCAGATGAGCACTACGATTGGGATCGTACTCGATTCGCTCAACAATGTGCTTGCCAGGGACGTTTCGAATGTAGTCCACAGTCCTGATCCGTCGCCTGTGACCACCACCTCGATGTCTCATCACTACCCGTCCACTGCCATTACGACCACCCTTTCCATGGCCGATTTTGGCAAAGGTAAGAGGTCTGTGGGGTTTGCCTTTGTACAGATGGTCATTGATGGGTCGTTTGAGATGCCGTACACCTGGCGTCCTAGGCTTGTATGTTCTCAGCTCAAACCCGGATTGCTTTCGCGCGGGCGCTGATGATGGCGAGTATGCGATTGTATCGTTGGTGGCGCTCGATGAGCGGATGGACTCCTCAACTGCTGTTGCATACGTTCGGCGGGAGGAGGACAGGAGATGGCGGCATTGCAAGCAGACTGATCGTATCCGTGGTTGTAGCATCGTGTGAGCAATGAGACACAACAAGCTGATCGGTCGCAATGGCAGTCCCAATGGCCGTGATCAGAAAGACCGGACGATGTGCATCGTCGACAAGCTCTCCTGCTTCAACTTTCGTGCCAAGCCGACATGCCTAAGGTTCGACGATGATCGGGAGCGGCCGCAATCACGATTCGGCGTGCTCAGTTGGCGTTGCTGACCCGGCAACGGACTTTGTAGGACGAGGAGATCTTTCCCAAAATCAATACCGAATCGCTACTACAGATTTGTCTAAAGACATAAAGTATTCCACTTGTTATCTCCAACTCGAATATCAGCCAAACAGCACGATTTGGACGCCCTGCGACATCTGATCCACAATCGCGCTTGCTCGCGCTACAATAAACATCAAGGCGCGTTCTTGCCGTGCCAAGTCCAAGCTTTGACCGAGCAACCTCGAAACGCCTGCTGCGAGTGCTCGACTGCTCGATTGCTCACAACAACTCGTCCCTCACGACCACGAGTATCGCCTCCTCGTCTCGTCTTCTCGCTGGCTCGCCATCAGCCGGCACAACCAGTCAACTCATCGCGTGGACTCGAGGTGCCTTACTCCGACATACCTTCTCGGCATCTTCATACATCACCAAGGCGTGTATGTTAATGTTGATATCCAGCCTCAAATCACGTACAACGACACCTCACGGCCTCGAGCAGGACTCTTGAGCATCTCCGCTACCTTTCTGTCACAGGAGTGAAGGATTGGTACGCAGACGCGTCCAGACCTCGCCGTCACGGCTGCCAAAACAATGCTAACACGTGACTTACAGAACTCTCATATACGACCTTCAGACTGCCATCAGTAACCCATCAGAGCTCTTCATCATTGCACATCGCCTACCATGCCTCCAGTACGTCACTCAGATTCTTACTTCGGCGTCATTGTCGTGACATGACCGCGTTTTCGTGTTCTGTTTTGCTGACCCATATCAAAGGCAAGAACAGCCAGACGGGCCATAACGGACGAGAACGCAGAGACTGGAACACAACGACTTACGCGTGCGAAGGCTGCTGCTCTCGAGACATCTGCTGCCGACCCACCAAAGAAGGCATTGACGACTAAGCGCTCGACCACCGCACCATCAAATGGCACGCTCGGTGCACGGAAGAGGACAGCCCTGGGAGATGTCAGCAACGTTGTGAAGAAGGACCCGTCGGAGAATGCAGATGGCAAGAAGAGTGGCCTCGAGAAGCCAACGCTGGTGAAGGCTGCAAAGCCTGCTGGCATCACAAAACAACCAGCGCGTAACAGCTCAACACGGACCGCTCTTGGAGCAAAGACCAGCAACAACGCATCATCTGAGCTGAAGCGACCTGCGAGTGGCAGTGGCATTGCTGGCAATGTACCAAAGAAGCGTAACGTTTCCACGTCCAAGCCTACCAAGATGGAGCTTGAGGATGATGAGGACTCTGAGAACGCGCCACCAGCTGTCAATGGCTCCAAGGTCCCGACCAAGATTGCGAGGAAGGCTAGCGTAAAGAGTGCCACTACCGGTCGTGCTCAGCTCAAGCCTGAAGAGGACAATGAGTACCCATCTCTGGAGGAGGTCATCCTCGATGCCAAGGATCTCGATGAGGAGGACATGGACGACCCGCTTATGGTTGCCGAGTATGTTCACGAGATCTTCGACTATATGAAGCAACTTGAGATCACTACCATGCCCAACGCCGATTACATGGAGAACCAGGACGAGCTAGAGTGGAAGATGCGCGGTATCCTCGTCGACTGGCTGCTCGAGGTCCACACGCGGTTCAGGCTTCTGCCCGAAACACTCTTCTTGGCCGTCAACATCATCGACCGCTTCTTATCTTCCAAGGTTGTCCAGCTGGACCGTCTACAGCTCGTCGGTGTTACCGCCATGTTCATTGCCAGCAAGTACGAGGAGGTCCTCTCACCTCATGTCCAGAACTTTGTGCATGTCGCCGACGATGGCTTCTCCGAAAGCGAGATACTGTCTGCCGAGCGATTCGTCTTGGCTGCCCTCGACTATGACCTCTCATACCCCAACCCGATGAACTTCCTACGCCGCATCTCCAAAGCCGACAACTATGACATCCAGACCCGCACTCTCGGCAAGTATCTCCTCGAGATTGGATGCCTGGACCACCGCTTCCTCCAGTACCCGCCATCTCACGTCGCCGCCGCGGCTATGTACCTCGCGCGTCTCTCGTTGAATCGTGGTGAATGGGACGCAACCCTCAGCAAGTACGCCGGCTACACCGAGCACGAGATCCAGCCTGTGTTCAAGCTCATGGTCGACTATCTCCACGCGCCAGTGCAGCATGATGCATTCTTCCGCAAGTACGCGAGTAAGAAGTTTTTGAAGGGTAAGCTCACGCAAATACGTTACCTCTCACGCAACCCAAGCTAACCATATCTCACAGCTTCCATCGTCCTCAGACAATGGGCCAAAAAGTGGGCGCCGAAATACCTCGACAATGTGCAAGAGCAGCCAAGCAGTGGCAAGACTCCTCGCTCATAGCATATGCTTTGTGGACAATGCTGAGTATAGTCGCACAGACACCGTTGACGTCGACGGCGCCGCGTCTAGGGTTCGTCGCTCCCTCGCTTTCGGCGGACGTACCTCGTCGGCTTCCTCGCGTGGTCGTGGTGGGAAGTGAAGCTCGGGCGCGGAGATGTTGATGGAGCTTTGATGATCGTGCTGGGAAGCGGGCGGACGATGCATCTGATCGTTCCATCTCAACTCTGAAGCGAAATGGTAGTTGCCGAACGAGGTGTCTTGTGATACGACATGCGTTTTGCTGCCAAGATGGAAGCTGCCTCTCCTGGTATGGCAGAGTACAAGCATGGGTTTGAAATTCAACGGCGTCAGTGGCAAGACCGCAATATGGTCTGCGGAGGGTGGTGGGTCGAAGCTTCTCATAGCTTTGCGATGGCGTCTTGGGCAATTGGAATGTCTTTTTTGGGTACACTACTGAAGTAGATGGTGTACAACGTGCAATAACATTACAAGACAGCTGTAGCGACCAAGGTTTGCAGTGCGTTTTGCAAGCATAAACTGGTTGTTAGCAATGTCACTGCTATCGAAGAGGGTGAATGCGCAAGCTCAGAACGTTATCGAGACCTGATAGACCACCACCGATTTAGAGGCAAGGCGAGCCTCCGAAAGGTAAATTGTTCTCTTGCTTCAAGTGACGATCATGTCTGCGTGGCTCGACTCAATCTGGTCCAGCACATTTGTCCTTCGAGTATCGGCTATAGTTATGACAATTATCATGTTTCGACCTTACCTTGACAGCAGGACTGGGCCAGTTCTCTCGGCTACGAAAACAGTGCTCGGCATGGAAGTCACATGGTTCCAATGGTGTGTAGCCTTGACACGATTTCAAGATATGTATGCCAGGAGACGAGTTTGTGACACTCCTTCACCACCACATTGTTTAGGTTCGCTTCAGACCAACGCCGCTGATTCGATCGGCTGCCGGGTGAACACTCGCGGACTGTCGTGTAAGACACCCCTGCAATGCTGATTAATTGTCAACGGTGGCGCGGCATGGTTTCCATGCCGTCCCGACAGTTTCATGGCTGCGGCTGAGCACGAATGGTGGTGGTTTCATAGTGCGCGGTGAGTGGTCGAATGAGCAGCCTGGCAACGATGATGCGTGTAGATCTGCAGCCTGGACAGTCAGTGTACAGTATCGTTGGTGTCGCATGTCCATTTCACAATCATTCGCATCCATACCGTGACCTTGACATCCTCCCAAATGTGATCTAGCGGCGGGGCCAAGCATCATTCCACCCTCGACGAGACATCTGGTCAGTGAGTCGTCGAGCAGTAGAATTCCAAGTCACCGTCTGCCAGCATGGCAGCCACCCAGGACGATTCACCCAATGAGGATTACTTCAACGACCTCACACAACAGCAATCGGGAGATGCAGACGGTAGACGTGGGTCCCTACCGGACGATAACGACGAGATTCCCAAGCCAAAGAGAATAGCTTGCGTGTTATGTCGGAAGAGGAAATTGAAATGCGACGGCAAGAAACCGGCTTGTGGCACCTGCAACAGACTACAGCATGATTGTTCCTACGATGAGGTGCGGAGGAAGAGTGGCCCTAAAAGAGGTTATGTGAAAGCGTTGGAGGCACGATTGGCGCAAGTAGAGGTGTTGTTGAAGACACAAGACGATCCACCCGCGACCAGGAAGGGCAGTAGCGGCACTGCAGGAGCATCCCAGTCACGGCCACAAAAACACAATATCCTGCCAGATGTGAATCTCTTTTCGACCACACAATACAATTCAAATTCATTGGCACAAGCAGAGCGCACAGTGACCGGAGGTGACGGCAGTACTCAGAATCTATTTCCGCACCCATCGCTGCCGGGAGCCAGTAATCTTGGCAGCAATGCTCCGCCCGAGGAACCCTTCCCGTGGGAGATGATAGGTCTTGGTCTGGACGAGCCGCTGCCTTCACAAGAAGTCGTCAATGAGCTAAATCAGATCTACTTCGAGAAGATCCACCCTTCAGTGCCTATGATCCACAGACCACGATACTATGCAGCCATGAACTTAGCACCACATATGCGGCCACCGGTGTGTCTAAGGTACATCATGTGGGCGAATGCGGCAGCAGTGACAGACAAGTACGAGGCCCTCCAGGAACACTTCTACCAGCGTGCTCGTAAGTATTTGCAGCAGGACGAGATGAAAGGCCATGGTGAGAACATGATCACGATTGCGCATTGTCAGACTTGGCTGTTGGTCGCGACCTACGAATTTAAAGCTATGTACTTTCCTCGCGCCTGGATGTCTTCTGGTAGAGGCTCGAGGATGGCGCAGATGATGGGTTTGCATCGGATGGACGGAGCTGGTCTGGATGTGAAGCAGTGTCTACCACCACCGAAGGACTGGACAGAGCGTGAGGAAAGGAGACGTACGTTCTGGATGGCATTCGCAGTCGATCGCTACTCGAGTATCGGTACTGGTTGGCCCATGTCCATCGAAGAAGGTGACATCTGCACGAACTTGCCATGCACAGAACAGGCCTACGATATGAGCAAACCGGAGAAGACTGGGACGGTCTTCGAGGCCCTTCACCCTGGTGGCGTGCCGAATATGTCCAGCTTTGCAGGTGTTGTTCTCATGTCGTGTCTGTTCGGTCGGAAGTTACTCCATCTGCACCGTCCTACAGTAGATGATCACGATGACGATATAAACGGTGTGTTCTGGAAACGCCACAGCAATATGGACAATTTACTGCTGAATATTGCCCTTGCGCTACCCGACCATCTTCGCCTTCCATCGGGATTGAACGACTCGAATATCGTGTTCATGAATATGAACATCCACACGTCCACGATATGCTTACATCAAGCGGCGATCTTCAAAGCTGACAAGAATAGCATGCCTGCCCGCATATCTGCGGAGAGTAAGGTGCGGTGTATCACTGCAGCTGCTGAGATTGCGAGCATTATGCGGCAAATCAGCCATCTAGATCTGTCAGCCGTGAGTGTTATGTTTTGTTTTGTACAAGAATTGTGCTGATATCTGCCTAGATGAATCCTTTCATATCGTTTTGTCTTTACGTGGCAGCTCGTGTCTTCGTGCAATATCTCAAATCACGACCAAAAGATACTCAGATCCGCGCGTCGCTGCAATTTCTGCTCTCGGCAATGCATGCGATCAAGCGCAAGAACCCGCTTACAGAGTCTTTCTTGGTGCAACTGGATGTGGATCTAGAAAGTGCTGGTCTTGAAGACGCTCGCCTCAAGCGCTTTGACATGGCTAAGATGCCAGGTGCAGATGAGCCGAATGTACAGACCGGGTGTCCCTTCACCATGGGAATGCAGGATATGACCAATGGAACATGTCATCCGACCTACGGAGACCAAGGTCTTTCTATCTACAATGATCCGAATGCTGGAGGCGAGATCGTGCAGCCCATTACCGAGGTCAACTCCTTCGACTACAATACAGCGGACATGTCGGATTATGCTTCAGGGGGTGCCTTTGAGCTTCCAAATCGGCAACGGACGCCTGGCTCTTCGACATATCGCAGTCCAGCTTCTGGTGCCAATGCAGAAATGGACACGAGTCCGGATGGCAGCAATGAGCAAGCTACGCCTCTGTCGTCGTCTAATCACAACTCCTCGTCCCGTACGTCTCATACAGGCTACTCGCCACAAGATCTACAACAACAGCGGCAGCAACAAAGCCAGCCAATGCCTTCATCATCGACAAGCTACCAGGTCGACAACACGCAGGCTGCATTCTCCTCTGTCTTCAGCTTCGACATGGCAGACGTACCGACAGCCACAAACACCTCAACAGCGCCGCTACAGAACAATTTCGACTTCGCACTGCCCGAAAATTGGGCTAATGGATCTACTGGCTTTACACCAGGGCCCTCAACGGGTCTCACACCCGCCCCGACGGGCATGACACCTGGTGCTTTCAACGATATGATGACGGATGCGGACTGGACGCAGATGCTGGACGATTTCTCGAATACGGCGTGGTCGGCTGGAATGCCCCATGATGCTGCTATGCATGAGGTACCATCGCAAAAGCGGTGATGCACGCTGCTCTTTTGCTGCTGAATGTTCTCCCATCTCATCCTTACGCGGCGTTGTTAGCAGGGCACGATACCAGGGTCGGCTTATATGTGGACGTCTTTAGGGCAGTAGGTAGGCGTTTGGCATATCATTTGTGCTACTGGCCACTAGATTGCCAGAGCAGGCATGTTAAGCATCTATGTGCCGCTCCTCGCGAGGCCAATGCTATAGCCAGAATCGATCATATCACAGTTCCGACGCCATCACCATACTGAGCCCCTGATCGTTAGCGAACAAGTCCACCAGCGAGGTCTGCACCAACGCTACTGCTTCCTTATGGGTATAGTCGCTGCCATCGATATTAAATTTATGGTTTTATTTCGCTCTCGCCGACTGACTTTGCACCATAAGTAGAGGTTGGATCCTGCTTCGCTCGTATACAGGACCGCGGTCAATCAATATCGATATTGCCTGCTACTGCACATGCGGCCTAGAGCTCTCCACAAAAACACTTTTTGGTCAAAGCTTGAGATATAAGCCCTGCAGCCGTTGAGTTGCGCCACACGTGTAGAACGCGTGCGCATTCGCCTTAGCTGTAATGTATCAGATATGTCTTTGATTTTGTGTCTTTTGTAGCCGAGTCCGGGGAGTGTGAAAATGACTAGGGTGCGCTACTAACGCTGAAAGTGGTATCTACCACTATGTCACCCTCACAAGCAGCGTGATATGAATGCGAGCGGAGAAATCTATGCCGTGCATGCTCGACCAATGCGGACTACGCCTCCCGCAACAGTGATCCTGATTAATCTGATACACCAATGGCAAGCGCATAAGCCTTGCAAAGACCTCGCCTAATCGGCCTAACGTCTACGCGAGCTGCTGGGGTTGTTTCGCTAGCGCAAGGTGACGAGCTGCTGATTGTTGAAATGGCCATGGAGCGCGATGCCGCTGTTGTCGAGCGCCCGCAGGACGAGCGACAGGCCTCATCCAGCTCTGAAAGCATGCAGCAACAGCAGCAGCAGCAGTATCTTTACTCGCACAGCGGCGCATCGCAGCGGTCACAGCAGGCGGAAGTCTATCGCGGCAGTGCAGAGGCAGCTCCCCTACCTTCACTCCACAGCAGCTCCGCCGAAGGTCCAACGGCCATGCAGCACTACCTCGCGACAACCATGAATGGCGCGCAACTGCAACAGCCTCCATACAACCCCGCCGTCCACCAGTACGCCCTCTACCACCAGAATGGCGCAGTGCAGCCGCCTCCGATGCCTTCGAATGGGCAAGCCATGATGCGCTACCCAATTCCGCCCCAAATTTCGATGGATTCACGCCAGATGACGGGCGCCCGAGGCAAGAAGGATATAAAGCGCAGGACGAAGACTGGTTGTCTCACATGCCGTAAGAGACGCATAAAGGTGAGTGCACGTGATTTTCGCACGTCGCATTCAATATAGAGGTGCAAACAAACACAAAGTCGCGAACGCGCCGCGTATGGGTCTTGCGGCGGGTAGTAGCGAGCGAGAAAGCATAACTGATGGAGCCTCGTACATAGTGTGACGAAACCCAACCAAGCTGCCGCAACTGTGCCAAAAGCAAAAGAGAATGCTTGGGCTACGATCCTATCTTCAAGCAACAGTCCGGTCCAGCCAATATACAGCCTGCCCCCACGAACGCCGACTCGCCGCCAGAGACCAAACCCGCCACCACCTCGACGGCACCATCATTTCGTGCCCCAATATATTCAGACACTGTCAACACACTCGACGGCGCAAGTGACTACCAAGGACCACCAAGCTACACTTCCCTTGATCCGTCCTTAGGTCACGAGCACTCCTTCACAATGGCTCGAAGCAGCTATCATAGTAGCCTACAGGCCGAACGAAAAGGTTTGCATGTCTTGGTTACCTTCCATGAATGGCTGCTAATATGAGATAGTCAGATACATTGCCATCGACGACCTCTTTTCTCTGAACGACACGCCACCACAATACCAGAGGCGGGAAGCACCACCACCACTCTCACCGCCTCAGCAACAGGAACTGGCAGACTTTTATATGTATCACTACGCACCTGGTCTCGACCGACTTCTCGAGACCACGTTCTACACGTCCGAAGGACTAGCGCATCTGCAGTCAAACCCTGAGCTACATGACTTCGTCTACCAATGTGCAGAGCAGTTCAAACCCTCGGCTGATCACCCAGCGATGCCCAACCAGATTCGCTCACTCGAAGCAAGACTGGTCTGGCATCTTGTGACTATGGCTCGTACCAGCGGGTCGTCACCAGAGCTGGCACAGCGCGTGGACACGCTGGAGAATCTCTTGACGGGCCACTTCCTTGACCCAAGCAGAATACCCCAGCCGCCCACCTCTGCCCTCCCCGAAGACGTGTTCAAAGAGAAAGCCTTCTGGCGCAATCTAGCACGCTTCGTGGCCGTTCGCGATGACCGACCAGACAGCAACACACACAGGCAGATCAGCGACTCCCTCGGTGCCATGCGTGCCATCCTTGGGATGACGGAGAATCGTGATGTGCTCTACTCCATCGCCATCGCCCGCCATATCGGCGGCCGCTCCCCAGACTTTCATCCTCAGCAACACATCGTCGCCACTTCGAATGATGCTGATGACGAGATCAATAAGCTCAAGGTTGCTCATCAGTTCGTGGAGATCGAGGATCAGAAGGGCACGACCCAGGTCATTCAGCGGGTGTGCTCGATGGCATTGCGTGCGTGGGCTTTGCAGAAGCAATGATATCGTACCTTAATTTAAGAAGGAGGAGGATCTTCAGCATCCGCAATGGTTGTTTTCTTTTTGCGATGATACCACGGCCATGCGCCATCCCTGCGGATCTTGCTTCATGTGCGTCTAATAGCATTTATTTCATGATCTACACATCATGTGAGCTCAAGATCCAACTTCCATCTCTATGTGTATGTCGTGCCGATGTCGACATTGTTCACAAATCTGCATGCTCAGGCACTGGACTCTTCAGCTTGCCTGTCTCGACTGCAGACCTCACATTACCGATGCTGAACTCCTCCATCGCCGTCATCGTTTCCAGCGTCCAGGTCCCCATATGTGGTAGCAGCATGACGTGAGGGTTATCCACCAGGCCTGGATGGATCTTCGGCTCCTCCTCATAGACATCTAAGCCTACGGACGCTACTTGACCGCTCTCAAGAGCCTCTACCAGAGCTGCTTCGTCCATCACTGCGCCGCGAGCTGTGTTGACTATGATAATGCCTTTCTTCATCTTCTTGAACTGTTCCGTTGAGATGATGTGGCGAGTCTTGGGCTGTAAAGGTATCAGTAGTGTATCCAAGATACATTGTCTTGAAGGAGGGAATACTCACATTGAGTGGCAAGTTCAAGCTCAGGACATCCGATTGTGCAAGCAGCTCCTCGAACTCAACATACTTGGCTCCACCCGCCATCTCCTCACTCAACTTCTTACGATTATGGTAGATCGTCTTCATGCCGAATCCGGCACACTTCTTCATCATGTTCCGGCCAATACCTCCCATACCCAAGATCCCCAACACCTTGCCTTCCGGATCATGCCCCAGTGGCGGCGGTTGCTTGCCTCTCCACTCTCCGTTCCTCAGGGAGAGCATGGAAGTATTGAACCCTCGCAGCGCTCCGAGGATCAGGAAAACGGCGGTATCGGCCGTAGCATCGTCGACTATCGTCGGCACATTGGCGACCTTGATCGGTGGTTGGCGATCAGCGCAGGCATGGACATCAATGGCGTCGTAGCCCGCTCCGTTGTTGATGCAGAACTGTAGGCTTTTGGGAAGCGCATCGATAAGTTCTTCGTCCCATTTCCCGGTTATGGAGCCGGAGGCGAAGGTTCTGTAGGCTGCTACGACGCCGGTGAGGTGGTCGGTCCGGCATTCTTTGATAAAGTCTGATCGGTTTGTGCTCTTTGGTTCGATCAGATCGGCGATGTCAGATAGGTCATTCCATGTCGATTTGGCGAAGTCGATGCTTCCCAGGAGGAGAATCTTTGGCCGTTGTGTTGTTGAGCCCATTTTGATGTGGAAGTGCCTATGTCCAGGCCGCAGAGAATGTGAAGTCGACAATGGAATTCGGTAGGCTGCTACTTGACTGAAATGGAATAGGTTGAGGCTCTCTTATCTATGTCATCCATCATTGCTCATCGCTTCTTCGCCGCAACGCTATCGGCTATTGCGGAGGGACTGCATTTCCTTCGAGTCGGGTTGACAGTCCATTTACGTGCATCATACGCGAGCGTTAAGATGACACGACAGACGTGGTGATTATCGATAGTATTGACCTACTGGTCAAGATGGAAGGAGTTCCTAAAAAGACAGAGAGGCTCACATCGATAATCGAAAGGCAACCGTCCAAAGCTGGAACGACCGAACGTGAGAGGCAACAAGAAATGTCCATTCGCAACGCTAGATATGCTGAAACGTAGGAAACATCGCTATTGCAAGAGCTGAGCAGTTGAGAGTCTAGAAAAGCATGTGTATTCCAAAGCTCAACCAACAGCCGTGAAAAGCCATCAGTGGTATCGTATGCGTGAACAACATCAGCAGAACCTCCTATGTTGCCTGACTACCAAACGGAACCATCTCCACGATGTGCAAGGCAAGACAGCACATGCTATGCAGACTGCATTCTTTCGTCACCGCCCACAACCTCAGACCACCTTCCTGACCTCCAAGATACCTACCTTCCTAACCCGACTCGAACTGCGATCACGCTTCCTATACCAAGCATAATTCTTATCCTTCTTCGGCTCCTCGATCAGAAGCGTACGATCACCAGAACGGATGCGGCGAGTATGCTCAAACAGCACATCAGTCTCGTACTTACTCATCTCGCGCTTGAGAATGATGTAGTTCGTGTCCTGCCTGACATAAGTATGACTGTCATTGCCACCCAACGACACATGATAACTTACACGATCGAACTCGTACGGCACACCATAGTAGATCAACGTCTCGATCTCAATATAATCCCGATGGATCTTCGGGTAGACAGGTCGTGACGGTTTCCAGATCTCCAGCTCATCGGTCGTCGTCGTGACTCGCACTCGCGATCTCGACCGATTGCGATCCTTGTCGACTTGTTTCTGCTTCTCTTCATCGACCATGTAATCGATCTGCGCTTGGCTGTAGACGCCGAAAGATTCGAGACGCTTCCGCATCTCGTGCTCGAACCTGTCCTTTTCGGCTTTCTTCTCCGCCTTCTCCTTGTCTTCTTTCGCCTTGCGCTTGCGCTCAAATTCCTCCCATGCCTCCTTCTCCCTCTTCTTGGCGTCATCTTCGTCTTGCTTGAATTTCGCCTTCATGCGATCTTCGTCTTCTTTCTTCTCCTTCTTCTCGCGATCAAGCCTCTCTCTTAGCCTGATCTCGGCTTCTTTCGCATCAGCAGCCTTCTTGCGCTGCTTGGCTTCGTACTCGGCGACTATGCGCTTCTCCTCAGCCTCCTCATCGTCGTCCTTCCTGCGACGCTTTTGCTCCTCACGCATCTTCCGTAGCTCCCACTCCTTCTCTGCATACACCTTCCGCTTCTCCTCCTCTAGCTCTCGCTCCCTCCGCTCTAATTCCCACTGGTAGTAGTCTCCACGATCACGGCCGACATCGGATCTCCCACGCGATCGCGACCGCATTCTATCGTGTATCGCGATCTCAGCAAAGTCCTCTACCAGCTCGTCTCCAAGCCTGCTGCGACCTCGGTAGTCTGGAGATGCCGGGTATGGTACCTGAATCACCTGAGGCGGTGGAGGAGGTGCTGCCGCGTATTGCATAGATACGACTTGAGGTGGAGCCGGGTACCCACCAGGCATAGCTTGTGGCGCTGGCGGAGGTGGTGGAGGTGCTTGTGGGTACGGTGAGCTCGTCCGTTGCTGAGCATCTTGAATTTGATCGTTGTAGATATAAATGTTCGGCGCCGGTTGGTGGCCATGGGATCGTGTTCGCTGTAATCCTGAGCCAGGTCTTGGGTCCAGATGCTGTGTACGCTGGTACTCACCGTAGTAGCCTCTTGGCGAGCGGCCGCGACCATATCGCTCACGATCGTAATCGTACCCGTCGTCGCCGACGAACGCCATAGCTGCGACTGTTTGCCACAAGCAAGCAGAGAATTTCGATCAACTCAGACCGGATTTATTGAGCAGTTACCAGATCGAGGTCGCACAATTCCAGTGACACGTCAGCGTAGTGGAGGGCCGGTAAGATCCAGATTTGGGCTCAAGAAGAATGGGAAGAGGTAAAGGAAGGAGATGATTCAATTGGGAAAGTAATGAGCAGAAGGCCTGTCCAGCTCCGGTATCGTGACTCTTTCAAGCGCACACTCTTTCAGCTGCAGTGTAGTGGGGAGATTGAGGTAGTCGATTAGCTTCGGGGCCAGATGCTTTGAGGATGGGTGGCCTGACATCTTAAATCCTTCAACCTACCTGCATGACTTGCACCACGCGCATCGGCCCAGGCAACATTGTAGGGGCTTGCTGCTGGTCTTGCAGAAGTATGTCTTGTCCCTGGTACAAGCAGCGCCGCATGTACGTTGTTTTAATGATGAAAGGACGGCCTGACATCTTGTCGCCTTGTCGAGCGGGTACATGCAGGTGGGACAAAGCTTGGCCGAGTGTGTTTTTGGGCGCGAGAGCAATCCGAGCGCCTGGAGAGAAGCGCATGGCTCCGAAACCTTGTCGGCTTGCCCAGAGTAGTGGTACGGCAGTTCCGACCGCCTGCGCATAACACCAGGCGAATAAGTCAGTGATCACTGCACTGCTACATATTGACAACCTTGATTCGACTTGCGAGTACTGCCAGGCATTTGGCCTACAACAAGAGCAGATCGCGGTGATACGAGGCCGACCGGCACAGATCATGATACCTTCCACACCACGCTCAGCCGCAGCTCAAGCTTCGAACTTCCTAAAGCGTCCCGCCTACAGCACCGGCATATATTCTGCATTCAAGCGCTAGCTGATACAGATGTCTCGCTGGTTCTTAGAGTGACGCAAAATCTTTTGGTCGTGGGTATTCACAAGGCGCTCTACAAAAACCAACTGGACGCCATGCCACAGATGCCACTTGATTATATGATCTCAAACTGATAGAACACATACGCCTCGTATCCCTCCCCGCCGCCAAACCCGGCCATCTCCTGCTGCATTGACGAGTCGTCCTGTTTCGCTCTCCCCTTCTTGTCTCGACTCATGGCATTGCCGCCGAGTTCTGAGAAGCGGGCGTCTAATCCCGCCTTGGCCTTTTTGCTTCGTTTGGGATCGGTCTGCAGATAATATTAGCACCGTCTTGATAGGTTTGCTCCTCGTCACCATCGCATGGACGGAGCCTACCTTGATCAGACCAGAGACATAATCCAGCGGCAAACCATATCTCAGCACCGTCTCCACAAACACTCGCAAAGTCAGGACATGTATCCAGGCCATCACAGCATCGCTATAGCCCGTCCTCCCCAATCGCAGAGCCTCACCCCACACCTTCCTCTCCTGCTTCTCAAGCCGCCTCAGCTCTGCCTCCTCACCTTCTCTACCACCCTCATTGAACTTCAGATCGCGAGGTGTCCACCGATGTTCTCTGCACTTGTGCACAAACTCTCCACTATGCTTCTTGAACACCGTCACAGCCCAAAGCTGGAACTCGTCATCCTTGGCCAGTAGTTGAGCAGATCGTGGTACGACCATTGGTGATATTGACTCGTAGCTTTTCAAGAAGTCCTTGACGATTGTGTTGGGCACAGCTACGAGGTGTTGTTGTAGGTACTCGGAGTCCTCAGGTTTGAGTATGTTATCGGGGTTGACGATGGCGGTGAGCGACTTCTGTGACAGGTTTCCGGTCGTGCTTCGTTGAAGTTGGGCTAGCGAGGTCTTCACTTGATTGTATTGGTTGAACTTTGCTCGGACATCGTTGTCGACTGCTGAGGCTTCTTTCTGCAGCATGTCTACCAGTTCAGCTATGGGCTTGTCGGCACGGTACTTGACTTTGTTCCATGAGAAGGATTGAAGGTAGTTTTCCACGGGTCCTGCATATGATCGTTAGCCATGATATATATCTACACCGCTCCTATAGAGTGCATCATACTATCGTTCACGACCTTCTGCTCCTGCAGCTTTTGCTCATCTCCTTCTAATAGTCCTCGCAACGAATCCTGAACCTTGTCTACAACACCTTTGCATCCTCCTTCAAGCTTCGTCAAATCATCTGCCTGCTGTACTAAAGCATCCAGTGTGCCGACCTTGAAGTTGGGTATCGCAAAGGGGAATGTTGTGCCGTTATCTGTCTGGACTGCGGATCGGAGAGCTGTGAGAGCTTCGTCTGTGTTGCCTGATTGTGATATTGAGGTTGGCAGTGAGACCAGGAAGAAGGTCTGTGGTGGCATTGCGGGAGGTGTGAGCGTGGGTGGTATGGAGGTGGTATATGGCTGTACAAGAGGTCCTGTGAGATGTAATGGAAGCTTGTACTTGAGCTGCTTTTGCTTTGGAGATTCACTTGCTTGAGATCGGCGTCATCCCACGTCCATGTCCAAGCTCAAGTTGCGTGTGGGGATGGCCAGTGGAGCCACCTCTTTCTTCTCAACTATCTCACGCTATTTCAACATACATATCCCAGGGCGGGTACTTGATCTCGAATCCAGGAACAATTGAGATAAACTCATTACCAACGTTGTGGTACGCGGCATGGCAGCATCAAGACATGTCCCGAGGCTCACTAGGACGCTTGAGCAATGCAGAACTCCTCGGATCATATATCGAGGCTACAATACTGGCCCTCGTTTAGAAAGACTTCAACCCACTTCTCATGCTCCTCATCCTTTGGGCTTCAGTGCTCGCCCGGTGAGAAGCTCCGGATTACCACTCAGGCAACATGCCCGCCTCCAGAGCTCACTTAGCGAGAACACAAAGCCTGCGCCACCGATGCCGACCGAAGGAGAACCAGGTAAGACAGGACTCTACGACCTCCACCTCCGCTACGGTGCCAAGATGGTCCCCTTCGGCGGATACAGCATGCCAGTCCAGTATTCCGACCTCGGCGTGGGTGAAAGCCACACCTGGACACGAGAAAAGTGCTCGATCTTTGACGTGGGCCATATGGTGCAATACCATGTCGAAGGCCCCGGTGCTGAAGCCTTTCTGGAGTCTATTACACCTGCTGGAATAAAAGATATGCGACCTGGCCAGAACTCGTTATCTGCTTTACTCCACCCTGTCACGGGTGGGATCGTGGATGATTGCATTATCACCAGGCTGGAGGAGGGACCAAAGCATCTGTTCTATCTGGTCACGAATGCGGGATGTCGAGAAAAGGACTACAAGTTCTTGTCTGAAGCTATTGAGAAGTGGGATAACACGATGAACCCTGTCGTGCATCTGCGTCACTTGCAATATGATGGCGAGTCTTATGGTTTAATCGCACTGCAAGGTCCAATGGCGGTAGAAATCTTGAAGTCTGCACTCTCGGAAAATTGCAAGGTGAACGTGGAAAATTGGTACTTCGGCATGGCTAAACACATCACGCTCAACATCTCGACGGGCGAGAGTCTCCCGATCGTGGCGAGTAGAGGCGGGTACACCGGCGAGGATGGCTTTGAAATGTCAATACATCCATCCCAAGTCGTTGAGGTGACCGAGACATTGCTGAACAGGGCTGGGAAGGATAAGCTGCGGCTTGCAGGTCTTGGCGCGAGAGACAGTCTACGATTAGAGGCTGGTATGTGCTTATATGGACATGATTTGGATGACACGACTACGCCGGTAGAAGCTGCGTTGGGCTGGATCATACCAAAGTCACGTCGCACGCAAGAAGGATCAGGCTTCAATGGTGCGGAGACTGTTATACCGCAACTCACACCGGCATCAAAGGGAGGTGTAGGTGTTGAGCGTAGACGTGTCGGTCTGGTCGTCGAGGGTGCGCCAGCTCGAGAAGGTGCGGAAGTGATCGACGAAGCAGGTCAGGTGATTGGGAAGGTGACATCAGGTTGTCCGAGCCCAACGATGAAGAAGAACATCGCTATGGCGTACGTGAAGAATGGTATGCATAAGGCTGGAACTGAATTACAGGTTATGGTGCGACGGAGGAAGAGGAAGGCGGTGGTCACGAAGATGCCATTCATTCCAAGCAAGTACTGGAAGGGAGGCGCGACTCCTGGGTAAGTCATACTGTAATTCTCGAGGACGAGCCAACTCGAGTCGCAAGACGCAAACAACATCGCCTCAATCATTTGACCCGCTCACCATCTGAACCTCGTCGCTGGTGTCGCTCGCTTCATACATCGATGCCCGTCGCCGTTGAACTTGTCGGTTGCCTGTCCTTCCCTCGCTGCCTTGATATCATTCACGATACATACCTTGCAATCGTCGCACTCAACGGCTGTCCATCTCGGGGCACTCACTTTGGCGCCAGATATTGGCGAACTGGGTGGTGTGCTTGGTACTGCGGGTACTCCACGAACCGCAGAAGCTGTCGTGTTTGCTGTGGAGTTCTTGACCACCGCGGCGGGTATTCGTACGTGCTCGACTGGGGAGGGGGTCTTGCCCCGTACCTCGATCGGTACGGTCGAGCGAGGCGGGGAAGGAGAGTACTCACGGTCGGGATCGCGAAAGATGATACCCCACCCGTCCCTAGCCTGGCGATCAACGTCTTCTGTCATTCTGGGACTATCGACGTGGTGGGGTGTGCTTTGGCCGTTCGGTCCGATTGTCGCTAGTGGAGATCGCACGAGTCCATATCTAGCACGTACATCCTGTACAGCGCGAGCGCGATCTACCTCGCGGCGGAACTGGCTGTCGCGAACATCACGAGCAAGCTCTACAGGGTTGGGGATTAGCGATAGTCTGATCACGAGGACAGCTCCACCGTTCGTACTCGAACCTGCCACCATGCAAAGGATGGTGTCCCAGTCCCACATCTTCTTGATTCTTGCAAGCTCATAACAATTGGTTGGGCGGGCTTGACGATACTGTCTGTTTTTGGAGCTCGAGATGCTTGTCCTTGGCAGTCCTGGTTGTGTGTGTCGTTGGATGTGAGATGTAATGTGTTGGTGTGTTGCGGTGCTGGACGTGTGAGGTGAGTGTCGACCACGTTGATTGCGATTGCACAAGCGGGGCAACGCTAGCACCTCACATGACTAGCGATTTCTGTAATAGGCAGGAACGCTCTCAAGCTCGTGATATGCCGTTCCACACGTGGTCAGCTCGGAGTTTGGACTGTCGAGTGTCGTGGCCGTCTCTTCGGATTACTTTTCACAATTGGGAAGGGACGAGGGAGGTTCATTCGAATCCACCAACGTAGCCTTCACGGCGCGAAGCCTACGATGCATAGAGTAGAAGCCGTTTCACTGAGTTCTACAAGGCCTCTTCGATCTGCCATATTCCCGCCATCGATGGTAGATACTCTGCTTGATCAAAATTCAAGACTCCTTACCAACAACCATGCTCGTTCATGGAAGGGGTCCGGGCCGGCGCAGGTCCGACGAGGATGGTGGGGCACTGTTGTCACGCAATCGTCGACGCTGGGAAAAGTTTGGCTTGATTGATGAGTTGAAGAACATCTTGGCTATAATCGTGCAGATTCCCTTATTGAAGAACAACCAGAGTGGACAATCGACATACGCAGCACTAACTACACAATGTCAACGTAGGTCGACCTAGCAATCACCATTCTCTCCGCCAAATTCTTCATGCCCTGCGATCGAGTCCATCGTGCTAGGACATATAGCCAGAGCAGCTGCTGATGGCGACGCAGCAACATCACCTGGCACTCCGGCCTGACTCGTCAAGAGCGAAGTGAATTGCGAAAGCAGAAGGGGTGCACAGTATGGTTCACCGGTCTGTCAGCATCCGGCAAGTCAACCATCGCCATTGCGCTTGAGCAACATCTTCTACACCTTGGTCTGGCAACGTACAGACTGGACGGCGACAACGTCCGTTTTGGCTTGAACAAGGATCTGGGCTTCTCGCCGAAGGATAGGGAGGAGAACATCAGACGGATAGCAGAAGTAAGGACTCATAGCGGACTATATCTACAACACCACTAACCTCCCACGCAGGTCGCCAAGCTCTTTGCGGACTCCACGACCATTGCACTGACGTCCTTCATCTCTCCCTACAAGGCCGACCGTCAAATTGCCCGAGATCTCCACTCCGACACCAAGAACACCGACTCACCCCTACCTTTCATCGAAGTGTTCATCGATATTCCCGTTGAAGAAGCCGAGAAGCGTGATCCCAAGGGTCTGTACAAGAAGGCTCGCGCTGGGGAGATCAAGGAGTTCACGGGCATCAGTGCACCGTATGAGCGACCGGAGAATGCAGAGATCCATATTCACTCCGAGAAGACGAGTGTGGAGGAGGCGGTGGTCATCATCACGAAACATTTGGAGGAGAAGGGCTTGTTGAAGGTTGGTGGATCGTAGGACTATTTCTGCTGCCTCCGTCGATGCTTGACACACTGGTAGTTGCCATGGTACAACTTCACTATGCTGCTGATCCAGGAATTCTAAGAGAAAATCTTTACAATACTCACCAACCCTCTATCTGCTTACAAACACTTGTGCCACGATCTCGTTCAGTCCTCGTGCCTAGAGCTCCGCAGTGACCTTCATAATGTCCTATCACTCTCCTGACGCACCGTCGTTTACCATAGTATGACTTCGCGAGAGAGATACTGCGGAGAAAGAGCATATTCCGTGCTTTGGACTCGGTTTAGTCAATAAGCATAGTCTGTTTGGCTGCCTTATACTCCAGCGAGAACATCTACCGTAACCAGGCTAGTCCTTGAGCACTCTTCTCAGGCGGAATCTGGTTCATGAGTGACGCGTCAGTGTGCCCGGGATTGTATAGCACGTATCGAGGACTGCACGCCACTCCATCACACTTGTGGGAACGTAGGCAGTCTTTGATCAATTCATACAGCTGGACACAATGTACAAGCCGCCTAAGAGCACTGGCAGAAGAGCCATAAGCATGGTCGTCTATTGAACGACGGGCACCTCACCTCATCCGAGACCATCTCGTCGTCGTCGCAAGCCCCAAGCCATCACCAGACTACCTCCCGTCATCCTCACTTGGCCATCTCTCAGACGACACTATATCTCCCTCCACCTCCACTTCCTGCCTCCGCCTCCAGCGCCGCCACAGTTCCCTCCCTCAACAGTCTAGTCAGTTCTCTCATAGCCTGCTCAACCACAACTTCCGTATCTCCCTCGACCAAGATATACAATTTCGGCAACTCTCCCTCCGCCGGCTCCTTGCCTGTAGCATAGAAATTTCCCTTGGTGGTTATACTCGTACCAGTAGACTCGAGGATCTTGGCGACGTTAGTACGGTTCGTGACGGCCCAGCGGGCTTTCTGCGGGAAGTCGTTGATCTCGAGCGTGGCGTGGAAGGCACCGGCGTCGGGGCCACGATTGTCGACTGGGATGCCGGGGCGTTGAGCACCTGGTAAGCAGTGGTTAGCATTCCGACAGATAGAAGAGTGACGAGAAAACATACCTTTCGCGCCAAGCCGACTATTGATGTTCGCAGCAGCGGCCGCGACTCGAGCAAGCCTGTCGTTACCAGGCTTACTGCCCGTCGCGCCACTCTTCGTCGGCTCCGGTGCAACCCTCTTCTCAACACGCATCGCCTGACTGAGATGGAGAGCAAGGGCAGAAGGCAACACGCCGGATTCCTGAGCCGACGTCTTCTCCTGCTCGCGTTCAGCATCGCGGTCTTTGACCTGTCCGGTAGCCTTCGCCAGCATCTTTTCCACCTCGGTCTGTTTCTTATTGGCTGGCTTCTCCTCTTTGTCATCTTCTTCATCGTCCGCTTCATCGCCAGTCTTGTGCGTTCTCTTTTGAATGGCACGCTCGGCATTACGAGCTTCTTCAATCCGCTCTATACCACGGCCACCGAAGCCTGCACCAGAAATCTTCTTGACTTCGCCCGCGGACACTTTCTCCCGATACTGCTTGTCAAGCTCGACTAGCTCGTTAGGAACTTCTCGCTTGCTGTCCTTCAATGCCCTGATAAGGAACGAAGCGAAGCGATCCTGGTCTGGACGAACGAATGTGACAGCTGTACCCAAATTTCCAGCTCGACCTGTACGACCGGCACGATGGACGTAGTCCTCCAGATGATTTGGCGCATCGAAATTGATAACTAACTTGAGCTGCTTGACGTCCAGGCCTCTGGCAGCGACAGATGTAGCGACCATGATGGGTAGAGCGCCAGACTTGAAGTCGCTGAGAGCTTGGTCGCGGTCGACTTGTTCCCTGCCACCGTGGATGGACAACGCCGGGTAGCCTCTGTTATTGAGATCCATGTGAACCTTATCAGCAGTCTCTTGCCTCTCCACGAAGATGAGACATCGAGCATCTTCGTTCTCGTCCCTCGTGAGCTCACCTAAAAGTTCGAGCACACGACGGAACTTGCTGTCCTCCGTACGCACCTCTACGATCTGAGTGATTGTATCAGCAACTACGCTGCGTCCACCAACCATGATTCGCAAAGGATTGTTCAGTGCTTTCTTCTGCACAGCCTCGATTGTCTTAGGTAGTGTGGCGGAGAAGAGCACAGTCTGACGATCTGGACGAATGTTGACGAGGATCTTGGCAATTTGCGGCTCAAAGCCCATGTCGTACATACGATCGGCCTCGTCCAGCACCACATACGTGATACGTTTTAAATTCGTCACTCTGCCAGAGTTGGCAGCGAGAAGATCGATCATGCGACCGGGCGTGCAAATGACGATTTCAGCACCGCGTTTGAGCTCGGAAATCTGGTCTTTGATTGGTGCCCCACCGTATGCGCAGACTGCGCGGAGGTTGAGCGCACGCAAGTACGGCTTGCAGTCACGATGAATCTGTGTTGCGAGCTCACGAGTTGGAGCGAGGACTAAGCCGATGGGGCCATCAAACTTGTCAAGTGGCGGCTGATCTTTGATATGCCGGAACATGGGTAGCAGGTAGGCGACAGTCTTTCCAGATCCAGTTTTCGCAATTCCGATAGTGTCGCGACCAGACATGATGGCTGGTAGCGTCTGAGCCTGGACTGGTGTGGGCTTCTCGAACTTGAGACCACGAATTACATCCAGGATCTGAGCACCAAACCCACCCTGGGAGAATTTCGTGATGGGTGTCGGTGCGTTGCCACCAAGACAGGTAATGTTATCAAGGTCGGCACGAAGTATATCGACGTCTTCTTTGCTCATCTCGGTATGCTCGACAGGCTCCGTGTAGAAAGCCTTGCGGAAATCTGGGTACTGCACTTTGGCGTGGTTGACTGTGGGAATCTCTTTCCTTTTCCGCTTGGCTGCCATAGCTGAGATGTCGTCCATACCATCGCCAACAGCCTCGAGCTCGTCTTCATCGTCACTCAGGCTAAAGACCTGTACCTGCTTTCTGCCTTGACCACCAGTCGTCGTAGCAGTGTCGGGTGCAACGAGGGCTTCCATGAAGGCATCGAGCTCGTCGACCTCATCCTCTTCGTCCTTCATTGGCACGTCAGCACTCGTCCTACGAGAAGCGCCACGGATAGCGAAGCCATCTTCTTCTTCATCCTGCGTAGCTCGAGCTCGATTCAGGGCAGCCTCGCGTGTGGCAGCAGCCTCTTCTTCATCAGAGCGAAGGTCATCCTCGTCGTCTTCGTCCTGATGAGGCCGACTGACGTTCATGCTATGCGTGATCCTGGCAAGTCGACCCTCGTCAGGAAGTCTTTCGAGCTTACGTTTGACATCTTCATCACCACCGAGATCTGTCATGGCAACGTTAGCCTCGTCAATTGCCTTCTCGGCAACGGTCTTGTTAAGCCCGAACCCGGAGACTTTTGCATTGCCGTTGGTTGCCACTGCGGAAGTTCCTGTGATGTATGTGAGCTCGAATCCGGCATCTTGACGCAGGAGGTAAGATTTACCGTGTGCGCGCCCTGAGAGAGCCGCTCTGCTCCCGTCTGGCTGCGGTGCAAGATTGGAAGCACGAGCAGTCTCCGCTTGTTTGGGGATAATTGCGCTGCTGCCAAGGATACCTCCCTGCTCACCCTTCATTTTAGCCATCTTTGCAGCAGCACGCTTAGCTATAGCCTTGTGGTCGAATTTGCCGCTGTAGCTTGCGGGTGGAGAGGTCGTAACTGGCTTTTCGTCTTCAGCTTCCTCCTTGGTGCGGGGCGACTCAGTCTTAGTCATTGCAGACGGTGAATGGACGGCGGGCGATGGCGAAGATGCGCCTTCAGTCTTTACAGCTGGTGAAGCATTACCACTGCTTGAGCCATTGGGATTCATCTTGTCAGCCAGAGACTTTTTCCAGGCCGCAACCTTGGCGAGCTTGGCTAAGTAGGCTTCTTCTGCGGCTTTGGCTGCAATCTCGTCCGCCGTGGGTGGACGGGGAGTCTGTTCGGTTAGCCTTAGATCTGAAGTAGCCGTAGGAGGACGTACCTGGCTGTCCCGTCCAGTGCCCGATCTCACACTTCCCCGATCCCTGCTAGGACCTCGAGATCCACGTGGAGGAGGTGAGGAGTTGGAGTCTCTGCGTGGTCGCTTCCTGTCACGGTCATCGTAGTCATCACCGTAGCGGGACGAGCGATGGTGCCTGTCACGATCTCTCACCGGCTCTCTATCCCTGCTATGCTTGCGATCACGGTCACCGCGCCTGTCTCGATGGCGGCGGTCATCGTAGTTGTCTCGGCGGTCGCGTGACCTGCTTCGAGGACGGTGGTCCCGATCACGCTCGTGATAGCGATCTCGGTTATCTTGGCGGGGCTGCTTGTTCATCAACTCGCGTCGTGGCGGGCTACGCGAACGGTGGTATCTTACATCTCTATCCCTCTCACCACGTGAGTGTCTCTGAGATCCACGATCATCGCGGTGGTCGTAGCGGTCGTCAGTTCTGCGGCCTGGTGAGCGGGCCATTTCTGCGATGGCCAGTCGTTGTTGATATCCGTACTCTCTGATCTCTTCGCGTTCGTCTTCTGACTCTGTCTCACCGCACCGCAATACTTCTGTTGCCTGCCCGAAGCCTTTCCTCCGCTGCCTTTGCCTTTGCCTGTGCACACGTGATGTTTGCAATGCTCGATACTTACTCTCAACCGGCCAGTGCTTTCTCTCGCCTCGTCTCGCCTGTATGCCAACGCTGTTGCAACGCCTCGTCGGCGGCCTGTGGAAGTGAGAAGTATGTAATGGGACTTCAAAAGTGCTTCGACTGACGGAGTGTAGGTCAGCTAGCATGACTCGTGCTGCGGGGTGTGACTAAGCGTGCATCACGAATTCACGTGCAAGAGTGCAACCTACTAATGTTCTCCTTCCTCTTCAAGCGCTTTCAGCTAGCGTCGCAAACCATACTCGGGCTTTAACAAGATGACGACTATAGCCGACGAGCTGTTCAACGACTTCGAGGACGACGACGATGATCAGAACGACGAGCAGGAGGATGGACTCCTCGGTGGGTACGAGGATGGCGAGGAGATGCCTGCGACGGGCGTGACCATGCCTACTGAAGCCAAGCAGTCGAATGGGGAGATGGAGCTGGACGGAGACGAGGAGGAACCGGACGATGACCCGGATGCTGCCACAAATGCGCCGAGTCACTTGAAGATGGAGGAGCAAGAGGATGAGGCCGAGACCAAAGCACGAGTGGAGAAGATGCAGCTGCAGAAGGTCAGCGACGTGCGAAGTGTCGCTGTGCTGATGAAGAAGCTGAAGCCGGTCATGGAGGTAAGCATTTACCCACTCCCTACCATCTGAGAGTATCATCATTTACAGTGTGAACACAGACCTGACCACTTCGGATTTGCGCAGGAAATCGAACATTACAAAAGCCTTCCTGCGGAGAAGCAAAACCAAAATATCGGCGGTATCGAGGACAATCCGGAGTACAAGCTGCTAACACAATCCAATACACTTTCGACCAGCATTGACGGTGAGATCATGCTAGTGCACAAGTTCATCCGCGATCACTACTCGGTACGCTTTCCAGAGCTCGAGACGCTGATCCAGAACCCATTGGAGTATGCCAAGACTGTAGCAATCATTGGGAACGGACCTTTCGACAATATCCGAGCTATCAGCGAGAGCAAAGAGAATCTCGTAGGGCAGCCTTTGCGGCAAGTTCTTGATGGTCCCACACTGATGGTCGTGACCGTGGAAGCAACAAGCACTCGCGGCACCGAGCTGGAAAAAAATGAACTCATCACCGTCCGTCGTGCCTGCGAGATGGTTCTCCACCTTGACCGCGCCAAGAAGCTTCTGACAGAATACGTCCAATCGCGCATGTCTCTCTTCGCGCCCAACCTAACAACTCTGATCGGCTCACTGACTGCCGCTCAACTCCTCAACTACGCTGGTGGAATAACAGGACTAGCCAAAACACCCGCCTGCAATATACCACCTTTGGGCAGCAAGAAGAACACAGCAGCAGTAGGTCTTGCGACCAACATTGGTATCCGACATCAAGGCTTCCTGTACAACAATGACATCATCCGCGACGTGCAGACCGACCTCAAAGTTCAAGCCATGCGCATCCTCTCTGCGAAGATCGTCCTTGCAGCTCGTGTAGACCAGGCCCATCAAGCTTCCGCAGGCGAACAAGGGTTGGAGTTCTACGATCAAGTCCAGAAACGTATCAACAAACTCTCGGAAGCGCCGCCCAACAAAGGCGTCCGTGCTCTGCCGGCACCAGATGACAAGCCTGCGAGGAAGAGAGGAGGAAGGCGAGCGAGGAAAGCAAAGGAGGCTACTGCCATGACTGATCTGCGGAAAGCGCAAAATCGCATGGTCTTCGGTCAGGAGGAGAAGGAGGTCGGGTTCGGAGAGTCGACGATGGGAATGGGTATGATTGGGGCGAAGGATGATGGCCGGATTCGCGCGACTCAGATCGACCAGCGTACCAGGGCTAAACTCTCGAAGAAGAATCCTGGGTGGGGTGGTGCGACGCCTGTTGGTGGTACATCGACGTCTCTGAGGAGCTTCGGTGGTGGAGCTAACACGATCTCATCGTTGAAATCCGCCGGTCTACGATCTTCGGGTGTTGGATCTGGGCTCAAGACGCAGGTGGGTAACGCGGGTGGTACCATGTCTACCGTCGCTTTCACGCCTGTACAGGGTCTGGAACTTGTAGATCCAAGGCGAAGAGCAGAGAATGAGAGGAAGAGGAAAGCTGAGGAGGACAGATGGTTTCAGGGTGGTACGTTCACGGCGGTGGGCAAGGTCGATAGTGGTGGCTTCAAGATGCCTGGATTGCCTGCCAGTAAGGCTGCTAAGAAGGAGTGAAGAGAGTGAAGAGGTACTGTAGGAGTGTACGGGTTACATGTGCCTTCGAGACTATTCGGGCGTCAGTCAATCCCCACACATCTGTCAAGATGACTTCATGGCAGGAACGGGAGGTAAGGAATGGTCCAAGCAACATTGACGATCTGTACGAGGTATGTTCTCCCTGCCAGCAATCTTTCCCCCTGGAAAATTGTATCTTGCTCACCTCCTCCACACAGTCAGGAATATGTGCGGACCAACGCGAAGCGACAAGCGCGCGACCTATCAGATAATGCAGATAGTAGGCGAAGCAAAGTACAACAGCCACAGCCATAGCCTATCCATGAGACCCGCAGTCAGCTGCCGATACCCATGATCTCCCCTGACCTCCCCTTTGGCCCAACCACGCTCGGTCCATTTGGCAACCTGGTGTACAAAGGAGCCTTAGGACATTCCAACAAAAGAAATTGCAAAACGTACAGCAGCAGGCATTCGCCAGTCGTCACCGACCTGACTACTACTCTACCGGTTCGAGGCTTAAGTACAGGAGAGCGGACGGAACAAGTTCTCTCGACGACGGATCGCGGGCTTCGCCAGGATGCTGGATTCCGGGTGGCCACACGCGCCTCGCTCGAAATGGCTAGCGTCGTGCCTCTGGCGAGCAAATCCGCTTTCCAATTTGCAGCTTCTCAGCAGACGTCTCTTCACGCATGCCGGAGCACAATCGCTGCGGCGAGAGGCTCATGTTCGGTCCTTGAGACAAATGCATCTTACCCAGCTTGTTGGCGATCAGACGTCAGCATGCCTTACAGAATACGACGTGGGCCAAAACCTGGATCTCAGAACCCGGATCGTGAATTCGCTGTGGACGCCACTTCTAGCACCCTTCTGTCTGGCAGCGTTCATGTCCGTGATTCACTCATGATCTTATACAACGTGATCCCGACATCCGTGTTCGTGGAATGCCCCTCGACGCATGCTTTGGGAGCATCCGAACTCATCGACAACTGTGTGTATCTGTTCACCACAGGAGGGCCCGACTGTCTGGATCATGCCCCGTCATATGGTCCATGTCAGCACCAGCTTCATCTTTTCAGTGAGTATACCTACCGCGGCTGCCTGGTCGCCTGGATGCCTGGTTGCCTGGCTCGATGTCTGCCCTCCTCCACATCATTCTAGATCCTCGCACGGGCTGTTGGACGTGCTTCTTTCTGAATGATAGGCTAGTAGCGATCGTTCAAGTAGCTTCGCTGCACTGTCGTCATTCGCAGTGTCGGCCGCATATATGCAGTGTGCTCCCTGCTCGTTGGTGGACTCTGGCTACCACTTCTGCGTTTCTTCCCCTACCAATTTGCCCGTCTGCGACGCTTCAGCTTGTCTGCATCCGACATCATGCCACTCGATCCTGATATACTTGCGATGGTGGAAGACGAGTCTGACTTCCGACCTCCAGCAGAAGATGTCGCTGGCCGTGCTTACGTCGAGCGTGTCAGAAAGTGGAAAGGCACCTGGACTAAGTAAGCATCACAAGGACTAGGTGAAGAACTTCGCTAACCTGCTCCTAGATTCTGCCTTGAAGCGGGCCAAGAGGTCGACCCTATCCATCCGTTTAATCCCCCTCCGCGACTGAATCTGATCAAAGCTTTCCTGCATAACAAGGCTCGCAAAGGACGTGGCCGCCTGGATACCAAGATCGTAGTCCGTACGGTAGAGAAGTATTGGACCGAACTCAAACGCATCATCTGGCGGCAGACCTCGCACAACTACACCCAGGATGAGGTTCGGGACATGGAAAACGTAGGTCTCCACAGATTATCGAAGGCTCACGGTCCTTAACCTTGTATTCAGTACATCCGCGTACGATTGCGCAATGCCGAAAGCCTGACTACCAAAGCTCGGCCAAAACCACTTGCAGACGGGCCTGTAGTTCGCGACGTTCTGCGTTATCTCTGGGTGAACGACGAGTACGAGTACGAACATCCCCGAGTACGTTTGCAGCTCACTCTTGCGGTATTTATTTTGCACTACATTGGGCTGCGTCCAGGCGAGCTGGTCGAATCTTCATGCCATGCTGGCTCTAACGAAGGTCTATTGTATGGCGACTTCAAGTTCCTTATGATCCCGGACAGTCAAGGTCAGCCTACCTTCGCTATACAGCCAAAGATTCGTAACAAGAAAGGTCGTCGCGGGGAAGATGATAAGGAGTAGGTTGCCAAAAATAGAGTGCGAAAGCATGGATAGATGCTGACGTGCCTGGTTCAGCGACGAAGAGAACCTTACCGAAGAGCCTTATCTCCGTAGGCTGTGTCCAGTAGCTGTGCTACTTGCTTTTGCCATCGCCGATGATGTCTTCGACGAGATTCATAGGCCCGAAGATCTCGGTCGTGTACGATTTCGACCAGGGTGCGACTCTGTTGAGCTGACGGTCCGTGCAGAGAAACGCAGTCTTCCTGTACTCCGGCGGTTGGAGTACAATGGAGAGATGTCACCTTCGCGGATCATGACTGCAGATTATCTTGCTAGCTACCTTACACAACTGGGGTTTCGGGCTGGCTACAAACAGAACCTTGGAACATATCCCTTCCGACGTGGGTTTGGTAATCAAATTGACAGTGAGTCACTCTATACAGGCGAGATTTGCCTGACCAACTGACAATCTGCGGCAGAATACGTCACTTCATCCCAACGAAGGCGGCAGATGGGGCACAAGAATGATGATACCTTCCAAGCCTACATTTCTCGCATCTCAGGTGTTCACGTTCAAGCTATAATGAACGGTGCAGACCAGGACCAGGACACAATAAATTATTTGCGATCAATGCGGCGAGATCTCAACGTTCAAGGTCCAGCGGCGCCTGGTTCATCGCTCACTGATCCTCGCTTCTGGCGGAACACTGTAGACAGTCAGGCCTCAAACGTATCCGAGAGGCTTGAGCACATGGAAAAGCGTCTAGCCTATACTGCGGTCCAGACCGAGACTATGCGGCCTGAGCACGATGCTGGAGCGAGCAAGGCTAGCATTTTCGAGGGAAGCGAGAGTACCAAGCCGCTTAGTGCCATGGTACATCGGCCTGCGGCGTCCAAATACCTCAAAGCCTACCTGAGATACGACTCTACCCGGGAGAATCTGATCCAGCATTTTTACGAGCAGCCGCCGGACGAAAAGATTCCGCTAGTAGCAGCTGTTTCTCTGTATCTACAGGCTGCACTACCCAGCAGTCCACCTTGGCGGTATCCAGATGCCGATCCGGATGACAATGGTCTTTGTTTTGTGTGTAGGAAAGGGTGTCCTATGTACGTGATATCTCATCTCGACCCGAACGGACTGTTATGCTAATCGGGACGCAGAAACAGAAAAATCGACCATAATTTGCATCTGCTGACGTGCCAGGCCAAAAGGGTGGCGCGCTCGCTTGGCAACAAAGCGTGGGCTCCATACAGTGACGGAGTTTTCACCTGCCTATGGAGGAACTGCGGGGTCCGATTGAACGATTTCGAGCCAAGCGAGCTATCGCTTCACATGAGGCGCCACCTCAGGAACGGCAATCGTCTATGTCAATGGAACGGATGTCTTGCCAATCACTCGACGACCTCTGATCTACGAAACCACCTGGTGTCGATTCACAGGATGCCCTTGGACAAGGTCTTACTTAAGGCAGCCGAATTCTGTTTCGAGTGCGCTGAATGGTTTGGCGACAACAAAGCTTGGGAATCGCATTGTGCTTGGCATCTAAGCAGCTTGGACTCTTTCTCAGGACAGATTGCACGCAGAGCCATTGTTTTAACTGCTCATCGATGCTTGTTCTGCTTAGGCGACGGCGCGTTGTCCGCTGCGAAGCGCTATGCAGCCTTTCCAAGACGCTCGCCCTACTTGCAACACGTTCGAACACACTTGAGTCGGCAGAAGATATGGCCGATGCCGTGTCCACATCCCCTATGCACCGAAGCAGTTGGCGATCGACGTGCATTCTGGGATCACGCAAAATTGTCCCATGGGCTTGCACTGCCTCGCAACTTGAAAGCTTTCGCAGACGACGAGCTCTACCAGATGAGCGATATTGAAGGACCGCATGAAGACAATGGTCTGACCCCTCAGAGTATGGACGAAGACGACGATCTTACCGAAGTGGGTGCACCAACGACTGGCATTGTCCGTGGCGCGGTCTCGGATACTGGAGCCCCGGACGCACACGACAGCGGAGATCTGCTGCATGTCGTAAGCCACACCCAAGTAGATCCGCGGGCACCTTCCATCCCTCCAGGGGACACAGTATCACTCGCTATTAGCGCACGGCCCGACCAGGAGGTCACTAACGTGTGTAGGTCGCCTCCAGAAACCTCACCGAAGTTTGGTGTCACCTGGCCCTGCGAAAGTCCTGGCTGCGGCCGCGAATTCGAGGGCTATCAACAGCTAAGTCAACATCGGAAAGTGCATGCGGTTCGAGATTGCCAATATCAAGATTGCTCGGTCACGGCAGCTACATGGAAGCTGGCCGTAAAACACATGATCTCTGAGCACAACTTCAGCCCGTGGATGTGTGAGCTCCCAAGTAAGACGGTTTCTGAGCAGGTTTGCAGAATGCCCTGTCGTGACAGCAATCAGCTCAAACAGCATATGAGGACACACGTTTGATGAAGTGCTATTCTTCTGTTTCCCAGTTGTGGGTGCGACGACTAGTATGAGTACTGCTCCGTTAGAACATCTCAGATCAGGCTGGATACTGTGATAGATAATGAAGAATACGACAAAAGCACGAGATGCGCTACGTGCAAAGACGCTGAAGATCTGGACGGCGCTCAGGTGGTGGCCTCTAAGATCAATGAAGATCAGGCCCATATTCTCGCAGTTCTGAAAATTAGTGTAAGGTCTACTCTCGCAGGACGGGACGTACTACGTGCCTGGAGAGAAGGCCTCGGTCTGGCACTGAAGCTGTCCCACGACCAACAAGCGAATCGCAGCTAAACGTCGTAAAATTTTACCCACCAATACCAGTCTTTGAACATTCGTCGGGCAGCCTGCGGACTGTAGCTATCTTGTTGTACTGCTGATCTATCACATGTGGCTTGGACGACCTTTGGATCCACTACCAATCAAGGTTATAAAAGATGACAAAAAGAGATTCTTTAATCAACGCAGGTGCATAAGTCTACGGATCTTGTATCCTCACGATCGCCTTCGCCAACAATGCCCACGCCTGCATCCTTCGCACAAGCTCACCTGATGTGGCCTTTTCCTTCGCACAAGCTCACCTGATGTGGCCTTTTCCTTCGACCAGAGCTCGCTGGCTGTTCTACAGCAACACCTGACCGTTTAGCAAGCCGGTAAGACACTCTTTCTGCGTGAGACTCGTCTAGCTCTGGCGTACTCAATGAATTACACAACTCATTCACATCGGTGATAGCAATTTCGAGCATTATACCATAGATTTGGATATTCTCGGCTTGACAACGCGATCTGCATACTTGTCCACTTAGGCACTTCTCAGCACGCGACCGTGCTGCGATAAGTTAGGCGTCTTCTGGGAGTGACAGGATTGCCTTCATTGCCGGATGAGTGAGAAGCGCCGGAAAGGCGTCCATGAGTCTGGATAGAAGCGTAACCGTTGGCCCAGCGAAGAGCAAACTAGCAGGGAATGTGCAGGCCAGACAGAGGGTTGTGATTGCCACGGGGCGTCCCGCCTCGACATGAGTGCTAATTTCGTGATATAGAGAGTCCGCTCGCCCTCGTCATCGGATCGTCCTCACCGCACACCACTTGCATTGCTACCAACCGCGTATGTCACCATGGACGTAGTTATCGTCAGCCATCATCAAGCTCAGCCAAATGGCCCGTTGAGCCTCGTGCAACTACAACCAAGTCACAGTATGTTCGGCATGATGGCTAAATTATGGTACAAGGTTGCAGAGATCTGTCGAAGAGGCAGAGGTCTAAGAGCCAGTATATTCGTGTCACAGCTTTATTCAGGACACAATGATGCGCGTGTCACCCGATTTCTGACACACCTGAGGGAGAAATCCCCACTCCTAGTCTTAGCAGCAGACTTGCAACCAAAGGTGATGGCCGAGCATCCCCGAGGCAGTTGGGTCGGCACATTTGACATCCGGATGCAGGCTATCAAGTTCAGAGAAGACGTACGTCCATGAATAGTCTCTTGCACAAACAATAGCTCACTCTTCTAGCGAGTCAGATTTACCACCTTGAAGTACGCCACAATGCACCAAGCCGCGCAGTCATATCAGCAACGACCGCACGACCAAGCGGCTCGAGATGCATGGATCCGAGCAACAGATGAATATTGTGTCTCAGCAGTCTTGATCCTTATTGCGGGGACGCACGAGGTTGGTGGCCACTTGGCGATCACATATTACGGCAATGGAGATGCCCAAACACCGCCTCACATGCGCTCTTCATCCAGCCGACTTAACCAGGACGACGACGACGACGACGACGACGATGAAGATGACGACGACGACGATGACGACGACGAAGACGATAGTGGAAGCGAGGGTGCAGGTGAATCGGGAGAAATTTTCGAGCAAGAGGTGTTCGGAGGTCTGGTTGATTACTTTCAAGACAATGGCTACCCTTCTCTTCCCGTGAGCCACTTTTGGACGCTGTTCTTGAGGGTTCCGTGCTGACAAGGCAAAGATAGGATACCCATGGATAGTACGTAATGACCGAGCTGAAAGGGTTGCTATACAATCTATCCGAGATCTTGTCAAAAACTCTACGCCAAACTCGAATGAACCTCTACTTACAGGTTCAGGTGTATTTCGACAACTCAGCGGGCTACTAGACGGCTCACGTCGGGAAGTGGCTGGACTGACACGTCTCAGTAGCCCAGGAAGTCCAACGCACACAAGGGCCTCGCCACCGATCGCGGGCGCCATCGTTCCATTGCAAAGTCTGGGATTAGTGCCATCTTATACACCTACCTCGCGAGTACGATAGAAGCCATGATTAAGCATGAATGTGATTGTGGTTCTGGTCAAGAATGTGTTTCATCTGTGTAGGGAGCGCATGAATTGTTCAATCTCGGGACAGTCTTCGCGCCGCGTGCGATGTGTACGCCTCTTCCTCTTCGAGATACGTTGCAGTGCTGTGAATGGTAGTATCTTAGCCGTGTCCTTCTGCATGAGTCTCTGTATCCGACGCAAGCGAATTGCGAACGTTGGTCTAAAGGCACGAACAAAATTTATCTGCTTTGGTCTTAGTTTGACAGTGCTGAGGCTTACTAGATACTCACCGAGGCCTCTGTATTGATTGCTTCGCAGTGCATGCGTCCACCGAATAGTTCTTCTTTGGCCCAGTCCAACATTGTGTCGCTCGACTGCCAGTAAGGTTTAAGTGGTGAACAGCGACATTGTTCAAAGCATCGCACGAACAGGTCGCAGAACACGGGGTCGACAACGTTGAGCAAGTACATGCCCACAAGGTATGGACGCGGGTAGATGTCCACGATGCTCGTCGGAGTGGTGATGCTTGCCCAAGCTTCGGGTATCTGAATCTGTATGCGTCCGATATCTTGCTTTCCTGCGAACTCGAGTGCTCTGCTAAGATGGCTTTCGGTTTCATGTCCGGGCGTTTCTTGCTCGCGGAGTCGTTGTAGTAGAGTCGTATCGCCCATCTCGAATGCTGAGCGTATGCAGGGTGTGCCCGACAAAATCTGGCCAAACGTCTCAATAGCTCGTGGGCCCATCACCAGCGACTTTAGCTGGCTGCTGACTCTCTGTTTAAGATCTTGTGGTAGATCGGCGATTGCTTGCCACTGGAGTAACGCCGTGGTATGGACTTCCTTAATGGCGGAAGCCATCTTAATTGCAAAGTTACTGTAGGTATAGAAGTGGATGATAGGCCTGACCTGATGAGCAAAGGTCATAGCTCACACGCAACTCCACGCTTAGCTAAATCTGGTGACATTCCGTCCACGTATTGGTCAGAAGGGATGTGGAGGTACTTCCGTTACCCACTATACTTGTCCGGGGATGTTCGAGTACAGTTTATATTCTGACACACAACGAGCGCGATAAAATCGACACAGCCAGTCCCGCACGCGAGGTTGCGATCAATGAACAGAATATCCTAGGTGGTTGGCCATCCAGTTCAGACGGAGTACTGAAGGATTTGCAATGAACGGGACGAGCAGGAGTGGTGTGATCTGGACTGCGATCTGAACTAGCACTCACAACCCCTCACTTTACAGGCCTTCATGTCAATTAACTTTGCTCTTCGTGCGTAGCTATCGCAATAAATGATCAATCTAAAGTTCTGCGAGAGGTAATGTTCATAAAAGGTCGGCAAGGCACTCCTTCAATGTGATCTCAAGAGTTTGGAGATATTCTCGCCTTTCAATTGCATCATCAGATTCACCGGCGATGTCTTGAAGTTCCTCATCGGAGTAACCGGCTACCTTCTCTGGCGAGAACACATCAGCAAGCGAGCGTAGGAGATGTCGCTCGATCACTTGACGGCAGACGTTGTCGACGAATGTTTTCAATGCAACCTAGAACATATCAGAACTGCTTGACATCTGACGCACTGAAGCCAACCTTATAATAAGCGTTCAAAGCGCCCCTTCCCTCAGAACAAGCTTGTTCGTCCATGTTGACCACAATGCGGTCTTGCAACAAGCCTAGCAGATTTTGTATATCCACGTTGTTGTTGCTTATGTGAATCCGCCCACCATAATCTTGGTGAGTGGTTTCGTCCATGGCCTTTTTCAGAGCTTTTCGAGCAGAATCATTTCTCGCTTTCTGAATGTTATCAGTGTAGTAATGGTTATACGTTACGGGTTGTTGTGCTTCGTCAATCCATAATCTATTCAGTTCTTCGTCGGCGTTCTTTTTCATAGCTTCGAGAGCGGCCAGAATGCCTTCCCGGAGTCTCTGTCGTGTATGCTCCTCGTCGGTCAAATGTGACACGAGAGCGTCCAGAAACGCTTCCAAACGCTGGCTGACAGTCGAAAGGTGTCGTGTACTCAGCCGTAACCACGTGGCGGATTGCTCGTGGAATAATTCCGAGAGAAATACGTGATTGTAATCACCAGGTAATTCCCGTCCACGAGTACTAGTATATACCTGAGCCGATTAGGGGAGGCATTTCATCAGACTACGGCCCATAAAGGCTTACCTTCTTCACCCACTCCTTCATGGCACTCTCTGTGACAAGTATTTGGCCACCGCCATCATCCGCTTCACTACCAGATTCTACGTCATTATCTGATTCCTCCCGTGCACCAACTCTTCGCTTCTCTCCTTTCGTCCTCATGAGATTAGCATATCCGACGTTCTCTGAATGGACGATAGCTCTTAGTCGAGTCGGCGGAATTTCTCCGCCGGCACTGCCGAAAAACCTCGAATCATCATAGTTTCCTTGTAGAGCTGAAGAGCAAATATTGTCAAATTTCATGGCCAAACGTGATAGATGGATTCGCAAGTCTGCCGTTGTCTTCCGAGGCCCTCCAAGCATAAGCAGCTGCTCGGCAGTCTGTCGCTCCAGTCGCTTCAGCTCTTGCCGCACCTTCGGAATCTCCTTCCTGATATGCCGTTCAAGAAGTTCCTGCAAAAATGCTCTGAGATTTTGAACTCCAAGACGGTCTGGGTTGAGCTTCTGATTTTTCCAAGGTGCGGACGTGAAGAAATCTCGCTCGATGGCTTCTCGATCGTATGTCGTCAAACCCCTCTCTGTCTCCTCAGGTGACGGATTTTTGATGAGGAAGAAACCAAGCTTGAGCTTCGTGGTATCTTCATTCCTCGCAAGCTGTGCGATCCGGCCCTCAGCTGTTTTATTTATGAGATCCGGCTTCGTTATGACCCCAATCGTGCGCTCGCCAGATGGGTCAAACTGTCTACACTTACGAATCACCGGTTGGTTGGAGATGTCATTTCCAGCCTGTACAACAGCCAGTATGATGGATCGCTTGCTCATCATATATGAATCAACAAGAGAGTGAACGGCTTCGACATCGTCATCGGTCTGCCCTTCGCTTGGTACCTGGATGATCCCAGGCAGATCAACCACACTCAGATGCAGACCTGTTGGTCCCGACACACAGATCCGAAGAACGTCTCTGGCAAATGTAGGAGCACCATTATTGGGTCCTAGTTCCCGGAGTCCCATGGCTGTTCCAGCATCTGAATTGATCTTTGGCAGATCATCGAATGAGTCCACCTCCCTATCGAAAGTCGTCAGAAGAACTTTGCTAGCTTCCTCTCGAGACGAGTGCGGGATTATTGATACGTTGATGCTGAGCGGTAATGCATCATCCTGCATAATAATCTCTGTCGCGAATCGTGTGCATAATCCATCTTGTTGAGGAAATTGAAAGCCTGATACACCATCTAAAACTGAGCTTTTCCCAGCAGACTGATCTCCACACACGATAATCTGCGGCAGAGATATGTGCTCACTAAGACCTCTTTTCCTGGCTGACGATATGGCCTTCAGCCAAGCATTAGATCTTTCTGTGTGAAGCTGAGGAAGGACGATCCCGATGTCACCCATCATGTGCAGTAAGGGATGTTTTTGCAGCGAGGTCCAAGCTTGGCAAGGAGGACGATTCGAGCCTCTTTTGTGCGTGTAAACAATGCTATTGTAGGTGCAACTAGTGATGTCTACATATATATATGTCACAGCAATAGATAATGAAAGTAGACAAGGTGCCTGTTCTTTTGGGTGGACCATTCTGACACCAATGAGACAGTGTCCCATCCTGACCTTGAATGATATGTTCGTCGTCTGTACTGATGGTGACGCTCTCTCCTCCGGTCTCACCGGAAGAGAACCATGGGTCGAACCAGAGAAATGCATTATTCGGACAGCTCCCACGCTGTCCCAACGACATTCTACCCTCACGTACCTCATCGCGCATGACATCTGACACCTTGTCTTCCTTCATACTGCGGTAATGGACGCCTTTGTGCCGGTTCTAGGCTTGTGAAAGTCCGTGATCTGGATCAGTGCCATATCATGGCGGTAGGAAGAATCGACAACGAACCTCAAACAAGTTTGCTGTCCACCTTCCACTTCGCCGCTACTCAAGACCACTTTCGAAATCCGACATGGTCCCACTGATTCGAACGATGGAACAAGACCCATTCGTCCAAGTTGCTACCACATCTTGCCATGTATCAAAAGGATCCACGGTTTAGTGTGCTGCGACTGTTTGTTACTTGACCAAAGATGTGAACCAAGAATTCAGCTCTCTGGCCATGGCTTGAGTCCGGATCGACAATGCCATGTCCTACATTTGAAATGTTTCATGAGTACCGCAACTGTATTCGAGACATAGCTTTGTTGTAGGGTCTTCGAGGCTTGATCACCATCTTAACTTTTTGAGCTACCACCTGTGAGGTCAATGGTAAAGAAGAAGACTCTCCCATATAGTAGAGCCAGAGCGAACTGACCAGTACCATGGTATAGTTGCTCAGACCACCCTGACACAATCCGATCTCCGCAAACACACTCGAGCATAGCGTACCACTCAATGTCACCGCAAAGCTACGTCGCAAACCTGCTCATACGCAGTCTCCATCACGGCCAATGACAAAGTTCGGCGCTCGACTCGTTCGCAATGGCGTGATCCATAATCGCTGCGATGCAGAACCTTCATGCGACATTAGTGAACTCCAGAACACCCTTGACCAGGCTAGAGCGTCGCCGGAGCAGAGCGAGGTGCAGTACGAGAGGTATTGCAGGACAGTAAGTTTTCTAGACAACGAAGCTAACATGAAAGAAGTTGCTCCGCCGATGCTTGCAACAAACCCACCATACGGCTGCTTCTAGCATCACGACGATTCGTGGACGGACATAGACAAGTTTTTAACGGAAGGCTGTCTTGCGTTTCTTCCCACTCGTACCGTCCATCACATGGGATGCTCGAGAAGTCGAAGGGTCTTCAATATTTCCTGTAGCCTGTTCCTCCAGCGCGTCTAGAGTACACATCAATATCGTAATCGAAGAAAATGACCATTTCGGACTTACCCCAATGTGAAGACTCAGTGCTCGTCGTATCCATAGTGTGATGGATTGCTTGCTCATCGGCCCTTGAGCCCTGACGACTGTCCTGGTTGCTTCTATTATTACCCGGCCAACCAATGAATGAAGCCTCAAGGACACCCAGTCGGGGTCTACTCAGGGGAATAAGCAGTTGTTCCCAGGCCCAACTGCCGACTGCGTACGAGTGATTCCGAGATGTGATATCGAGTGCTCGAATGACACATTCAGCAGCACGCCGTGCTTGTTGCTCTGCTCTCGCTGACCGCACCACCTGCTCGGTAGATTGACCAGTGGTCTGAAGGAAGCATCTGAGCTGCTCGAAAAGGTACCGCATACGGCTGTGGAGTTTCTCGGGAGCCAAGTGATCCTCGCATGGGATGATTTGGCTGAGATGCTTGAGCAAAGTCAATTTGAGCCCTTCAAGCTCTCCAATGTCCTCGCTGTGGCACGGGCAGTCCTCAACGTAGCGATGGAGAATCTGCGCGCATGTCGCCAGCGTGACGCAAACAATTCGAGCCGGCAGAAGTCCCCAGAATTGCATCAACATAGCGTGGAGAACATACTGTCGGAAATGGCCGGTATTGAAGTCGCGAAACATTCCGGGGCTGATCTGTCTCATGGTGCTTGTGGAGCGAGCAGGCCGCGGGGAGCAGAACACTTCATGCGCATACTGATGCCCGTCCGGTGTGTTGTGCTCGATACGCCCCGTCAACTGCGTCCGAGCCAGCGACCAGATGCGTCTCGGTTCGTCATAGAGATCAATGCTTGGCAAAACCACAACTTCATGGCGCGGATTATCGGCAATCCCTTCGATCATTTGCTCTACAACGTTGCGTACAGGAATGAGGAATTGCTGGTCCAGCTCGAGATCGTCCAGCCAATCTCTTACTAAGGTGAGGATATCGTCTCGGTTCGAACAGCTGAGTTCCACATCGCCGTCGTCAGCTCCAAGAGGAAAGCGAAAGCCGAAATGAGCGTCTCGCACAAACAATGCTGGTGGAGAGCGTTTGCGCAGCCGCATAGGCGGTATGGCGAAGGTGATGTGATGCCGAGATGTCTCAAACATCGCACCCGAAACGCATTCCACCAAGTTACGAATCGGTCGGAGAAAGTGGAGGTCCAGGTCATGGTCGATGAGCCAATCCGATGTGTACTCCGAGAGGTCGAGCTCTCCCGAGTAGGCGAAGATGAGGAAGTCATGATCGTCGTCGAAGAAGAAGCTAAACTTATACTCGCGCTTGGGGTGAGGTTCGACCGGCTGCGGATGGTTCTGGATACGGATCAGGCCAAATCTGTTGACCGGCGTTATGGTGGAAAATTGTCGGCGGTTGGCTCGTGTCTCATGGCATGGATCTGTATTCGCTAATTGACTCATTCTTGGAATAACGTGATATTGGCTCGCGGTATGAACAGTCGAGTGAGCTTGGGGTAGCTGAAGGCGTGAGGATCTTACGATAGTCCGCTGGAAGACTGGATAGGGCAGGCCGCTGCTGTTGGTACAGGAGAGGGCCAGTTACTCGTCATTAAATATACGCCTAGGAAACCGAGGCACAGCACCTTCTAGCCGCACCAGAGAGCAGCACTGCCGTTATCACATGCGTTGGTGGGGCACGAAGGTCTTGACGAGAGCCTCTCGTACATTGTTAGCGAGCCTTGCCGGAGTATATTGTCGTTGCGCCCACTCGTAGACGCTCGCGCCTTTCAGCTGTGAAAGTCAGGAACGAAGCTAAAACCCGCAGACACAATGGTTGTAATTAGGGGAAGCGTTGGGTAAGGATGGTCCTCCACTTGCCAGGTCTGCGGAGTGACGTCGGATGCAAGGCACAGCATCGTCTAGGCAGGAACGGAGGAAGCCATACCGACATGCATCCATGACCTGTCGTCAGCCCCTGCTCCGTGCTCCCTACCAGACGATAGGACGCGAAGTTCAGATCAAGCAGTGGCGAAGCAGCCCTTGTCCTGTGCGTCTGAGTGTCGTACCACAGCTGATCGAGGAGGGGAGCTACCAAGGCGCTGCATGATCGCCTCCAGAAGCAAGAATAGGATATGGTCACCAGCATCATGGCCAACGTTGGACATGAGGCGTGGTTCTTATGACACTGCTACTCATTGGTGTGCTTAGCAGTGGTCTGGCAGTGCTGCGCGTGACGACAACTATTGGACCTCGACAACTGGTAGCTGTTTGGTGGAGCATGTCACCCTCACGCTGCACCAGGGACACAGCCTCATGCTCCAAGCCCCTGCTGCTTCGAATCATGCACAGATCATGCCAGGCATGGGCGCCCCTATGGTTGGTCCAGAGTTCACGATGAGGGTGAAAGCGCTGTCTTGTCTCTCGGCTGTGCGATGGCGCCTTGACATGTCGTAATCGCTCCCAAGGCGGCTTTGCGGAGACCTTGCGTGAGATATAAATCTCGTTCTGGTAGTCTACTAGATGTAGAGAGTCAACCCCGTCCGCCAACATCTGTGCAAGTCCAGCTCGATACCAGCCTCCGAATCATTAGGGTTGCACAACATTGTCGCAAAATGGGCGACATGACGAAGACATCATCCCTCGATGCAACGACTTACGACGTAGTGATGCATGCACTGGCAAATTATGAGCTCGATGGCCAGCGACTCAACGATGGCGCTCTCCTGGCCAGCCTTCAGAAGGCGCTCCAGGATCTTCGCTTGCAGAGAGAAGGACCTTTTGGAGGAGCTACGACCTCGGCAGACAATCAATCATCATGTTACCGTTGTGGCCAAGGAACTCATGACCATGAGTGCAAATATTGCGTCTTGTTCTGTACATCTGGACGCACCGGTGGCCTTAAAGTCAAGCCGGTCGCCGAAATCATCGCCTTGGAGGAGGCCAACGCATACGCGTTGACTCTTCTGTACCAACGGTCACTTGGGGTTATCAACTTATCTTCCCCAAGCAATGCTATTGTTACGGGTACAGCCTCGCTCAATTGCCGGCTCACCACCGAAGAAGATTGGCCTTATTCTGCATGGCACCGCAATGCTACGAACCTCATGTACAGTCCGGAAGGAATGCTGCTTGCCTCTGCATGGTTTCCGGATGGACGGTGGTACTGTCTGACCTTAGCACGGTCTTGCGAATTGAAGCTGGCCGTGGATACCCTGCTACACAAGTCGAACTCCATCCTAGAGATATAGATGCCGACAACCAAGTCCAAGCGTTCTCGCGCATCTGGCAATGCCAGTCAGGACGTCGATTACAGTCCACGCGAATCTTCGGTCACAGCGGGCCATGTTCAGTATAGCGGTGTAAGCGCGGCGAGGACAACTCAAAGAGACGCATGCGAGATGCGTCGGCTCTCTGGAGTCCCAAGAGCTCAATTTTTACAATGAGTCTCTCATGCACGCTGCCACACTTGGTTGGGTTCGGGTGCAGGAGAAGTTTCGGATGGATATCGACGACGACGGTGATGATAAGGAACAACGGAAAGAGTGAAGCCATTCTGCGTCTACACCGAGCACTTTGGCATAACGCTTGCCGTCTCATTGTATGCTGATCTGTAATGCTTATCAAGTTTGCGATATCAATCTAGGGCATAATAGTTTCTGGGACGTTACCTGCACTTTTCACGCATCAATTTCTTACCACGAGGTTGGTGCCGAACCCTCGAAGTTTACCCTCTCAGCGACAGTGCTAAACTTGTGCATTCAGCCCACTTCTCAGAGAGACATTCATGACTCGTCCCAATCTAAAGCCTCGTTGGTCCCATCACGACTTGTGGTAGATCTGAAATTTCCGTAACAAATCTTGCTTGGGTTGGAAACCACGGTGTGATGCCAAGAGAGTTATCTGCGCCCACATACTCGGGAATCTGCGCAATGATGCCGCTCGAGCAAAAGGTGGATTAGCAGGGCTATAGCCTGGTAATTGTGGCTGGTTCGAAGGCTCAAACACACGAACTGTCCCGGTGTTGATGCAAATTCTACTTCTTTCGAGCAATCACCTCGGGTATGGGATTGTTTCTGCACTAGTCCAGATGACTGAGACTTACATCCAGTGAATATTTGAGATTTTATTCCAGAATTTCGCATCCCATACCAACGCATACTGCAATTCACTTCGCTTTCCAGTGCGGGAATCGGCCAATCAAGCTGGTGTGCTAATAGGGTAGTGGGTCTCGAATATGGATGCCTAGAAACTCCGCATTCGATCGCTGTCGGCCCGTATGATTCGCCAGAATCCTTAGCGCGATGCCACTCAACTCCACCACTCCAAGCCTACACACACGGTCTACTCATTGTACAAATACCACCCACTCCATCTCCTCGAGCACCATGGCCACTACACAGCAGGAAACACATTTGAAGCCGAATCGGACGCGCTCTGCTGGAGGTATGCCTTCTTCCCTATCAAGCTGTCGCAAAGCAACTGAATTTTCAACAGTCAAGAGACAGCGAGCGGTGGAGGTACAAAGACCACGGAAGACTTTGCGCTTAGACGACTCACCTGAGGAGCTCGCGGTCTCGAAAGCAGGCGAAAGGACCGACTGCTACATCTCTGGATGTGACGACCGAGGAGAGACAGTATGGCTGCCTGTCGATTGCACGATTCTGTAGCTAAACGTACCCACAGCAGAGCCTGCAAGTCAGCCCAAAGACCTCTCCTCCGAGACAGACAACAGCGCAGTGCCACCGAGTACCACAAAGCAATTGCGCCAAAGGCCGTCGTAATCTGCAGCGACCGCCAGCTGAGGAAGACCACTTGGCGCCGAAAACATCCACTCGTTCGTATGAGGACGAGCAACATCCCATTGCATATTGGGCGCTAAGCAATCAATGGCCTCGTAGCTACATCAACAACTCTAAAGATATGGAGGATATACTCGCGCGGAAAAGGTCACTGTCTTCCCGGAGCAGGAAGAACTCGGACGCAGACTCAGCACCCACTGGGTCGGTTAAACCGAGCGAGCAGCAGACTGCCGAATACAGGAGACCAGAATATAAAGAGCTCTTGAGGACGCGGAATGTATTCATGGAAAAGTCTGCCGTCGGTGTTGGAGATCCAGGCAAGACGCTCTGCGGGAAACTTCTCATCGATGAGCAGATCGCTCCTCCTGGTACGCTTTTTGATGATGACATATTTGAAGATACTTGTAAGATGGTGGAGGACCGGAACGAAGCGAAGGTCATTCAGGATATTGCACGGCTCGTCGTTCCGTCGGCGGAGACCATGGCCATTCGCGGCACGACAATACAAAAAGGCTTGGTCGAGAGCGTCAATGAAGGATGGAACAATTGCATTCCTATCACCAAAACGCGGCCTCAGCCAGACTATGCGGTCGGCTTCCGCCGGCGTGCATTCACGCAGGATCAGCTCGATAGGATGAAGCCCATTGTCGGCGACTTTGACGACCAGTCTTATTTCATGGCTTCATGGTACATGTGCTTTCCCTTTTTGACCTGCGAGGTCAAGTGCGGCGCCGCGGCTCTTGACGTTGCAGATCGCCAGAATGCTCACAGCGCGGCGATTGCGGCGCGCGCCGTGGTAGAGCTGTTTCGAGTGGTGAAGCGTGAGAAGGAGCTGCACCGAGAGATTCTTGCCTTTTCTATTTCACACGACCACTCGACAGTCAGAATCTATGGACACTACGCCGAGACCGATGCCGCCGAGACAAAGTACTATCGCCATACCATACACAAATACGACTTCACTGCGTTGGATGGCAAAGAGAAGTGGACAGCCTACAGGTTCACCAAGAATGTCTACGACCACTGGATGCCCGTACACTTCAAAAGAATCTGCTCGGCCATCGATCAGATTCCGGCTGGCATCAGCTTCTCCGAGTCACAGTCCGAGCTTCATTTCTCCGAGCCAACTGGGCTGTCGCAGGACATGAGTGTGTACAGTGTGGCACGGTCAAGCGAGGGTTCCGTGTCTGCACAAGTTGAGCATGCTACGACGTCAAGCATCGGCCAAGGTACGACTGCTACTCCTGGAACTTCTGTTGATGGAGGTGCTGTGTTCAAGAAACCACGGAGGGGGAAAGGAACACGAGGGTGACATGAGCATGCTAGCTTGGTATCACGGTGGTGAGATTATAGAACGCCTTGAGCTGATGTCGATTGATACATGTTTGTCCCTGCTGCTGTTTGCCAGGAGCAATGGAGTACATCCGCACAAGTAAGCTCGCACGTAGCATGATGTCACTATCGGAAAAGGTCTTTCGCTTGCACACGAGATCACCTGTAAGACCGGTTACAAGTCCTAGACAAGAATAGACAGCCATCCTCCAGATGCCAGCTCACCATCATTCAACGTCCTCCCTCAGCGACACCGCAATCGAGTACCGTGGTGGCGTTGAGCGTGATTTTAAAAATGCTCTATCGTACCAAATACACTGTCTTCAGCTTTGCATATTGGATGCGGACAGGATATGTCGTGACTGCGGTCGGTACCGTCAAGATGGACCCGGGCGTGGGGCGGCAATACACTGAGAGGGTGACACTGTCCTCCGTGTCTGCGAGTAGCCACGATCGAGCAGCTGGATGATCAAAGTTCTGTTCTCCTCCTCCTCAGCAGAAATATGTTTCCCGGATCTCTTCTTCGCCCCCTTCATCCTCGTTATCCCCATCGCTCGTCCTAAGTCTCATAACGCATTGTAATAGGCAATCACGCCAGCGTGGCACGAGGCGCCAAGGGGTGTATGGTACTGGAACAACGGCTCGGAGAATACATCCTCCAGTCCGAACCCGCGGTGCGGTCCGCCCAACTTCCACACTTACTGTTCCTGTTTCCTGAATCCTCCTCGCCATTCGCTTTTACCACGTCCAAATTAACCCACTCAGATGCTATCACGACCATTTACGCGTGGACTATACGCCACTCGTCACTTCGTAATTGACTTCGAAGCATCTCCAAATGTACGGCACGCTCAAGGTCCTCAATGACTACCACAACCGCACCCTCTGCGTTGACTGGGTCAAATTGCATCAGTACACGCCGGTCTCGATCGGCATAGTCGATGCAACCAATCAGTATCATGAACTGATAGCAGCCAATAGACGATTGCTAACCTTCTGCCAGAAGCGATTCGAAAGCATGTTCGACTACACAAGCGTTATGCGGCTTAGCCTTGCACAGCGAACTGCGCGCCCGTGACGATGTCTCAGTAGCGACTAAGGCGATGATTGCCACTTCAACGCATCGTACTCCTGCATACAAGCGACGTACTCGTCTCCTCCAGCAACCCAGTCTTTGATGCCGCCGCTTAGCTTCAGACTCTGCATAGTAGTATCTTTCTGCTCATCCAGATAGTCATCGAACCAGCCAGCAGCCCAATAGCCACGGTGGACAGAGGAACCTGGACACAATGTTTAGACTTCAAGGAACTGGCAACAGGCGTGCATGTTCACAGGCTTACCGCAATACCAGATAACACGTTCTACTCCGGCACCAATGAACAACCTGTAGAGGGATGGAAGCGCGGTATAGATACTTTGCGCAGGCAAATTAAGGGCTCCAGAGATCGTTCCACCCTATGAACAATGTCAGAGCTGCCAATTTTGCGGGTAACACATCGCATACCTCATAGTCATCGCGTCGCAGGTCGACAAGTACGAAGGCTGAACTGTTTCCACTCTTCACCAAGTGTAACACGTCGCTTGGAGAGATGGATCTGGGATTTGAGCGTGGTACTGGATAGGCTTCTTGCCACTCTTGCACGGGGATACCGTTCCGCTCGGGCCCGTTTGTAGCAGAAGTCATGATCTTGGTTTGAGGCACTGAAGAGAGTGTTATCAAGAAACTGTCGGTAATGCAGGCAGTGCCGATGAAGGCACATAAAGTGCAAAGTAGATAACTGCGGGAGCCAGACAGCGTGTTCAGTCTTGCTTCTAGCCAAGCTGTACCATATAAGTCGAGGGTCGCAGTCACCGCAGGGGTTAGCAGTAACATTCGTAGTGCCCGGCGAAAGATTTCCGCAGAAGGTCCCATCGCTGAGAAACGCAGAGCTTGACCAATCGCAGGCATGAAGTGACATACGATGCTCGACGGCGCCTCAACAACGGACGGCGGAACGCTAGAGGATTGAGGTACTGACACTGACCGCAGTATCGGGATCCCCATCGCTTTTCACGTTCGTACGAAGGACGGGAGAACATGTCTCGCAGATGTCATGAGACAAGCGGGCTGTCGAACACGAAGTAAAAAGATTATCCTCACAAGCGGTTGTGATTTCAAGTACGAGCCTAGTGCAATATACTCCATGCTCATTTCCAGCCACGCTTGTTTGCAAACCACCGCACAAAATACACCAAGCCTAACAACACCGGTACCTCAACCAAAGGCCCGACAGTCGCCGCGAGGGCCTGGTCACTGTTCGCCCCATAAGTAGCCACAGCTACTGCTATTGCCAGCTCGAAGTTGTTGCTTGCAGCAGTGAAGCTCTGCGTCGCAGAGAGTTTGTATCCGAAGCCAAGCTTGTGTGTAACGAGGAGCGTCGCGCTGAAGATGACCGCAAAGTAGACGATGAGTGGTGCTGCGACGCGTACGACGGACACAATCTGGTGTACCACGCGATGGCCTTGGCTGGCGAAGAGGACCACGATAGTGTAAAGCAGCCCAATCAGCGACCAAGGCGCGATGTATTTCAGGAATTTGTTTTCGTACCATTCTGGGCCAGTCATCCAGCGAACTGCGTACCGCGTGAGGATCGCAGCGCCCAAGGGAATCCCGAGGAATGCGGCAACGCTTGTCGCGACGGTGGAGTATGACACCGAGATTGTTTCCGAGGACCCACTGATGATGTTGATGAAGAAAATAGCGAGTGGTGCGTAGAGTACCATCTGCAGGATCGAGTTGATGGCTACCAGGATTGCACAATACTGGTTGTCTCCGCCAGCGATGCCGGTCCAGATGAGTACCATTGCGATGCAACGGGCGAGTCCAACCAGTATTAGTCCTTCGCGCAGACCCTCTTCATCGGGAAGGAACGCCCATGCAAGAGCGAGCTGTCGAGAAGGTCAGTGCCATGTCAAGAATGCAATGAGGGAGAAACACACCATAAGTAACGGAGCGACGATCCAATTCATGATGATGCTGAAGCCAATCTGGATCCAGAGTTGCTTTTCACGCAACGCGAGGTGAAGCGTCTCGTACTGGACTTTGCAAAGGATAGGGTACATCATCACGAGCAGTCCGATGGCTGAAAGAGTTAGCAAAGGGCAGATCGATCTTATGAATAGCACTGACCAATGGGCACCGACACGCCGACAAATTTGCCCTTCTGTAGTGCTGTCTCGGTTCCGGGGACGAAGTTCCCTATGAGGATACCAACGAGGATGGCAAGCAGAATCCATAGAGCCAAGAAGCGGTCCAGCCATCCTAAAGCTTTGAAAGCCGATACATTCTCGGCTTTGGGTTCCAGCGGCTGCTGCATTTCGGTGTCCTGTTCTCGTTTCCGTTCCATCTCCACGTCAGGCTCCGTTAGAGACATTTGGACTTATGGTCGATTTGTTGATCGCTTGGATGTGCGAATGTGTGATCGAAAAATGTTTTGTTGGCCTTGGGTCAGTGTAGCAAAGTGGCGGTGTCGTAATATGAGACGGGGGCAGAGGATTGCTGGTTGAAGACGTTCTCGGTGCTGTTGTTCGATTCCCATTGTCAACTTGAGCAGTGTTGAGCATATTGTAGCAAAATACATACGACATACGAGGCCGCGATGCTGTTTCGTCGGTGACGAATCGGTCACTGATCTGCAGTGATTGGCCGGTCGGCGGCTGACAGTGGTGGAGAGCACAGAAGTCTTGGCGGGATGTCATCGCAAGCAGGTGTATGCATGTGTGACTGGCATGTCACTGTCTGTCTAACAGAATTGGCTGGACATTGCGTGCTACTACGTGCCTCAGTGCATGACGATGACCGTAAATCGACGTACTTCGCTTGTGTACAGTCACTGGAGTCAAGCACGATCACGGACAGACAAGTTCACATCCTTCGCCCCATCCCACGCCGTGTAGTTTACGACTCTGGAGTCCACAGTTTCGGACCGCTGACATTGGGGACAATCATATTTCTCAGCCCAGTAATGCACGCAATGGCAAACCATCACGCAGTATCTGACACCAAGAAAGCCCCTCCGTCTGCTACAGTCAACGGTGGCGAACGACCTTGGTTCGCTGCATACCCAGAAGCATGTGCAGAGCCAGCATCTATCTCCCGGCACGAAGTGCTTCGCTTGCTCAAATCTGACACCGAGCCTGGGCACGACTTCGTCCTTGTTGACTTACGTCGCACGGATTTTGAGGTAAAGGACGCTTGTCGCTTCCCCTCATGGACGCCAGTGTAACGACCGCTTCTGACTTTGGCTCGAATACTAGGGAGGAACGATCATAGGCTCGCTCAACTTGCCAGCACAAAGCCTGTTTCCCACGATTCCCGCGCTTTATAGCCTATTCGATGCAGCTGGAGTTAGTCAAGTCATCTGGTACTGTGGTAGGTGTCGCCACGAAATGATCGTCAGTGAGAGGCTTGACTGATGCCAAAATCAGGCTCCTCGCGTGGCCGAGGCAACAGAGCCGCAGCATGGTTTGCAGATTATATTAATGAACAAGAAGACAAGACAATGAAGAGTCTCGTGCTTGTTGGAGGTATAAAGGCTTGGGCCGCTGAGGGGAGCGAATTCGTGCAATACATGCAGGAGTATGACCGGTCGAAATGGGAGTAAGTGCTAGTTCGTTTGCTGTGTCGCTACTTGCTGTGTATCAGTGCGGTCAGAGATCGATGAGCTCGTCGGTATGCAGGTAATGCAGTATCGAAACATCATAGAGGTAAAGTGCCGCACTCTTGGTTGTTTTGTTTTGCGCCTATAAGAACAACATCACCAACTACGTATCCGTCAACTCTGTTCCTGTGTCCAGTGAGCGCATGCGCTCACGCCTCTTGACGCGGAGCAACTCCAGCATGATACCGCTGGCCGCGAGATAAGACAATCCAACAAACAGTTGCGAATACAGGTAACTGCGCGAAGACTCTGGCCGGCGGATCTTGAGTGCAATGACTTCCGAGACTATCACTCGTCAGTGTCGCACCGTATCAACATGCGGCTATACGCACAGGTAGTCGGGAGGATGATCGTTATCCAGGATAGCGAAAGTAGCGACTGCAAGTGCTTCAGCCCCGCAACTTCAACGCAGAGCGGTCCAATGGTCTACATTGTAATGTCAGTGATGTCTTCACTCATACCTTTTGGTGGAACGGACCATCCAGAAGACGCCGAGCACAGCCCCTGAGAGCAGCGCGAAGACCGCAAGCAGCGCAAAAGACTGCGCCGGAATCCAGAAGGCGAAACAGAGTAACGAACACACCAAGGTAAGCGCACCCGCAACGTCCAGACGCCTAGACTTGTCGCTGAGTGTGCCGATGAGTGGGCGGCCAATCGCTGTGCCAATGTTGAGCAGTCCGATCACGTCAGTGGCTCGCTGCGATGAGAGACCGATGGCTAGCGCAAAGTCCGATAGTGAGAACAGCAGCGCAATGTAGCCGAGCATGCTGACGAAAGACCACGCTAGCAGTAGTAGGACGTCGTAGCGTGCTAGCAAAGTAAGATCAAGAGCGAGCTGCGGCGGCTTGATGTATTTGTTGCGGTCACGGACAACCGCCGTCGCAATACTGGTAAGGAAGCAAGTCATGATGCCGGTGATGCAGAGAGCCCAGCGCAAGCCCAGCGCGTCGATGATAGCTCCTGTGACCCACGCGAAAAGTGCGCCGCCAAACCCGGACCCGGAACTGCTGATGCCATTTGCTAGGCTCCGGCGTGCATCGAACCATTGCGATAGTATAGGCAGGCTAGGGATATAGATGAAGCCAATACCCAGCCCGACGAGGACTCCCTGGGTCAAGAATAGATGCCAAATCTGCGTAGCAAAGCCAGCAGTGATGTAGCCAGTAGTCTGCAGCGCAATTCCAATGGGCATCGTGGTGTGTTTCCCAAAACGCGGGGTGAGCGAGGTGACAAGCGGGGCAGCGAGCATTGCAAAAGCGAAGTTGAAGCCTCCGACGAAGGCAAAGTCAAGGGGCGAGGCGGAACGGAAGCGGTTGGTACTCAGATAGTAGGAGAGGTATACGCCGTAGGACTGGTATGGGTGGTCAGTATGATGCCGTGGGTACGCTAGTGCAATATAACTCCCTACTGCTACGGCACCCCAAGTTGAGAAGTTGATCAAGAAGCAAGCGGCGACACAGACCCAACCGTAACCGCCGTCGGGTGGGGTCGCATCGAGCTCGTCGTTGTCTGAAGGGTCTGGCATGTTGTCTCACATGTGATGCCACACAAGAGGACGTCGAGCCAGGAGTAGGGGCCCTTACTTATATTGCAGGCCATGTGCATCACTCTCGCAGTCGTCGGCCACTGACCGATGATCCATCAGAATTCATGCTCGGCAGTGTACGGAAGGGCTTATAATGAATGTGATCTATAATCCGGCAATACGCTGTCAAACGTGCAGCAGGACAGTCCTTGCGGTCTGGAGATGAGGTTCGTGGTCGGTGATAACTCGCAGGACTTGGCAGTGACATGCTCTTGGCGACAGTGGCGTTCCTCTCGCTTGGAAGTGCGCAGCGCTTCTCAGCTCTCGACTTCCTGGAAGCTCATCTTCGTCCTCACTCGTACTGTTTCACGACTGTGTCCCGCACCTACCAGCCTTCTCAGAGACCATTCCCTAGGCATGACAGCGTGCAGCGAGTCGTGCCTGGCCTCTTGCGTGACCTGCGATATCGTGGTGGACCACGCCTCTTGCCCCGACCATGCGGCTCAATGCTGCGACGGCAAGCACACCGTCAGCCGCGCAGACGCATTTACACCAGTTAACCGTGGCAAAGAGAAGCTTGCATCGACCAAGTAGCCGTACGCCAATGTGCCACAGAGTGTCGCGACGAAATGCTATCCGCCAGCGGTATCGCGTACAAGCTGTCCTGTAAAGCTGCCAAGTAATTGCTAAAATATCGACGTAGCTGCACCCCTGTTGCAACAGTGCAATGTTTCGCCATCCTCCATGAACAGCTTGCTACTTGCTGCCTTGTATATGGAGGAAAAAAAGCTAGGCTGCTAAACCGGTGTAGATCAGAAAGAAGCGTCGCCGGTCATCCATGCGTCTTCGCAGATCTCCATCCTGTAGCCGGCCGAATGGCAACGAGATTCCTCACCCACACAACACCGTGGAGCGGTCCAAAGCACGAGACAACGGGAACTCTGCAGACTGTCCCGTGGACCACATTTACTAAGTGAGCTTAAGCTGCCAACGCGATGAGATGTATACGAAGCGTTCTCTTTCTGGGTGTAAAGTCTCGAGCGCACGGGCTACTGCGCGACGCAGTAGCCCGTGCGTACAAGGTCTTCTCGGTAAGCATCAAGATGTATAAGTCTTCGGACGACAAATCAGCGAGCAGCTAGACGTCTGGACCACTGTGGGACACTCAGTGACCGAGGCCACGCCGAGGTACTAATCTGCCGTCCATATGGTCGGCGAGAGCGACGACGAAGATGCTGTTTGCTTGACGATGATTAGGTCTGAATCAATACTCACAGTTTCATTTGTCCGTGTCAGACGGTCCGAAGATCAGACGTTCTGTATCAACGTAGCCGCTTCTGTCGCATCTGCTCCGCCCGTCTCACGAGAGCTGGCGCTTCTACGGGAGACGTCCCTTACAATTACGGATGTAGTCGATCGAAGCGAAGAATTATGGCAGACTTGAATCTGGCCGTCTTCTTACAACGAAGAGAAGAGGGCAATGCCGTCGTCTGGCTTGAGAGAAAACGTGGCGGCGTATTAGCGGAGGTGTACTACAAATAAGCCGCAACAACCGATCAGAAAGTCGTGCGAGCTTCGCTATCATATCGACAGCCTTTTGTTCTCCATGACTGGTTGTCTGATGTTGAGCACCAGGTTCGCCTGGAATGTGAGCTATTGAGAGGGCGTCGTAATTGGATGGCTCTGAGACATGGCGTTTGCAGAGACTGGAAATGAGTAGATGGTACGACGGCCAGCATCTCATCTTTCCAGCCGCGCAATGCGAAATGGATCGTATCAATTTATGGTATGTACAATTGAGCTTGCCCATGCCGCGAGTATGCTATCACATCAGCGACTTCATGGCGGGTCATGCCCTTCGAGTCACGGTCCTGCGAAAGGGTTCGTGCGCGGCGCAACTGTGCTGTGCATTGACAACCTCGACAGTTAGTGTTCCACTGCATCACGTGCACGCGGAAAGGATCCAAGGAAAGCTCAAGGCAAGACTAAGCAGAAAAAGCCAAAGGAGCTTGAAAAAAATGCACAGATGTGGACTGAGCGAGGATTGCGAGACCAAACAAGCACAGGTACAGCGCATTTGTTTATACAGCTAGAGCGGCTCCTGATCAACTCTGGTAGTTGGACCTATGTGCTCCACTGTCTAGCAGCAGCTGCGCGATCTCCGTGCGGCCTTGGAGTGATGCAGCCTGGAGCGCGTTGCCATACTCTCCTCCTTGCGCGTTGACATCTGCTCCCGCGTCTATAAGCATCTGTACCACCTTCTCGGGGCCTCTCAGTAATGCCGCCTGTAGCGCGTTGCGATACCGGCCTCCCTGCACGTTGACCTCTGTTCCCCGTTCTAGTAGTGTCGCCACTACTACTTCAAGTCCTTCTAAGCTGGCATAGTAAAGGCTTGAACCTACGTCCTTCGGAGCTTCAAATGGCTTACTCCATGCCCGATCCGGTTGGTGGAGAAGGAGCCAATTAAATATGACTTTCGCGGATGTAATAAATAATGCTTCCCTATCGCCCTTCCCACACTGCTGTACCGACGAATGATGAAACCACGACCGTGCTGCGTATCCTAGTAACGGATATTGGATGAGGTCGTCTTGTGTGGACAACTGTAACATGTGATATACGCCAAACGGCTATGTGCAAGGAAATGGTGCTCCCTGGCAGGCTGCAGATGGGAAATCCCGGCATTGCTATCCAGTATGCGGCTTGACTCAAGATACTCCTTCACCGAGAAATGGGCAAGTCGAACCTTCGTGTTGTTGCTCGCTTGATGATGAGTAACACTGCTGATGTCCTCTTTGCCGTCCGAGCCTTCTAAGGTACGTTCTGCATCCTCGTAGCTGTCGTCTGTACTTGTCACGGTTGTGATTAAACCCGAGAGAATATTCAATGTACTCTCTGGGTCGCTGCGGTCATCAAAGTCCAATCTGTCCACTATTGGGTCAACAACGACGGCATCAACAAGTTCGCCAAGACTTGGGGGTGTTTGAGCGTATGCAAGCCACCGCAGGAGCGTAAGCGCGTCCTTGCGGTACATCTTCCCAATTCTAGTGAGCATGCGCGTGTATGTCTCGTGAAGAGTGGCCGGAAGGTCATGGAGCGCCTTGCGCACGAAACATGGCCGGAGGCTCTGCAGCTTTTTCAACTCCTGCAGCTGACAATATGCCCATCGAAACCAGAACAGGCACCAACATCAGTGCCTTTACGGAGTCTCGTGTGGTATGATGGAATGGAACAACTCACATCCCGTCGCCCTTCTGCGCAATCGTCTTCTCAATCGCCGTTTTTGAAACGAGATCGAAGCGAGCAAGTCTTCGGTCACGGGACATTTCGCTGGACACATACTTGCCAATGTCAGTATCCACGGCCCGTGTAGCGATGTTGATATGCCCAACCTGGAGTATTTCCATTGACTCACGTATGTCCGACTGCTCACGACTTGTTGCGAAAATCTTGAGATTAGCTGCACGTTGTGCGAGCCCTTCGATTCGCTGCATCATCTCCTGGCGGATGTCGCCGACCTCAGGACATTCGTCCAGAGCGTCTAGCAACAGAAAGACCTTGTCGTGCGTCTCGAATGAGGAGCACAGGATCTTCTCCAGCTCATCAGCTCCTGGAACGCTCGCGTTGGGCTTATCATACGCTTGGCGGAGTATAGTCAGACTGGGCTCTTTCCACCCAAGCTGGGCAACCAGCGACCGCATCAAATCTGGGTAAGTCTGCTTTTGGTCATCCGAGAAAGAGAAGTAGAACACCGCTAGCCCAATGTTTACTTCTCCTTGACAATATGCTCGGATGTCCTCAACGAGGGTAGAACGAAGGATCGTCTTTCCACAACCAGCTTTCCCGTACATCCATACATGGTCGAGAGCACCGGCCTTCCATCGTGTGTATTGGTCGCACCGGAGCAGCCAGACGCCTGTCTTGTCTTCATGGCGTTGGCGAGCCGAGGCGTGGTTCGTCTGCGGATCAGGTGGTGAGAGCCAACCGACGATCTTTCTATAGTCTTCGACTTGCTGCGCAGCTTCGTTTACCCGGTGGTCTACGGCCGCCATAAGACAGTGTCTTGCACCCTTGTGTCCTTCTCCGTAGTTTGCGCCCGGTGTGACGTCGAATGCGCCGTAGAGTGCATATGACGTATCTTCCGGCCGTGTGGTCGTCCGGCCGTCCATCCATTTCAGTTTGTCGCTAACACATAAAGCGATGCTTGTCTCGTATTTGTGCAACACTAGCTCTTGGAGTTCCCGTAATCCGAGCAATTGTCTCCTCTAGGCCGAAGCCCGTCAGAGGCCGGCCTTCCCTACAGGCGGAGCGTCCTTCGTGTCCGATAACATGCCATTCCCTCGTCACGAACAGGACCGTCCGCGGCGCGACTAACTCTTGTAGTGTCCAGCCTCTCGTGAACCATTCGCTCTTCTCAAAGCCACTTCCATCTTCGGCCGTCTCGACGTCTGCCAGGTATGATAGGCATAGCTCGGCCTCGAGGTACCAGTCGAACATCGAGTTGATGGCCTCAGACAGCTCTGCAGCGCTGTCTTTGTTTATACAGCACGTGTCTACCCACAACCATCTGATCGGCGCCAGATGTTCTCGAACGTACGTCGCAAAGGCTTCGACTTTCTGGTAACCTCCGCCGTTCGTATTGCGCCATCTCGAACATCTTGAAAGGTTGTTTCCCCACTGCTTAGCCATCGGTGCGACGCAGCCACGTACGGCGGCGTCTGGTCGTCCTGGAACTCTGTGAAGTCAAGGCGGTCGACGTGGAGGACGCGCATATCGCAAGAGAAGAGGGTCGTTTCGCAGATTAGGAGCGTGATTCACTTCAGAAGCAGGCCCGTTACATGGCGGCGAGAAATAAGTCGGGAGACAAGGCTGTCATACGCAAGGCTGAGGCGCGTTGCTGGAGTTCCTTCTTGTTACGCATGTCGCTCTGGCGCGGGATTTACCCGTTTGTGTTTGTGTTATGAGAAGTGACTGACGAAAAATGATATAATTTAGTCCATTGGTATAAGACGCTGTTCAATACATCATATGCGACAGATCTACGTGTTCTCGTAAATGTAAGCTTGCACAGGTATCCTTGAAAGGAGTGCCGTCTTTCACCACGGAAAGGCGCCGCTGAGGTTACTGCGCTCAATGAGCCTGGTGCTCTAATCAGAAAGGATCAATCGGAGCCGGTATACAACGTTCTTTCCAAGAATAGCCTGCAGGCACACGGAAAGTCACGCCACGTAACTGTAGGAGCGTCTAGAGAAGCGCCACACCTTCAGACAGAAGCTAGTGCGAAGAGGGGTTAGAGCAGATTACCGTTATCCGTTCCTTACAGCATAGCGTCCGCACGATTATGTAGCCTAAATTCTCACGCAAACCAAGCATATCTCCTAGTGAACGGAGAAACCCTCGGAATGCGAGCCTATGGACGGTGATGACGGCAAAAACAGATGACCCGTCCTATAACCAAATCACCGTCGTGTAGGACCCCCGAAGTGTATACGGTGTTCGATAGGCGCATTGCAGCAGGGGTCAATTGCGGGAAGGTTGATCGGCTGCATTGGCGCGATGATCGACAGCACAACCAATACGCCGTATCTCGTGTAACGCGGCGAGTCACGCAGGGGGCCATAGATGTAGAACGCTATAAGCCAGCTTGTGTCTCTGTACTTTCCTTGCAGAGGATTTACGAGACTGGAGTCTGTGATGTGGCTCGCAACGTAGGGTGGCTCGCTACACTGGGGGGGATGTTACATTGCGAGATGTCTGATGACGAGCGAAAAGTGTCCGGGCACGCAGGGTGTCCGGCCACGCGGGAACGGACGTTATACAAAGCACACTACGGAGGTTACATTCAGGTTGCTGGACCTCCATCCGCAGGAGACACAACTCGCACCATGAATGGCACAGAGATATGAATAGAGGAAAGATTTGCTATACAGTCATCTATCTGGCTACATACGAAACAAAGACAGCCACGAACGCCACAGACAGACATACTCAATTTGTAAACATTGGCGCAGAACGCCCGCTGCAAACTCTGACTCCGACTCCACGTCCCATGAAACGAGCGGCTCTGATGGTACTCAACCATTATATTAGGAAGATTCGGTAGAAGACGGAGCATGATTTGGGCGTGACCAGTTGGTACCGATCTGTATGTTGGGCACGGCGTCAGCGTCGGAAGGTCCAGGACGATGCTGCTGCTGAGTGGGCTCGTTGTCCACGTCACTCAGTGTAGGTGCAAAGAGCCAAGGCAATTGTCGCTTACGCTCCTCGCTAATGGGTCGACCACTATCCGGATCGAGTCCATTTGAGGTGCAATCTTTCAGCCATGAGCTCATCTGCGCCTTGATCTTCGCCAATCCTGCACGATACCCCGTAGTACGATCGTCGACCAGGTGCTTTCCCAGAATAGCGATTGCATCTGATCGGGTGATCCACTCTGAAGCGGGTGATCCGGAAAAGGCACGTTGCGATTCTTGAGTCCAGTGCACGAGGAAATAGGTAATGGCTGCCCGCTGATACTCGCCTGGTTCTCGTGCTACCTCTGCAATGCCAGTTATACTATGAATGTGGCTTGCCAGTCGATCGGTAAGGTGCGTTGGCATGGGAAGCGGATATTTGCTATACAACTCCTCGCCCATCCTTCTGCCAAAGTCGCTACCCTTCTTGCATTCATAGACCGGGCATTGCTCGGTGCCTACATTGACGATGACGCGGTAACCACGAAACGGGCCCTTCAGCGCACGTACGCCTACGATCTTCCCGATATGCGTATTCCCATCCTCGTAGCAAGGCCCGGGCATGCTTCGAACTTGTGGTGGTCCATTGGCCCGGGGCTGGGCAGATGCCGGGATCTCCGTAGCGAATGGCGAAGCAATAGAACGGGAAGCGAAATTGGGGTCCCCAAGATTAACTTGCGTAGCCGTTGTTGACTCGGCGTCCGGTAATGTATCAAGCTCATCCATGGTTGGAGGAGTTACGGCCTGTTGCAAATTAGATGGACCTTCGAGCGCTGGCCTTGCCGCTGGGCCCTGTATCGTAGTGGATGGACTCTCGAGCGAGCGAGAGGAAGCTTCGAGCGTTGGACGGGCTGCTATGAGGCGCGTTGAGGCGGTTTCTAATGATGCGGTCGTATTGATCGGATACTCCAGTGTCAAAGGATTCTTGAATTGTAGCTTCTTAGCGTCAATATAGGCTTGTTGTACAGCCAGGAGGGTGATTCCACCTGTCGGGACCGTCACCATGCCGTCAAGTTTCGCGCTAACACCGGGAAATCCAGTGCCTTCCATATACATGGTCACGAATTTTTTGAACCTGCCGATCAGCACCCCACGATCCTGCTCAGGCCCTTGCCAGAGTTCCCGAGACCTCCAGAATTCGTCCATCTTTTCTACTGGCAATGCATGGTCTCCGTTGTGGAACCCTGCTTGCCTGTTGGCTCTGACGAGTGAGGCATTAGTTGCTTCGAGTTTCCGGATCGCACGTTTCGCAGGTGCTTTTTGCTTCGCAGACACCGCAGTAAAGAAGTCCTCAAACGCTTGTTGCTCGTTCTCAACTATCGCAACTTGAAACCTCGCAGCCTGGGATTCGCGAGTAAGAACTCGTCGTAATAGATCACGTTGGTCTGGATCAAACTCGGCATAGCCCCACTCAATAATGCGTTGCACTGCAAGCTGTACTTTTGGGGGTACAACAGTCTTCCACTCTAGTGCGGAGCGGTCTAGTGGCTGTACAAAAGTCAGGCACTCTTGCAACAAGAGCCTTGCAGTGTTACGGCGGCTGGTATGGTCGGAGCTGATACGCCAGATCTGGATCCAACTTAGTGTTGCCTCGATCGAGTCTCGGATTGCTCGAGTGTAAATAACATAATGCTCAAACCGCTGCTGAGGATTGTCGGCGACGCTTGCGGGATGGATCTGTGCGGTAAGTCTCCGGATGGTCTCATTAATCCGTTCCAGGTCAATCATAATCTCGTCGACTTCGCTCTTACTCGTCGAGACCCACAGATCTCGGATCATCCCTGCAGCCTTCTGTGCCTCGATAGCGACGATCATTGGCACTTCTTTCGGCGAAGTCATAATGGCCGCGACACCTTGTACGCCGCTTCGTAGGAGTTCCGCATGTGCTGCCAATTCCTCTGCGCTGATCTCTTCATCTTCTTCGTCTACTTCATCTCCGGCTTCCGTCGATGCCTCGTCTCCTGGTGCATCAACCATTTCGATGTCATCTTTGTTCTGGATGCCGGCGTCCTGCGCAGCTTGAGTATAGTCATTGTCGAAGAAGGTCCTGTCAGCTTGCGTAGCTGTTGGGTTGAATGCCTCAGTAAGGTGTTGTGTTCTCCCGACGAGTTTGCTCTTAGATATAGGACGGGATGGGAAATCAAAGTCCCAGGTAGGCGGAAGGACTGGATAGGCTACACTTGCTGCGGCCATAGTGAACAGATGCTATATTGCCAACAAAGGAGAAGAAGCACTACGAAGAATCATGTACCAGACGTGATTTAGAAGGGAAGTGAAGGTCTCTCAGATATGATGGAAGGTATACATTTATATCTTGAGATGCTGGTTGACATGCTAGTGCCCGAGCCTATTCCAATAGCAGTGTTCCTGGATTTCGTCGAGGGACGTACCAGATTCTAGGTTTCTGGCTCCTAGAGCGGCACTGGCATCCCTACAAGGCGAGACCTACTCGTTATATGATAGACCGAAAGGACTTCTAGAGAGCGAAGAGAACAAGTTTCTAGAGTGCAAATATGGCTGACACTGCACTCGAGGCTGCGTTCAGACGCCATTCAAGGCCTCAGCGCCCAACACTTCCAGCTACAGCCCCGCGAAGCTTGACCGTGACGATACCATCGCCTCCCGCATACCCTGCGACTGCACGCCACCAAGTCATCCGCACGACACCTTCTTGGATCAAATGCAATACCTTGCCACCTTTGCCAGTTTTAGCATCGGCTCAGCGGAAGCCCGTTGTGGCAACAGCTTCAACGTCTATCGTGAAAGCTAATCAGCACCGGCTGCCTGACAATGTAGATTGGATCGAGTTTGTACGCCTAGGTACCATAACGCAAAGCTCACAGAAGTGGATCATTTGTCGTCGGAGGATGCGCGATCCTGCTCTATTCATGTTCAAGACCGTCAACCAGGAGCTAGACGACGTCAAAGCTTCGCTTTGGAGTCTGCGGCATCGACACCTTGTGCTCCCACAATTCATCATTACAAATAGTATAGACCAGCACCTAGGGTTTCAGTACTTTCGCTTTACCCTTGAGGAAGTGCTGGGCACTCATCTCGCCCTCCAGGACATACATCTTCAGATCCTCTCGACATCAGTATGTGTATGAACCGATCTGGTAGGAGCTAGCATGCTAACAAGAGTGCAAGATAATGGATGCTTTGAAGTTCTTGCACCTTCACGGCTTTCTTCACGGCAATGTCTCAATAACATCGATACGTCTTTGTGGACGCTCCGGTCGCGTTGTTCTAGGTAGATGCACCCAACGTACCGAATGGATAGCAGATTGCTGATTCATGCGACAGGCGATTGCGAACGTTGTTCACAAGGTGCTGGCAGACCAAGCAATGTCGATCTCGAAGCTCTTGGACTTACTCTACTAACTTGCATGGAACCTGATCACAAGCTCGTGCGTACGGCAGAAGATGTGCGTTGCGAACGAGCTACCAACCGGGTGTTTGGGTTGAAAGACGCCGAGCGCTGGAGTGGGTGCAAACAGTATATCGATTTCCTAGATGATCTATTCACACTTAGTCGCCGACCATCAGCCAATTCCACAAACTCGTAAGTATTCTAAGCAAAGAGTGACAACACTGCGAGTTGATCGCTGATCAATTGTACAGCACGACTTCGTTATGCGCACAGATCTCGATGAGGCCTTGATTCTACCGTATGTGGAGCTGGTATCACTGGAATGCTTCACCTTATGGCGTGCCGAGTCGTGAGGGTCGCTGAAACATTGTCATTGGGCAACCAATGCTGTGGGGGCGATACAGTATGCGCGAGGGATCGTGACTTGATAGAAATGCGACCGTTATGCCGTCAAGATCGTGTTCTGCCCCGTTTCAAACGCCACATGTTCTGGTTATACCTCGGAGATCATCCGGCTTTGCACGCGGCACCGCGCTTAGTATAGTCTACAGCCGAGCGAGCTGAAATCCAGGATCCAGCTTTCTATGTTCCGGACTCTCGACTTATTAGTTGCTGTTGGAGTCGGCGTATTGCAATGGATGACATAGCGGATATGCAGGGTCGCACCAATCATCGAATGGTGGGACCTGGCTGAGCCCCACCCCGCATGTGATGATACTATAATCACATCATTTCATGCACCACTGTGCCTCGTGCTAGCATCGTATGGATTGCAACTCGCGCGACGGCTCGGCGGCGATGCAACACGGCGTTTGCGCATGATAAACATCTCGGAAATGTCGCGTACGTGCAGCAACATCTGTCGGCGAAGTCCTGCTGTGCCACGAACCTGCACAATGTATGGGAACATAAAGGTTACACAAAGGAACGTCCTTGTCTCGACGCATACACTCATCAGCTCTACACATACCTTACCATTGCACTCAAATTTCTACGATGTCTTCACCAGTCACATTGTCATCTCGACTCTACGCCGGAGATTCCCGAAGTGGCTACAGCACGCCATCAGCGATGCCGGTCGATCATACCTTCTACCACACGGAGACCTTCCCGACGTACACAGACCATGCGTTCACGCCTGAAGCTAGCCTGCATCACGCATTGATCGCGCCAGACGATCCTTCTGCAGTGTTGCACCAGCATCTATCGAACGTAGACACTCAAGTCAGCCCGCCACCGGAGTCGGTCGAACTTGGACAACGGTGGGTACTGGCAATTATGTTGATTTTTGCTGCATGGACTGACACTTGTTTTGCAGGTTCACCGCCTACATTCATCAGGCAGAACAGACGGCGTACCAAGATCGTATCCTGAACCACCAAAGCTTTCGCCTCGTGATTGCGATGTACAACGCTCTGTACGCTGCGAAGACAGATCTCTACCACAAGTACGAACAGCAGACCAGAGCTTGCGAAGAAGCACACGCTGCTCACGTGGCAGAACTTGCAGAACTTCGACGAAAGCTGGATGTAGCACAAGCTGATTTGAACGAGAGATGCGTTGAGCTGAATCGGGCTGTGTACGGTTTGATCGATGTCACGGAAGCGAACCATCCTGGAGCGGGACTGTCACACTCGAAGTCTTTCTGTCGTGTTATTGAGAATGTTGAGGGCGACGGAGGAGATCAAGACGGCCATGGGGAGACGTAGAGGGGAGTTTCCAAGCATCAAGACTCGTTCGGTATGTGGTGTCTGGAGTTAGTATGGGTTTCCTTGCATTAGGTCATGATACGCTCAGTGTAAATGTTTTCCAGCATCTAAGCTTCCAGCTTCCTAGTAATCGAACTCATCAACGTGCCCCGTTGGTAGGTACTTATAAGCAAGGAGTAGCACCCATACACGTTCATTCACAAGTATGGCATCTACCAAATCCGTTCATTTCCGTTCGAACCCTATAAGCTCGATAAGCAGAACACTCACGGGCGAGGAGCTCGAGACTATCGATCATTTTTACACACACGTATCATATTGTTCACGTTGCACAAGTGCAGACTTTCTCGAACAATACTGCCACGGAGGCATCGAGCTAGGCGAGGACATTGCATGGTATATCTACCAGTCTGAGGACGGAAGGATTTACCGGACAGGATCAAGATACTCTGTGGTCGTAGAGCTACCACACCAATTGAAGGCGGTGCGTCGCATACTACGAGCCATCCGTAGACAGCACGATCGCATAGAAAGTCCTCTCCGGTCACCCTACAGATCTACGAGAGGACCACTTCCGTATCAACAGCCGCGTCGGCAATCAAAGTCTTCTTTCAGTTACCGCTCGAGGTCGTGGTTCCGCTATATCACCTAGTCCAACATCCGGGATCCCGCGACAGCTTCTCAAGTCGGAAGTGGTGAAGCAAGAATCCGAATTCTCGACCGGCTCTAGCGACATAGGAGGAGTCCTAGCCGAGCACAAGGCGATTTCGGGTGGCATTTAAGAAGTCGAAGCTACCCGTAGAAAGGAGGTACACCTCTTCATCTCAACTCACGGAGTAGTATAGTCTTTTGAGCTGCAATGGCTGGACAAACGATCGTAATCGCATTACTCGTTGCCACCGCCGCTGCGCAGATCGGAATCCCTTTCGAGCATTCCCTACCATGTATGACCCAGCCACTGAGCATTCTGCAGGCGGGACAAAATATGACCTTTGAGTAAGATACCCACCCAAAGCACTTATCGAAATACAAGACTTACATGTGCTCTCCTCCGCAGGCTTCTCAACGGCAGCAATGCCACTTGCGATTTGGTGATAACATTCACGAATCCAACATTCTTGCCACTCTCTTTTCAGGCCACACCCAATAACTGCTCCGGCAACCAGCTAGCTACTGTGAGCGTACCGTCAGCCGCACCAAATGGGCTTGCGTCGGTTCAATGGTATGATGACGACCTCGGTATGTATCGCGGGGCTTTGCTAATGGATGCAGGACCTGTCGTGGCCAGCAAGCCACTTCTTGCAGCCTCCTCCGCATCGGTGGAGGGTGCGAGAACGTCACGATGTATGAGCAACATCGTGCTCGCATAGGGATCGACATAAAGTGTCCAAGTCTAACGAATGGCTTGGCCAAGCGAGCGGTGACAGGCGACCTCAACAGCATGCTGGAGAATGCAGGCCTCGGTGAATAGACTATCGCATCTGGCTTTGGGTTCCACGATCTCGGATCCTTACCATGTGCTTTGGCGTTATGTGCAGCTCCGGGAAATCGGTTTTTGTTGGAGTTCAGGTTTTGCGAGTGTGGTATATATATACAGCGTGTCAACCGTTATTTCTTTACAACGTTCATTTATAGACCTTCTTCGTTCTAGTGATGACATCCCCAGTGATCCAACCAGTGGCAATGCTACATAGTTTAGAAGGACAGGTAGAGACAGTACCTCAACTTGGTATCCTAGAAACCGTCGTCGCCCAGCAGGTCGAAATATTGCAGCGATTGCAAACAGTCGAAGATGCTGTTGGTGCCCTTCGCCAGCTGGACCAAGCTATGATCACTACACGAGCAGACCATTCCACTGTGCCACCACGGACTCGTGAGAGCAAAGCACGTCTAGCCGCTCGTGTGGCGAAGGATCTGACAATCGCGGCGATGCGGAAAGCAGTCGGCGAAGGTCTTAACAGGATGATTGCAAATAAGAGGCCAGCTCGCGATAGTGGTGGTAAGTTGCCCATTGCTTATGCAGTGCCCATTGCTTGTGCAATGAACTTTGAACTGACGTGGGTAGTGGTGGATGTGTTGTACGCCATCCTTAGTAAGCAAGCATTAACTCCGAGCTCCGACTCTGGCTTGTCTGGGTGTCGTACATCGACTTGATCGTGGGGTGTGGAGTGCAGAACCAGGAACCAGGAACCAGGAAGTGAGACTCATGGCTGGCGAGTCAGTGACTACGGGCTTTGGATCAGCTTGATCATAGAAGTGTTGTCCTTACAACGATTAACACTCGACATCTTGTAGAAATCTTGTACACTTCCTTCACATTCCAACTCTGTCAAGCTGTTATGCCTTTGCCAGAAGGACAACACTGCATGTTCACTAAATTACCAGCGGAGGTGCGACTCTTGATCTACGAGTATTTGCTACAAACGCCCCAGGTCATATCCCTTGGACGATTGCGGACCACGACTCTTCGCCTTCCAAGGTCCGTCACCAATCTCCACGTGGCGAAGCATGTAGACCTCGAAGACTTCGACATAGACGAGGAGGAGGAGATCGACACTAACGCCGACCCAATATTACACCCGTCTATCCTGGCTACTTGTTCAGATATCTACACTGAAGCGTGTCCTGTTCTGTACGGCGCCAATCTTTGGTACACCGCGATTGTACCCTTTCCGCGAGCCATACAAGGATGGAGGCGCAGTGACCGCCAATTGAACACCTTTGAAGGCCGTGGTCATCAACAGTCAGCCTGCTGTATCTGCTTTAGTGGCCAGTCACCATTCGCTGATTACTTCCTTGGCTTCCGAACATCGATAAGCGCCGAGGACGACATTCACGGCTGTGTCACTTGGAATGCAAATATCAACAGAGTACGACAGCTCTTCGTTGGGATACGGCCATATACCTTCGAGCAGTACTGCGACCGCTCTCGAAAAGCGTCACTCCCTGTCTGTCCTCAGTCACTGTGCCCTCACAGTCTCTCCAACTCTCTTCCAGCCGAATTGGATTTGAAGATATTGGTCGTTTGCCCACAGCCACGCGAGATCAATGCGCATTCTGTAGGATCCGCGTATGTCGATACACGGAGCGACAGGAATACCCAACTCCTGTATCGATGGCAACAGGAGTCGGATGCAGATGTTATGCAAGAGACTCAGACTCTGCTCCTTAAAGCTCCTCGTCTCGCTGATACGACGGTTCTGCTCCCTTTTCGGCCTGATGGGCTTTGCTTTCGAGCGTTAGCGCATAGTCTACTCAAGCACAAAACGTGGTTAGATCCTCTCGGTCCAGCCTTCAACACCAGATATACACTTTGTTTCGACGTACCTAGCAAGATACGGGACGGGAACACATATCGCGTGCCAGACGTCCAGAAGAGGAAGACGCTCGAAGCAGCTGCTATAAGCAAGAAGAACCGAGCAGAGCTGGCCGTTCTACGAGGGGACTCGTTCTGGACGAGATCCGCCACCGAGATGGTCCATGATGCTCTGAGTCGTGACCAAGCCTTCGCGATACTCAGCAAATAGGGTGCACCAGTGTGCGTGTGTAAGCAAGTCCGCGAGTGGTGCCTTTGGTCCTTGGGACAGCGAGCCTAACGCGAAGAGACCATCGCAGAGGACACATCCAGCCTACGCCAGGTAGCAGAGAGCATACATCCTTACCAACCATTCGCATGTGCCGAGCAGTGGGGTTCAGGGCAAATGACGTTTGTAAAAAGCCGACCGATGTTCTGGAGCATCAAATTTTACGTAGGCATACATCGCAAGACAGCCTAACGAACCTTCTGCGTCCGTGACCGGCGACACGTGCGTCTCGTTTTGGCGACAGCAGTCCCTGCACGACTTGAACAACCTCGTCTAAACCTGCCGTAACTCTTGAGGCTGCCGCTCGTTTCACGGAGCACTAGCGCCTACCTTGAACCGTGGAGCGTACGCTCCCTTTGCGCCGTCGCAGCTTTCCAGGCGCAGAAGCTCGAGATGGGCCAGGTGTCTCTCTATCTTGCCCGCGGCCATCTCGTGCCTCTTATATCGCCTCTGTGCCCGCCCTCTCGGCTGTCAAGTCACGTCGTTATGGTGGGGGCACGCGAGGACGGCTCAGATTGGCGAGTCATCATTGAAGACTTCACCCTACGTGGCCGTCATCACGAACCGTACGCCAATACCACAGAAGACAGCATCCGACACATACGAAACAGATGGTCGTCGTAAGTGTCCTGGCGCTCGAGTTTCACGCGTGAGCCAAACGCTGATCTCGTGGCGCTTCTTGGAGTTTCGCTCCCTCATGAACTGACCGCCTTTGTTGGCATATCTGTCCCATGTACCCGGCTTCGAAAATCGTCGCGCGATAACCAGCCCAGTCGCCCAATCGGCAATGGATGGGGAAAACTCCACGCTTGATGAATCCCACACTCGTGAGTAGCTCCTCAGCTGCATCCATGGCCATCGGCCGATGCAGGAACATGTGTTTTGATAATCCACTATCTCTATCCATCGGTCCACTGACGTCTAATGCACCTGATCCGCATGCGAGAAGTATGCCATATGCAGGTGTCTGGATCACGGAATCCTCAGAATGACGGTATGCTTGTAGGTCAACATTAGGAATCGTGCACAAAGCGATCCAAGTCGAAGCATATGTACCCGGAGAGGTACATGCCCTGTGAAGCGCGACCGATCAGTTTTGACATCCGTCTAGCTGTTCAAATGGCTGGTAGGGTCCCAAACCGAAGAGGTGACGCCTGCAGTATCGGCGTCATGAATTCTCTGCCATGACTGCTGAGGTGACCATTTCGCACGCCGTTGGTATACTGCCACGATTCTTTCATCAATGGCTCCAAATCGCGCAAGTAACAGTCAAGCTCGTTGCGCTCTTCATTAGTCATCTTGCGTTCCCTTTCGCGCAGACCGAGAAATCGTATCGACATAGCGCTAGTATGTCGAGCGTAATGTGTCTTTGTTTTCCAGATTGCACACTAATGGCACATGTAGTTTCACCGAGAAAATCAGTGTCGCCAGATTGGCGTCAGCTAACAATGCGGCTCTTGCGCTTCTGTAAGATGCCATACATTCTAAAATCTGACCCCTGCAGACTCTTGTTTAGGCCCGGCATGTTACTATTATGGACGACATCGTCCCGCACATCGTCATGCATCTGTTCAATCCACACACCCCACAGATTGGCGCATTACTAAACCTTGTCCGACTTCACACGACGTCTTGTCGGACTGTAAAAATACCGGTACCTCTTGCTGCATATTGGTAAAAACGCATCGAGAAAGACACGAAAGGCAAACTATCCGCGCCATTTCCCAACGCAGACGCCCGTTTCCGGACGCAGAAGTCCCGCCAGTAGTCAGCCAGTGGCGTACCAAACCCCGAAGGAGAAGTCTCCGCCGTCTGGCCGTCTCCAGTTCAATCAATCCACCACCACATCGGCTGCTACAACCCGTAGGCGCTATCCGCGTCATCAAATGCTACCATCCTGTAGTGTCTGGACTTGCCAGTGATCCCTCAGTCCCTATTGCTAAAACGCAGCCATGTCGACAACAGCTGGAGCCTGGTCATTTGGTACAGCTCCTGAAGGACACATTCGATCTCGTCTTCGCCAAGCACAATGTTGCACCACCATCTATCATGCGCGTGGTACAGGCTTGCGCATACCTCGCCTCTCCTTCCATAGATAAGATTGGTTGCGCCGAAATTCCAGGTACTCCAGGGATATCTCTCGTTGGCCGACACATTACGACAGATAAGCTGACCACTATGTAGCAATCTTGGAGCCTGGTGGAGCTCGATTGAAGACACTCCACATGTCTTGTGAAGTGCTGTCTTGTTCGCGTCGCTCAAAGTGGCTTCTTCGGCAAGCAGCCAGCAGTCGACGACCCTATTTGCGCTGTAGCGGCAGTGGACGACGTACCACTGGCTGCTTCTCGGATGCTGGTCTGGATACTGAGATGTATACTGCATCGAAGTTGGTGGTGCGTTATGAAAGTTTCCAAAATGCTCCAGAAGCTTATCGGAATGGTGATCCATTGTGTCGTTGCCGTGCTGAGTCCGAGCTTGGTGCTCCTCAGCGGCCAGCGCATCGGCGAGAGCCATCTTTAGCGATGCGATGACTGCGGATAATGTGGTCATGTTGAGCTCGGTTGGGGGGCTGCAAGTTGGAGAGATTTCAAGTACGAAGTGCTCCGCGCCTGCATCTTATACCTCGACTGCTGAAGCAGCACGCTGGGCCTAGAACCACTATGCACAACACAGCCTTCTCACCGCCAAACATCAACATGTCATTACCATCGAATCGCGGTAGCTGCAGCCTGTTGACTTGAGGTAGTGCTGGCATCTATTGGCTACTATGTCACCCCGCAAGCTTGTCATACGATCTGTCTCGGCCGGGTATCGAGAACGAGGTCTCTGGACCAGCCATTTTCGTAGCAAGCTGGTCTAAGCCGCGAAGGCCCTAACACTGCCACAATGAGCAGCGGGTATAAAGCGCCCAAAGGTCGTGATATTGCTCGTGCAGAACCCCAAAACGCCGCATGTCCAGCGCAGAAGCTGCTATGACTACACCAAACACCCGCTCACGCCTGCTACACTGCATCCCGGCCGAACTCCTGCTTAAGGTTTGCGAGTATCTGCCAACAGCAGACCTCCATAACCTGTCCTGCGTCTCTACCAGAGTACACGCTCTTATCCAGATGAACTCAACACTGCTTATAACACTCTACAAAGCGCCTTCAAGAGCATCGCCACACTTCTGGTCCTTTGATGATCAACACAGAAGCTTGACATTCCAGGCGGCTCAGTCCGAGAATGGAGATCTTCAACTGGTAACGGCCGCGAATGACATGATTTTCCGACCAGTAGCACGCGGAGATGGCAATCTTTTCGACTTGCACCGCTATGATGCGAGCTTGGCGTTCCGGCATCCTATCAGCACGTTGGTTCATCTCATGGGACTCGACTTGGGTACGCGGGCGCCGACTATGCTTACAATGTTCTTAACTCAGCCACCAACAACGAGGGGGACAATCATTATTGGGAGCGTGGGAGCGAACGGTCTCGTCGAAGAATTTCTACTTCGCGAGCTATACGAGGCTACCGGAATCACATTTGCCACTGTCCTAAGAGCACTCAGTTCTTGCAAAATTCGACACAGTACAGCCCTTCCTCCTCTGCGATTCATTCCGGCAGGAGCTGTGTTTCCCGATGCTTCTGACGCTCTGCTCCTCCGGCTCCGTGGCTCGATAACAGATGACGAGGTGTTCGGACTTGGCCGATCACTCCGCCGCCTAGGTCTTGGGCTGCAAGGGTTTGGTCCATGGTTTGATGACCCACGAATTGCTTATTCTCGGCATCGTCGTCGCCTCCTCCATGAGCAGATCAGCAGAATATGACGTGAAGCATTTCCTCCTCTACACGCTTCGCCTGAAGTTACGTTCGCGACCGGTGCCGTCAAAGAAGCTACTTCGAAAAGGGTCATTGATGGGCGGAGGTGACCTTGGATCCTGCAGCTTTTGATAAGTTGATTTACGGCACTTGAACCAGTGCAGCCTCATCCATGCCTTAGTTCGGTTCAGAGTTGATTTACTACATCTCACGACAGAGGCATTTAAAGTTGCAGGGACTGAGGGATTACGACTGTCTCCCTTGCGCTACTTTCCATTAACGATATCACAATCTAGCTCGTAAAGGTAATGCAACACACCTGCCTGTAGCTTCCCTTGGCTTAGTCACATAGCCTCAACTTTCACTAGCCACTAAGAACTTCATGGGCGTAGTTGACCTGACATCACCTTCTGCATAATTCTTAACATGCCTGCAGGCGGGTAGTCATCAGTAGGCTCTTCGTTGTATCCACTGTTGGCGAGAGAGCTACCAGAGAGCCACGTATCGTTGAGCTTCGCCACAGACATGGCAGCAAGAAACACAGCCATGTTTGGTACATCGGCATCGTGAATGACAGCGAGGATGCCCCAAAGGTCGCGACTACCTTCAGCTCCTGAGCCCACAGGTTTGGCTGCGGCTGTGATCCAGAATTCTCCGTGAGGTGACTGTCGGAGCTCGGTAGTCCCGAATTGCAGGGGTAACGACCAATATGCATTGGGCTCCTCGGTTGAGGAAATGACGGCTGGACAGACTAAGCGTTCGGTCGCATTGACGGGGATCACGCTTTCTCGTTGGCCTGCGGTGGTTAAGACAAACTCGTTGGCAGTGTTCAGGTCGGTGGTCCGTCCCTCGACCAGCACGGCGATCGTGTCGTTGGATGAAGAGCCCATTGGATAGATGCGGAGCACAGAGTAAGAGTGATCTGCGTCGTAAGCTGGGTCGGATTTGCGGACCGTACGCATAAGGCTTTTGAATTTGTCATCGAAGACCACGCTCAAGATCTGTTCCTCGCTAGCTTTCGCAACATCTCCAGTCTTCGGGCCGGTATCATCATGACCGCATGCAGTTAGCTCACTGCCGTCAGCGACCGTGGTATAATCGTCGCTCCGGATACTCTCAAGATCGTTTACCATCTTGTCGTCCTCAGTATCAACACAGCCGGCGGTACGTTCCTGCTCGAGACAGCACGAGAGTTGAAATGGAGCTGGCTGGCCCTGGTGTTGTGTGGCTTGATAAGCTGGTGGGATACTAGTCTCAGTCAGTGCATGAACTTAGGTATCCTGCGGCTCTGCCTGGCTGCTGACTTACGGTAAAACTGTGCTGTGGTCATTGTCAAAGTTTCCAGCAATCTCACTCTCTGTTTCAGTGCGTGGGTGGCAAGACATGTCGTTGGTTTGTGCACTTGGTTATTAGACGGGACTCCAGACTTATATACCTGCGAAACTGCGCAAAACGATCCACAATAACTTAGCGCTACGCGAAACAGATGTTGTCAAACCAAACGAGTTTGAGGTGTGGTCGGGAGTCTATAGTCCATTGGACCAGCGAGCATCATAATCCAGGCTGTTGCATGCCCGTACAAATGACAGGTCCAGACGAAGATAGGTCAGGCGCAGGCTGCGTCTTCGCTCTGGGCCTGGAAAGCAATTGACTGGCTACGCATGTCCGGCCATGAGGAGGCAGCGCGATTCTTCGAGATCCTGGATGCGGCGCCGAATTTGTTGGCTAGCAGGCCTAGATGAAAGACAGGTCAGGTGCAGGCTGCGCCTTTACTGTGAGTCTGGAACGATCTGGCTATGGAGATGCAGTGCAATCCTTTGCGGCGGTGTAGAGATCCTGTACGCGGCGCCGAATTAGTTGACCAGGCGGCTATGTTCAGTCGTCAGATTTATTGGCTACCGTCCAGATCCTGGATTCGACCCACATACCCCGGCAGCCCACTAGGCTATATATGCGTAAACAATTGGCCATTACATATCTTCCAGTTACGGCCACCATCATCTTCGAGGCCTTGGACCCGCTGCAAGGAACCGCAGTTCCACGATTACCATGACAGACAGAAGCCAGCAGGAGTGGGAGATCAAGAGCATCATCGGTGATCGAAAATTCGAAGGTTCATCAATTTGTCAGTACTTGGTAGACTGGTTGCCAGTCACTGTCCACGAGACCGAGCTGAAGGAATTGCTCGCCAGCACTATCGATGGTCACTGTTTGGAACACGAAGTTCGTCGCACGCAATACCTGGAAGGACGACCTGGGTATGTCATGTTACACTGGGAGCCGAGCTGGGTATTGTATGATCATTGTGACACGGACGCTGCTGAAGCGTACTATGCTTTGGCTGATATTGTTCGGTAAGTACAATGGCAGTTTACTAGTGACCAGACTTTCAGACCTAATGCTCTTACAGCAAATGCCGCGAGTCGACTTCGTTTGTTGAGGGCACAAGTGGTGACTGGAAGAGAACCTGGAGGTTCCCATGGCGATCGGGTACCCAAGTATGGGAGAAGCAGAAATCTCATGGCGAAGATGGTCTTGCGGTGTGGACGATGCTTCGGTTGGATATGATAGGCTGACATGTATATCGTATGGTTCTGGGAAACTGGCCCGTCGATAGAGCGAAGTATCTAATGCAGTTCTATTAGCAGAGGTGAGGTGAAGTGACGTGACATTAGAGCTGAATAAGCATGGCGGAAATTCCCCGCGTGGAGCTAGCATCGCCATAGAATTAGAAGCCAGGAACCTGAAGCCGGGAATGAGTCGTCAACGACAGTCAGACAGCTACTACTGAGATCACTTAGTACGCTATGTGTCGTTCGCGCATTCGAAGTCTCCACCCATGGAGCCGTACACTCATCCCACCCATACGGAAACAATAATTGGGAGAGCTCAGTCTCAGCGAGGAAACAGACCACCACTTACGCCCTTGACGTTCCGGGTTTTGATCCTATATGCGTAGTTTGCCCGCACGGGCATTGAGCCCAGGGCCAACACGAATCAGATCATTGTTCGCGCCTTCGACGTTCCGGATCTCAGCTTTCTATGCATGTTTTGCCCGTGCGGACAATGTGACCGCTAAATACAGCACTGATGCAAAGTAAGACTAGTAGACCACCCTCTTTGGTTCCGGGTTTCCAAGCCGTATGCGTGCTGGACCCGCACGGGCAATATGGCCACCAACGTACAGCACTAACCTAAGATCAGATTATTGGACGACCTTCTTTGGTTCCGGGCTTCCAAGCCGTATGCGTGCTGGACCCGCACGGGCAATATGACCACCAACGTACAGCACTAACCTAAGATCAGACTATTGGACGACCTTCTTTGGTTCCGGGTTTCCAAGCCGTATGCGTGCTGGACCCGCACGGGCAATATGACCACCAACATACAGCATCAATCTCAGGTTGGACCATTGGATGACTCTGTTTGCTTCCGGGATTTTAACCCGCATACATGCTTTGCCCGTGCGGAAAATATCACCGCCAATATACAGCATCAATCTCAGGTTGGACCATTGGATGACTCTGTTTGGTTCCGGGATTTTAAGCCGCATACATGCTTTGCCCGTGCGGAGAATATCACCGCCAATATACACCACCAGCCCAAGATCAGACCGTTGGACGAGCTTCCGAAATTTCCGGGCTTTTCAAGCCGTACACGTACTTTGACCGTGCGGAACATATCACCGCTAGAATTGAGCACCACATCAAAAATATGATATCTCTTGCACACCAACGCTCGTGGCTATTCGATCCGTACAGATGCTTCGCCCGCGCGGCTGTGAGCTCTGTATGACTAATCTACCTTACTCGAGTTCAGCTGATTAGGTGACAGCTTACTATTCCAGACATGGACTACGATTGTGTGCATACTACGACATCCCCCAACCGCCTCTTGATGGCCAGACATGCGTAGCCAGTCAACCACAGTCCAGACCTCAGAGTGAAGGCATGGGTGGCTATGTTGGGCTGTGTTCATGCGGGCATTCTAGCCAAAAGTTCAACCATCTGAATATAACTGCCAACATCGCACTGCCTCTTGGAAAGCCAGGCGTTCCTAGCCAGTGGATGCCGTCCTGAGACCCAACAGCTGAGACGCAGGTGGTCATGGTAATCGATTTGACACACGAATCGAGAGGATATCGCGCTGCCTCATACTTTCACTGGCCAGCAATGCATCCCCAGGAGTTTGAGGCTGCATCCTTCCATTGTGGGAGGGCCGCGGAGCGTTACGGCCGATGAACCGAATTCCACATATATATGTTGCTTGCAGCACTCAATAATCCAATCTTCGCCAGATCCCAACACTCTCCCCATCTGCCTTCACACCACTCAAGCAAACCATTCGCCAGATCCAGGCCACTCCCCTCTCATCACTTAAGCAAGCCAATCGCCATGTCCAGGCCACTCTCCCCAGCTGCCTTCACACCACTCAACCAGGCCACTATCCAGGATTCCAAGATGGACGATCTATGGGAAGTATCCGACGTGGTCGGTCGGCGATTCTGCGGCGATACCGTACAGTATCTCGTGGAATGGTGCCCTACCCATGTCATCTTCAGCGAGCTTCAGGAATTTTTATACTTCAAGATCGATGGTCAAACCTTGTACCAAAGTGTCTCTGGACGTATCCATGCATGCTCGTCCCCAGGCCATCAGCCAGCTACTGATATGGACCAAAAGCCGAATGCAGCTTTGGGCGGAACTTCTGGGACCGCTGTTGCTGGCTCAACTCGACAGGTCTACACCTTGCCTCACCATGGGGCTACTGGAGGAACCATGACATATCCAGCTGTCAAAGGCAGACACAGTCCGGCGCAGTGCCTAAAGGTAAAATGGCAGCGTTCCTGGATTCCAGAGGAGGAGACGTCCTTCATCAAGGAACTGGTCAACAAGTTTCTGAACGACTTCATACAAGACAGGTAATCCAGGTTCACCCGCTACACCCCTCGCTGTAACTGACATTCATGCCCCAACAGCTTTAATGGTCTTCGTATGGATCCCGACAACGACAATCCAATGATCTCCTTCGGCAAAGGCTTCAGATATCGATGGCGTGCAGAGTCATGTGATGCTTTGGACGGCCCAACCAATGAACAAGGTGTCGTGCTCAGCTGGGAGTCCATAGTCCGACTGAATGGCGCACTGTGAAGAAGTCCAGCAGAAGTGGGCTTCCGTTTGCTATCTAGTGCATAGTTACGTAGACCCGCCCATCGGCGATCAAGCAAGAATCATGGCTCTCACGTCACCTGGCTGTATGTTTGTGATCTTATCATGTGATAGTGCTATACATCGGCGTGCGAGAGTAACAGTGGACGCTACGATTACAGGAGATCTAAAGATGCAGATGACGTTGAAGATGCTTGCAGCCCCGTAAAACTCCTCCTCCCAACCCTTCACATTCAACACAGTATCCGAAACCTCACTACACTTTCTGCAGCCGTCATGCACCCCCGAGCTATCTGGACTCGTAGGGATGCACTTGCCAGCCGCACCCAAAGCGCTGGATGTGGTGCTGTCGGACAGGACTGAGTGACGGGAGTTTTGACTCATGAACCCAGGACTCTCGCCAGATCACCTTGTACATCTTTCCCTCACCTGTAGTCTTTTCCGCTGCAATATCGGTAAAGCAGCGGGCTGGTGAGACTGGAGTTGGCCCACGGACTAGGGTGAGATTTTGACCTATGTCTGTGACAAGGTGAGGCAGTTCTCGGCATCGAGCCTTTGCAGCAGGCATTCCTGCCTCTGTCAGCCGCGGCAAAAGTTCCTTATACACAAAGACCAGCTTACCTTCCGGCGAGCGCGATCTGATACGCTTCCCTGTCGTGGAATTGCAAGGATAGGGTGATACTGATCTAACTAACTGAGGTGGCTCGGTTTCTTGTAACTGCCTAGCAGCATCTGCGAGCGTCTTGAGAGACAGTGGGGTGCCAGACTGTTGAGAAAGGTTCCCAGCGTCAGAATTGTTCCTAGCGAATCTGGCTTTCTGGAATAAGTTTTCGGCGTATGCATCTTTAGCTGTTGTATTGTGATGCGATCCGCTCATCCAATCCTCCTCGCTTGTTTCACTGCCTACGACAGACACAGACTCGAACCAAGGACGCCCCCTATGGCCTTGGCCAGCTACATCGGCATTGAACTCGATCAGCTGCTGCAGATCATCTTCGGCGATGGTAGCCTCGCCTGTATGGTCAGGCATTGACATCGTCTCGACTTGCCAAAAATCGTCTTCAGACCATTGGCCGATGGAGCTAGGGTTGTAGGCGCTCGTGACTTCGGAACCAGACTCCTTATAGCGGGGCGAAACGAGGCCATCCGACTCGAATATTTGATGCTGGCATCCTTCGTCGTTCGCTCTATCAGGGCCACTACCAGACTCGTAACGTCTAGCGGAATTCTGGTGCGGAATTGCGATAGTATCGTAAGCGCGATCATATGCTGTGTGGACCGCTGCCAAAGCTGGTGTCGACGGTGACAACGCTAGCAGTTCAGGATAACAATCGCTGTAATCACTCTCCGTAGAATCAGGGGATTGGTCTAACAGCATAGCTGCACTTTCGTCGCCGCCTGGTGGCGTCGATGCACGAGTTCTGATAGGTTCGTAGGGGTATGGCGTCTTTGGAGGGCATACCCATGGAGCCCTTGGAGACATCATTGGGCTTTCCTCGATCGTTGGTAGCACTACGTGTCGGTAGTTGGGCATCGCTGTTGATAGAACCGTAGTTAGTCTTTGCAATGATCCAGCGCAAGAAGAGACTGAGCTCTCATATTTAAGGTTGGTTTGAGAGAGCGAGGTCCCCGAATACTAGCTGTACATATTTCCACTTCTGCAATCTTGCTACCAAGGTACCAGGAAGTCGGTAATGCTTCATCCTGGATCCAGGAAGTAGGAGTTGGATGAGGATCCGTAGGCACTGCTGTGCCAAGGCATGTCAATCTACTTTTGTCGTACTCCTGCATGTGAAGCTTTATATCTAGCAATGCATCTCTGTAGAGATCGCCGGACCTCAAAGTCTTGTTAGAGCGCTCTCGTCAAAGTAGTATGACCGGCACTTCGTTCCTCGACTTACCCCGCGAAATACGCGACCAAATTTACGCGCAATGCCTCATCTCCACTCAGGCAATTCCTCTAGCCAATTTGAGGGCCAGCCCACGAAATCGACCTCGACATCAACATCTTGATTTACACCCGCACCTATTAGCTTGTTGCCACCAAGTGTACCGTGAAGGCCACGACACTCTGTACGGTCTCAACGTGTTTTCCACCGAAATCGTCGCATCTTGGCAGTATAACCATGACACCATCTGGCGCCGATGCTTCCAGGACTCGAACAGGCGATTAGAGACTTGCCTTACATGTCAAAAGGAAGACCGCCATCTCGTAGGCACGAGATCTCTCGAGCTGGAAGCAGTAGCAGAGTGGGACAAGACTGTTGGTGCTATTCGTCGGCTACAAGTCCATCTACGACCTTATACTTACTTCGAATGGGGCATGAAGCAGCGGACCGTCTTCTCGCGCTCGAAGGCGGCCTGTCCTCATCATGTGACTACGGCAATCCCTGACGTAAGAAGCCTTATGCTAGACCTTCTTGTCGTCCGAATAGCACGGAGGAGTCTAATGAAGGAAGAAGACTCCATCAGCAAAAAAGTGTGGGCGACTATGGGATGCTGCTACGGGACGCAAGACACGATGATATGGCGAGGGAATGCCCACTTGGATACTTGTCGGACCGCAGGTACACTACTGTCAAATGTCGGGAATTGCGCCAGAACGCTTGTTGTTGCAAAAGCTGGAGTTCAACCCTTAATCACCAAACTCCATGCGAATGATCTGACGCCACGCTGGTTACAAAGCTTCCTCTCCACAGGCGTCTTAACTACTGCTAAAACAGCGCACAGGACTAACAGTAGCGCTGTACCTTACTTGTTGCAGTTGCGTAGAGAGGTAAGGACTCGGTATATAATCATTTCAGATATGCATCTCGATGGATTCGTTTGTGAAGACGACTGCACGGCTGCTTCAATTAGCATCTATACAGATGTATGATAACGTCCATCCGCATATTGCGAGCCACCCTTCGTGAAGAGCCAAGCAAGCGGTGCCTGCTCTTCAAACCAAGCCCATATCTGTATCTGCACCTGCGCTTCGTCGCTCCTCCATAGATATCTGACCGGGTAGCCATCTAGAAACGCAAGCTTGATAGGCAGATCGACCATCCTGTTGTTCAGAACTCTATAAGACCGCCGTGAATGTTCCCACCTATATGACGCATGTGGTGCATCGGGCCCACATCAGTCTCATTGCCAAGCCCGGCATTTCAGCTAATCCTTCTACGCAGAACAGTTCCTTGCTCTGGAGGTGTACTGCACTGGACGCACAGCCTGCAACCTTGTCGCATCTGAGATCGTTGTTGCCGCAGAGATCAACCATCATAAACGTAGGGCACTGTTCGCCAGACACCAGTTCAAGGCCCAAGATAGGGGTCGGAAACGTAGTTTCTAACTAACATTTTCCCAAGCATCGAGGGTCTGCGACGCGGCAATAGAGTCCCCCGCCAGTCAGGCGGAATACCCAGCAGATAGCCATGACTGTGAGAGCATATCCCACGACATCTTGCCTATGAACGCAGCGAATTCTGGCGCGTTAGACTCCCGGACGACGGCAAGGATGCCCCAAGCGTGGTGACGATCACCAGATACAAATGCTTCGTTGCCTCTCATGGCCGCTGTCACCCAGAGTTCGCCAAGTGCAGACTGTCGGATGAGTGTCTCTCCAGGAGAAAGCGGTGCTGCCCAAAATGCTTCAGTAGATTGTCCCGTCCTCTCAGCTGGGAGCAGCTGAATGCCAGAGGTGAAACCAGTCGGTACGAGCCCAAGATCGGAGTACGCAAGCTGTATAGCTGACTGATTTGCATTGTCTAAGTGCAGATGCCAATGCTTGACGACTACGCGGATGGTAGGTTCTCGGAGAGTGCCGAGTGGGTGAATGTGGAGCACAGAGTAGAGCTGATCCATCCCATTGCTCAGGCACATCTGCACCATACGTACGAGCTCGTTGAACCGTTCATCAAAGTCCACGCAGAGACTTCCCACCTGCGTGCGGTGGGTTCTGTTGTACCTCTGCTCCCAGGACTTTGGGGCCATAGCTTCTGCATGTTTCGTCCACTGCCCATAACCGGTAGTGACTTGAGTATCTACGTCAAAAGCCGACACCACATATCCTTCTTCTTCGTCGTAGAAGCCGACCTCGGCCTGGGCGATATTTTCATCATCGCTTATGTCATCGTCGTCGGTCACGGTACCGTCGTCGGTCTTGTTATCGTCATTATCAATGGTAGTAGCGTCGTCGGCAATGGTAGTATCATCGTCGATGTTGATAGCATCTCCGGTGAGAATTTCGTCGTCAGCAGCGCGATGTGTGCAGGTTACTGGGCCGCCGCAAGGATTGACATTGTCGTTGGAAATGGCATGATCGAAGAAGGTGACATAGAAATTGATGGTGGTTTCGGCGATCAAAGCGTCTTCACTGTCAACTTCGGTGCTGGGGGCGTAGGTGATGTCCTCGAGGAGGGCGTCGAGAGCCGAGGAATCGGCGTAAGCGCAAGAGCTGTCCTGGCTTATTGTTTCGTCGGTGTGCACCATTAGTGGACTTCTCCTGCGTCGAGGCGTGGTCAGCTCGTACCATTGGAAATGAACACATCGTCGCTACACACCTTGAAGACTCAATCTGGTCATCACGTGTGATTGACATCGTAGCGCCTAGTAATTCAGTAAGGTGATCAAGAAACACGTTGCTGCTTCCCTTGGGTCTTGGAATCGATGCTGCTGCTGTAATGAAGGCAAAAGAGGGCGCCTAGACTTTATAGGTCACTGGATCTCGTTGGTGAGTCACAAAGCTGCTCAGCCACGACAGAATGAGGACTGCGTCTGTGTCTGGAAAGCTCCGCGACGTTGGCCCAGGCAGCCGCATTGCAGATCCTAGACCATGTATAGGCACGCGGCATTCGATACGACGAGAGTGCTCCATCAAGCAAGGCGATGCTGAAGTCCCTGCCGTGCCGCGGAGTAGTGCACCGATGTTCTGCCCTGCTGTTCTCTTGTGCCACCTTGCATTCCACGGCAGGTACGTGTTCAAGTGAAGAGCGGCTCAAAATCTGGTTAACCTTTGTTCTTTGAGAAGGGCAGCGCAATAATGAAGTCAAATCGGACCTCAGAGGAGGCCCCCTCGCCGTTGCATCAAATACATCGTCATCATCAAGACGCCTTGTTGCGCAACGCAAACCTGACTCCATACTCTTCTGCAGTCTCATTCTCACTTGGACTGGAGGTTATACAGCGGTTCCAGAATCCCCCAACTCCAATCTGCGATCCCGTCGACCTGCCGCATATCCCTCATCCACTCCAGCGTCAACCTAATCGTGCTGTCGATTTCCTCTCTACCCACCACTCCGCCCTCTTCGACGATCTGGCGCAGGCAATCGTTCACCGTGCACATCTTCAGGATGAGCAGGATACCCATGAAATTCTGCGTCCAGGCGAACAAGTGCGGCACCAATCTTTTCTTGTTCTTTGGTGGCGCCATAGCAAGAGGCCACAAGCAGGCGCTTTTAATCGCCAGCGCGCAGCAAATGCAGTCCTCAGACGTCATCAGCTCCGGGAAATGCAGTGCCTTGTAGACGAACGGCCGGTATATCATGAACCTGGCATAGTAAAATCTAGTCCTCAGCTGAGCACACACCACATCCAAATTATACTTATGCACAAACGGTATCGGTCCCTGATCCATACTGAATAACGGCTCATTCGGCCTTCTCGTCATCGGATCCGTCGCTGGAAACTCGAACTTATTATGATCGCTCCACTGCAGCGGTCGCGGCAGCAGCGCCCTCCAGCTATCGAGTTGCTGGACCAACTCGCGGATGACGGCGACCGGTGGACCGCTGTAGTCGTCGTAGCTTTCGGATTGCGAGGACGAAGCTGCGAGGTCTTTGTGGGTGTGTGTACCTCCCGTAGCTTGCTGGGAGCCACCTCGCCACAAGGGCTCGGCCTGCATAGGGCGCTCACATCGATGGATCGCGTTGTGGATCTGCCCGATTAGGCGCCGTAGCGTGATCATGGCAAGGAAGTGGTATTGCAAGTGGCTTCGTTCCACGCCGGCTTGTGCTGGGAAGGAGCCGCCGCCTTGTTGCTGTTCTTGACCTTCGTGAAAGCTAGGAAGCGGGACTTCGTCTTCAAACGCATGTATGCCGGTCTGTGGCAAATCGAGCTCGAGGTGGTACAGATCCTCGCTCAAGACGCAGGTCCAGTACGCACGTTTGACCAGATCGCCAACTGCAGATCCCCAGTCGATGGGCTGATATCTAAGCAAGATCTGGCAAGCTGTTGAAGCCGCAGCGGTGGATCGGCAGAAGTCCAGATGGCGCGCTGTCGATTCGTAATATGTGGCTTGAAGCAGACTAATCTGGACATTTTCGAGATCGCACTGTGTGGCGATGAATCCGAGCCTACGTCTGGCCTCGTTAAAAATACCTAGACCAGGAGTTTGATCAATAGTGCCGCCCCGGAAGCCACTCGGTTGACCGCCTACAACACTGACGGGTCGTTCGAAGACACCTTCGGTAGCGACGCAACCGAGCGCGAAGACCATCAGAGCCAGGACGCTGTGTGGGTCGCCGTCTCCGTAGCCTTCACGCAACAGTCTTGGCATAATGCTGTTCATGAAGTTCTCTTGATTCAAGATCGGGTAGAGCACGTTGAAAGTGTTGAAGTAGGCATCGGAATATTCCTGGATTTGCTGAACAGTCAACATCGGGAATACTACGTTCGACGCTCTTCCTGTGTCAGTGGGGCCAACTTTGACCGCGAAGCAACGTAGGCCGACAGCTGAAGGTAGCGGTTCAGGATGCTTGGTCATCTCGCGCTTGATGAGCCACGAAGTGCCTTCTTGCAGGACATATTGTAATTCAGATGCGGCGGAAAGGCAGGAGTCGAGTAGGTGAGTGTATATGCCCGGCCACAGCATAATCATGTGAGGAGCCGTGAGATGCTGGTACGGCTGCTGTAGGTGAACGTAGTGATTCCGAGACGTGGTCTGCTGCGGCGTCTCGCTCGGTGTGGGTTTCATCAGAGATGCTTCTGAAGTTGTACCGCTTGCTGGGCCTCGCGCGCCGGGTGGGCTGACATCTGGACTGTTAGACTGTATCATTGCCAGGTTGTCGAATTTGTTCTCCAGCCGCGTGAGGGTATGGAGGATGTGGACCATCGTCTTGTCTTTCCTACAACCTCCTGTTAGTGTCCCGCTCGGTAGTAGAACGTTTCCCGTCATAGCAGGCTAGATAGCATAGTACCCAGCATTCATCACGCTTCTTTGCCATGGTGTCAGGACAATAGTCCGCTGTGAAGCTTGGCATCGTCCTACCACTGCGATTATCACTTACTTCGTAGGCAATGGCTCCCGATACTCGCACTCCACATTGAGTCGTTGACATAAGCCACCTGACTCACAGTCAGCAACATTACTCCAAGCAGAAAGGCACGAAGTCCCAAGCTTACATCTCGGCCGTATCGCGTCGCACTTGCTCTTCCTGTATGAAAGTCAGCCTTGTTTCGAAGGGTCACGTGGGTTTGCAGTTTCGGATGAACACCTGCCACTCACGAGATTTCTGACGTACCTGTTACGACATATTTGGCACGCCTGCGCAGCCATGGCTGCTCGCCCACGGCGCTGAGATGACTCAGCCGTCTCTGGATTGCCGAGAGAAGCCATGCTGCGTGCTTCTCAGACACCCCTGGCTACCATTGATGAAGGCGTCGGTAACAGTCTGTCTGTCACGAACACTGATGTCATTGATTGGTGGGGTAAGCGAGTGGACAGAAAGTTAGGAGCGGAGGCTTCCGCTCCCGAAACTGATACGACTGACATGCACTCGATCAATCGGATCAGACACCACTAACTGAACTGACCAGACTGTAGTCAGTCAGATCAGTCAGTACACGAATTTCCTATGTATATAGAATGGACGTTTCTTACGTAGGTAGTTCATGTTCAACCTAAATTACTAACCCGCCGAAACGTCCAACCCCAGAGCAGTCACTTACCCGACCCATCGCTTGGGATTCACTCGTCTAACGAGCTCTAACCCTCTTGTACCGTAGGTGTATAACACTGTCTAAGAATAGCGTGCAAAGCAAATACGTCTTACAACATAGCTGTAGAAGCTTCTAGAGAGCGCTACACCTTCGAAAAGAAGCGTATACGAAGATAGCATAGAGCAGATTACGGTTGCTATTCCGTAATGTGTATAGAGACGGCTATGCAGCTGTACCACAACACAACGACAACGAACGATACTACCAACAGCTAGTATATGGAACCACCATCATCGAAGCAGAAGCTGAAGGACCGAAGATCTATCTAGAAGCTGATTGTGCTCGACTGAACAAATCTAGCTGTGGACTCCTTGCTCGCCTGTGTCTCATCCATAGCGAATGCGGCAGTATATAAGTGAATGTCATTTGTGTCGCTGCGTACTGCGGCTCGGACTTTCTGTTCAAGCAGGGGCGTAGCGCAAACTGAGAGAAGTAAGTCCTTGAATAATGAAGACTTCGTGGATACTTACGTGAAACTGCCATGCTGCCTGCATCGGCGGCGTACTCCCTCATAACCATCCAGCCTAGGTCCATCTGACCGTCGACGTAGTAAAAGCGGTCTCGGTGCGCAGGACGAACGTTTGTTCTGCTACCTTGGGGCTCCGATGGTAGAGTTGGGAATGACACTACGACTGTAAAGATCCTTCGTTCGTCAATGTCCATAAGTTGGTCGATGTAAGAGCGAGCCCATTGCTCTTGATCTGTGTCACACTTAGCTGCATTCCATGCAAAACAGATTGTAGAACAGACCTTCGCTTTCGAGGACCCAAAGGAGAGATAGTCTCCGGACCTGCGCTGTGCGAGCATTGTGCCCTTGTAAGAGATGACGAATAGCAAGGAGATGAGCAGCTACGCCGGCCCCACTAGCCAAGAAGAGGACTTTGTCGAAGTCGTCTAGCTTTGGTCCCCGCCCATATGGTCCGTCGATCCAGATCGTAGCAGTAGCCCTGGCTAGTCGTAGCACATCGCTGAACCCACGTTGACATTGAACAAGCAGGTGAAGCTCCGTGGTTATTTTGTCGGCGACTTCGGGCGCCCACGCAATCATGTATGGATGAGACTGGACAGCTGAGCCTACAGTCCTAGGCACACTGGGGATTGTGATGTATATGTACTGGCCATGGCTCAGTCTCCAGGGTCTTCTCAAGCTGATCTTCAAGGCGAGAGCTTTCACTGATCCACCTTGGTCCGTAAGTGCAACGATAGAACCAGGAGGTACTGTCCGTCCACCTAGGTTGCGAATGGCTAGACGTGCAACCCAGAATGCATAGTGTATCGACCAAAGAAGAGCAGCGAGGCCTAGACAGAGGGTTTCGAAATTCTTTCCCTTCGATATATGCAACCATAAGCAGATTTGGAGGCCTGCGCTCAGCGCCACGTGAGACTTCACGAACACCTCGTAAAATCGACGTCGCAAAAGAATGGTCGACGCGGTACCAAGTAAACACAGCAATACCATGAGCTAACATCATTAGCTATTGAATGGTACGATCTCAAGAACAGTAGTCCGTACTCACAATGACGTGCATATACGTTGCTTTCCATTCCAGCATTGACAGTCTCGCCAAACCATGGCTGATGGCGAGTGCGAGGCAGATGCGCCCGATCCAGCGGTGAGCGAAGCCATGTACCGGGTGTGAAACGCCACATGCGATGTTGATCCAGAGGCTACGAGATCCACCCAGATACAGAGGCACGAGATTGATCAAAGCAAGTGTACCTGAGCGTTGCGCAAGCGTGGGAACGTCTTTCACGAAGATGACGCAGGCGAGGATGTTAGCTGCAGCCAGCGCGGCTATCAAAAGGCCTGCCGCCACAGACACATCCGAAGAGCCGTTTAAGCGCACGGATATCAGGGTCTGACTCAGGCACTTTCGCGCGAGCGCAAGGATGGGGCGTCCGTGATGACCAAGAGCGGCGGCTAAATTCCAGCTCAGCAGGAGGATAAGCAAGGATCCAAGCGCAATTGCGTAATACTTATGAGGTTGTAGTTTGTTAGCTGCAATGTCCATCTTAGCAGCGTGAAAAGATTTGACTATCAGTCTTGCTGAAAGTGTCTGGCGCCTTATACTATTATACACATACATAGGTGCTATTCCGCAAGAAAACCTGGAGGCTGGATCCAGCAGGCGGGATCCAGATTCTGCGCAAATCTGTCGTCTCTACATGAAACCGCTGGAATAGAACCGTCTGTGGCTAAGGCGGCGTGCCGAGCGTCTATTCTAGTTGGTTGTCAATCTAATAGCCAGTTAGCAGCTTGCAGCTGGCGCTCTAAATGGCCATCGACATGGACGACTTCCGGTAATCAGCATTTAAAACATCGTCAGCTGCTTTCTGGCACTGTCAACAATACCATTCCGACTCGACGGAGCACATGTCGTCAAGAATGCCGGGTCTTACTGTCAACGAACGCAAAGGGCATGCTCGACGAGAGCAGACAGTGTTCAAGAAAGGCAACGACCTGTACGTGAAACTGCCCAGACACGACTGCCGAACTGCGATATTTGTAGAACTTGAGGGCGTACTGTCTCATTACAATTCTCATCCTAACGGCAAGGAATTTTGGCTAAAAACCAACGAGCAATTGAAAGTAGGTTGTACCGTATTGTTGCCTTTAGTCCGATGACTGACTTGCTGGCAGTCGTCCAAGACAAGGATGTACTCACCTCTTAGCTTTATGTCTGGTGAAGAAGCTATTGAGACTGTCAGAAGCGAGAGTGCTGCTTCAGATGACGAAGAGAGAGCTCTCGGACGACGCACACCTTCTTTTAGTCGATCACCACGACCACTGTCACGCTTGTTCAGTACGCCTAGACCAACACGATCTAGCACGCCGCTAAGTCGCACTCCACGGAGCAGATCCACCTTGAACGTCGCGCAGCAGATACTTGGCCGACGCGGTCGACCAGACAGTCCATCACCTCCAAAAAGACGTGATTCAGTGCTAATGGACGCCTTCCAGCCGTCTTATATCAGCTCATTTCCCAGCGGGAGCAGAAGCCCAAGTGTCGATCTAGACTTCGGAATCACTGGCCAAATCTTTGAAGCTGGAAAGTCCGGATGCAGAAGCGCCCAGTCTTTGCCGTGTACCGATAGCGATGCAGAAGGAAAAGCAGCAAGCTCGAACCTCGACGGATGGCCGGATGAAACGTACGAGCCATCAGGTACAGCTGTTGAAGATTCTGGCAGGCTCCAGGAGCTGCTTTCGCGTGTAAGAACCAAGCGACAGCGTACCTCCTGAGAGGTGCTAATACAAGGCGAGCTTGCGGTAGAGATTGTATTAAGGATGTAGCATACCCAGGCGCATGGAAGAAGGAGTAGCATCATTTAGTATCTGTTTTACCCCTTGGGCTGTACGAAGCTATCTATAGTGACTCTTCATCCGCCGAACTATCTTCACCAGCCGAACTATCTTCATAAGCCGAACCATCTTCATCCGACTTTCGTCGCGAGGGACCAGCTTCCGAATTGTCTTCAATAGCCCGCCGTCGAGCGGGTAGAAACTGCCTCTTCATCTTTAATGAACCACGAGGACCGACTTCGTGCTCGCCCCAGCGCTCACGTTTGCGCTTTCCGACAGCTGAGCCTGGTATCAGATCTGGTCGTTTCCTCTCTAGTGAGACGCGGTTCTCTCGGATATCTACACCAAAGGTTTGGAGAGATGTCAAATCTGGCCAGTCTTTACCCTGTAGCCCCAGCCTCGCAGCCGAACCCTTTCTTAAGGCCCACAGGATATGCTTCGCGCACCAACATTCAAACACATAGGATGAGTCTGCTGATTGCTCTAAGTTTGTGCCCACTAGCCTTTTATGGTCCTCACCAAGAAAGAAATCCGTAGACGCACCCCTCTCATTTAGCAAGCCTGATCTGTGCTTAGCTTGAGATTTTGGAAGCACCCAATCCATGACGATTGTCTTCCCGATATTGTCAAAGTCGACGACTCGGAAGATCAAGTACGATTGCTCCGTCTTTTCGGTAATGACTAGAGTATACTCTCTCGGGTCGTAAGCAAGAGACTCGAACATGGCATCGACGAAGTCCGGTGAGTTCTCAAGGCGCTCGAGAAGATCCTGGTTCAATGCTGCCTGGTTCCGAGTTGTAAGAGTCGGCTTCAAACTTTGAGTTTCGGAATCTGTAACCGCGTCGGCGTCATCAGCTGAGTCGAAAGTAAAGCTTGTAGCTGTCTGAGCATTGAGGGAATACTGGAGGCGTTGTGATTCTTCCAACTGGCTTTGCAAATCTTCATTCCGCCTCTCGACAACTTGATGCTTCTGTTCCATATCGGACAGGATCTCAGATTTTTCGCGCAGCGTTGCCCTCATTCGCTCGGCTTCCGAACGTACGGCAGTATTCGCTGTCCGTAGTTCTCCATTAGCCTCTTCAAGAGTGATGTTTCTGGCCTCAAAGCGTTCTCGTGAAGTCTGGAGAGCTTTACTGAGTATTTCCGCAGCCTCCTTGGATTCACGAAGTGCGCGCGCCTCGTCTACAAACTCTCGTTCTCGATTTAAGACGGCAGCCTGGCTCGACGCTACCTGCTCCTCAGCCGAGAGAGCTCTTGTTGTTAGTACTTGCACCTCTTGTCTATGGCGTACCAAGACCGCCGACAGCTCAATTGATTCGTTCTCGAGCTGGGTAATCCTAGTTCTTGCCTGGTCTAAGGTCCGGGATAGCTCTTCGGCTCTTCGCCTCAGACGGTCGAGATCGTCCTGACCATTGACCAAGTCATGCTCGAGACTTTCGAGCTGGATGATTCTAGTTCTTGCCTCAATCGTTTCACGTCGTGCCTGGTCCAGATTCTCTGATAGTTCTTCCGCGCTTCGCCGCAGTCGTGTATTTGACTCATTCAGGTCTGCTGCTTCTCGCATGCTATTGTTGAGCTGATTGACTGTGTTCTCATACCGTGCAGCGTCGCCGCCCGTACGTTCCGAGCTCTGCTGCAGTTGTGCTACAAGGCTAATGTTTTCTGTTACTTCATGCTCAAGGTGCGAGCACCGATCGCGGGACGCTTGGAGTGTAGCGAGCAAAGTCGTGCACGTCGCACATGAAGATTGAGGACCTGCGACAGGACGAGCCTCGATGCCTACCTGAACGTCGACGACATCGGATAGTCCAACCTGGAAAACGTAAGCAGAGGCTAGCGATCTGAATAGCATTTCAAATACCACGTTTATATCAAAAAAAGCTCTTAACATAGACCATTTGCAGTAGAACGTAGTAAGTCCAAGAGCAACCGGTGAAGCGGAAGCGTAAAGTTGCGGCAAGAATAGTAGAGCCCGGTCGTTTAGATAATCGTCTTCAAAGGGGCGACCACAGCGTCTTTCAGAGCTCAAATCCACGTTCGTGGTGAACATCGCCTCTTGTGATATCTGCTCGGCCACCGAGTCTGTACGCAGGAGACTTGCTAACCTCTGGACGGTCTCTTCATCGTACACACGCGAGTTATCGCTTGAGAGAATTCGCCCGGCTCGCTGTAGCTGAGCATCTTCGGAACGAAGATTATCGGCTTCTGTCAAATGGAACCCAACACGCCAGGCCAACTCGCCAAAGCGCTGCCATAGAAGTCCGTCCGACTCCTGTGGTGAAGGCTTAGGTTTGTGAGGCTCCTTGCGAGGAGTAAAGGGGGTCATGCTAGCGCAGTCCCGCAATGCGAACAGCCAGAGCTGTTGATAAGCGTACAACAAGTCTTGTGTAGTAGTAGTTTTGGAGTGGATCTTTACGACACAAGCTGCATGCTCCACAGTTACATGATCGGGAGGAAAGTATGCCGCCGAGAACGCTTCAAAAATTGACTTCTTGTGCCTAGCAGGGAGAAGGCATCGCAAGATTCTCGCACACGGTTCCAGGTATTTCAGATTCTCGAAGAAAGTAAACAGACTCGGAATCATAGAAGGATAGGTCAGAAGTCCTTCAAGCACTAGTGAGCGGTGCTCGGCCAAAGAGATAGCTTCGAAAATATCTGCTTGGGCCATGAGCTCGTTAACCATATCTCTGTCCGCCGTTGACATGGTTGGACTCAGACCCTGGAGTTGCTCAACTGTGCCGCGGTTTACCAAGTGGCGAGGCTCGTAGTTTTGATCACTGACTGGCTGTAGTATAGATGTCCATGCCTTATAGATGTGGCGAAGATATTGCAGCAGCTCCTCGTCGCATTTCAGCGTTAGTAGACGGTGTAGCGATCCTAACCGGATGGTAGCCCATAACCCAGGCCATGGTAAAAGTGCATCGAAAGCATCAGCAAATCTTGTGTCCTTGAGCAACTGGCGTAGATCCTTGCGCTTTGTCTGCGACAGTCGAGCCCACCATCTTCCTTCCGCAGCTTTTGAACCTTCGTGATGATATGTACGGATCTTGTGAAATATTTCTCCGTCAGAGAATGCTTGTTCATTCCTGTACTCTTCCGCAAGCACGGTCTGCTCCTGTCGAGGGAATGCTGGAGTGAATTAGATTAGCACTCTCGGGGCGTTCAATCAGGATGCGCACACACCCGAGGTATAGAGCCTAACGATCCACCATTGATCATTCTGGTCAAGATGCTCCCTCGCTGCCAAAATGCGATGCAACCCATTCAAGCATTCCACCCGGCAATGTGGCAGCACCGGCAATTGCTCGTATGCGGAAGGAGCTGACGTAAGAGCCTCACGCAGATCCTCCGCGCCGTCCACGATTCCTGTCAAGAAGTGATTCTCGTCCTTTCTTTGACATCCTTCGATCTTAAAGATTCTGAGAATACGGCTGACATTGCGATCTGATACGTTCCGATGGCCTAGATCTGATTGTTGATTGAAATGCAATGCTGACAAGGCGACGCGTGCATAGCCAAGGAAACGGCGTCCTTCTCCTCCATCTTCTTCTCCTTCGTTACTATCGATGTCCATGTTCGAGTCCGAGGATACTATGGTTCTTACATGGATGTGCGCTTACATATTTGTGCACAGCGGCATGTACGGTACACTTCGTATACTGCATGCGTTACCTATCGAGCCTGGCCAAAGATCCGGGAACCTGCCTACCGGGTTCTCGTCCCCCGAGAACGAGACATTATGCGGACTATAACCAGACAGGTATATAGTATCCCTGGTAGGTACTATACTGCCTTTGTCCGTTCTTCTCGATACAACGTTCATTCACAATGTCAGGCGATGCTGTTACACCCTGGCTATCCATGTCTCATAGCAAAGGGGCAACTACATTATGGGAATCCCCACAGGCGCTTGCAAATCTGCGGGTCTCGTCTTCTGCATCACCATCGCCGGTCTTGATGATTGGTCGTGGAATCAAGTCAGAAATGCTTCGCCAATATGTGAAGCGGTCTGATCACAACATACTTGATCAGCCTCACAGTCTCTGCTACCTCTGGAGTGACAGTAACCCAAAGCACAATCTCTCTTACATCGATTTTGAGCTACAGGCTTACGATGTGCAACGCGCAGACGGCTTTACGACATGCCACCAAGGGCGGACCCGCACCGCGAGTTGGCTTGGCAATCTGAGAGGACCGTTCACCCGCCGTCGAGTTGGGAATCTGCTGGCTGGTAGAGCAATTGCTCCGCTGTGTTCGAGCGTGTGCTATTTTGCTCCAGATTTAGGCGGCATAAGAGGCGTCGCGGCACTTATCGCGGCTTTGCTTGCTGAAGTTCCATCGAGTGACCTACCTGCTACCTCGCTGCCGCACGCTATCGTTGTGGTGGAGACGGCATTAGAGGACTTCGACAGCTACACTGCCCTTCAAAATCTGATGAATGCTCTGTCTGACAACCTTCAATGTCTGGATGTACGAAAAGCTGGAGATCTGCAGCAGCGACTCCAGCAGCATTACAAGGAGCTTATAGTTGTTGGAATATGCACTTCGCGCCCCTCGCAATTCAGAGCGCGACAGCTCCAGCGCCGCTTGATAAGCACTCAACGAAGCTGGCAAGACGGACGTAGCAAGGGCGGTCTCCTGTTCCGACGCGATCACTTCGCCCACTTCTCGGGGCAATTGCTGGACCACTTCTGTCGTGATCCTTATACTATATTCTCCTTCGTTGATGCTTCCCGCCCTCTAGGTTTTAGTGTGACAGAGTTCGACTTCCAGTTCCGCGAACTGCTCGCCCTCATGCCATCTGAGACCTGGCTTTGGCATCTTGCGTGTCCGTTGCTGGTATCGACAATTGTCTTCGCTTCATACCCGCCAAAGTCACACCGTACGTATCGAAGACATACGCATCAAGAGCACCATGCTTACTATTGCTAGGCTTCCCAATCCTGATGCTTTTCGAGGCTCTTTACAGACGTCCAATTCGAGCTGCTTTGATGGAGAGAATAACACAAGAAACAACTCGGGAGGCATTTATGCGCAATCTGGGTGAGCAGCTAGTGTCACTTGCTGGAGACCTTCCCGATCCACCCGACGCAAGCCGTGGAGTCCATCTGCGACAGCTGATACACTTACGCCCGTACTTGGAAAAGATAACATCGCATAAGACTTGTCTTTGCTGTCTATTACAGTCGCCGGAGAAGGTACTGTCTTGCGGACATAGCATTTGCAACACCTGCGTACGAAGTGTTGGCACAAGCAGCATAACCCAGCGACATTGTTATGCTATTGAAAGATGCCCGTTGTGCAGCCGGCAAAACACTGGACCAGATATGCAGCTTATTCCACCAACTGCGGGAATTCGTGTTCTGGCCCTCGATGGGGGTGGTGTACGAGGCGTTATCCCACTCGTACTACTTCAGTGGCTGGAGCAAGGTCTGGCTCCTTTGGGCATCGCCATACATGAGTCGTTCGATCTTGTATGCGGCACATCCGCTGGTAAGGTTTATCAGCTTAGTACCCTATCCCAGTCCCACTACAGCAGTGATTATTAACAAGATAGCAGGTGGCTTAGTTACTCTGGGTCTGTTCATAATGGGGTGGGATACGTCTCTCTGCATACAAAGATTCGAAAACATCGCTACGAAGACCTTTGATCGCCATGCAAGCTCGGGCTTCAGCTTTGCCCGCCTACAAAACCTCGCCTTGTCCTATCTCCGAGACGGACAGTACAGCTCTTCTCCAATCGAGGCAGCTTTTCGATCTGAGCTTGGTAAGGATATCCGCATGTTCAATCCCTTGAGCTCGGATCTTAAGGTTGCTGTCACGACAACAACGGCCAAGGAGTCCAAAACATGTCTGTTCTCAAATTATAACGGCAATCTGCGGTCGTGTGACAGCGGTATGTATCGACTGACCTCATGGTCGCCCTGTCGCTTACAGTCATAGGGTACGACGTAGTAAGAACTCGTGAATCGGTTCATGATGTTTCTGTAGCACAAGCGTAAGTGTTCAGCCCCCTATTGTGTATGTTATAACTATTAACAACATCTAACAGGGCAAGTTGTACGAGCGCAGCCCCATGGTAAGTCGAACTCTACTTCAACGGACTATTGTCTGCAGGCGCAGTTGATTGAGCCGTTCTCTAGGTTTTTCCGACCCAAGGCAATCGAGAACGTGGGCACTTTCCAAGATGGTGGTCTGCAGCATAACAACCCCCTCAATCTAGCGCTGTGGGAGCTCCGACATCTGTGGCCCGATCGAAGTACTCCAGACTTCGCGCTGTCCATTGGCACTGGCTATTCTGAGTCACTCTTGTCCAGAGCTTGTGTAGGAACACAATCACCTGTAAGGGATCGGTTCATTGCGCGACTCTTCAAGACCTTCATGAAGAGCCTCGATGGCGAAAAGATGTGGAAAGAGTTTCATAACAGTCTTCCTGATTACGCTAAGCAGAGGTACCATCGCATCAACATCGCGGTCGAAGGCTCTGAGCCTGCAATTGACGATATCGCCAGTATGCACAACCTCAAGCGACAGGCACTAGCGTTTCTGGAGCGCGACAACAATTTGCAGGCAGCACTGGACGCTATGATATCATCCCTTTTTTATTTCGAGCTGGAAGATGTGCCAGAGCAATGTGAAACTGGGTACGTCTGCGATGGACATATCTATTGCAGGTTAGCTCTACCACCAAACGGCAGGCGTTGGCTTTTCACTCAGTTGACCAAGACGTCCTCGTTCTTCATTATCCTTGGGCAGCCTATCGCATGCGTGGATCGTACTTCGAAGAATCTCCCCTCATTCAGACGTCGTGTGCGTTTCACCATTGGCTCCTTGGATGAGAACATCGGCATTACCTTGAGAGGGATAACGGATTCTCCTACTGCCATTAGCGGTATGCCTAAGACGGCGAAGCAGTTGGTAGAGATGCAAGGCTTGACAGCAGACTTCGGCTGTCTAGACCACAGAGGTATAGACAAGGCGCTCCCTCGACTTCCTCAGAAGCGAAAACACTATGGTATTGCTTGAAGTCAGATTAGGTACGCAGCATATTGTAGAACATTCCATCGAACCTGCCTCTAGTTCATCGTCTCTATAAGCTTTCGAACGACGTTGAGTTTCGATCAGGTAATCGAAAAATTATGATAACAATAAGTAGGCCACCAGCAAGGACTTTGAGCTAAGAATATAGGTACTGACGACAACCTTGGACCTCAGCAGACCTCTATTAACATACATACTCATTAGCTAACTCTTCGCTGATCTGCCTAATTAGATCCTCTGCCCCGACGCCCTGTTCTACCCCAACCTGCCAGCGTTCTGAAAGGTCAACTCGAGCGTCTGGCTCTGGGTCTAAGCAAAACATGTCGTGAATCGCCCTGTCTGAAGCTTCTAGCTTAGTCGAATCGGACGATACACCCTCATGATCAATGACTTGGCGCTCTACCTTGCGCTTTAGAACCCTGATTTGACGGTCTTTCGCCGCCATCATATCGAGCGGTAGACAACGGTTGTTCCCGACCAGCTTCTCAGATGTTAGCAAATCGTCTCTGATATGTTTCTGGCCTTCGTACCTGCGCTACATCCACAGAGCTACGGTAAGAGGCATATTCCTGCTGTGCACTATGAAGTTCTTTTGCAAGAGCTTGCCTATAAGCGTCACATCTGGTCAATTGTCCCGAACGTGCTTCTACCTCTGTGGCCAACTTGTGGCATCGCGTGTGTGCTTGACACAGCTCTTGCTCTAGCCTTTCTCGATGCCGTACCTCCCCTTGAAGCGCGTTCAGAGTTCTCCCATGCTTCCATCGCTCCTCGTTCAAGACCTCGTACAGTCGTTTACGATAGGCAGATAAAGAGCGGTGGCCGTCTTCTTCGCTTTCTCTAAAGCTGTAGCTCGGGCGTATTGGGTGAAGGTGCGGGTGCAATGGTGTGCCGGGGGGAAGCCGTTCCTTGGCCTCACCTTGTCCGACGATGGGATGTGTGGGAAACTGCGAAAAAGACATTTGGAAATCAACAAAACAGGAGGATACAGCTACTCAGCTCAGTACGGCAGGGACGCGACACAATATTCACCTTTTCCGCAGTAGGCACCTCATGAGCCCTAATCGAATCGTGAAAGAGCGCTGAGATCCAGCTTCCTGGGCTTCGACTTTCCAGAATTGCGCCATCCGGCGGAACGGAATCGGCCCGCTGACAGCAAGGTCCCGAATTCACTTGATTAATTCCTCAGGTATGGATTCCGGTTACATTTTATCATAGATCCTGGTTCGCAGACTTATGAAGCAAGGGCCGAAAGTCCACGCAGCTGACTATTATCTCGCCAGTAATGCAACAAATAAAGAGGCTCACGTCCGCGAGATTGCTTGGACTCTGCATAGATCGCCCATAATGCGTCCCTCCCTTACTGTCCTTCATGTTCTTTGGCACTGGCTGCCATTTGCTTTCACACTTAGGTAAGAAGCGTGAACCCATGTGTGTGTGAGTCTGCTTAACATACTAGGACTACTTCATGGAATGATACAGCAGCATCGTACAAGCAGCTCGCGGAGCAGCTAAGCATTAACGCAGCAGTCTCCAATTACTCCTGGAACCCGCAAATTTTCACGTTTGCTTCAGCATCAACTATCCACTTCACAAGTGATTTGCCAGGATTGTTATTAACACAGTGGCTGGCTGGCCACCCTTGTGATCCACCACTCTCGATTTACGCCAACCAAACAAGCCAAAGTCTGATTCACATGATGATGGACAATGTTTCATTTACTGCACATATCAATACCACAGCTGTAAACTACTTCACGTTCACGGATTATGACTACCAGAAAGATTGTAAAGACCATCAAATCCTGACCTTGCTGCCGATTGGACACACGATTGGATCAGCTTCATCTACAGCTGGAGAATGCCTAAGCAAGAGCGTTACTGGGTTCCCGTCCGTCGCAACCGCACAAGTGGCCAGTGCATCCTTGTCTTTCGCTGGGAATTCAACGATAACATCAACGAGAAGCGGGCCCACAGCGACCAACTACAGTCTCGTGCCCAGCCAGACTGCAGCAATAGCTAATGACGGTGCTGTGCTCGGCGCCATCCATCTATATGAAGCTGTACAAATCATCGTCCTGCTTTGGTGCCTTTAACAGATCATGGTCAGCGAATGGGCACGCTTGGGCAGCTAGGGCATGGTATATAGTTAAGACTCGTAAGTAGAAGCAGAAAGCAGTTGATATCGAGCCTATAGCAGGAAGCCCATGCAATCTTCCTCGTACCCACATCTCCTCTTACCCATGCCGTATCGGATCAAAGAACTTCGACATTTCGCTGTTTTGGCTTGTAGAAGCACTATCCAATGTAGTTGTTGTATTATGCTCGGGCTCGGGACTGTGGAGATCTGGGACATGTAAGCCCATCTGCCGGTGAGATATGGCTCAATGAACATACCCTCCTTCGTGCTTCGTTTCCGTTGCTCGTGATCCTTGCGAAGGGCCCAAATGCAGATGTCTCTCTTGTTTCGTACGGGCCAGGTTTCGCACCACTCTTGCTCCAGCAATCGGACCATAGCATCTCTTTTTTTCGGCAGGCAATCTTGCCATGCAGTCTGAGAAAGCTCGGCGGCGTACTCCGTATAGATTGCCTTGCTTCGTTTCTAATTCATCCATATCTAATTAGCTTGCTAAGCCTGCGAATATGGGCGACCATACATGCCCTGAATTGTCGCCAGTCATATCCATCTTCATCAGAAGTCTCGCGAAGGCTTAGCATCGCTTTGATCGTTCCAGCGCTCGTTGCAGTCTTGATGCTGTCGGTTTCACCAGGAGCATCTATGGAGGGCACGACATTTTGTGGCTGCATAGTGCTTTGAACTTGCAGCCCTTGTGTCACGCATAACCGTACGATCGGCCTCAGATACTGACCGATCTCGCAGTAGGTACCAACACCGTGGGCTGTTGAGTGGCAGGCTCCGTAGCGATCTGGAAACTCATGAGTCGTGGTAGACTGGAAATCTAAACGAATGACTCCACCTCAGAACTAGTGGCTTTCGCTATTTGCAGATCATCAGCCCTTCTGGTAGCACAGGCCACCGTGGGCTCTCCAACCGAAAACAAATTTGCGAAACAGCCCGCGCGTCGCAACTTCCCTCCCGATTGTGTTAAGATCAGCTACCTGCTTTGCGCCAGCGAATATTCGTACAATTGCTTTATTGCCTCTGCTCGAGACAATTGATGCGTATTGGCCGCTTGCTGCGCCCGAGTCTCGACGAGTCCACGTGCATGTTGCTCACTATAACCCACTTGGGAGTAGAGCCTCATCAATGCAGCAATGTGTTGCTGAGTCTGCCGCGAATCCTGCATACTCTGCGTGGCAGGGCTATCTGCCACGGGAACCGAGCGTACTTGCACTGCTCTGCCGACGGCCGGTACTGTATCAGGTGCTAATGCGGTGGCTGATCGAGCAGGTATCTTGAGCTCGTTACCATTGATGTATAACTTGGGTGGCCTTCCCTTTTCGCCTTCGACGACCACCGAGTTATCACTCTCTGATCGAGCTTCGCCTCCCTGCTTCGTGCCATATTGATGGACCGTGCTTGGTATGCTTAGGTGGGTCAGGATGCCTTGGATGAGCTTTATATGCACGGGCACAGCCACTCGACCTTCGTGTATGGCCAGTACAGTGATAGCGCTTGGGTCTGGAAACACGCCCATTCTTGTGTACGTATTGTACACCGTTATGACTTGCTGCAACAAGCCACGGGCGTTATCGAGCTCTGCATTTCCTGGAGCATCTTTCCCATGCAGATTCGGATTGATCGGTGCAATGTGGACCAGTATACCAGCTTCGGATGATACTAGAGCGAGGGCAGTACAGCCATTAAGCTGTTGCGTCGCTAGGTAGCGTCTTCGATCCCAGGTACAATGGCCAGCCTGATTCATGGGTACCACAATGGTGTCAGACCTATTCTGAATCGCTTCGAACCGGGTTTGACTCGAAGACATCTGTAGTTGCTGTCAATGCCAGCTCATTGCATCATTGGTCGAGGCGTTTGGAAAAACGTAGACGAACCTTTGCAGTAGTTATTGCTCCGTGGGCTTCTCTCGTGCTACAGAACAATTCTCGATCTTGTACAATACATGTAGTGGCCCCAATTCCATTCGCTTTATCCTGGCGAGAAACGGACAAGGAGAGTTGTAGTGCACAGGCCGCGATATATGGCACGTTATGGTGAGAAGTGGCACGTTTTGGTGATACATACCGCGCCTTCACAGTAAAGCAGTCTCCACACCTCAGCATTTTCGTCGTGCCAACATACACTAACCTTTGTTACAATTCCAGCACGTATAGGAGAAGCCGACACTAGCTGCAATCGTATTCGTACCAATCTAGAACGAAGAAGACCGCCCTCGTGACAGCCGATCGAGTTGCAAGGTTGCACGCATGGATTCCACTGGGTTTGATTTCCACGCCATCGATGACCGCATCATGGTCGTGGGTATGGAAGCGCATGCCAGTGTCGACCGCATTACTTCGCTCACGACGGAGCTCGAGTCTGCTGCAGCTCTAGGAGACATTGGCCGAATCAAATATCTAGCTGACTTCTTGCTTACGGCAAGAGATCTGCCAGACTTCCCAGCTCTGGCAGGAAGCGCCCTCAACTTTGCTATAGATCGTGGGCGTATCCCGATGGTTGAATACCTGCTCGCCGCAGGCACGGTGCCTCACTCGAGCCACGCAAAGATCGCGACCAAGGCAGGGGACTGTCGAGCACTGGACGTATTGCACCAATACGGCTGGGATATCAATGAACCGTTGAGCTGGAATGTTCCACCACCTCTATGGTAAAGCTCCGTACATCTAGTCTTGGACACTTGCTAATAAGCTTCCAGCTTTGCCGTGCGAGACGCGCCTACCGTAGAGTGGTACTTAAATAACGGAGCCGATCCAAATGCACCCTGCTCTCTCGATATCACGCCTCTATCGGCTGCTGTTCAATACGGATCATCTGAAGTCGTTGAACGGCTCTTCGCATCTGGAGGAAATATAGCGTCTGGCCAATTGCTGCATTATGCTATCTGGCGGCACGGCACTGATCGCTTGGAGCTTATGAATCGCCTTATTGACAGAGGCTCTCCAATCAACGCGACCATGTACTACAACCACCAGAGCTCTTATCAACAGCGTAGAAGGTTCGGCTTAGGTACACCACTACACGATGCTGCAGCGATTGGTGATTTGAGTGCCGTTCGGCTTTTGTTGGATAGAGGAAGTCGTACAGACGTGTTCGACTCACTCGGTAGACTGGCTGTACAGAGGGCAAGGAACAATGGGCACATGGAGGTTGAGGTGCTTCTGAAGCACTTCGGTGAATCAGTCCAAACTTCGATGGACTGAGTAGTCTGTACATTTACTACACTAACACTCAGCTCGCGTTCTAAAAGGACTTGACATTCGCTACAGCCAGTGCTTCTCGATACGAAGGATGATAAAGTGACATGATCGACCGCAATAATACCTCGCCTGTACAGTATTTATACAAGGCTGCCTATCGCTCAGCCCCCTTCGCCTGACTTGTGTTGCGTGATGGAACGACCGTCCTCCAACGAGCGCGACTCGAGATTGGGATGTTCACTCCCAGAATCTGAATTGCGCCTGATCCTGCCATTCCCAGACTGGGCGTGCAATGCGATGTTTGAATCAGTCGCGTATGACACAGATCTCCTCTCCTCCTCCCCAGACAAGAGAAACCTTATCCTTGACCATAAAGGGAGCCGAGGAATCAGTAATGCCCACACCGGTGTAGTCGTCGATATCAAGCTGACGAGTGGCAGGAGGTAATATATTACAAGTCTGGTTCTGGAGTTGTGGTGGAAGGAGGCGTATATGGTCCAGCAGGGAATCATGCTGCAGCAGGAGTCAGCAAGCAAAGCCATCTCTTTTGCGAAAGGCAGACCAACAATATGGGTCGTGAGGCGGCGAAGCAATAGAGTCGTATCTTGACCCATGGAGATCGGGTTGAGTGTGGTGCATTCGCGATGATATTATGCGCGAGAAGTATACTTGCAGCCATCAGTACGGTCTCTGCACCGATCTGCACGATAGGTAGGTTGATGGGTGCCTGTGACGACAAGTGTTAGCTAGTGTCTGGACACAGTGATGAAGGCGACCTACAGCAAGGACACTGTCCGGCCACAAGATTGTCGCCACGCATGCAAGTGCTGAGTATACAAAGCAGATAGCAAGTATTGAACATGTACCGTAGATTTTGAATCTCGGGAGAGCTTCCCGAGCAACAAGGAACTCGGTGTTCTGTAGCAAGTGGCAGGTTTGTGGCACGGTAGTCACAGCAAGCCATGTCAGTATCATTAAACAAAGTGCCTAGACAGAAGAGTCAGCGATTATTCCACAACGCCAGGCCCGGCGCAGAAGCAGGATACACTGACCTTTGGCGAATGTGCAAGCTTGCATTGTACTGCGAGTGGGACTGTCCACAGAAAGGTGTTCAGTAGCTAGCGCAGTATCAGTCTTGGTCCAAGAAATGGGCACAATCAGTGGTGCATATACATGTGTCGTGATCAGGATGCAGTCCGTACAAGAGGCCAGGCGTGGTCTGCAACGGCTCTCGCGCATGGCCCATCGTGTGAGAATCCGTACCACAACATTCAGTATCGCAAGCATCTGCAAGGCAATGAAGCCTTCGAAGACGGAACGTGTTGTCACAAGGCCGGCTCGGCACATGGTGGCGTCTCTGGAGATCGATGCGCTGAACGAGAAAGGCAACCAAGCGGCGATTCAAGGAATGTAGAAAGAAGGCAACCAAGCGATTGATAGGTTGTGACAAGAAGGCGACCAAACGGCGAGGCATATATGTGTCTGCTCTGCGCGAGCCGTGCGTTCATGGACAATCTCCCGCTTTCGCGCAATACTTAGGTGAAAGTCGAGGTATTGGCGATACTCACGTGTCGCGGTTTCTAACGTCCTGGGTACACTCCCCACCGGTTCAAACCTGATCCCGTCCTGTTCCACTTTCTGCCCACACTTCTTCCCTATTATACCCCGTAAGCGTACCACTCCTGTTCACGACCTGCTCCACGACCTATTCCAAGCCCTGTTCCACGTGCTGTTCGCGACCTGCGCCACGACCTGATCTACGACCTGTTCCACGTCCTGTTGCACGCCCTGTTCCACGTCCTGTTCCACGCCCTGTTCCACGTCCTGTTCCACGCCCTGTTCCACGTCCTGCTCCACGTCCTGTTCCACACCTCCTCTTTAGACTCCCACATGCTAGCTGATCATGTACCACGAGGACAGAGAGCAATACCTGTGCTTCTGATATACCTTGTAGATGCTCTCCCGTACCAGAATGAGAAGGCAATTGCCGCGGTCTTGGTGGAGGAGAGATTGCTCATGTTCCCGATGATAAGACGCCGTGGCAGCATAATGAACGCTTAGTCTCGCTCCATACGATGTGATCCCCACTACCCAGGCGAAATGTAGCCTAACAACAATGCATTTTGTTCACGTCCAGACAATGGCAGTAGCATGAGGTCACGGACCCTTCCGTGCCTTCGTACGTGAGCCAGCTCCCCCACATCTGCCAAGAGCGGAAGCGCGGAGCTGTCCGACTAACCAAGGTAGACAGCGCGGAGTTTGCAATCAGCAGAACTGCTTAACCTTGCCGAATAGGGCAGTAGCGTGACGAGAGCTCGGGCCCAATCAAAAGATGCTGGGGAGAGCCAGCTCACGTACGAAGGGATAGGCGGGGGCCAGCCCGAGTGCTTGGCAGCCAAGGCATCTACTTCAACTTCCTCTTTTGCGCACGAAGATCTCAAGTACAATGACGGCAACATCTCAGACGTGGCACATCCTTCGCAATGCAGCTCCAAAGGAGCTATGCGAAGCAGCACGTCTCGAAATAATGCAGACACCAGGCAGGTCAGAGTCAAAGGGCTACATCGAGTACAGCACTACCCCCGCGTGTGTAGCAATTGGGAGACATATACATGAAGTATGCTCCGTTTGCGACGATTGCGACGCCTTTACTGATTTCTCCTAGGCCCACTCAGGCAGCGTCGCCGCTATCAAACCAGGCGCGAAGCCCGTATCCATCAATGTTTGCAAATTTTCAAGCCTTGATCAGCAAACGTCACGAATAATCGGTCGCCAAGGCGATGTGTACTTTGTGACGGCCTTGACTATCTTGGAGGAAGATACGGGGATGTTTGCGCTATACACAGATGAAGCCAAAAGCGAAGTACCCGTCCTGCAAGTTGGCGATGCTGTTATATGGACCCAAGAGAACGCTGGACGCAAAGCGGGTCGGGAGGGCGGTTTAATGCAAATTGTTATATACCGGTAGGCTGTCCGCTATATTTTCGGGCCAGTCGACATTCTCCCATCCCAAGGGTATTGTCTCCATCGTCCACAATTGGTTTTCGTCATCTGGTTTCACCGAACCATCCAGAAGCAGGAAGTTCTGGTAGCTTGCAGGCTCCGCGCCATACTCAAATGTTGACAACAGTGGTAGCGGTGGTGGTGGTGAGCTTGCATTTTCGTGTGCTGCGAATAGTGGTAGGCTCAGAGTCGTCCGCACGTCCTCGTAGCTACACGACAGCTTTAGCTCCTGGCCGCGTCTACACAATGCAACGACATCTTACCTCAGGTGCGGCCCAGCCAGCATTCTCGCTGGATCCATAGCTAGTGATCCGGGTATATTACGCCAGGGCTGCGATAGTTGTGCCGCAATCTTCTTCCAGGCCAACGCTGGCACTCTCCGAGCAACGGACTTATTCGCGGACTTGAACAATGCAGCATGGAAGCTGCCTGCGCCGCTATTTGACACTGTTCAATCTTAGCGATATGCACAATTGCCTAGCATATGGCTGACTCACTTCGTAAAGCACCCAACAGCTTGAATGCTTCCTGGCCGATGTCACGATGGGCAACGTTGACCAGCCCAAGTACGACGTCCATCCACAGACGGTGTCGAAACCGGTCGCTTCTGCTATCCTTGAAATTGGCCGGTTTGCCTACTAAGTGACCAGCAAGCGTAGCAAGCAAGGTACATTCCCACGCGCGATCTTGAACCTTCTCTTTGAGCGACATGAAGTGCATTGCGAGTCCTAAAGCGGATTCACTGCCGGACACTGGCTTGATTTGGCGGATGTCAATGGCCCAGTCTCTACGTTGGATCGGATTCGCGCACGTAAACGATCTGTATCCACAGCGGATGCTTGACGCGAGCTTCTCAGCAAGGTGCTCCGCCTTATGTATCTCCAGAGACCACGCAACTGCTTTGGTGGCGGGTGTCCTAGGTTTCTTCACTGGTTGTGCCGATTGATGACGATCACCACCGTATGGTAGAGTCGGCTGCTCATTTGATCCCAGGGTAGCCTGCAAGGATGAAGCTATACCACAACCATAGTTGATTGCCACAGCAGTGCTCTCGAAATCCCATGTCGACGCTTGCCATAGTAAGGCAGCTGCTTTCCGAGCTACTCCTTCAATCTCTGGGATGGTGACTCCTGGAAGAGCGGTCACATCATCAACAAGTAGGGTAAAGGTGTGGAAGGTTTGGGTTGGATAGTCTGGCGCTGTGAATGGAAATGCAGTAATAGTAATTGGTACGTGCATACCACGGCAAGAGCATGCCCATTTGATCGATGTGGGCCGCTCTTTTGCCAGGGTATCTTTGAGCGAGCCGGCAAGCTGCGTGCCGTGGATGACCTTGAAGGGTGGCATACCGGCTGGAGCACGAGGGGTGCGACAGCAGAGTAAGAAGTGGCACGCAGCCGATGGTGGGAGTGTGAGATCTATGTATCACCGGGACCTTGCCGGCGCCAAGCATTTTGTGATAAATGATTGGCTGTTGTGGATGAATCGTCGGGCTGGCTGGCTTGACAGGGTTGGAACCAGTGGTCTTTGCATCGCTTGCGTCGCTTGCGTAGCTTGCAGCTCATCACAAGCCTCTGACGCAGGGTCCCAGCGGCACGGCATCTCCGCAACCCGTCCAAAACGCCTCCGGGTCGCATCCTGTATTCCGCATGACCGCGATTGGTCCGAATCGTTGGGTGCAGTAGCTTGCGCGGCTTGCGTAGCTTGCAGAGGGTCGGAGACAATTTTCTCGGACGTCTCGATAAGTATAAGGCGATCCTACCTCGACAAATCACGACAATGCTTGATAAAGAGGGAGCTCGACATGTGCTTTACTTTTCCGATCTTCGAGGAGAGGGACTTATGTTATGGCCATCTCATGCTAGTTATTGAAGAATGTAAGGTACTATCATCCCCTCCAAGCTAGATTGACCAGCGAATACAGGCTCCAAGTACAACTACAGTACTAAATCCTGTTCAGCCATGGCTAGTAGCAAGATATGCGGTTTGTTCAGACCCAACCATTTTATCTCAATATGACTAACTATCTGAAGGGAAGTGCCAGATACGCGATTTCCGTCTTGGTCCAAAGGACTCGCCCGTCCAGCAACCTATAGTCTGCATCTCTCCTCGGGCATTTGTTGGTGTAGATGCGACTTTGGACTCAGATTGCTACAGCGTCGGCTACTGGAAGCACAGTCTTATAGGTCAAGTCTATCACGAGAGATATACCTTCTTCGGGCAGGGTCACGGGTGGAATGGGGTCTTAAGGATGTGGGAACAAGCTGTGGAGCAGTGGCGGCTGAGCAAGCTAAGATAGCCCGAGGGAAAAGCTGAGCAGGTCGAACCACAGAGTGGAGTGAAGTCACATTGATTCGGATGTAAGCAAGATGAGGGTCAGAAACGCCGACGTCCAAAGATCGCTCTTCCTATATTCTCTCCCCATCTCCTATTCAACCGATGACCTTCTTGTGTCCGTGGAGCCTTGTCCAAATAGTCCGACAGAGCACGGTTCGACAAGACTCCATTCCCTCTACATGCGGAATGTGGAACCCACAAGGAGTAGTAAATCTTTACTTCTAGGGTCGCATTAACATCCGCACGACTAAGAGCCCTCGAAGCGGGGATGTCAATACCGGCCCATGTTACTCTAACTCGTAGTGAACTAATAGTCTAGTCAATAGGGGTGTCTACTACACCGACGCGTTCTTTTCGTACCTCCAGGCACTTGGTGTGTACTTTTCTGGTTGTTGGTAGTACGGTACTCGGAACTTCTTGGCTCCAGGGCGCAGGTCATGATTTCGTAGACACAATCATCAACTATGGCACTGTTCTCGGATACGCATAGTGTGTCGTACGGCGGTGGAGGAGTTCTTGGCTTGTGGTCAGAGACGAGCGGCGCGATATCCTCATAAGGTACTCCAAGAATGCGAACATCGCTGCAAGTCGATAACTCTCGTGAGCTATATCGTTTCCGGAGCAGCCTGTGGATCGTGTGCCGGATGCGGCCAAACGGTCGACGGGGTAGTATCCCATTGATCTCGAGGGTTATAAAGATACGTGTAGGCATAGTGATCTCGGTGCAAAGCAAAGCTAACAGAGCATTTTGGCGGTGGAGTATCCCCGTCTTTATTGTATTACAACGCAATCACGGGATTGCATTAGATAGCAGGTCGATCGCAGGATCCAGACTTTATGAACAATGCGCAGCACGTTAATACTCTTATAACTCGAAGTTCGAAATCTGGATCTTGGATGTTGGACACCTATACGGGTAAACTACGGGCCGCTCCGGGAGCGCAAATCTCGCACGTGCTTCAACTCGAGGGAGAAGGCACCGAAGGCATCAGATACCGCTACTATAATCTTACTCGACAGCACTCACGACTTTCTTCCCCGCTACTGAACGGAGTATATCGATCTGACCTTGGATCTACGGGATCGTTCCGTGACGGCCAAAGATTACAAAGACAATGATTCAGGGACTGTTGCAGGATATATAAAAATAACTACGAATGTCAGGCTTAGTTCGCTAACGCAGAAACAGAAGAAATAGAGAACAACCGTACATAACGCTTCATCGCTAATGCCAATGTGCTTGCAAGCCCAGCTTGTAGACAATATCAGATCGTGCCCTCCCATGCTCTACGCCTCATTGTGCCTCTGTCAGATGCTTTGAAGCGTATACTGCTGGCATGCTTCGTTACCAATCACTGCTGTACTTGCTCCAAGTGCACACATACCGAAGAAGTTTACCCAGCAGTCTGACATCGTGACTGGCACGGGCATAGCGCAGCGATCTTCGATTTTGGCGAGATAGCCGCTAACAGAGAACCCTGTGTTCATTGGTACCAACGAATTAGGCGAGTCGTTAAGTGAGCCACAGATTGCCGCAACCGCCTGGGCCTGTGGAAGACTACAGCTATAAGCGGTTACGGATGATGCTAAAGATGGAACCGTTGTTGTGGTAGAGGATGCAGACTTCGTAGCAGTAGACGTGAAGTAACTAGCATATGGGTCTAACACTGTTGATGAAGAAGGGGATGTCGGTGCTCCAGATGTGGAGTAAGTAGCATAAGGATCCTTGGTTGGCGCTGTATTAGCGGTAGACGTAGTTGATGTAGATGAGCTCCCTGCCGTCGGTAGTGTCATGCCGCTAAAGAGCGATGCGATAACGCCGCCCGCATTGCGAGACCCTGAGGTCGACGTAGCTACGCTAGTGGTGCGACTTGTTGATGTAGTTATACACCAGCTGAAGGTAGTCGTTTGGACGGCACCGCTCGGCTCAATAGGGCATATTGAAATACCGCTTGCTGTTTGAGGATCGCTACTAGAAGAAGACTCAGCGTTGATGTTCCGGGCAGAGAGGGAACCTGTCGATGTTTGTTTCGGCGCAGCCAAGACTGTCGATGCGAAGAAGATAAAACATAGAAGTAGAGAGCCCTCCATAGCGTCTTGCTGTCTTGTAGAAGTAGTCAGAGATGCCAGAACATATCAATGTCGGTAGATAATTGCTGATTATATACTTGGGGCGTTCGAAGCTGCGCTTGGTTCCTAGTCTTGGAACCAAAGCTCCTAGTCTTGGCACTACTTCCCGTATCCTGGAAAGACGAGCTGCTTAGCACAACAACTAGCATTCAAGATTCATCCCACAAACACCAATGTCCGTAGAAATCTCAGTAGTAATCACGCACCCTCCTTCGTGCTTTGAAGTTGGACAGGAACTTTCAGTCACTCTTCCATGAGAATCTGATTAGGTACGTAGACTTGTACGCGGCCATCCACACGCTCACAAGGACGAACAGCAGCTTGCACTCGGACCAGTACGAAACGTGCAGGCGTTCCTCAGCGACATGGTGTGGACTGAAATTCGAGCTCAAAACGTGCACATGATCACGAAGATTTCGTGGGCCCCGAGTAGGAACATCTCCAGGATCCCGCCAAGGTTGAGGGACAGGGCCGACATCTCGATTGTGACCACGGTCTTAACCCAGTTGCGATACATGTGCATGCAGGTGACCATGGACATGGTGAGGAAGTTTGAGCAGTTCGAGTCTGGGGAGAATTTCTACTCTAGAGTCAAGGGGGTGATGATCGTGTACACGCCGACGATCAAGATCTTGAATGTGGGCTTGTACCCACCCAAACGAACAGAAAATCCTGCCGCCCATTGCGTGCGTCCTCGCGTACTCGCCTTCGACGCATGTCGGGTCAACGCTTTCGGTGCAGATCTTGTCCCCGGCCATGGCTGCGGTCGGAGTTGGGATCAAGTCCAAGATCAAGCGCAGGAAGAAGGAACAGGACCCATACGAGGAGTCGAACGAATATTTGCTTATGTCCAGGTTCGTAATGCTGCTCAGGTGCTCCTTCTCTTTCGGAGCCGCTCGGAGAGATCATCAAGATCCACAACTCGTTCGGGTTCAAGATCACAGCCATGACCATGGGCGCATTCGCAGATGACACCGTGAGGAGGACCTTCAGCTCGAACAGGGGTACAGCCGCGATGATGCATTACATCGGGGTGACGAGCCCGGCCGCCATCTCATACATGTACGTGGAGGAGTACACGATCCCCTCCCCATCCCGAACGGGGTCTCGATCATGGAGCTGGACATATACTCGATCTTGAGCTGGCACCCGACCTTGGACAACGTGTCGAAGCTACGACTGTAAGATGTACCTGAGGGACGTCCCGTTTGAGTTCGCGAACGAGAAGCGCATCGGGGCAGTCACCAGGGCCCTGATTGACCACACCGCAGAAGGACTATTCGACTTCTTCTCGACTATGGCCAGGAGCTTATTCAACGACACGAGCATGGGCACAACCCCCAACACAATCACGAACAAGACCCAGCAGTTGATCATCACTGAGAACATGATCAGCAAGTTGAACGACATCTTGGCATCGTTCAGGACCAGAAATAAGAGGGAGCCAGGCGCGAGGAGAAGATCCTGACACTCATCGACAGGACTTCATGGGATGATGATGAAATAGCGGAAGTGCTCAATTCGTACGAGGACCCGAGGCCAGATATGATCAAGGAGATGGAGCAGGCCGTGGCCGTGGCTGCCACTTTGCCCCGTCTTCAAGCCTAGGGACGCGCAGAAGTTCTCGAACGAAGAGCTGAACGCGTACCAGGTTGTATAGGCACACGTCCTCAACCCACGTTCAAGTCGAGGAACTCGGAGGCGTCTATCTCCAGGGACGCTCGAAGACCTTTCCCATTTGCTGTAGCTTTGCGACAGGAGCTAGATCCGAGAGCAGCAGTACGAGAGGTGATCAACGGAGACTGGACAGGGAAGCTCATGAAGAGTATGAGGACATAAGGTTCCACCAAACGAAATACTATTTCAATACATGCGTGCCACAGGTGCTTGCCAACGTATGACCTCTGCTGTCTCCAAGATTACTTGTGAACCACTGCTTCGAACGGCTCTCACCTCCGGCTCGATTCCGACATAGCGTGTCGACTGCTTTGTCAGACATATCTGCAGCTGCATTACGCTTGCGACGACTCTTTCCTGGTCTTTGCTCTTTCGCAGCGTCTCTTTCGGCTGTCTTCGACTGCGCCGCAACCAGGTCGTCATAGCTCATTACCTTTCCCTCTCCCTTCCCCAGCACTATCGACTTGGCCAAGTCGTCGCCTGCTTTTAACAATCCGCGATATCGACGGGCAAGGGTGAGTGGGAGGCAACAAGGATGTTTGCTGGCTTTATGTCTCGATGCACGATTGACGAACGATGGCTGTGCGGATACGGTGGAGCTGACAGGCACTGCCGAAGAACCACGATGACCCATAGATCTTTCAAGCATGCAGGTTTTGCGAATAATTGCTGCTCAGTTGCGGATTTCCTGCAGCCCTGAAATGTCTCTGTGCTTTCTTCTCCCTCTACCTCGCAAAGGCTCTAGGGGTGTCAAGGTCTTGACAGCTACATGTCTCAGGTAATGGATCTTCTGTGCGCCTCCATCAAACTCTTTGTGGTCAGCAATTTGCCGTATTTTAGTGTTCCTGACCCTCTTCTTCGCAGACACTACGTCTTTGCCGGCCACCGGTGTTGCAACGCTGGCAACAATGGTCTCCTGGCTTTGAGATTGGGTAGAAGTTGTTGATGCACTCCCGTACATACGCGCTCGCACTTCTCTTGCTGACTCCCGCTTCGCGGGGTCCTCGTATGCCATTGGCCTCAGTGCGCCCCATTTTGATTGTTCGATAGCCTCGGTGATATGGGAAACAATGGAGGCCGGGTTGCATAGTTTGACCAATTTGCAGTCATGACTCCGGACCATGACGAGGAGGGTGACGACAAGCGCCCATACATCGGCCTTGGTGGTCTGCTCGCAATCTCGAAAAAGTTCCGGAGCAATATAACACATGGTCCCAACAAAGGTGTGTCCTGTGTCCACTATCTTTGAGAGGCCGAAGTCCGCAAGCTGGTAGTGGTACGAGGCACCCGCTCCGCCATTGTCGTCATCCGGTGCCTGCTCACGTCGAGTGTAGAGGATGTTTTGTGGTTTGATGTCGCGGTGTATGATGTTTTGATCATGAAGGTAGACGAGAACGTTTAACATCTGGTTGAAGAAGTTGTGAAGCTCTGCTTCTGCGTCGGGTCCACGATACGTCTGTCTCGGTATAAGATCATACACACTACCGTCGGCGAGACTCATGAAGATGTGATATTCATTGGTCGTATGTTCGTCAGGTTGGCTGCCTATGAACTCGACAATGTTCGGCTATGACAAATCAGCGACGATGCGACCGTCTTGCGCCGGCTGAGGCATGCATACATGTGAGATCTTATCCAATATGTTCACCTCTCGCTTCAAGCTTTGGTACCGTGACGCATGGCTCGCTGAGGATTGGTCAGGTATTTTTATCACCTTCACTGCGAAAACGTTGCCATCGTGAGCGTTGATGGCCGACCAGACTTCGCCAAAACTGCCCTGCCCAAGCAATCCGCGCTTGAGCCACTTGATACGGCGCACTCCTGGCGCTGGAGTATGCACCCGCGTCATTATCCTCGAGCATGGCGCGGTATCTGCCTCTACAATGGTCCGAGCCAGCCACGAGGGTTCGATACGAGAGTTCAGAAGTTGACCGACATCGGCATCGCCCTGATGCCAGATGATAGCGAAGTGCCACTGTTTGCCGTTTCGTGTGCCAAACCAGAACTCTCGATTGATTTCTGGGCTCACAAGCACCTGGCGGGGTGTGCGACCTGCTTCAAAGTCATAGGTAGGGTCACACATGTGAGTGTTCTGCCTTGAGGATTTGTCCTGACACAAGATCGCTCCCGTCTTGTCGTTTACTTCGAAGCTGCATTGAGTGCGTGACACCTGAGCGTCGTCGACGACGATGTCAGCGTTCCGGCCAATTGTCGCGAGCGTCCACTTGGCCGTAGCTGCAATGTGAGGCCCAATGTTGAGGCCGCGCAGCACAGTGTTATCTTGACCATGCACTGTCGAGACCAGCCAGGCGTTGCGGGGATGCTGGAGCACAGCTTCAGCATGTGAATTTCGAGGGATGATGGAGAAGATGGAAAGAGCATGCGGCTGAGGAGGAGAGGCGGCGGGTTGCGACATTTTGAAAGATGTGCACAGAAATTGGAGGTCGTGATATGGAGAGAGGGAGGGAGACAGAGAGAGGGGGGATCAGCGAAGCAACGACAATACAGCCTGAGCAGCTACATGTACTCGCAGGGCCTGCTGATGCGCGACACATGGCGCCGATGGTCGCCGTGGAGGGCAGAGAGCCAACGGCTTGAGGCATGATTGCACTGCAAGTTGCGGGGCGTGCCGCCCTTCGATGGCTGGCCGCGCTATTTGAGCACGCCGTAGCCCAGGCAGTGCTCTTGTAGCTTCACACCCACACTCGTGGTAGACAACTTGCACAGTATGCCGTTTTCCGAGTCGTACGAGCAACGTCAGATACTGGAGCGTACGACGGCCAGATTGAATCAGCTCGCGCCGGACAACATTACTACAAACAACGCTCGCCGATTTGATGAACTGCCCCCACCATACACCTCCAAAGAGACCACTCGATCGCCGTCGCCTCTTACTCACGATAACGTCTCGCAACCAGATATGCAAGCACCGATTTCTGTTGCTGCTACTCCTCTAACGATGTTCGGCATACAAACACGGTATCAGATAGATCGACTGCAAGAGCAAATCTCGTTGGAGACGGATGGGAGGACACAGACATTCCCCTTCGATAAGAGCTCGGATCTGCGAGCAAACGCTGAGAACAATGTTCGATCTATGTGGTTGGAGCAGGAAATCTGGGGGGACGAGTGGGGAGGGGCCTGGCCTTCGAACAGTTTTCCGATGGATAATATGTGGCAGTGGAGTCGAGCGAAATCATCATCGAGGCCACGACCGCACGGTCGCTGGAAGCATGAGCAAGCAAAGTTGCCGAATAGAAGCGAAGCAGGGGACTTCCATACCTCGACCACGTTCAGCCACATCGCGGAGACAGCAAAGTCCCCCACTGAAGTCACAACGTACACAGGCTCAGATACAGCCAACACAGATGCCTCTCGCCCTGTTCGTCAGTTCGCATATCAGGTAAACGCTGAGATGGGCTGGCTTCGCGATGGATACGAGCACAAATCACAACTCCCCAATGAGATCGACCAGATTGCCCACAACCATGTGAAGCAGATGTGGCTCAAAGAAGGTATATGGGACCCTGTGTGGGGCCAGTCGCCGGGCATTCTATGGGCTCATGAGGCTCCCCATCTTGATCCGAGGATGCGTTTCGACGTACGACAGGACGTCCTTTCTGTGCCTGTACCAGACGCAAGGACAGTCCAGTGTCGTACTTCCTCGTGCAGGGGGAGAGCTGAGGAGGATGACGAGCCTCGGCGGAGGACCAATCGATCACAGCCAGCGCTGACCGACAGCTGCAACAGCGGAGTCAGGCCAGTCGTCACATGCGCACACGACAGGAAATGTGCTCCGACGAGCAACCAGCAGTGTCGTCCTCGAGATACTGCATCGAGGGCACGCTTTGGCCGATGTGCTGTCTCCAAATCCCTCACTCCGCTGGCAGCACTCCGACGATCGGCGAGGATACAGCATGAGGCAAGTATTCAGAACGACGCGAGGATGCGGAACGCTGTAGGACCTCGCAGGTCTCAACGTCTTTACGAGAAAAGGCAAAAAAGGCAAAGCGACGCGAGAGTGAAGGGATCAGGGGCAAACGCGAGAGCCTCTGCGCTGAACAAAAGGGCGTGATAACCCTCTCAGAGTAGATAGATACAATGTCATACATGCTTCCCTACCACTACGTTCTTCCATCGCTGAGTATAAGGCGATCTTTCCTCCTCCCATCTTCGCGATAACCTGCACACAGTGAACTGTGCTCCGTACAAAGCCTAATGACAGCCTCCATCCTCAAACAGAACCTCAAGAACGGCGGTGAGTAGACCAGGACGAAGCGCCATCTCGAGGGTGACCCACAGACTGGTGCCGTTGTCAGTGCGTGACTGCATGGTAGTGACGCGTTATCTTGCTTACCCGAATCTTGCAACCCACGATTGATATTCGAAGATGCCGTTGTCATCTGCATGACTCCGTGGCACCAAATATACCAGAACGCCGGCTCCAACATTGACGGAGATCGAGAAGGCTGCTTTGACAAGCCATTGCACCGAAAGGGATCTTGTCGTACTCATCAAGCTGCCGTGGAAGAAAGCAACGACGTTCATGAGAACGAGCCCAGTGATGAAGCAGTACGAGGCGATCGTCATCGCTATAGCGTTGAAGTTTGTTCGAGGAATGAGGCGTTGCAAAATTGGGTTCCTTGAGCTATAGTGATCATCCGCATCACTAGACTCCGGAGCTCCATCTGTCCTGCTATACGTTAGATCTCAAACAATCACGAGTTGTAACGGATTGCTTCGCACTGATCGCCTTGATAGAAGCCGCAAAGAATTGCAACTTTGCAAATGTTGATGAAGGGCGAGGAAAGTTCGTAAATCTGCATAACAAGAGCCAACTGACAGAGCAAGTGAGTATTCATCGTTGTGATCACAGGAGTGCGCAGTGCAACGTGAGGTTTGCGGATATGGGACACTCACAGCTTATAAGCAGCAAACAGCATCGGTTGATGATTGCTCTGCCACATCGTCCCATGTTGAGTTGATTGGCAAGTGCAGGGTAGTTGAGAGGCGCGCTGCAACCACTAGCTGAGCGCACGGAGACTTTCTATGCGTTCGTGATCTTCAGCGCAGCCGTGGCGTTTTACGCATTTTCAGCACCCCACTTGGCAATGATGGACGACAGGCGTGAGCGGCTACGAATCAGAAGTCGCACAAAGAAAGAAGACGTGCGTAAGGCAGCTGGTTTTGACGAGATAGGGTGGCTCAAATTGCTTGTATATCCCATCGTTCCGTGTGGCTCTTGTTCGCAGATGAGCTAATAAGTACAGAGTCTCACTCTAGAGCAAGCAAAGAAATTGGTGACCGATGCGGATGAGGTTCCAGCTAGCTGGACAGCCGTAGACCATGGACAGAAGGTCGATATGTTGGAGAGACTGAATGAGGAGCTCGATCGGCAACGTTTGCCGACAATAACAATGATCACCTACAGTCACAGAATGGCGCAGGCCATGCCACCAATCATACGTCAAGCAAAGCGGAAAACAGGAGGAGGAGGTCAGCTCGTGCAGGCCGAGGCGAGTACTGGATCTCAGTCAACCTCGCCCACGCCATTGCCCGGTGAACGCATAGTGCTTCCGCCAATTCGAGCTCAGCCCGAATTAGCGCAACACCTCGATGCGACGGCCTACGCGAGTGGTCGAGAGCAACAGAGTGAACGCACTGACGGGGGTATTAGTGGCGAGGCTGAAGACGAGCAGGGTCCATGAGATTGTTGTCGTGATGAAATGAGGACTTGCTGTTGCTTTGGTTTGAGGCTGATGTCCATCAGATCAGTATGCTGAGTTTGACAAAAGCAGATGCGATTCTCTTCAGAATCGCCAACCCTTCACCTGGTGGGACATAAGTCTAGAAGTATAGCGCAATGCCGTACTTCCGCGACCCTGACGCCGTGCGTTCCTCGCCACCTCCATCTTGTTTCAGTCGTTTTAAGTAACGTGTCCGCACCGTGGCAACTTCAAACATGTTCGAAGCTCCCAGAAAACTTCACAATGGCCTCATCGGCCTCCGGCGAAGAGCGGTTATATACCACAGATGCGAGAACTCCTCGACCCAAACAATCCCATCACCCGACTCGACCAGCGCCAAGCTAAGTTCCATCAATATCATCTGACAACGAACTCTCCATTCAACCAGACCCTCGTTCCATGTCCCTTGCCAGTAAACGCAACCATCAAGATGGAGTACTTGGGTCATTTACTTCTTCATGAACTGGCTTGGAAGCCTTATTGACGACCGCCGCTACCTGGGCGCTGACCGACCAAGCTTGGAACCCCACGGACATCAATGATACACTATCAAAATCTTCCTTCCTCAACCGTTCCTCAGGGTCATGAGCTACGGAATGCGCATTTCGCGGAATCACATATGTGTTCCATGTTCTTACATAAGGATAGAGTGATTCAGCGGGGTGAAATAACAACAGTGGTAAGGACTGTGGACATGACTTAGATACAACCAATGAATACAAAACTGAGGACCCAACGCAACACCAAGCTCCACGGCGACAAGCGACCTGCACTCATCCGTGGCTAATACCAGTCCAAAGCATCTGTGTCAGATCTATCAAGATCGTGAGTTGGCAATCCTGATCGCATGCGTTAGAAGAGCACAGTATCCTTGTGCCATATCTTCTACGCGATCCCATAGCAGCAGCATCATCTGGAGTGCAACCTTGGGAGGCAATTGGTCGGCATGGTAGTGTGCGCTCTTTTGGAGGTAGTCGATATTCTGGGCGATTGGAAAGGACACACTGCTCAATGCGCACTGGATAAATGGGCGATATTGATCAGGTACATCATAAGTCAATCCAGAAGTGGGACCATCCCAGTCGTTGGTATCAGGGTCTACCTGGCACTGAGTCAAGAGTTGCTCAATCGTTTCTGGTGAAGTTTGGTTGATATGTGTAAGGATATCGTGGTACCCCGAACACATAGACGGCGCGCCAACCTGTTGACACATGCAGTGCTGCCAATTGAGTATCAATTGTGCGAAGTGTGGACTGAAGATTTCTTCCAAGTCCGGTGCTGATGCCTCTACGGAGGGAAGAGCAACGAACGGACCGTATGTTGCATCTGACGGTGAACATGGCGGGACCAAAAGTTGGTTATCGGCGCGCAGACGTAGCAGTCTCTCCAGCGGATTGTAATAGCTATCCTCAAAGCGAGCTTGGACAGATTTTGGTGATTCTGAAGCCTCAGTAGGTGAACTTGGTGCAAGCAAGGGTAGAGTCGTGGCGTTCAAGTCCGGGCCGATATGTGTCCTGGTGGATTGAGTAGGAGTTGGTGATTGTGAAGCGCTACAGTCATCATGCTTGCCTCTGGTATCTTTGTCGTACGGCTGGAAGTTTTGCGTCCCGAGATGGGTTGGTTGGTGTCGAAAAGGAGCCATTCTGCTGGACCTGTGATTTGTGCAGTGAATAACCAAGCAATCAAGAAAGTTGGGAAGAGCTGGTATCTCAAAGCAACAACGAAAAAGGGGATGAAGATGCACCTTTAATAGCAAGAGCCGGTAGACGAATAGTAGCTTTATTACACTGGATAGCGCTTCCCCATCGCTTGTAACATGAAACTTGTAATGTACCACAGATCGAACAAAGTCTGTGCCAAATACCAGCCTGCACAAAAATATTTGAAGCCCACCGCTGGCTATTGGCGCCTTTCTCGCAGAAGGTATTGCTTAGCCTCAGTCCAATCAGGACAGAACTACCGTAACTTTCTGGCTTTTCAAGGTGGGTACACGACGTAACAGATGTGCCATTCACAGTCACCGACGCTGTACCTCGAAACCCCGACATAAGCCATATGGAGATCACGGTTGGTAGCGTCAGATTCTTTGCACCGATCTGAGCGAATACGTATGCTCTAGGCATTGAGATACCAAGAAGGGGACGGGTGAGTGATCATACTCTGGTGTGGCTATACTCGTGAAATAATGATCTTCATATCCCTCTCTCGCGCTCCGTGCGAACAACGCGGCTCACAGCGACCAGATACACCGTGACGATAGCCCATTCAGGCTCGAACAGCTGTCCAGCTCCCATTCACCACCTGCCAATATGAGCCAGTGCCTCCACTCTCTGCTTGTATACCTTTATGGAGTGCGTCTGAATGCTACTATACGCAGTCTTTCGGAAGCTTGCATCCGCAACCAAATCTGCATTTAAAATCTGCTCACAACCGTGGAACCCCTCACGGAAAACGACCAGCTTCCCAGGATTGGAGAAGCGCGCATCCGGGAATTTTTCCAACTCAGACGATATGGCCGCTCGTTGATAGTGCTTATTATGCGAACTCCCTCGATTAGAGTCGTTTGCCGTGATACGCCGACGGCGGTACAGCGCGAGTACGTATCGCCAGCTGTCCAGGCGAGTGAATAGATCGTCTTCGTTTACGACCGAGATGAAGATATCGAACTCGCAAGTTGAATTTGTCGGTTTTGTGAGTGGCAGAAATGAAATGGGAGGTGTTCCAAACGTGATGCAATGTATCCGCCGAAATCGATGGGCGAGCGTGGGAAGGTCCGATGAGCATGACATGGAACGCATATGCATATACAGTAAACTAGCCACAGCCCCGCCGGCTGAATGTCCTGTGAACAGGAGATACTTCTTGCCATCCAAAGCCTCCGTACGAAGTAAGAGTTCGATCTCGTTCGCGATTAGAGGAGCCATAGACTCGGCGATCTCGAGAAAGCCTTGATGGCACGTATTCGCCTCGTCGGCTAGGAATCTTGCAACGCTTGTGGGTGCCGAATGGAAGTTCACACGCCAGTCCGGCACGATTGCTTGACTCCCGCGTATTGCGACCACAACCAGACGTCCGTTATTGTAACCCTGTATTCGAATGAGAGCAGCCTTGATGCGAGCTTCCGAGTTGGCATGGAGTAAAGTGTCGCCGTCGTGAGCTTGCGAAAAATCGTAAACCTCAGAGCTCGCTTGGGCAGCCTTCGAAATAATATCCCAAGTCAGCGCATATACTTTGAAAGGCCGCATCCTCTTCTCGACTCCAGCAGATCTTTTGACACACTCATCTAGAGTATTGGCTTGCGTATCTAAATACTTCTCGTACACCGCGGCACGAATGGACGGGCCCCAACGCCAGTACACCATTGGGCACAGAGAGTTCATACTCGCCGCCGCATTGTGTATCCAACACACGCCCGTGCGGACGGTGGGCGGGTCACACTCATAGGATGATATGAAATGAAGTCGAGCGCCCAGGCCGCATGACTGCGTACGCTTGGCGGTAGTGACGACTGGCTGAGAGCTAATGCTGGGAATTGCCAGGATATCGAGCTACTGCGGGGACGGAACGCGCACGGACAATTTCGTCCACTTTGCTAGCTTTGTCGCCATACGCAAACTCGTTGCTGTCGGCAAATTCAGCAATGGCTGACCGCAACTCCAAAGAACTCGAGATTAAGACTCGCACTAGAGTCGCAGATGTGCAGCAAGCTACCGGTTTCAACGACCTGGGTTGGCGCACCTTCAACGTATGAGACTGAAGCTATTTGCCGACAAGCGACTAATATCGTGCAGAGACTCACACGGATGCAAGCTGAGGCGATCGCAGCGCAGGAAGGGTCACCTAGCTGGACAATTGTAGCATATCACGAGAAGATAAGGCTGCTGCTAGAGCTAAACGAGAAGCTAGAGCAAGAGGGTCTGCCACAGGTTAACGAGAAGGTGTACAGCCGAAGGATGGCACAAGCACTCGCACCTATGATACGCCAGAGCAAACAGGGCAAGAGAAAGCGACTAGGATTGCCCGAGGGACAGGCAAGCACAGACGTTACCGAAGCAGAAAGCCTCCCTGGTGCAGGGTGCACCCGTCTTCCACCTATCCGCGATCACCCTGATCTGGCACAGCACCTGCATACGAATAACGACCAGGATTTGTCTGAAGACGCGTAAGGCGTTGGTAGGGTGACAAGGGTGATGTGTAATTGATTGCAGCTGGTCAAAACATGACGATAGTGCTTCGCGTACATGTACAACATAGCGATGCCACTTCAGCACCATCAACTCTACCGTTCTTCAGCTACATTTCTCTCCTCAGACAGAAGATCTGCTCATGCCATGGAGTCTGCCAGGTTCTTTCAATCTGGCGCCTTTATTGCCCAGTCACAAGTCGACCACGTCACTGATCCAGTAATACAACCACCCAAGTACGAGAGCTTGTGGCCAGGCAGCGGCGATGAGCCGTCTGATGTCGCGACTGACTACGGAATCCCTACGTACGCACCGCAAAACGACATCAGTTCCATCTTGCATGACTACCAACAGGCAATCGATTACCGCCGTTTCAGTCATGAGGTGGATGATGTCGCCAGTCAATATCTCACCTTGCCCTGGAGAGACATACGTAGCAGGCACATTCGGGTCCTTGGGCAATCTCTCGGGACAGTGGTCTTCAAAAGATCTTCAGGACACTCCGTACGACATGATCTCGAAGGTAAGCAGATTCAAGAGATGCGGTAAGATTACGAGGTTGACCTTTGGCAGCGCCTGTGGCCAAAAGCAGCGCGTGTCCCATCGCGTTTGCGAACCATGTGCGTGAGCTCCTGGATATTGGACCAGATCCTTGCACGAAGGACAGAGAGCGCATTGCACGCTACACCGTCCAGCTCGCCTCGACCACGCTATTCCCTTCACAAGCAGCCTTGGATATCCGCCTCGATTGCGATCGTTGGAAGCGAGATATCGAGAGATTTCGGGGTCGTTGGCTGGATCAGCCTAGAGAAGAGATGTTAAAGTCTGGCAGAAGTCTTGAGAAGTTTCTGGCGATCTGGCTAGAAAGTCTGGCGACTGAAAAACACTGGATCGCTGTTCGCGGAGCAGTAGGGAACGTTCTTCAGTGGAGAAAGGCCGGTCACACGGTCACAATAAGCGACGCCGCCTTTCCAAACATCGTCGGAACTCTGGTCAATAGTTACATGCAGTCCTCGTTCTCTCACCTATCGATCTATCGTACCGACGCTCAAACCAGTCGACATGCCGGTCAGCTCTTCATAGAGTACCTCGATACCCTCCGGTCATTCATGTTACTTTGGATGGACACTCTTGCTGAGGAAGACGCTCTGGCTAGAAGCCGCAAGATATTTTTTCGACTTGATCCCTGCGCGAGAGCAATATATCTATACGCCATGCTTTACATAGCTTTTGAAGAGGAATGGGGCGTAAAGACGCATCTTGAACTTTTCGACAACTGCCTGTCTACGTTCACTCGAGTCGAAGGGGCTTTGAACGCCATTGCTTTGATTACGCTCAAGCACGCTGAATTGGCCTGTTTGAGACATCTCTACATAGCAATCTGTCAGCTTGGGCGAATTAAGGATTCTTCCAAGTGGATGGCTGCCTGGGACGATGTTCTGGCACTTGTGCGGCATGAAGAGCGGGATGTGTTCTCCCGTGACAGTACCTGGTAGTGAGTTCATGAAACGCAGCGCATATATGAGTTACTCAATTGACAGATATGTCGCAGAAGCATTGCAAACAGACCAGCTGTCGAGCCAATCACGAGCAGAGGCAATGCAGGCAGGTCCGCGGACTTGATGCGCGCGCAGAGCAGGTTCACGATCTTGGAGTAGGTCTTCAACAAAATCAAGTCGTTGATGATGTGCCCCCTCTCGCCCGTGAACTGGATATACTTCTCCACGCAGGCGCTCACCAAAGACGCAAACGCGACGCCCCACAGCTGCATCTTGTTGTCGTAGCCTCTGTTCGCTAAAGTAGACCTGCATTTGCTTCCGCCTAAGCCCAAGAGCACGCTCGATCGCACGAACTTGTCCATGTAACTGCTCACGGTCCTCTCCGAACTCGGCTGCTCGACCTCACTTCCAGTCCCGCTTATGTTCGGTAGCGAGTCCGTGTCGTCGTCTCCTCACCTCTGTTGATCGTTGACTCAGTCGTCTGTTCCGAGCTTGGATCTTGTGTCACTACCTCTTGCGCTGGTTTGTGATAAACGGAGCTTGTGTCTCTTGATACTGGCGATAAACCTAATGGTCGCTCCCTCACGTCCAGAAGTTTTTTGGCGAGGTCGACAAGGAAGTCAACGTTTCGCTGCTCCTCGAGCCATCCTTGTTGACCATGGTAAGCGAACATATCAACTATGAGCGTCCTTAGAGGTGAACCTTCCGGCGTTCCGTCGTACACAGTGTCAGCGTCAGTGGGAAACCACTTCGTTCCGTCTTTTTCCCTGTGGACACAAGCGAAGATACTGTCAATAGTGACATTCTGGAAAACTACGTCTTGAATCTTCTCGCCAAAGATGTAGCACTTAATCAATGTGTGGAGTTCCCGCGAAGATTTCGGGTCTTCGTTGTGCTGCTGTACCAGAATCTTGGCCTGGTAAAGCCATTGTACGTAGACCTGAAAGACGTCGACCTCATCGTCGGGCATAGGTATCGTCCTCATGCGGTCATGATCCCATTCTTTCTTGACTGCAGACCGGAAGAAGGCAGAACTAGTGCAGAGGAGGTTTTCGTGAAGTACCCATTTCTGCTTCGATCCGCCTACCTCTATTGTCCAGACTTCACCATCAAGTCTAAGACATTAGAAACGAGTTCTCGACCACGAGCGAAGTACACTTACGGTTTCCCTTGGTTCACGTATCCCAGGATATCCGCCATGCTGGAGCAGCGTAGTTGAAGATAGATGCTGTAAGTTACTGGTGGCAAGATTGTGACTTACCGCTTGCTGACATCACCCCGCATAATCATCTCAGATGTGGCGCAGAGAATCACGTGATGAGCGTAGTGAGTCATCTTACCCTCTTTGTCTCGCCACAGGGTGCGTCTCGGCATGTAAGGTTGGACGTTACACGAACGCTTGAACAGTCGTTCAGCTGCTTCTACACGCCACTTATCGGTGTAGACTGTCCGGCATATCAGATATCCCAAATACGAGCAACGAAGTCCAGAAGTATGAAATCTAGATCCCGGCTCCCGAATTCTCGGATTGCGACCCATGGGTATGAACGGCCACGCTCCGTCCCGACGGGTGCTTCCACAGAGCATTTCAAAGGACCCCACCGGTCCAATAGTATCTCACGCAGTTCGTGCGACCTGCATCGATGTAGGTCGACACAATGGCTTGTACATAGCTACTTGTGACAAGCTGCTGATTAGGTCTGAATAGTGACATAGATCGGATGTGCGTACACATTCCAAAGAAGTTCATCCAGCAATCAAATGCTGTTAGCTCCCAACCGAAACTCCTGCATTGAGGGATGTGAGTGGTATAGACGGAGTATCGAACGAGTTACCACAGAACATAGCAACGGCTTGAGCCTGTGGTAGACTACAACTTCTGGACACCTGCGTCGTAGCTGCAAGCACTGCTGTCGATACTGTAGCAGGTGGATGCAGACGAGCCAGATGGATTTGTTGAGAGTGACGTGCCACCAAAGAGCGATGCGAAAATACCACCAGGCCCGCGGACAGCTGAGGACGAAATGCTGACTTGTTCGAGTGTAATAGCGATAGAGCTTGACGATGCATAGGGAGCCAAGGTAGCAAGTGGGTCCCCGAAGACCGAAGGACTGATACCGGCATTAGGCAAAGTAGCAACGCTGCTCGTTCTCATAGTTGGACAACAAGTAAGTGTCGTCGTGACCGGCACGCCACTTGTCTTATTGGGGCAGATGACGATACCATGCATCGACGGTAGAGTACTGCTGGATGGATTCGCAATGTTTCTTTGGAAAGGTGGATTGATAGACTCATGTTTTGGCGCCGCTATCACTTTCTGGGCGATGAGGATCACACTCATGTATAGCATGCTGTACATCTTAACTGATGCGTAATGGAGCACGCAAAATGAAAGCATTTGGCCTCGATTACATTCTCTGCTTTCTTGAAAATTAGACTCGTCCGCCATGCTCTTAGAGGCCGCTTTCTTCTGCTTAGATCTGCTTCCGTGTATCCGTATGGAAATCGGAATATACCTACCTTTCCATTTCCAGGAAGCTGGGATGCCAGCCTTAGACTAAATACTGTGACGACCCAGCATCTGGGAACTTTCTGACAAACGCAAATGAACGTAGAGACCTTGGTAGTAATCACGGGATCCTCTGTTCTCCTCGACCTATGGCCGTACGTGATGTTCAAAGTCTAATGAACATCTATATACTCTCATTCTTGTCAGTCCGAGATCTCTGCCAGTCACATATCTTTGGGGCCCGCTCTGAACACTTCGGCGACGTGATTGCCAGACCTCATTCATCCTCGAACTCCTCCTGGTCCCAGTCAGTCTTCCAACAAGCAGCACTCTTCATATCATTCGTCATGTTCTTGCGCAGCTGCCTAGCGAACATGCCGTCCATGGCCAGAAGCATATTCATTCGGAAAAGGGCGAGTCTACCATCGTCAACAAGGCGTAAGAGAGACTTGACGGCTCCGGGCAACTCTTTGTATAACAACTCGCATCCTCACTCCATCGGCATTGATCTAGCCTGTCAATCACCAGAAGCATGCGCGTCCCATGTGGAAAGACCTCATAACATCGTATCAACAAGTCGGCCATGGCCTGGAAAGGAGCTTACGGATTTTCCTCTTTTATTTACCCGAGGACATGATATCGGTGATATTCTCAAGTTTAGGGCGCATCCGAGGCCGATATTGATCTGCAAGCTGATAGAGCATGCTCCGTATTATATCGGAGAAGCTACTTTTCAGGCGCTTTGTCACAGTGTAGGTAGTTTGGCAGAAGTACACTATCTTCACAATCGGCAGCGGTGCTTGGGGAGAGGGGTTCCGCGCAGACAGATCTTGACAATGCTCCGCTGCAACGACAGAAGCGTCCGAGAGCCAGCCGAGAGTATCTCGCGTACCGCTTGCAGTCAGACCAGCTAGTAGACACAGCGCAGACTCGTCCAGCGACCACCATCGATGGAAAGCCATCTCCTTCTCTAAGGCTGCCTAGGACAAGGGAGGAAGTGGTCTGCCTCTTCGGCACTCCCCGCCAAGTCATCGATCTAACGTTGCCTTACACTGGCCGCGATTAAGGTGTGCAATGTGCCCGTCTTGCATTCTTCCCAGGCCAAGAAGCTTGCGCGGCTCACTCATGTGGCTCTGATCATCATGCGAAGCACCCAGCTGTACGCGGTCGTTGGTCTTCTCTCCTGTCTTCTTGCCACTCAGGCTGGTCGACTGGACGTCAATGAGCTGTAATCTGACACGAGCCAGGTCCTTTAGAACCCCAGAAAGATCCGAGAGTGCAAAGTCTCTAGTGTCTTCGCAGATGCCGCGCGATGGCAAGCAGTGCTACTCATGGACGAGGCAGACGTCTTCGTGGAGGAGCGAATCAAAGGCGAGCTGAAGCGGAACGCATTCGTGGTAATGCTGCTGCGCATCACGCTTCAGTCGGAGTTCCCACTGGGGCCGAGTCGCAAGCCGATCTATGCCTCCATCTGCCAAGAGGGTGATGCGCTCTTTCTACTGAAACATGCGAAACCTTAGATTAAGCCTCAGCCTAGACACAACAGGAAGTATTAGCCCTCAGGAACAGATCTTAGTTCGTTGAGAATTATGCCCAGGCGACTGAATGCCGACATCGTGAGGAAGGGTACGTGTGTGATGTAAGACAAACGATGCTCCAAGCTTTCAGATGGCACACAAGTCCTGCAAAGGACACGTTCCATTCCAGTCTTGGTCCATAAGCGTGACTTGAGATCCTCACAGTCTTGTGGTACAAGTAAGTCCTTTTCATTGCCAAGACCCTCCATGAAAGCCAAGACTGTCGCTGCAATGGCAACAGCGATCGGTGTAGAGAATGATGTGCCACTTCTGTGGATAATTCTTTGCTTGTCGTCCGTTCTGCAGGTCGGTGTAGAAACGCCTAACGTCCAGACTCGGTGCCCTTCTCCCGAGCTGAAACCAGCAGGCCGCCCATAGCTGTTTGCGGCACTGACGCAGACTACGTCTGATAATTTCGCAGGCCACGCGACACCATCGTTAGCACCCTCATTTCCTGCTGCTGCAAATATTAGGACACCATTGTCTCGGGCGTACCGAATAGCCAACCAAATGGGTCGGAGTTCCGGTGTTTTATAGATTGCAAAGCCAAAAGACAAGTTGATAATGTCGACTTTCTCGCCTCGGTGGTCGGAAAAGTGCTCAATAGCCTGGTATGAAGGGGTTAGACAGGACTGGAAGCATAAGAGCAAGATGGTACTTGGTGGCGGGAGCGGGTTACATACCTTCGCGATTGCCAAGATGTCAACGTTCCGTAGGAAGCGAGACTGTGCGATTTTGGCCACTCTTATATGCACATCCTCTGGTGCAAGTCTGAGGAGAAGATACGCGATATCTGTGCCGTGGCCATCGGTGTCTTTGCAGCTTCCTGCATCCGGCCAGCAACGTATTCTGCGAGCATGACAAGAAAGCCAAGAGTTCTCCAGGTCGATTCCTGTATCAAGTATTGCGATCTTGAGCTGGTGGCTGCTCGCAGTCATTCTGGGCATCTTTGCCTTCACCTCATCAAAGCGTTGAAACCACAGCCCTGACTCGCGGATTCTGTTCATCACATCGGTGAGTTCGGTACATCCATTTAGCAAGACCAATAATGTGACTTACTGCTCTACACTTACAACTTCATCAGTATCGAAAAACCGCTCGTACGATAGGCCGAGACTCGATACCGTCGACCTTCCGCTCTCTCGCGGCTCAACTGCTGGTCGACCGCCGGAAGCCTTCCAAGGACTATGAGCCTGGACACAATTGTCTTGTGAGCTTCGAAGATATATGGCAAAGTCTGCGATTTCACATACCCGAAGATGAGCAGGCTTGGGACTCGGCGTAGGTCTCGTCACTCGACTGTTTATCCGTGGTCGTACTTCGACTGACAGTTGCGGTGTCTTCGAATTATCCGATGATGACTCTACGCGTGGAAGACAGAGGCTGGATATGAACACATCCGGCTCGATCGCACCGCATATCGCGGTGAAGTCGCTTAGCAGCATGCCAATAACTCGCTGGCAGAAGGCAGAGTCAAGCCGCCCTTCGACTTCTGCATCACCACATACCCATTCCATCTCAGAGATGTCCAGACATGATTGAACGGCCTGCTTGAAACGCTCGTGAACGTCCCAATTTGTATCCTGAAGGGACGAACGCAGGAATGCGCGATATGTAATGCGGTTCTCCGCGGCTCTTGTGAGTTCATACTTGCTCAATGGACTCTGACGATAGATTTCCATCATGAGGGCGGCATGTGAGAGCAGCAATGATGGCATGACCACTGAATTAGTGGATAGCGTATCACGAGCTGGCTGCACCGGTGTTACCAGCATCGGCCGTAGACGTAGAACTTTGTTATCTTGAAAAAAGTGGATGCCGGAATTTGTCCATCCTGCAGGAAACCATGGCTCGCCACAGAAGTCAAGCATCGAGTAGGATAACACGATACACAAGCAGAGCTTGCCGGCGATGCCAAGTTCTGTCTCCTGAAGAGCGAAGAGACCATTTGCCAAGCTGACAAGCTCCATGTCGGGCGGTGATGAATTGTCCTTAGCGCTGCTCATTAGCTGAAGGAGTTTCCGGCCATCAAGGTCTAATTTCAGTGTCTGAGTGGCGGAGTTCTCGATGGTCGAACAGAGATCTCTGATCTTGCGACGTGTTGGGATCGACGTGCTTGCTGGCAGGTCGAAGCGGGTCCTGACTTGAGACCTGTCACCCGTGAGCCCAGGCCACGGCATCTAGTTTGTCATTATCAAACCTCTTAGTATCGACATTCATGCTTGTCGCATGCCATCCGATCTCATTTGCTTTGGTGCTCAGAAGACCATGGATGGTGACAGTACTGTCCTCTTCAGCCACATGTCTATGTGTGCACATGAAGAGCGCAGCCCTATGCGGCAAAGCACATTTGCACGTCCAATGATTTGAGACGACTGCCAGCATATTGAGCAGGAAAGGAGCCAAGCGGCGCCGGACCTGAGGGAAGACGGTAGATTCTGCTTCGATCGATTGCTGCTCATCGCCGGCAAGGACATCTGCAAGCTGGCGCAAATGCTCCATCAGATTAGTACGGGACGACTGTGCTGGCTGCTCGTCGAGGGCACGCAAAAGATGAGACAGTCCGGCAGTATCATTAGCGAGAACACCGTTGATGATCTGTCTCAGCGTCTCTAGGCGAGGAAAAGAGGCGTTGATGCACTCCTGACAGTAAGTCAGCGAAAGGGACCGTATGTGTCTGTTGTAACTGTTCTCACCTCTGCAATTGAGACAGTCCCACCGCGAAAGATAGATTCAAGTGCCCCCAACAGGCCGATAAGTAGCTCGTTGTTTTTGGGACATAGTCTGCTCCATTGGCCTTCCAGGATTAGCTGGTACTGCTGAGTGATGTCGCCCCAGAACATTCTGATCTTGGTTGGATGCCGCGCCACTTTGGCATGCTCATATCTTTTAGCTGCGGCAGACGCAAAGGTGTCCAAAATGGCTCGTAGCAAGACCACACGTCTCTCCAGTACCGCATCGCCTTGCAAAGACGCCATGAGTGTGCATGAATCGTGCAATATCGCCCCTGCTTGTTGCATATATCAAGCCATAGTTGATGGGGCTATTCGGTAAAGTCAAGAGCCCTCGAACCCTCGACAGCCTTACAGCACTGCTCGAGTCGGGGCCGGCATGGTGGTGACGCGCGTGGCTGAAGCCGAGCGTCGCAGCCTGACCATGGACGAGTCTTTGTCCTTGAGCGCAGGATCGATACGACCTGTCGTAGGTTGGAATCTGCTTAACAGGTGCATCTAGTATTGGGACAGGACTTCACCAGTGCCGCATAGTAAGGACAGGGATTCTGCTAAATAAATTAGTGGAGCCACTAGACACAACGTCCAGGATACGCTTTCGAGATCCGAACCGTACCATCGTGCGATGGCTTCCACGCGCAAGACCTACTTTCTTGCGCCTTCATGGGATATAGGTCCGGCAGAGATCGCTCTGGGCAGTGTGGTAGCCAATCCAAAGGTCCCGCATAGGCCTCTATCGGCAGGGACACTGCCCGACGACATAGATTCCGCAATAGTAAATACACCTCCTGCCGACAAATGCTCAGGCTTCGCGAAACTATCGGGAGCGTGGTCTCTGGGCCTCTTCGCGACCTTCGTTCATTTTGTGACGTTGGGCGGGAAATTGGCACACTCCCGAAAGAGTGCCTCCGAGATTCGCTACTCCTGCGACACGATGGGAACACGCAGGTTCGTCCCGTCATCAACGTACGTCACCAAGGCAGCACACGATAAGGGTGTGCAGGCGTTTCTCAGTATGGGAGGGCCGGGTTCCGAGGTGTTCGTGATTACTGGTATCAAGACGGGGTATAATATCACCATTACCACGAGCGAGGGAAAGGATGTGGCCTCAGCGGCCCAACTTGGTGTGGACATACCGATCATACAGACAACAGTAGGCCCAAAGGCTGAGCATCGAAGTGAATCCCAGCAAGAGCACAGGCAGCATATCGAAGGGCCAATCGTCTTTGCATACCAGCTTGAGCGACTTAGGCAGACCAGAAAAGGTGCAATCTCCAATAGTGAGCATACTAGCGGTGCAATGCTAGGACAAGGCGCGACTGGTGAGCACCACGATAATCAGGTCGAGATTGCGGACACAGAGTGGACTTCTGTGGCCCTCGAAGGCCTTCAATCTGCCCTTGTCAAGGGGATTGATGAACATGAGGACGAGCAAGACTGCAGCATTGTTGTTCCTGATATCGTAGAGTAGCTTTGCTATGCGGATCGAGCACGACGTCAGATGCTGCATGAAACGCAATCGCGAAGAATGCCATCCACATTCGCTTTCCTCTTCTGTATCTACTGATCGTGCATTACTGGATTAGTGAAGCACTGAGTCCATCCTGTCCATGCACTGTGGCATGCATATCTTAAGGCATCTCGTTTGGCGTTCAGCCTTCCTCCAAAGCAGCTATTGTAGTTTTGGCGAATCAGATGAAATTGGTCTGGTCTAGCGCAGTTGCTGCATATGGCCCCACTGAACGACTGAACAACCTCCAACTCTCCACAGCGATTGTGTCTTGACATGGGTCTTTCGATATACAAGGAGGATGGCAGCCAGCGATCTAGCTGGAATTGACACGATTCGAGCCAAATCTCCCAGCTTTGATGACAGCGAATTAGCTGCAGCAAGCAAGCAGGTCCGACAACTGCTGACTTGCTGCGAGGCTACCACTGACGAGGTCATCAGTCGAGAGGCAAAAGCACAGGTCGCACGATTTGACTTGTGGGCATCGAACATCGGGGTTTTCGCGAAACGCCACGCCTCTCTGGACTATCGACTGCGCGCCGCGCCGATCAGCAGAGCGGCTATAGAGAGCAGTCTTGACACTCTGTGTAACAACATATTTTTCGGTACATTTACACATGAATAGTACCCCAAGTACAGTGCAACTGACGGGATCTAGCACTGACAGGGGACTACGATGTTGCTGAGCAGGAGCAAGATCGGCTTGGTGATCTGGTCGAGGACATTCCCCAGTACTGCCAAGGTCTCATTCGTCGACATAGGCCTGCTCCTACGACTACTCTGGAAGGCCTGCATACCGTTGGGACCTCGATCACGTCGCTGCATCGCCTCTCACTCGCCATCCGCAAGTCAGGGAACCGGAACTCATTGTCCAGGGTTCCTGGTCTCCTTGACGTCGACCATGGCTACACGCTCTTCCACAACACCAATGCAGAACAGCAAGCTGTGCTAGCCTGCACGTACGCTATCACGTCGACATTCGAGGACTTTGTCAGATCGACGCTGTCACGGAGGTGGTTGCAATATGCGACAGATCCGAGCTCTGCCCAAGGGCAAGCACAGCATACTCCAGACTTAGGTCTCAACAAAGTGCAAGCGGAGTATAGATCGATCATGCTGGATCGCTGCGTGGCTATGATTGTGAGCCGACGAAGGCTTCTCGTGTACTTTGGCAATCACCAAAGTAAGCTTGAGAACTCTGTCGACCACAACCCGGGTATCAGACAGAAAGGTACATGGCCCAATCCTGTGACCACATCATCCCCGTTCAACGATATACAAGCCTTGGACAACGCACCAGAAAAACTTGCAGAGATACCCTTCAGCGAGACTGAAGCTTCCATAATCGAAGACTCAAAACTTGCGAAGCCTATGTCGGAAGTAGAGCCATCCGTTACCTCGTCAACAGGGAGTTCGACGCTCAGTGAAGCTTCCCAAGAGATCACGAAATGCTTCGACCTTCCCAGCCCGCCGCTGCTAAGTCCGGGCGAGCGTGAAGGGACTTGTCCGTATTGCCGTCTGGTCCTCCCAGCCAAGGAGTTCTCCAAAAGTCGACGCAATCGTAAGTGGAAACATCACCTGTGGCAAGATTTGCAGCCATACTGTTGTCTTCATTCCAGCTGCCCCCAATCGGGCAAGCGATATGGCAATCTCAGGGAATGGCAGGCTCATCTTGATCAGCCACATATCTTGCAGCTCGATCAAACACAAGAGTCAAATGAGTTAGAGCTATCAAACAATTTCCGCGCGGCTGTAGAGTCGAAAGCACAAACCGAAGAAAATGTGATAGCATCGCAGTCCAAGACCCTCAGCGAAGGCGAGACCATACTTACCTTGCCCGATTCCCTTCAATCTGGCTGGTGTTTTGTCTGTCTCGGCCGATATGATGGTAACGAAGCGCTACGGATGCATACCGCTCGCCACCTGGAGATAGCCTCGCTACTAGCATTACCTCTACGGCAGGATGTCGCGGATGTCGATGACATTCCAAGTAGCATTCCGTCCGTGGGAGATGCGATCGGTCTTGCGGATTCCGCGGGCGGCGATGAAATATCACCATTACCATCTCGAGAGCATGCGGGACGAAACGACTCTGTCGTACCCTTGACCTCATATCGATTGGAAGCTTTGGACAACCAAGAGGACGGCGGTAGAGGTGTCGCAGGCTGGCTTGTGGGAGCACAAGATGCTGTTAATCTGCCAGCCGAGATGCGTGAAGCCCTTGCAGATGATGGAACAGCACTTGCGCGTGATGTCTCTAAACAATATGACCATCCCACTCGACTCATCGACACTCGGACTCTAGCAATAAAGCATATTCAGTCCGGCAGTCAAGTGAGGTACGGCATACTTTCTCATGTGTGGGGCCCACAGGAGATCTCCTACGAAAACTTCTTCAACGAGCAAGCAAGAGACGGTCAAGGCTTTACAAAAGTTTGGAAATGCTGTAAGCTTGCATTAGAACATGGGTTAGACTACATGTGGATCGACAGCTGTTGTATCGACCGAGGGAGTACCGCCGAGTTGAGCGAGGCAATAAATTCCATGTTTGCATGGTATGCGTCTGCTGCCATATGCTTCGTCTACCTTGCAGATGTGGGAATGCCCACAAACTCGGTCCATAGTGGCAACGACGAACAGTTCTTCGGGAGCCGATGGTTTACCCGTGGATGGAGTCTGCAAGAGCTGCTTGCGCCGCGGAACGTACGATTCTTTGATTGCGATTGGAGACTGCTTGGCACTCTGTCGGAGCTCACTAACATGGTGAAGGACATCACTGGCTTGGAGACAGCGCTACTCAGGCACGAGAAGCCGATCAGTGCATATAGCGTCGCTCAGCGTATGTCCTGGGCTGCAGGCAGAATGACCACGCGGCGTGAAGACATGGCATACTGCTTGCTTGGTATCTTTGAAGTCCACATGCCTTTACTGTATGGTGAGGACGATGGGGCTTTCCTGAGACTGCAGCATGAGGTGTGTAAACGGCATCGGGATGATACCATCTTCGCCTGGAGCGACGAGCACATGCTTCTAGCCCCTGCACTTACTGGAGCTATGTTCGCTCCCGACGTTCGATGCTTCCTCGGGTGTCGCGATGTTGTTCAGACAGATTGGCCTGAGCCTTTGCAATGGGAATTAACACAGGGAGGACTTCATATCAGCGGCGCAATGACTATGCCTGGACCGTCAGACGAAAGCACGTTGTTAGTGCTGAGCTGCGCACCGCGGGAGAAGAAAACTTCTCGTTATGTCCTAACGTTACGGTACTCGAGGACGGACGGGCGTTATACTGTTCGCTCTCCACGTCAAGTACAGATCTTCAACGTGACGGAGATTAGGGCAAGGGCCACACGAGGCAGTATTAAGATCCACATCCAGATGAGCAACTCGGAGGCTTTTCACGACGAGAAAGACAAGATCGAGCGTGAGCGCATCGAGCGCAAGATCGCCGGAACGGAGGCTGCTGAAGCGGCGCGTGAGGTGTTGGCGAAAAACCGACAAGGAGTCACCTCAAGCTTTGATCCGGCAGTGTCATACAGCGGTGACGTGATGTCGGAGAGACGCGATGAATACACACCGCCCGAGGCCCCTGGACCCGCCGTTGCTGGCCGGCCAGATGACTACATTGCTAGCTCTTGGCTTCCACTAGAAGATGACCGTGGACCACCCACGAGAATTGCGAAGAAAAGTGATCGGAGGCGACGCAGAGGATAATCTATGAAGCACACGCTCAGCTACATTCTCACCGACAAAACGACATCCCAACCCCAAGTTCACATGGTCCCTCTCATATCAGCGACATACCTTCAGGAGAAGCACTAGCGTAGCGGTGAGTATGATTGTTCACAATATGCTAGCAACCAAGATAGCGGGACAGCACCGCTCACGATGCTAGACTGGGATTGTGGGAAGCTTGAACGGGGGACGAGGCGAAAGCACATGGTGCTCGCCAATCTTGCCGATTCGATCCTACAAAGTTGAAACGACCGATATTCTACTAGTTGAAGAGGTTATGGCGACCTCGGACTGCCTAATTTGATGTCGGCTCTACATCCTGAGAGGGGCCCAGCTGCATGTGTGGACTGGGAAGAACTCCGGTCATCCGTATATGACACAGTAGATACTTCTATCCTCGAGCTGGGCTGATGGTCGAGATGGCCATCTAGCTTCGCCCTCCGCTGGGTCGTGTTGCCGCACTCTCATACTGTTGGTGAAGATTTGCACCATCCTAGGGCTGGGGGCTGATCAGGCTCCCCTGTTCCCTTCCCACTATACATCTCGCTCCGACCGCACCCGTCCCAGACTCGAAACATCATGCTCCCAATCCATATCACAAACAGAAGCCAGACATTTCCCCCTCAACCCAACCTCCTCGGCTTCTTACTCCTCGGCCCCCCCAACTTCAACCGCGTCGCATCAACCACCCCCACCACCCTACCCCTCAAATACCTCCCCTCACTCCCCAACAAAGCCTTCGTGACCGCCTCCCTCCCCGCCCCAAAGCCCCTGAGCACAACCTCCAACTTCTCCACCTTGATCCCGCGTTCCTGCACCTGTTTAAGCAGAAAAGCACCCAGTTGGTACGCTGCATCATAACTTCCCCTCCCCGCCTTCCGGAAGCCGATATTACCTGCTGAGACGGACATGAGGACATCGACCATTTTCTTGGCGTCCGAGGCCGAGGCTGAGGTGGAGGAGGTGACGGACGAGGTTGTCTGGGAGGCCGGGGTCGGGGGTTGGACGAGGGTGAGATGGGTGTTGTGTTTTGTGGCGTAGACGTGGAGACGATGGGGTTTGTTGGATGGGTTTGTGGTGTTGAGGTTGCGGGAGGCGAAATCGGAGACGAGGGAGCTGGTGGGTTCGGGGTCGAGGAGGTTGAAGAGGTTTCCTGGGGCGAAGCTGCTGCGGTTGGTGTTGTTGCTGCTGCTGCTGTCGTATGGGGTAGGGGTGTTGTTTGCTCCTCTACCGCGACGGGGCTCGGAGGTGTTGGCCCGGTTGTTGGGGGATGCTAGGCTGGCTATGGCGGCGTCGGTGGCTGAAGGAGGGTCGGCGCGGAGGAGGGGAGTGGTTTGGATGTGGCGTCTGGTGGAGGGGAGGAGGCGTTGACGGCATGATTTGCAGATGAAGGAGGAAAAGGTGCGGGGGGTCGACATGGTGGTGGTGGTGGTGGTGATGGTACTCAATGATGATTATTGATATTTGTTCATGGTCTTGTGCTCTTCTCATGCGGATGGAATGGTGGGTGGCCCAAGCGCACCCCCGAGTGTGTGTGTTCCATCAACTTTCTATGCAGGCGGAATACTGTATGATGATGCATCTCATCTCATCTGCTCTGCCACTGTCGCCACCACTGTAGTACTGTAGTACTGTAGTATCCTTTCTCTGATTGTCATACTGCATAGGATGAGTACAAGTTCACTACGCAGCCTCTCGTCGCGGGCAGGAGGCGGCCTACCACGAAACCTCGCCGCTCGTCCCACCACCACAGCCACATATGGCCGCACAGCTGCCTACCGACGGATAGCATCAGACTTCAGACAATACAGTGAAGCATCATTACAATCACGACAACATGCTGCGCCTACGATATTACCTCCTTTTGCGTTGCGATCACATTTCTTACCCACATCATTACCAGCGGCTGGAGCCTCACTAAGACACATATCTTTCAAGGAGCTGAGGGCGGCCAGAGCGAAGGAGAGGGCTCAGGAGACTGCCTCGGTGCCACAGCAACCACAGGAACCCGCGCAAGCCAAGTCAGAACCAGCAGCAGCATCAAAACAGGCGGCTTCCGAGCCACCGAAGCAGGAGACATCCACCTCCAGTGAGGCCGAGGCAGCTTTTGCGAGTGCGAGAGGAGAAGCCGAGCGACAGTGGGCAAAGGAAGAAGCCCGGCAACGAAAGGAACAAGAAAAGGAGGAGCAAGAGGAGAAGACCGAGGGTGAGGCAGGCGAGGAAGGAAAAGACGGCGAGCAGGCCAAGCAAAAGAAGGAGAAGAAAGAAGCCCCTCCACCCCACGGCAGCAAAACACCCTGGCAAGTCTTCACCGAGACCCTCCAAGCCGAATTCAAAGCCAGTAAAGAATGGGAGGAGAGCACCAAGCAACTAAGCGGCAGCATCACCGACTTCACCCAAAACCCCAACGTCAAGCGAGCAGCAAGCGCCTACAGCAAAGCAGCCGAAGTAGCCAGCTCCACAACCGGCAAAGCATTCCTAGGAACAGCGGGCGCGATCGGACGAGGAGCAGCCTGGACCTGGCAAACCCCCGTAGTCAAAGGCCTCCGCACGGGCGCCGCAGCCGTCGGGTCCGGCGTGGAAAAAGCCACCCGCCCCGTCCGCGAGACCGAGGCTTATAAAAGCGTCAAAGACACCATCGACGACGGCGCCTCCCAACGCTACGGCGGCTGGACGGAAAAAGAAGAACGGAAGCGTCGGCGGGAGGAGCTTGACAAGAAACTCGGCCGGTCCGCCGAACCGCAAGAAATCTTCGAAGAGGACCTCAACGCCGGCACGAACGTGACTCTACACAAAGATGCCCAATGGAAAGAATCCTGGAAGTCCTTCCGCGACAATTCACCCCTCATGCAACGCTTCTTCGGCATGGGGAATACCTACCGCGAGAGCGAGAACCCGCTCATTTCCACCGCACGGGGTGTGACGGACAGGATCGCGGGCTTTTTCGCGGAAAACGAGACGGCGATGGTGATTAAGAAGTTCCGGGAGATGGACCCGAGTTTTCAATTGGAGGCTTTCTTGACCGAGATGCGGACGTACATTCTACCCGAGGTGTTGGAGGCGTATGTGAAGGGGGACGTGGAGACCCTCAAGCTCTGGTTGAGCGCGGCGCAATATCAAGTCTACGCCGCCCTAATGGCCCAATACACAACCGCCGGCCTGCAATCCGACGGCCAGATTGTGGATATCCGCAACGTGGACATTCTATCCGCGCGGATATTGGAACCAGGGGAGATCCCGGTGTTTGTGCTCATGGCCCGCACCCAGGAGGTGCATGTTTATCGGAAGAAGAAATCGGGGGAGCTGGCGGCGGGGATGGAGGATAAGGTTCAGCAGGTCACGTATGCGATTGGGGTTACCCGGATCCCCGAGGATGTGCATAATCCCGAGACCAGGGGGTGGAAGTTGATTGAGTTGCAGAAGAGTGGGAGGGATTATATCTGATGCCTTCCATCACGGTACACCTTTGCTCATACTTCTTGCGGACCGAGGCAGTGCGTGCGTGCGTCATGGAAGGGTGGGCCAGTGGTGCACGTCGGCTGCTCGCACGGCGCGGTGGCCTTCGCGCGTTCTCCCCAGGTGCTACAGACAGCTTTGGGAAGAAGACTCGCCTACCTCCGATCTTCTGGACTAAATCTGCCGAGTCGCGGTTTCAAGGCGACCATCACGAGATTCGCATGGCGTCTCGGCTCTCTTCGCGGCGAGCTTTTTGGCATTCTCCGCGGCGTATGACGGGCGGCGTGGAGACGGCGGTTCGGCCGACGGGACCACTGAATACAATATGTGCTCTGCTCACGCCCTGAGCGGTGCTCATAAACCAATTGAAACTCTACTCCGACACGAGGCGAAGAAAGCTGTACGATAGAAGCATCAAAAGTAATCATTCGAAAGCTTTGTGGTCAGCTAGTCTGAAATGTATATTTATCTCTATCCCACACCTTTTCTGTCCCATCGGTCGCACTTGTTCCCTCGCGCCAGAGTCTCTGGACACGATAGCTTCCATCACGCTCGCAAGGTGACGCTGACGAACTAGTGGAGTATGATCCTCGCGCTATCGTAAACACAACATTGCCCATTCCTTCACTATCTGTCATCTCGAAACGAAGGCCCTTTCATCAAGCAAACCCAATCACACCCCCCACGCACGCCGTCCCAGCCGCCACAGCCTGCCACCTCACACTCCCGAGATCGCAGATCCCGAATTCCTCCCTCCCATTACATATCAATACCCCGTCATCCTTACACGCAGCATCGCCCTTTGCACTGATAGTCCCATTTACGCACTGCGTTCCGTTGGCCACGGGTTGGAAGATCACGGTGCCGAAATTGTAGAGACCGTATTGGGTTGGGCCGTTGCAGAGGAGGAGTGTGCTGGTTGTGTTTGTTGGGCAGCTTCCTGCGGCCGGAGAAGGGGACGGGGAGATGGGTGGGGTCGTGGCATTGGTGTTGTTGCTGTTGTTGTAAGGTAGCGGAGCGGAGGTGGTGATGTTGGGGTATTGACGGTTGCTTATGCGGAGAGGGAGGGGCGAGGAGGTGGCGAGGGTGAGGAGAAGGGTGGTTAGGAGGTAGATTTTTGATTTCATGGTAATGGAAAGATTTTTTGCTCAACGGCAGAACTTGTTGAAGAGGAGTGTAGAAAGGGCTGCGGCTTGGTACGGAAGTGTGATGGGAGATCAGAAATTGAGGATTGCAGATATACATACCTTGCGTAGCAGAACGGGTGGGACGTTGGTGGCTCCAGTGGCGACACGGTGTGTGCTACACTTATGTTTGAGACTCGAACATACGCCTTCGATGGAGAAAGCTATGGCTGGTGGCATTTACGAAAACCACATTGTTGTCAGCTCTTTCAAGGTGGCTTCGAGGCATATCGACTGTTCGGGATGATGGCGGAGAGGTCGAGCCGGTGTAGGCTGAGCCATGATAGCACACAAGAACGCCATAGTCGTACAGCTAGATCGTGACAGCTTGTCTGCCGCGTAAGCAACCATCTCATAGTACCACCTGGGCGGCCCTTTGTCTAAGAGTTGACGGTTGCACTGACTCAAAAAGGTGAAGTCGGGTTGTAAAATGCTTTTGCCTCAGGCATTCAACTTTTCCGGCCCGAGTCTTGCCATCTCATCCGTGTCTACCACAATTCTAGTCTTTGCATCAGATATATCTTAGACATGTCTACGTTTGGTGGGCCCGGCGGCCGACAGATCGTCTCCAAACCTAGCCCGCCAGAACGAGGCTCCTTCCCTCTGGACCACGATGCCGAATGTCAACCGATCATGAAGCAGTACCTCCGCTGCATCCGAAGCTTTCGTGGAGTCAACGACGACGAGTGCAGGCATCTAAGCAAGTCGTACTTGCAATGTCGAATGGACAGGTATGTAGCGACCTGTCAAAACCGAGACCTGATGGTGTCTCTAACCATCATGCATAGAAATCTCATGGCGCCGGACTCGATGAAGAATCTCGGCTTCCAGGACTTGTCCAAATCCGCGGCGACCACGGCCGAGAAGCCCGCGACATCGACGGACGAACCGAAGGCGTCGACCAAGAAGTGAAGTATTCTGCCGCTCTTCAGCTCGTCTCGACACGCCTTCAATTTAGATGCTGTACAACCGCCACTCACGGAGCCAGATCCGCCAAGTCCAGGAAAAACCTCAGCCACAAGCATCCGATCCAAAGCGGACACTCGGTCTCCATGACCGACGCCACACCACAACACTCTATCAACGCCGTGCCGTGCCATTCTATACTCTGCGCCCAGCCTCCTAACCTCCAAGTCCAGGCCATCGCTTCCAGGTAACACAAAAGGCCTCGAATTTCCCCACCCCAGCTAAATCCGCCGAAACCCGCAAATTGCTTGCGCAAAACCACGAAGAATCCGGAGTCGTGGTCCGCCCTGCCATAAAGCGGCCGTGTAGTCTTATAAAGCTATAAGCTAAAGCATGCAGGGAGACGAAGCAGTCTAGCAGAACTGCAGGATATCTCGCGTTTCGTGCAAGTTGCCTCGACTGTGCGGAAGCCGAATGCACTTAGCCGAGATTGAAAAGGGGGGATACTTTTCGAGGGTTATATTGCATGGACGTTCTAGATAGCCCAGCTTTTAACGAAGTACTGTATGACAGTTTGAGTACTTCTCCGTTCTGCTGCTTTCAGCATCTTGCAGGAGACTCAAGTGGTAAAGTATGTAGCCCACAAGCTCCGAAGCCGAGATTCGTCGTGAATATTCTGCATTTACTCGAATGGGACATGACGACGCAAACGAGACTGTGCTTGATGATCAAGTACGGAAGAATATTCTGATGTTCTAGCACACAAACACAAACTCTCTCAAAATGCAAGTCTTGGGACCCGAGTATCATAGAATCCACATGGCTCAAAAATCATCACGCTCGCTCCCCTCCCAAGCTCATCCGATCTACTCCATCGTGACCCTCGTAGCCCAAGAATACGTGCCTCCGTCGCATCATCATGTGTGCCCGCTCGCAGTAGTGGTAGTAGAAACGCCAGTCTGTAAACACCCAAGCCCCAAATGGTGATAATGTATGCATGCAACCCATCTCGCTTGACCGCGGAAACAAAAGCCGGAAGGCCGGTAACGCCAAGAACGCACGCAGGTGGTATCGTGGTGTTGTAAAAAGTGCATCGCAGGTATAGCCGACCGTGGGTGTCCCTCAATGCCGCGAAGATAGGTGTTGTGTGAAGTGGAGATGGTTTGTTTGCCGAAGCAAGGGGTATCAATGGTGGTGAAAATGTTCATCTATTCGTATGGTGGTGCTGGGGTACTGATTGACTCAAGCTTCATGCCGAGATTTGATCGGTAAGGGTCAATAATGATGGATGTTCGTTCGTTTACGGGAGTGGAGCCGTCTATTGATCCATGATCCACTCGTCCTCTTCCTTGAATTCGCCACCAGTCCAGAACTGCTGTTGCTGCTGCTGCTGCTGTTGCTGCTGAGACATCTGTCCGCTGCTCATTCCACTGCCGCCAGATTGAAACCCAGGACTAAGTGATTGTGTGTGGTTGCCGAAGCCGTTACCAGTAGCTTGGTCATCGCCGTTGACTGTATCACCAGCAACGTTCGTGAAGCCTGGCACACGTAGACCGGATCCAGATTCGCGAGAATACTCGGTGAAGCCACCCATCGAAGCATGCTTGTTGAGAATCTCGCAGATCTCACTGTGCATGCGCTTCTCGTCGTCGTCTTGTTCGAATGGCCAGGCAACATTCATCTTCGTGAGTAGCTCCTTGAGCTCCTGCTCCTGCCTAAGCTTGTTGTGCGTGTACCACATCAGATCGCGAGCCCAAGCTACGGATCCATTGAGGATGTCGCCCTTGTTGGGGCCCTTCTCCTTGTCGTCGAGTGGCAGGCCTTGCGTAATATTGCCGCTGGTGGCACGGCGGCCAGCACTGCTTGACAGAAGTGACGTGGCATTCGGTGGAGACATTCCAGCGTTCGTGATGGATGGTGACAAGGGCGCGTTGGTCTGCAAATGCTTGCGCACCTTCTCGTCCTCGAGTCTGTGCTGTGGAACTAGCATGCCGAGATCGTGGATGCGCTCATTGATGTTGTCGCGGCGTCTGCGTTCGACCGCATTGTGTGACTCCCGGCGTCTGCGACGCTTGGCCTCCTGAGTCTGGAATTGACCGCCGCCTTCCATCTTGGCTGGCAAGGACGATGCGACTTTGTGATGATGACCACTAGTCTTCAGCACTTCGGAGATTTGGGCGTGCACTGGCTGGCCGTTGGCTGGCGAAGGAAAAGGTGAAGACTCGTTCCAGCTGTGGCCGCTAGGAGTACTGTCCCAGCCGTTCCCACCAAGGGATGCCTGTTGTCGACGATGAATTTGTTGCATGCCTGGGTGTTGAAGGTCTTCCATTTGTAGATGTGGTGTCGCTGGTGACCTTGAGGTGTTGACATTGATCTTGTGATTTCGATAGCCAGCGGTTTGCTGCGGCATGCTGTGACCGCCAGCAAACTGACCTTGTTGGCCATTCATGGGTCGGAACTGGTTGAAGTTGAAGTCGTGTGTGAACGGTGACTGGATAGGTGCGCCATCAGGAGTGTGTGAGAACATGCCAGTGCTTTGCTGGTGCGCTTGTTGCTGCTGCATCTGCTGCTGCATGAAATTCTGCATGCCTTGCTGCATGTCGAAGCCGTTTTGGTGGTCGAGGTTCAGGTCGGCTAGTTCATCGTCTGCGATTCCAGAGTTTCCCATGTTGAAACTATTGCCGCCGGTGAGGTTTGCTGGGTTCACGTTCATCGCTCCGTTCTGCATGTTGTAGTTCTGGTGTTGTGGATATTGCATGTATTGGTTGGGATCGAACCCCATGTCATGAGGCTCGGACTTGATGTAGGGCTCATTCATGTTGCCAAAGTCGATTGGTGAGTCGTGTTGGTCGTGTCCGTGACTACCGAAAGGTGGAAATGTGGTCAAGTTCTCTCTCGCTGGACCAACACACGTTAGCATCGGCGCTCGGGGTAGGCGACGCTGAATGCGTGACAGGTAGGTGAGTGCATCCATCTCTCGAGTCAGAGTTGTCGCAACTGAAGTACGAGGAAAGTGAACAAGAAGTCGAGGTGCGGATGGCTACTCACAAGCTGTATTCATGCCCTCCGTGTCCCTCCACTTCTGTGTGACCAATTCCTTGCAAGCGTGTGGTGTCGTGAAATATTTGCTGTCAATCCCACTTCAGCCGTATTCAGGCGACGTGATCAGCGCGAAGTCTCTCCGCCTCGGATATCGAAGGTAGTGGGCGAGCAATATGGGAGAATTGGGCCTGGTTCAAGCAAGATTATTAGCTCTGGTTCAGGACTGGCGGACCCCGTGGCTTGCCGAGACAAGCGTTTGGCGCCGGCGACGGAGACGGCGGCGATGGGCTGGCTGGCGACGAGGCTCCATGGATCGCACTATTGTCAATGTCGCATACCGCAGAGCATGCGCTGGTGTGAGCAGTATAATTGTAATAAATTGGTCGTCCCCTCGGTACGTCCTGCCTAATATCGGGCTGCTGTGTGCTTCGTGCTTCGTGCTCCATGCTTCATTTCGTGCCGTGGGGGATGTGCTGGGGTGCATTAATCGGCTTACCTAAATGCTCCTGCTCGCAATGGTGGCAACGATACTCTGCTGCGCTACACACCAGCCCGCGTAGAGGCGGCTCAATGTGTTTGTGTAACTATTGGGCGACTGCGATGAAGCAGCTCGTGGGGTCCTGTCAACTGTGGCGGTCTGTCCTGGTTCGTGCTCTTAGCGCAGTGTCGTGCAGCGAGCTACTGATGTGGAGGCTGATTCGCTGGACAGAGAGTTACTGTAGTGGTCCTGTACGATCAAGATATTAGTACGTCGATCACAAAGCTGTCAATATATGAATGGACGTGTCTCGGCCGAGGCTGTCAGGCAGTGATGACAGCGACAGCGATAGTGGAAGAGTGATGAGGTGTCCGCCACGACTTACATTCACGGCTGTCAAGTAGGCTTCCGGGAAGGTCGGCGAGCGATGCGGCTATGCTGATGTAGGGTTTCTGCGGATTAATGCAAAGCTGACACGCCCTCTGGTGCGACGTGAATCAATGCTGACAGGCGGTGGTCGAGGGGATGGGGGGTTACCTGCAGGAGTTTCGTGGAAGGATATCCCTATCTATATAAACTCGGCACATGCTAATAACCTGTCACCCACGACGAGGAAGCGGATGCCCATCCGTCTCAGATCTGGAGGCAGCGAATGATATGATGACTCATTGCAAAGCAGAACTCAGGCCGAGCAGTCTTTGATCCAGCCTGCTGGTCCTTGCCTGGGTTGCAAGTATCCGTTGGAGGGTGTGCCATCCTCAGCAGCCCACCAGCACACTGACTCTCAAACGCCACTACTGAGACATGGAGCAAAGCTCTCAGCATTTCACCGGGGAGCTCTAGTCCTGCTCGAGCACCTTACTCAAAGCATCCTGGACATACATGTGCTTGTACGTACTCGCCATAGCTACCAATCAGGTCATTGCAGCACTTTGCGCAGATAATTGGCAGGCCACACACTTGTTTGTAGTCGGTGGTAAGTTTGCTCCGTCGCCGCCGAGGGCGAGGGCTTGTGTGAGACGACGTGTCATTGGACGTAATCATCCGCCACAAAGAGAGCGACGGCCTGTGACGCCTGTCATGGTAGTAAGATCGGACATCCACTTCGTGGCGCATAACTGTATCTGAATCTCTCTTTGGCCCCATGCACAAGCTCCAACGGCCTCGGCCCATCCCGCTGAACTGCTGCTGCGTGAGTTGAAGCTCGTAGTCGATCCACGCTGTTACACATAGTAAGCACATGCAAAAGGATCCATTGTTACTGTCGTTGTTGGCGCAGAATCACGACGCCCTCCGTCCCTTATCCAGCTGCCTGGTGTTGACAGGAGGCAGCCACTACAGGATTCAGCAACCAATCAGGTTAGGAAGGAAGCTCGACCGCAGCTGTCACTCAGGCAGCACCATTTCTTGGGACGCTATCAAAGGACTGCCTGCATCGACACCAACGACCCGAGCTCTACCGCAGCTCGCCACTTCTATCATACTAGCGCCACATCCCAACGAACCCTCAAAGACATGGCGTCGACATCATTCAGAGATAGCATGAACAACTTGGGCTGGTCGAGACGAGAACAGCCAGCGAGTACGAACAAGCAGAACCCCATATTGGGCAGGCTGAAGTTGCTCAATCCGTTTGGCGACGAGGGCTTTGTACGATTACCTACCACTGAAGGGGAGGGCCCAGGTGCGCCTTTGCCGGCACGAACGCGACGCGAAGAAGAGGAGGGCTTTTTTGCATGTAAGTTGGGATACCGCTCATCTATCCTTTTGGGCCTGGCCCGCACATCTGAAGCTGCACGGCACATGTGATACTTGAGTATACGAAGAAGTTGGAGAGGTATGCGGCTGGTAGAGCCTCACTAGCTCCGCCCGATGCGCGGCCAGGCAAGATGCAGGCTACGAGTGCAGCGGTGCTACTGCGAGTCATACGTGATAGCAGCAAAGTTCCTGCGTTCGCATAGCTACAGCGCTGTACTCCATGCACATGCTGCCAGGATCAAATCCATCACGCTGCCCTTCGGATTGATATCCGAGACACTACTGACTAGCTGCCTACAGTATCGCGATGGGATAGGCTGCTCGTCTTCGGCGGCCTCAATCTGGCCGCAATCGCCTTGTTCGTCGTCTGCTTCACTCTACTACCCATACTGAGTATACGACCACGGAAATTCGCAATATTGTACGTATACCTGCTGCGCCACCCCACCTATTGTTCTTTCCCCTCATGATCGACAAGCCCGAGGGACGCGGAGAGGGTGTGCAACCTGATCCGGTTTCTCCTCTTGTTCGAGCAGGATTACGAACAATGCAAGACATCATCACAGGCAAGACAACGGCTATTGGGTGCGCAGCCACGCGGCCATGTATGGGAGATGCATAGTCGATCAGTTCGCCACCGGACGCTTATGCGCATGCAGTGGGAGTGGGAGTGCCCGGTGACCATAGACTCGTCTGGGGTCCTGCAGCCTCCCGACGCATCTCTTTTGCGCCCGTGCTCCAGGCTCTGGCGTGGACTTCACGAACTGTTGATATTGACTCGTCGCTTTCGATTGTCGTCTTGTCAGCGAAGGTGAACATGACTTGAGATATGGCGCTAACAACTGGTCAGATGGACAATGGCTTCAGTATTATTCTTGAGCTCCTGGGCGGTGCTGATGGGTCCGATGGTGTACGGTAAGCACGTCCTCCCATACCTGCACACCCTCCCAAGCCTACGCTATTCTTGCGCGCATCGATCAGTCATGGCGCGCAGATCCGGGGCGTGGCTTGCATATCCTCGCGCAACCGATCGCCTGCTGACGTCGGACATTCGAACAATAGCGCGGCATCTCGTCTCGGCAGAAAGACTGCCCTTCACCGCGACATATTTTGGCAGTATTGCGTTGACGCTCTACTTTGCCCTCGGAGTAAGTGCGTCAATTCCTGCTTCATCTTTGCATCAAAATGCCCTGCAGCCGCCTTCGTATCGTGGCGATCGACCAGTCGGCGTGCAAGATCTTAGCTCGAGCTGTGGAGCTGTCACAAGCTCTCCCATGATGGACCCTTTAATCGGACAATGCCGCCGCTGCCGCCTACCGAATGCTAATGTTAGTCTATTACAGCTTCACAGTACGATCCTCACATTGTTCTCGTCGATCGTGCAAAGCGTGGCGCTGGTGTGGTATCTGGTGTCTTACTTCCCGATGGGCTCGACAGGTCTCCGATTCGCAGCCAATTTTGGTGGCAATCGTATCGCTGCTTGGATGAATGGATGAGGTTTGTTCATATGCTACAAGTCTGCCATGATACTGTACACAGTATGTTCAATATACCTACCCATATACATGGTTGCTCACGCGGCTTCATATCGTACAAAGTGCTGAGTGTGGACTCGCCTTTCGCGAGCCAAGATCCAGGAACGGACTTGCTATTCGACACCTCCCGCGTCGTAACAAATCGAAGCTGTATTCCCATAAGATCTCTTCTGCACGTAGGGTCACATTCCCGACAAGAAACCGAAGACCGTCACTATCATGCTTCATACACCCAGCCTTGATCTTCGGCACTTCGCCATCCCAGAATGCCTGATCGAAGAACTTTTCAATCGTCTGCTTGGACATCACATACTCCTCCGGCACCTCCGGTGCTTTACCTCGCATGGGCATATGATCGGCACTTACCATACTGTACACGTCTGTCACCTTCTGCCAAACAGCTGTCTGTATCTGCAAAAAGTCTAACACCGACGCTACGGGATCATGATTAGCTCTCATATGCAAGTAATTGAGCTTACCACCCAAGACGAAGGATTCGAATGCGAAACCAGCTTCGCAATAGACATCGTCTTCAAAGAGCATCTCCGCGCCTGGTCCGAAACGGGTGTGACCTACAGCATGAGCGATCTCGTGGACCAGCGTCGAGGCAAGAACCATATATCGACCAAGTGCAGCGTGGTATGGTTGATCCCTTCCTGGAGACAAGATCGTATCCAACAGCTTCTGCTTGTTGAGCATGATATGGCTATTGCACCCCCTTCCAGCTTGTCGTACCCGACGAACAGGCTGACAAACACCATACCTCTGCCCCAACACAGTATCAAGGAAGGAGAACTTCACCGTTCTACTGACCATCGCGGAGATGTACATTTCAGTCGTCTGACTCGAGAGCCAGCCTACCTTTGGCATGTCATCGTAAGTCTGGTAGATCTTGTGGACGACGTTGCGTGGTCTACCGCGCAGGTCTGTGATGGGTGTCTGGGGGCCGAAAAGGTAGGTATGATACCATAGTGTTGCGCGTGGGCTTGAGATGATGTTGCTGGCTAGTAGCAATGCTGGCGAGATACGCTGGTAATTTGCATCGGAGAGGCCGGTGAAGTTTGAGCGTGCGAAGATGGGATGGAGGGTTGCTGTGCCTGTTGTTTGGAGCAGGTTAGCCAAGGCTGGGTTTGCTGTCAGCGTATTGTCCGTCGTAGTCTTGCTTACCTCGTTCTCAGCATGCTCGCTAGCGGGCATATCATTGTTGCTGGTGCTGGTACTAGTTGTAGGAATGCTTATTAACATGTTACTGGTTGATCTAGTGATGGGCGACGTAATCATGGGTATTTCAAGGACTGTGATGTCGACGGCACTGATACACAACGAAATGCTGCAGCGGACCAGGTGGTTGTGATCTTCTTCTACTTTATCCAATTGTGTTGGCATGAATGGAACGGTATCAATTCCATTGTAGCCTGCATTGTTGCAAGACAAAGCATCAAAGAATCATCGATTCTCAAATCCACTGTTCGGGATGTTGCGCCTTGCTCGGTTCCTGACAGCCACGGTAAGTTCACGAGACCGTACTGATCAGCCCGATGGCCGATAGAGTGAGCCGAGCCTCGCTACACATCGCCCTGATACTGTATAACAGACTCGTCCAACCATTCTAGCCAATCAGACTTCCATTCCACACGCCCTCCATCGCCATACCGATTCTCTTCGGCCACGGGATCCCCTTCAGACGCGCCCACTTCCATCGCTGCTCACGCTACGAGTCATCGATCTCAGCAACGACGCCTTGCCCCTGTGGCCCAATCTCCCATAGTCCCAGACCCTTACCATCCTTCCTAGGCTTCTGTGGACGACCAGTAGCTTTCATCACAAGCATCATCTTACTCGATTGCGCGAACAGCTGCACAAGCTCACGCATTCGCCCAGCTTGAGTGAAGATCGCTGCCAGGTCATTGGAGTCCTTCGACGCGATGATAACGGACAGGTCCATGATTTGGATGTATGCGTCCCGTGAGATCAAGGGGCCAGAAGTGTAGAGCGCGGTTATGTAGGCCATGATGATCTCTGGAAGATAAGCATCACGGATGCGATCGAGATATTTCTTCTCGTCGTCGTCCACGGGTTGAAGAAGGATGCCAGATAATATCGGCATCATCGATTCGTCCATGGTAGCTTTGGCTTTCTTCAATTCTTGTTGCTTTTGCGAGTTAGGCTTGCCTTGCGCACTATATGGTCGTTCCTCGCCGACCCAGCTGGCCAGAGTCTCAATGGCATGCACAAGCTGCTCGAGCTCGTAGTACGTCTGTGACTGCTGTTGCAAGATCTGCCATCTCAGCGCTTCATCTTGATCCTCAGGCATCAGACTCTTGTCCATGATGTTCACGGAGCGACCAATCTCGCCATAGGACTTCTGCTTAGAGATATCCTCGTATGGGAACCTCTCAACGATCTTGACAGCGCATGGAAGTTGGCCAGTCACTGTGGTCGAATATTAGCATGATATTGCATGAATATGAGACGTGAAAGACTTACTCAAGCAGGTACGAAGAGCTTCGGCCAGAGCCTCAAAAGTCGCCTTCCAAAGCCCCGGCACAACCTGAAACCACTGCAAAGTATCGAGCACGGCCTTGTCATCATTGCTTAGTGATGTGTCCATCGCCAAAAAGCCACTGATGATTTGCTGGCCAGGGTAAAGCTTCGTGACTTCACAGTCCTCGATGATCCGAAGCAAGTTCTTGGGAGTCTTTTGAGCATTGAGCTTTGTGATCATCGTCCACCGCAGAAGCTCACCAAGTACAAGAGACTGATCCATATCGAATTGGACCATCAACCCCAACATCGTCTGCTGCTCTCTTACGCCATTGATATCCTGCAAGACACGGGCTAGTGCCACGACCGCGTTCCCGTCTTCGATCCGTGAAGCATAGACCGCGGCGAAGTCGCGTTTCCGTGCGTAGCGTAAAGCTTGGATGTGGGCAATGACCACGTTCTGCTCCGTCAGGATTGTCTCCGGCGGCTGACTGTCATCGTCAATCGCAGTCAGAACGAGATACATGTGTGCCACGATACGCAGAGCTCGTTGGTCCGCCGCAATGCTGGAGGCTGCTTTCGTGTCCTCCTCTGGTCGTAGTTGGTCGTCATGATGGATAATCGCTTGTTCATGACCGCCATGCAGCTTATCAAGTTCTGACAAAGCCTGACCCACATACGCAGCCATGGACTCTGTATCGTTTGCTAGAAGAAAGCCTTCAATCACTTTCAGAGGCTGTGCAGCGTCGGCGGCCGTCTCCTGACTTCTGCGCAGCTGTTGCACGAAGTCCGTAATGATGCGCTGTGCGACGTTCTCATCATCTAGCACATCTTCGGCCACGGGCCGCTGAGCAAGAGAAGCCACCCTTCCAGGAAAGTTATGCCGGACGTAGAGCTCGAATTGGCGCACCAGTGTGCAGCTGTAGTGAGCGAAGAGGCGATCGTCAGTGGTGTGGCAGACCTTCTGCACGGCATTGACGTTACCGCCCAGTAGACCGTAGACAGCGGCTTCGTAGTCGTTCGAACACCCAGATTGTGAGGTCAGATAGCACATCTTGCGCCATGCGGCATTGGATAGAGCGTCCGTGGCATCAGTCGCTGGGCACAGTACTGCGGCCCGCCAGCCCTCGGCATGCTCCTCACACCAGCTCAAAACATCTTGCCATGACTTGCCACGCCGCAGCATTTCCCAGCAGGCGATCCACATCGCCTGTTCGAAATGCTTGTCCTCCTTCTCCAGTGCACGACCTTGACGAGTAGCAGCATCGGGATCCACGTTGGTGACAAGCAAGCCGGTCCCCGACGTAGACCTTATCTCCGGCAACCTGTCATTGGAAGAGCTGGCCCACCTGCCTTGTCTCTTCTCACCCTTGATCTTTTCCCGGGTATGCATCCAACCCTTCTTCCACAACCCTCTGCCAGTCCCTAGCCGCTCCTCTAGCGTCTGCATAATACCGTCAAGATCGCTTTCCTGATGATCAGCAGTCTGCTCGAACCACTGCTTGTAAATTGTATGCGCTTTGGCGACTGGATTTTCCAGTAGGAAACGCTCCCAAATCTCCTTTTCAGATGTATATCGATGTGGTGGCGGTAAAATGGCAAGCTCCTTGGCCATCCTCTCATTCCGAACATCGCTATCGTAGAAGTAGTCAATCACAATGTAGAACAGGCGCCAGATATCAGCCTCCTGCTGCCACAACCTCATCTCCTTGACCGCGTCCGCCTTCATGCCCTGCACCACACCACCACCGCCACTCCTACTGCCCTGACCAACCGCCCTAATACTTCCTGAAGCAGACAGTCGCGCTCTCTCACTCCATTCTCTCCTCAACTGCTCCATCCTCTCCTTCTGATGGCCCCTCTTCAAAGCATCCACAGCGTCCTTCGCAATATCCTCAAACCTCTGCACAACCTCCTTGGCAGCATCATACTTGTTCTGTCGCGTCGGTAGATCATTCAAGAACATATCGAATTGTATGGCGAAGCTCTCCACTTCCTTTCCCACACGATCTGCCATCTCGCGGAGTGGAGCAACAGCCTCCTCCACTTCAGGTGACGACGGCATATCTTCGTGATGATCGGCGTCAAATCCGTTCGTGTCTGCTTCTTCTACAGATTCGCGTACGTCGTCGTTGGTTGACGTGAAGTTCCAGCGAGAGTCTGATGTGTTTCGCGCGACAGGTGCACGTTGTCTGCGCGTCGCAGGGCGGCCGATGCCGCCTGTAGTTGATTGTCGAGTCCGTGGAGGCATCTTATCGATTTGCTGCAGTGAGGTGAATTCGCCAGGGAGTGTATACTCTTGCAGTAATATTCAATCAATGGCTGGAGCGCATTCCTAGACAGCACCGCGAAAGCTTGCGCTAGCGTGGTTCGCGATATGTGCGTAATCACGTGCAAGATATTTGAACTACTAATCACCAAACATACAAGGCAGAAAGCACTGACGTATCTGATGAGGAGATGTTGGATGTCGTGATTGGAGTACTGCTGCCACTTTTGCTTTTCTACATTCGCTATTTCCCATCCAACATTTTCGACGCCTAGGTCTTGGGTTACAATTGCGCCAATGCTCTGCCTCTAGTACACCTTCTTCTTCTCGTCGAAGCTCACCTGTCCCGGACCCATGTTGACGAGCAATAGAAGCCCGCCCACGATGGACAGAATCTGGAAGAAATCGTACTTTGCGAAGTCCTTGTGAGGGTGGTGTGGGTGCAGCTGCAGTGATCATCAGCACAGAAACTTCAATCAGTAGAAAGGCGCGAGAATTTACCGTCCAGAAGTTGTTGACCAAAATGTTAAACACACTCAAGATCATGACCAAGATAATCGCACTCCACTTTGCCTTGAATCCCACAGCAACCATCACACAAGCCACAGCTCCGATGACAATGACAATCACCCTTCCTACACTCCACTCGCCAGCAAACACAAAGCCCACAAACAAGAAGATCAAAAGCACACGTCCAGCCAACTGAAAATACATCTTACGATCCTTCTCATCCAATTGTGGCAAGCCTGCAGGAGCGAACTTCTTCCTCACCCAGCTGTCACTCAGCACCATCAAGAGACCACCCATGACGCTCAAATTGCGGAGGAAGAAGTTCAGGTCAAAGATGAGACCGTAGCCGAGCGCTTGCGTGACAACGACGCCGATGAGGCCCATGACGGCGTACTCGCTGTAGCGGCGAGCGATGATGAGGACGGAAGAAGCGGTCATGGCAATGACATTGATGATGAGGAAGAGGTGGGTGATGCCTCGTGGGACTGTAGGAAACATGTATATTAGCCTTTGCCTTCCCATACCCTTGGTATCCGACCTTTCGAGCTCAGAATTGTCAAGTACTCACTATGTCGATAATCATGCAAATAGACCAACTGATCATTCCACTGCGTAAGAATCCTCAACGCATCCTCCAAAAACGTCACCACGATCAAGAACCTCCCGATCATAGGCAGATACGGCTTGACCGGGTCCGAGATGGTATCCAGCCAGTCCTCGATCTTGCTCGTCTGCTGCCTGATAGCATCCAGAGGCGAAGGGTCATTGGTGGCGGAATTCATGCCTCCGCCGTGTTGGCTTGAGCCGGGACCAAAGGCGTTTTGGTTGCCGAGGTGGTAGCCCGCTGTTCCTCTTATTTGGGCCATTGTTGGTGGGAGATGTGTATACTAGATTTTTCTGTAGGGGGCGGTGGAGGTCGGTGGCGCTTTATTGTCTGTGCTGTGGGTGTTGGAAAGCGCTGGACAGCTTTGTTCCTCGCGTATGTAAGCTTTGTTCTCAGCTCCTCGATCCGATCTCTTGTTCGATGCTCTGGTTGGAACCTCTTGGCTGCCGGCAGCACTCAACAGGTAGAAGGAGTGTAAGTCACCGACTCCAGCACACACAGGATTGTGAGATGTGTGAAATGTACAAAGCAGGAGACAGAGAAGCTCCGAATGTGAAGGAGAGTGATGTTTGGGATTGTGGGGGGCTTGCGGTGAAGTGGGCTGCGGCTCTTTTTGGTGGGTTAGCCACTTGGCTTCTTTGAACCCTCCTTCAATTCACAAGGAGAGAGTAGACGAGCTAAGTCCGGTAAAGTGCGAGTATCGGATACAGTTCGACGGGTTTCAGAACAAAGAACACATATCCGAATGAGACTAACAGGCTATATGACGGGAAACGCCTCCACTAGCCATGTCAAGATTTGTCCTGGGCAGCGTGGTCTCATGCGGTGATTACACCGTGGCATGCTGCAGCATAAGTAAGAATAGCAAAGACATGACCGTTGGACGATGAATGAGCTGACGTGAACATTGCAAGTCAAATACGTGAGCTTACTACAAGATCCCCAACTGTCAATTTCTGTAATCGTCTGCTCGCCTGATCGGGTGTTCATAGTGCGCAACGGCAACCGCGCGCATATATCTAAGCTAAACAACCGATGAGGCCATGCTCGTCCCGACTTCTCCCATGTTACTGATCCATAACGGACTTGCCAGAATCGCTGAAGAAATACAACAACAGAAGAAAAAGCCTCGCCTCCCATTCATTCCCATAATGTCCCTGCCCTTTTGGTGCTGCCCCAGAACATTCTGCCTGCAACGCCGAGATAGATGCTTGACCTTCCTGCGCTCGCACGGAAAGAATTGCCGTATCGACTCCCATGCCCATGCCGTGCCTGATCGCAATTTCTGTTGTGCACAGGAAAATCTCAGATCATACCTTTATCAATCCTTTCTCGCTTCCAGATCATAGACAAGCCTATGTCGTTGCTCACGGATCCCAAGACGCAGACTCCTCGTTGTCACCCTCAAAGCTCAGAGCGGCAAAGCCACCTGCAGGCTTGCCGTTTGCAGCACTCTTCGGGACAGTCTTCTGCACTGGCTTGACCGCAGGAGCAGAACTCTCCACAGGCGTGCTCTCGCCACTAGCCTTCTTGCCCTTCTTCTTCTGGGGAAGCGCAACAGTAGTCCAGCCAGATTCGTCCTCGCTCTGCTTCATGGCGATAGCCATTTGCTGATCTTCCGACAGCTTGCCGCTTGGAAATTCACGCTCAGTCGGCTCGGCGTCAGTTGTGCTAGTGGCAGCTGTGCTGGCTTCCATTCCACCAGTGGAGCTTGCAGTTGACTCTGCGTCGAAAGTGTCGAGGAGAGGACCATTAGCATGCCCGTTACCGTTGACAGTCTCGCCATTCTGTTGAGCTGACTTAGACGGAGTCCACGCACTCGAGGTAGGTGCTTTGGAAGCACCCAGGCCATTCTTCGCAGGCTCACCACGAGCTTCACGAGCGGCACGGCGCTGCTTTTCCTCCAGCACCTTGCGGTCTTTCTCCTCAGCTTCACGCTCGACCCTTTGTTGCTCCTTCTTCTGCCTGTTCTGGCGTTGCTTCTTGGTCTCTACTTCCTCCTGCTTTTGCTGGCGGACTGCACGCTGCTTCTCGGGTTGGTTCGAGGCAGTCAGTCGTAGGGTGGACGGGCCCTTAGCGACCGGCTCGAGCATGTCGGACACATCACCTGCGTTGTTGGCAGGAGTATCGGACGGCAACGAATCATCGTCAGCATCAGCCTCGTCCTGTGAAGAGGTCGAGGACGTGACAGGTGTGTCTTGAGCACTGCCCTGCTTGACGGTGCGTTGGCGCTGTTCCTTTCCCTTCGGCGCAGACAGATTGGCACCCTTCCTAGCCTTGGCCATCTGCTCAGCAAACTGCCTGTTGCTCATTTCCTCCTTGTCATCGCGCTCTGGTGACTGTATTACCACTGCTGGTGTCTCCTGAACAGGAGCTGGTACCTTCTTGGGTGCCTTGCGCTTCTTTGACGCATCTTTGGCACCGCCATGCTTCGCAGGCTGTGTGTCGCGTTCGACTTTCTTGTTGCGAGTCTCCTGTTCGAGACGTTTGCCGGGAAGTCCAGCAATGCTGCCTCGCCGAGGAGCTTTGTGCTGCTGTGAGTAGTAGTAATAGGCAGCCAGTGCCCCGACGACGCCGGAGAAACCGATCCAGCTCTGGGCTGACTGCCAGGCGTCCATGCTGGGCTGTGGTGTGCTGTGGGTCGTGTGTATGGAGTTGTAGCTGTTGAGGTGTCGAGTAATCCGGATGTCGGCACGCTAGCTCGTGCAGCAGTAGTGATGGACGCGGTTCGTGGCGACGGTGATGTTGACTTAAGTTGTAGAGTATAGTTGCAAGATGTTGGTACTAGTACTGGAGTGACTGGCGTGCAGTACGACGCAGGCGTTGTTGAGCCGAGACGCCAATGCTCTGGGCAGTCGAGTGTATGGTGCCCGGGCCGTTGCAGTCGAAGCAAGGAGTGCAGCGATGGAGATGAGAGCGGAGCCGTGTCTTCGCGATATACTGTAGGCTGATGGGGGAATGTACAAACGAATGTGTTAAGAAGTGTGCGGTATGTGCGGGTAGAGAACAGCTTTCACGTGTTGCAGGACTTGGTGAGGACAGCAGGTCGCCGGCGTGAGTGGGTGCCGCGTGTGTGGAGAGTTCGCGGAGAGGTCGTCGATGGACAGGGGTCCTTGTGAACTAGCGACTTTATTGATGCCGTTCACTCCGGCTTGAAACAGGAGGTCAATTGTGCATCTTGTGGGCGGTATATTGTCGTGGTGAAAGCTTCAGTATTGATCACGAGAAATACGTCAAGGACTCTACGCAATGGTCATGGCATAATATTTGGTACGCGTGGAAAGCCGTTGCATGACCAATGCAAGTGACACCGCCACACAGAACGCCAGTCTTCCATATGCAAGCGATCGAACCTTCACTGGACCCCTCCCATCACTCAATAATCACGCACCTTCCGCGGTCAATATTTGCCTGCATGGTCTTGGGACGCGTGACATACAGCAAGTTCGAAGACGGAAGTACCTACTGACCTCATGTGATACGGCATATTATCGAATGTACTGCTCGAGCACGACGTCTCTAGGACGGGTTGGGACCTGCATACGAGCACCGCAAGCTCGTGAGCTACCACTACACAAATAGAACAGCTCCTTCGCGTCAGCTCAGGAACAAAGAGCCTTGCTATGATTCGCCGACTTCATCTATGCCTTCTGCTCCACTGTGTCAACCACGTTGTGAGAACATCGTGCTCTGAGCATTTGAGCTCCACTCTGCTTCGTTACAGTAGGCAAGGTCTTGCCTATGGGAGAACGTGATTGCAAACATTCATTGTGAGAGCGAGGGCACGTTGGATGACATCGGCTATTTCTCGGGGTGATGTCCTCTACTTATCTATATCACCAGATTTTACCTCACCCGACAGTGGTCACAGATACGTGCAACTATAGTTGTACCTTCTGGTCGATTAGCTCAGTTGGTTAGAGCGTGGTGCTAATATGTCTGTTCCTTAACGAAGGCACGACAGAAACGCCAAGGTCGCGAGTTCGACGTAAGTCTCTATCGAGAAGTGAACCGTAACGACGTGGTTCTAACAGCACTGCCAGCCTCGTATTGACCATTCATTTCTTTTTCTTTCCGCCGATGAGGTGAGTGACTTTTTGGGCTGTAAAACCATACATACCAAGCCTTGCATATTTTCAGACGGATTGCTATATTGCAGCAGATGGCGATGAAATAATGAGATAGTCTAGACAACATCTCACAAGCCATAAGTATGAGCGTGTTGACCTCATATCAACACCTGCTCTCCATCCAGCCTCGTGTTCCGCCACACAACGTCCCTCCCCTGACCCACTCGTGAATACGACCCATACAGCCTCTCAGAAGTCTGCCACGCAAACTCATTCCCTCTCACATCAGACCGCGACCGGTCAGAGACAGCCGTATTTACTACCACAAGCCTATTCCCAAACCTCGCAGCACTTGGACTTCGCGTTCCTGTCCGCCATTCAGAGGACAGACTCCCACTAATCGCCATCGTGGACTCGGTAATCGACCTCGCTGTTCTGTGAGCGACATGCTCAGGGCGTGGTACATCGATCGCCCGCCTCGATCCCAAGTGACGTCTACAACGTTCTGTGAAGCTTAAGCCGATCTGGTATGCTCTACCAGCCCCGAGGCGCAGAGGTGCACCGGTGGGATAGCGGTGTGGTTCGAAGTCGTTTATGTATTGGAGTATAATGCCACTATCAGGCCCATTCGAGGAGTCGGAGGAGTCGTTCAGCGAGTCGGAGTCGCTTGACATAGGGCCGATGGTTTTCGCTCTGCAGCACGATGGTCAAGGTGGTCAGTAAAAGGTCTGTATCTTCATCAATGAAAGCTATGGAGGGATGCAGAGGTGGCTTGTAAACATTGGTTCGTGTTCATAGATCCTATACCAGTCACCAAAGCCTGATGACTTGGCTTGTCCCTGCACTATCCATAAGCCTGTTCTGATCTTCGTGCTCACAATCATGCTGGCTTAATAAATGCCATCGCAATTGTAGCCTGCTTTACCCACCTCAGCTATCTATGCTGTACCCGAACGCCACGCTCCATGCCTCGAACAAACAACAATACAGACGCTCACACGCCGCGCCACTACTCCTCAATAGTCTTCACACACTCCCATCCACCCCGCAACTTCTCCTTCCACAAACTGACCCTGTTGTCCCCTCCACTAACCGCCAGTACATTCCCCGCCATACTCCAACTCACCCTCCACACCACGACCTCGAAATCCAATTGCTCGCTCTTCCACGCACTAGCATCAGCCACATCCTTGCCAGCCGCGAGAGTCCATATCCTGACAGTGTGGTCTTGCGAGGCAGAAGCGATGTATTGTTTACTAAGCGGCGTTGGGGACCAAGCCACGTCCCGCACCCAGTCGCTGTGGCCTGGAAGCGTGGCGATGTTATCGTAGGATTGTGTCGTGGTGTTGTATTGCCAGAGCTTGACAAGATTATCCGAACCGCCTGTAGCAAAGCGGCGTTGGACTTCTGCTTGTTTGCCTGGTGCTTGTGCGGAGGTGAGTTGGCCAGGTAAGGTGGCGGGCGCCCAGGAGACGCTGTTGACACCTAGGCCGTGGGCTGGAAAGATGGCGTGAGAGAAGTTGTTGTTGTCGAATGTGAGCACTGAGACGCTGCCGTCGCTGCTTGCTGCCGCGAGGTGGCAGCCTAATTCTGCCGGACTCCAGGCTACGAGATTCACGGATGCAGTGTGCATTGTGAATTCGTATATGCGCTGCCACTGCCCGTTCTGTTCCCGCCATATGAGGATTCGGCCATCGTAGGAAGAGCTGGCAAGTATGACGCCGAATTTCGGGTGCGACCACGCCACACACCATACAGCCCCCTCGTGGCCAGTCAAGGTGGCAGTGAGTTTGTGCTGATCAGGTGCTTGCTGTCCACCCTGGTGTGTCTGAGCAGCTGGAGAGGGTTCAATGTCGAATATCTTGATCGTCTTGTCGGAGGAGCAGGTTGCGAGACGGCGGCCGTAGTAGTCGAGGACTGCATCGTGGATCATGTCATCGTGTGCGGAGGATGATATCACTTGTGACATGGTAACGGTTGTGTAGTATGTCGTGGTGGTATGTTTGTTGCTAGCTGTTGACTTGTCCACTCTCTCCCAATGACAATTGTTATTAGCATCGCAATGTTTTAGGCCACCGTACCTGCCTCAAGTTTGTCTTGGCGAACCCTGACGTCGGCATTTGAATCAGCCTCGGCCCGATATCGAACATGTGCTGCAGTACAGTAATAGCATCAGATATATATGCAGCGTCGCCTTTCCAGCATCAAAGATTTTAAATTCGTACATATTGTGCTCGCCATGGCGGACGCACTATGCGGGCCCTCCAACCCGCTTCAGCAATTCAAACAGCAATCGAACCACGACCGGACGCTGCAACAGGATCGTCTCGTATCACGATCATCACCAGCACAAGGCTTTCGTTCGCTTGACCCGAATGCTGGTCTTTTAGATCCAGAGTTTGAAGCGTTCCAAGCGGGAGTCCCTCTTGCAGACTACCAGTCATACCTACCACATACCTATGCCCCTCCACCCCAGCAACGGGGACAATCAGGTCAATCTCAAACCCCATCATGGGCCTCGGACTTTCAGCAGATGCACATCTCTCCTTCGCCTCTACAGCAACAGCAGCCAACCCATGATACGGCAAACACCAATGGATGGGCACAAGGCTTCCGACAGCACATCGCACAGAGTGTACCCCGAGCACAGCAGACCTCACCATTGGCTTTCCAGCAACGAGCACGGTATGGGTACTCAGGCTTCCAGAGCAACCTCACACCTCAGTCTGCGTTTCAGCCGCCAGCTCATCAGTCGAAGGGCAAACAGCCGGCGTACGATACTTTCGATGAAGCTGCATTCGAGCAAGCCTTCGATCAAGCGAGGGACGATGTGATGGCTGAGATGGACACGAAGGAGGAGCAGGATCAGTTCCGGTCGCTGAACGTTGACCAGCAGAGAAGGGCTGTGGATGACATATTGCGCGAGGCTGGCGTAGAACGCCGACAGGGTGATCCTGCAGACCCAGATGTTGTGTTGAAAGAGCAGCAAGACCATTTCCGGTCGCTTAGTATCGACCAGCAAAGAGATTTTGTCGACAATGCACTACGCGAGGCTGGTGTTCGAACCCAGCAGAGCGGTCTCACAGACACAGTTGATATATTGAAAGAGCAGCAGGATCATTTCCGGTCGATGAGCATAGAGCAGCAGAGGACGTTCATAGATGATGTACTGCGCGGCGCTGGCGTGGCAGGTCAGCAGGGAAGGCAGCTCGTAGATACAGATGCCATGATTAAAGAGCAGCAAGACGACTTCCGAGCCCTTGACGCCGAGCTGCAAAAGAACATCGTCGATGATTTGATCGATCATGCTCTTGAGCGACAGCAACCAATCAACCAACAAGAAGACGTCCGAGCCGAGCAGAAGACACGGCAGGAAGAAGACGACCTGGCTGCTACAGCCCACGAGCTTCTGGAAAAGGTCTCGAACAATAACACCGACAAATTCCGCAACAGTCAATTCCTTGATTTGATGCGCAAGCTGCGGGATCGAGAAGTGAAGGTGGAAGGAGACAAGATGGTCGAAACTGTGAGTATCACCGCCACAAGCACTGCGACTAAGAATGGAAAGCACCTTCAGCTGCCAAATCCTCCACACCTGCACTCACCGCACGACTCAAGCTACGGATCCGGTAGCTCTACTCCAAGATCCGGCATGTCGATCGATAGCATGCACTTCGACACCCACATCTGCAGCGCTCCAGGCTGCGACGTAGACCACTCCTACGACCACTGGGAATCGCCTGTTCACTGAAGTACAGGCCCGTAACCAAATGCCAAAGTAACATTTTAGCTGATGTAAGTTCTTCTTTTGCAGACCACCGCCACGAACTCCTCGCTTACGCCAGCTAGCGCGACAACCACCACCCTCTTCGACAACTCAGAACAGAGGCCTAGCCCCTTAGTTCCTGCCCCTTTCGCTCTGCCACCGCAACAGCGGGTTGTCGATACCCGCCCGCTTGACTACGGTACAGATGCCGTCGACACCAGTCGGATCGATCCTCGCGATGGTCAGGACGTGGTGGATTTGTTGAGCCAGCCCGCCGGTGCTGGGGCGAGAGATGAGATAGGTACGTCTGCCCCTTCTGCGTGGAAAGGCACTGCGCCTTTCTATGGTGATTTGAGGTCTTTGCACGGTGCGAGGAGTGAGGAGAGCGGGAGCATGAGTGAGGTGTTGTATGGAGAGGATGGAACGCTTGTTGGTGTTGTGCCCGGTGGGCGACGGCAGGGAGGAGGGTTTGCACGATTTGGTGGTGGAATGGATTTCACTGGGGCGAGATCTTGATGAGTTCACCAGCTTTCGTCCATCGGACTATGGTGGCACTAAAGACTATACGTGAGGAATCTTTGCTGAGACCTGATTTCCTGCTCAGCAATGTCTGACGATTACGATCCCTCGTTCGAGATGCTACAGATGAGGATAGACTCAATTGGGTAGCAGCGGGACCAGGACTTGTAACGATAACATTCGCACTTTGCTCTGCACTGCATCTACGCCTTCACGCGATCTGTTCTGACATCTTTGCGAACGAGCAGATAGCGAATTCATGATGACGTCGCCTTTCTACCAGCCATGAGCAGCACCTACCATTAATTCTACACCAAACGAAAGAGCCACGGGTTGCCTAGCAAACGCTCAATCTATCAGATTCCTCAACTTCCAGACCTCTTAACCCTAGCCTCTTCGTCAACGCAGCAGCGCCACACTCAAACTCCCGCCCATGTCCTGCTCGCCTGTCACCAGGCTTGATCATCACAAAAGCCCAAGCATGCAGCATCTCATGCACCAGCGCGCCCCACTTTAGTGGCACATCGATTCCATCGATAGCATCTAGAAGCTCGATTTTGTTGAGGATGATGGATATCCGCGCTTTAGACGAGTCGAATATCGTCTGGCCTAGAAGGTGCCCTCGTCCGAGGTCGGACCAGGAGAGGTGGACACGGCGGCAAAGCTGGTTGTCGAAGAGTAGAACGTCAAGGTCGTCGAAGACCTTGAACGGGAGGTCGGCTGCGCACGGCGGAGTCCATTTGCTCGAGACCAAGCGATGGAAAGGCGCCGGTGCGCGGTAAATTCAGCTCCGTCCAAGGGCTGCTGGAGAAAATGGTGCAGCTGGTCATACGCTTCGTCATGATGTAGCTGGTAATGTGCGATGGGGGGTCTGTCGCGACCTCTAGGCCGGTAGTTTGGACTCTGGAGAATCTAGGCTTCGTGCTCGTCGATGTATCGGCTGCGTCGTAGGCGGTGCTTTATCGCGGAGACCTTAGAAGGGTCGTGGTCCTCGATTTGATGACTGCGATGGCCTGTGTGTCGACGTGTCTCTCGGCTCTGTCCATTTTCAAGCATCTCATCTTCAAGAAACCTTACAGCTTTGCGCAGAAGTCTGGTACCGCGACCCTGAGTGGGTATCTGGCTCGAGATAACCTTCTCACATTCACGCTCGACGTCGAAGAGTAAGAAGGATCGTGGCGCCCAGTTCCTCTAGCATGGGGGCGACTTGCGGCATGATGGTGGTGAGAGAAAGAATAGTCCAATGTGTTAGTGCAATACACCTAAAGTTGAAACCAGAACAGTCCTTGGTCTGACTCCGTGTGGCGCTCAGTGAAAAACAGGGAAGTAAGCATGGCAGTGCGCTTCATTCACTACTTCCAGGATGCAACTGCGAAGTCTCTAGAGGTTCGGTCCTAAACAGCTGGTTTTGTGGATTGGCTTGCCACGCATTCCCGCCACTCCCTTGTCAACATAGTTTCATATCATTACTGTGGGTACATGTATGGTGGGACGAACGTATGTTTCAGGGGAAGTGATTCTCTGGCAATTTTCCGAGATACCTGAGTCCCTGTGGAGTCGTGGAGCTAAGTCATATGTTATAAGTCCCGATTCTTCTCTGCGGTATCACCTTAGCAAAGTCATGCTATGGAGTTTGTCGTCCGTCAGAAGGTGGTGAACATCATGGAGATTACTCCAAAGTTTCGGGCTTGAAGAATGGACGATGGATCGGCGATCTTTACTCGGTACGTGCTGTACAATTCTGGCTACGCTCACACCTCACCCACAAAGCCAACCTCAACCAGCTTCTCGATTGGCACATTCAATCTCTCAATCCTGCCTCGGGAGTTGTCCCTCACCCACAAGAACGCCTCGAGCAGCGTCTTTTTCACAAAATTGTACTGCCTGCTCACCCTCATCTGCTGTTTGCCAACCAGATACAGCGTCTGGGTCTCGTATGCCTCATCAAGAGTCCGTAGCCTCGATTGCAATCCAGGATGCTCTGCTCCAGTAGCACCAACAATCGCCACATCTTCAGTAGGCGCAGGTTTGACCCCACCTCGAACGATTGCAGCTCGAAGTTGCTCGTATACCAGCCTTGCAAGATCGGGCGTAATGACGTGGTCGTTGTAGCCGTGTCGGATCGTCAGTCGGTAGAGGTTGCGTACACTGGTGCGAGAGACTGTGTAGCGCTCTTCTTCATCGACGTAAGGACGAGAGATGGCACGCATGTGCATAAGCACCACAACCGAAGGCTGAGCGCGAAACTTGCGAAGCCACTGCTCGTAGACTGGTGGGGCATAGTCACCAGATTTGTCGAAGAAGATGGCCATGCCGTTGATAGTAGTCAGCTCGCCGCTACCACAGCGAGGGGAGAGAGCAAGAGTTGTGCCTCTGTCGCTAATCGCTTCCACGCCGGTTGTAAGCGTGCTTTTCGCAACAAGGTCGGAGAGGTCGAGATGATTTGTAGCCTCGCACGTCCATTGCTTCTCTTTGCCATATCGCCAAAGGCTGAAGAAGGACGCGAGGAGGAATGCCAGCATCAAAGTGAACCAAGCACCGCTAGGCACCTTGGTGAGAGCGGAGGTGAGATACAGCCCATCGAGCAGGACGAAAGGCAGCCACACTGCGAAGACGATGGCAGGGTGAATGCGCCAGACAATAATGGCGACCAGAGTGACCAGATTTGTGGTGATGAAGGTGACGAGAATGACACAAACTCCATATGCGTGGCCAAGGCGAGTCGTCTGATCTCAAGGTTAGCAACATGATCTCGGCAGGTGAAAGAAAGGTGCTTACGTTGCTGTAGACTGCTGTCACAATGACAGTGCCGATCATCATTAGCCAGTTGGCCATTGGGATGTAGACCTGACCATGGAATCTATCACTGGTGTAGATCATAGTGATATGTGGGAAGTAGCTGGCATTCATGACTTGTGACAGCAGTTGAACTATGGAGGTCAGCATAAGTCAGTGATCATCAGAGGTAGTGAAAGTTGTATGGACCTACAAGTACTGGTAATGAGCGCTTGTGATGCCACAACAGCAGCCAGAATGGCAATGACGAGCGACGGGTAGAACATGCCGGGCGGTACGGTCTGGAAGAAAGGATTCGAGTATGCAGACGGGATCTTGGAGATGTATGCGGCCTGACCGATGTACGCGAGGAGCAAGCAAGGGTAAGCAAGACACAGCCACGAGAGCCCGACAGCGCGCCTGCTGAAAGCGCCCAGGTCAGCGAACAGGGCCTCAACACCTGTGAAAGCGAGGAGAATGCCACCAAGGTTAGCCCTATCTTTCGTGTCAGTGTCTCCAAGATATCCACGAAATACGGAGCACTCACCAGCCAGTCGAACCATTGCGAACGAACCAGTCACCAGCATAGTAAGGCGAGAAAGCCTTCAGGACTCGCCAGTCGTGAACAGCGAGGTTATAGACACCAAAGCTACCATTGAAGAGCAGCCAGATGATGACCACCGGAGCAAAAGCGCTAGAGATCCTGTGGATGCCAAAAGGCTGGACCAGGTAGAGGAGGATCAGGATCCCACACGAAGCTCCCACAATTGTGCCACTGGAGATGTCCGGCTTGATGACCTCCAGACCTTGGATTGCGCCAAGCACGGATTGCGCAGGTGTCAAGATGCCATCAGCCATGATCAAGCTGACGCCAAGCACAGCCAGGATCTTGAGTATGGCATGGGCGATCCTGCTCCGTTCTAGCCATGTCCGTATACCACGATTGCTCGGCGCTATCTCATTCGTGTTGTATCGTTCCATCTTGACCATGCGATTGCGTCGAGGGTCGCGCTTCATGATGTCCGAGTAACGCGAGAGAAGTGTATAGATGGCGAACGTGCCACCCTCGCCTTCGTCGTCGGCGCGAATAACGATGAGCACATATTTGATCGTGACGATGAGTGTAATGCTCCAGATGATCAGTGACAGTGCGCCGAGCAAATCTGCTTGGGATGGTTCAGAGGAGAAAGTCGAGCTGTATACATAGAGTGGTGAGGTGCCGATATCGCCGTAGATGACACCGGTTGACTGATAGGCTAGCCAGAGAAGAGTCCAGCCTTTGAAGATCTACAGTTGGATGAGCTTGGCTTGGAGGAGCGTAGCTATGCTGAAAACTACGCTCGGGTAGAAAGATAGTAAGTGACATACTTGCTTCTTCTTGAAGTCGTCTTCGCACACGCCAGCCTTCTCAGACAAGATCGACTCGGCATCAGTCGCGGTAATCGAAACTCGGCGCTGGTAAGCGAATCCGTGCTTCGTGCTGTCGGTAGTCTTGGTGCGCTCAATTGCATCGCCGCCGTGTTGAACGTGTGCGCTATCGTTGGCCATATTTGCGAGAATGAGATGAGGAGGAAGCAAGAAGTTTGGCGGAAGAGATGCGAGGGAGGAATGCAAGAAATACTTGCCCAATGCCCGCGAATACCCACTCACTCGCGAACGATCTAAGGGTCTATTAAACCACGCATATACACGTGCACCATGTGGGACTGCTGCGTGCCGCGTCTAACCAGGCCTCATCCGTCGATAGCCTCGAGACAATACCGACAAGGTGAGTGTGATAAGATTGGACAGGCACCAATCTCGTTGCAGCAGAAGTCTCCACACGACAAACCGACTCTTCGGATCGTCCAGATCAGAATGAGGTAGAGGTCATGGCGTCCAAGGCATGGGATGTGCTCGAGACCAGATTGGTGTAGAAAATGCCTCATAACAAGGAGATCCGCAGCGCGATTTTTGGTACCAACGCCACGAGGGCGGGAAGCCGTTGGCTGGCATTGCTGAGGTTGCGGGTAGTTATCCAGGCTCCTACACCAATGACTGTCGGGGCCATTGACAAAACCATATTGCTGTCGACTTGAGGAGTGTAGAACAGAGGAGCTGGAGTTCGTTCATCGTTGGAGTTCGGGCGCGGCCGTTCCCTTCCCTACCGCCCGAAGCCATATCATCTCGATGGTCTCAGCATCCTCCATGAACTCCGTGATGCCGTGATGCCAATCATTGTGAGAAGCTTACAACTTAGCGAAGTACGCTGTGGCGATGTGATGCCCAAGGGATGAATGTGAAAGGGAAATGTAGTAGTGCTTGCAATTGAGATGGAATTCGAGACGCCCTGCGCTTGCCTTGTTTGGCAGGCCGATGTCATTGTCTAGCTGCTTGGCTTCAATCCTTGACTGACCAAATACACAACGTAGAAGAAACACATAGCTTGATCCACTGATATTGTCGAAGGGCGCATCTCAAGCAGTACCCGAGCAACTGGCACGCCACATATATATTGAACAAGTTCTTCTCTCATCGTCCCGTTGCAATCTCATCTCGAAGAACACGACCAGCCATTGGAATACCTCGCCACCAGAACAACAAGCACACTTTCCCACTATGGCCTTTACTCAAGCGGCGACCATCCCTTGGACCCGGATCAAAGCCCTCTCCTTCGACATCTTCGGCACGTTAGTAGACTGGGAAACCGGCATCGATAGTACCGCCCGTGCCACAGCCCTGGGTCCCTACCTCCCAGAACGCAAGCAATTCATGCAGGCTCTAGGCAAAATTGACACCGTGGTCCAGAGGAACAACCCAACGATGCTTCAAAGCGACGTCATAGCCGAGGGACTTCGCCAATATGCAAAACAGATCAACGTTGTTCAAGACGGCATATTGACTCAGGACCAGGTCGAGCAGGCCTGCAAAGATTACGGCTCCAAGATCGGCACCTATGAAGCCTTTCCCGATACCGAAGACGCAATCCAACGATTATCAAAACACTACAAACTCATCCCCTTGACAAACGTGGACAACAAATCCTTCGCTGGAACCATGAGCCATGCTCTCAAGGGCTGCCACTTCGACGCCATCTACACAGCCGAAGACATCGGCTCATACAAACCCGATCCCAAGAACTTCCACTACCTCCTTGATCACCTGAAATCGGACTTCGGCGTCGAGAGGGGCGATCTGGTGCATGTGGCGCAGTCGCTTTTTCATGATCATGGACCTGCCCGGGATTTCCAGTTGCAGAGTGTGTGGGTCAATCGACAGGGGTCAAGAATAGGGGCGCAGCATGATGGTTCGTGGGTTGGTGCACATGGTGAGGGGAGTGAGAAGGGTGAGCAGGATGTTTATGCTTTTCAACTTGAGGTGAAGAGTTTGGGGGAGTTGGCTGCGATTGTTGATGCGGCTTTTGGGGTGAAGTCATGAGTGAGTGTGAGGTAGTGCAGACTTGTAGGGCTGTAAACGCAAATGCTAGCAATGGTATATCCCATCTCCCAGACACCTGCAACGCCCCTCCCCTCCGGTCCCTCTGAAGGGCCCTGTACACCATATCGTCCTTATGTCCTACCTACCACCTTTCAACGCTTTGCTCACAGCGCTCAACGCCAGATTCTGTACGTCAACACTGTTCCCACTAGCATCCACAGCCAGAACATCATTCCCCAACTCATCCTCCATCGGCGCCTCCAAACTCTGAAATTGAGAATGCACCATATAGTCCTTCATATAATGGTTCTGCCTCCCCCGTACACGATCCATCAGCGCTGACTCGGAGGCTTGGAGGAAGACGAAGTGCACTTTTATGTCCGGGCGGTGGTAGGTCGCGATGCGTAGGACGTCGCGGTATTTGCGTTTCAGGGCGGAGCAGGTTACTATTACGCCGGATGGGGTTGAGGTTGTGGTTGTGCTGGTGGAGGTGGGTTTGGAGAGGGTCAGGATGGATTGTTCGCGGAGGAGGATTAGCCAGTCCCATCTGTCGGCGTCTGTGAGGGGTTGGCCGTCGGCCATTTTTTGGACGTTCTCGGGCGTGTGGAACTGGAATGGCTTGTCAGTACGTACGTTCGTTCGTTGGAGTACGGACATGCTGGCAGACTTACAGTATCGCCTTCAAGATATGGTAGTGATAGTTGTTGATGTAGGTGTTCGGCCACAGAAGTCTTTCCGCATCCTGCCGGCCCTGTTATAACCCAGATATGTTTCGTCTGTTCCATGGATGCTGATGTTGGTGCTGTCGCCGTCATGGTGCTAGGTTCTGAGGGTGGCGTAGGAGGAAGATGTGCGACTGCTCTGGTAGACATTGTCGAAGGAATGAAAGATGATTGATGGTTGATGGTGTTATGGTTCAGGGTTCCGTCTTAGTCCAGGAGGTGCTTGTTACAGGTCAAGGGATATGAGACGTATGGGAAGAGAAGGCTCAGGAAGGAACAAGGATGGGCATGTATAATGGGAGTGGATGTATACTATACCTCACCGTTGTCTGGTTCGGAAGGGGAGGACCAACATGCCGCATCGGCACACCAACACGGTTGCCTCCCAGTAGCAGAAGGATCACAAAAGTTGACGACGCCGAGCACGCGGTACCTGGCCCAGCAGTGTGGTTGGTCTCGTCATTGGGATCCAGCAGTGTGGTTGGTCTCGTCATTGGGATCCGGCAGTGCTTCCCATTTGTTCGGAAGATGTGAAGCAGGTACCGGTCTTGACGGGATGCCCACGAGACGAGATGTGGGACATGCGAGCGGCGATTGAAGTTGAGCGGCTTCGGCCTTGAGAGTGCTGCTCTCAAACACCGATGAGTGTGGTCCCGCGAACGTTTGTACGATGGATATGCTGGGACAATTTATTACTCCAGTGACTGGTCATTGCTGTCTCGATGCGGCGCCTTTACTGATGGTGCTTTCACATCACCAGTCTCAGTATCCTGTACGATTTCTTATGAAGGGACAGGACATGGAGACGAAGAGCTGAACCTCGCGTCCAGGCGTAGATTTCGGATACATGTGGGTGTGGTATTCTTATCAGAGGCGGCCATTGAGGCGCTTGCCACAAGCATCGACATAGAGCATCTGTATGCCTGTTGAATGTTGATACGCTACCTATCAATGTCCTCCTCGCTCAAGCGATGGTCATATCGAGGTACAGCCGGCCAAACTTGCAGGGCTGTCCGGCTTAAGGTTGGTGATCGCTTCGGCTTACAGCAGCCGAGGGCGGCTCAATAATTCTAATCCTCCTTCCTTCGTTAAGATGACGGAAATCTGTCGCTGAATTGTGGTTAAGTAAATTGAGGGAAACTATAGGAGCAGGTCGGCAACATACACTATCACGATGGTCACCACGACGCATATGCTCCGCCGAGCACTCCAACACTCAAGCTTGAGCTTCCGCTACGCCGCCCTTATGCGATCGAACCAATGCCGTGCCTTTCACATTTCGCGTCGTCTGGACATCGTCAAGCCATTCCTACTAGCAGACATTGGCGAAGGTATTACCGAGTGCCAGCTGATACAATGGTTCGTGCAACCTGGAGCACGGGTCGAACAGTTTGACAAGCTGTGTGAAGTGCAGTCAGACAAGGCGAGCGTGGAGATCACTAGTCCATTCGATGGAGTGATCAAGAAGCTATACTATGATCCGGACGATATGGCAATTACCGGCAAGCCGTTAGTCGATATAGATATCCAGAGCGAGATCAGCGAAGCAGATGAAGCAAAGCTTGCTGGTGGAGAGGAGGAGTCTAGCTCTGGGAAGAATGCAGACGCGGCTGAGGAGGAAGTGAAGCAACAGGAGATGGAAGCTGAGGCCGGAGCCGGGCAGGAGACAGTGGAGTTACAAAACGACTCAAGCAAGACAGAATCGTTGGAGTCACGACGACCAGCATCGAAGCAAGACCATAGGACCTTGGCGACGCCTGCAGTACGACACCTCACCAAGGAGCTAGACGTAGATATCGCGGAAGTCAAGGGTTCTGGCAAGGATGGCAGAGTCATGAAGGAGGACGTCCACCAGCATGTATCACAGCGATCACAGCAGTCTACATCATCCGAATCAGCAGCAGCCACCGCAGCATGGCGCGAAGACAAGCAAGTACCATTGACACCTGTCCAGTCCGGCATGTTCAAGCTCATGACACGCTCTCTCAACATTCCTCACTTCCTCTACACGTGCGCAGCAGACGTCTCAGCACTTACCGCACTTCGCAAGAAGTTGAACGCGGCAGCAAAATCACCAGAGCAGAAACTCACACACCTGCCCTTCATCATCAAAGCAGTCAGTCTGGCCTTACAACATCATCCACTGCTGAATTCATCTCTCAACACGAAAGACCCCAAAAAGCCGGGGCTCACCTACAGAGGATCTCACAACTTTGGCTTTGGCGCAGACACACCGTTTGGTCTGATGGTGCCCGTGATACGCAACGTGCAAGACCTAAGCATCGCTGAGATCGCTTCTCAACTGAGACAGCTTTCTGACAAAGCCAGGAACAACAGGCTCGCACCATCCGATCTCCGCGACGCCACTTTCACAATCTCAAACATTGGGAGTATCGGCGGAGGCGTCGTGGCTCCAGTCATCAGCGAGCCCCAAGTCGCAATCGTCGGGATCGGACGAAGTAAGATTGTGCCTGCTTTTGATGAGAACGATGAGCTTGTGAAGAAAGAAGAACTGGTTTTGAGCTGGAGTGCAGATCATCGTGTTGCTGATGGTGCGGAGTGTGCGCGATGTGCTGAACGGGTGAGGAGTATGATTGAGGATCCGGCGAGTATGGTGGTCAATATGCGATGAGCATTGTAAGAGCATGGGCAAGCTACGCCGTCGGAAGCCGCTCATCAGCGCCTATCGGACCCGGAGTCTCTTCGGCGATATTCCAGCCGGCATCGCTCCCCCACATCTGATCGTCTGGTATCTGCCCTTGCAGAGCCGCAGGTAACCGAAGCCAGAAGCTCACCACAGCAAACAAAAGTCGAGCTCACTCTCTATGCTAAGGACTATTTGTTGCTGCATTCGAGGCGCCAACATCCTGTGTCATGGCTACTACACGGATGTCCAGCTGGACGCAATGTCTGGGTACTTCCTACCGAGCTTCACCAGCGGCATTGGCTGCTAGCAAGAGCTCAAGGGCTACTTCCAGAGCGATGGCTACCAACGCTGCTTTCAAGATTCCTACTGTCAGCAATGAGCCAATGGTATGTCTAAACTCATGGCGGACTCGTACATCAGCTTGCTAATGAATACCAGCGACCATTCGAGAAAGGTTCAGCCGACCGAGAGAAGATTACCTCCGCCCTCAAAGCCTTCAAAACACGAATGCCTCTCGAGATACCTATTGTTGTGGAAGGTAAAGAGACGAAGACAAGCGACATATCTGCTCAACCTATACCTAGCAATCATGCAGAGCACATCGCACACTGGTCAAATGCCTCGGCCGGCGACGTCGAGACGGCGATTGAGTCTGCACTCAAGGCTAAGAGCTCATGGGAGCATACACCTTTCGCTGATCGTGCGGCTGTCTTTCTGAAGGCCGCAGATCTGGTAGCTGGGAAGTACAGATACGACGTCCTTGCGGCGACCATGCTCGGGCAAGGAAAGAATGTCTGGCAAGCAGAAATAGATGCGGCAGCTGAGTTATGCGATTTCCTGCGATTTGGCGTGCAGTATGCGCAGGACGTGTATAGCCACCAACCAGTACACAATCCTGCTGGGACCTGGAACAGAGTGGACTACAGGCCGCTCGAGGGTTTCGTATATGCTATCTCACCATTCAACTTCACGGCCATTGGCGGAAACCTGCCTGCAGCTCCCGCCATCATGGGTAATGTTGTGTTATGGAAGCCTTCGGCCTCTGCCATGGCTAGCAACTGGCTGGTCTACCAGATCTTGATCGAAGCGGGACTACCAAAAGATGTCATTCAATTCATTCCGGGTGAGCCTGTAGAAATCACCAAGACTGTCCTTGGGCACAGGCAATTCGCAGCTCTCCACTACACAGGCTCGACGAGCGTGTTCAGAAGCTTGTATGGACAAATCGCACAAGGTGTCGCAGCAGGTAAGTATGCAGGCTACCCACGCATAGTCGGCGAGACGGGCGGCAAGAACTATCACCTCGTGCACAAGTCAGCGGATGTCGAGAACGTCGTGATCGGCACAGTACGTGGTGCCTTCGAATACCAAGGCCAGAAGTGCTCCGCCACCTCCCGCGGCTACTTTTCACAGTCCCTTTGGGACCAGATTAAGCCACGCCTTATCGAAGAGACCAAAAAGCTCAAAGTCGGCCCACCCGAAGAATTCGAAGCCTTCGTCGGTCCTGTCATCCATCAAGCCTCGTTCGACAAGCTCTCCAAAGTCATCGACGAATCAAATCAAGATCCTGATCTCGAGCTCCTCGTTGGCGGTACCTACGATGGCTCAAAAGGCTACTACATCAAACCTACCATCTACCTCACCCGCAATCCTCGCCACAAGCTCATGAGCCAAGAGCTCTTCGGCCCAGTAATGTGTATCTACGTCTACGACGACGTCTCCTCCCCATCCACCTCCTGGCTCGAAGCCTGCAAACTCATCGACGAGACATCCGAGTACGCGCTCACCGGCGCCATCTTCGCTCAAGACCGCACGGCTGTAAGAGAAGCAGAGAAGGCGCTCAGTAACACGGCTGGGAACTTCTACATCAACTGCAAGAGCACGGGATCTGTGGTGGCGCAACAGCCTTTTGGTGGTGCGAGGGCCTCGGGCACGAATGACAAGGCGGGGAGTGCGAATTTGATGTCGAGGTTCGTGAGTATGAGAAGCATTAAGGAGAGTTTTGTTGAGGAGACGAGGGTGTTGTATCCTAGTAATGCGATTTAGCTTGGTTGATGGTTCGGAAGTTATGTCTGCACTAGCGCTATTTTTTGAGCAGAGCCAGGTTGCAGACGAAGCATTATATTGCTTCGTTCATAGAAGAAATACATCTATCAACCACATCGTACTTCATCTCTTCATGTCATTCCTGTGTAACTGTGGTCCTACGTACTTGCTTCTTGCTGTGATTGCGATCATGGGCCCCAGCGCAGACCCGCTGCGACGTTGCTGACCAGCTTCAGCGCTGACCCCTGAAATCGACCAACAGCTGCCACGCCATATGTCCTCTTGCCACCCAGCTACTCAGCAACACCACCACCAGCTCGCATCGCCTTCCCTCCGTACGGCTCGTCGCCGACTCTCACATGTGAGTATTCTATTGATTACGGGGAAAAAAGGATATAGCAGGGATGGCAGTGTGAACAATACTGAAGGAACAGGCACGTTGCTGTTCTTTCAGCCTTCCCTCCCTTATTATCCACTATAGGATTTAGGACCGTCACTGCCCTCTGCCTCTCCGTTTGAGTGTGCTGCGACCTTACATAGCGTGAGTGCCAGTCTTCTGTGTCCCGGCATGAGAGGAAGGATGGAGGCGTGACAATCTTTTTGGAGTGTCATCATGCAATATTTGGAAGTCATCCTCTGTCCTTTCGTTCGATTGCTAAAAGGTGGTTCTTCCGTTCCGTTGGTCGTGATTTCACTTTCGTCGAGAGTTATGCTGAAGCTTTTTGCGGGTTCGAGTCTCGAGCCCTGGAGCTTTGTCGTTCTTTTGATTTGTCTCGAGCTTTTCCATGCTCGTCGACTCTGTACCATGGATCCTTGCCGGCATGGTCCAAGGCATAGTGTGATGTGGTTATGAGAGGATGATCCTCCAACCAGCCGTACTGCGCCGTATGTGAGGGCCGAATATGACGAGCGGTATCGTGAACAACATGACTGCGACGTATATGCCTGCCTGGGTGCCGAAGGCATTGATGTAGCCTGTCTGCGTAATCCACGGTAAGATGCCATATAAGAAGCCGAAAGCAAATATGTTCTAAATCATGGTCAGCATGTTCTCACCTATCAGTGTTTGGCCAGGCATCCTCGTAAGACGTACCTTGAGTCCGTTCACGAGTAGAAGAGCATCAGCATTGACAGGGAGATAACAGTCTCCGAAGTAGGCGAACGTGGCTACTGGGACCGCGGTCAATCCCACAGTCGCCATCCCGTAGCCGAAGAAGCTGGAATTACATTGTTAGCAGAATGCAGGGCACAGTTCGGAGTTGGCATTGCTGGAGAAGACATACATCGCGGTCCAATGTAGTCTGTCACCTACGCCATAGCCGAAGAGTAAAGAGCCGGCTGGTACAACGATAGCGGGTAAGAGAAGTAGATGAAGACGAGTCTCAGGCTGGAAGACTCCATTGTTCTTCTTGCTTCGCCAGTCACAGTACTTGTCCACACAGTAGCCTCCGATCAATCCGCCTACCAGGTTGCCGATAAGTCCAGGAATATTGATGAGGCCATTTATATCAGGTTTCCAGCTATACGGCGGTGCTTGTAAAACGAATGGGTTGAGTACGTTGATCGCTAAAACCTGTAACGCCATGTCAGCCAATGCCTTCTACAATCTCTGGTTCTGTTCTCTGATGATGTACTTACCCAAGCCAGAGAGGCTGAATATGTGATGAAAGAGAAGATGACAACGGGCAGCACGACCAATGGAAGTGGGCGTAGGAACAGCAGAACAATATTAGAGCCTTTCGGTATGCCCGACCAGAGGCTCATCTCCTGAATCCAAGACTTCTTTGTTGTCTCTCCGACACGAGCCTCTTCAACTGCTGCTTGGTGGACGCCCACTTGTTTCTCCTGATTGAACTGGTCCGTGAGTTGGTTCGTATTGTACTGCTCTGTCTGCGACAGCGCAGCACTACTTTGTTCACTTTCCGGCCGGGTATAGCGAGTCTCCGGGCACAGCAGAAGCACGATCGTCCAATTGATGGCCGTTAAGATAAAAGCTATCCATTTGTGCCACCGCCACGACAGCGACGTCACGATGAAGCCGCACACTAACGGTCCGATGGTATTGCCTTGTGCGATTGCGTTCATGTAAATGCTCGTGAAAGTCCCACGTTCTGAGTAGACATTAGTGAGACACACATTTTGGAGGAGCTGAGTCAGTCGCTAGGCACTTGCCGTGCAGGAAGTAAAGGTCATTGACCATAGCAGCGCCCAAAGCCTCGGTGGAAGACCCAGCGAAGGCAGCGATAATTTGGCTTCAGAGCAACGACTCGAATGATCGAGCCACTGCTCCCCAGAGATAGCACAGACTAAGCAGCAGCAGAGCGAGGACGAATACAGGTCTCTTGCCGAAGTGATTAGCCATAGGCACCTGTGCATCATTAGTATCCAATGCAGACCGCTGGAGGTGTCCAAACATGCCCAGAAGAAGTTGAAGAGGCCAAGAGTGAAGACCGGCCAAAGTAGAAGCTTCTGAATCTCTGTCTCAGACTTCTCAAACTCGAGGCTGAGAACGTAGAAGGCCGGGCTGATACCAGCAATAGCGTAGTTCGTAAGGAAGGCTATTCGTGGAAATGAGAAGTGCTCCAGTAATCTTCGCAGAATGGACATGCTCACTAAAAGCGCAGATACTGAAGAAACATGTGTGCTTCTTCCATCGAGGCCTGTCCAACGCAGACGCTTAGCCACGTTTCAAGATCATAAATTTAGTGGTTTAGCTAATACCATCGAAGAGGATCATTGGGATCGTGAGCGTTTGGTGTAGGATGCAGTATCAACGCTCCACCACTGCTCGCCGCGTGAAGTTGGAAAGTTCCATCTGTGCTCCCAAGCTCGTGGAGTGACTGAAGCCGCATATTTGAGTGAGTGTCACGATCCTAGCACTCGTGGTGGCGCAGATAGCAATTGATGACGAGTGTTGCTATCAGACGAGCGATCCAGAAGAACATGGGAGTACTTGAATATATGGGCAAGCTCCAGATCTGGTTTTGCTGGTGCAAGCGCCAGCATAACAGCTAGCCACATTTTGCAGAAGATATGGCCAGTGGTGGACAGCCTTTCGGATGCAGGTAGGTGGAGCCATTGCAGTAGTCGTGGTGAGAGTGCAAAAGCTATACTCGCAGTAGCTGCCACTAGAACTCTGGTATGCAAGTCGGAAGCAGGAGCGCCTGCCTTGCAGTAGAGCAGTGGCATGATCGACATGCTCGCATATGCACAGCGCCCAAGATGCATGAATTGTCGGCAGATTGTCTGACCGCCGTCTAACGGCTGTTGGGTTCATTGCCTCGATAGCCTGTGACTAGTCATTGTGTCGTGCAAGTGGTCCGAACCCGGACGAGGGCTAATGCGTATTGTGCTGAAAGATTACATCTGGAAGCTGAGGCGCTGGGCCAGAGCGAATTTATTAGGCTTCCTTTCCTGCCGCGAGCCATCATGTGTAGGTAAGTCTTGTCGAGCGAGGAGATGATGTATGAGATAGCAAATGGAGTGAAATGTAACGCCCACTTCGCGCCTGCTGCGTCCACTATGGCTTGGCAAGCTCAACTCGCGCAGTCCAGCTGCACGAGGATGTCGAGTGAAGCAGCCTAATTCTTTTGCGGAAATTGACATAGGAACATGGTCGAATTACTGACGACAGCACACACATCAGAGCAGGACACTAACGACAACCAGACAAATGCCGTGCAGCAGTCATACCACAAGAATATAGAAACAAATATGGTACCCACAAAGGCCCTTCCTACACCATACAGCACCACCCATCACAACGTAGCAGCAGAAGAACTCCTCCGATGACGCGCTGGTGTAGAGACACGTTCCGGCTGTCTAAGCTCCTTCTTCCTACACTCAAAGAACAACTCATCCCAATCGCCCTTTTCACGTGGTACAGCCGACTGCACACCCAAAGGCCTGTATGCACCAGCTATCGCATACCCATTACCAATGTTTTCGCCGTTGCTACTGCCATCAGTCTGAAGAAGGTTTGGTGCGCTATGCATACTTTGCATACTATCGGAAATCGTAATTCTGCTGCTAGATATGTGTGGATGCTGTGGGCTGCCGTTCATATTGCTTATGCCTAGGCCAGTCGTCGCGGAGCGTGCCAGGCCATTCGGCAAAGGTGGTGTTTCGAATGTGCTTGTTGGATGCCTTGATATAGCATGCCCATCCCCATCAACGCCGTTTGTTGCGCCATTACTCCATCGTGTCTCATTAGCGCTTTCCTAGCTAGCTTGTATTTCTTTCGCTTGCTGTAGCGCGAGTTCGTTGTTCTCTGGTGCTTGACGGTACAGCACGATTTCGGATTGTTTGAAATAACGTCGTGCGTCCTCATCTATTAGCACTAGGCTGAGGTAGTATCTCGTGCTGAACTTCTTGTTCACATCGCGGAATGTTGGCGTGAGGTCGAAGCCGCCGAGGAAGAGACGAATGGGTATGGTCTCACCCCGGCTTGGCGAGCCGTCCATGATCTCGAATCGGACCAAAGTCTCGCTTTCGTTGTACTGATTTGGTGGCACGCCTGTAGTCTCTCGTCTGATAATGCTCAGCTCCATGTGCCTGATCTTCAACCGGACGAGGAGGAAGTATATTCGGCCCACGATGACATCCTTGAGGTGATACTTGCTCTTGCTATACTCGAACTCGATGTGCAGACAGTCTTCTATACCGACGTCCATCTTGATCACACTATTGCTCTCCGGCGGTTGTCGGTAGCTGTATACCCAAAGATCCTTCTCCCGAACCACATCTGCCATGCGTCTGCTGACTGTGACGCGGAGGAAGTACCGTAGCTTCACGTTGATTCCGTGATAGCTCTCGTACTGCTTCTCGACGTTCTTGAATGTGAAGGGTAGGGTGACAGGATGTTGCAATTCGCCAGGATTAGCCAGCTCGGTCTGCAAGCTCAGGAACTCGTGGTGTGTGCCGCGGTCGAAGAACATTTCTATTGTGCCGACGAACTGCACTTTGATGCCTGTGTGCTCCAGTCGCTTGCCATCCTTGGGTCTGATCGTGACTGCACCCTTGACTGTCTCGCCATCCAGGTATAGCGGTGCCTTCTCCCGCCTGTTCTTGTCCAGCTTTACGTCCACGGTGGACCGATCATCGGTGTCCTGTAGCACGATGTCGATGTCCAGCGGCGTGCTGAAGGAGAAGAGCGACATGGCGGCAGTGCGCAGTGGTTGCGCTCGGTCATACAACAATCTTGTGGCATGGTCTGGTGTGCGTGCCTGGCATCAAGCTCGTGGTTACGACAGCGGGAGCGGAGCGGAGCCGGAGTCGCGGCTAAATATTACGACGTCAATCAATAGATCTAGTATGCGATCGTCCGTAATGACTGCAGAGACTGTATTACTTATACAACTATAGATGTAGCCACATAGGTAAGCCTCGTCCAATCTCAAGCAACCAGCAAGATGCTCACCAAAGCCGACTTTCGAGCCATTATGCGGCGACAAAAAACTCTGGTCATCGATGGAGCACTGGCTACCGAGCTGGAGACCCGTGGACATGACCTGAAGCATCCATTGTGGTCCGGCAAAGTACTAAGAGATGACCCAGATAGCATACAACAAGTGCATCTGGATTACTACCTCGCAGGAGCCGACGTTGCCATCACGGCCTCCTACCAAGCAAGTACCGATGGTCTGAAGAAACATCTGCAGGTCGACCACGACGAGGCTACAGAGCTCATCAAGCGTAGTGTGCGACTAGCACAGCGGGCGCGGTGTCAAGCCTACCAGCAAGGTCGCGACGAAGAAGGCAGCAAACTTCTCATTGCCGGCAGCGTAGGACCTTATGGCGCGTACTTGTCAGACGGCTCAGAGTATCGTGGCGATTACAAGCTAACAGCAGATGAATACCGTACATTCCATCAACCTCGTGTCAAAGCTCTTGTGGACGCTGGTGTTGATATGTTGGCTATTGAGACTATACCAAGCATGTCTGAGACTGAAGGCATACTGGCTATGCTCAAAGATGACGTTCCGGACACTATTGCATGGTTGAGCATCACACTCCGAGACTCCGAGCATATGAGCGATGGCACACCACTCACGCAGCTTGTAGAGAAGACAGCACAGTCCGAGCAAATCGTCGCTATTGGTGTTAACTGCGTGCCGATGCGCATGGTAACGGCCTCGCTCCAGCACACAAAATCGATATTGGAAGACATGCCCTCTCCTGCCAGCAACCGCGATGCTTCTGCGATTGCCACGTCAGGATATCAGCTGCCTTTGGTATGCTACCCGAACTCTGGTGAGACCTGGAATGCCGAGACGAAGCTGTGGGAGGGCAGCAAGTCTGGCTCTAAGGATGAGCTGACGACCCGCGTCGCTTACTGGCAGGACGCTGGAGCGAGGTTGATCGGTGGGTGCTGTCGGACTGGACCAGAATTTGTGAAGGGTGTTGCGAAGGCGTTGAAGCAGCAGCGACAACAGGACGAAGGAGAGTGAGCTGGAGACTGTGATACCCTGACGATCGATAATGCCACCTCTCTTCCGACCCGAATTGTCTGGGATCCCGTACGCGACGTATACTATGTTGCGCCCTTGGCGGTCGCCAAGCACACGTTGACTTGTGATCCTGCTACCAAGGCGAGTCTGCCTCGACACTTCGCAACCCCAGCGCCAGATGTGTACATCCGCACTCACACCACTTCCCTGATCATGCAAGCCATATGTCACGAATACAAGGGCATGAACGACATGCGCGCAAGCAGAAGCGAGGACATTGTGGTAGCAGCGTTTGTGCCGATGCAGGAGCTATCATACGCTATCAGAGACCATAGTTATGGTGCCACGTCGACTCCGTCGTGGCCACATGTGAAGCAGTATGCAATAGCTGGCAGCTGCTCATTATGCCGGCGACTATAAGTATCTGGCGCATCATCAATCGCTCTTGTAATTCTCCAACAACCTCCACCAGCAGATCGAGCAAGTGCCAGCTTGTGGTTATAATCGTCGACAGCGACGGTCTTTGCAGCACTGCTACGGCGAGAATCTTACGGATCAGTCGACGAATAAAACCAGCGACTCGACCAGCGACCCTCAACCAAGCACGCCAATTACTAATCGTTACCTCAGAAGTGGAGTGGTATATACCTCCACTCAGCCCTCGGAATGCGGCTCTCCATCTTCGGCCTGTTGGGCTGTGCTCTTGCGGAGGTCAAGCCTCTGGGAAACAAAGCAAGTACCACGCCGAGCACGAGCACACCTCCGACAAATAAGAGGGCGGAGACATCGACTACCTCCACCAGTGTTGATCTTCTCCGAGGCGCGAAAGATCTTTCTATGAAAGTAGAGGCGTACCCAATCGGAGCGCAATGGTCGGGTATTGTCACAGCTTCCACGAAGATGACGTTCGAACCTTTCCTGGGGGAGGTCGTCATTACCACGACGAGTGCGTTTCCTAATGAGGGTGAAGGTGATGTGAAGACTGGAGGAAATCGAATTGACTGCGAAGGTGAAATGTGCACCGAGACCGTCTCAGTCACGTCTAATACTACGGCTTTCAAAGTCGGTTCGGCTGTGATGGTGGCCAGTGGGCCCACCGCTGCAGTAGAAACCAGCTTCGCTTCCACCATCACGGCCTATGATAACATTACGACTGAGATCATGCCGCTGACTGCTACCGCACAATCAAAGAGAACGGTAATAACTGCATCCGAGACTGGGCTACACGGTCTGTCTTCCGCTGCAAGCAGGAAGAGATCTGTGGCCTTCCCTACATTCACTCAACCGATATTGGATCCAGGTTTGCAGAAGCAGCTCGTGGCTTCCATCACGGTGCCGAGAACCATTACGATTGTACATGTGACAGTTCTAGCCACAATCACCAATCAAGCTATGCAAGACCAAGGACCAAACACTTATCCCACTACTGTGGTTGCCGACATCTATGATGGTACAACACTTACTTCTACCATTCCCACGGGTGCGACGACCACTACTTGGGTACCTGTAAGCTCAGATACGACATTGGCAGTCACACTCGACAAGGCCACCATTATCACTGTCCTTACGCCGCCTACAGCCTCGGAAAACCTTGTCGAAAGAGACATGCCTCAAGCAACAGCACTCCCGCCTGTATTCAGGATATCAGCGGTCGAACCAGCCGTTCGCTCGCTTAAGCACAAGCCTCGAGATGACCACACATCATCGACAGATTCAAGTGTGGTAGCCGCGCCGATAATCACTAGGCTTTCTTCGCCGACCTTGCCAGTGCCAACGAACGCAGCTGAATCGCAAATCGAAGAGAATATTCGAGAGATGCTGGATACATCGCCAGGTCACTGTCACCCTTCAAACTGTCGTCGTGATGCGACTTCGACCCCTGAGGTCGTACCCAGAACAGCAATCATTTCTGGCATGTATGGTTTCCTTTCAACAAATTCGAGGAGCATGGTCGAGAGAGAGACGCCAAGAGCGACAGCACTCCCTGCATTGCCGAATGCAAACAAGCGCCGGGATGACGCTGCCTCTCTTGCATCTACTTCGCGCGAAATCAATGATGCGGTCTCAGCGTTGTTGAACACCGATCCCGCAGGCTTCTCTCACCCTGGAGATGACCGTCGCGACGCTAGCCCGAGTGTAAATGTCGTCCCTAGAACAACTTCGACCCCCGGCCCAGATGGCCTTCCTACAGTGGTCTACAACAGTTTAAGCAATCTGATTCACATGAGCGCACGCTCTGATAACGGCGAGGCTGCTATCAATATCATTCCTAGCATCACCAAATTAGTTTCTACCACTCTCACGACGATGGTTCGCGAGCGGCAGATGTTCAAGTCTGCAACAGTAGCTGCTCGCGAAGCCGGCGATGCCGAGGACGACAACAGTTCGTCAAGTGCTCCAACCAAGAAGAATCCTACTGTCACAAAGATTTCTACAGGATTCCAGGGCGACGATACCAAGTCCACTACGACTCAGGACACTGGAGATCCAGACGCTACAGCGTCCGGAGTACCCACCTCAACGCCACCCCGCCGTACATCGGAAGAGACAGGCTCCAACGATTCCCTGGACGCCAAGGAGACAGACAACCCGCTCACGGAATCGACAGTCGAACCATTGAGTGGCGCGCTTAAAGGAGTCACTAGTCCAACAGGAGATGCTACCGACAAGGGAGTCAAAGTTGCAGTCGAAGCCGTTACAGCCGCATGCTCGGAGGCAGGCGAAAACGGGCAGACTGTTAAGGTCGGAAGTGCTGAAGCAGCCGTGTGCGCTGTGGCGGAACTCGTGGCACAAGCGAATGGTGAAAGTGGTACAACGAATCCTGATCACCTACAGCAGAAGGACCAGAAATCGGCTTCCGAGACAGATGGCGAGGGTGATGACGAGGGTGGCGAGGACGAGGGTGAGAAGCCAAAGGGTCATGATGCTACACAAAACCCCGGCCAGGATCCTATCACCGACAATCGAGCACGGTGCTGCAATCATTTCTTGACCACTCGGCATGATCTTGGACTAAGATTCGATTAAGCTATATGATGCCTCGAAATACTTAGGAGGGTTAAGTACCACTTTGAGTGTGCTCTTTCTTTCCATGCACCCTCCTTTCTGATGCTTTAGCCTCATACTCAACAGCGAAGTTTAGGGGAGAGCTCTATTGTCAGCAACATCTGATCCTTGGTCTTCATTTTGGTAAATTGCTAGCGGTCTGCAGTGGTTCAGCCTGCTGTGCGTGCAGATCTATTGTCAGACTGCTGTTACGACACAGCTTTTCTGTCACGAAGTATGCACAACGACCAAGAGTTGTTCCACGACGGTTGACTTTCTTGGTTGGGCATGGAAGTGGTAGACCCGGTACTCTCTTACTATTCAGCTGCTTTGCGGAAGCTCGGAGTATGACATTATGCATAATTACTGTACAAAGTATTGATGGCCAGACGCTCCTGCCTGTTGGTAGATTGGAAGGAGTGCCTCATGCCCGCGCCACCGTCGCTGAACGCTAACGAGAGAAGAAATGCGCCACGTCACCCAGCTATGCGACCCTGGTGCGATCCTACTATGCTGTTCGACACCCGTCCGTCAGCTGATGAACGTATTGATAACCATACCCTCTTTCCACCCATTCAAGCCAAGCAGTGGGGCGTCGCTACCAACAGGCTTCCCACAGAACATTAACTGCACGCGCTTATCGCCAACTATGTCTCGGATCCTTTCCACGACCACACTAGCTGGCTCCTTCTCCTGGAACTTGACGATCAAATCTTCGCTTCTATCGCTGAGTCGACATCTGACTTTGATCTCTCTCCCTAATGACCGTGCTCTGCCTTTCCCTTTCTCCTGCCGTGGTGAGGCCATAGGAGAACCAGCGGACTTGAAATCGTCATCGTCGGTATCGTCGTCCTCGACTCCAGCTACAGCATCCGCCTCGTCCTTCTCGGTGGCTGTGTCCTCGATGGTGTCCTGAGGATCTCGTACAACCCACTCAGGTATCTCGTACAGCTTCCCAGTACCATCATATATGCCACCATGTCTTCTCTCCTTCCCTCTTGCCCTCACGACTCGGCCGCGAGGACATGTAAGACCACTCGCGTCGAGCACTGCCTGTGCATCCGCGATCTGATCCTCACGCAACAGCTCACAGACCCGTCGCACGGCGATCCATGCCTGCGCATCACCAGTGACTCGTGTCTCAAAGAACTCTTCCCTCTGCTTATCGAGTCTACTCCTCGACCAAGGAGCAGGATACTGTAGGAACGTCGTCGGACTGGTTTGTATAGGCGAGGGTGATCGCAAGGGCTTGTTTAGACGATCATCAGAGACTTGTGGAGGGGGCGTCGAAGGCCGGGTCGATGCGCCGGCTTCACTAAGGCTTCGGGCCACATGATGAGGTCGATTGATAGCAGCTTGGGAGGAAGAGTGATTGGCATGGTTCAGAGCAACTGGTCTAGCGTTGTTGCCAGCATTTGATGGTCCTTGTCCGTTGTCGTGCGCTTCGGCGGATTGGCAGCAGCCCATGGTTGCTCATAGTCGACCTCGATTCTCCCCACCAATGTCGCCCGCCTTGCTTGCTCCTTCGACCAAGGATTAGTGATAGACAACCTTGCACGAATGCCCGGTCTATATGATAGCAGCAGCAATAGTGTCACAAGGCTATCCTGCCGAGTGTAACGATACTGTCTTGAAAATGTGAGCGTGAATTATGAATGATTGAGTCTACATAGTGACTAGAATAAAGAATCGATTCGATACCGCTGCCGCTCTTTCCGTGTCTATCTATGCACTAGGAGGTACTGCCAAAGTAGAGTTGGGGAGGCGGATAGCAAGCAAAAGGTTCCATGACTTCAGTGGCCGCGGCGCTACGCGGCGGCATGACCCCTGCTTCCGACCTCGAGCTCGGTTGAGGTGCGTGTGGTCTAGATCTTGGCGGGCCATAGATTGCTTGACTACTGCATCTCCTTACGTCGATGGTCATGACGGATACCAGTACTAATGATAAGTGTTCGACGAGCGACACCAGACCCAGGACTCAAAGCACAACCATGTATTACGTCCCACCCATTACTCTATCTAGCTATAAAGAGAAAACGACCATGACATCGCAAGAACAATCCGGGTATCTTCGAAAGAATCTCAATCGATGACTGGGGTATTCGCGACCACCTGCGGCCTCGAACGAAACCATAGCGATATCGTGCGAGGCCACAAAGTAGTAAAAATCAATGCAAGCAGATAACCAGTGCAAGCAAGCAAGCAATAACGCAGCAAGAAATCTCGGTTCGCAAATCCAGATTCCTCGAACGTCGAAGCCAGGTCGGGGTGGCAGGCAGTAGCAGTGCACGTAGAGAGTGACTCGAGTCGGGTATTAGCAAAGAAAAACATCTGCACTGCAATCAACCACCTTCCCGTCCATGAGGCCCAAACTTTCGATCTGGCGTGTATTTCTCCGGATGCAACAACGTCTTATCCGGATCCTCCGGCGCACCATTCTTGGGCAAATTGTCAGGATGCACATACCCAGTCCGCACGCTCTGGTAGCATCGAACATCGCTGTTTCCATCGCGACCATTCAGTAACGTACGAGGAGGAGTTCCGCGTCCTTTCAACGCCGTCACAATCTGATCGCTAGTATACACCGTGTTCTGGCTCCAGCCGGTACGCACGTATTTGTCGTGGGAGTACTGTCTGCGCTCCTAGCTCGCGGTACGTGTGACGGCTTCCGTGTCCTCCGCACCGGCTCTCTAGGCCGACGCGGAGACGGTTGGGGTGGTGTGGGCCTGACCAATGTTGACGGAGTCCGAGGTCACATCACCAATTGTCTTGGTCTGCTCGTGCGCGTGCTCGGTGGCGGCGTGGGTGCCGTTGATGGTCGGCTCCTCAGCGGCGATGCCGTGGGTGCCATGAGTGGCGCCAGTGACGGGTGTAGCAGTATCGAGAATGTCCTCTTTAGGCTCGTTCGTGGAAGCAGCTGGGACAACGTTCTCCTCCTTCTTGACAGGAGAGGCACCGGCACCACCAGCACCCATTCCGCGGAACGCCTTGCTAGCGCGTCGGCCAAGGTTGCCAAAGTTACCGAATACAGATTGACGCTTGTTGTCGGAAGCAGGAGAAGTGGCACCAGGAGAAGTGGCAACGGGTGAGGTGGTCTCAACATCGGTCTTCAGCGGCTCCTCGGCGGCTGGTGCGGCAGTGTGCTCAGTGCTAGTCAACGCAGGAGTGGCAGTGGCCGGCTCAACGATGGGCTTCGTAGGCTCCTCCGAGCGTGGGTCAAGAGCTGCCTCATCCTTGGTTGGCAGAGCCGGAACCTCCTCCTTCTTTGGTGCATCCTTCATGGCGGCAGACGGGCTCACGCTACGCTCCCTCTTGTTCATGAATGGCAGGCCAGACAAGAATCCGCTCTTCTTAGGCTCTTGGCTGGCTGCAAGCTCGTCAAGCTTGGCCTTGGATGCCTCAGCTGGCATGCCAGAGTGCTCAACCAGCTTGTCGAGGGACTCGACTGGCGCAGTTGTGTGAATAGGCTCAGTAGCTGGCTCCGGGATTTGAGGTGCGGTCTCGGAGACACCAATGTCCTTTGGTGGCACCTCCGGCTTGAGCTCAGCATCCTTGAGGTCCTTCTCCTTGGTTGGGCTTTTGATGCTGGAGAAGCCAGACTGCATACGGCCGAAGATGGATCCGCGCTTGGCTGGCTTCTTCGAGTCAGTCATTGGCGCAGTAGTGGCAGCATCAACAGCAGGAGTGTGCTCAGCAGCGGCGACCCCGGAGTGATCGTTCTCGATTGGCGCGCCCATAACACGCTCAGCTGTGCATCGTCAGTAATGGCCGTCGCCACGTGTGCGAACCGAACTTACCAGTGCCAGGAGCATCAAGAGCAGCACCAGTGCCAGCAATGACACCAGCCTTCTCGGCCTCCTTCTCGTGCTTGAGCTCGGCCTTCTCATGCTTGGCCTCCTCCTTCTCAATCTTCTTCTCCTCCTTCTCGAGCTTCTTCTCCTCCTTCTCCTCGCGCTTCTCCTCCTTCTTTTCCTCGCGCTTGACCTCAGTCTCATCCTTCTTGCCTTGGAGCCGAGCAAGCATGCCGCGGGAAGTGGACCTGCTCTTCTTCTTCTTCTTCTCGGCCTCCTCGTCGGCGTCAGAACCAGCACGGCGGACCTCGCCATTGTTGTTCTTTGGGTGTGACTTGCTTCGGGCAGCGGCAGCACCGGCGCCAGCAACACCAGCAGCGGCGAAGGCTGGCTTGGCTGTTAGGAGTCAGTAAGGAGGAAGGCACTTTTAGGTTTGGGAGCTGACTTACTCAGCTTGTCGTGCTCAGACTTGTAGCTTTCGCTGCCATGGATAGTGGCCTTTTCGGCCTTGCCGACCTCCATAGCACGCTCAAGGGAGATGAACCAACCATCGCGCTCAGCGTCGTTCGTAGCCTTAAGAGTGTGCTGCTGACCGTGAAGCCTGAAGATGATTTCATGCGGGTGGTCCTTCTTGAGGTCGGTGGCGTCGTACAAAGGCAGAACGCTGTGTGGGCGAGTGCGCTCGGTCTCACCATTCTTGTTGAAGAACAGGAGACCCTTGCCGGTCTGGCTTGCCCATGCAACGACTGGGTTGGAGACCTCGGCCTTCTCGCCACGGGTGTAGAGGTCGAGGTGATGGGATGTCACAGGCGCGTCGCTCAGCCAGAATTCCTTCTTGGATGGCACCAAGGACCTGCATCATGATTAGTATTGCGTACTCAGTGATTCCACATATTGACTTACTTTATAAGACCCGGGCCCTTGTAGGCGAGCTGACCCTCTGTGATAGGCTCGACGGCTTTCTCAGCAGCGGCGACCTTCTTCTCCTCCACTGGTGCGAGGGCCGCTGGTGCGACGCCCGATGGTGCCTCACCCCCTGTGGCGAGGTGGTTCTCCTGCAGTGGCTCGGTGGCGGTGGTGGATCGATTGGAAGCAGTCACAGGTGCGGTCGTCTCAGGAACAGCAGTGTGATGGTGCTCGCCAGCAGCAATGATGGGCTCACTGACCGTATGTGGCTCAGTAGTGACCGGAGCCCCAGGTGTGGTGTTCGGGATGTCGGACATATCTGCTTTATCGTGGTCGTGATGCCGTGCCGTAGAAGAGAGTTCTGCTCTGTCTTGGACTTGAAGATCTTCGTAACGCGTAGGTGGAAAAGTCGTGAAAGATTACTGTAGTTCTATCGAAGAACGTACGATTGTATCTCTCAATCTCAGCTCAGCAGGGTTAATTGCTGATGGGGTATCACTAAATCAATCTGCTCAGAGCTGGGAAAAGGGGAAAGGGAAGCACGAAGGTGTGTATGATGGTATGAAGATTGGAAAGAAGAGGAAGGGTTTCACATTTTCTTGCTGCTCTTGCAGGCAGACTGGCTAGGAAGTGGCAGGTCTGTGCGTGCTATTAGGCGAAATTGAGGGCAAAACGGACATGCATCACGGTCCAACACTCGACTTGTGCCTGGGCGTCTCAACAGACCTGCTGTTGCCCGCTGGGTCGCTAATGCGGCGGTACATGAGACCTGTGTAACCAAGCTAGGTGGAAGAGTCTGCGTGGTCGGATGACAGGTTCTGACAAGTGGAAGGTGCTGATCATGGTATGGAGCGATAAGCTCGAACAGGGGAGTTTTCACGAGCTATACGTTAGTATCAAGTATTTGCTGAGACACACGCCGATTCGAAACCAGATGTTCTAGACACTCCGCTGCCCGCCGCCATGGTGCAGAACCATACAGCATACTGCTTTTTGAAACACAAATGTAAGACCGTTCACTTGCATACAACCTCACCATATCAACAGACGTGAAGCTCATTCGGCGACGGCATGTGATTGAGGACCCTCTTTTCCAATCCCGGCACCATCGGCCACGCTATCTTTCCTGCAACTAAAATGTCGGCCCTCTCCCGCCAGCATTAGCGGAACTCTGGTCGCGCACCTCTGATCTGACAGCTCGCAACGATCTCTCCAGTAGTAATGGTGCAAAGCAGGGAAAGCTCGCCTCATGACCTTGGAGTACACGACGCTCGACTGGGATGACCCACCACCCATCACTCCGCCCACCTAATCGTGGTTGATGAGCTTCGTATCACAGTCTTGGCAGCTTATGCACACGGATGCCCTGACACAATCACCGGAAAAGTCTACCTCGCACAGTCGATCTTACGATACAGACTTTACAGACGGCAACGGTCAACTTCCAGCCTCCCAAACCAACGCCACGAAACGCCTTCGCTCGAGGTCAAATCTTTGTCGGCAAGCCTCCAAAGCCGTTGCGCGACTCGCAGCACATCGCTGTGTCGTTACCCGAACAGCTGACCAACCCAGACACAATACTATGTACACCCCACCCGCCACTAACTCGCCGTGATGAGCACATAACTAGTAATAGCATTCATCCTCTCCGCGCTCAGCTTCAAACCCACCCTCAGCAGTTCCTTCGCAACTTCAGGCTCTTTCGTTTGCATATCCGCCCACTGCTCTGGTGTCAACAGCCAGGCAACGCACTCCTGTTCAGCTGTCACACTGCTTGTCCGCTCTGTTTCAGAGAAGAAAGGTAGCTCGCCGCAGGTCGTGCCAGGTACAATACTTTCACGGTAGTTGCCCTGATTGAGATAGTACTCTGCTCGTAGGATACCTGCTTGGAGGAGATAAAAGCCGTCGGGACGATCGCCACGGTTATAAAGTCGTTGGCCCTGTTGGGTGTGTCAGTACTGATAGTCTAGAATGCAAAGCCTGGAGTGTTCTTACCTTCGTGAACTCACGTCTGGCCAGGTACGGAACAGCGCGGAACCAGAAGTCTTCGCTCTTCTCTGTCAGGTCCTGGAAAGCTTGCAGGAGTAACGGTAAAGGCTGCTTGAAGTTCTTCCATCTTGCCTGCTCGGGTTCGATAGTCTCCGTGATGGCGGTAGTGGCGGCTTCATGCAGGAAGTTGCGGCGCGGCGACGCATATGCGGTATCGAAAGGAGACGGGCCCTGTTTGTGACTCTGATCCTGTTCAATCTGCATTGGTGGCGAATCTTCAGGCCTGTGCACGCCCAACTTTTGCTTCTCGGTCAAGACCTTGAGCAACTCGTTCTCGCAAGACTCGAGCGCAGCATTGAGATCTTCGAAGACTTTCGGCGCTGGTGTCTCGTCATTGTCGACGAAGAGCCCAACCATCTCTAGTGCCTTGCCAACCTCATTACCCAGCGTCACGCTCGCCAGTACCATGTCAACGTCACGTCGCTGGATAATTCGATTCATGCGACCGAATGCTTCGGCAGCTGAGAAGTCTATACCGGTGACGTGCGTAAAGTCTAGTATCAGGTACCTGATTGGTGATGTGGCGAACGACTCAGCGTCGATCAAGGCACGTACCCGCTTCTCGACCCTCACAATAGAGCCAAAGAATAGATAGCCCGACAGCTTCAGGACCCGGATCTGTCGTCCAGCTTTGTGCAGGTAATTGCGTTGTCGGGGATGTCGACGTACTGTGGACTCGGCAACAGTACCCGTGAATTCAGCAGTGATAATCTGTCTGCGTGATGTCTGTACGACATATACGAGACAGGCCAGGCCGATGCCGACCGCGATGCCGACCACGAAATCGTACAGGCCCATCACAAGCGCAATGGCAACGATCGTAAAATACTCCAGCTGGTATAGCCGGCCATAGGTCGCTACAAGTGCTTCTTGTGTCAACTCAATGCCAAGCATGTAGATGAGCGTACCGACGACCATGACCGGGACGTAGCCAATGACCACGGGTCCAGCCACCCACAGTCCGAAGGTAGCGGCTGCCAGCATGTATCCAGCAAGTCTGCTATTGCCTCCAGTGTCCATGAAGAGCACACTGTTGACGAAGACAAGGTAGTTCTGGATGCTTCCAACACAGCCCGAGAGAGTGTTGGAAATGCCGTGCATGATCAATTCGCGATTGATGCTGACGTTGTCTTCCTGGACCACCATCGCCAGATTGGGCACGTTTATAGGGACGTGCAGGATACCAAAGAAGGTAAGAGCCAATTGCGAAGGTACAGTTTTCCATATGGCGTTCCAGTCGACAAGACCAAATTTGTAGTGACTGTAAAAATTGTAGAATGGTACCCCAGCAGCAGGTGCCTCGAACACCCAACCGTCGCGGCGTAGAATATCCATGGTGATGGACGGTACGGCGATCGTGATGATATAGAAGATTGCGGTGATGGCTATGTAGTAAGTTGGTACCAGCCATGGTGGATCGCGCCACTTGCGGATCACAAGAAGTAACACAGCTAGTGCCAACGGTGGGAGCCAGAGTGCCACGGTTTGCGCTGTCAAGAGCTGCTTGAAGACCACCATCGTGAACTCAAAGTTTCCTGGTAGACGGGCACTAACCTCAATGCCAGTGAGGAAGAGGAATATACCGACGCCTCCTATGCATCCCGTCAAGATCGAATGTGGGAAGAAGTTCACTAGAGTCCCCAGCTTGACAGCGCCGAGACCAAAGAACACTAGACCAGTGATAATCGAGCTCATGGCGTAGGAAGTAATGACAGTTGCTCGGAGTGCGTCCGGGTTCTCCGTGCCCATCGTGTTCATGATCATGTAAGTCATTTTGTGGAAGAATGGGACAACCTCGATCATCTCAGACCCCACACCTCCTCGGAAGATACTCCCAGTCGAATATGTCAGCTGCGCGATGATGCAGCTGACGTAGAACATGGAGACGCCATCAGCTCCAAGGTCTGCGAACACTTCTTCGCCAAGTGGAAAAAGGATTATGCCATATGAAAGTGCATCCAGTAGATTCAATAAGAGGCCAAGAAATACAGCCGGTAGCATTTTTGCGGGTTCCACGATTATGGTCTGACCGATGGCTCGCGGATCCCAGCTCTTCGGATTGAGCACTGTTTGCCGCGTCGTCGAGACGATCCGGTGAACAGATGGGTAGTGATGTCCAATTCTGTCCCAGGTGCCGATCGGGCGAGATTCTTCGTCCTCAATCGCAGGCTCAGGATCACGTGTCGGCCTCCCTCGCATTGATAGACGTGCTTGCGGCAGGAGTGCCGTCCTCTCTGTGGGCGTTGAATCGCCACCCTCATCTTCACTTGTGACCAACACCCTTGGCAAGTCTCCAGACAAATCCGAGTCAGACTTGGTCCTGTTCACTTCGAGCTCAGACGATCGTAGAAAGGCATTCGTAGGCCGCGGACGAAGAGCTGCAGTAAGCTCGGAAGCACCAGGACGAGATCCGGCGGAACCTTCTGGTGATGTTGGCTCAGATGTTTCGGCAATCGTGTCTTGTACTTTCAGTCGTCCTGTTGTACCGTCCGAGTCGTGCCTACTTTCTTGACTAAGTTGCCTTGACATTTCTGAGTCGCCAAGAAACGATGAAGACAATTCTGCCGTCTCCTCGCGAACGCCGGAACTTGAATACTGTACGATACTACCCATTCCATGACCCGCGTGATGGATATAGCTGCGGCTTGGCAGACTAAACGACGACGAAAGTCCCACAGATGGCGTAGAGGTTGCGCGAGCAAACCTTGATGGCCGACTATGGGTAGTGTTATTGTCGATCCCAGGATTATCGGTCTCAAGAGCCTCCTCGTCGACCAGAAGCGGACCAACAGATACACCAGAAGACTTTCGTCTACGCTTAAAGCTGTGTCCCGACATACTCGATGTTAGGAGGCGGACATATGTGCAGAAAATGGCTTGTCGTTGAGACGCGAAGGCGAAATCGGAGCGGAGCCGCCGAAAAAGGAACGATGAACGACAGCAGCCGGCTAAACCCAGCTCAAGCCCAGTATATACAATAGTATGCTGCAGAAAACCTCCCAGAAAAGTGGCTACGATGTGTGAGGAGAAAAGAAAGCGTGCATATTTGGACGATTCGGCTTGGAGGAGATGGAGCGGAAGCTAAAGCGCTTGAGCGGCGTGCCGTGCCGATCCGTGGAGACTGTCAAGCGTAACATGGGTAGCCCAGCACAAGAGTGTGCAGGGCATGGGTTAGGGCTGAGAAGTTGCTCCATGAATATGCCAGATCATCGCTACAAATACCGGCATTCCTTGATTAAATAGGAAGCGATGATCCATATGGAGCATACATGATAACCGAAAAGAAATTATCTCAAGTTCACAGACGGCGATGGCGGATTGCCAGCCTATCATGAGAAGCTGACCTAGGTTTGAGCTTGGATGGACGCGCAAGAGTGCACCGCTTCTTAGTCTGCTAGCTCTAGTCGAGACAGCACTAGCCGCCTGCTCCAATGACTAGAATATCTGCATAACAGGGTTGACTGTTGCCAGCTCGATGCCCTCTTCCTCAGCAGCTCGCACAATATAGCTTCTGACCTTCGCATCCGGCGCCAGGTCTATTGCGAATGCGCCATTGCCATCCTTTCTGTCCGTCTCTGCCCCAGCTTTGAGTAACACCAGAGCAGTGTCGCCATGACCTTCAGATATAGCGTGATGCAACGCCGTGAGACCATCGATGTCCTGGGCATTGATCTGACTCTTGTGCTCGAGCAATAGTTTGACCATCGGTACATGTCCAATTGCTGCCGCACGATGTAGCGGTAGCTGACCTCTTTTGTCCTTGATCCTGCCCGATGCTTTATGTGCGATCAGCTTCCGCGCGGTGTCGAGGTTTGACTTAGAAGCTGTGAAGTGTAATGCAGTCTGGCCATTGCTCGTCGTCGTGGCGGGATCTGCTCCCTTCGCAAGTAGGAGATCAACCAGCGCGTCGGCATCTTTCAGACTTGAGGCCATCATCAGAGCCGTCCATCCTGCTCCATCCTGCGCGTCCGCATCAAATCCTTTCTGGTCGGCTAGGATTTCAACAATAGGCAGGCGATTGTAGGAAGCTGCCCAGTGCAGTGGTAATCGCTCGTCGTCATCGCGACGATTTGCGAGGCGTCGGTCGGCGTTCAAGAGGGACTCGACCTGTTTGGCTGTACATAAGGTGAGTCAAGATGAACTGTGTGAGGGAAGGTTTGGTCACTTACTCTGACCCTCGCGAGCAGCGGCATGTATCGCGAACCTCGACTGTTGCGTGTCTGTTTCCATGGCCACAACGCTCTCGAAGTGGACTGACGATTATGCCGAGCTAAGGATGACGTAGAAGGTTTCGGCTGCGGCAAGGTCCGCTGATCCACACTTCACGTGGAGGAAATAGTCATGTGTCTGCAGGACAACAGTAACCTCCCCAGTGACCTGATTAGAAAAGACTGGACCGTGAAGCGATACACCACATGCCCGAAGCTTTGGTGCCCGGCGGTATAACGTGCGATGGCATGATCTTTGTCTCGCTGCGTTTCCGGTCATCTCGATTGAGCACTCCAAAAGGATGCATTATTCACCTTTCTGGAGCAGAATGTGGAGCCTGCCCTTCTCGTCCACTTGTACTCCAGCTCCACCTGAGTGAATGCGTAGCGGCCGATTGTAGTATGAGTCTACCACTTGCAAGACGGGTGAGACCCGCTCCAAAGGATGCTCCGTGCTGCTAGAATCGCTATGCACCAGAAAGTGGTAGGTGAGGTGGACACGACTTAGCGGAGCAACGCTCAGTGTACGGTACTTCGGCCCACTGAACGCGAAGTCGTCGTTGGCTTCCATCGTGGCGGCGAACGTGAGGAAATGGTTGGATGGGTTCTCGAGATGGTATCGCAATGTGATGGGGTCGTCATCAGCCTTGCGCTCGATGACAGTGCAAAGCACTCTTGGCTCCGATGTTGGCAACGATAGCTTCGGGACGATTATACCCGTGATTACAGTAGGTGAATCCGCCTGCCGGCACCACTCAACATCGAGCATGAGCTCGACGGATGTCGGCCTACGATCCTCGAACGACAGCTTCTTCGACAAAAGCTCAAAAGTTGGCCTTGCTACCTCATTTTGCCGAAGTACTTGCTCGTCGAAGCCCTCTGCAGCAGAGAAAGAGCACACGGCATCCACGACGTCTTCAGCCTTGCGAAGCTTGATACTTTTGATGGACAGGCCTTCTGTTGCTTGCGAGTGTATCAATGCCCCCAAGCGCCATTTCTGCGGAATACCTTCCGGCTCTTCTTCGTCCATTCCGACAGACCCGTCAAAGTAGCTTGGCCAAGGGTCGACGAACAGTAACGGGCCAAAATTGAACTTCGCCTCGAAGGGTGCGCTCAAATTCAACTCAATATTCGCAGTCTTGCTCAGGTGAGTGTGTGGATCTGAAAGCAGGATATAGCTAATCTCGACACGTATTGTGTACTCTATTATTGTCGAGGCTGCATTGACTAACAGGATGGACGTCTGGCTTGCAGCTGCCGCGATCGTGCCTGCATTGAGGGTTGAGTTTTCGTTTCCTCCATCCTCACTTTGCCAGACAGGCCCGGGTAGGTCGGCATCACTACCAATGAGAGATGCTATTGCGGTGACCTGAACTTCCTCTTCCTCCTGGTTGATCATCTGGATGCCGAAAGCGAGATGCTCATCGGTATAGTAGTGTTTGCGCAGCCCATTGAGCACTATCTGTACCTTGGGTGGCTTCGGATGGACAGTAACCATAGTTGTGTTCGAGAATGGCAGCTCTCGCGACTCAATCGTGCCATCGTTATGGACCTGTGTCTGCCTAGTCTGTAAATCGTGAAGATCGGTAATTTTGTGTTCGATCGAGAAGCGAGGGCTCTTTATCATGAGAGTCACGTCTTCCACACGCATCAGACCGGTCTCGCGAATGGACAAGTAAAAGCTGAAAGTGCGCCTCTCTCCCCCTGCCATGCTAAGGTCGGCCTCCAAGGCCATGCAATCGTTGCCGGGGTCTTGCATCTCGGATAGGTCGATGAGAGCCTCAGACCCAGCCTCACGCTTCGGCTCATCCTTCTGGGTCATGAGGACGGACCTTCCGTTACTTAGATTCACTTGTATGGAGGAAATCGCAATACGCAAGCGATGGACAGCTATCATGGAGAGCGAGAGCTGACATTCGACATACTCTCCAACGAAAGTCTCAGCGTCACAAAAGGCAAATCGTGCCACAAGTGGACTCAGTCGCTGATTATTCTCAAAGTGCACCGTGATATCCTCATGATTTGGCCACTTGACACCCATGAACTCGGCAAGACTTGGTAATTCGTCCAGCGCAACGTCTGGGCGAAGCTTCATCAACTCCAGGGTTACCGCAAGATGGGCGTCTGCGTTGCCGCATCGCACAGCACATTCCTGCACTAGCAGCAACAAGGGAACGAATAACTCATCCCAATCGGTTTCTCGCCATGAGCATTCCTCCCAGACAGGCAGAGCAGTACTCATAGCCTGCTCGAAGAGACCAGCATTTGCCTGTAGCTGTGAAAGCTCAAGCTTAAGTCGCTCGGATGCACGAACCTGGCCCCGTGCTGCAAACTCTTTAGCTGCTGAATCTGCAAGTCTTGTGATCTCAGCTACATGATCGAAAGCGTTCGTCCTCGCCAGCGGGTGCTCTTCGTGTGGATCGAGCACTAAGTAAGTGTCATAGCTTTTAGCCCGGTAGGCGACAGCAGATGCGGGTGACTGGCCAGGTGGTACACAGTCCTCCTCTGGTATGGCCATCGCTTTCTCTCTCCGCGCTCGGGTAGAATACACGGCCAATCTTAACCAATATCCCGGATGATGGAGCATCTGGAATGGAGGCAATCGATCTGAAGCTGAGACTGCTTTCTCGGGCATTGCATATATGCCAACCTTGGTGAGCTCGACAGACTCTTCCACGGTCTGCGTATTTGTCGGCTGCAGTGAGGAAAGTGCAGCTCGACGGATCAGCTGCGCCATGATCTCAGCCCATCTTGACTCCCATGCGTCCCAGCTATAGGTCTGCGAACCCTTACCCCTGCGATCTACAAGGTCCTTCACGCGTGCTCTGTAATTCGACCACGATCGAGTGGCGGAAGTGGTCAACCCCGACCATAACTGACACCTCACTACCCGGAGCGCTATAACGTCACACAGCAAGCGTGCCTCGTCCCATCGCGGCGACCAGCTAGGAGTAGTCTCTAGAATGCCCTCTGCGTTAAACAGATTATCGATAGCGTCAGAGTAATGCCGCTCAGCGACGTCCATCTCCTGTCGAAACTCGGCATAGACGCCCTGCTTGAACTCGTACCGCACGTTCCAGCCAGGCGTCGATAGTGCATGTGCGCCACCATCGACTGGAGATGTCAGAGGCCCCGACGGCCCCCCTCGGGCCTTCTTCCTTCGCGCATGCTTGGTGAGATCTCGGTAGTATTCGACCGCTAGCGGCTGTAATGTAGCAAGCATGCTTTGTACGAAAGTGCCGATCTCTGCTTGGGAGGTCATCGGTGGCATGAAGAAAAGTCCTGTCTTTGGGTCAAGCGTTGTCGCTCGACGGATCGCAGATAAGCGATCCTCTAGCTCAGGTGCGTGCAAGATGCTGCGATCGCTCATCAACACAGCTGCAAATCTACTCTTGAAACCTGATCGTGCCAAAGCCGTCCGGATGGCGTTGATGTCGATCTGTATCTGTTCATTTTGTGCGGTGTCGTCACCAGAGGACAACTCGAAAAAGGCAAGGAATACCGCGGGCACTTGCCATTGATGCTTAGCCAGCCAGAGAGGGGTAAATACACCATCAGGATATATTGGCGATCCAGGTGAGAGCGGCGAAAGAGGTGAATGCAGCTCACGAACAGCTTGTGGGCTCTGAAAGCCTTCGGCGCTCGGCGACTGTGGCAGTGGCGCAGCTTTCCTAGGCGGCAAGTTGTAGTTCCGACCTATCGTCCGCAAACGATACCTCAGATGGGCCTGAGGTCCTGGGAGGGTTTGAGCGTTCCATGCTTCACGATTGCCATCTTGCTTCGAGAATTGTTCAAGCAGAAGCTTAGATCGGTCTCCTGTACATTCCGCCGAGGCTGTAACAAGGCGAGCACCACTGTCTTGTCGGTGTGCTTGCTGATTACTCGTCTCAGCGTTTGGACGGTCTCCCAGGCCTGACAAGATGAGAAGCGGCAGCTCATGCGCTGTATATGCTGTTGGATAAGCCTCCATTATGGCGGTGTAAAACGCTATGACTCAAGACGCCAGTAACACCCATGGTTATGCAGTCGGAAAGTCCATCAGGTTTTATGTACAATCAAAGATGTGAGGTTCGAAAGGACGGGAGGATCGCGTGAAGATGAACGTGGCGATCTCGTATGAGGCGCTGACTGTGGCTGTGCTTGAACGCGCCAAAACGCGACTTCAACTCCACCTCGTCTGCAACCCCCGCCAACCACACAATCACCAAGCAGAGTATCTAAGATTTGAGTCAAACATGCCTGCAGCCGATGACTCTAAGCGCAAAGCCGCGCGAGAGACAATCGTACGTAGATTACTGCTAGACGCAGCATCAGGAGCGATATGCTGATCAGATAGCAGGACATCTTGCACGAGATTTCAACATTGTTGGTATGTCACGGCTCACATGGGGACGAGACTCCAATTAAGCTTCTGACATATGAGTAACTACAGAACACGCAGCTTGACCGCCAGTCACTATCATACTGTGTCTCGTTGATCGAGAACGGTGTGAACCCGGAGGCGCTTGCCGTGAGTTTCTTGCAGGCAGCTCTGCGTGCACAAATATGCATACTAACAGTTAATCAGAGCGTTATTAAGGAGCTCCGAACACACAACGAGCGATATGAGGCGGAACGAGGAGCTACAGTAATGCAGTAATGCCTGGGAAGCGGCAGGAGGTTGCTAGCTGGCACAAGGTCATTGATCCTGGATCTGCTCTCTGGAAGATCTATGCTATGACAGTGATGCCCCTGGGCGCGGAGCCATCCACTTAGTCTGGTCCCTCGTCATCATCGCCAAGGCCCATATCTGCCACTCCATTTGTAGCTGTATGCACACCATCGGCAGCACCATCAGCAGGTCTCTTCTTCCTAGCTGGTCGCTTCTTCTTGCCTCCCATCGACAGAGGCGCCTCACGGATCCATCTGGAAATGGCCTCCGCACGATCAGTGGAGATGGGGTACTCCTTCCCATTCTCATCCTGTGCCCATCGCTTTGGCTGTGGCGCGGGTGATGCCTCTTCTTGCTCAGACGCTGGACTAGGGCTCGAGCATGACGAATCGCCTTTGTCTTTGAGTGGTCCCGATATACCTTGTTCGTCCTCCATGGCTCGGCGTTCACGAGCTCGGACTGCACGCTGGAAGCTCTCTTCGTCCACAACGCGATCATCTGAGAGTGCATCAATAATGGACTCCTGTTTGATCCGTTCCCGTTTCTGTTCAGCGGTCTCTTCACGCTTCTGCTTTCGCTTCGCCACAGCGCCAGTGCTACTATCTTTGGCCCAACCACCAGCCGCTTCAGGTAGTGGCGCAGGCGCACAGAGTTTCTGCCATGGCACGGAAAGACCAAGCCAATTATTTGCACGCCGCAGAACCTCAATCCAATCTGCTCTGGCAGGACTTCTGGCAGCTTGAAAGATTGGGTACCCGTCTGCTACACGTGCCAGCCGGGCTGCGTTGTGCGCATGTCTAAGCAGCTCTGTCGGACTGGTCTGTAATAGCGAATGGGCTAGCAGTAACGAATGCAGCGCATCAGTCAATAGCGGGTGGTATGTCACAGCTTCTCGACTGCCAAAAGCCTCATGGATCATTTCATTGTTGAGCATAGCATGAGTGGTCTGTTCGTTTGGGAAAGCTGGGATATCAGCTGGCGGCCGCTCGGCAAATAGAGCACTGGCTGGATGGATTTTTGGGCTCGGAAACTTTGGCCAACCATCTTCACCTCTTTCGAACGACTCTGGTCTTGCTTTCTCTTGCCTGGTAACCGCAGAAGAGTGGCCATTTTCAGTCTCGCCGTCCTCAGCGACCTCCTTCTCGTCGTTGTCGAGCTCGACGAGTCGAGTCTTCGGCAGCGGCGTTTGCGTCTTGTTACCGTTTGCAAGATCATACACGCGACGCATGATTTCGTTGGTAATCTCGAATGGCAGGCCAGGAGTGTAATCAAAATTCGATAGGAAGGAAAGGTAATCTCTGAGCGCACGCTTCGCATAGGTCTTCACCTTCTTACGAGCCTCTAATCGAGCTGCCTGAGCCTTCGTATCCACACCGTTCGTCTCACCCTTCGCCTGCGCCTCCTGATACTCTTTGAGACCGTCCAGCGCATCATTCACACCCTGACAGGCGATTGTCAAATACACGCCACCACGATTGAAGTATAACTGCTGCTCCAAGCTCTGCGGCTGATCCTCCTCTTTCAATTGCGGCACGGATCTCCAGTCTTTGGAGCCTTTGCTCCAGGCTTCCTGCTCCTCTCGCATCCTACTCGCCAGCTCCAACTGCTGCGCATTCGGCTTATGCGTCCGCTTGAGTTCTTCCGTTATTCTCAATGCCATCGTCAGATCCGTCGCCGCGCCCTCCCATTGCGACTTGAATATCTGCACCAGAGCTCGAGTCCTTAAAGGCGGTGCTTGCTGCTCCAATGGCAAAGACGAGATGATCTCGTTCAGTGGATCCAGCGGCGTATATTGCTCCATCGCCCTACTGGGTATCTTCTCATGGAAGAAGTGTACATATTTTGCATCAATGTTGCCGGCCTCTCTTTTGAGAACATGCTGAGCTACGTCCTCCACTGTACTCGTTGCCTGCATAGTCGCAACACTCGCCGCCACCTCGTCCAACGTGAAAGCTTTACTGAGCAATTTCACTGCTTTTTGCCGGATTTTGAATATTCTTTCTTTACTCAGTTGACTTGACGGTCCTCCTCCTGCGCCGAAGTAGTCCATGCGTCCGGTCATGGCGGTATTGCTGATTCCTGTCGAGGCACGCACAGAGTCCTGCGCCGCTTCTTCCACAGATTTGCGGATCTCGACGACATCGTAGAAGACTGCTGGGTCAACCAGGCGAGGGGCAGGCATTGTGTAGTTCTGGTGAGCGAGAGAGTCGAGGATTTCGGGTGGTAGTTGAAGCCATGGTCCGTGGAAGGACGAGATATATCGCCAATGTCTGTATAATTCCTCTCAGCTTGCAGTCCATGACTTGCGACAGATCTTCATGCAAGTAGCCGTGGTTTGGGAGCGGGTAGGGCGACCTACGTACTTGTTCCTGCATATTATAAGATTCGAGCCTGGCGGAGGCGGCGCATTAGCTTGCGCATGTTGTGCGCCTTTGTTCTTCACCATTTCTCTCTACCACCTACTGCAGGCCAATAGTCAATCTTTCGGTGTGCTGTTCGGGTCAATCATCAATCCAATCTCGACTTTTCGTGCACCAGCTGCAGGCTAGTGTAGTTTCTGGCCCCACCTCTTGATCGACGGGCATGAACCAACGAGCCGGAGACGTGGGGGGATAGGCCAAGCATTGCTTAACCTCGAGATCAGTCACAGACTCACAATAAGGTCAGGCCAACCACCCAGATCTTGGGAAATACTCTTGTTACGTCTCATCCTGGCGGCGATTTGCTGTGGCATCGACAGTACTTTAGACCTCTGATGAGGTTCTTCCTCGCGTCTGGAAGCCGCACTGGTCGAAGTCAGGATCACACCTGTATGTTCTTCGAGACAACATCTAAATTCACAGCTATCGAACAGTATATACGACAACGAGAACTAAGCCGTGCAAAATCATGGCCACCAAAAATATACAATGCAAGAAGACCTCACTTTCGAAGAACGCGAGCGCCGCCGCGAGTGGAACCGCTCGCCACTGAAGGATCTCTTCCTACGCATCCCGGCCGAATCGCTAGAAATAATACTGAACAAGGCCATCGACAAACCTTTTGCGTATAACCTCTCCGAATCAAAGCTCTGGAACTCGCGTCGACTGACTTCGATCGTCGTGGCGCATGTTCGACACGCTCGTAGTGACTACGACAAGCTGCTAGCCGAGGGCGTAGAAAGGTTCGAGGCTCGCGACCAGACCAAGGATGCGGTATGGAAGGTCTTGAGGGAGTGGTGTCCGTGGGATGACTCGAACCCGTGTCTGGAGAGATGTTGGAAGGCCACGCTGATCAGGCCTGAGGAGCGGGTAGCTGGCGTGTGGGATCCGATGGATATCGATGATGAGTCCGAGTTCGAGGACGATCCTATGGATATTGACTGAAGTCGAAGCCTTCGCGTCCCGGTCTACAAGGACTCGACGCCGTCCGTCGTGGTCACTCCAATGTACGCTGTTGTAATGCGGGCAGAGGGACTCGTGCCCTGCGAACATTCACAGCCAACAGAGATAAATCCAACACTTCAATCGCCTTCCGAAGATTCCTTCTCCTCCTGATCTTCAGACTGCGGATTACATGCCGAATTCTCCTGCTCGTGCTTCTCCGAAATATGGACTGGACTAGCACACCTCTGCTCAGCAGAAGAACTCGCCATGGGCAATGCACCCTCCGTTTGGGCTTTCTTGAGGTTCGATCTGCCCTCATAATTCTTGAGATGCTTCGCAATGCTCTCCGGCGTCGGTTTCGTGTGGACCCAGACCTCATCGTCGGTCTTCGATCTACCACTATCATCGTGCGCGTGGCGCTTGAGCCAGAGTTTCTTGTACAAGGATGGAGATAAGCGGTAGAGGGACTCGTGCTTGATCTTCAGTCGCATAGCTGTGTACTTCTCATTTGGTTTGAGTAGCTGTGCGGATGGTATCCGGGAAAGTGGGCTAGGTTCTTGCTCCAGTATGCCTTCATTCTTGTACGCACGATTCACCTGGGCCAATTCGGCAGGCAGGACGTGCGACAGGAATTCCAGCGATGCGTTGATATTCAGGTCGAGAGCTCGTTGCGGATTGGCGACCATTTTTAGGAAAAGTGAGCAGACATTAGGATATAGAAGCGAGAAGTCCGACTGCGAAACATGGATAGTCCCACGAAGCGTCAACAACCAACTCGGACTCTCATCAGGAGCTTCCTGCGCTTCATCGATTAAGCTGCTCACCAGCTCGAAATTGCTAGGCCAGTAAGTAAATGCTTCGCTATTGATGGCAAGTAGCGGAGTATGGATTCTGTGATGCGGCGCTTCCTTCTCCGGTGGTTTCGTTCCCGCGCCCCAGATGTCGTAAATAATGCCCTGGCCAACGTAGGAGAATCTGTCATCATGGCGAAGGATCTCAGTCACCGTTGCAGCACCAAAGCTATGTCCGCAGGCCGTTACGTCGGTGAGATGAAAGCGATTCTTCCAACGAGACCAGTCCACACCTTCCAGACCGTGCGAGGAACTGGCTTTGTAGCCTTTCTTCCTCAGGTTGAATTCAGCCACTTTCTCACCTTCGCCGCGCGCGATCTGACACATCACTCGGTATGCCTCGTCTAGCTCTGCCATGCGCAGCTCGATCTGTGCACTTCGCAACTCGACATCCACGCCTTTGTCATTAGCTGGAGACGTATCATATGCTAGAAAGGTTAAGAAGACATGTCAGTCGGGTTCAGTGAGGAGGGATAGTGAAATGGGATCGCTCACGGTTATCTTTAGGGAACACATAGTCCATTATCTCGTATTCTCGTTCCTCTTCCTTCTTGGTGATATCGACCTGCCCAGTCCGTCGCCGCTCAGACACAGTTCCCACCTGGTCTGGTGGCGGTCCTTTGGTATGGTTGATGTAACTTCGTGGTCCAGAACCATCACGATGCTCGACGGCGCAAACAACGAAGCCATAGGAGGCAAATTCGCCGCAAACAGACGAGTACATGGTGCGCGTACCTCCCAATCCATGACTGAACATAATGAGTGGGAATGTAGGCATGTCGTCCGCCCCCTCAGGTTTTCTGCCTTCCTCTAGTTTGACGTTGACACCTTCCGTTTTCACATTGACCTCCGGAGCCCAGTGTTTGGCCAATGGCGCATTGCGGTAGGCCGGTAATTTAGTCCAGAAAGTTGGAGCGAAAAGTGGCAGCATATAGTTGCCGATACCAGCAAATTTACCGTACCCTTGGGCGATGCTGACCCGAGGTCTGCCCAACCACAGCTCTCGTGACAGCTTCTCCTTCCGTGCAGCAGCAGAGTTCTTCTCGTCGTGGGAAGCAGGGTAGTAGACGGTCATGAGTACTGTCTCGATTTGAAGAAGATGTTTGCCTTCCCGCTTGATATGTGAGAAGACTCGTGGATTCTCTACCGGAACCTCGATCTCCATGGTGCCGACTGAATATGGGCCAGTATATGTCGGCAGGGACCGCACAGGGAGAAGCCAGCCATCCCGCCAGTCTCGTGGTGGTCTCACCTTCGGCTTTTTGGCGTTAGGGACACTCTCAGTCTTGCCATTTGTCTGAAGAGCTCCGAAACGCATCGTGGTGAGAGTCTTGAGAGTATACTTCTAGTCGATTAAAGAGCTGTAGAATCCATGCTGGAAGGATAATGCTGTCGAGTTGTGATGTATAATGTCTTTGCAGAGCAGAAGCGTTGAATGCTAGCACTCACGCATTGTCGCGTGCTCTAATACCAGATGAAGAACTTGAAGTACAATCAGGGGTTGTATATATCTCTCGGGTATGCGCGGAAGGAAGGCCACGGGAGCCCTCTGTACTTATAATAATAAAGTCTCGAGCGCCACCTACCACTACTAGTTGAGTCCAACCAGATCGCTAGATCCGCGGATGCAAAGGGAAGTATAGTGGTTTTACGCTACGCCAATATGACGTAGCACGTTCAAGCTTCCGAAGATGAGTCTTGGCTTGCTAGGCGTGGGTATAAGCAATACCGCCCTGCAATCTCGCATGCCTGTGGATCAATGGACTCTCTTGCTACGTGTCGGGGTTGTGGATCTAGACAAACGGAGTGAATGTAATGTTGGATCGCTAATTATGAACGTGGTGGCTGTCTTGGCTGGCGGAAGGAGAGTTTGGGAAAGCACAGTTGGGCCCGTGCGTGCTCAAGTCTCGAGTCATGTGCATCAAGCTTAAGCTCCAGAATATACAGCAATATCTCGCTACTGTAGACAACCATCAACTTGCACTGGACCGTCGTGCCGCCGTTGCTGACTGCTAACAACTACACACTACCAGTCCGCCGTATATCATGGCTAACAGTGTGACTCGCAAGGCCTTCCCAGGAGACCCAGACACCTTCAACGACGATGAGCGCATCTCCTTCAGCAAGACCTCCGACACGCACATCCTCGAAGCTGAAGACGGGACAGAGTGGGAATGGCTGGCTCGCGCAGAGAAATGGATACCAGCGGTACGCACTTTCCAGACCCCTGCTATCGCAACATTCGCATATGGCAGGCTCTCTGGCCTGTGTTTAACCTAGCAACGCTCGCCGTCCGCGTGGAATCCTCTGACAAGTACCTCTCGACCAATAGATGAATGAAGATGAGATGGAGCAGCAGAGGCAGATCTACAAGGTAGACGGGGTGGACGAGAACGAGCCGGCGATCGATCTGCGGAAGAGAAAGGCACAGGATGACGAGGTCTGTCACACTGTGCTGCTCGAGCGATCGTTCTGATGTTGATATGAGCAGTAGGGAGGCAAAGGATCGAAGAAGCAGAAGCCAGAGCAGCCTGCCAAGGAACGCAAGAACACCGCCGTCTATGTGACTTCCTTACCCGAGAACGTCGGGACGGAGGAACTTCACGATGTGTTCTCCAAGTATGGCGTGATCGCTGAGAGCCTGGACAGTGACGAACCACGCATCAAGCTTTATTACAACGACGATGGAAAGTTCAAGGGCGAAGCGCTCATCGGTGCGTATGGAGCAGGTTGAAGGGCATGTTAGCCATCCGCTGATATGCATGGCAGTCTACTTCCGCGCCGAATCTGTGAGGCTGGCCATTCAGATGCTGGACGAGTCGGACTTCCGTCTGGGTCAAGCCTTGCCTACAGGTCCCATGCGCGTGCGTGAAGCAGAAGCTAGTTACAAATCGCAGAAGGACCAACCCCTCAAGACGGACCAAGCGAAGACAAAGGGCACGAACGCAAATCGCGATAGGCAGAAAGTGATCAAGAAGACACAAGCGATGAACGAGTGTGTAAAATGTCCAGTCCGTGATCTTGAGTAATATTCTGACCTTCCTACAGCCGACTCGCCGACTGGGACGACGACGACCCTCAAGCTGTCACTGAGACATCCTCACGCTGGGACAAGGTGGTCGTTCTCAAGCACATGTTCACGCTCAAGGAGCTTGCCGAAGATGCTGCAGCCGCTCTCGACATCAAAGAAGACGTCCGCGAAGAATGTGAGAAGTTCGGCCAAGTGACCAATGTCGTCCTTTACGACAAAGAAGAGGAGGGCGTGGTCACCGTTCGCTTCACCGATGCACGTGCGGCTGCTGCATCGATCAATGTATTTGATGGTCGTCTGTTCGACGGCCGCCGCGTCATCGCGTGTGTCGCAGATGGTCGGGAGAAGTTCAAGAAGACGAGCAAGAAAGATGCGGATGAGGACGAGGAGAAGCGGCTGAGGAAGTTTGCTGAGGATGATGAGGATGCTGCGGAGGAGGTCGACCCTTGATCCCAATCTGGATTATGAACACTTCGTGACCGTTGCAGTAGTGGGAGAAGCTTATCATTGCTTTGCTCGGAGCGATGGCTGCATACATGCGCTATAAAAGATGGCGCATGTATACAGAATACAGGAGAGTGTCGAAATGATTGATTGAATATCCTGCAGTCACGAGCCGAGCAACACGTCTGTCAGGTTGATAATTGTACGTCGAAATATAACGGTTCCAAACTGTCAGCAATTCCCGTACCATTGCTCTGGTATCTACCCGAGATTCGAAGTCGCATCGTGCTGATGGTGGGTCCAGCCAAACCCGTGGAGACGTGCATTTGCATTTGCGATAGAACTAGCGCAATACAAATATAAGATCCCTTCGCCGCGGAGATCAAAGAAGTGATGCCGCAACTGATACATCTTCTCACCTTTCCACACTCGTGCATGTGGCTTTCTTGCTATCCTTGGCAACAAGCAAGCAATTGATTGCTTCCCGTCTAGACCTGCACTCCTTGCTTCATCCTTCATCCTTCACGTACGAAATGTACGACGCAAATCCCGCCCCCTTCACTCTCACACGTGCATCTCACTCTGCGCAACCGAAGACAGAATCGCGCAGCCACAAACGGCTGACTGCATGCATTAGCGGCCCAGGCACGTTTCGCTAATAGGTCGGCCCCTTCGGGTATCGTATGCAGGCACACCCCACGTCCTTTTGGCCTTGCCATCGGCTCGGCGCAATCACTTCAAGGCTGCACTACTGGATGCCGTGCTGTCTCCGATACACTTCTTATCACGGCCGGGACGCGTTGGTGCTTACACTTGGCCGATGGGAGTCTAGGATCTGGGTTCCTGCATTGCTCGAGCTACTGCTGCCGATGCGAGGTGACTGATGTGATGCGAAATGTCATAGGGCCGGACATGGGTGAGAGATACGACCATACCTGCGGTCCTGCATCTCGTTGCGGATGCGGGTAGGGTATGTATGGGTCTCCCTTAACTGTACAGGTGCAGAATGGAGATGCAAGTCCACCACCTAATCGCAGTGGCACACTATCGCTAGAACTAGCGCGTCATCTCACATCTTACGAAGTGAGCGATTGCTTCATTGTTCTGGGCTCTCCCTCGTTCATTACGACTCAAGTCTCCCTTTGCTTGCTTGCTACTACCACACCTGTCGTACACTAGACATCCTTCACTGCTTGCCATGGCTTGGTGACCAGCAAACAGCAGCTGACGCCATCACTGTGTGACTTACTTTGGAACATTCGGTACTCAAGCCACTCCGCGACACTCCACCACACTCCACATCCTGGTGGAACGGCCAACTTGGCCCAGACACTTATTATTCTTCGGCATAACGTTCCTCACGCCATTTGCCAACCTCGATTGACTCCTGCAGCCAGAGCATCCGTATTGACATTCTTATCCCCCTTTCCACTGGTTGCGACCTTTGCGGCGGCACTCTTGGCTTTTCATCATGACGCAGCAAATCAACGCCTCTGACAGTACAAACGATCTTACGAATCTTCCTTATGTCCCGTACATTGCGTATAATGGCACAACCCCGACAGGTGGCGACTCGCTCTCACAGAACCTTAACACATTCTACGAAAGCGGCGACATAGCATGGATGCTTGCGTCGACAGCGTTGGTCCTGCTAATGATACCTGGAGTTGGGTGAGTCTGGCCAATGATCCATCAGTCCTTACAACTTTTACTGACAAGTCCACGAGCTTCTTCTACTCAGGTCTCGCTCGACGGAAGTCAGCACTGTCGCTGATATGGCTCTCAATCATGGCCACAGCTGTGACCAGCTTTCAGTGGTTCTTCTGGGGCTATTCGTTGACTTTCTCACATAACTCCGGGAGGTTCATCGGAACATTGGACAACTTTGCTTTCAAGGGTGTGCTCGCGCAGCCTAGCGTTGGCAGTGCGCGGATCCCTGATCTGATGTTCGCTGTATACCAAGGCATGTTCGCGGCTATCACGTAAGTATAACCCAGAGTGAGTTTGAGAGTCGGGACATTCTGACGATCGATCACAGCGTCGCCCTCGCTGTCGGTGCCGTCGCTGAACGTGGTCGCATGGCACCTTGCGTCCTCTTCATGTTCGTCTGGTCGACCGTCGTATACGATCCGATCGCATGCTGGACATGGAACCCTTCCGGCTGGGTATACAGACTTGGTGGTCTTGACTTTGCTGGAGGTACACCAGTCCACATCTCGTCCGGCTCTGCTGCGTTGGCGTACTGCTATGTGTTGGGTAAAAGATCAGGATACGCTACCCAGGCGCTGAACTATCGACCACACAATGTGACGCATATCGTCATTGGGACGGTATTCTTGTGGGTTGGATGGTTCGGCTTCAATGCTGGCTCAGCACTGAGTGCCAATTTGCGAGCGGTCATGGCGGCCGTCGTTACGAACCTGGCAGCATGCGTTGGTGGTATCACTTGGTGTCTCATCGATTACCGCTTGGAAGGAAAGTGGTCGACCGTCGGCTTCTGCTCCGGCATCATTGCGGGCCTCGTGGCCATAACACCTGGATCTGGCTTCGTGCCAGCATGGGCTGCAGTAGTCTATGGTGTCGGTGCTGGTATCGGCTGCAACTTCGCCACACAATTCAAGTACTGGATCCGCGCTGACGATGCCCTGGATATCTTCGCAGTTCACGGCATTGGTGGCTTGATCGGCAATCTGCTTACTGGTCTCTTCGCTGCCGACTACATAGCCCATCTCGATGGCTTTACAGTCATTCAAGGTGGCTGGCTAAATCGCCACTGGATTCAGCTTGCGATCCAACTAGCAGACAGTGCCTCCGGCATGGCCTACTCGTTCTTCGTGTCCTGCATTATTCTGAGCGTTATCTCCTACTCAGGTCGTTTCATTCCTGCACTCCGCTTACGAGCGACTAAGGAGGAAGAAGAAGCTGGTATCGACGATGTCGAAATAGGTGAGTTCGCCTACGACTACGTGGAGCTGGTGCGAGACGTCAAGCCACGGGACCCAGCGCACGACGTCAGCCAGATCTTTGAGGAGGACGGGGACGAAGGGGCAAGTCAGAGGAGTCATAGTCAGGCGACTATGATGAACAATGTAGAAAAAGGGCAGCCTACGGGTACCAGCTACCCACTGCGCGAGCTAAACCACGACGGTACCGATGCTTATGGGCACTACGGGTCTGGCATTGGGACTGCTTCGTGACTCCCTGGGAGGGCCTATACGTACTCGGGTAGTAGTCACGTAAGGTTACCTTCCGAGGAGCAATAGCGAACAGATCCGGCCCCAGGATGACGACACAGGCCATGTGTATGATTATGCAATCTGATGCGTTGAGCAAGGAGTTTTGACAATCACACGGATTTGGTTGGAGGGCACATTGCTTGCTTATGTATATTGATACACTCCGAATTGATCGATATCTCAGATTCCCGAATATGCTCCTGGAAGTGTTGTCAGCACTACCGTATGCTGCATCCCACCCGTCCGAGGAGTCCCAAGATCGAATCGTCATATTCGTAGATGACAGCGAGCTACTCGATTATGTCTTTGTGACATGCTTGCAAGATGTAACCTGTGCATCAGCAAGCTTGCACAACGTTGCGATCATCCCTCGTCCTCGAGTAGCTGAGTCTGTCCTTGAACCTGCGCTCTACGCTCGTGGCAAGTTGGTTCGTTGTCGAGATGCAAATGATAGGCGCAAAAATCAGTCTCCCATGGTGCCCGCTCAGGGCGCCGACTCAGACAACGCTCGAAGAAGATCTTTCGGCTGAGAACACGATCCTGCTTCATGAAATCTAGTATGCGATCCGTAGCCTCGTCTTGGTCAAGCTCACTATGGAGCAGCCAGTCAACGATGAAACGGCGGCCAGGAGATCCCACAGCGAAGGTATCGAGAAGTAAGTGATAGACGTCGCCTGAATTGGTATCATCCGTGATGTTTCCGTCCGAGAGAAGACCATCTGTGGTTACATACTCAACCAATCGATCCATGACCATATCGAGGAAGTCTGAGGTGATCTCCAGATCCCAGCCAGTACGATAGGATTTACAGAGCATGTCGATGTCGTGCATGGTATTCTTGCAACTACCTTCCCAGTCGAATGAGCCGTCAACCAGCCACTGTTTGACGAGATTGAAGCCGTCTCCGGTGATCTCGCAGTCATTCAGATTGACGTACGGTTGAATGAGTAGGTCTGGATTGAATTCTAGCTCTCTCCGAAGTCTGGCGGAGGCGTCTGTGAGCAGTCGAGTATTGATCTTCTAGTGAGTGCCGTCCGCGCATTCGATTTGCAGAATCCGGGAGCTAAGTAACGCATGAGCTTGTGAACGGGTGGGTACCACGTCGTCTGATCATACCTTGGATCTTGCCATGCAGCGTCCATTCTTGAAGTACTCTTCTCTGTGTTATGTGTAGTGATTGCGAGGGGGAAACAGCTAGGAAGGGTAGATCGAAGATGAGTTTGATTGAGTAAGGTAATATGATGAGGGAGTGATCGATGAGACCTAGCACTGATGGACAACACTAGCTTACTGATACATTCACGGCCGCAGGGGAAGATTCATGGCTTTACTGACTGAGAGCAGATACATTGTACCAGAAGTTCTGACGGTCACACCCACATTGCGAGGCGCCTCTTTCAAGACTCCTGGGAATGTGAATACGGACGATACTGTGGAGCGAAAGCGTAGCCGTCCGGAAGAAGGAGAGTCAAGCTCGTGATATTACGATCGTGTCAAGCTGTCTGATCTTGTGAAAGCCGAAGTCATTGGTACTGTGAAGCATTTCTGCCAACGGACATGCTACACACGTGGGAGAAGCGCGCCTGCCCCTTGTGGCGACGAGGTCGGGGCGCGCGCTAGCGGCGAGCTCAACCCATGCACTTTCTATATCACATCCTGCCCTTCAAGGTCAGACGTTACTAACACATCGCGACCCAACTGCTCTACAGCAAAGTAAGCTCGTCAAAATGTCGAACCAAGCACCTTATTACGGCATGCCGCCATCCGACAGTGACACACCTTCTCAAGACCGTGGCATCTTCAATTCTGAGGCTTCCAAACATCAGTCCCATCATTATTTGAGAATGTACGGTGGCCAGGTGATGAATGCTGCTATGTTCGGCTTCGTAAGTACAGCTTGAGGCAAAGCTATGGCTAGAGGCAAGCACCGACAGATCCAGATGCTTGCTTCCAGCCATATCGGATGCTTGCGGTGTTTTTAGAGCAGCAGACTGACCAGACTTAGGGCTCAGCACTGGGTGCAGATGCTGCAAATGCTGTGTTCGGTGAAGCAAAGGTATGATCGATGATTCCAGCAAGCTGTTGCAAAGCACTATGACTGATGATCCGGTTAGGAATGGTGGCGGCACTGATTCAGCAAAACGAATTACGACTACGAACCGACAACGAGGAACGACTGGCAGAGGAGTCTTTCGAAGCAGTTTGACATGGCTACTGAGAGCATTAGACACCTCACAGCAGCCACTATAGACCATTCACTTGGTAGTAATCGATCAAAATTCGAGAGGCCTTCACATAGATCCATGAACCTATGAACACCAGTCCGACCCATGCTGTATTCACTGCTCGGATCGAGAATTGATTAACGAGAATGCAGGTGCTCTTCATGTGACAACGGCTGCGCTTTCCAAACTCAAAGAGGAAAGCACGCGTGTGGGCCGCGCTACATAAGTGGGTCCCAAGGCACTCGTTCAAGAATGTCCACTACGCCACCTTTGCGATCCAGGAATCATATGTCGAAGCAAACTTCCACGCACAACAGAGTGAAGACGGCAGAGATCGCCACATAACGCTCCCGACACATCCGACGATATGGCGCCGATGACAACCCTGTTGTCGCAATACCAGCTTCTGCTCATGCTCTGCGACACTCTCTCCACAGCCGATATCCTCAGTCTTGGCGCTACGTCCAACGAGAATCACGTATACATACACGGCAGCAAGGTCACTTTCGATAGGCTCATCTCGACGACACACTGTAGCGGCAGAGGCATTGTAGCGCAAGCTCGGGTATTCGGCGAGTGGCGAGGTGATGCCGCGAACGCTACCGTGAGCTGTTTGGGACATGATGCTCGTTCATGTAGCGAGTGCGGTGTTCGTGTCTGTGATGTAAGCTACTGCTTCCACCCCTGCTTCCAGGCAAACACGCTGACCACAAACAGAACTGCCGTTTCCACTTTCGATTCGACATCCCAGACGAGGAGGAAAGGCGGGAGGAGGAAGAGGCAATCTCATACCTCGACTCAAACCACCCAGACGAGGCGCTCCCCTTCCGTGATCATTCTGTGAACCAGCAGCGCGCTCGAGAACTATTCTGGGCTGTCGGCGACGGACATGTTTGCCAAAACTGTGCGCCTCTAATCAATTCGAACTACGATGGTGCGGATCTCTGCACGTGTGACTTCTACGAACACTTCATTGGCTCGCGCTGGCTATGTATCTCATGCTTCCAGCGAGAAGAAGCAAAAGCTTTCTCCTCGCTAAGCGTGACGAGCGAACACAGGCCAGAGGAGCCTGCAGGTCGATATATTACGGTATGTCTGTCACGGGCTATGCCAGCGCACCGTGGCTGACTGGACTGTAGAGTACGCGCTGTTTCTGCGGCTGGAATCCCACGGACACCATCCTGCAAATCTGCAGAACTTGTGAGGGAGCGCGGTCATGGCACGGGGGCTGGGCGAATAATCTTCTGCTGCCCAGGATCCGTTTCCAACTTGGGGGCTCAAGCTGGAGTGGCGACGGGCCCGAAGGCATCCAGTGATGCAGATACGTGCCAGGAATGGCACCTCACAGGGTGCAATGTAGACCACGGCGTGAGCACGAAGCCAGACATCAAACCACGCACGGGGTACAGAAGACTTCGTCAGCATGAAGTATGATATAAGGAGGTTTCGCTAGAACGTTACTCATCACCCGTATCTCGGAAACGTAAAAGCAAAGCAAAGCTACCACTTTCAGATATGCAGGTAGCGTATGCGGTATCAGATGCAAGAAAGAAAACACCCTTTTCCTTGTCAAGCCCAGCTAACCAGGCCCGCCCACACTCAACGCCGTCCCTCCACCCTCTCCATTAGTCAATTTATCATGATTTCGCCTCCTCGACGCTTTCCGACTCGCTGCTACATCAGGTAAATGCGCTGGTTGCCCATTCTGTGCCACGCCATCTGGAGGGTCACCTTCGCCATTAACGCCCATGTCCTCGTCTTCCACCTCGCCCCCATCTTCTTCCACGTTCTCGTCCGCCATCTCCGAGTCGCCTAGATTTGCTGCCGTCGCAGCTTCCTTTTGTGTGTTGTTTGGATTGGCTTCTAATGCCTGCTGTTGTCCTTCGGTCCATAACCGGCATTCGTCCAGCTCGTTGACATCTACAGGCCGACTTCGTAACCATTTCATCCTTGGACCTGTCTTCGCTATCTCCGAGACCCGGAAACCATATATTCGTGGTTCGTAGATAGAGCCTGGTCCCAGTCCCGGAGCAAGATTCTTTGGTGCTACACCGTTGATACTCTCTGGTTGTTGTGCTATCGCGGCCAGTGTGGCGCTCGAACTGGTAGCTGTAGGAGGTGCTTGCGCTTGTGAAGTCAGCGAGGACGAAAGCGAGGACCTAGAGTCCTTATTCGCCACGGGATTCGCATCTTCTCGTAGCGGACCCAGTGTTGACTTCGGCCCACCGACTTCCAGCTCCGGGAAGGTCATGAAGAATAGGCATCCGAACGTTGTGCCAAAGAATGCCCCATCCACAGTCTGAAATCGGCTATTTGGCGGACTGTACACATCCAGACAACTCGGACAGAACAGCTTCACCGTCTCCTGCCCCGGAATGTCCGATAGTCCCACCGGTAGCACTTTCGCACCACTACAGTACACCCTCGGACAATGCCCAAAATGCCCCAACTCATACTTCTCCGCCATCTGCTGGATACCCGGCCGACTGGTAATAAAGCGCTGATGTATAAGCCCGTACAGCATCTCCGCCGAACTCTCAATTACACTCAGATCACTCGCCATCCTCAAATGCCGTCGTTCCGCCGCATCAGCCGCACGTCTGTAACTCCTACCCTCGGCATCATTCTGCATATCATCGTCGTCCTCGTCATCATCGTCTTCCTCCTCGTCCTCCTCTTCACTCGCATCCTCAGGTTCCACATCAAGTATCATTTCCAGCGCCTCTTTATACATCGACACCTGACTCTGGAGTCCCGTGAGGTTGAAATCATCCTCGATAAAATCTTCGCTGACTTCGGCGAAATATTCGTGACCTACGAGGCTGCAGAAGGCGCTGATCCAGCTCTCGGGGGCCTGGGAGGAGGAACTCATTTCGCTCAGCGCGACCTCTTCGTCCAGGGTGCAGGCTTTGGCGAAGGCGGCTGAGAGGCTGTTGGCGCGATTGCGCACGGAGGGTTGTTCGGGGTTGTGGGTGCTGTCGTGTCTGTTGGCGTCACCGCCGCCGTCTCCTCCAGGGTCTAGGAAGGCTTCCCGTAGTTCGTCGTCGTGTATACGTGCTGCTTCGGCGTGCGGAGCCAGCGTGCCTTCTAGACTGGGTTGTGTATGGATCCAAGTATCTTTGTCCGCGATAGTGTCCGTCCTCGTCGCCTGACTCGTGCTTTCCCTTTGTACACTCCGGGGCTGTGAAGCTTATCTGATCGTACGCTTCTCGGTCTAGAGGTGAATGGCCAGTCGCGCCGCCCACCAGGCAATCATATATGCTGCTGCCGGCGAAATCTAGTGTTGGTACGTGGTGGTGTTATCGGAACACGTGAAATGGTATATTGGTCTGTGGTTGCAGCACTGTTTCTCACATGTCTGCGGGAAGTGGGGTGCGTGGGACTGAGGCAAGCTGCCGAGCGCCAATATACGTGATCAGGATTCAAGGCTACCAGATGACAAACAAGCTTTGAAACAGCATCCTGATTCATCACATGCGTACACTGTATAGCTGGTCTGTACTGCTCCTACACACTAAAACAACTCCTTCAAGATATTGGACAACCCCTCCTCACCACCCTGCCCAAACTGCCCACTCATATTCTCCACCCCACTAACAGGCACATACCCTCCCTCGCTAACCTGGACACCACTCTCACCCAATTGCTGTAAACCTCCCGCCGCCTCGAATAGACTCGTTAGTTCATTCGCCATATTATCCGGGCTCACGCTCGTCCCCGACCAAGGCTGCGACAGCCCATTGAATAGTGCGGCCTCGTCTACATTGTGACCCGCCAGTCCAGCCATAGCAACAGCGGCGGATCGACTGGGATCGAGCTCTTCTTCTTTCGTGCCGTGCTGAGGAGCTCCCGGGATGGATGCGTCTGTGATGGGTAGACCGAGTTTTGGTCCGACTTCCTTGAGCACGCGAATGGTCTTCCACAAGCGCTTCCCGATCCACGACCCTTTGCTGAAACCTCGCACGAGATCAAGTGCCATGTAGAACTCTTCCCGTACATTGTCGGCGAAGACAGCAGGTGTATGGCTGACAGCAAGAAACAGGACGGCGAGAGCCGAGGTGAGGAAGGCGTTGAAGAGGACCTGCTGGGTGCGGTAGAGGTCAGAGGTCTGATTGATGTGTGTCAGGACCCTGATGGTGTCTTTGGCAACATCGATGACGGTCTGAGCTTGTTCGCGGTGCTGAATGATGGAAGTGGCGGAGTGCAGGACTGGTCGGTAGATCAAGATGCGCATCTGGTTTGCGCGGAGGTACAGGAGGATGCGTAAGCGATTGCCTGCCCTAGACGGTGCCGGTCCGATCGGGGTTGAGAGACGACCAGATTGTGCCGGGTGCTCGAAGCGGAGTTGTGGTGGGATCTGGCGGTGCCATTGGATGACTTGGTAGTCGAGGTAGTTCATCTCCTCTGTATTGATTGTTTGACCGCTGCTTGGGCTGGGCGTTGTGGCAACAGTCCGCCACACTTTGCTGCCGATGGTGCAATACTGGATCATGGCAGTCAGATAAGGTGACGACTCTTCAGGCTTCGGCAGAAGTGGGTCGATATCTGCATCTTGCAAAGCGAACGGCATGCCAGTGCCGAAGCTCCAGCGTCGATCGAGAACAAAGATAGCCCAAAACAGTAGCAGCGTCTCTTGGCGCTCACCCTCATCGGTCATGATCTCGTACGTCTCACGCCTGTGCAAACCAAGCTCAATGCACAGTCGCGCGGTGAGGCCAATGATTCGCCAGGACGTGCCTTCGTTGTCGCGGTGGAACTCGTACATCGCCTGCTTTTGTTAGTGGTTGTCGAGACTGTAGTGGCGGGCTACACATACCGTCATGACCAACAGTCGAATACCCTTCACACCCACATTACCCAGCAGCAGATTATCAATAGCAGGCTGAACATACTCGAACAGCCTCCGACCCAGATCACTGCGTCCAGAAGCCTCAACAGTCATAGCCACAGCCATGACCATCTTCAAGATGTTCGTGTCCTCATCCTCAATCGCATCACCGCCTGGGAAGCCCTGCTGCATCAACCCAGTCCGATGCGCAGCCTCCATGAATCGATAAAGCTTAGTGGCATAGGCCATAACCTTCTGAATATCCAACACCGGATACATCAACCCCATCTCATCCTCATACACCTGACACAACCTCATCGCTTCTTCTTGCGTGGTCTTCCAGATAGGATCCTTGTCAGCATTCCAGTGATCGAGAACTTGACGTGGAGGTGACCCACTGGGTGTTGGATTCGCGTCGCCCGTGGCATCCCCACTGCCTTCTTCTACACCGCTGATGCCCATTGTCTGGAGGCTGCTCTTAGCAACGTCAAAGTTGAACTCTGCGCTAGTTGGGCCACGGAAGGAGGGCTGTTGGGATTGCGACTGGCTTCTGTGTCTGTTGGCGCCAGGAGACATGTTGGCGATGGGTGCACCGGGCGATGCTTTTTGGCCCTGGAAGGCAGACCTGGGTGGCTGATAGTAGGACTGCAGAGACGGATCAATAGCTGCATTGTACTGCTGTTGTTGCTGCTGGTGCTGCTGGTGAGGAGGTGCTGGCTGAGCGACGGGCGCAGGTGGAGGAGGCGGATGCTGCATCGGCGGCGGCGGACCTTGACCCAACTGTGTGCGAAGATGACTCAAATCATGATACAACATATTGACCTGCTCTTGCAACGACTCAATCTGCCCCGCCATCTCCCTGTATTCCTGCGTATCCTTGAAGCCATTACAGCAATTCGGCGCATACACGCACTCCAGACTCAAGTTCCCACAGCGTTGACACGGATTCTGCCCATTACACTTGATCTTGCGTCTCTTGCACTCATTGCACGCGATGGAGATGTACCGGTTGCGCTTGGCGCGTTGTTGAGGTTGTCCATCGTCGGCTTTTCGCTTGCCGTTGCTGCCATCGTCGGATTGCGGTGCGGGTGGGTGGAGCTCAGCCTGAAGAATCTGTGGCAGTGAGCTGCTGTCCAAGCCCGCGTAGGGCTGGTATGAATTGTCCATGCTGTTTCGCGACCACAGCGATGGAGGAGTATGTTCCGCGATGCGGAAGTGGTGCGCAAAGATGCTGTCGGGAGGAGCCGGGTTTCGTGCGGCTGGCAGGATCGCGAGGGTGTCGTTCACGAGACTATCACCCATGATGAGTGTAGCACATCACTAACTTATACGCCGAGATCTGCAAGGGAGATTGATGCTTGTATCGAAATGTATAGACATGAAAGCCTTGTGTAATTCAGCACAGGTGTCAATCCTGCAGTGAGAAGCCTGCCTAACATACACGTTCACTCCATCTATGGCTCTAAACAGATCGAGTCTCTCGATATCGAGCTTGTGTACATGCGGCAATCTTGTCTGCGCGTGAACGTGATAGTACGAAGGGTGATGCCTAGTCCCGACTGGTAATGGACAAGCAAAAGATCTCCAAAGCAAGCATAAAGCCTACTTTACAAAATCGTGAAAGGACCATGTAGCACCGGTCATACACACGAATGGGAGATAAGTCAAAAGACCAAAAGAAGAAGAACTTCTTTGGGGGATCTGATACCGGCTATCACGGTCACTGCTTCGCAGTAGGCTCTGGAATTCCCCACCAGATTGTATTTCTCGAAACGAACCTTTGTAAGGGCAAGGAAACTCGAGGTTTCACTTGATTACACTCTGTTTGTAGGCGATTGAGCGTGGCGAAATTGATTCATCGGTCGGTCGAAGGGAGTTGGCGAATTACCCGTGTACTGTAATATCGCCAGCCTGGGTAGTGGGTTGTTTGTCATTCGAACTCTGTTTGTAGGCGACTTGAGATTTTTGCCGCCGTGGTGTGTCGAAGTCGAAGGGAAGCCCGTGTACTGTAATATCGCCAGCCTGGGTTTGTCGCGCCTCCTTGTGGAGGGAAATAGAACTGGCGGACTCGAACTCACTTTTTCCAGCGTTTGTCGCCCATTACGGGGAAACAGTGATGCTGGTGCCCATACCCATGGACCTCAGTTCTGGAAGCACGAATTGTTTCTAGTCTTGATATGTGTTGAATTTGGCGCCGGGGTTGTGCCGCATTTGGGCTTCGGCCTGGGTGTGCACAGCGGTCACTGGTAGGTTTTGAGCGCTCGTGGTCGCAGGCGGGATTACGTGAGGCCTCTCCGTCCAAGGTCGTCGCATGCTCAACACGTCGACCAATACGAGCATCTGTGTACCATCGACCAGTTCTGAGCGTAGGCTGCTGAAGCAATCATGAAGATGCTCCTCGGCATATCCTTCAGCTTGCCAGAAAGACTGCCTTCCACCTCCGACTTCTCAAGCAGCACCAGCACCCGCCTGGCCACCCTGCTGCCCGGCTAACACCTTTTGCCTCAACACCTCCTCAACCACTCTCAGATTATTCGCCTTCCCATTGACAATGTTCTCCAGATCCTTCACATTCTTGCCCAGCTCCTCGATCTTGGCATGGTAGAACTTCAACGCATCCTCTGTCGTCTTCTCTACATAGAAGCCAGTGCCTACGTCCACTAGAACGTGCTCTGTATCTGCGAGCTTGCCAGGGACGTAAAGGGAGGATGTCAGCGGTACGAGGAGAGGTTTGTCTGATGCCATATCAGTCTTCAAGCCTGGTCATGGACATGTCTGTTCGTTCATACCTTGGACACTCTCAGCAACACCCTTCTTGATGCTCACAACACAATCGCGGAACTTCTGCTGAGCTATCCGCAGATTCTGGTAACTGTTTGTGAGAGTTTCGACTTCTCCATCAAGCTGCTTTTTCACTTGTGTGAGTTGTTGGGTGGAAAGACTGCCCAAGTCGACTGCACCATGTCAGTGGATGACATGCGACCAGTATACGACGTTGGACACGCACTTTGCTGTCCTTTCTCGGCCATTTTGCGGAATGTAGATCAAGATGTGTGGAAGTGTAGACACAGACGGGATCGATTGAAGCCAAGCTTTACAACTTCACCTAATCGGAGATTTAACTACAGGACGACCACACTGCACACAGCGTACCGCACGACAACATGATAACGAGTTACGAGGCTACGGCATCCAGCGTTCATTAATTGACACTGCACTCTTGTCAATATCGATAGACCTAGACGGTGAGAAAGCGAAGTGAGGTGGGCTCCTTCGAGGCGATGCCGGCTGTATACGGATCAGGCTAGCAATAACGAACAGACCTCGATGCCTGAGATGATCGAGCACGGCGATCATTGCCCAGGACAACGATATGCGACTACATCTCATGATGTATCTGTCGCAAAGCTGAACTTCATGCTACAGGGTCACATACTACTGTTATCGCCCGCTCGTCACCAGACCACGATAACTTCACACGACTCGTCGGCCATTCCGATTCTACGCGCAGCACACGGGACACCGCAGTCACCTGCGCTTCCAACCAATGTGAACTTACCGGCCGCAAGACCGTGCTGGCCAATGGTAAATGGTGCTTACGGCGACGTGGAGACAAACAGGCCTGCGGATACGATCAATGGTAGGGCGCAATGAAATGGCGCATCCTTCGTCTGAGGCGCAGGCCAAGCAGCTGTGGGTTTCCTGCAGGCGCTCGTCTCGTTTCGGAATTCGGTGTTCGACGTGCAGGTTAGACGATGCAGAGCGGCCTCAATTGCCTTTGCTTGGCGCGGTTCTGTGATTTGGGCAAACTGTTCACGATATCGTAGGAAAGCGATTGTTACTCAAAAGCGCACACAGTATCTGTACGATGGTAGTGAGGACTTTTGCGATCTTGTAGACACGAATAGTGAAAGAGAAACGCGACATCAGGTCCTCGAAAGTGAGCTTCTTGACCGGAACCACCCCACAAGATCTGTGCCGTGCATGTGAATGTAACCACTTCCCGCTAAGCGTGATTATGGCCTCTGACTCACCGGGAGCTTCCGCCGTGCGAAATCAGAATTGATAAGCCGTCAGGCTCCCACCTTCTCCGCTTCCTTTCTCAAACCCATCCACATTGACGAACACACACCAAACAACATTAGAGACAACCACAAGATGGCTGCCTCTAACTAAGCTGAAGTCGCCCATCATACCCACCCACATATTACCGTCCACTCAACTTTTCGAGCTTCCGCTTGCGGATCCTCAAGTGCACCGTCTTCAAGACACCGCTCTCGCGATCACCCCCCAGTCGTTCACCACGGCTTCACAACAGCAGACATGGCTTCCACCACCAACGTCAGCAGGGCACCCGCCTCAACCAGCATTCACCGACTTCAGTCTCTTTTCAGCACCGCCCCCAGCACCGACCCAGGCACACCAGGCGACTCCCCGTCGGGCTCCCTCGCTCGATCCGACGCTGCAAGCTTCGTTTAACAGCCTCGAGACAGGCGCATACATTGCGCAAGGCAACAACTACAACCACTCAGCTCAAACGAACTCCAACTACACCATTCAGCGTATCACCAACCGGCCCGCACGCCCACCTGTGCCACTGTTCCACTCCAACTCGACCGGCAGCTTAGCATCCCAACCAGATTTCCCACTGTTCGATAACAACGACATCACTATGGGTGGCGGAGGTAATTCTATTCACCCGTCTCCACGTATGGAAATGCATCTAACATGCTCGCCAGTAAATGTTGCCTACGAAGGCACCTTCGGTGACCTTAGCGCAGGCAACAACATGTTCACTGGCGCTGGCGGATTCAACTTCGATGACTATGTCGAAGTCGGCAACCACGACACCATGCCTGCGGCTGACTTCACGGCCATCAACCATGGCACCATCTCGCCAAAGGATGTGTTTAACGACTCTGTCCCACCATCTACTACTTTCACAAACCTGACTACACCCCAGTCGGGGTTTCTGGACACGCCGGATGATGACTATGAGACCTCTCCCCTCTTCACAGACAGCTTGGGCGTCGACAACAGCGCACAGTGGCCATCGCTCTTCCCTGAGTATGACCCTGCCGCTATGGCTGGCGCACCACTCATGACCCGTAACTCCTCGTCAACCTCAACCAACCAGATCGTCGTCCACCCAGGCGGCGAATCCTTCTCTCGCAAGCGCAGCTCGACTCAAGCCTCCCCGGTATCTTTCTCTCCTGCCTTGAAGCACTCGGCTGTAGCTGGTGTTGCCGCGCGCAAGCGTGACAAGCCTCTACCACCGATCATGGCCAGCGAGGATGACCCTGTCGCCTTGAAGCGTGCTCGTAACACTGCCGCCGCTCGTAAATCGCGAGCGAAGAAAGTGCTTGAGCGTGATGATCTGGAGGCGGAGATTGCGGACTTGCAAGCGCAGGTTGCTTTCTGGAAGGCTCAGGCTCTGGGTTCGGATAACGTCACCGACTCCCAGTAGATCTGTGCATTGATGGACTTGAGTGTTGCTGGAGGTTCGTGGTACTGAAGAAAAGAAGACTTGAAGAAGATGAATGCTTGATTTTTTGACGATGCTTGGTGGTGGAAGAAAAAGCTTTCCTATTGCGTTGATTTTTTGATGAGCGACATTGTTGTCGCTGCTCACGGCTTTCTTTGACGCTGCTGCTTATGGCTTCGAGGTAGGCTCGCCTCGTTGCCGCACACACGGCCGGTTCTGATGTCTCCTGCTCACTAGCTTGGCGCTGGTCGGCTGTTGATTGACTCGTGGCCTTGCTTTTTACTGCTGCGTTCTGCTCTAGTTGTACCTTAGGTACCAAAAGTCATTTCATACACACTGCCTCTTCTGAATGTGCCTGTCTACTGCTTTGTCACATGGTCGCCGCTGCTGTGCATTACGCATACCTTTCAACGCTGCTGTGCTAGCTCCTCGTCATCCTCGACTTCTCAGCTTAGCGGCACAGGCGTACATACCAGAGTCGGAGCACAAGGATGACAGTGCTGAGGAATATTTCACCAATTTGCCGTATATACTTTTGCTTGCTCTGCAGTCCTGGTTGGGGTAGACCTGAGCACTACATCGTATTACTATACAAGACTCTGGGCTGCTCTCCGTCCGCCATGTAGAGCACTACCACGGACAACCAATGGCCTTGAAATGCTCGCTGTCGTTTCACAGCCGAGTCAGTCCGTAATGTTACAAAGACCTCCGATGGTCTTGCCAATGCTTTAGCGTGACGCCGTCGATAACACCTTCGGTCTTGTTGCCCTTGCCATCTCCGCCTGATATGATCGGACATTTCCTACTTCGAGACTCTGCTCAAGACTTCAAATTGCTGTCGCGGTCGTTCCACTTTCACCTCACGAGTGTAGCCGTGCGGAGTGCGAAGCACTGGCACCATTTCATCATCGCCGCGATGCCCCACCTTATGTATCGACACTTCGATACATGATGCTCAATCATCCCAGACAGCCTGCTTCGCTCTCACAGCCTCGCTTTTCTTCCTTTCCTCCTCAGCCTTCGCCTGATCACGCTTCTTCTTCTCCTGCATCTTCATAGCTTGATCGTACTCCCTTTGCTCCTTCGTTCGTCTCGGTGCCTTCTGGCCGATACCTGCGGCTATCAACCTCGAAGCCACAGCGGTAGACTTCTCCGGTCTCCGCTCATCCTCGTCCGCCGTTCGGGCTCCCCGAGCGGGTGCAGCACTTTCTGCATCACCATATGCTTGAAAGCCGTAGGGCGGGAAGGTCTGGTATGGAGCTCCCAGGGCTGTCTTGCCCGAGCTGAAGGATGGCGAGGAGGGCGTAGGCGGCGGTGCACCAGGGTAGTCAGACGAGCTTGTCGGTCTTACGGGAGTAGCATTGCCAGAATCGTCTTCATCTGTGTCAGAGTCCTCTTCGGCATCCCACGAGTCTGCTGGTTCCTCTTGCTTGGACTTCGAGGAGATATCCAGCTTCTTCAAGGAGGTGGAGATGGTCTTTGCTGAGGTAGGCGCCATTTCAATAGTAGCGCGCCACCGTCTCTCTCGTCAGACACTCTGTCTCAAGACGTCGCCGTCGTAGCTTCGTCATTTCGAGGCCTCGATTCCGCCTCGGGATCTCCACCAAGGTTGTGGGGAAACCTTGATGAGGGTCCAAGCTGTTGGTCGAAGTGAAGTTCAGCCACCTGTACGTCACCAAAGAGAGCTCCATTTCCTTCTCAACAACATTAACGAGAGATGGGATGTTGTCAAATCACAGTCACGGGCGCAGTGACTGTAGCCATGAGCCCTATGGCCATGCGCAGAACATCTTTACGTGCCCAGCATCCCTGCTCACAGGCCCCGATGTTCGGAGAGAGGACGCAAGCGTCCATTTGAGTTATTCCCGGCATGGGCTCAAGAAGCACGACCACTTCGTGTATTTGGCATTGTTATCATAAATCTGCTTGATGTAGTCTATCGTCTCGTCCATGGTCCATTGTATTCAATAGACACTACTTCTCCCTGCACATAGCCTACAATGGTGGCCCTGCGAGCTAGCCAAGCATCCTTGATCCCATCCACAAGCAAGCACATCTCAAGAACGGCCAGACGAACATTTTCAAGCTCGATAGCCAGGAAATCATATGAAGACACAGTACAGAACCTCCGCATTGGCAAGCACACTCGAGTGATCTACCAAGGCTTCACTGGTCGTGTGGCGACAGGCAATGCCAAAGACAGTATTGCATATGGCACCAATATAGTCGGAGGCGTGACGCCTGGCAAAGAGGGCGAGCATCTTGGTCTTCCACTTCTGCCAAATCTACGGAAAGCAAAAGAGCAGCTCAAGCCTGATGCTACGGCTGTTTTCGTGGCCGCACCGCAATGCGGTAAGGCTATTGAGGAGGCCATTGAGGCCGAGATACCGTTGATCGTTAGTGTTGCGGAGCATATTCCACTGCACGATATTATGAGGGTAACGTATACCACTATAGATGACAATGGTATGATGCTGATACTCCGCAGGTGGCAAGTATACTGAAGACACAATCCAAGTCTCGACTCGTGGGAGCCAATGCGCCGGGGATTATAGCACCCATTGGCTACTGCCGCATTGGCTTCCAACCACTTCCTACTTTCGCTCCTGGTCACATCGGCATCGTTGCCAAGTCGGGAACCTTGTCGTACGAAACCGTAGCATCGATCTCTCGCTCTGGCTTGGGCCAAAGTTTGTGCATAGGTATGGGCGGCGACATCATTGCAGGCACGAACATGGTAGACGCGTTGAAGGTCTTTGAGCACGATCCAGAGACGGAGGGTATCGTGATTGTGGGAGAGGTTGGTGGTCGAGCTGAGGAAGATGCTGCGGAGTGGATCAAGGACTACCTCAAGCGAACTTCCAAGCCAAAGCCGATCGTCGCGCTTGTTGGTGGATTGCATGCGCCTACTGGCAGAATCATGGGTCATGCTGGTGCGTGGGCAGCAGGTGGTGAGAGGTTGGCGAAGGAGAAATACAGTGTTCTGCAAGAGGCTGGAGCGACCATGGTCGACCATCCCGAGAACTTTGGTGGCGTCATGAAGACACTTTTGAGCCAGAGCGGACGTGACGTGAGCAAGATCTTGTCCAACGCCCAGAGTCAACAGAAGCGTGGCTACCATACCTTGCGGAGACGGCCATCGCCTGTTCCTCGCAGAGCAGTACCTCAACAGCAGCAACGTGGCTTGCTCCTCGGCAAAGACCAAGCTAAGGGCCCTCTAGAACCATACCTCAGCCAAGTAGATGGCGTAGCCTTATCGAGCGATGCAGCACCCAAGGATGCTCACTACCTTGCCATCACCGTCGACCGGACAGAACGCTCGCCTTGCATAGCAACTTCACCAACAGCAGACGAGTCTCAGCTTGGTCAAAGGGTACGCCGTTTCCCTTACGACTGGCGGCAAGGCCCCAGCGATGCAACAATCAAGCAAGCACTCGAGCACATGCAACTAGATGCCGCTCCGCCAGCCGCCATGGCGCAAGCCAGCGCATTAATACAAGCTCTGAGCAAGATGTACAAGGCGAAGGAGGCTGTGACACTTTCTGGTTCAGTCAGTATTGACAAGAATGGCAACCTCAGACTCCATGAGCCGAGCTTAGTGCTGCAGTTCGACGACGCAGCATATCGGAGCAATAAGCGCCAGGAAGATATCCACAGCCTACGAAGAAGAGAGAACGAGGTACCAGAGGAAGTCGAAGCAGAGAAGGACGGCATCGTATTTATCAAGCTCGAAGACCCAGAGGCTAGCATTGGTACCCTGGTAAATGGTGCTGGGTTGGCCATGAACACCGTCGACGCGCTCCGGCTACATGGCGGCAAGGCAACAAACTTCCTCGATACTGGCGGCAAAGCCACAAGCGAGACCGTGAAGAAGTCCTTTGAGCTCATCCTTCGCGACCCAAGAGTCAAAGTCATCTTTGTCAACATCTTCGGTGGCTTGACAGACGGCGGCATGATTGCGGAAGGTATCCTGCTGGCGTTTAAGGAGGTGGATATGAAGAATGTACCTGTGATTGTGAGGATACGAGGTACGAACGAGGAGAAGGGGCAGAAGATCATTGCTGACTCTGGATTGAGCTTGGAAGCCTTTGATGGTTTTGCAGAGGCCGCGAAGAGGGTGGTCGAGATCGCAAACAAGTGATCGCAGGCTAGGACCAGACTTCTTGTACATATTCTTGTTTATATAGATGGATTTGGCGAGGTGTTCTGGCTGTAAAGCATGTAACTTGAATCATCTTGAGAGGCAGCTATGTAGCTCGCTGGTGTTGTGCAAATTTATCCGCTTCTCATGAATGCCCAGCTAAATGAGTACCGTGATGTCGCCCGAGAGCGGACCATCCACACCATACGCCAGTTCCCATGAAAACATGATTCGCATGCTCAGAGAGCTCACGCATGGCTACTAAGCTGCTTCGTCGAGGTCACATGCCATTCGTTGTTCATCGTGAAGTTTCTGGTAAAGCGAGCTTAGCAGGCCCCGCCAATCTGCTCCTGGTGCACCTCGAGGGTGTCGCCATCTGCCATGTCGAGCTACATTTGAAGTTAGTACCCTGTTTCTGGTCGGATCTTTCGGCATGTGCGTAGATGACTCACGGTCTCCGGGTTATCCGTGGGATTTACTCGTGTCCCATCGAACAGGAAGCGACAGCTCCGAATGTCCTTGCCTTGACGCTCACAGAAGGCATCCATGAGCTTCTTCAGCTGTGTTGTGCGCTTGATCTTGAAGAAGACTTCATTGTTGTTATCGGTGACCTTGATGTTGAGATGTTCCGATTGCTGTGGCTCCTCAGGCTTCTCGCCAGTTGGTGAAGGGGACTGTTGCTCGTCCGACATGTTGGGTGAGAGGTCGATTTCTGTGCTTGATGCGGATTGTAGGGTCGCAAGTCGAGATTCAAGTTGTGCTAGCCTCTATGCTTTTCTGCGGCGGAGTAAAGCCTTAGTGGCGGAGGTGATTGAGTCGTCGATGGGAAGTGAGTGACGCGAGCAGTGTAAGGCGTGGTGTGAAGAAGGAAAAAACGATTCGCGATTGATGGTTGACCTTGGAACTGTGTCCCGCGCTGCTACGACTCCACAGCGATCCGTGCGCTCGTCACGACGCACGACTGGGGCAAAAGTGATGGCTCGCAAGCAGTGAGGAGGGACAAGCCAAAAAATTCACCTCGTTCCTAGTTCGCCATGGTGAGTGACAGCTTGCTCATATGTGCCCTGCCCTACTAACAATGCAAGACCGGCGCCGAGGAAGGACTGAAGTCTGATCCACCCTGCCATCCTCAAGCATGCGCCATTCAGAGCAAGTCATTTTGTGCTATCGAATGACAGTGTACTGAGCATCTGGCAGCTTGCATACAGAAGAATAATTACAAAGAAGAGGAATGCCAGCAACAAGTATTGTCGTATCGGCTTCCTTGACCGTACAAAAGGCTGATCGTCCCAGATCGATGCACTGTATGCCTGCTGTAATCTCTTCTACCAGCGCAGTGGCGACGAGGCTAGCACAGTGAGCTGTCCAAAGGCCAATCTGCTGCGGTGCGACTGTCCATCAAAGCCCTCCTTCAGGTCTTGCCACTGATCAAAGCACGCAGACTCAAGATGAAGCAGAGGGCAGAGGGCGCCAAGTAGTCTGCCAGCCACTCAGCACTCGCTTCGTCGAGATGATGGCATATACATATCCTGTAGCACAGGATAGCATCGCACAGCCATATAGATATCGATATAAATGTCACGCCACACAAATTAAATCTCACATCCCACGAAGCAGAGATGAAGGAGCAAAGAGGAGGCGCCAGAATCAATCTTAGGGCACCGGAGCACGCAAGGAGGCCTTATAGACCTGTACAAACATTGATGGAATAGTTCGCACCGAGACTCTAATGGTGGCCTGTTTAGACATTGTACGGAGGAAAGAAGGGCTTGGGAGATCTGAGAAATTTGTAGTTGCTGGAGCACGGATCTCAGGGTCAGAAGTCGCGGGAGGTGGACAGATTGTGCAGCGCTGTTCGTTTGCGTGTTTGCATTCTATCAACCTTGCTATTTCCTCCCGAGCTATTCCATACTCTCCTACGTACTAATTAGCGTCGTGACCATGGCTCCTCGCAAGATCATCATAGATACTGACCCTGTGAGTGGCGAACGTTACCAATAGATGGCATGAAAAGACCGGTTCTGATACGACATAGGGTGTCGACGACATACTGGCGATGCTACTGGCTTTCTCGTCACTACCCGAGGAACTGGAAGTGCTCTTGATCTCAGTCACATATGGCAATATCGATCTGGCCAATTGTCTTCGCAATGTTGTCTCACTTTTCTATCACATCGATCAAGAGATCGAATGGAGGGAAGGTCAGGGCCGCCGAGGGGGCTTCGAGACTCTTCGCAAGACAAGACCTTTAGTCGCTGTCGGGCCGGAGCATCCTCTCAGGGACGACAAGCTGATGGCCGACTTCTTTCGTTAGTCTTTACGAGACACCATTATGTTGTGTAGATCGCTTACAGACATGCACAGATGGCACGGACGGTTTAGGTGGCATACATGACAGTGTAAGACCTTGCAGCCTTCGAATGATGCAGAGGCTGATCTCCTGCAGCACCCACACCTGACGCCCGATAACGCCTGGAAAGAGCTGTTCGAAACAGCTCACGCCAAACAACAGGACGATCAAGACAACTTCGCCGTGGCTAGCCAGCTCTCCAAGAAACAGCCAATGTTCGAGCCATCGAAGCAACCAGCACATAAGGAGATCTTGCGGCTGTTACGGGAGAACGAGCCTGACCGTATCAGTATCGTTGCAATTGGACCATTGACGAATCTGGCCATCGCAGCTGCAGAAGACCCAGAAGCGTTCCTACGCGCAAAGGATATCGTGGTTATGGGAGGCACGATTGATCTGCCAGGCAATGTACGTCACTCACAGCCATATCCACAGCATATCCTTATATCAGAGCCAGCCTTCCGATTGATCAAGGCAGCCCCTGGTCCAATAAGAGAGATGCTGAACCGAAGAAACCAGATGACTCCTGTCGCCGAGTTCAACACATTCGCAGATTCGTATGCAGCCGCAAGAGTATACGCACTCACCTCACCAACGCCAAGGACGACTTTGCCACCTGTCCCACCAGCACCTCCTGGTAGAAAGGAGGGTACGGCATCGCCACCGTTTCTTGATCCGTATCCGGAGCACTTATCGCGGAGGCTCGACGTCAAATTGTTTCCGCTAGACATCACGGAGCGCCATCTCCTGACTCGAGGCAAGTTCCAGGAAGTGATTGGCCCATTGCTCCAAGCCAAGTCGCCATTAGCAGAGTGGGTTTCGGCATTTCTAAACTCGACCTTCAACAAAGTCGAGTCGCTCCAGAACAACGTCAGTGGTGATGCTGTACCATTGCAGCTACATGATCCGCTATGTGTATGGTACTGTATGGCCTCCAGCGACCCGAAGTGGAACATCACCGATGACGAAGACATTCGGGTCGAGACGGCGGGGCAGTGGACTCGAGGTATGTGTCTGGTCGATCGTCGTAGCCGGCGGAAACTGGAGGACGACTATGTTGGCGAGCGAGCTGGAGACAGCGGGAATTGGTTGAGTCTGAAGGCAGGGAACAGGATGGGGAGGTGCGTGGGTACTCCGGGTGAGGAGACCTTTGGTGGATACATGCTTGAGCGGATCTTTGCACTGTAGACCTCTGCGGGGACATCGACGTAAAGGGACATGCTCTGCTCCAGTTGATAGGATATATTAGATTACGTGTCGAGGAATTAGTGGAAGCTCGTCATCGGCTCTCATCCGTAATGATATTTCGCGCTGCTGGGCGCAGCGGGACGATTCCTTCTTCCTGTCCAAGTTTCTGTCGTCGCGGCATCAATGCTTACGCTGTCGCATGGTGTGTGTTCATGCTGTGGAGGTCGGACGAGGTGAGGAAGGGACAGGGTGATGATCTCAGGGTCATGACCCTTGCTGTGACCCTGAAGTCAACAGATCGGCGGTGACCCTGCATAGATATAAACTTGACTTCACCTCATCTCCTCCGCTTCACTTCATAGATAACAGTGGGAGGGTTAGTGTATGATGGATTGATTATGCTTCAGTACTTCTCGCCATGCTCTGCTTATTGCACACAGGTATCTACAGCCTGTTACATTGCCACACTTCCTTGTGTCTACTCTGGCCCATCGACTGTCTGGCAGCCTTATTTCCTCGTTATCGTTACACTACTTCGTTGCATCAAGCAACAAGAATTTGTGCTTACACAATCTGCCCGACTCGCTGATTACACAAACACGAGAACATCCCAAACGCACCGTCAAGCTTGGGTATCTTTGCTGCACAATTGAACCCGCAAACCAGCCCCTCCGAAAGAAAATGCAGCGCTAAATGTGACTCGGAAGAGAGATCAAGGTCGAAGGTGAAGCTGGCGAAGTCGCGTCATGGAACGCGGCTTACCGCGGAGATATTTGGATGAAGAAGAGAAGAGTATCGTTCAAGGAGTCTCCTGCGAAGGCGACTCTTTCGGGCTACCAGACATGGATTTCTCCTCTGACCATCGACGGTGTTCGCTCGCTGCCAGAGCTAGACTGTTGAGTCCATTAGACAAGCCAGGTGAAGGATAGGCATAATGTAGGGCGTCGGGGTCGGACAATATTGGACCCATAGGTGGTACGTACTCCAGACTAGTCGTGAAGTTGTTCCGCATGAGCGGCGGTCGCCCATTCAGATCTGGCATCGCCATGGGCAAAGAGGGGATTGGGCCAGTGTCGATAGTATTGCCGAGGAAATATGGTCCAGATGGTGGTAGCATCATCGCTTGGTCGACGAGGACTTGCTGCATCGTGGGTTGTGGTATCACGATGCCTTGCGGTTGCGTCGCCAACGGCATCCCATTCAAGGACTCCTGTCCAGCTGCTTCTGCTAATTGTTGCTCGATAGCGGCGCCGAACTGCTGCTCGGCCTTGACAGCAGTCTTCTTGGTCACTGGTTTCGCAGGCTTCTTCACCTTGGCAGCGGCATCAACACCAGTAGTCGTGGCGGAGCGCGACCCACCACGACCGCTTTGGTGTGTCCGTCGGTGCTGCTCCATGTTATCTTTGCGCGTGAAGGCCTTGTTGCATTCCGGGCAGAAGGCATCCTTCTTGCCTGTGTGCTTTTTGGCGTGTCGCGCGGCATGGCCTGAAGTGGTGAAGAAATCGCTGCAACCGACTTGCTTCGCGAGTGGACACGGGTACTGGTTTTTCTTTGGTTGCGCCTTCGCATTCGACGTTGCGGAGAGGTTGGAGACACGTGAAGGCTCTGATGAGGGTGAATTTGATGACCGATATGCGACTGGTTGCACGGGCTGCGGGACCATTTGATGGGTCATCTGGGGCGGCATGGGGTAGGCAGATGGCATCGCAATAGTCGCATCGGGAATGGGTGGGTACATCGACACATTCTGGTCGTCCATCTTCACCTGTTGCGGGAAATTGTACGCGCAAAACGACTGTTGCTGTTGCAACTTGTGCGCGTGTGGAAGCTGCCGATCAAAGGCGTGGTAGGATGGCGTCAGTGGTGAGGGCGTCTGGAAACCTCGGGAGTCGCTCGAAGAACTCCGGATCAGGTGTGGTGTTTGCGGGGACAAGCTGGGCGTTGATGCGCAACTCGAGGTGCGTGAATGAGCAGCAGACAGTAGCGGCGGGAGGTGGAATTTCGTCGGGTAGTCAGCGGCGGCTACGTCACTATTGAGTAGTGATATCGTTCGTCCGGTACAGTTTCTACCGTCCATTATGTGCTAGCCAGCTTAAGAGCACGCTGTTGTCAGCGTTGTTGGACAATATAATGGTCGTCGTATGTATATGATGGTGGGTGAGTAAGTGTGTGGTGAGGGTCGTGATCTGCTAGAACATCGGATTGGCAGACGTGTTGATCGAGTATACAGCTGGGTGGTATGCTAACAATCTCGAGACGCGGTCGCTGCGGGCGTGAAATAGGCAGACCGTGAGGTTATAAGCAGATGAGGAGAGTGCTAAACAGGGTACGACACGGGACAGAGTCAAGGTTGGGGCCAGTAGGGATACACTGACCATGATATCGAACAATCCCAGCTTCGCCGAGGGGAAAACAGTAGTGCATGAAAAGGTCGCTCAGGGTCCGTCTTATTATTACAAAAAATTCCAACGCATTGGCAGGACCGCGCTTGTGCCGCTGTGGCGCTGCCCATCCAAGAAATGGTAGACTCGTACTGCGTTGGCGAAGGACCAAAACGTTGCTTGCCGCATTATTGCGCTAACGTTGTGAGATTGGCCGATTGGACGGATCCGTGCGGACGTCCGACTCCTCGGGAAGGACTACTGAGACGTAGGCGTTAACGGCTGGCAACCTTGTTAATCAATTCGGTCGGATTAGGAAATGCACATATTCACATCAAAGCCAGCATATTACCGTGCTACGATTCCCGTTACCGACCACACAAGCCGCCAGCGACAAATATGTTCTGGCGACATCTCGACGCGGTGCAACAATGCACCCGCGTCCTCCTACTGTACGTGCTGCTGAAATGGTGCATGGAAGCACAGTGGGTCGGGCGGAGAGATGTCGTCTGGCAAGCTCCCAAACGCTCCGAGCTATGGCTGATGGAGAGCTCTACCGACCGCTGGGCACCACCCTGTGACCTGCCACTAGTATCTGCTTTAACGAATTGCGGGGCTTCCTATATCCAAGATCCTGCCGGCGCGAGATTACTGCTGCCACCTTTTCCCGAGGATGTGTCTGACAGTCTATACAGCGGTAGACGCTGAATCTCACCTCACCATGGCACGGAACTGTAGCAAGCTCGTCTCGGATCCGAGCACCTCCACGCCTCGTCAGGTGCGGTTTCATGGCGGCCGCTCTTCCTCACGGTCGCTTGCCTGCATCGACACAGAGTTCATTGGCTGAGCGATCCTTCGTGGGGCAGTCAGGAACATTACAAAGCTTCCTGCGCGCCGCCTTACATCCGTCTTGCGGCATCTTGTTCAGTGCCCACTTCGCGTCCATGGGCTTCATCTCCTTCGAGCTCTCAGGGGACTGACGTCCTGGCGCGCCCTGCAGCGGACCCCTCTCCATTGCGCCTCTCACATCATTCTTATGTGGCCTTAGTTGAAGCAGGGTCATGCAACGGTCGCTTGGACAGGCCACGAGCCCAAGCACTAACTTTTCGTTCCAACCAGCGTAAGCCACCATATCCCTGCTATAGCGGCCTGGGCCGTCTGTGGCGGCCGTCATGATTTTCGATCACACCCAGTTTCTCGATCAGACCCGTCAGTCTTACGTCCCACTAGCAATCAACCACCGCTGCCTCTGCACCGTGTTCGATCTTTGCGCCCACGCTTCCACAATATCGCCTAGACGCACCGGGTAGATGTCGTTGTGGCAGGTGTGGCTATAACACCGCCATTCGGGGTGCTACACCATCATCCCTGCAGAACGCGTGGTTTCTGCGATCAGCAAGAATGCAGGGCCGGCCGTTTGTCCTACCGAGCTACTTGGACTTCAATCTCACTAACGGTAGCTCCTACGTGACGTCAAAGATCGTGAAGTGGGCACTACGAATTTGATATCGGGATATCTGGTCGACTAGACGGTATTATTGCGGACACGAGAAGACTGTGTAAAGAGAGACTTTGTTGGCGCGCCTGGGAGGACGAAAGTGTCTACTCGCGTCCGAGACTTCCGGCACATCTGCACCTGAACTGGAGCACAACTTGACAGCTTCTACTGTGGGCCGTTTTGGACTCCTCTACCCGATTGTTATTATCATCATTCTACCATGGCTCCGAGCCTTGCCCCGCAATGGCGGACCCGGGCATGAAAGGTTGCCTGCACGTCTGCCGACATGAAGAGTACACACGAAAATGAACAATAAGCTTTAGTCGCTTCTAGATTTGCCCGACGCGTCGACAGCTTCTTGTGCTGACCGCTGGATGTGCAATGCATTGGCATTACGTCCGGCAATTGTATTGCATCCACTGTTATTGCCGCTTATCGCAGATAACGGGCACGAGCTAGCAGATTTTCGCTGCCGAATCTTGGTGCGCCGTCGTTCGCAGGCCCAAGCACTGGCGCTTCGCCGTTTGGATCTCGACATACCCGATTCGGCCATCGCAGTCTTCCTTTCCGGGGTAGATCACTAAGACTTATTGTTCCAATTAGTGATCAATTGGTATCAATGCCGCTATTGTGTCTTGGCTCTTTGCGTCCAAGAGGAACGCTGTTCGAAAGTTCTGGCTCGCATGATTAGATATCAATCAAAGAGTGGCGTGAAGATGTATCTTCTTTGATATGCTGATGGTTTGACACAATACCAGACTTGAATCGATCAGACTTTGACCTCGAGTCCTCATAACGAGAACATGCTCTGACACGTCCGCAGCGGCATTTCACGACGTCCACCGCGCGAAGGTTGCGATCGACACCGCCGTCCTTCGGCAGATGCTGTTTTGGGCGCATACCATTCTGTAGTTAGTCCATAGGCTATTATTGCTGCTTGTTGGTTCTCCTGTCTAACTCCAGCGTTGACCGAGGTCACAGTGATGCGGAAGTTAGGTGATCCCCAAGTCAAAGAGCGTATCGAGCAACAGCTTGACAGATGCGCTGCTTTGTCGAAGTTGAGATAGCCATAGTAGCCTTGCTGCTTACCACACGAAGTGTAGAAGTGAAGTACATTTCAACCACTCAAGGCGTCTTGTGCCATTGTGGTCCCCTATTCCAGAGTTCTGGTCCGCCGTTGCTGCAGATCGGCCCACCACGTTGTGTGGCTGAAGCATTTGACGACCGCCGCTGACTTCACATCATGCACGTCGCCATTGGAAGGCTGCCTTGTGCGGGAACAAGTTGCCATTCATCAATCGGCATTTTCTATGCGAAGCCTGGTATCGACGAAGTGTTGATCCCGTGGTGCCGCGAGCCAACTGATATACGCCGCCGAGCCACCAACATTGCCGATGTCTCCGGTCACGACTCAGCCGGAACCATGGTTCACGCCAAGGATTCTGGATCACCTTTCACGAACCCCTCATTCAAACACAAGTGACCTACGGTGTCGACCCTGTTCAGAGGATACTACTACCGTATCTGCAGGGTAGCCAGACAGCTAGAGACCCTAGTTCCTTGAGCTCCCAGCCGCAAGCAAACGATAGGAGTACGTCGCCGTCTCCGTCAGCTGCGGGGAATCACGCCACATAGGCTACTACGATGCTTGATATGATCCACCCGCACCCTGGGGCCTTGTGGTTGTGATGCCGCGTATAACAACGGCAGAATACAAGTTTGGTAGTTGTGATAGGAAACCATGGCCGTGATCGAGGCATTTGTTGAGCCAGCTAGCACATGGACACCTGGAATCCTGCCGAACCCCGAGGCAGTGCGAAAGATCACCTCAACCCCTTTGATGCAACAATCTACCTCGAGGCCTACTACTCGCATCCATTGCACCATTCTCGCGATAGTGGTCAGCCCCATGATTGGAACCCCTGGAGCACTCTGCACATTTGTAGCCGCTTCTTCATTCGGTCACATGATCGTTCAATGCTCTTCTCGCCAACCTAATCATCATGGTCCGCAAGTGGCTTGCTAAAGTGGCAAATGACCTTCAGCACCTTTCACAAACAGCAGGCCGCGGAAGCAGACGGTAGCCCCGGGCTGACCATTGATAGTGTTCTCGTATGCAGCACCCTGCACCAAATCACTGTGCACCTCACGCAGGGTATCGCTCTCCTCAAAGCCAAACGGAGTTTATCCTTTCACTACAGTGGGCCGATGGAGCTGATGCCTTCGCCGATATGCTCCCCGCTTCCGAGCGTCAGCACTACGAAAAGTCAAAGACCCAAAGGAACATTTCGCTGACTCGTACGTGCATGTCTACCGTATACATGTGCTAAACATGCACGATGGCCGTTGCAATATGAGGTGCATGATCTCAGGATCAGCCACGGACCAACTCTAGGTCGCAGAATGTAAGACTCATGGTGATGCAAGACTCCATGTGGCTATGGACCCACGAGGATATTCCATGCGGTTCATGCACAGTTCACGCAAGCCCTCGAGTTCATCACGGTCTCGGGGTGCTGCCACAGGTAAGAACACCAATGTGCGGGAGACGAAAAGGAAGCTCGTATCTCGTATCCCCTACCATACGCATATCTCTCGTGACATCGACTTCCCATTTTGCTTTCTACTGGAGGAATACGTCCGGATCGGCTACATGAGCCATTTATGAACGAGTGAGAAAGATTGTGGTAACATCACTCCTTATCACGACCACCCTCCACAGCAAACCTCGCTCCATCTTCATCCTCCACAACCCCAGTCTTCTCTGTCTCCTCCTCTCCATCGCTCTCCTCTCCCACATCCCAAGCTCGAGGCATGACTTTACCCAGCTTCGCCGCCAGGGACTCAAGTAAGGAGTTCAGAGCCATGAACGACGTCTCTGCTTTCGGGCCCTCGACTACAACGGTCCCGTCGCATGCTACGCCTGCTCTCCACTTCTCCAGCTGCTGGTTGGCTGACGTGGACTTGTGAGTGCGGTGTTGCTTCGCATTGTCTTTCGAGGTAGGAGTAGGTTGTAAGAGCACGACGCTGTAACGGCCTGCGAAGTCAGGACCGTAGGCTGTTGGGCAGAGAATCTGCATTAGTGCTTGCGCGTTATCTATTTTACAATCTTGAGTCAGCCCTTGCGATGTTGTATCATTGCTGGAGCGAGTCTTGGTCATTTACCCATGATTTGCTGGCGTATATACAGTGGATCGTCGATATAATTGTTCGACTGATCCACCCTTTGATCCTCTCCCACGCCATTCACCTCGACTGCTTTCCTTCGCTTCTTGCCACCCTCAACGCTGAACTTGACATCCTCAGCAGCAACCTCTTGCACCAAGGGTGTGCCGCCTGATCTTGGGCTGGCATATGGTGGTGCAGGTGGCTCATAGACGTGCTGCGGGAGATGTGGTGCATAAGCCGATGAATGATGAGTGGACGGGTGAGCTACTGGAGCGGGTGGGTAGTGATAGTCTTGATACCCGTGATGAGGATAGGGGTCATAGTATGGGTGGCGGCGGCTTGACATTGTAGTTGAGCGAAGGGATTGATGGTCGAGATGTGGCTGACGGTAGTAGGACTGGTCGCAGCTTAATGGAATTTCTATTGCTACGAAGGTGGAATAGTTTTAGAACGGATAGCCATCGTGAATACGATAGACGTGTATGGTGAGCACTTAGCTTGACGTGAATAGCTTTGTTGCCTTTGCGCCGCTAGCCGCTTTCATTGGCTTGTGAATGTAGCAGGTTGTGATTTCCGACCAAGAGTGTAGGCGAAGTAGCAAACAAGATTACGCCGTCGTGGCGAGTGGCAGTGAGCTTAGTTGGGATGGGATACAAAGGCTGGATCGCTTCATGGTAGATTGATGTCTGCGCGAGCTTTATGGATCACACAGTCGTCAGTCATGTCAGTTGTAGGAATGAGACATCGGAACGGGACTTCGTATCACTTCCCACCCGGGGTGGGTCGCTGATAACAAGCTTGGTCGGCCTCTACCATTGTGGGACGCACATCATTCTTCTGGGAAGCTCAATATCTACCAGAACGCCACCTTCAAGGCAACCCTTTGCCACCATTAACAGCCGCCTGCACCAAACTTGTGTTCGGCCTGTTCTCCGCGTACCGCTCATAAGAGTCCAAATACAATTCATCCCCCGACGTCGTCACCTTGACCGCCTCGTTCGCCTCTATTGCCCTGACCCACCTCTCCCATCTACTGCCTGGCTCTGGGTCCGGCCATCCACGGTAGGGTTTCAGGACTTTCTCGAGCCGGATGACCCATGGCGCCATCTGGACGTCTACGAATGTGAAGTCTTTACCTAGGAAGAGAGGGCCGGTGGTGTCGGCGGCTGAGACGAGCTTGGCGATCTGTTCGGTCAATTCGCCAGCGTACTTGGTTTGGTTGTCCAGGGTTTGGGCTTGGAGGTAGTGGTAGAAGAGCGGGATGATGTGGCGGTTTATGTGGTCCGACCAGAGTCGGCTACGGGCTCGCAGCTTCGGGTCGGACGGTAACAATGGCTTCCCTTCGTGCAGATCTTCAAGATACTCCATCAGGACCGTGCTTTCGTAGCAGCCCCAGTCGCCGTGGCGGAGTGCTGGGACCAGACCGCGTGGGTTGATGTCGAGGAGGAGTTTGGGCTTGCGGTAGACGTCTACTTCCACATATTCGTATTCGAGCTTTTTGTGTTCGAGAGAGATCCAGACGCGGTGGACGAAGGGGCAGAAGCAGGAACCGTAGAGCTTGAGGTCATTTTCAGCAGAGTGGCGTTCTGCTGTCTTCGCTGCTAGGCCGGTGGCTTGTTTGTGGTAGGTCTTCTTCGTTGCATCACCGCCTTGGTTGATGTCGAGATCCTTGTTACCGTTTTGAGTCGCCATCTCCGTAGCCAGTCGCCTATTCAATATGGTTGGAGTCCGTCGTGAGGCGATAGTAGAACTGCGGCCCACACAACACAATGTATGAGTGGCAAGTCTTGGATATGTCAGTAGCACGACCATACAAATATGTCGAATCAGTCTCGTCTGGTGTCAGGTGGGATGGAATCAATTGTGCTGTTCATGGAATATGATGCAATGTCATCGTTCAGGCCAACCCCGCGACGTCACCTCGTGCCTTCCGAAGGAAGATCAGATGCTCTCAGGCGACCCGGTTGGCTAGACGGTACATAAACAATGCCGTATGCTACAGCCTGAGGAAAAGTATCTGCCTGTCCGAAAATGGAAAGCGTAGAGGCGACTGTATTGAGTGAATGGAGAGAAAGGGGAAGGCACGAGAGTAAGGTGGGATAGAAGCTCGCGGAACACTTCCGCTCATCCCGCCGCACATACACGGAATTTGTGAGTCGTTCATATCGAAGTCCACGCTCCGTGAGAACATCCGACAATAACTGGCGATACCACTTGGACGACTCCCACGACACTACCACCCAACATGGCGACCATCCCTGCTGCCGACTCGCCCATCAAAGAGGTCCAACTCTCCGCCTTGGTAGTTATGCGCATAATCAAACACGCGACCACCACCTTTCCATCCCCAGCAACAGGCTGTCTGGTCGGCATGGACCTCCCCACCGCCCAAAAACTAGAAATCACCAACTCCTTCCCCTTCCCGGCCTCGAACCCGGACGTGACAGCCGGTCAACAAACCTCCTCCGACCCCTACCATCAACAGGACCAGGCCTCCCTTGCCCTGGCAGCGCCCCGAGCTAAGAGCAGCGTGAGCTACCAGAACGAGATGATCAAGTATCTGCGGGAAGTGAATGTGGATGCGCAGGGGGTGGGATGGTATGTCAGTTGTAGTATGGGGAATTTTGTCTCGGCGAATTTCATTGAAAATCAGGCTTTTTATCAGAAGGCGCAGGATGAGAGGACGGTGGCGTTGGTGTTTGATGTCAGCCGGAGTAGTCAGGGGAGTCTGAATCTGAAGGCTTATCGGTTGAGTCCAGCGTTCGTGGCGGCTTATAAGGAGGGCAAGTTCAGTACGGAGAGGTATGTTGCGAAATGATGCTTTAGGAAGGTACGACAGACGAAAGCTAACAGATTCATGCACACAGCCTCCAGAAATCAAACCTCCGCTACCAGGACATTCTCACCGAAATCCCCATCCAAGTCCATAACTCCCACCTCCTCACCTCCTACTTCCATCAACTCCCAACCAACCCCACAACCTCAACCCTCACACCGACCCTCCCAGCCTCAACCAACGAACTCCTCCGCAACACAGCCATAGCCAACAACCCCTTCGCCCCCAACCTCGAAAACCTGGACCTGAGCATTGACCCCTTCCTAGAAAAAACCTGCGACCAACTCCTCGACAGCATCGAAGCCCACCAAACCGAACAAAACAACGCACAATACTACCAACGCAGTCTGGCGCGCGAACAAGCCAAGATCCAGACGTGGCAGCAGAAGCGGAAACAGGAGAATGCGTTGCGGACGCAGCAGAAACAGACGCTTTTGCCGGAGGATGAATGGCAGAAGTTGTTTAAGTTGCCGCAGGAGCCGAGTCGGTTGGAGGCGATGTTGGTCGGGAGGCAGGTGGAGCAGTATGCAAGACAGGTTGATGGGTTCTCGGCTGTGGTTAGTGGGAAGATGTTTGGGGCGAGGGGGAATTTGATGCCGGGGGCGGAGGTGTGAGGTTGAAATGTGGCAAGCAGATGCTGATGTGCTGTTCAGAATGGCGTTTCGGCGTGGTTTATTGAGCTGGTGGGAAGCTGGCTTCGGGGATGCATAGTAAGGCGCAAATGATGAAGCTGCTAGATGTGAGGATACTCGTCCGGCAAGGCTGTCATGCTTTGTGTGATCCTACCTCCAGAACGATCTAAGTAGCTAAAATGAACATGTTTTAGTCTTCGTAGTCGTGCAGCGCGCGCACAGGCTCACTATCGTGGCTCTGGACTTCTACCTCTCGCCATGCCTCCAGATTCGCAAAATCGATGAACCATGTAATTGGTCCGCGGATGCCTTTGGTAGCAATCTTGAGGTACTGCTAGCCTGTCCAGATCGACATCACTGCATCCCAGCACACCTGGCTTGGTGACGATGTGCTCGCTTTGGACGCAGGCTGTCCCATGCCCATCGCCTGTGTGGCTGCGTAGTATTGACAGTCGCGGATATGGCCGAGGAAGGAGTTACGCGACCAACTCCTCGACTGTTGGACAAATCGCCTTCCACTGAAAATACCCTTGATGCAATCCCGAATGTGGAAGTCTCTGTCGCATGGTCTGTTGACTGAGCAGGGTTCGTGCCTATATGACTCCTCGCCAGATTCGCCAATGCAGCCGAACCTCCAGCGTGCATCGTAAGGACACAGGTGATATGGTGGTAGCCATGGGTGAGACTCAGACACTCTTTGTAAGTGCCATTTGCTGTCCTCTGCTCGATCGTGGCTCACTGTGTGATCGAGGGGGTATCCCTCGTCTTGCACTTCGTTCTGATAACAAGACTATACTACTAGTATCGTCTTGTGTGCTTTCAACCAGCTCCCCGAATGGCTCGATGTTTTGGTGCGCCATGACATTTAGAGCAATCCTATCAGCCTGCCTCGACTTAGCCTCCTGCATCAGCCATCGACCTTCTTGTAGTTCTGCTGTGGTTGGAGGCCATGCGATGATGCCCGGCAAGTAAGAGCTACGCGGAAAAGCACCGGGAGGTTGTTGAAGCACATAAGTCTGAGTAATCAGGGTACCAGACAATACTATCGTCCAATCTTGAGCCTTTGGCCCGGTGTGTAAGCTCACATGAGCGTAATATGCTTCTGAGCTGTGACCCCACGGGCTCAAAATCTTCGGAAGGTGGACTCCTTGAGACACGAGGCTCCACATATTCGCTTCTCTTGCGCCATATTCAGACAGATCCAACCCAGCGCGGTGTACAAGAGAAGCCCAAGCTTGCAAAACTAAGCGGAGGTCGTCGAAAGTGTGAGTACCTTGTTTCAAGGATGCGAGAAGTGGCGTCATCAGCCCTTTCCTCTTATCTGTCGGCACTCCCAAGCTGCAAGGGTCAGCCCCGGCCTTGAGCATACGCTCGGCATATTGACTCCATGGGTCGTGCATACTCCGTTGAGCGTTCTGGAAATGCATCTGGCCTAGGGTTTCGCCAACCAAATGCAAGATGGTGAAGCCGTCCTTTGTACTGAGGTTTGCCATCTCTACATCTGGGAGTGTCAGGCCTACGGTGTGGAAGAGCCTGTCGGGCGTTCCAAACCGAGCAGGAGTGTAAATCTTTATGAGCAGTGCAAGCCTTTCGGGGCCGCCAAGGGCCGCAAAGTGAGGAATGTCCTCCCGCAATAGATGCCCTTACATTGGTAGCGTAGGACAGTACGAGAATACATAACGCCAATGTAATCGATCGACGGGATCATCTGAGTTCATGTCGAAGGCAGGCAACTGTGTGAAGCTTGTGTACAAAGTCTCGAGTGTCGGCGCATCGTTCAGCAGTATCTGATTCGTTTGGAGACCATGTTCTAGAATGCAAAGACTGAACACCGGTAAAGGCGTGTCGACTTGCCATGACATTGCTTGCAATAGAAATGTGTATGTTGGAGGTTGTTCCCACCGGGCGGCTGTCTGCTTAGATTTAGCGATTTCCGTCACGCTTTCGTTGCCAAGATACCCACCGTGAGCAAGTCCTCACCTTAAGGGCTTTCAATGTCAGTGTAAGAGGCTTGACCGGCTTCAACCAATTTCATCATGCCCTTCACGTCGCCAGCTCGACAAAGATTAAAGATGGGTGCATTTGGAGGCACAATGTTGACGGTCTGTAGACTCGTAACCCATCGGCCCTGCGATGTGGTGATCGCGATGTCCCAGGCACAGCGGCTGTGCCAGGTCCACATACCAAGCCTCAAGCGGAACACTGATCGAGGTGGTTTCTTTTTGGGTAGAGCTGCAGATCCGTACACTCGATTGTCACTGATGTCCTCGTGGCCCGCTTGCGCGATTTGCTGCGACATTGGTCTTCCTATCTCACTCTGCGCATCATGCTCGGGGGCGCAGATCAATGGCAATGGTTCCATTCTGGAGGCAGGCTGCGAGGCAAGCTGCGCGACCGCAGCATTGCCCAAATGTACTTGTGCTAAGATCAAGTCAAGCTTGGCCCCAAACAAGGAACGACTCTCAGCCATTTGCGTACCATAAGCCAGCAGTGATGAGCTCTTGGTCTTTTCCAGGTCAGCCATGAGCTCTTGTATCTCAGGCTCCTTGATCGCTGCATAAAGTTTGGCATTGATGCTCCGCCGCTGCTTGAGCCGGTTTTCCACCCTCTCGACCAAGTCTCGAAATTTGGAGGCGCTCGATCGGCAACGGTCAATGCAGCGGTCGACCACTGCTGCGCTTTGGCTGTCGTCGTGTCTATGCCTTTTGAGCTGCTGCAGAGTCCAGACTATGGTTTCAAGATCGTGCGTGACGCGCGCAATAGTCTCCGGTGCGGCTTTCGCTGTTTCGCAGAATCTCTTGAGCTTGATCGCGCCTTGGCCAAGCTGTATGGTCAGTGATAGCAAACCGGCCGAGCCAGAGACCACGCCGAGGATGGCCTCGATGCCAGACATGATGTTGGTATCCTATCAGGAGATCTCGAGCAGATGAGATACCACTAGCAATATAGAGCGGACGTCCAAGCCTCGCAACAGGGCTCGGGCGATGCGAATGCTTGCTTTCTATCTCTACGTTCATGTCCAATGGTACATTGGGAGGCCCTTTGCATGTACTCTCAGCTGATCAAGACACGATCGTGTACGGGGCTGTGTGGGAGGTGCGGCCTCAAGGCCTGCAAGGCGACCATTCAAGCACGGCGTGATGCACGAGCGGCTGCATGAAGGTGGCGTAGACGCTGCACAACATGCTGTGATCGGTGGCGGGCCTCAAGGGCTCAGAGCTCATGAGGTGTGGGTAGCTTCAGACACGTGTTCGCGTGCTGGCACTGCTTTGCCCCGTCATGCAACCGCGAGTTGGCCATATACCAAGCACGACATGGCTGCGCATCTCGAACGGCCTCAGAGGTCGTGGTTGTCGCGAGTTTGGCAGCGTGTCCGACCTTTACATGATATGAAAGAACATCGTTCTCCATCACCATGTCATGACTGCTCAAATTGCACTATCCTTCGACACGACCGTTCCATCTGCCACCTTCTGGCGCCCTTTGCCAAACTTCTGCTTTCTGTCAGCCTTCTCTTCATCATACAACGCCTGCTCCCGATCAACAACCGCCTGCATCTTCTCCGCCATGACCTGATTCTTCCTCCTCTCCTCACTCAGCTTCTCATTGACCTCTTTCTTCGCCATAGCAAGAGCATGACTCCAACCCTGCTCTCGCACACGCTCAGTAGTGCCATCCAAGCGGGCTGCAGTACACTCGAGCAGTATCTCATCCCAAGTGTCCTCTGCTCGGGCGAGCTCCAGCTCTTCTTCTAGTCTATGTCGCGTGTCATGCCGTTTCTGTTTCAACTGAAGTCTGTGGTTGATGTAGCCTGATAAACCTTCTGGCTGTGGCTTCTTGATGCGGAGGACGGGTATGCCTTGAGCATTGAAGAGCACGGGGACATGTCGTTTGCCTTTGAGCTGCTCTAGTGGTACCGGTCTGTCGAGCAGCGATAATCGATCAGAAGGTCGCTGTGTGGGCACAAGAGGCTGGACATGTTCGCCCGGTCGCGGCTGCTTGACCTTGGCAGGTGCTCTCTCAAGCAGGTCTAGAATGCGGCTTTTACTTTCCTCCTCTCCAGCTACTGCAGCATCGAGGTGATCGATACCCTCATATCCAGCTTCGAACAGGAGTCTTAATCGTCGCGTGCTGTTCTCATGTCGTGCCTGCCAGAAGCGGTTGCGGACAATGTTTTGCAGTTCGATGCGCTGGTATGTTGCTGCTGCGGGAAAGGCGCGGCATTGTAGTAATAATGTTCGATACAGAGCTATGGCAGCAATGCGGTGAGGTTTGGAATTGCGTGGAAGACGATAGTTAGTCGTCATCTACTGCTATCAAGCCATGCGTTGTGGTTGAGGGAACATGAAAGGTTAAGGAATAAAGTATGAAAGCTTGGAGCATATTCCTTGGCAAGATGAGATGAGATTGCTATATTACACCACAACATTGCTTCTGTATATGATGAGGAGAGATCCTCATTTCTGGGGCGTCTAAAGGTCCGTTGATGTAGCCTTCTACTATGCCAGAATCCTCATGCCGTTCCCTCGTCCTGCCCATGCCACCCAAGCCAGGGCTCCAATGCTTCGACCGTGGACGCCATAGCCCACTTTCCAACCAGCGAAAGCCGGACAATCGTCCAACAACCTCACCATCAGGCACCACCCTCACGCTTAGCATACTCCTCCTCTATCCTCTCCTCATACAACTTTTCGGCCGCTGCCTCAGCACTCCCAGGAGCATTGCTCGTGGTATCCTTGCCCTGATTGCTCGTCACACCCACCTTGCTCTCGGTGCTGGAGACGTCTGCTGCAAGGTTCGAGTCCTTGGGGGCGAGGTTGCCGCCCGCGGTGCCACCCGTTGCTGTTTCGGAGGTGGATGGTGTCTCGCTGGCAAGGCCAGTAGTGGTGTGTGGTAGGCTTGCCATGGTGATTTAGTAATGTGTTGGTCTTTCGGGATGTGTACTTCGGGACCAATACGCTTCTATTCTCCCCGGAATGACTATCGGTGTTTGAAGTTGTCTATCAAGATTAAATGGTTCACTCTGGTTGTGCCTTCCTGTTCCTTGCGGCTACGTCATTAGTGGGGCACTAGCATTGGCCATATTTAACCAAGATGTATTGACGGGACAAGACGAAAAGACGATATCGACGCAGACCACACCGAACTGGTACTACAGATCAATTGCACAAACGAGCTAGCGAGCGATGCTCTTTCACGATCGAGCCCTCTACCGATCGAGCCCTCTACCGATCGATGTTATGATACTCAGTGCCTCCTGTCAACGTCGTCGTGATGTGCTAGCACTATCACCAGCTTCTGCCGGATTGAAGACGGGAGATACATGATCTACGTCAAAAAAAGGATGTATGCAGCGAGAGTCGACCCAGTGGCGGACTGAGAGTCGAGACGAAGCGAGAAATCCAAATCTACGGCCTGGGCTTGAGCTTGACAAAGCTTCTAATGAGCATTCACATATGACATTCGTTCGCCAGGGTCTCTAACTGCTCTATACACGATCTTTTCTTACATGCTACAGGCCTCTCGACAAGTGTGAGCTATCCTTCTCGACGAAGCAATCTAGCCGCTAAATCAACACGATTGATCAAACAGGAATCCAAACCTCTTGTCGAATGATGAGATTTTGTCTCGCAATTACCCCCTATCGTCTCTATTATTGATGTTGCATCAGATTGAAAATCTCATAGCTAGCCCAGGGTTCCTCATATTTACATCGCTTTAAGCTTGTACCTGCACAATCTCACCAACCGCTTCTGGTTGTCTCTCGATCCTACTACCCTCACCACCCAAAGGCGACGGCAACAACGATAGCACCGGCGGCAGCAGAGAGGGGCAGGGAGAAATCTGGGGCTCAAAGTCAGTATTATTTTTGCCCACTTTGACGATTGGAGGTCTTTACCGCTTGATCCAAGTGCAACAGCGCCACTCTTGGTAGTCGATGAAGAGGAGCTGTTCGTTCCGCCAGAAGACCCACCACCAGCATCACCAGACCCACTTGAGCCTACTGGGTTGGTGGGAGGGACGCCTTCAGTGCCAGTGGCTGCTGATCCGGAAAGTGTGCTCGATGCGGATATGCTTTTGCTCATGGTTGCCATCGTTGAGGAGGAATTTTGCGCCTGGACTGGTATTAGCGATGGTGGAGTTTAGAGATTATCGTGTCTTTGTGCTTACGAAGACCTGAGTGGTGAAGCAACAGGCGAGCACGAATGCTGCGATTATTGACCTGAAGGACATCATGTTGTATGATTATCGTCAGTGAGTCTTTTGTTGTCTGTGGGTTATGTCCGGCGTGGTAAAGTGCTGTATAAGTGCAAAGGGACTATACAAATCGTATTTCTTCGACGCCCTTGGCCATATATATGGCACCACCCATGCACATTTGCATTTACATCAGATCGCATCCCAACCTACATCATCATTTCGTCGCTCCACAGAGGCTGGCGCCAGCGAACGGTGAAAAGCTCCACAACCATTCGAAGGCGAGCGCACATGGTCGGTATACCCGTGCCGGTAGTGCTCAAGGAGAAGCAAAACATCTGGTCCTTCAACCATTGCTGAGGTCGAGGACAAAAACGTGCTCCATGACGTACAGCAGAAATAGGAATGTGTACGATTCGCGCCGGTCGATCTTCCAGCAGAGCGCGAATAGTAAGGGAGACAAACACGGCAGAAGCAAATAGCATCACAAAAGGCTGTTTTTCTTGATCGGGTAGATGACGATTGGGAGTAGATGGATGCCGGTTGTGTCGGATGATCGACTTGCTAGTATCGCCAAGGCTGGTAAGATCTGAGGTGTGGCGTTTACAAGCAATGTGCCGAGCATATGGATGAGCTTCGCCTTGACAGGAGTCCAGGGACATGATAGGAATGTTCTACACTTTTCAGTTCTTCAAATGTCGGTGCTGATGCAATTCGTGGTTTTTAACACTTCGAGACCCGAAGAGATACGCTGACACCCGAAGTGGTCAGCTTCAGCTTCGAGGAGCGTGGCAAATGCTTCAATGTACCCAAGTTCTCGCATGGGATGCAGTTCAAGAAGTGTCCTACATAGTGTCTCTCTACGATGTCGTCCGCCCCCCCAACACACGTAAAGACATCATCGTCTTCGATAGGCAATGGACAACACAGCTTTCCGAACGTCGATGTCCGAGAAAGTTCCATACCGGTTGCCACAGCGACAAAGTGGAGAGCTCGAAACAGCAAAAGGTCAACATGCACACGTGATATCGATCTACCTCAACGACAACGGCTGAATTTTGTAGAGCCGCACGAGCAACGATCTAGGTTACGCAAGCAAAGGATCGTAGCATGCTGTGTTTTATAGATATCGACTTATGCTAGCGAACACCTACGTTCCAACCATCACCACAACGACCACCACGAATACGAACCACGATGCACCGAAGCAAAGAGATGCCGTTGCCGAGTCCAACGTATATGTCTGAGACGCAAATGAGTGAGCAATGCCCATGTCTTCCACCAATCTATCACATACGCCGCCCAAGCCATCCCGATTGCGAGGATGCATTGTAGCAGGGGACGAAGACTTACACAGTGACTGTTCAGGTCAATATCTTACAGATCTAAGGTCACAGCGTCTCGCAAGACCTTCAGGCTCACGACCGCCACCACCCTCAAAGTTTGGAAGTCTGAGAAGAGCAGAAACTGCCCCTATCGTGTTACGGGAAACAGATAATGCAGAAGCCGTTGCACCGAAGGTCTCAGGCTTGAGAAGGACGGACACAACCCCGGCAACAGATGCAATCAGCGATGAAAGGCCGACGCTGCCTTCCAGTGTTAGTATGCCAGTAATGAACATACCTCGACTCTCACACCGACGAGCAGAGTCCGATCTGCGTATCAAGAGTCCTTTTGCAGGCCGTCCTGTTGCCAGACCACCTTTGGCAGCACCGGACGATCAGAGCAACATGGAGGATGTGCCGCGAAAGGTTTCAAGACCTATAAGCATGCCATATATGGAGAATGGTATGCGGTGGATGGAGAAGCAGGAAGCCAGGTCATTGCGAATGGCTTTGGAAGATATGGATATTGACAAGGACAAGAAGGTTCACGAGGCAGCACAAGATGAGGCAGCTGAACTTGTATGGAAGCATCAGAATCCTGGAGCAGTATCTGCGAATCCTGATACCGCATACGCAAACCCAGACGCCAAGCGAGATTATCGCTCGCACTTGAGGAAGGGCAGCTATACGCGTAGTCACAGTCAGGACCAGGTGCCGCTGGCTGTGTCACGAAAATCATCTGCTGGAAGTCAAGATGTTGTGCAAGATGCACCACTCTCCGGTAGACCAGCTGAAAGTGGAGTCCGCAAGGTCAGTCCACCTATGGCTACCATACCGGTGCAGAAAAATCGTTCGCCATCTGGGAAAAGCTATGGCGGTCTTGCGGAAGCAGTGGACCACGACATTGCGAAAGCTTTCCGAAGATCGAGCGGGGGCAGCAAGCGGATCATGAGTGGTGAAAAGTCGTACATGAACAAGCACGATCGGATATGGGAAGATCCAGAAGAGGGACACAGTCGAGCTCAGCCGTTGGAAGTTGTGCCAGAACCAATAAAGCCAGCCATTACGCCGATCCAGCCCCCATCATATATGAGGAAGAATCCTTTCGCAAGAGTCAGAGTCCAGCAGCAAGGCCGACTCGAGCATAGTACATCAGCGCCAGTTCTACCCGTGGCGAAACATAACAGTGTAGACATACAACGCAACCCGCCGAGCCAAAGCAGAAGGGCTTGGTATACTGCGAACGAGCCCTTGCCGCCAACACCACCATCATCTCGCGATGAGCCAGCGGACGAAGTAGCGCCAAAGGCGACACCTACGAAGGATGGAATCGAGTTGCGTGGCGACGATATCCGTGCCGCTACAAGCAAGCAGCGCAAAGACCGTAGCCCTAGGCTGCCTCAGCCAACGCTGGTCAGTGATAAGCCTGGACGGCCAATCGTGAGCTTCAGACAGGATACTGGACCAAAAGAGGTTGTGCTGCAAGAGGTGCACGCCAAGGCCTTGTCCGAACCACATAACTTTAGAGGAGCAAGCGCACATTTTCGTGCTGCGTCGCCTCCCAGCGTGCCAGTGATACAAGTCAACGACATGGCAGCACCTCCAATCCCAACGATAATATGTCCCGACAACCCAGAGATTCCTAGCATCGTGCTGCCAGAGGAGCCAGACTTTGCATCTTCAAGCTTTACTTCACAGCCACCGACTCCTTCAGTGATTATTGACCCGCCTGTGATAAACGTGAGCGGGCCTGACGATGCACAATTGCCTCTCGACAGGCCCGCAAGACGACCATTACCAGTGCCAACTCGTCCTGGTCTTACACACCACGCAGCTACAACACCTGTTCCAATGGCCTCAACACATCGCACAGTCTACACTCGCCAATCTGGCATACTATGCGCACATTGTGCTCTTCCAATCGCCGGCCGCATCCTCAGCGCAGCAGGAGAGCGTTTCCACCCCAAATGCTTCGTCTGTCATGAATGCCACACGAACCTCGAATGCGTTGCCTTTTACCCCGAGCCGGAGAAGCAGCGCGGAGAGCGAGTCACTCGGATACAAGCTCGCTCTATCGGAGCAGAAGTCCCTGGATGCGAAGATATGGCCGACGATGAGTACTACGATCTCGAAGCTAGGGATGGCGACCTAAGTCTCCGCTTCTATTGCCATCTTGACTTTCACGAGCTATACAGCCCGCGGTGCAAGAGCTGCAAAACACCCATCGAAGGCGAAGTCATTGTGGCGTGTGGGGCAGAATGGCACGCGGGCCACTTCTTCTGCGCGCAGTGCGGCGACCCCTTCGACTCGTCAACGCCTTTTGTGGAGAAGGATGGATATGCTTGGTGTGTCAATTGCCATACGAATCGCTACAGCTCGAAATGCAGGAAGTGCAAGAAGCCGGTCACGGATTTGGTGGTCAAGGCTTTGGGGAGTGATTGGCATAATAAGTGTTTTGTTTGCATGGTATGCGTGACCTCCTTCCTGTCTTCTGAAAAGTTACTGACGTTGTGTAGGAGTGCAATGGAGAGTTCGATGACGGGCGATACTTCCTTAGAGGAGAATCGAGGGACCCTGTCTGTGTGCGGTGCGAGGAGAGGCGTCTCAAGGCGTAGGCATGTGGACGGCACACCACACGCTTCTGCTTCGGTCTAGCAGTGTACTTAAGGCTTTGAATCTCTACATCAGGCTAGATCGCACACAATGGGTCGTGAGCCCGTGTATGCCGCTGACTGTCGTCGTATACCCCGAGTTTGTCATTTCTCATACGTCGCGGCCGCGTCCCGTCTAGCCCTTTCGGTAGATTATGAAGTACAGCTGCTTTGATCCTGTTCTGCCGTGATCCCACGACCACCTGATGCTCGCGTCTCGAGAGAGAACGACATCTCCGACGTGCGCATGAGGTAGCAAACAGATTTATCCAGTGCTCGGTCGAAGGTCCGATCCGTCCATGCACGCCACAACCGGAAGCGTGGAAAATAAGGCACGCTTTATGCAGATTTTATACTTCCCATCATGATCATACCGACCCGTAGCGTGCTTTGCCTCCCACCAATTATGCGAGCACCGAGTGCATATAGAAACCGCTGTATATATCCCAGTTGCACGAGCCGTGGTCGTATTACCGGCTAGGACGCTGGCAGGTTGCCTTGTTTGCTGAACCAGAGGATGCAGTATCTTGCCATGACCGAGGGCGAACACGAGAGCATAGTGGCTACGACACCGCTCAAAACTCTTCAGGCCGGCAATCCTTTGCGCCGTGTCGATCATGCATAAGGACCAATGTCACTAGCATAACCCGGTCGATGACCATGTTTCATAGGTTTGGCACAGCTCATATATTTCATTGCCGCACTCAAGATGAACTCTCGAATTCATCCTTTCTACTCTTCTCGGACCTTTCTCGCCAGACAACCGTAGGCAATGGCAGTACACACGGTGCTCGTCGACGAGCTCAGCAACAGTCGATATGGCTCCTCGACCATCGCTTTCACGTTCCTAGGCCTGGTTTTGATAGGCTACCTGATCAACATCCTCTACGTAGCCTTCCTCGGACCACTATCAAAATTTCCAGGCCCACCATTTCGAGCATTGAGCAAGCTCCCAGCCATCCAAACAATGTTCGCCGGCCGCGACGGCGAAGTCTACGCGGAACTCCACCGCCAATACGGTCCCATCGTCCGGATCGCCCCCCACCAGCTCTCCTACAACGGTGGCGCTAAAGCCTGGAACGAGATCTACGGCTTCCGCAAACCAGGCACTGGCAAACTGGCCAAAGACAAAACCTTCTACGGCCGACCCATGAACGGCGTCGACGGTCCCATAACAGCCGACGATGCCAATCACAGCCGACAACGCAAAATCCTCAGCCATGCATTCAGCGACAAAGCACTCAAGGAACAGGAACCACTTTTGAAGCACTGGGCGGAGAAGATGCAGCAGAAAATGCTCGAGCAGGCTACAGCTGGGAAGCCAGTCGATGTCTTGAAAATGCTCAATTGTACCACCTTCGACATCATGGGCGACCTCACCTTCGCCGAGAGCCTGGACATGCTGGAGGAGAGCGAGTACTCGCCGTGGGTGAAGACGATCTTCGCCTCGATCAAATTCGGCACCATGATCCGTGGGGTCAAGACTTATAGCCCCATGGTCGACTCCCTCGTCACCTCGCTCCTCGCTCGCGTACCTGCTGTGCAGAAGAAGGCCAAGGAGCATTTCGGCTATAGTTCTGATCGCGTTGATCGACGGCTTGATCGGGAGCCCGAGAGGCCGGATCTCTGGTCGAGGATCTTGGAGAAGAGTCCGTTGGATGCGGAGGGTGGGTTGACTCTGGGCGAGCATCATAGTATTGCTTCCCTGTTTATGCTGGCGGGGACGGAGACGACGGCTACGGCGTTGAGTGGAACGACTTACCATCTTCTCAAGAACCCGGATACCATGGCCAAGCTCAACGAGGAAGTCCGCTCTGCTTTCCTGTCGTTCGAGGATATGCATCTTGAGTCCCTCGCACGACAGAAGTACCTCGTCGCCGTTATCCAGGAGGGGCTGAGGATGTACCCGCCTGTTCCTATCGCTTTGCCTAGACGAGCGCCGGAGGGTGGCGTGACGATCGAGGGTGAGTATGTGCCTGCTGGTACGACGGTCGGAGTTCATCACCTCGCTACCAATAGCTCCAAGACGCATTTCAAGCATGCGAAGGAGTTCCGACCAGAGCGGTGGTTGGGTGCGGAGGAATTCAAGGACGATCATCTGGATGCTATGGAGCCCTTTTCCGTCGGGCCGCGGAACTGCTTAGGCAAGAGTAAGTCTCCTCCCCTTCCCTACCCCGATCCCTATCTGTATCTGTGTACTGTATCGCATAGTATGCTAACTCGTGATTATCAGACCTAGCATGGCACGAAATGCGCCTCCTCCTCGCCACACTGATCTTCCACTTCGACATCAAGCTCAACTCCGAGTCCGAACAATGGGATGATCAGAAGATCTACACATTGTGGGAGAAGAAGCCGTTGATGTGTACTTTGACGCCTGTGCAGGCCGCAGCATGATCGACTGACAGGCGAGAAAATATCTCAATGAGAACTGTGGGTTCAGGCAGGGAGATCGATATCTCATGTGGGGTTTAGATAGCATAGCGCTGCGCTGCCGTATCGCAACGAATGGATCTCGTCCACCATCATGAGTTGGGAAATGGTTCTCGTCTGTTAGTGTTTGTGGTTGAACTCCTATGCCGTACATACATCTCGCCAATTTTGCGCCCTCGCTGAGAGATATATCATGGCGTGCCCCCAAACCACACAAACAATACACATCCATGGACCGATCATGCACGACCGTCGTGAAGGCCATATTCCAAACCCCTACCTTTCTTCTCACGGCACACGCTAGACGAGCATCATCTCCTCGCGAAAATCTGGGACAATATATACACACAAAAGCAATCCTCCCAGGCAGGACATCTACTCCAAAGCCCAGACCTTCTCCTCCTTCCCCCTCGGACTTGGACTCACACCCAGACTCACACCTTCCAACTCCAAGCATGCCCCTCCTCCTCACCATACTGAATCCCCTCAATCCAATCCTTCATCTGCAACGTCACGGGCCCGACTTCCTTGTCCTCGGGAAGTCCACAACTGATCATTTGGCCCTGATATCCAATACTCCTCACCGGACTAACCACAGCCGCTGTCCCGGAACCGAAAACTTCCATGAGTCGACCCTCAGATGACGCCTCGACTACTTCCCGCATCGTGAAGCGGCGTTCGTTCACGGCCCAGCCTTGTGGTACTAGGCGTTCGCGGGCGAGGGTGAGGATACTATCCCTCACCACCCCCTCCAAAATCGTGCCATCCAACGGCGCCGTAACCAATTCCGGCTGACCAGTCTTCTCATCCCGAATACAAGCAAACAAATTCATCGTCCCCACCTCCGTGACAAAATCCTCCTTCCGCCCCGTCTCCGGGTCCACATCCTCGAACAACCAGAGATTCTGCTGGAAGCCGCGTCTCGCCGCCTGCATTTGCGGCACGATACAGGGGGCATAGTTGGCGCCTAGTTTACTTGCTCCTACGCCGCCGGGCCAGGCGCGCACGGCGTAGGTTGTTGCTTCGAGGGATATCGCTTTGAAACCTGTTGGGTAATAGGGGCCTACGGGTGAGGCGATGAGGTAGAGGAGTGCGGAGCCAGGGGGTCCTACACCTAATGTCCGCTGTGTGCCTATCATGTTGGGGCGGAGGTAGAGGGAGTAGCCTTTTGTCTGGGGGATGAAGCGGGATTCGAGACGGCAGAATTCTTTTATGAGGTCGATCATTTTGGGGCCGTCGAAGGTGGGGAGGGCGATTCGGGCGACACTTCGGTTTAGACGGGCCATGTTTTTGTCCGGGCGGAATAGTCGTACATGGCCATTCTTATCTTTATATGCTTTCATTCCCTCGAATGCCTCAAAGGCGTAATGTAACACGCACGTCGCCGGGTCGAGGGAGAGGTTCTGGTAGGGTGTTATGTTCGGTGCTAACCAGCCTGATTCGGCCGTCCATTCTAGACTGAGCATGTGGTCTGTGAAGGTGCGGCCGAAGATGAGTTCGTTGTGTGGGGTTGGGGTTTTCGGGGTGGTGGTTTTGGTTATGGTGAGGGTGGAGGTGTCTATGGCGCTGAGTTTGGGGTCGGAGGCATCGGGGGCTTCGAGGCGAGTGGGTGTGGGGGTGGGTGTGCTGTAGGATCGTTGCTGGTTCAGTAGACATTGTAGTGGTATTCGGTGGTGGTGGGAGTGTCGCGTGATGTGTTTGGTCGTTGTCCGAGGTAGGAGGGTCCGTAGTGATGAAGCCATGATGATTGTAGACTGTCTGCAACGATAGCGAATGCTCAATGGCAGATATATGTATATGGATATGAGTCGAATATGGTAGGGCGCGCAATCGATATATTACTTGGAGCTGTCTCCGCTCTCGGCCATCCATCCCAGCTACGGCCGGCTATATATTACTGATGGTACGATGTAGATCAGACGCCGAGTGCAGATAATCAATCAATATGGGTTGTTCAATCTCTCTCTAATATTGCGTCGCCAACCTGTGTGTCCATCGATTTGGATCTGGTCTTCTTCTGGAGCACGGCAGCGATATAAGCCATCTCTGGATCAGTCTAGAAAGTAGGACGTGACCACCATGATTCCACACCCACCTTGAAACCAAGAAGCCAGCCCAGTCTGGCAGGCACGCAATAACCATGTTCTCAAAGGCCTTGTCCTCCTTTACCTCAAACATCACGAGCAACTATACCTTGTCAAACCAACCGACTAGTACCGCCGGGCCATGGAAGATCTTCGACGCCAAGCGTAAAGCCACTGGCAAAGCAGCCTCCGTCTTCGTCTTCGACCCCAAAACTCTGGTACCCCAAGGCGGCTCTCTAGGCGGACGCGGAGGCGGCGCAGCATCCCTCAAACGTGCTCATGAGGAGGTGGTGGAAAGATTGAGAAGGGAAGCGAGTAGTCTGGCTCGGTTACGACATCCGAGTATCCTCGAGCTGCAGGAGCCTGTGGAAGAAACGAGGAATGGCGGAGTGATGTTCGCGACCGAGGCCGTAACGGCTAGTCTGGCTGGAATACTGCAGGAGAAAGATGAGCAGGAGCGGGGCGTGGGCCAGGGGAGGGGTTCTAGATTTGTGGTGGAAGATCCTACAGATGGGACGAGACGGAGGAGGGAACTAGAGATCGATGAGCTCGAGATCCAGAAAGGATTATTGCAACTGGGGAAAGGTCTGGAGTTCTTGCACGAGAGTGCCGGACTCGTCCACGCGAACCTCACCCCCGACGCTGTCCTCATAAACGCAAAAGGCGACTGGAAGATCTCCGGCCTCGCCTTCTGCGGCTCCCACGAAACCAGCACCTCCGCCACCGCGACAACAATGCCAGCAATAAACCTCCACGAAGTCCTGACCCACGACCCTCGTCTCCCCCAAATCGTCCAACTGAATCTCGACTACACCTCGCCCGACTTCGTCTTAGACAACCATCTCACCCCTTCAGCCGATATTTTCAGTCTCGGCCTGATAATCCTAGCACTCTACAATACACCGCACAACAGCCCCCTTAACACCGGAAACTCCCTCTCAACTTACAAACGCCTCTTCGCCTCCTCCACTAGCATCCCAACCCAGCATAACAACTACCTCATCCCCTCCTCCGCTCAACCCCTCCCACCTCGCCTAGCAACCGAACTCCTCCCACGCCTCATCACGCGCCGGCCCGCCCAACGTCTGACCGCGCGCGAGTTTCAGGAGGCGTCCTACTTCGACAACATCCTCGTCTCCACCATCCGCTTCCTTGACGCTTTACCCGCTAAGACCACGGCGGAGAAACTCGCTTTCCTGAGAGGTTTGCCGAGGATAATGCCGCAGTTCCCGAAATCCGTCTTGGAGAAGAAGGTTCTACCCGCGTTGTTGGAGGAGATGAAGGATCGGGCGTTGTTGGCTCCGATATTGACGAATGTCTTTGCTTTGGTCAAGGTGATGCCGACGGGGAAACGGGCGTTTGGGGGTGTGGTTGGGCCGAAGCTGAGGGAGGTGTTTGTCGGATCTCACCCTTCTGTCACTGCCAAGGCGGGTAGAGAAAGCGAGCAAAGCGATAAGGAGCGAGATACGACCAAAGACCCCGCCCTCATGGTCCTCCTGGAGAACATGTCCCTCGCCGTCTCCAACAGCACGGGTAAAGAATTCCGCGACGATCTCTTGCCTATCTTCCTCTTGGCCCTGGACTCCCCTACCCATGGCCTTGTGGACGCGGCGTTGAGCATGCTGGGAACGGTGCTGCCGGTGTTGGACTTTAGTACGATTAAGCATGAGGTTTTCCCCGTGATTGCGGCGGGGTTTGCACGGACGAGTAGTTTGGCGATTAAGGTGAGGGGTTTGGAGGCTTTTGGGGTGCTTTGTGGAGGGGGTGTTGGTGCTGGTGCTTTGGGGGAGGGGGATGATGATTGGGGAGGTGATGATTTGGATGGTATTGGTGTGCCGGATAAAGGTCGCACTAACGGATCCTCCTCTTCTTCTTTTTCTTCTTCGTCAGCGATCCTGGACAAATTCACGATCCAGGAGAAAATCGTCCCTTTGCTCAAGGGGATCAAGACGAAAGAACCGGGCGTCATGATGGCCGCTCTTCGCGTCTTTCGCCAGGTCGGTGAGGTGGCGGATATGGAGTTTCTTGCCATGGAGGTTCTGCCGCAGCTGTGGAGTATGAGTCTCGGCCCGCTGTTGAATTTGGAGCAGTTTCAGGCTTTTATGGGGTTGATAAGGAGGATTGGGGGGAGGATTGAGAGGGAGAGGGTGGAGGGGTTGAGGGGGATGGGTGGGTCTGCTTCGGGGGGTGTGGGGGTTGGTGGGGGTGGGGTCAGGAGAGGTGGGAAGGGTGGAGTGCAGGGGGGTGTCGGTGGGATGAATGGGATGGAGGCGGGGGTGGGCGAGGAGCAGGATTTCGAGAGTTTGGTTTCTGGGCGGAGTAAGACAGTGGCCAAAGCTGGAGGGGACGATCTCATGGACGGCTTTGGAGGTGTCGGGCCGACTATCCAGCCCACGTCTGGAGCTGTTCGGACGGCGTCCTCGACACTCCAGTCCCGGGCCAACGATACGCCTACGTTCTCCTGGCAAAGCCAATCCTCTGTTCCAGCGACACAGGCACAAGCCAGATCGACAAGGAATGATTTCCCGCCTCCTGCTGCCTCGCGGTCCATGGCTTCGCTACAGCCACAGCAGCAGCAGCGGCAAACCAGCCGTACCATCACGCCTGATCAGAGTCTAAGCTCCTTTGGTGCTTTGACGCCTCAGAGTCAGTTCTCGCAGCCTCTACAGCCTAGTCGGACGGGCGGTACGGGTGGTATGCCGCTTCGGCCATCGATAACGCAGCAGCAGCCGCCACCTCATCCAGCCAGTGGTGGCAGTGGTGGGGTGGGAGGAATAGATTGGTCGGCAGCTAAGAACGACACTGCTACGAACTGGAGCGCGCAACGGCCACCGAGCTCGAACGCGGCAGGCTTTGCGTTACCGCCTCCGCCTTTGAGCCCGCCAGCTGTGGGTCATGCTCGGGGTAACGTGAATGGGCACAATACCGCTGCTGCTACACCGCCTGGTGCGCAGAAAAGTGGGTTGGATAGGTATGAGAGTCTGCTGTAGACGTTGCCATTTCTTGAAGCGTTATAAGCGTCTACATAGCATAGTATTAGTATCTAGCCTGCCATCTCACCGTCTTTCCTAAACCCCTCGAGGCCCGGAAACCTCAATACACATCCCCCTCAAAATCCACCACACCAGGCGAATACGTCAAATCCCTCAATTTCCCCGGGCATGCTTGAGCCGGCAAATACGCACTCACCTCCTCCCCCTGCATCTTGAAGAAATGCTGTCGGATAGTACTAATCTGCGTATTGTTCTGCACCGTATTCGTCGGGTTCCCGTATTGTAGTGCGAAGCCATCAGTATGGTTGACGAAGATCTCGCAATTGGGGACGTCGTGCATGAAGAGGGACCAGAAGAGGTCGCCTGCTATCACTGGCTGGCTGGAGTTTTGATGCGATTCGATGATGTTGTAGAAGGATTGGAGACTTGGTGCGCTGGCCACATTGCCCGTCCAGTCGTATTCGCCTGCTAGGTAGACTTTCTTCGCTGAACCGACGAGGGAGATGTCGGTGGTTAGTTTGGTCAAATTGAGGGGGTAGAAGTGGTCGTCGTAGATGTCTACGCTGGCGATGTCAAGATGAGTGGCGTTGATGCCGTAGGTTCCGTCTATGCAGAGTTTGTGCGGGCCGAGGGATTTGATGTACGAGCAGATTTCGTCCGTCCAGGCGACGGGGACATCCATGTCGCCGAATACTGGGCCCCCGAGCTCGTTCCCGGTTTCGTAGGCGAAGATGGTGGGGTCTTCGGCGTAGGTGAGGCCGGTGTAGGGGTTCACGTGGGTGAGGAGGTGGTGGATGTAAGCTTTGAAGTCGTTTATAATGGTGGCGTTGGTGTAGAATTGCATTACCTGGGCGTCGATTGGGGAGGTCGTGCTGCTTATGTTGATGCCGCGGAAGCGGAGGAAGTCGAATTTGCCGCCGTGGTAGTAGTCGTAGTTATCTATCAATGGGGCGAAGATCCGGAGACCGTGTTCGCGGGCTTGGTAGACGGACCAGTCGATCGTGTCGAAGGCGGCGTCGTTGAAGACGCCTAGTGCGGGTTCGAGGGAGAGTGGGTTGCCGACGCTGACCCCGAGGGTTTGGGAGCGGATGGTGTGGGCGCCCATGGTCACGAGAGTGTTCATCACTTCTGTGATTCGCCCGTGGGTTGGGTAGCTGGCGTTGAAGGGGGCGTAGAAGGGTTGGCCGGAGGGAGGGATCACGTTCTCATCTAGGCCTAGCCAGTAGACATTTGCGCCTGAGGCTGTCCAGCGTTTGCCGCCGAGGAGGAGCTCGGAATCGTTGCGGACGATGTAGCTGTTGCGAAGGAGTTGGGTCTGTGGGGATGTCAGTACATCATGTGGGAAGTAGACTTGATACTGTGGTGTTTACCTCGATAGGCTCGACATAGCTAGACAGGATCTGACTGGTGATCGTACTGAACGGTCCAGCCGCGGCCGCATCTCCCTGAAGCTGTTTCGTAAGAGCACTGATCGCACCGCTCATCCAGTTGCCTCCATTCCCGCCTCCATTCCCACCTCCATAATTACCAGGCCATCCTTGCGCCGAAACCGACGTGGCAGATCCCACAAGCAACGCAATTGTAGACTTCATGGTGAGCGATAGGAGAGCGAATCGTCTGGTCAAGGTCACGGGGAAGGAAGAGCACAAAGGAACAGTATATGAATCAAAACCCTACCCATCGGCACCCCTCAATCGGTCCTCAAAGCTACGCCGGGATACTCTCCACCGGGTCCTGTTTGCAGCACGGCGCGTCCTAGTCAGGTACCATTGACGACTTCCCCATATCGGTCTAAATTCAATTGTGCAGGAAGAGCACGTTCTCTGACGTAGGTTCTCCGCGTGGTATGCAGGAACCGAATAGACGTCGAAGTCCTCGGTCTGGGACACGGAGCGTCTTGTTCCGTTCTGCTTTGGCTCAGGATGGTGGACGAAGATCCAGTATCCCCATCACATTAGGCACTATTGATGTTAGCGGTGAGGGGTCGTGCTGTGCGTAGCCTGACATATCCTGCCCTGAAAGTCATCGTTTGGAAGGGTGGATTTGAAGTGAAGTGACGGACGTCCTTGGCGATGTTTGGATAGACAAGACGACCAAAATATAGCCACGCAGAATGCTCACAGAACGTATTGTTACGTATTCGAGCATGATACAAAGCTCATATGTATCAACAGCCAAGTATCTACACCATCCAAACCTCCCCCTCCCCATCTCCAAACCATCAAACCCCTTCACCCCATCACGTCCAAACCCTAACCCCCCCATCCGCCCCAGCAGAAACACACCACGCCTCCCTCGGATGCCACACCACCCCCAACACCCCCAACACCCCGGTAACCCTATGCCCCCTCAAAACCTTCAACGGCACAACCGTCGCATTCTCCAAACTATCCCTAACCACCTTCCCATGAAAAACCTGCAGCGTCCCATCATCGCTCGCGTCGGCAAACAACGGCAACCTCTCGTGAAAAGCCACGGACCGGATGGCGCGGGAATGGTAGCGTAGGGTTTTGTATGGGGTATTCCCCAACTCGAGGTCGTGCCAGAGGAGGCGCTTGTCGTAGGTTGAGATTAGAAGATGCGTGCCGGAGGGGTGGAGGGAGATGTCTGAGATCCAGCGGGCGCCGGGGAGGAGTTCTTTTTCTAGTTTTTGTTGCTGGAGGTCGTAGATGCGGATGCGTTGGCGGGTGGCGACGATGAATTGGGGTTTGGTGGGGTGGAAGCAGGCGGTTTGGGCCAAGCCCTTGAGGCGCTTGAAGGGGTGTTGGGTTAGGTGTTTGCTGAGGGTGTGGATGGCGATTGCTGTGGAGGTGGCGTTTGTGCTGGGAGAGATGGTGGTGAAGTAGTCGGCGCGGCGGTGCCAGGTCAGTATCTTTGGGGTCGTGTGTAGGCTCAATGTGAGGAGACATCCGCGGTCTTGCATCTGGGCGGAAGGACGAGACCAAGTGGATGCTGCGGGCTTATCTTGTCCGGATGCAGTTTTGCTCGTCGTCGCCGAAGTCGCGTACCCAAAACCTGCGGATAAGACTTCTTGGCTGCGAGCTTCAGTATCGGGAGCGCATAGCTCGTTCTTCGGGATCAGGAAGTGCACAGTCTCGCCGCAACAAGCAGCAATGATGCACGTATCTTCGCTCGGTCGCCATGCCACAGCATTGACAGCTTCTTCCCTCGAAAGCCGAATCTGCCATACTTGCCGTCCAGTGCTCGGATCCCACACTCGCACATTCCCGTCGTCGCCACCGCTCGCAACCCACCGTCCAGTCGGATCAAACGAAAGCGTGCGCACCCTGCCCTCGTGACCCCGACAGATGGTTGTACAAGTAGTCGGAAACGGCTTAAGCTCAGCGGGATCCGGCAGCTTAGGCAAAAGCGACTCCGGATCGATATTCAACTTGCTCCTCCTCACGCGAGGCGCAAGATACAGATCCAGACACCGCTCAAACTTATCCTTCACGAATTGCGCGTACCCGGGGACCTTTCGCAGAGCACCATGGTCGCTAGGCAGGAAATCACGATCACGATCTTCCTCGTCCTGCTCTTCCCAGGCTTTGCGCTCATTCTTATCGGGTAGGTACTCGGGTGGAGGATGATACGACTCCTCATACCCCGGCGGTGGTAGCTTCGGCGCAGGGATGTTCATGGGATGATCGGCTTGAGCTTGCTCGTTCGCCCAGACATCGTATGAGGCATACTCCAACAACGCCTCCGCCTTCTCGCGATCTTCCTCGGAGATTGGTTGGTATGGCTTGATACGGCCTTCCTTGATTGCCTTCACCATTTTCATGACACGCTTATGCTCATGCGCAGACGGTACAAAGCGGCGTTTCGGTTCGGGCGCAGCAGATAATGGCATCACCTCCTCCATTCCTTTGCCAGTGAACCACTCGACCATATCAGGGTATGGATCGTAGCCATCGCCAGGTACCTCGCTGCGCGTAATCTTGCGCAGCACTTCCAATTCCTGCTTGCTCAGCTTTAGCGGCTGGCCGGTCGCGGGATCCGTCAGGCCGGTCCAGCCTTCAGGTATGTCTATACTGTCGAGTAGTGAGTCTAACGCCTCGCCCTTGGCTGGTCGTGCAATCTTGCGTCCATTGATGTCATAGCCAATATGGGGATAAGCTTCGTAGTAGGACAGAGGGATGTCGCCGATGGTGTTGCCACCGGCTGGCGCATCCGAGTCGTCTGAGTCGTAGACCGGATCGATCTCGCCGTAGATAAAGCGAGGGTTGCCATTGGCGTCTGTGGAGATGGTGTAGTTTTGTTGATCCGATCTATCTCGCGGTAGAGGTCTTACTGCTGTCTCGTGTGATAACAGACTGACTTCTTTCCCAGTCTCGCTCCCCATCAACTTTGTGTCCGGAGTAATTTCACGACCTCCAGTCTTCAAATCTCGCAATTGCTGCCGTACATCTTCCTCATCGTCAGAAGAAGGTATCTCGTCGCTTGCCAGGTCATCATCGTCTTCATCTTCTTCATCAAATCCCTCTACACTATCCGAGTCCCCTTCTTCGCTCTCTCCCTCGTCGCTCAGCTCTCCATTGATCAGACCCTCCACGATCTCATCTTCACTCTCATCCGCCTCTGGTCGTGGCACCTCCACCACCTTCCTCTTCTGACCCGCTCGCTGTTGAGCCATCGTATGTAAGATCTGTACCAAAGAAAACGACACATACAAATACCTCGAACTCTCCTCCACAGAATTCTTTTCCACATGCAAAGCTCAGACACCAGAAACTAATGCGCGGAGATCTAATCCCTGTTTCCCTCCCCTTCCGAATCTAATCTTATCTTGCCCTACACCCAAAAGTGGGGCACACACATCCTCGGACAGTCAGTCAGCCAGCCCGCATGAGAGCATACATAAATTCAAACTGCGTCAGTAGCACGAGACAACAATGTCCTCCACAATCCCCGTAGGCTCCTTCTTCGTAGGCGCACTGGCCATGCCCTCCACCATAACCACGACCGCCACCACGACCTTGACCTCGACTTCCGCCTCAGCCCCAGCATCTCAGACCAAAACATCCGGCCTCAAGCTAAGAGCAGCCTGCGATGAATGTCGAACCAAGAAGCTGAAATGTGGCGGTGAGCAACCCATTTGTTCGCGGTGTACGAAGGAGGGGATAAGATGTATTTACTCCCCGCAGAAACGGATGGGGAGGCCGAAGAAAAGGCTACGTACAGATGAGGATGATGTGGTGGGGGATAGCAGTGCCGAGGGCGTGACGGGTGGTGTTACTGGAGGGTATGAGATGGCGTGGCCTGCCAACGAGCTCATATCTGCGATTGGAAGGGGTGGACGGGACGAGGAAGCGGTAGTTGAAGACGTGATGGTGGAAGAAGATGTCTTCACGCCTAATGGGACCACGCTGCTGCCGTGGACACAGAGTCTGGAGTGGTCTCGGCCGGGAGAAGACGGTCATGGTGCTGTACCAGGTCTGACACCGGACTCATCTACATCAAGTCCACCGACTCTTGACCTCCCACCCGAACTACAGAATACCTTCACTCACGCCTCTGCAACAACAACAGGACAGTACACAGGCAGTACACACCTCCTCCTCGACCCCTTCGCCGCGGACAACGACCTCAACCTCGGCATGCCCTCGAATCTCCTCCCAACATGCGCCTGCCTCAGTACACTATACTTGACCCTGAACAACCTCCAACAACTAGACCCAACCACCACCCCCTTCCCCTTCGCCCTCCACCCCCTCCGCTCAGCCATGCAAACCGCCGCCGAAGTCCTCTCCTGCCCGCAATGCCCCACAAAATTCCTCTCCGCGATCCAAAATACCCAACTAGCCGGGACCCTGCTCATGAGTCTGGCTGAACGCTTCGGCAAGATCCTCGCCTCCATCACCTCAGAGGCGGAACGCGCAGAAGCAGAAAACGAAGAGAAGAAGTTCCGGCTCGCGGACATGAACACAAGTACCTCGCACCTCCACACCGGCGGCCTCGGCTGCGCAGCCGCGTTCTCCATCGACTTGTCCCCTTCCGAGTGGCGGAAAATGTGTAAGAAGGTTGTTAGGGCCGAGGTGTTTGGTCCGGCGGATGGGAATTCGTGTTGTCCTTTTTTCATTGGGATTATTGAGAAGATGGAGGGGCGGCAGGAGCATTGGCATGATAGCGAGCATCGTATGCCGGAGGATTTCCCCAGGGATCATAATGGGGGCCCGTTGGGTGGGGGGAATATTCCCAAGGAGGATCATGTTTGTTTGAAGCTTTGTGCGTATTCGAGGAAAGTTGTCGAGGGGTATGATTGGTCGTGAGGTGTGTGGCGGCGAAATGCTAGCAGTGGCAATCGTCGCTAGTAGCTAGATGGGATGTGCTACGATGGCAACCAGATCTCGACAGAGAAGGGCATATACCCGTAGTGCAAGCCGCTTCATGTCTTCCTCAACTTGCTCAGAGCAGCCATCACACCGTCATTGAGCGGGTCATCGTTGGCCTTGCGTTTCTGCGGTACTTCTTGCACAGCTTCTACTGTCTTCTTCGGTGGTATAGCAGGTCCGGTAAGCGCCTCAGCCAGAGCCTCTGTGTCATCCTGAAATGCAGCATCAAGTGGTAGCTCATTGGTCAGTCGTGATCGAGGTCGCTGATCCGCATCGCCGTCGCCTGGAGTCACTGTGCGTGCTCTACTCCCTCCAGCTTCAGCCGCTACAGGCCGTGGCGAGTCACTTTCCGCTCTCGTCGCATCTCTACTCAGCGCCGCCGTGCTAGCCTCGGTGTTCTGCGTGGAGAGCATACGTCTAGCTGCCCGTTTGATCCGAAAGGGTTCTCGGACAGAAGCACACCATCGCTGCACTTTCTTCTCGCCCCAGCCTGCTATCGTCGCAACGTCTTCATGTCGCGCATTCACTGCCGTACGTATTGTCCCGAATTGTGATACCAAGCTCACGGCATCCGTTTTGTTGATACTCCGTGGCGTGGTGATAAAGTCGACCATACGGTCGCTGTAGCTCGTGCTTTGATGCTGCTTGATGGATGTAGGTGCTGCGTTCTCATATGTTTTGAAGAGTTCGAGGTACCGACCGCCTTCTGCCGCTGACCAGCAGAGGATGAGAGTCACGTTGTTGATCAGACTTGTTTTGGAGAGTTCCTTGAGCGAGTCCTCGTGATTTTGGATGTCGACCATGGTTAAGACGATGCGGAGATTGTACTTGCCTTGCAGGTTGCGGATGCGGGTGTAGATGTATTCTGGGTGGAGTCGATGGTATTTCAGACTGAGGAACAAGGCACAAGTCATCGCGCCGAGAACATAGTCGGCTGGTATGTCGCCGTACTCCCAGGGCATAGACTTGATGTTGTTCAGGACGGGATTGCCTTTCTGGCGTGGCGAGACGATGATGCTAGCTGGTCCAGTCCTTTTCGTCAGTGCCTGTGGTTTTGGCTGCACCACACCTGTTCTGTTCGCATTGGAGCCATTAGATCCTCGATCGAGTCCTGCCGTCGCTTTCGGTCCAGTGGTGGCGCTATTGGTTTTGGATGCGCCGCTACCGTTTGAGCCATTTGTCTTGGTTGCGTTGCTCGAGAAGTCATCCTCTATCTCGTCCGCCATCGTGATCTCCTATTCTATACCGGATCACACATCGACATGACGGCCCTCAAGCCAACATGTCTAATTGCAGCCGATCGCGTGTGTCGTTTGCGTGTCCAAACGTGAAGTGGATGCACAAAGGTCAGCTTTGCAGCAAAGGCGGCAAGCACGGTACTGTAGACTATCCCTATGCGGTAAGCGCGGCCCATCTCCCGTGCTCCAGCCGTTGCAACTCTCAGTCTCATCACGCCGATCCACAGCCCTTCCACCCTCACTTCCACCCAGACAACCGGCCTGTCGACCAGCACAACCATTCCCGGCCGACATCGACAGACCAGCGAGACGACACCACGAGGGACCACCGATAGCAGGACGGCCGCATGACGAAGCACGACTGAGAATCTGCGCGGCGAAAGTGAGGCTTCGCCCACTCCAGCTCAACCACACCCATCCTTAACCCAGCATCAATACACCACACGACCACCACGACCACCACGACCACCAGTCAGTGACTGCCAGCAACCTCACCAAATGTCATCCGACGGTGAACGCAGTCCTAAGCGCCAGCGCAGGTCTTACTCGCCAGCTTCACCCGCTCTGCCGGAAACAAAGCAATCCTTTGTCCAACCCCCGCACACACCACCTCCGAGCGTCCACAGTGCATCAATGTCTCCAGCTTGGCAGCCGCAACATGTTTCTCAGCAGCAGCAGAACGGTGGTGGAGTGACGTTTCCCACGCCACCAAGTACCGCTGGTTTGCAAAGTCAGGTTCACGGGAGTCGGAGTGAGGAGGGGATGGAAAGCGGGCAATACACGCCGGCGACGGATTCGGACCCGAGAAGAGACGGTGACGGAGACGCTGAGATGGTGGATGGAGATGAGGTCGAGGTGGGCGATGTGAGTATGGCGAGCATAACGGTGGAGCAGGATGCGGGGCACAGAAGGACCGACCATGAGCGAGAAGACACAGTGGGAGATTCCGAGGCCGACATGCTACCTCCGCCACCGCCACGACTATACAAGTTGCACTCACAGCGTAAGTCCTACCCTTGCGCAACATTCACATGCAGCGCAATGGTTTGCTAAAACTCTATGTTCCTTTTAGCGATCGCTCCTGCGCGACCGCATTTCTCGTCCAATCTGATCGAGCTCTATGGTCTCGAATCGCTGCAAGCCTCTGTAGCACGCCGTGATGCCGCTGGGACAAAGATCAACAAGCTGCGTAAGTCGTACGAGGGCAAGGTGAAAGCCTTGAACCTCGAGGGGCGAAGCAAAGCTTCTGTCGGCGACAACGCGCTAGCAGGACTACTAGACCCACTCTGGGAGATGGACATGGGAAACGGCATGACTGGGTGGCAACAAAAGGTCAACGAACTCCCGCTTGACAACCCAAGCGCTCAAGCAGACGTCCTCAGCAAACTGGACTCCGCTATCTCCATGCAACCCGGCCATCTCCCCAAACCCGAACACCAAACCTGGAAAACCCTCCTCAGTCTCGACGAACCAAAACCCACCCCCGCGATGCCCGCCACAAAACCCTTCACGGCATCCGCCAGCTTCCCGAACGGGCCCCCATCAACAAACCCCGCTTTAGCCAAAACGGCACCAATGCAAGCCCTACGCTCCTCAGCCCCGAGCTCCCCTGCTGTCAGCCACCTGGGCGGCGTAAGACCCGAACGCTCGGGGAAGAAGCGGAGGTATGACGAGGCGAGTTATTCGGGCTATCAGGAGGGCTTTGATGATGATGGGTATAGTACTGGGGATGGGGCCAGTCGACGGGGGAGTGCTTCGAAGAGGCAGAAGACGGGGGGGATGTTGGCGGGGGGTACGAGTGGGAGGAAGCTTAGTGTTTCTCTTGCTTGAGGGGTGGGATTTTTCCCTGCAAGCAGAGGCAGGCTTGATGGGCGGCGAGTGCGACGAGTGTGCTTGGAAGATGCACGCATGGGTCTTGGCTTCTGGTGTGGTGTCGTGTGCGCGTTCGGTGTTGGTATGGGTTTGGGGATTGGATTTCCTGCGGGGTGATTACTGGCACGGCAATGAGAAGATATGGAAAACGTTTACGATACCCGTTGCATTGGCATGTACATTGGGCTAGGGGTTGGTGTTTTCGCGTGCTAGGCGTTTTCTGGCGTCGCTCTGTGGGGTTTCCGGGGGCCTTTAGGGCGTGGTAGCTGTTGCTCCTGCTGCCGCTTGAGTGTGAGCGTGGCTATGCGTTCTTTGACGGCTGGCTTTTGCAAGGAGAGATATCTATCGCTGGAGTGGTATGGGAGAATGCCTGTATTATTGCTATGACATAGGATGGAAAGAGAAGAGTCTGGGTCTGAACGCTACTATTGCTCGCCGTGGGTCGTTCATTGGTGAACGATTGTCCATCCTGGTAGCTTTGCTTTCACGTTATGAGCCGGTCGCTGTCTTGCCCTATGGCACGTTTCCATACCAGTAACCTCAGTGGCGCAACGCTGCAGCGCCACGATTTCTGCGCCTCCCAAAAGAGAACAAGCCTTGATGGTGTAGGGATCTTCCCGCTTGTGGAGCCTCCCATGAGCTTGCTTGACCAAGAAAACGTGGCTATGACCTCGAGATCCCGTCTCGTTTCCACCGCCGGCAATCATCCCACCATTGCATCCCACCTCCATCGCTGGTCGAGGGAGAACGCACCGTCCTTTTAACACATTTCGCGACATTGTTGTGTGAGATTGCATGCTGCTTGCTCCGCCTCTTCCTCCTACACGCCGTCTCGTATCCGCTTAGATAGTGGTACGCTAGTGCTTAGGAAGGAGACTGACGTTACAGTTGTTTATATACAAGATACACATAGAGTTTCGACTCGATTGTTTGGGGAGAGGAGCTGCGGGGGATATCGACATCGACAACTACAAGACGGCTGGTGGCGAGCTTGTGCGCAGGCGCTATAGCAAAGGCCGTTGACTTTACCCACATTGGGCAGCAACATTGGGCAGGAATAGTCAGCGAAAGATAGAGGAGGCTGTTGCGACTGCGGGGATTACATTCACGAACACCCTCCAAGCTACTAAGCGCTGGTGACCACTGTATGCAACGACAGGCACAACGAACCACGACCAGCAACCCACCATAGCATGCATTACGGACCAGCAAACCTACCAGTAGAACCAGCACGATGCAATACACACCACCTTCCGACACCGACCACCACCACCATTACAGCTCATAGCATGAGCCGCGCCCACGACATTCGCGCATAATGGCCTTACACCGCGGCATCCAATCCGCCATCTTCTACTACCTCTCCTGCGCCCCCTGCAGCGATGCGCGATACCGCAAGAAGCGGAAACAAGAGGCCCAGCGCGACCGGGCGGATCGGGAGTTGCTCGAGGCGCAGATGCCGGATCTGTATCGGCATCCTTCACCCAGCTCCACGAATCCGTATTGGCAGGCTGAGATTGCGCTAGGGCCGCAGCCGGTGAGTAGGAATGGGAAGAATAGGAAGACGCCGACGGGTGAGAGTCAGCGAGGCGGGAATGGGAATGGGAATGGGGTGTTGAGGACGAGTGCGACGCAGAGTAGCAATGCGAGTATGGTTGCTAGCAGTGTGGATGTGGCGCGGACGTGGAGTAGTCCCGAGTACAGGAATGAGAGCACGTCGAGTTTTGCCCAGCATCAACGGGATGATGAGCCGTTGTGGGGGGTGGAAGAGGAGAGAAATATGCCGTACCGGAATCGGCTGCGTGGCTCGAGTAATCCAGATGAACCTATTAGACCTGCGAAGGCGAGAACGAGGGATCCTACGATTTATGAGGCGCCTTATAATCCTACGATCAACGATCAGCACCCAGCGACCGTGACGAAAGTGAAATCACAAGATGATATTGCGTGGATGCTTCAGCCGCCGCCGGTGGCAGATGTCATGAGTGGGAAGCGGCCGCCACCGAGTAGGAGTGGGACGACCAGCAGTAGACGCTCCGCACACAGTGCTGGAACCTCACAACGGGGTAGTAATAGAGTCGAAGAGCTTCGATTACCGACTGGAAGCTCTTTGCTCTCGACAGCATCCCTGAACAGCAATATCCTCCCCGCGCAAGGCCAACGGCACGATAGAGATACCAGGATAGAAGAACGGGATTTCGCTACCGTGCCGGAGACGAGAGGGAGACGTCGACCACGACCTCTCGAATTCAAAAATGCTTCTGAGGATTCCGAACTCACGGTCCTGCATCGACCGTCCGTGGTTCCTGAACCGATACGAATACGTCGCGCTGCTTCTTCCCGACCACAATTAACAACCATCATGTCCGACAACATCACCTCAGCAACAGCATCAGGCACCGAATTCTTCATCCCGGCTCAAAAGCCAAAGGAGAATAGTCTACCAAGCCGTGCCCGTCAAACCGAAGCAGACGCCTCCTCCTCGGACGATCGCGACAGGATCTCCCGCCGTCTAGACATGATCCCCGGCAACGGCGCCGACACCCCCATCCGCCTCCTCCGCCAAGACCTCGGTCCCAAGACGCCAGCAACGTTACATACACGTATCTTCGCCTCGACGCCTGGAGCGGGTCCGGAAGGTCGATTGAGGATCCCTGCCGCTGCTGTGGAGGGGGGGAGTGAGGAAGTGGATGAGAGGCGGTTGACGGGTGGCCCGGAGTTGTTCGATAGTTGGTACACGCCTGATTTCGAGTTGAGTGAGTGGGTGCATGAGTATACGAAGAGGGATCGGGGGGAGGTGAGGCATCGGTGGTCGATGGATATTTGATGGGTGCGTGATGGGCTCTCTTTTTGCCTTTTTGGTCACGGGCTTGGGGGCATCTGTGCAGCGTTTTCGGCAAGGCGTCTCTTTTGGGGTACGGTACCTGAGAGTGGGGACACGCATACGCATACGCATGGGATTGGACTTGCATGGGATGCGTTTGTTGGAGTCTTACTCTTGTATATATCGGCCTTGAAGAGTCTCGAAGAGTGATCACGAACGAATCGAATCTGAGCAGTATGTCCGTACCGGCAACGGGCATCAATTTCCTCTCCTTCCTCTGCCGTCCCCCCCGCAAACCTCAGGATTGATATCGGACCAGGTTCATTCAAGCACCGCCGCATCCTCCTCCTATCCCTACCCCTGTCATCAAAATTTCCCAAGCCTCGGCACAGAAATCTTTGGCCCCCAGCACCTGTACGAATCCGAGAATCCTCTTCCGCCATCGGCTCCGTCGAAAGCATCAACGAACGACATCGCTTTCCTCTGTCCTTGAGACTGTGCGTACGGCCGACTATGTCACTTCCAAGACACGCTGTGACTATTTCTGCTTTCTTCGCTGCTCCACCTGCGTTGCGTTCGGAGCTTTTTCGGCGGGTGTTTTACGCTTCCGGTGGATATTCTGGTTTGACTGCTGGGACTGGGCGAGTGTTTGCGTCTGGGCGTGGAGGAAGTATTTATTTGGGATCGCTGTCGGGACTGGATATTGTTGGAAGGAAAGGAGGAAGAGGACTGCATTCTTCCGCTAGACGATTGAGGGAACTTGAGCAGAGGTTGTCGAGTCTTGAGGCGACAGATCAGACGACTCCCTTATCCGAGAAATCTATAACTATTTCAACCACCACTCCACCACCACCACCACCACCACCCCATCGCCTCCGTCGCATCTTCCTAGGAACAACCCTCTTCCTCGCCACCCTCCTAACCGGCCTCACCATGGCCGCCGCCCCGGTAGCAGAAACAATCAACGGCTTCGTGAACCCGCCCACCGACCACGAAACCCTCTCCCTCTTCCACCCCTCCACCCCTCAAGCCCAGAGGATAAACGACCACATCACCAACCACCCCTTATCAGTACACCTCCGCACGCAGGAGAAATGGATAGAATCCCGCCCTCATCTCAAGATCCCTCCGGCCATGCGCCCGCATAATCTCACCGGAGGGACATTATTAGGGGAAGGGAAAATCGAGGTCCCGCCCTTGACTTTCCAGGATAAAGATAGTGAATTACCGTCTTTGGTGCAAATCTCCTACATCGGCGCCGCGCTGTGCGGACACCCGGGGATCGTGCACGGTGGGTTGTTAGCGACGATGTTGGATGAGGGTTTAGCAAGAGCGTGTTTCCCTGCGCTGCCGAATAAGGTTGGGGTTACGGCGAGTTTGAAAATCGATTATAGGGTTCCTTGTCCCGCGGAGAGTTTTGTGGTTTTGAGGGCTGAGACGACGAAGGTGGAGGGGAGGAAGGCGTGGGTTAAGGGGTGGATTGAGATTTTGGGGGAGGGTGGGGAGGATGGTGGGTTGAAGGAGGGTGTCAAGGTTGTGGAGGCTGAGGCGTTGTTTATTGAGCCCAAGGGGGCGAAGGGCATGGCGAGGGTGTATAGTTCGCAGTAGGGTCGTTTTTGTGTATAGGGCTGGGATGGGAGGCGAGGGAAAGATGTATAGAGATAGATGAGAGCATAGAGTCTGTGCGACGAAAGACAAGTTGGTATTTTCTTCCCGCTAGAAAGTCGCTGCATATTCCTACCCCACCCAACGTACGCCCGTGTACGCCTTTGCTATGCTATGCTGTGCTATGCTGTGTCCTCTTCGCAAAATGCTATCGTGTGCTTCGTGGCTCTGCCTTCACCTCTCCTTATGCAGTGACACATCGCCCTACGATTCTCAGAAATTCGTGCCCTCCGGTGGCTGCGGCAGCTTCTTGTTCGAAGGCGCAGCCATGAACCGTCGGATCTCGATCAGGATGGTTTCCATGGTGAAGTCGCGTTTCCAGGTCGCGATGCTGGGGAGTTTGGAGATGTCCACCTGATGCCTCATTAGACCTTCAGATATCATTGATCATGTGCCTCGCTCTCACTCTCTTTCTCTCTCCCTTTCACTCTCGAAGCCGTGCCGTTGGTAGGAGCGACTCACCTTGCCATTCCTCGCATCCACACATGGTAAATTCACCTTACTGATGAAGGTCACTTCGGGTGGGATGTCGGGGTATTCGGGTCCACAGTGGATTTTGAGGGAGTAGATGCGGTTTTCGTGGACGCTCTGTCCCATGCATGACAATATCAGTAACTCATCCATCATCCCATCACACCATCTCATGGAGTGTATGTGTATGTAAGAGACGCACGTGAGGTGGACCGAGGATTGTGCCGTTCCAGTTTGTCATGAGGAGATCGTCACCTTCGTCTAGACCGTAGGAGCATGCTTCTATCATGTTATCAGCAGCTTTTTGTGCCAGTGGGTTCCTTGGTGTTGAGGTTGTGTGTATGGCATACCTGCACCCAAGCCTTTCTCGCCTTTCTCCAGCTCTTCTAGCAGTCGGAAGTTGCGCGGGACTTTCGCACCCATTTCTGCTGTTCGTGTCTATGTTGATGATTATGATCGAAATCTGCGGTGCAAAAGTGTTCGTCACCAGCAATTATAGCCTGTGTTCGTCGTGTAAGGGCTATGTGTGTGTCGTGTTGACTCGATCGATTGTCTGGTGGGGTGTTTCGTGGAGGGGCAGATCTGATCGATCTGGGCTTCTGAAACGCTTCCTCAAGTTCACTTCTTCACCGCACGCATCACATGCCTGATGCGTTCACGTTCCGAGGACAGATGGCAATGATTGACTGGTCACCGAACGAGACTTGCCCGTTGATGCCTTCAGCATAACGTGACAAGCCTCGTCCGCATCATATGAGCTTCTTGTTCAAAAAGGTTGAATATGTCAAGCAGACAATATGAACGCAAAGCAGCCTTCGAGGCCTTATCGAAGGGGGCCTACCTGGATGTCCTCCTGCCAAAGACGAGTGGCTTCGATGCTGCAAGTCTCGTCGAAAGTGGATCTGCAGAGGAGCTGGCAAAGCTTCCAACAAGACGGACCCTTTTCTTTGGTATGCAGACCACACTTCCACGCCAGGTCGAAGCACCACTAATCATCCCAGCAAAGACGAGAAGACCAGAATATTACTCGTCCTGAGGACTGGCGCTTCTGAGGAAGATGTCCGACAACTGTTACCGGATCTTGAGATAAACGCAATTGCCCACGCCACAGATGCCGTGCCTTCGAGCTCCGGTCACGCCGCCTCGGTCGCTGGCAAGCATGATATCGCCACTTGCAAGGTTGCTGGAACGGATGGAGTGCTCGTTACATCTAGCAGCGAGCACACATATGTCATCTGGAACATCACTATACACCTGACCCGACCTCGAGCGAGACTACATCGCCCTGCTGTCTATTTCACCGCCGCTATTAGCCTTGCCATTTCTCGGAACACACCAAGACACGAGAATGTTTCCAACATCATGACACCGTACCAGTCGTCGCCAAGGAACGTGCTCGAGCCGCTCGCAAACACCATGGAGTTCCGAGACAAGCAGATTCATCTTGCCGAGGGTCGCATCACCAAGGTGGCGCCGAGCACGATTTCCAAAGATGATTCAGCCAGGCCGATTCGTGGGGCTACCAAACGCGCATTTCCCATTATGCCCGCGGTCTTCGCGCGTGTGAGATTCAACAGTCTGCCTGATGGTGTCATCGCGAGTCTGCATCTCGAAACTCCGACCGTAGTGCCTGGGATGTTGGAGGTTTCTGCTGTCGACGTCAAAGCTCTTGATAAGACCGGCAAGAGCGGCGGTCGAAATACTACCGACGCGAGACTCAACAATTTTGGCGTGATCGATCCCACAGATCCGGTAAAGACAGTCACATGTCTTACTGATGCTATGCTACCGCTCAAGCTTAGCGCTGGCGATGAACAGGTATTGCTCTATCAGATCGCCGCGGAGAATGTTGCTGCTACCCTTGCCGTCAATATACAAGTTGTCGTTAACCTAGAAGAAGGAAGCCAGGTGGAGCTAGTCATCAATCCACAAGCGAAGATAGATGCCAAGGCAATTGCAGATGACACCATATACCAGTGGTCACGATCGACCCCTAAGGCAGTAGACGGGGGAGTGGCGTTGCCTCCACGCACCAGATCGCTACCGTCTCACGCCAAGATCTCCAACACGCCGCCAACACAAATTTCAGGAGATGATACGGATGGGAGTGTCTCCTTCCTGATCTCAGCCCCAGATACCGTCGCGCTTTCACAATCGTTTAGCCTCAAAATCAAATGCATAAACCATAGCACAAGGGAGCGCTCATTCAGCTTTCACTCAGTGCAGCAGAAGCCGGCTGTGCTTCGTGCACACGCCAAGACCACGGCGAGCAAGAGAGAAGATCTGACGATACCGCTACTAGATCGCAGAGACATGGCTGATGTGTTCTATCATACACCAGTTGTTAAGAGCGGCGCGGTACGAGCTACTGCTAGCTGTGAGGTCGCGATTAGCCTCAGCCCCTGCGTGCTCGGCGTATTGAATTTGGGACAGCTGAGGATCGTGGATCTGGATGATGGTCAGATGGTTGAGGTCAAGGATTTGCCGGACATTGTATGCCTTGAAGCTGATGAGGCAAACGCAACAACAGAGGACGTTCGAACGATCTTGCCTCCGGTTGATGCAGAAGCTGAGAGGAAAGACAATGAGTTTTTGGATATGGTCCATGCAAGTTGGGAGGCTTCAGAAGGTACATTATTTGGATGAGTACTTTCGGTCTACAACCTAGACGACCCTCTTGGTCGCTCGAGCTCTTTCGTCTTGCGCTGGAAGTTCTTGGCTAGCTGCCTGATCATGAGATCGAGCATGACGTCCTCGGAGCCACCGGGTATTCTGCAACAAGAAGTCAGCAAGAGTTTCAGGTGGAGTCATACTGGTGTCAACTACGCTTACCGCTGCCCATTAACTTCCCGCCACATACGCTCTGCGATCTCGCCCTGCCCAGTCCGTGTATACCCGTTCCCCCCAAACAACAACATAGCACAATCCGCACACTCCTTCAACACAATCCCCCCATTCGCCTTCGCCCCCGCCGTCAAGCCCCCGAGCTCCACATCCGCCGCTGCCTTGGGAAGATTGCACATCATATACACGAACTGCTCGACCCACGCCCACTGCGCCTCCAGCAACGCCCCGGCCTTCGCGAGCCGGTGTCGCACCACCGGCTGCTCCATCAGTGTTTTCCCGAAGGCTTCTCGCTTGAGACAGTATGCGAAAGCCGAAGACAACGCAACCCGACACGAGCGACTCGTACCGATGGCGATGGTCAACCGCTCGTGGTTAAAGTTCTGCATGATATATTTCATCCCCTGCCCCTCCTGCCCGATTAAATTCTCAACCGGGACCTCCACATCATCCAATTCAATATACGTCGTCCCCGCACTGATCTGGCCCTGGACTTTCAACCGCCTCATTTCCACCCCAGGGTGATTCTTCAACGGCACCACGAGCAACGACAACCCCGCCGCGCCCTCCCCTCCGGTCCGTACGGCCATGGAAGCGTAGTCCGACCAAATCCCATTCGTGATCCACTTCTTCGTCCCATTAACGATATATTTCTTCCCATCCGCGGACTTGACGGCCGTGGTCTTGATATTCGCCACGTCGGATCCGGCATCTGGCTCCGTGATCGCGATACAGAATCTTGTCTTACCGTGAAAGGCATCCGGGAGGAATCGTTCCTGTAATTGCTGGTTCCCGTATTTGATCACGCAGGGCACCCCGAACGCCATCCCCGTCGTTAATGAGCCGCCTGGACCTGCGAGCCCGGACGCGGACATTTCGTCCGTGTAGATTAGGTTGTGGAAGTAGGTGAAGTCTTCCACTTTTACCACGCCGAGGAGATTGTGGATCCCGGCGGCTTTGAGCTGTTTGGCTGGTAAGGGGGCCGGGAGGGAGGGGATGAGCATGTGGTGTTGCGTGAAGGTCTTGAAGAGGTGGTCGGGGACTGTTTCTTCTTTTTCCCATTCCATGGCGTAGGGGGTTAGGTGCTCGCTGATGAAGGCGCGGCAGGCTTGTTGCCATTTTCGTAGTTCCGGGGTGTAGTATGGTGAGGGTAGGCCGCAGAGGTATGGGGGTTCGCTGAAGGGGATTGGGACTGCGCCTGTGGGTGTTGTGCCTGCCATCCTGGCTAGATTGTTATATGATCCGACTGTTTGATGAAATGTTGTTGTGTTCTCATGTACGGTATACTCTCCGTCTCCGACGATCGACGAGCTGATTCTTACTTTAATGTTTATTGCTGACGTCCGAGGATGAGATGATGTTGGACTGCGGGGAGAGTTGAAGCCGAGGCCGATGGAAGGCCAAGACATGAATACCTAGCCGGAACAAGTCATGGTCATAACCACATCTACATACAGTACATGTGTTCATTATGATAGAACGACTGCTGCATGAGCGTCAGTCCTAGGCCTGAGGTTTGCTTCGTAAGAATTCAGATGACCACCCAACGCCTTGCTCAAAGACACAGAACCCACCACACGAAGAATACCGATCGTTTCCCGATTCTTGAGGAACATTGCATCGCTGTAGTCATGCCCCCATCGTATCGTCGCTAGACTCACTCTCGCACTTCCTCAAGCGTCTTGAACCTACCGTACACCCGCCATCCAGCAGCGTACAACCATCCCAAGGTCCAGTCGCCACAATAACTCGCAGACAACAGCAAGACCCAACTTTCATCTAAACTCCTCACCAGAACTCTACCGAGGTTTCGGCGCCATCGACGAAAGCGTCTGCGAAATCATGCCCTGGATCTCCCCCATCCCACTCGTCTCCATCTGATGGAGCAGTTCCTGCTGCTGATCATACGTCAGACCCGTGCCGAACGAGCTATCGTCCATGACCCAATTATATTGCGGCATCCATTGATCGTTGCCGTTGCCGTTACCGTTTGACATATCATGCGTGCGTGAGAAAGGATATTGTTGGCTGTGAGGGTCGAAAGCTGGGTTGCCGTAGGCTGGATACATATTTTGTTGCTGTTGGTGTGCGCCGTTGTTTGCGGTCGAGTAGTGTAGTGGTTGTTGCTGTGGGCCGGACCAGTTCGGTACGCCGAGTTCTGGTAGCCATTGAGGGAGAGGATTCGCGATGCTATTGGGGTCGAATGGCATGCTCTGGGCAGGCATATGTTGGTGATGAATGGTTTGGCCAGAGAGGGAGCGGGCATTGTATTGAGGCATCCCTTGGTTCTGTGCTGGTGGGATTACTTGGTCGAGGCCGGCTTGCATGTTGTCCATATGGCTCGAGTATGGCATTGGTGGGGGCTGCTCTACACTGCGCCTGGCTTGCTGCTGGAAGTAGCCAAATGGTGCTGTGTCGGCCACTGGCGGCGTCGTCACTGAGGTACTACTAACAGTTGCGGGACTAGTCGTCTGAGAGCCGTTGAATGAATCCGGGAACATGTGGCCAGGTGATGCTACTTCTGACGGTGTAGCTGCGGAGATGGGTATGTCGCCATCCTTCTCGTAGACCCTTAGCACAGCCGCGATCAGATTAATGTAGAGCTGCACAGCACTCGCAACACCTGGCCATCGATCCGAGGCCAATTGTATGCAAAGCATGGCGACCTCAAGATGCTGCTCCACCGTCGCTTTGTTGTGCTGTTTGCGTACCTCGTCGTAGCTTAACGACCAGAGCATGGTATTGATAGCCATGAACAGTGTCTGCGCAAAGACCCAAGTCAAGTCCACATTGTTGTTCTTCATCTGCTCTCGCATCACGTGGATGTTGTAGCGGCACGCGAGGAAACACTTCAAAGCAGCATCAAGTGTCGGCCGTGGTACTTGTGGTGACGGTCGGTAGAGAAAGACCACCATGGTGTTGTAGCGCGCAACGAACCAGACTTTGTCGAGACCAATGCCCTCGTCGTTATTATTCGGTGATGCGTCTCGCCACGCGCACAGCTTTGCATCCATTTGGTGAAACCATGGGTCGCGATCGTCTACCGGCTTCGGACGCTTTACTTGGTACAACTTTCGTCTGATCTCAAGTTGCAATAGTCGCATCTTGAAGAAGTGGATCGCAATCCATTTCTTCAGTGTCGGTCGTGGAGCGGTGACATCGATACCATCTGGTGTTATGTACTGGTCGTCGCACGTCTCGAACCATTTCACATCGACATGCTCATGGCTTGTCGCAAGCATCGCAGGTCGGCCGAGCGAATGCGCCAAGCCATAATCCATGACCATAATGCACCAGAACACCCTTCTTCTCATGTCAATCTCAAGAACGTCAAGTTTGCCGTCTGCGCCCGGTCGCACGATTGTCTTCTCTTCATGAAATCCAAGAGACTGGAGTAGCCGGACTGCTATTCCCAGTACATAGTATATCGCGGTTCTGGTCGGGGTGAGAAGAGAGTATTCTGCCATGAGAGCAAAAGCCTGCAACGTCCTCAGGTCCATTGGTTTGACTACTGGCTCTAACCATTTCAGCGCGGCGAGATAGTAGCTGTCGGCCAGGCCAGCGTACTGCGTGTCCATCTTCTGAAGGCTGATAGCAACTACCAGACGGCATACAAAGTTCTGGATAGGTGTGGCGTTGTCGCGCTTTGTGTAGACTGCCTCCACGTCCGCATCCAGTGTTGGTTCATGCAGAGCTGGGTACAGTGGCTGCACCCTCAGCTTGTATAACTGTACGACGAGATCTGTAAGTGGTCGCTGCGGCAGATCATCCGCAGCAACATTGCTGATCAAAGGATACACTTTTGAGGTCGGCTTCGCTTGCTCCTGGTGGTATAGGTCCTTGATCTGCCGCGCTCTCTGCTCCGGTACAATGTCCTTGATACTCTTGGCGTCCGTGAATTGTTTCGCCAGTTGCATGACCAGCCGTGTAATAGCAATGCCGCTCGACGGTCCCAGATATTTTGTGTCTTGAGCATCGTGCATCCGTATGGTGGCTGCTTGCATCATGGTTTCCGGATCGTCTCCTGCGTCTTCGTTCTCCACCTGGTCCAGCTCTTTTTCCAGTTGCCGAACTTTGTGCTGGAGGTGCACGACATAACTCCTGTTCACATTCTGGCCTCTATTCGAGTCGAAGTATTCGCAGACGGCACTTGCTCGCTCGCAAGGACCACATCGTGGTAGACCTGGGTCGCATCGGGTTTTGCGCTTGGTATGTTAGTCTGTGTGCGATCGCACATGGCTACTCAGTCCATACCTGTCGACATCGTGTGCATGCAGTCCTGCAGAAGGCATGTCAGCGACCTCACCCGACTTAATCGTTGCCTTGTCACTGACAGTGTGTGCGCGACTTGAGACGAGGATGGCTCGCCCATGCTTCCTTCATTCCTTGCAACCGTCCGAGGTCTTGAGGAGCTCGCCATAGGTGGTGGTGAGTGTGCTGTAGTCGTCCAGGCGATCCCCAAATAATTCTCGTGAGCCGAATGTGTAGCCTCATAGGACTGCCATGTGCTACCACATGGGCATATGTGCTTGGGTCTATACTGCTAACACCACAGTGGGGCAGTCGTGCATGACAAGGCTGTGCTCAATGTGCGTATGACGTTGCTTGTGGATGCGGTATGCCTATGCGAACATCCATCGTTCCATCTCTAACAATCTGTCGGTCGTTTCCCAAGGGTCCTTAGTGTGGGAGAGAATGCGCATTGCATGCAGGTCAAAGGCGCAGCGCACCTACTCTCAATCGAGCTTGGGAAGGAGGACCATTCCAGCTCCACGGGAATATATAGTGGGGCATCAGGACATCGTTAGCTCTGCCAATGAGGTGAAGATCATTGCTGCCATCAGCAGGATGAGCCGGCATTGGCCTCTCTATCTCTCTCCTCTCGCTTGTCACAGACGGTGAGCAGCACGGGAGAGTGACATGAGCTTGAATACTCGCGCGCATATCAGGACAGGTCAAAGCACAACAGGGCCGAAGGCAAAACCGCCATCTCATGCGAGTGGCTTGACTTTCGTCTGGCGCATGTAATGCTGTTCTGCTCAAGTGGGGGACCGAATGCTTGGAGAGGGGGAAATGTTCGCCATCGTCTCGCAGATAGCGTCCGACCTTTTCCCTGACACCAGATGCACAATCATATAACTTCCTAAACATCTGCTCCTTCCTTCCCGAGCCATCAGCATAGCCGTTTAGAAGAAAGATCATTGGCGGCCGAGAGCGAAAGGCACGGCGGCACGAGGGACCATTTCCCAAATCTGTCCCGCTCGCTGCTGTTTGCTGAAACACTATCCATCCCGCCAGCATACTACAGTCCGAGTGATTTGACACCACACACGGCCGCACGATCCAGACCGCCGCCGACTAAGTGAGGCCGCACGTCTCCAACGCCTCGCGATTCGCTTGGCGCAATACCTGCATGCAATACGGACGAACCAGTGCACCATTGAAGTAGGGCTGAGGCTGTGCATAAGAGCTACTGTAAGGTGCGTGGGTACCACATTTCTGACCGCAGCCCCGTGCAACTCGACCTCACTCATTGATTCCGGGAGGGAGGGAAGCATAGACTTCACCGTTCGCTGCTCACTTTGCCTTTGGATGGTTCGACAGCATGGCGGATCTGACCTCATCATCTCGTGCACCCGACCAAACACTTTCATGTTGTAGCAGTCATTCGCAAACTCAGCTCACAATGGCAGCAGACGACGTCGATGCGAGTACCCTCATGCCGCTTGATACCCCGCCGCTGAAGGTCTCACGACCTGTGGCAGCGTGCTCAAGATGCCGCAATGCTAAGATCAAGTGCGATGGCAAGCTTCCGGTAAGTCTATGATGAGCGGAGTGGAACGATATCGTATTGACATCGTCACAGGCATGTAGTTCGTGCGAGAAGACTGGCAGAGCCGCCGAGTGCACGAATACCAATGACGAATTTGCCCGAGGTAAAGAACGTAGCTACGTGTCTACTCTGGAGACGAAAATCGAACGACTCCAGGCGAGGCTGGAAGAAGCCCGGGCTCGCAAGCCTTCCGTGATATCCATCCCAGATGATGAAACTTCCGTACCTTCTCGGCGCGAGTCCTTTAGTGTACAAGAGCCGACACCACCTGGCCCGAGTAAAGCACAGAGACGGAATGAAGCCTCCGCCATTGATGATCTCGTATCGGACTTCGGCTATCTATCGGTCAATGCCACGGCGAGAGACTTCTATGGCTTTACGATTGCCATGTCCTACGCAAGACTTGTGATGTCGGCCTGTAGCAAAGATCCGTTTCCGCAAGGCACGACCAAGGCACTACCACCACGTTACGTTGCGACTGCATTGATACAGCACTACCTGGACAACGTCTTCGTGCTTTTGCCCGTCTTCCACCAGGCCACCTTATACACGTCTGTGGACAGAGTCTATACGCGCCATTCGCAAGAGGCCAAGGCTCTGGATTTCTGGATGGTACATATGATCCTGGCCATCGCGAATGCGTCGAACTCTGAATCGCGAGGTGATCAACACCATCTTGAAGGCATTGGTCATGTTTGTGCTGCGCTCGAGCGTGCCGAAGAAGTGCTCCAACCTGGTGCCATTTCGAGCGTGCAGGCGCTTGTCTTACTAACACAATACGCCATGCTGGACCCGCATCATCTGGACTCGTGGAGCTTGATTGGTGCAGCCTCGAGAGCCATGGTCGACCTTGGTCTACATCAGGATCCACCGAAAGGTGCATCAATGCCGAAGGCCAAGCTAGAGCTACGTCGCAGAGTGTTCTACTGTGTATTTGCTCTCGACAGGTCGACATCGCTCGTGCAGACTCGAGCATTCTCGTTCTCCGACGACAGTACGAAGGTCAAGATACCTTTCACGAAAGCTCAGGCACTTTCACAGACATCTCCGAACCAGAATGGCCATTCATCAGGATGGCTACAGTCGTATGAGCATGCCCTCGATCTCATCTTACTTCGACAGTTGCAGTCGATATGGTATACTGCGCTGTTCCAGTCGGGACGCGGGCGATGGGAAGAGCCCTACCCTTACATCTGGACGACCTGCGACACCCTGAGAAAGTGGTTCGACAACCTGTCAGGGTCCACATCACAGAACATGAGGGCGTTCTTTGAGCTCGACCTGCTCTACTCATATGTCTATGTCCTCTCTCCGTCGCCACGAGTACCGGCCATCGACCCATTCGCCGCAAAGCTGATCTTCGAATACTGCATCAAATATGCGGACTTGATGCTACGACTGATCAGCGATCCGTCGTACACAGCGCCGATGACTTTCTACGATGCCATGAGAGTCTATATGACAGGCAGACAGTTTCTAGATGTGCTGAACCTTAACGCGGAAGCACTTATTCAGGGGCATACACCGCCACATCCACCTGTCCGGCCGTCAGCGCCCGCGCCACCTGCACTGCCAAGAGTGTCTATTCCACCAGGAGACAATATGGCTCGCTTCAACACAGCACGCAGTCTTCATTGTATCAAGCAAATCACAGAGTGTCTGACCAAGTTCGGAATGCGCTGGGGCTACATGAGGTGAGTCTGAGAATGATGAGCAATAAGACCCTACAGCTAACATGACAGTAGCTGGAGTCAGCGATACCAGGCAGAGACTGCCGGCATGCACGAATATCTGAACCAGAGATTGAGAGAGATGGAAGGGTCTGATCCTGGCAGGAGACCAAGCATGTGGCATCATGCTTCATCCTCCGGCTCCGTGCATAGCAATCCCGGAAGCATGGGTAGTATCCAGTTCTCGCCACCCCAGGGTCTGGCGCCCGGTCCAGCGTCATACAGACAGGGCTCAGTCACCGGCTTCAACATGGCTGGGTTTGGAGATTTCGGCCAGGTGCAGACTAGTCCTCCCGCACACCACTGGAGTAATACGCCTTTCCATCTGCAACCTGGTCAGCCCTTCGAGCCACAACAGCAATTCTACCAGACTCCATTCAACTTTGCCGAGCCGCCAGCTGCTGTGGACCGACATCCCCATGCCAACGCGCCTCCGAGCTTACAGTTCGCTGGGTGGGGTGGTTATGGAGGGTCGTCCGGACCAGATACTCTGGACGAGGAGAATGCAGTACCGCCAATATAAGCCCTACATACAAGTGAAGAAAATCGAAATGCTGAACGGAGTCTAGACAGGGTCCGAGCACTTGTTTGAGATAGCACCATTTCCCGAGCCGCCGAGCGATGAGAATATCAGTCCCTCGACGAAAGTGACGCGAGGCACGACTATGGAAGAGGCTGTGGAGATAGCCAAACAAGAAGTGATCGCGCGCGACGAGGCGAAGATGCAAGCGCCTACCATTCAATCGAATGAGCAAGAGGGCGAGAGCACGCAGGCGGACAAGGGGGTTGGAAATAGAGGTAGCAGAGAGTCGATCAGCCAGAGAGTCCTTAGCAGTCTATCCTTAGACATCCCATCTCGCCTCTCAAGGCGCCGGAAGAAGCTAGCTCTGCAGAAGCTGCCCACAAGCGCGCCTAGGCCAAAGGCTCCACCGCCTCGTCCATCAAGAGCTATGCCGGTCGAGCAAGCGGATGTGCACACCCTTCAAACAGGACTTTCTCTGGGCGGTATTGGCGTTTTGCCACGGCCTGAGGCAGATTCGATGGGACCGCCACCACCGCCATTCCAGCCTAAGACGCAAGCCAGCACCGGACCTTTCACATTCTCGATTCCACCAACGTCTGTCCTGCCACCGCTGGAAGGCAGAGGTCCTGCGCTCCCAGCTGTGGCGTCGAGATACGCTTCGCAGTCTTACTGTCCTGCCCCGGTCATGGATACGAGACGAATATCGATGGTCGAGGCTGCTTGCGAGTTTGCCGAAACATTTGAGCAGCCTCGACCACAGTACAGTCCACTTGATCGCGTACAGTCGCCTCGCCTAAATCGCTTTCCACGTCAAATACGGCGTCCGGATGGACTTTCGGATGAGCCTAATATCTCAGAGAAAGCCAAGGGCAAGCAGCCTGCTTACCTAGCCCAGCGCGGGACGGAGAAGCAGAATCAAAATAGACCCTCCGCAACACGACAAGAAGCACAGCCAACAGAGCCAGCGCCCGGCAGAACTGCCTCCGATCCCATTGACCTGGTCTCTCCCAGCATAGTTTACCCAGGCCTGACATACACCTGGCCACCTCTATGGCAGCCCACACCCAACACCGACTTCTCCCACTTCACCTACATCTCCGGAGCGGGCTGGGCATGTCATCACTGCCAAACGGTCGTTCAAAGACGCGAATTACATTCCACGGATGGCAAGCCCTGTTTTACTGCCGAACGTGGGTCGTTCAGTCGAGCGGAGCTAGAGGTGGAGCCGGAGAGTCCGCAGACGCCGACGAGGAAGTGGAGGAGGAATCAAAATCTTAGGGGTGGGAGAACGGGTGGTGGTGGTGGGACTGAGACGAGGGATTTTGCGCGTCCGTGAGGGGTAGGTGTAGGTGCAGGGTACTCAGCAGAGTATGGGAGAAAGCAGGTGAGGTATTCTTGTCGATTAAATGTGGGTTAGGGACTGGGCTTTCATGCTCTCATTTTTGGAGGGCATGAATGCTGGTTGTCTGTACATTCCTCCTGGATACCTGTAGAAGCAGAACTCTTGCTATCTGGCAGGGAGATAAGCAGATTATACCACCAACGCCATCGCTAATCACAATCACATCTCTCATCCTCGAATAATGATCTCACGACTCAAGCGGCTACAGGCTCAGCAGCCTCCCTTGCCCGTGCTTCTCGCCGCCGCTTGGCTTTCTGCGCTGGTGTCTCGGTAGGCGCATCGGGGAGATCAAGCTGCTGTTGTTCGGCGAGGTTGCCGTTGGGAGCGCTGGGTAATTTCACACCACTGACTTCGCGCTCCATGGCCTCTAGCTCGTCTTCGACTTCGTCTTCGTCTTGGTTCGACATCTTGCCGCCGAGCATGTCGTTGATTTCCTGTGATATGTGTTAGCAAATTAAGCTGGGTTTGACATATGCCGATCTTGACAGTGGTCGGTGTGGTTACCTTTTGATACTCCCGCGCCTCCTCTGACTCCCCTAGGATCATCTCCACCTTCTCCAACCCTCCCATCTCTTTGTGTATCTCCTTCAACACTGACGTTCCCTGCTGCAATCCAAATAGGACATCCTTCTGCACGAGTGCAAACTCCACATCCGAGGTCAAGGCTTCTAGTTGTGCCAATTGCTGATCTGTCTTGGTGAGGAGAGACTTTTGGTACCTTTTCCGCCGCAGTGCTAGCAGTGCCTTTGATTTATTGCCTTGCCGTAGACATTCGCGAGCGACTTCGGTCTCGCGGTCTGTGATGAGTTTTATGCGTTTTTGGTACTGGTGCAGTCTGTCGCGCTGCACTTTCATGTCGAGGATTGCTCTGGTTTGGGGATTGTCTCAGCCTTGGGTTACGGTGTTGGAGGTGCTAATAGATATCCTGTACCTATCTTGCGCTGACACCTTGTTGGAGCTGTTCGCGTTTCCCATCTTGAATCACCGATCGTTTGAACAAGCAGTGATACAATTGTGATCGCACTCAGCCAATACCTTGCTGGACGACTGATCACGATATCGTGGGTTATCGAGGAATCAACCTACGGCTTGATGAATGTGTGTCTATCTTGATCTCGATGTCAACAAACGTCATTTAATCCACCCTGGTGGATGCCACGTGCTTTTGCCGCGCCGAACCTTCGTGGAGAACCTTGTTCCGCAGACCCTGCAGATCCCGAGCGGCGACCGAAATCTCGAAATCTTGAAGCATGAACATGAGACAAGAAGTGAATCTCATCGACTGCAAATCCGCGCAATGCAGCGGCTACAGGGAGCCCTGGACAACGATATTCTCACGGCGGCCAGGAAGTTCTTAGAGCAAGGAGTGCCGCCTCAGGTGGATGAATTGTATACCGCCCTGCAGAGATCAAATTCTAGTCTGAAGCGTAGACCGAAAAAGGTACTCCACAGCAGTTTGGAGAGGGTCCTCGATTTTCTAGGCATACCAGAAGAGCCAGGCGACGACTCAGATGCAGCTATAGAACAGCGTATGCCAGAGGATACCACAGCCGATATCATGAACCGATCCCTGCGAGCGAATCTTGCCCCGACACCAGTAGAGGCCGACTCGACACCTCAAAAGCGGCGAACAGCTAATGGAGAACCGCTTCCAAAACGACAGAAGGCTGAGAAGCCCTCTCCTGGCACGGCACCAACTGATGTGTCACTTGACGACATCGGTGGTATTGACGAAATCATCGACCAGATGGAGAGATTACTGGTCCGACCACTGCTAGCACCTCAAACGTATGCTGAAATGCATGTACCCATCCCCAGGGGAATATTGCTCCACGGACCACCAGGGTGCGGGAAGACGATGTTATCTCGAGCTTTTGCAGCTGAGATGGGCCTGCCATTCATCGAGATCTTGGGTCCTTCGATCGTGTCTGGAATGTCTGGAGAGTCCGAGCGTGGGCTGCGCGAACGATTTGAGGAAGCGAAAAAGAACGCGCCTTGCATTATTTTTCTAGACGAGATCGATGCTATTGCGCCGAAGAGGGATACGAGTCAGAGTCAGATGGAGAAGAGGATCGTTGCGCAATTACTTGTGAGCATGGATGACTTGGATCGGGATCAGAGTAAACCTGTCATCGTGCTGGCTACTACGAATCGTCCCGATGCTATTGATCCGGCACTACGGCGAGGTGGTCGTTTCGATACGGAGATCAACATACCTGTGCCCAATGAGGGCATACGAGAGCATATCCTACGAGCTCAAACGAGGAGGGCACCCATTTCAGCGGATGTAGACTTCAAGCAGCTCGCCAAACGCACAGCAGGATTCGTTGGCTCCGACCTACACGATCTAGTCGGCAAAGCCGGATCCTGGCAACTCGAACAATATTTCTGCGCCATGAAAGCCCAAGGGCAGGATATGAACATGGACATCGATTCCAGCCCCGAGACCGCCGGTAAAAGAGTCAAGCGCTTTATCGCGCGCCTCAAACGAACCGACATCCCAAAACCTCCAGGCTTCGAAGACAACAAGATCGCAATGTCAGCTTTCGATGCCGTCCTCCCTCATATCACGCCTTCCTCCAAGCGAGAAGGTTTCGCAACCATCCCCGACGTCTCCTGGTCCGACATCGGGGCCCTCCAATCTGTACGGGAAGAACTCCAAACCGCCATCGTCGAACCCATCCGCGACCCAGACCTCTACGCCTCCATAGGCATCACGGCCCCAGCCGGCGTTCTCCTCTGGGGGCCCCCCGGATGCGGCAAAACACTACTAGCTAAGGCCGTAGCGGCGGAGAGTAAAGCGAACTTCATTTCAGTCAAGGGACCGGAATTGATCGATAAATTTGTCGGCGAGAGCGAGGCAGCTGTCCGGAGGGTCTTCAGTCGGGCGAGGAGTTCAGTTCCTTGTGTCATATTTTTCGACGAACTGGATGCGTTGGTTCCGAGGCGTGACAGCGCTGTATCGGATAGCAGTGCGAGAGTGGTCAATACCCTGCTCACGGAACTCGACGGTCTGAGCGATCGGAAAGGAATCTTCGTTATAGCGGCTACGAACAGACCGGATGTTATTGATGAGGCTATGATGAGGCCTGGGAGGCTGGAGACGCCATTGTTTGTTGATTTGCCGGGTCCCGAGGAGAGAGTGGAGATCTTGAAAGCGTTGTTACGTGGTAAACCTATTGGGAAGGGCGTCAGTGGTGTGGAAATGCCACTCGAACATGGAGACTCGACTGGGGTCCTCGCCTCGATTGTTGCATTGGCTCGTACGGAGGCGTGTAAAGATTATAGTGGAGCGGATCTCGGGGCGCTGGTCAGGCAAGCGGGAATGGCCGCAATCAAGAGGAAGTCTCGATACATGGAAATCGAGGACTTTCGTATGGCTACCGACAAGATCAAGGGTTCGGTGGGGGATATGAAGAGGTATTATAGGCTGAGGGATAAGTTCGGGAAATCTTAGGTAGAGTGTCCTTGACGAAATCGCCTGGAGCTTGATGCGTTGACGGCGAATGTGGTAGCCCAACTTGCTCGCGATTGGGACAGGGATAACCACACTCTTGATATTCGACACAAATCAGCCTTTCAAGCCTTGGACGAACAAGCTTCTCATTCCCTTCAAAAACCCGCCCAAATCCCTCGTCTCCCCAAGTTTTTCCACTGCCTCATCTACATTCTCCCGCTCCAACTTCGGCGACGTGCCTCCAACCTCATACTCCCTCCCACCCATCCGCAACTCAAACCAGCATTCCCTCGCACTGTCCCTCTCATCGACGCACAAGAAGACGAAGCGCAAACAGTCTTCTACACCTGTGCCTTCGATTCGCAGACCGAGACAGTGTTCCCAAAATCGCAGTTCCGGGATGTTATGCCGGGCTTGGGCGTCCAGGGAACGCTGGTAAGCTGATTGTGCTTCACGACGTTGTTTAATTGAAGTCTGAAGGTCAGTGATCTCGGTTTTGAGGTTGTCGCGACGGGTGACGTGGTCTTCTTTCTGGGCGGTCAGAGTGGAGATGGCGGCGTGCATTTCTTCTGTTTCTGCTGCTTCTTTGGCGATGCTATCGGCGTGTTGGGTGGACTTGGACTCTAGATTCACAATCTGCTGTTCTCTATTGCGTTGTGTTTCTGTGGTTGTAAGTCAGTGCCATGTCCTGTGTTGTGTGGAAGGAGTCGAGATCATACCCTCGATTTCTGCCACGCTCATTCGGAAAGCATTGCGCTCCTCCAGCACACGTTTGCGTCCTCGCTCGATGAACTCGTCGAAGCGCACGGTGAATTGTGCCATGCGCTCGCGCAAGTCATTGAAGCCAAAGTCCACGCTGGGTAGAGTGTCGGCCATGCTGGGCGCGTTTGCATTGTATTGCTGCGCCTGAGAACCAGATAGCGAAGACCCGAAGCGCGATGGGGTCATCATGATGCCGGCCATGTTAGATTTGTGGTCGACCAGTGGCGTGGTATAGAATATGTTCTGGTTTATGTCATTTGCTAAGTCTTGCAATATGACGAGCGCGACACACAAGTAAACAAGCGGGTAGCAACCGGCTGCTCCCGCTGGAAGAAGGGAAAGCGCGCTAGCAAACCGAACCTCGTTCTTCACTTTCACCTTCGGTTTCGGAAAATACTATCCCAGCGTCAGGAATATAACATCAGACCACGGCAACAGACTGCTCGTAACAGCAAGCATAATTGGTGAAGTCGATACGAACCAACACCAAGAATCCAGCCTGTCTCGCCATGTCTGAGGTCGTTCTGGCAGCCACAAACACCCCATCACCCGACAAGCCGAATGGCTGACCATCAGGACTACGACTTGCCATATGGAAATTTCGGACTGGCAAATTATGATCCCGAGCAACAGACCTGGATATTTGAGCGATCGGAGGGAACTAGCGACAGATTCCACATCCTAGGGCCACCAAAGTCTGTAGCAGGCCCAGCCGTACAAGTACCAAGATCGGATTCATCGAGAAGCACCCAACCTAGTCTGAGACATCCGTCAGAGATTCAAGCCCTCGTCAAGCGCCTCCCGGAGCTTCAGCCAGCCTCAAGTCTTTTACCAGCCCATCTGAGGTTATCAGAAGCAGTAGAAGCAGCAGTTGATCGCCATGACGCACGGAAAGGCAACCTACTCGACCTCGGGACCATTGTTTCTGAAGCATCTGGTCACGCCATCACTATCGCTGCATTCCCATGCGGCACCACTGGCACCGATCTGCGCCTTGTGCATGTTCAGGCTCAGAAACGTGGTTGGGATGACTCCAAGAGCGCCTGGCTCAATGTTCCTACTATTCATGGTGAAGAGGCTATCTGGTGTGGTCCAGGCGCTGCAATCCAGCAAGTATGCTTCGCGAAGGCCATTGACAGGACCGATGCTTTCCTGGCTGTGCGGATGTTGACCAAGACACTTTTGTTCCGTCCAATTTTGCGCAAGACACCGAAGTCTAGCTCTGGTGCTTCGAGACTGGATACGAACCTCTGTGTAAAGCTTCAGCTATCGGAGAAGACTGGTTTTCCGCATGCTGATGTCTCGTTCAACCCGTGGTATACTCGGCAATGCGCTGTCGTGGATCAGGCTGGCGGCTGGGAGGTTTGGGAGCTGCAGGATCGAAACACTTTGACAGTCAAGCGTTTCTGCTGGTATCACCCATTCACTCCGGATGGTAGTGAGGGTTCGAGAGTACCATTCGATGGCTGGGCTTGCATTACATGGGTCGCAAACCTGTTCACAATTGCTGTTGCGACACGGAAGGTTGTGAGAATGCACAACATAACGAGCGGAGGCGAGGTCACGAATGCGGTATGCCTCCTTGATCTACATGGCAGCGACAATTGGATCTTGGACATGGCTACATTGCCCTCGCGTCCTTCACATATGTGCTTGCTCACGAGCACACACATTATGCTATACTATATCGATGAATCGTCTCCAGGGTCATTCCGGTTCTGGAGTCTGGGACGTGTAAAGCATTTCCGCAACCCCAACGACATCACAATGCGCTTCTCTGCGTTCGTCCTTGGCAGCCAAGTGGCTATACTTCTCAGATCGGACGTGGATTCGATTGTGGCTGTCTACTTTGTTACCTTCGATAACCAAGATGGCGTTCACATTACGATACCTTCTGATTTGAATGTGACGTCTGCAAACACGCCACGACGGTACCTACACTCCGTAGCCGGCTGGCATCTAGCGGAAGTCGGTTTCGGAACGCACCCGAGGGTGAAGAGCGACAGCGTGGCATTACCGTTGCGAGACTCGGGTGTCACATTCGCAGCTCTGACCATTTTAGATGTAAACCTGACATTGCAGCAGACTATGCTATACATATCGCCACTTAACTGTGCACCTCGCATCCCGGTCCTTGCGTGGGAGAGTCGACCTGGTGTAACAACAAGAAGGCTTCGGAAAGAGGCCTTCATCGTAGATGATGATGATGAGGGTCCGATCGAGCCTGGAGATGAGACACAGCGAACGGTCTCGGCCTTTGCTGCTAGAAGAATGCGCGCGAACACCGCTAGAGCTGGTAAAGCATGGACTTTACCCCTTTCCGGTGTGGCAGAGGCGTTGCAGACTCCCGCGTCCAGTGAACTTGACACCGTCGTCGACATTCTAGAGCTTACGGAGGCACGTCTGAGCGCGAAGCAAGATGATGATATCCTGCCGTGGCGTATCTTGACTGATATAGCGTCGACGGAGCTTGCGGTATCAGATATGGATGAGGCTCAGAGCCGTGTAGAGGCGTTACTGTCGCTGCCTGCGAAGACATTACATGTTCCACCGGAAGACGCGACTGAAGCCAGCACAGCTGTGCAAGTCGCCGTAAGCGATATCACGTCTGGAAGGACCGGTAGCATCTCCGACGTACGTGCGGCAATCGTGCGAGATTGGATCGCTCCATTGGCCCCCGACGTGACTGGGAGGGTGCGCTTGGCTAAAGAGCAGTTAGCAAGACGTATGGCAGCGGAAGTCGCGCTAGCCGCACGCGTCCTTCGGACTCCTCTGTCGACGCTCGACTCTCGATCCGGAGCTCAGCCGACCCAGGAGAGCTTCGACATCCCTGTTCGTGCGGGTCCGTCCATCGATGCTGTACCGCAGAGCAGTCAAGTAGCTTCTCAGCCTTCGGTCTTACCGACCCCCTCACCGTCTGCTACACCCTCGCTCATGACAGCCTCGAGCCATCCTTCGTCCTTTGCAGCACTCGAGATCAGCCGCCTGAGCAAATATACGACCATATCTGGACCACCAACGAGTAGTCTTCCGCGCTCTCTAAATAACGTCCTATCGCACTGGAAGATCGGCGCAGACCTAGCCGACTATGACTGGCGCTCCACTACCAAAAGACTGGCTCAACACGAGGACGAGCAAAACGATGAACAGATGACCGAGAAGGAACGTCTTCGTGTACAGCGACGAGCTGAAAGACATATCAAGCGCCAGCGGCGAGAGGCAGCGGCTAGCCAGGCACAACAATTTGCGAGCAGCCAGGCGCCAGAGATCTTTAGCGCGAGTCAGCCTCAGCAGGTACAGAGGAAAGTGGAATCTCAGCCGACGGGCGCGGCGGCGAGTAGCCAGAGCGTTGGATTTGGTAGGATGCCGGCTAGTCAGGTCGTGCCGGGGCGGTTTGGTGGTAGGCCGCCGAAGAAGAAGAGGAAGCAGGGGTTCTGATCTATCGTATCAGGCGACATATCTGTGTATTAGGCTCTCGATTCGTAAAACAAGGCTGGTAACACTCACTCGTTTCGAAAATGCTTGTATATGTCTACATACACCTGCAGTGCATTAGTCCTCACGCCACCTTATCAACCAATCGCCTTTAGCAAAACTCGGTTCAACAACCTGATCATTCATAAGAGCCTCACACTTGCGCCTGACCTTGGCCGGCGTCTCTGAAATATCCTCCTCAGCAACGCCCTTGTTCTTCTTTCCTCCACCTTTCTTCCCACCACCACTCTTGCCCTGCTGCCCTGCCCCATCGCCAGCGAATTCAGCATCAACCAGCAGTCCAAACGCTACGGCCCGTCTAGCAGCACACTTCACGCTCTCCTTCTCCTCCGCCCTCTTCTGCCCCTCCCGTCGTCGTGCAAGCATCTCAGGCGTCTCGGAGATCTTCTCCGCCCAGCCTCGCTCCCCTCCGACGGAGAAATTGACGTCGCTTTGGCTCTGTGGCACGCGGACGTGAGGGTTATCGCTGAGACTTACGCCCCCTCCTAGTACTTCTTCGAGGTCGTTGTCGGTTGCTGAGTCTGCTGTGTCTCCGTCTGTCTCTGGGTCTGTATCATTGTCTCGTGCTTGACTACGGTCGTCTGGTTCGGGGGAGGACTCCATGTCCACCGACTTCCATTCGCCTTTCTCGGGTACGAAACGAGCGCGGCGGTTCTTACGGCGGCCGTAGCTTTTCTCTGGGTCTGAACGGTCGCCGAAGACGGCTGTTTCTACTTCGCTCAGTTGGATTATGAGGCGAGGGTCGCCTTTCTTGGGTTTCTGCTTTGGCTTCACGACCACGGCAGGAGGGGCGAGTGTTCCATCGTCGTCCTTGTCCGATTGAGGAGGTGGAGGGGGGAGGCCGAGTAGTAGTGCTGTCAAAGCATCTGCGATCCGGACCTCCAGACTCCCGGGTGCGTATGTGGGCTTATGTTTCTTGCATTTGTCTGAGCAGTATTTCACGGATGTTGCTGCTGCTTTTGATGTGTTGGCTCGTCTGGCGCCTGCAAAGTGTTAGTATCGTCATGATATAGTCTGAGTCTGCTTCAGGATGTTCTGACCTATTACTCTTCCGCACGTGTGACAGTAAGGCACACTATCGCCGTGAGAGAGATACAGAGGTGCTGGCGTTGCTTGACTCTTGCTTGGACGACTCCCTGAGACAGTGTCAAAATACGGGTATACAGTACGTACAATTCCCGCGGCATACATGAGTCCATCCACGACATCGTGAGTTCTACTTTCGGGTCGAATGTCTATACATGTGGCAAGTGAGTTATCCTGGTGGATCGAAACATCCTCAATTGAAGATGGAGTCGAGGAGACTAAATCGCTACGTCATGTCTCATCAACAATGTTCGCTGCCAAGACTGCATACAGAAAGACAACGATCCAGCATCGAACACATGCCGAGCAATAGAATACACTTGTAATGGTTTCCGGGTATAAACACCTAATAATCCTCCACCTCATCAGCCAACAACCTCGCATAATCTTCCGCGGAAGCAAAAGTAGGCAGAGCTTTCAGCTTCTTCTTCTGCTTCCTCTGCTTCTTGTTTCTCGACATCTCCTCCTCTTCCTCCTTGTCCTCCTCCTCCTCCTCCTCATCGTCAAGATCCATCGCCGCCTCCTCGTCGCTTCCGAGTAAGGCATCATCATCACTCTCCAGCTCAGGAAAGCCGTCCATTTCCGCAAAGTCATCTGCTGTAGGCTTGACGGCCGCTCCACCCTCGGCTCCGTCTTCATCCTCGTCGCCACCACCAAGATCAAGACCAGGCTCACTGCCATCCTCACGACCATCTTCCAGGTCACCAAAGCTGAGATCATCGTCATCAGAGCCAATACCCTCGACATCCGGCCTCGACTGAGCGATAGCCTGCCAGATCTCATCCTCCGCATCGTCCTCGGCAGCCTCACTATCTTCCTCATCCCTCTCCTTCCTCCTCTTCTCCTTCTTGCCAGCCCCACCTTTCTTCTTTCCACCAGCCTGGTTGAAGTAGCTATGGAAGAAAACTTCATCCGCAGCCACATCCTCCACCCTCTTCGCCCAAAACGCTTCACTATTGACCGGCGCACCAGCCCTGGCCGCGCCTTCACCAGGTTTGACGAGCAAGTCTGCCGCGGATGAGCCGGCCATGGGTTGCATAATGCTTGCACCTCTGGAAACAGCAGCCTTGGTCTTTGCGTTGCGGTACACGAAACGATCAAGGAAGTGCATGAGTGTGTGTTGTTGTGGGTCGGGTTTTGGAGGCATCTCTTTCGCCACGAGGATCGAGGAGGCAAAGAGAGAGACTGAGGGGTGGAAGTGTTGCAGTGTTGGGAGTAGTTCCCAAAGACAGCTTCGGTCCGCGTGTGCATGCTCGGGGTCGCGTTTTCGTGGGTCGTAGACGTTGCTGTGGGTGCCATTCGATGTTGACTTCGTCACAGGTTCCGTCACACTGCCGTTCTCTGCGCCATCCTCTGGCACGTCGACGAAGTGTTCCTCTTCGTCCTCATCACCTACCTCGGGCTCCGTGATCATGTTCCGTATGCTCGGAAATGTGGTCTCGAGCTCACTGATCAGATAAAGCACGCCACAAGCAAAAGCGGGTTCGTGCATTCCGATGACCTGCAAAAGCCTCTTCACAAAAGCTTGTACGCGTTTGGCATTGAGGTCCGCCTTTAGAGTCTTGTATAACAGATTGAGGTACATAACCTGCTTACTGCTGCCGTAAAGTCGTGGATCAAGCAGTGACTCGTACAAAGTGCGATAGAAGCGGTCCGCGCTGTAGTGCTTTGTTGATGATATCTGTTGGATGAGCATCAGGGCCTGGATGGCGGTGTTGAAGTTTGACGAGTGCGCGACACGGAAGATGGTGTCCATCTGCTTTTCGAAGCCGGGAGTATTAGTGTCTGCGAATGGGAAGGCACGGTTGACGCCTGCCAGGACTTGAGACATCAGCTTGTCACGTGTCTGCATTTCAGCTTCTTCGTTGCGCTCCTCGGCCTTGCGCTTCTTCGCCGCCATCTTGCCTGCCTTACCACCTCCGCCCTGAGGCGTGCCTTTCGCAGTGATGTTCGCAGGTCTCGCCTGTTCCTCGGCCGGCTTAAGTAGCTGAACAAACAGGCTGAAGTAGATCTCGAGTAATTTGTTCGCTACTGCCTCTTCTTTCTGGCTCAAGATCGTCTGGTTCAGAGTGATGACCGCATAGTACTTGGCATGCAAGCTCTGCCCAGGTCGGAAGAGGCTGTCCGCTTCGATGCCGCTCGTGATCACAGTCCTCATCGCTGGATGTGTATTCTCCAGCTGCAAAAGTAAGTACGACGCTCGCGATGCGATCTTCTTCTCGGTATCTCCTAGCTTATTCACCAGCAGCCGCAATAAATTCTCTTCCTGCTCCGGCTTGTCCTTCAACAATTCAAAGACATATGTCAGCGCTCGACTTCGCGCATACTCTACCTCGTCATTACACCATGTCTCCAAGATCTGCAGCAGCTCGAAGAACTTTCGCTTCAACCAGTCTTCGTATGCCCAAAGCATGAGATGTCTCTTGTCCATACCACCTGGCAAAGCTTCACCAGCAATCCACTTCGCGCCCTTTCCTTGTAGAGTACTCAGCATACCAGGCTGCTTGCCAAACGCTCGCAGCTTTCGGTCAGCTGGCAGAACTACGCCCTGGCCCAGCAAATCCTTGAGCGCAGCTACAGCCATGAGTGCCTGATTTCTGCTCCTCTTCTTCGCCAGTGCCACAAGATTGTCAAATGCTTGCATAGTATGCATCGGCGACTCTTGTACCATCAACGTCAAAGCAGAGATCTTGTCCTCGAGCGTACCAGAAGCCATGATCGTCGACATGAATTTGTGTGAGGAAGACCCTGCCATGTGAGAGGCTGTGTAGGCAACATTCTCCTCTCGTAGCAACTTGGTCGCATACTCATGTAGATCGTCGACAACATGCTGTGGTGGCAGGACTTTTATCTCGTTGGCTGCCAGCGTAGGAACTTCTGCTGTGTGCCATTCTGGTCGCGGTTCGAAGATGAGCTTTGTCTTTTCCTGCTTGGCCACATCTTGCTTGACCTTTTTTCCTGGCCTCTCTCGGTCCCTATATCCATCCGACTTTCTTTTCGGCGCCATGATAGTGTAACACCTTTGCACCGTTCAAGACTAGAAGTCTCAAAAAGTTCAAAAGCTCAGCGCATGTGAAATCAAGGAAGGAGGAAAGTTTCGCCGAATGCCGCTGCATTCATCCAAAGACACCCCCGAAGACACCGATCATCACTCCACTGAGCCATCATATCTGTAGACGGCTTTGGTAAGCCAATGCAGTCCGCATGCTTCATCCGCATGTCCCAATATCAAGCTTAGGAGCTCTACGCTGCTCACCACAGAATTTTTCCAGCTTTGCGTGTCGATATATCCACTACGATGGCAGGAACAGACTCAGCAACTTCTGGACGCCTGCACAATCGAAGAAGGATGCCAGCCTTCTAAAAGAAGATGGCCATGATCTGCTCATCCGAGCGGGCTATATGCGTCAAGCTCACGCAGGCGTCTTCCACCTCTTACCCCTAGGTCTACGAGTGCAGGATAAGATTGAACGCTTGATCGATAAGCATATGCTCAGTCTGGGTGCTTCGAAAGTAGCGCTATCTTCAATGACATCCGAGGAGTTATGGCAACGTTCCGGCCGTCTTGACAAGGGACGAGGAAACGAGTTCTTCAAACTTGAGGACAGGAAAGGAGGCAAATTACTCCTCTCACCAACTCACGAAGAGGAGATCACGACGATCGTAGCGAATGCTGTACATTCACATAAGCAGCTTCCTTTGAGGCTCTACCAGGTATCTCGAAAGTACCGGGATGAAGCGAGGCCACGCCAAGGTCTTCTCAGAGGCCGAGAGTTCGTGATGAAGGACTTGTATACATTCGATGCCACTCACGAAGCAGCTCTCAAGACATACGAAATCGTACGGTCTGCATACCGTGCTTTCTTGGACGAGTTGCATTTGCCATATCTGGTCGCCGATGCGGATCCTGGGAATATGGGTGGCAACCTGAGCCACGAATACCACTTCGCTTCTGCATCTGGCGAAGATACCATCATACAATGTGACAGCTGTGGGTATTCAATCAATGAGGAGCTGTTCATCGGAAGACCTGATGCTTCTGGTGTAGAGCTTCATGGAGCTGAGCAGATGACACAGTCTTATATGATCAGTAAGGATCGCAAGACTCTGCTATGTGTACTCTATCCGGCAGGATCGGAGCTGAACAGCCAGGCGATCAAAGCGGTTGCGCCTAACACGGACTTCAGCGTCGAGAATTCAAGGCAAGTATTCGCCGATGGAATCAAAGGCGTGACCACAGAACGTATATTCTCCGTCCTCTGCGATCCACGAACCGAGCATGCTGCCGAAAGGGTCCTAGCAACAGGCGACCTTCAACGTCAAGCTAGCTCCCTCGGCGCCACATTCGCACTCAATCTCCTAGAAGCAAAAATACATCGGCAGAAAATCCTCCTCACCAAAGCTCGCACAGGCGATCGCTGCCATCACTGCAGTGAAGGCAAACTACATCTCCACAAAGCCGTGGAGATAGGCCATACCTTCCATCTCGGAACACGCTATAGCGAACCTCTCGATCTGCGGATTACAGATGCTACTAATAAGCAAGCGCTAGTTCATATGGGCTGTCACGGAATTGGGGTCTCTCGTCTCATTGGTGCCGCTGCGGCGCTGTTGTCCGATGAGAAAGGTCTGAACTGGCCTTTTGCTATTGCGCCTTTCGGGACACTGCTGGTAAGGGCGGGGAAAACTAGTGCGGAAGATGTGGATGCGTTGTATGACATGCTGTGTAGTGAAGGCATGGACGCTGTGATCGATGATCGAGCGGATCTTCCCTTGGGTTGGAAATTGAATGACGCGGATTTGATCGGGTATCCTTTTATCGTTGTGGTGGGCAAGGCGTGGAGTGAGCGAAAAGCGGCGGAGCTGCAGTGTCGACGGCATGGTGTTAAGGAACAGGTGGTGGCATCGGAGCTCCTGGCAAGGCTGGCAACGTTGAGCAGGCAGTTGTGATCCGGTACAATGCCTGCTCTCCATTTGTTCGAGGTTTCTAGTCATCGAAAGACTGATCTGTATGATAGTTGTAGTATAGATGTATACCTGATAAGATGCTCAAACGAGGCTCTGTGAGATACTGAACACATCATCACGCCCTCTTTCGTATATATGTTTTGCAACCCATCCCGACCAAGCCCTGCCATAATCGTCGCTACGTAAAGACATCAGTAGAATACCTCTCATTCCTCACACTATCGAACCACGCCTCCGCCTTCTCAAGAGAAGACTCCTTCCCCTTCTCCACAGCCCTCTCCATCGCCAAATCAAGCACAACTTTCCTCACTTCTTCGCCGAGATCACGACTCCCGCAAACAAAGACACGAGCGCCCTGATCCCAAAGGTCGAGCAAATGTTTCTTGTTCGCTTGCAGAGCATCTTCGATATGTTTGTGCCCATCGGACTGCTCAGGTGCTTGGCTGAAAGCGTAATAGATCTTGACCGCGCCCATGGCTTCCCAGCGTTTGAGTTCCGCAGCGTATAGGAGATCTTTTTCGGGATGTCTGCAGCCGTAGTATAATTGCGCGGGTGCTAATTCGCGGCCGGCACCGATCTGGGCTGCTCGCTCTTGAATGAAGGAGCGGAACGGTGCCAGGCCTGTGCCGGCGCAGAACATGAGCACAGGGGTCTTCTCGGCATCCGTCGGTGGGTGAAACGCCTGATGGCTAGGCTTGACGGCTACGTGGACGATGTCACCTGGTTGTAGATGGCTGAGGTAGTTTGATGCAACGCCGACGTATTTGTGTTGACCCGAGAAGGGGTCGGCTTCTAGGACGGCGTAGGTGAGTGTCACCTTGTGCGGATCCGCCAGTGGCGAGGAGGAGATAGAGTATTGGCGCACTCGCATGGAAATGAGTGATGCCACGAAGGCTCCTAGCGGTAAGTCGATGGTTGGGAAGCGTTCCAGCAATCCGAGGAGCGAGACTCGCTTCTGTGTGATTTGTGCGTCAAAGTCGCCACTCAGTATCGCCTGCAGCTGCTTCTTGGTGTCTTCATCCTTGCTAGCTTCAACTAGCATGTTCACACTGCGTTTGGTTGCTGGCTGCCCAAGCTCGACATAAGCGGCGAAGAGGTTGTGCGCACTGAGCGGAGCATCGGTCGGAAAGACCGTGTTGTTCTTGCTCGAAAAGGTAAGCATAGCATCCCAAGGCAACCCGAAGCGGAGCGCGACACGATGTATGCTTTCTGCTGGGTTCATGGGAAGCACAGCTAGGTAGTCGCCTGCCCGGTAAGTCATCTCGCTCGGCAATTGAAGCTCAATGTGCCTCTTCTCTGGCACACCTTCTGCTGTCAGTGATCGAGTAGCTACGACCTTGGCCTCGGACACGTCGGCACGTAGTTGAGAGGCTCGGCGACTCGTGACTGTAATGTCCAGGCTTTGACTGATCCCGGAGGACTCAGCTGCATCTTCACCACCGAAGGCTTCCTTGACCCCTGGCCAGAATTGCTCGTCCTCCCATGTCTGGAAAGCAGACATCATGTCGCCTTTCGCAGCATCTGCGTTACCTCGTTCGCACAATTGCTGTGCGCCATGCGACTCCAAGATCGAATCGATGGCGTTCGGAATCTTGTGGAAAGTCGCTTTCCAATCCGAGTGGCCACAGCCGAAGACTGCATATTGCGACTCGACCTTATCACTTTCCCCAAGACTCTGGAGCCAGTCGTAGAAACGTGCAGCGTTGTCGCAGGGTGCACCTTCGTAGCTTGCCGTAATGATTGCAACGGGTTGGTCCTTCGGCAGGTCTTGCTTTGCTTCATCGAGTGTTCGCACTTCAGCCTTGAATCCATGCGCAGCAGCATCTGTCGCAAGGATTTGTGCAAAGGCCTCACATGTACCACTGTTACTGCCGAACAAGACTGTGAGTGGCTTGCCGTCGGCCAACGGCTTTGCAGCAGCTGGTTGACGACCTCCACTGCCGTCTGTTCGCACGGAGCCAGAGAGGTGCTGCTCGACTTTAGTGGCTGTCCAGCCTTCACGGAGCTTGGCTTGCATCAAGTAGTCCTTAGGCTTGATGGTCAATGTCGACTTGATAGCGAGCTCGTAGCTCGGGTCTTGTGTGAGGTCAAAGTATTGTAGGAGCATCGCAGTTACCTGGAAATAATCACTAGGTCAGCAAATACGTGAAACGATATCACCAACAGTCATGTAATCACCATCATAGCTTCCTGCCAAGCAAATGGTCGACCAATGCAGCCTCTCGCACCATTACCAAACGGCTTCCAGGCTCCAGGTGGAAGCTTATTGAAGTTCTCGTCCAGCATGCGCTCTGGTTTGAACTCCTCGGCGTCATTGCCATATACAGCCGGATCACGCTGAACCTCTGGGAGTAGAGCAACAATAGGCACATCAGTACCAGCAAAGTATTTGCCACCAAGAGTCGTGTCTGATAAAGCATGCGTCGTGAAGGCCGGTGCGGTAGGCTGTAAACGTAGTGCCTCACGAAGGCAGGCGGTAATGTATGGCAGCTCGTTCACATGATGGGCCTGAATGCTCTCAGTACCGATGACCTGATCGACCTCAGCTTGAGCCTTTCTGTAGGTCTCAGGATTCTTGATGAGGAAGTAGAAGAGAAAGCTGAGCAGCCCAGAAGTCGTTTCATGGCCTGCGATCAGGAACGTTATCATGTTGTCGATGATGGTGTCTGTGCTCAATTTCTTTCCAGTCTTGGGATCCTTGCCGTTGACCATGGCATTCAACAGATCCTTCTTGTCCTCGGGATGCTGCAGTCGACGATCCACGATTTCCTGGCTGAGATTTCGCATATAGTCGATGTCCTTGTGAAATTGTGCATCGTCTGCACGATAGAAGGGAGCCAGGTATGCGGGACGCCTCGATCGGGCATCACCATGTTTGAGGAAGCTCACCATAGCAGAGATGAAAGGGTGTTGCTCTTCTGTATAGAAGCTATTGAAACGGTAGTCCATGGCGCAGAGTGCAAGGGTGTCCAGGGTAAGTCGAGTGAAGTCTTCTGTCGCTGGTATCTTGTAATCCGGGCCATACCTCGCCAGCTTGAGGACTAACTGACTGGCGATATCTTTCATATCATCAAACATCGAAGAAATGTTCAGAGGTCCGAACGCCGGCACCAAGACACGGTGTGCAAGATGCCAATTCTCTTCATTATTCTGCGCCGTAAACAGCCCATCGTGAATACCAGCTCGGAGTTCGGCCAGACCAGCTGATACAATCTTTCCAAAGCGCTTCTCGTCGCACACTTCTGCCAGTAGTCGTTGAGAGCTGATGACAACACGCTTCTTCCCAAAGATTGTGAGGCTGTAGATTTCGCCATACGTCTTGGCCAGGTTGCATAATGAGCGGATAGGTAGCTCTGGGTCGATTTCACTCAGATTACCGACAACCGGCCACCCAGCCGGCTGGGGGATTGGTACGGTATCTCTGGCGTCCATTGTGGATGCGATCAATGATGAATGGCTCGAGATGCAGTGGAACGTGCTACGCAAAGAGAGAGTATTGAAAGTGACAAGGTAGGGAAAGTTGATGATGCGGTGAGGTCAAGGTCGTACAGCTCGAGCTTGGTAGGACGTGTGTGAGAGGTAGGGCTGGGAGGAAGGCTCGATATCTGCACTTCGTATACTCACTGTTATACTACGTGCAGCACCAGTAGCATCGGCAGCGCATGTTTCGACACGCACCGACGTCTCCGTCTTCACGCACTGTGCAATCATAAAAGAGTGGATGCAGGTGAAAGTGCGTTTTACGAGTACGAAATCCCCGACCTCGGTTCATCTGAAGAACTTCAAGAATGAATTTTGCCACTCGGGAGCTCGGATTATCAACGATACTCTGTATAGATAGCTACGTGCGAGAAGCTAGGGAACTGATCAAGCTATAGTAGAACTTTGCAGGCGAAGATGGCAAACAGCATAATTTCTCGGGCTCTGCCCCAGCCTGAAGAGTCCGATGTGTGCGTGCGACATGGCCCCAACCAGCTGCATCTCCGCGCCTGGGATGTGTTGCGGCCGTATCTATGAATATCATCTGCTCGGCTTGACTGGGCGCCTTTGCGCTCAGGCGATATATGGACCTCGGACGCTGATGCAGGTTTGCATGTCGGCGCCGTCGAAATGTCTCACCTGCCGGTCTGTCATTCTCGTAGGATTCGGGAAGGCATCGATTGATCGATCCCGGCTAATCGCTGTCATACATGCGCTATCAGCCATCTATCGAGTTCACTGGCTGGCTGAGATGAGACGATGACAAAGGCGCAATCTTGCTGACTTTGCTCAGCTGAATTCGACAAAGAGGTGATTTGGCTGTGCTTCTTAGCCATCTGTCTTGTGGACATCTCCCTCTGTTGAGGTGCAGTCAGCCGTTGTCGAAGGAGCAGCACATGGGCAGCATAGAGCTGCTGATTCGTCCACATTTGATCGCGCGAACAGCGCTTCATGCTGGTGTCTCACTCTACCAGAAAAAGTAGTGTCGCGTGCTTCATACTATCACGTCTCCTGATGCCGAAGCCAATACAACTACATATTTACACCTTACCATCTCAGCATTTGCTTCACTTCTTAACGAATCTGACGAGTCCCGACTACGCGTCTGCCTACCATGTATGATCTCCCCAGATCTGCAGTCTCAAGCAACAAGCAATCGGCCCGCTGCTGAGTCTAGATTCGAAACTCTGTTTGCGAATGGTGACGTGTGTTTCGACATTTCGTTTCCGAAAGAATCCAAGACCTGGCCAGGCATACAGGAAGGGATACTGGTCTGTAGTTGAGCTGGTTCACTTTGAAATGCATGGGGAGCTTCCAGAGGAAACGAGTGCATGGTGAGGGCTGAATACAAAGATACCTCAAGATGTGTGGGAGCTCGATTTTCAACTTAGCTACATTTGCTACAGGAGTGCTTGCAGCTACTGAAAGTCAGGTACCACTGAGACCAGAGAACGTTTTCGGTACTGGTGAGGCGAACATCGGAAAGAGCAGGACTCTGCATGGTCGTTTCCTCCATGTCACTGGTATGGATGCGTACATCAAAGCATCGCTCTCGCAGGTCTATTGACATGTACCAGATTTCCATCCGGATCGTTTCTACCAGGTGTATGCTTCTACCGCACAGGATGCAGCATGCCACCGCGGGCAGGGCCCAGCTGGCCTATATGGCGCCGAGACGAGCGAGTGTGACAGTCCCGTGGCACTCATCAATCGAACAATGGAATGGATACACGACGAGCTGAAGGACAAGATCGATTTCGTAATCTGGACTGGCGATTCTGCACGACATGATAACGATGAAGAGATACCGCGAAATGCCGAGCAAGTTGTGGGATTCAACGAATTCATGGTTCAAAAGATGTATGAAGTGTTTGGGAAGCATAACGGCGACGAAGACGACGACGACCCGAATAATGATTTTGTGATACCGATAGTTCCGTCGTTCGGCAACAATGATATCCTTCCGCATAATGTCATGACTCGAGGACCGAACACGTGGACAAGGACATATGCAAGAGTATGGCGACAATTCATTCCGGAGGCACAGAAGCATCAGTTTGAACAAGGCGGCTGGTTTTACGTTGAGGTCATACCAAATGAGCTTGCGGTCTTCAGCTTGAACAGTCTTTTCTGGGCTAGTAACAATGCTGCAGTCGATGGTTGTGCGGCGCCACGAGAACCAGGTTATCAGCAACTGGAGTGGCTGCGCATTCAACTGCAGTTCATGAGAGACAGAGGTGTCAAGGCGATTCTGACCGCCCATCAGCCACCAATCAGGCAAAGTGCAAAGGAGCTTTGGGATGAGACTTGCTGGCAGAAGTACGCGCTTTGGTTGCGACAGTATCGTGATGTGATCGTGAGCAGCCACTTTGGTCATTTTAACTTTGATCACTTTCTGCTTCAGGACTTCAAGGATCTTGACAAGGATACTAAGAATGGTCGCATGAACTATTATCATGCTGAAAGTGGTGACGATTTCGAGACCGTGGTGTCGTCGGACTACTGGATGCAGCTCAGGGATCAGTGGTCTGAGCTTCCGAAACCCCCAAAGTCAATGAGGGTGAGTGAGCTGAGCGAAGGGGATGACGGAGAGGATAGTTCGGACGGGACGTCGCTCAAGAAGGGCAAAGACAGTAAAAAGGAGAAAGCCAGGAAGGAACGCAAGAAATATCTGAAGAAGATGGGTGGCCAGCACGCCGAGCGCTTCTCAGCCTCCTTTATTTCCGCCAGTATTGTGCCCAATCTGTTCCCAACACTGCGCATATTCGAGTACAATATTACTGGACTGGACAAGCACAAGACCTACGGATCTGAGTCAGTACCCCCGGCAGCATATGTGAGTACGTCTGAGTACGATGTTGATAAGACACGCAAGAAGAAGAAGAAGGAGAGGAAGCACAAGTTCACTATACCGGAACCTCCATCGAAGTCCGCAGGACCCGGCCCAGCATACTCGCCGCAAAGCTTGTCCCTGCTGAAGTACACACAATACTTTGCGAACATTACGCACATCAACAATGATTTCCACAGTGACTCGGACGCCCAGAAGTGGAAGGACGGCAAGCACGCAGGCAGAAAGCCGCATAACAAGGACCACGAACCACAACCAAAGAAGTTCAAGTTTGAAGTGCTTTACGATACTCAGGACGATAAGGTGTACAAGTTGAAAGATTTGACCATGCCTAATCTCGTGGACCTCGCACGCCGTATCGGCAACTTCAAGCCTGCAACGGTCAAGCTCGTCGACGAGGAAATGGATGACTTCAGCTCAGAGGACTTAGAAGCCGTGAAGAAGGGTCATAAGAAGCGAAAGCATCATCGCAAGCACGGCAAGAGTGCTAGACGAACGAAGCAGAATATGCCATGGTATACGTTCATGGATCGAGCATTCGTGGCGACAAAGACGTCTGACGAGCTGGAGGAGGAATTTGGTTATTGATGAGATGCACAGTAGATGTTTGGTTTTGCAAAGTACAAGATACCCAAGTATAGCATAGCGTAGCATAGTAATGCAAGCGATCCGAGTCATTATCAGGTCGCACAAGATTGATGGTCTTGTCCACCATCCTCATGTTTAGCGATTGTGATCAAACCCCACCACTTCTCCAGACCCTCACTTCTCGTCTCAAGTTATCGTCAACATCCCACCCACGCCACCACAACACATTACCGTCCTGCCGCAAGCTCCTCCAGCACAACATGCGAGCTCACGGCGGTGTTGAGCTCGCGAGACATGAACCTTGAGCGCAAATATGTGATCGCCTCTGCCATTACCGCCTTTATCGCTTGGGCCTTGATCACCGATTGGATCCCGAGTTTGCGCTGGATACCTTACGCTTTTGTTGCTGGATTCTTGGTTGCGGTTGCAGGACTGGGATATGTGGTTCTGACGACTTCGAAGGGTGTGAGATGGGACGAGGATGAGAGGTCTGGGTTTGGGGCGCGAGGTGGTGGTGTTGTTGCGCCGGCATTCACGAAGGGAGAGGCGTGGGAGGAGGCCAAGGCGACTTTGATGGCAAGAGCTGAGTACAGACGGCCGATCATCTTTCCGGAGGCTAGGGCGTTCAGTAAAGCTGTGGATGGGTTGTTGGATCTGATACTGAGGGATTATGTTAGTACTTGGTATCGTGCTATCAGCCCACGGCCACTGTTCCAGCATGAGATCGACAGGGTCATTCGCTCGGTGCTGCTCACAATCGCGGCACGATTTAAAGATCTGGATGTTGTTGAGATTGGAGTCGCGAGACTGTTGCCCACTATCACGGCCCATCTAAAGGACTTTTATGATGCGGAACATGCTGTTCGAGGCAAAGATCTGGCTGGCAATATCACCGAGAGCGATGAGCTGAATACGGCTACTGCGAGCAAGTACCACAATGGCAAGGTGCATTCTGTGGCTGCTCTCAAGAACTCCGACACAGCCCGGGCGCAGCAGGACCATTTACGGGAAGTCATTGTCAAAGTGCTGCCTATTGTTCTGCCCATGAACATGCAGTCGAGTACTTCGGTCACTATCATAGTGCGTGAGCTCGTGACTTGTGCCGTCTTGGGACCTATTATTGGCATGCTCTGCGAGCCAGACTTCTGGAATCAAATGATTGTGAACTTGGGTGGGCCAATGCTGCAAGACCGCAAGACTGTGAAGAAAGTGCGAGCAGCGTTGGATCAGCATGCACCGGCCTCTCCTAAAGCTACGCGAAGTACCCAATTTCCGCGGCTGCGACCCTATGATAGTGAGCGGCAATTCGAGCGCTTCATTCGTGCTGTCAGGCATGTCATGAATTTGTCTGAAGCACGCAGGTTCCGAAGCGAGATCGTGAGCCAGATACGGCGTGACTCGGCTGCTGAGAACCAAGATGCCGTGTACCTTCGACGCTTGGAGACTGGAAAGCGGCTACTGGACCAAAAGATCGCGACGTTATCTGTCACAGCCGATGGAGCGGTCAAGCCTAAGCTCTCGGTACGAACACCTTCCTTGACAGATGCCGTGTCGCGCAAGCAGCAGGCAACACTTCGCGAAGTCATCTACGATGCTGCTGGCCTGAGCTATTTCATGGAGTACATGGATCGCGTCAAATTGATGAGACTGGTCCAATTCTATCTCGTGGTTGACGGCTTTCGCTACCCTCTGGAAGGTGACAGTGATGACGCACCGCCAGGTGTCGCCAACGACAAGGATCGCATGGATATTGGTCAGATGTACGAAGGCTACCTCAGCAAGTCTGAGCTTCGTGCTTCTGATGAATCTCTGGAAGGTGTCAGGCAATACCTCAAAGCTGGAACGAGAGCCTCAGCGCAGCAATACATCGATGCCAGGAAGGCTATTCTGCGGACACAGACGCAAGCATATGCTGCCATGAAGGAAGTGCACTACGAGAACTTCAAAAAATCCGACTTGTACTATAAGTGGCTTTCTATTGACGACAATCCAACACAGACCGCAGTTCAAAGCAAGCAAGTTGGCTCTCCATTGTCTCCTGATACCATCACCAGTGGCGAGACCTCACCGGTCAAGGCACGCAGACCGCTGCCCGCCATTCTGCGCAAGGAGCCAGAGCTGCGCCGTGCCGTGCTGTCGAGCACGGATCTGAAGACTTCATCAAGAGCATCGTCATTCAAGACAGACGTACGGAGATCGCTTGATGACAGCAACAGGCCTGCATTGTTCGGCGACGATGTCGAAGAAGAGCGAATGTCACAATCATTGACAAGTCTCAAGGATTACGACTCTGAAGGCGAAACAGCACGTGAAGCCCAAGAGGAGGCAAAAGCTGTTCGCGATATGCAGAGCGCGCTTGATGAGATCGTGAACCATGAGAGTGACGCAGATTCGCTGTTCTCAGATTCTACGGGCAGGCCGTCACTGGACTGTGATGGTAGAAGACCGTCGCAAGATTTGCTGCGACCTTCGCACCCAGTAAGGCCGCCCTTACCAGACCGGCCCAGTATTGCGTCTCTTGGCTTAGTGGGCGCGCCAAAAAGCCGGGGTGTCTTCGTCGATGACCTCTTCGCGGATGAAGCGCAGAAATTTGTGGAAGACGAGCGTGAAGACTCTAATGGGCCGGATGACAGTGAAGACGACCGAGTACAAGAAGCAGCACCTGGCGATCTAGGTCTCATCGAAGCGATTGGTACCATAGATGCAGAAATGGAGAAGCTCAATGCGCAGAAAGGTGTTTTAGACTCGCTGACCGCCAAGGCTGAGCTAACGAACAATACGGCTGAGCTGCGTATCTTGCGAAAGTCCGAGCAGAGTCTGCAGCGTGAGATCAAGCGCAAGGAGATGCAAAAGCAGCAGTATGTCGTGCAGGAGAGCGATAACAGCCTTTATGGCCGTGCGCAGGTCACGATCAAGTCCGTGATGGTAGGTAGGGAAGACGATGGCCACGAGTATGCCTTGTATGTGATCGAGGTACGGCGGCAGGCTGGCGACAATATGCCTGCTGCTACTTGGGCTGTGACGAGACGGTACAGTCAGTTCCACGAGCTACACAAGCGTCTTCGAGCACGCTTCCCTTCTGTTCGCGATCTAGACTTTCCCCGTCGGCAGGCGCTCTTCACGCTACAGAAGGACTTCATCAATAAGCGCCGCATTATTCTGGAGCGGTACTTGCGATCACTATTGCTGGTCCCAGCTATCTGTCGAAGTCGTGAGCTTCGTGCATTCCTGTCGCAATCAGCGATCACTGCGAACGGCTCAGATGGCACGCAAGCTGATGCGAAAGACTTCGTGACACGCATATACAACTCTGTCTCAGACGGTATGGATGAATTCCTGGGTAATATACCCGTGCTCGATCAACTATCCGTCGCGGGTCAGAACCTCATCTCAGCTGCGACAGCCCAGATGAACAATGGTGCCGCCATCGACGCGCTCGATCCCACGACACAGGACCCCGCTACTGCTGGCGAGGCGGAGGCAGAGCTCAATGCATATGAAGTCCGAGAAGTAGACGAGCCTTTCGTCAAGCCAATCTGTGATCTCTTTCTCGAGACCTTCGAGTTGTCGAAAGGCAACAGCTGGTTGCGTGGGCGCACCGTCGTAGTCGTGCTACATCAATTGCTTGGTGGTACGATTGAACGCAAAGTCCGTGATACAACCAAAACAGGTTTGCAGGACAAGGCTCTAGCAGGCTATATCGAGATTCTGGAGAACATTATGTGGCCAGGAGGCAAGCAACGGCCACCCTCGGTCCCACGAACACCAGCCCAGAAGGCTCGTTCACGGAAGGAAGCCGGTCTGATACTTGGCGCACTTGTCCCCGATCTGGCTGGCAGTGTCGTAGGCAAGGCAAATGCTCAGGCCGCGAGTCGAAAGATCATAGCATTGCTCAACAATCAGCGGCTGAAGTAAGTGGATGATCCCTTGCATATACAATGAATCGAGCTGTGCTAATCTACCGAACAGTGCTCACATAGTCTTCACGCTAATAGATGAGGTCATCAAGATAGTGTTTCCAGAGACAATAGAGAAACAGACGTAATGCATCATAATGCCACACATAAATATGCTCGCCGATTCACAACTTCGCATGTGGCTCCGTGATCTTGTAACATGGCCCATCCTTCCCGAACATCTTCCTCAGATCTCCCACGATCTCATCAGGAACCTCGTGGGCTGCGAAATGGCCACCCTTGCCCTTGAAGTCCTCGTAGACTACTGGACCGAGCGTGCGTGCCCATGTCGAGGGCACGACGGTGATTTCCTTGGGCGAGTGACAGAGACCGAGCTTGACTTTCGGAATCCACTGTTGTGTCCGGTCACGACTGATGCCGTTCTGTGTGTGGTGGATGGACTCGTAGTAGATTCGTAGGCTGGCTGCTGGGCCGGCAGTGGAGAAGTAGTAGATTGACTGACTGGATGTTAGCAAGACGCTGCGTAGCATGCATGTGCGAAGGGGATACTCACGACCCAGGTCAAAACTTCGTCGTCAGTCCAAGGGTAGTTGTCGGTCCAGTCGTGAAGCTTTTCGAGGAGCCAAGCCAGCAGGCCGATTGGACTATCGTGGAGGGAGAAGCCAAGTGTCTGGGACCATTGTCAGAATCGTATACGGTATGGCAAAGGCTTACGAGTTCTCGAGCTTACCTGCGGTTTCGTGCACTGCAGCAGACGATAACCTTGACCCTCGTCCATGAACCACTTCGAGCGCTCCATGCCTTTTCTCTCGCGGTCACTATAGGGCGTGAATGTGTGCTTCAGAGCTAGATAGGGGTGAGACGTCCATGTCGGTGCGCTTGCTCGGATCATGTTGATATGAGACGCCATGACGGCTTCGGGATGAAGCAGACCCATCGCACGGGTAATGTAGAAGCCCCAATCACCTTGCTTACATTAGCACTGGACACAGGCAGCCACGTTCATGTGTATATTCATGCAGGAGACCTACCGCCTTGCGAAACGTATTTGTCGTACCCCAAGGACTTCATTAGCTGATGGCATGTCTGCGGTCAGGTGTCAGCCATCAGGTGAAGTGCTGGGACTTAGCACTCGCCTACTTCTGCGTACTGCTTCAAGCCGAAGCCCTTGACCTTTACACCCTCGGACCATGCAAAATTGGGCAAGCTAGGTGCGACGACAGTGAACGAAACACCATTGTGGCTCTCCTTCAGACCTTTGAGCATCTTCGTTACTTCAATGTAACTTCCGGGCCAGCCGTGACCTACGGTGCATGAGCATCAGCAGCCGTCAGCTTTGGGTGGACGCTGGCGACATACAGAAGAACAGTGGAATGGCATCAGGAGTGTCCGATACCTGGTGAAGGTAATGGATGTCAAGAGCAGGGAATTCGTCAATCTGGATCGAACGATGATAGTTTGGCAGTGCATTAAGTCGTTCCTCTTGAGCTCTCCAGTCGAAACCCGTCTCCCAGTATTTCGCAAGTCGTTTGATATCTGTCAGTGGGGAGCCATAATCCCATGCTGCGCCAACGAGCTTCAAGTCGTCAGCTTATGCATAGTTCTATCAATTCGCGTCTCGCATTCCAACCTCATCTGGGAACGTGGCCGTCGAGAGCTTGTCTCGGAGCTCCTGGATCTTCTCATCTGGTACCGCAACGTTATATCTCTGTTCGGTGGCCATCTCGACTTTGTCTGTTGGTTGCTTGGGATTGACAACAAAGCTGACGTCCGAACGTCTAACCGCAGAGGCATCCCGTCTCATGGCGGGGCTGGCCGAGGTTCCAGAACTTCCATGCCGGAAAAGCACTCAGTGGCCCATTGGACTACTCTGTACCGCCCATGGTCTCAGCGGTCTCATACAACCGTACTGCAGCAGGGCTTGTTAGCACGAGAACAATCTCCTCGCACTGCAAGTTCCAGCACGTGTTCTGGAGGTGGTAGAGATAAAGCTTGCTGGACTTCGCAAACGTCGTCCCATTCTGCTCTGTTCCATGCCATTTTCAAGTGCGGTCTCTTACACAACGCCATGGACGACTTTATGGCACGATCATTCAACATGGTCTTCAAGTTCCGATCCGGCATATGTTACTAGTGTAACGAAAAGTGGATGAGGAAATCGTGACGATCTTTGCGGCTCAAGGTGCGGGACAGGGAGCGGCTGTGGCGTCCAGTATCCGGGTAATCGGTAGGGGTGGCATAGCCGTCGAATCTTTCGCCTAACGAAAGCCTTGTCTGACCAGGATCTCAAAGTTTCTACAGGGTACTGACCCAAGGCTCATGAACATTGGGGTCGTGTGCGTTGCAACAGCAGGAAGATGGGCGTGCAAATGTCTCGACTCTTGACAGCAAAGACCCGGACTGTGCAAAAACAATTTCGCAGCCCAGAAAGAGTCTGCTCCACGCTCATGTCGATCACACTGTCGTGTGCGGAAGTTCTCGAAATAGCTGATGCCAGGAGTGAGCACCGCTATGGGTATCTTGAATTCCCAGTGCCCATCTCTCTCTGTGCGAGATCACGATGAACTCGGCATGGTATTCGAACGAGCTGTCGAGTATCGACACATATAGCATCATCGTAGTGCCGCAACATGTTTTTCATACACATGGAAGAGACATGGGATCAAATTTAAGCTTCCAGCATCGGCATCAGCCACGCACAGACGCCGTCGATATAGCGATCTTCAAACGTCATTCCTACCCAACTCACACTCTCTTGCAGAGCCGAGGTGAATCCCATCAGCGGCATGCTCCATAAGCAGACCAATTTGGAGAGTGCACTGGAAGCAAGTCGCGCCATCTCTGCCGGGCGAAATGCACTCCATGCTGGCCAACGAGGATATGGGCATTCCGCCCCACAGCAGGATCGTCATTAACCACACGACTAACCTATGCTTAAATCTCCTGGCCCTGCTTTGCTATATACCAGGCTGTTGGCGCCTTGTATACTGGAGGACGTGGTTGTTCTGTCCATCTTCTGCTGCTAGCCTCTGTTCATCATGCATTCTCTTCCTCTCTTCTTGACTATTTCCAGCACCCTTATTCCCTTGAACAATGCACTTCCAGCACCTTCTCCGGCGCCAACAGCGGCTCCTAATGTCGACGTCGCCGAGCTGCAAGAGCGTCAACTCCTGGGTGGCGTGCTCAGCGGCGTGGGAAGCTTACTAGGCGTCGTTGGCAGCGCGCTGGACGACCTCAACAACCTGAACGGCAAATCCAATGCGCAGAGTTCTGCTTCATCCATTTTGATCAACCAAGTCACACCCACAGCCACCGTGACCGATGCAGCGCAGGCGCAGTCTGCCATCTCAGCCGTATGGCAAGCAAGCCCAACGCCGAACAACGTCTATGCTGGCCTGGGACGTTTGGTCGCTGCAGGATTGACTGGCGAAGGTGTCGGCGCAGCGAACAGTCAGCTTATTGGCAACGAGGGCATGAACAGCAATAACAATAACAACCCGATCAATCCATCACCAGCGGCATACCCCAAAGCCGGGCCCAACGATGCACCCTATGACCTGAGCGAAGCAGACCTACGCAAGGCGATCTACATCCCCAGCACCTTCCAGTACGGCCGCAAAGGGGCACCTCAACCTGTCATTCTCGTCCCAGGAACAGGTGCGACCGGCTATCTGACTTTCGTTGGCAACTACATTCCTCTGCTGCAGGATTCCACGATTGGCGATCCTGTCTGGCTCAACATTCCGGGTTACCTCCTCGCGGATGCTCAAGTCAACTCTGAATACGTAGCTTACGCCATTAACTACATCTACGGCGTCAGCAACAAGCGCCAAGTAGCTGTCCTAGGATGGTCGCAGGGCAACATCGACATCCATTGGGCGAACAAATTCTGGCCATCCACTCGTGCCAAGCTCACCGACCACGTCGCCATTTCGCCAGACTATCACGGCACCGTGATCGCGAACGCCGTCTCCCTCGGCGAACCCCTTCCACCCTCTTTCCTACAACAAGAGTACAACTCAAACTTCATCACCACACTCCGCAACTACAACGGCGACTCCGCCTACGTCCCAACCACAAACGTCTACTCTGGCTTCTTCGACGAGATCGTCGAACCGCAACAAGGCACAGGTGCGTCCGCCTTCCTCAACGATGTCCGAAAGGTCGGTGTTTCCAACAGCGAAGTCCAAGTTGTGTGTGCTGGTCAGCCAGCAGGAGGCTTTTACACGCACGAAGGTGTCTTGGCGAATGCCCTGGGCTTCGCACTGTTCAAAGATGCGTTGGCGAACCCAGGTCCCGGACAGCCATCGAGGTTAAATCTTGGGCAAGTGTGTGCTGCGCCATTCACGCCTGGATTGCACGTCACGGATGTGCTATTGACGGAGAATGCCATCCTGGTTGCTGGGATTGCTACGCTGGCGTATCCCAACAAGGTCGTTGCGGAGCCGCCGATCGAGATTAAGTCTTGAGCAGTGTTTCTGTGACGGAGAATCTTGCTAATGATACTGTAGGCTATGCTCTGAACCCAAACGCAGCGCAAAGATCATAGATACCCCGAATTCCATGACGCGAGTTTCCTTGTATGTACGTTTGGAGCAGTACAGAACAATGACATGCATATGCTGTATACAAGTAATGATTCCATATGAACGCCGAAGAGGCCAACATTCGCGACTGAAGAACATTGACATAGTCTCGTCTAAGGCAATCCCATCCTTCATTCGATTCGGCGAGGTGGTCTGAATTCTCGTCCAAGGTAAGGTAGCGGCTGGGTGGCGTAAGCTCTGACCTCGACCTGCAGTACAGAGGTACATGTACATGGCCCCATCCTCGCCCACGATCTTGTGCGTAAGACTATTCGGTGAGACCGCACTTCAAGCTTGATGGTCTTGAGACTCACCACCGATCTAGCAATATAGCATGAGTGCGAAGAAACAAAGAGATAAGTAATGTCGCTATACAGCATGGCTTCTCAACGTCCAGCGCAGCACAGATCTGGAGCAGCTGGAGCTATTCAGCTGGCGCCAGTCTCATCCGTCAACTCCTCGAGACCAGCAAGTCAATTGCCACCAACAAGTCCACCTCTACCGGCAGCTCCGTCAATCCATTCAACAAGCAGCCATGGACCAAATGCTGCAGCACAAAACCTTCCTCTGCTATCCCAGTCTGCTGCGCCCCTGCCGGCTTCGAAGGGCGAGAGATTTAATCAGGGTGCTGACCGCTGGCTGGCGCGACTCAAGCAGGCCAAGCACGATAGGTAGGTGATTTATGCCTCGTGCTAAAATATACACTATCTGTGCCTATACTGACCACCTTCTAGACTATTCGTCTACCTCACCGTATTTGCGGCTGTCACGGTGATCATCAATATCATTCAGGCGGCATGTTTAGATTATTTACACAGCCTTGCTTGGATCGTAGTCTTCCCTGCTGTGGTCCTTGGGGCCATGGTCTTGACAGTATTTCTCACAATGGCTATGAGTGCCAAGGAGCTGTTGGGCGAATGGCACGCTACCGAAGGTAGGCGAGACCTCAAGGCAGAACTCCTGCTCAAACAGATCATACTCGACTAAGTTGCACAGTTCCCGATCGCGTGGCTCGCCTTGGCGTCGTCCTCTCGATCCTACTACCTGTCTTCGTCTGCGAGTTCATCTACATGCCGCTTGTCGCCATCCCAGCATGGCACAGTATCCGCTGGACAACAAGCCTGCGAGTGGAGAGTCCCACTCTGTTCCCTGCCGTGGTCGTGGCAGTCAGTCAGCAACCAGCCTTTCTTGCGGCATACGCTCTTGCCCCTTCCAGTTGCGAGGTCATACTCACTACGGGTAACTCTTCTTTCTGCCAGCTCTCTGATGTCCAGCACACGTCGCCGGTCGATTATGCGAACGACACAATCGAGTACGACTACACTATCTTCAACCCTCTTCACCAGACCGCAGAAGGAGCGACTTATGCCTGGGACGCCATACACACGACCCTCTCTTTAGGTTTCACAGCCAGCTGTATGAGTGCTCCAGCCTACTGCAGCTAGTGTTCGCAGCAAGATCGCTGACTGCTACCATCAGATACCCCGATCGACGAAATTCAAACCATATACAACCAATCCCAGATCTACATCGGCTTCTACGACGCCACCCTCCCATTCAACATAGACGACTTCCTAGCCGGCTGCCGCAACCCCGACCTCTACTACAAAGCCACACAGCGCTCCTCCGACGGCGGTGGCGGAGACTTCTATCCCGGGATCTTCGAGCTCAGCGACAGCACCGGTGAGCTCCGCGACTCCGACACCGAGTCCTCGGCGACGATCTGTTCTTCGGATGCCTTGGCGTTGCGGGATTATACTTACTATGGCGGTCGTTTCGACCCGTCACCGCTGCCAGCTGGCTGTAGTCCCGTCTTTGGATCGACTACCACCTGTGGTTGGTTCCTGTCTATTCATCTTCAATCGTCTTTGGCGACTACGCAGAGGAGTAGCAGAGGGACGAACACGTTGCAGATTTTGATTGATGAAGGTAGTATTCTTGGCGGCATCTTGTTCTTCACATGGTTCTTTGGTATTTTCGTGGTTTAGCTGTTATTTCTCGGCAATGAAATTGACTTGAGCATGGTAGCTGGCTGGCTCTTCATCCATCAGGGAATTGTCATAGTCTCAGGCGATGGTGAAGCGGGCCACATCAAGCTTTGAACTTGATGTGGTCACATATGTGGCCGTAGACCGTGAAGATGAGCTCACGAGCTGTTGGGATCAGCCCGTGAACAATCGTTGGTCTATACCAGCAAAAGGGCTAGGCTCGGAATTGCATCGTAGAAGCGGTTGATAACGAGGATACGAAAGCGCAATAACGAGCTCATGAGAAACGCAGGATTTGATTCGAGATTGACAGCGTATGATCGTGGCAATGAGGCTTGCAAGCCTGTGGATTGTGGAAAGGCTTGCTGCATTGACAAGTGCTCGATGTGTCCGAGACCACTAATCCTCTCGTAGAGCGCGAGGCAGGGAGCGGAGCTTGATCACTCGGCTCAGCTCAGCTCATCTCAGCCCGCTTCTTTGAACTATATCTTCGACCGTCAACAGAGTACCACGAGGCTATGCTTGCTTGGAGAAACATACTCTTTGCACTTCGTCCCGTTCTGTCTCACCATCAAGCGAAGCCATCACAACGTGGCGGCAGTCATGGCATCTCATCTCTCGTCTTTGGACTGTTTTTGGTTTCATCCAGCTCTCGCGTGCGTCGTGTGGTCGCACGCGAGAAGCAAAAGGACTCGGCCGGTATCAACGTGCAGTCGCCCAGGGCATGCAACTGAAACCTCGCATGCTGGCCTCAAACATGTTTCGTGCTCCCAATCACATCCCCTCTAACCTTCGTCCAATCGATACTGCCATCCAGTTCCTCGTCCACCAAGCCGCAAATCACAACATTGTCTCCACGTACCAAGTACAAGCCATGCGGCTGCTCCATTGAAGGCTCCTCATCGTCGGCGGGTCGGATAATCCTTTCAATCGTATCTTTCAAGACGAGGTTCGTGACTTGATCGCATGATACCAGAGTGCCTGTGAGTGTCCGGCCGTCGACTGTTATGATGCACACTTTCTCTGTAGTACGTACAGGTGGTTAGCGACTGCTGTGAGGGCACGTGAGCCAGTTGCGATGGGCCTGAGGGTAATGTGGTGGAACTCACTGTTGAGGTATGGACTGAGAGACATCTTGAGCTGTTGTCCCCGAAGGATTGCAATGCAGAATGAGTCACCCACTAGGCTCAAGCGAATGACCAGCAAACGTCGTACATTGGTAGAATGTTTTCTGGCTATGATGGATATCTAGTTGCACGTCTGGGAGAAATGTTGGTGGTTGCGAAGCTCTCTCGTGCTTGCATGACTCGCGTGCATCGGAGCTTTGGCCGTCGGTTCAGCTTCGACTCGAAACATTTCCATTCCACACCACTCACCTTCACATCTCACACCTGAAGCTGGACCGGAACTGCAACAATCTGGACCACCGACCCCCACGACCAACGCTGCTGCTGCTGGTCACTCTGGAATAACGTCGCTGTCGTCAGTGACGCGGACAGAGCGAACGTTGAGATTTCCTAGGCTCTCGTATTCATTGCACGCGACCACTTAAGATTGAGGGTAGCGAGAGTGCCCCCCACCATCATATCAACGATGGCAGCGTGGAAGCAAGCGAAGACGGCGGAGGGCAGGGAATACTACTGGAACACGGCTACCAAGCAGACTGTGTGGGAGAAGCCCGAGGGGTTTGAGCCAGAGGCTCCAGTGACTGCAGACTCGGTCGCTATCAACGGCGCCTGGAAGGAAGCTCACGGTACCGATGGCAAATCGTACTACTACAACACCATCACCAATGAGACGCGATGGGAGCCACCGCCGGCATTCCAGCAACAGCAATTGCTACGACCTCCACCACAGGCTGATCAAGGTTTCGTGGCTGGGGGTGGACGTGGAGGGTACAGCGAACGCGATCGCGACGAGTACACACCACGTGATCGAGGAATGAATCGGCGGGACACTCGAGACAACGGTCTCCCACAGAAGCCAGGCTATGACGGTGGGCAGCCTTGGGAGCGCAGGCAAGAAGGCGGTTATCGTGGTGCCACAGCCATCAAAACCGACGAACCCGAATACGCGACTATTGAGCAGGCCGAGGAGGCTTTCTTCAAGCTACTGAAGCGCTCTAACGTCACTCCGGACATGGGCTGGAAGGACACTCTGCGCTTGATCATCCGCGATCGCGAATATCGTGCTCTCAAGGACCCTGTGGAGCGCCGTGATGCATTCGAGAAATATCGTGTACAAGTACGCGCCGAGGAGAAGGACAAGGAGAAGGAGCGTCGGGCGAAGGTGCGTGAGGACTTCCGCCAAATGCTCAAGACGCATGACGACATCAAATACTACACGAGATGGAAGACGGCACAACCGTCAATCGAGCGAGAGGCTGTCTATAAGCAAGCAGGATCTGATGCCGAGCGACGTGCTATGTTCGAAGATTATACTTCCGAGCTCACAAGGCACCATGACTTGGAAGAAGCCAAAAAGCATGAGCATGCGTACGCAGAGCTGAAAGAATTGATATTCAACACCATCACTGATCGATCTACTCCGTGGGAGGAAGCGAAGCAGATGATCACCACGAGTGATACCTTTCAGGACAATAAGATCTTCCGCTCGGTCCACAATGTCGATATCTTGAATTTGTACGAGCAACGCGTTCAGGAGCTCGACTTTGCGCGCAACGAAAGCAAGCGACACGACGCTACTGCCCGCCTGCGGAATAATCGCAAAGCTCGCGATGCGTTCCGAGAGCTGTTGAGCAAGAATGTGGAGAAGGGCAACATCAAGGCCGGCACGAAATGGTCTGATTTCTACCCACTCATCAAGGACGACGAACGCTACATCGATGTCGTCGGGACAGCTGGAAGCAGCCCGCTCGACCTATTCTGGGACGTGGTTGAAGACCAGGAGCATAAGCTGCGATCTAGGCGCAACGACGCTCTTGACGTCCTCGAGGCTGCACGCTATGAGATGACTACCGAAACCAGTGCTGAGGATTTCGCGGGCGTCATGCGCTCGGATCCACGTACCTCTGATCTGACAGCTGAGCAGGTGGAGCTGATTTACAAACGTCTCATGGACAAGGTGCACAAGCGTGCTGCAGATGAGAAAGAACAAATGGAGCGCTCGCAAAGAAAGGCCATTGATGCTTTACGATCCGTCATCAAGCACCTCGAGCCTGAAGTTCGGGTCGCGGACACCTACCAAGACGTCGCGGCTCGACTCGAGAAGTACGAAGAATTCCAGGTCCTGGACTCGGAATTCCGCCGCTCTGCTTTTGACAAACATATTTCGAAGCTTGAGAGTAAGGAGAAAGGTCGTGCCGAAGGCGCTCGCATTAGAGAGGAGCGAAATGCCGCGCGCAATGGCAGCTCGCGTCGCCCGGATCGCGATGACCGCCACCGCCGTGACCACCGCCGTTCCCGTTCTCCCGAGATCGACGCCTATGAAGCCGAGCGCAAACGCGCACAAGCTGATCGCGAACGCCAGTACCGCAAAGCTTCTTTCGGCCTGACACCACCGCCTCGTGAACGCCGTCGCGGTAGCGGCGATATCGATAGGTATGATGGTCGATACGAGGATCGTGGCCACGATGATCGTGGTGGAAGACGTCGTGGCGGCTCAAGAGAGAGGGAGAGTATTTATGATCGAGAGCGGAGGGAGCGGGAGATGGAGCGGGAGAGGTCGTATATTTCTCGTGCGGATCCGCGGGACAAGGGCCGGACGTTGGATTATGGGGATGAGGATGCGGGGAGTAACGGTGGCGGGAACGGAGCGAGCAGTGTGAGGAAGAGGAGGGAGTCGGAGGTTTCTGTCATGCGGGACGCGAAGGTACGAATGTTTTTGGATTTCTACTCTGAGTGACGGAGCTCCTGTATAGATGGCTGACTTATTTTGCATAGCGTGTCCGCCGCACACGCACACCAGAACCCTCTGGCGTGCTCAAGGAACCCGAGGAAGAACCCAGGGAGGTGCGATCTGGAAGCGAGGATGGCGAAATCGAGGAGGTCTAGGAGCGCTCCCGAAAGAAAAATATCCTTACAGCTACAGGTCCTAAACGCACCTTGGATTTGGACTTGGGCGCTATGCCGCCGGCTTCGGTTATGGATGCTTATACTGCTGCTTGGGTGAATTCGGGAGCTTTTTCTTCCACGTGGGCTGGTAAATTGGCGAATAAGAGGATGGAGGGTGGAGCTTCGGTTTATTGGCCTGCTGTGCCTGCTTTTACTGGTAGTGGTTTTGGCGGTGCTGGGGTTGGGCTGTCTAAGGGTGTGACTGTGAAAGAGGATGTGCATGTGGATGAGGATGAGGTGATGGGTGGGATTGATATACGGAATGGGAGGGTGCATGGGGAGGATGCTTCTGAAGTGGATGGGGTCGACCTTCGCAATGGCGTGGTGGATGGCGAAGGTGATCCAGAAATGGGTGGGATCAAGATTACGGTGGAGGAGGTGGAGTGATCGTGCTTCATTCCTCGGAAGCGTGCTTGAAGAGATCGGGTTGCAATCGGGAGTGGATGGCTGGAAAGTGCGTATGCGTTCTTCTCCCGCACATCCGCTGAGTACTACTTTGCTACTGCGGCCTCTAGCTCTTCTGCGCTGGCTACAAAGGCGTGCTTGCGCTGGCTATCATGGCGTATTTGCGATGGAAGGGAACGAACGAGATCGTGAGTCTGGGCTGGGTTACGGCGTACGTGTCTTCTGCTACTGCATGACGACGGCGTCACACGGTACTAAAGCACTTCGTGGCAGTTCGATCCGCAATAATGCAAAATGGTGCTGAAACACGATTCCGAGAGAGTGTCATTGGTACGTCTACTCGCGTGCCTTTGCTAACAACTGTGGTTGCATATCTCATTTCTGTCTTTTCATCGTAATTACTTCTCACACCTCTTCGAGGTGCGTTGTGCACGCTGGTAGGTAAGCAGCGCACATACGCAGTGATGGACAAGTGCATTGCCTCACTTGCCCTCTTGTGGCAAAATGGCTTGCTCGGTAATGAAACAGGATAGTCTGTCTTTCGTGGCCCGAAGCAGTGGCTCACAAGATGTCCCATCGCCTCACTCTTCTGTCGATGCTTGTTTGCATACTAGGCGGAGGTTGAGCTCCCAGCTCTCTTCAGAAGACGACACGATGGTCTTGGCGTAAGTGAGATCTCCTCATCGTCGTCCTCGTCCTCACTTCCCTCCTCCTCAAGCGACTCGTCAGCGCCGCTCTTCACGGCGCGGTAGCGCTTAGTGCCGATCTTGGCACCAACAGTTGTCAAATTTTCATTTTCATTTACCACCAGGACGCCTTTTAGGACTCCTCTTCCATGAAGAAATAATTCCCGTTGCCCTTCTGCTCGTTATCCAGCTGACTATGGAGCTTATTGATCCTCGGACGGAAGGTGTTGGGATCACGACGGAACGTCACGTCCAAAGCCTTGAGGAAACGGTTGCAGCCCGTGAGCAAGCTCTCGGGTTTATTCGCCCGAGCCTTGATAGACGGCTGGCCATCGAAGACGATGACGCGGTCGGCGAGGTAGGTGGCCATGATGAAATCGTGCTCGACGACCATGGCTGTTTTCTTGCTGTGCATGATGAAGCGTTTGATCACGCGGGCGGCGATGATACGTTGCTCCGAGTCCAGGTAAGCGGACGGCTCGTCAATGAGGTAGACGTCTGCGGGCATGCCGAGAGCTAGAACAATAGCGACACGCTGCAACTCTCCTCCGGACAAGTTCTGGACTTCCTGGTCGATGAAGTCGTCTAGTTTCAGTGGTTTGTAGACGTCTGTCTGGAATTGTGGAGACAAGAAGGCAGTCTTGATCTTCTTGAAGAAGAGTTGTCGGACGGTGCCGGTGAATTTGGGCGTGATCTTTTGCGGCTTCATGCTGATGCTCATTTGCGGTACTTTCTGTGTACCATCTGGTTTCTCTGCACCGGCAAGCATTTTGCAAAAGGTGGTCTTGCCGGTACCGTTCTCACCCATTAGGACAAGGATCTCAGAGTCAGTGAACTCGCCTGGCTCGACGCTGAGGTTGAAGTCGCCGAGGGTCTTTTGCATCTTGGGGTAGCCGTAGGCACGGGACTTGTCTGTCAGATACTCCTCTCCTGCCTCGCCTACACGGAACTGCAGACTCTCCTCGCGGAAACGCAAGTTCTCAGTCGGGACGTTGCCATCGAGGAAGATATTGATGCCTTCACGAACCGAGAAGGGTGCCGTGACTACACCATAGACGGCCGGCTTGCCATACAAGACGCAGATGTAGTCGGAAAGGTAGTCGAGGACAGCCAGATCGTGCTCGACGACAATGACGAAGCAGTCCGGGCGAAGGAGACTACGGATGATACGTGAAGCCGCTAAACGTTGCTTGACATCCAGGAAGGAAGAGGGCTCGTCAAACATGTACACGTCGGCCTTTTGGACGCAGACCATGGCGATGGCGAAACGTTGCAATTCACCGCCGGACAGGAGTTCGATATCACGATCCCAGACTTGCTTTAGTTCAAGGACTTCGGCAATCTCATCCAGGCGCTCGTCACCAACTTGGCAGCGTTGTGTCATCTGGAAGCCGACGGTGCGGTTGGTGCCCTTGACCGCCTTTGGAATCTGGTCAACGTATTGTGGCTTGGTAACAGCCTTGAGATCATCCTCGAGGACCTTCTTGAAGAAGTCTGTCCTGTAATCAGCAATTGCAACTTCACTTCATACTGCTTGAGCACTCACTCTGCAGCTCCGAACCCCTGAAGTACTTCAGGATCTCCTCCCAATCTGGCGGGTTATCGTACCGCCCCAGGTTCGGCTTCATCTTGCCCGCCAGGATCTTCAACGCTGTACTCTTGCCAATACCGTTCGTTCCCACCAGTCCTAACACCTGACCGGGTCTTGGCATGGGCAGGCGATGGAGCTTGAAGCTGTTGGCAGAATAACGATGTGTGACTTGAGTTTCGAGGTTGGTGGGTAAGTTGATGATATTGATAGCGTCGAAGGGACACTTTTTGGGACAGATGCCGCAGCCTATGCAGAGGCGTTCGCTGATGAAGGCGATTCGGGAGGTGTTGTCGACTTCGATGCAGAGCTTGCCTGATCGAACAACTGAAGGCAATAGTCAGAATCCACTCATCTTACATCCACAGGTGTTGATCTACGAACCAGGACAAGATTTTTTACACTCGCTACGGCATCTGTGAGGTTCATATGTTAGTGAATGTTCATGTGTCAGTGTAGATATGAGGGTTGGGACTATGTTGGGCAAAACTCACTTCTTCGGCTTGCACTTGTCCGCCGAGACGATGGCAATACGGGTCAGCTTATCCCCCATGGCGACGATTGCTTGAAGGTGTCTTGGAGGTCGATGGTGGTAGAAGTGGTCGGTAGGAGGAAGAGATATCGAATATGTGGTGGGGCAGAAGGTGGGATGGCGTGAGATATGGTCGAGTCTGTCGAGTACGCCAAGCACTGAACGATCTGTTCAACGGTAAAAGTTCTCACACACTCGACAGGACTCGTTTCTTCGCAGTATGTATCGAGAAGAACAGTGACTGTTGAGCAAAAGGTGGTCATGCGAAAAGGTTCACAAATTACTCGCTATCCGCTGGCATATGTGGGGTGAAGTGTCCTTGTGCGGGTAGACCCGGTGGCACTAGCGTTCTTGAGTGCGCGAGAGTGTGCTTCTACTCTCATTCTACACCCGAATCTCGACCAACTACATAGGGCACCATATCCCTCCCCACACCCACCACCTCGACATTGTCACCGATGAAGCAATCATGGATGGTAAGTATCGTCCGAATCGTCCTCCTCTCGTTTGTCCTTTCGTCCGCGCTCTATCGTCACTGGAGGCCTCGCCGCACCATCCATCTCAGGCCTCGAAGATCAGCCATATTCCATCACGACGAACCTTAGAGTCGATTCTATGCCTCGACACGGGACGATCCACGCTCTGCCAGCGTCGCCGAATCACGCCATCTACGCCAATAGCCGTCGGACCAGCCCTAGCGACCTTAGGCCTCCTCGGTAGTCGTCTCGTCTACAGTCACATTTTTCGGTCGGACTTGATCTTGTCGGAATCTGGATGACAGAGTATACTGGATATACGGGGAATGCGATCGCCGGCACGTGTTCTGGCTGTGCGCAAAATTTGAGCTTGCTGTGACTGCGGTGTGCTAAGATACTATGCTAACACGCTCCTCTTACAGCCGGCCCGGTACTTCTCCCTACACACTTCTCCCCTACCAGCAACATGTCCTTGACGAACGGTCATGTCGATACTGTTCACGAGAACCACATCAACTCCACTCTCCCTTTGACACGCAGCGAGAGCGAGCTTTCAGACCTCAATGACGCTCCGCCGTCTCGAAACGAAGCACACGGCCAGGCGGCCTCAGAAGATGATGCCATGCACGACATGGCAACGTCAGAGATGGACAGAGATGAGGACGCGCTCGGCGAGGAGGACGCAGAGTACGACGCGGAAAGTCCGGCTCCTCAGCCAGCTGGCGGAATGCGAGACGACAGATTATCGTCCGAAGACAGCCTGAGGCCTGCCAGGCGGAAAGGAGATGCTGACGACGATGATTTCATGAAGCGAAACCCGGAGCTGTATGGTCTACGGCGGAGTGTTAGTGTCTCCTATCCCGCTCTACTCCATTCACCGCGCTGACATCGCTGCCTACAGGGACGAGCACGACCGGCGCGTCGAGTGGTACGTGCACTGCTCGCATGGCAGGATATAACTTCGTGACGCTGACCTAGCCTGCAGCTCGAAAGTTCTGATGAGGAGGACGAAGACGAGGACGACGTTAACACCGGCAGACGGAGGAAAAGGCAAAAGACTGCCAACGGCCGTCCTGGTACGTCACAATTCCTCACCTCATGTGATATTGGTACACGTCGCTAACGACGTTCACAGCTTCTTTGAGCAAAGAGTCCTCCCTTCAGCCCGCTTCTGCTGCTCCTACCGAGTCTGAAGACGACACTTACGGCGGCCAAAAGGGTAAGACTTTCGCCAAGAAGCATCGACAGAAACTCCAAGCCGCCACCTCTGGAGGCAACACACCCAATATGAGCGAGGTTCGCTTCTCCACGCGTCGAGCTGCTAAGGTAACCACCTACACCGAGCAAGACGACTACGGCTTGAGCGAGGAAGACACCGAGATGACGCCTGCCTATTATTACGAGGAGGTCGATACTCGGCCTGCCATCGATGTCGTCCTGAACCATAGGCTCAAGGAGGGTGCTGGTAAGTCACACCGTCTTGTATGTCATTGTGCGGCCTCGCTAATTGCTTCGCAGACAAAGCCAGCGATGACAAGCACGATTTCGAGTTCTACGTACGTCACCGTCTCACCGCTCACGATGCTAGTACGCTATACTGACATACTTCTAGATCAAATGGCAAGGCCAGTCACACTACCACGCGACATGGGATACCTGGGCTTCCCTCTCCACCTACAAAGGCTTTCGTCGCCTCGAAAACTACTTTCGCAAGACAGTAAGATTTGAGCTGAGCTTGACACAAGATCCGGATATTGCTGTAGAGGATCGGGAGAAATACAATCTCGATCGTGAGGCATACATCGACTCACTCAACGACTACACACAAGTTGAGCGCGTCATTGGCAGGCAGACTACGGACGATGGCGGTACGGAGTATTACGTAAAGTGGAAGGGACTGTACTACGATGCGTGTACATGGGAGGACGCTGATCTGGTCGCGCAACTCGCACAATCGGAGATCGACCGCTTCATCAAGCGTCAGCAACACCTACCTGTATCGAACGCCAAGGAGACCAGCCTGGCTACGAGGGCTGACTACAAGCCTTTCAGGACACAGCCGGAGTACGTCAAAGGTGGCGAGCTTCGAGAATTCCAGATCCATGGCCTCAACTTTCTGGCACATCACTGGTGCAAAGGCAACAATGTTATCCTCGCTGATGAGATGGGTTTGGGCAAGACTGTGCAGACCATCTCCTTCATGAATTGGCTACGGCATGATCGCGGGCAGAATGGTCCTTTTATCGTCGTGGTACCTCTCTCCACCATGCCCGCCTGGGCCGACACCTTCAACTTCTGGACACCTGACTTAAACTATGTTGTCTATAACGGTAATGAAGCAGCGCGCAAGATCATCCGCGATTACGAGCTGCTGGTCAACGGTAACCCTCGAAAAGTCCGCTTCAACGTGCTTCTAACAACCTACGAGTATATTCTTGCGGACTCTACCTTCTTGTCACAGATGAAGTGGCAATTCATGGCTGTGGACGAGGCACATCGGCTGAAGAACCGGGAGTCACAACTATACGCCAAGCTTATGGAGTTCGGTGCGCCAAGCAGGCTACTGATCACCGGCACACCTATGCAGAACACTTTGAGCGAGCTCTCTGCACTCATGGACTTCCTCATGCCTGGCAGACTGAATGTTGACCTCAACATCGACCTGACTTCCGAGGACGCTAGTGAGAAGATCGCCGAGCTGACAGATGCCATCTCGCCCTACATGATCCGACGCACGAAACAAAAGGTAGAAAGCGATCTTCCGCCGAAGACCGAGAAGATCATGCGTGTCGAATTATCCGATGTGCAACTCGAGTACTACAAGAACATCCTTACCCGGAACTATGACGCTTTGAACGCGGGTGCAAAGGGTGGAAAGACCTCTCTACTCAACATCATGATGGAGCTCAAGAAGGCCAGCAACCACCCGTTCATGTTCCCGAATGCTGAAGAGCGGTTCCTCGAAGGCAAGGACGGCCGCGATGATCTATTGAAGGCCCTGGTCTCCTCGTCCGGAAAGATGATTGTGCTCGATCGCCTCCTGGCCAAATTCAAGCAAGAAGGTCATCGTGTCTTGATCTTCAGTCAGATGGTCAGGATGCTGGACATTCTGGGCGACTACCTACAGCTACGTGGCTACCAGTTTCAGCGCCTAGATGGTACAATTGCCTCAGGTGCGAGGCGGTTGGCAATCGATCACTTCAACGCACCGGACTCGTCCGACTTCTGCTTCCTGCTCTCAACTCGCGCTGGTGGTCTCGGCATCAATCTGATGACAGCAGACACTGTCATCCTCTTCGACTCGGACTGGAATCCTCAGGCTGACCTACAAGCTATGGCTCGTGCACATCGCATTGGTCAGAAAAAGCCTGTGACAATCTACCGCTTCGTGTCCAAGGATACCGTCGAAGAGGAAGTCCTTGAGCGTGCTCGTAACAAGCTCATGTTGGAATACATTACGATCCAGCGCGGTGTTACAGACAAAGATGCTCAAGATCTCGGTGACCGAATGGTCAAGGCCAAAGGGCTAGTAGCTGAGCCTACGTCTGCTGACGACATCTCCAATATCCTCAAGAAGCGTGGCCAGAAGATGTTCGAGCAGTCTGGCAATCAAGAACGACTCGAGGCTCTCGACATCGACGCTATGCTTGCTAATGCTGAAGAGCACAAGACCGAGCAGCCCGAAGGCATGACCACAGATGGTGGCGAAGAATTCTTGCGCAGCTTCGAGTACACTGACGTCAAGATCGATCTCGAGTGGGATGACATTATTCCGAAGGAGCAGCTCGAGAAGATGAAGGAAGCCGAGCGCAAGAGAAAAGAAGAGCAAATGCTCGCTGATCTTGTCGAGGCGAACCAGCCTCGCAAGCGTAAGGCGCCTGTGGACGAGGCTCGAGAGCAGCGTGCAGCCAAGAAGCGTGCTCGTGACCTTGCAGTCGAAGCTGCAGGTGACATGCAATCTGACGACGAGTCTGACACCGGTCGTGATCCTAGACGTGCTCTGGGCGAGAAGGAATGCCGTCTTCTCATTGGCGCATACGAGCGCTGGGGTGCCATGAACGAGAAGCAGGACGAGATTGTGCGCGATGCAAGACTTATCGGTCGAGATATTGACGTTGTCAAGGATACTTTGCAAGAGGTCATCTCTACTGCCGAGGGTCTACTACAGGCAGAAGAAGATCGACAAGTCGAATTCGAGCGCACCAACAACAAGCAGGTCACGAAGAAGGACAAAAAGGCGGTCTTGTTCGACTTCCGAGGCGTCAAGCGCAACAATGCTGGCACCTTGACTGAGCGCCCACGTGAGATGCGCATGATTCGTGAGGAGGTTGAGCGGGCACCGGATTGGCGTAACTTTCGAATCCCGGAGGCTTCGAAACCTGCAACGTACTCTTGCGACTGGTCCGCGGTGGAAGATGGCATGCTTATTGTTGGCATGGCAAGACATGGCTTCGGCGCTTGGGTTGAGATTCGCGACGACGAGGAGCTCAACCTGAAAGAGAAGCTCTTCTTGGAGGAGCATCGAGTCGCTGCCAAGGAAGACCGTACCAAGGGCGGCGAGGAGAAGCAGGCTAGATCACCTGGTGCTGTTCACCTTGTGCGTCGTGCAAATTACCTTCTCAGTGTGCTGAAGGACAAGACCAGCAATGGCGCAAACCTGGCTGCGCGCAAGGCCATCGAGAATCACCATCGCAACAATCGCAAACACATGGACAGGCTCCACGGTCGGCTTTCTACGCCTACGCATGGCTCCGCCAGCCCAGCGCCGGGTAGATCACGACCAGAAACAGATCCGCGCCGGATGCACCAGTCTGATATTCGTCACACTCTGGACCGTCGCGGAACTCACGGTTCGCCAAATGGTCACTCGAGGCCTCGTCACTCCGATGACCGCCGACCTCAACACCATCGTAACGGCAGTTCGCCGATGGTTCAGACCAGCGGTGTTCTCACGAACGGCAACGGAACGCCAATGTCGGAGATGGACATTCGCGTACGCAAGTTCCTGCAGCCCATCAGCGAGCGTCTGAAGCCACTGATTACAGCCACCAAGAAGAACGTTCCGGACGACGACAAGCGCCTCAAGATGATCAAGTCTGGTCTCCTGGCCATTGGCTCGCATATCTTGAGCCAAGCTCAGGCCGCCGGACTTCGCGAACACGAAGAGAAGATCTGGGATTACGTGTCGCTCAACCACTGGCCTCAGTCGAAGACCGCAGAGAAACGTGTTTCTGGACCGAAACTGCGGGACATGCACAAGAAGCTTGGTGGCAAGGACACAGCTGCTGGTAATACCGCCAAGAGCACGCCATCGAAGCCGAAGGACATTGCGCCGCCTACGCCTTCGACCGCCACGACAAATGGATCGAGTCATGGTACCAAGACAGAGGAGTCGAGGCCTGTGAAAGAAGAAGTGAAACCCGAGGATACGAAGACCGCCATTCCTGTTGTCGATACTGAAATGAACGATGTGAAGGAAAGGAAGGAGGTCATCGAAGAAGCAAAGGCTTAGCCAGTCTTCCTCTTCTAAGGGCGACAACAATGCATTACAGGAGTGCCGAGCATGCATGATGATCTGAAAGTGTACGAGATGGCATATGACGGGATCGAGTAATACAGACGGGCGTTCAAGCGAAGAGGATACACACTATGAACGGATTGATGGGTGGTCGCACATGATTTTAGCGATTTGCATCGCATTTTTGGTATGGGGGCCCCAAAAGCGGGGACTGCTGGCTAGTGGTGAACACCATACATGGGCGTCTACATGCATGGGATTGGAGCTTGCTTGTGTATCGTGTAATTGCTCGGCTTGGACTGCGTGGCGTGCTGGGATGGATCGACGTGGGCGAGCGTCGCTTTGCTTGTATGTTCTACTATTCGATGCGAGTGGCTGGCTGTTGAAGGCAGCACGATGAGTGCCTGCTGCTGTGGTGTGCTGTTGTATTGATAGCCACAGAGAGTGTACCAAAGATTCGGATGAATGATCTATCCAATCTGATCGATAGTCTCACACCTGTCAAGTCAGCTTTGGTGTGTGATCATCGACAGCTGACACGTGCCGGCCTTGTGTAACGTGTTTAAATCGATAATGGTCTGCTCTGGCTACATCACAATTTGGCCAGAGCTCGCTGTCACCATTGGGCTGCTGGCAGCGGTGTGTGCGACATCAGGTCGTGGCACCAATAGAACAGTACAGTACTCTAAGTGGTGAGGCTGAAGGACGCCTATCGTAGCATCCGAGTCGTGTGGCTGCCGTCCAGCGGCACAGAGTGGTGGCCTCAGATGGGAGGAGTCCAGAACAATACTATCCGAATCGTATCTGTCCTATCGAATTTCGCGCGATGCCATCACATCGTGAACCATGCTATTATCAGAGTTTCCAACGTCCGTATATTATCCGCCATAATTGACCGGCATCAAACCTTGTCTCGCTGACTTGTCCCCGACGAAACGTGGGATGACCTCACATGATAATTTCTGACATTCTCAATCCGAAGTACTTTGTTCGAAATGCGGGTCTCAGCACGTTTCTTGTGAACAGAATCTTCCTGCACGTCCTCTATCGCTTCCGACAATATCGTCCTGCCGCTCCGACGCGAGCGTGGAACGGCCACGACGGCGTGTTCGTGGCGGGTCTGACCACCCTTCAATCAGGCCTTTTCTGCGGGCTTGTACGGGTTGACGTACCGGGTCTGGGATATGGAGTGTTGTCTTTTTTCGTCTATCGTCCCTGGGCTGAGCTGATATCATACCGCTCTCATGAGCCGGGATGGCATGACCTTGATGAGGTTTCAGGTCAGGGCGAATGTAGAAAGGTGCGCATGGCGCGCTTTGGTGCAGGCGTGAGTATAGTCATTCTTCTTATTATCCTTGGTCGCCTGATCCCCTTGCTTTGTCCTCCTATCCTACACACTGGAACACTTTGCCATTGAATCACTTCAGACCTTAGGCATCACGATGGACCACTCTTTGGAACGAGTCCTGACTGTTCACCAAACAGCCATGGGAGCTACCCGTCTGCCTCTAGAACTGCAGCAGCAGATCTTCGCCTACCTAGACACGAAGTCTTTCTTCGCCGCTCGTAGCGTCTGCAAGTGGTGGCGCTTCGCCTCGCTTGACTATGTCACCCTTATCAAACAACTCGGACGACTACCCATTCTCCTGCCGAAGAAAGCTGGTGAGATTGGTCCAGACGAGCTGTACAGGATCTGGAGCGAGGCAGCATATACGCTTATGCTCGGCGTAAATGTGAAGAGGCTACCCGATGGAGAGGGCAGTATGACTGGGCCACGACGTGGAGGTCTCGTAGTCGGACCGCGGGTCTCGCATGTAACTAGTGGTGACCATACAGTCACGATTAACGACCGAACGATTGCGCTATTCAACACTTCCGCCAAGCAGCCGCGAGTCTTGGCTCAGCGACCACTGAACGATCTGAAAGAGACGGTGGGAAGCGGCCCGTGGCTAAAGATGTCGCCTACGGCATATCATGAGCTAGCACTATCTTCAGATGGTCGTTTGCTAGCAGTCGCGCAGGAAAGGACAATCCAGATATATGATCTTCTTGCCGAGGCGGATAGCTTCACAGTCAACGAATACATCAGCAGTGCTGCAGGCCACTACATTTGCGGTCTAGACTTTGAGGAGGATAATTCCGTGCTTAGGGTGAGGTTGAGTGGGAAGGGTGCTGTGTTATACCTTGGCACGCCCGGCACTATCAGCAGACAGGGAGAATCCGTTCTACAGTACTGGAAAAGCAAGGCCGGTCTGCGACACATGTACCTCGACTCTGCCCTAATCTCGAATTCAGCCGGCTCTACTGCAGATCAGACATGGCGACTTGCGGGCCTCCAGCTGCTGCGGCCATTTGGTGATGGCTATCTGTTCGCTGCTCAGAAGCATGGAGGCAATGAGAGCAGCCATTACGTGCTTGGACACGTCGGACACTCCACGCCACACAATGCGGCAGCCCCGATAGTCGAGCCGAAGAACGTGACATTCTTGGCCCGCATGGAGAGCTTCCTGAGTGCATGGGACTATACCCTGAACGGCAAGAATGAAAGCGGCATGGGCATGTGGGAGAATATGCCTGGCGCGCACGAGCATCACCCAACGTTTGCGCTGAGCCCGGACAGCACTATGATCGTGTTGGCGGAGCGGGACAAGAAGGCTGTTCGACCTACGCCTTTGACGCAGCTGTTCCTGTATCGATTGCCGAGCGCACAGCGCCTGCTGAGTACGCTTCATGCTCAAAGAGCAGGGAACATCGAGAAGTGGCCGACTGGTTCTAGCTTCCTAGACAGAATAGAAGGACAATCTCAACGGGTGCACGAGGACGTGGAGATGCCGGATGTGGACAAGCAGGCGAAGCCGAAGTGCAGTGTTGCTCGGCTGCCAGTATGCTTGAACACTATTCGAGGGATAGTGAGCGAGATGAAGTTCGCTCAGCACGCTGATGGTGGGCTGAGACTCAGTGCTTTGTCCACCGAAGCAACGAAGAGCTGGAGCTTGCTCGCAGTATGAGGCGTCACCTAACCGTCATGAGACTGGCTGAGGTGGCTGCCACTGGCGTTGAGCATCACCAATCGAGATAGACTTGATACCCACATAGATCGAAATGCATTACTTTTCCGTTGATCTTGACTTCACTTCCTGTCTCCAGTCTCTTGCCCGTGGCGTCATGGCTTGGTGTAGCGCCCGTTCGATCTTGGCAACTTTGGGGACTAGACTGCGAAAGAGTACCACGATGACAACGAGAGTTGAGAGAACAGATACTCGTTACACACCAGCTTGCTTTCTCAGCATAGCATGGCACGAAATGTGACGAATGCAGCCAGGATGAGCAAGGCAGGCATCCACCAGCGCACGCGATTACCAATCTACAGCATCGTCAGCACTGTGAGCCATGAGTGATCTCCTCATATGAGGGTCACCTGGCTTCCGACCTTGTCGGACTCGACAGCTTGCTCTTCGAGCTGTCGTCCGTCCTTCTTTGAAGCCACAGTCTCGGATTGCTTAGGCATCTTCGAGATGGCAGTGATTGAGGAGACCGTCAAGGAGAAGTCGCCTTCTTGAGTACCGAAGAAGCTGTATTGAGTCAGTCTGGTCCCTTCCTCATTGCCTTCGCAACAAGACATACCTCCGATTCATCAAGCTGATCTGCTTGATGTTCTTCGTGTCGATTTTCGGCGCATCCTTCTGAAGCTTACCGCGGTAGGTTGCATTGAGGCTGTCGAATGGTATGATCACTGATCGGTTATGTGCATCGCCGGGCAGGATCTCAGACGGCAAGGTAAAGTCTGCTTCGTACGAAATGGTCGCTTGTTCGCGGCCGTTGTCTTCATTCTTGGGAAGTAGCTTATCTTTGAGGATGACTGGCAAAGTTGCGGCTTAGTGATGGCTACGATCCGGCGTCCGAGTCACACGCTGTAAAGATCGCGCTCCGAACGGAAAACGAAAGAGCATGGTCCATTGGAGGCATCAAGCGCGCTTCCACGCAGGCCGTGCCTTCCTTCCAGCATTCTAGAGTAGTCAAGACAAAACGCAGTGGAGAAGACACAAGGTTCGAGCAGGGACGGAAAGAGGCAAGACCTGCGCTAGCTGGTCGCAGGATACTGCAATATCGGGCCACCACCCATGCTTCGATTGGGGCCAAGTGATGCATGTACGTATCGCGTCCACTAACGCTTGCTCAAAGGAAGGACTCACAAGTGTAGCGTTTCCTGCATATGCATTAGCTTGGTGGACAGGACGCCTGAGCAATTTCACACATACTTGTCGCCCTTGGCAATGTTCAGCCTGACAGCGACAAAGTCTGAGAGGTCTAGATCCACGGTGGACTTCTGCGAGGCGAAGCCAGCTCCACCCAGTGTCTTGATGTCTAGGTTGCCATGAAAGCGGGCGGCCTTGTTGTCGTCAATCTCGAGGTACGACTAGGATTGCTCAGCAACGAACGGCCTTGCACGCGTCTGGTATGGCATTGACGTACTTGGCTTTTACCGCCCCGTACTCTATCATCAGAGGCAGACCACTTCTCGACATCCCAAGCACTGTTTGCATGGCATCAGCACAAGCGCCCTAATCGTTTGGATCACTATTTACCTGCTTCCACCGAAGAGATCCTTCACCTTGTCCTTTTCAGCCTTGAAGTCCATTGTAGTATGGTCTGGTTGCCAAATCAAACGACGACGTGATTAGTCTGTCGCGTACAGTAGTATAGTCTCTACGTAGGGCTATCCGAGGTGAACGGGCTTGGCCCCACAATACGATACCATATTGGGAAACAGGTTTCAGAGGCCGTGCATGATAGGCATCCTTCTCAGGCTGTCGATCAGGGCACAAGTTAACTCTTTTGCGAGCGCAGTCTATACCGAGCAAGTAGTCTTTCAGTCACCTGCAGTGCTCCGCAGAACACCCTCCATAAGACTCCAGTCTCCAATGTGTCACGCCACATGCGACATCATCACGACTTGCGTAAGCATTCGCGGCTGAGTGCGGATCTAAGTGGGAGGCCTCGGCCGTATCACAAATACCGCTGGAGGATCATGCGACTGAGAGCAGAACGAATGCGAGTACAGCATCTCGTGTTGAAGCGTGTTTCATCATCAGTCTCTACCCCTCGAACTTCGATCGTAACTCAGCGTTCGATACTGTCCAAGTCGTAAATTGGTCTAGCTGGTAACAGCCGGAACAATTCGTTCGACGGTAGCCCGTAATCGAGCCCTCACGCGCCGTATAGCCCTCGTTTCTTGGCGCTTGGTCGGATCCTTTTCACCTCCGAAACGCCTATGCTATATAGACAGCTTCCGAACACTTCCATCCGATGAACGCCGGAGCTAAGTAATGTCGTGCTCGTGACCCATGTGCATAACGCCCCGAATGTCGTCTCGTCAGTAATGCGAGACCTGCATGGGAGGACTAGGCATCGAGTTCGGAGTATGCGGATATGCCATGGAATCGGAGGGTGACTCCGCATCTTGTGGACAGTCGAACGAATCCGACAGAGGAGGCGTCTGTGCTGGCATTAGCCCGTATGCCAAGTCGGTGCACTGTAGCTGCGTCCGAGTGTCTGCGGTCTACTACTCACATAAGGAGCATACTGATCGTTCACTCCGCTTATCGCTGCATAGCCGGCTGCGAACGGACTAGTGTCATCATCGAAGTAGAGCCCTTGTTCTGTCTTGATCGGAGGTGAGAAGTAGCCTTGATCAACAGACGGTAGGTATGCTGAGTAGATTGGCATGTCTGAGCCCGTCGACGGCAAGCTACTACAGTACGTAGGTTGAGTATAAGATGCGTATGTCATTGCGGATGTACTCGGCGCTCCTGCGTATGTGAATGGGGGAGGTGATGTCGACATCTGGCGAGTATACTGTTGTGAGAACATGTCTGAGCTGGGTAGCACATAATGCTGGTTGACGACTTCGGGTGTGTGAGCTCGCAACGCGTCTCCTGTAGTCCGCCGCCGGGACGTCGTAGGTTGGATGGCCTGGTGGTCCGACGTGACAGCTTCTAGTTGTGCGAGCTCCTCGTGTCTCTGCTCGGGAGACGCTGAACTTGATCCTGCTCTACGCTCCAGGTCTTCCAAACGCTTCTTCAGCTTCTTGCCTGTGGTAGGGTCAGTATGCAACCGTGCTTGATACAATGCTGTGCACCTACGGTAGTTGCGTTGCGCGATGCGGTTCTGTATCCTTCTTCGCTCAGCGAGATCCGAAATCTTCGTCCAGTCCTCGTTGGGATTTGCAGAGGCGGAGAAAGCACTGCTTGTGCTATGCACTGCTGGATAGTTCTTCTGTTGTGCTTGTACTGGGTACATTGGATAGCTGTAGCTACTGGGCCGATGCATCGACCGTTGATCGTAAAGGTTGTCCATAGAATCAGATAGTGAGGTCAGTGATACCAAGCTCACGTTAACAGTGGATGGTCGTTGGTGTTGTAGCTGAAGTGGTAAGGCCGGTCAAGTAGAAGATGCGGTGCCGATCAGGCTACCTTAATACTTGCAGCACAGTTGGACCGGTATCTCGAAAAGGGCACAGACTCTAAGGAGCACCCATCCTCGCCAACTTAGCTGCAGATGCCATGTGGATTCATGGCGCCGTTCGCCAGCCTCAAGCGACTTTGTCACGGATCGGCCGCAACTGTGCATTCCTTAGCGCGAGACCCTGCAATGCACCGGTCTGCCTGCAAGTGCTTCGTATACAGAGTGCTCGCAGGGCTGAGCCTATTCGGGGCCTTTGCTCTGGCGAGCTCGGACACACAACATTTGGCACGCCGTCGGTCAGTGTTATTATCCGCCTAAGTTGGGATGAGATGACTGATGGCCTATGTTGGAGTAGTGTCAAACAAGTCGACGACAGTGCGGCCGTAGCTTGGAGTTCCAGCGCATTTGTGCTTGGTCGGGTCCAAGGCTGCAAGTCGTGCAGAACGGCTTGAGCGAGAACGCCATGCGAGCGCGATCGAGCGCTGCCCGCACTCGGATCAGTAATGTGTGACCAATCCCGGCTTCGCGGAGGGAGATAGGTCCAAAATCCGCAGTGCTGCCCTCATAAACCACCAGCCCATGGGGCCGTTTGGCAGTTAGTGATCAACGTGTCCAATCGCGCCCTACCGACCCAGGCCTCCCCTCCTTCATTTGCCTTGGAGATTGAGCCTTTCACCCCGTAGACGGCATGCCGCGCGTTTGGCCAGGTCTCAAGTATGCCACATCACACCACATCCCGGAACGAAAGCGTGGCACGCCGCAGCACCCGCCGCCTTTTGCACAGGCCATCGCATGATTCCATCCGCGTATTCAGCCCAATCGTGACCACGAGAAATTGTCGGGGACGAAACTCACAATCCGGACCTCGAAGCTTTACGCTGCCTTACGAAATCATCAGGCGCAACTCTTGTTAATTCTGGTTCTGCTGACTGAACACGCCATTCAAAAATAGCCGCCATGGCGCTAAGCTTGATACAGGGATTCGCAGCGACGACGGCGACCACGCTCGACATGATACATACATACAACAAGATACGTCATGTGGTGCACATGAGAAGAGCAAACATAGAGGACTCATCTCCATTCACAACCATAGGTAGGCAATGACAATTAACACATTTGCCCTTCCAATCCTCAAGTCGGGGCTCATGATCAAGCTCTCGTCAATGTCTCCTTCTAGCCTAGCTTATTGGCATGGGTCAGAATCCTTTTACTTTTCTCATCGTCACAAGGCTGATAGGGCTGACGGAAACATGAAGGATCCGTCGCACAGAGTGAGCACTTTCTTTCCGCCTGCAGTTCGTCGCGTGGCAGCCATAAGCAGATCTCGCGGCATCTTCAAAACGTTTGCCGAGCTTGTATACTGGCATCTGCGACTGATACGCTCTGAGATATCAACACTGTATGGAAAGAAAAAGTAGATGTTCTTAGAGGGCTCAAAGGAGTAGCGCTGCCTGCAAAGCGAATGCGCTGGTCGCTTTGACATGATTCGCTCAAGCGAGTAAACCCTCCTAGCTATCACACGAGTTTTCTGGTGTCTGCAGGTAGATGTGTAATATCGAGCGTTCATCGTGATGGCGGAGACAAAGACTGGACAGTCCTCGCGCGCTGCAATCATCGCACCACATCACGTTTATCTCATGTCGTTGAAGCTCAGCCTTGGGATTTGGTTAAGCCAGCTTGCACGAGTGTAGAGTGCATCTGGCGTCGCTGATGTGAAAGTGCTATCATGCACGGCATTGCTACTGTAATGTTACTTCGCATAGATTTCCTGCAATGGTTGGTGAGAAGAGACGACAAAACCTGTTTGACGCGTCCACGGAATGGAATCCGCAAGCCTCGCCTCCACTAACAGCTCAGCTTAGCTCAGGCGGAAAGAGTCAGTCTTGCTCATCTACGCCAGCACTACGAGGTGTGCTTTCGTGTCATCCCAAACATCACACCATAGATTGGGTCCGATGTCGCCAGGAGCGTTGTCGATGCCATTCCGGCTGGTCAAGAAGCTGATCTGCTCATGCCAGTGTTTCCAATACCAATGCCCAGATGAGGCATAGCCAAACTTTTCTATGCGGCTGCATTACTATGCTTCGGTTGCACAGAGGAAACTGAGTCCATCGTTCCGAACATTGCAAGGAGTTTGGCAGAGTCGTAAAACAAACGAGCATGCCTGATAATCAGGCGATTTGGAGTGCGCGCAGCATGATCCCTGACGACTTCACGAGCAAATACATTCCCAAGGGCACGCCGTCAGCACCTTACAGGACTACAGAACACCCCGCTTGTGCCGTTCCGCAGCAATTACTGTTTATCCCACCAGTAGTCATCACCTAGGACGAACTTAGCACGGGAGTCAATCTTCACTGGCGGCCAAACCTATTCAAGAATGCTGTCTCTGTAATCTGAAGGTTTACAGATCCGGGGACAGTGCGATCGCTCCTCGTACCCACCCAACTTCAGCCGTACCATTGATCCGGCCATACCGAGTCACAGCTCATCCATGACCTGGCGTGGTGTAACAAGTCTAGAACATCACAGCCATAGGCATTCCACATGCACTGAAGGCGGACCGCTCGTTCCATGCGTTCCATCTACCGTTGAGTAAGCACCGCCAACACTAGACGGGAATACAGCCGGATGCTGTTGCCGTAGATAGGGACACAATGTCAGCTGTGCACTGTCTCTGGTCATCAAACCATCCAACAAGGGGAGATGCGTCGTCAGCCCGGTTCCCGGACTTTCAGCGGCTTGTATCATCGCCGTCCTGGCTCGCCGTTCAGACACACCGCCGGGAACCATCTTGCTTCAAGGGAGTCGGAAGCTTGTTCTTCCTGATGACAAGCCAAGGCTACGCACGAGACCGGACCTGCAGTTCATGAACCATAGCTGGTGCCGGGACTGCCCGTGTGATACTGCTCTATGTTGCCGCTAGATTTCACGACGGCCCAATCTCATTCGTGTCTGGATACACTGACTTCTTCGAGACATTAGTGTGACGTTCTAACGTGGAGACTGACGCCTCTCGAGTCAACCGGCCACTCATACCGCTTCTCAATTCACGAGGAGCTTCGTGTTCGACTCAGCCGCAATACAAGTTGCTGAAGCAGGGACATCTCGCTGTGCTTTGGAATACTACGAATGTTCTTGATGATGAACGCTTGGACGGTTGGTATCGTTTGAGAAGGACTGCTGGTGGGATTTGCAGTCGGAGACAAACACCCATGCGGCTGCGAGAAGTCGTCGAAATGCCAACAGTACCGTACGTTAATACCGCGAAAAGAACCCGGGTCGATCGATTACGGATACACGGAAGCAGACACAGTCTACACGGCCGTGAAGACCGATCAGTACAGACCGTCCAAGCATTCATGTTCGAGTCATGCATGGAGGAATAGTCACGGTCCAGCGAATGGCATCTCTGCACGAGTCTTGCTGGACGAAAGATCACTGGATCAATCTCGATGCGTGGTGTTTATCCGACTCCCATTGTTGGTATCGACGCAGTGACGATAGAAGCAGTCTTCGAATCCAATTTGATCAATCGGGGAAGTACATTGGCGCCGTCGTCCGCAAGGTAAGGACAGCGAAGACTACAAAGGTGTCCCGACCTGATCCCCAGTACTCCACGAAAGGGTCTCCACAATGGCGGTCGCACGTTTGGATTCCTCATCCATCCCCTGCCTCATCTCTTGATCTACACCATGCCAAGACCATCCCAACCCCTACAGCCCCAACACAAGCAGATTTCGGGAATAACCTGGCTGCTGAGCCCGTGCACAGTGCTGTTGCAACGCACCCGCACTACTCTGCCCATACAGCCTAACAGTACGCATCCCTGTAATCAAGACCACCCTGCCGTCTCTCGAGAAAGCCGCTGCAGCCCACCCGCAATTCTCCAACAGCTCCAACATCGATCACAGCGCGCCCGCACGAGCCAGGTCGACATCGACTGCATACCTCACGTTTCGTCAAAAGCTCAGCCCCTTTGCAGGCATTACCTACCCCCTACAGCACCGGCAAGGCTTGATCATGATGAGTATTCTCGCCGCTCGTCTTGGTCAGCTGTGCCTAATCTCATCTCGCGGCTGTGTAAGCTCGTTCATCGCTCCCGTGCAGGCTTGCTCAGTCACGACGCTCATGAGCAAAGATTGCTGATGCTCAGCTGCCACCGCTTCGACCGCTGCCTTGCGAACCACCAAGTGACTGTGGGAACGACACCTCTCTGCTTCCCAGCCTTGATGGCTCGCGCGGCGATATCTTGAACCAGTCTTCTAGAACATGAAGTATGGTATCGATAGTTTCGAAAACGATGCACCAAGTAACGAGCCGGTACAGCCTCGCCCCAGATCCCCTCCAGCATCGTGCTCTCTCCCCTCCAGCCCGACGCCAGGAGGTTTGATTCCAAGGACTGTAGGCTCTCCCTCGTCGCGATCGATTAAGAATTGGATATAGGCTTCAAAGCAGATGGTTTAGCGGAAGTGATTTGTCGTCGCATTCGGAGCAGCCTGAAGACGATACATAGTACGCGACGGCTGGGGCAGTGTGTCAGAAGCGAGCAAGCAAGCAAGACATGATCATCTTATCAGCAGAAACGCTGTTCGTCCGGGCTCAATCTACTACTGTTGTCATGATCAATAGCGGAGACTCTCCGTGGGTACGGCAGCGGTTGCTCCTCGGCTTCCACTGCATGATTCGAGAAAAGGACCTGTAGGCCATTGCGTCAAGACGCAGGACTGGAAGATGACGAGCAGAATCGGCCTATTACGGCTCCTTGGGCCATGTATGTATGCTAGGCAGCTGGCCACATAACGCAACCAGAACTCTGTGCTCCCCCCTTTCAAATTGACAATCCACCCATCGGTCGATGGTCATGATCAGTACCTCTGCCTACAAAACATCCACCTCCATCCTCTCCCCCCGCCCACCACTCCCACCTCCAAACCCACCGACAACAGGAAACCTCCCCCTCAACAACCCCTCCCTCCGATCCAATTCCCCCGCATACTCCCTCCGCAAATCCCCCAACCTAACCAGCTTCCTCCTCGCTCCCTGCGCACTCACCCCCGGGATAGCCTCAGCCAAGATCCATGCTTCGTCCTCCTGCTCCGCGGCCTCATTGACAGCACCGTCACCGCAGCAGCAGGCGAGGGTATTGATGAGCAGAGTATAACACCGCACGACCGTCTCATCCTCCGGGTCCTGATTCACCGGATCGTGAGGGTTAGCGAGGAGACGCTGGAGGTGCTCATACAGGATCTCGGCGGCGCCACGGAAATCGCCCCGTTGGGTGCGGAGGGCGTAGAGGAGCTGGTAGTAAGCCGGGCCCGAAACCGTAGTCCCAGAACCAGAACCAGAACCAGAACCAGAAGCCATCTCCCTCCTCGCCAACTCCTCCAAAATCCCATCCACCTCCCTCCCCGACCCCCCACGATCCCCGCCCAGCAAGCCCAAAACCACATCCCCACACCCGAGCCGCACACACCCCTCCACCAACCCCCTCAACCCCCTACTCTGTAACGCCTCATCCTCCATCCCCCCCAACGCCCCCAACGCCTCCCCCCACCTCTCCAAAACCAACAAAGCATCAAACAACCTCCCCAGAACAGAGTTCCACCCCTCATTCATCCTCAACAACCTCGCCTCCTGCACCGCAACATCCATCCTCTCCGCCACCGGACTATCGACCCCCTTCTTCCGATCCAGCGCGGCGATCTCCGCCCGGAAATCATGCGGTCGGGGGGTATGATCAAGGGCCAACTGGGCGAATTCAGCGATGTAGGAGTACGCCTTCAGCGTCTCGAAGAGGGAGGTGATGTGGGAATAATAAACCGCTTTCCCGGTCCCGAAATCCCCTTTCTCGTCCGATGAGAGCAGGAGATCGACGGAATGGTTCAGGCTTTTCGTCGCGGAAAGGCCGGGGGCCGCGGAGCGGAAGTCCCGGCTTGCTTGGGCGAGGTTTCCCGTGAGGAGGTGCAGACGGGCGTGGATGTAAGTGGACGAGTCCGAGGATTTGGAGCAGAAGGGGAGGAAGTCCGTGCCGAGATCGGGCTCATTTTTCGTGATGAGGCGGGCGAGGATCTGTGTCGTCAGCGCTTCCCAGCCTGCCTCGTCGTCCAGACGGAGGGAGGATAACCATTTACTCGTCCACAGCGTAAGGCGTTGCGGCAGCGTCGTCTCCTTCGCGGCTACGGCCCGCCAATGGCTGAGGTGGATATCCTCTAGTATTGTCACAGTCTCGGTGATTGTTGTGCCTTCGGCAATAAGCAGTGTCGTTTCCCTCTCGTGCTCTAGTAACCAAACTAGAAGTCGGATCCGCTTATACCGCGTCATCAACCCTGCGAACAAGTCCTCAGAGTCAAAGTCTGGATCAAGTGGTTCCTCCAATCCGCCCGCCACGAAAACCACCACGACTAGAAGATCTAACACGGTGTTCTCGGCTCTCAGTACCATTTCTCGTGCGAGGGCGAGAGTCATGTCCGCTCCATAGCGCGCTAGAAGCCGGTGATCGTTTGGACCAGAAACATCGAGCCCTTCGTCCAACCAATCGAGGAGACGTTCGAAGTTCTCGTTCTTGAGACTCGTTAACCCGCCGAGGTTCTCCACGGCCGCGTTCAGATCGTCGAACACTTCGGTTGTTACTTCCTCGTCTAGGTTCCAGGTATTGAAGAGGGTTTGGGTGCGGCTTTGGTCCGGGGGATCTTGTGGGGAGGTCATGCAGTCGCGTTGGGCTGTTGAGCGGATGAGCAGCTTGGCTTCTGATGAGAGCTCTTGTCGCAGTTCTTTCGCTGCAGCGAGGAGACGGCTGAGGTAGACGCTTTCGTCGTCGGGGTAGATGGTTGAGAGGAGGTGGGGGTCTACTTTTACATTGTCGCTGTCGTCGTAGAGGAGTTCGGCGTTTGCTTTGCGCAGCTCGAAATCACTACAGGTACGTATCGGTGCCACGAAGTCCGCGCATACACTCCATGGCAAGTTTGTCGTGCTGTCGAAAGCGAAGCCGATGGGTTCGTGGCGACGGGCGTGTAGATGAGATAGCACGGCGAAATAAGCGCGCCATTGGGTGTGGATATCGGCTTGGTAGCGTTGATAGTCTGGTTGATCGTTGGCTGAGCGGCCCAGTAGGACCTTGGCAGTAACGGCAGACGTCAAGCGTTCCTGCAGGGGCGACTCGGCAGCCTGCAGGCCTTGACTAGATGATGTGGCGCTCAGACCACGAGCTTTGCGGTACATATACAGCGCTGTCTCAAGCGAAGGCAGAGTGAATCGACCCGGCGAGAACAAGAACTGCAGCCATCTCTCACTAGACGTCACGGCACCATCTGCAATTGCGTCCTCACCAGGAAAGTCTGCAAACAATCTCAGCGCATCGACAGTCAACGGGCCAGTATCAACAGCCGACCACGACCTCGACCAAACATCCACAACATCCAGAGCGGAACCATCATCACCCAGTAGATCAAGCTGGATCCTGAAAGTCTTGCACAAAGCACCACTTCTAGCCCGGACCCAGAATTGCGTCTCCTGCCAAGCCGCGCCTGGTTGTACATGAAAGTGCTCGAGATGCCAGATATTGGTGTTCATGAGCTCGTCTACAGGTGGTATGAGGCGCGTCGAGGGCTGTAAATCTTGGGTATGTATGCTTTCGCCATCGAGGCTTGTGGTGTAGGTAATGTCGTAGATTTTGAACTCGTGTTCTTTGTGCGAGTGGACGATGATGGCGTATCTGTCGTCTTGGTCCATTCGGCTGACGGCGCCCTTTTCTACTTCAGGTGGCGGAAGCAGGACGATCTGAAGGAGTCTGCCTTGTTCGGCTGACATGGTGTAAGGATTGCGGTTACCTTGGTCATCAATCCCACTGAGCAAATCCTGCTTCAGCACGATGCGGCCAGTGGCTGTACTCAACGCCCGTAAATAATGATCCAAGCTCACAGTCCACACAAATTTACCATCAGGACTCTTCGCCATATCCGCAATCGCCGTGGGATCGAGGTCGACGTTGCCATATCTGACTATAGGTCGTCCGGCAAAAGGGTTCAGACCTTTCAGTGTCAAAGTGCCTCGCCAGCCACCCTCACTAAAGAACGTCTCGCGCCACTGCGAACCACTCTCGTTGCACTTTCGTTCGAGTCTGACCAGTCCCCCGTCGGCGAGAGAGATTAGAAGCTCCAGACTGCTGACCGCATGGAAGCGATATGGTTGTCGCGCAGTCAGGAAACTGCTCGTATACTTCCGCACACACATGCTCGAGTCAAAGTCCGTCGGCACGCTCGGTCGCGTCAATAGATCCCGGGTGAGAGTGAGTGTAATCAGCTCCTTGCCAGCAGTCAACACAAACCCTACCAACGCATCCGTTTCCTCTGCATCCGCGAACTGCACCCCCTTCTCCAGAACCTCATCCTTGAACTCGACCCGGAAAGTCAACCAGGTATCCGCATCTTTGTGCTCGTGATCCTTCACCAGATCCACACCCTGGATCTCCAGCACTTTCCGGTCGTCCAGAAGTCGGCAGAGGATGCTGCGAGGGGAGCGGGTGGTGGAGCGGAAGAACAACGATCCTTCTGTGGCGAGGTGCTTGCGCGCATATGTGTCTTCGTCATGGCTGCTGCTGATGTGGTCGAAGGTTCGCTTGCTTCCTGCTCGGAGGAGGGATTGGCGTTGTGAGGTGGTGTCGATGTGGAGGATGTGTGAGGGTGAGGCTGGCTGGGGGGTGAGACGGACTTCGCGGTGGGTTGTAGGAGCCAGTGCCATATTGTCCATACTATTTCTGCTGGTGTACTGTAGAAGGAATGTATGTTATACTTTCCATAATTCCATAATGCGCGACGAACCAAAAGCTCGACGCGACTCGAGCTGGCACAGATGCAAGTGTGCCTCAGGCTTCTTTCGGATTTTACTCGGAGCTAAGGTGCAAAGTACTGTAGCAGGACAAATTTCGCCAGAAATCCATTCCAAAACTATCTCACACCAACAACTACTATTGAATATAGAAAGCAGCACGATGAAAGTCGGCAAACCCACCTCCAAACGCCAGACCGTGCGACTCCGGCACAAGATCCAAAAAGCATCCAACGCCAAACAGAAAAAGGACCGCAAAGCCGCCAAGAAGAACCCGCAATGGGTGTCGCGACTGAAGAAAGATCCCGGGATCCCGAACCTATTCCCTTACAAGGCGAAAGTGCTGGCTGAGATTGAGGAGTCGAGGAGGCGGAAGGAGGAGGATGCGCAGCAGAGACGGGAGATTGCCAAGGCGCAGCGGACGGGGAGGGTGGTGGATGCGAAGGGTGCTGCTGTGCCTGTGATGGGAGATGAGGATGAGGATGAGGATGATGATGATATGCTGCTTGATCTGGCGGGTGATGATGTAGAGGGCGAGGAGGGTGATGAGATGGAGGTGCAGGACGAGAGTAATCCCATGGCTGCTTTACTCGCCTCTGCACAAGCTCGCGCGCAGACATTCGGTAATGATGACCTAGCAGAGGACGAGGACGGTGAGGAGGAAGATGATGATGATAATGATGATGAGGAGGAGGGTAATGAGGAGGGCAATGACGAATGGGGCGGTATACCCATCAACCCAACAACAACAACCAAAACCTCGAAGAATTCAAACCCAACCACCACACCCACCTCCCAACCGACCCGCAAACCTCTGCCTAAATTAGCACTCCAAGACCCCATCAAAGCCATCACGACCCTAATAATCCAAATGCAAAAAACCACAGACGGCATCCAACGTCTAATCACCCACTACCAAATCCCCCCCCTCGTCACGGCCGGAAGCGACACCACCACCCGCTTCCTCGTAGACGTCGCACGGAAACGCGGCAGGCTGGGACGGGGCGGGGTGCCGAATTTGAATGCGGCGGCGTTGTGTGTATTGGGTGATTTGAATGAGGGGAGGGTGGTTTTGCCTTCGGTCTCGGCTTCGAGTAAGAGTGAGGGTGCGGGTGCGGGTGCGGGTGCGGGTGTGGGTTCAAAGAGGATGGGGGCGGGAGTAGGGGCTGCTGGGAAGGGAGGGGATGTGTTGGAGAGGGGGAGGGTGGTGCAGGGTGTGAGTGTCGTTGCGGAAATGGCGAAGCCGTTTAGTATCGAGGGGCTGTTTTTGGGGGATGCGGCGAAGAGTGGTGGGGATGAGAGGATGGATGTTTGAGATTTGATCGAATTGAGCTGCGCAGGAGCTCATCTTGTTAACCAGATGCTCCCTTCCACACCTGTTTGTTGACACACATATATAGCCCTCTTCCTGCATCCCCTTTCACTGCGAGCATCAGCTTTTCGTTCCCTTTCTTCTTACCCTTCCTACATGCGTCCTGCCTTTGTCATCGCGAGCCTTCTCGGAACACCTATGTATCTTGTAGTCTTACCCAAAACAGAAGCTCTTCTAGCATCACTTCTGCTGCAACGGCGATACCAGATGGCTGAGATCCTGCGCTGCCGTCGTCAACGGCTTATGTTCCGAGAGAGAGAAAGAGAGAGAGAGAGCGACAGCGAGAGCCAGGGAGGGGTGGGGATTTAGCACCTGATCTCTGTTCAGGGCGTGGGGATAGCTGTGTTTCGAACTCAGCCTACTGTGTTGAGTCTTCCGAGGTGGTCCTCCCCGTTGACATAAAACATAATATCCTCCGCCGTTCAAAAGTCCCGCACGCCTTCTTCCCTTTCGTGACCAGAAAAGTCATAGCCCAAGAAACGTTAGACCGGATGAGGGCTCAGGCCTCATGGTCAACGATGATGGAAGCATGGGGAGATGCCGTCTCGCGTGGGATTTCTTACAATAATCCGGAGCTCAATTCCGCCAAGTACCTAACGCTTACCTACAAATCCCCTACTCCACCACCTCAGCAGCTTCAGCAGCCTCCCTCTCCTCCCTCTCCCTCTTCCACCTCTGCGCCTCCGCCATAAGTTTACTCATCTTCCCACCCCCCACCTCATCAGCCGGGAAAACATAATCCATAAACTCCTCAAAACTCCCATCCTCCAACCTCCTCCTCTTCTTCACCCTGCGTGGCATCTGTTTCGCCAAGCTCTCCCTCTCAGCCTCCGAACCATGAACGTCCTCGAAACCCTTCCAGGCTTGGAGGAGAGCGACGCGTTCCTCGGTCAGGGATTTCTCTTTGTACAATTTGTGCGCTCGGGTGAAGACGGCACGGGCACGGATCACCGACTCCTTCGCCACTGCACCCTCCTCGCCGCCCTCCTCCTCAACCCCTTGATCCTCCCCAGGCACCCCCAACTCAAACTGCGCATAACTAATCCACACCTTCACATGCCCCGTCTTCCCCAACAACCGTTCATACAACCCCCTAACCCTCCCCCACCCTTCCATCCCCCCACCCCCTTCCCCACTAACAGCCAAATCCTCCTCGAAATCAATGTAGCCCCGCCACAACAACTCCGGCATATCCAGCACCTCTTGCCTCGTCGCCAACTCGAAAATCGCCCGCGCCCGCTCCACATCATCGAGACCGCGCTCGAGTTCCGCAAACTTGATCCACGCCGTCACGTTCGAACTGTCGGCTTCGATCCACTTCTCGTACAACATCCGACACCGCACGAATTCATACAATTTCATCTCCATCTCGATGTACGCGCGGAATAACTTCGGTTTGGGTCGCGGGGTGGTGCCGATGGCTATCCCCATTGTTTTTCGCGCGGAGAGGAGATCACCCTGTCGGAGATGAAACCTCGATTTCAAAATCCAGAGTTTGGCAAAGGTAAAATGTTTCTGTGGGACGAGTTTCAGTGCTTCCGTGTAGATTTGTCCCGTGCGAGAGATATCTTTCGTGACGATTTCCTCGTACAGGGCGTAGAAAATCCAGAGGTAGATGTACCGCCGCCAATGCCTCTTTTCGGTCGAAGGCGGGACTTGAGCTATTGCGCGCTCGTAGATGTCGCGGACGCGGGCCGGGTCGCTGGTTGGGGAGGACTCTTCCAGCCGGGCGTAGTCGAACCAGGCGTCGTAGTTGGAGGGGTTGGTGGTGACTTGGTCTTCGTATAAGACGCGGCGTTTGGCGAGGACGACGTCTTCCACGCCCTCCCGATCCCCGTGTTGTTTCTCAAACGTCGTGTATTGCTTGTGTAAAATCGCGGATTTACTCCTCGGCATGCGGTCGAGTGCGTATTTGTATATCGCCCTCGCCCGCTCATACTCCTTCAGTTTCGCCTCGAAGCGCGCGTACGCGATAAACAATCTCTCATCCATAAACTCATCCCCCAACGTGTCAACCGCCATCGCGAAAACCTCCCGCACCAAATCCGCCGTCCCGTTCTCCTCTTCGAATCTCGCCCATTTGATCCAATTCCGCGCCTCCGGATGCACAATGGTGAATCGCTCCAGCACCCCCCTCGCCCGCTCAAACTCCCCATACCGCTTCTCCATCTTCACATACGCGCCCCACGCCGCCTCCTCCGGCTCCCAACTCATCCACCGTTCAAACACCGCCCTCGTCCCGCCCACATTCCCCAACATCTCCTCCATATACACATATTTATACCAAATCTTATCCACGCGCGGGAGGATAGTAACAGCCCGATCGAGCAAGTTCCGTGCATGATTGATATTCCTCTCCTTCATCTCCGCCTCAATATACCGCATCCAAACCTGCACATTCGTCTGCTCACAATCCAACGCCCGCTCAAACACACTCCGGGCCCGCGCGAACTGCTTCTGCTCCAGTTCCCAACCTGCATAGCGCAGCCAGTTGCCGAAATTCAGACGATTCCGTCGGACGTAATTCTCGAATTCCGTGCGCTTACGGCCTTGGTATTCTTGCAGTTCTTCGAGGTCGGCGAAGCGTTGGGTGGGCGCTGTGAGGGTGGGTTCTTGGCGGTCGACGGCTTCGCGGAGGAGTTGTTCGGCGGAGATCTGTTGGGGGGCGGCTTGTTTGTTTTTGACGCGGGGAGGGCCGCGGGAGGACTCCATGTTGGTGGTGGTTGTGAGAAGAGAGAGGATGGAAGTATTGATGATATTGATAGAGCACGCGATAGTTTCATGTCCATCGAACTTTACCTGAGTCGAGCGAGCATCACTAGCGACATCCAACGATTCATTGAAGATTGTGGGGGAGGGGCAGTCCCAATGACGAAACACGTCCATGAATTTCAATCAATTTCAAGAATTTGTTTCCTCTACTTCTCTTATCATATAGGGAGACAACATGGCCCAACAATCAACAATCGACACCCTTCTCAACCTTGTCCCCGACCATCCCGACCGCGTCCTCTCCCACCTCTCCACTCGTCCCGGGGATCTCGCTTCCCAAAAAGACGCTCATGGCTACTCCCTCGTCCACGCAGCAGCATCCTACAACCACCCTGACCTCCTTCGAACACTTATGCAAACCTACAATGTCGACATCAACATTCTAGATGAAGATGGCGAGACGGCATTATTCAACGCCGAAACAGTGGATATTGTAAAACTCCTGATCGAGCTGGGTATAGACGTCAACCTCCGGAACAGCGAAGGCCAAACAGCAGAAGAGAAACTGGACCACGAGGACGAACAGCCCGAGATCGCCGCTTTCCTCCACCAACAACGCACCACATCCAGCAGAACTACTTCCGACACCACCTCGACCCAACCAAACGGGAACGGGAACGGAAACGGAAACGGAAACGAAACTCTAGACCGACCACCGCCCCTCCCCAACGGCATCCACATCAACGTCGGCACCATGGCACCAGATGAAGCGGGGGAAGCACCGGACCCGGAGTTCCGACGCCGGATTGAGGAACTAGCCGCACGAGAGGATTTCCAGACGGAGGAGGGGCAGAGGGAGTTGAGGAGTTTGGTTGAGGATGTGGTGGGTGGGATTAGGGAAGAAGAAGGTAGTGGGCAGGGGGTGGGGACGAGGAGACGGGTCGGATGAGATTACCGGTCCAAAGAGATTACTTGGGTCATCGCCGGGCCAAACTGAGTTGATCACATCAAGGTCTGGTTTTGATTTCTTCTGGTTCGGAAAATTACTGGCTATCTCTATCCCTGGTGTGGTCTACCATCTGCTGCTTTCTCGTGGTCATCATCATATCACATGCTATCAATATCATAACCATCACGCCAACCCACTAGGATGACAACCACAATCCACGCCATGCACAAACTCCCGCAGCCGCTTAAACCCTTCGCTCAACCCACAAGCTGGATCATCTGGATCATGCGGACCGATATGACCAGTCTTACATTCGCCTTTGCCCGACCTTGCCATCTTAGGAGCATGGGAGTGATCATGAGCATGATCGAACGGCGTAGCGGGAACAGCCGACTCAGTCGACGGTGTAGCTAGACTACTACCTTCTGCTTCATCGCAGAGACAGTCCAGGTTCGCGGCACATAGCTGATCGCAGTCCGCGAAGTCACAGTCGGGAAACTCATCACTTCCGCTGTGATGGCAATGTGCGAGGTCATTGGAACAATGCAGCAGGAGTTCATTGCCACTGTGTAGACAATCGGCGAAATTGCAATCGGCCCAGTCGCAATCTGGTAACGTGCAGTCGGGGGAAAGACAAGCGTCCATAGGACAGGATTGTTCGGCGCAAGGTTCGGCGCCGCTACCGCCGCATGTTTCTGTGGCGGAGGTGGTGGCGGGACAATGCTGGAGTTCGCAGGGTGGGACCGTGCAGCCTCGTGCTGAGCAAGGGGGGGAGAGGCAGGGTGAGACGCTTCGGCAGGGGATTTTGACCGGTTCGTCGCAGGTGGTGTCGAAGCAAGGACGGCTGTGGCAGTGGCCTGATGCGTCGATCCAGTATGGCTGTGTCTGTTCTGTCGTGGCGTGGGAGGAGGACTCGAGACTTGGGGTTGGCGTGGCTGTGTTCCAGGCTGGCGGGTATCGGGACGGAGCGAAAGACTGTTGCGGCACCATATCGTTCGGCGCGTAGCTAGGCGACATGATCATCGGATTCATCATCGTCATCTCTCCAGCATTAGCAGTAGCAACCGAACTCTTCCTCCTCCTTCCCCTCCCATCCTCCTTCTTCCCACCACCTTTCCTCCTATGAATCCCCCGATGCTTACTCAAATTCGAACTATCCGCAAACCCCTTCCCACACTCCTCACACACATACGGTTTCACCCCCTTGTGCACATTCAAATGACTCGTCAGCGCCGTCTTCACCGCAAACCCTTTGCCGCACTCTTCACACACGTAGGCTCGGGAGCGCGTGTGCGTTGTGAGGTGGTTCTTGAGCTGTTCGTTTGTTACGAAGGCTTTGGTGCATGAGGGGGAGTGCGGGCAGGTGTAGGGTTTGTGGCTGGTGTGGGAGTGGATGTGGCGGGTTAATTTGGGTTTGGTGGTGAAGGGTTGCGTGGTGGTGCAGCCGGTCCAGTGGCAGTGGTACGTTGGTGCTTCCGAGGCGTTGTTTGGTGACGTGGTCCGTACGGCGTGGACGGAGCAGATGTGGGCGTCTAGGTCTGCGGCCGAGGAGAAGTGAGCATTGCAGGGGTATTGACCTGGGGTGTGCCAGTGGCAACAGTGGCGGCCAGAGCAATAGGCTGGTTCGCCTTGGAGGCGGGTTGGAGTGGGACTATGGCTATGTGTCTTCGAGTCCTGTGCTAGTTGAATAGCGGCGTGGTCGTGTTGAGGTTGTGGGAAGGGCATGTAACCCTGCAAGTAGGCAGTGGACATGGCGTCGAAGAGTTGCGGCATATCATAGTGGTCCATGTTGCCCTTGTGGCATTGTGAGAATGTCCCGCATTTCGATCTCTCTTAGCAGAACAATGGAAGCCGTTCAAAACCACCAAGGTGGTTGTTCCACTTTTGGTCATCGGCTCGAGCATGTCATTGGCCGTTGAGATGGGAGACAAAGGCTAGATGAGATGAATGGCCAACGATGGAGATAGGACCCCCGCTTCACTTCACATGCGCTTGCGCCTCAATATGGACGTATGCTAGGTGCATCCGCCCAAGACCTCGCCCAGGCGCCACGGCGTCGATGCTATAGTCATTATGCGCTGAACACCCTCCGTTCACGTAACTTGAGTATTTGCTATCACCTTCGAACCGCTGCCAACACTATATATATACACAGCCTATCCACTGTCCATCGACCTCGGCATCAGAACTACTCGACTGAAATAATGGGCAACTGCTGCGGCAGCGAAGACAAGAACTTCTCGGGTGAAGGAAGAACATTAGGTGCACAACCCGCGAGTGCTCCAGCACGGACGGGCAATGCCTCCGCAGCTGCCCCACCCAAGATCGGCGGCGTAGGGCGGACATTAGCTGGCAAGGACTCCTCGCCGTCTTCTGGCCAGGATCCGAAGGCGGCGGCTGCGAGGGCGGCGGAGGTAAGATCACTTTCCTCTACCAACATCAAGGAGAAGACTGCTGGACGCAGCAGTGTGGAGCGACGTCATGGCAGTGGTGGCAGGATGGTAATGACGGCGTGGATGTGAAATAAGGATACGAAGCTCTATGATACATACATAGGTCACGATATACCAAGTCGATCAACAGCTGACACAAATCCTTCTCGTCGGCAGGAACGTGCAAAAGCAAATACGCAAGGACGAGGCAAACTCGGCAAACAGCTCGATGCACAACGGAGTCAGAGTCAGGCCAACGCTTTAGCTCAGACGGCACGCGATAATGTCGCTTCGAGGGATGCGGATGCGGCGGCGCAAGCGAGGAATTATAACTGAACTTCAGCTCTGGAGAAGTTATGGACGATTAGATGATTTGACGGTGAAAGGTCTCGGAGGCAACTATGTTATGTCAAGCATTTGAGGAAGGAGAAGGGACGTTGTGTTGTTATGTGATACCCTTCGAAGGCGAAACAGGTTGATAGCATCCAGAAATACTCGGAAAGATGCTAAGATGCAACACTCTTCTCCTCGAGCGAAATGAGATGCCGAAACCATCAACGAAGGTCACCCTCGCACTCCTCTCCTCTTTTATTATCCAAGCGAACCTCTGCCATCTGCGATTTCCCGTCGTTGTTTACCTCATAAAGCATTGACGAGATCTTCACTCAAACTTTGCCAAAAAAAAGAACACTCTATTCGTTCGCCGCGAGCCGGATTCGAACCGGCATTCCCACGAGAGCGCCCTGGCAATCGCCGCCGACTCGGAAGATGACTCCCAAGGGTGGTGCACACACCAAACCTGTGTCAAGTCTCGGACTGGATGTTAACGTGGTGTCGTAGCCCTTAGACCATCACGGCTTGCATTGGTTGTAATATGTTTGGATAAAAACGATGGATCGGTTATAGCTGTTGCTGGCTATCTTGCCGAGGATCGTCCGCTGGATGGGCAGGAACGTGAGCAGTTGTCCGGGCTGGACAACTTCGTACACAAGAAGCCAGCTTCTAGAGCAGGAAGTGATATCGCCACTGGAGGTAGACAGGCCATGGACACTCTCATCCCCTTTCAACCCGCATGATCCTTCGTCCACTCCTCCTTCCACAACCACACCATACCATTCCGCATCAGTCTCTCCTCACCAACGACACCCCTTCCCTCAGGAGAGCCCCAGAAACCCACAAGTCCAAAAGGCGTCACCTCCAGATCCCACATCCAAGCCGTACCGTTCCTGTACAATTTCCTTGCATGCATTCGCGGTCCTCCTTCTATATCCGTGTCTGCCTGGGTGCCGGGCTTCACAATAGCGGAGATATTGAATGCGCCGTGGCCGTCTCGACACTCTGTAGCTTCTAGTCTGATGCTGGGACCATTTGGTGTGGAGGCGGCGATGGGGCGTGTGATGTGGAATCGGATGTCCAGCATTGGTGGATCGAGATGGCTGTTGCTGTTGCTGTTGCTGAACCAGATGTAGTAGCCACACCAGGTACCAGAAGTAAAGTATTCAGGTACGCAAAGACTTCTGTTATGATCCTGATACCACTGTCCCCAGGAATCATGACCTTGGTATGGCAAGGGTGGCGTGACAGACGAGTCACTGAGGGGGATATCTGCAGCGAGAGGGAGTCTGATATGCGGTACCTGGGCCATTGCGCCATATGGCCATATGGCCCTCTGTCGAGCTGTCCTGCATCGGATCGTGAGGACTGTGCTACAGAGCGCCCACAGGCACGTTTTCGCACAAGCAGATTCGAGGCCTTGTCGGGAACTCTCGTCCACCTCGAGGATACTTGCTCTTTGCGGAGCGGTATGGTCTGTGCCGAGGACTATCATGGCTAGACAGAAGACTCGTGCCGGTGACGGGTCTGCGTCGCCGTGGAGGAAACTCTCAGCCGTGAGGTCTTGGAATACTGGATGGTTTAGCACGGCGAGTGGTGGGAGCCACGGAAGTGTATGCTTCGGTGAGACCGGGGGGTTCCCTCCCGGTGAGAGGAGGAGGGATGCTTGATAGTCTGCGAGTGCGTAGCGTGCCCATGCCTGCGTTTGGGCTTTGACTGATAAATCCGCGTCTGCGAGCGTTTGACCATGTGGTTGGATGCGAAGAGCGGCTGCTTCGACTCTGTGCACGGTAACATTCCATGTTGAGCCAGCAGACCTAGCAATTATCTGTTTGAAGACCAATTTATCGTAGCAGGCGGATCGGACTCTTTGACAAGTGGTCGACAGGCGTAAGGCTGACAGGGCATCGCAGTAGATGGCAATGTGGACTAACAGCTCCTTGGGTAACTCAGCGAGGTCGACGGGTTTGGCGGTCGACATATTGAGCACTCTCGGTGAATCTTTTCAGATGAGAGTGTAAGAAGACGTTGCCCCTCGAGTATATACTGTTGCGGTTCGCATTGTTGCCTGCAGTGCAAGCCATGACTCGTCGCCTATCGCCCCACATCATCCTGTTGGCTTCTGCACCCTCACAACAACTAACAGCACAGATTCAAAAAATGACAAGCAACAGAATGGATGATGTATCTCCTGGTCTCGATATCGAGAGAGATTCGACGGGACTTACTCCGATGAAACCCCACTGACCACAGACATAAACCCCTCCAAGCACAACCGTCTCTTCATGACGAGTGATGACGCTGATATTTCTAAATTTTGGGACAAGACGGTACCTGCAGCTCTGTCCACACGATCATATTCAACTCCGTTCTATCGACCCAAACCACTCTCAACATTACATCTATTCAATACCTAACAACCTCACCAACAACAACACAATGCCTCGCGCCGTCGCCCCTCCTCCATCAGGTGAATTCACCGTCCGCCTAACCAAGCCCTTCAACGGCCAAGCAACAACTGTGATCGAAGTCATCGGCGAGCCCAACCGACCAGCAACAGCTCGCTCCAAGACCCTCCAGAACGGCAAAGGTGGTTCGGAGATCGAGAAAGTCGGCGATGTCCCAGCCGAGGACGTCAACGAGCTTATGAGCTTGATCACTACCCTCCGTGGATTCCCTTCGCATCCTGACCAGGACGTTTTCGGTCACGACACAATCTTGAACTTTGCGACGATGGAGATTCAGTGGAGTAATAAGGATGAAAATACGAGCTCGATTACCGATATTGCTGGTGAGCAGAAGGACGATTACAAAAGGGTGTCCGATTCTATCGAGGTAGGTCGTTGCGTCAAGGATGTTCGATGTGTATGCTGACTTATGTTCTACAGGCACTGGCGAGGACATTTGCAAAGAAGGACTCTGCTGTGTAGATGACGAAAGCACTTGCTCAACTCGATTATGGTCAAGGAGCTAAAAGGCTGCTGGTGTTGGCTCTTGGCTGTTCCCAGGCAGGTTCATTGCACGAAATTGCTATGTTACATACTGCCTGGTCTTCCTCCAGCCCATGACGAGAGATGCCCATACAGCTAAGTATAGTTGGCAATTCTTGGATGTACGCCCTTGTCACGGCGAAAAGTAGTACTCAAGAGTACTTCTATACAGAATAACAAGATATCAGATCCATAACCAATCATGATGCAATCTACGTTGTCTGCCCAATGATCATCATCATGATACTCCTCTACATCTAGTATTTACCCGACTCATGAATTTCCTGGCTGTGTGTCTCCTCGCGCTCCACTGCAGCTTTCTCCCCAACCCGAGCACCCTCTTCATCATTTTGCACATTCGTCAATCCAATCTTCGCTGCGCCGATCTTGTCGACTGGATCCCTGTATGCCGGGATGAAGTTGACTGCCAGCGAATAGGACCATGCCGCAATGAAGAAAGCCAATGGCACACCCATAGCCGGCGCTGTGTCATTGTAGATATCTGCCACTGCACCAAGAAGGGGCGGCACAACAGCGCCACCACAGACACCACCCACGATGAAGCCGGAGCCACGTTTGCTGTACTTGCCCAGTCCACGCATGCCGAGCGCCACGATCGTCGGGAAGATGATCGACTCAAAGAAGAGTGTGATGTACAGCATAGCCATGCCAGTATTGCCTCTCTGCGTGATCGCCGGACAGATGAAGACGATGCAGAAGGTCAGATAGAACAGGAAGACATATCGTGGCCGAATAAAACGCATTAATGCAACTCCAAGGAATCGGCCCATGGCGAAGGCGCCTTGGGCGCCAGCGAGGAATTGAGCGGCGAGGGCTGAGCTGGTGCCTGGTCGTGTGTCGACGACATAATTAATGAAGTAGCTAGCGATGGCTACCTGTGCGCCTGTGTAGCAGAATTGGGCGAAGGTGGCGTGGAAGAGTCGATATTGCTTCCTAAATGGCTGGACGTCTGTATTCGCATGGGTTTCTTCGGCTTGGAAAGCCATGTCTGCGTCTGTGATCTCAGGGATTGGCGAGCTGTGCGTCTTTAGTAAGGTACTGGTCTCGTGGAGGCGAGTCTAGCCCGCTACTTACAAATAGAAGACTATAGCTAGCAGGAACACGAAGATTGCGATAGCGAGGTAGACCCATTGCACGTTCACCAGCGCTTTTGTATCATCTGCCGTGTACTTGAAGAAGACGTAGCTGCCCAGCACAGGAGCGATGACCGTTCCAATACCGTTGAAAGCCTGGGAGAAGTTGATCCTGAGCTCCGAGTACTTCGGTGGACCACAGATAGTGATGTAAGGATTGGCAGCCGTTTCGAGACTACCAAGACCATTACCGATGATGAAGATCGCGGCGCAGAAGCCTCCGAACGAGCGATGCAGGATACATGGCCACGCGATGAGGGCACCGATGCCGTAGAGACAGAGACCCCAGATGAAGACGGCCTTGAAACCGTAGTGGCGTAGGATCCAGTTCGCGTGGCCAAGGAAGGCGAGAGGGTAGGCGCCGAAGTATGCTGCTTGTAGGCCTGAGGAGCGAGCACGGGTGATGTGGAGGGTATTCTGGAAGTGCTTGTTTAGGGTGTCAAGGAGACCGTAGGAGAAGCCCTGTGTTTTGTCAGTGCTCAGACCTGGTAGAGAAGCTGTCGTGGGTTCCTACTTACCCAGAGAAAAAACAAGATGGTGACCAGACAGAGAGGATAGATGGAAGCCCGCAGCGTGAGCTCCGCGGCACTAGTCCTCGAAGTATTGCCTTGTTTGAGGGACATGCGCTTGAAGATGGCCATCTTTAATAGCCGCCGTGGAAGGGAACGGTGACAAGAGATAGGCTAAGGATGAAAAGTGAGGTTGAAGAAGAACAACAAGCCAACGAGCAGCAAATATCGTGGGTAATGACACCTCTTTGAGGTACCATCAGATCATTACCCAAAGGATGACCTGATGTGCAGACCTGCCACGCATAGTGCACGCAGCGTCCACATGCCGTCCACATATCACGACTTCCAGTCGTGACCATGCAGATGCTATACTAAAGTTCGATGGCGTATGTTCTCCAGATCGCTGACGACTCTCTGTGGTCGAAAGAGCGGCAATCACCTGTAGCGGCAAGGGGAGCGCTGTTCCATCCTTGCAATCTTGCCTGGTGGTGTTGCATCGGGTGTGGAGAGGCGCGGGGTTGCCAAGGGAAGGTGAGCCTCGGGGTATTTGATGACGAGGTCCAAGCAGGAGAATGTGTCTGTTCTTAGTCGTGGATGTGAAGGAGGAGAAAGTGATGTGCAAGACAAGGAAGAACTTTGGGTAAATGGTCTTGAACTCTGTTTCCCTATATCACGTATGTAGTGATCGCGTGGCAGAGCTTTTGGTTTGGCTATCGTCGTGCAAGAGATGAGACGAGATGGAGTGAGGTTCGGAATTCATGCCCGACGACAGCACACGGCTGCAAGCTTCGGCAAGTACCTTCAGACGTCACAGAACATTTCCTCGATAGCCGACTCGAGACGGAGACAGTATGCATGTGATGTGCATGTTTATTCGTACAGGATAGACATGAACAGCCGTAACATATGTAAATCGATTCCCGTCCGCGTCGCCGCACCGAAGTCGCCAGGACTCCAGTCATCCTTTCAAGACCACGAACTGAACATGACGCCCTGCTGATTGCCACAACAAAGTAGAAGCGCCCTGAGGCGAGCCGCAAACGCCTACAACATTCCTGCGCCTGAGAAGCTGACGGGCACCCCAACCAGGTCAAATCACTCTCCTCGTTCCAAGCAGACCTCAAGCGGCAGCAGCAGCGACCGCAGCCGGCTCAGCCATGAAAGAAGGAGGCAGATGGCCGTGAACAGTGGTATATTCGTCCTTGTATCGCTTCGTCTCCTCGTTCGACAGCTGCTTGTACTTCTGTATCCACGTCAGCATCCTGTTGATTACACATCGAATCTCGACATCAGAGATAAGAGGCAACTTACATCCTTCTCCTCCTGACTCAAAGCCTTCCACTCCTGCCCAATCAGCTTCGCACGCTCCTGGACCGTGATGTTTTTGAAATCCCCGCTGGCCTGACGATTGATGCTGAACTGGAAATACGAGGAAATTGGGCTCTTGACTCTGCGCTCGTCGTGGATCGATTGCACTCGCACGCCATAGAGCTTCTTGTGTGGGCTGGCGTCATCGGCGACCTTCTTTTCTAGTCTGCGCAGCTGCTGACGGGCACGATTTGCCGCGGCTATCTTGTCGACGGTGTGTGATTCGACCCATTTCTTGTAGTCCGCTTGTCCTGTTTCTTTAGCTTGGTGGGCCAGGTGGTTGTAATGCTGTGTAAGACATTAGTCCCTAGACATGTCGACGAGCGGCTCGCTTCATATAGCGAAGCGCGACATACCTCTATATCGGCGGGCGAGCATTCCTTCCATGCCGCAGCCATTGCCTTACTGTGTTCCGTAAGTCTGCCCCTCTGTTCCTGCCTGTCCTTCGTGCTACCACTCAGACCACCCTTCTTCGAATACTCCTTAAGGAACATGATGTACGCATTTGCAGGTGGCACGATTGGGTCAACAAGCGCAACCTTCTTCAATGCCCGGATCTTCTCACTTTCCGTCCTCGCAAGCTTGGCTGCTTGTTGGGCTTCCGTCAGCTCCTTCCGTGGCTTTGGCTGCTTCTTCGCCTTCGCAGCTGGGGACTTTCTTGCCGCTGCTGCCTTCTTGCGCGCCTCATTGCCTTGTTTCGCGGGTGAGTCTTCGAGGTTGGTGGCTTTTGGTGCAGCGCGTTTAACACTGCGTTTGACTGGTCGCGAGGGCTCGCCGACTACGTTACGCGGTCGGCCCGGTTTCGCATAGTCTCGGTGACTCTGGGAGAATAGTACGCGGGAGCTGACTTCGACTTGGTGTTGTGATGGCAGCGACAAGGGTAGGCGTTGGCGGATGGGCAATCGCAGCAGTACCGCACGCCCGAGCATGTTGGCGTTATTCTGAGAGTGGCAGTAGATGAGCAATGTTATTGCGACAAAGGCTATGAACTCCAGATACAGTAAAGGCGGTCGTGTTGTGAGGGCCGGATGCCTCCTGTAACAAGAACTCGTCGCGTGAGCAAGCTTCAGTTTGTTCCCAGTCGAGCTCTCCCAGCCACGAAACAGCGGAACATGGTCCGAGTGTCTTTCTAGCTTTCTATTAGCGTGTTCGATCACCATACTTCTGCACCTTCGGTACGTATACATAGCTACACCGTCGAACAAGACAAAGGACTTGCTATACTCTCACGCACGCGCCGATTGGTCTTGGGAATAGCCCGGTGTGGCGAAGGGAAGAATCCCTTTCATACTGACCGCGCGATCCTTTGGCAAACGATCATGAATGACTTAGTTTGTTGTCAATTCCAGCTACATGTGCAATCGCAGCAGATTATCTCGACATATTGAGTTCAGCTGATGGCCGGTTACGAGAACAGATGATTAAATAAGATTGTAAGAGGGACTGTGATAATCTGCAGCACTGGAAAGAAAGTCTTGGTAGAAGCTGATCCTCTTGGACATGGGTTATCAACGACTGCCATAACATCTCTTCTTAGACAGAGGTGCATATCACATCGTACCCCTCGAAGCTCGCGGAGCTCATGTCTCCTACCGTTTTCTCTGGATGATTGACGGGCAAATAAGATCTGTGAGAACAGCCGTCGGAAAGACATCCTTCGGAGCGGACAGCTAATGCTTCTTCTTCATCAGCATGATACATACGAATGCCATGTTCATGCTGTGCCGCGCTCTGTCGGTCGACTATGAGGTTCCTGCCTGCAATGTCTCAGACGTCTTTCCTGGAGTCCGTTGCACGAGCTGATAAGACGCCAGTAGTAACCTGACCAAGCGTACATCACAAACATCTTCCCCTCGCACACGAAGCCATCCAAGAGCCCGAGCATATCGCCCGCTTGGTGATGATGTAGTGAAGAGACTTCGTCGGAGCTGTGATATATTCACCACAACAACGCAACAGCAATTCCTACTCCAACCCATTCCATAAGAGTGGTCGCCTGTTCATGCGCCTATCACGATGCATAGTGACTATGATCTGGGCATGGCGAGACATCTAAGTCGCTCAATACCATGATCCACAAGCCACCGCCATACCCTCTTCGACGTCTTCCCACAGTACCACCTCACCACCATCTCGCATCGTACCAAACACCCCACGGCGTACTGCTCTGCACCCCTTTCTCCTACACAAGGACCTGTAGCAGACCGCCTCGTGCACATTCCAACTCTCTAGCCTGCATCAATGCCGAGCAAGAAAGTCCGTTTCCTTCTTCCCTCCGCAGATAGTACGTCTTTCCCATCATGACCAAGCAAATGTCCTCGAGACCCACACTAAGCACTTCTAGATCGCTCTAGCTCAAAGTCGAGCTCAAGAACCAGCGGATCCAGCTCCAGATCCAGTTCCAGCTCCAGCAACTGGAGCAGCGAGACTCAACCAGCGACATCCCAGCCACGGACGATTGCTGGTTCGAGAAAGCGGCCGAGCAGTGGCAAAAACGATGGAAGGTATGAGGTCGTGAGGACGAAGCGGGAAGCCTATTATGGTGGACGGAAGGAGACGACGTATACCACCAAGTATAGTTATTGGCGAACGTAGCTCGCGGGGTAAAGCGAAGGCAGACTACGTGGGATCCGGCCGGGAGTGAGCTTTAGGTACGGCGCATCGCCAAGATCGCATAGCAGATGAGGCTGAGCTTTTGAAGGCTCCATGCCAGACGGGACAGCCATCAAAACGCCAGAAAGCCGTTTTTGCAGTCGTTCTTCTACGGCCCTCTATGGATTTCCGGTGTACAAATAGACTGGCAGACTCCCCGCACGTAGGTCAGGCTTGCCGCCAAATTGGAGCAAGCGGCTAGCACCCGGGAGTCACTGGTGAGAGTCTCACAGCTCGTCCGAGATTGGAGGCCTTTCGTAATCATGTTGGTGAGGACAGATCCAGCTGGACCAGCTCTGTGAGACTGTTGAGGAGCAAATCTTCACGTCCCAGAACTTCACGTCTTGGTAGCATCATCACTCTCGTGTCTCGATTTCAGACTCCTGATCACAACTTCACGCGAAAGCTCCTTTTGTTTCTGCTCAAATCCCATCATCTGCCCGACCAGTCCGCCGGGCTTGGGCACCGGGCATTCTCGCTTGGGTCTGCCATCGGCAATCGTTCCTGTTGGCGTGACTCTATCGTGTCCATATTCCACACCTTCCTCTGCCTCACTCTTCATCTTCCTTCGCCTTCGCTTGACAGATCCATCTGGCATCTCAATAGTATCTGCATACTGTCTTCGGTCCACGGGACATGGAAGAAGATGTGGCGCTGCTACGACCAGAAATGAAATGGCGAGGGTGGCTGTAAAGAGCGTGCCCGTTGTTCGGGAGCGAGGGTGAAGGTAGTGCATTTTCAAGTCCCACACCATTCACTTCTTCATCTCATCGACTTCGTGTAGATCTCAAAGCACCTCTTCCATGCATCGAGCATTGATCATATTTGCGGCAAACCTCCGAAGCTAGTCGAAGCTTAATCTACATGACTCGAGTGGCATATTGAAAGTGACGATCCACGACAAGCTTAATGCCCTGCATCCACGATACACGGCCCTTCGCACAACCTTGACGCTACATCAGGCTATCTTTCGAAACCGACCATGGCTGCGGCTACAGTCGTACCTACAGATTCGGTCTCTTCCGACATCCCAGCCGACGTCACCACACGAGCAGCAGAAGCAGTCCGACGCTCAGCAAAGCGCACACGAGAAGTCTTTGCAGCAGACTTCGCCCAACCCTCGGCTCTTGAGACATCAGCACAACCCACTGCAGCACCCTCACAACCCTCACCCTACGAAAGCGCCCAGAGAGCCAGTGTTGCAGCAAGGATACGGAGCGAATATGCAGACGTACGAGAGCTCCCAGCAGGGCTGGCAGCAAAGCAAGCAAATGCCCAAGGGGGACTCGTAGCACGGCGGAAGAAGCCAAAGACCGAAGAACAAGCCAGCGATCCGCACATGGCGAAGATGATTGAGGTTGCGGGTCCCGCACGAACGACATCTCAAACAAATGGCACATCCACTGCTCTTTCCCGAATACAAGGCACAGCAGGCGCGAAAGCACCACCTAATGCTAATGGACCGATACCACAGCGAAACACACCATCTTCCAGTCTTGTACGGAGAGACACCGTACGCTCACAAAAGCCAGATTGGCACGCACCATGGAAGCTATTCCGTGTCATATCAGGCCACCTTGGCTGGGTCCGAGCTCTTGCCATGGAACCAGGGAACCAATGGTTCGCTTCTGGAGCTGGCGACCGCACGATCAAAATCTGGGACTTGGCGACAGGAACACTGAAGCTCACGCTTACCGGCCACATCAGCACTGTACGAGGCCTGGCAGTGTCTCCACGACATCCCTACCTCTTCAGCTGTGGCGAAGACAAGATGGTGAAGTGCTGGGATCTCGAGACGAACAAAGTCATCCGGCACTACCACGGTCATCTTTCTGGCGTCTACACCCTCGCGCTCCACCCCACGTTGGACGTCCTCTGTACCGGAGGCCGAGACGGCGTGGTCCGAGTCTGGGATATGCGGACAAGAAGTAACATCCACGTCCTCAGCGGGCACAAACAAACCGTCTCTAGTATCGTGACGCAAGCCACGGATCCGCAAATCATCTCCTCATCTCTCGATAGCACGGTGAGGATGTATGACCTCGCGGCAGGCAAGACGATGGGAGTTCTTACGCACCACAAGAAGGGCGTACGAGCACTCACGACTCATCCGACCGAGTACACCTTCGCCTCCGCATCCCCGGGTCAGATCAAACAATGGCTTTGCCCTGAAGGCCAATTCATGCAGAACTTCGAAGGCCACAACGCCGTAATAAACAGTCTAGCAGTAAACGAAGACAATGTCCTCTTCTCTGGCGGCGACAACGGGAGCGTGGCGTTCTGGGACTGGAAGACGGGTCACAGATTCCAGTACGAGGATAGTATCGCGCAGCCGGGCTCGCTCGATGCTGAAGCGGGCATCATGAGCTCGACTTTTGATCTGACGGGTTTGAGGTTGATTACGGGAGAGGCGGATAAGACGATTAAGATTTGGAGACAGGATGAGAATGCTACTGAGGAGACGCATCCCCTTGATTGGCGGCCGACGCTTGGGAGGCAGAAGTTTTGAGAGCGTTGATTGGTTCAGATATATGTACAAGTGGACAGCACTCGTCGTCTCGCACAAGGCATGTCTGCAAACTCGAACCACCCGGATCCATGAGTGCAGCGTGAAAGACATAGGAGAAGTACATCATATCGTGAAGGCGCAGCAGCGGGAGTAACGAGAGACCACGAAGAATCAACCTGACACACTTTTCTGCCTCGAAAGTCAGTGCCCGCCTGGCCAGGCCCCCCGAGAGAAGGCTTCCGATATCATGGACTTATGTCAACCGGAAACACTTGTGGTCGACGGCACTCCTGCTACGGAAGAGGTGGTCGATGCTCATGGCGAAGCACTTGCCGATGCTGTCCCAACGGTGGTGGCAGCCGTCACCGCTGTGGAATCATCATGATCATCGCCACAATCCGGATCTCGCTTCAAGACATTGGTGGCGCTGTCGCCAGGCACGAGACTCTCAATCTCTGTCAGGAGAGCGTCTTCGCTGCTAGAGGTCGATGATGTGCTTGCTTCACGACGGACCACTCCCAGGATATCGGACGTTTGTGACGCTGTTCCGGTAAAGTCTGATGACTTGTCGAGATCGAGGGCGGTAGTTGTGGGGGTTGTCGGGCTCGAGAGCTCATCGAGGGTTCCGGAGAGCTCATCGAGAGCCGTGGCGGGCAAGGCTTCTGCGTCGCGGCGAATAATCGACAGCAGCTTGGTCGGAACAGGAAGCAGACCGGCCGCTTCAGTCACATCTGCAAGGCTAGCAGTAGACGAGGCTCCGGCCTCACGACGGCCCACGCTCACAGCTTCCTCGACATCATCCAGGATCTTCTTGGCATTAGCACGACTCAGGTCGTTGCCGGAGCCAGAGCCAGCACTGACCTCACGTCTCGTGTTACGCAAAATCTCCTTCTCCATGGGATCGACGTATGTGGTCGCGGTGTAGAGATTGCCAAGCCCCTGAGCGTTCGAGCGATACACGTTGACCTTGCCATCAGCTTTCCTCAGAATTGCAACAGGACCGCGGTTGATTGGGACGGCTATGGCTGCTGCGAACAGCGTTATGAGGGTGAGACTTGTGTATTGCATTTTGAGATGGCAACGACTGTGGAGTGTACTTGATAATTAGCGAAGGCGTGTGTGTATGGAGAGAAGTGACGAGACTGCGAGGTGCTAGACGATTATATGTCTCAATCAGGGGGAAGATCACGTGGTAGCTTGACCGCTATCATCTTACTGTGTCACCACTGTGATCAATTATAGCTCTGTTCGATGCTTACCAGCAGCTATGCGTCTGAGTTTGCGTGCCATTGCTGTGTGTCAGGAGGAGTTTACGTGCAGTGCCTTTGCTGCTGCGCGCCAATGTGCGCGAGTGGTTCAGTAAAGTTCGAGACATCATGCCGTTGCCTGAGTCAGGAGGATATTGCTTCGCATGCATGTCCCCCGTGAACCTGCGTGGTCCAGAAGATGTGAAGTGCGGCGAGGTGAACACATAGCACGACTATGCAAGCGTCCAGTGAATCTTCAAGTATGTGTTCTGTAAGCAGAGTTGCGTATCGCCATAAAGCGTTTATGCTTGACGAAGCTGTAGCTTCCACGCGAGGTTTCAGCGACGGCGAGAGCAGTCGACGGAGTGAATGTGGCAATCGATCTGTGCTAGACATAGATGATCGCCGAGACACATACCAGTAGGCCAAGCAACAGATCCCAGTGAAAGTGCCTCCTCAAAACCGTTCAAGTCCAATGATGACTTCTACAGTATGAACAACATATCCATCTCCGTCGACATAACACCCACCATGACACTAGGCTACAGCTCCTTCCCCCACCCAAACGACAACGAAGACAACCGGGCGAGCCTAGAAACTGTCCGCATCAGCAAACCACATTTTACTCACGACACCAGGTCCGTCGTTGACGATGACTCGATGTACGATCGACTAGATTATGGCGAGAACGGTAATGCTCGAAGGCAGTGGCTGGGATCACCAATTTGGATGGTGGCGACGTTCGTGTTGATCACGGTGTTGGTAACGGAAAATGGATATCTTTGGTCAAGTGCTTGGAGGAGGAATCAGTGTTGATATGGTATTCAAGAGTGAGAATCTACAGAATTCACGTGCTGTGAGATTTACACAGTGCTGATTCGTTGGCCAGATACTCATCGGAGCTTGCCACAGACAGTAAAGGACCTACGTTGATAACAAAAGATCATTGGCTCGCCGGTAGTGGCGGACCGCAAGGAGGCTAGGTCCTGCCGAACCATGTGGATGGAGTCGATACTAAGACGCGGAACACGAGCTCTTCCGCTTGGACGACATACTTGGCGTGATAGACTCCTTGGTCACAGCATGCACAATCATCATGTAGAAGGTCTGCGGTCTAGCATAACTCAATGAGTCCCCATTCACCCAAGCAAATCCTCCTCACCCCCATCAGCCAGCGCCCTCGCCTCCGAAATCAGCCCATCAATCTTCTCAAACTTCTGCATTAGCTGCCACCACCCTTGATCCGGGTTATCTTCATCGACTGGATCACTGCCTCGCCCTAGATCCGCAGGAAACCACGTCTTGACATCATGCTGCCAGTCAGCTTGCTCACCGATCGGCAACCGTTCGTTCTCCGTGAACATCACATCCCACTCCCTGCGATACAAGTTGAGACTCCAGCGTGGCTCGTACGTCTGAATTGTCTTGTCTGTTCCAGGCTCTCTCATGCGATCCTGAAAGTGGTTGAGCTCGAGAGTGAAATCTGACTCTGCGATTAAGAAGCGGTAGCTGCGCCGCTGTTGGACTGCACACAGGCTCGGCAAGCTCATGAAGCGAGCGAAAGTTCGAAGGCCACCCTGTATTGCGGCCAGCTTTGGATCAACGCTGATCGTACCTGAGAACTTTCTCAGCTGTTCCGGCAGCTTCCACTCATCGATCACTTGCGTGCTAGCCAGAATATCACACTGCCAGGCCAAGCTAGTGTTGAGATCGCACAAGCTGATATCAAGAATAGAAGAAGGCGTGGTGCTGTCGCGCTCTAAGCGTGCCCACTTCTTGCAAGTCTGCTCATAATTCGCCGCACTTGTCTGATAGTCGATCGTCTCCTGCCACTCAACCTCCAGTCGGTAGTACCCTGCAGGATCTTCAAACGTGAAAGTCGCTCCATAGACAGGCTTGATGTCCTTGAGATCATGGGTCATGGCTTCGGACGGCATCAAGAGGTCGCCAGTACTCTGTAGAATGCCCAGTAATTGCCGTTCCGTGTCTTTGTCGCCCAATCTAACATCGTGTCAGTAAGCTATCACGGTGGGTACGAGGTGAAAACATACTCTTGTGTCACCTCAGCAGTATATTGTGACTGTTCCAGCATTGGCTCAAAGTCTCTTGTGAGTTCGTAGATACCATCGGCTGGCTCGCGGTATTGAGAGAGCAACATCGTGCCGAGCCTGAAGCGCATTTGCAGATGGCCTCGATAGTAGTGTAAACGACTCAGCTGCTTGCAAATAGCGTTGCGTAGCATCATCCACCCTATGTATGTTTGCTGATTGGCATAGCGCTCATGGTCCTCATTGTTTTGGTGTTGATCGCACGTTGGCGTTTTGCGCACGGCAGACTCGCTGCCTTCGTCGAGATTGCCTTGTTCTGCAATCTTGTGAATTGCTGGGGGTCGATAATCTTCAAGGTACACAAATTGAGGGACGTTGATGACTGGACCCGGCCACCGCAGGAAGTACTTACGGATCGGACTGATCTGTTTGGCCGTGATTTGGAAGCATGTCTGTCGCAGGCGATGCAAAGCGAGCTCGACCTCGGTGGGCTTGCCCATGACGCGTAAGGTATTCCGGCCTGGGTGATAGACAATGAAGCAGGAGTGGACTGTGCGTATAGGGTCCAAAGCCTCATAATTCGAACCCAGGACAGCTTCTGGGCGATACTCTGCGACTGGCCACAGAAAAGAGCCGATGGCGCCGAACTTCGCGTCTGGTAACGGATGCTGTCGGTAGCACTGTTGCAGAACTTCTCGTTGATGCTGCTTTTCTGCACGCTCTCGTAGCTTGGGCGTCAGCGAGACCTGCTTCGCGAATTTGGCTGAACGGGCAGACCTTGTCGAGCCCAGACCGAAATCATCAATGAGCTGACAGATGGCTAAGCGTGTTGCGGCCACAGCGTCCTTGCCACCCCAGATCCCAAAGGTGCGGCTCCGAGTCTGACTGCGAGGTTCATTAGAGGAGAGATATGTGCCATGCTGTCTTGCAATGCGTTCATGGTGGCGCTCGGAGCTGAGTATAAGGTCGTCTGGAATGCGGATAGTGTCTGTAGCTGGGTGTCGAGCACGCCACGATGCTTCTGCATCATTGTCGGAGTCGTTCACGAGCTTGGGAACGGCACGCTTCTGCTGTTGCTTTGGTACAGCACCAACTGTTCGCCATTTGCGAGGTGAGGACCGCGATTGTGATTGTGCCGCACGTTGAGGCTGAGGTTGAGGTTGCGGTGGTTGCTTATGACCACGTTGACGCGCGGGTTGAACAAGCTGCCAGCCATTATCTGATGACTCGTGGGATGTGCGGTCAGTGTCTCCGTGCTCAGCTGTGGTAGCCATGTTGTAGACCCTCTGACGATAAAGTGTATGGTCACCTTGAACTATGATTGTGAATTCGGGATTGAAAATCCTCAAGCTCTGTTCGTCATTGTAAAGATGTTTTGGGAAGGAGCGTTATAGTGTGCATCGTACCTACCTTTTCAGTGAGCCGATTGCGTAAGCCATTCACCTGGCCTTCCCATCTGCAGATCCGACACATCTTGGAACAGCATGATGTTAGATCTTTCCTCGAAGCACATCTCGACGATTAACCGTGTGCAAGCGTGTATTTACACTCTCATGTCGCTTGACTGGCAGAGCAGCGCTTAATACACGGTGAGGCAACAACAGCATTCATATGCCATGGTGTACCGTGAAAGTTGTGCTGAAATATGAGGAAGAGAGGAAACAGAAGCCATCGCCACTTATGAAAGGAAGAAGCTCAAAACACGCTAGCCAGATTCGTTAAAGTGGTCGCGTCAAGCATCGCGTCTTCCCACAAAGCTCGAGTCCAGGCGACAGAAGCAATGCCGTAACGCATACAACATAAAGCAATCATGCCACCGAGAGGAAAGAGATCAAAGGTCGAGCAAGCAAGACACTATCTATCAGGCGGAGGAGTGCTTCGGGAAGATTCTGATGACGAGCTGGGAGTCGATGACCTACCATGGGAGTGGATATACAACGGCAAGGAGATCACAGGCGCACGTACTGGACCCTTCGAATGTCAGGTTGGCGATGCAGTTCTGCTCAAAGCACCTGGAAGTGGTGAAGCATGGGTAGCCATCATATACGAGTTCTCCGAGGGGAAAGTCGAGGATGACGACGGCGATGTCACGAGCGAGAAGAAAGCCAGTATGCTATGGTTCTCGTCCGAGAAAGAGATTAGGAGCAAGAAGAAGCGGATAGACTTCTTGCCAAATGAGTTATATCTCACAGCAAGTTTCGATGAGAACCCGCTATCCACGATCAATGGCAAAGGCTCGATCCTCTCTTCTGAACAATTCGATCAGCGATATCCCACCGGCAAAGTACCGCGCACCTCGGAAGACTATGGCAAGATATTCGTCTGTAGACGAGGAGCAAACACGAGGACTGCAACGTACACAGACGAATTTGTATGGGAAGATATATACCGAGGACGCGAGGACTTGGACAACCTCGTGGAACTCGTGGAAACCCAGACAGTGAAGACAAGAAAGCGGAAAGCATTGAAGAGCATCAAAGAGCAAGATCTTGAGGACTTCGTCATTGGCAACGAAGATGACGAAGATCCACAAACACCACGCAAAAGGCGGAAATTCGCTTCCGGCACACCTACACCATCGAAAGCACGCACCCTTACACCACGCAAATTCGCCACGCCGACCGGCCGGAAGATAGTCACGAAGAAGGCATTGGAATTCACGCCGCTCGGAACAAGATTGCTGCCCACCACCCAAACGCAATCCTCTCCATATCAGCTCGCCCGGTCAACCCTCCACGTCTCAGCAGTTCCACACGCCCTGCCCTGCCGCGAATCAGAATTCGACACAGTCTACACCCACCTCGAAGCGGCCATCACCGCCGGAACGGGTGCCTGTATCTACATTTCCGGCACACCAGGAACGGGCAAGACAGCAACGGTGCGCGAAGTGGTGGCGAGCCTCCAGGGCGCCGTGGCGGAAGAACAACTGGATGATTTCTACTTTGTCGAGATCAATGGCATGAAAGTTACGGATCCGCATCAGTCGTACAGTCTGCTCTGGGAGGCACTGAAGGGTGATCGGGTCAGCTCGGCACATGCGTTGGAACTTCTGGAGCGGGAGTTCACCACACCGAGTCCTCGACGAGTACCGTGTGTTGTCTTAATGGACGAGCTCGATCAACTCGTCACGCGCAATCAAGGCGTGATGTACAATTTCTTCAACTGGCCACAACTCCGACACTCTCGTCTCATCGTCCTGGCGGTGGCAAATACTATGGACTTGCCTGAACGAACCCTCTCGAATAAGATCAGCTCAAGATTAGGTTTGACGCGGATTACGTTCCCAGGCTATACGCACACGCAGCTTATGACTATCATCCAGTCTCGACTCGAAGGCGTCGGGCAAGTGATCGTGGATCCGGATGCTGTGCAATTCGCCAGCAGGAAAGTCGCCGCGGTTTCTGGGGATGCGAGACGAGCGTTGGATATTTGTCGTCGTGCTGTTGAGTTGGCTGAGCAGGAGACCTTGACGGCGGAAAGCCAAGGGAAGGAGAATCAAGCCCCAGATACCCCGAGCAAGACACCTGGACGGCAGAAACAGAGTGGCGGATTAACACTGGCTCCCAAGCAAGGTATCGTCACAATCGCCACGATCAAACGAGCTATCAACGAAGCGACTTCGACGCCTTTGGCTGCATACCTGCGAGCACTTCCGCTGGCTAGCAAACTCTTCCTCGCAGCTCTCCTCGCCCGCCTACGAAAGACGGGGATAGTAGAGTCCACCCTCGCGGATGTCGTAGACGAAGCGCGCTGTTTAGGCCTCACATCTCAGAGTAAACACATAGACAGCTACCTGTTGACCCCAGAACCGATCTCTCACATGGAGAATGAACTCAGTACCACTGCTACAACCGGCACACCTCAGAAACGAGGTCGGCAAGCAGCGGTTCGGAAAGAACAGGATAAACTTGCTCGACTGCTTGGGTTAGGCGTTGCGGCGCAGGAATTGGCTGAGGCTGGTATCGTGGGTGTTGAGGCTCGGCATGGGGATCGAGTCGGGAGGGTCAGATTAGGTGTTAGCGAGGAGGATGTAAGGGGTGCGTTGAGGGAGGATGAGGAGTGTGCTGGGCTTGGGGTTGGTGGGTAGGCTTGTAATATAAAAGATCATGATTGATGTATACCACATGCTGTGGACTTCCAAATGCATGACTTACGTCGCAGCCATCATCATCATCATCATCATCATCGCTTCACGTTGCCACATCGTCCGTGTCGTTCGAACGTGATGTTCTGGAAGAGGAAGTGAGTTCGATCCAAAGGGTGGTGTTTCAGGTTCTAAGGGTCTGCATTTAGCCTCAGCCGCGTCAGGATCCCTGCTAGCACGGCGAAGCTCTCGTCGCTACCGCAACCAAAAGCTACAGCAGAAATATAGGATGATGATGAGGCTGTGAGAACATGAGAAGAGATTCACATCCTCATATGACAGCATCGCGACAATTATTCATCTGAGACAACAATTGACGGAAGGGAGCGTTTACGTTTTCCCGGTGACAACCTTGATTCGTGCGCAGCGTGGCCATCTCCCAACCCCTCCAGCCACCACCAAGACAATCTGAGAGCTAGAAGTGCTTGCAAGCTATCACGCATACCCTGCTCGCTCAACCTCCAAGCCTCTTTCGCACACCTCTTCTGTCGTTACTGACTGTGTATAGCAATATTGTTACATCTGTTCGAAGACTATCCATACCATCTCGCCAAGCTTGCTTCTCCACTCCAAACGTCCGGAGCAAAGTGGGGTAGATAGACTCGACCAACTCAAGCGGTCAGTCGACGCATTCCAAAGACCAGAAATACCACACACATTCCTCGCCCACGAGGGCATCGCGCAGTCACCATGCGCTTCCACTCGATCCCCCGACCACTCCTACAACTCATAACGACAATCTTACTCTCCACACCCACCACATACGCAAGCCCGCAGCCGATACTCTCCCAACTCGCCGGATTCGACTACAACGAGCTATTTGCGAGATGGGACTGCGGAGGAACATACTGCGGCTACAGTAGCCAGCTCTGCTGTTCAGCAGGCAGTACATGCTACACCGATCCAGCCCAACAAGCCCAGTGCGGCGTAGCGACGGCCACGGGAGCTGCAGCTGGGGCAGCGGGAGGATACTGGAGCACTTACTACACGACTTTCACCGAGACGGACACGCACTTGACGACGCAATTGATGAGTACATATATTGGAGGTGCTGCTGCTACACCGACCAGTCAGACGTGCAACTACGCTCTCAATGAGACACCCTGTGGGAGTATCTGTTGTGCGAGTAACCAGCAATGCTATTCACCGGGCCAATGCGTCGCCGCTGTAGGAGGGAGCTCAGGCTACTACAGCTCAGCATACGTGACACCGACGTCAACACAAGGAGTCACTGGTATCATCGTGGCCACTGGAACGGCACCAGTCCGCGGCACCTCCTCCTCCCAAGTCCTGGTCACGCAAACCGTGAGCCCCACAACCACAATCCCCTTCCAAACACCCGTGGCGACAGGCGCGAACATCACCCTCACTGGAACCCAAGCGAATAACAGCGGTCTCTCGGGTGGAGCAATAGCCGGGATAGTCATCGGCGTCCTAGTCGCGCTCTTCCTCCTCGCCCTCCTCTGCCTCTTCTGCTGCGCGCGCGGAATCTGGAACGCCTTTTTCGGCGGCGGCAGAAAGAAGCGGAGTAGAGTAGAAGTAGAAGAGTACGAACGCCGCTCCCATCGCACATCCGGCGGCGGCGGAGGCGGCAGAACCTGGTACGGTGCCCGCAAACCCCAACGCAGTAGCTCGCGGTACGATGAGCGTCGGGAGAGCAAGTCCGGAGGTGGATTGCTTGCGGTCGGTGGTGGGCTGGCGGCGTTATGGGCGCTTTTGGGGCTGAAGAGGAAGAGGGAGGATCGGAACCGGACCGATGAGAAGTATTCGGATGTTTCGTACTCGAGTGATTATTATACTAGTGAAAGTGAGTCTTCCTGAAACTTTCAGGCAGGATTTGATGGAGATGCGATTGCGATGCTAATGTTTTCACTCTAGGCAGCGCGAGCAGTGACGATCGACGGACGAGAGATGCGCCGAGAGATACACGGCGGTCGGTTTCGAGACGATGATGGGATTGAGATTGGGCATTTTTGCCATTCAAGCCTGGCGCTTGATGCGCTGCTGTCACGGCTGCTGCTGATTCATGCTGTCTGTATATATTCTTGGATACCCGCGCCTCTGGTGCACCCAATGCGCAGTCAAGACATCACCAATCTGCATCAAACCTCACGTTCCAGCTCCCCGAAATGGACTCAATCCTTGCTCGCTACTAGCAAATCTGAGGTCCGGCGACGACCATCGATAGCCTTTGATGATGTCAACGGCTACTGATGACGCCTTTTTGGTTCTGCAAAGGGATCTGGGGATGTCGATTATGGATGTCTACGGGCTGCAGGTAGAGAACAAGCTGAAGCATTGAAGCGACAGATCAATCATTTCTAGAGCCATATTTTGTGTCCCAAGCTCGTGATGGGCGTACTTCTTCCACGACGAATGGTACTTTTGGCTGGCACAAGACGGCACCGTCCTGCAGGAGAAGCGGTTACTTCGTCTTACACATGTACCACGACCACCGAGACAGGTTGGACCACATTTGCATCGACGAAATACATCCACGGTCACGGTAGACGGCCAACCCCTTCAGTCCTGCTCCATCCCACGATTTCCATGGTCATTGCGTCGCTCGTCATCCACCCCTCTACGGAAATCATCACGAGCAAAGCGCCGTCCGGATTCGGTTCGTGTATTATTACTTAATGAGATCGTTGTCATCGCTCACGGTAATAATAAGCATATCTCCTTCCACCAAGTAGTGATCCCGAAGCATACGCGATGAGCGAGCCGTCGGCTTTGACGCATATACACGAGCTTCACCGCTTCTTTGTTGATACCTATGTATTTAGTGCATGCATGGCGTTCAGATGGGTACATGTGTCGTTATCAGAGTGCTGACGGATAGTAGGTAATCAATCATACATGCACTTTACGTAGGCAGGACGCGGGACGAAGCCCGATGTTTGCGGGTGGAAAGCCTCGTGTGTGTGCATGCAGCTTGTGTCCGGTGGGTGGGATGGAGGGCCGGATAGGGCGTGGAGCGTGCGGGTGGTGCGGAGGCTGGAGGAAGGACAGGGCTGCATACGGAGGGGTGTGTTGTTACTATTTGTATGCTCGGGTAGTATCCCTAGCTATTCGTAGTAGAACGGACGGTTTATACGGCTGAAGCTGATCGCGGACGGTCGTAGCGTCGAGACCTCGCTTGCATAGCTCGTGAATATATACGAAGAGTTGCTCCGCGTCGATGAGCTAAAGTGATGATCGATCCTCAGGTACAGTACGTAGTGTGTCTCACACAGCCCTATGCACGACCAATCCTTCCCGCGCGATCCTTCGGTGGCCCCAAACGTCGCCATACGTACGGGACTGCCACGTTGTCGATGGTGCGTGAGACGGGACAAGTGGACCGCTTTAGGGTCGTAGTCAGCTGGTACCTGTCGTGCTCGCACTCTATAGCGTCGTATTACTGCCGCGGCGGATCGTGCTCCTCCGACAATAGATTGGGACGTCACCTGTTGACGGCTTGTTCGTTCGAGGTTCGGTGGAAGGTCGCGCGATGGTTGCGAAATCGTTGTGATGCAGTGGAAGTGATTAGTCTTGGAATTATATGCTAGCGTACAGTCTAGTTCATGATATTGTAGTAGAGAAACGCTTGAGAGCAACGGCCGTGCATCCCATATCGTGGCAGTGTTGTCCAGAAGTCAACAATCTATCCCATACCCGCTCCACTCATGCCCCCTGTTCTCCCACTTCACGAACGTCTTGACCCACCACGCTCAAGAATTGAGGGAAAGAGTCGCTCGCCGCGCTTGCTTCGCCAAGCATTGGTAGCAGCAACAAGGTCTTCACATCCTTGGAGGAGTACGGTCCATCGTCGAAAGAACTGCTCAGAGAGTTCCCAGCTTTCTAGCTTCTCTCCGGCACTCCAAACGACCAGTCCAGTACGTTGGCCGGCGGCGCCTTTAGCCTGCTCTATGGCCCCTGAGCCACGAATACAGCAAGATAACGCAGCAGCATTGATTTGGTTGTTCGCAATGGCGCATAAGATATTATGTCGCAGTCGAGGATGAGGTATGATATCGATGACTGGATCGTGAGCGACTCGATATTGCAGTTCCACTGGCACCAATGCGGTGGGGATCGATCGACTGGTTGGTCTTGGCGTATAAGTGAGCGCTCCGGATCGGAGGCTTTGTACATCGATGCTAAGGAGTTGTGCGTTGGCGTATGCGGCTTGCAGGAGATTGCGGTTGATCAGACGAGCCAACTCGTCCCATGTGTTGCCTGAGACAAATCAGTCTGATGTTCACACCAACTTCGTTGCCACCGGGTGTGGAGCATAAGGTGGACTGGGAGCGACCATACCTTCTGTGCTCAACAGAGAGCTCTTCGACTTCACATCGTCTTCATCGTCATCTTCTTCGTCTTTTTCATCTTCATCATTTTCCTCGTCCTCGTCGTCTTCTTCGGCATCTTCGTTGTCTTCTTCTTCTTCAGAAGACGAGTCTGGCTGGGAACCGGACACGCTACGAGCTTTGTATTTTTTGGGAGACTGGCCTGCTCTCTGTCGCTCTCGAAAGGCTCGCTGATTGAGTCTATTCTGTATCCGTCGTCGTTCTGCTGGATCATTCTTGCCACGCCCTTGTAGTTTGTCAGTATCTTCTGTCGTAATTTGTTGACTTTGTGAGCGTACAGTTCTCGTTGACAACTGCAGTTATTGGTATGCCATATCCCGAAGGCTGCGCAATGGTCCTGTACTGGCGATCCATATTCTCTCCAGGCTTGATGATCGTTCTTGTGGTGGGTGTGATACGCTCTAGTAACTGGTGGCGAAAACATTATGAGTCGCGAGGGCATGCTTACTCTTGTATATATAAGATTAGAAAAGCCTGCCTGCCTGCCTACCGCAGATTTCGAATCACCTACGATCTATTCCGCGCTTAGACCACGCATAGTCACCTCGAGGTTGCAACACCGCCCACGCCATGTGATGTGGGAGAATACGTAGTGTGAGCGAGTAGCCATTGCAGCGGGTAGACGAGACGGCGATCTGAGTCATCGAGGCTGTACTCAAATGCTCGATCACCTCCTCGTCTGCAGCGAGGCGTCGCTACCGCTAATGACGTTGGACACCGAGACTGTATTTGATATGAGTACCTCGTGTGGGAGCCTGTTGCCGACGATTTCAGGACGCCATACAGCAGCGGCTCTAGTTTGGGTGCATCAAGATGAGGCTAGCACGGCTAATGGTCCGTCTGATTTGCAGCGATAGCGTCGTGGAGCCGGCTTCCACGCATGATTCTATCGGCCATTCGGAGGATTTGAAGTTGCTTACTGACGATATCGGCCGGCCTCTACACTTGCTAGCCTGTCTGATAGGCGTAGAGGGCGATTTTGAGCTCCCAGGAGCGTGTGAACTAGGGTGCTCGTTCAGCCCTCCAGCTACGAGCGGTCCGGACAAGCTGCATTCCGGGACCAAGTACACGGCACAGCTTTCCTTTTACTGCCATGGTCGCTGTGCTTATTCCGTTCTGAGTAAGGTCTCCAAACCCATTGAGGCTCGATGTTCGATCCCGGCACTACTCGCGATATCAAGCACACCGAGATATGCATGCTATGCAGTATGTACATGTTCATCGATTAACGCAAAAGTCTCAATACGAGCATTGGTGAACATTGGCTTCTACGAAAGCTCGGACCAGAAATGACGACACCTTCATTCGCGCAGCCGCACGTGGATAGGGTCTTCACAACTGACAGCTCCTAGACCTGCGCGCTACGGTACATGCATACGTTTGCGATATACTATTGGTATGATTATGTGAGCGTGGTCGCAAACAGCACTGGATTGACTCACCGCCGAGGCTGATTTGTATGCATCCCTACGAGCAATTATGCGGGAACGAAAGGTACTGATCTTGGCGCTAGAGTAATCAAGCTTGGTAGTGCCGCAGTACGTGCATACTACCTTAATCCACGATATGGCTGCTCGAATACTCCAGGACCGCATGACATATTGGCTCGGGTATCTCCAAGGCTGGGCCAGCTCCACTTTGCCGCGATCTCCCAGTGCGGCTTATGGTCTCCTGGTCTCTAAAGCCACAAGCCTCATCTCACTCCCGCTGCCACTATTGTCCGTTTTGGCCATACCCTTTGTGGGCGGCTCGTCGACTACTGTCAACCTTGTGGTAAGTCTGCATGGTCGGACAAGTACGGCTTCGGCTCTTCCGAGCAGACTATTGATAGTTCGATTAGATATTCTATCTAACGTGGACTGCCTTGATCACAAGCTATGGACCCTTGAGCGTAGAGATTGGAGGCACTCTGCTTGTCCGCTTGGTATGCTTTCTCGTGCCAGCTCTTGCTTGCCTCGCCTTCGACTGTGCACTCCCGAAGCTCAGCCAAGGCATCAAGGCTCATGGTAAACGACAGCTACCTCTCAGCCTGGGTCGTGACAAGATCCTTGAGATTTCTGGTGTTGCGATATTCAATGTTCTACTCTCAGTCGCCGTACAGGGAGCACTTGAGCTCTTCGCAACTCGCGTGATGCATACTAGGAGTCTGCTCAGAGTCAGTGCTGCTGTGCCTCTTCCATGGAACCTCGCCAAGGATGTGCTTAAGGGTTTGTTACTTCGTGGTATCCTCCGATATACCATCCATCGCTACGTACTACACACCATAGAATCCCAACTTAGTGGATGGCATCTTCGCTGGCAGCACTCAATCAGGATACCATTCAGCGTGGTGGCAGCATATGATCATCCGGTCAATTATCTGCTGTCACAATGGCTTCCTGTCTTCCTGCCAGCATACTTGTTCCGCTTCCATGTGCTGGCTTGGCACATCTTGCTGGCTGTTGCGAGTCTGGAAGAGCTATTTGTGTACTCTGGCTATGCTGTGTTGCCATCTGGCATCGTTCTGCCTGGCATGGCGAGGAGGACCGAGGCGCATTTCGATTCGGTCTCACAGCGCAAGATTGGCAACTTCGGCCATCTAGGCTTGTTAGACTTCGTCTGCGGCACATCTTGCAATCATGAGAGTGATGTTGTCGACGATGTTGAAGCAGAAGCTAAAAAGCATCGCCTGCCACAACGTGCAAGTGGTGCTATTCAAGGAGCAATCGATGGCCTCCGAGGTGAGTTATGAGGTGAGGTCAAGTCACTACAAGATGCTAATGGCACCAAAGGCAACGTGCATGACGGGAACGCTACTGCAGGTGCACATCGATCTGGTGCTAATGCAGAAGATGACGAAGACTGGGCGGCTGATCAGGATGCTGACGAGAGCATCACGTCCCAGACCCGGCAGCGGAGAAGTGGGCGAAAGAATGCTGGAAAGCGTTAGCGCCGTGTTGTAGTCTTGTGACAAGTGTGGCTGCTCGGTCTCATATGTTCGGGAGTCAGTGCTTTTGGTAACTGATGCATAGCGGTGACTGCTTACGAGCTCCCTTCCCTTTCTCCCTGCCTCTTGGCCTTACTCTCAACATCGCGGTCTCAACCGGCCGTACATTTCGGATAGATGTCCTGTGTGCAACACAGTCATGGAAACGGATGAATGGATGAACACGCGGATGTGATGCCGCGTTGCCGACAGCTGATATGCAGCCAGGTCAATGACAAAGCTAATTTATACTCAAGTATGACTACGCACCATCACTTGTGATCTGGAGCATATGGTCGATATGGCCACACGAGCCTTCGACACCATCGACACTGGCGCCAACTCAGATCACCTCTCCTTGTCGCACCTTCCTGACAGTCAGCACAGGAGTACGTCCATCGTCTGCCTTTGCTCTCCCGCTTTTCGCGGTCTACACATAGCTCACATAGCCACTGTCCGACGAATCGTTCAAGAGCATTGCATTGACATAGGTCTCGCATGGTCGGATCGTGCTGCCTGGCAATCTCCAGAGCCAGCTTGCGTGCTGGCAGATGAGAGGGACAGAAGACTTGCCAGCTGTTCGTCATGAGCTTCTCTGTTGGCTCCTTCAAATATGGCCGGTCCCAGCTTCCATACTTGGTCTCATACCTGTATGGTGTTAGTCCCTGCTGGCTTTGTATGTCCAGGTCGACTTCGTCCATGTACACGACTCGGAAGGCGTTCGGCACTTGACTGCGGCGGATATGGAAGCGGCATACATTGCAGACATACTCCAGGCATCTTACACAAGGCCTGGCGGTAGATGCTCCGTCATTGGCGTCTTCGCATGGTGGACCTGCCCAGATAGGCGACGCGGCTTTGGCTGCCAGCTGTTGTGCTACGTCACCGGGACAGCGCTGCAAAGTTTCTAGCAACGGCCTAAGCGCATGGCCTGTTATCGCTGCCCGAGCTAGCTTGCAGGCACTTGCCAGGCTTCGCCAGTCACGTCCATTGAGGTGTGAAGCGACTGCACTAGCTGCTGGGTAGAGTATTGGCCGAAAGAGGAGAGAAATAATTGTCCTGGGAGTGTCCTCGACGTTCGTGGTCATACGTCTCCTCATGATGGCCAGTATCATCGCTGATCCACAGCTATTCAGGCCGCGACCCTTTTATCTTTGGTCACAGCACGCTGTGCAGATCAACAAAGAGCGTGGGAGATGCTTGATCAAGATATCAGATCTAAGGAGAGCAACGGATGAGCATTCATACAAGCAAACAATCGCAGCTTGATCTATGTCAAGGCCGCATAGATTCATTGTTGCCATCCCCATTCAGCATCGGTCGTTCACAGCAAATAAAGATGCATACTTTCCGCTCGCCCTTGTCCAGGTCATCATCGCTCTCGCGGTAGGCCTTCTCCGTAGCGGGTCTACGTTCGATGGCTATAAGCCTGATCACCACCTCAAAGATTCCTTCACCTCAGACATCATGCTGAAGCCCAGCGCCTTACACTCAAAGCAGCCTCTTTCCGCAGCACATCCCGACACTCCGGACACCGGAAGATCTCCGTATACTGCCAGACCGGATATTGGTCCAGGCCGCAGTTGTCGATGCCCAGTCCTTTGGCCACAAAGCAGCGAGCAAACGAGTTGTGGGTGTGGCCGCATATATGGAGGGCTGACATGAAAGAGCACATCTCAAACAGTGAGTGGTGCTCGCAGTGGCGAGAGGCTTCGTGGTCTGTCGTCAGAGTATCATGCTTAGTTGTTGACAATGGCTTGCTTCGTAAATCCAAGCTAGTTTGCATAGATGTTGTAAGCCCATTCGTTCTTGCTTGTTGACTGGGTATGCTCCGCTCGTAAATGAGCCTGTTTATGCCGCTGGTTTGCTCGTGGGATCGGCTTTGGTGAAGTGCGATGTACTTGTGACCTGTGTTTGCTATTGGAATTCCGTGAGTAATCCGAAGTCAGTGATCATGATGGAGTCGTGAATGGACAGTCGATGTGGGAACAGGTCACACTACAGCTAGCAGGTCACAAGCATGTGAGGTTGCTGCTAGGAGGCGACGGCACACGGGCCAAAGTCCGAGGGCTCAGCTTACATTCGAAGCCAGAACTGGCAACTCGCGTACGACAGAAAGGTGAGGAGGGCGCGGCAGGACATAATTATCAGTGCTCTGCTCAGCCAGACCTCTATCTCTTCATGGAGAGGCGGTTATATACAGTGAGTGGCCGCCTTGGCTCTGTCAAACAGAATTACGCCGAATCCGGAACTGCTCCCTGCGCAGTCTATCGCGATTTCTGAGGATCCTCAAGAATGCCTTCTGCTTCCAGTCGTCTCCGCGCCTCCTCAAGGGCCCATGTTTGTATGCTAGAGGACATGTCAGTACGGTCACACTCTGGCAGTCAGGCGAGATCGCAGAACATCGCACAGGCACTCACCTCGTATCGGGCTTATAGCAGTATCCCACCAGTCCGAACGCCAAGCTGCCGAAGAAGCCGTAAAACCAGATATTTTCCCACCCCTCGCTCTCGTACTTCTCGCCAGGTTTCACACCCCATAGCCAACCACTGGGGGTATCATAGTGGTCTTCGTGTGCGTGTGAGTCGCCAGCCTTGCGTGCGGGAGTGCTGGAAAGTGTTCGTTGTTGCTGCACCCTGGATGCGGTGACGTTGGGAACAATCTGGAGTCGGGTGCGTGGTGACGTGATCAGGCGCGAGGCGCGAGCAAGCGACATGGCGGTGGTGAATGTGCGCGGATGTCCGCTCGCAATGGCAGATTTAGAGTGGAGAGGGGGTGTCTGTGGTATGGCTGCTTGCTCGGCGCAGTGGATGAGGTCGCTGGCGGAGAGACGGCATTTGGAGGAGGCTCGGCGATCTAGCCGCAAGCGGTCCGCTCAAGCTCTCGAAAACTCCACGCCACCTCGACTTCTTCTTCACCTCTGCCTCATCATCATCACAACATTACCGACCTTCTTCGACGTGACTATTGCTCAACGTGTGCACCCTCTGCGGTGGCACGTATCACTCGTAAAGTCCGCAAAGCCTCCTCGTTCAGAGGCTGGCAGGTTGGTTGAGCCTCGTGTATTGCACGCGTTCAAGCTCGCCATACTCTCACCAGGACTGTCTTTCGCGCCGCCTCCGGTGACGAGAGACGTGATAGCCATCATCCAGGTCATCGTCAACCAGCGAATATCAGTCACCTAGTCACCAAGGACAGTCTGCACACACTCTATCACCCACTTCAGCTTGTCGCACGAGCTTGTGTATGTGGCATAGCTTTTCTGCGCGCAGCCTTCTCGTGTGATTTCCAGGCCAGGCGTTGGGACGTTTCTGACTGGGTTTTCTTTTGCATCACCAACTAATACACAAATTTTATTCGGACTTGTTGTGATCTGCACCATAGTCATCATGATCATGGGTCCCTTTACGGGCGTTTCGTCAAGAATCACGAGCAATCGACCAAGCGGAGCAAGCAGCGCAGTCCACGATATCATGAAGAAGCGCGACAAGCCGTTTAAGACGGAGACTGAACGAGTCGTTGCTAAGAAGAGAAAGCTACACATTCGCGTCTGTCACCTTATTCGACCCTCCTAGGCCAACCACTGACTGAAAATGTACAGACCGCATACAAGCAAGCCGTCCCACAAGGATACAAGTTTCTACCCGTCGGCACACCTGATCTGGCCGAGCGCTGCAAAGAGATCTCGCGACAGAAGGGCTGCGATGTCAATGTCGTCAATGTGCGTTTGCAACTTCCCGAAGCTCAAATTAGCCGACTCTTCGTCCCCCGCCTCATCTTGTTGCCCCCGTCTCCATCATTGTTCAACAGCTAACATCTTACTGTAGTCTAAACCTGCGACCAAGAATGCAGAAGATCCTGGTAAAGTTTCCCATCACATTGCCCGCATAGGCTATCATTTTCGCTCAGATATCCTTGACGACGCCTGCCAGCAACTTGGTTACATCTACTACCATGGCGAGCTAGTTAAGGCAGCAGAACTAGAAGCCCAGCAGAAGGCTGCCCAACAGCAGAGCATCTTGGCACAAACACTTGCTAAGTACGGCGTCGATCCCAGCACAATGGTGAAAGGCCAGGGACATGAGGATCCCATCAGTGTCAAAGCAGCCATCAAAGAGCTCTTTCCAAGGATGCCCAGCTATGACCTGGAGCAGATTATGCTCCACGCCTGGAAGAAGGGCAGTCGCCGTGTTGGGCTCAACAGCCAACTGGATCTGCCTCGACGGGTACAGCTTGCAACCATCGCCCGTATTCGACATGAGTACACAGACTACGATCGTCTGCTACGAGCTTTCACGTGGTTCGAAGCGCGGGCGATAGTCGAGCCGGACTGTCTGAGGAAGCTAATCGAATGGCGTGGTGAAACCGAGAAGGAAGACGATGACCAATTCGAAGAGATCGTGCGTGAGACTATCATCATCGATGATGATGACGATGATGATGACGATGCAGATTCTGTCACAGACCTTGACGCTGGTGATACAAGCGATGCGAGTGTGGAAATTACTCATCACGTCGTTGCTGACATGGACTTTGGTGCAGAGAGCCACGATGACCGACCACATCGAAGAGTCGCACCTTATCGCGCTCCCGTCCAGAGCCTTGATCAGCGCAATTTGCTGAAGCAGAAGATTGGTAATGCAAGGCAACAGCTTCGCGCTGGCGTGCCGAGCAGTCATGGCCCTCAGCCGGCTGTCCACACGCCAATACCTCCACAGAATCAGAATGAGGTTGTTCGTGTGGTAGTACAGCCTGACCAGTTTGGAACTTATCCATCCGAAGTCATGGTGGGCGGTCAGCGTATGCTTGTAGTAAGTCAAGTGTCACGTGATGATGACAGGCTTGAATCTGCTGCCTCCACGTCGACTCCTTGTCTCGCTACCATTGCTTACAGTACGCAGGGACGGCCTCAGCCATCGACGCCCATCGCTCAGCCGCATCTGTATCAGCAGCCACCACAAACCCCTCCAGTATATGGCTACACACATGCTGCAGCAGTGCCACATCTGTCGACACACTCTGGCTATGCACACCCAGCACCCACGATTCGACAAGACAATCAAGAATTGTATAATCGGCCAGTACCTTCTATCGAGATTGATGACAGCGCGCGTAGGACGGCATTGAGCTCGCAACAGATCTTCCGACCTGTGACGCCTGATCAAGAACATATCAAGCGCCGGCGCGTGGATGACCACCAGCCGAATCGCAGCATGGAGCACATCGATTTAACGAACGAACCTGATTTACATGATCAGCGCCGCTTGCCAGCACAGCCGGAGATCATGGATCTGATCTCACCAGTTCGCAACAGCTACGTGAGTCACCGCAGTCCGTTTACGTATGATGCCAGATCCGCCCAGAACGGCCAGGTGCAGCCTCAAAAGCCCAACATTATGTGGCCTGTCCCGATACCACCACCTGGACCTGCTTCTGCACCCACTCACTACTCACACCAATACGGCCACGCACGCCAGCCTAACGTGCAATATACTCAGCAAGTCAGTCCCGCATATCCTGTTCACGGCGCGCCTGCTCGTGTACAGCAAGCACCGATTACTAGACCGCCGCCCTCGGCTCATCTAGCTCATCAACCTTTACACAACACGCCACACCCGGTTCAGTATGCGAGCCAGAGCGGGATTGTGAATGCTCAGCCTCAGGAGCAGTATCATGCTGTTCACGAGCTCTCTTATAGACAACCGCCGAGCCAAAATGGCTCTAATCATAACCCATTAACGGGACACTATCAGCAACAGGATCGCTATTACCATCGTTGAAGGACTCCTGGATTCATTCTGGTCGGACTCGACATCTGGATGCCCTGAATCTTTGGACCACGAAACTGATGCGCCCGCGTCTCGTTGCGTGAATCGCCGTTGCCATTGCCGCCGCTGCCGCTGTAATCTCATCTCACGTCGCTGATCTCGCACTACATATGCGGACCCAGATCACTGACTTTTTCTCCACCCAGTATTGTCTATTGCGCATACTTAAGTGCCAGCATATCCTACATATCAACGAGCACGATGCTCCTGTCAAGCTTACCAAGGCGGTTGAACAAGATTGGCGGACGAATTCATAGACTTCAGGGCTTGCATTCCAGGGCGGACGTCAAGCTGTGGCAATAGGGCTGGGTTCTCTTGTTGCTTAATCGGTGGTCTTCGGGGCCGGAGTGTATAACGTGGTGGGGTTTCTTCCAGCATTGCATTAGGAAGTGTTGATTCCTGTGGTTTTCATTGGACTTGCATCAGCGATATAGGGGTTGCGCAAGCACTCGGGGTGATACTCTGAGCGCGGAGTTGGAGGGAAGCTATAGTTGTTATGTTTTGGCATGCACGGCGGTGGGCTGTAAAATCGTTGGGAGGGCTCAGTCAGTGCTTCTGCGCTTGCACATGGTCGAGAAGCATCCAGATGGAGCGCTTGCATGAGCCCAAGGCGGCCAGGCGATTGTATGATAATCATGTGTCACAGCTGCGCAGATCGCGCACATGGCTACCACAGATCCTCCCGACTTTCAAGATGCAACTTCTGCGTAAGGACTTTACAAGTTAATGGAATGAGCGTCGCTGGAGGGTGACCTGCATGGGGCATCATGGGTTTGGAATGATGGTATTCCGTGCGGAATGATTTGAGCTGCAGTTCATGATATTGTGTACTCTTTTGCGCTTTAGATGAGCTACTCCTACCTATACCACCCGCCACCTAGTCCTATGCCGTAAGTAGTCGGCCCAACAGGCTTGCTGTAGTAGCCACTTCTGACATTTCCAGCTACCGTCTGGCCTTGTCGACCTGCTAGAGTATTGGTAGCGCGCATCGCAGCCGGCATGCTTGGTGCTGGGGGACCACCGAAGGACGAGCTAGTTTGTCCGAAGGCCGTTGTCCTGGTCCCTGAGGTAGGTGCTGCCGCCCCTCTCATCGAAAAGTCATTCGCAGTCCGAGTCGTACTGCTTTGAGCTACCCCGACGGAGTCCGAGTCATCGCCGCCTTCCTATAGCGTGATGTTGTACTTGGTCTGGAGGGTATACTGCAGCGTCTCCAACGCCATCACATGTGGCATCATCCTCGCCTCATCACCTGGTCGTTTAGGCTGGGTCTTGGGACCCTTTGGAGGAAAATTGCGCACGGCGTTTTTGAGGAGTGCTTTGCCTGCGCCGCCGAAGATCGTGATGATGCGTGGGACGTATTCTTCTATCATCGCTTTCAGCATCACGTAGTGCGTCAGTTGCGTTTGGCCGGCGGGGAGGTTGAGCGTGCGAGCCATGGCTTCCCACCACATGGTATTCGGAGCGGGATTCTTGTTCTTGCTCCGGCTGAAATCGCGGAGGGTGAAGGCTGAGAAGCCAGCTGCGAGGCCCGTGACTTGGCGGAAATAGCCTTCGTCGCGCCCTTCTTGGGCTGGGATGCCGAAGAGCTGCGGGCATAGGCGGTGGTATTTCGCCCAGAGAGGGTCGATGAGGGAGTGGCCGTTCCATTGGTAGTCCGGGCGGGCGAAGATTTGGATCAGCATGATGCCGAGGGGGTCGGCGTGCTCGACGTTCTCGCCTGTGCCTTCGATGAGGGCGCGGATGACGCTTTTGCCGAAGTGGTTGAGGAGGTAGAGGAGGATGGCGGGGTATTTTGTGTCGGTGGCGTTGGCGAGTTCTGCTTGCGGGACTGAGATGAGGAATTCGCGAATGTCGACGCTGGGTTCCGTGATGGTCATGGCGCGTTTGAGGACGGCTTCGATCTTGGCGAGGTAGTTTCGGTTGGCTTCGCGGTCTTCCTTGCTGCAGAAGCCGATCTGTTTCCGGATCTCGCGTCTCATCTCGCCCAGATCTTTGAAGCCAGCGTCTTTGCATTGCTTCTCGGTTGTCATGCGGAACTTCTTCAGTCTGCGCCAGAGGTCCATGTATAGCTTGTGCTGTACTTTGCGCTGCTCGACGCTGGACACTAGGGGAGAAGAAGTAGACTGTGCCGCAGCAGGCGCTGTTGGTCGGACTGTAGGATGTGTATCGTTCGTCTGTGGTTGTGCTGGCTGTGCCGCGGGTGGTTGTGGTGTTGGTGCAGGTTGCTGAGCTTGCTGCTGTCTTTGTCGTACCGCAGCAGCATCTTCTCTCGCCTTCCTATCAGCTTCTGCCTTATCTTGTGCCGCCTTTCTTTCTCTTCCAGCCCTCTCGGCTTCTAGACTCTGACGCTGCGTCTCTGCTTGCCGCTCACTCTCATCTCTCTGCCGCTGAAGTGTAGCCTTCTGTCTCTCATCCTCCTCCTGCCTCCTTACATCCACCAATCGCTCCCTCTCCCTCTCCGCATCCTCCTGTGCGAGCTTCCTCCTCTGCTCCTCCACTGCCTGTCTCTCATCCTCCTCCCTCTTCTTCCTCGCACGCACAATCTCCAGCTCTACCCTCAGCCGAGCCCTCTCGGCCGATTGCCGGACTGCCTCATGTTGCGCCAGAGCATCATCGAGAGCCTGTCTATGAAGCTTTTCCTGCTCTGCTGTTTGCTGGTCGAGTGACCGCTTGAACTTCAGATCATCCTCCAAGACTATCTTCGAGAAGTCCTCTAACAATTGCCGCGAAGGACTATCCACCAGCCCAGGGCTTCCCACACTCTCTGTCCGACTCAACCCATTGACACGTGATCCGCTCCTATGGAACTCAGCGAGGCGTGATCGAGACGGACTAGATCTCGGTGTTGACCTGGCGTAGTCGGAAGGGCGGAGGGGGGAAGTCATCGTCTTGGTGGTGTCACAGCAAAAGCGACGAGGGGCGAAGGTAGCGACTGTGGATGTGGCATGTTCAACACTATCATTCAACAAGAGAAAGCTTCATCATTTGTAGGTAGCGTCGTGAAGCATATGCAAGGGCTGCGGGCGCTTGAGTCCGGGCCGAGCGGCTTACCGGAAACACAAAGGGTAGGCACGTGCGTGATTGTCACTTGGTGGTATTGTAGGTGAATGGGAGTTGGAGATGAACAAAATGATGTGCAAGGCATTGCATCATTGTGCCTATCGTTGTCTACAGATTTGCTGTTATCGTCGATGCTCCCGATCGAACCGAATATCTTTGGCAGCACAGATTTGCCAAGACCCTTCGTCATCGGCTTGGTGCAAGTGAGGTGGGAGAAATGACAGATGAGGAGGGTAGGATGGCGAACTGCTACATTACAAGAGATAAACTGTAGGATGGACAATATTAATCGCATCCGGAAGCAGTGGACAGATAATCCGCCGATGAATCGACATACAGAGAAGTGGAAATCGGGAAGTCTGCCGCGTATCAAGAGTTCCCAAACGTCCAAGCCTTCTCCACACTCGGCCTTGCCTCTGCCTCTGCTTACTGCTTGGGTCATCATCCTCCTCGTGCTGCCATTCGTATACCTCTTGCTGTCTCTCTACTCCACCCTCCCTTCACTCTTTCACCCTCATCACTCTCACTCAACCTTCCCTCTTCATCCTTCCAAACCGACGACGACATCGCCTTCTTCATCCGCTCACTGCCACTGCCCCCTTCTTCTTTGACCAGTCGCGGAAAGCCCGGCCGCTCGCACAACCCGGGCTTCGCTTGTCAAGCACGAAACAGACAGACTCGATCTTTATCTATCCTACCTGCCAGCGCCACACCACACCGCACTTCTCCCACACAACAACACACTACAGACACGCACACTCAGCACAGCATCAGTGTACGCTCACGAGACCGCCGCAGAACACACACACGCAACACAATACACCATCAGCCACACTTTGCTCTCGAAGCTCACCGTGCTCGCCGCAAAGCCTGGACCTCGAAATACAGCATACGTCACACGAGTATTCGCCATAGTGAAGTTGACACAAATCCAAGCTCACATCTACCCACACACGACGCCTGCATCGAGCAGTGCGATCTATTAAGCTGAATCAGCAAGTTACTGTACGATAGAAGCACGATGCAGCATAACCAACAAAACTTCGACCCAAACCAGGGTCAGGGCCAGAATGGCCAAGGCGGCCAGGGGGCTGCCGGACGACGTCTACACATCGCTCACCGGCGCAGTCCGAGTGAGATGACACCGTTGATGAGTATGTATATCGAATCACTTGTCCTTTGTGGTCACATGTCCTCCTTACTGAATGCATGCTAACCATGCTCGTGCCTTTAGTGGAGCAACTCGCGCTCGCCCAGCAGATCGAGATGCTTCAACAGCAACAACAGCAGATTGCTGCTACCCACCAGCAGTATGTCAATATGGGCATGATACAACCCCAACAGCAACTGCCCAATCAATTCCAGCAGATGCAAGGTCAGATGCAGGGCCTCAACATTGCGTCCAACCCCAATGCCTTTCAGTTCCAGCAACAGCCGATGGGTAGTATGGGTGGCGGCCAGCACCTTGGCATTCCTGGCATGTCGGGTGGCATGGGTGGTGCATCAGCTCATCGTCGGAACCAGTCGGCAATGCCGAATATGGGCATGGGCAGCATGGGACCACCACCTGCACCCTCAAGTGGTGCCTCCGGCTCAGCGTTTGGCGACTTCAGTTTCCCTCAGGCGCAGCAGCAGACCAGAGCAGAGAACAGCGCTCCTCGTGGTGGTGGGCGAGGTGGTGGTGCGGCAGGAGGTGGACATGCGCGAAGACACTCCCTTGCTTTACCCGAGGCGAAGAAGGCTGCTGAGCTAGCAGAGGCGAAACGAAAGACTAGTGGCTTTCAGTTTCCCGTGCCTAATGCTGGCGGCGAATCACCTTCCACAAGCCATCGATCGGTCAGTCCTGGCCAAGCGCCACCATCCGACACACTCCAAACACCACAGTCTACCACCACACCGAGAGGTGGCTTCGGCGGACGTGGTCATGGTCGCAGCCAGTCGATGGCTGTAGGTGGTCGTGGCATGGCAGCCAGCTCTCGGGGTGGACCCACTGGCTTCTCATTCCCTGCAGCACAAGCAACCAATGACGGTGGGGCCAACACCTCCGATCTTGGTCGTCGTGGTAGCCAGGGACATGGCAGGACCCAATCGCGAAATTTCGAAGGCAACTGGCGTGCTCAGAGCAACAACCCGCAGCAGGCTCCGATCATCAATGAGCCAAACGACCAGAACTTTGGCAACTTCCAGATGAATCAAGCCACGACGGCGCAGCCTTTCCAGCCTGGTCATCGCCAGCGTGGCTCAATGGCTGCTGCGTCCATGAGCAGTCTTGGCGGCTTCCAGTATCAGCCTCAGCCTCAGCTCGTGCAGCTCCCGCAAGGCCAAGTGCTTGTTCAGCAGCCGGCCATGTTCAATGGCCAGCAATTGAGCGCCCTCCAGCTCGCACAGCTGCAAGCCTATCAGCAAGCGGGCATCCAACCACCCAGCATTGCCCAGTTGACTGGTCAGCACAATGGGCCGAACTTCCCGAACCAGCAGCAACAACAGCGCAAGACCTTGTTCACACCCTACCTGCCCCAAGCTACTCTGCCAGCTCTTCTTGGAGACGGTCAGCTGGTGGCCGGTATTCTGCGTGTCAACAAGAAGAATCGCAGCGATGCATACGTCACGACTACTGATCTCGACGCAGACATCTTCATCTGCGGCAGCAAAGACCGCAACCGTGCCTTGGAAGGCGATCTTGTCGCAGTCGAGCTCCTGGACGTCGACGAGGTATGGACGCAGAAGCGCGAGAAAGAGGAGAAGAAGAAGCGCAAGGACGCCACGGACCAGCGTAGTGGCAGTGTTACGGCAGTCAATGATGCTACTACTGCTCCCGAGTCTTCTGGTGAGACTGGCTTGCGCAGACGTGGTAGCTTGAAACAGCGACCTACGCAGAAGAAAAACGACGATGTTGAGGTTGAGGGACAGAGCTTGTTACTTATGGAAGAGGACGAGATCAACGACGAGCAGAAGCCGCTGTATGCCGGTCACGTCGTGGCTGTCATTGAGCGCATCCCCGGACAGATGTTCTCTGGTTCTCTCGGACTTTTACGACCAAGCAGCCAGGCTACCAAGGAGAAGCAAGAGGCTGAACGTCAACAACGTGAGGGTGGCAACCACCGTCCTGAGCGTCCGCAGGAACGCCCGAAGATTGTCTGGTTCAAGCCTACCGACAAGCGTGTGCCACTGATTGCCATCCCGACTGAACAAGCGCCACGAGATTTCGTCGAGCGTCACCAAAGTTACGCCAACAAGATCTTTGTGGCGTGCATCAAGCGATGGCCAATCACCTCGCTTCATCCCTTCGGCACTCTTGTCGAGGAGCTTGGAGAGGCCGGCAACCTCAAAGTTGAGACCGATGCTCTTCTCCGCGACAATAACTTCGGACCCGACGACTTCTCCGATGCCGTCGTTAAGAACATCGGCTTTGAAGACTGGTCCGTTGCAAATGATGGCGAGACAGCACTCGAGGGCCGCCGTGACTTCCGTGAGGATAAGACTTTCACGATCGACCCCAACGGCAGTAAGGAGCTCGACGATGCTCTGCACTTCAAGGATCTTGGTGACGGTCTCGTCGAGATCGGCATGCATGTCGCTGATGTTGCACACTTTGTTAAAGCCAACTCGCTTGTCGATCGCGAGGCCAAGAAGCGTGGTACCGGCGTGTACTTGATGAATAGAACTGTCAATATGCTTCCGGCTAGGCTATCTCAGGAGGTGTGCTGCCTCAGTCCTGGCGAGGACCGCTACACTTTATCTGTTGTGTTCAAGATCAATTCGGCAACCGGCCGTGTTATTGATGATGAGACTTGGGTTGGCAAGGGTGTCATCCGAAGCGATGGCAAGCTGGCATATGAGGAGGTAGACGCTGTTATCAATGGCGGCAACTCTTCCTTGCCCGAAGACCGCCAGAAGCAGATCCTCATGCTGCACAACATCACGCAGAAGTTCCGTCAGGTTCGCTTCGGTGGCGACGAGGTCGTCAGTCCACCATTGCGTCTTGTATACCAGCTCGACGACGAGAATGTCCCGGTCGAGCAGAACATCTTCGACAGTAGCCCGAGCCACGAGATGATTGAGGAGCTCAGCCACAAGACGAATGCTTTGGTCGCTGAGAAGATATTCCAGGCCATGCCTGAGCGTGCACTTCTTCGTCGTCAAGCCAGCCCGAACCCAAGGCGTCTCCAGACTTTCGCCGAGCGCATGAGCAACATTGGCATCGAGATCGATATTTCCAGCTCCGCAGCACTCCAGAACAGTCTCTTCCGCATCGAAGATGATGATGTGCGCAAGGGTATGGAGACTCTTGTCATCAAGGCCATGACTCGCGCGAGGTACTTTGTGCCTGGCAAGATTCCAGACGATTCACTTAGCCATTATGCGCTCAACTTGCCACTCTACACCCACTTCACCAACCCCTCTCGTCGCTACGCAGACATTGTCGTCCAACGTCAGCTCGAAGCCGCCCTTTCCGACGGCACCGCTGAATTCAACGAGGATCTGGACAGCCTAGCGAAGACGGCCGAAACCTGCAACACGAAGAAAGACTCCGCTCGCGCCGCTCAAGAACAATCTGTCCACATCGAGTCGTGCCGCGCCATGAACTGCAAATCCGAAGAACAAGGCGGCGACCTCATCTCTGTCGGCATCGTAGTCTGCGTGTACGAGTCCGCCTTCGACGTTCTCATCCCGGAGTATGGTTTCGAGAAGCGCGTCCACTGCGATCAGCTACCGCTGAAGAAAGCCGAGTTCGATAAGAACTCCCGTCTGCTGGAACTGTACTGGGAGAAGGGCGTGCCGTCTTCGGCTTTCGTGCCGGAGGATGAACGCCCGCAGGCTAAGAGCCATGCCTCTTCTCACCAACAGCGTGGTATGGGTAGTATCTCCGGCCCGACGAGACATCAGCCTGAGGCGCAGAAGCAGAATATGCAGACCGGCACTATCGACACCAACGACGTCGACGCCCTGTTCGACGACGACGAGGATAATGCGAGTGAAGTAACGGACCACCACAACGCTGGCGTGGCGCTGAACGGCGACCGTGCCACACAATCTGGACCTCCGAGCCCGTCACGCAACGGTATGGCGCCGCAGCGCTCGAAGTCGGATTCGAGGATTCTGAACTCGGTTCCTGAGGGCCGATTGACGAATAAGGAGAAGTATCTGGGATACTTTGATTTGAGGGAGGAGGGGGGGAATTATATCCAGGATGTGAGGGAGATGATGAGGGTACCTGTGCTGTTGAAGACGGATTTGGGAAAGAGTCCTCCGTGAGTGCTTTATCGTGTGAGACTTATGGTTTTGATGGGTCGTGCTGACTTGTTTGCAGGTGCTTGACTATCAGGTCGCTGAATCCTTATGCTTTGTGAGGCTTGCCCGGACACACCACTGTTACCACCGAGACTCCCGATGGCGCATTTGTTACGCCCTATCGTACCTTACTCGAGAAACCTAAGACGACCAGATCATGTGCTAGCCTTCACACGAATAAGCGCGACCACAGCAGGACGAAACCATTGGCGAAAGCTGATTTGTTTTCGACATACCTCGAGCATCGGCTACCTTGCAAGTCGAACGGTGCCACTGACCGTATACTATCATTAACAACCACCATTGAAGCGAAGGAAGGCGGATTATGTCAATAGGCGGAGGATACTTGAGAGTATGTTGAAGGAAGAGGGATGGAAAGTATCATTGCGGGCCAGACTTGGAGACTATGCTGGTTGGACTGATGAGAGAGACGTGCATTTGTTTGGAGGGTATTGTGAGCGGGAGAGAGTACGGCAAGGCTGTATACGTACAGTAGACTGCAGAGAATCAATATTAGGAAGTGGGGAGATGAGAAGGACGTGAGAGAGAGGGAGAGAGAGAGAGATATCTCATATTATTAGCTCTCGGTGTGTAGGTAGTAGTTTCCACGAGCTTTGCTGTAGTTTGAGCTTTGTTGTATTAAAAGCTTGTTTGATTCTTGATCCTGTCTTGCCATTTGTACCGATCTGTTTTTGGGAGCGGGTAAGATTGAGGTTAGGGTTAGGGTTTGGGTTAGCGATGCAACTTCGACTTCAGTTCACGATTGGGACTCTGATTCCTTTACAGCATGAACAAGAGTTGCCGACATGCCAGGATCGTCCCTCTGGCTACTTCCTCTGCCAGATTCGGAGCTGTATAAAACGATACAAAATCTCATCTTGCAGGACGTTCCAGCAGTCTACCATGATGCTGCGCCACCACAGTTCACACCACATATTACGCTCACATCCGACACAATCTCAGATCAAGAAGATCCACAGGATTGGTTGGACAATATCACTCTGCCGGAAAGTCTTAGGGATTTGCAAGTGAATATCAAGCAGCTCGACGCTGGAAATGTCTTTTTTCAGTCTCTTATCATGAAATGCGAGAATTCGATGGAGTTGTGTGAGCTCGCTGTGCATTGTCGTGTTGCTGGTGTCAAGGACACGGACGCAAAGGCGGCAGAGACGTGGGTACAGGAGCGATTTGTGCCGCATTGTAGCTTGATGTAGTGAGCCATCAATCCCATTCACGAGGACTAGAGACCATGGGCAGAGCATACTGATCGCGATTTTGACAGCTCTGGAATATCACGAGAGGAGGTTCTGGGGAAGTTTGATGATGTCAAGGCGAAGATAAAGGATGTTAAGAAGAGGTTGCCAGGATGCCGGAAGGCGACAGGTGCTGAGATATGGTTGGTGCCGACTTTCAAGACTATTGATCAGTGGAAGCCTGTTGCCAGAAGGCGAGTGGAAGGTGTTAGTTGGCAATGGCGGACTTGATGCATCGGAAGCATTCATTATCTGACCCGTGGCATGGCCTGTTTACGACGGATCTCAAGGACTTATAGATTGCTCGACCGCAACTGATAAGTGCACATGATTATTGCCACACCGATGTCAAGCTTCCGCTGCTCTTGAAATAGATACAGATTGTGACGCCGACGGTATCCTTGCCACAACGTACACCGCCACTACTTCCCAGAACAACAAGCCTGATTTGTCAAGATGTCTTCAGCCGAAGCATATCCACTATCTCTGCGCTCAGCGATCACATCCTTGATCCCGTCGCCGCCACTCACAAACCAAGCAGCGGCCTTAACAATCTGCATCACCGTCTCGACGTCTTGCTCGCTGTGAGGAGCATAGATCATCACGAACCCTCCCGGCACAAACCGCTCGAACCATCCACCTCGAGCCAGAGGATGTCGTTCGCCCCATCCAGCTTCCAGAACGGCCTTGGCGTCTGCCGGGTGCAAAGTCATATGCATCGACCCGTCGGACGGATGAGCATGGCAGATCTCTCCATTGCAGGTGCGCTTAGCGGGCGAGGTGGAGAACAGCCCGGTGCCGTTCTTCTCGAAGCAGGAAGTGCCTAGACGGAGACGATCGCTCGATCTGCCCATCGTCTCGATCGAGTTGGCGAGTCTGCCATAGCAATCTTTGTCGGCTTTTTGCGTCACTTGTCGGTGTGGCGCGATGCCTCTCGCACACGGTCTGGGAAGTGATCGTTTCGCCAGGTCAATCAGATAGCCCGACTGGCCCTCAAATCGCCTTGGAGTCGGTGCTGCTAGGTACGGATCGTTGAGCGCGAAGAAGCTGAGCACTTTCACCCGGATGTAGCCAGGAAACGTCGTAGGTGTGCCTCCTGGTCCCAGTGCCACGAAAGCTAGGTAGTCGAAGTGTAGATACAGCAGCAGGGGCAAGAGAATGGCCAAGGAGCTGAATGAGCTTGCTAGGTTGATGATCTGGCTTAGCGAGAGGTCGTTTGTAGTATTCGACGACGTCCATTGCACTTTGACGTTCTCCATGGCGTATAGATGGGAAATCTCATAGGTCTGGAATCGGAGATAGAGGTTTTGCAGGTCTTGTTATGCTGGCTGGGGTCGAGATCGCAGGTGGTAAAGTGCTTGTAGGTGATCGGTAGTAGGGTATATCTTGCCAAGTGACTTGAAGTGACTCAATGTAAGAGCAAGCTGTTGGAGAAGTCAAGTCGACAGTGACTGCGACTGCTGTTTGTTAGGACTTTCCAGCAGTGTGCTGGCAAGTGCGACCTCACCCAAGGACATAATTTCCGATATACGGAGCAGAGAAACCTCACGTACGCACATATGACCTCACATTTTCACTTGAACGCTCCACCATAGTCACGATGATCTTCAAGATCTGGTTTCGACGGCGATGCTGCCCACGTTAGAGCGCCGTATTGGACACCGTGAAGGTCAGGCACATGCTTCTGCCGCCCGAAGCGAAAGCTATTGGTTATACGCGAGCTGCTTACGTGGCACCGCGCCTGATTAGAGGAACTAAAGAACGACAACGGGAACGAAGATTACCAAAAAAGACGATGCAGAGTAGCTCACCGTCTTGCAATGCATGCGGACTACAACTTCGTACTCTTGACCAATCCCTTCTTGATACCCGTCAGTTCACCACCATAGCCTCCGCGTCCCTCACCACCTTTATACGTCGCCTTCATACTCGCCAACTTCTTCTTCTTCTCATCGTACTTCTTTCGCTTCTTCACCCTCGGGTTCCTAACATCCTTCTTTCGATGCGGCGTCAAGCCCTTGTTCTTCTCGATCAGATACGAAATCTTACGCTTCCCGTCAGCACCCACAACTTCTTCTTCGACCACACGTCCGCCTTCCAACGCGGCTTGCTTCTGAGCTTCGGTGAAAGCGGCTTTGTCCGACTTTTTCTTCGCTGTGCGTGCTGCAACCATGTCATAGTAATCGTCGTCCTCAACCGCGCCGCGAATGTCCTTCGCTTGCTTCCGATCTTCTTCGTCGCTTTCACCACCAAGGTCAGCGTCAGGACCGCCACCGCCGAGCTTCTTGCCGCGCTTCTCAGCCTCTGCATTGAGACGCGCTTGTCGATCACGGAGTCTTTCGCGATGCGGCACGTCCTCGTCGCCACCCGCGTTACGCCCACCTGCGCCACGCTTGTTGGTCTTCTGTGCGATCTGGGAGGTATAGAAGCGCAAGCTCTTCTTGCGGAGGGCTTTGTCGGCCGCCTCACGTTCCGTCAACGGTACTTCTTCACCAATGTCAGACGCATCATCGTTCTGCACAGCAGTCCTTACGGCTTCCGACTTCGTCCGCTTGGCGTTCGGTGTTGATAGTGATGCCAAATCAGCAAGGTCCGCCTCCACTTGAGCCAGTCGCTCCGCTTTACGGGCGTCAGCGGCTTGCTGTAAGGCATCTGCAGCTCGCTGTTTGCGGCTTTTGGTCGCGACGGTCTTGGGTTGACGCGCTAGCTCGGAGGGAAGATTGTGACCGTTAATCAAATGGTGCTCGTCCTCTTCGCAATCGGATAGCACGATATCACTTGGCAGACTTTGCACCCTTTGCCACAAGTCCCTGCATTGCACGAGACTCTCCATGACCGGATGGTCTCGAAGCCTAGTTGCAGATATTGCAGTCACGTCTGCGTGAGCCCGGAATGCGGTAGATGTAAGAAGGGAAAAGTATACTGTCAAGGCGCCTAGGTATGCCGAGGCGGCGCGAAGTTTTGTCACAGCATTCGAAGGAGAAGCAGTCCCCGAGCTCTGTTTCGCGTCGATGCTGAGTTGAACGTGTTCCTCCTGTAGTTGCAGTAAGTCCTTGCTAAGAGGTTCAAACTCTGGGTAGCGAGACTTGAGTAGCTTGAGGCGTTCTGCCACAGACATGTCCTCCTTGATCACCAACTGCGGTATCACTTCCGTCACGGTGTTGTCGTCAGCTGCTTGGGATTTTGCTGTCGACTCCTGCCAGTCTGCTTCATCGAAGCCATAGTCTGCAGCCTCCATAGCCTGCAGCTGCTTCTTCTGTAAGCGCAGTGCCTCTGCCTCTTCCTCCAAGGCCTGCTCTTCCGTCTCAATATTGTCCGCACCATACAAATCGGCCTTGGATGTGCCCCAGCCGATCTCGTCCTCGTTGTCGTCCAGTCTTCCATCTTGATCATCAGATTCTGATTCAGCTGCGCCTTGTATTCCTGGGTCATCGACTTCTTCGTCCACACCGTCCTCGGACTCAGAATAGTCCAGAACCTCCTCATCTGATGGCTGCAGGAATTCCTCCTGTTCTAAGACCTTCCGTCGCCGTTTCGCTTCCGGTGCCTCGCCCAACAGCACTTCATCCCGTTGAAGATGGAAGTCGTCGTCGCTCCCTGCCACATCCTCAAAATCCCGGATCCGCTTCCTGGAAGAGCCCACATCCATGTTCGGGCCCGACGCTTCCTGTGCGACTTTCTTACTGCCTTTGCGCTTCGCCATAATGCGATTGTGGTAATAGTGTACGACTATTGTAGAGAAATCATCTGCATCGAGGTTTTTACTCCATGCCGAACACTAGCGTCTACGCCGTCTATCGATTATGCACAATGTGGTCCGACGGCTACTGCCCGGAGCTAGAGCAAAGCAAATCGCAAGCCATTAGATGTTTTCATCCTTCGAACTTCGGAGACTTCCATCTGCAATAGTCCAAAAGTGATCATACTGATTGACAATGCTCGTGCACAAGAAGTGAAGACTGATGCGGCACAGCTTATGACAGGCCAGGCGCCGAGAGTCTCGGTAGAGTCATGGGATTTCGATCTCAATAACGATACTGTGGCATGGAGCATTTGGCTGTACACTCTCTTGACGACAACGCTACGGATGTCACGCTGAAGACCATACATCGGCATACTTCGGTGTCCAACCCTCCAGATGGCGATGGCATTGACTGCAGTTTCTACGATCATTCAGATGGCGCGTGGAACGACATTGCTGGCAAGAAATTATGTGCGCAATTCTCGACTTGAGTGGGAATGAGCAAATATCGTTGCTGCAGCCGCCTTCATTAGTCGTGGGCCGTCCAACAAGCCCATGCATGAGCAGTAGGTACATGATTTTCTAGTCGAGTCATTCTTGATCTGTTCTCGACCCGACTTCCATCGTCTCACCGTGCTCGCACGAGTTGTTTTGAGCTCGTCCACGGATCAGGTCAAAACTCCTCTCACCATGTCCTCGCAGGAGCACAAGCATCAACAAACGACCATCTCAACAACGTCAATCGAAGCACCACCAGACCGGACTCTTACAGCCAAGCATCTCCGCCGCTATAAAACCGGCTACTTCCTCTCAACACTCAGTCTTGGACCCGCCTTCGCAGGATTCGGCACCTATGTGACATTCCAACTCCAAACCATCGCATATGTTATCGGTCATGAGCTGGGAGCTGCTAGAGGGACTGGTTGCCCGCCCACTGCTCCAGCCTGCCTTGTGACGTTCGGCAGCCAAGAAGTCAACCTCACATCTTACTTACTCTACCTCAATGCTCTCTGCTTTGCCATAAGTGGCGCACTGGTCTTGGTCGTTTCGGGGATCGGAGACAGGTTCAGCTTCCAGCGCGAGCAGTATGTCCTTATGCTGGTCATCTACGGCGCCTTGTGTCTGCCTGTTGCTGGTCTAAAGGCGATGACGGAGAAGACGTTCACCACGTTTGCTGTGCTGTACGTCCTCTCCAATGTCGTCGGCTTTGTCGCATCGGCTTGGTCGAACATCTTCGTACCTTATGCGATGCAGGAGACTCCTTCTGTCAACGCAAGCGAAGGCGGAGAAGCGACGTCTGAAATACCGCCAGGACCACCGAATGCAGGACAGCTGGACGATCACCACCATACACTGGGGAAGCACAGTCGACGCCAAAAAGAGCAAAGCGGCCTTTCCATGAGCGCCTGGGGCTGGAACGGTCTAAATGTCGGCCAGCTGACCATATATGTCATTGTCTTTGGCCTGACCTATGTCAACTCGCTCTACGTCGGCCTGTACACCACGACGACCGCCGGCGCTCTTTGCATAGTTCTGGTATTAGCATCATGGCAATTATTGCCGTCGCCGGTTCGGCAGCATGATAATGCTCCAACGACCATGGCTGGCTGGCTGGGCCTCCCCTTCCAAGCTTTGCGGACGCTGTATCAGGGGCTCCTTGTATATCGCGAGGCATTCAAGTACCTCATCGCTTTCACAATTTACAACGACACCCTTTTTGCCTTTACGACGGTGAGTGGACAGCTCTTCAACCTCAGTATCCGGCCTAGTCTGCGTGAGTTCACGGCTTATACTCTGGGTGGCCCGGTAGTAGGGATGGTGTGTGCGACACTGCTGCTCTTTGGGTACTCGCCTCTCCTCAAATATGGCAAGGTGACACTACGACATTGGACGATCATCAGCTATGCAGTTTTCACTTTCGCTACCGTCTGGTCTTGCATCGGCGTCTCTTCAGCAGCCAAGATCGGGCTGAAGCATCGATGGGAATTCTACTTCATACAAGTGCTTGTCCAGATCTCCTTCAGCGTCTCGAACGTTGCTTTTCGAGTGCTGTTGCCGCAGATGTTTCCAAGGGGTAACGAAGTGCAGTACTTTGGCTTCCAGCAAGCGATTTCGCTGGCTACGGTGTGGATCCCGCAGGTCGTTAATGCTCCGGTTGTTGATGCGACTAACAATCTGCGAGTTCCGGCTATTGTGAGTGCCGTTTTTGGCCTGATAGCAGTGGGCCTCGCCGTCTGGACGGATGAGGAGGCGGGGATGAAACAGGTGAAGGCGAATGGGCAGGCATCGGCGATGGGTTAGAGTTGCGTCGTCCTGGATCCTGTGGTCAGCCAAAGCTCGCCGTCTGTTCTCGATAGGGTTTCGCAAACGTCCTGAGCGTGCGTAAAAGTTCGATGTCAATGCATCGAGCTTGGGTACATCACTATTGTATGTAGCATGTTGTGCAAGACGCATGCATACTATCGCCAGACAGGCGAGCAAAGGTTGTGTGAGTTCGAGGGACGACGCCGGCGTCTGGCCGTGCTCAATGTGACCTTCTCAGATAGGCTCCGGTGCATGGAGTGGTTTCTGTTGATGTATCTCGATCGTAGGCATGACGCCGTCCAAAGGCCGACAGGTCCTCGTCAATATGCATACGGAGTGTATAGGCGAGCTTCGGGGATCCCTCCATCGACGAGGTAATATGTTTATCCTGTGCAGACACAATGATATAGCCCATGTACCTCTATACTTTTCATTGTCGAGTCAGTTCGTCAAATGTGACCAGGATGTTATGCGAAGGAACGAAGCTTCTGGCCGTTTAGGGTAGGGCTAGTGGGCTATCTCGCCGACGCACGGTGTCTCGGACAAGTGCCGAATGTTCCCGGCAGCCACAAGCGCTTTGGCAGCACAAAACCAGGGGCGATGCTGGCGCGGCCATGGCGCGGTCGTGGAGAGGGTTCTTGTGAGGCGTCGCACCCGGATCGCCCATCTTGAGTTTGTGCCCTCTTCTCATGGGGCTTGGGAGCATATCCCTGTCCTACACAGACGACAGCAGTGAATAACCCTCCAGCCCACGTATATGCTTGAGCACGTGAGGCCTGATCTTGCCCGTCAAACAAATCCGAGAAAGATGCAAGACATTCGCCAATAGAGTTCGCAACGGACCCAGAGTGTCTCTGGATCGAGGCTTTGGGCCGGCAGTGTGTGCGATATGGACGTTGAGGCGTCCGGTATACCGACAACCTTCAATACTCAAACCACACAATGGCTGGCGAGCTCGTCAACGACGGGATCACCCGAGCAGCAGACGCAGTCAGCACGGCGCAACAACAATACTCGTCAGGACGAGCAGCAGCAGGCGGAGCGACGAGAACAGCGGGCGCGTAAGAAGAGATCAGCCAACCAGGTGCGATCACGGCCTGCTGACCCTGCCGTCATCTCCTCCATTCTCGACTCCTTCTCCGTCCTGGGTACACCCCCGCGCGTCCACTCCAGCGAATACCAGCCCGACACCGGCAGCCTCAGCAGCAGCAAGCGCTCCCGACCACGATCCTCAGGCAGTACCAGCGTGCCGCCGAGCATTGCGCGCACGCCGGCCTCATCAGGGTTTGGCATGGAGTATGGCGCATCTCCAATGGCCGACTACTTCGCGCCAGCCGATGCCGCTCCACCACCCTCCATCCGTACATCTCGAGCACCGTCAGGCCTGTCGCACTACGCCGCGCCGTCTCCGCGACAATCGTTCACCGATCTCCACGCCAGTGCATTGCGACCCGCCAATGGCCTCAGCTCACGTACTGGCTCGTATACAAGCCTCCGCGAACGAGACCCATCTAGTAGGAACAAGCACAGTGCTGAGAGCTGGATCAAGACTCCAGAGCCACGGAGGAAGAGTCTGAGGCGGATCAACTCACAAGAGTCACTACGCCAGTCTGCTGGTGAGGTGTTCGATGTGCCCATACCCACAGGTGGTGCGAACTTGAGCATCTTAGCGCGGGCCGACCAGGTCTTCACTTTCAAGACTCCGCCGCGCACGAATGAGAAGAGCCGGCTGTACTTGGTAGATACGGGAGGGAGTGAGGAGAATGCCATTGATGACGCACTCATGAGTGAGGCAAGCCCCATGGCATCGAGTGACGGCACACTGTATACAGAGGATGGGTCGCCTCGGAAGCAGCGAACACCACCACTGAAGAATCCGATCACGGACTCGATCCCCATGCGAACATCCTCTTTGCGCATTTCAAGCAACTCTCGTGCTTCGAGCAAGAAACGAGACAAGGTCATGAAGCGCATGACCGCACCAGCGCCGGACACCGAAGAAGAAACTGCATCTAAGAGCCCAATACCAGAATCTAGTTGGGCGGATCTTGGTGAAGACGACGAGACTGTGAAACGGATTCGTCAGCTTCGGGAGAGGCGAAAGACATTCATAGCGGAATCCAGCTCCCCATCGATATTCGAGGATCCGCCACCACTTCCTGTGCTGTTACCTAGCATACCCAAACAAGACTTTGACATTGCGCATGATATTCTGCCATTCCGCGTCGAACAGAGAACAGTGGCAGCGATTAGCAGACCCTCTGCAGCGCGGGCCATCACAGAACCACCAACTAAGGCGCATAAAATCCTCGGCATCACTACTGATCTACCTAGGCCGACTTCGAGTGGCACCGGGACTCAAAGTATGACGCCGGTGGCAAACAGACGTACCCAGGCAGTCATAGATGACTTGCCCACGCAAGTCAGGAACGGCACAAAGGGACCAGAAAGTGTCAGTCTCCCGACACCGCCACTATCGCTCGACTATTCATACGCACAAGCTGTTGATGCTCTGTCCGGAGCGCATCGCGAGATGGACCAGCCCAGGCATAAGCGACACGGGTCCACGCGTGCCACCCCGCAATACACAACCATCTCGTCTCCGATATCAGAAACTGATTCGCAAGACTCGCCACTACGCATTCGCACGAAGAGCGCACGAAAACGGACCGATCCTGCCGCGCGCTGGACACATCATCCCGATCTTCCAACTGATCTATCAGAGAGAAGGAAGAGTAGGCGGAAATCAATGAGCGATGCGCGCCGCTTGCATCATGGCGACGAGAGCATGCCGAACCTGGAGCGACAAGATAGTATTGAGCTAGCGGTACAGGATTTTCTCGAGGCGGCTCGGTTGAGTCGCATGGTCAGACATCCACGCAGTGGACGAATCATCAAGTTCTCCGAAGTTGGCGATCCGAAGGGCGCTGCTGTCTTCATCTGTGTGGGCATGGGTTTGACTAGATATGTGACGGCGTTTTATGATGAGCTGGCCACCACACTGCGACTGCGCCTCATCACGATCGATAGGCCTGGGGTTGGTGGCAGCGAGCCATATCCTTTGAACGACAGGAGTGGGCCGCTCAGCTGGCCCGACGATGTAGTCGCCATCTGTCAACATCTAGGAATCACGAACTTCAGCCTTTTGGCACATTCTGCAGGAGCGATATATGCACTCGCGACAGCTTTGATATTACCACATTTAATTAATGGAAAGGTACATCTTCTGGCACCTTGGATCCCACCAAGTCAACTGGAAGCCACACCTCATGCTACGACCGAAGCACCACCAGCTGGTGCACTACCACGAAGTCAGCGATTACTTCGTGTTCTGCCGACTTCGTTCCTCAAAGCTGCGAACTCCTCCTTCATGACCGCGACTTCTGCGTCCCTAAAACCTGCCAGCAAGCGACAATTGCAGGCCGCGCGAGATCGTGCCCGAGAACAGTCTCTATCACCTACGAGGATGACTGAACGCCCAGGGACTGCCAATCGACCGGACTATCATCGCCGCGAATCTTTGATGCTGATGGATCAGTTCATGCCTACCATAAACCCACTCGAGAACTTCCCCATCCCCATTGCCGAAGAAGCCGGCGCCCTTGATCTGGGTGAAGGACGTCGAGGCTCACTTTTCCTTGGCGCCACCGCCACGCCTACCGATCCCTCCTTTGAGTTCGCTCAAGCTGGTCTCAATGCCGCCGAGCACGCTGAACGCGAAAGGCAGGTAGAATATACCTCCCGTCTCACCCTCCGCACTTGGGAACGAGCTACCCGCGACAGCAACCCGGCCACCGACCTCCTCGTCTGTCTCGAACGCAACCGTGAGATAGGTTTCAAATACACTGACGTCTCGCGCCAAGTCGTCATCACGCACGGCTCGGAAGACAAACGTGTACCCCTAGCCAACGTGAAATGGCTGAGTGGGCAGATGAATGCCCGTGCAGTGTCAGGAGGTTGGAACAGTTTTGGTTCGACCGAGCAAATACCGCAGAGTCGGGAGGGCTGGTATGATGCGCGGTTGAGTCGGGGCGGGTGCGAGTTGAGGGTTTTGGAAGGGGAAGAACATGGACTCATGGCTAGTGCGCCGATTATGAGCGATGTGCTGACCGAGATTGCTGGGTACTGGGCTGGAGAGAAGAAGGGGATGATGATATAGTCAAAGTACGTCCTAGTGAAGTCGTGGTCTGTTGGGTATGTATGTAGGAGCAGCTAGTGTCAATATTCGAAGATACCCATTTGACATATAACGTATGTTTTGTCGCACATTCCATATTCGGATCTTGGTTGCCAAGTACGAGTAAGTAAAGACAAGACCAGGGACGAGCGATTCCCTGCCCTGTGTATTGTTTAAGCTCCACGCCGAGAGTCCTGTGTGATTCTTGTGCACGACCGCAGGTAATCACATCCACTGTCTTCGCTGGTGGGCTTGCGAGCACGCCATAGCAAGCCGAACCCAGCAGAACGTCTGACGAGGCATTCTAGGCTTCGAAAAGCTGTGGTTTGCCTGACGGTTGAATGGGTGCTTGGCTACGGGTCTCGGGAGCGCAGCGTGTGCGCCATGCAAAGCAAGAAGGCTCGAAGGATTCATCAGCGATAGGGTCACTGACGGGCTGCTTGAGCGGCTCTCTGTGACCTTGATTACCACGATAGTAGACAGCTCTGATCCTGTGCAAAGTCCTGCATGCCGCACGCGACGGTGAGCACGCAAACCATGATGATAATCACAATGCTCCAAGATTCGCAAACTAACAACGCCACGCTTGTGTGGGTGTGAGTTTGGACAGAGTGGGGTATCCAGCCGCAAGTCTATTCGATATTCATGCAACACGATACGTCAACGGCGCCCGAGGTGACGGTCAACGGCAGGGCTCAGCACAAGATCCTGGACAGACACTCGCGCTATCCCGCAAGCTCACCACCCGTCTGCCTTCTGACTTGCTTGCGGCGAGGACAACAGTTCCACCCCAACGCACAACCTTTTTCGCTTGCGCTGCAATCCTTCCCGCGCCCTGCGAAAGTCTCTGATCTGCACCGCGCAAGTCGTCTACGTAGTTCACGTGTGCGGGATCACTCTAGAACCGGGGCCAGTACTTCAACCCGCTCTGTCTTTCTCTTCCCTCTCTGTTTTAAACACCAGGAAGGCTGTCCGTACTGCGCACAGCTACAGCACACTTCCCGAACCTCGGACGACTCTCTTATACAGCGGCTACATGCTCCAGAAGGTCACCGGACTCGATCCTTTCTTTCACCACCAGGGCGTATTTATACGCTCTATCCGCTCGATAAAATGGCGTTAGGCTTTAGCAACAGCGAGAAAGTTGACAACGAGTCTCCCTCGCCTATTGCCGACCAGACCAACTTCGGCAAAGAGGGCTACTACGATGGCTTTGCACCTGGTCAGGACAACGCCGAGAAGGGCGGCATGCCAGGCAAGCACCGCAAGATGAGCCGGATAGATAAACCTGTCACCAAGTCCATCTCTGCTCAGGGCTATGGCGATACATTGACTGGCGACGATGAGACCGACCCGAGTATTTCGGTTGGCAAACAGATGGAATTGGAGGCCGGCAACTCGATCAAGTACAGGACTTGCAGTTGGTATAAGGTGTGATATCTCGCCCTCCCATTTCCACGCATGCCTTGCGCCTGATAGCCCAGAGCACCTTCCTTACACTTTCACTCGCCACCGAGAAACGATTATGGCGGAAAATGGGATTCCGTCGCACGAATACCTGCATAATTTCTCCTTGCTTTCTCCCAAGAACCATGCGTGAGAAAGGAGCTGGATCTAATCATTGCAATAGACTGCAGCTCTGCTGTTCTCCGAGTACATCTGTTTGGCTATCATGTCATTCCCGTACTCCTACTCCGTGCTGGGTCTCGTACCAGGCTTGATCTTGACTGTCGTCATCGCAGCCTTGGTTCTCTACACCTCGCTAATCGTTTGGTAAGTAATGCATTTTCGAGCCAACGACAAACTGAGATACTGATTTGTTACAGGGAATTCTGCATGCGCCACCCGGAAGTTAAGGATGTGTGTGACATAGGCCAGATGCTCTTCTGGAATCAACGTTGGGCTTGGTGGGCCACCGCCGTCATGTTCATCCTGAACAACACCTTCATTCAAGGCTTCCACTGCTTGGTCGGCGCCAAGTACCTCAACACCATGACACAGCGAGCAGACGGAAACGTCGCTCTCTGTACCGTCGGCTTCAGCGCCATCATGGCAGTCGTCTCCTTCTTTTGCTCTTTGCCACGGACGTTCAGCACTCTGGCCAAGCTCGCGACCGTCAGCGCCTTCACCACTTTCCTGTCCGTGCTCCTCGCCACCATCTTTGCTGGTATTGAGGCTCATCCCGGTGGTGTACCGGGTTCGAAATGGCCATCTCTTGGGCCACCAACTGTCTACGCTGTTCCTGTCGCTGGCACCACATTCGTTGCAGGCATGAACGCCTTCATGAATATCAGCTATACTTTCATCGGTCAGATCACCATCCCATCCTTCATCGCCGAGATGAAGGAGCCCAAAGACTTCCCAAAGGCACTCTGGGCTGTCACGATTGCCGAGGTCATTCTCTTTTCTCTCGTCGGCTCCATCATCTACGCATACACCGGTACAAACTACAACACCGCGCCAGCCTTTGGCTCTCTCGGCAACGAACTCTACCTCAAGGTCAGCTTTAGCTTCATGATCCCAACCCTCATCTTTTTGGGTGTGCTCTACGCTTCGGTCTCCGCTCGCTTCGTGTTCTTCCGCCTCTACGCCGGTACTCGCCATCTTGGCAACAACACTCTGATCGGCTGGGCAGGCTGGGCCGCTATCCTCGCCTGCACCTGGGTACTCGCCTTCATCATTGCCGAAGTCATCCCCTTCTTCGCCGATCTGTTGTCGCTCATGAGCTCCCTCTTCGACAGCTTCTTCGGCTTCATCTTTTGGGGCGTTGCATACCTACGCATGAGACGTGCAGATTACGGTCCTGGTTTCTGGAAGACACGTGGTATCCGTGGTATGGCTGGCGCTGCCCTCAATGTGACCTGCATTCTCATTGGTCTGCTGTTCTTGACGGCTGGTACTTATGCCTCTGTGGAGAGTATTGTGCAGGGTTATGAGTCTGCTACTTTCGGCGGGCCGTTCTCGTGTGGCTATAACGGCTTGTGAATGCTATGAGATTCGAAATGGACGGCAGAAAGACGAAGAAGAATTGGATGGAGAGGTTTCACTGTACTGGAAAGGTACGCTAGCGCCTGTCGCTATATCTTGTAAAGAAGTTTTCTTTTTGGTACTCCTCGCTTGCTAGTCCCTTGTCCTTCGAGTTGTAACGAGGGTTTGATCGTCGTGCTCTGAATATGTCCATGGTAGTGAAATGCCCCACCTCATCATTGCTTGCCTGTGACGTAGGCACGATTCGTGGTCCTCGTCCTTCCAGGACATTTGTCCACGTCTTTGGCAAGACTCAACATTGCCTTCTGATCAGTATAGACAGTATGGCAGGCCTTGTCGACTTCACCCAGCCAACGCTGTACCGTAAATATCTCCTTCCCACAAGCATCTGTCCAGATACCCCTACTGACCACTACGCACAGTCTCAGCCGCTACAATCCTCTTCAACCCAACTTTCTGGAACTTCGTAGCGAGGACGGAGTATCACAACAAGACTCTGACGAAGCTCGCGGGCGGCAATGCTCTCTACGGCTGTTACGGCCTGGCTGTCACCATCTTCCTCCTAGGCCTCATCCGCGATGCCGTATACGAGCGAGCTCTCCGCCAGCAACCTAGTCATCCTGCAATGCTAGGTTTCGTCCCTCAAGCTCTAGCCGTGGGCTTAGTTGCGAGCGGGAACGTGCTGGTGTTGAGTAGTATGTGGGCTCTTGGTATCACGGGCACGTATCTGGGAGACTACTTTGGTATTCTCATGGATGAGATGGTCACGGGGTTCCCATTCAATGTCACCGATGCACCGATGTATTGGGGTAGTACGCTGAGCTTTCTGGGTACGGCGTTGTGGTATGGCAAACCGGCTGGTGTGCTGTTGACTGTGCTGGTTTACACGGCTTATAGGATCGCACTTACATTCGAGGATCCATTTACGGCGGAGATTTATGCGAAGAGGGAGAGGGAGAGGAGGGATGCGCCCAAGAAGAAGGCGTAGAGCATGTAGAGCATGTAGGGTGGGACATGTTGAGAGTGTGCAGGATGTGATAAGAGATACCCCATAAGCGCTGCTTATTCAACATGAGCGCTGGTGTTGATGGCTTGATATATGTACACAAAAGTGCGTGTGATGTGCTATAGCACACCAGAGTTTAGATGGCTGGATAGCGTCTATCGGAGCGGGCAGAGGAGGAGGTGTGAGGGTCTTGATCTTAGAGGTCGGGACACAATTGGACCTTGAGCCGGAACAGAAGTCTGTAATGCCCGATGCAACAACCAGAAGCAGCACATCAGCTACGAGCTCCTCTTGAGATTCGTGATCGTTATCATGATCTGTTCGTGGTCCATCATGCCCCGGATCTGATACTCTGTAGCGTGTCCCCGTACTGCAACACTGCCAAAGCTATTGCAGCAGCGGATTTGTCACTTAATGCACAGTCCCATGGTCTCGTTCAACTGCTCAATGGTCCGGTCAAAGTCATCGTACGCATGCTTCCGCAGCTCATACGTATCCAGTCGCCTGCTTCTCGTCAGCTTGACAACAATATACGCCATTCACTTTGTACTTCGCACATAGTCGACTGCCTCAGCTTCTCCCTCTCCCACCAGACATGTATGAGGTTCTTCTGCACCTTATGCTCTATACCCTTGCAACTCGCTGCATTCCTGAAGAACTCGATCGTTCGTCCAATACGCTCTGCATCGTATAGGTCAGGTTGCGACTCGCGAAAGGCCAGGCGCATACGGTCGCGGACTACGTAGCGTGCGGGCTTGGAGTACTGGCATGCTCGTAAAGCATGTTTGAAGAGCTGGCGGTAGGAGTGGATGATCTCTGCTGCCGTCGGTGCCATACAATCCAGTCGAGCGTGGGCCGTGATATTGCAGCCTCCATGCCATCCACACGAGATGAAACGTAGCGTGGTTAGTGGGTAGCTGACTCGTTGTAGAGATGCTCTGGGCGTTCCTCGATGGAGAGCCGATCACGTGCGCTTCTGTCTCCACCATCTATTTTACATCTAGAAGACGAGGAGTGCCGGCCTACCAATTCACAATAGTCATAAGATTTGAGACTGAGAAGTGGTGAGGTAGGAAGCAGTTCGAGGGTATTAGACAATACTAAACACAATCTATGAATGCAATCTATCGCTCAGCTTTCTCAACCCCACTGGCATCGATGTATGGATCACCAGTCCTTGTAGCGCTGGAATGGCCACTGGAGCCTGCCCTCTCCCTATCAATCTCCTTCTGCAGCTCCTTCGGATCAGGCACACCCATCTCCTCATCCAACTCCGCCTCATCCTCCTCACTAGAATTATACTGACTCCTCGGTCTCTCCTGCTGTCCCTCCTCGCCCTCCTTCTCATCTTCTACTTTCGGATCTGGCGTAGGTGCGAACTTACTCTTGACTCTTATCCTCGCGCCGTACTTGTAGAAGATGAATGGAATAGGGGCAAGTAAGCAAGCAACGCCTCCGATCAAAGATCCGCCTCCTCCGACCCCAAGAGCGTCGAACATGTAGTTGGTGAACAACGGAGCCGCAGCACCAAATGCAGATCGACAGACCGTGTTCGCGGCCAGTGCAGAAGCTGCATACATTAGATAAGAATCCGTCAAATAGTTTAGATAGGCGACGAAGATGAGCAGAATGCTGGTAGAGAGGAAGACACCGCCGAGCGTCGGCACGATCCAGTGTACGCTGTTGTAGTTTCCAGACCAGGCGAACCAGAACATGGTGATTGGGAACATAATGCCGCCGATCATAGCCACCGGCAGTCGTGCCTCGGGTTGCATCTTCTCGCCTGCCAGGACTCGCTTCCTGTATTTGGACGAGTCGTAAAAGACGTAGAGGCCTCCTAGTACGGCGCCAACTACTGTGCCAATTAGTGGGAGTTCGCCTACGCCTGCATTCCAGCCGCGGTGTTGTTGGAAGACGCTGTAATCGTATCAGCCAAAACTGTTATCATTGTAGTCTTTAGGAGTTGTGCACTTACATTGGATAGATCTCAAACAGCATGTACAAGAGCATGTACACCACTGAAAGATAGATGGCGACCAAGAAGGAGATCGTGTCAAAAAGGATGATCCAGGGTCTGGTAAGCGCAACTTTGAAGATGCCCATAAGTGTACGGTCTGTTGCCTCGACCGGCGCTCGTACACCTTCGTAGCCAGGTACTTTGGCTGCTCGTATGCGTTTCGCCTTGTTGAGGAGCACTTGGCTGGGTAGCGTCTCAGGGATGGTGAATAGAATCAGCATAGTTGCGAAGCCGAGCCATAATAGAACATCGAAGTTCCACCGCCAATTCTCCTTGAGTTCTAGGAAGCCCGAGATGACTGGTCCAAGAGCGGGTCCAATGAATGTCATCATTGAGAACAATGCCATGGCATTACCTCGCTCCACAGGTCCCCAGATATCGGCCAGTACTCCTGGTGCGTTTGACAAAGCTGCGCTGGCGAATGTGCCGGTCAAGAAGCGGCCGACCAGTAGTCCACCGAAGTTTGGCGTGAAGGCGCATAGGAAGTTGAAGGCAAAGTAGGCGATGAATGTGCCGTAGAAGATCCACCGTCGTCCATAGAACTCGCTCAGTGGTGCCCACATCAACGGCCCGAACACGTATCCAAGCAAGAAAAGTGTGATGACCAAAGCCGCTGCTTCTGTGCTAACATGTAGCTCTTCTGCTATACTCGGTATACATCCTGATGGTGATGAGGAGGCGAAAGTAGCGTTCACGACCAGCAGGACGGAGACTATCGTAATGTACCACCGTCTCGCCATCGACCAGTTCTTGGGATTCTCCACATCGTTCTCTCTGAAATCCAGTAGTCCCTGTTCGTTCAGATAGGGAGGTAACTGATCACTGATATTCTTGCTTCGGTACGGTTTGGCGACGGGTCGTGAGAGGATCCGCTCGAGTTTGTCCATGGTGAGGGTTCGGTGATGAAAGGTCACCAGATCCTGTTGGTATAGATCGCTATTCCTCCTCCTTAAGCACTGAAGACCAACAGCAATGGCCCAGGAGGTGGTACTTAAGCTTCAATAATACCAAGAGCAGGAGAGCATGGAGATAAGAAGGCGAAGGAAGAAGATTCAATAACCTATACTTACCAACCCGATTACAGCATCTGCCACTTAAACCCGAAAGCACGAAGACGCGCCTCCCCAAACGCAAACGAGCGTCCGGTTACTCGGCACAGAGAAATATGGATGCTATCACCGGCAGAGTGGACGGAAGATGATGCATCTCCCAGAAATGCTGTGCCTCCCCTAAGTCCGAATGTCCGGTTAAGAAGCTTATGTTCAAGCTCTGTGCGCGTCATAGGGGAGATCGTGGTGCTGGTGGCGCATTGTTCGATTTCTCATCTGCTTGAACATCACGCTGTCCACCCCGAGTTTGAGGTTGTTTGAAAGGTAACCATGGCTCTGCAGCCAATATTGTTCTGCTTCACCGCTGCCACGACGGCAGAGGTTTCGATTCGATGGTCCGGCAGCATTGTTTGTTGAGGAAGAAGTGGTTCACACGTGCCACAGTACCAGAACTAGTGCCGGCCACATCTCGCAGCCGAGCAGATGTGTTTTGCCTCTACACCTCGCGGGATGGGATGCTCTGGTTCTGTGTCATACTGCAATGTGTACAGTAATACCACGAACAGCCTATCTGTCCCTCTGATATTGCATTCTCCGAAGCGTCCCGGGCGACAGTGGCTGGCGCAACAAGATCTCCTATGAACAAGGACTCCATCAAGAAGAAAAATGATCAGAGGAAGCAGGAATGAAGCGACCGCGACACCTGCTGTGTAAAGCATGAGTGAGTAGTATTTGTACTCTCACCCGAATCTTCCACGCGGACAAGCGAACCAAAAATGTCATTGGCTGGAAGGGTACTCTCAAGAGGCTCGTACACAGCGGTCTACAACGATACAGCGAATATGCTAGGCGAGGAACCAACGACATCTGAGCCATCAATTGCCGCACGCTCCTACTGCAGATGTGATATGAAGAGAACTTCGAAGAAATTGCTTCGCGATACCCATTCTGACGGCCGACGGACTTCGCCTCGCCCATCCGGACCACACTGGTCCATCCCAACGCCTCCGTAGCACACTAGCGGACAAAGGCGGTGCAGGCGACGCCTCTAACCACTGGTTATGCGATCCGGCTGCCGTAAGTCCAGCGGAGGATGCTAGTGATGCGATGGAGGTGGACCTGTCGTATCTACAAGGTCAAGATCTGATTGCCACCCTGTTAGGAGACCACCACTGACTTAATGTAATCAGGCCATGACAGAATAAGACCGAAGCAGAAGGGTAAGTGGCGACACAGTACCTTGAACGTCGTAGCCATACTGATACGATGTACAGCGCAAACTCGCGCTGAGCGAGCCTTGGCCGTTCCTCGTGCGTTGGGCGAGAAGTGCACAATCCAACAGAAGTTGGAAGCGACCTCGGGGTCGCATTATGTTAGGAAGAAGAAGGAGAGGAAGGAGAAGGGGAAGAAGAAGACAGTGCCGAGGAAGCGTAAGGCAGCAGAAGAAGAGGAAGAGGAAGAGGAAGAGGAAGAGGATGAAGATGAAGATGAGGATGAGATGGATGTTGATGAGGAGAATTGTGAGATGATGGAAGAGGAGAAGGAGAACGTGCCTCCGGTCGAGCAGCGATCGAAACGTGCTCGGACCAGGGTATCGTATAAAGAGGAGGAATAGGCGTGCCACCCTTGAGAACGGGTTGGCCTCCACATCGGATGGAGCGGTGATTCGCGTACACCAGCGCCAAGTCCTATACTGCAGGTACGGTAGTTTCGAGACCCGGTCGCTCGAATCTCCTAGGGCGGGAGACGGTGTACGAACGTGTACCCACTACTTATGCCAACCACTAAGCCTGTGTCATCCAGGCGGAGAAACCCCCATCGTCGTGCTGGCCTTGGCTGGACGGCGGAGGGGGTTGATGATCCCGTGGGGACTCTCCACCACCATATCAGAGTCCGCAGGACGTCCAAGACGGCCACAACAGTATTCGGAATTGCACACCGGCAGCGAGCATACCAGCTATGTTCCAGACGCCTGGGCGTGCACGACAGTCCGAAGTGCTCGACACGAAACCAATAAGGGACTGCCTACCACTACGATGCGAAGCAGTTGTTTCACTCATGGGTATCGACTCGCTCAACGAGGCCAGCAAGTCCATCGGATACCGCGCATGTCTCAACATCCGTACTCCCGATCCGGATGTCGTGGTCGCAGTAGCCAGCGGGTAAGCCATAAGGAGAACACAGTCGTTACTCCATAGTTTACATCCGGAGGACGTATGCATATAAGGGAGCAAGATTGTGACTGCTTCGTCAATACAATGTTCAAGTCAAGGTCCGATGAATAGCTGTGGACTAGAGCATGAGACAGGCGTGATGCAGGCGATGGCACGTGGTTCCTAGGAGCTGTTACCCTCGATCATGAAATCTATGGAGAGGAGGCAGTGGTAATCAACAAAAGCTTGGAGGGTTTTCGCACGGTCGATCATGATTGCCACCCGGATCATTCGCGGGCGTCAATCTCGGCATTACTCAACTTCACTCTGGCGACCTCTCCTCCAACCTCGCCGAGCAACACAGCCATCTGAGGTGGACGAGAATGCTTGAACGACATGCCAATCAGTGGCGCCACGGCCGCAAATATGAGTGATGCTGTGACAGTGGAGGTTGACACGCAGTGCTGCGGTAGATGTGCTAAAACCTTGCCTGCCACCGATTTCGGTGCGACGCAGACAACTTGCAATGCCTGTCGAGCTCAGATATCAGCATATGGCAAAGCAAAGCGCGCAGCAGCTCGCGCGGAAAGGGAGCACAAGCGAAATCAAAATCACCTGCGCGATCCGCCGCCTATTTATCCCGGCAGCGAAGTGCGAGTTATTCCGCAAGTTGTATCCCGCGACTTCGTGGACATTACAAGCGCACGGGATCCGGATACGAGGCGCGAGAGTGTACACGACGCGGCGGTGCTTAAGCACGAGAGTCATCACGACGCCATAACGGACATGGGCAAAAGTAGGAAAGCACATGGGATCGGTGCTGATCAGGCGGCGGGCATAGGCAACGGCACAAACTGGGGCAGGCTCTGCCTAGTAACCGCTGATGTCACGGGCGTGCAGCAGGAGACTGTATAAGCCGTAGGACAGGCATCCACTCATTCGACCGATTGACAAAGCCGATGAAGGTTGCGGTATGTTGTATGCCAAAGCCGCGTTTGCTGTCCCCGCCGAAACTGATTCACGCGATTCAGGCACCGTCAAGCTGGAAGACAATGGACATGAAATGTCTTTCACGTGCATGCTCGCACCAGAGCATCAGATTGCTTTCCCAACGAACATCATTGTTGCATGACAAGCACATCTGAGCAAAGCCATGATCTGGCAAATGATGAATGTGGTAAGGCAGGTATGCTTTGGGTGCTCTAGTGGAGGATGCATGCAACAGTCGGTACTGTGCAGGGTTCAGTGAGTGTTTGGCTTGCTATAGAGCTCGTGAATGCACATGTCAATGGAACGTGAACCAATTCATGTGCTGAATGTGCGGTTCTTGCAAACACTTCTTGGTAACCTGTGAGTGCGCAGCAAACATCTCTCGATATTTAAGAACAAGACAGGTCCTGTCAAAACATCTTCCGAACACACAACATCCTCATCCCTTCTCTGCCATACACATATCCACAGCTTGCATTGCCAACAAAACAACAACAGCAACCTTTGCACAGCGGTCCCGACACCTTCGCGATGCAGAATTTGTCCCGGAAAGTGGTCATCCCCGACGACCTTATGGGTCGAAAGGTTTTTCTCCACACGGCTTCAAGCTACAAGCGCAGTTCAACACAGACAGACTACGTTCGGGTCAATGACACAGGCCGCATTACTACTACCCCTAATGTTCCTTTTCACATAGGCGTACTCATCAAAGGCCAGCAGCATCACAAGATTGTCGATCTAAGATGCGTGGACTTTGGTGCGCCGCCTCACCCAATCGGCCGCTTTGCCTTCATTCGAGAGAACTGCACCGCCACAGATGGTAGCAGGGTGGCCATGAACACAATCGGCAAGGTGGTTTCGCAAGGTCAGAACGAGACTGTCATCAAGATCCGCGACAAGGACGGGAAGACGATCGAAGTGGCGTGTAAATGGCTTCAGTTTGGGGCGCCCGCCGATGCTGTTGGCCGCACATTCAGATGCGTCCAGCGGTATAACGACAATGGATTCAGGCTGGAGGAGGCTTCATATGGAGTTGTGGAGAGTATTGATGCTCGTGGATGGCGGGTGAAGGTTCGTGTGATGGGCCACAATGGTGGTACCGGTCACGTCACGGCAGATCGTCTTGAGTTTGGCGGGCAGTATGGCTCGTGGACACTGAACACCACAGCGGTAGTGGCTGGAGACTCGCACGAGGTGGAAAATTCAGCAGCACCTTTGGCAAAATTGAGGGGTGGGACTACCGAAGACAACTACTCACACTACTCGAAACAATGTACGAAGACCGTGCTCTCGTCGACGAGAAGAATCCGAGGTATTGGAAGCTACTGGACAACGACCCGAAGCGCCAATCTCTAGCTATCATGATTTACAAAGGCACGCCAGACAAGCTTGTCAAATTATATGACAATGCCGTCAAGACGAAGAAGAAGATCACGATGCTTGACATTCGCAATGCTTGCCCCAAGGTGCAGAAGTCAGACAAGCTCGCTGCAGTCTACCTACAGCTGTGTCATGGCTTCACAGAAGGGCCTCGTCAGGGCCATAAGCCGTATCACTACGGCGGACAGTCCATTGACGTGGCCCACAGAACAATTTCTCACTTGAGTGACCCAAAAACCAAGAAGAAGCCCAGCTACTATTCAACCCATTACGATGTCTTTCGTGCAGCAGATGAAGTCGACACCGTCATGCTCTACAAAGATGGTAGAGGTTCTAGCACAACGATGTTTCCAGACGACCGTCTGAAGCTGGACCTGATCGAACAAGTCAAGATCTTGTTGCTCAAGATGACAAAGGCGTCACAGTTGACCAAGACCGTGGACATTACTGGGTTGCAGTCAGAAGTTCAACAAGAGGCTGTCAAAGCTTCGAGCTTCTCACACAACTCGAGAGTTCTGAACGCGATTGCGGAGAGGTCGTTTGAGAAGTCAGGGTGGGTTGGGCTTGGCCAAAATCCATTCGATTGTCAAGATGGGCTCAACACACTTCAGCCTATTGGTAGAGAGTCAGCTCTCCCCGACTACGAAAGTGTTCTCTGGTCTAGGACTAAGCTGAATGATCGTTGCGTCTTTCGCCGAGCTCCGATCACAATTGCAAAGAACGGGAACCAAAAAATGTTGTTCTCTTTCGCCAAAGCCAGAGGAGAGGTGTCAGAAACGGTAACATTGACGGTAAACGATGACATCCAAGAACCATCGCTGGGAGAGAAGGTCTGGGTGCAGATCGAGATCATGGACAAGGGTCTGCATGCTTGCCCATACGCTGCACTTCCTCTTGCTGGGGGCTGGTCGAACTGGGAGGAAGCACTTGGTGTCGGTATCACCATATTCTGGCAGACAAAAGGTCAGTGGTTCAGCCGGAACGTTCGCAGCCAAGGCTATGCCATCGACAACACGATTCAGGGTGGCGTCGGGCTGCTTTCGAGCGTCATCGCACTCAAGCACCATCTTCAGCGGCAGGAAATGCAGTCTCCTCCTCCGCCTTTCGCCGCGCCGCGCCTCGCCTCGGTTGTCGATATGAAGTTTGATTTCTTCCATCAAACTGTCACGACTCGGAGAGTGATGGAAGTGACAAAGGTACCGAGCCCAGTGCTTAATCACCAATCAGGGAGGGGTAATAATGAACGATGCTAAGCTCACCAACATCGGGACAGCTTTCAGCAAGAGTAAGCCGATTCTGGAGAGACTGGCTGCCGAAGTCAAACAGGCCAGCAATAACAAGAGTCTGAACCTCAGTGCTAGGCAGCGTGTCAAGTGTGATCGCTGTGCAACATCAGAAGATGTAAGTCACATACTCTGGTTATGTTTCCATGCTAATATTCTCATAGTACGTCAAAGGAAAGGTCAAACAGTGCTATGCCGTAACAGGGTCCGACAAGTGTCAACGTTGCTGGGTATGTGGGTTGGAGTGCTCCTTCACGCGCCAAGACACTCTGATGGGTCCACGTTATCCTGGCCACATTGGAGGCCCGAACTTCCAAAAGATCTACAGCGCACTCTTCTATAACAGAAGTACGGCCACGGAGCGTATGAAGCAAGTACATGAAATCAGCGACCCAGGCTTCGTTGAGATTGACCTGAAGACTGAGCAGATGAAGGCGGATGTAGCGGTAGAGATGTTGGATAGGCAATAAGTCTGGAGGTTGGAGGTAAGCTGGAGGAGGGGGGGAAGAGACAGAGAGAGGTGTCGTACTATCCATCCGTCTTTCACGTATGTTCGTTGCGATGGTATTGACCTGAAAGCATGATTCGGCGTAGGTCGGGGTTTTGAGGATCTGATGTACAAAAGCCTGTGTGAGCGGCAGAAGAAGCAGCTTTGGTTGGTGTGATGTGTGATCATTGAAACGTTGATTGGTGTAGTTGTATGAATTATCTGAGTCAGATGTGGAGCTCATAATCCTCTGACACATCTTGGCAAGTGCAAGCGTGCTCACATGAACGAACGTGCACACGCCCTGTACATGTCGCGCCCTACGGACGGGTAGGAATTATGGATACCACAACCGCTTAGATAATGTTTCTCACACCCGACATCACCCAACCCATGGGGCCCTTCTTCTTTTCTCCATCATGCATCTCCGTGAGACTAGCACGCCTCTGGTCTGGAGTGACATCCACACCACTAATCATGGACTGCTCTTGCCTCATCCCGCTGTAGATGTCGATGTCCTTGATCTTGATGTATAGTGGGCGATGAGCAGGAACAGCGAACCAGCTGTAGATCTTCCAGCCGAGGTACAGGAAGACGAGAAGAGGTCCAGCCAGGTATGCGAGGAAAAAGCCCTCAGCCGAGAGATTTGGTCCGCCAACTGGGTAGAGGGCAACGTAGAATTGGGCAACCAAGGCGAGGAAGCAAATCAGCACACAGATCCAGGAGCCGTAGACACCGGCGATCGCTTTGAACGGTAGCTCGTCCACAGAGTGACCATTATACGCCCTACACAGCCGTTAATGGTTGATTTGATTATTACACTTCGAGGTTCTAAACTTACCACGCCATGCGGAAACGAATGTGGGCAACGCCGATGCTACCAAAGACGAACAGTACGGTGATACCGGACAAGGACAGGAGCCAGTTGAAGATAGTGCCGCCATTCTTGGCCAGGTTTATGTAGGCCAACAGGCCGAAGAGGAGCTGGAGACCTACAACGACCAAGGGGCGACCTTTCCTGTCGACGTAGGCGGCAATCTTTGGACCCATACCTGCAACAAATAATATTAGCACCAATGACCTCGTGAAAGGAGGCATCACACGTACCGTTGGCAGCCAAAGCTTGGAGTGTGCGCGTGGATCCGAAAGTGCACGAGTTGGCTACACTCATGACAGAGATGAGGATGACAGCATTGAAGATCGATGGGAGTACTGGGATGCTGGCAGCCTTGATCGCAAGCACGAAAGGTGAACGATGCGAGGATGATCCCGTACTGTCGTAAAGAGGGCTGTTGGCGGGAAGAACCAGACCGACGAGAGCGAGATTGACGATGTAGAAGATGGCGATACGCCAGACCACTTGGTTGGAGGCTCTCGGAATCTCCTTCTTCGGGTTGGCGGTCTCGGCAGCGGCCAGACCAGTAAGCTCGGTGCCAGTGTAGGCGAAAGCAGCGGTCACGAACACGCTGCAGAAGCCGTGAAAGCCGTTCAGGAAGCCGGCATTGCTGTAAGGTTCCTTGCTGCAGATCGAGGTCAGTCCCGTCACATGGCTGTTTCTGAGATCAGACTTACAAATACGTATTTCCGATATAGCCTCTAGGATCGGTCGGAACACCACCGCAATTGATTATAATGCCGAGGATCATGAAGCCGATACAAGCGATGACCTTCATCGCGCTCAAGACGAATTCGACCTACAATCTGTCAGGTTTGACCGGCGGAACGCAGGCTCGGGCAAACTCACCTCGCCGTATCCTTTGACGCCGAAGAACTGGATCACGACCAAGGCGACAAGCAGAGGCGTAATCCATGCGGCATTGTTGATGCCGTTTGCTCCCGGCCAGTAGTTAATGATGTTGCAGGCGGCGGAGATCTCGAAAGGCAGGACTGTCAACCAACTGATGGCGTATTCTACACCACAGGCGAAACCCCACGAAGGATCGACGAAGCGGCAGATGTACATGGTGAAAGCGCCGTTAACTGGGTACATCACAGCCAACTCGGCGAGAGCTTGCATCATGAAGTAGATCATAATACCGACGAGGGTGAAGCCGATGATGACGGATGCTGGTCCTCCAGTCGTGAAGGCTGAGCCGGAGCCCACGAACAGACCTGCACCAATGGCGCCGCCACTGCGCATGTCTCGTCAGCACTCCAAGCCATGCAATTGAGATGTTCTGGGAAGAACTTACATGGCAATCATCTGCATGTGGCGACCCTTCAACGACCGTTTCAGCTCATTCTGGTCCGCTTGCACCATGGCGATATCTTCGCGGTCGAGGCTGAGCTGTCGGCCCTTCGCGTGGGCTGCAAGCGATGTGTCAACCTCGTACCCGGGCAGCCCACTGTGGCCCTTCTCCCCCATGTCGCCGTTCATCTTTGCTGGCGGTCGCAAGGACGGATTACGTTTGAGCGCGAAGGTATTGGCGTGGAATACCCGTACACGTGGTGCTGCAGTGGTGAGCAAGCGCAGCTTCAAGGCGAGGGAGTGCGCAACTTAAAGTAATAAGCACGAGCTCAAAGGATCCGGGCTTATCGTTCGACGAGGTAACCCTCCAACTTCACTAGCCGTCACTCGCTAATGCAGCTTGGCGCACTAACCGTGTTATGCACCTTCCTCCGACGTTCTTATCTTTCTAACAGCCAATCGCTTTTTACGCTCTGCTATCTTTTGCGGCTAGTGAACGAGTCGGCCCTAAATTGATTCGAGGCAGCAAAGAGTACGACCACGCGGATTCCAAAGCATTTCTTACGCGACGAGTTGCACACAAACTTCATGTTTGTTACGTAAGTCTGCTCACGCGCACACTGCCTTTGGGTTGGCTCTCCACACGGCTCCCATACGATGCGGGGACGCCGAGCATCCTCCGGCGGGAGGAAGGCTAGCCGCGATAACGAACTGCCCGATCGAGACCTGACGCGATGTGGAGATTCGTTCTAGGCTCTCCATTCATCGTTCTCGTTCGCCATCGGCTGCTGTACTGTGGCGATCGAAAGTCTACTTGCTTGACTCGTCTGATAGAGTGAATAACAACTCTTCGCTTGCGGAAGGCACGACACATGGCGCCGCATCAACCCGGCTCCCTGCATGCAGAAGATAGGCCGATGCAAACCGATGCAGCCTTGCGTTAGATAATTAAGATTGTTATAGGGGTGAGTAGACGGACGTTATCTTCACCAACGTTGATACGAGTGGGTCTGCACCGCGCTTCGAGGCCGCTACCGTCCATTGGACAAGGTATATATAGGCGAGGTCCCGAACCACGCCGCTGGGAGGTTACATCCAGGCTACCGAAGGATGTGAGGCTGCTTGGAGAAGTCTCGACTCTGCGTAGGGCTAAGTTAATTTCTTCATACAACTCTTGCTGCGACGTTATTTAACCTACTTCTCGTCTAGTCTCACTCATCCAAAAGGTGAACGGCAAGCGATACGTAAGCTGGATGTTCACCTCTCCTGGACTAGACTCCGTCGTTGAGCATGTCAAGTCCGATGATAAGGCTATTTTGCTCTGGCCGTCTTGCGGGCCGAGAACAGATGTTGGCCAATTGATCTCTGCGCGAAGAGACGAAGGCGATCAGCGTACGTGGTCCGCCACATTGCGACTCCATACGAGCCAAATGACTGCGCAGACTGAAACTTGGTACCTGCGGCGAACAGGTGCGGCAATGTAATAGGCTGCATCACTGTCACGGGAGTCGAGGTCCCCAATGACAATGCCGAACAGAGGTCAAACCAAGGCGATCGAAGCATGAAAGATTGAGTTCAAGGCTTGTATGCTCATCTTGACTTCACGCGAAGTCGAAACTTGAGCCTTGCCACTCTTGGTATCACAACTCTTGCCTCTACTACATTTTGGCACTCGAACTTGGCAGCGAGCAGGAGACAGGTCATCTCGGATGTCCAGCCCTGAAAGGGAGACCATCTTGATGATGCATTTGCCTCTCACATTTACTGCTAAGTGGCAATGTCGAATCCACATCGTTTAGGGAATGCCTGCGAACGCTCCGCAACCTTGATTCGTGCTCTCCACACAACATCTCATTACTCAATGAGCGGGTCCACAAGCTTCCCACGTCACCGTCAACGAAAGTGCTTGTCCATTGCGATCAGACGCTCTCGTGCAGCTGGCCTGGCTAGAATCCAATGATCTAGGACGGACCACAGCAGATATAGCTCGACGGTTGATACTTGCGTGTACTGAATGGTGATGTGAAGATGGCGAGTCGGGAACAAGCACTATAGATGATCATTCGTACGATAGCCGAATCGAGAGCGCTACAAGAAGGCAGCCCTCGAGGGACAAGAGCTGACAGCTATGCAATAGCATGTTGTAGACATGGAGAAGGAGTCATGCTATGATTACTGCGAGCAAAGTCATGATATGCTAACCACATGTATATATGAGTCGACCTGATTCACGATTGGTGGAGAGAATTACGACATGGATGAAGTCAGTATTAGCATCTCGATGCAGCAAGGAACGACCATTGCCTTTTGCAGAGCTGGGATTAGTACATCTGGCAAGCTCACTTCACGATGATGCCCCTTTCTGACATCGGCACCTGACCATGACCATCACGCCTACAAACAGAAATGCCATAAAGCTTGCCTTACCAACGGCACAATGCTTGTAACAGCCATAGCAAAATCCACTGTCGTATATGATACCCCTTTTCCGGCAGAACTCAATCATTACCGTCTGACGATTCATTATTACTCCGTTCACACACAATGGTCGAACACATCAACAAAGGCTACAAACAGGAGCAGAAGCAACACGATTATGCGATGGAAGAAGACCACCAAGCAACAACTCTGTTCAAGCTGCCGAAAGAACTACTGAACAGTGTCTACACTTGGGCCCTGGCCTACGGCTCGCCCGTCATGGTCTCCACCGACGGAAGAGTGCTCATTCATCCCAGTCCTCCACAATGCCTCAAGCGACACGACGTCTCCGCGAAGCAGGACTACCACTGAACTACGGCCAGAACACCTTCTGCTTGACCGATAGCATTCTTCGGTCCGGTAAAAAAGCAGACTGGATTGACCTTGCTGGGCCCGACTTGAAACATATCCAGAGGATCAAGGTACACCACAGAAGACGTGATTTTGGCTTTGACGGCGAACAGCCTTCCCCGTCCTACCATGAGACTGCCAAGTTCACCATTATGCGCACAAGCGATGGGCATCTCAACCTGCAGGATCTCAGCATCATTCCGGATAAGATCTGCAGCTGTGCAATTGAAGATCTTGCGGTGAAGCACAGGCAGAAAATTGGCGAGACTGCGTTGTGCAATCCTGTCGTGGCGATGATGGCCGAGTACGCTCATCTGGTCAAACCTGGCCGTGTGCGAACGGCAACGGTCCAATGCGCGCAGTGTAAGAAGTTGAAGAATATCCAGCGGTCGTGCAGTTAAGTGGGTGAACGATTCTTTGGTTTTGGCCATTCTTGGTTGAGCGTCAAGTTGTGTTGGTCGTTTCACCAGTGAGCTCGTGAGTTGGTGGACATCGCTTGCAAGCTCATCTCGCTGAGGCTGTCATACTGGGCTTTGGCGGTCATAAAGGCCCGCTTTAGCGTACGAGGCTTTTGCTCTGAACCACAACGACACTCATCCATCGACCTTTAATTTCTGCATGCCTTCTAGCGCGTCATCTCCATCTTCCTCTTCGTCCTCGTCCATGACCTTACCAGCCAGACCTCGTTCCCAGAGTTGCTTTCCACTCAATTTCTTCTCCTCCGCCTTCCCACGCTTCTTCTTCTCCTCGGCTTCAGCCTCTGCTTGCTTTCTAGCAGCCTCGTCCGCCATTTCCTGCTTGAATTTGTCACGCCACGCTAGGAACGTCTCACGAGTGACCTTCTCGCCCTCGAACTTCCTATTCTCCTCCGCCTCTGCCTTGGCGGATTCAATGTCCAAGAGAGCTTGGATTGCTTGCTGCCTCTCGCTCACAAGCAATTCTGCAGAGTCCTTCAATGTGCTGACCAGGGTGAACACCATCGCCATCCCCATGCTCTCCTCGATTGTAGGCCCGAGTGACCCCAGTAAACGTGCCTTGTCTACTTGCACATCAAGGTGGGCATACTTTGGCGCATTTGGAGGTGCTGTAATGTCCAGTGCTGGTGCCTCGTCTGGGTATGCATCCGGGTACCGTACACTTAGTATGATCACCGGATCTTCGTCATCCTCTTCGCCCTTCTTCACATCCAAGGTAATCGATACCCTGTATTCTGTCTCCGAAATGTCCTGTATTTCGTCCGGAAAGATGGAGTCGAGCACCTCTCGCTCCTCCCTCTGCTCATCTCGACCCATCTTCGCAGCGCAGACTACCAGCAAGGACTGCTAGTACACCTTGTCCGAAAGAAGTGCATTTCTTAAATCAGCCAGGAAAGCCAACATTTGTTTGATCAATGCCTCGCGAAATGCCACATTGCTTAGTCAGAAGTGGTATCGATATTGGTGAATGAGAGCCGAAAGTTCTGCGAAATATTTCAAGAAATTGCTGGACAGTAAGAGACTTCTATCAACATGCAGGCATAGTCCGACTCCACATACCTACAGGACATGGCGAAGACGAAGACAACCAAGCAAGCAAAACAATCGCTCAAGTCGTCGAAAGCCATGGCCAATGGACAGGCTCGACCAAAGGAGACGCCAGAGCAACTATACGCCACTGCACTTGATCTTCTCGAACAGTCATCACCGGACGAGGCGTTGAAGAAAGCAGAGCAGCTATGGAAGCAAGTGCAGAACAGCTCCGTGGCAGAAGCCCTACCAGCGCTGAACCTTCTCGGCGAGATCAATGTCGAGCTCGGTGCCATCGATGAAGCACGCATTTATTTCGAGGAAGCGGTCAAACTTGACCCGGATGGCAAAGTGCCAGAGAGCATGGGTGGTGGCGCTGAGAAGTTTCTATGGCTCGCTCAGCTGTGCGAGGAAGGCGGTCAAGTGAGTGTGCAGTGGTTCGAGATGGGTGTCACCGCCTTACAGCACGAGATTGCCGCTGTGGAAGGTGGCCAGATGAATGGCTTAGACGAGGAAGCACTTCTGATGTTACGTGTGGAGAAGAAGAGGAAGCTAGCTAATGCGCTGTGTGGTATGGTGGAGGTCTACATGACTGACTTGTCCTGGGAGGACGATGCAGAAGCACGATGCGAGAATTTAGTCATGGAGGCCATGACCGTGGAGGACGAAACCAGTCCGGAAGTGCTGCAGACTTTGGCTTCTGTCAGATTGTCACAAGATCGCAAAGACGACGCACAAGCAGCGTTGTCACGCTCGCTCCAGATCTGGAGAGATCTCGACCCTGAGGACCCGGCCGTACCAGACTTCCCAACACGCATATCGTTGGCCAGACTGCTCATGGAAGCTGAAATGGAGACGGATGCGATGCACGTCTTGCAGCGATTAGTGCAGGACGACGACCAGAGCGTTGAAGCATGGTATCTTGGCGGGTGGTGCCAATATCTAGTGGCGGAGAAGATGAGATCAGCTGCCAACAGCCACTCAATGACAGATGCATCGAAATTTGATACTGCCGAAGTTGCGCTCAGGGGAAGCCGTAACTGGTTGAATATGGCGCTGAAGCTGTACAATCAGCTCGACTATGAAGATGATCGCCTTCTCGAGCATGCCGACGAGATCGTGGCTGCTCTTGACAAGCTACTTGGTCCGGAAGAGAAAGTAGCCGAAGGTGGAGCTGATGATGAGTGGGAAGAATGGGACGGAATCGAGGATGGTGCTGATGAGGAAGCCGTGGATGAGGATGACGAGATGAAAGACTTGTGAGCTACTATCTCATGGCGATTTGCTTTCCTCCAATTGGTGATTTTGTCAAGAGGCTCTACTGCGGTCATACTTCGAGGGTGGTCCGTTTGATACAAATGTGAAAGGTCGCCAGAAAGAGCACTCATGCCGATGTGCCACTCGAAGGGCTCTTATATCTTCAGGCAGCTCTCGCTTGTTTGCCGCCGCGCGGTAGATTGAGTTTCGGAAGTTACGCTATCTGGACTTTGAACCAGTGTTCGAGTTGTGGAGCTTGTGGAGAAGGTTCTGCATGACAGCTGGGCTGCTCACTATCGTTCTTTAGAGTAATCACTGCCCAGTTCTGATTCACGGTGGTTTGTGCAAACTTTGTGGACGAGGCAGCTGGCAGACCTTGGTGGAGAATAAGATTCGGGGGCTACCGTACTATGACTGCGAGGGATGACGACTCGAGTACGGCGTCAGGTGTGGCGCGTGTCAGGCTGGGCGATCATGAACACGCAGATGGTGAGGTGCCGTGCACAATGCCCACCACCCTTACTCAGAGCCTCGAAGCATCTACCATAAGTAGCCAATCAAATTTCACCGATTCGAGATATTTCTACCAGGTAACTGCAGCCGGACTGGTGGCAGCCATTTCCGTTGCCCACGAAACACGCCCGATCGATTGGACCCAGCGCTCATCTTCGAGACAGGGTGTGGTGGCACAGGGCTGAGCGCAAAAGTACTAGCGTACATTCCAGTGGGTGTGCGAACCGGTAGCAGCCGCAAGAATTCCCCGCTCGCAGGTCTCTGGTATGGCCGTTGACCCCTTAGCTTTGGAATACGGCGGTACAGTGTCGCCGAAAGCAACCATTGAGCCTCATGCTTGCATGTGCTTGTCTGAAAAGGCTTGCGGTGCAGCTTGGTGTGAGCTGCAGGTCCTGCCGTGCACTAAGACCACAGGGCTCCGGAGTATGTTGGGCTGCTCTGCAGACATTGCTCGAGCGACTAGTTTATGCCGAGAGCCTGAAACATTTTCGCCCCTCGATTCGTTATGGACACCAGCAAATCATGATACTGCAACTGCACTGCAATGAATGATCATCGTGCAAAGGGACGCTGGGGGGCCGTTTCGCGTGACCAGTAATACCGGTCCTCTGGATCAGAAGACGCAGGTGCCCGTCGGCTGCTCGCTGCGATCACGCTACGTTCGCAGACGCCGCGCAGGAACTGTGCGATGTTCTTGCGCGACCGTCTCGTGAGCCGCATATGCCAGTCGTGTGCAGAAGCGGAGCGTATCGAACTGAGACAGAGACAGGAATCGAGATAGGGCCGAATGTGTACTCAGGAATGTTCAGGCATGTGTGTAAGCTCAAATCGTACTCACACCAGCTTGACGAGACGTTGTCAACTTACACCTGCTTATCAAGCTTCCTTAGTCCCTCAGATGACTACAGGGTAAGGAAGCGTGCCGCTATCACAGCCGCGAGGAAGTGGATCTTGTCGCAATAGCATACCCGCCTAGCAACCCGCATGAGCAGAACCTGTGAACGTGCCAGACGACGTACCCAGTTTCGTGCCCGGAAGCGGCCTGTGGCGCGGATCGCCGTGCTTCCTCCAAGCTCTGGCGGGTGGAAACGCCATAACCTTTTCGGGAAGGCATAGTATACTTCTGTCACGGCACCAACGTCTATCACGATGAAGCTGCCGAGACTGGCGAAGGCACCGTCGTCGTATACCTCAAGCAGATATGAGTCCTGTATACTGTTGACGTCGGGCAGAGCAGAAATCGGTCTCTTTCCGAAAGCGGCAAAATTGAGACTCACCAGCGGGCCTGGGCTCGAGACAAGACGGATGCGGTGAAGGCCACACAAATCGATTGACCGTCTTCAGTCGAATCTTGACAGTGCCTATTGCGCTTGCAGCCGCGTAGCATAGCTAACCTTTCCAACTGCAGTCAGTCAGCAAAGTTCATACAAGACTACTCAAGCCTGCTCGCACAAAGGAAGAACCTTGTGTGACTTCCTCCTGAACGTCCTTCTTGTCTTTCTGCTGAGCCCCTTGGCCCCAACACACACTTTTCTTTACACTCGTGTACCAAAGCGAAACAAAGACCTCGTTCGCCAGACAACGCCGTTGCAAAAACCAGCAGAGACGAGCCATTGGGCTTACACGCATAGCCGATTGTTTGTGAGAGCCCCCAAAGAAGTTGGCAGGCGGGCGTCCGACAAAGTAAACGCCTACCGCGGATAGTCGCACAAGGTACGCATTATACTCATCCCTTCATGGCGGTATACAATCCATGTCGACCATGCATAGCAGCATGCAATGCTCGTACCGGGCATTCATGCACATGTGCGTGCTGCGAACAAACGGCAGGATGTAAGCCGGCGAGGCAATCCGATAGCAATGGCGATCATGCTTACAAGACATGCAGGCTGGCAGCAAGTAAAAGAATACACCTTCGTAGAGCCAGCGGCTTTCTGTTCGCTCAGTCACAGAAGCTTGCAGCCTTTCGTCATATGCGGAGTCCGGGACAAGATCAACGACAACAATGACTTCTACAACTGTTATCCAGCATGGTCCGTCTCCAGAGGATGACTTCGGCCTTGAAGCGATCGCTCAGCATAACGCTGCGGTGGTGTCGACTGAGCAGTTCCCTCCTTATCAGGACGACGGCAAAGGATTGGGTATCCATGTCAGTCAGCAGCAAGCACGATCTGAACCAGAACATTTACTGACGGCCTCACAGCACGACGGCTACACTCCATACGGCGACTCACCAGCATACTACCACAACCCACCTACACCACGCAGCAACACAGCCAGCGAGGGCGTACGAACACGTTCGGGTCGCTCCACACGTGGGCGCACCGACTCACCCTTCGACAATGGCCGCATCAGTAAGTCACCAGCCGCCCGCACCAAGAAGGACAAGAAGTCCAAAGTCGACAAGTCCAAGATGCCCAAGATCACAGCTCCTCTTTCAGTCCTGACCAAAGACCTCTCCGTGCCTCTGAAGGACATGGACGAGTGGGTGCATCGTTCGGCAGAGACACGTCGCGCTGAGGTCGAGAGGCGCAATGGCTATGTCACTCGGCCGATGAACAGCTTCATGCTATATCGATCTTGCTATGCTGAGCGTACCAAAGCCTGGTGTACGCAGAACAATCATCAAGTCGTCTCCAGTGTGAGTGGTGAGAGCTGGCCAATGGAGCCGACTGAAGTGCGACAGCAATTCGAGGAGTGGGCGCGCATCGAGCGTGAGAATCATGCCAAAGCTCACCCGGAGTATAAGTTCTCTCCGTCGAAGTCCAACAAGCGGCGAAAGGGTGATATGACTGACGACGAGGGTGATGAAGTCGCATCGAACCTGGACATGGATCCGGATGGTGAGTATCATGCCGGAGGTGCAAGGACACGATCCAGGCGAGCAGCAGCACAACAGGCGGCAGCGCAGGCAGATATGGTGCCGTTGAACGCAACATATGGTTTCGACTCCCATCCATACTTTGCGCAGCAGATCCCGTCCGGAAATGAGCAGAGCCAGTACCAGTATGCCAATCCCGGACGACCACTACCAAGCAACGTCGCCTACGATCACCAAGGTCTCATCTACAACCCCCAGACCGGCGGCTACATCCAGCAAGCAACATACCAGCATCCTCAGTTCCCATATGTCCAGGATATCCGAGGTGTGCGCATACCTATGCCTCAACAGCACCAACAGCAGCCACAACATCAGGCACAGCACCAGCAAAGTGTTGGCGGGTACGGTCTTCCAGGCGGTATGACGGCTGAAGAACTCTTCGTCAATACTTCTCGCACCAGCACGCCAGCCATGCAGCAGTATGCAACGAATGCCTACGGCCAGCCGATGTACCCACAGCACACCACGTCCCACACACCGCAGCCATCGTACTCCGCTGCACCATATGTTCAGAATCCGATCCAGCCTGAGCAACAGCTCACCACCCAACAAGCCTATGCTGAGCATCAAGCTTATCTGCAAGCTGCTGCCCAGCCACAAACAGCCATCGATCCCAATCTCGAAGCGGATTTTAGGAAGAATGATGGAGCTGCTGTGGTAGTCGATCATTTTGGTGAAGCGATTGGTGATATGGCTAATGATGACCTGACTGGGTTGTTCTATAGCCAGGGTGAGACGACTGGTCCAGTGGATGCGAATGGGATGCCGACGTCGTGGAGTGTGGGTGAGGGTATGCAATGAGCAGGCCAGTGAATGCGTGGACAAAGATGGCTATGATAGTACGAAGATAGGTTCGGTTGATATGGAGTGGCCATCGTTTTCGTTCATTAGATTCATCGTACTGATAATATGCGGACGCCCGTCCAGACATCAGAATTGTGGGACTATTTCTTTCTTCACTACTTAGCATCACGGGCAACAAGTCTCGTTCTCGTTCTCCTCTTCATTCAGAGCTGTCCGGGAATTGCAGCGTGCAGAGTGGCGAAACATCAGTCTTCCATACAAAGGCATTGTATCTCATGTCGCACACGGACACCTGCATATCTCCTTGTCGCACGAGCCAGTGATTCTGCTTCTCGCACTGTCGCGAACTCTGTACTTGGCGATATGTGCATAGCTGATGTCAGATCGATCCCAGGGGCTGATACTGATGGGCTCGCAGCGAGTTTGCAGAAGGTGAGGTGCAGTAGTGTCGTGAGGAGGTCCTCGCATTAATCCTTGTTGTGGCGCAGAATGTCCGCGGTGGCACTTCCGGCGGCGGGTTTGACGTCCCGCTCAACATCACCCTCTAATCATCCCTCCATTTCCCGACCGTATTCTATCAAGACTCCGCGTTGGTTCGGAATCAAATAAGAATCGGGACATGCACATAATATTACGTTCTGGATCAATTGGCATATCACGAAGCTGGATGGTCGTGCTTGATGTCCTTCAGACAGACGTTGTGATGGCCATTCTTACAGAATGACCAGTCATTGTGTGCGATAAGCACTTCGAGGAGAGCACAGGCTACTCTTCGCGCCGTATCTAGTGCACCGTAGCCAGTCACCCATGCCCGCTCCATTGCGATATTTTTGGCTGTCAATACGGCGAGTCTGAATAACAACAATTCAATCGACGATGTGAGGAGCTATCCATCCTCCCGTCTCGTGACTTTTGGCAAACATAGCAAGTCTTCAGCTATGCATGACTGTGCCGTGGACCCATTAATCCGTAAGCCGGCTGGCGACCAGTGACAAGCACAAGTGGGTCGAGATTCTCAAAAAGTGCAGCGCCGTGTAAGCCAAGATGTCAAGCCATGCTGTACAGCGAGGCAAATGTTCTCGGGAGCCACGAGCTAGATGGGCATGCTATCGAAAATGGTGGAGCCCATGTCGGATGCTACAACCAACATTGGCAAGTAGCAGAATCAGGACCACACTGAACGGTAATGCAAGCATCCACATATCTAATGAAGGTGATATGCTTCCAATCATGATTTCAGCGTTGACTCGTCATATAGCCATATATACATCCTTTTTCATATTACATTACATATTGATGCTCGGACCATTCCTATGAACGAGGAGCACGGCCGTTATAGTTCACACCCGGCTTCGCAGTATAGTTGGCGAAGCAGTCGTAGTTATAGTCAATCTCGGCAGCGCGCTTTGACAAGACGCCGACCATGGTGTCAAATCCGCAGAGCCCGTCGGGGTCGACTGGGCAGCCCGCGTGCGAGTTCGAGACTGGAACAACCGCATCGTTGACGATGAAGCGAATCTGCTTGGTCTGATTCCTTGCCGGGCAGGTCATGATCTGAGTGGTGAAGTGGGTGGCGAAGGGCACGAGCTTGCTGGCGACGAAGGTGTTGAGGCCCTCGTTGCCGAGGGTATAGTTTAGAGCTGGACCATCGAATAGAGCAGTCAAGTTGAACGCAGTCAGGACATCGAGGACGACGACCTCGTGGGTGGCATCGGCATAGATGGACTGGTTGAGCGGGAAGTAGGTCGAAGAGTTGTCGAAGGTCTCATTCAAAGCAGAGTTCGCTGGTGGGACGGTGTGATTGAACCGAGCGATCCACTCCTCCAGATAGCCCTTGCCCTGTGCGGCCGAAACTGGGCCTCCGGGGCCGTTGTTGTAGTAGAAAGACTTTAATCATTGTTAGCAGATGTAGCCACGTGGCAGTGCGAAAGTATTCGGTAGCTTACCAAGTCGTAGTAGTACTCGTAGTTCTCGAAGTCCTGCTTAGTGAAGAGTGGGCAGAAAGCAGAGTAGCCGAGGGCGTCCGTCTCGTACGAGCAAAGCTGGAGCACAGCAATGGCGTCTGTAGGAGTGAAGGTGAGGTTGCCAGACACCTAAAGATGGACAGTCAGGATCGAGAGCCTTGATTAAATGGAACGGTATAGGAACATGCCTCAGAGTTCAATCTAGCCAGGGTGGCATTAAAGGCGTTCTGGGCAAAGAGAGCAGCGACCGTGCTTCCGCTTCAAAAGTTGTCAGTGTGAGCCAGGCAAATTGTGGGGCAATGACTCAGTCTATCACACTTACATGCTTCCACGACTGGCAATGTTGGAATTGGGGCAGACATCATATGGAGCGCCCGAGTTGTTTACGGTCGAGTTCTCGACCAAAATCTCAATGTTAACCTGATTTAGGTACTCCGGGACACCAAAGAAGCCTGCAGCGAAGTTCTCCGCAGTCTTGACCATACGGTCCTGAGACTCGGTGCGGAAGACTGGAAGGGCACCCTGAGCAGTGAAGTTGTTGAGGAGCTCGCCATAGAGCTGACGGTACTCAACACCAAGCTGGAAATTCTGGCTACGGCCGAAGGGTGTCAGTAGCTCAGCGCCGAGTTTGTATGTCCAGTCCGCTAAGAAGCTGAGTTCGCCCGTGACGCTGAAGCCAACTTTAGTGGCATTTGCGACCTTGGCGGAAAATGTGGACGGTGCGGCGCCGCTTGTAGGGTAACGAGCACCGTGGCGGTACAGCAGTAGCATCTGGTTGATGGTGCAACCTTCCGGAATCAAGGGGCTGGCATCGGGAAGGCCATAATCGGCTGACGAGACCGAGTACCAAGGACTGAGATTGCCCCAGTATTTGGTGATGTCGAAGTTGCCATCGAAAGCAGACGAACCTTTAGGCTGCGGGGCGACCAGCGGGAAGGACTTGGCTGGGCCGGTGTTATATGGGTAGAGAGGAGCTGTCTGGGCAGCAGCAGCCTCTTCACCCGTTGGAGTTGGGCCAGGAAAGCCAACGACATCCTCACCGGGGAATTGCTTGCTGTTGACACTCGCTGAAAGCGATTAGCATCTTGCACAACATCAGGTAGTGCACCCGCGACTTACTGCTCTTGGGAGGAAAGATGTCCGATGAAGTCGAGCCAGCGTCCTTGGAGGCGGAGACGGTGATAGCTGCAGCGGAGGCGGCGTCAATCACCAGCGCCAAGCCGGCGACCTTGGAGAGATTGAAGAGCATCTTGAGTGTGTTGTCGTACAGGAATCGAGTGCTCAATCAAAGATGACGACTCAGGGCAGGCTTCTGCACCTTTGTATGCGCGGTCCGGCCATCGTCATGACTGCCTGTGCTCTCGCATGGGCCTCGATCTCAAGACTGGAAGAGGCAGTTGTTTTTGTTGCGCATCTGCTGGATCGGATACGACAGCAACGAGACGTCATATCGCTCACCGGTACACGACTCGGAGGTCACGCCCTGCGCACGTGGAGCGCTACGATGCATTGAGCGTAGCTTGATCCGGTAAGCTTATGGAAAAGCAATGGATTCGTGCAGGAACCATTGCTTACTGTCAACGCAGAGGTGAGGCTGAACAACGTGGGCAAGACTTCATGCTCGGTGCCTGCATCGCCATTGGCGGTACGGATGCACTGAGTTAGACATGCGACGCCGTTGACGTCTCCTCCGCGGCTAGGATGCTTGACCAACGCCGCCGTGCCGATCGCCAAGACTTGGTATGTCTTGAGCACGACGAAGCTATGAAACAAGCAGCGACAAGAGCACGTCGCCAAGGGCCTTATGGAACCTTCGACGGTATACCTGATAGCCTTGGGCACGAATAGCAAGCTGCCACCAAGTACGTGAAAGCTTCATCCTGTCGCTACTCTCACCAGCGAAGTGTCCGTCATCTGGTGGTTTCCACGACGAGTTGATCAAGCTTGGTGCTCAGAGGCTCCTGCTCCCATAACCTCACCCGACAGGCATTCGTCCGGCATCACTGCTTGATTCGTATTTACGATCTGCTTCTGCATCGTGCCTGAATCGCGCTTCGCATCGGTCTTGGTCCGTTCCCCAACTAGCGAACACCGTCTTTGTAAGCATCAGCGACTGAGCGTACACCTCGAAGGCCTTGCACCAGCCTGAACACAAGGCAAGATGATGGACACTCGTCGCTTCAATATCTTCTTGTCGAGGAGTAGTGAGCACGGGAAAGCCGTAAAGCAGTGCCGACCAAAAGCCGTGTACGGCGTACTGTACGTCAGTCATTGACCCTACTCACAACCTCAAATCCCACCATTCCTGCTCTACAGCTTTGCAATGCAATACCCACGGTAGAAGCTCTGGAACGGTCCCATAGGCGCCACGATGAATTTCTTGTCTGGAAAACAGGTCTCGTGAACCGTAAGACAGATTCACTGACTGACACTCGAGGTCGGTATATGGCTTCTCCTACATCTGATGGTTGGGTTCATGTTGGCATGGCCTCTACCTTTCATAATATCGATCCTGCCAGCAATAACAGCAACAGCAATCGCAAGACCAAATTGCGACCCTCCGCCATCGATGTGGATGAGCCACCGCCCTGCAAGATCCTCAAGCTCGCTTCCAACCATGTCGACAGCAGATCCGCGTCCGAGCTGACCCCAGACGAAGCCCAAGACACCATCGGTATCGAACCTCAGGTGCTCGTGTTCCGCTATCGTGGTAAGCTACACGCTGTAGATCATTGCTGCCCGCACCGCAACTATCCATTATCCCGAGGGAGCATATACGATATCGAGGACTTTGGGATCGTGCTGAGTGCTGGGATCACGTGTCCAGGTCATGGGTGGGCATTTGACTTGCATACTGGATTGAGTGATCGCGGATCGTACCAGCTAGGTGTGTGGCAAACGGAGATCAGACACGATGATGACAGGCAAGAAGAGGTGTGGGTGAGAAGAGGGAAGAAGCCATGAGTTTCGAAAGCGGAACAAAAGGGTAGCCGTGGAGTGACTTGCCCTCGTCGTGCCAGAAGCTCAAAGCCGGACGAGGAACGGCCATACGATGTGATCTGGAGATTCAGCATGCGATCCTCGGCTTGGTAGGCACGGTGAAACCTCGTGCGTCTCTCCTACGAGACGGACGCCTTTGAAGCCACCAAGGAGGGCCTTTAGGTTCTTGGCGAGTGTATACAGAGATTGCGAGAGTCTCCTTTTGGGGACTCTTCAGTCTCGATCTGCTTCTCGGGTAGGTGAAGGCGCCATATTGGAAGATCTGCAGCGATATGAAACGGCTCTTCTAAGGTCAACAGTAGACTTTCTGACCACGCTGGTCCGTATCGATATCTTTGGAAAAGGCTCAGATACAGGACTGCCTGATAGACGTGAATATGACAGAAGCGCTCCGCCGGGAAAGGCATGCGAGCCATGCTGTGACACGCTGTACGCGACAACATATTCAGAGGCCTCGCGCTCCTGGGTACACTCCTTCATCCGCTATGCCAAGACGAGCTTAGGAGCTTAGGACCGGCGACGTGCTGCTTGGTGATCCTCTGCTAATGGCGATGTATGAAAGGACTGGTCCGTTCATCCTCACGTCAGATATAACCCATAGTGAAGTTCGAAGAGTAAGCGAGTGTGCGAGGAGGTGGGAGCGAGGCTTCGAGTGCGGAGGGCGAGTCTAGCGATGGTAAAGCCGCCGAGGTAGCTCATATACTGCTCGCCTGGCATATATCCTACATCAATACCGCTCGCTGTCAATCGTCTCTGCAAGTAGGCCTGAGTTTGCCGCGAACAATTTCCCCCTTGGTGCATCGTAATAGGTCTGCTTGGTACGCCTTGTGCTGCCAGTCGCGGCTCAGGCTCATCATCATATCTCTGCACATCTCTAGGCGAAAAACCAACCTAGAAGTATATAACCAACCTGTAGAAACAGGCTCATAGACAGCCTTTGGCCGCTGTCTCAAGTTTTCAGAGCGGCTGGTCTCCTGCTGGCAAGAGGATCCACTCGCATCAGCAGCAGTCGCTTTTCCGAACGCTAGAACATGTCCAGAGCTCGACAATTTCTGCGTTGACACTCGTGTGTGCAAGTCAATTCCATGGCGGCGCTGGCGCGACGCCTCGTGTGAGATTGTGGGATTGATTGACGAGCCTGATAGTACAGCCCTCATCGAAGCATTCTTTGACGACGAGATGAAATATTTGGCAAAATCCTCGTCAAGATCAATGATCATGCTCTCAGGAACGGCGGAGATTGTCGCATAGCACAACTCAAAACCGTCTTGACAGGGGTCAGCCGACGCCCCCATGCGCTACAGACAACGCTTTTGGGGCGCGCTATGCCTGTTCCTCACCAAGGCTGAACTCTCTATCTGCGCGCGCAATTTGGACAGCGTGAATGGAATAGCTGGAAAGTGCACAAGCTTGATTCGAGAAGGACCCCCGTGTCACTGGTGAGCTTCTACAATGCTCCAAACATGACACCGCAACAATGAACGATCGACTTTGCAGCTCAGCGACAACGCAGGCCCCTGTCTAGCTGCACGATCGTAAACGCTCAAAGGACGGAAAGACTGGTTGGTGGTGCGGTCAGCCTGCAGCCGGTCCTCATCTTAGCCTGCATCTCGCTGCATACGGTCCGTCCTGGAGAAGCCCGGGTGGAACAAAACATGGCACCTGCCATGAGCCTTCAAGACTTTTTGTCCGAGAAGCCATTGCCAGGCATTCCGTCCCCGACCTTGACCAATCCCGAGATGGTTTTACCGGCTGACCTCGAGGTCCCTTCTCCGCCATCGTCCGGGAATACGATCGAAGGTCCACCCAGTCCAAGCTATCTGCGCCGGCCTGACCAGCAGAATGCGCAAACCACACCGGCGCGAAAGAAGGAGAAGAGGGGCCTGATGAGTAGGAAGATGTTACTGCTGAGGAGTCGCACGAGCAGCAGTACGAATATGTCGCAACAGCAGGCGCAATCGCAAATCCCACGCAGCGTCCCTTCGCCGTCCAGCTATGCCTCCGACTACCATCCCGCTTTTGGCTCCTCCCCAATCCTCATGGACGTCGGTAATTTGGCCCCAGAGCAAACTCCTGAAGAACCGCGCTTGAGCCTGAGCAGGTCCTCTTTCAACAGCGAAGACATGGCTGGCATACCTAGCTTCCTCGCAAAGTACGAGCTCCCGGACGGCGTGACGACGGACGATGAGATGTACGATAGTGAGAGTCCGGCACCGCAGAAGTATGGATATAGTGTCAGCATTGAGGGAGGACTGGATGCGCAAAGACGGCAGCAGGAAGAGGATGAGCACAACTCGGCAATACTGAGCAGAAGGGCTGAGCAGATCCTGGCCAATGCCAAGAAGAGGCTGAATGTGAGTGCGATGGTCATGGAGATGATGTGGCGCATGCTAACATTTGCTTAGCTCATGGAAGGCAATCTTCGTGGTGCTCGCGATCTTGTCGCACCTTTGACCGCAGCAAATTTGAAGCGAGCAACCTCTTTAGGATCAGCACATCATGCGACTGGCATTGAGAGAACTCGCTATGCACCGGGTGGCAATCTGTACAATCCTTCAAGTCCGCAGCAGCCACTTCGGAGACTACACGCTCAAGCTAGCTCACCGACAATGGGTCGAGAATATCATGGTCATGCGCGTGGTATGAGCGATACAGAGCTCCCGGAACGACCATACACAGCCCTAGGTAATGATAAAGTTGTGACAAGAAGCGGCAGAATACCAATTCGGACCAGCGAAGGATCGTGGACGCCCAGTCTTCGCAATAGCAGAAGTTACGACTCTCTTGGAAGCAGTGGTATTCGTCATACCGGACGAGACAGCCCCTTGCATGCCAGAGCTTCTCCTGATCCGAATCTCGGCGTTCTGGTGGAAGACGATGGCTCGCATCAGTCGCCTTCGGTGCGAAATAGCATCCCTCCTGACAGTCAGCAGCAGGATGGGTTGGGTATCCTACGACCAGCTTCCCGGACCGAGGACTTGCGAGAGCAGATGAGTAGTCTGAAAGGCAAGATCTCCACTCTGAAGGAACGAGCGCGGGAGGATAGTCTCAGGAGGCAGAGCATGCAAAGTTTGCGTAATGCTTCGCCGTTCAATAACGCTGTGGCGAGCCCACCTGAGTTCTTCTATACGCAATCGCAGACTTATGGGAATCCGGTTCGAGACACGAATGCTGGTGTTGGTCAGGTCTCGGCGAACAATAGTCCTGTTAGGTCGAATTCGTTGAAGAAAGTTTGGGATGCCATGGGTGCTTTCACGGGGAGTAGGAATGCTTTTGCGCAGCGAGCTTCTGTGGCGGAGCCAGCACGGGACCATGCCATCGCACCTGACGAGCATGATCAGGCAACAGGACAGGACGATGGCATGCCTGAAACTTATGGAAACCGCCATAAGCGTACGACAAGCGGTACGGCTATAGTGCAGGCTGCGACGAATCGGTACTCGCACCACCAACAGAGAGATGCACACGACTCGCCGGTAGACCCTGGGCTATATGTTTATGCTCAAGCTTCACCTGGAGCAAAGGACGAAAGCTCATATCTACTACAAGAACAGTCCGACTCGTATGTCGCGAACGGTGACACACAAGACAGGGGAGAATCCGAGAGTGTATATGAAGACGCGGAAATTGAGCTGTCGGCAGCAGTGGCCCACGAAGACCGAGACGATGCATTTGATTACGAGCACTTTTTCCTCCATAGTGCAATGGGCAGCTACCGCAACGGCCGTCGCAGCTCGACTTCAGATGAGAGTGAGGCTTCATCCACTGAGACCGCGAGGGCTCCTCCAGCCGGACAGGACGAGGACGACGAATTCAACCCGGAATCTGGCCTCTACCCGCCACCAACGCCGGAGACGCCTGAGAGACTGAGGGCGATCGAGCGGAGCTTGCATCAGCGTTCCCTGTCAAATGACAGTATAAGTACTGTCGCAACCTTCGCCACTGCAGACGAAGGCAACGATGACGGCCGCATAAGCAAATTGGCATGGCCCGAACCACCAGGTACACGCTCCAACTCCCAGCCGAACTCCCGTCCCAGCACTGCGATCAAGCGACCCGATAGACCAGCCGCAGACACCCTTTCCGAACGAGCCGATTCGGGAATCGGTCTTCCCAATCGTTCGAACAGCGAGCGGGCGAAAAAGATGAGCCGCAACATTGTCACAAGTCCGCCCATGTCGCCTATGGCATTCGTGCAAGATCCTGCTACCACTGCTGTCCAAGCGCTCCTCAGTCCGGAAGGAAGAGGGTTAGGCTTGAAGGATAAGGCTGTGCTGTTTGGTGTGGTCGAGAGCTTGCGCGCGGTCGTGCACAAGCTGCAAAGTGGGCAGGAGGGAGGGCATGAGAGCGAAGTGCTGAGAAGGAGGCTGGACCAAGCTAAGAGGATTCTGGATGGTGCTTTTGGGTAGGTGCAGCCTGCTGCTCCTCTGCATCATTCAATTTCGATGCACACGATCCACGACGACTTTGTTGTCAATACATTGTTCCAATAGACTACGCTTCCCGACCGATGCATTTAGGACGACATATCTGTAGCATTATGTTTACGCTGACGACTTGGATGTGCGGTAATGTATGAGTAGCTGTATACTTAGACACATTGTAAGCTAGATATCGATACTTGGGGTGAATTGAGCCAGCGTTCCTGGTCTTCGGTATGACGAACATCAGACGGTAGCATTTTTGAAGCCTTGGAAGTACTGTTACACGTCAGCGACGACCTGGCGATCATTTGGTGATGGTGAGGACTCACCTTGCGCCGAAAAGCGTTCAAATCATCGGCTTTCTTTCCGTCGTCCTCCATATTAGCGACCGTCAGCCTCTGCGCTTGATACGCAAGCATTGCGTCCTCATCCACAGACTCGCCTGGCGCCCGCCGATATGTCAAGAGTCGTCGAGACCACTTATTGAAGTCCTGCGTACACACCGCAACGAGCTCTAAGGCCGGATGCCGTGGAATCTCATACTCGGCATCCTTGACAGCCTGCGCCTCGGAGTGGTCGTCCAGGTCTACAGCCCCGGCGACGGGCATCCACATACACAATCGTCCTCCATCTACTAGTCTCGTGGCAGAAAAGTCTAGAATATCGTCCAGCATTCTTAAAAAGCTATAAGGCTTTTTCGGTGGTATGTAATTGGGCTGAAGATGTGCTTGCTTACCATCAGCCAGATAGACGACATCCTGAAGTACAGCTCTGTTGCTCCCTAGCACCTTCAGACCTTCCCGCACACCGTAGGGTGGATCACAGACAACGCAGTTCAGGAGCCGCTCCTCGCGAAGTGGTGTGTTTGTGATGTCGGCGACTAATCCTCCCAGATACAAGGTAGAAGTACCGTACTGCTCAAAGTTACTCTGCACGGTCTTGTCGCCTTTGCCGCGGATGCACCGTCCATCGAGATCGCTACCAAAGACCATAGATCCAAAGTGTGCACATGCTAGAGGGAATGAGCCGGTGCCGACGAATGGATCGTAAGCTATCCTGCCAGGCCCTGCTTGTGCCAGGTTTGCAGTGATGAGGGAGAGTTCTGCATCCATAGATGTCGTGGCAATATATCTCCGTTTCTTGAGATTATACATGTTCATCGCCTTCCTTCCACTTGTAGCTACTAGACGACCGAGATGTAGAGCATGTGGTGTCGTGCCTATAAGCTCCGAGTCCTCGAAGACACGGAACTGATGGTCTGGTCTGTTCATCACGATTGGGCCTTGGAAGTCCATGTACGCGAATGTCTCGATGATGCTGCGCTGCTCGGCTGTTGTGCGGCTGCCATGGAAGGAGTCCAGTTCGAAGCGAAAGGAGACATCACGGTAGTGAGGCCATAGAAATTCGGTGCGGTGGCGAATGTCTGCATGCAGGGTGGTGTAGTCCGTTCCTGTGCCCCAGAGCTCGTAGATGGCGTTACATAGTAATGAGCGTGATATCAAGGTCCTAGCAGCTACAGTTGTATCGATCCCTGGCGGAAAGCGAACGATTGCAAAAGGCGACTAGGTATACCGTCAGCATCACTACGATCGAGATCTGTACAGAAGAGACGAAGAGCGAAAGAGGACAGCCATACCTACCTGTCGGCGGAAGAGCAGTCGCATTGCTCGCTCTTCGCCTCTACGACTGACTTACAGCTAGTGAGTATGACAGCCACTGGACGTCCAGCCCAGCGAGATCTGCAAGTGCATCGAGTTCGGGCTTGCGAAATGTCTCATGCATTTGCACGAGGCGAATGAGGTAGTCCATGTTGCGGGAGGACGGTAATCATCATGCTGTGGCAGAAGTCTTCACACTTGTAAGCTGATGGCCTGAAAGAGTGCTGTCAATCCTTTCGACAAGACATCAATACTTTGAGAAGACTGGCGAGTAGGAGTCATATACTGTGCCTGGTGGAGAGTGATGTTGGAATGCAGTGAAGTTTTTGAATTCGTGGTGGGTGTCGCCCAATCAAAACCTTCTCAGAAATGCGGACACCAGAGCCGGCTTGTTTCACATCAATATATCAAGCTCCAGGCAGGATGCAAGGTACAGGGGAGCAGAGTGGCACGGCACAGGGAGCAGGTATCGCGATTGCAACGTGTGAGAGAGATGTATGAATTGGCTTGTGACTATCCTAACGTATATCACGGTCCATGGAATACCTTTCTCGTGCTATTCCCAATTTCGTCATCATCAGAAATCATCAAAAGTCATCAGCGGACAGGTCCTCGAAGATGTCAAACATCGCCATGTCCTTCAAAGGACTACTCTTGCCAATCCCCTCGACGATCTTCCCTGGAGTCTTCATCCCAGGCCTTGGAACGCCTCTGTTGCCAGCGCTTTGCGAAGGCCAGAGTGGACTCGATCTTGGTGTTCGAGTCACTGCATTTCGCTTCTTCGGACTAGGCGTGCTTTTCGGCACGAGTGAAGCCACAGTCTGCGAGCTGAGTTCAAAGGCATGTAGCAGATGTGCTTGTGCTGGCAGATCGACTGTCCATCCACGCCTGTCTGTCAGGCTGAGTAGTCGAGCTAAGAGCTCATTGTTCACTAGCGTTCGTCTGCTTCCCAGCATAATCAGTTTCGACCTTGCTCGTGTAAGAGCAACGTTGACTCTTCGCCAGTCCTTCAGCAAGTCGCCGACGATACCAGCATCGTTCGATCGGACGAAGGATAGGATGATGCACTCTTTGTCTCGTCCTTGATAGCGATCCGCCGAGTCGATCTCGATTTCTGCGCTAATACCTGCCACGCGATAGAGTTGACGCATAAGATTAAGCTGGGAACGGTATAGTGTGATGACTCCGATGTCCTTGGCTGGAACTCCTCGCTTGATCAGGCTCAGGACTAGTTCCGCTGAGAGCGTGGCTTCGAGCTGATTGGTGATGTTCTTGCCGGAGGTGAGAGTCTCGTGAGCCTCTTTGCCAGAAGCATCGATGTTGGCGAAAACGACCTTGCGCTCAGACTGTGTCACATCTGCCAGCCAGCACCGATCCTGCTGACATTTTACTGTACCAAGTGGAGCAGCATCGTGAAAGTCTTTCAAGCTCGCATCATCCGCAAGCTGCAGAGCTCTCTGCGCCACATCCTCACTCCCGCATCTCAACTTACCGTCGTAGATCAGTGTATTAGACAGGCTCATAATATCCTCACACATCCGGTATTGTCTACCCAGCGTCGCGACGGCCTCCGGGTGCTCCTCGCTCAGCTGTCGAAACAGTGAAACATCTAGACCGCCCTCCAGTGCACGTCGGTTCTGCACGAGCGGTGGTAATTGAAAATGGTCTCCGACCAGCACAAACTTTCTTGCATGCAGCAGCGGCCCGAGTGCAGTCGGAAGCGTGATTTGACTGGCTTCATCGACAATGCAGACATCGAATGCTCGTCGACGGAACAACGCATGGTTGGTACCCATGCACGTCGTAGCCACTATCCGGCTACCCATATATGCCTCCTCGATTTCATCAATCGTCTTGCGTGGTGTAGCAGCCAATTGACAAAATTGCTGCACTTCCTTGTTGACCTTCGCTGGTACGCCGAGCCGCAGGATACTATCCGGCGGTGCAATATCGCGAATCTTGAGGAGGATATTGTCGACGGCTGTGTGTGTGAATGAGGTCAGAAGGATGGTTTTGTCTTCGGCAAGCAAGGCACGAATGATGTGAGCAATCGTAGTTGTCTTGCCTGTTCCGGGCATGCCGAGGATGAGTGCATAGTCTTGAGCGCTCAAGACTTTGGCCACGGCTGCTTGTTGGTCTTCATTCATTTGTCCAAGCTGTGATTGCTGGAGCGCTGGTAGCTGTGAAGGTGGACAGAATATTGGAGCCGATTTGTGAATGACTTGTTGGCGGAGCTTGGTTGGTATTGGATGGGATGACATGAGCGAGATGAGGTTGCTGCGGACAAGTGCCAGCCCATTCGCGAATTCGTCTTTGTCCACGCGGTAAAGCATCGCCTGTTGTGTGGCAGTCATCTCGCTCTCCTTACTCACTGTCATAATGCCCTGAAAAGCGTGGTTGTTGACCTCATCAAAACCAGCCATTCGCTGTCTAGCATCTCCCAGCTTTCGGTCCACGGCCACAGTGAACTCGTGCTTGGTTACTGAGACCACGTAGCCATTGGCAAGCGCCCACTGCCCGTGCTCCGACGATACTACAATCGGCTCACCAGCAGTCAGCTGTGTACCCTCTGCAAAGCTTGCGCCAGCGATCGGAATCGCCCTCCGGAACACATAAGTATACCGGTTGATCTTGCCGCCACTGCCCTCGATACCATCAGCTTGCGTGGCCGATGCAGCAGCCGAAGTAAGATCTTGATGCAAAACCAAATTGCCAAAGCAACGGCCCACCGCCTCGCGCTCTGCAGAAGTCATGGTCCACAACTCCTTCCTCACTCGACTAGTCTCGCCCTCTTCGAACGTGAGAAGTCTGTCCCACCTCATGAACCATTTCTTCAGCTGCTCCGTCTCGGTCTTGCGGCCAGCGTTCGAGAGCAGATGACCGACAGCTTCGTGCCAGACCAGACTGTGATTCTTCTTCCCATCGTCGATCATACCAGCACTCTGTGCTGAGCCGGCTTCACTAAGAGCGTGATAGGTGAAGCAGGTCTGTTGAGCATAGCAGCGACCACATTTGAACGGGTTCTTCAGAAGTTGTGGTAGGCTGGCCGAATCCTCAATATCCTGCGCTTGCAAAGGTGTGGCCAAGGTATGGCCAGCTTGCATACCAGGATGCTTGGCAGCATATATGTACGCGGCGAGTCTGTTGCGTGACTGCACCATCTGCCGTATTTCAATGGCCGGCGGTGCGATGCGGGAGGTTGTAGCGCTCTCCAGATAGTAGAGTATGCCAGCTTTGACTGCAAGGTCGTATCGATCAGACAGCAGCAGCGTATATAGAGCCGTCTGCGCACGATGCTCGACAGACTGTGTCGTCCTTCCAGTCTTGACTTCCAGCGGTGCAAGCAGCCGTTTAGTGGGTTGTCTAGGATCATCAAGCAACGTTGTCTGCACTGTAGCATCGATATTGCCTTTGAGTCCAAATAGTGGCGACCAGATATGCTCTTCAATCGCGACAAGCTTGCTGACGCTCATCCACACCTTCTCACCATATTTGTCATCGATAACAGACGCATCACCAGGCTGCTCGGCTACATAAGCTTTGGCCCAACCAGCCAATTCACCCATCTTAGCCAGAACTTCTTCACGTGCAAGGACTGTGTCTTTCATGCCTAGCTCCCATAGACCTTCTACATGATTCTGGATTGTTCGCTCGACCAGCTCGACCAAGCCATGATCCATGTCATTAGCGAGTAAAGCCTGCTGGAAGACTTCGTGCAGGATGCTACCATAGACCATCCCTGTGTTCGCCTCGCTCGTAGCTTTAATATGCTCCTTGAACACTGCTTTGCGGACGCAGTCAAAGGAGTCGCCGACGGTGGTGGCGGACAGCATGCTATCTGGGTGGATAATAAGCAGAGCACTGTTTTCATGGTCGCCAATCGTGATCTGGCCAGGTGGATCTGCAGAGGTCGGGAGTCCAGGAATTTCGGCGACGTGTACGATATTGCCAACATTGACGATCGTAGACAATGACCACGAATCGCGGAGAGTGATCGCAGTCGGCTTCGAGGTCCGGTGATGTTCTGCGAGGACTACCCTCTCTGAGCATCTGCGTCCATTGGCGTTGGTGTAATCGCCATCGCGGATACTCGTCACTTTATATCGTCTCAGCTTTGTGACCGCATTGTCCGGCTCAGAGTGAGTATGGATCAAGGCACCAGTGGACTTCACAGGCGACTTTCGAGGACTTCGTTTTCGAGGACTGATCTACATACACATGAGCTATCTACTCCGTAAAGGTATGCTGGCGGAAGGATGACTTGCCCTGTAAGCTTGGGTGGCACTGAACTCTGCCTGAACCAGAGCATCGGCGTCCAGATCATCTCCTCCAAACTCGTCGTCATCATCATCGTCAAGGGTGATTATCGGCTCCGGCGTTCCAACACGGAATGATATGGGTTGTGGTGGTGGTGGGTTCGGATGTGCTGGTATCTGGTGTAGTGATCGTTGCTCGAGTGGGATCTGAGACGCAAGTTCGTCAAGGTCTTCGGCGGTCAAGTCAAAGTCATCGCCAAAGTCATCGAGCTCACTGTTCACGATTGGGGCCGCGACAGGTTGTGATGGCTGCTTGACTGGATACTGGCGTCCTGAGGCGCTGACCGATGGCCGCTTGTAGGCAGGCAGTGCTTTGCTTTGAAAGTGGAGTGGCGCTGATATAATTGAATCTGATGCCTGACCCACAGTCCTGGAAATGTTGAGTGGCGGGTCCGGTCGGTCTGGGGACAGGCTGTGCACCTTTGATGTTGACGGTCGTGGCAAACCTGCGTTGGGTTGCAATATTTGCATGGCATCGTCGAGCAGAGCGACCGATGGTGCGCTTTGGTCATCGTTGTCCGCGAGCGGTGCTTGCAATGCTGTAGGCGCTTGAGGCTTGTCCTGCAACGGGCTGACGTGTGCATGAACGCCTTCGTTGCGTGCCTCTGGGATGATCATGGAACTGGATGAACCGTCCGGCCGGGCAGGCTTCACAGTGGAATGTACCAACTTCTGCGTCGCCAAGGTCTCCTGTATTCTGTCCACCATGGTCGCCACCTTACTCTTGCCTCCTACCAACTCCCCTTCTCGCTCCTCTCGCCACACACCAATACTTGTGCGCGCGTCAGTCCTCCTCCTCTTATTCTTGCTACTCGGCCACTCATTGCCAGCACTTGCCCACCGCCTGAATCCTGCACTCTTGATTGGTGTCTCGATTGGCCGTGGGGATGCCTGGGCTACTAGCCGGCTGAAATCAGGCAGCTTCACAGCACTTCCGGTATCCTTTCCACCGCCATATGTCTGCCATAGTGTAGCAGTCAGGTCTGCTTCCGGTGTCTTCTTCTCCGCTATGGTGAAGTTGCCACCAAAGAATGTTGATGCCTCGTGTCTTTGTGAGGAAGTCGCTGGACATGAGGGCGAAGAGCTTTGAGCGCGCTTCCGTCTTCGATGTGGTGTCATCGTGTTGGAGCTGTTCGGCATCCAGCCCAGCTGTTCTTCGGGAGATGCTTCCTCCTCGGCTAGCGGCTTCGCATTCTCGTCATAGTTGCCGATGAGATCGTCCAGCGGTAGTCGCTCACTCGGAGTGCATGGGAAAGTGTTGGCATGTGGTAGCGATGGCGTTCTCGTGGACTGAGCTAAAGCATGCCCAGACAAGCCATCACTTCTCCGATTTGGCGCTGATGAGCAGCCGCCTTGCATCTCGCTGTCTTGTGCGACCGAGAAATTATTACCGCTATGTTTGCCACTATCCTCACTATCGATGTTGTTCTCGTCGCTCGCCACTGTTCTGCCTGCTCCCTCCGGCTGACCTGGAATGAATTGAAAGGCTTTCAGCTTTGTTTTGGTTTGAGAAGTCGCAGATATCACATTCGGATCTACTTCGCCGAGTGGTTGTTTGTTGATGTAGTTCCGTCTCCATTGTTGTGGTTTATACTGCATCACATGTCAGCCCATCGATCTTATCTTCAATCTGCCCTGTCATGTACTCACATTCGCCTTGTGATCCTGCTCGAAGAAGCTTTTCGTCCGGCTTGCCATGCTACCTGCGCATGGAGTTGGAGTCTTGGCCGTTAACAACGCATTGCGATGCTATGACAAGATGATATACACGGTTCTGTCTCCAGCCAAAGCAGAGGGATGCAATAGTTCTAAACAGAAACAGTGGGGACACGCGACGAGGATGCGATGAGGACGCGACTCGGAAGCATCGGCCTGAGTTTCGCCGACATTCATCACAGGCGTTCGACCTCAGCTGCACAATTAACATATACCATCCTCAGGACTTCCCAGCGGTATTCACTGACCAGCAACGGGGAGCGAGGAATTGCTGTCGGATGCTCGCCCAGATCAGCACCTGCTGCCAACCAATTTCATCTGCTGATCACTGTGATATGTTGCCATGCACACACTGATCCAATCAATGTGTCCTGCCGCCGGCTTTGACGGCGAGTCAACAAGACATTGCTGTGCAAAACCTGCTAATGCTAAGCCAGTCTAGTGCTACTCAGGAGACCAAGCGTCGCCAATGTCCATACCACGCGTCAGTCTTTGTGGATATCGAGATGAAGCCCCCGTCTGTCGATACTACCACTATCTCTCATCCATAGCAGCGCCAGGCCATTCATCGATTGTGCGGTCGCTTGCGTACCGTGAAAGGCTCTTTGTATCGGGACCTCTATTCACGATGCTTCATTCAGCGGAATGTTTGGTGCCCAGGCGCCGGCAACATTCAGCTTTTACCTAGCGCGTGACCTTCCTCGCAAATATAAGTATTTGCAGCTTGCCGTCCACGGGCCCCTTTCTCTCAACCTCGACACATACTTTCTTTCCCTACTCCTTGATATCTGTATGACAGCGATCTCAACTACTTGTGCTCGTTACCTACATCTTTGTATATACGCCACCTCTACTGCAAGTCAAGAGCATCAAATGGCCGGCGAAGAGTTGAGCAAGGAGCAGATGCTTGCCAGGCTTCACAGTAAGTCTTTCCGCTAGAGATTTCATGAGCGCAGCTGACCCTGACTAAGAGCTGCCAGGCTTCGAGCATGTCCACCCAGATTTGGCACCGATGGCCTACCAGTTGTTTCTCAACAAGAAGGTCAAAAGCAAAGGTCTAGTCAAGGCACAAGCACATATCAAGAACATTCTGGCAGAGCTTTGGGCCTTCAACGCCGAGTCGCACATGTTCAACGACAATCCACTTGCTGCACATATCAGCGGTTTTGAAGAGCTCGAGCCGGTGCTAGACCTCATCAGAGCCCGCTTCCACAACCAGGATACGTGCAAGTATAACAGGAATGCCAGCCCCCGCACGCACAGTCATGTGGTGATAGGAATTTAGAATTTACGGTTGGCAAAGACTTCGAGGTGTTGCAGGCACAACATCGTCCTACTCTCAACAAGGTCAATATCTGGCAGGAAAATCCACTCCGGCCCGAGGTCCTCGAGTATGCTGGGGGTGACGTGCTCCTACTCCCTCTCCTCCATGAGCACTACATTCGAAACTCGAAAATGACGGGTCCTCGTCTGCTGGCAGTTGAGGAGGCGACTGAAGCTCGCATTCTTGCTTCGCAGGATCCGATGGCGACGAATCCTGGACGTGATGGACCTGCAGGCTGGGCAGAGAAAGGTTGGTGCAAGGAGGATGAGACCGACCATCATACAGCGGACCAGACCGTTGGAGTCGAGGGCGAAGAAGTGGGAATTGAGGAGAGACAATAAAACCGCGAGCCAGAGATGAGCAACGAGAGATCGAAAGTTACATATGATTGCATAGCGGTGACAACTCCCTTTGCGCAGCGAACAGACTATGATGAGAGTTTATGGCTTTATGCCCGCAGACATGCACTTCTTGCCTTGCTGGTGTGTCTGCTGTAATGTATGATCCTTGATTAGTAGCTTGTGCCTTCTCCATTGGGGGTGATTGGCCTTATCGGCTTATCGCCAGCCTGCCTTCCTACTCGGGATATCGCACCTCTTCCAGTGGTACCAACTCATAGACACAAGGCCAAATTGCACCAACAATGCCACTTCCAAGTATCAATCCTCCTCTCATCAATTCCTCCAACCCGTGGGCGACGACGCTAGAGGATCTCCAGGAGCTATTCGATTGCCCAGATTCCGGCGGAGTCACGACTCGAACAAGTCTACTTCATGGCTTCCAACATGACGACGAGGTCCATCAATACACATTTTTCGATACTAGAGATCCGACCAAGAAGCCAAACCGCCTTGATGGCCATGTCCCGCTGGAGTTTGGTGGCAGTCTGAATACGCTGGGCTATACCCCGATACCAATCAGCACGTATCTGGCCATGATTTCGAAAATCATCAGCGACTCGACTCTACCAGCCGACAAGAAGTCGAGCAAGTCTCTCATTATCTCAGTCACTGGGAGTGCAGAAGCAGTACGAGAATGCTACGAACGTATACGTGCCGTACAAGCAACCATCGAGAACCCACTATGCATGGAGATCAACTTGTCCTGCCCAAATATCCCGGACAAACCGCCACCAGCATACTCCGGGTCATCACTAGCGGAGTACTTGAAGGTCCTGACTGAAGCGTCCGGGGACGATAGACGAGTTGCGATAGGCATCAAAACGCCTCCATACACATATCACGATCAGTTCAAGACGCTCATCGATGCGCTCGTGGCAGCGTCCCAGCCGACTTGTCCGATCGACTTCATCACTGCCACTAATACACTAGGAACTACTCTCGTGCTTGCAGACAATGATGGTACGCCGAGGATCAACTCTGCTTCTGGTGCAGGAATTGGAGGTATGGCAGGAGCACCACTACATCCTCTAGCTCTTGGAAACGTGAAGACGATCCGATCGATGCTTGACGAGCATGATCAGCTCAAGGATATTGACATCATCGGTGTGGGTGGAGTCAGTGATAGAGGTGGCTTTGACAGGATGCGCGCTGTCGGTGCGAAAGTCGTCGGTATTGGTACCGCACTTGGCAGGGAGGGAGTCAATGTGTTCGGGAAGATCTTGAGTACAAAATTATCTCCTTCTGGTCCATCATCTAGTCGTTGACAGCTGTATTTGGTCACTTCACGTTATATCTCAGGGTACAAATCTCTGCAAACTGTCAGCACATATCCTTGTTCCAACGATCAACAGACACTACTCACGTTCTCCTCTTCAACGGCATTTCTGTCCTCAACTTCCTCACCCTCTCCAGATCTATCTCCGCAAAGATCACCTCTGGCTCGTCCTTCTTCTCGCCACCCAGCTCAGCAAGCACCTCCCCCCACGGACTAATGATAATACTATGCCCATAACTCGACCGCTTCTCATTATGAGCACCTACTTGCGCAGAAGCAATGACATAAGATAGTGTCTCGATAGCTCGTGCCCGTAACAATGGCTCCCAGTGCGCTTTACCAGTTGTAGGCGTGAAAGCAGACGGGTAGACGATGATGTCCGCACCCTTGCGCTTCGCGAAGAGTGCGATCTCTGGGAAACGGAGGTCGAAGCATGTACATGACCCTAGCTTGCCGACTGGTGTGTCAAAGGGTGGGAGGAGCTCGTTGCCGGGTTCGATCGAGTTGCTCTCTTTCATCGTAGGGCCGCCCTCGATCTCCATGTCGAAGAGGTGCAATTTCTGGTAGCGTTGAGTGATCTTGCCAGACTCGTCGATGTAAAGTAAGGTGTTCTTGATGCGCTTGCTATCTGGGTCATCACTGGGTTCGTGGACGCCGACTGAGATCCCTATGCTGTGTTGCTTGGCTTCCTTTTGGAGACCTTGGAGGAAGATCGAGTGCTCGACTGACTTGCATAGTTGCTTGGACTCCTCGGGTGAGCCTCCGATGTAGTCGCTTGCTTCTGGCAGAAATACGACCTACCCACTGTCAATGCTATTCATTCAGATACTCGGTGGAATCACATAAGACCAACCTTGGCACCTTTTTCAACCGCCTTCTTGATTACGAATCGACATTGTTTCAGATTGTTCTCCATCGACGCCGTCGAGGTGATCTGACCGACAGCCTGCAATCATCAGCACCAGTGATTGTGATGAGACAGCCATCGGGACTCGCCACCAACGCCATCTTCTGCTCTGCTTCTGCCGGGCTCCAAGGTTGTTTGCGGACCATTGAGGGCAAAAAGTCGTCTCGATAACAGAGATGAGATGATATGTGTCCTTCACACCGTCATCGAGAGCCGAATGGGAAGTGCATCAAACCGTTGATCGTAAGCAAAGGCGCCAACCAAATCTAGCTGATCAATGAACTAGCGCCTCCATCAAATCTGGGTGATCGACGCTACCACTTTACCCAATCAATTTGGCCCCACGTTACCTAAGCTAGACCATGCATCCCACTTCCACACCTCCATGCAGGTACAACCTCAGTTCCACCCACAGATGCAGCCCAGAGCAATGTCAACGACCACAGGATCCTCTGACTTCGCCTCCGTCTCCACATCGACAGCACCCTACACAACACCCAGCACAACAACCTACACCCCTTCCACCTCAACCACGACCACGACCACAACCAATAACTCCTTCCCCTTCCCAACCTACACCACCTTCCCACCCTTCTACACCCTCCAACCCAACCTCCAAACCCGCGCCCGCCAACTCGAACTCTGGTCCACGCTCATAACAACCTACAGCGCCCACCACCACCTCTTCCGCCTCACACTCTCGACTCTCCCCGCCGACCTCTTCAGCAACCCCGCCATCCACCGCAGTCTCAAACCCTCCGATATCCGTCTCGTCTTAGACCACTTATCAAAACACGAATCGGGTCCACGGGTAGAGTGGTTAGCACCGAGTAGTAAAGGCGAAACGAGCTCGACCTGTCTAGTCTACTGGAAATCACTCTCGGAATGGGCGGATCTGATCTATGGATGGGTAGATGAGACGGGGCAGAAGGGCGCGGTGTTGACGATTTACGAGTTGAGGGAGGGTGAGGGCGTGGGCGGGAGGGAGTGGGTGGGGATGGATGAGGTGTTTTTGCGGAAAGTGCTGGGGGTGTTGGTCAAGAGGGGCAAGGCGCAGGTTTTTGGGCTGGAGGAGAGTGCTGGGGTGAAGTTCTTCTGAATTCAAACGTTGTTGGAAGTTCGGCCCTCAGACTATATACATGAGGGACGCTGTAGGAAATCCGCCCCTAGGGTCAGAAGTGACGCTCTGGTATTGGCCGTCAGACGGAATGATGCTTGAAATGTGACGGTCTGGGTGGCGTACACTCGATGATATGGATATATGCAGTACGTTCCGGGCTGAGATCCCACACAGCGCCTCGCTAATTACGTCCCAGAAAGCGTCTTCCTCAGTCATGCCATGAGCACCATCAAGCGCCACTCGGACACATCCGTCTCGTACCTGGCAGCTGATGAGACACCCCACCATCGTCCTAAGCATTTCACAGAAACATGATGCAAATCACAACAAGCCAGCGTCGTCACGATTACGCTAGGCCGTCAAAGCCGCCTCATCCCACTCCCACTCTCTCCTCCACCGGAATTCCTGCGCAATAGCAGTCGTAAGCAACCAATCCGACTTGACAACCCTGGTCCTCAGATTCTGCTTCTCGGCCGTCGATCTGAAAGTCTTCCACAGCTTGACCTCCGCTTCGCTGGCTCCAGATACCAGGTATGCGTAGTCGAACTCCTCTCCATCCTCCTCGCCTGCACCAACAGGACGTTTAGGGATATGCAGACCCGTACGACCATTATACATATACGCCTCCCCGCCGTTGACTTTGATAATATCCTTATAAGTGTCAAAGCCGCCCGGGATGTCCTTGGAGACAAAGATCGACCAGCCTTGGAGGAGTTCATGGGCATTGCATTTGGCGCGATCGATGGCTTCGGAGAGTTTCAAGCCCATGGCATCTTCCATCTTCCGATCTTGCAATAGTTTCGGGTTCTCAACCAGCTTGTCCTGCTTGAGAGCTGCGTCGAGGTATTTGCTGTCGACTACCAGCGGCGCATTAGCGAGCGCAGCGACAAATTTCTTCGTCCGTTTGATGGCTGGCGCTACCAAGATGTCAACTTCGAGCGGATCCTGAGTCAGCTCAACACCCAGCATGCGAAGTTTGAGCCTATCGTCGCTTTCTTGCTTTGGCTTACCAACCCAGCGTTCGTCGCCTGTGACCATCATACGATACATGATGGGTGGCGCATCGCTGGTCGTCCTTGCCTTCTTGGCCTTGAGACCCGGTGCTTGAGTTTCGCCATCGCTGAGATCGCTACCTTCGGCCGTAACATCATATGTTGCCTCGTCGCTCTTGCGCTTCTTTGTTTTCTTCGGCTGCTCGGGGACTGGGGAAGAGAAATCTTCTAGACGGCTGGACGGTCGGCCACCGTGGGTCACACCACCCTTGCGCTTCATTTCTTTTTGGTAGAGGAGCATGTCTGGCGCAGCAATATGTAAATTGGCTGCCGCCTTCACCTTCGCTGCTCGACTACTAGTCGTGATCAAAGGTGACTCGTTCTCCTTCTCGTCATCAATTCGACGTGGTGTTGCTGCTGATTTCCGTGGCCGTCCTCTTGATTTCTTGGTTGTCGAAGGCTGCTCCTCATCATCCTCGTCCATGTCATCCACTGGAGCCACGCCGCTGAAGCTGACTCTTGCTGTATTGGTTGTTTCTTGTTCTTGATCATCTTCGTCCTCGGTCTCGGCATCCTCGGCAATGGGTGTAGGCGCAGAGACAGCAGGTGGTCTACGAGGCGTACTGCCAGTCGCCGTGATACTGGAGGCTGGTACGGACTTTCTCGGCGAGCTTCTACCCTTAGTAAGAGCTGCAGGAGAGCGTGGAGCCTTCTGTGGCGACTGCGGCGGTGGTGCTGGAAAGAAATTGCGCTCTACATTCTTTAGATCGAGGATGGTCTGCCCGCAAACCTCGCTCAGGTTCGTACTCGCCGGGAAGTGTGTATACTTCTGGTTGGACAAGGCTTGAGTGCAGCACTTCGCATAGCTCTCCTCCAGCCAAAGATGATTGATGATGTTCAGATTCCACTCCTGTGCGGCCTCATATTTCTCGCTCTTAGAATGAGCAGCGATGAGATGCGTGTTGTCTTGCTTCATTGTCTTTGTGAATTCAGCCCCGGAGTATTTGATCAGGTTTTCGAGATATGTTCGAGCTTCGCCGTTGTAGTTTGAGATGCTGATCTTCATATTGCTGAATCCTGGCAGACCATTCCGTGGTATTGGGTAGTGAAGAAGTTTGCTGAGTGGATTCGTGTACTTGTTGTTGTTGATGACGTTGTACAGCCAGGATAAGTTGGCCACTTCCTTGCGAGCACGAGATGCGGCGATGTACTCTGCACCGTCACGATACTGGCCGATGTAGATATCCGCATTGTCGATGCTGTTGGTCAGGACTCCGCCACCATGATTGATAAGACCTTCCAGAGTCGATACAATATGCGGGCTCAACTCGAGGTCGGATGAAAGCCTGAGCGTCTTGCTCATGAAAGCATTCAGATTCTTGCGGATGTCAGAGGGAGAAGATGGCGGAGTGGGTACAGGGAATGCAAGAGGTGTGGATGTCGTCGCTCCTTCGACATGGCTGATGTCACTGTTGACAGGCTTTGGCAGTGTCGACTGGAGGTATGGCGGGTTCGGGAAGACGTAAGGTCGTTCGTTAATCTTCTTTCCCAAGCGTAGACAGTCATCGAACCAGTGTGGGAGGACACTCTTGCAATTGGCCTTGGTTTTGAGAGCCAACTGACATTTCGGATGGTCGTAGTCCAACGTCACGATATGGGTGGTGAGCTTGTTGAGTGTGCCGCTGTACAAGCCACCCAGAGCCATGACACCAGCAATGATGGCATCCTTGTCGCCTTCAGGCAGATCTGCGCAGGTCAAGACGACGTCCTGGAAGTACTGGTTCGGGTCTGGACTGTGCTGCCTCGCTGCCACCAGCTTGTTTTTCGCTTGGCTTTGCCTGACCCATGATGGCTTGACGACCAGGATCCCTCCTTCTACCGCGTGGTTGTGCTGGGGAAAGTCGATGTTGGTGGCGATGATGTGTGTGACGGCGGAGAGGTCGGGGATTTTGTTGTCTGTTGTTCGTAATGCGATATGCCTCCCGCCGCCGTGGACTATAATTCTGCTGTACTGTGGAGAGAGAGTCAGCATCGTAGTCATGCGATATGCGGACAGTCACGAGCATACCTCTTCCACCAATTCCTCGTCCAATCGGTCGCTGGGGATGAATGCCGCCACTACACCTTCGAACAACTGACCTGCCGCATTCTCCTCGCCGTCCGCCATGGTCGATGTCGTCAAGAACAGTCGTCGCAAGGATGAGGTGATGTTGATATTTGAAGTACCACCGTGAAACTGGAAAGCGCGTCTCTGCCCGAATAATGTCGCGTAAAGAGGCAACAGCGGGGGACTCGCGCCAGCACGTGATGATGTACAGGACCTCCGAATCTAACGTGAACGCACGGAATAATAATAATGGCGTCGAGACAAATGTTCACATGCGCGTGTCTATGACCATCTACCCGCTAGCAACATGAAGCCACCCACACCACTCGGCCTCCAAGCCCTTCGCTCCCTGGCCTTCCCCTCAGCACATCCACCATGCCGCCTTGCCCGCCAAAGAAGAAGCTACGCCTCCATCCCCGAGCCACCGAAACAATTCCGCCCACCACCACCACCACCTCCAGCGCCGGAACATATCACCACACCACCATCCCGCTCAGGAACCCCTCCCAACGCCACCCCTCTTTCACAATCCTCACGTCAACCTCCTCCTCCTCCTCCTCCTCCACCACCAATATTCCGCCCAACACCGTCCGGCCCCGACCTCCGCAAGAAACGTGACGACGATGAGGACTTCACCCCCTACCCCCTCACCCGCCCCATCGGCATGCCATCCCCTCCCCTCCCAACCGAAAATACAGGTCTAGACTCCCGCTCCCTCCGCCAACGCCGCGACGACTTCCACAATTATGAGAAGCATCTCGCCCGCCGAGCCGCGATGACGAAGCAGATCGCCAAGCCTTACTTTCGCGATTGGAGCAATATGCGGTTTTTTAAAGGGAAGGTGTTTATTGCCCCCGAGAGGTTGTTTAGGGGGGACGTGAGTTTGTGGTTTCCGAATTTCTTTGGGAGGTCGTTGAGGAGGGATGTGGAGAGGCGGGGTGGGATTAGGGATGGGTATGGGGGGTTGGGGAGGGGAACGACGGAGGTGCTGAGGGGGAAGGTGAGTGTGGTTAGTGTTGTGTCGAATGATTGGGCCGCGAAGCAGGTGGATACTTTTTGTTCGATCGAACAGAATCCGGAGTTGCAGGTGGTTTTGGCGGAGGAGGAGGAGTTGGTGCAGCGGGTGGAGATTAATTGGGAGGGGAATTGGTTGAAGTGGTGGATCTTGCAACTCTTTGCTGCGCCGAATCTGAGGCGGACGAGGAGTTTGTTTGAACAGGAGAGGTATTTTATGGTGCGCAGAGGGGTCAGTGATATGATGAAGGAGGGGATTGGATTATTTAATGATAAAGGTGGGTATGTCTATCTTGTGGATGGCGAGTGTAGGATTCGCTGGGCGGGGAGTGCAGAGGCTTCGGAGGGAGAAAAAAGGAGTCTGGTGGAGGGTGTGCGGAGGTTGGTGAAGGAGGCTAGAACGCCGGTGGAGGAGAGGGTGAGGCGTGGGATGACGAAAGAGAAGATTGAAGCTGCTGTGGCAGAAATTGTGCTGGAGGATGAGGGGAGGGAGAAGATGGCTGCTGCTAGTGGATAGATGTAGAATCAGAGTATGCTGTACATGGTAGATAGTGGTACATGGTTCTCAAATCCACCCTTCTTCATGCAAATGCCATGTTTTTGCCTCGAACAGGAAACTCCAGAACACCCTACATCGCCCAGATGCAATCTCCACCCAATCCACCCATCCTCACCAGAACCACAGCAGAACCAAGAAACACACCGCAATGAAACTCCCAAGTATAATTCCATCCCTCCTCTTCTTACTCCCAATCCTCTGCATCAACCCGTTGATCCCAGGAACCTGTGCCGCAGCCCCGGTAATCCTCCTCTGAATCGATAATAATCCCTCCCTCTGCAGACCAAAACTCTCTTGTGTCGCATACGCCTGACTCAACACGCTGTCCACCACATTATGACTATTATCTAGCCGTCGCCGCTCATCAAGCATGTACTCGCTCTCTGCCGCTTCGGGGTTGTCGCGGGCGCGGTAGGCGGAGGCGTTGGAGGAGATGTTTGAGAGGAGTTGAGCGCGATCGCGGGTGGTGGAGATGGTGGTTTTGAGGCGCGAGAGCTCGGTGCGGTGTTGTTGGAGGATTTCGCGGTGGCGGGCTAGGTTGGTGGATTTTAGGGCCGAGGGTGGGGTGGGTTCGGAGTCCAGCAGGCGGGAGAGTTGTTGGAGGAGGGCTGAGCGCTGGTGGGTTAGTGTCAGTCTTTCTCGTTCGTGCCTTCCTTGTTAGGTGGGTTCGTGGCTTACCTTTTCTAGTACTTCGTTCAGTTGTTCTTCAGTTCGGACCTCGTCTTCGCTGGGTTTGGGTTCCAGGTCGGTTTTGGAGGCGTATTGGGCGTAACTGTGGAAGAGGGTTTCTGTCTGTACCATCTCAGCATGATATTCACCGGTACAGCAGTATCTCATCTCCTACCTGTGTCTCTTGCACCCTGACTTGCTGTCTCACTTGCGCCCAGCTGCCTTGTGCCGCCATCTTAAGCAGTATCCAGATTGTGCCACTTGTTCCCTGCTGTCTCTCACCGAGATCCTCACGTCGTCTCCAATCTGCCTTGCAGTCCTTGCCTACGATATAGCAATACTCTTTGTCCGCAACACACGCCATCCCTACTGCCTCCCACATGTGACCTGTCAGGTCCAAGCGTGGATCTGACTTCCGGCTCCTTCCGGCTCCTCCCGCTTTCCACGCCAAGACTTGCAGCAAATCCGCCCACACACGCGCGGAACATTGAACTTTTGCGACTGAAGCGGCACGAGAGCGACGGCGACAATTCCTCCCACGATACTCACACCCACACCCACACCCTCACTCACTCACTTTACAATGGTAGGCTATCAACGACACGTTATGTGCATTGCTGGAGGAGGATGTCATGCTAATGGGATATGTACAACAGTCGTCCAGCAAGATCAAGACTCAGGCGCTCTGGGGCAAGAACAAGGATGAGCTGAAGAAGCAGTTGGACGAGCAGAAGCAGGAGTTGGTGCAGTTGAGGACACAGAAAATTGCTGGCGGTGCCCAGTCGAAGCTGAACAAGATGTGCGTATACACCATAAACCCTACCAAAAAGTGAGGCCCGATACTGATGGATGATATTTTAGTCACGACGTCCGCAAAAACATCGCCCGCATCCTTACCGTCATCAACCACACCCAGCGCCACCAGCTCCGCATCTTCTACGAGAAGAAAAAGTACATGCCCCTCGACCTCCGACCCAAGCTCACCCGCGCCAAGCGTCGCGCTCTCTCCCCGAAGGAGGCCAGTCTCGTGTCGGAGAAGCAGAAGAAGAGGCAGAGGCATTTCCCTCAGAGGAATTATGCTGTTAAGCTTACCAAGTAGAGGGTCGCATGGGAGATTGGGGTTGAAATGAAGTGCTGGCGTGAGGCGAAAGGCATGGTCATGAGGGAGAGAACTTTCCTGCTGGGCGTGATATTGGCGCATGGGATCATCACACTGTGTCAAATGGCTGAGCTTGTGGCATCTCCATGCATGCATGAAAGCGTATGGCTATGGTAGTGTAGTTTGAGGTTGATAGTGCTCATCGTGCTATCATTCTACCACACCGGCCGAATCGCTGGCCGCCATTCCTTCGTCCCAATCACTGACGATTCAACTACACGCACATCACTCTTTCTAATCCGCACACTTAGCTCCAACTCCATGGCACTACAGGCATCTGTAGTCTGGCAGTTCTTACTACTCAGATGCCGGGCAGCTCTCCGCAGAAGAAAGCTGACAGAGTCGTATTCGAAGTAGACAGGCTCGACGAGACGGATGTCCGTGAACTATGCAATTGCCAAACCCACCCGGGATCTTGGCCGCCTGGCAGACAGTAGGACGTGCTTATCAAGCGCCACCCTTCCACTCTATCTTCCGGTCTCGAGGCAACCAAAAGCTCGCCAGCGCTGTCCCCGTCTCGCCGGGTCTGGACACAATATTCGAGACCACGACTTCCTCCTCCATTATCGTTGGTGCAGCTAGTGTTTGAAGTACATGATATGCGCAGCCAGGCAACGGATGCTCATGAGCTAAGTCCCACGGAGCATACCCAAACCTCTCCGCATCCCAAGCGATCGAATTCCACTCATGTCCAACGATGGCCTCGGCTGACGTTCAGGCAGTCCCGATCTTCTCTGAGTACGATCAGTCCAGCTTAGGGTGGACAATGTCAATTCTGTCACCTATGAAACAACGTCATACCGATCTACTTCGCCGCTTACAACCCGGCTATTAACATCACAAGTGACTAGTCTTGGATGCTCCGCACCTGGTTCACCTGGTTAGGTATTCTCCCACTTATTCTCTCGAAGAATGGACCTGGACTCTTCCGCTAGTCGGAAGCGCAAGATTGAGGAGGTTGGCGGCCCTGCAACCAAGTCTCCACACAAGGAACAAGGTTACAATTCATCATTCTCGGATGGGAAGTAGCTTCCTGATTGCTTGATTTGTACGCCTAGCTCACGTCTCACAGCCGCTTCAGGATCGAGAGTCCTGCAAGACAAGGTCACGAGCAGCAATCGCAACTCTCCAAAAACTCCCAGCGTCCGAAACGAAATGCTCGACAATCGTACACCAACATCAGAGCTAACGTTGGACCAGCTGGAGCGTGACTGGGCTTCGGAGAATACGAGTGGAATGGTCAAATTTGTCTCAGAACTGGCCGAGAAGTATCACACCCTCATGGGAAGAGAGCGCGAGGGAGCATTTGCGCAGCACTTGATCGAGCTGGAGTCCACCAAAAGTCTCGCTCCAGTCGACAAGGTCACTCGTGGTCTGGAACCTCTGTATCGCCATGTCCGGGCCTACACTTCCAAGGTCGAAGAGCTGTATCACAAGAACCGCAGCCTCTTACTTGACGACAGTGATCCCTTTCCCGAGATGGCTTTGAACATGGACCGGGTTTCTGGGGTTTTCGAAGACTGCAAGGCCGACCTGGCGAACCTGAATCTGGCTATCTAGTTCTTCGCACTTATGATGGAGGTGCAGGTCTCGTCTAAGACGAGCTTGGGGGTCCCGAAGGCAGGCGAAATTGATGGCAGAAGTACTCAGGACACACAATGCCTCCAGAACTGTGAGACTTCTTCTGTTTGTAATTCACGGTCGTGTTTACTGATCTCTTCGCAGATTCTCCCCTTCGACCAACAATGCAGATGGGTACTTACAAAGTTCTACATTTGCCTTCATGACGCATTCCAGCAATTCCAACACCACACGAGGACCAGGCTTTGGCGAATAGCTTGATACTGCGCCCGTCTCCCATACCGGCAGGAACCTCAAGACTACCATCAAGACCTTTCCGACGCCTACTCATGCTGATACCTCGTCCTTCGCGGCCGCGTCCGACGACGATCCTGCACTCCAACGTCGGATCGCTGGCTCTGCTTCCGTGAAGCATCTAGACCAGCAAACTAGCCTTCGAGACAATACGTCTCTGGGTATCACCGGTGTACACAGCAGGTCACTGCTCATTCAAGGACTTCTCCAGACGACCACAAGGCTTCAGACGGTACCTCTCCATCTGGCGCTGTCACCGTCTCTCGTTCCGGTACTGTCATCGAGCCGATCACCCCTTCCGAGAAGCCTCAGCCCAAGACCAATTTTGTGGATTGGTTCTCAAAACGCCTTCCCAAAGTTCACAACCCGACTCTTTCTGCGAACGGCCCTGCCAAATGGGACAAGACCATTCTCATGTCGACGCTTTACGAGTACGGCATCCAAGTTGTGGATCAAGCGAAGACATTTCGGGACGAAGCTAAAAAATCAAGGAAGAATGGACGGCCGACCCGGGAGAAGGTGGTCAAAACAGCTGAGCAGAAGGAATCAGCCCTGAAGGAGTTTGAGGAGATGAATAAGAAAGGAAGAGGAGTGGTAGAACGAGTTCGTCAAGCAGTAGTGCCGGCGACCTGCTCACATGGCATAGTAAAGCGCTTATGACCGAAGATGCGTAAGTCAGCGGATCTCATTCTACTCGGGAATCTCGGGTAGTATATAAGACTGTATCTAGCCTGGACTATACGTCCGTCTACTGTTCAGACTCTACGCTTTAGCACGAAACTGAGTTGGGTCTTCACGTATCCTTGCTACAACTGATCGCTCGTAGATATGTTCGTATCACTCGTCGATCTTGCCTTGCGAGGACAGCAGGACTCTACATATCCTTTCAAATTGCGGGTAGAGTTAGGCATCATCTCACTTACTCTAGGCACGCTGTAGTACACAATGATTTTGTATCTTCCCGTTGTAGCCGCCCTGCGTTAGCTCTTGGATGTTAAGGACGATTTGTCAATGGTTACCCGGGATTGCGCAATGCCTCTTGGAGAACACCTTCGCCGCTTCTAAAGACAACCATCATGCTGACGAGGTTGCATGCTTCGGTCTTTTGCCATTCCCTCACCAGGTATCATCTCATATGATATCCACGTCAGGCGCACCATCGAGCTCCGTTCCTGCTCGTCGAGTCCCAGGTCAAAGTAATCGGCCTTTGCATCGCATACGAGTCGTACAAGCACCGCAAGCCTTGGATCCTTTCCGAGCCAGCCCATACTCATTGGACTGTCGACGAGCAGCGTGGCGTGATTTGCTACCCATTCTGCGTCCACCCTGGCGAAGATTGCTTCCGGATCAAATCCAGGAAAGTGCCATGTCGTGTAAAGCCCTTGGGCTACCCACTTGATTACTTTGAGATCTGGAGGGCTAATGACGCGGGCCAGCACGCGCCCGTGACGCCTTAGGTAAAAAGCCACCTCATACTGTATATTTTGCCAGTAGCCCTGTAGCTGTCCAAGTACTAGCTTGAGCAGGGCGTGCTCCTCGGTGTATCAGCACTCTCGAGCAAATGTCGAACTCCAGTTCTAGCCACGAGGACATCCGGCCGCGGCGCCGAAGTGGAAGATGTAACGTCCACTGAGCAGTATCTTGAGTGACTCTTGGCGAGCTTCTTGCGAGACGGCAGTGATGGGAGGCATCTAAACCAGATGAGTGACGCCATCTTGTGAGGAGGATACACTCTTGATACCTTGACTAGCTCCACCGTTGCTGGGCTTGCGACGCTTGGGTTACTTTTGCACACGAGACTTCCGTCTTCAAGTCGCACACACGGGTCGTAGATTCCGAAGCGTAACTCGGTGGGAAGATTGTCGAATGATGTTTTAAGACTATATCAGCTTGGGTGAAGTCGGCCGTGGAAGGACCTACTTCTTGGTCATGACTGGGCAATCAGTCTTATGAGCATCACAGTCCATCTCAATCTGTGCGGCACTGCCAGCTGATGAGGTTGCAGCCGGGTCGGTCATAATGTGTCGCCACGAATTGTGATGCAAGTTCTGCGGCAGGCACGAAGTCAACACCACGCTTGAGCTTGGGCCTCGTCTAAACGCACGTGAATTGTACGTGAATAAATGAAGACTGATCTGGAAAGCATGCACATACTGTCTAGATCGATGTCGCCGAACGGCGGACCATTTCGAGGTCCACAACCGCGCCGGTCACAGCCACATCTCAATCGCCATATCCCACCATCCGCCACACTCATTGTCCTCCCTCGCTTAATCCTCCTCGAAGTCTTTCCCTGGATAACGGCGATGCAGTGCAGCATTTACGCGCATCCAGTCTACCACCTGACCATGACTGATCACCCAGTTCACTACACGCTGAATGGCAGCCGAAGAGGAGAGACCAAGAGTCTGATTAGCCACCATCCAGGTTTTCCACATGTCGAGGTCGCCAAACATGAAATGGAACTCCTCGCTACGCGTAGTAGCAACGTTTAGACGATTCGCGTCCTTGACGAACCCAAATGGATCTCGGCCCCGGTTAGCGAATGCCGCGACGAAGAGGAGCAGGATAATCTTCTTCTGCCGGCCTTGGAAGGCGTCCACGGTCGAAGCCTCTGGGTCAGACCTTGCCTTCGCCACCTGCACATTACGAATGTTGTGTGCCCTCAACTGTTGCTCGATGCGGCGAACAACTTCGCCGTACATCGTGATGATCCCGATGTCAGCAGCGTCTGCCTTAGCCTCTTCCAGCAGCACTTGCAGGAATACGATGAGCATAGCCAGTCTCTTCTTGAGGTCTGCTACAGTCTGTGGAAGAAGCGCCAGCTTATATTCAATGACATTGCTGATGTGATGTTCTACACGAATCAGAGACTTGCGGATACCGCTTCCGCAGAGATCCTGAGGGCAGGACCAAATGCTCGTTACTGAGCATGTATGAGATGGTGTCTGCGAGGGGTTGATCGTAAGGTGCCCTGTGTTCTGCCGCCGAAGGATTATGAAGAAGGAAACTCGAAGCATGAAAGAGACTATGGGGTGATTACTCGGAGTTGCTCTGTATTTGACGTGGCATTCGCCCGCCAGCATATACAGCGAATCACTGTTCGTCAGCTCTTCCACGGTCGATTGTCTTCCACTCGTCTGTGAGAGTACTCGTGTCCTCTGACCGCGTCACGCTAAGATCAAGTCCTTCTCTTGCTCAATCTTTTTCTCTGCCGCTTACTATCCACAGATCGTCCAGCCATCTCCTCTCCATCTGGCCTCTGGAAATTCTGCTGCGGCCATGAATCGAGGCCGAGATCCAAACGTCTGAAACATCGGTTGTTGGGTCGTAGTCAGCACGTCTGCTCTCCGTCATATCCTGCAGGCCGTGAGCCGAGCATGTGGTATTGCAAGTGGCAAGTCTAATGCATAAAGTCTGGATCGTTCCCGGGCATAGCTTGCAGCGTTTCCTCTTCCTGCCAAAGTCTTGCTTCTGCTTCGACAGTTCAATGGCAGACGGAGGATTCGCTGGAAGATGGTACTCCCAAGTCTTATCAGCACGCTTTCGGTTAGTCAGTATGGGTGCTGCTGAAGCATTGTTGTCCGCGGACAAAGCAGGCTTGGGAAAGGACGCCTCCCGGACGGCGTGTGCAAAGCAAAGATCGAAGATAGTTTCTTACATGCGGCTCTTCACGACAACCTTTCCCGCTGCCAGCTATCCTACACGATCATCGGCTTTTCCATCTTGGTCTGGCAAGCGCCATGCATTTGTGGACCAGTGCGTGACCGGACTGAGCAGCAATCAACCCAGTAGTCGCCATGCCCGGAGCGAGAACCGCTGGTGCCGGTTCTTTCCCAAACATAGCAAAGCTTGCGCCGGCCTTTGTCTCGGAAAAAGATCTCCAAATCTAGCTTCTCTTTGTCCACTGTTCAGCATTGGCCACGAGAGTGATGGAATTTAGTAGAGAGGGAAAACAATCTGGCTCTAGTATGGATCGAAAGCTGCATCATTGGCCATTCCTCTAGCCTAGCATACTGACGACGCCGGCTTTGACGAGGATATATGGTGGCGGAGAAATGAAGTCACGGGGATGGGAGCGGGTGGGAGAGGTAGCACGAGGCGAAAATTCATCGTCTCGAACCTCAGCACCAGGGCGTAATGCCAGTTGCCTCGGAGTCGTTGGCAGCAAAGGTATGGGCCTTTGTGAGGATCGATATCTGAACATTCCAGGCCACAATCATCACCCCCGGTCTGCTCAACGAAGCTACATTCAAGGCATGCAGACATTTGCATCGCGGCGTGCTTATCGGAAGCAGATACCCGTCTCTGGCTGTAGCTGCTACAGTGAATGGGCATTTGTCTGCTTTCCTCTGTTGCATGTGCAGGTCTGCTGAGCTGCGTGACCGTGCTTAGGGTGCCTTGCGAGCTTTTGTAACTTTGCCACGGAGAATGCTAGCCACAAACAACGACACACACAAGCCTGACTTTAGGTCAGCATGGACATTCCCGACAATGCCGTCGAACAGCAACACCCCTCACCCTCGAGCACGCATACGATCCGTTCGTTTCCGCACACCCAGGTGTCTCCCTCCTTGATTGTGACGATGGATCCATGGCAATCTTCCACAACCCAGCATTTTATTTCCAAGATGACGAGGATGAGAATCTCTATGACGCTGCTACGACGTTGCACCCGTGTATCGCACGTCGTCCTCGATCTTGGGCGTCATAAGATTGTCTATACACTCAGCATCAAGATCAGCACAAGGTGAGAAGAGTAGACTTGCGTTGAATTGATCAAAGCTAAGACGACAAGCAGCGGTCCCAACTTTCTCAATCCCCCCCCTGCCATCCGCAACACGATCTATAAGGAATACATGCGCGAAACGCCAGCGCGTTCGCATCACTCGAGCCATTGCACGCATTTTCTCTCAGGTGGTCTATCCTGTTGCCTCCCATCTTCGCCGTCTCCCGTCAGGTGATGATGGAGACCTTGAGGCTTTGGCTTGCGGACAAGAAGCTATGCGTCCATCTTCCCGCTGAGGTCGTTCACTACCAAATCTAGCATCTTTTTGCAGAGGTCCGCGCGGTCCTATCGGGCCTGATCCTTATCGTCGATGGACGCGGCTTCATGAAGAAGATCGCACAGGTCGTCATTAGACTGCTTTTTATGAAGTATTGAAGAAGAACGTCAGGCTCGACATTGTCTCATGCGGCACGCACATTGATAATACTACTATCGATCCTTTCTTCAATGCGCTTGCTGAGCGGTACATGGCCGGCACACTTTCCGAGACGGACCTGCGTGCAGCCGTGGCTTGTAACTTCAAGCGTGGTGTTGTGAGACCGTGCGCAGGGTGCGAGGTCTGTAAGTGAGAGGGTAGCTGCGAGGTCTGTAAGTGAGAGGGTGGCTGCGAGGTCTGTAAGTGAGAGGGTGGCTACTTTGACTGTAGAATCTCATGTCGCCTACACGCTGTGTTTCAACCACAAACAACACCCAACAGAAGTGTCCTTCGCCAATCATGAAGAGCGCCTGCGCCCATACTGGAAGTCAAACCACGACCAATGTCAAGCTCATGCTCTGCAGCAGCTGCAAGACCGCAAAATACTGCAGCAAGGCCTGTCAGAAGGCTGACTGGCCAAATCACAAATTCAAGTGCATGATCATCAACCCCGATGAGATGTTGGCTATTCTGAAGAGGCTGAACATCTCCTTCCTGATGCCCGATGGCTTATCCGGCCTTTTCCCGTTGTACGATAGATATGTCTCGTGTCAACGTTCAACTCGCCGACTTTATCAGGCACCTTGATCTTCTTACGGAGCAGTCAATTCGGCGACATGACCAAGAAAGGCAAAGCCCCTCTGTCCCTCATGGTCAGGATCATAGACACGGCCCCCGAGCTTACTGTGCACGACGGCTTCTTCAAGGTCATCATCGGCGTCCTTCGCGAGCACGTCGAGCAGTACAAGCAGGGCTTCGGCTTCGTTGTCATCGAGCTTCGCAAGGGTACAATCTGTCTCATGTTCGAGAACATTGCCAGCGATGGTCCTGTCAAGATCACGGCCTGCGATACTGACATGATCCGGACCGCGACCTCGGGGAGAGGTGGGGGAAGGTCATGCCTGCGACATCACCAGCTCGAGCTAATACTACATCATCTCCTACCCATACTCAGAAGTCGATGAGAGCTACTTCAAGGCGCTGCTGGAGAAGATCGGCGAGGGCTGCAAGCAGACTCATATCATCCACGACTGTCCAGACTTGTCCACTGGTTGTGGCATGTCTCGAGCCGCCAAGTTCCAGCAGAAGCAGGTCGAGAAGAACGCCATGAGGTACCTCACAAAGCATGCCGAGGCGAAGGTCATGAAGGATTTTCTCTGGATCCACATCTACATCCCACCCGGCGATTATGCTTGGTCACTGTCCCAGATATTGGCTCCTTAAGAGTCCTTGCTATGCTCTTGCTCTTAGACTAATGGCCGTCAAGAGCCGAGCGGAGTATGTGATTTCAACAGCCTCTCGGCAAACACCGCAGTATGCTCGGCTAATGCTGACATTGTCACGGACCTAGACGCCTTGTGATGATCTGTGAGGTATCTAGGAGCTTCATCGATCAGGTCATGATTCAGCTATTATGGCTAGCATTTACCGCAAGTCTTGCATTCTTCGATACCTGCTGAATGTCTTGATGGAGTGGAGAGGAGGTCCGCTGGAGAAGAGGCGAATCCGACATCTGAGCCGTCCTTGTCCTGACGAGCTCGGTAGGAGCATCGATGCGCTCCCTGGCTGATGATGGCCATAGCCTCACTGCGACGGCTTGGCTCGCGGATTTCAATTGTTGCTTCGAGTGGGCTACATTCATTTTCAGGTCAGCGAACCGGAGCATGATGCTGCGGCAAGGATCTTCTCCATCAAATGCTGCTGAAGAGCTGGAAGTCGAGTGATGGTCTACCCCTGCAACAAAAGTTATCACCCATACTTGCGAAGAAGAAGGAACATGTATGCGGGTGATTTCGAGCAGCGTGGTGCCGAAACCATGAATGCTGACGCTTTGAGACTTTATCTTTGCCTAGAGTGGATGGTCCAGATCCGCAGCCTTGAGGGAGGGCCGAGTCAAATGACGTGACTCTGGTCATGGATCTTGATGTGGATCTCTTTTAAAGGCAGCGGTTACACCATGACCAAGCTCTCGACGAGCAGACTAGCACGGAGCCTCTCCCGAGCCGACCGAGTTGTCAGTACTAGAGCTAGGATTCTAGACAGGCTACTCATGGCTCGGCTTCGGTCTGTGTGATTCTGGATTCTGCTTGGGCACCCATCTAGTTGCAACTCAAGCCGGAAACGTACAACACCTCAAGCCAAGATGGTGCTTATGCTCGTACGGTGGTAGCGGAGTACAAGAACCCTTTAGTCTTGGGAGGAAACGAAGAGTTGCATGACTTATTGGCGACAGCGCTGGGCTCTCTCCAGCCTTCATGGTCTGAGAGCGTCGCTTTTGGTCTGGCAGCGTCCGACTATGGCTCTTGTCTCCTTTGTGTGCTTTCGAGCCATCGGTCTCTCCCCGATGCAAGCAAGTCTTTGGAAGGAGCTCGTTGCATGACTTGGCTATGTTCACTTCCAACTTCTTGCCCTTGCCTCGCTAACTATACACTGCCATCGATCTGTCCTTGGTACTACTCAGAGCATGAGGATGGACATCGAAGGCAAAGAGATCGTCGGGCTTGTCTGTTTGTTGGCCGGATGATGAATGCCGGTGTCCTCCAACATTTTGCAACCTAGCAATGTAGCTGCGGACCTGGTCGTGAGTTGCCAGACGTCTGGTCCTCTGGATGGGATAAATTATGCGGCGAATGGCAGGCGAGAGCTCTTGCCTCTCGACCAGAGTGGTGATTCAGCTCGTTCCTATGCGGACTCGATGGTCGTCGAGGCTGGGGCGTTACGAGAACGATTCGCCCCGCCAGGGAGCCACTGTACAGATCTCACACATTGTCGACAAGAGTAATCACCTCAAGAGCTGAAGATCTGGTTCCTTCTGCTGGGCAGATGTGACCAAGCCTGCAGAGGCATCCTTTGCTACGATCAGGATTTATAGCCCTGTGAACTCGTTGCCAAGGAATTCAGTATCGTTCTAATTTTCCCCAAACTACTGTCTTGTGCAATTGGCTACGTACTTCTTGTGTCCAAAGCGGGTAGTCGATGGCGGGAGTATGGGCAGCGCAGCGAAGTCCATGACGCTTTGTACGAATCCTTGCGAGATCGTGCAGGAAGTCCCGCCGCAGAGACTCTCTGCCGTCCCTCCAAGCTTTCCCAGCCTGAGATACATATGCAGGAAAGCCAGCGATGTGAGACTACGGCTCTCAGCTTGGAAGGGTGGAACCTTGAGAGACTTGGGTTGTAAGCAAGGCTGTGAATACTGTTCACGCCGCTCTCAGACTGCAGTCAAAGACCCTCTGAGCCTGATGCTCTTCGCTCTTGTCATTTCGCCGTGGGGTAGGGATGTGGGAGTCAGCTTGGAACCGAAGTCTTTGATCAGGGACCTCGAGAGACTGTCGAGCAAGAGAGAAGGCTAGAAACGCTGATTCAATGTCCAGTCGGCGTCGACTCGAGTCCCTAGGCTGGGATATGGATGGTTGCTACATCTACCTCATCAGCAATGGGAAGGGTGACGTGAGGCGACTGTAGCGTCAGGTGTGGGACCGTCGTATCTGGGACAACGTGGGACCGTCATATCTGGGACAACATGGGACTGACGCCATGGGGTCTGTGAAGTCCTCGAAGGCTTAGGCTCATCGCTCGTACTATGCCGCCTCGTTCCTGGCCACCGGCTGAAGGCTGACGGGATTGAGTCGCACTCTCGATCTTGAAAAGATGGTCCTCTGACAGTTTCACTTGATTGATGAATCTTGAGTCCCAGCTCGGTTGCGTAGGCTGTGATTAAGCTGTGATCAGGCTGTTATTACTCTACCCTCTTGCCCGTACATGAGAAGTACGGTGGACATTATGCCCCAGATGCTAACAACTAACCCACGTCTCTCCGCCTCTACTTTCCATGAGCGTTGGATCTCCACTGCACAGGGCGTGGTCGTGGACTTGCTAGCCAGCCTACCACGACCGCCGGATCGCCTGGGCCCCAAGTCGCGGCCGTGAACTGCGGCCTTGTCGAGGACCAAGTGAAGGCAAGTGCATGAATCAACTTATCTGTCTTGTATGAGACTTGGACTTTGCTTCTTGATCAATTTTGTCGGCTAATGGGCGCTGGCAACCGATGATGAGTGATTTGGGTAGCTATGGAGTTGCCCACTGAGACTCTACGGCGTCAGTGAGGCTTTAGGAAGGCTTGGAAGGGTCATAGTAGCCATGGTTGCGTGGTACGGTGATGTCACGTTATATGGATCGTGACTCGAGGCGACATTGCGCCTGCGAAGTATGGCTGCTTAGGGTGTGCTATGCTGGTCTTCCAGTGAGCTGCCAACCCCTCTACGGACACTCCATAAGGTCATGGCCTCCTTCCCACGACGATGCTCTACTATGAAGGGTTCTCATCTCGTACTCCAGCCGAGTGTTTGCTCCTCTCCCTACACCTCTTTCCGCTGCTCATTCTACGTCTCTCCTCGCATCCTGCCTTGCGTCTTCCCTCGCAGTCCGCAGCCCTCGACGTTACGGCGAGCTTGAGCAAAATCTCCACCCTCGGATCTCTCCTCACGTCTCCCATCTCATCATGCCTTCCATCTCTGCTTGCACCTCTCCTTCATATTAACCTTTGCATGTCTTTCCATCTTTCCTTGGCTTTTTCTTTACGAGATCCTTCCTCCTATCCTCTGCAATCTCCCTACCCTCCAGCTCATGGGGTGCCCTCCATCATTTCGTGCCCTCTGCTTCCCGATCTCCCTCTGCTTGAATTTCTCCTCGTATTCCCCACTTCGCAGCTCTCCTCGCATGCCCTCTTACCTCCTTCGCTATCCCTCTCCTCGTGCCACTTCCGTAACCCTCCCTTCCTCTACCGGTACTCTCCTTCATCAAATCCTTCTCCTTTCCTCTCTGACCTCCTCCACCCTAGTCTATGCCTTCCTCTACACTGCTCCTTGCCAACCCCCCTCATTGTCTGCCTTTGCTCTCCGCTATACCCTCGTATGGCTCTCACGTCTCCTCGCACGTCTCCTCGCACGTCTCCTCGCACGTCCTCTCGCATTTGCCCTTGCACCTCCGCTCACGAATTTCTCTCAAGCTCTCTTCACGCCCAACCTCCCCCTCTTTCTGTCACATTGCTCTCTTCCTCTACCCGAACTTAACCTTCATCCCCTCTTCACCAGATCTCTCCTCATCTCCCGTGGCCATATGCAATTGGCTCGCAGCTCTTGCTCACCACGAAGACGGGATCCTGCTGCCCCTTGAATGATTTTGACCGGGCCTGGATTTGATGATGGCTGTGAGTATTCAGGACCTTCTCTCGCCGTAGATCCTGCCTCTTTCTCGTGGCACATCTGCACCGTTGGCTTCACCACGCGTCCACCGACCCCACAGGTGACTGTCCTCGTCTATCATGCAGACGCTCTCCGACTCTTCCGTACGATTGACCACTTGGAAGGATAGAGCGTCGTTTTGCAGGACTGGGCAAGGAATCCTCGGAGGCGTTGACCACCCCTCAGGTATCAGATAAGGGTGAAAGTCCGTAATTGTCATGCCATTCATGTCCGAGGCGAACACTCTGTACATTCTCAAGCAGTGAGTGTGGATGACATGAGCTGCCCTCTCCATGTTCCAACCCAGGCTGCTCACGCAAGACCGGCCGCATGATTCCTGTGCAGGTCGACATGGATACGCAAGTTCTTGCCTACGACGTACCCTCTAACCTCGAGACCATGACTTACAGCCCGCCATCACTCCTTCGTGTTTCTGAGCCGGGGAGAGTCCAAATGTCCGGATTGACGGTCAGATCCTGCTGCATCACCTAGCAGGCAATTTCCGTGGCAGGAACGCGAGCAACGCCGTCAGACAGGTCAGTCACGGTATCCTCTTCGGCTGACACTCACGGCACCCTCGACATTGAAGCACAGGGTCTACCATGCTTGTCTGTCGAAGCTTCCATCGACATAGTACGCAGGCATATCACCTCATAGTTTACCAACTCTGGCACGCTCACCTACTGATCCAATTCCACGCCTCCGAACGGACGTCTCTCTACTCCAGCCCAGCGGTGATCTTCGTGCCCGATGTGCCATCTCTAGGGCTTTCAAAGGGCGGGCATGAACGACCGACCGACGAAGGTAGTATCGAGGGCGGTACGGGTGTAGCTGCTGCTCATGGTGGTCGTGAATTTCATCGGGCGAAGATGGAGAGAGTCGCCCAGGAGTACTGCTCGAGACTGGAGCGAAGCCGCAGACAGTCTAGCTGTTGCCCATGACCTTCAACCGGGGAACGAGAGGCTCACTCGCAAGAACCATCGT